ACAACGGAAGTCAAAACACGTCACTGTTAACCAAAGTCTTTACTGGTGTCCTATATTGTTGTTAGTATAGTAAAGCTGTATCAATAATGAAAGAAGAGGCGGGGAGTGGGCTACTCACAGTATTTGGATTTTGGATCGAGGGAAATAAATTTGAGAGAAGAAAAGAGTGATAGAAAAGTAAAAAAAAGTATTTTGGGGAAAAGTGGGAATTGGCTGTCCTTAAATATTTTTCAAAACCAAAGGACCACAAACAACAGAGTGAGACCACAAACAACAGAGGTGACCACAATCTCAAAAGAAATATTAGTATGGGGTACTACCCTGTTACCATGCATAATTACAGTGTATGGGGTGCACAATTTGCACCCCCTCTAATATGCACAGTAAGTAAATTACAGCCGTACCAGAAGCTTCCGCCGTCCCCCCTTTGTAGCAGTTTGTAATTGGAAGAACATAAACCATCAGACCTATACTAATAATCATATTTATCTATGATAACTCAATATACTTTAGATAGCCCCAGTACCGACTTCCCCCGTTCGAAACAAGCTAAAATTGCATATTCTAAAAATTCAGTGTTTGTGTATTTGTGTGGAGATAAGAGGGGTCCCATTAAATGTAGTAGTTTACTACAGCTGTACTAGAAGCTTCCACCTTCCCCCTTCAATGCAAGTTTCTTATTGGAATTAGTACAGCGAAAGAGTTGATACTATCAACCACATTTTTTATAGACACTCACCATACTTTTGATAGTACCAGTACCAACTTCCCCCGTTTAAAACAAGCCAAAATTGTATGATCTAAAACTCCAATATGTCTGTGTATTTGGGAGGGAACAAGGGGCTTTCAATTAATGCTGCAGTCAAAATATCCCTGCAGAAAAAATATTCATTCAAAGGGGGTGCTAGCTTACGCAGTTACTTGTGTACAACAGGTTCGCCACCTCCCTCCCTTTGGTACAAGTCTGTATTTGAATAAAACTACTAACGAGTAATACTATCGATCACATTTATATATGGTAATTCACCATACCTTTGATAGTACCAGTACCAATTTCCCCCGTTTAAATTAAGCTGAAATTGCATATTTTAATAATTAATTGTCTCTGTGTATTTGGTTAGCGATAAGGGGGATTTCAACTAAAACTGCAGCTGAAATATTCCCCCAAAACCGCAGTCAAGAGGTGGTACCATTTTGACATTGCACCAATATTGCGGCTAAAAAATATATTACTTAATATAAAAATTAGGTTTTGTGGATCTTGAAAAAATCTTAGATAGAAGCTGTTGCAAAACTAGATAATCAGATATGGTAGCCATTTGGGCCGATTTAGTCTTCATTTTACTTGACATGTTATGTTCTGAATGAGCCGAATACAACGAGACCCATATTGTTAGATCTTGCTTTGGACAGGCCGTCAAAAAATATATAATGACTTAAAAATCGTTTGCCACAAACCTGGAAGGGGCGGGAGGAAGGAGGGGGGCCACATTTATTTTTTGGCAGCCAACTGCTCCCTCGTAAATTATTTTTTCGGCTAATATGAAGGAATATGCGACAGTTTAAAACAACTCTTTGACATCCCTGAGTGATGAACTCTTTTATTGTATATTCTACCGATTTTTTATACCAATACTACTTGAGAGTAGTTCTACTTCTTATACTAAATATACCAAATATAAAGTGGAACACTTTGCTTATGAATCCCGTCTATAGTAGTATGACGCACATTTTTCGGCGATAAATATGTTGCAGTAAAAAATAAATGCGGAGTGTAGATACGGACAACACACGACTTTCTGTAACAAATCTTTTGCAGCACATTGAAGGGGGGAATTTAAAAATTTGGGATATGTATTGTGCTGTAAATATAATTATCAACACGATTAGAGATCGTATAGAGATGGGGAAACTCCGCACCTGATGATATTAGACTATACTCGAAGAAATACTTAAATTACTTAAAAATGAAGAAATGGCACGAGATCAAGGAGATATTATGTTTCAATTTGACAACCCCAACAATTTGAATTGGCAACCAAGGTACATAAAATTAACCACAAAAAAGGTGCATGTGGTCATTCATTTTGTTGAGAATACTTGGGTGGCAAAATGGGGGCTAGTCATGAATCCACATATCAACTATAGAGAATTATACACGTCGTACAACAGACGTGTATAATATATCCCGAACAACAATGACCAATTAAGTAAACACAGACTTTGAAAGATTACAGTACACAGTAGTTTACAGAAGTAATTATCAAATAATTCAGGTAATTAATAAGAGATGCTATTTGATGACAGGGTATGGCAATTCATTGAGATAAACGAGCAGAACAACAGGGACATCTTGAGAGGCTGTCTCTAAGCTTATCTCCAGAGCCCTACGTATTTACGAGATCACAGCACAGAGAAATATAAATGAACAAAGAGAACAATACCCTGTTACTTATTCACGATTGATAGTGGGTCCACATCCGTTGGATCGACTAGCGCCGCATTAGAATTTTGGCACCCTAATCAACCAATGTAGCTTGTATTTCTGCAGTTATTAACATGTTGCTCTTTTCATTTAGATTTATATATAGAAAATCAATATACTGTAGATAGTCGTAGTACAGACCCCCCTCCCCCGTATGAAGCATGTAGATATAGTACTTTTTAATATATGTGTAGTCTTTTATTTGTGTTGAGATAAGGGGTTCCATATTGAGAGACTTGTAAATCAGTCGAATGACTAATCTACCATTTGAAAGGTGATCTAGAGTTCCAACAGGGGTTCACTTGGGATATATAAACATGTATTTGAGGGTGGTTACACTAGACATAAAAGATCTACTACATCTTCAATTAATGGGAAAATATGTAAAAAGTGCGGATGTTTCAGGTTTTCAAAAATGGCGGTAAAAAAAAAGTAGCTGCAAATGTGGTACTTTTTCTGGTGCATAATTATTGCAGAAAATATGGGAGACTAGGGATAATGTTTAGGTTTTGTGATTCATTTTAAAACCTTGTTTATGAATTGGAACAAAATTTTGTTGCAAAACTACAATATCAGAATGGTAACCATTTGCGCCGCTTTGAACACCATTTTACTTGACATGCTGTGCTGTGAACAAGCCGAATACAACGATACCCATATTAGTAGGACTTAAATTGGACAGGCCGCCAAACAAAATTTGACAACGTAAAATTTGGTTGCCACAAACCCGGCAGGGGCGGGAGGAACCAGTGTAACAACATTTATTTTTTAGCCAACGTTCCATCGAAAAATATTTTTTTTCATGTTAGACAACTGAATGCGCGATATTATAAAACAATGATCTGACACCTTTGACTCAGTGAACTCTTTCTTTGTAATACGGCTAAACGTATGTTATTCAATTAGTACAACTTTACATCCAATCCCGCACCATTCCATTAGACTTGGTATCATAGAAAGTTCGTATCCAAAAATTGCCAGTAGTAGGACGTTGGTTTTGTAACTTTTAGCGATACATGTGTTGCAGTAAAAAATAAGTGCGGAGATCAGATCTTTCCGTATTTCTGCACCCCCGATATGGTTGAAGAACGACCTTTTGCAGCAAATTGGATGGGGGATTTTAAGATTATGGATAGACCGTGGGTGGTAAATTGAATTATCAGCATGGTTAGTTGTCCTAGAAACATGTAGAAACCGACCACACGTTGGTTGTAGGACATGGTGGATTGAATGCTAAAACAACAAGAAAAAGAAAGAATGGACATGAGGTTAAGGAGTGATCATGATTCCAGTTTCCTAAATTTTGTGGCAACGAACATTATAACCACAAAAAGGTGCATATTATAATGACTTTTACTGAAGCTACAAGGGGGAGGGGGAAATAACTTCAAGCTACAAAGTTATACCTTTCTTACACTGTATACCTATCCAATAACAACCCTTAAATTAAAGCTAATGGTAGCTATTTTAATTCAAATACATTTAAGACCCTTTAACGATCACAAGTGTCTAGGATAACCTAGTGTTAACCAAGATCGAAATATTGTTTGTGGACACCCCCCCCCCCCCCCCCCCCCCCCCCCCACACTCAGTTTGTGGCAAATTAATTGGTTGATTGAAGCAGTGGCAAATTATATATTTAAAGTTAGTTTCAATAAGACTAGTCTACCTTCGCTTCCTTTGGTTAGTTTCATTAACTTTTTTCCGTTTAATTTTTTAGAATACTGATGTCTGGATTGGAGTTCTTAGCATGTTTTTAATTCTTCTCCAGATTGTAATTTTTATTTACCTCTACTAACAATTTTATTATTCAGAGAGTGTAGTCAGAGACTCGACTTAGAGTTATTTTGATGTCTTATATATTATCCTTGATTGATCATCACGTATAGAAGTTCACGTTATGGAGTGAAATATTGTTGAAGACCAAATACCCCCCGCCTATTTTCATTTGTGTTGAAGTGGCTGCTACGGACTCCAGTATACAAGCTCAGATGAATAGGCACGTAGCACAAGGCTGAACAACATCTAAAACTAAATGTATATGTATACAACTTCTGGATTCGAACACATCTACATGATTACTTCTAAGAGTCAAATATGTCATCTACTGTAAAGTATTATAAATCACATTATTATACAATACTCTCATACAATTCTGTGAACCCTTGCAGTTACATTCGTGTTTATCTACTAGTATCCTCTACATACCATTATTATAGTATATAGAAGCTTGTAGAACTTTGTAGAACTTTTACCTCATTATGTATTTGTGGCAACCAAATATTCTTCAATAAAATATATATTACTTCAAGAATTAATCAATTAGAGAAAATATTTAAAATTCATATCAATGATAGACCTTACAAAGTTGTTTGATTAAAGTCAATTAATTCTTTTTGTTTCTTTATATTTTATCTTACAGAACCATCCATTTTTACTATTAATCATTTGTAAATCTACGAAAATAATCTATTAAATATATTAACTAGAATCTTTGGTTATTTTATAATAACATTTATGCCGACAACTTTGTCACTTGATTTTTAACCAATTCACAAACCTTGTCAATGTTTTTTGAATTAAAGTGAGTGAATTCATATTTACGATCACACAAAGCCATCTTCATGTTTTTCCATTGTTGTAATTCAAAATCTTCTTCAATTTCAGTTAATTTACCATCCTTGACCGTTGGCTTCTTGTATTTGAGTCCACCATAGATTCTATATTTTAATACTGCCTTTTCCTTATCGTAAAGATCATCTCGATCCATAAGTGTGAGTGGGTCTAACTTTGGATAATTGCAATGGATGGTGAAAAGTGGGAGTCCATCTTCACCAAAATCTTCACGAGAAACCTTCTTTAGAAGATCAACTTGTTCTTGCATCCCCATATTTTTCCCGCGAAGTGGAGCAACCGCCTTCTTTTGAAATAATTCATAGTCGAGAAGTGGATCCTTTTGACCCATAGCAACCCCTTGGAATTTATTATCCAGATCAGCATATCCAAAAGTCTTGATAAAAGATTTCACTTGATAATATTTTTCACCCGCAACATGTGCTGCAGCGGGGAAAGTGTCCTTATCCCCCTCACCTTGTTCCCCAAGAGAGAGAAGCTTGTAGTAGATCTTGGGTCCATAGATGTTGTAATAGAGAGACAAAAGAAGTGTCTTCGAATGGGTAGCCTTGTTGATAAGCAATTGACCCGATTCAGAGGACAAGTCTGAAATGGCCCCTTCAAGATCATGGTATGGAACTTGATCCACATCTTCATCTGTGAGTTTAATCTTGGGGTCCATTGGATATCTGTTGTATCGAGAACGTGTTTTCTCATCCACTTTCACTCCAGCAACTTCATAGAAATCAGGAGCAATTGTTCTTTCCCAATAATCGGGCCAAGTCACCATTCCATAATCCTTGAACAATTGACTGGCAAACAATGGCTCAGGGGACTTGACAAGGATGTTGTCTGCATCGACAAGAAGAATGTTTTGGAAAGAAGAAACCATGAGAGCTAACGATTTGAATTGATAATTGGCAAGTTTATTGCCCCATTCCAACATCACTGAAGGTCCAAGGACGTCGGGGACCACGACACATCTTGCGTTGAGCTTGGGCAACAATTCAGAGCAATAATGGATTTCCTTCTCATAGTCGTCATACTTGGGAAGCACCACTTCTACAGGTAATTTACAACCGGTATCACGAATAGAAAGCACCGAAAGATATGCCAACCACGAGAACTTGCCACCACCAACAAGCACTATTCCCGAGGTTTCTGGATGGTACACCACCTTGGTGAGTTCTGGGAGGTCGTTAAGGACTTGCTTATGTTTCTGTTGTAATTCTTTGATTGTTTCCTTTGAGATCGTGGCCCGATTGGCCAAATTTTGCTTTGTTTTGACGCCATCCTTGGGGGCGTCTTTGCGATACTCAATGGCCGTTTCCACACTGGGGAGCTCTGGCTTGTTTGCATTCAACACCACAAACAAATCAGCCCAAAATTGATGATGTGGCTTGGCCTTATATCCTATAATGTCTGGTTTGGGCACCAAGACCGGTTGATCTGTGCTGAACAACGGACTGTACAGATGGGACGACGTTGAAAGGCGGTACGTGGTGAACACAAGCACTATGAACACCGCACCTAGGATGGAGCGCCATATCCCACGGGTGACGCTGATCATTTAGTTGCAGAAAATATGACTGTTAATGGTTGTGTTTGTACTTTAAACATGTACTCAATTTTTTTTTCTTTCTTTCGCGTGTTTTGCTAAAAATGTGCAACGGGTTATGGGGTGGGCTCGGGCTTCGAACCGGGAACACAATGGAGTTACAAACGCGATTTTTTTAACAGGCGATTTGATAATTGATAAGTGCAGTACAAGATGAGAGACTGAGGGGTATATATCTATTTAATAAAGTAGGGTACTGGAACCATGTCGTATAATGGTATAGGACTTCAAACAGCGAGAGGGACTGGGACTTCAGGACATGTTCAAAGAAATAATGCATCTATTAAGGATTCCACTCATACTGATGCTTCTGGTGGAGGGTTGTATAAAGCCAGACAATTGAAGAAACAACAACAGGAACAGAAATCACAACGAGAACAATTGGGACGTGCAAAAGATCTTCAACTTCAAGAACATGCGGTACGACGAGCAATCGAGGTCCGATGCATGGAACTTCGAGATGAATTAGAGGATGAAGAATTGGATGAAAGTGAGATTGAAACTAGAATATCCCAGTTACGTGAGAAACTTGAGCGGGAATCTACAAGAGATCGAAGTCCAACTAGAAATTTGAAAGAAGAAGTAAAGGAGGAAGAAGATCAAGAGACCAAAATTAAAGAGGTGAATGATAGATATGAGTACAAGTCACGATATGAAACCAAGAGAGGTAGGTAGAATTTACTAAAAAGCCAAGAGAATTGGAAAAGAATACACCACAAAGCAATAATAAGAATAATATTATAATAAGTTCTTGACTAGAAAGTACCACATTGTCCCTTTAAAGTGGCGCAAACAGGAAATAATAAAAAATGAGAATGAGAACTTTTTTGTTTTACAGCCAAAAAAGGGGTAGGAATATATTTTACAGCCAAAAATGGGTTAAAAAGTTCAAATGTTTAGTTGTAGAGTAATTATATCGATGGTTTATGTATATTTAACGCTATATAATGAATTAACATAAAGTGGTAGTTATTCTGTTTGTATTGAAGTGGAGATAGGGTTAGGAGTGATAGGATTGGAATCAGTGGAGACATGTTCACTAGTGACATGTTCAGTAGAGACATGACCAGTGAAGCCATGTTCAGTAGAGACTTGTTCACCAGAGACATGACTAGTAGAGACAGGATCAGTAGAAATATCCTCAGAAGGAGCAGCCTCAGTAGAAACAACCCCACTAGAAATCTCACTAGACAGAGGTTCAGTAATAGATTCAATAGGAATACGTTGTTCAACCTTCCCTTCTTTAATATAGTCATTCGTACCCTCTCTATCAACCACCTGTTCCTTTTCAACTGTCTCCTTATCATTTTCATCCTCCTCCTCATTCTCCTCCTCAATTGTACTAATTTCAGTCACAGATGGTGGCGGACTAACAACAACAGACTCTTCTTCCTCCAAAGGCTCAGAAGCCACCAGGGCATCCCTTTCATTCTCAACATGGGTAGGAACATCAAAAGTAAATTCTTCAGAAGATATATCATCATCCAAACTCTCTTGCTTCTCTTCAACTTCCTGACGAGTAACCTCCCACAAGTCTTCAATAACCATATCGAATCTCGGACTTGTTTCCACTGGGGGTGCTTCCTTTATGGCCTTCGGTAATTTCTTTCCTCTTGGTCCCTTGGCTCGTCCCTTTCTCACATCCTTCGGAGGCTCTTCATTCTTCTCTACACCCCCCACGGTTGTCTCATCCTCTTCTTCTACCTTTTCTTCATCTTCTCCACCAGCTAGCATTGCTGGGTTAACCATCCCTGGCATGGCAATCCCACGTCCCATCATGCCTTGCAAACTTTGGGCAAACTTGGCCCGGTTATCAGAAAGCTTGGAAGGTCTCTTGGGAATGGAAGGAGAGCTGGAACCGGACCCACTCTCGTCAATCTCCTTGACTTCACGTCTAGGGATACTTGGTAATGGTTTCGATTGTTGACTGAACATTTCTTGGAAAGCAGCAATCTTTGAAGAAAGTTTCTTTGGCTTTGGAGGTGGAGGTTTACTTTTGGTTGTTGGTACATCAGATCCTGAAGCACCAGATGAAATAGATCCTTCACTAACAACTTTAGCTGGTCTTGGAGGTCTTCTTGGAATTGTTGGGGGTTTCACAACAGAACCTTCAGAACTCTGCGGATCCTTTTCTGGAACAGCTGGTGGGGTAACAGAATTACTTGGGATATCCTTGGCAGGTGTGTCCACTTTATCATCTTCTTGTTTGTTCTCTTCCTTTTCCTCCCGTTCTTGCAGAACAGTTTCCAAATCATCATCAAAGCTAGAAGAGTCTGAAATCGGACCTCCTTCCTCTTCAAATGTCTTGAAAGTTACCTTGGTGTCACTGTTTCCCGGAGTCTTGTCCCCATCTCCTTCTTCTCCATCACTGTGCTCAGAATTGAGTTTACCGGCATTGACACTTCCAATGGACGTCTGTGTTTCATCCTTGGTTGTTTCGTTGGCTGGTAAAAGACTTACCGGTGATTCATCGGAACTGGTCACATCATCCACCTCCCCCTTTGTTGGACGTTTAGGAATCTGTGGCAAGCTTTTATTCATACTATCCACCTTCATTGGTCTCACAATCGGTTCATCCACAATTTCCTTGGTCTCATCTTTTTTCTCTTCCTCGCCTTCTTCCTCCTCCTCCTCCCTGATAAGATCATCATTCCGAGTAGGATCCCCTCCTACAGGTGTGGTCACAATCGATACATCTGAAGACATGGCATAATCATTTGTACCCACACTGAATGTCGGGGATTCATTTTCTATTGCGTTGCGTTTCTTTGAAGGTCTGAACGGGACGATTGGCTCGGCAAGGATCGATGAAACTTCATCTAACCGGTCAAGTGAGCCCAAGGTAGATGGAGTGGGTGCTGGTTGGGGCACGCGGGTGCTTGTACTAGGAGTTCTTTCAGGGGTACGCGCCTCAATAGAAGGCTCTGGAAGTTCATCCAATGGCGTCACCCCGTCCTGTTGTGACTTCCCAGACCCATTCCCTCCAAAGGGAACCTCCGAAAGATCTACAGATGGCAGGGGGAAATCGTTTACCCCTCTACCTCTTGGACGTGGAGGTGTCTCAAACGAAGAGTTTGTGGTTGCTATTAATTGTTGTTTCTGTGGTCTTGCCGGTATGCTGGGGATAATTGTCAGACCAGACTTCCCCACCAATTCAGGAATACCTTCCTTCTTCTCATCTTCCTCGTCCTTCTTCTCAGTCTCCTTCTCAGTATCATCCTTGGTCTCCTTTTCTGGCACTGGTGGTGGTGTATCCTCCTCCTCCTTCTCCTTCTCCACTACCTCCTTCTGATTCTTGCTTACATCAGCAACTTCAGGGGTCAATTCCTCCCCATCAATTCCTTTCAACTTTCTCTTTGGACGACTTGGAATAGTAGGAATCTCTCTATTCTGATTCTCACTACCAATATCACTCATCATGTATACAATCTATACCTTAATATTCTATATAATCTTTCCTACTTCTCCACGTCACGCTCTAATTTCTTTCGCATTCTTTCCTCCTTGTTGTTTTTGTTTGTACACTCCTTCATAGGAGCACCACATTCCACCTCCACCAATTACCCTAAACACACCCCCCAAAGTCTCTACAACCACTTCCTCTACATTACAACCCTATTATGATTATGTACCTTTACATCTAAACATTATTCTACCTAAGAGTAGTTCAATCTGAAAATATCGTTGAACACGTAGTAAGAGTTTCCATCAGGAATCAAGTGGAAAACTTGAGAGTAACGTTGAGCATTTTGTTCATCATCAATGACCAATTCACCAGTAACCATCACCAAGATGTCTCCGTTTGGAGAGCCTGGTTGGGCGTCCAAAGTGGAGATTCTGTGGGCAACCTTGGCAAATGGCAAGGAAACAAGCTTTTCAACAATGTCCTTGGCCCCTTGCAATTGAGAGGTTTCAAAAGTCAACATGGATTGATCTCTGTAAAGGTTACCCAATTGGGTTCTGTCAGAGTCGAATTGTTGGTAGTAGAAGTTACAGAATTCGGAAGCAACGGTGTTAAAATCGACTAGAAAAAAATTGTTAGTAATAGAAATTTGAATACATAGCACCACCCCAGTTTCATTGTAGGAGAGTAAGACGTTTCGCCCAGTCTGCCAAGCCCCTGCTCGGGGAGGTCCACCAGTAGAGCGACTCGCAAACCCCGCAGGGAGTCGATGAAGGCTACCCCCGTGGGACTCTAGGACGCTCCGCTGGGCCCCTGCTCGGGGAGAGCCACTGGCGTGGTGCCTGCCTCCTCTCCGAGGAGTTCTGTGACTTCCTCGGTAGAGGAACAAGGCCCCCACGGCTAGTGGCCCACGGAGTGCCAGCGGAGCGGCTTGCACACCCGATAGGGGGGCGACTCCTCTCTTCCCTGTGGGACTCTAGGACGCTCCGCTGGGCCCCTACTCGGGGAGAGCCACTGGCGTGGGGCCCTGGCTCCTCTTCGAGGAGTTCTGTGACTTTCTCGGTAGAGGAACAAGGCCTCCACGGCTAGTGGCCCACGGAGTGCCAGCGGAGCGGCTTCCACCTCCCAGGAGGGTTGGAAGTGGCTGTCCTGTCCCTATGGCCCAGCTAGTGCCCCTCTCAACCACGGGATCAAACCAGTCCACGGAGACCCCTTCCTCCATTGGATTCATACCTCGATCCAATGGATCGTCTCAACTCCCTCCTCCGCAGTCACCGTCTCACTCGCACTTTGTCTCAATGCTCGCCTCTCCAACCCCGGCTCCTGCTTTCTCCTAGTCTCACGCGCCCTTCACCGGCACACACCCCTATTCCATCTACATACCAGACATCTTTATGATTGATTAATGATTTATTTAAAATGTATATATCGATTCAAATCTCTCATGTTGCCAATTCTGTGCTGTAAAAAAAGAGAAAATAAAAGAAATCTCAAATTCGCACGGTCCGAAGATTACGCGCGGAGCGCGTAAACGTGAGACTAACACATACCCCTTGATATGTGTAGTACAGTTGTTCTATTCAATTCCATACCATATTTTATTGGTTGTAGTCTACCAGGTCTTATGACTACCTAGTGATCCTCTATCTCTCCGTATCTCTCCTCTATTCTCTTTTCTTTTTTTTTTGTTGTCTACGACATTTGTGAGTAATCCTTTAAAATTCCCTTCATATGTGTATTTGTAACCTTCCCACGTCTGGCCTTCTTTTGTTTCTTTTCCTGTTGTGGCTGTTTCTTCTTAAGAAGCATAGGATCGGCCCCCGTGGGCTTCAAACTATGATCGATCAATGCTTGATAAAGATTATCCTGATCAGGTATACGAACATCACTCCACATACTACAGAATTCTTGGTCAATAAGTCCCATTTCTCCTCCTAAATTGGCCCAGATCAACCGAGGAGTGTTCTCCTTCTTGGTCTTAAGCACCAAGATCTTGTGTTGTTCCTCCAATTCATCAATGGCCTCAAGACATCCAGACCATCCATCTCGAAGTTCCTTGACTGCCACCCCTTTGAACGTTGGTTGTGATCGGAGGAAACTTAAAAGATCAGCTGAACTTCGAATGTTATGTAAGGACACATACTCCAACGTCCGTGCAGTTTCATTATATTTGATTCGATCAATTTCTTTTAATAATGGTAAAAGGGTTTGATTGATATCAAATGATAAATAATCTTGTAATTTCTTCACCGGGATTGGTGAATCATGTTGCTTGACATACTCCACTGCAAGATGGAGTTGAGTGGAAAGATGTGAGCCCGATATTTGTCCATTGGCCGCCTTGTGACGTTTGAATGCATCGGTGACAGAGTCGCCACTTCCAGCGCCTCCAGAACCTCCAGAACCAGAACCAGCACCTCGTTTCCCACCCACTCCCAGTTGTGTCAGTTTCACGGGTGAAACTGCAGGTGCTGGCTTCGGTGGAGGTACTACTCGACGTGGTACCACCACAGAAGGACCACTTCTAATCTTATTTTTAAATGCTGAGAGTTGTGCAGACAAGTCCGACATCACTGCTTGATTGATTCTTGTTTCTACTACGTGGTATTATCCTATGAAGCTGTCCCCAGGTACAGCACCGCCAAAAAAAAAAAAAGTTCTAGTCTAACCCTTGGGGCTCTCCCTTTATCGCCGTCTTCTCACATACCTAAAAAAGTTGATCCTGGGGGACCCAGTGCGGGTGTACGGGTTTTACCCGCAGCGCACGACCCCGCGACACTATAAAAGGAACCGCACTCCCTCTTTAAAAAATTCCATTTTTACTTTTCCTTTTTCTTTTTTTTCTCTACGAACTTCTTGGCGATTCTCTAGCCGCTAGATAGCGTTAACTACTGCTATGGGCTAGAGGAGCACGCCACGGTTTTCTAGATAAACGTTTCCATTTCGATGGAAATAGCCAGCTCTAAAACCATCGCCGTTCGAGGTCGCCGTTTATTCTGGCTGATCCATGAAATGGTGATGACCTGAAGTCTGGAACATCTTGTAGAGAGTAGATATGAACCATTGTAGGTGTAGTGGATAACTTTGACCGACAGCCCTAGGGCTGGGGGCAGTGTCAACCATGAAGAAACTAGTTTGAGGGTGTTGTCTAGCAGTCCTCGGCGTGCAGATAGGACGACCACAAAGAGCAGTCCACTAAGAGACCTGGGGCCCCTGTCCGGGTAGAGCCACTGAATGGAGCCTAGTTTCTCCTTGAGGAGACCTTGGAACAGCATTCCTCGCTAGAGGAACAAGGCCCCCACGGCTAGTGGCCCACGGAGTGCCAGCGGAGCGGCTTACAGACCCTGTAGGGCAGCTACATCCAGCTTACGGGACATGACAGACGCTCCGCTGGCCCCTGCTCGGGGAGAGCCACTGGCGTGGGGCCTGGCTCCTCTTCGAGGAGTTTCCAAGTAGCTCTTTCCTCGCTAGAGGAACAAGGCCCCCAGGGCTAGTGGCCCACCAGCGGAGCGGCTTACAGACCCCGTAGGGCTGGTACATCCAACCGTACGAGGACTGTTAAGACGCTCCACTGGGCCCCTACTACAGACGTGGAGCCTTGTGCCCTGCACTGCCAATCAGAGACTCGTTAAGTTCCGTAAGAACTCCGACATTAGTCTGTATGACGGCGTGGGGCGCCACTATACTGCTACGATAGGTTTACAAGCTTAAGACTTCAATAATAATAATAATAATAATACATTTCCAATTGTATGACCTAGATATATAATGTAGACTCTTCCCAATCGACTTGGGAGGGCAAAGGGGATCTCTCCTAAGGAGAAGACTCAATGCGCAATACTTTCCCCATGAGCCACAAACTCAAGGGGGAAGAACAGTCTGAACTTCTTGGGTGCAAAAAAGGGAGTGGGGTCGGTGGAGTAGCGAAAGAGAGATAGTCACTTCTTAGAAGCGCTAATGGACACCAATGGCCCATATCTCTATAGCTCAGGTTGATCATCCTCTTCGGCAGATTGTCATCCACCGCACGGACTCACGTACCTGGAGGATCCTCTGACGAGGAAGAGCTGGTTGGCTTCAAGAATTCTCCTCGAAGAGGAGCCAGGCCCCATGCAGTGGCTCTCCCCGAGTAGGGGCCAGCGGAGCGTCTTAACTTTCCCCGTACTGTTGGATGTACCTGCCCTACGGGGTCTGTAAGCCGCTCCGCTGGCACTCCGTGGGCCACTAGCCGTGGGGGCCTTGTTCCTCTAGCGAGGACGCAGCTGCTTGGAAACTCCTCGAAGAGGAGCCAGGCCCCCACGGCAGTGGCTCTCCCCGAGTAGGGGCCCAGCGGAGCGACTTACAGACCCCCGTAAGGCACTGTGTATCCGTTCCTCTAACCAGTAACTAGTTTCCTCGCAGTGCAGAGGAACTCTTGATACTGGGGGAACCCCAGGGGTCTAAGAAGTTATGGCTCGAAGATAATTCTCACCAATTCTTCCTCTACGTACACGATCACGTCTTGTGTTATATTCATTCATGTCCAAGATTTTATCCTGTAGGATGCGTTGAGCCAAACGAGCACCATGACGAGTCTTGAGGTCAATCTTGGCGGCCCACAGGAGATTCTTGTACATGCCGGAGTCGGTCAAGTCAATGACAAGATCCTGTGGACGAAGGGAATCCGTCGAGGAATGGTCCCAATCCAACGAATCAAGGTCAGAGAGGTAAGACATTCTATCGAAATCAGACTCTTCATCCGAAGTGGCGAGGTGGTTGGCTTCAAGCAAGTTGGCAAGAAGCTCTTGAACAGATGTTTTGGTGATCCAAATCATCAGAGAAAGGTTGAGATATTTAAGGGAATTCATCTGGAACGCGGTGTTTGGAGGTGAATGAATTGAGGAGATGGCCTTCAAGAGTTCATTTTCTTGAAGTCTGGCCAAATATTTGGTGTTGATGGACTTGAGGTTGAGGTCGCTAAGATATACCTTCCCATCACCCTTGTGGATGTACAGGAGGTCTACGATTGCACGAGGAAGCGGGGGGAGTAAGGAATTGTATTTCCTTACTGGGGAAGTCTGTTGGAATGAATAAATAGATGAAGCTGAGGATGTTGGGGGTGGGAAATTGGATAAGGGAGGAGGATTGATTTTGGAATAATTGTTCCCATAAAGGTAATGAGAGACCGAGGGAACCGTAGCAGAAGCTGAGGCTTTATTGGCGGCGGTTGAAGTTGCAGTTGTATGGCCACTCCAAATGGACTCCCGATCGGTTTTCACCTCCTCTTGGGCCAACCGGTTGACCGTGTAAACCAACTCCTTTGGGTAATTGTTCATAAGATCAAACGTTTGATACTTGTAGGCCATCTTTGGGTTGATTTCGTAATCCACCGAAAGCAGAAGATTGGCCAAATTGATGGAGGTCAAGTTGGGACAAAGATTGAGGGTGTGGAGAATGTACCCGATGGGTATATCCTTGGAGGAGGAGTATGAGAGGAGGAATTTGTTCATTGAAGGGTGGGGTGATTGAATGAGTCTTCTTGAGGAGGTGGTGGAAGGAGAAGGAGAAGAAGGAGAAGGGTTGGAAGAAGTTGTCGAAGACGAATTTCTCACATTCCCATCTCTTATCGATCTCTGTCTTTTATAATCATTCATTCTTCTTTGTCTCTTTCTAGACTTGAAATATTTCGTCAATTGACGGATTTTATTGGTCGAAGTCATTGAATTTATTGATTGGAAAGAAGTTTCTGATTGATTTGAATTGGTCAGTATCATTGAATTTGAATGGATTTTAGTCAAGGATGGATGGGATGTATAGATTGGGTTCGTTTTGAATTTCCAATCTCTCCATGAAGCTTGAGGTGAAAGTGTAGGAGAATTAGATTGAATTGAAATTGATGATGATAAAGGTATGGTTGCAAGGTCACGTGGCGCCGCCTGGTGCACGTGCGCGTGCACGTGATCTGCTGGCGCCGCCACAACGGGTTCTCGAGGATTTCCTGCATGTGCGGCCCCCATATTAAAATTGGCAACACCACCACCACCGTTATTTTGTACTGGTAAATCTCTTTCAATTTGTTGAGGTAATCTTCTTCTTGGTTCTTCTTCAATACCAAAATTACTTGGTTTTATACCTGATAAATCAATTTCTTTAACAAATCTCCCAACTTCTGAATTTAATCTTAAATATGTCACAAATTGAGCAAATTTGTAGGTTGAAGTAAATGTAAGCGAGCGATAAAAAAAGGGTTTAACCAATTGATAAAATTGTTTAGATACCACCAAACAACATTTATAATCATCCATATCATCAATCAATTCAAAAATGTATTCCAAGATTTCGATGGGGAGATTTTTGAGTTGGATTGGTTGGGTTGATTGAATGGATGTTTTTAGGATTGAGGTTGAAGAAGGGGTGGTTGTATTGGTGTTTTGGATATTATTAATATTATTATTATTTATTCGCATGGATAGAATGGAAGTTCTACGCGAAACATCCCCCAACAAAGATTTATACTTCATTTTGAATTTTGATTTGGTGTTGTTGGCGGATTGGGCCGCGGCTACTGTGGCCGCGGCCATTTTGGCTAGATCATTTTGGGAGATTGGGACCAAGGAATGGGTACGATAATCATAACGGGAATGAGGGTTGAGTAAAGATCGATAAGGGGGAAGATAAGAATGGAAATCTAAACCAGTTGTACTTACAAGGGATGAATCAACCATGAGCAGGTAAGCAGGTAGAAGTAACAGTCAGGTAGAATTGGGCCGGTAGGAGTGGTCAGGTAGAAGTGGAGCCGGTAGAAGTGGTCAGGCAGTCAGGAAGTCAGGTAGTCAGACAGTCAGTCAGTCAACAGGAGTAGGAGTAACAATCACCAATTGTCTCTAAGGGTTAAATAGCCACAAAGTAAATATTAAATAAATATAAATAGAATAAATAAAAAATAAAAAGAGGCTAAAATAAAAAAAAAACGATGATCGATTAGGGGGCGGATAGGAAATTGTGAGCGATCGTGTGGGAAAGAGATTGAGAATTGTGGGGGAGGGGCTAGCGAATCGCCGGTAAAAAAGATTATAGGGGGGGAGGCAGGCAAAAATAATAATTTGAAATATAGGGGGGGAGCAAAACGGGCTGTGTGCAGGGGAGGGGGGCTGATAGGGAGAGATGAAGGAAGGAACAATGAGATTAAAACAGCCGTTCGGGGGGGGGGGGGGGAGACGAGAAGGAGATGAGTAGGAGAGTAGTAGTAGTAGTAGTAGGAGTAGAAAGAACCAGTCACAATTGGTAGGTGAATTAAATTTATATACGTTAATGGGAGTAGATGTCGTGTGAGGAAAGGGAGATAAAGGGGGGGGAGAAAGGGGAGAAAGGGGTAAAAGGTAAGACATGGGACGACATTTGGGTTAGTAGAAAAAAAAAAAAAAAATTACAAAAAAAGATGAATGTCGCAATCATGATCTGTACAGGACAAAGCAAGGGAGGTAGGTGCAGGAGAAACAAAAAAAAGATGAATGTCGCAATCATGATATGTGCAGGTCAGAGCAAGGGAGGTAGGTGCAGGAGAAAAAAAGAGAAGGAGAACGAGGAAGAGGAGAGGGGGGGGGGGGGGGGTCGCCGGCACGTGACCGCGCACGTTGGGTCGAGCGACAAAGGAAAAAGGCGAGAGAAGGAAGAGAGCGACGGGAGTATACAGGACACGCGCAGATAAGCAACAGGAAGCAGCACGATGCATGCAAGCTTAACTAACAGTTTAATCTAAACTCAATGTTTAAACTGGAGAAGGGGAGTGCATGGTTGGTTGGAGGGGCAGAGAGGGAGAGGGAGGGAGAGAAGGGGGAGGGGGAGGGAGAGGGAGGGAAGCAGAGGGAGGCAGATGGAGCCAGAGGGAGGCAGAGGGAGAGGGAGAGGGAGAGGGAAAGGGCCACCCTACGGGGTTGATGAGCCGCTCCGCTGGCACTCCGTGGGCCACTAGCCGTGGGGGCCTTGTTCCTCTAGCGAGGAATTGGCGGTGAACCTCGAAAGTGAGAGGGTAGAGGAGCAGGCGGGAGGGGCCGCGGGAGATCTAGTAGACCTAACCTCGTGGACCACGGGGGAAGGCGAGGGTACGGCTGCGAAAGCCAACTGGATGAAGAACGACCTTGCCACCCTCTCCACTCCTTGACTTCCTGCCGCGAGGTGTCTACAGAGGCCCTCCAATGGACCTTCCTCGTCAGAGGAACAGGGGCCACCACGGCTAGTGGCCCACGGAGTGCCAGCGGAGCGGCTTACAGACCCCTCGGGGAACACAAATAGCCACAGATCTCTCGTCCCCGACGGGGCCTGTAAGCCGCTCCGCTGGCACTCCGTGGGCCACTAGCCGTGGGGGCTCCTGTTCCTCTGACGAGGAAGGAGCTGCTTGGGAAACTCCTCGAAGAGGAGCCAGGCCCCACGCCAGTGGCTCCCCCCGAGTAGGGGCCCAGCGGAGCGGCTTGCTATCCCCGTAGAGTGGCGCCTACTCCTTGCCGGAACCTCCGGAGTTGCCGGTGCATTCGCGCTGCCATGTCGTACCATCAAGCCAGTTGCTAGCCACCAAGAGCTTCGATCGGATGAGTTCCTCGAGAATGGGACTACACCTCATGCACCCTGTGGCCGTCCATCGAGGGGCGGGCCAGAGTAATGGGCCAACGTGGAGAGAGAGAAAGGGAGAGAGGGAGACGGAGAGAGAGAGGGAGAGAGGGAGAGAGGAGAGGGAGAGGGAGGGATACCCTACGGGGTTTGGATTGTACCCCGAGGAGAAACAAAGACAGTAGCTGCCAGGTTTAGGGAGCTGTTCGGTAATTCGTCGTCTCTCCGGCAATTGAACCGCTCGACACCAGACGGCACAACACCGAGGAAAGCTAAAGGAAAGGGGCCACCCCTAGACGGATGTCTCGATTGGGACAGGGGACAGGGAGAGGGGGGCGAATCACTTTGTAGACCACAGAAGATGTCTGCACGCACGAGCCGTCACTGCAGACAGACCCGCTATGTAAATTTTTTTTTTTTTTTCCAATTCCGTTTTCCTATTGAAGAAAGTTTAAAATGTCTCCGTTCAAGGGTCCTGATTCCCTATCGGGTCGGAGATTTTTGGTATTTATTTTATATGCGCGAACGACGCATCTGACGGAGTTAGCGTGGGTAAACTCAAAGCCGGCGGGTAGTGGAGGGGGAGACAGAAGCGCGAGAGGTTCCAGGGAGGTATGGAGACAATGGGACAGGGACGGCTAATTTAGGGTTCGAGATATCCATTTACATGATGTAGGAGGTTCAATCAGTAGGGTTTCAGATAAGTGGTGGGGCAGGAGGGAGAGGCAGAGCGAGGGGAGAGAGGCAGAGGGAGAGAGGAGAGGGAGAGGGAGAGAGGGGGGGACAGGATGCGGCTGGAGACAGTGATGACAGCGCAGTAGCAACGGCAATGGGTGTTGCTCCTATTTTTGGTGGATGTGATGCGTCCGATCAACACAGGATGGGTGTATGCGAGGGCATGCAGAGCGATGATGGAGCTATAGACTAGGGCGTCAGGTGGCGTGGACCCTTTGTTAAGTGGAGGGGGATAGGGAGAGGGAGAAAGGGAGAGGGAGAGAGGGAGAAAGGGTGAGGGAGAGAGGGAGGGAGAGGGAGAGGAGGGAGAGGAAGACGATGAGGAAGACGATGAGGAAGAGGAAGAGAGATCGAAAAAAAATAAACAACACATCTACCAATCAACACTCAGGAGTTGATGTTGACTGGTCGTCGAGGGGTTTTGTGACGTTGCGGGGTTATAGAGAAGACAGCAAAGGAAAAAGTCCGCCAGCTAACGCACGAGCGTGTGCGCATGCGGACGCGCGCGCATGGAATTTGCCCGCAATAGACTTTTATTTTTCTGCAGGAGCTTATTCTTATCCTTATGTGGCCGTTTAGACGCACGAAAAAGCGTTGGAGGGTATTTACGTTAGGCGAGACACTTGCGGATCTTTCGAATAGGGTTGGAGGGTCTAAGGTAAGCTCGACCAGTTTGCCGTTGGAAGGATTAGAAGCGAGGTGCAGCCAGGAGACCGAGTGCTGGGACAGCTGGGACAGCTGGCGGGGACGCGAGGAGGAGGAGCGAGGAGGAGCGACGGCGCCGCAGGTAGAGGGACCCCCCGCGTGGTGGGCCCTGCAGGGCCGGTGAGAGACGCTCCGCTGGGGGGCAGCACTCCGTGGGCCACTAGCCGTGGAGGCTCCTGTTCCTCTGACGATGAAATCCACGGGTCAATGCACCCCGGACCCGCTTTGCAGACGCAGTCCGCCGTGTCGTCGTGGCAGCATGTCCTCCGTGTTGTCACCGTCTTTGCTGTTGACAGCACCCGTCCGTCCGTCCATCCGGGGGGCGCACACGCGCCCCTCCTTAGTGCTGATACCCGGAGGACGAGGACGAGGAGGAGGAGGTGCCCTGCTCCCCGGTGGACAAGGGACCACGCGGAGGTGGTGGCGGAACCCGTCGGAATGCCGCCGCCGTCACCGCCGCCGCCGCTGCCTACCCTGGGCTCTTCGACGTCCCCAGCCTCGAGCACATAACCGGTGCTGAACTTTAGATGCTGGCCATGGCTATCCTGAAGCTTGCACCGGCGGGTGCAGGCCATGCATGAGCCCTCTTCCCCTTCTAGTCTCCATCTATTTTCTCCTTTACCTCTTTGGTGCGTCGTACCTGCTGCATGGATACTCGCGAGGAAAAAAAATAAATTAAAACGAAAGAGAAAGTTTTTTTTTCCCAATTTTTATTTTTATTTTTCCCTTTATTAGCATTTATCCCCACAGCCTTGTGACGTAAATTAATATGCTGAGCATGTGCGGCGCCCCCTCACATCGGGAATGCCAATTTAAAAAAAATAAATTGCGAGGGATCAGGAGGGGAGCCAGTCCTTGCTGGCGGCAGCCGGCGAGGGCGGCAGTGCCCGAGTGGGCAGCACCCAGCTATAGAGAGAGCGAGAGAGAGCGAGAGCGAGAGCACCGACAGGACTGACGGGGCTGGCGCCAACGAGTACTTTTTCTCCCTTTTCTTCTAAACCTTAAACCTTTTTTTCAGTCGCCGCCCTTCTTTTGGGAATTTACGGAAATTCCTATCGGCACCCCTCAACTCTGGACCTGCATGAAGATACGCAGAAACACAAAAAGGGAGCGGCAGGGTGGGTGTGGGATTTGTGTCTATGAGGCAAACTTTGACTTTTTTTATCTATAAATCCCACGGAAGTGCCGCAAAGACGACGATTGGGGCCCCGCGTGAAGATTTGAATAGAAATTTTTTTTGACTTACTCTGAGACGAGTGAGAGAGAGAGAGAGAGAGAGCGAGCGAGCGAGCGAGCGTCCAGACCCCCACCCCCCCCAGTGCACGCCTCCCCCCTGTACCCCGTACTCCGTACCCTGTACCCCGCGCGACCCAGAACTCATAGCGAGACAGTCTCCCGAGTGATTGTGTGTAGCCATAGCCCATAGCACCCAGTCTTAGCCCGTGAGTGTCGCACCCACCTCTGTCCGCTGCGACTGCCACTGCGACTGCCACTGCTACCGCACCCCCACCCCCCGCGGCGTAACACTCTACCGAGGCTCCCTAATTATTCACACATACCAACTGGGAACGTTTGTCTTGCCACCCCTCCCTCGAGAACCGGTTCAGTCGTAACTCCCCCAATTCCGGGCACCCGCACCCCCCCCTTTTGCACCCCCTACCCGTTCACACCACAACATGACCCCCACGTCCAAGATCACCCCGTCGTACTACGGCTACGTCGGATCGACCAATGATGCGCTCCTTATCATCCAGGCGGTGATTGAGAAACAACTCGAACCGATCCCACGGCGACCACTTGAACGTGAGAGACCAAGCTTGATGAAATCCGGGAATGTGTTTGTGTTCATTGAGGAGCAATCAGGAATCAAACGATGGACCGATGGGATCGCATGGTCCCCCTCGAGAATCTTGGGAAGATTTCTTGTGTACCGCGAGTTGGATAAACACTCGTTGAATGAAAAGGATGACAAGAAAAAAAAGAAACGTAAGACGAGTTTTGACCAGGATCCTTTGGATTCAAAGCAATTGATGCCACCGGCCCAACAATTGTTACAACTGCTGGAACCGTACAATGACGACTTTAACAAGCAATTGGTTGGCTCCATGGTATCGTCATATGTGTTTAAGGACCAGGGCTTGATCAAGAAGACGTTGCTGTTGTCGGTTTCCGCCAGCACCGCCGCCGGAAGTGCCAGTTCCGGGGCCAGTTCCGCCCTCGGAATTGACCACCCCAAGGGCTCCTCCTCCTCACGACCTGGCCACCATCAGGGCGCCAATTCTGGCGGCGCCGGCGGCGCGCTGGCCGAGGACAAAATCACCATCCACCTCATTTCGTACTACAATGCCGACGACGTTCTCAATGGGAAACTCCATCGGCCGTCGGTGACGGACTTGAAGGACATGCACATCCCCAACGAGCTCTGGAGCGCCATCAAGGAGAGCTCACTCGGCGGCAAGATCCCGATCGAGGACGAGGCGTTCTACTTCCTCGACACCAACTACCAGCTCCAGAACATGTCGCTGTTGCTGCAACCGCCACTGGCGCAACAGGCTTGGGGTCAGCCCCAGCACCCTCACCAGGGACCCCACGGCCAATCACTGGTGCCTCCTCCGTCTGCGGCCCATGGCCAGCACCCACAACACCCACAACAACAACAGCACCACCTCCAGCAACAGCTCCCACAACACATCCTCCAGCAGGGGCTCTTCTTCTCCCAGGGAGGGAAGTACCCTGGCCAGGGCGGCGGCGGCGGCGGCGGCGGCAACCCCAACCACAACCCCATGCATCTTCTCCCCATGCCGCTTCCCCAGAAGGACGACGATTTGCAGCAGCCACCGCCCCCTCAACAGCAGCAGCAGCAGCAGCAGCAGCCACCACCACCCAACGAGTTGACCTTTATCAACCCGTTCACCGGCGCCATCCAGCCCCTGTCCAACGGACCCAACGGCTCGTCCTTGGTGGGCCACCGTGGGTCCGGGTCCGGGTCTGGGTCTGGTGGGTCCGGGCCTGGTTCTGGCCCCGGCTCTGGCGCTGGTGGTCCCGGCCCTGCCCCCAACTACGGGTCAGGACTCCCCTACTTCAGTAACTACTTGATCCCGCCACCACAGGCCCCCACCAACCTGTTCCTCGACAACCCAACGGGCTCGTCGGCGTCTGCGTCCGCCTCCAACGCGTCCCCCTACGCCAACTTCCAGCCGCCCCAACAGCAGCAACAGCAACAACAACAACAACAACAACAACAACAACAGCAGCACGCGTTCCCGCCGTTCCCCCTGCACTTCCAGCAGATGCTCCCGCAGCAGTACCAGACGCTGGGGGGCGGCGGCAATGGCGGCGGAGGACTCCCTGGCGGGCCCCCTGGTGGAATCCCCGCGGGGCCTCCTGGAGGCCCCAACTCGCACGCCTACCAACACGGCTCGATTCTGAACTCCAGCGAGTACTCCGTGGGCGGAAACTCCAACGGCTCGATCTCGTCGGTTGGGTCCACCGTGGTTGACGGCACCGGGAGCGGCGGCGGCGGCGGCGGCGGCAGCAGCGGTGGCAGCGGCTCCGTCTCGTCCCTCTCGGGCATAGCGCCGCCTCCATCGTCCTTGGGGAAGAAGCTCACACGCAACAGCATCGGCCACGGCAGCTGGTTCACCACCACCAACTCCAACAACCCTAACCCTGGCGGATACGTGGCACCCCCACCACCTCCGCTCCCACTTGGTCTGGGGCTTGGGGGCGACGGCTCCGGTAGTCTTCTCCACCACCACCACCACCACCACCAACACCACGCCGGAGCCGACGACTCCAACAACCAGGCGGCCTACGCGCCCAGCTCCAACTACAGCGGCGCCACCTAACCCCCCCCCCCTCTCCTGCCAGTGCTGACGCCCACCGCCGCCACCTGCCGCGTGTTTCAATTCTCCTCCTTCACTTTGGGACCACTTACATTCCACCGGAGTGCTACAAGAACGACACCACCACCACCACCGCAGGGACGGGCCATGGCCGGTGTCAGGGGGCCCCGGCCCTGGGGCCCCCGAACGGACTTAATTATCAAAAATGTATTTATTCTATGTACAAGCTATCTATGACCCGGACGCTAAGGCGACACATACACACACACACCACGTAGGCCCACGTAGACCACCCCCTCCTCTCCCTGAGCAGGGGGCCTCCAACCCCCACGGGGTGTGACAGCCGCTCCGCTGGCACTCCGTGGGCCACTGGCCGTGGAGGCCTTGCTCCTCTTCGAGGAGAGTGTGGCAACTTTAGTGTACACACGATGTTAGAGGAGCGGCGGGCGGCTCTCCCCGAGAAGGGACCAGCGGAGCGGCTTGTTGTACTCGCACGAGGCGGGTGAGAGGAGACTGGAGTGGTGGCCTCACAATCTTGCAACGCGATGTGGAGCGGGTGCTCCTTCTGGGAAAGTGTAGGGAGAGGCGTACGGAGGGTAAATGTTTTGACGCCCGTGCTTTCTGAACTATAGGCACGGGCACTTATTAGCAGGGCAGAGAGACCGTCCGACTGAGGGCAAGGCACAACACGGTGGTGCTTTCAGGCCAAGGCGGGTGCGAGATCCGACGAGAGGGGACGCCCGTACAGAGAGGAAGGAGAGGAGCGCAGAGAGGTGGACGGAGAAGAAGGAGAGGAGAGCAGAGGAGTCGAGGCAGAGACGTCGAGAGAGAGAGTACCTGGTAGGGGAGCACGATACACGCCGAGGGCCGCAGTCCCAGGTTGCCAAGGCCGTACCGATTGGAAGGAGCGCCTACCTGCGAGAGAAGAACAAAGAAGAGACCTTCCGCCCCTGGGGGTCCACACGGAGCATCCTCGAGAGAAAATGGCTGCGAACGTCTCCTCGTAGAGGAGCCAGGCCCCACGCCAGAGGCTCCCCCCGAGCAGGGGCCAGCGGAGCGTCTCCGTGCCCCGCAGGGAAGAGAGTAGTGCCACCCTACGGGGTGTGCAAGCCGCTCCGCTGGCACTCCGTGGGCCACTGGCCGTGGAGGCCTTCTTCCTCTGACGAGGAATCCCCACGTGAGGAGTCTCCTCGAAGAGGAGCCAGGCCCCACGCCAGTGGCTCCCCCCGAGCAGGGGCCAGCGGAGCGGCTTACCGACCCCGTAGGGCAGCCACTCACTTCCCTACGGGGTCTACAAGCCGCTCCGCTGGCACTCCGTGGGCCACTGGCCGTGGAGGCCTAGCTCCTCTACGAGGAGGTCGCGCGTGTCTCCTCGAGTGCCAGGGTCCATCCCTACACCAGGGGCCCCACCACCGCCAGCAGCACCTACACCCACAGTACCGCGCGGGAACAGCCCCCCCACAGGAACCACAAACAAGAGGACGCGCCGACACTCACACACAGAGAGGCAGAGAGACAGAGACACACACAGAGAGACAGTCACAGACAGTCACACAACCCCTACAATACTCTACAATGACCCCCTCTAAAGCCAATCTGTCCTCGCATCCACACCATCATCTACATCACATCGCCTTCATCAAGACGTGCCCTCCACAATCTCTGACAAGCTTAATTTGACCACAATAAACAAACACACGCATTTTAGGCTTCCCCTCAATTGACCCGACCAAATTTTTGACTTCTTCCTCTGCACCGACGGCAGTGCGAGTGCCAGTGCGTTTGTGTTTGTGTCTGCGATAGACTTTTGCGCTGTGCGCCGCCCAGCAATTGTTGGCGCGAGGGACCCTCCAGAAATTGGTACTCCTTATTGTTAGGGTTAGGGTTATAGTTGCCTTGACGTGGTTGAATCTGAGTCGTCGTGACAGGCCGCAAGACCAGCGGGCTCCCCCCCAGAGGGCCAGGACAGGGCAGGGCAGGACAGGACCCCCCCCCCCCCCCCCCGCCGCAGGGAGGGAGGGAGGGCCCACGGCCCCCCCGTAGTCGCTGTGCGAGCAATGACATGCGCTCCGGCGACGGGAATAACGCCCCGTCTGGGAAACCTCCATGCGCGCTCGATTTATAAGCACCGGCACCTTTTGGGAAGTTCTAGTCACCTCTCGCTCCGGTCCAGCCATTCTCTCTGCCTCGTGTCTATCATGGACAGGATTCAGCCGCAACGCAGCGGTGCTAATGTACAACGCTTATACGGCAGACCCGCACTAGCGGGACCCGCACCGGGCCTGCTCTTTGTCTTTGTTGTTGTTGTTGTTTGCACGTTGCCAACCGAACGGAGATACGCAAGTCCTCCCCAATAATTACCCGATCGGGCGCACAGGGGCCAGAAGTCAAACATTAGGGGGTTGTACATATTCACTGAAGCTTCAAGGGATACGAACAAAGTCTATTCCAGATCCACGTAGACGACCTTGTAGAATCCTAGTAGGGCGGTTTAGACGTGTAGAAGGGTGGCGGAGACTTTGAGACCCCGAGAGATTCCCCTCATCCTCTGCAGGTGGTCCACAGGTGGTCCACAGGTGACTCCCTCAACCACCTCGGTTCTATCATCCAGTGCCCCCGTGATCCCTCCCGCTGACATTCCACCAATCAAAGTCTAACCCACCCGTCAACCTGTCTGTCAATTTCCGCCTTCCTGTCTGTGTCACATGACGTCACCATTCCCACTGGCTGTGAAAGCCGTGCCCCACTGTCGCCGTTCGTGTCCCGCGATCAATCAACAAACTTCCCTCCTACTGCCAACTTCCACTCCCACGTCCACTCCCTCTGCCACCTCTACCACCTCTCCCTTTCTCCAACCTCACCCACTGCCAACTGTATCCCTCTACTCTTCCCTCTACTCTTTCCCAGGCGACGCCCGGGCTGCGAACCCGCTCGGGAATTGACTCCAGAGACGCTTACCAGGACCCTCCCTTCGCTCCCCCGCCTCCTCTCACTGATTCCTCTTTCCTGCTCGCCTCCACACCCCACTATATACCCCCAGAACCCCCGTAGGTACAGGACAACGTCCGCTCGGGCTTCCCCTACGGGGTGTGCAAGCCGCTCCGCTGGCACTCCGTGGGCCACTAGCCGTGGAGGCCTTGTTCCTCTAGCGAGGAAGATCTGACTACTGGAGGACTCCTCGGAGAGGAGCTAGGCCCCACGCAGTGGCTCTCCCCGAGCAGGGACCAGCGGAGCGTCTGTCACCCCGTAGGGAGGGCAGGAGTACCACCCTACGGGGTTGGTGAGACGCTCCGCTGGCACTCCGTGGGCCACTAGCCGTGGAGGCCTTGCTCCTCTCCGAGGAGGGAAGTATGTAGCATCCCAATCTCTCTACATGTCTAATTAGAACTAAAAAAGTCTTTCATTATCGTCTTACTTACTCTATTCTCTATCTCTCTCCTCGTCAGAGGAGCCAGGCCTCCACGGCTAGTGGCTCACGGAGTGCCAGCGGAGCGGGTCTCGCCAACCCCGTAGGGTGGCCTCTCTCTCACACACAACTCTCTACTCGTCCTCTTCTACTCGTGGATTCTTCTTCCATTCCAACAAAGGAGCCAACTCTTCAACCTTGCCCGACTTGTGTTGGATGAACAGATGTTGCAACAACTCGTCCGTCAGAGCTCTGTACCGAACGTCAACACAAAGGCAAATCGATAAGAATTTCTTGATAGAGTTCGACAATAACTCTGGCTTCTTCAACTTTGGAGTACCATTGGTGGCAATCAAATAAAGAGCCTTCAATGGTTCCTCGTTAAGATAAGGTGGTTCTCCTTCAATCATCTCGATCGTCATGATCCCCAAGGACCATACATCCACCTTTTCATCGTATTCCTTCTGTTTCACCACCTCGGGAGCCATCCAATAAGGAGTCCCCACCATGGTGGCTCTTTTGTTCCGTTGATCGGTGAGCTTGGCACAAAATCCAAAATCGGTGATTTTGACATTACCCTTGGAATCTAACAACACATTGTCCGACTTGATGTCTCTATGGATAATATGTTTCTTGTGAAGATGTTGCAAACCTTTCAAAGTTTCAAAGCAAATGGTGGAGATTTGTCGTTCACTAAGCTTGAATTCATTGTTTTCAATAACCTCGGTAAGAGATCCTCCTTCCATATACTCCATAATCACCCACAAGTCCAGGTTCCCACGCAAGTAAGAATCCAAGAAATTGACAATGTTTTTATGTTGAGAGTCCTTCATCACCAAGATTTCATTGATGATAAGTTCCTTTCTTGGTTGGGCATTAAGATCCATTTGTTTGATGGCAACCTTGTTATTCCCCGTGGTGAGTGATTCGGCAAGGTAAACTGCCCCTGAGGCTCCTTGTCCAGCCTTTTCAAGGATTTTGAAGAGTGGGGTTGGATCTTTATTGTTGACAACTGTTTTAAGTTTGGCTAAAACTTGGAGATCATTAAGTCTTTCCCTTTCCTTTTTGGTGGCTCTAGCGTTGGCATGTGGAGTTTTACTAGAAGCAGAACCCGCAGCAACTGAAGTTCCAGGAACATTTCCTTGTTGTCTACTTCCCTCTTGATGACGTGGTTGTAAAGGTTTAATTTCTGATTGTGAAGATTGTGAAGATTGTGTAGATTGTTGAATAGATTGTTGAGAAGATTGTTGAGAAGATTGTGGAGAAGCATGTTGAGCAGATTGTGGAGAAGCATGTTGAGAAGCCTGCGGCTTCTGTTGTTGCTGCTGCTGCTGCTGCTGCGGTGGCTGTCTTGGCTTAATATTAAAACTCTTTTCTCCAACCTTTTGATATTGTTGTTGACTTGATTTCAATCCAAATGGCTTGATATAACTTGGTCCCGCTGCTGGTGCACTCGATGGCCCAGAAACAGATCCAGCTGGTCCATTTGATCCATTTGAACCAGACACCGCCGTTTGAACCTTCAAGTCCGGAGTGGGTCCGTTTCTTGGAACCGATGGCGGTTGTTGTTGTGGTTTTGTAGAAGAAAGTCCCAACCCAGTTGGAATTGCAGATGTAGAATGGTTTTGCTTTTGATATGGACGAGAGGTTGAATTAGTCGTCCCTCCCACCAAATTAGTCGCACTAGAAGCTCCAGAAACCCCTGGTAAAGTGCTTCCTGGAGGTGGTGGAGCCTTTCTAACTGGTACCAATTCATCATCCTTTTCACGCGAAGAATTCTTCAAAAGATTTTGAAGTGGTGAAACATTGGTTGTTTGTGATTTTTGTTGTGATAAATGATATGGAATTGGAGGTTTTGGAGCTGCTCTTGAAGGTTTAAAGGTGGAATTTACAGTAGAAGGGCCAGAATTTGCGGAATTTGCTCCGGAATTTGTTCCGGAAATCGATGCTACGGTATTACCTCCCTTTGGATGTCTTGTCCATTCTTGTAAGGCATTGGTTGTAGAATTTTGATTTTGATCATTTTGTCCATTTTGTTCAGAATAAAATTCTAAAACTTCAATGACTGCCACTGGATCCTTTTTCCAATCTTCATTTGTAATTTTAGAATGTTGTAATAAATTTTTCCAAGTATCTGGTAAACCGGTGAAATTTCCCAGAGCTGGATCAAATCCAACATGAACCTTATGGGTGAAATTGATTGGGTTTGAAACCCCAGAAAGAGAACCTCCTCCATTTCCTGAACCACCAACATTCCCAATATTTATCAAGGGACATTTCAAAGTAAATGCATCAATCCAATCCAAATAATCATTGTTATGCTTGACGGAGATAAGGATGGGTTTCCCCGAAACCTTGGGGACGATTTCCAAGGTATGCAGAGTCTTTGTGTTTCCCGAATTGGGCTTTAAATTGATCGATCCGACTTGATTCAAGGGGAAAGAGAGGTCGGGCGAGTTAGCGGCCGCGGTCACGGGGTCTATATGGAAGGTATTTTGGTGTTGTATGGGCTCATTTTTGTAAAAATTGAGAGTCTTGTCATTGATCACCATGTATCGTTTGTTCCATCGGAAGGAGGTGAAGATCCCGTCGTCTTTGACGTGGACCCAGCCGGACTGACGTTTGGTGGAGGGGAGTCTGACGCCACCACCAGCGCCACCAGCTGCGGCAGCAGGTGGTGGTGGAGGTGCCAGCACCAGTCCAGCAAGCTCGGAGAGGTTGTTATTGTTGCCACCTCCCGACGACGGATGACGACGGTGGCCATTAGAGCTGGGGTTCGAGCCTTGGCTGTGGCCCCCTGCTGGACCTAGACCAGGGATACCAGTGCCACCCACAATGGAGGAGGAGGAGGAGGAGGAATTGATTGTAGATCCTGTGGAAGGAGGACCTATAGGCCCAGGACCCATGGGACCACTGACACCGGCACTGAAGCCTAGAGGACCACCAGAAGGAGCCCCCGTGGTGGTGGTGGGCAGAGCATTGCCCGGCAGAGAAGTGCCGGCCAGCAGGCTGCCCGGAGGAGGTGGGGCCCTGCGGTAATGTTTTATATCTGACGTGTACACACTGGCCATAGTTTATAAACAAAGGGGGGGGGAGATTGGGGACGCGTCTATGGAAGAAAGAAAGCGATGGGAATAGTCAGGACCCTTGGCCTTAGAAGAACGCGGAGCTGGGGGGCGAATTCCTGTGGAAAAAAGGGGGTAAACGTCAAGAAAGAAGTAGGTGGGGGGGGTGTATTGACGGGGGGTGGTTGTAAAAAAGTTTTGAGGAATTTACGACGACGGGCTGAATCGATAGAGGGATTTGACGAACGATCACAAAAAGGGAGACAAAAAAAGGAAGTGAAGGAAAATAGAGGGAAAAAGTAAATTGAAGGAGAGACCGGGTGAGTGAGAGAAGGGTGTAGAAGGGAGGATGTGTGAGGGGAGAGGGGAGAGGTGAGAGTGGGGAATGAGAGAGTAGGTTAAAGAGAGTAGATAGAGAGTAGAGAGTAAGAGTAGAGAGTGGAGAGAGATGGAGGTGGAGGTAGGAAGAGAAGATAGGAAGGTTTGGAGAATGAGGAGAGGTTGGGAGAATGAAGAGAATTGGTTAGAAGAGTTTATAGGAGGGGTATATAAGGATTATAAGGGCCCATAGAGTGTATTAGGTAGATCTAAATCTATTAGTTGTCTCATGGTTTACAAATTGGCTGTAAATTTGCTGTTGTGGACGCCCCTATTTTGTGGTGGGTGTGTGGATGTTTGCTGATGTTTGGGGCGCGGGGCGAGTGCATGCAGAAGTTTAGTTTGGGTGTTTGGGTGGCGAGCCGAGGTCAACCCCTGAAATCACGCGTTTTTGTGTAAACAAGTGGAGAGAGACACCATGTTAAGAGTAGTAGAAGAAGTAGAGGAAGAGTAGTAATTCTACGGAGTACAGGTACGGACTGTGTTCCCACCCCTGGCACTTTCAGCGAGAGAAAGACTGAAATCCAATGGAGAGAGAGAGAGATCCCTCTCAACAATCTCCACCATAATTTTTTTTTATAAACGGCTGGGTGGGCAACGCTGAGAAATTTTCATTCATTTTTTTTTTTCGTTTTTCCGCACTTTTTGGCTTTGTTTTGCAACCTCGGAGAGAGTTCCCGATTGGGAAAGAAGAAGAAGGTGAGAGAGAGAGAGAAAAGAAAATTTGAGTACATGAGAAGGCTCCTCAGGTCCAGTGGTTGAAGAGGTAGGTAGATCAGGGAGATAATCCGGTCAGGGGGGGGGGAGAGGGATTGACCAAGGGAACCTTTTTCTAATGAAAAGAGGGGGGGAAAAACAGGAAGTAATTAACGAGAGAAGCTGTAGAGTACATAAGCGAACACGTGGCGGAAGGCACGTGCCGCGAGACACGTGCGAGGAGTTCTAAGAGAGAGACAGGTGAAGGGGACAGGTGAAGGGGACAGGTCTAGGTGTGACCCACTTCCTCGGCAGAGGAACAAGGCCTCCACGGCTAGTGGCCCACGGAGTGCCAGCGGAGCGGCTTGTAGACCCCGTAGGGTGGTGGCTACTCTCTTCCCTGTGGGACAGCAAGACGCTCCGCTGGCCCCTACTCGGGGAGAGCCACTGGCGTGGTGCCTAGCTCCTCTCCGAGGAGTCCTGGCCAGTATCTGAGCTTCCTCGACAGAGGAACACGGTCTCCACGGCTAGTGGCCCACGGAGTGCCAGCGGAGCGGCTTGCTTAGCCCGTAGGGTGGCATCCACACTTCGGAGCTCTCCGGGACACCCACACACCCATACAAACTGTAGATCTGGTACCATGACCACGCCCTTAGAGTACTAGACCACTAGAGCAATCTCCTCGTAGAGGAGCCAGGCCCCACGCCAGTGGCCCTCCCCGGGCAGGGGCCAGCGGAGCGTCTTGCTGTCCCACGGGGAGTGCCCCCCTCTGTCCCTCCCTACGGGGTCTGAAAGCCGCTCCGCTGGCACTCCGTGGGCCACTAGCCGTGGAGGCCTCCTTCCTCTTACGAGGAACCCCACGGTGCTCACAGTCTCCTCGTAGAGGAGCCAGGCTCCACGCCAGTGGCCCTCCCCGGGCAGGGGCCAGCGGAGCGTCCTGCTGTCCCACGACGAGTCCCCCCACCCCCCTCGCTCGCTCCCTACGGGGTCTGCAAGCCCGCTCCGCTGGCACTCCGTGGGCCACTAGCCGTGGGGGCCTCCTTCCTCTGGCGAGGAACACATCCCTCCCAAGTGCCCCCACCCCGGGAACCCTGGAGCCCAACGGAGTACCTTGTACTCTCTCCGGGGACACCACCCTGGACCACGCTACCCCTGGAATTCCGCAGTGTTGCCCCCCGCGCCACTCTCAAGCCGACACACCACCACCTAGGGGGTCCCCCCCTCCCGCGAGAGTCGCACTACGGTCCCTGGCCAGTCTCGCATTTTTGTTAGCTCTCTGTGGATTGCGCGCACACGCTGTAGTTCCACTTTCTCTTCTCCTCACCATCGTAGTGACAACTGAATCTCACCACCATTTTAGGAATCTTTCGCACCATCCAGTAGAACTTTTGTATTTGTAGGGCGCATTTGTAAGCTCAGGTTGCGTTTTCGTTTTTGCCCCCCCATCAAGAGACCACAACTGTTGTCTTTGAATGCCTTTGTTTAGACATTCTTCGAAGAAAAAGGAGCCCAAGACGGGCCCACCCCTGGCGAAGACTGGCCTCCAGAACGGCCCCCAGAGCCCGGGCCTGACCCTGGGAGGAGTCCCAACCTTGGACTTACCTTCCAGATCAAATTCATTGGTTTCAATCTCATCTAATCGATCGGTTCTGTCCTCCACATCCACCACCGGGAAATTCCGATCTTTATTAAGATTATCTCCAGACACCGAGACAAGATCAGCAACACAACCTGCCACCACCTCCACCGCCAGTGCTAGCACCTCCACCAGTTCTACCACTGGTGGTTCTACCACTGGTGGTAGAGTGCCATCTCCTGATAAACAGAAAAGAGTCAGTACCATTGTAGAGGCCGATACTGAAGATCTTGGATCTGGTCATGGAAGTGACTTTGATGATGAAAAGGAGTCAGACACAGACACAGACTCAGACACAGACACAGATTCCTCATCAGAGACTGACTCAGAGTCTACCTCCTCCTCCATTCTTGACCACCTTCATGTCATCAAATCAAGAGGTAAGGCCATTTCTGGTTCACATCTATCATCACAACTCTCATCGTTCATGGTGTATTGTGGTCTTAACCACTCATCACTCACAGATGCCGCCAATGAAGAGCTGAAGAGAACGTTCTCCTTGTTGGATGATAGTTTGAAAATACATCCAGTGTCCGCCACCACTCGTAGGAATGATCCAAGACTACAGGAACCGGTGATTCTGGACGTCCAGGTGGATATACTCAAGAGGCTTACTGAGAGGATCATGGGACTTTTGGTGCCGTCGTCAGTAAGTGAACAATATGCTTTGGCTTCAAGGGGGAAATCTGTTTTGGAAAGGTATGGGACAGTGAGGAATGTGATTGGGAGGGGAGCTTATGGGTTGATAAAGATAATAGAGCCCACTAGTGGACACACTAGTGGACACACTAGTGGCGTAGCCGCTAGTGGGGCTGCTAGTGGGGCCACTAGCTCTGGAGTATCCAGTAGAGCTGGTACATCCACTAGTAGGTCAACCAGGTCAGGTAATGGCTCCGCTGACTCAGCTTCGGCTAACGCCTCAGCTGGCCCAGCTTCGAGTGGTCTTCTCTACGCCATCAAAGAACTCCATCGTAGACCTCCAACCGACTCAAAATCCCAAGAATCAGACTCAAAATTCATTGAAAGAGTTCTCTCCGAATTCATCATCCTGTCAACCCTCAACTACAAACACATTGTGAAAACCGTAGACCTCATGGTAACCCTCCCCCTGGCCTGTGTGCCCCCTGCAACCTCCCCCACCACCACCACCAAACTGCCCCTGTCCCTCAAACTCTCGTCCCTCACCTCGTCCTTCAAACTGACGTCCCCTCCACCAACCACCTCGCCCCCACCCTCCTCCTCCTCCTCCTCCACCATCCCCATCAAAATCAACCAAGTCATGGAATGCACCTCGGGAGGTGACCTCTTCACCTACATCACCACCATGACCGACCGGTTCCAAGACCCCGTCAACTACATCCAACTCGACGAGATCGACTGTTTTGTCAAACAGATCGCCAAGGGGCTCTGGTTCATGCACGAGCACGGCGTGGCCCATTGTGACCTCAAGCTTGAGAACATTCTCATTGAGTACCTCCCCAATGACCATCACCACCACCCATCATCACCCGCCAGATCCACCAAGATTGCCCTCAAGCTCTCTGACTTTGGCAAGTCCAACGTGTTCCGCACCAAGTGGGACGTCAAGGAACAACTCATCCCATACACCACGGGACCCATAGGCTCGGAGCCATACATCTCTCCTGAAGAGTATGGCCCCTTCTCCACCGACTCTGGCTACTCCCCTCGTAAAAAGGATAATTGGGCTTTAGGGATCATCATTCTTCTTCTCTTCAATATCCGTAGGAATTACTATTCCAATGCGGATCACAAACATAGCAAGTCCACTGCCTCCACCACCTCTGCTCTCTTTGGTGACTACTCGCGTGGATACCTCTGGCATTCCACCGAGCCCAAGAGCCGCCACAAAGCTTCCTCGTCCACCCCGACCCGCTACAAGGACAAGGGCTTTGACGAGTACATGCGCACACGCATGATTTGTGACTACGAGTGTCGGACCAAGGAATGGCTCATTCTCAAGAAGGGATCCTTCAGCCCCATAGAGAAGCTCTTTGACCCTCCGGACGGCATTGACGACGATGATGATGACGACAACTCGTCCCTTGGTGGCGGTGGTGGCGTCTCCCGTGCGTCGGCCCTGTTGCAGGACGACCAGGACGAGAAGGACCTCTGTGAGCTCCGTAAGTACTTCATCTACAAGCTCTTGGACCCGGACCCAAAGTCCAGACTCACGGTGGTTGAGCTACTCAAGGGCGATTGGATGCGGGGCGTTGAGTCTTGTATCTAGCTGGCACCTCTCCTTCTTGCTCAAAGCGGTCTCTCCTTCCCCCCCACCACTTCGAGAGTGTGTCTCCGGGGTCCAGGGGAGCGTCCGGCAGGCAGATCCAAGCACTCTATGCCCTACGGGGTAAGCAAGCCGCTCCGCTGGCACTCCGTGGGCCACTAGCCGTGGAGGCCTCCTTCCTCTTACGAGGAACCCCACGGTGCTTACAGTCTCCTCGTAGAGGAGCCAGGCCCCACGCCAGTGGCCCTCCCCGAGTAGGGGCCCAGCGGAGCGTCTCACAGTCCCACGGGGAGGATGGTAGTCACCACCCTACGGGGTAAGCAAGCCGCTCCGCTGGCACTCCGTGGGCCACTAGCCGTGGGGGCCTTGCTCCTCTACCGAGGAGGGAGGGACCCCTTTGAGCTTCTGTTCTTGATCTGGACCTTTCCAGCTCTCATCCAGAACGTCCCTGGCACCCCCCAGCAGCATCTCCAGGCATCCCTTGTGCCCCCCCCCCCCCCAGAACACTCTGCATTCAATTCCCGACCCCCTGGTCAACTCACAAGACTCTAACAGTCAATTGTATATCATATAGAAAATAGACACTTACACTCCACAAACAACAAGTCTCCTTGCGACTCTCCCCCCTCTCACCACACTCCCTTCTCCTCGTCAGAGGAGCAAGGCCTCCACGGCCAGTGGCCCACGGAGTGCCAGCGGAGCGGCTTGCTTACCCCGTAGGGTGGTGACTACTCTCTTCCCCGTGGGGACAGCAAGACGCTCCGCTGGGCCCCTGCCCGGGGAGGGCCACTGGCGTGGGGCCTAGCTCTTCTCCGAGGAGTCCTGGCCAGTACCTGAGTTTCCTCGGTAGAGGAACAAGGCCTCCACGGCTAGTGGCCCACGGAGTGCCAGCGGAGCGGCTTGCTTACCCCGTAGGGTGGTGACTACTCTCTTCCCCGTGGGACGGCAAGCCGCTCCGCTGGCACTCCGTGGGCCACTAGCCGTGGGGGCCTTGTTCCTCTGACGAGGAAGTCACGGGGGCCCACAGTCGCCCTCTGTAAGCTGACACCCCCATGGGCCACTTCCACGAGCCACTGGCCCTCGAGAAGTTGCCTCTCTATCGAGAAGCGCTACACGCTGACTACCAATCGCATACTATTCTATACTGAAAAAAAAAGGGCTATACACGATAAGATCTAGAAATGAAACGTGCCTCTATGATACAAAATGCAAGATGTGTGTTTGTTTGTGGGTGGGTGTGTGCACATGGAAGGGTTGGCGAGGGGGCACAGACGCGCGTACGGGGCACGGGGGCTCACCAGGGGGCCCTGGGTAGCCCAAGAACGGGCGCGTATAGGGTGGGGGCGTTCTACGACGCCACTGTCTGGCCAGACTCACCCTCTGCACGAGAAGAAATACTGTAAAGAAAAAAAAGAAGACACGCTCTCCTCGCCAGGCTCCATGCCAGGCTCCACGTCAGTGGTCTTCCCCGGGCATGGACAGCTCACCGTGCCCCTTGGGGAAGTGAGTGCCACCCTACGGGGCGTGCAAGCCGCTCCGCTGGCACTCCGTGGGCCACTAGCCGTGGGGGCCTTGTTCCTCTTCCGAGGAAGTCACACGGGGCACTAGAGGTCTCCTCGTAGAGGAGCCAGGCCCCACGCCAGTGGCCCTCCCCGGGCAGGGGCCCAGCGGAGCCTCTTGCTGTCCCCACGGGGATGCCAATGGACCCGCCGCGGGTCTCTGCACCGTGCTGTGCCGTGCGTCGTACCGGGGGTGAGGGAGATGGACGAGGACCTAGAAATCGCGGAAAAGGTCGCCAAAGGGGTCCTGTACACCAACAATGCCGTAGTCCAACTCCTTGTCTTCTGGGTAGCGGTCGAACTGCGAGGTGTCCCCGACACCGGAGGTGATGGGGGGTTCGTAGGGGGTCTCGATGTCGCGCAGAAGTAAACGTTCCCAGATGACCTCCTTGAACCAGGGGTGTTGCTTGACGTCGTCGGACCCGTTCTGGAGGTTCCCCAACCGTTTCGACAAGTCCTTGACAATCAACTTCTGGAGCAAGTCAAGCACGTCTGGCGGGAGGTAGTCCGGGTACGTGATGGTCCCGTTCAAGATGTTTTCGTAGGTCTTCATGGGCGTTGGGTCGTAGAACGGGGTGTAACCCGTGAGCATCTCAAAGATGAGAATGCCAAATGACCACCAGTCGACAGACTTGTTGTATGGCTTGGTGGCCACAACCTCGGGGGCGATGTAGTCAGGGGTCCCACACAACGTGTAGGTGACGTCGGTCACCTCCTTGGCAAAGCCAAAGTCCGTGAGCTTGATGTGTCCATTCTTGTCCAACAAGATGTTTTCTGGCTTGAGGTCTCGGTAGATGATGTCTAGACCATGGAGGTACTCGATGGCAAGAAACACTTCTGCTGCATAGAACTTGGCAACTGGTGTCGGGAAGCGTTGTGATTTCCGGAGTAACAGGAAGAGTTCGCCACCTTCTATATAGTCCATGATCATAAAGAGGTTACGACAGTCTTGGAAGGTACCCCACATACGGATGATGAAGGGGTGTTGTGCCAACTTGAGCATTCGACGTTCATCATTGGTATGTTCCACTTGCTTCATGTTGACCACTCGTTCCTTCTTGAGGGTTTTCATGGCATAGAAACGTCCGTTATGGATTGATCTTGCCAAGTGCACTCTACCAAACGAGCCTGTTCCCAAGGTACGAAGGATTTGAAAGTCATTGAGGGTGTATTTACCTTTGGTGGTGGTGTCTCTAACCTGCACTGTCAGCTGGACCGTCAGGTCCTGTTGACCAACATGTTGACCAACATGCTGACCAACGTGTTGTTGACCGTACTGCTGTTCACTACAAGTTTGGTGGCCCTGGCCCAGCTGACGCTGGTCCTGGCCCTGGTCCTGGCCCTGGCCCTGGTCCTGGACCTGGTCCTCCGGTACATATATATTCTGTTGTTGCTGCCTCAACGCCATCTCCTCCAAATTAATATCATTCAAGCTCCGTACACTCGTCTCGGTCTGTTCCATCGACGTCATTCTCCAACCTGAGGTCTTGGAATTCTTTCCTTTTTTCCTGCTCACTACTTTAAAGCAAATTCGCACTTGTGGCTCTTTTCCAAAATTTGGTGAGCTCTCGAATTTCTAACTTTTAACTAAGGGCGGGCGTCGTCCTCGGGGTTCCCTGGTTGTCTCTTTGCGGGCTTGCTTGCGGGGCGCACAGGGTGGGGGGGTTCTCTCTCGCGGGGGGCGCGCTGTGCTGTGCTGTGCTGTGCTGCTGTTTCTGCTACTCCTGCCAGTGTCACCAAATCTAATTTGGGTCTGCTGGGGGTGTTGATCGGATATTAATCTATTGGAAAGAAATGGCAGTTTCCTTTTTTTCTTCCACCAATTCTTTCCCTTTCGATTTCTCTATCTGCGATTTCTCATGTTTCTTTTTTCTTTTTTCCGGTCTGCATACAAGAAGGTTTGCACATAGGCCGGGTTGATGCGGCTTTTTACTAATCAATAAATTTATTTACGACAGTTTCCTCAGTGGCACAAATAAAAACAACAAGAAGAACAAGAGGTACAACAAGAAGAGTTACTACGTCTTTATACTACCTCTTTAATTTTTCAGATTAATACTATATATTGGCAGGGATGATCTTTGCACTCTTTACACATCCACTCTTCTCTCCCACCCCCTCTCTCTCCTCTCCTCTCTCTTCCCTCTCTCTCTCTCTCTCCCCTCCGGGCCACATAACCAGCACTAAATTTCTTCCCTTTATTTTTATCCGCTAAAAACGGCCAAAAAGTCTCAAATCTTATTACGAGCCTCACCTCGTGACTTCCTCCGAGACTTCCTTTCTCCTGCTCGACGTTCATTTAAATCTCTCTAAATCTTTCATGTGCCTCAACTTCGGTAATCAAATCTTCGTGAGTCTTCTACATATCTTCGTTGACTTCATCTAATGTACATGTTTACTTATGTGTTGTCATCTACATTCTTTTAAGGTCTTCTCCTCTACTCTACTCCTTCTCTCCCACTCTTCACTCCCACTCTTCTCTCCCACTCCCCCTCCACTCTTCACTCCCCCTCCTCTCCTCAGCTGCGCTGCCAGCTGAGCTGCCAGCTGAGCTGCCAGCTGAGCTGCCACCTGCGCTGCGCTGGTCTCATCGTAAATGTACTAGTCGATCCTTTTTTTTCTTTTTTTTGCGCTTCATGGCTAATGCCGCCTCAAACCCTGCAACGGTTTGATCCCGTATGTACCCCCATTGACACCTACACTACACCACACTACACCACCACTACACACCCCCTCCGCCCCCCCCATCCTCCGCCCCATCTCCCACACCACCTCCCACACCACCTCCCAACCACCCCCAGCAACAGCAACCATACTGCTCTGGCTTCCCTTTTCGTCCGCGAGATGTAATGTGGCCGCGCACTACGAGTCCATGTCAAGGCACCACCAATGACGTAGCCGCCCGCAAAACAAGAAAAAAACCGCAATTTCTTCGACAAACAATCACAAAACCAAAATCTTTATTATTATTAACAAACGTTTCTCGGTACACCCGTCGATCTAGGCACCACACACTCCCTCGTCCCGTCCCACATCACGCCGCAGTCCTGCCCTTCTAAACCAATTCCAGTTCCAGTTCCAGTTCTAGTTCCAGTTAGTCCTTCCGATTCCATTTAATCCTGTCCGACTCCGCCATTTCTTTGACACTGGCGTGGCGGAGTCCCCTCCCCACCTCCACCCGCCACTAGGGCCTCCTCGGGGGGCAAATTTTGTGGTCAAAGCGAATTTTTTTTTTTTCGCTCTCGCATTTACGGCGCCGAGGCTCTTTGGCTGCGAAATGTTTAAACCCTCGGAAGAGAAACCCCATCGGTCAGTTTTCAACGGTTGGCGATGGGGGTATACCTCCCACTGTCCCGGACAGGGTTTTCCGGGAGACGCGTGTCACGGTCGAGACAGACAGACAGACCGGCCGGCCGGTATCCACGTTGGTTCTAACGAGCGGCCAGGTGTGTGTCGGTCTCGGGGCGGTGGTCCCTTCCTCCAGGGGGCGCGGGGGTAGCCAAGGATGTCCTCTACCATGGGAGATCCAGGTCCGGTAGGAGATGAGAAGACTGGTGTGCTAGTGGAGCGTCACCATGACCCCGCAGGGTGGCTAGCACAAGCAAGCCGCTCCGCTGGCACTCCGTGGGCCACTGGCCGTGGAGGCCTTGTTCCTCTAACGAGGAAGTCACGGAGCTCTAGAGGACTCCTCGTAGAGGAGCTAGGCCCCACGCAGTGGCTCTCCCCGAGCAGGGGCCAGCGGAGCGTCTTGCTGTCCCACGGGGAAGGGAGTTACCGCCCTACGGGGGTTTGCGAGCCGCTCCGCTGGCACTCCGTGGGTCACTGGCCGTGGAGGCCTTGTTCCTCTATCGAGGAAGTCTCGGAGGCACTAGAAGACTCCTCGTAGAGGAGCTAGGCTCCACGCAGTGGCTCTCCCCGAGCAGGGACCAGCGGAGCGTCTTGCTGTCCCACAGGGAAGGGAGTTACCGCCCTACGGGGGTTTGCGAGCCGCTCCGCTGGCACTCCGTGGGCCACTAGCCGTGGGGGCCTTGTTCCTCTACCGAGGAAGTCACGGAGCTCTAGAGGACTCCTCGGAGAGGAGCTAGGCCCCACGCCAGTGGCTCTCCCCGAGTAGGGGCCAGCGGAGCGTCTTGCTGTCCCACGGGGAGGTGGGTAAGCTGCCCTACAGGGAAAAGCTGACTGCTTCTTGAATGGAATAGTATCTTATTGAATATGGACTATATACTCCTGTCCCCCCCGATCCCCTATTGGGGCGGGAACATTGGCTCATCCTTGCAAAGTACACACCCATTGTGGGTAGTGCTATACTCAGGGACTTTTCCCTCGTACGTGATGGTGGAATTTTGTGGGGAAATGCCAATCCCAGGCCCCAAATCTACGAGTTCCAAGATCTTAAACATGCTCTGATGGTACCCTAGCCCAATGTTGTAGTGCATGGTACATGGTTGTCGCGAGCCAGCATCCCTTGTGTGGACCGTGAGAAGCCCAGAATCGGCATTGTACTCGTACCTATCGATCTGAGAACCATGTGTTATGTAGTTCCCACCACCAAACCCAGATATCATGTAAGGGTAGTATTGTTTGGCCGATCCAAGTAACACCACAGACGTGGGAGTGGAAAGATAAAGAGTCTGATCCGAAGGGAACAATTCAGATTCTTGGTATTGGAAAACAGAATTCTCACCAATGTCAATGCATCCAGTGCCATGGACGGAACTCCTAGACGTCCAGAAATAGTTCCTCATACAGATCTGGCCATTGTTGGTGATTGGATGGTGCTCAGTGCCAAACGTGGCGCCCTTTCCAGGCCGGGTGTCAAAGTACATCAAGATGGATGCTCCTTGGTTATTGGACCAGTTTTCGCCGGGGATGTCCACCAGTGTCCATTTATTCTGTACCCCAATGACATAGAAATCGCCCGAGTTGACAAACTGTTGGGTAAAGAACATGATAGAATTGGATGCCCGGACGGATTTCATGTAGAATATGCCGCTGTTGATGAGCTTAGTGCCTCCAGAGATCCAATAATATCCGTCATAGTTGTCCCCGAACCAATAAAATCCACCCAAGTTCTTGATTTCTTTACTGCTACTGAAATCCAAATTGGAATTATAGATGGACCACCAGACGTTGTTGTCGATGGTGACATCGTCCGGGATGACCACATTTCCCGAGGTATCGGTGGTGTCGTTTGTGATGTGTTGAGCTGCCGTGAGCAGTGCAAGGAGAAGCGCTAGTGATGATTGAAGGAGCATTGTGTACAATAAAGTGGCCAATCTTTTGCGATTGAGGAGAGAAGAAGTATACTTATATAGCTTTCTGGGTGTATGGATGAAACTAGAATCACCACACCGTGGACATCACCTTACAAGGATACTCTAGATTTCAAGCGGTGGGGAGTACGTATCGTATGTTTATCAAGAGAAAGAGAGAGGTGGGGGCACCACGAGAGCCACCGCAGCCAAAAACCTAACAGAACCAGGGGGGCCTCCGCAGCCACTCTACGAGAACTCTATCGGGCAATCGAGATAACCAGAGGAACTAAGCAATCCACGTCCAGAGAGTCTCCTTCCACCCTTGGCTACTAACCTCCAGACACTTTGTTACCTCATATCTCCCTCCTCCACCCACAATTCATAGCGCGTGTCACCCTACGATACGAACAAGGGACCACCCTGAAAGAACCAGGAGTGGCCATCCACCTTGAGGAGTTTCCCCCGGATAATCCGGCGCTCAGGACTACCCCAAATGGACCCTCTACATCGTGCGATTCAGTTGTTCGTAACTATGGAACGAAAGGAATTCGCTGATGTTTCACGAGGGAGGGCCACCTTGAACCCCACCGGGGCCACCACCAGGCCCACACGGACTGGAGATCCTTCCCGTTAATACGAGAAGCACGGAGAGGAGAAGCTTCTCAGCGAGTCATCCTACCTCACTTGAAGGGACTCAGAATACCACCGAGGCGCAATATTAGGTCGCGGAGGAGGAGTCATCTAGAGCCTAGTGACGTTCTCTTGAGAGGAACGAGGCTGCCATGGCGAACGGAGTTCCAGCGGTCCAGCTTCCCCGTGGGACTGCAAGACGCTCCGCTGGCCCCTACTCGGGGAGAGCCACTGCGTGGTGCCTAGCTCCTCTCCGAGGAGTCCTCTAGAGCCTCCGAGACTTCCTCGTTAGAGGAACAAGGCCTCCACGGCCAGTGGCCCACGGAGTGCCAGCGGAGCGGCTTGCTAACCCCGTAGGGTCATTCATGGTCAATTCTCTAAACTCACCCTCTCCTCTACCCTCTCCACGACTCTCTACTTGTCCTTTTACTCTCTATCTCTCTCTCTCTCTCCTCTTTGCAACCATTTTGGACCCCAACTACAGACAGGAACACAAATTACATAATCTCATTGACTAAACTTACATAAGCAGAGAGAAAGAGGGAAGAGGATATGTTTTTGCAGCCATTTACTCTATAGGCTCTGGTGGGAACATTGGTGCATCCTTACAAGGTTTGCACCCGGAGGAGGAGGTACTCAGGGCTGGAACGTCTCCCAAGTAGGTGATTCCGGCATTCGTCTTGGAATAAAAGCCAAGATCAGAACCCAAGGGAACCATGGAGGCAAGTTCAAACAATTCCGGATCATACCCCAATCCAATGTTGTACTTCATTCTGTACTTTATATTGTACTGCGAGGCGTCGACGGTCAAAACCCCAACGTCAGTGTCGTAGGAATAATTGATGATCGGGTAGCTGTGTACAATGTAGTTCCCATTACCCCAACCGGCAATCGTGTAGGCGTAGTATTGTCTATCAGCACCAACAAATAACATCGATGTCTTGGATGAGAGAAAGATCGTTTGCAGAGCAGGGAATATATCGGTGCTACTTTGGTATCTGAACACAGAATCTTCTCCAATGTTGATGCATCCTTTACCCTTGACCACAAGACTATCGATGTAGGCATTTCTCAAACAAATCTGTCCATCATTGGTGAAGACAGTGCCAACGGTGCCCAACACAGCACCTCTCTGTGGTCTTGAATCAAAGTACATGTTGAAAGATCCAGTCTTGGTGATTTCCCAAGTTCCTGGCATCTTGATCTTACTGTTATAGGCGTCTTCACCCATAAAGAAGAAATCACCCGAGTTCTTCACATGGGATGTCATCAAGTCAATTTGGATCCCGACATGGATCGAATTGAAGTACATGAGCCCGTAGTTCTCGATATAGTCGCAACCAACAACCCCAAGATTGAGAAGAGTTCCCGTTCTACGATCATGGAACAAATAAAATGAACCATGGTTGATGAAGGCGCCTCCAAATCTTAACACGGTATCAAAGCAACACCAAAAAACCCCATGTTCTATCACCACGTCATCATAGCAGTAGTCTGCATTGATGTTGCTGTAAGTGTTTTGGGCAATACGTGAAGCCATGGTTGCTGGAAGAGCAACGAGTGCTGAAGTGAGCACTGTTAGAATTGATCCGAATTGCATATTGTCACTATTGGAGAGAGAAAGACCGGTGCTTCGACACACACACCCACATCTATATATTTATAGTGAGGATGCTGTTTCAGTTCCATGCTCAAGAGATGATGATTCTTACCATTGAGCCATTATGATAACTTGGCCAATAAATTTCATTTCTAATACCATGCAACGAGGTGGAATAAGTGACCTTGTCAGCTAGAGGAAGCTAAGCTCTCAACCTCCAGCTAACAGCCCTGTGCTAGGAGATCCAACGGGATCTGGAGCAGAGCTCAGCATCCTCACCTATGCACCCACTAACCCCCCTAGACCACCCAAAGATCAATAAAGACCCCAAAGAGGGAAAAAGATGACAGAAAGATCTCTTGATTTCTTGCAATGAAACTCGTTCCACCACATAAATTTTGCTCTTGTAAAAAGATGAATTTGCGTGAGATACACACAGTTGAGCTTTCCCGCCTCCTCGTAAATCTCACCTCGAATGTGTCAGTATAGCGGCTATCCAGTAGAGAAGTCGAACGGCGGTCTGAATTTCTAAGCCGACCCACTAGCCGTGGAGGCCATATTCTCTTGCGAGGAAGATCTGACTGCTGGAAGTCTCCTCGTAGAGGAGCCAGGCACCACGCAGTGGCTCTCCCCGAGCAGGGGCCAGCGGAGCGGCTTGCATACCCCGTCGGGAGGGGAGGACTACCACCCTACCGGGGTAAGCAAGCCGCTCCGCTGGCACTCCGTGGGCCACTAGCCGTGGTGGCCTTGTTCCTCTAACGAGGAAGTGCCTGTTGTACTGGAGGACTCCTCGTAGAGGAGCCAGGTACCACGCAGTGACTCTCCCTGAGTAGGGGCCCCACGTAGAGATGGTTAGAGTTCTCGTCTCTACCAGGTAAGTAACTCGTCGTAGCCTATTCTCTACAGTCCACCCTTGTAAGATTCTTATTCATTATATTCGTTTTGTATTCATCTACTGCCAGCAGTGTGGCCCCGGTGTTATCTAATCCAACATTCATCAATGTCTTCATCGTCCTCGTCATCATCAACGGCCATTTCCTCGTCTGATGGACCCATTTCAAGTCCTTCAGAGTCGGATTCATATCCATATCCTTCACCTCCACGATTGACCGTTGGTCTGTCAGTGACGGTGTCAGCTCCACCACCTTGTCCCAACCGATCAGGTCTTGATCTGTCGTGGTCTCCACCCGACCAGCTTCTTCTGGAGGCGTCTTGTGAAGGTCTCCCTCTCCTGTCACCCAGCGAGTAGCTTCTATCACCACCAGTCAATTCCAAGATCTGGTGTCTTGCCGTCCTTGCCTTCTCAAACAAATCATTGCCCATGAAATAATCAAATCGTTTGTTGGGGGCCGAAACACTTTGACTTTCACCCAATTTCTTTATTAAATGGTTCAAAGCGCCAAGAAAGCCAAAACTTCTCAAGTATTCTGCTCGTTCCACCGCTGTTTCATTGGGGAAGAGTCGTCCATGAGCATGGGATTGGGTCTGTGAATGTGAGGTGTTTTCCATGAGAATGTCGTGATCCTCCTCATCATCTTCAGGGATATCGATCCTTGAAGAAGAGGAGGTTTGGATGGTTTCATATAGTTTGAAACGATCAGACGGAGAGATGAGTGACCGGCCACTTTTCCATGTTAAATTGATGAGAATCCAACAGATGGAGAGTTGGATGGAGTACAAGTTGTTGATTGCAATTAGCAGCAGAGACTCTTGACTTTGCAGCAGCAGCTGACTTTGCAGCAGCAGCAGCAGCATCTTTAAAAAATCCAACCAAATGGCCAAAATCTTCACTTTACTCGAGATATTCTCTTGAAGACTCTCCATATTTGTATGTCTATGATCTTCAATATAATTAATTGAAAGACAAATGGAGACATAATTTTCATCTACAAGATCCACAAATCGGGCACCACCTCCCATGGTATCGACCAAAAAGTCATACCAATCGTTGGGGACAACCCCCGTCGCAATTTCTTGATCTCTACACCATTGACTCCATTGGATCAGGACTTGTTCACTGAACCATTTACTACCACTGGTCAAATTTCTAATGATATCAAACGCCACAACCTTTTCTTGTTCTTGTTTCTGATGAATAGAGAGACTCTCCATCTTTCTATCTTTGCCCTGATAAACCATTTTCTCAAAGATTTGTGCAAGGGGGAAGTTTTCCACTAGATCTCTTTTATTCTCATCGGTTTCATTGTAGGTATAATTCTTCAATACTTGTAGAACGGTGTGTTGCACGGTGTGTTGGATCAAGGAGGAATCAACAACCCCATCTAGAGTGACAAACCTGGTAAAGATCTCATAAAGAGTCGAAAGAAATGAAGAATCATTAACAATGGAATGTCTAAATGAAGAGAAATCAAGCACAAGATTGGCAAAGATTCCAAGTAGAATGATTATGTTTGTAGATAATGTATTGAAAAGATCATTAGTGGGATTATTAGCGGCCCTGTCACCAGATAATTTCAAATATTTTACAATAATTGAACAAACCAGAGGTAATTTCTCAAGAATATTCAATAAATTTTTGATGAAATGGCCCTGATCTCCATTGGAATATTGTAAAGTCCCATTTGAACCATCACTCAGAGAATTTTCCAATCTTTCATTATCACATTCAACGAAAAATGTCCTCAATAAGCTGACTGATCTAGACAAACTTCTAATCAAATAAAACATATTGGTGAACATTTCATCGTGTAAAATGGCCACCATGATGGTTAGATTTCTCCCCAACCATACCAAGACCTCGGGTTTAGTTTCCCGGGCGATTTGTTCGTCAATTAGTTCAAATTGACCGGTAAGAAACTCATAATTGGCAATGATTTCCACCACAGATTGCGATAAAATCATGGTCTTGGTACCATTAACCACACGGCCCCGATACTCCTCCTTATTGGAAGAGTAGACCGAGAGTAAAAGTAACAAATCAGAGAGATGGCCCGAGTCAGAAACGGCGGAGAATCGAGTGAAATCCGCCAATTTCCCGGCATGATCTTTCTTCAACTCTTTGAACCATTTGAGCGGTAACAGGCCATTGGTTGAAGATTCCAAGAGATTCAAAAGTTTGGTATCGATGTTTGTTCTCCTCAAGTCGGTGCTGAGACGTGGGTATGACGTACAGAGGTTGGCAAGGATTTTACATGGAGAGAGAAGAAGTGGACTAATACTACTACTACTATCAGTCTGACTCCTCAAGATCATTTCATTGATCCTTGGGAATAATTTCCGATAATTGGCAAAAATCAACTCGTCTTGCTCCGTCTGGTGGCTGGAACCAGCCACGGTCATGGTCATGGTTACGGCCACCTGGCCCATATTGTCTAGGTAGAAGTACAAGAGGTTCAAGATCGAGGTGACTAGCGCCGCATCCTCCACCTTGAGCATCACCAAGAGAGACAAGTAGACTCTTGAGGGCAACACCACCGCGGTCTCATCCTTGCTCACCAGATAGCCGTGTTGCTTCAGGTAGCTGAACACCTGTGCAATGGCGGTCACTAGCGCGGACAACGTGGGCATGTCGATGCATTGCTTGAGGAAAAGCGGGTTTGGGTCTACATTGGGCAAATTTGGGTCGAGGAAAGGTTCAGCAGTGGAGCTAGGACCCCTTCCTTGGATCCACAGAAGGGAGGGTTCATGGTCTTTGTGGGACCCTACGGGGTTAGCAAGCCGCTCCGCTGGCACTCCGTGGGCCACTAGCCGTGGGGGCGGCTGTTCTTGTGACGGTCCTGGGTGCAAGGGACTCCTCGTAGAGGAGCCAGGCTCCACGCAGTGGCTCCCCCCGAGCAGGGGCCAGCGGAGCGGCTCGCGGTCCCACAGGGAAGCAACCTTCCTCTCGACGTCGGGGAAATGCCCGGAATAGATCCTGGAACACTCCTTATCAAGACGATGAAGCAAGGCCAGCAACAAGGTGGTGGTCTTGACCCCATCACTGTTGCTCTCAAGGAGCACCGGGACAAGCCGTAACAGCTGCACAAGCAACAAGTTGTCGTGGAGAGGGTACCGATCGTTCTCCTCACCAATAAAGATCACCAGGGCAGTGACCCACCGCCAAAGCATGGTGGTTGAGACTGGAGACGAGATCCCACGCCGATGAGGGTCCTGATGGTACAAGCAATAGACAAGGTCTAGCAAGTCTCTAGCAATACGTACAAACCGGGCCACGTACTGTGGACCGGCTCCCGGGAGCATGGAGCCACGGGCCAACACTTTTGCCATGAAAAATCCCAAAAATTGGGCAATTTCGTCAACCAATGGCTCACATTCATCAAGCACTAACGACGCCGCCTGCGAATCATTGACAGAACAGGGCACCACTACACCCATCTCACGACTGAACCAGCACACCATCTTGAGCACCACAGCACGGTCCTCCAATGCGGCGAGCGGCGCACACAGTGGGCCACCGGAGGGAGTGGTGGTGGTGTTCACGGACCAGCCGTCGTTCTCGTTGCCTTGGATCAAGCTGCGGATCCCCGCGCGCAAGTCTGACACGATTTCTCGTACCGCCATCAAATCTCTACATAATTTAAATTTAAGGTCCTTGTTCCCGATTAGGCTCGCTCGGAGCTCGGATATCCGGGTGGGGGGTTCGGAACGCATGTCGCAGTATACACTATATGGGAGGGGCCAAACGAAATCGTAGAGATAAGAAAGAAAATAAAACATGAGACCCGCCGCCCGCAATGCTGTGCGCGCAAGGGTTTCGCGGGACGACTTTTGGGGGGGCATACTAAATTCTTATCGTCCTGCAGAGGAAGGTAGAGCCTACACGCCACCAAGGTCCACACTAGAAGAGGTAGGGAGAGAGAGGAGAGTGGGGCGAGGGGAAGAGAGGGTAGGGGGCCACTTGCTGGGCACACCATTCTGTCTCTACGGAGGATCTTTCGCCTCTTACGAGATATTTACTGGGAGTTGGTTGCGGGGTGTTTTGTGGAGTTTGTGTCTCGTGAGAAGTCACGGGGGCTACTCCTCGGAGAGGAGCTAGGCACCACGCAGTGGCTCTCCCCGAGCAGGGGCCAGCCAGCGGAGCGTCTTACAGTCCCACGGGGACGGGAGTAGTCACTACCCTACGGGCTAAGCAAGCCGCTCCGCTGGCACTCCGTGGGCCACTAGCCGTGGAGGCCTTATTCCTCTAACGAGGAATTTAGTGACAAAGTTTTGAGAGGAGGCCAATTAGTGACAAAGTTTAGGGAGGAGGCCAATTAGTGAGACAAGTTTAGTGAGAGAGTAAGGAGTAATATAGATTAGGGGATATCATTTGTATTTAGATTTGTAGACTGTAGACTTTCTCCTGGACACAAAGGGAGAACCACCACATGAACTTACCTGGTAGAGAGTTTGGGCTGCCATGGCTAACCCAGAGAGTATCACAGGGGACGGCTCACAGTCCTTCAGGGAGATGGGTAAACACCATACGGGGTTTGCAAGCCGCTCCGCTGGCCCCTACTCGGGGAGAGCCACTGCGTGGGGCTAGCTCCTCTCCGAGGAGACTTACAGCAGTCAAAACTTCCTCGGTAGAGGAACAAGGCCTCTACGGCCAGTGGCCCACGGAGTGCCAGCGGAGCGGCTTGAAAACCCCGTGGGGTGGTACCTACTCTCTCCTCTGTGGGCTGGTACCCCGTAGGGTGTCACCTACTCTCTCCTGTTTGGGTCGGCACCCCGTAGTGGTCTCTACATTGCCTGGTGTGTAAAACATATCATATGGGTGTATATATACTATCTCACTTAGATCTTGCTTCTCCAAAACTTCTGAGACTCTGCAGCCCCCTTGCCCCTTTTTATGTCCTCACTGACATGTTTGTCAGCCTCAACTCTCTTGGGGATGTACTCAACCACTTGGGAGACGAATTCAGAAGAGGATGCGGGCAATACTACAAGGCCATTCTTATCACCCACCACAAAATCCCCAGGATTGATGGTGACTACATTTGATTGGTCATCATTGTTGGTCTCATCCGTGGCCAATTCCTCGCCAGTTTGTACCTCCAATGGAACGTTGATTCCAACCACTTTCGCCACGGGCCCTGGGGCCGTACTGCCTACACCATACGACCACACCGGATATCCCAACTCTTCATGTTCATCCAAGTCACGGATACGACCCAATACTACCAGACCATTGGCCCCACGGTACTGTGCTCTCGTGGACATGAGTCCTCCATAGAGAGCATTGTTCACGGTCACGTATGGCGCGGAAGCTCGTTGACACAGAAGTGGGAGAGAAATCACCAACACACTATTTTCCGGGATCTCGTCGATATATGATTGCTTTACTGCGGGTCTTGGGTCTGATTTAGGGGCGTACAACACCGTGTAAGCGGTCCCTGCCACCTGAGACGACGTTGCCGAGCGCAACACAAGATTGGGAATGTAGCCGCCGGTCTTCAGTCCAAAGTTCACCAACGCATCTGAAACGTCACACGGAGTATATTTGGCAAGCAACGATACAATCTGGGCGGTTGGTCTGGTCATTGTGTGTGTGTGTGTGTTTAGAAGGTGTCAGAGAGGCGTATGTGGGAAGGAAAAGGGTGGGGCGTTCTAGGGCTGTTGTTCCCGCGAGAGCTCCGCATTTCGGTGATTGCGGGAAAAAAACTCCCCATGGGGAAGAAAAGCCTCCCATTTAGTGAGACATTGCGAGAACGAGGCACAGAGAGAGTGTGTGACTATAAGTAGAGCGCAGATACCGCTACCACAGAGGGTTACATGCAAGTGGGTAGCTTCTGGCCCCCCTATGGGACTACAAGACGCTCCGCTGGCCCCTACTCGGGGAGAGCCACTGCGTGGTGCCTAGCTCCTCTCTGAGGAGTCCTCTACTGCCACCGAGACTTCCTCGCTAGAGGAACAAGGCCCCCACGGCTAGTGGCCCACGGAGTGCCAGCGGAGCGGCTTGCTTACCCCGTAGGGTGGTGACTACTCTCTTCCCCGTGGGACAGCAAGCCGCTCCGCTGGCCCCTGCTCGGGGAGAGCCACTGCGTGGTGCCTAGCTCCTCTCCGAGGAGTCCTCTAGTGTCCCGTGACCGTGTCTTCCTCGTCAGAGGAACAGGGCCTCCACGGCTAGTGGCCCACGGAGTGCCAGCGGAGCGGCTTACTTACCCCGGTAAAGTGGTGACTACGGGGTCAAACAGCCCCCCCAGTCGTGTTCTCTAAGCAGCACTACAAACATCCACACACCTCTCTCTCTCGTATTATTATAAAATGTCTATGTACACGAATCTTTTTATCTTATTACCTTCTCTTTATATCTCTTTCCTCCGGGGAAACCTCTTCATCCAATCCCAATCTACTCTTCAATCTTTGCATCTTCTCCGGGTCAATTTCTCTTAATTGTCCATTCTCATCAACTTTGGGCAGTGCCAGTGGTTCACTACCAACACCTCCACTTGAAGGAGCTCTATTTTGAACCATCACTTCACCGTCACGTGGCTTCTCCTTTTCAACCAACATAGTGGTGGCCAACTTGAATCTTGCTTGTAAATGATCTAAAAATTCATCCAGTTGTAATTGATAATCTTCCAAAAGACGTGGTCTTGAGATTCTCAGATCATTCAAATCATTGAGTAAACCAGCCAATGTTCTTGGATGGATCATGGTACGAGATCCAGAGCCCGAGCTGGAGCCGGAGCCAGACCCCGTGGCCCGTTCTTCCTCTTGTTCTCCTTGTAAATATAAACGTCTACGATTACTTAATTGTTTCAAAGCGGCAAACTCCGGGTTCAAGTTTGGATTGGTAGAATGTGATTGGATCTGTGCCCCCAACCGCATCACCGAATCTGCAAAAGAACTATTAGGACCATCATTCATTTGAGATGATGATGAAGGAGAAGGAGGTCCTTGAGGATCAAACCCATCCTTACCTTCAGGCATTACTGTTGTCTGTTGTTGCTCCTTCTTCTTCAATTTCTTCTTGAGATGTGCAGGATTGAACGTGGTGGTTGAAGCTTGACCCCGGAAAGAATCGGACTCTACAAATGAGGTATCTTTGTTCTGAGATGTGGCAAATTTCTCCTTCAATTCCTTCGAGGGAAGCGTATTGACCTTCCCCTTTGGACTTGCAAGTTTCACCTTTGTTTCAGATTTCACCGCAGAGCCAAGCGTTCTCCCGGCAGGCTTTGAAGCTGCAGATCCCATACCTAGCAATAATAATAATAATAATATATATATATATATATGTATTTGTCTAGATATCGATATTTTAATGAGCTTTTTTGGCTGCCTTCCAGGCAGGCAGCGTGGGGGTTGGAACAAATTCTGATACTCCGATTTTGTGTAACAACAGAGAATAAAAAAAATATTTATGGCTGCCAAAAGGGAAGCCCCGTTGCACTGTCTTAGCAGGGGGGGGGGGGTGGGGGGTAGGGGAGAGGCTTACAATCGCATGGAGAAGAGATTGGTCCTACCCTACGGGGTTTGCAAGCCGCTCCGCTGGCACTCCGTGGGCCACTAGCCGTGGAGGCCTTGTTCCTCTAACGAGGAAGTCACGGTCACGTGGCAAAAGAGGAATACTTGTAGAGGAGCTAAGCACCATGTAGAGATTCTCCCCGAGCAGGGGCCAGCGGAGCGGCTTGCTGTCCCACGGGGAAGGGAGTAGTCACCACCCTACGGGGTAAGCAAGCCGCTCCGCTGGCACTCCGTGGGCCACTAGCCGTGGTGGCCTTGTTCCTCTAACGAGGAAGTCTCGGTGGCAGTACTCCTCGGAAAGGAGCCAGGCCCCACGCAGTGGCTCTCCCCGAGCAGGGGCCAGCGGAGCGTCTTACAGTCCCACGGGGAAGGGAGTAGGTACCACCCTACGGGGTTTGCAAGCCGCTCCGCTGGCCCCTACTCGGGGAGAGAAAATTCTGTTCTGACCGAATGTAGAGAAAGAGTCTGTGTGGTACAACCTGCTCGGTCATCCGACCCGCAATCTCTCCCGTGTAGCTTGGAGATACTGGCCGTCTCAAGACACCTGTTGACCATCAGTCTTTACTCTGAAATCCTCCTGGAAATCTCCTACAACGATCTACATGGTTAATTTGGCTGACTGGATGGCTAGCACCCCCCTTAATGTTCTCCTACTGGGCGGAGGAAGGTCCATCCTTCTCCTCTCCTACAATCATCATGTCTAAAATTATCTTGTATTTCTATGCGTATGGTTGGTTGCCAGATTATATGGGCGAGAGAGTATGTGTGGGTGTATGAGCGGGTGGGGGTTGGGGGTCACTCTACTTTTTCTCCTTCTTGTCCTTCTTTTCCTTCTTCTCCTTCTTTTCCTTCTTTTCCTTCTTCTCCTTCTTTTCCTTCTTAGCCTTCTTGGAACTCTTCAAGTCGTCTTCTCCAGAAGATCTCTTAACACCAGCAGCAGGAGCCTTGGCTTCATCAAAATCTTCAGCTCCATAACCAGTGGGGAAATGTCTCATTCTCAAGTTCTCAATCTTTTCCACATCCTTTCTTGGCACTCTGGCGGCATCGAAATCAATGGTGGGGATGGTTACAGACTCACGAATGTTGTAGAATCTTTGCACGGGCTCCGAGGCAACGTTAAAAGAAGAAGATCCCTTCTTCTTGAACACGGAATATTTACGATTTTCAGTTTCATTGGAGAAGATTTCTTCATTGATTTGGAAGGTTTTACCTTCAATGTCAAATTTGGAAGGTCCATTGGCTACGGAGGTGGATGTGAAGGAAATTGGGAGAGTCTTGAGATCTTTCAAGGGGAATTTGTGAGGGGTTTTAATGATCCAAATTTCCTTATTGCCCAAATCTTTGGGGAATGAAGACGCAGGTTTCACCTTATGGAAATGTTTTGGTGGTTGGAAGGCCATGTCCTCGGTATCTGAGCCGGAATCGGAGTCTGCCACATAGGTAGACGATTTGTATGCTGGCATATTTAAGGTGAAATAGGGGGGAGTGTTGTTGGTGGTTAATCAACTTGATGTTCTTTTGAACTTTCATCTCTTCTCAAGAAAAAAAAAAAAAAAAAGAGATAAAAAAAATAAATAAGAATTTCGATCACGTGAGAGTCTGTGAATGGAAGAAATGTTTGGGATGTGGATATTTTCTCCCCTGTTTTTTTTTTCTTATAGACGAGGGTAGGAGGTGAGGGGGCTTGAACATGTGAGGAGAAAGGAAAAGCTTGTATTATATAAACCGGTTTAATTAATAGAAATAAACTTCAATTATTGTCATGAATGGAAGTCATTTAAGATATAAGAGGGAGTGTATATAAATTAGATGTGAGGAAAATTCCTGTATGCACCATATGTCCTGTGTAGGAATTATATTCCTTTGCGATGAACTGGGGTCACGTGTGCCGTTGAGCACGGGGACGAAAGAGAGAAATCTTTTGCAACCTCACAGGAGAAATTTCGAAGGAAGGAAATGAGGAGATGACTTACACCGATTCCTGGTCAGGGGAGCAAGGTCCTCACTCCTGGGCATGCCAGTGGAGTGCCAGAAGAATGTAAGCGTAGCAGCTTGCAAACCGCGTAGGGTGGTGGAGACTACTCTCTTCCCCGTGTGACTGTAAGACGCTCCGCTGGCCCCTGCTCGGGGAGAGCCACTGCGTGGTGCCTGGCTCCTCTCCGAGGAGTCCTCTAGTGTCGCGTAACCGTGATTTCCTCACTAGAGGAACAAGGCCACCACGGCTAGTGGCCCACGGAGTGCCAGCGGAGCGGCTTGCAAACCCCGTAGGGTGGTGACCACTCTCCTCCCCGTGGGACTGTAAGACGCTCCGCTGGCCCCTGCTCGGGGAGCCACTGCGTGGTGCCTAGCTCCTCTTCGAGGAGTCCTCTAGTAGTCAGATCTTCCTCGCTAGAGGAACAAGGCCTCCACGGCTAGTGGCCCACGGAGTGCCAGCGGAGCGGCTTGCAAACCCCGTAGGGTGGTACCTCCCTTCCCTGTGGGACAGCAAGACGCTCTGTTGAGTTTCCTATCCAATTCTTCGCTGGAGGAATGGAGACCACTCATCCTCAAAAAAATTACCCCAGTCAAATTATACGAAGTTGTCAAATCTCGCTTCCCTAAAAGAAATCCATGCTTAAATTTGCCAAGCCTTTTACTGTGGAGATTCCCAAAAAATTCCGACTGTTGTCTTCGAAACGTGACCCATTCGTATGTTCTTCTGTACCTTGGCTTCCAAGTTATTTGTTTTTTTTTTTCTTATTTTTTTTTTTTCCGGTTGCACTGCCTCATTGAGTTTAACGTTTTGTATTGAGCCGTTCGGTGTCATAGCCGATATCTAAAGTTTATTGTGATAAACTATGGCGGCTGAAAATGTAAAACACTTCATGACGCGAACGTCATGATATATGGAATTGTTATCTGGGAAACACCTTGTATAGGAAATGAGTTTGATATACTACCTTCACATCAATTGGAATGAACGTCAGCGCTTATGTAATACACATACTATATATACAGGACGTGTATTTCAAGTTTCAATTATTATTATTTACATCTATCTACCCAATATCAACTAACTTTATAAACTATTTGTGGTGATTACTATGAACTGATACCCTCCCTCCCTCAAGCTTCTGTTTCCTTTCTTTCCCCCTTTTGCCTTTCTTTCATGATTCCTTCCCTTTTCAATCCCTTAGTCAACTATGACTACAGCCTTTCGTATTCGTAAATATTTCTTCAAATTATCCTTTATGCATGACTCGACCTAAATTCCCCAAATGCGCGCTTATATAATCGCAGTTTATCTCCGTCTATGATGCATAGACCTCGAATCTTTGTCCGAACAACGATGCATCGATAGACTTGTATATATATAGTAAGGATCTCCCCCACTCTCAGGATAAGATTTTGTCCTGTTCAACCTCTTAACTTTATCCCTTCCTTCATTTATTACTACTTTTAATGTCAAACGGGTTTCTATCGGTCGGTGCAGGAATTGCTGCAAGTGTGTTTTTAGCTCTCTATACAATCTTCACCATCTTAACTGCACTTATTGTCTACAGAGTTGGTTGGAAAACTCAATATTCATTTCTCCTATTCTTTGGAGTGTTACGTCTTGGAGGCCAAACGTGTGGGGTTGCATTTGCCAAATTGGGGATCGAACATTATCAATGGTTGATTGCATATTTGGTACTTTCTGCTGAAGGTTATTTCACACTTGTGTTAACTTGTTTCCATTATCTTGCCAAGGCCCAAATTGCCCAATATGGATCCTCATGGATAAGACCTACTCAAGAAGAAATGGAAATTAGAACCAAGGGTCAAAATTATTTCCGTGCTACCAATACTAAAATGAGTACTCCTTCAGCAATCTTCCATACTATTTTAATTCCTGCCAATGCCATTCTTATTGCTGGTGGGACCATGCTCACGGGGATGGATGCAGATCAATTAGCCACCCATTCATCCAAATTGATGACATCCAAACTCTTGAGATGTATTGGTCAATCCATTTTCTTGGCTGAAACAGTGATATTGGTTTTACTTACTCTTTATGTTTTCAAAAGAGAAAAAGTGACTCTGTACACCATGTACGCTTTATTTGCCGCTTATCCCTTCTTATTAGTAAGAGGGGCATTTGGAGTAATGTCCATCTTTCTTGATAAAATGAATTATTTCTTGATGTCCAATTATGATGAAAATGGATTATCTTCATATTTTGTTGCCTGTGAATATACCATGGCAACCACTATGGAGTTCATTGCTGCCTCCATTCTTATGTCCAACTATTATATGACTCGATATATTAACAAGAGAGGTAGTGTAATACAAGAGGATGATGAAGAAAGCTCCACTGGTGATAGACAATACAAATAATACTATATACACTTTTATACACTAATTATGCAATACATTTAATATGACCATAACATCTAGTAACCACCGTGGGGCCACAGAGTACCAGCAGAGAGGCTTACAAGCCCCGTAGGGTGGTGACAACTCTCTTCCCCGTGGGACTGTAAGACGCTGCTCGGGGAGAGCCACTGCGTGGGGCCTGGCTCCTATTCGAGGAGTCCTCTAGTAGTCAGATCTTCCTCGCTAGAGGAACAAGGCCACCACGGCTAGTGGCCCACGGAGTGCCAGCGGAGCGGCTTGCAAACCCCGTAGGGTGGTGACCACTCTCCTCCCCGTGGGACTGTAAGACGCTCCGCTGGCCCCTGCTCGGGGAGAGCCACTGCGTGGGGCCTGGATCCTCTCCGAGGAGTCCTCTAGTGCCCCGTGACTTCCTCGTTAGAGAAACAATGCCTTCACGGCTAGTGGCCCACGGAGTGCCAGCGGAGCGGCTATCTTACCCTGTAGGGTGGTGGGTCTATCTACAACACTGTTACCTTGAAATGTGATATTTTACTGTATAAAATCTATTAAAATGTTCTATCTAACCAAAGATAGAATAACCCGGATATTTAAAATGAATGACGTGGATGAATTGAATAGAATGGATGGATGAACGATATGTTCCTCCCTGTGTAACTTTTTTTAAGGAGATGTGGAGTAGGGAGGTTCTTCCCCTCCATTGTCGTTTCGAGCCCGGCGCGCGAGCTTTTCTCTCTCTTTTAATTTTATTTAATTTTATTTTTAGAATTTTTTATTTTTTTTTTGGCCTGATTTTTATTTTCTTGAAAGAAGTCTCTTGAGAGTACCACCAAGGGTATTTTTGTTTGTTTCAGGTGTGTAATTGACAGTAGCGTCGACTTGAACCAACAAAGTGATCTCGTACCCGGTAGAGTTACGTGGACAAATCAGAGTTGAGTTTTTGTTTTCACCTTGGAAATAAACTCCATACTCTCCTCGGTACCCAACTTCAGGACAAGCCAAGAATTTGGTGGAATTTTGGTATGATAAAAGAGATTTTTCAATCCCAAAATGTTGCGAAGCATTTGATGGAGCTGAGGTGGAAACAAGTCTATTGAATTTATCAACATAAACACTGTCAGAAGATGGAGAATCAGTGGCATTTGCTGAAGCATTTGCCTTTGGAATGTTTAAAATGTATCCTCCATTTGCTCTAATACGGCCGAAAAAGGCCTTGTCATCAGCTCCAAGTAAGAGTTCATGTCCATCAAACTTGACCAAATTGTATTGGAATTGTGCTCCGTTATGAACTGCAATCAATGAAAACACTGGAGAAGAAGGTTGATAGAATCTTTTTAATGGTGCTGCCAAGGCAGTGGCACTTAAAAATAATGACAAGATGAAAATATTGAATATGTTGTGCTGCATAATGATCGATATATATGTGTGTATGTGTTAATGGTAAGTGAGGAATGATCCAGGAAAGGGATCCGTTTCTCTTTTATAAGATATATTCTCTCGAGATCATTTCCGCAGCATCCAACGAAAAGTTCTATTTTTGCCCGAAAGGGGATAGCAAATGGGCGTGCGGCTCATGCACTCGAAATTGCACCCTGCGGCTCGATTAAGGATGATCTGAGAATGTTTTTTTGGTATCTTGGACAGACAAGCCATCTAGTTGAAACAATAACATTGAACTGGTTGATCTGTTTTGTCCGCAAAGGGTTAATACTTGGCTTGAAGTGGTGCGAGTGGATAAATATTATTTTGAATACCCCACCACCACCAAAGATTACTATTTTCTCTACCTCCTATATACTTGACACCCACAAGGGTTGACCTCCTTCGTAGAGATAGTTTTTTTTTATTTATTTTTTTTTTTTGATCTACATCGTTTTATTATATGATTGCGCTGTAGTTTGTCAAACATTTCTCAACGAATTAGCAACAGAATTCCCCATTTGGGCCTTAGAAACCCTTGATTGAATCTATACATGATGTATATATGTAACTCAGAGCCTCTTATACCCCCTTTTTCCCACATGATACTACTCATCATTCCGTTTTCATCTGGAACTTTTCTCGAAAAGTACAGTCACGTCATATTTTTGGCTGGTCGTGTTCAATGCCAATTATATAGCGCTACAGGCACGCTTTCATACAGGAAATGCAGTTGAAGGGGTTAAATTGATTAAGATCAAAAATAGAAACAAAGTTCTTTAATTAGAATAAAAGTTGTACAGACATGAATCAGTACTAGACTTTTACATCTTATGTTAATGATTGATTAGATTTTATGGATAATACATGTTGTACTTTGAACATGATCATGAAGAATTCACACACCCCCTTCCAAAAAAAAAAAGCTAATGTATCACAAAGTTGTATGCACACCATCACGTCTAGAGCCACCACCCCCCAAATAAAAGGATTAGCAAATCATCGGGGAAGAGAGTAGCCCCCCATAGATGCCGGAGCCTCTCCCCAAGCAAGAACCAGTGGATTCAAAGAACTCACCTTGCTTTCAACAATAAAATTTAAAGTTTGTTGGACCCTTACCTTTATTTAATATATCACCATGTATCACGTGCCTCGTGGTGTGACTCGCACGTGACAGAAAATATCTCCGTCTTTTCTTTTTCATCTATCTCCGTATTGAATTCTCCGATTTTTATCGCAATATTCTTCGGAGATTTGGAAAAAAAAAAATAAAAAGATTTTATTTTAGCGTGGGGGGAAGGCATTTATTATTATTATTATCATCATATACCCTCCACTTTCTCCTCTATTTACCCTTTGAACCAATAAACAGGTGATTTCCTTTTCCTATTAGCGCCTCCACGAGAAAAAATTGACTTCTTTTTTTTTCCCTTTAATAAAAAAATTACTGTAAAACTCAAACTGACGGTTCATCCGACTTTCGCCGGGATCTTAAATCTCCAGATCTTGATTAATCTCTCATCTCTATTAATGACCAGATCTTGTACTAATTCTTCTACATTAATCTCTCATCTCTATTAATTAACAGATTCTCCGTAAAAATACATACATAAATAAAGTTACTATCAATTTGCTTACAATTCAACAGCCTTTGGACAACCCAAAGCTTGCTTTAAAGAACCGTAGATGGTGAATTGCAAGGAGGTCAAGGTACCAACCATAACCAATCTGGTTGGCAAACCGGCGAAAGAACCGGCGAAACCTAATTGCTTGGCCAATTGGATCAACAAACCAACAGTAGATTGACCTGGAGCCTTCTTGGTCTTGTTGACCTTGGACAACAAGGTGTCAGCTGGTTGGGAAACAACAGCAGCGGAACAACCAGCAATGACACCGGCAGCCAAGTTGACGGCAGTGTTAGAAGAGGTGGACAATTCGGTCTTTGGAGTTGGGATGGCAGTGTAGATGGCTTCAGCAGCACGTTCGAAAACAAGGAACTTAGCAATGTTGTATGGAATTTGCTTGAACAAAATTGGGGTGAAACCGTTGTAGAAAGAACCAAGACCTTCTTCCTTGAAGATTCTGGAGAAACCACCAACTAAACCGTTGGCGAAAGTTGGTTGAGAAACCAATCTAATTCTAGTGGCTTCCAATGGACACAAGGCAATGTCAGCAAAGAATTCAGCAAGAGCAGCAGAACCAATGTAGATGGAGTTCTTGTATTGCTTGGCGGTGTCCAAACCAATTTGTTCAATGAAGGTCTTCTTGAACAATTCGTAACCACCAAACTTGAAGGCACCTTGCATGGAGTAACCCAAAAGAGTTGGGCCCAAACCGGTCAAAAGAGCACCGGCACCTTCGGCAGCAACAACTTGCTTGATGGAGCCGACCATACCTCTGTTGTAGACGGTTGGTTCCAATTGGATTCTGGTCTTGACAACATCAATTGGAGTCATGGCACCGTGGGTGGCACCACAACCAATGGCACCAGCAAGGGCGAAAGAGGCGTAGTCACCGACAGTGAAGGATGGCAAAGTTGGGGCGGTTGGAGTAGACATGACGAATAGGTGTGTGGGGTGGAAAAGTCTAGTAGATTAGTCTGTTGAAGGAGAGAAGTAAAATTGCAAACTTTACTCGTGAGGATTTTCCTCTTCTTAAGTGTCGAATCGGTCAAATTCGGGCCCCGTGTGCAGGCGGTTCCGGGCGCGTTTTGATTGGTCAGCTTCGATTACCGCATTGGGGAGCGAAAAAGCACGGGGCCAAGCAAGATCAACAAGTAAAGGGTTAGATATTTCTAATGCGAAGGGTCTTTTATGGTGTGGTTTGCAATGTATGTGCATGTCTTGGCATGGACTGGGTTTGGTTTTGGTTTCGATTTCAATTTATTTTATATATTTTACCCGGATCATTCTTTATTGTCAGATCATACCTTTTGCCGGTTGAAAGAATTTTTTTTTTTTTTTCACAACTGTTTATTTTTTTTTTTTGGTGTGGATTATATTTAGCACGTGAGGGATGAGCAATGAAGTTTAAGAGTATAACAGTGTATCATAAGAGGATACTATAAGAGTATATCGGGCAAGAGAATAAATAGGGGTAGTTGGCAAGAGGAAAATAGGGGGTGGGGGTTCTTACAATTAAGGTAAAGATGTCTTAAATCTACTGCATTGACATCTCTTTTATACTGTTGCAGCAATTTCGCAGCCAAATCAGAATTCACTCAAGTATTCAATTTCTATAGTCTATGGAATAAATTGTCATTATTGGAACCTTGGGACATTTGGGATGTTGGGTAATCCTGGTGCGGCAAAAGATGGTGATTTTGGGAGTGATGGTGGAGCTTGAGGAATTGAAGAAGGAATTATTGTTGGAGTGGCAGTTGATGGTTCATTTTCTGGTGTTAAACTCGTTTCCTTCTCTGCTTCTAATTTTGTCTCTTGATCTTTCTTTTCAAATAAGATCCGAAGAATCTCATTATTCCCCAATGCTAACATGGCTGCTCTTTGTCCTGCAACCTTTTTATGTACATCAGTGGCTTGTGCCAATACTAACCCATCAACAACCACTGTCACAGTATGTTCAGAATTATTTCTCGAATACTTATAAACGGGAACCAATCGTTTACTTTGTAAAAGTTCATGAAGATTCTTTTTAGCAAACGCATTCAATGGGGCAAATGCTGGTTGAATCGTGTATGGTTGAGGTTGTGGAGTCGATTGACCCATTGTGGACGCATTTGGGGTCCTCCCCGGTGGTAATGGTGGGGCATATGCATTTGCACCCGGTGGTGGTGGCGGTGGTAGGTACAGTTTCTGTTGTGGTGGTATAGTTGTAGCATTTGTAATGGTTGGAGTAGTTGATTCAGAATCAACTTTATGTGAGGGTGAATCCAGTTCAAAAGTTGGTTCATATTCTTCTTCTTGATTATTTAAATTTTGTTTTCTTTCTAATTCCCTTTCCCTTTCTATTTCTTGTCTCTCTAACAAAATCTTATCGATTTTCTCCTTATTTCTAAATGCTTGCTCTGCAGCTTTATTTATGGCTTCTTCTTTGGAACTACTAGTACCAACTCCTAAAACGTCATCTCCAAGTTTAACTTCAATCACTATGGAAAATTCATTCTCAATTCCCGAATATATGATTTCATCCTTACCAAAAAGAAATTCTAATTCATTTTTATAAAATATTTCCATTGGATTATGTTTAGAATGGAACTCTTCCATGATTGGCTTGTACAACTTGCGTAACCAAGCCTTGATTTCCTCGTAATTATAAGTGAATTCCAGAGGGATATGTGGATGCTTGTCCCTTTTAGAAGGTACAAGTCCTGCAATGTATGCCAAGAATAAATTACTCAAGATTTTCAATTTAGATTCAATTTCAAGTCCATTCATGGTTACTGAATAATTCAATTCCAGTACAAGATTATAACCCAAGGCAAATTTTGTAAGAATGGTGGGACTCACCAATTTGTACAGTAATAAATATAAATCATCTTCGTGTAACGTTGGGAATTTTTCATCAACTAGATCCATAACACAACATTCCAAGATCTTCTGTCCTCGAAGTGCATATTTAGCGTTATGTCTTTGACTGAAATCATCAGCATTAGCCAGTTCCAAATAATCTGATGGTTGACGGAATGATTTATCGGTCAACACTTTGTTTAAGATTTGTTGTCCATTGACCGGGTCAATGGGTGGTAAGGTGGGTGGGTATTCCAGGCCCGGGTAAGTCGGTTCTATTCTTCTAACAACTCCCTTTTTGATTAGATTGAATTCTTCCTTACCAATGTCCTTGGGAGGTGAATAATCCAAAAGATATGATACCCATTTGTCTGCATTCTGTGATTTGAAGTTCACCTTGTTGATTAATGCCAACAAGGGTAATCGGTCGTCATTATACAACTCCTTTAATCGGATTCCAACTTTTGCCTGTGGCGTATACAAGAGACTCTTTGCCTTCTCGGCCAATGGTTGATTGGGGTTTCTGGATTCTAAATCTTTTTCAAGCAATTCAAATTGGTGTTTTGATGGAGCTCTGGCAATGATACTATTGATTGAGGATTGAAATTGGGATACACATCCTTTCAAGGTGTGAAGATCATCACACCAACCTAATATATCTTTCTTTGTTATCAGCATGACTTATCTCACTCGTCTTGTTTTGGTTTTTTTCTCTGTCTTGTTCGAGAGAGTCTGTTTGCGTGTGCTTTTTTTAGAAATCAGGGGAAGGCTTTTTTTTTTTGCAGAATATGAAAAAGAGTCAGTCAATAAGAAAATGGAAAGTAAAATGAAGTGAAAACAAAAAAAAAATCCCTTTCCCAAATAACTACAAATTGGGGAAAAGAACAGGGGGACACAAGAAGAGATCCAGATAGATCAGCAAGTAGACAGCAATAGGAAAAATTGATTGATCGCTCTCGAGATGATCGATTAGTATCCTATCTCTTGAATCTATAATTGGCTTAAAACAAAAGATTAGATTGTTATTTTTTCTTTTGTGACCTCCAAACTTTAGAAAAGAAAATTATTACTTTGTGTGATGTTTATATGTAGGATCTGAGAATTAAAAATGAAAAGGTGATTTGTAAGCAGGGGCAAATGCTTATGTCATAGTAGTAGAGAGATATGATACACTACCCTACGGGGTCATCAAGCTGCTCCGCTGGCACTCCGTGGGCCACTAGCCATGGGGGCCCTGTTCCTCTGACGAGGAATCCACTCGGTGATGGAGAAAGTCTCCTCGTAGAGGAGCCAGGCCCCACGCAGTGGCTCTCCCCGAGCAGGGGCCAGCGGAGCGTCTTACAGTCCCACGGGGAAGAAAGTAGTCACCAGCCTACGGGGTTTGCAAGCCGCTCCGCTGGCACTCCGTGGGCCACTAGCCGTGGGGGTCTTGTTCCTCTGACGAGGAATCCACCCGGTGCTAGAGAAAGTCTCCTCGTAGAGGAGCCGGACCCCATGCCAGTGGCCCTCCCCGGCAAGCGGCCAGTGGAGTGTCATATAGTTCCAAAGCCACAAGAATGGACCGACCCGCTAGCAATCCCGCCCACTTGTCCCCAATCGGAAAATTCTCTGCTCCGATTACACGGCCCGTATCTATCTGCTACACCTCCAATTCCTTCATATAGCCCTACCGAAATTACACTACTTGACGATGAACCTTAAACGGTTCCATTATCAATTGCCCGTTGTGCAGGCTGCGGCAATAGGAAAATATTTTATTTCTCCATCACCCTCCTCAATCGTACTTGGATTGCTTCTCTCTTGGCTCGCCAATCATATATCCTGCCCACCGTAGTAGCCCTCATTGCCAACCATGTCTATAAATTCTCCTCCTGGTGCACTCCCTCTTTATCCTCTGTTCTGTGGCCTGGCCCCGCCCCTTCTATATTCTTCTCCGCGATAAGAAAACTTTCCCGCGTATTGAGAAAAAAACATTCTTAATCTACCATCCTACTGATTGGGCCATTACCCGCTAACTACTCATTTATCTCTAGTGCATGCACTCGCATACTGGAAGACCCTGGTTGTAAAGCAGACCCTGTCCCATGCTTGACCCGTACGTCATTTAAATCAATATACTTCGAAATGAAATGTTCCCCCGTATTATTGACGTGTCTCACCTCCTACACCTTCCTAAAACAGCACTTGCCTTTGTGGAGGTGATTTCCTTATCGCAAGAAATCCAGTACCCGCTAACCAACCACCCGTTCTTCATACACATTACTACTGCTACTGCAGATCTATCCTCTGGCGGGATCCGTACTCCTCGGATCTGCATTCCTGCGCTACCCGCTAACGTCGTAAAGTCCTCATGCATGTCAATTTAATCTAAGTGTATGCCCTAGACAACCCGCTTGCCGCTTGCCACTTGCCATATATTAAATAAAAGGGTCGATCCCGCCTCTCTAATTAATTTTTTAATTTCCACAAAAATTATTATTATTGCCCGACCGTACGGCACTAGCCAGAAGCAACCTACATATATATTATATATATATACACACAAACACTTAAATATAATTTTTTACACCTATCTCCCGTGTATCTGTCCCTAGTTCCAAACCCTTCAACCTGTCTGCCAAGCCGTCACTTGTCCTGTCAGTGTCAAACAAGCAGCCTTTGTTTTTTTTTCTTGGTGTTACGTCAAAAATTTCTTTTCGAGCAACCCACAGAGAGAGAGAAAAAAAAAAAAATTTTGACACCACCACCTAAAATTCCATCCCAAGTGTATCAGTGCTCCATTCTTGCCCCTAACTCAGCATGGCCGGAACTTACGACGACGAGGATTACATCCCGGGAACTGTGAACATTTTCGCGTCCAAGTACGAGGACGACGCCGGACCCGGCGGTCAGCCACTCAAAAAGAACAAAAATGGAGTCATTCTTCTTCCACAACCTTCAGACTCACCCAATGACCCACTCAACTGGTCTCTCACCCGGAAAATGTGGCACTTTGCCCTCGTCTCGTTCATCACCGGGTTGACCGCAGCCACGTCCAACGACGCCGCAGCCGCCCAGGAGTACTTGAATGATCTCTATGGGATCACATATGATGCCATGAACACTGGGGCCGGGATTTTGTTCATTTTCATTGGTTGGTCTTGTATATTTTTCGCCCCAGCTTCATCCTTGTATGGCCGTAGAATCACCTATTTGATCTGTCTTCTTTGTGGATGTTTGGGTTCGGTATGGTTTGCCAAATCAAACCGAACTTCAGACACTCTTTGGTCTCAAATGTTTGTTGGGATGTCTGAATCTTGTGCCGAGGCTCAAGTGCAACAATCCTTGAGTGATATTTTCTTCCAACATCAATTGGGTGGGGCCTTGACCATTTATATCTTGGCCACATCTGTTGGTTCCTTCTTGGGTCCCTTGGTGGCCAATTTCATTGCTCAGGGCATGGGGTTCCGTTGGATTGGTTGGTGGGGTGCCATCATCTGTGGAGCAACCATGATTGTAGTTTTCTTTACCTGTGAAGAAACTGTTTTTGACCGGACAAAGTATATCCCGGTGATTGACTCCTCATTCCATCAAACATCCTCCAATGAAAATTCTCAAGATCTTGAAGATTCCTCGGAAAAGAATGAGAAACTCCACCAACACACTTCTCCACGGTTACTCACAGTGGAGACAACCCATAGAGCCCATCCCGAAGAAGAAGAAGATACCACCATCGATGCCACCACTGGTGGTGCAAATGCCAACAATTTGGAAACTGGCGTGGTTTCTGCCCAAGATGAGAAAATGCATCCTTATTGGAAAAGAATTGCCATCATCACCCCATCCAGTTATTTGGAAGGATTTGGATTCAAACAATACATCTTCCGGTTTGTAGTATACTTTAAGGTTTTCACCATTCCTGCCGTGTGGTTCTCGGGACTCTTGTGGGGGCTTCAAGACGCATACATGACCTTTTTCTTGACCACCCAAGATGATTATTTCTCCTCTGACCCTTGGAATTACTCTGCCAATGGTGTTGCCATCATGAACGTGGCTACCTTGATTGGTGCCGTGGTTGGATGTTTGATGTCGGGTGTCTTTTCCGACGTCCATGTCTTGTGGCTTGCCAAACGTAACAACAGTGTATTTGAGCCTGAAATGAGATTATGGCTTCTTTTCATCACCTTGATCATCTCTCCTATGGGATTGATCATGTTTGGGGTTGGCGCTGCTCGTCAATGGCCCTGGCAAGTCATCTACGTTGGTTTAGGGTTCATTGGGTTTGGTTGGGGGTCCATTGGTGACACCGCCATGTCCTACTTGATGGACTCATACCCGGAAATCGTCATCCAGGGGATGGTTGGTGTTTCCATTATCAACAATACCCTTGCATGTATCTTCACCTTTGTGTGCAGCAAATGGTTGGAAGCCTCTGGTACACAAAACACCTACATTGCATTGGCTGTGATTGACTTTGTGTCGATTGCCACCATTGTGCCCATGTTCATATGGGGGAAGACATTTAGAAAGAAGACAAAGAGACTATACATCAAGTTGGTTGAGTTGTCTCAAGGTATGTAAAGTGGATAATATAATGTAAATTAATGGAATAACGACACTGTAGAGAGATACCCATACTATTGCGAACCCCGTAGGGAAGTGGTAATCATCCTAGGGCGGGTTGAAAGCCGCTCCGCTGGCCCCTGCTCGGGGAGAGCCACTGCGTGGTGCCTAGCTCCTCTAGGAGGAGACTTCTAGTCAAGGGTAATTCCTCGTCAGAGGAACAAGGCCGCCACGGCTAGTGGCCCACGGAGTGCCAGCGGAGCGGCTTGCACACCCCGTAGGGTGGTGACTACTCACTTCCCCGTGGGACTGTAAGAGCTGGGTCCCTACTGGGGGGGCAGCCACTGAGTGGTGCTTAGCTCCTCTATGAGGAGTTATCTAGTTCCCAAGGCTAGTGGCCCACAGTGTATCGTCGGAGCGGCTTGTTAACCCCGTAAGGGGTAATGTTTTACATCAACACGGGAAATTATATCTTTTATTTACTTATTATTTAATACACTTTTAATCTAAGGTCATCTCGTCATTGCCAGAGGCTTCTGGAGCGGCAGTTGGTGCAGACTCCACTTGTGGAGCAGAGTCAACTGGAGTTGTAGATGGGAGATTGGCCAGCTCACCGGCCATGTATGCGTTAAGTTCGTTATCCAAATCATCAACAGACTTCTTGACCGGCTTGGGACGAGCCTCTCGTGGCTCACGGCCCTGTTCACGTTCTCTACCGCCTCTGGAGGCACCATTCCCACGTCTTCTGTCTCTTCTGGCCGGGTGCGAGTCTGGGGCTCGTTCGCCTCTGAAATCACCCCTCAGTCTGGAAGGAAGAACAATACGGTCTGCAAGAGAAGTGGTGCTTTCCACCACAAGGTCACGACCCATAGCCTTCTTCCCATCAAACTTGGAAATGGCCACGGCATTGTGTCTGGCATTGTCGCTTTCAAAGCAAACGTACGCATTGTCCTCGTCAGCAGGGTCAAACTTGACAAACTCCACTGGAGCAATGCCATCAAAGAGCTGAGATAAATCTTGTCCAGTCAAATCTTCGTGGATGTTTTTAATTCTCAACAACGGTCTACCAGCAGCCAAGGCTAAGATCTCACGAGGTATGGATCTTCCCTGGGGTCTTGGGTGTCTAGCACGTGGAGCGCCTCCACGTCTATCCCCGCGTCCACCGTCATTACGGCCCTACAGCGTGTTAGTAAAGTGAAAATTAATAAAATTAACAGAAATTTTGAAGGGTTGTATCCGCCAAAGACGGCGTTCTCCACCTTCTGTGGTACATACTGGCTTGTTCACTCTGGCACGGTTATTGTTACGTCTCTGGCCGCCAGAAGGACGGGAAGGTCTCTCGGACTTGTGCTCGCCGATTATTTCGTCTAAAGACTTTTCCAAGATTGGATTGGACATGTTTATTTTATTGATTGATCTATGGTATTTCCCTTAATCTAAACTTTAACGTTGTCGTCGATATGAGATGAAAATGGAAACATGGTGGAAAAACCGACTCGCGGTCACGTGAATTCCTTTTTTAGAAGATTGATCAATTCAATTCCGGTGTAGTGTCCCAATATTAAGAAAATGAATGTATGGAATATATTCTCTGAAGTTTAAGTATAGAAAGATGATGTGAAGAATGGGATTGTGAGGTAGAAGTCACTAATTTTAAAGTTTATGTAATTATAAACTTGAATTTAAAATTTTGATTCTGTGATACACCAATAGAAAGTTCCCCTGGCCGTTACTCGGAGAGAGAGGATATTCTGACATTGTGACTTTTTTTCTAAAGGAGCAGGCTTCTTATAAGATCATGGATAACAGACTGTCATAAGCTTTCTTTTAAATTGGATCTAGATATCAAGTAGTTCCAGAATTTGAAGCAATTTTTGAATGTGTATCTTTCTTGTTCCTCTCTTCAGATAACACGATGAGTTCTCTAATTATAATGTAGTAGGAGTTCATCTACAGGGGTTTAACTTATAATTCTTATAATATTAATTTATTGTTTGTATGTATAAAAATATAAATTAAAAGTGAGGTACCAGACTCTCACTTGAGTCGCCTATACTTGACTTTTGAAACCCTCTTGGTAGCCAAATGATTGGCCCAAGTGATTTGTTTCAAAGTTTGTCCCGTCTTCATTTGAATCATTGTCTCCTCGGGGGCCCGGTTTACATGAGGTTTCTTGCAAACAGAATCCTCAAGAATAGATTTATTGAAAGACTTATTCTCAAAGAGATTCTTCTTAGCATTTGATTTATTAGAAATCTTAGCTGGAGGACTCTTGTAGGGTATCCCCTTAGTAGAAACAATTGTTTCTGCAGGGAGAATATCAGGAACTTTCTTGGGAAGAGATTTTCTAAGAACAGTAGACTTCTTAGAAGTAATCACCTTCACAGTTGGAACCTTTCTAACACTAAGATGTTCAGCCCAAGTTTTTTTGGGTACTGAAGGCAATTGAGGACCCATTCCAAGTAGATGGACTATGCTGACAAGCTCATCAAAGTCAGAGTACCAAGGTGTTGTGATCTCAGCAGACTCCGATTGAACAGGTCCAAAGCCAAGTAGATGGACAATGTCCACTAACTCATCAAAGTCAGAGTACCAAGGGGTCGAGATCTCAGAAGACTCCGATTGAACAGGTCCAAAGCCAAGTAGATGGACTATGCGGACAAGCTCATCAAAGTCGGAGTACCAAGGTGTAGTGATCTCAGTGGGGTCTGATTGAGTAGGTCCAAAGCCAAGTAGATGGACAATGTCCACTAACTCATCAAAGTCAGAGTACCAAGGTTTGTGACATTCCACAGAAGCTGGTGCGCAAGTAACTCGAGTACAAAAAGAATCCAGTTGGTCAACTAATCCGAGAAAGTTGACAATCTCAACCAACTCATCAAAGTCATAATACCAGGGGTCACTTGAGTTGATGACATGAGTTTCAACCCTTTGACTAAGATGTTCAGCCCCGTTAATTTTCTGGACTGAAGTTGACTTAGGAGCAAAACCAAGAAATTGAACAATATCAACTAACTCATCAAAAGATAAGCATTTGTCTTCAAGATCATCAAGGTCTTCAAGGGAGAAGGGTAGGTCGAAGTAATAGTCAGAATCCTTAGATTCGACGATGGGTGGAGCTTCGACTTGAACTTCAACTGAAACAATCGTTGGAACAGCTTTCCTAAGAATGGTAGTCTTGTTCTTTAATGCCTCCTTCTTTGGTGCCTCCTTCTTTGGTACAACCTTTTGAATACTAAGATGTTCAGCCCAGGTGAGTTTGCGGACTGGGGTTGATTTGGGAGCAAGGCCAAGAAAGTGAACAATGTCAAGTAGTTCTTCGAAAGTCAAGTATTTGTCATCTTCAATTTCTTCAAGGCCAGGCTCCAATGTAGAATCAACGTCAGACACTAAAGCTTGAATCTCAACAGGTTCAGCAGGTGCCATTGAGGTTCGACCAAGACCAAAGAAATCTACCCGGTCAACCAGACCAAGAAAGTTAACTATGTCAACTAGTTCATCAAAGTCATAGTACCAAGGTTTAGAAATCTCTTGTTCACACTCAGAACTTTCATCACAAATTGGAATTGTGGAAAGTTCAATGGTTGGCGAGTTGAATTGTTCGAAGAATTCATCCGAATAATCCACATGGCACAATTGATCATATTCACAATTGACAGAAATATCACATTGTGTCTTCTTAACCACCCCGACCAAGCCAGCTTGCTCATCCTCAGAAGACTCTTCATTGACCACATCGAAAATTTCAGCAACTTCGTCCAGCGAATTTCCTGAGTCAATTTTATTGTTCTTACAATTGTTAGGCAGTTGAGGAGGAGCATCAATGTAGTTCATAAAGAATGAAACTTCAAACTTGTAATATGGCATTCCGGAAAACACGGAAGAAGGATATTGAACAAGCGAAAGTCTACATTGATAGTCAGCTCTAGGTTTGGTCCAAGCCAGCTTAGGTGCAAAAGGAGACAAGACATTTCTTGACAAGTATGAGGTTGAAGAAGAGACCAAAGTTGGAGTAGCATTATTTAAAGTGGGGGTTGAAACATTAGTTGATTTTGGATAGGTGGAACCACAAAGATTCAGAGCCAGGGAGTTTCCATAGCAGCCAGCCAATTCAACAATGTTTGAAGTTGATGAGAATACACCTTCATGTCTTCTCAAACCAGTTGAGAGACAGGAAAAATTTTGTTGGAAGGTTTGAGGGTAGGTAGAGCACATTTGAGAGTTTGAGTATAGATCCAAAAAAACTTCTGAAGTTCAATTTTAGGGGGGAATCGGCTCCTTATATAGTACTTTGTGTAATGTTCTGCTGGACCCCTGGGAATATCATTTAGGTAAGAATAGCAAAGACAAAACCACAAAGGAAGGAACAAAAAACGTTCCAAGAGATTCCATGTAGGTCCATGTATGAAAACTTTCCTAGATTGGCATACACAAAACCAATTAGTAAAGTATAGGCAAGAACTTCCAACAAGGGAAAGAGTAGACAATGTTCCACCATATTCCACGCAGATCTAAAAGTGCAAAACCTTCCTCCTCAAGATCCACAGAACCATTTAGTAAAGTATAGGAGGGAAACAACCTTCAACGGCAAGAAGAGGAAGCATTCCAAAAATCACGAAGGTCTATGTGGTCAATTCTTTCCCAAAGAGAAATGACAAGACCTTTTGGTTAAGTATAGTAGAGCAAGGCCAGCAAGGAAAAGTAAAACAATATCCCACCTGTAATACACAAACAAATTTGTATGCCGAAGGGACATCAAGGATATTCTCAAATCCAAAAGGGTAGTTGGCAAATATAAACCACAAATATATGCTGCAAGTTTCCTACTTCAACAGACTCCCAAGGCAATATACATACCTTTAGCAATCCTCAACCAGCTTTCATTCGATTAAACTGATACCATGTCTATGTTACATGTTCTGTAGATACTCTTTGTATTTGTAAGGTAAATTATGCAATGGCCCAGATGTTTGAGGTTGGCATCTTGTAATGACAAATTCATTTTTGAATGTTTTCTGACAAATTTCCTGGGTGAGAGGTGCCATTTAAATAGTACTCAGGGGTAAAAATGTGTGTCACTCGTTGACCAACATAAAGTTGCAGCACTGATCAGATTAGGAAGTTTGTGCAGTTTTGCGTTTGGAAATGGCTGCAAATTTAGTGAGTGCGCGCATACTTTGGGAAATACGGCAAGAATGGTATACGAGCAAACTTTACGGGAAACTGCAGCCAGAAACATTAAATGTGAGCTTACCAGGCATTCCATATTAGGGATGACTCTTATTTCCACCCACGGGGTGGTGACTACTTTCTTCCTCGTGGGACTGTAAGACGCTCCCCAGGCCCTTGCTCGGGGAGATCCCCACGGATAGTGTCCCACGGGAGTGCCAGAAAAGCAGTTTGCTGACACTGTAGGGAATTGAGTGGTTCTCAGGACGCACTTCATTTACAGACCTCTCTTCTTCTCTTTTTTTCTCACTTAATTGTATATTTCTAATCTTCCTATCTCTCAATCACTAATTCTAATTCTGTTTCTTACCGGTGACAGCAACAAAATCGTCATTCTCTTCATATCTAACACCAATCAGTTTCCCTTGTCCATCGAAAACATCAACCTTCTTCAAATAATCTAATCTCCCCAACTTGGGCCAGTTAACAAATTGATATCCTTCCTTGTTCATGAACAAAAGACCTCTAACATTGAAAAAGATAGAAGCACTCAAAACAAGCAAGTTTTGCCAATTGCTCAAGGAGCCTCTAGGGAAGAAAATAACTGCGAAAAATACAAAAATCGAAGTCCCCAATAAATATGGTAATAATTGGATGGTGGGGGGTCTTCTATCGATGAATGGAGAGTTGACAGAATCCTTGTAAGGTTGGTATTTCCCAAGAAACAAATCGTAGGAATCTTGACGGTTCCCGTCCGCATAATTGTTCTTGTAGTAACGGGTGATGGAATTCATCAAGTCGTTAAGAGCACCCTTCTTAGTTCTTTGCCCCGTTCTGGTGTAATCAGTCTTCAAGGCACCAGTGCCAGAATAAGCACATGAAACGGAGTCGGCATTATCGGCCCAAAAGTTTTGGAAAATTGGCAAGAAACTTGGAATCACTACAGCCCATGGAGTCACCGAATTTTCTGGTAAGTATTGAGCCTTGGTAAATTGATTTTGTAAAACCCAACGAGCTAAAGTGGATTGTACCACATTGGTACGATCCAAACAATCCATACAATTTGTTCTAACAATCTTTGTTTGGGTGTTGATGACCTTCTTCAGGGTGAAATCATATTGGAAATATTCTTCACTGGTGTAGTTCAAATCGATTAAATGCTTCAAGAGCAATTCCACTCTATCCCATCTCATGTTACGACATTCATGATGGAAATCAAAATAGATATACTTAACTTTGGAGGCCAAAGATGGTGGTGATAATGTCTCAATGGCAGTTTCAAAAGACTTCTTGACTGGTTCCTCGTAACCGGATTGGTTGACCAAGTTGACACAATAAACGTCTCCATACTTGTCGACTTGATTTTGGAAATGCTTTGAAGTTGCTTCAAGGGCAGGTTTCGATGAAATCACCAAATTTGGCTTATACTTGAGATTATTAATCTCAGCCCAATAAACTGGCACAGAGCCTCTGATTTGAAGGAATGAAAAGATCTGATCGGCATTCGATCCCTTACTGGTGGAGGTAAGAATCTGTTCAGTTTCATTGAAATTTGCTACATTTCCCTCGTCATCGATACCTCTACGGAAATATCTGGTACCGGCACGGTTGACCGATCTACGGGTCAAAAGAGCAAACTCAAAGGTACGATGGTCTGGAGCCTGGATAGGGTGTGATTTAAAGTAACCATAGATTGCAGGGGTGATAAAATGTTGATCCACTGAGGCGGCAATCAAATCTTCACAAAGATAACGATTCCACCAGAATTCCGCTTGCGGTAAAAGAGGGGAAGTGGCGGTATATTGTGCCTGGATAGAGTTTGTCAAATCAAATTTGTTACCAAGACTAAAGTATAAGGTAGCGTTATTCAATTGTTGTTTCAAAAGATTACAATAATGTTTGTCTTCATTCTTTGAAACAGACAGGCCCTCACCAACGGGGATCACTTTGGTGGACACCACTCTGGCGATATCGGCACCCAAGACAGATCCGGTGACAATGTGCTTGTCCACAACAACCACATACCGGTTGAGTTTGAGTTTGATTGTTCCAAGAATACCAGAAACTGAGATACGGGGCACGTTGGCATACACCAGGGGGAGACTGGTTGAAGTTTCAATCAGGTCTCCGCTTAACAAAAGGTGGGTGTTTGAACCATGGTGGGTGAAGATATGGGTGCCATCGGCAGCAATTCCATGTGCAAGCATTGTTGGAGAGGAGTACTGGTAGTAATGGAGACCTGGTATCTGTTTTTTTTTATTACTTTTCCGAGATTTGAACATGTGACGTATCCCTTTAATTTCGGATTACACAAAGCGGGGAGGACAAAACAAAAAGGTTGGACAAAAGGGGTAAGTCTATGGCTGGGGGGAGTTTTAGCAGTGGTGAAGGTGATTGTGATGTAGGGGCGATGGAGTTATAGAGGGGGGAGAGGGATAAAATAAGTGTTGAAATAGGTGTTAAGTGGTAGGCTTTAGATAAATATTATTATACGAGATAAAGAGAATTGATAAGAAAAATTAGACGAATATGGTAAAGACAAAATATATAGAGTTTGTCTATAGAGAGATGTAATAATGTTTTATGTAGCTTATTCTACCCTTTAACATCACTTTATCACTATATATCACCTATATATCACTTATTAATCATGTGTCTATTATGGTATTGAATTCCTCTATCTATATCGCGTGACCTGTATCACCCGCTCAGATCACATGACTTTCCCCATTCAACATATTATGTGGCGAATGTTACCGGGATTGAAACTGTAAACCGGCTGTTTTTACGTCTCTTCTCCGTCTTCGTCGTGTCCGGAACTAGAAAACTTCACGTCACGGTCCTCGCTCTTGATGTGAAACAATTTTCTTTGCTGCTAATTGATAGAATTGGTAGGAATACATAATAAAAGCGTGCTTGCACCTTGGCCTTGATTCTGCCAAATGGAGATTGGGTAGTCGACTGAAGATGGCAAGGAAAAGAAAAGGTATTTACCAATTCTTCCAACTATTAAATAAAAGTGAAGATAGAGATGATGATTCAACTTATTATTCTTGTTGGACTTGTTCTGAAGTGTTAAAGATAACTAAATCATGCAATGGAAATGTTAAAAAATTAACTAGCCATATGAAGAAGCACCCCATTGAAACACAATGTCGTGGCATAGATATACAAAAAGGTCCCCATGATTATTATAAAAAGGTGGGACCTGTACGTAGGGAACAATCAGCGGACAATTTGAATGAGATTGTTGCTGCATACCTTATTTCCTCCAATCTTCCCTTGTCACACGTTGAGTCAAGGTATTTTTGTAATCTAGTTGATTATTTAAACCCGCAAGCACGAAAAGGTTTAGTGAAAAGTACAAAGATCACGAAAATATCAAAAGATTTAGGATCTAAATTCAAGGCTTCCTTAATTGCGTTTATGCAATCAGACTCTGTACTAAAAAAATTTGACAACAGAAGGTTGGACTTCTACCAACAATAAACCTTATACATATATAACAGCAAGTCTATTGATTGTCCTTCCTACTGGTAAATTGAAAGTTAATGATTATCTTCTCGAAATGTATCAATCAAAGAGTCAGGCGGACTTGGCTTTTGACTTTGCTTCACACTACAATCCATACGGTGTTTGGGACAAGACATCTTTTATTTGTACCGATATTCCAGCAGCATGTCTACTATGATTCAGCTGTTACCTGATGCAGCTCTGGAATGTAAGATCGAGCATGTAAGATGTATTTCACATGTCTTAAACTTGATTACAAAAGAATTCTACTCTACGTTGTTTCCTGACAATAAAATTGATGAACTTACTAAGGCAAACACTAATAATAATATCTCCTACATCTTAGATAATACTAGTGAAATCAGTGACACAATTCAAAAGATTAGAAAGTTGGAGAAAAAATTATCTCAATCACCCCAAACGGCTGCAAATTTTGCTCATTTATGCAAAACCAAAGGATATTCAAAAACTAAATTAAGAAAGTTTTGCAAAACAAGATGGAATCTGCTTAGTTTTTTTCTCTCTTCAGCAATTGATTTAGAAGAAATTATTATGTCTCAGGAGAGTTCAATTACGGGTGAAGATTTTGAAAAAATTGAATCAATTGTGAAATTTCTTTCAGGCATTGAACATTTAACAAATATCTTCAATGCGGAGACTCCTAGTGCTTGGCTAATTATAGGATGCTTTAAGGAACTTCGATATCAAATATGTCGTTTCATTGGAAAACCCCTGAGTATTATGGCCTGAATATGAAAAGTGCATTGAATACCAGTCTTAAGAAACTTGATAACTATATGGATTTGCTATTTGTTTCAAAAGAAGGTCAAATGCCTAAACCGTTAGTACTTGCAGCATTCTTTCATCCGTTTTACATAAAATCATTACTGCCTGAGGAATTGAATACAGTGAAAGTATACTTTCAAAAGATTCTTGAGGGTGAGGATGAGACTGATGAGCCCGATGAGACTGACGAAATGGCTTCCAACTGGTGGGGTACCACTTTAGAACGTTCTGATGTATTAACGCCATCTGAGCTTGATACATATTTGATGTCATCTAAGAAAATGGCTACGTTTGCTAGTAGAGACCCAGTTTTTATCTTAGATGAAGAAAAAGAAGAAGAAGAAGAAGAAGAAGAAGAAGAAGAAGAAGAAGAAGAAGAAGAAGAAGAAGAAGAAGAAGAAGAAGAAGAAGAAGAAGAAGAAGAAGAAGAAGAAGTTGATATAGAAAAAGAAAGTGTTAAAGATGGTGACTACAAGAATTTTAATTCCACCTACCTGAAATATATTAATGCTGGAGATGATTTGAATAACATGGAAGTTATCGAAGCATGGATGAGAAGAAGTATACAATACCCAATTTTAAGTAAGTACGCTATAAAGTACCTTTCCATGCCAATATCAAGTACTGCTAGTGAAAGGATTATCACCCCAGATAGAAATTGTCTCTCAGATGAAACCTTTGCGAATGTACAGGTTTTAAAACAAGCGTCAAAAAATATTGATATTGATATGGAGTTAGCTCCATTGGAAAGCTCAGATGAATTCAAATGTAGGATTTTTATGTGATGACATTGAATGGGTTATGTAGAATATGTATGAAGAATAGACAAATCTAAACCAGCTTAACCTAGTTTTGTTTTTGAATTAAGTTGAATAGGCGATTCCTGAGACGGAAGGTCTGGCCCCCCCCTCTCAAAATAAGCAAAAAAAAAAAAAACCAGACGCGGCAACACTAGTGGCAATATACCCTAAAACATCCACCCATCTCTCCCTTCTCTCTATATTTCTCTAATTAATCATGTACAGACTTAGTGGCACCTTGAAGGGTCACGAGCAAGACGTCAAGTCGGTTGTGGCGGTGGATAACGATATAATTGCCTCAGGGCTGCGAGACTCAACCTTGAGAGTGTGGACTCGTGGAGATAAATGGTCAACCACAGATCCAATCATTGCATATCATGCCGAAGGAATCAAATTCATCAATGCCGTGTCATATCTAGACACCCATAGAGTGCTTGCTAGTGCTGGACAGGAGGGAATTGTCTACTTGACCGATATATCAACCATTGGAACGGAACAAGAACCAAGTGCTGCCCTCATTGGCCATTCTATGAATATCTGTTCTCTCACCTACAATCAAGACACCCTTGTGTCATCATCTTGGGATGGTACGGCCATCGTGTGGGACTTGGAGTCACTGTCCCCTCGTCACACTCTCACGGGCCATGAAGGGTCTGTTTGGGATGCAATTGCCCTTGGGAACGACGAATACCTTACATGTTCAGCCGATAGATCTATTCGTAGATGGAGTGGGTCCAAGCAAATTGCCACCTATTTAGGACACACTGACGTGGTTAGAAAGCTTTTAATTCTCCCTGGTGGTCTGAAATTTGCCTCTTGTTCTAACGATGGGTCCATAATCATCTGGGATTTAAATCATGGAGTACAAATAAAAAAGCTTTTAGGTCATGAATCCTTCATCTATGACCTTGCCTCTTTACCCAATGGTGACATTGTCAGTGCTGGAGAAGATCGTACTGTCCGAATTTGGTCTACCGATGACGCCAGTTCAGCCGTACAAGCTATCACTTTACCCAGTGTCTCTGTATGGTGTGTTGATACCTTGCCAAATGGCGACATTGTCGCAGGAGGGTCCGATAAAGTACTCAGGGTGTTCACTTCAAATCCAAGCAGATATGCTGAAGTATCTGAGATTCAACAGCTTTCCGATGATGTCAAGGGATCCACCATTGCTGAACAAACGATGAATGAGTTGAAAAGAACGGATATTCCGGGTTATGATGCATTGACGCGTCCGGGGAAACAAGAAGGTTCCACCATCATGGTTAAAAACCCCACCGGGGTCATTGAGGCACATCAATGGTCATCTGGTGAATGGGTCAAGATCGGAGACGTGGTTGGGTCTGGTGGAGGTTCTGGTTCAGGAAGTGGATCTAAAGTTGAATATTTGGGACAACAATATGATTTTGTGTTTGATGTGGACATTGAAGATGGTGCCCCACCATTGAAATTGCCATATAACGCCAATGATAACCCATATGAGGCTGCAGACAAGTTTCTTTCCGAAAATGAATTGCCGGCCTCTTATAAAGATGAGGTTGTTAATTTCATCATGAAAAATACCGAGGGAATTGAATTGGGTGGGAACAATAATACCGCCATTTCTTCCTCGGCTCCATCGAATGATCCTTATTCCGACAGCTATCAAAGGAAAAAGCAACAAACATCCTCATTGAAAGTAATCCCACAATTGGGGTACGTTTTCTTCAATGAGTACAAGGCAGATCAACTTATTCGTGGACTTACAAAACTCAATTCTGAGCAAGGACCAGAGTTGCAACTAACCGAAATTGAACTTTCCAATGCCTCAGAAAGTTTGAAAGCCTTGACTTCGAAGAAGGCATTGGCTCTTATCACGGATGTGGTCCCAAAAATCATGCAATGGACTGAATCTTCCAGATTGATTGGATACGATATCTTGAGGGTTAGTGTACAGAAAGTAACTACTGTGGATATTTTACAATCGACCACTGCTGCAGAAGTCATCTCCTCGTCAATTAGTTCCGGATTGTCCAACATCTCCGAGACTACGTTACCACTCTTTATGATGCTTCTCAAGTTACTCAGCAATTTAGTTGGTACCACGTTACTTTTCCAACTTTATTTCACTTCGAATGAAGGTGGCAAAGCTGAATTTAGTGAAGATTTTGTCAAGTTGTTACAATCGTTGGCTGATATTGTGGGCAATACTTTGACCACGGTGCGTACTCATAAGCATTTCACCGCTACCACACTGGCCTTGTCTACATTTATCCTAAACATGTCGGTACTTCAACTCAAGAACTCCACTTTAACTCTGACTATGGCCGGTCCTATGGTTGACTTTACTAACTCTGTGGGTCCACTTTTAGCAGAAGCAAGCTCCGAATCTGCCTATAGACTTGTCATTGGGTATGCCAACTACCAGTATGCGAAGGTTGCGTTTGATGCCCCCTGGTTAGGTACAGTCAAGTCTCTCTATGTTGATAAGCTGGTTGAACTGCGATTTGTTGATGTTTTGCAAGATATCAAGGGAATGCAGAAATAAAATTAGAAATAAAATTTGAACTCAATAGAAAAGTGAATATGTAGAGTACGAGAGGGAGAGAAGAAGAAGTACAAAGAGAGTAGAGTAGATTTTGTAACCGTTTTTAACCCGTTGTTTACTCATTAAGTCGGGAGAAGGCGTCTTACAGCCTTCAATTGGGTGGCAACTAATCTCTTTCCTACGGGGTTAGTAAGTCGCTCCGCTGGCACTCCGTGGGCCACTAGCCGTGGGGGCCCTGTTCCTCTGACGAAGAATTACCCATGACTAGAGGACTCCTCGTAGAGGAGCCAGGTGCCCCACGCAGTGGCTCTCCCCGAGTAGGGGCCAGCGGGGCGTCTTACAGTCCCATGGGGAAGTCCCGTGTGACACCCTTTGAGATTTGCGAGTAGCTCCGCTAGCACTCCGTGGGTGACTATCCGTGTGGGCTTTGTTCCTCTATCAAGGAACGCGTATTTCTACTAGATTCTATATTATGATACATTTATTTCCATTACATTAACATAACTACGCGTACAATTCAGGCACCTTTTGGGCATATTGTACAAGTTTCTTCACCACATCAAAGTTCACGTTGTCGGACAACTCGATGACCGACATCACTCTCACAGAGGCAGCATCGGAGCTCACTTGTCCAATTATCTCGTAGTTATTGCCCACAGTGAACAGGTCATTGCCAGTCAATGCCAATCTAATGGGCCCATTACTATTGAGGGTAGTATGTCTTGAAGATGCATCATAGGATTCACACTTGCCGATTATACGGACTATCTTTCCCTGGTGTTGTGGGAGAAGCGAAGCATCTGTTCTGATTGTGACGTTATCCATTGTTGTATGTGGGTTATTGTTGTGTGGCAAAAGAGTTGATGCTAAGTTTTCGATTTGCGTCCCCAGATAGTGTTTACGCGTTTTGGACTATTTTTTTTTCTGGCGTCGCTTTTAGTGACACGAAATGACTTGATCAGTGCATAGATTGATTATGTTAAGATATTTAACGAGAGGAGAGGAGGGGAGGGGAGGGGAGTAGTGTAGAGTAGTGTAGAGTTGCGTGGCTCAATGTGATTGTAACATAGGTAGAGAAATGGGAACTAAAAAAAAAAATGGTAGTTGCACCAATACATCCTACTACTGTTTTGCCACTGAGTTGTACAAAGGGGCTAGTACTTGTGGAGACATACTGACTCTCCAATTTCTTTGATTACAGTATAGTACTTTACACAGTATGTAGAAATATGGTGACAAACCAACACCCCTACGGGGGTTAGCAAGCCGCTCTGCTGGCACTCCGTGGGCCACTAGCCGTGGAGGCCTTGTTCCTCTAGCGAGGAATTGCTATGGGTAATCTCCTCGGAGAGGAGCCAGGCTCCACGCAGTGGCTCTCCCCGAGCAGGGGCCAGCGGAGCGTCCTGCAATCCCCGTAGGGTGGTCAATGCCTTTCCGCCATGACTCAAAATGATTCCACATCACATATTATCGTTCTGGGTATGGAGAGAATTAACACCAATAGTCATAAAATATCACTCTACAGTTTCTAAATGTATATATGTCATACCCAATACTCGTCACTGTTTATAAAATCTGACATCCAAAGACACTTTTTTGGCAGCAATTTGATAAGTACACAGTCGCACAAATAAAGTAGCAACACTTTGAAGTTAAAAGTATCCAACCAAAAACCCATAGCTCTAACTAACATCCTTATTGCATAAAATGTCGTTTGAAGGCATAAGAAGTCGGAAAATGTCGGCACCGGTGACTCCTACCGTGGAAGGATTGGAATATGACCTTTCTATACGACGTCCACAACTGTCACCATTATCAACACCAATCAATCAAATCCCCCAGGATCCACAAAATGACACTGAACCTTCCCCAGAACCTAATCCTCCACAACAACTACAGACGGTGGACGATACACTCACGGAAGCCCAGGAAGCTCTAATGCTACGTATGGCCAATTATACATCAATTACCTTGGAAAATAAGGGGTCAGTAGCTAGAGATCACGTATGTATAACCGGAGAGAGTAAAAAATAATTAATAATGTGTCAAAAATAAAGAAAAAAAAAGAAATACATATATACTAACTAACACAGTTGGCCAATGAGAGGACGTTCCTTGCATGGGTGCAAACTTCTCTAGCGTTTGCTACTGTGGCCATTGGTATAATGCAATTTGTACGTGTAGAAGAAAGGGCAGTCACTCTGTTCTATCTAGGACAAGCCGCACCAATAACTAAAGATAGATTATATAACACCATGCATTCGTTGGGTGGACCATTGGGTGTCATCACAGTACTGTTATCGATTATTATTCTATTCTTTGGAGTCGTAAGATACTTACAAGTCCAAGCTATGATGATGAAGGATTACTTCCCTGCTACTAGGTTAATTCTATTGGTCGTGTTTACGGTCAATTTGGCCATTTTAGTACTCATTTTAGTTTTAGGTGTACAACTAATAAAGATATAGAATATTATGAGGACTCTATAGACTGTTACTTCTACCACTGCCACTAACTACTACTGTCTTACTCCAAGACTTCCTCAGATGCTTCTGTTGCTCTTTTAACTAGCTTTATATTAATAAAGTATGAGTATGAGTATGAGTCCCTCCCTCCTTGTCTATACACTCCAATTTGAGTTCGCGTTTATTTATTTTCTCGACTTTATCAAAACGTTGACGTTACAATAAATTTCACTTTTTCTTCTTCAATCTATAAATCTTACACTTCATAATATAATGGCTGAATACGCGTCGCAAACTGTTGCTCAATTGAAAGAATTGTTGAAGGCTAAGGGGTTGGCCACAGATGGGAAAAAGGCTGACTTGGTTCAACGTTTAACTGATGCGGAATCTCCCGCTGCTCCAGTTGCTGCTGAGCAAACCGAATCCATTGCTGAACCTGTTGCTGCTCCGGAAGTCGCTCCAGTCGAAGCTTCTGCTGCTGCTACCACCGCTGAGACCGCTGCTGCTGAACCAGTTGCTGCCGATGCTGCTGCTGCTCCAGCTACTGGTTCTGCTGCTCCATCTACTGATGCTGCACCAGTCACTGAAACTGCTCCAGAACCAGAAAAGGTAAAGGTATTGACTGCTGATGAAAGAAAACAACTTGCTGTAGAATTAATAACTAAAAAGATCCAAAGAGCTGAGAAATTCGGTGATGAAAAGGCCGCTCAAGATGCCAAGAAGGATCTTTCCAGAGTGCAAAAGTTTGGTGTTGAATTGGGAACTGCTCTTGCCAATGAAATTGGTCTTGTAGACAAATCCTTGGGTAACGGACACGGTAGAGTTGGAAAGAAGAACTTCAAGAGGGGAAAGAACTCCAAGCCAAGACACAAGAAGAAGAACTAAGTGTGCGCCACAAAAACACTTGGAAGTGGAAAAAGAAAGGAAATTTTAAGGAAAGTATGAACTCGAACCCAACTGGATGAACATCTCTGATTGTATTATATAAACGTAGTAGATATTATGTAGATTCTGTAGTGAATAAACAATCTTTTAAGGCTTTGGATGTATATCTGATCTTCCAGACTTTCAGGCGGGGGCGCCCAGTTCACTCCGGTTATTCGTGGTAGAGGAAGAAAACACCATGTAGTGGCTCCTCTCCCGGAACAGGGGTCAAGTCGAGCGTGCGTACAGTCCCACGGGGTATGTAAGCCGCTCCGCTGGCACTCCGTGGGCCACTAGCCGTGGAGGCTTTGTTCCTCTATCGAGGAATGGATGTGGGGGTTTCCGCGGATGATTGGTCAGAATATGTACTATGGAGAGTCATCATTCAGTCTCCTGTATGAGAAAGGCACTTCATATTGGGGTATCTCCCTCCCTTTATGCTACCAAATAATTTGTAGAAGAATTCCCTCATCCTGCTCGATTGACTGTTAACATAGTCCTTGGTCCATGTAGTAGATTATCAATGACGTCTGTGTGTTCAATTCTTATTCTTTGAAGACTTTTTTCAGGATCAATAGTTTCAGATCAAATGGCTTGAGCATAAATGGATCCATAATATAAAAGCTTCAACATTTCAGATAAATGGTACCTAAATGAGAAACAGAGAAGACTTTGTGGCATCATTTAATGGCAGTATACTAGTATAGTCCATGCTAGCACAACCGTTGGTATGAATAATACACAAAAGGAAACATATGACGACTGTAAAAATTACCCACCACCTAATTATTTAAGCGAGCTTTCCAAATTACAGACTTGAAAACTCATACACATTACATAATGAATAGATATTTTATCAGATTTGCTTTTTGATTTAACTTGTGTTGTTGTGGTAAGATGAATGAAAATTGCAACCACAATGGCTGCGAAAAAGTACTCAATGATCTATCTGGGACAACTTTTTAGTGATACTTTCCAAAGATGTAAGATTGGAATAAAGAATTCATAATATCTCTATAGAAGAATAATTTCTATTCGAAACATTCCCGTGGGGGTATCGGAATGTATTCTCATCTTGACTGACAGCTTTACGAATAGAACCTCTAAAAATAAAACTTATACGAAGATTGTAAATTCCTTATGTAATCTGAGGAAGTCTACTAAATAAATTTATACAAGTCTGGATTAGAATTTGGATTAGAATCCAGAGTAGTAGCTATGAAACCCCCAATAAATACCAATCACTTCACAATTAGAGACATTACTATCCTCACTTTCGATTGTGTGGAGGGATATATGCAGCAAAAAAAAAAAGTCAGGGTTAGACATCTACCTCGCCAATATCTGGAATATTCATTACTATTGTTATATCTTACCATTGGAGAGTGGGGCTGTACTGACACGGTCATAGCTCAAGTCATATTAAAACCCATGCTGGTTGAATGCACATAGGGCTAAAGTAAGGCACTTGTTGGGTTAAGTACGGTACAAGGATTTTACCACAGTTCTATATCGATATGTGGAGACAAAGAATTTGGTACCGATGCATAAACAGTCTGAAGAAGTCCTATAAATAGACCACAAAGATTTTATAATATTGAAGATCTTTTGCTACGAAAAATAAAATAAAAATAAAAATTTAGATCAGAAAAAAAGCAGGGACCCCCGTTAAAAAATATCTAGACGAGAGAGAGAGAGAGAGAAAAACATTCAATTTGATAAAGGGGAAACAACCAAATTAATTATTCTTCACTCTCTTAAGGACTAGATACTCTGAGTGGAAATCACTACTCGCCACTCCATTTCATTTACGAACCAAAGTCCGACCAAAGTTCCTTCACTTTCTTATTTACCCCTTTTCGTACATTTCCTCATTACTTTTCTAAATTTAGTAGTTATTATATTTGGTTAGAATTTCACGTCTTTGTACGGAAATACCTGTCAAAAAAAAATAAAGCCTTATTTTTGACACCCACAAAAAGGGAAACCCAGTCTTCAAGCCACGCACAACACTTCTTCAAACCCTAATCTACCAAGCCATCCCCACCTAAATCCTTTTCAGCCTCTATCACCGGCTTTTCTTCCAGTATTGCCGTCCTTCAATTTTTTGGAGGGAAAGGCTTCTGCAAGAGCCTGTAAACGGGTTTGAAAGTACGGCAAATCCTGCATATGCACTTTCGCTAGTTTCATTTAGAACCACGGTGTGTGCAGTCCGGCGTTTTAAGAGCTAAAAATAACACAGATTCAAACATATACAACATCGAATACTAAATAATCTTACTACTTTCAGGAACAATTTACTGGCTTAAGGTATCGACCATCCATCCAACCCGCACCCGTGCCCCCGTCCCATCACGCGCGCACCCCGTATTTCCGAGCCTGCACAGCCCCACGAAGCGACGTTCTAGACCTGTCAATCGAATTACCAGTTTTTCTCAGTGCTTCATATAGAATTGACCAAATTGCAATTTTCTTTTTACAAATTCGAAAAAAACACACCCTTATTTTTTTTGTTAATTTTGTTAATACTATTATTTTTTTTTTGGGAGAGATAAAGCAAGTTCAGACAGATCAATCTGTCTAGCAATACCCGAGATACACAGATATATTGTATTATATTTTATTTTATTAAAGAAGAAATATCCGTTGTATAAATTCCTATGGGTAGAAGAAAGATTGAAATCCAGCCCTTAACGGATGACCGGAACAGAACGGTGACGTTTGTCAAGAGGAAGGCCGGTCTTTTCAAGAAGGCCCATGAATTGGCAGTACTTTGTCAAGTTGAAATTGCTGTGATCATTGTAGGGAATAATAATCGAGTGTATGAATTCAGTTCAGTAGATACAAAGGAACTTTTACTGGCGTATGAAAAGTCCCCCAAGATACAAGAGTCCAAGGGACCGGAAAATTATGGGAATTACAAGAAGAAAAAGAGAATTAATCCTAGCAAATATTCCAATATGGACGATGAGATAGATGATGGTGGAGATGAGGATATGGAAAATGAATCTGATTATGACAGTGATTCTCCTCCAACTAGAAATAATAAGCGGTCGTACAGTTCAGGAACTGGCATGACCAATACCGCCACTAATACCAACTCCAACACGGGGCCTGTTACAACCGTCTCTGGTGCTACCAATGCATCCACCTCCAACAATGGTAAGAAACGTCCACGTCCTCCTCCTTCACATATCTCGTTGAATAACGTGCTGGGATTCAACCCGGGCCAATACGTCGACAAGAAGGCCCTGCCCTCGGTGGTTGTTCCAGCACAACAGCAACAACAACAACAACTACAACAACAATCCATGGTTTCTACAGGACTCATTGCAGGTGGTGCGGGAGCTCCAACCCAGCAAAATAACCCCACTGGGTCCATGAAGGTACCGCCACCACCAAACTCTCATCCTCCAATACCATCTCTCAAGAAGGAAGACACCCATTTTGGTCACCAACGACCAGTGTTACGGGTACAGATCCCAATCGATGCTAAGGCGAATTCGGTAGATAGTGCCAAGACTATAACAGCCATCGATTCCACTATTCACCATCTTGCTCCCAACAACAAGAATAGCAGCAGTGATGAGCCCATGCTGGCGGGAGTGGGGAGTAATGGGAAGGATTCCAAAGATGATTCAAATAGTCTTGGAGGGAATCTTCCCAACATCAATACGCCCAAATTTTCAAGGTTTGGGACATTCAAGTCTCCAGATTCAAGAAAGTCTATCACCGCTTTACCATTACCAATTCAAAACAAATCACTGACTTCTTCCCCTTCAGGTGCAACAGCTCCACAACTTCCAATAAATGGATTATCCTCTTTCTATGGGTCCATGCCACAATCATCACCATCATCACAATATGCTCCAAATTCGATCTTACCGACGCCTGTTCTCAATCAAGTTTTCAATCAGCAGTACTTGATCCAACAACAACAGCAACAACAACAACACCCACATCAACAACAGCTTCAACAATCCCAACATTCCCAAGCAAGTTCTTCGGGATCAAATATTGACAGTCAGACCCCAAACACGAATCCAAATACTCCGAATCCGTACAATGCCAATGCCAATAATAAGTTTAGACCACCATTTTTCACAGCACAGTCACAAGGACCTGGGAATGGGGGTGAACAAACTCCGATCTCGGGGCTCCCTTCACGATATGTCAATGATATATTCCCGTCTCCTTCCAACTTTTATGCTTCTCAAGATTGGCTCAACACTGCCACGGGTGTGACTCCTATGCACAGTTCTATGCCGCAATACTTTGCCAATGTGGCCCAAAGCTCGCTGTCAGTGCGACCATCACTACAAAGCGCTAGTGGAGCTCCCTCCGGTGGTCAAGGGGCGTCTTGGCAACTGCAGCTGCAACCGCAACTGCAACTGCAACTGCAACAATCTGGGACGTCTCAACCGGCTCCACTGCAAGCCCAGTCGCAACAACAACCCCAATCATCGTCGGAACAACAACAACAACAAGGCAAAGAATTCCAATCTCCCGTGCTGTACATGGTTCCATTCAATTTGTCACAACAACAACAACAACAACAGAAAAAAAAGTGACATAAAAGTGTAGTTTAGATTTTCACAGTGTACTTTTAGATATTCAAATGTAATTTAGGTCAATTTTATGTATATTAATTTAGAGATAAGGTGTAGATAAGAGAGTGTTAAATGATGGGGGGAGACAATAGAAAGAGACAGTGTAATGTGCTACATGTGCAATGATGCATACATGTATGTCTAATACATATATTTCGTAAACTTATGTATATTTTATAAGAACATACATATCACATACCAACTTGCAACCATTGTCACCAGTCCCACATCAGGTGACGAGACACCCGTTAGGGTTTGTCGCGCCGGTCACGTTTCGCAGTCACAGTCACAAATATTTGTGCGGATGCAGTCTTTGGGACTTGTTTTTTTTTTCGCTAAAATTCTCAACCTTTTTTTTGTGTCACCTTGTACCCAAAGTCACTCGCACAGACTGGTGAAAAAATCATCTTAAGAGAGTTTTAGTTTTTCACGTTATCATTCAAAGGCCTAGGTACACCAGTTCAAGATGAAGGTATGTACAGTGACTTGATGTGTAGAGCATCTAATAATGAGAGTCCCATGAGCGATATGTCCCCATGAGTTCCCAATGGGTACCATGTTGACGTTGATTTCAACATATCCTGCCGTCGATCAGAAAAAAATATTACATCCATCCCTTCCTCCCCTTCACCAAATGAAGGGTTTCAGAGAGCCAAATCAATCCCATCTATACAATAATAAGAGACCTGGTCCAGAGCACAATGTTTCGGATGTCTGCCTGTTCAGTTTCCCGAGCTTAGCCTTTTTGTGTGTGGCCCAAGTTACCTGAAAATTTTTTGTGAGTGAGAGTGAAAGTTTTTTTTTTCTCCTTCCCTCCCATTCACAAAAGGTTTCCTAATTGATCGCCAAGGGGACTCATTCATTCATTCATTCTCTTCCTTTTTTTTTTCCGCTTACTAACAATCATGCAGTTAAACATTTCTTATCCAGCCAACGGTACACAAAAGTGTATTGACATCGAAGATGAACACAAGTTACGTGTTTTCTACGAAAAGCGTATGGGCCAAGAAGTCGAAGGTGACTCCGTCGGTGACGAATTCAAGGGCTACATTTTCAGAATCACTGGTGGTAACGATAAGCAAGGTTTCCCAATGAAACAAGGTGTTATGCACCCAACCAGAGTTAAGTTGTTGCTTGCCAAGGGTCACTCTTGTTACAGACCAAGAAGAACCGGTGAACGTAAGAGAAAGTCCGTCAGAGGTTGTATTGTTGCCCAAGACTTGGCTGTTCTTGCTTTGTCCATTGTCAAGCAAGGTGACGCTGAAATCGAAGGTTTGACTGACACCACCACCCCAAAGAGATTGGGTCCAAAGAGAGCCAACCACATTAGAAAGTTCTTCGGTCTCACCAAGGAAGATGACGTCAGACAATTCGTCGTTAGACGTGAAGTCGTCAAGGGTGAAAAGAAGTACACCAAGGCTCCAAAGATCCAAAGATTGGTTACCCCACAAACTTTGCAAAGAAAGAGAGCTTTGAAGGCTCAAAAGATCAAGAACTCTCAAGCTCAAAGAGATGCTGCTGCTGAGTACGCTCAATTGTTGGCTCAACGTTTGCACGAACGTAAGGCTGAAAGAGCTGAAATCAAGAAGAGAAGAGCTTCTTCTTTGAAGGCTTAAGTTAATACGTATACAATATAAAATGTTATATTTTAACTTCTTGTCTTGTTTATTGTGTATTTAATAAAAAAAATATCGGTTTATCATACCAAGTAGGTTAAGTTATTATGTATTATATGTATTCTATAAACGAGTTTGGGCATGGAATTATTAATTATCTGGACTTGGTCCAACTATTTTAGAAGTTTTCTTTGGAGGTTCCAATGTATCGATACCTTTCCGTTTATTGGTCATCCGTTTGATATTTTCGTATACTTCATCAGTGGATAAATTCGATCCATAGGTGAAGTTTTTCCTAATGTAATTCTCTTGTTGTTCCTTATATCTTGGATCACGTAAAAGTATCTTAATATGAGAATCAAATTTCAGTTCTGGGATTTTTTCTCCTGTTAATGGACATGTTATCATTGACTCTATGGTTGTGTTTGTTGATGTTGTAACTCTATTTTTTTTCAATCTTGATTCTCCGGCTGCCTTAATCTTCATTCCTTTAGGTGGTGCAGCAGTAGGAGTTGGAGTAGTAGTAGTAGTTGTTGTTGTTGTAGTTTCATTCTCTATGTTCTCTTTCTCTGGTACTGGTGCCACCTCTAATTCCACATCTTGCTTTCTCCCCTCTAATGATCGATACACCAAGTCCTTCCGATTCAAAGGAACTGCCAATTCTCTCACCTCATCAATTGCATCAAATTGGATTCTTCCAACCATCGAGAAGTCCTGCCAATCGATAGAAGCATATGCAATATGGGCCGCTTGTTGTAATTTCTTTTCATCTTGTACCTTTTTCTTGTGTGCCTTTGCATACATGGCTCTACCAAAGGAAACTTCCAAGATCTTGGTTGGGTCAAGAATCAGACTCTTGACGCCATCCCCCATCGTTATCACCGTTTGATATTGTTTGACATACTCTTGATATAAGGGATATAAAGAATGGGTTGGTTTAAGAAACTCAAACTGTGCTTCTTGTTGAAGTTTCCTTTGACGAGTAATAAGATGTTGTTGATATGAGGGCCCATTCTTGGCCACAAAGAGTGCTGATAGTTTAAGAATATCAAGATCTAATCCTGAGATTGGAGTAGTTTCCACAAGGAATTTGAATTCATTGGGGGCAGTAATTTCTATTGGAGATTCATTAGATTGTTTTAATTCGTCTTGTCCTTCTTCTTCGGATGATTTACTTCCAATATTTTGTAATCTATCTTGAAAGTATTCATGGTAAGGATCTGATTCATTCAAAAAGGAAAACTTTTCTGCAGCATTTGATTTAAGTCTTTCTACAAATGATGGACCATTTTTGATTACAAATCCAATCGTTTTGTCTATGGTTTCCCGGATGGCCAATGGTGGGAGTGATTCAGGTTGGGATGTCATCGTGGTAGGTTGTTACCTTAATGGGTATTTATATTTTATTTTCCCGTTTTTATTTTGTGCCTCTCTCTTTAAAATTTGGTGAGCGCATATGCCACTTGAAATATATCCTAGAGTTCATTTATACCCAACGTCATATATATATAATCCACTAACTATGGAGTCAGACTCCTCCCAGAACTCTCTAGGAGAGGACTTGGACCAGATTGGCAGGCTCAATCTTACCATGCCCAACATAAATATTGCCCAGTATTTGAATCGACCTTCTTTCAATCTCCCCAATCTTCCAAGTTTAGATATGAGAAGTTTACCCCGAGTGAAATCTCTCTCTGATGAAATATCAAACTATATTTCACATTATGTGGGTGATGATGTGACCTCGGTGACATCTGTGAAAACTGCCATTTCTTCCAGAATTCAAATGACCAATTTCTTAAATGATTTGAATTTGGGACTCTCGTTATCAATGGCAATTGATCGTCTTGCCCCATTGACCAGTATTATCCATGAGGCCATTATTCTCCCCGTGGAGGATGATGAGGATGAAATGGAGGTGGAACCCACTCTTCTGGCCAATGGAGACCATCATCAGACAGGCAAGACCGTGGATCAGTTTACAGAACCAGTAGGGGTCGATCTTGCAGTACATAGACATCAACCATTAGTTAACCAATTGGTTAACCCAGAAAAGCCACCACTTTCTCAACGTCATAAAAAGAAGAGGAAAATAAACCGGAAATTATCAAAAGCTACCATTCTTTCTGATGATACAAACAATTCTACCCAACCAGGAAGTGATTTGGATCAAGTGGAAGAACTCACCACTGAGGAAGTTAAAGCTCTCACAGATCTTGAAGATAAAGATGATTTTGGTAATGAAGTTCTTCTTCGTAATAAGATTCAACATATCCAAAAGTTGGATAATTTGAGTCAAAGACTGAAAAGTAAACTTGTTACAAGGTTAATGATGGGGAATTATTATCGATATGTGAACCATAAATTGCCCGATAAGGTCAAACGATTAGTTTTAAACGAGGAAAAAAATGAATCAGTTGAAGTGGGTGAACCAACTACTGAATTTGACGAATTGAGTGAAGAAGATGAAATAAGTGAAGAAGACATCATTGTCGATGAAGACAATATTGATACAAAATCAACTAATACAGAGAATATTACAGTCACTTTGAATGAACTGGACTTGATACCTACATATTTCGATCACCCCTTTAATCAAGTCATGGGATGTTCACATTATCAAAGAAATTGTAAACTTGAATGTCCCACATGTCATGACTGGTATACATGTAGATTTTGTCATGATCAAGACAAGGAGGTTGGGTTTGATGCCCATAAACTTGTTCGATCTGAGGTGAAACATGTGCTTTGTATGGCCTGTAATACTCCACAAATACCTGAAGAATATTGCATTGAATGTGGCATTGAATTGGCCAATTATTTCTGTCTGAAGTGTGTCTTGTATGATAATGATCCCACAAAGGAAATCTATCATTGTGACAAGTGTGGTATTTGTCGACTTGGTTTGGGGTTAGGTAAGGATTATTTCCATTGTGATACTTGTAACATTTGTCTTTCCATTGATTTACAAGAACGTCATAAATGTCTTGCCAATACCACCCATTGTAACTGTCCCATTTGTAATGAATATCTCTTCACATCGGTCAATAAGGTTGTATTCATGAAATGTGGACATCTGATCCATCAGAATTGTTTTGATGAGTTGAGTAAACATAGTTACAAATGTCCCCTTTGTAAGAAAACAGTATGTGATGTTGAAATGCAATTCAGAATATTGGATCAAGAAATAGTTCAACTGCCCTTACCATCACCTTATAACTTTTGGCGTTGCATTGTGAGTTGTAATGATTGTAAGGGTAAATCCAACGTTTCATATCATGTTCTTGGATTGAAATGTGAATACTGCAAGAGTTATAACACCAACCAGTTGAAACTTATCAAGCCAGAAGAGGAGGAAGAGGAAGAGGCTGCAGATGATGAGAATATCAATAATGCAAGATTAAGAGATACTGAGAATTCCATGAGATTAATTGGAACAAATCTTCAAAGTAATTTCAGAATAGATGAACAAAACGTTAGCACTACAAACGATGAAGGATATGATGATGAGTATGACACGGAAGATGGGCATGAACTGGAACAAGAACAAAACTTTGTCGCTTTACGGTCGTTGAGAAGATTACGAACTGATGAAGCTCAACAACAACCCAATGGGTCGTACATTGCATCGGTTTTACAAGGGTTTATAAACCGTATTCTGGATGAAAGGCGGTAGTAGAATTTATAGATACCAACACTAATAATATAATAATGATAGCCATGAAGAGAAGAGAGCAGGTGCCAGAAGATGTAAGAAAATAGATATACAAATATGGATAGTACAGACTCGGTGCTCCTCTACGAGGAGATCCCCGTAGTCTCGGTAACTTCCTCGTTAGAGGAACAAGGCCCCCACGGCTAGTGGCCCACGGAGTGCCAGCGGAGCGGCTCACAGACCCCGTAGGGTGAGTGACCCCTGCCCTCGCGGGGCGGCATGACCTACTCAGTACTCTACGAGAAATTACTGTTAGAGTCTACGAGCCACAAACATACAATTTCCCTCGTCATATCAGTTGGTAGAAAATAGAAGAGCTCCTTAATTAGATGAATATTAAAGGGGCTAACTATATATATTGGGTTACCTCCATGTAGGTCTGTTGGTCAATATTTTACGTCCTGTATGTTTTTGCACCCAACACACTTTGTAGCAACCTTGGAAAAAATAAATACTTGCAGGACAGGGCTACAATAAAAACCCTCTTAAAAATACAATACACCGTTCACAAATGCATGGGGATCTTCAAACTGGTGCTTGGATGACACATATTTGAAAGAAATAATAATGGAACTTTATGTATCTTCTCCAAAAAAATATCCCAATGGATCGATCGGATTTATCTCGTTATACGACCGTTTGGGTAATCCCCAAGTCCGGTCCGTGACCTTTCCCAACACTTTCACGTGCGTCCCGCACTTTGGGTTCAGATGGCTAAATATAACACCAACTTAGCACATTTTTGGGGCATATGTCCATGCTCAATATATATATATTTTTTTTTGGTTGGGGTATCTCAACTTGTGGTATTATATCTTCCGGAGGCCCTCTGTGCACTGATATAACTTGCTGGACTTGCTCGTAGCAGCTCTGTTATTCCTACGCTTCATATTATTATTAATAATTTTTTTTTTTTTTTGGCTACGGCCTGGCATACCATTTTTGTGAAATTATTTACTCCTACACGTTGCTGCGTACACGCACACCCACCCACACAGACATTGGATTTGGATATTGACAGTTTAGTTTAATTTCTTTACATCTTTAGATTTGTCGCATAGGTCACTTTGAATATCAATCTTGTGTGTAGTATTGGAAATATTACTGAGATCACTAGGGAGTGCTCATTTCGTTTTGTTTTTGTTTTGCCTTTGGTTCCTCCCTCTGTTGTTATCTGTTGATCTAAGAGCCTCAAGAGACCAACTGAGAGCCCACTTACCCCTCCATTCACATACTAGTCATATCTTTATAGAATAGGTTTTGAACCGCCCCTCCGTGTCCCCAATTAGATATATATTGCCACCGTCTTGTGGTCACAGCATGAAGAAGACGTACCTTTAATATGAACTCACTTAAGATATTGGTCAATTCATGGGATGCATTATATCCGCCCGTGGGAACGTATGACTCTGAAAAGGAAGACACAGGAAGTTCAGAAAATAATTTAGATCTGCTCTTTAGAACGTCCATTGATCAGGAGAAACCTGGCGTGACTTCGTCCGCACGGAACCACGACGATGAAGAAGAAGAACAAGAAGAAGAAGAGGAGGAAGATCCTCAAGCACAACCATCCAAAATACTTCAAAAAGTGGATTCAACCCATCAATCGCTAACTTCATACGTCTTGTTTGTTCCAAATTACCTCCTTTTTAAGCCCTTGGTGTTTACTTGGCTTTTGCTTACATATCCCTTCACCCATTTCTTTGAGTCTGGATCTAAATCCGGTAACTCCAACAACAACAATAGCAACAATAACCATGGCGATTCGTCGTCTTCTAGTGCATCCAATACGTCACCATCACTGGATATGGATGATGAAACACCTGTACCGCCTTCTTCCGATGAAAAACTTGAACTCTTCAAGCAGGAAAATATGATATCAAACACCATTAAATCACCATCAGCATCATCCAAATACATGATCCCTCCTCCACAAAGACTATACCCATTGTCAAGAAACCCCAACCGGAAACGGAAACGGAAAACTCTCATTCTTGACTTGGACGAAACCCTCATCCATTCGCTTTCACGTGGCCTGCCACGGTCATTCAGCTCCAATGGCTCTTCCAACATGATTGAAATCAGATTGAACAATATTTCAAGTCTCTATTATGTGTATAAACGGCCATATTGTGACTATTTCCTTCGTGAAGCTGCCAAATGGTTTGAATTACAAATCTTCACTGCAAGTGTCAAGGAATACGCAGATCCCATCATCAACTGGCTTGAATCAGAGATTGCACCTTATGTCACTGCAAACGCTGCGAAAAACGGGGACCCTGCAGCGGTCCATGGTAAACCTCAAGTTCCCCTGGAACAACCGTCAGTCTTTACTAGACGATATTATCGTACCGATTGCACGTATAGACAAGGTGTGGGCTATATCAAGGATTTATCCAAATTTTTCCCCAGAGAAGATGATTTGAAGAATGTGATCATTCTTGATAACTCACCTGTGAGTTATGCCATGCATGAAGACAATGCCGTGATGATTGAAGGATGGATCAACGATCAAGGAGATCGTGATCTTGTCAACTTACTCCCCATGCTTCACAGTTTAAGTCTTTGTATCGATGTTCGATACATCTTGGGGTTACGAGGAGGAGAGAAAGTATTTGAAAATTAAAAATAGAAAAATAGAGAAGTGATAATAAAAGAACTAATGCCTTGGAAGGGTTTATGATTTAAGGCACGTATATAGAGTGTGTTTATATAAAAAAGAAAAATAGATAACATACATATGAGTCGTTGATGTTACCCATCTAGGAAAACATAAAGATGTATCTCCATAAGACGTGCACTATTCGTGGAGAGTACTTAACATGTGACCCCTTGAATAAGAGTTGGTCTTTTTTTGCAACTTTTAGAATTCTCAAGGGTGGGACCTGCACATTTTTGAATGTTTTTCCATTTTTGAACATTGTTCAGTTTGCTTACTCTAAATCATTTCTACTTGTTTATATAAATATGACTACCCCCATTGATGTGAGGATCCGTGATCTTCTAGATGCAGATGTAGTTTCAGTTGAACAAGTGGCCTCCATTGCGGATAGTTTGAGAGATGAAGTTGTTAGAGGAAGTGCAGCAGTGAACGATTCCTTAGTGGAGATTTGTGCAAAGACTGCAACTTTGATTCAACAATATTTCGATACTGGAGATGATTCAATAGTTATGGAGATGTTTAGATTATTGATTAATGCTCTGGCTAATAATGAGCAAAATCGTAATACTCTTACCAACGACATTTCTTCTGAATTCTGGTCTTTTGTGGTGAAGATTGTATCTACAGCTTCATTAGAAAAAGTTCGTCAAAGAGTGTTGATCTTCCTTGTACAATTTGTAAGAAATACTAAGAAGGCCGCTGTACATGCTGGCTTGTTCTTGTCCATTAAATTGGATAGAGCTTTGTTACTGCTGATGACCGAGGAGTATAAGAGTAAGAATACCGGAAATGAACACAAAGAAGAAGTAGAAGAAGAAGAGATTAATGAAGACTTATTGGAGTTTGAATTGGAGCTTGTTCTGGAACTTGTGGTGATCTCTAATGAGTCCAATCCTCTAGAACTGGACATTCTCTTGTTGATATCTTTGTTCAAATACGTTACTGATGAAGATTTACTCCAAACGCTTTCTACATGTGTTGCTGCCATTACCAAGGTAGATGACTTGCCAGGGTTGGGTCCAACCGCCCTTGTAGAGATACTCTCCCTTATGGGTACGTTGGAGAAGCCAGCACCTTATGTGAGTAGAATGCTTTTCGGGGCTGTGGGACAAATCTCATCCATGCCAAGTTTTGATAATTGGATCGTGTCACAATTAGCCATTGATACGGTTTCACAAAAGGGGAATCCTTACCAAGTTGCCACTGCATCGATTATTCTTGGGAATTGTGTCGATAGCAATGAGTCAAGAGATAAGTTGATTATTCAAATCTGTAAAACCATCTCCATAGAAACTTGGATTAATTCCTTTATCACTCTCAAGTATAATGATATTGTCCAATATCAAGGATTACATCTTCTCAATCATATTTTGATCCCTGAGATTGCACACATTTTGTTTAAAAGCCAAGAGAATTATCAAGGAATACTTCAAATCACCAAGGCTATTTTAGATAATAAGGACTATTATGAAGGGGTGTACAATTTATTGAATACATTTCTCAAAAAACTTATTGGTAGGGCCTTTGTTGACACTGATTATGATGCCTTGGACCTCTATAGTTATAAAGAATTATGGACATTGATTTCCGACCAAAATCCATTGATGGTTGCCTTGGCTCAAGCAGCCATTTTACGTGAAGATATTGTTTTGCAAGTTACTAGAAATAAAGATCATTTACAATTCTCGCAACTTTTGGTTACTAATGTTGTCGAAATAAGCGAAGGAAAAACGATTAAATTAGAAGATTTATTGAATAAGATTCAAACTCTTGCAATGTTATACCAAATGGTGCCAAGGTCGGAACTCTGTGCTCACGTGTTCCCGGGTGACTCGGTGCAGGACCGCTTCGATGTCCCCTTATTAAAATTTCTTGAAGATTTACAACAAGCATTGAGTCAAACATCGGATGCACCAACTCCACAAATGTTAACCAATAATGCCAAGTATATTGCAGCTGCCACCACAAAGTATTACGAAGAACCGCAACAAACCCCCGATGTAGAAGAAGAAATAGGGGGTTGGTCATATGGACAAGTGTTAAATGTCTGCAACCGGATATTAAAGAATTGAAAAAAGTTCGAGGGGAGAGGCTCAAGAAACGGGAAATCGCGGTATATTTCGGTTTAACTGCAACTCCGATGAGCGGTTTGCTTGGTTTTTTTATTTTTTTTTTTTTTTTTTCCATCTAAATAATTTCTTTTTGTACCCTAACCTATACACGATGGGAATGGTTATAGATTATATAAACTACCATATAGGTACTTTACTATTTCCGCCAGTGAGATACATATTTAGGAATTTTTTTCATTAGAATTTAAAAGTTAAATCTTTTTTGTTTTCTACATATAATAATTATTGCAAAATGACTGTGAAATCAATGTACGGTGAGCTTCCAGAAGTTGAAGTCGATCCAATTATCAAGATCATGGGTAGATACCATAACGACCCTACTCCAGACAAGATTGACGTTAGTATTGGTGTTTACAAGTCCGAAGAAGGTGGTCCATATGTTTTCCCCTCTGTTGTCAAGTCCAAGGAAATGCTTGCCAAGAACGACCCGGGCCACAACTACACCAATATGGCAGGTATTCCCGAATATACCAAAGCTGCTCGTGAAGTTATTTTCGGAGAAACCATTGCTAATGAGGGCAAAATTGCATCTCTTCAAACCATTTCCGGAACTGGTGCCGTGCATATGGCATCCCTTTTCACTGCATCGGTTGGTCTTAACAATTATTACGTAGGAACCCCATTCTGGAGTAACTATCAACCAACCATTGAACACGTTGGTGGTAAGGTCAACACCTACAGACATTATGATCCTGAACTCAAACAAGTTGACTTCAAGTCCACTCTTGAAGCATTGAACTCTGCTCCAGCCAAGTCTGTTTTCTTGCTCCAAGCATGTTGTCATAACCCAACTGGTGCTGATTTTTCTCAAACTCAATGGAAGGAAATTGCAACCATCATGAAGGAACGCGAATTATATCCATTTTTCGATATTGCATACCAAGGTTTTGCTAGTGGTGACAAGGATGTCGATGCCTGGCCAATCAGATACTTCTACGACTTGGGTATGGAATTGTTAGTGTGTCAATCATTCTCAAAGAACATGGGATTATATTCTGAAAGAGTTGGATGTTTACACGTTGTTTCAAATGATCGTAGTGCCTTGGAAAAGATTCAAGGACAATTGGTAACTTTTTTCAGAATGGAATGTTCCTTTGCCCCAGCATGGGGTGCTAGAGTTGCAGCTGGTATTATGAATAAGCCAGAATTGAAACAACTCTGGGATCAAGATGTTTTGGACATTACCACTAGAATGAAGAGTCTTAGAAAGTCTGTGTTGGAAAAATTGACTAAATTGGGAACCCCAGGTAAATGGGACCATGTTCTTCATCTGAATGGGTTATTCTGGTACTCTGGATTAACCGAGGAACAAGTCGGTAGAATGATTGAACAAGAACACGTTTACATGACATTCACTGGTAGAGTTAACATTGCTGGTTTAAATAATGCTAACATGGACCATTTCTGTGAATCTCTCGATCGTGTTGTTAGAGAAACTAAAAATTAAATAGAATAAACAAGTAGAAAAAAGTTCAAAGAATAAAATTTAACCAACGAATAATTAATTCTCTCTAATGGCATGATTATTACTATAAGTTCCATCTATACACTGTAAAATGTTCTATTTGAATAAATTGACTAAATGCGATAAGGGTAAAATTAAACTTTGTAAACTAAAATTAAATTAACCCATCAGACGAGAAAGAATAAAGTAGAGGAATGAAATAGTTAAAATTTCAAGTGGTTGACACGCTAAATGTTCTATGGTTGTCTTGGCATTCTCTAGATGGAGGCTTCCATTTATCAGAATGTCGTCGTCTCTTTGCATAATGTTCCCTGGTGCGGCTTGAATTTAGTCTTTTGAAACGTTTCAGATCCATTCACTTTTTTTGAACTGTTGTTCCAAACATGCGCATGTTTATATATGTACTTTGGAGAAAACCACACCCACCTCCGGATATTAGTTTGTCCTCAGAATGGGCCCATTAAGGGCGGTTTTTAGTTTAGTTTAGTTTAATTTAGTTTCGTTTATTTTAATATTGTTATATGGTATTTTTATCAATCAACTCGTTTATGAATTTTCTTCAAATGAGCCTTCAAATTGTCCTTTCTATTAAACCTCTTGCGACATTCCGGTTCATCGCATTCAAACGGCTTTTCCTTTGAATGACTCTTCATATGTCTTTTCACATGTTCAGGTCTTTGGAACCGGGAATCACAAAGTGGACATGGATGTTTTTTCTTTGGATCAATCAATGGTGGTGGTTGATTTTTCATTTCTTGATTATTTGGTAATTCTGAATGTAAATATGAGTCTGGTGATTGAGAATTTGATTGTGGATTTGGATGTAAATTCACCATCTGTCGATGATTTGTATTTTGTTGCAGTTGTTGATGTTGATGTTGTTCGTGGGCAATGGAAAACGTTGCCATGGGTGGCAAAAGCGTGGACGCAGACGACGTTGTAGACATCGCTTGTTGTGCCATATATGTAGATTTAGAGTATGAATGTGTAGAATTGGAGCCCAGTGTGCCTCCAGCTCCTTGAGGATTATATTGCATTGAAATCAGAGCCAAATCAACCGAAGTTGGATAACTCTTGGGGAAGGATGCATCCGTAGAAGTTGGTGTAGCCCCATCACCAGGGTATGGAGTTGCAAACTGAGGCAGAAGTAAATCAATTGCCATGCCCCCCAGTCCGGTTTCTCCAATGTTCCCGCTACCATTTCGGAACGAATATTGCGATTGGTGGCCAGAATAATCCCCAAATGATGCTACAGACAGGGTAGGGACAGAATAAGTAGCATTATTGTTCCCACCTTGGTAGTTCTGTAGCGTAGAATTGAATGAGTGTGTGGGTGAGTTGTTCATCCCCATGGCGCCTCCAGGGGTCGAATGTGCCGATACAACCTCTTGTTTCGAATCTTGTGATGTCAACTTGAGTGAAAGATCGGCTACATCCAAAAAGAGTTCTTCTGAACTCACCATGTTACCACTACTTCCACCACCTGCTGCAAATGAAAGCATGTCTGTGGTGTTGGGTGCTGTGGCAGTAGTGGCAGATCCGGGCAAACTTGTGTTGGTGAAGGATCTTGATCTGTTCAGTTGATGTTTGGTTCGGCGGAGTTGTTTAAGTGCATCATCATCTTGATCTTCAATTTTGATACTGTCCAATGTATCATGCCTTTGAAGCGCCATGGGTGTGACATATCCCTCGGCCAGATGTGGAGCCTGATGCTGCTTTTGCTGCTGTTGTTGCTGCTGTTGCTGGCCACTCTTATTATAAACAAACTGAACGTTGGAAGGCACCCAATTTTTGGCTGGACTTAAAAATGTATTATGACTAGGAAGGTTAACAAAACTTCCACTGGGGGTTGGTATTGGAGTGTCCAAGTTCTCCAAGTCTCCTGAAAGATCGTCCAAGCGCGGAGAGTTGAACGAGGAAGGGGTATAGAATGGGTTTGCTGTGAAGTTGTGTGAGGTGGAAATAGAGTTGGTATTATTGTTGTTGTTGGTGGTGGAGGAGGAGGAGGTGTTGTTGTTGGTGGTGGAGGTGGTGAATGCAGGTGCACCATTCAATAGAAATGGTGTGTTGATGGCATCGAGCGATAGTCTTGACCGAGATCTACTATGTCCTCGGTGTGGGGTCTTTCCAATCTTACTGCCTCCACCGGTCGAATTGTTGGTGTTGATGGCTCCCGAAGGGGCTCCAGAGGCCATTCCATTGGCTGAATTTGCCCCAGCGGGGGAATAATTGGCTCTCAGAGGAGTCGTGTATATGTTGGCCGACGAAAGAGAAAGAGACTTCTTGCGCCCCACTTTACGTGGTGTGACCGTATTGTTGTAATAGAGCGACGCTGGAGAGTCCAAAAGAGACTGGTTAGACATGGACGACGAGAGTTGGGGCACGGAATCGAGCGATGAGAGCGAAGACGCCGAAATCCGGGCTTGTTGCTTAGCAGCTCGTGATGCTTGTTTTGTAGAAGCTGGCGGCGGAGCAAGTGACAAATTTCTCGAGTGTTCAAAGGGCGAATGGTCTGGTGGTGGTGATGTGGACGTGGCCCTGGTCTCGGGAACAAAGCCGAGGCCCAAGCCGGACCCCTCGTAGAGGTCTGTGATGTTGGAACGCGTGGACTGGTCATATTCCATGTGGGACAACACTGGAGAACTCATTAAAAATTTGTCCATCTTTGAGAATTGGGCGGATGGGGGGAAAGTGAAGGGGGGGTTGGTGTCTTGCGCAGAGACGCGTTAGCTGATGGTAGAGGCTCTGAAGTGAACGGCCAACTACTTGCTTTCAAAGAAAAAGATAGAAAAGGGGTGGTCAACCAACCAATAAAAAAAATTATTAACCGTGGAGTGGACTTAGTCGGATTTAAAGGGGACGATCCTCACAAGTTTTGAACCGAACCTTGACAATGGGTAATAAGATGCTATAGTCTCTCACTCACGAATTGGGTATGAAGGATACGAGAGACACACAAGCCAAGGATGGGAAAATATAAAAGTAAATTGGGAGTAATCAGAAAGAAAAATCGAAACAAAGGTGTGTGTGTGAGAAATAGGGACACTATTAGCGTTAGGACGCAAAAACAAAATTTACTGAAGAGCAGTGACAAACAGAAAGAGTGTGAGAGGAAAAAAAGCTAAAAAAAAAGTCTACGCCTCGATCTCGGCGGCTGCTGAGGTCACTTGCGAGCAACGCGTTCAACCGAACCGGAGGTATGTGCTGTTACCGCCCAACATGATGTTCATCTGGGAAGACGCCAATGGGGGGGTGGGACGTGATATTTCAGTTGCCAAACCCGTTTGTGTGAATCGAGAATTATTGCTTGGTGTGAGCGCAGATTGCAGTTGGAACCGCACCACTTGCAAAAGCTAAAAAAGGTGAAAAAGCTAAAATGAGCCAAAAATCAAAAAAAAAAATAATAAATAAATTCAATTCAAATGAAGAAATAAAAAAAAAAAAAGGTGAGAGAGTGGAGGATGTTTCACTAACCCCGGGGATGATCTGGTTGGCTGCGGACGGGTCACCGTGGGTTGCGGCCGTGTCTTGGACGAGTTTCTCGATAGGAGAGCGTACAAGGTAAAGTACAACTACAAGATTTGTTAATTTGTACGTTTGTGTGTGTGATTTTTTTTTTTTCTGTTTCCAAAGTGGAGAAAACCTATCCATCTGAATACGCATGTGCATGAGAGAGAGAAGGAAAAATAACAAAGAGACAATAACGGTTCCAATATGTGTTGTAAGGAAGTCTATCGTATGAGATTTATTGATGGGGGGGGGGGGGGGTTCTTTGCGGTGGTTGCAGGTTGGCGCAAATACATGCTGGGACGCGCTGTGGAGTGCTAGCACGGCTCTGCCGCAAGGTGAATGAACTTGAATTCTTCAATGAATCTTCTAGACCTCAAACCCCATGCATTATGGAAAAGCGCAAAAAAAAAAAAAAAGACAATGGTGAAAAACCACAAACTGATTAAAAAAAAAAACAATTGCATATGTAGTTTGCAAACAATCCTCTAGTGAGGGAGATTGACGCCGTGCGCACGCCTGGTTTTAGATAGCGTACATGGGACAGCTGAATGAAGGAGTAGACCGAATGTCTCCTCAAGAGGACACTAGGAGTATCGCGACGGAGATCTCCGAAAGGCGGCCAGTGGGGCCTCTGGTCCGGTCAGGTGGGCCTCACGTGTCAAACGCGCGCATTGAGAGAGAGCAAAGTTCTCTGCATATATGTTGACTCGTTTTAGACGCATAAAGCTAAAAAATAGAAAGCTAACTCAGGGTCCTTCATACACTCCAGATTGGTGCGAGTTTTTCGGGACTCGGAACTCGGAAGTCGGAACCGCACTTTTGTAGCTGCAGCATTATTTCTAGAGAATGCCGTTGGGCAACGACAAACATCTGATTAGTAGTCATTCCCCCCATAGCCAATTCCACCCATTTCTGAAACACCTTGATGCCCGGTTGGAATTTGGTGCATACGGATCTAAGGTTCTCTCTCCGCGCTTTAAGTTGCTTGATGGGTTAACCGAGGGGCATATGGAAGTTTGTACGAGCCACTTGTTGCTTACATTGCGTATCGGCAGCCGTGCACACAAAGTTACCTGGTAATTTTTTTCCAACTTGCGGTAAGCTGCAGAATTTCGCTGTATGTGTGAGATAGCATAAGTGGGAACGGATCCAACATTTTGTAACTCACTAGTGAATGTTTCCTCCTGAATAGAGAGAATAGATAGAGGAGAGAATAAATTGAGGAGAGAATTGATGGTGTACGTAAAAAAATAGTTTCATTGTTCTTCTGGTTATGTGTGTGTTTTTTTTACTTTTTAGTCTCGGAACCGAGGATGTAATATTCCTAAATGTTAGTGGGAAGAACTCACTTTGCAGTGTTTGTGCTGATACGACATGCAGTGAGTGTTAGTTCCAAGAAACTTTGACTCTTGCTTTATCTTTTCTTTTTTTTTTTTGTGTGTGTGTGAGTTCGGGCTACCTGCAGTCCATGCGGGTATTCGCTTACCCGGCGACAAATATGGCAATATGGTTGCAACCTAATTCTTTTTCTCTTTCATTGAAATCATTCATTCCTATCTCTTAAACTATATATAAATATATCTATGGGTTTTGCTTGACGAATTCAACACCCTTTTGGATGTTCTTGATCAAGGTGTCCTTAGCTTCTTGAACCAAGGCTTCTTCGTGAGAAGACAATTCACCCAAAGCGTGGACGGTCTTGACACCTTCAACACCCAAGGTAACCTTGGAGGAGAAGAAGTCGACACCTTCGTCCTTGAACAATGGAGAGTCAACAAAGGTTGGTTCGGTGATATCGGATTCACCGGCCAAACCGTTCAAGACAGAACCAGCAAATCTGGCACCAGCTTGAGCCATGGACAAGGTGGCGGAACCAGCACCGTTCTTGGCTTGGACAACTTCATCACCACCGAATTGAATTCTGTGGATCAACTTGTCTCTGGTTTCTTCGTCCAAGTTCTTGTGGTTGGTTTGAGACAACAATGGGACAATGGTGATACCGGAGTGACCACCGACAACAGTGACTCTTTCGTTGGTTGGGTTGGTACCGGCAACTTCAGAAACGAATCTGGAGGCTCTCAAGACGTCCAAGGTGGTGACACCGAACAACTTCTTTGGGTCGTAAGTACCCTTTGACTTGAAAACTTCAGCGACAATTGGGACGGTGGAGTTGACTGGGTTGGAAATGATACAGACGGCAGCCTTTGGAGCGTAGTCAGCAACGGCCTTGGCAAGGTCTCTGACAATGGAGGCGTTGGTGTTGAACAAATCGTCTCTGGTCATACCTGGCTTTCTTGGGACACCGGCTGGGATAACAACAACGTCGGAACCAGTAAGAGCGTCTTGAAGACCTTCTGGTTCGTAACCCTTGACAGTGGAGTTGGTTGGGACGTGGGAAACGTCAGCGGCAACACCTGGGGCACCTCTCAAGTCATAAAGAGCCAAGTCGGTAACCTTGTGGTTCAACTTCAACAAAAGGGACAATGGTTGACCGATACCACCGTTGGCACCTAAAACGGCGACCTTGTAAGCGGAGGCAGAGGAGGAGGAGAAGGATCTCTTGGCAATGGAAGACAACATTATTGAATAATTGTATATAGAGAAAAGAAAAGAAGAAAGAAAAACTGTTTTAAGAGGAAAAAAAAAAGTTCCCCAACTTAATTAAATGTTCAGAGTTTGCCAGAGTCCTGTGCTAACTTTGATCTGAGTAGACCGCGAACACGATCCGGACCAATCAGCGGTGATTTGAGTCGGCCCGCGCGGTTTGTATGTGAGAAACTTGGTCGGAATTGAAATCGCGAAATATGGTAAATTCTCAGTTTTGTGTGTGTTTTGGTGGATTTCCACGGGGTCTCAGGTGTGGTTAGTTGAAATTCCTCTCACTTTAGTCGAGCGGCTCCGGTTAACCGGATGCCCCCAGACCCCGTGCTCGGACAACGATACTCCACAATTTTAACCGAATGTCATGTTATATTGAAATTTCACCGATACACCCGTTATTAAAGAATGTATAATGATTGAATGAAAAATAAGCTAACGGTATATATAATCGGGTGAAATTGACACGTAATGTAAATTAAAACAATATTCAATAATTAAGTGGATTTCTGTGAGGAAATAATAATTATTATTATGTGATAAACTATATTTTAGCTCATCTTTGTAAACATATTGTTAAATGACACCATTTGTAGGTGAAAAAAAACACAGACATACAAATACTCGTTAAGGTATTTGTAACTCTATTAATTTTTGTAACAATAGTAAAAAATTGATTACAATGCCAATGTCTTTGATTTAATATTTAATCAATTGAATATGTGGTTTTATTGTCCTGTTAACAACGAATGCATGATGTTACTTGTTGCATTTTCACAAACTAAATAATATCCTAAAAAGCAAAGTAAAATTGCAACACCCCCTTCTGCATTTTTTTCACTTGTATTACAATTTATTTTTTCAAGTCAATTCATCTTCCCCCCTTATCAACTCCCCTCATACTCCACAATTTCTCCATCTTCTTATTTCCCCAGTTATTCATTCTACTTAAAAGATCCCTTTAATGGCATACAAGTATCACCTAATGGTCAATGTATTTTTCGAAAAAAATGTTAGGGTGTACGGATGTACCAACTTAGGACAGAACCACTGAAAAAATAATTTTTCGAAATCCGCCTTTATGGCCAAGTTGGTAAGGCACCTCACTAGTAATGAGGAGATCGTCAGTTCGAATCTGGCTGAAGGCATTTCTTTTTTGTTATTTTTATTTAAAATAAAACCTCTCATTTGTATGTTTACAAATCTCTCCATACATATTTTTTTTGGTATACACAAATAACATCACATATATAAACAGGTATCATTAACAATGTCGGTCAAGCCAATTGCACCCAAACATTCCATGGACATTCCACATGTGACTGCTGTGGAATTGCCCCTTATCGTCAAGAATAATGATCGAGCAGTGACAATGTTGGGAGGTAAAGATAAGATCTCTAAAGTGATCAATGCGCTGCATAATCCTGGAGGAGATAACAATGGAGGTAGTAGTGCAGACCAAGTGTTGGAGTTACGGCTTAGAAACGATCCATTCCACCACCCTATACAATCACTGGTGAATTCATCAGAAAAGGTTTTAGTCAAAGTATCAATCAATAAGAAAAGTTTACCAGAAGATTATCAAGAAAATAAGGCCAAATATACATTAAAGCAACTTTTAAAGGATAATAAAGATTATACAGTGCAACCAGTGGCCATTATAGACAACACATTCCTGTTCAAATCCATGGCAGATTTCCAAGTATCCACCAAAAGAAATGAAGTGATTCAAAATTTCAATTCAGCAGTGTTAAAGGGACAAAATTATCAACAAGTGAATAAATATTTTGAAGAGAATGAAAAATTTTCTGGTATATCTGATTATAAAGACCCCACCAATTATGAAAATAAAGATCATCAATTACCACCACCACCATTATTCAGTCCTATACAATTCCCATTTGATTATAAATATCAGAAAAATCCACTTACTTCCACCATGCAAGATGAAAGTGGAGAAGTTAGGGTGGTATCAAAGAAATTGACTCCTAGATTGCATACAATCATTGTAGATTTCCATAATAATAATATCCCTACCCACCCAGCTAAGGCACTTCAAGAGAATTTTAATCAACTTGAAACTAATAAACCGGCAGTGAACAGCATAGAATATTCATTAATGGAATGTATTCGATGGTTATCTTCCATGTTTGATAAGAAACCTATATGGACCAGAAAACATCTCGAAGACATTGTACCACGAGATTTGAAAAGAGTCATTAAACAAGCATTACCATATGTATCATTTATTTATAAGAGTGGACCATGGAGATTTTGTAATGTTAAATTTGGAATAAATCCAAAGGAAAATCAAAGTTTTTGGAAATATCAAAGTGAATATTTTAGAATTCCAGGGTTAAGATTTAATAAAAAGAGTAGTGTACATCCAACCAAGATCTTACCACCAACATTAAAGGTTGAAGGACAATCAATTGAAGATGAAGCATTGAAAGTTTCATTAAATTTATTTTTCGATGGGGTTAGGCTTCCCAGAACGATCACTTATCAAGTTGGTGATTTACTTGATGCAGACATTCAAGGGTTATTAGAAAAGGGGGAAAGTTCTATGGGAGAGAGCTTTTTCCGAGAAAAGCCAGATTTCCAGGATGGATGGATCAATAAACAAAGTATGGAATGTATTCGGAGGATCATTAGATATAAATTGATTAGATTAGTCAAAGAAGAACCTATTGATGCTGCGAAAATTGAGAAAATCTTGACTACTGATTATACAAAGAATGAAGATGACATGGAGGTTGACAAAGATGGGGAAGTAGAGGAAGAAGAAGAAGAAGAGGAAGAGGAGGAAGAAGAAGAGGGAGAAGAAGAAGAGGAAGAAGAGGAGGAAGAGGAAGCAGAAGAAAAAGTATACGATGATAATGATGAAGAGGAAGAACTTGGAAATTATAAAGATGATGTAGTAGATTTAGAAACATTAACTCGGAGATTGAAAAATATTGACCCAAATGCACAAGATGATTTGGAAGGATTGGTTGGGTTTATCAAACAGGATCTGTTAAGAAATTGATTAGATTTAATAAAATTAATATATACGAATAGACTTGTGAATCTAGATCTTTGATATGGGGCGAAGAGTGGATGTTCGGAGTTAAAGGGATTATTGGTTCAGCCCTACGGGGTAACCTCGTCCGAGCATGGTGCAAGGGTTTTTAGTGTGCAGCAGCCATCACGTAATATCAATTTGTAATTATGCCCTTATGAAATCTAGGTGTAGCTAGTAGTGGGGGATCTGGAGGGGCTTGTAGAACCCTTGTCACAGGGGCCTATCAACCAGAGTAATAGAGAGAGAGAACCTCGTAAATATTGGTTCTCAAAAAACAAAAAAAAAAAAAAGAATATAAGGAAGTATTTTATTTTTGCAACCTTTGTTAGGGGTAGCAGGGTTAGTATAAACAAGCTATATTCGAGGCGGAAACTCTCTGGAGAAACTACTGCTGCGCCCCAATAGGGAAATTACTAGATATACCCCTGGTGAATCTATAAATGGCGGTACAAAGTGGTGGGGTTGGTGGTGAGTGCGGCGTCATATGGTGGTTTTTGATTGTGCGTCGCACCCAACGGCCAGACATGAAATCTGGTGATGCCAAAATCGCAAAGGTCTCGCAAAGCTGCGGAGTAGTTTGGTGGTGTGTTACCACCCCTATTTTTTTTTGCAAACCCGCAACGGCATGCAAAGAGAGTGATAATTGTTGAAGGCCAGAGTGCTATAGACGTAAACAGTAGCTAGATAGAATCAAATTCATGGGCTACAACATCAAACAGAAAATAGAAATCTGCCTCAAGGCAGAGGCGCACCCTGAGATGACTCAGGGGGACTTGGCCAACTGGGCCATGCAACAATACGGGTCGGCAAGAGCCCCGTCACAGACAACCATTTCGCGGATACTTAGCCTGAAGAACGAGTTGGTGGCGTCCAAGTCTGCAGACTTCCTGTTGGTGAGGAGGCGTAAACAACAGAACCCTTTACTTCGACGGATCTTGACAGAATGGATCACCCAGGCACTTTGGGAAAACATCCCCATCACAACACCCATCATCCAACTGACAGCCAACGCTATCTGGACCAGGCTCCCGAGCGAGAGCAAAGACGGGAATGGAGTGTTCAATCAGAAGTGGTGCAACCATTTTCTTAAGAAATTAAATGTCAACCTTCGAGGCGATAACGCTGACATTTACAACAATCCGGGGAACCACACCCTTCACAAGGTGTGGAAGCTTGACGAGAAACTTGAGTTGAAACACTACTTGGCCCAGATCATAGATCGAGAACAGTACAAACCACAAGATATCTTCACCATTGATGAGTTCCAATTGTTTTATCTGTTACCCCTTGACCAAATATTTGACGTTTCATCTATCGACAAGGGGTTGAAACAGTCTCTGAGTAGTACCGAGAAATCTGTGACCATTATGCTTGGAGTCAATCTAGATGGGCTGGAGAAACTTACTCCCATGGTTGTGGGGAGATATGACAAGTTTGATGTTTCACAGAGTTCTAACCCTCTGTTGAAACATGGGGTTGGGTCTTCTATGGCTTCATCGTCCACGGCAGGACATCATGCCTCGGGGAATAGTCACTCTAATTCTAATTCATCTACCGCGACCCATACTCTTATGAACAAGATCACCGAAGTGTACAACCTCTACTACAAATCCAATGCCAATAAATGGATCACTTCAAGTATGTTTCAAAACTATTTGCTCACTCTTGAACATAAACTTGCTAGTGCTGCACCCAATAGAAAGATTTTGATCTTACTTGACGATCCGTCATCGCATAGAATCATCAATTTGAAGTTTAGTAACATTCGACTTTGTTATTTGAAGAACAATTCGAACCATAAGAACCCATATGGAGCCGACTACAACGGAGTTAAGTTTGACTATTTACCGATGAGTTTTGGGATCATTGAAGAGTTTAAGGTGTTGTATAGACTTCAACAATATTTAGAGATGATCAACATCCAAAGGAACAAGGCTAAGGGTGAGGGTGTGGGCATCGATGAAGACGAGCTGAGAACTTCAAATGTATTTGGTGGTTCTACAGGTGCAGCCGCTGCCATGGAGGAAGCTGCTGCGGCGGTGACCACAACCGGGAATAGCAAGAGAGGTAATAGTGTTGGAAACAACGCCAGTCCTTCCGCCAATGCTGGAGCCCTTACAGAGTCCGATTACGATGTCCCTCTTATCAAGGTGATTGAATGGATCAAACGGTCATGGGACTCTATTTCCACTGAGAGAATCATCTTATCATGGAAAAGAACTAATTTGATCAGTTTCAAGCAACCATGGCCATGTACTAATCCAGAAGTGAGTGCCAATGCAGTTGCAACGTTGCAACCTCTTTTACAAAAGGCAGAATCTTATAATTGTGAAAGAAGTTATGAGAAATTGGTAGAAATCATGGAGTATTTGAATGTGGTGATCCCATGGAAGGCAGATGAACTTTTGGGACTTGTTAATGAACGTGGTAAAGTTTCATTAAGTTATGTTTCCATTGAGGAGATCATTGGTAGTTGCTTTCTGGAAGATGCTTGTGAGGAGGAAGATAGTCATAGAAATCGTCCAGCACCATCCATAGCACCAGTTCAACTGGCATTACTGACAAGTGGCCATTCATTGGCTAGTGCCACTTCCACCACGAATTCGATACCAACATCATCAGCGACTGCAGTGGGAATATCTCGCCACCTGACTGGACTCACACCATTTGGATCATCATCAGCATCTCCATGGTTCCAAGAGCGTGACTTAAAAGATAGGGCAACACCAATGGAGGTGGATACAAATTTTGATATGTCATACCCAGAGTTTTCCAATAGTTCAGTACCGAATTCGAACAATTCTGCGACAAACTCTATGAATATTAATTCGCTTCTTGCAGCGATTCCTACAGACCCAGTGAAACATTCCCCGTTACAGAAACCGCCTCAGAATGTGCCAGCACTGGTGCTGGTACCATCCATGACTCCTTCCGGAATGATATCTTCAGGATTGACCCCATCGAACATGTTTATGGATTCATCTCTGGCTACACTTCCGCCCTTAATGACCCCACCATTCTCCAAGATACACCAACCAAAGCGAAGCATGGGTTCAGAGGGCCCTGCGTCGTACTGGTACACGGCAGAGAAACGGAGAAAACTTCCGGGTCAGAGCAGTCTTTTAGGAAACAACACCATCCCACAAATGTATGGAACAACAGCTGCAATGACTCCTACTTCCGTGGGAATAGGAGTGCCATTCCCCGGTGTAGGATCCACCACTCAGGGGCTCACTGGAAATGAAGGGATGATTGACCCCGTTTATGGGTCAAGACAAAAACAAGAATCAAAAGATGCAGAATTGATCAATACTTTAACTAAAATCCTAGATGCGTCGAATTCTGGAGATAAGCTCCAACTTTCCACTGCAACATTAGCTGAACTTCGGAATAATCTACAAGAAGCCCAGTCACGGTACAGTAATAACAACTTGCAACCATACCAATGAGTAATAGATATATAGGTATAAAAATAATAAACGTAATATAGAGAAGGTATCACCACTACAACGGGACGTCATATATATTAATTTGATTTTTGTTCTATGTACAAGGTATGTATGTTATCAACATTGAAAAGTGTGTCCCGCCACTCCATTGGGGGATATTTGTACTTTACTAGTTGAAATGTTTTATTTATTTTCATCATCTTCTTCAATTCCCAACTCACGTGCCTTTGCTTCGAGTCTAGCTCTCTTTTCAGCTCTTGCTCTTTTAATTCTGGCAACTTCAGCTTGGATTTCATGAGGTTCCTTAGGGATTTGGTTAAGGGTAGCTGGATCAGGCCAAAACCCAGGCATATTAAATTTTTTGTCGGTATCAAAACCAACGTAGTACATCACACAGATTGGTGTAAGTAAGTAGAAGGCAAACTGAGGTTAGTAATCAAGACAATATAAAGGGTAAATTTAGCAGCGGAGAGATGAGAGTTCTGACTATTCAAATTATTATTATAATTATTATTGAGGCTAAGATTGAATCTGTATGATAGCGCGACCCTTCACTGGCTGACTCATAGCATGGCACGTCCGATAGGTCAGTAAGACGGGGTATTTGGTGATATCTCCACTCTTGCACCCATTTTTCCTCGTTAGAGGAACAAGGCCTCCACGGTTAGTGGCCCACGGAGTGCAAGCGGAGCGGCTTACATATCCACTATTACATTTGTAATCATCCATCGAGGGTTTCTTCACTAGGGCCTTCAGCTCCATGAGAACACTTTATGGTACCTCTTTCACTTCCAAAAGGATAAGACCACCATATCCCAATGGTCCTCTTGATGAACACACAGACTTTGCTTATTGGACCAGTGAATAGACCTGACTTTCTCCATAGTTGTAGATGTTCCTTTTGTGCACTACACTCAAATGTGTTCACATTATTTGCATTTTTAACACTATCTCCACCCTCTTTTTTCTCTTATACATACCTTGGAAGTCTCCAACTGAGTACGATTCAATACAATCTTCATAAATTTAAACATTTTCCCCCAATTATATACTCTTTATCCTTGATACTCTCTCTAAAATCATATGATAATCTTTTTTCTTTTGATTGGAAATCTATATTGAGAGGGTCGTGCACACACCGTGCCAGGTATCAAACAGAGGTCAATATATGTATATATATCCCCAAAAGAGCTACCAGAATTTATAACCATTGGGAAGAAGTTGGCCAGACGATATAGAAGAACGAGCCGTCAATGTCCAATTACACACCAATTGAGTCTGACGTGGCGTCCACCACGACAGCACCTCCTTCGTACCGAGAACAGGAGAATGTTGGTGGTGCCACCACCACCACTACCAATTCTGCTCCTGTGGTGACCTCTCAAGATCCAAATGATTGGTCTTGGGTCAGGAAAATTAAGGAAAGTTCCCATCCATTGGCTTTGACAGTCTATATAATCCTCAGACTCGGACCAATCTTCATGTACCTTTTCGGGACGCTTTTCATTGGTCTTTTCACAAAGGATAATAAGTTTATTCTTCATTTCATTTTCATTGTGTTGTTGATATCAGCCGATTTCTGGAACCTTAAGAACGTAGCTGGTCGTCTTTTGGTTGGGTTACGATGGTGGAACGAAACCAATTTTTCCACAGAGGGTGCCACTGCCGGTGAGGTGGAAAATGTCTGGGTTTTTGAAACCGCCAACCCTGATCGTTACATTAATCCTATTGATTCCAAGATGTTTTGGCTCCTTCTCTACGTACAGCCTGTTCTCTGGGGAGTGTTGGGAATCTTGGCGGTGCTCAAGTTCCAGTTCTTGTACTTGGTACTCATTGTTATTGCCGTTTCCTTGTCAGCCACAAATGCAGTAGCATTCACAAAATGTGATAGATTCAGCAAGGCCAACGGGTTGGCTACAGACTTGTTTTCAAGGGCAACCAGCAACGTGTTTGCCAGGATAAACCCATTTTCCCAGTAGATTGAACGATAAGATATGATAAATATATATATAAATACAATTTTTTTTTTTAACAAAAAATACAGGTAGTAGTAAAATTGGATACTTGTCTAATTGATTTGGGTTATATATCTAATTAAATAATGATTCACTTGTTGCACTAGAATAACTTTTCCTTGTTTTGATGATCCCTTGTTGAAGTCGTTGATGGTAGGTGTCCCGTACATTTGATCTCAATTCATTTAAGGTGACCAGTTTCAAATATTGTCTCCCCACAAAAGTACCAAAGTTGAGTTGTTGTTCATCCAAGTTCTCCTGTTGCGGCCGGATTAATCTAAACAGCAATTTTCTTTTCTTCCGATGGTGGTATGCCTCTGCAGTTGGCGAGCAAATAGTCGCCAGTCTATAGCTATCATATATCTCCTCAATAAGAATGTTCAACTCCTCCTTTCTTGTTTTACGATTTCTGTACTTTGTTACAATATTATGGAACCATCCAAATATGTGTTTTTTGGGAGTGCTATCACTCACACTTGTCACTGGCAGAAGCGGTGGTGGAGTAATTGAGCCTGATGGAGTTCGCGAACCATTTAATACGAATTGATTCCCAAACAACGCCTCGTACCCATGCACCAGCAATGGTTGTACGGTTGTCATTACTTTTGGCTGCAAATCTTAGCCTTCTAATGTTTGTTTGTGTTAAAAAGTTATACAAATGATAAAGTAGTTTCTATATTATTTTTTTTTTGCTTTCTGTGTTCTACTTCTCATATCTCTTTAATCTTTGGAAATGATCGACCTTGTCACTTAAATTCGTGTATCGAAGCACAACAGGTAATTTGGCTTGTGATTCTCCAAAATAATCGTTCATTGTAGTCAATTCCAACCCTTTCTCTCCAGTAAATGCAACAAGAGTCTCGAATCGATCCAAAATAAGCTCCAATCCAGGGTCTGTCACGTCAATCTCAAAGCCTCGGACCTTTTCTCTTCGAAAATGACGTGAGATATCTTCAGATTCCTTATATATGATCTTCAAGATCAATTGATTCAAAATTAAGTCTAAATCATGGTTATATGAAATCTTGGTCACAGAATTTTTCAACCCATCTATTTTCACATTGGCAGGAATTCTCTTGATAATAGAAACAGGATCATAATACGAACTTGATTGGTCATCCGCACATTCAAGAAGTGCCTTGATAAACGCAGGTTTATTCATTGAATAATCCAAGAGAATTGTCCATGCCTCTTTGTCATTCTGATGCTTGGCAAACTTGATGGCCTTTTCCGGATCATCCAACTTGTCAATGATAAGCATGAGTGCCTTTCTACTCTCACCTATCTTTCCTAAAAGATAAACCAACTCTTCCGTGAACTCATTCCGCTCACACAATTCAATGGCATCATCAATATTGTAATTGTTTTTCTTTGTAAGAAATGAAAGAAGTTCCTTACGATCATATTGAGCAAGTAATTGCACTTGAGAATCTCCAAATGGTTGTGTAAGAAATGAATCTATATCAGTCAATTCCTGTAAATAAAAGTAATTGAAAAAGTCCATATGGGCATTTTTCATTAGTTCAATTACCCTCTTCGGTTGTAATTCATGTCTATTAGATACCAACAAGCTGACAATATCTGACAATTTCAGCTTGAGCTCAACAATTGGGATTGTTTTCATTGAATCTCCTTTAAATCGTAAAGATATATAGGAAGGCAATTCAGTTTCAAAATTTGTCAATAAATGGTGAGTTGATAAAAATTGTACAAGTTGAGGATCTCCAAGTTGAGCAAGATGTTTCACTGCCTTTTGTGGTTCATGAGATGTCACATATAATTGAGCTAAACTTCTCCTAAGTTCGGTATTGGTAGGTTCCGCCTCTAATCGTTGTTCCAACATTGATTGTATAGTTTTGATATCATACAATTCCAGATCCCAACTATTGATGAGTGAGTAGAAGGTATCATCATCGTTACCGAGCCAATACTCTAGAATCGTATTATATATCCCTTGGTTTAACCCTAGTTTTGAGGAAGTAGGTATTATAGGGGTCAATTCAATAATATGATTAGATGATATGAATATATTGGACCAATTTTCCCATTGTTCTACAATCTCCTTAACTAAAGCATCATTGGCCACCGGTTGTACAGTCAGAATTGTCGTGTTTGTGTCTCCATCTGGAAGGGCTTCATCCAGCAAGGCAAGCAATTGATCTAGAAATTCTGCAGTCTCCAACCATCTATCCTCTTTCACAAGCTGATCCGCATATGATATCCCATAGTTTAAACGCTTAAGTGGGCTGACCAAATGTTCACTAATATTCCATGCATCATAGTTTTTACCCTTCTCCACAAACCATTCAAGTCGATCATGGAGTGTCACTTCTTGTGCAATGACTGCATCCTTAGCACTTACAATGAAGTAACGAGGCAGCGATTTCTCAGCTATATGTGTACCGAGCAAATAATCATTTAGACCCAAATTTTCAATGTTTCGGAGTCCGATTTCTTCTTCAAATGTGACCTCCCCTGTAGTGGTATTGATAAGTTTAATATCTGGGTTACTATAAGTTGGTCTGTTCAGTGTCTGGTCCAGTCTCTTGGGTGGCTCATACGTGAGAACGATGCAGAGGTCATCTTTGAAGGTGGAAACACCTGAAATCAAGACATCTAGTTTAAGTACATGTTCAATTTCTATTGCCTTCAGTTCATGACTTCCTCGGAAAGAGATGGTGGCAGTTGACGGTATCATGATTCTACTGGTGGCTGATGACTTCGAACCTGTATGGTGCATCCCATCACCCTTCAGTGTGGTTATCACTCGTAACAACCAAATATGATCTGCCCATGCAATAACAATACGGTCAGTTTCCGGGAAATGAACTCTTGGCCAATACATATCTCCACGAGGTGAGTTTGCAGGCCGGTCAATGACGCTGATTTTTGTCTTGGAAGGGGTATGAAACACATTGATCCCATCATCATTCATCCACAACACCAAGTCATCAAGTCGATAGATTCCCACCACTGGGCCCGAACCTTCATCTAGCACAGTGTCAGCACGCTGTCCAAGCCAATTCCGAGCCGACCGGATTATTTTACCACTCATACCTCCGGTAATGAAACTTCTGGTTTGTTTATAATTGCCATCAAGGACTACTGCGTGAATGGGCCGTTTGAAATCAAATGCCACGATATCCTTTTCATCTGTAATTGAGCCCACAACCACAGTTCCATCCATTGATGCACTTGCAAAAAATTGCCCGTCAGTATAAATGCACAACACAGAAGCTCTATGTGCTTTGAATGTTCGTATGGGCAGAAGATCTGGCTGAGCTATGTGTAAAAGTCCCGAATGGGTTGAAAATATGAATGCATTCTCATGGAACACACAGGTTGACACTGGGTCTCTTGAAAAAAATGTTGGTGGGAGGTTATTCAACCTTGAGTATTTTAATTTAGGAGGTTCTTCCTCAGAGTCCGAATCTGAATCTGAATCCGAATCTGAGTCTGAATCCAAAGAAGAATCAGCCGAAGAGTCAGCAGAAGTATTGTCAGATACATCATGAGTGGGAATATCCTGCTGGGAATCCTTTCCCGGTGACTCTTGGCCAATTTTAGATTGCTTTCCAATTGCGTCTACTTGATCTATAGAATTGGTTGATTGCTCGGAGGAGCCCACGATTGACTGAGTACTCGGTATTGGGCCCTGCTCTGATTCCAGAACTAATCCCAGCCCTCCTTCTGATTCATCTTCTGATCGAGTCCCTGTCTCATTATCAGTGTGTCTCAATTCCCCACTATCCAATTGAGCTCCTGGCTCAATCTTTGTCTCGTCCGAATCTTTCTCATGTTTCGTTTTATCGCCATTGGCGTGTTCTACATCCTTGTCCTTCGGCCCAGCCCGCACACCAGCTGGACCACGCCTGCTTATACGTTTCTTACCCATTGGTTTCTATTAAATTTCCAATTGAGTAGACAGATCTCTTTAACTAGACTGTTTTCCTAATCTTCAATTCTGTGTCATTTCTATTTATCGCACTCAGTTAAAAAAAAGAGCCATATTTAGAAATTTGCCTTTATTTTGTACATTCCTCATTTCGTTTATCCAGCATCCCAAAAATTACCCGTCTCTTTCCAGTATGCCTCGTGCTATCAGAGGTGTCTTAGTTCGTTGTGATCCTTCTATCAAGGCGCTTATATTGAAAATTGACTCGGCTAGACATGATATAGTCATTGAGGAATTGGATGATACTCATTTGGTCATTGATCAGAAACAAGTTCAAGCAGTTAAGAATGAACTTAATCGTCTTTTATCAAAGAATATTTACAATCCATTTGAAGAGCAATAACCAGGCTCTCCAACTAGAATTGTTTATGGATTATACTTAGAATACCTTCCGTGTGACTTAAAGAGATCATTGGAATTGTTACTCACCCTCTCATCATTTAGAACGAGCTGTTCATTGAGAAAAAAAAAAGGAATAGTGTACTAGAGTGCCATACTATGACAGGAAATTATAGATAATATAATATGGTAGGCAGTGAGAGATCATGACCTTTCATTCAACCAATGTGGACTAAAGAAGAGATGTAGCTGAATGACAGCACTCATCATCACAAAAAATAGAATAGAATAATAATAGTATATATAAGAATTAGTACAATCGACGGTTAGATTTGGAGATAATATATTTGGTTAAGAAATGCATGTAGGATTGAAAAGAAGGCTGCTTCAAGGAGACTACTTCATTTATTAAATGAGACCAGACAAAGTAAAATTCCTAGTACAGAGAATCACCAGAGCAAATGACTAGCATTATTGAATGAATGAATCATAGCAGTATAGCCGATCAAATCAAGAGGAATTCTAATTTTGGCATAAGATATATCTTTATGATTTACAAAATTAGCTAGGACAATATCACGTGTATATTACATAGGGTTATCCTACTCTTTTTACTAATTATAGTAATGTACAGCTAATGGAAAGGATGATTCTCGGTAGTTTCATGCAAGTTACATCTTCTTTGAAAGTACTGAAATGGATAGTCCATCCAGCGAATACGTTTAATGTTTTAGGTATCTCACTCTCTACATCTGTGCTTTAAAAATGTCATATTTTTAAAACAAGAGTTTTTATGAATTGTTGAAAAACATTCATACATCATATTCCATTATATGTTTACTTTCCCCTTCAACAACGAGAAAGGAATTACTTTGAATATCATCTATTAACCTACCATTGTAGGTCGATATAAGAAACGATCACGTGATTTTGCAACCAAAACATTTAAAATGACATACACCCCTTGATAGTTTTGAAGTGTCATAATGTTGTGCCTATTTCTATCATGGAATTTACAAATTGTTGCAAATTGTGATCCATTATACTCTTGTTTATATAAATATACAAATCGCTCTATATGTCCCATTGGAAAGGATTTTTGCAATACTTTTTCTTTTCCCCATTGTTTATTTTTTCTTCAATCACTCATGGAAAACATCCTCCTTCAAAGGTGATTGATCTGAATTAGCCACTTCATCTTCATCATCCCCCATTTCTTCCAAGAACCCGAAAAATGTATCTGGTTCCATAATTTCTTTGATTTCCTGCTTGATGGCTTCCAGTTGCTGAGCTTGAAGTTCAACTTGTTTATAGAATTCATCGTAACTAGTCAACAAAATTTGCTTGATACTATCAATGAGGTACGATACAACCTGTGAATCCAACAAATAATGGTTCATTTCTCGCTTAATTCTTGGGATTTCTTCACCAATATTGTCACGGAATTTAATCGAATCTGCTAATGGATGACTTTTAGCAGTTACTTTATTGATAGGTTCACTGATTCTTTGTACGCACCCACCAACAAATTCAGTCACTGCATTAGTTAATTGAGTTTGCATTTCATACTTTGCATCAATCATATTATTAACAACTTTTGGAACTGATTTTTTGAACAAATCAAATACTCCTCCATTACCCTGTGAGTCAACTTTGAAGCTATCCATACCACCCAGGCGAATTGTCAGGAATATCTCTTGTATACCACTGGTAAAATCAAGACTTGTCTCCGTACGAACATATTGAATATCAAAGTTATTCAATTGTTGTTGTAAGAGTAATAGATTCTTCAATAAATAAAGTTTAGCATCCAATTCTCCTAAATGCACAAGTGCCAATTTGTATGCATTATTGTTAAGCATATAAATGCAACTATGGACAATGTAATGGGCCAAATCATCAAATACCACGGAATTTACCAATTCATAGATATTAGATAAGATGGTCAATGCTTTCCCCACTGGTAAAAACCAATCTTCATACATATTTTCATTGAATTCAGAGTCTAAAGTAGCCAGACCAACACTTTTCCTTCTACCAATTTGTAAATCTTCAGGTTTAGCCTTGTATTTCATTAATTTTTCATCAACATAAAGTTGGATTCTGAAAATAAGTCTTTGTTGAACATCCAACAAGATTGGTTGGAATAATTCACCAAAATTGACATCAATGTTACCACCTCCATTAGTGAAAATATTATTATTATCACTCTTTTCAAATTCATAATATTTTTGTAATAAAGTAGTTAGTTCACAAAGTTCACTAATATTTGTCTCTCGAATGATTCGATTTCTTAATGTGTCATATAAAGGTTCCAAAATACGTTTAAACCATTCCCCAACTTCCAATTGTACTTGAGATGAACCGAGAGGTTGGAAGGAAAAATATTGCTGGAATAATGAAAGTTCTCGATTAATAACTTTTTTGAAAAATGAAATGTTATCTTGAGTAAATTGTACCAATGTTTGAGTAGGAGTTGAAGAAGTTGAATCATTTTGGAATGATTCCAATGATTGATCAATCTGATTCCAAATGTAATCGTTAAGAAGGGAAGATCTTACTCTAAAATATTGATTCAACACATCATTGAAAAGCCCCACATATTCCTGATGATTTTCAATTCTACGGAAAATCTCAGACAGTAGACTTGGAATTGAGTAATATTCAGATTCAGTGGATTTGATATGATTATTGAACTCGGTATAAAGAAAGAGATCAAAGTTGAACGAGTTGGAGGTGGAACTATTATCGTCTCTATCCTTCTTTATGGCCAGAATTAACTTTTCAGAAACCTGTTTCTGTAATTCTTTTAAATCATCAATCAAATAATTTCTAATGAGTGTTAATGATCTGGTCATACATTGTCTGAACCTTACTCTATAAGTGTCTGCTTCTTTGAACTCTGCATGTTGTTTGATAAAGTCCAAGCTTACATCCAATTTGACCAAGACGTTATGGAAGGAATGTTTCTTAACAATGTTAATGCCTGGACTGGTCAAGACTTTTGTAATTGAATCCAAGGATTCAAAAACTGCTAAATTATTGGAAATTTCCTGAGATATGTCTTCCAAATGTCTTTGCTTATCCATCAATGCCTGTGATTTGCTGGCAAAATCACTGGTTTCCCTTGAGACATAATTATATTTGAATGTGAGATCATCTAAAAGTTGTATGATTTCATCTGTTTGCAGTATCAAAGAAGTCACACTTCCAAGGTTTAATTGACACTTTTGATGGAATGAAAGGATTGAGGAGTCCGCTTGAAGTTGAATTGCCTCAATGTCCGCGTCCAGAATAATAATATCTTGATTATACTTATCAATATGCTTCGACCAAAGAATTGATTGTTCAGTTGATGAGAACGGATATAATGGATATGTCAGGGTGGATGCAGGCTGAGCCATCCACTTTTTCCTTACGGGCAACCACAATGACTGGGAGCGTGATAGAGGTATGTACAGTTGCTGCTGCTGCTCCCATTGTTCTTCTTGTGGTATATTACCGTTGTTATTGACATTAATATTATTATTATTGACATTGATTGAACTTATAGATTCTCCAAGGTCAACTGGTCTTTCGGGCAAAACATCCAATTCCCCATTATGAGAAGCCAAATCCAGCGCTATTTTCTGAACTATAGATTTACTTCTTCCTCGAGTCATTTTATGCTCAGATATAGATACAGTTTATAGTAGGGACGTAGTGGAAAGTTTGTGTGTGTGGGTGTATAACCATTTCTTTATGAACACATATATCGCGCGTTAGGTGCAGGCCCACTCACCGAAATCAAAAAAAAATTAAGAAGGAAAAAAAAAAGTATGAATCAGCCATAAATTCATAGATGTAGAATGAGTAGTTGTAAAAAGAAAATCGAAATCGATATGAAGGAAGGAAATAGACTGTTTATATTATTTAAACGATATAGATTATTTAAAAAGTCTTGATGAATATTGATAAATAATTATTTTTATGGGGAGACACGTGACTTCGATCACGGGCCATATAATCAAATCAATAGACATTAATAAAGTTTAAGACAATATCAAAGAGAATAATAAAGTTCATAAAGTATTAATCTAATGGGTGAATTATTTATTACACATTTCAAGTATAATAGAAATGACTTTGTCTATACTTTCTTATCTTTAATTTATAAATTCTTTAATTTCTATCATATATGATCATGTGACACTTATCACGCGCCCGTATTCAAATTCAATTCACGTTGCAAAAAAGTGGACTTTAAAGAAATTAGAGGGGACTATAAAACAAACGCCCTTTTCCATATTAAAATGTCGTTGGAAGATCCTAGAGACGATGTGGTCAACCAAACAGTGCTTACGGAAAGTTCAGGAGATGAGTTGGCGGATTTAGCAAAAGAATATGAAGCGAAAGCGCGACGTATTATGGAAAGGAAAAGATTAGCAAAGGAGAATAAAAAACTTAATGAAGAGAAGTTACAAGCACAAGTCACAAGAAGTAGATCACCGTCTCCAATAAGGAAACGGACTCTACCTTCTGGAACGTTGAATGCTGGGGTTACCAAATCTCAAGAGGATATAACAGAACAAAGAATACAACAACAGGTTGAAATCATTCAAAGGAAAAGGGAAATGATGAAGACTACTCACAAGCTGGCCTTTGCCAAAACGTTCCAAACAACTCTGAAACTACCAAAGACGCAGGATCTCGTCACTGACAAGGTATTTTCCTTCAAGGATATCCCCAAACCAATAGATTTGACCGTGGATGAGAAGGACCCATATACACAACTTAATCTTCGGAAACGATACTATACATCCGAACAATTACAGACATTACTAGGACATGTCAAGATTCTTGTCATTGAGAAGTTTTTTGCGAAAGTACACGCTCCATTATTCCATGAGCCAGAGTATCCTAACTGGGCCATTTCTGGCATAGTGCTAAGTAAGAGTGAAACAAAGTATACAAGTGATAAGAAGCAAAAATATATGAAGTTACTGGTTGGTGACTTCCACTTATCAGTAGATATTATGTTGTTTGGTGATGCATATCTCAAGTATTGGAAAGTTCGCGTGGGTGATGTAGTATGCATCCTCAATCCAACGATCAAACCATTCAGATTGGCACTCACCACCAACGGGTCGTCATCGTCACAACAGCAACAAAACCTGCTGCCCCGAGGGTTCAATCTCGTTCTTGATGATGATAGTGAATGTATATTAGAAATTGGAGCTGCAAGAGATTTAGGTTATTGTAAATCAATTAAACGGGATGGTCATAGATGTCTGACGCCTGTGAATATGACCAAATCAGACTATTGTAATTTCCATCAAGAACTCGCAATTCGGAAATCCGGAAACAAAAGGATGGAACTCAATGGGAGTGTGACATTGAAATCCCCAACAAGAAGGGATGGATCTAAACAGGCGATGTACGTTGGAAGAACCGGGAACAATCTTTCCAAGTCAAGCACACATATAACTACTGATTATACAAATTATAAACCCCAAACTTCAAACTTATACTATGCAAATGATACCGGTAAAGCGTTTTTCCGGGATGAATATTCAAATCCAAAGATTTTGGAGAATCTTTCAGAGAAGAGACGGAAATTAAAAGATGCGAAAGAAGATGCAAATCTTCAAAGGAAACTTGAAAGTATCAAATCACAGTCTTCTCTAAAGACATTGGGGCTTTCCAAAGGTATGACGTCGCCAGTGGCCAAGTCGGATAAAGTTGCATTCAATCCAAATTTACTCAACAAGATTGGGTTCAATCCCGCAGCCACGTCAACGGTGGGGATGAATGCACATGACGGAGTTTACAAGAGCCCCACTAGACGTCGGAAAATGCTTTCGGAAAATTTACAAGAATTATTCGAACTTAGTAATCTGAATGCCAGCAAAAAGCTTACGGCATCCATGGAGGACAAGATCGATAAACAAACCCAATGGAAGAAGACAATGGACAATTTAGAGAGATACAGGAACACAAAGGAGGGTACCAAGAAGCCATCGGGCGCACTTTTAGCGGCACCAAATATTTCTGATCCGTTTTTAGATCTGGGCTCCGATTCTGACATTGAAATTGAATTTGGTAACGATTTGGAGAAGGAAAAGTACACGAAAATGGCGAGGGGAGGAAATAATATCACAGGAAAGAAATAAAATCCAAAATATTAAGATGTGGTACAGCTGTATTATTAGATCTCGAAAGTGTCACATTACACATTCGACTTATTGCTCTAAGAAAACTAAAAAAATATATATATTCACATGAAGAGCGGGTCCCAAACTCCTTGCATGTACATAAAGGTGCGCGATTGAAACAAAGTTCGGAGATGAACCCCACCATCTAGTCGCTGGTGTTAGGTTTGAAGCTACCTGATACAGTGGTGAGGGGAGGCCCCAACATAAACACGCGGTGTGCAGATGAATGGGTGCGAAATATTGCATGGAGGAGAAATTCACATGCAAGCATGCGCATTGATGATTACATTTTCTATAGTTCTCCTCGATTTCGTTTTAGTATATAGGGGGTAGAATATCTGGAGCTAGAACAGGTTGGACCCACGACAAGAAGGAACATTCGGTTACTTGCATACCTGAATAATTTGAACTTGAAAATCTGTAACCTGTAACATTTTGTGTTTGGGATAGATAACATTGGTACGAACTCCGAGTCCGAGACATCGTCGTCAAAGTTAAAAAAGAGAGGAAAAAAAAAAAATAATCTGAATTTAATTGAGATTGCACATAGTCCGTCCTTCTAGAGAGAACAATAAGGAAAAACCTCCAATATAGGATGGGAATTAGCTACGACATGGAAACTATCCGGAGCTATGCCACGAGCTGGCCAGCGATTATTGTAGGGGTGCTTGTACTCCATTTCGCGTACAGGCGCATACGCAAGGCTGCATTTATGAAGAAGAATAACTGTGTAGAGTCGCAATACTTGACTAATGGATTCTTTTCCATCAGATTACTTTTGGACATGTTAGCCAAGAAGAAGAGTGGCGAACTTATAGACTATACTCATGAGATGTTTGAAGATTCAAATGGTACTTTTAGTGTCCGTCTTGCCGGGGTCCAGATTATGTTCACCAGAGAACCAGATAATTTGAAGGCTATTCTTGCAACCCAATTCAATGATTTTGCCTTGGGGAGCAGACATGAACATTTTCTTCCCCTTTTAGGAGATGGAATTTTCACATTGGATGGTCAAGGGTGGAAACATTCACGTGCCATGCTCAGACCCCAGTTTGCGCGTGAACAGGTTGCACATGTGCAGGCCTTGGAACCACATCTCCAATACTTTGTCCAACATGTACGTAAATCTGGAGGATCAACCATCAATATCCAGGAATTATTTTTCTGTTTAACTGTTGATACCGCTACCGAATTTTTATTTGGTGAAAGTGTTGCATCCTTGCAGGATTCATCGATTGGATGTCACGATGTTAATGATTTTGATGGACGTAAGAATTTTGCAACCTCTTTTAATTTGGCACAATCTTATTTGGCATCAAGATCTTGGAGTCAATTTTTCTACCCACTTATCAATAATCGTGAATTCCGTGATGCATGTAAAAACGTACATACATTCGCCCAATATTACGTCAAGAAGGCATTGGAGGCAACTCCAGAAGAATTGGAAAAGCAAAGTCGTGGAGGATATGTGTTTTTATATGAATTGGTTAAGGAAACTAGAAACCCCAAGGTTTTACAAGATCAATTATTGAACATTTTACTTGCTGGAAGAGATACCACTGCTCTGATGTTGTCATTTACATTTTTTGAATTATCGAGAAACCCTGATGTTTGGCAGAAGTTAAAGGATGAAATCTACACAACTTTTGGAAAAGATGACATTGAAGGTATTACATTTGAATCATTGAAAAAATGTGAATATTTGAAATGGGTAGTTAATGAAATCTTACGTCTTTACCCATCAGTTCCATTGAATTTCCGGATTTCTACCAAGGATACTACATTACCAGTTGGAGGTGGTAAAGATGGTGTTTCTAAAGTTTTTGTACCCAAGGGAACCACAGTAGCTTACGATGTATACTCAACCCATAGAATGGAAAAGTATTATGGTAAGGATGCCAAAGAATTCCGTCCTGAAAGATGGTCTGAAGGGGGTAGATATGGATGGGCTTACCTCCCATTCAATGGAGGTCCAAGAATTTGTCTTGGCCAACAATTTGCCTTGACAGAAGCTTCTTATATTATCACAAGATTGGTGCAATTATTCCCCAATTTGGAATGCCGTGATGATAGACCATATCCTTGTAACAAAAATGAACAGCTTACAATGTGTCATCAAGATGGGGTTTTTATTTCCTTATCTTAGTATGAAATCAATGAAAATATATTTAAATATACATATACAAATAAATGAGACGTTATGATAGTGAGTTAATTGGCAAAAAGAAAATAGGTTATATATGACCCTTACTCATCAAATGATTGGTTGCAACCTCTTCTAAACATCCCCCACATCAAACAGCTCATCCTGCACATAGAACACACTTTTCAGATTTTTTTTTTTTTTGTTTTCTTTTGTGGCATCGTTGCAAGCAACGGAAAAATCTGAGCTTGATGAACATTTGAGAGTTTTAGTAGAGGTTTATCAAATGTCCGTGGCAAAGAAGGCTAAGATGGTATTGAAGGTATGCACACACTCGGGCTCGTTCCATGCGGACGAGTCACTCGCGGTCTACATGATCAAGCTTTTACCCCGTTTCGCTGACAGTGAATTGGTCAGATCCAGAAACCCACTGGATTGGGAAGCTTCCGACATTGTTATTGATGTTGGTGGTAAGTACGATGGAGTCAAGTTTTTCGACCACCATCAACGTGAGTTCAACGAGACTTTCTCCAACTTGTACAAGACCAAATTGTCCTCTGCCGGGCTCATTTACAAGCACTTTGGTAAGGAAATCATTTCTAACCATCTTGACTTGAAGGTTGATGATGACAACGTTGAACTTTTATACACCAAGATCTACAAGGAATTCATTGAAGCGCTTGATGCCAACGATAACGGGATCGACAACTATGCCAAGGATGCCGAGAAGAAGTTCAACGATAAGAACATCACTCTCCCATCCATTGTTGGTAAGCTCAACCCTTCATGGATCGATGAACCTACTGATGCTGACTATGACGCAGCCTTTGCCGTCAGTTCCAAGCTCATGGGAGACGTCTTTGTCAGCTTGCTTAACGGCTACGGGAAGTCTTGGCTCCCAGCCAAGACCATTGTTGCCAGTGCCTTTGAAGACCGTTTTAACGTTGATGCTCTGGGTAAGATTTTGGTTTTGGATCAATTCTGTCCATGGAAGGAACACTTGTATGCGGTTGAAAAGGAACAAGGTCAAGAAGGATCCATTGAATTTGTTTTATTCCTGGACTCTTCCAAGAAGTGGAGAATTTCTACTGTTCCAGTGACTTCAACTTCATTTGATTTCAGAAAGGGATTACCAGAAAAATGGAGAGGTATTCGTGATCAAGAACTTAGTGATCTTACCGGTGTACCAGGATGTATTTTCGTTCATGCTGCCGGATTCATTGGTGGTGCTGAACTGAAGGAAGCTGTTTTGGAATTAGCCAAGAAGAGTTTATAAATATATTATGTAACATATTAAAAGAATAAATAAATAAATAAATAAATAAATACAATAAGGAAGCATAGAAGACTCTGTAGGATATATTTAGTATAGATCTAATTTTATATATATATTACCGTATCTAGTGTATGGATCTAATTTTAGATTAAGGGCGATACAAAACAAAAATTTGATATTAACCAATTTTTACAACAAGAGAGCGGAAAAAACACAAACAAATAAAGCAGTTAATTATTAAAGGGAACATTAGAGTTCATTCCTTGCCCGTCCTAACCAGCCAATGTTAAACAAATTCTGTATTGAATAAGATCTTGGCGAGTACTAATAGTGTCATTTTTTCCCCATTGAGACATTCTTGCGAAACCTTCACACAGCATCACTATACGACAGCCAGTAAACATTCCGTGCCTCTATTTATCCATTTATATGACGAGGAAATTCCCTCAAAAAATAACAGAGATGATTTATATTGGTAGCATTGATTGGGAAATGTAGGAGGGGAGTAACAGATATAAAAAAGGGCAAAAAAAAAGATATATTGTACATATACTTTCGCTTAATCAGTACCCCACTCTTTAGTGAATGACATGTTTGAATGGTATTATGGAGGAGATACAAGAGATATAATTATATTATAAAGAGTGAGAAGTAGAGGAGTATTGATTGAATGTGTTGATCTGATAGTTTTGAAGAACATGACTTAGTAAATTTAGGCCAAACAAATTGAGAGACAAAGTTGAGCAGGAAGAGTAATATTGAGGAAACGTTCACGGCCATTGAAGAACTCCATAGTTAATGTTGGGTATTCTTCCAGAGATGGCGTGGGTGTAAAGTTTTGAGTTCCAGCACATAACCAACAACTGGTAACTCTGCTACTATTTTTAGAAACTTTAGTGGCGATCTCTTCACCTTTTTTGCAGTCAACCAAATCGTCGAGGCTCAACGAGAAACTACATAAAGCCGATAAACTTATGAGATAAGGCACGATCTGTGATAGACCCTGTGGAGTAGTAACATCCTACCCTTGGGACCGGAAGACGCTCCGCTGCCCCCTCCTCGGGGAGAGCCACTGGCGTGGAGCCTAGCTCCTCTACGAGGAGATCCGATTAGTTGTTGTTGTTCCATTCCTCGTCAGAGGAACAGGAGCCTCCACGGTTAGTGGCCCACGGAGTGCCAGCGGAGCGGCTTGCGTACCCCGTAGGGTAGGACCAAGTCCTTTGCACCGTGAGACTGTAAGACGCTCCGCTGGCCCCTACTCGGGGAGAGCCACTGCGTGGTGCCTAGCTCCTCTCCGAGGAGGCACTTCCAAACATACCCGGAATTGGCTTCAACAAGTCCCTGGACTCACCGACCTTTGGTAGCCTTAATAGGGAGTGCCACTGGTTGATTACCATAATCAGTTGCATAATACCGAGCCCCGAGCCCAATGACCCAATGACTCAAAATCTTTCGAGACTCGTTATTTGGGGCACTGAAGTGTTTCTTTCATGTACCATATTTCTCAACATACGATTTGTGGCCTTGATGACTTGTGGTCCACAGAGTACCACAAGAGCAGCTTGCAATTTCTTGGAGTCAGTCAGACTGCAAGCCATGCACATCATTCTTTTTTTTTTTTTACCCTCGATGTAACTCCTACTCACCAAGAGCAACCAGAATATCTTACCCTAGCCATAGGAAGCAATAACCATCACATTTACCACCATATTCCGAGACCAACCTTCTACGACATTGTGAAATATCATGAACTTTATTTTTTATCTCTACCTATTTTGGTAGCCAACTCAACCAGTAATCTAGTCAAAAAGTTGATAATTCCTCGTCAATAATCACTTTTCATCGTCAACTACCACACCCAGTTCCCACCATACATGAAAACAAAAATAAATTTAATAGAGAACGCCACACTTGCCATTACAAACAATGCAAATATGATTAATTTGACTCGAAATTCTTAGGATCTTGAGGATATTTCTCAACTTTGATAACTGTGACCACTGTGGAAAAGCTTATCCTGGGAGATGCGTCTCCCAGATGGAACTAGTTTCCAACATACGCCTTAGTTTATACTATTGCTCGAGACGAATGGGATTTTATGTCTACAAATGGATTGGTAATCAATAAAAAATTATTATATTATTCCAGCATCGAAAAGGGGTAAAGTTGTATCAAACAACTCGCTGGCTAGTAAAAACGGATATGAAATGGGGAAACTAAAATAAATACTACAGCTCATTTTATTTTTCTTAAAACAACAAGGCAACACCGGCAGCAGCGGCAGCGGCAACACCAACAAAGTTGGTGGTGGCAGCAAAGGCACCACCTTCAGAGGCGGTGGTAACGTTACTAGCGTTACTAGCGTTGGAGCCGTTAAAGGCAGAAACAGCAGACACAGAGGTCAAGGCAGCGACGACAAAAGTTGAAAATTGCATTTTATGAATAAACTTGATGGATTTAGTATAAGATTAAAAGAAGAGCAAGAAAAGTAATGGGAATAACGGGAAATACAATTTCTTTTATATACTAGGGATGATGAGGTCTGCCACAGAAATTGCGATAAGGCTGCGCATGCATCCTTCCCTTTTTTTTTTATTATTTTTTTGCTTTTTATTTCTTTTTTCATGCGTTTTAGATGATGTGAATTGGGTCTTAAGTTAGGGGTTCAGCTCAATTCGGAACAAGATGACCCATAGTGAGCGAAAAAGAAAGAAAAAAGTAGGGAGTTTTTCCTAGGGTTACTGCAGAGGCTTTTTATTTAAAGTTTACGGAAGAAAGATACTCATCGTTTAGAGTGTTTTCGAGGTTAAGAATCACATTATTGCTACGAACTTAAATTAAAATTCTATTCACTTGTTTGTTGTCTCTTTTACAAATTTTGTTATCGTTATCTACTCCAGACCAATCTTTTTTTTTTTCCGAGTGGGGGGCAGAGTATAAACAATTTTTTTTATTTTAATTTATTCATTACGGTTGAATTCCCAAATTGGTCTTAATTAACTACATGACCACGGGCTCGCAACGTGCCCGAGTCACACAAAACTGACTATTTCTCCGCAAGATCCATTATGAAAACCAAAGAACAAAGAGACAATAAAACGAACTAGAAAATATGAAAGGTTTAAATGAAGTACAAACTTTAGAGTACTGCTGGTAGAAGTATTATTTTAACGATTTTTAAAGTGAGGTGGAAAAAAAAAAATATTGGTCCAAACGGTCATTAGTTTGGTTAGTATAGATCGTTGATAGTTCTTTGAAAGCCTCCCCCCATGAGACCATATGTGCACACTGTGCACGCGCACGCGCTCGAAACCACGGACTTCTCGGTAAGGGCTATGGATCACCATCACAACGATTATACATTGCTTTTAAGGAGATGAGCAATCAATTAAGCAAGGTACCATTGTTGACCAAACGGTTGGTACATATCAGGTGGGTACTTTACTCACTGCCTTGTTCTTGTTAGTAGTATCACCCCATTTAACACAAAGAAGTGATCTACTTTTCTATTGTTTACTCTCACATTCTCCATTTTCTATACTTTCTCTTTTTGTTTATTGTCTATACTTTCTCTATTTATCTACCTTTGGATATGATTTTTTTGGAATCTCAGATTTCCCATCTTTGAATGTACCAATGATTTCTGCACCAGCTCTTATGGTTCTATCCCATCTCCAATTCTCTACAAAGTATTTATACAGAAATGTATCCTTTCTAAGTGGGTGCTTTTCACCACCTTGAGAAATCAATTTCTCAGCCAATTCATACTCTCCAGATAGTAAATAATCAAGCTCTATGTCATGTAATTGTGCAATTTTATGACCACTCAAATATTGTACTAGAAACCTATCGTTAACAAGAAGATCTAGATATTGATCCACTGTCAATCTATTAACTTCAATTTTTTCAAACACTCCAATTAATCTCTTTCTTTTAATTGAACTGTCTTCCTCATCAAAATGAACTCCATGATTCCCAAGATATGTCATTCTTGAACTAAGATAATCTAAAATTACTTGAGTTTCCACCCATATTCTTAAACTTTTCAAATAGTAATAATTACTAAAATTGATCTCAGATATGGATTTTAATCCATATTCAGTATTTAAAATCATTTCAAATCGATTTGGAATATATGTTGGGATATTTTCATGTAATGTCTTGATCAATGGATTAATTTCATTGAATGAAACAAAATGATTATTACGACAATTATAAATTTCTTCATCTTTAAAATCAATTTGTTGTTTATATCTTGCTGGTTTTTCAGTATTGGTATGAGCAAGTCCAGTTATATCAAGGAATACTCCAGTATCAATATCAATAAATCTTGCATCGATATTGTTTAAACCATTCCCCTTTTCTCGAAACGTAATACTTGTTCCAACATCTATAAGGTATCTTCCAACCCCTCTAAATTGACCGTTTGTATCTGCAATATTTTCAACAATTAAACTTTGATTGAATCGTTCAGACAAGTCATACAAGTCTGCAATTGGCATTTGTACGTCTAAATCATTATCCCATGGGAATGAGGCACCATTCCAATACCATGCTAACAACGAGCCATGGGCCAACCATGAGGAAAACCCATGTACTTGAGTAAACTTATGCCAAGTTCTGGCAAGTTCATGTAATTGTAACAGAAGTTTATTTTCATCTGGTTCAATTCCTTTGAAAAATCTCCAATCATAATGGAATCCTTTCAATGAATTTGGATGCGAATTTAATAAACGTACTTCAGAAAAATATTTAGTTGGTTCATTATTGTTAATTGAATGTTTTAAAGAGTTTAAAAAACCTTCTTGTTGACCAGATAACGATTTTTCAGATTCTAATCTTTTAATAATATCATTTGGATTACTAATAAATGATGATTTTGTAAGATTTTTCTTATAAGGGAATGAATAATTAGAATCTTTAGATGAAGTTTGATCATCTTTAACTTCATCTGTCTTATCTTCTTCTTCCACCTCCTCCTTCTGTTCATCCTCTCTCTTATCTTTTCTGTAGGTTTTCTCTCTACTTCTCCTGGTGAGCCCCTTATATAAATCAAGGATATCAACTTGTTTATATCCCAAATCTACAACATCTTTAATTAACCCATTATTTAAAAAAGTCTTTTCAGATTTAGTCACAGGAATTATCTCACTGCCCTTTTCCGTTAAAAACACTAAATTATATGGAACATCAGCCTTGGAATATAAATACTCTTGGCCCGCCAAGATATGTAATTCTGGGAAATGTTGACCAATTGGGGATTCGATATGGAATCCAAATTGAGAATCTGAATCTTCTCTACAATATGAGGAAATATCTTGAATACTAGAACCACTGGTTGCCTTTTCATCATGGATTTTGAATAGTTGTTCACAAGTTTTACCCTGTTTCGGAATTAAGAAATCCTTATTAATTACATCTAAATCAACCCAATCTGACCAATGGAATGGATATTTTTTCTTCTTATCGGTGAATAAATTCTTTAAATAGTGGGTTAAATAGATCCCCAAGGTGAATCTTGGGTCAAATGGTTGCACTGGTGGCATTGGTTTGGTCATCGAATTTTGTTCTTCAAAGGCATAATAATACGGTATTTTAACCGAGGTAGGAACCCTTCCCTTAAGTTTTGGATTAATTTCCCATAATGAATTCTTATCATCATTTTTCAACTTTCCCTCCACCAAAAATTTGAGTTTATTTTGGAAAGTTTCATCTTTATCCAATACAATATTCAATGAAAATACTTCATACCATTTACTTAAACCTGTAAACTTTTCGGAAATAAAAAAGATTATAAGCGCAAATGTAATTGAAAATAAGGACAATCGTACATATTTCCGTAACTTCATTTGTGAGAAAATAGTACTAAAAATATTTTTTTGGAAATAGATATCACACGAGTTAAAAGAAGGAAAAAAAACACCGTTTTAAAGAAGATCGACGTACAACTATATATAAATAATGTAAACATTCTTCTAGACCCCTCTCGCCAATCTTATCCCACACTGTCGTTGGACAAATGCAGAAAATAAATAATGGAAAAATAAATTATCAAACAATTACCACATTTATGCATCCAAGGAATTTTATATGTGCGAGTGTAACTCTTTCTTGGGCCACGCCGGCATTTCGGGGACTGACATGCAGCAAAGCCTCACGAGGGGGGCATGAATAGTTATATTTTCTATTGTGCTTATCTAAGCCTTGCGATTGTGCGGCAATGATCTGCTACAAGGCTTTTTATGGTTTGTATACAATATAGTGGAAACAAAAAAAAAAGAGAGAAAGTATTCTTTATACCAAGAAAAATGGATGCATATCTAGTCGCTTAGTGTAGGTTGGACCTGCAGTAAGTATGCCCATCATGAAACTGCTAAAGTTAGAAGTACTTGCGAATTACCAGTTGAGAAATTCACAGACAAAGTGGACTTAAAGTGGACTTGGAATGACACGGTGGACGTGTTTGAAACTACTCAAAACCCCACCAGGGCCTTTGACCTTGGTTTCATTATCACCTCCGGTCTATTCAACGCGGTATTGTGGCCAAGTACGACACAAGAATAAACATAACTCCCCCTCCATTTTTACCTTTGTCCTTTTTTTTTTCTTTTTGAATTTTTTTTTTTTTCTAACTTTTTTTTTTTTTTTGCCTTTCATGTGAAACTATTGGGCGAGAATTCCGCCAGTAACCACAAGGCTTCTTAACTATCACCTTCAACTTCATGCACGATTTTAACGAGGTAACTTCTGGGGGTCTTTGCAAGAGTCTCCTCGGAGACGAGCTAGACTCCGCGTCATAGGTCCTCTCCTAGTAGGGACCATTCGTATGAGGGGTATATAAGCCGTTTCGCTGGCACTCTGTGGGGCACTAGAGGACTCCTCCTAGAGGAGCTAGGCACCACGCCAGGCCATCGGAGCGTCTTACAGCCCGCAGGGAGTATAGTACAGTAGATTACTTTCCCTACGCGATCCGTGAGCCGCCTCACTGGCATTTCGTGTTTTATATTTAAATTTATTTTAGTGTGTTATATACGGTCTCTAAGAACTATTTCAACGTCTCTAACCAAGATTCCCTCTTGGGCCACCCCTAAGCTCCCAAGTAGCGTAACGCTTTTATTTTCTGTACCTGTAGGAGTGGAGTTCGCGGCATTACTATCAAATTGGATAATCAGACTCGAGCCCCCATAAAGAACATTGTCCTCTTGACCGGTCCGATTACAACATACCAAGGTGACCTTGTTATAATATCTCGTTACCTCCACCATTGGATGTTTGAGAAAGGGGAGAAATCGAAGAATCCAATAATCAACCGTAGAAATTTCCGTTTTCTGTTGTTCTCTAACATCAAGTTCCTTTTTATACAAGAGATCATATCTGATTGATTTTTCATCATCTTGCACAATGGGGACTGCGTCAACGTCCGATTTCCCAGATTCCTCAGCAATTGATGGTGATTTTTGAGAAAGCCAAGCCATGGGACATAATATGAGTTTTGCTTGATTTCTAAAACAAGCGCCAGAAAATTCAAATGCATTAAATGGTGCTTCAAACTTGTATGGGTTAAGATCCATACAAATTCCAACCTGAGCCTTGATCAGGGCTGAAGGTGGTGCATTATCGGTGTAAAAATCTTTATTCAAGACAAATTCAAACCCGTTGAATGCCTTGTCTGGGCTCTCCGAGCAACCCCAAGTCACATCACTCTCGTATAGATGAGTTTTCCGATAATGATGTATGGTTGAACCCGATGGAGATGTAAGTATAGCGGAATTATAAATGGCTTTATGTTCCGCGTTCCATTCAGGATACCCCACTAGGGTAAAACATTTATACTTGCGACTAATTTCAGCGGCCCATCTGGAAGTAGGTCCATTTTCTGTAGGCTCCAAGTATGGCTCTATATGTTCTCTACTTTTATAGTTATAGCCAGTGAGGGCCAATTCTGGAAGTATAAGTAAATCAAATGGACGGTCCAATTGTTGTAGAGATTTTTCAATGATTTGATTAGCCTTCGTGATATTGGATTGGATTTTCCCAATCACTGGGTTTAATTGAAGACATGCAATTCTCATATTTATGGGACCCCCAATACTTTTTAGGTTCTATAAGGTACACTCCATTTTTTAACCACATGATTTTTTATTTTTTGTTTTTTGCCTTGATTTGATAATCGCGAATGTCTCCAATTACAGTAATCAGTGGGAAGTAATCCGAGTCGGAAATAATCAGAAAATGGCCCGGTTTTGAGCCTCGCGGAAACGAAAAGGGGGGGGTGGGGGACATTCCTAGACTCTTGAACCCTGGTGTGTATAATAATCATTAGTATGTACGTGACGAGTTTTTTTTTAACAATATACAAGTTCATGGTTAGGATCGTTGAAGTATGGGTGCGCGACTTCTGATGTAGGGTGATTTACTTGCATTGTTTCTATTTCTTCTATTTTTCTTGTCCCCTGTAATCACGCGAGATTAGTCCAAATGGGGAAATGTTTTTTCTTTACACCAAAATTAGGTTTCTGACATAAGTTATCGTTGCGTTTCAGTATGTTTCTCGGTTAAGTACCAATGGTTGTCTCATACCGAGCCAGGGACATGTCTGATATATGCATACCCATACACATACACACATATATATATACTGGAGAATCTAGAGAAACGTAGCCAATGTTGTAGGAATATTTTTTTACTGTTCGGAAACAAGGGGGTGATTGCCGGTCGTAAGTCTCACGTCAAAGTTTTGATAAAGTCCGCGAAGAAGGAAAAAAATACTATTGAATTGCCGAACAGTAATCAGAAAGTAAGACTTCTTGTAGCTATTAATTAAACGCCTGTTTGACTTAAAAAATGGCCATGTATAAAAGGGGTCGGAGAGTATTCCTTCTAGTATCAGTACTTCTATTGATAGGCATTACTGTGATTGTAATAACTGGAGATCAAGGAAAAGTGATTGCCATACCACAACCACAAATTCCCTTTCTGCTTCAAACACCCAAGAATAAAGCTGAGGAAGCGTTTTACAGTAGGGCGGTACAGTTGGCCGATGACTTAAAGGCAACTGAACCACAGCTTGGATCTGAGATTCTTGATACAAGATCAAACTTCGATACACAGATTGTATTGGGAACTGAAGAAAGTTTGTCGAATGCATTTGATCCTCGATTTACCTTTGGGTTAATATTGAATGATATTTCGAAATCAAAAGATTTAAACAATGTAGAGTTACAATATTTCCACTGGGGGGACTGGACTGATATATCACATCTAGATGATAAAGTAGTTAAAAAGGATAAAAGAGAATGTTCATCATTTAAATTGATATTAAAGGGTAAACAATCAGAGATTGTGGAACCAACCACATTTTGTTTCAACCATAAAGATATTCCTAAACTTCTTGCTGATCCAGAACTTGACGAATCTTTCAAAAAAAGGGTTGAGAGGGCTAGAGACTTGCCAGATCCTTCAAACTTTCATATATTCCAAAATGGTGGACGGTCTTCAATGTCCAACAAGATCATCCAGGGTAAGGCATATTTAAATGAGTTTATGCCACCTCCACTGAGCATTTTGTTGCTCGTTCCAGATAAGGATTTCTCCAACCCAAGAGGAATCAAAGTATCTGTTAATCAAAATCTTTCCAATCAGAAAAGACTCAAAGACACTCCATTGATGCAAAACTACATTGACCAATATCAGGGTAGCAGCCCTGTAATTTTGGATGTAAGTGAGCAATTACAAGCACTTAAAGTTGACGCATTGCATACAAATCCCGTGGAGATGCCGGTACAATTATCACCTCAATCGTTTGTAGATAAGTCACAAGAAATTTTGGCTGGATTCAGCGATAACGATGGCGAATTAACTTCCATCCATGATAAAAGATATATGGAATCATTAAAGTATTCGCTTCATTGTGAAGCTCCGCCGAAATATTTCTACGAGGCAAAACTTATTAAAACAGAAAACAAATGGCCATTGGGAGCTCATTATGATTGGAGATTCTTCAACGGACTTATGCATGAATCTGAAAATTTAAAGCCAGTGATTTCCAATCTTTTAGCCAGTTGGTTCGAGCTAACCCAAACTTATCAATTGACTACCTGGGTTGCACATGGATCTTTACTCTCATGGTACTGGAACGGAGGGTCATTCCCATGGGATAATGATATTGATGTACAAATGCCCATTGCTGACTTACACAAGCTTTCACATCAATTCAATCAAACTATAATTGTTGATATGGGTGGTAATGATGGAGATCAGATAAGATACGGGAGATATTTCTTGGATTGTGGAACATTTATCAGTCATAGAAGTAGAGGTAACGGGCACAATAATATCGATGCTAGGTTCATCGATATGGATACAGGCCTTTATATCGATATTACCGCGTTGGCTGCATCTGATACATTGGCACCAAATAGATATGCAAAACTTGGAGGTGATACCAAATTCCCACTGAGTATGGAGAGAAATCAAAAATTAAACCTCTACAACTGCAGAAACAATCATTTTGCACAATTAAATCAAATATCGCCCTTGACCCTTACATATGTTGAAGGTATGCCTGCGTATATCCCGCATGATTATCTTAGTTTGCTTGTCACTGAATATCAAGAGAAAAGTGTAATTGAAAAATCATTCAATGCTATGATTTTCATAAAGAAATTGCAACTTTGGATCCCCAAGAAGATCATTCAATTGTTTCTCTCTAAGAATCCAGAATATCCTCAGATGCTAGTAGAATCTAACCAATTGACAAGACTTGAAACCAGAGAATTTGATCATTTTCTGACTTGGAAGGATGAACATTTTTTGAAATTCTTACAATATAATCCTACAATTCTTGCAGAATATTTGGTTACTAGGAATGTTACAGCATTTCATAGAGAAGAAATCAAGAGACTAGAGTCCTTGGATGGTGGGCAAAGTCTTTCTAACGAAGTTAAAAGAAAATTCCCAAGATTAAGATCGGACTTGTGGAACATTTTAAACAAGAAGAAACAAATTAAAAAATTAGATAAGGTCACGGATGTAAGAGGGTAGAATAGGGAATAAACACAATAATGGTTTTAATAAAGGAAGGGCTTTTTGTGTACTTATACAGGTCATTAGATAGAAACTAATATATATATATATATATATAATGCATGAAGAATATGGATTAATGTAATAGTGGTAGACTTAGACTCTTCCACTGGATCTAATCCCCATAGAGAGACATACCGTAGTTTACTCCCATAATAGGAGTATTTTTTTTTTTTTTTTTTTTTTGAGTTATAGAAATTTTGAATTGGTATCTTGACGATTCCAGAGTACCAAATAATAATAATGTAATAATAATATTTGTACAAGGTATACTCCATATCATATCATACTCCACTTTATCAAAACATGGCCCATCCTGCATGCCACATGGCCCCACTTTCATATTTTTTGAGCCTCGTGACCAAGGACACATGACTGACAGCCAATTAAAAACTGCGCGATCGAACGATGTTAGCTGATATGAATTTATAAAATTAATACACACGAGAAAACACCTACACATTCAATTTTTGAACGTTTTATTCATACATTCAATCAAACATGTTCAGAGCTTCTGTTCAACGTACATTCACTAGACTCAACCACGGTCACGGCCACGGTAAGGTGTCCAAGTTCATCAACGACGCCGCTTTCAAGGCCGACAAGAAGGCCGGTGAAGAATTCATCAAGAAATACGAAGAAAAGGTACACCACTCCGAAGGTGTCACCAACTTGTGGAAGAAGATCACCTACTTTGTTGCTGTCCCAGTCCTCATTTTGACTGCCATCCCAGTCATCAACATCGAACTCAAGCACGCCAAGCACAGAGAACACTTGAGACACTTGTCCGATGAAGAATGGCCAGTTCAATACGATTACTTGCAAATTAGAACCAAGAAGTTCTTCTGGGGTGATGGTGACAAGACCTTGTTCTGGAACTCCGACGTTAACAGAAACATTCAAGAATAAGTATCGTTATAGTGCATGAGTAGATCTCCAATAAACATATGAGATAATAAGACTATCATGTAGAATATGAAAGTAGACATTGAGTAGAGAGAAAGAATGAAACAGATATTACACCCTCAACCTGGTTCGAAGTTTGCGTGGTGATGACTAGTAACAATAAAAACTGTAGATAAAGAAAAAGGTTTCATCCCAGATAAGGAGATGATGCAACATCACCACTACACCAAAATATATATCAATATATGTAAGTTTATATATATATGCATGCATCAAACTAAAGATTAACAGAAATAAAACACACACCTCATAACGTAGAGAAAATATAGAGATTGTTCGTTGCTGCAATTGCAACAGAATTTTCTCTTGGATGCCACGATAAATGTAAGATGCTCTTCTTAAAGTCGATATTGTCAAAGTCGCCTGTGTCATTTGAGCCAACTCCACTCATCATTCTGCGTCTAGTTGGGCCTCCAGTGTTGGTCTTTCTGGACTTGAAAGCAGACTTGTCAGCCTGTAAGATGATTTCTTCTTGATCGTCATCATCGATTTGCGAACTTGGCGATTGTGGGAAAGTATCATTATTTTCCTTTGGAGAAGAATCTGAATCTTCGTCATCTTCTTCATCATCGTCATCGTCAGAATCCGCCGTACTGGCAGTGGTCTTCTTCCCCTTCTTCGTAGTGTTCAACTTGACGCCGGCGCCCGAAGCATTGCTATTCACAGCATTCGGATAGATCATAAAGTTGTTGTTGTACGAACCTGTCATAACCGAGTTATTGTCACCACTGAATTGAACTTCAAACTTATCGAATATAGCGTCATTTTCATATGTATCGCACAATCGATCTCTCAAGTGTTCATGTACGTTGATAGTTTTTACTGGTTTCAGCTCCATTGCTAAATCCCATATCTTTACTGTCATGTAGTCTCTGGATACAATGTATCTCCCATCATTACTAAACTTGACATCTGATATGGAAGATGTAATTTCAGTGAAAAAATTATGTGAGGAAGGGTCTATATACTCTTCGAAAACCTTGGCATGACTATCACAAAGAGAATTGGATCTCATATCGGACAACTTAATGGTACCCTTGGATGAAGAATACATAAACAAGTTACAATGTTGAGGATGGAACTCAGAACTGGTGATCACCTCTGTCAATTCCTCCATATTATTCGGTTTAATGTCAACAATGTTGAAAGATTGGTCCGATATGCCAAGATTCCAAAGATTAATCCTTAAATCATCTGAAGACAAATACGTTTCTTGATCGGAATTCACCGAGATGGAGTTGATATGATATGCATGTGCATTGGAATATATCTTTTTCGGTTGTGACAGAATCAACTTGTCATGTAAAGTCATCTTGGGTAATCTCAAGTTCTTTAAATTCAAGGGGGTCAGCAGATTGTGTTCATTGGATAAATTGTTTTCTGAAACCAACTTGATTTGTTTCTCCATAATCTTCCACAACTTTATCGTTTTGTCGTTGGTTGACAACAAGTATAAGGAGTTATTGAAACTCTTCAACCATTTAATCTTATTAATCTTCTCTTCGATTTCCAATGACTTCAAATAATCAAACTCGGCATCATGACTTTGGAATTCGGTGAAGAACTTGTACTCGCAGCTCTGTTGTTTCTTTGATTGGTTGCGTTCGAAAAGAACGACTCTCCCACCTTTGTCACCGGTAGCTAAGAAATCCCCCTCGTGGTCGAATTCAACCGTCGAAATGATGTCAGCCTCGGTGATGTTTTCAATGTCTCCCTTGTCTCCAAAGCATTGGGAAAACTTCCATGTATCTTCCATGGTCATCTGTTTTGTATCTCGTTACGTTGTTGGTATGTTTGTAAAAGGGCTATGTTGCCATGTAATTGTTGACTTCAATCGACAATGATGATGGAACCTGGTGTGTTTTTTTTAATTTTTATCTTTTCTCTCTCTCTGGAGATTTTCTCACTCAATCTCAATGACGACAAAACTAAAGGGAGAGGAAAAAATTAAAAAAATCGTAATATAATGGATCAATCGAAAGATATATGTATATCTTTGGATATGTATACTAGTGACGTGGTGTAGCTTCCTTTGATGTTTTAATTGACTGGTTCAAAAGTCACTAATTAGTTTCTTTGAACTCCCTTCCACTTTTACACAAAAATGAAGATCTAAATTGCTAATTGCTTCAAAGATATCGGCAGATTAAAAAAAACCCCCGCAAGTTCAACAATAAAACAATAAAGTAAGAAAAGTGAGCTGTAGCTATGATTGGCAAGTTCTATCGACGTATATATTATCAACTACAGTAGTCAATGGTTTTCTAGATAGATTTCTTTTCCCCTCTTATGTGGTTTACTAGAAATAACTCGTGGACTTAGTGTCACCCTTTTCTCCTCTAATCTTTTATTTTTCCCCTGTGTAGTAGTGCGAACTATTTGCGCTCGTGTTTCCGCGCAACCAATTTTTTCTTTGACGGATAAAGTGCACACAAGTGCTGAAAGATATTTCCATTAGCATTTGTTCTCCACCTACAAACTACATGGTTGGGTCTACTTTTTTATAGTACTTTATTTGCTTTTATACAAACGAAAATAGAGAAGTATACACTAGTTAGACAAATCTAATTTAGTTGGCCTTCTTGGCGGCATCTTGAGGAGAAACCTTTCTGTCAGTGTTGAATCTCTTACGTTGTGGTGGAGCTCTAACTCTTCTGTCGGTTCTAGATCTGACTCTGACAATTCTGGCGTGGATAGCACAGGAGACACAGTAGTGCAATTTGTTGTACAACTTTGGCAAAGCGTATTCAGCGTAGACGGAAGCTTCAGACAAATCTCTAACAGCAGCGGCTTCAACCATGTTTCTGATAGTGACTCTCTTGATGGCCTTATCCTTTGGAACACATCTGGCACAGTTCAAACATCTGACTGGCTTGACGTGACCTCTACCCTTCTTGTTTCTACCGTTGGAAGCTCTCTTTTTTGGCATGATTAACTAGATTGTTAGTAAGATGTTCTTTGATGTATACTCGTACAATGGTTTGATCGATAGATGGGCATTACATATGTGTGATGTTTGGCTTTTTTCCACTTGATAATTTTTTTTCTTTAGACTTCATGGATCAATTCATAGTCGATATAAAATCATTAAATGTATCTATCGATGATAGGACTACTGGTTGTACACGTTCATGTTGGTTATATCCCTCGTATCTATGATCAGGTACGTTATGGTCTCGGATTTCACATACCTATTACTATTGTGCTGAAGAACTAAATGAAAAATACAGATTTTCAATAAATTTATTTTGTATGAGCGTAACGAATTGCGCAAAAAAAATGCGTGTGCGAAACAATGAATCGTTCACTGTGTGGGTCACGTGCCGAATATGAATATTTAGGTCTGAGCCCTAGTGCGAATATTACCTATTTATTTCGAAAATAAAATTAAAAAAAATAAAAATAACGATTCATCCTGCACTCTGACAGATAAGGCAAGTAAATCAAAAAAATAGGTTTAAGTATATACACACAGGATTTAGCACTAATGTAGTTTTGTGAAATTACAAATATTATTGAATAGATCACGTTAGTAGGCGAGTATTTTGTATTTAGGTGTAAAGTAAACGAGATTTATTAACTAGTACTTTACTCACAATTATTATTTACAATATTACTTCAGGTGTATATCTACACTTTTAACTCCATTGTTTTATACTATATATAACCATTTTCTACTTTAATTAAAATATTACTTCTTAAACCGATTTAGTCAATTCATTACCATAAACAATCATTTCTATTTAACACATTTACCTAAAAGTCTTGTAATGTAGTCTTTCTCCTTATGAATTATTTTTTCTTATATGCCGTACATCCATCGAAGAATGGAACCATGTTTGGGAGTGCACACGTGACCTTGGTTGAACCAATCAAATTTCCATTAAACTGTGCGATAGTTAGCTGATTTTTTGTCAGATATATATACAGACATACAAACAGTTTAGGTCTAGCCTTTAATATCACACCGCTAAATTTAAAAGTATGTACAGAACGTAACATTATGGAGAGCTGTATAAGGGTTAATGTTGTGGGTGTATAGCCATAAGAGGTGGATACCTTCCTTTGGTAGAAAATATTAAACGAATTGTAGCGATGACGATTTCAAAACAATTTGAATTTGAACCTTACTTGAATCTGGGTCTCCATGTATCCCATGGGGTACACACAAAAGAACACTGGGGCTATATTGAAGACCTTTCAATATAAGTTGTGGTCAAAGAAGGCTCAATTTCAGTATTAGTATGACCATTTAACCCATCGTATTGATGAGGTGTTCATCGTATTAGCCGAACCTCGGGGCATCATATATCCAATTTTTAAACCTCTAAGCAGTGTTAAAATTCCTACTATTCAATAATATGTCATTCACACAATGGAAGCTTATGAATACCCATATCTAATGTTATTATTGATTAATTTACATTCTTTCAAGCTCACTTTACTAACAAATTTAGGATGTTTTCTCGTTCTGTTCGTGTTGCCAGACCAGTTAGCAACAACTTGAGATTCTTTGCTACATCAAGAATCCAACTCCAAACCAAGGTTGCTGCCACCGCCACCAAGTTATCTGAAGTCACCGGTCCAGATGACTCTTTGATCGGTAAGGGTGCTGCCCCAGGTACCATTCCAACCGATTTGGATCAAGCTACAGGTTTAGAAAGATTCGAATACTTGGGTAAGAGAGAAGGTATTGACGTTTTCGACTTGGAAAACCCAGTCTCCGTTGGTGCTGGTACCATGGCCGACCCATACCAAGTTCCATCCTACATCGGTAACAGATACGTTGGATGTACCGGTAAGGATGGTGAACAACACGATCCATACTGGATGCAAGTTGAAGACGGTAAGCCAGGTAGATGTTGGCATTGTGGTAATGTGTTCGCCATCAAGTACTTGGGTGAACCAGGCCACAGCCACCACTAGACGTAACAACCTATTCATTCCGGAAGACACCACCCGATAGAACGCATCATTTGTTTGTTCCTTCAAGAAGGCGATCAACATTTTCATTAGTTTATTTTTCAGTATTGTCTTAGTAAAATCAAAACCAGTAGTAAAAAGAATACCTTCTGCTGAAGCTGTAGTAATCGTAAAATGATTCTGCCGCCACACCTCGACATTATTCAAATAAAATTGCGTAAAACAGAAGTTATACCGAGTCCGAGCCCGCGCATTGGAAAAAGGTATGAAAATTGAAAAGATTATACAAAGGCATCACATTTTTCTTCTGGTATCAACAAATCATAGAGACAAACCATGGCTAAACCACAAGTTTTATTTATTGGTGACTTGGATAAGTCCTTGCCTGAATATCAGTCCTTCACTGAAAAATTTGAATGTATAGAATATACAATCACAACCAAGGAACAAGTTATTGAGGATTTCAAGACTAAATTCCAAAATATTGTTGCCATTTATGGAGCTTGGTTAGGGTTTATGCCCACCGGGGGCTTTAGAAATGAGGTCTTGGGGGCTGCACCAGCTTCTTTAAAGGTCATTTCTATTTGTTCTGTTGGTTATGATGGGTACGATGGAGTTGCAATGCGTGCTAAGGATATGATTTTGACTCATGTCCCATCTGATGGTGCTGCAGGTCCAGTTGCAGACTTGGTCTTGTATAATGCATTAACTTCTTTCAGAAACTTTAAGATGTTTGAAAAGAGTTTCCTTGCTACCAACCATACCGTTGTCGCTAGAGCTAACCTTGCCAGTTCTGACTTTAACACTACCACTGGTCAAATTGAGCAAACTAGAACAATTCCATATGCTTTTGGTGAATATTTTGCAAACAGAAAAGTATTGTCTCCTCAAGGACATGATGTTGTTATCGTTGGATTTGGTAACATTGGACAAACCATTGGTGCAAGATTATCAAACATTGGTATGAACATTCATTACGTCAAGAGAACTAAACTTACCGATGCTGAAGAAAAGAAATTAGGTTACCCAGTTACTTATCATTCTTCCATCGAAGCTGAAGGTGCTCTCAACTGTGATTTGGTTGTTATTGCATGTCCTGCTACTCCAGAAACCAAGCATTTGATCAACAAGAAGGTTATTGATTCATTTGCCAAGCCATTCCGTATTATTAACATTGGTAGAGGTTCAGTTATTGATGAACAAGCTTTGGTTGATGGTTTGAAGGCTGACAAAATCTTGTTCGCTGGTTTAGATGTGTATGAAGAAGAACCAAAATGTCATGAAGAATTGCTTACCAGAGATGATGTTATGTTGACTCCTCATATTGGTGCCTCTACTGCTGATAACTTCAACTACACTACGATTGTTGCATTGAAAAATATTGAAAATGTCATTTTAGAAGGGGGAAAGGGTCTTGATACTGTTAATTAGAGGTACCAAGTCAAAAATAATTATAAAATAGAATAGAATAGAATATATTGTATAGGTATAGTGTTCTTCATGTTGTAAAAATTTCTTTTTTTTTTAGTTACCCCTTTGATTTTATTCGATTCTCGATAAAACGAGAATTCGAATTTGATTTTTTTGCAGCCAAGAGAGACCTTTTGCGCCCCTTTTGTTTTCTTTCCACTGTTACTTATTTTTTTACCTAACCTTCAATTTCTTTAACGATACAATGGAAAAGAAGGGTTCCAAGCGGAAAGCATGTTCTTCCTGTGAGGTGGATGTCCAAGAAATGTTGAACGTTTCCAAGAAAACGACTATATTGTTTATTGAGAATTTATTGCCATTTTCAAATATTAAGAATCAACATTTAATTACATTTTATAATGAATTATCAAATGAGTTTGAGAAGGAGTCTCTTAATCCACTTAAATTAACTACAGCATGCCTTGAGCTTTATAATGATTTTAAAACTTATTTTTGTAATTATTTTAATCGAATGAAAGGGTTAAAAATATCACTAATTTGTCATAAATGGCAATTTTCAAGCTCAATTAATCCATTTATTTTTATATCTACATCATTTATTTCACAAGATTTTGAACTAATTGAATTTCCAATAGCATTAATTGAAATGAATGAACATTTCACTACTAATTTAATTAATGATACTATATTAAAGGATTTACAAGGTAAAGTTTCATTTATAACTTCAAATACTAAATTTAATCAAGAAATTTCTGATTTTTTAACGTTTTTAACTACTGAAAACTCTCTTGATAAGAATTTCTTATATTGCTTCCCATCATTTTTAAATGAATGTATATCGAAATTTATCTTTGAAATCAAGGAACAAGATGAAGATGAAGCTGAAGACGAAGAACAGACAAGAACTAATGCTTATTCAAATCATTTTTGTAATGATATTACAATTGGAATCCAATTGATTCTTAATCCAATCTTGAAATTATTTCAATTAAAATTTAATGAATTATTAAGTGTAATAGATGAATCAACTACTAATATTAATGTTGAATTCAAACAAAAATTAAAGAAATTATTGGAATTCATTAAGAATAATAATTCAAATAAGATGATATTCCAACAAATTGAACAAATTTTAAAACTTAAAATTGAGATTTTGCAACAACAAGAAATTCCAAATCTTGTTAATGAAAAATACTGGCAATTAATTGAATTTATATTAGAATTTATTAAAAGATTCCATGAAATAATTATAGAATGTCTAAATATTCAATATCCCACTATTCATATGATCTTGAAATGGATTAAAATCTTAATTGTTCACACAACAACTTTAGAGAAAAATCTTCAATTAAAATATAATTTAATTATTTCAAATAATACCAATTTAATTAAAAATATTGCAATAATTTTAGAGAAATTATTAAAATACCATGATGATATCATTCATAATAATTTTGATTTGATCCTTGCCAGTTATTTACACCCTTCGACCAAAAGGTATTTACAAGATGGGAATTTAAATCAGATTAATTCTTATGTTGCAGATAAGGCAAAGTTAACTGGTATAAGAACAAGCAACAATGCTATTAATAACCCGACGAATTTTGATAATTTAGATGATATGATTATGAAGGTATTTAATTGTTCTGGGAGTGGTAGTAAAGAATGCTACCGTTATGAAACATCATCAAATAATGAAATTAAATACGATAAATCTTCAAGATATATCTCCCTTGAAACAGGACCAAATTTATTAAAATATTGGCAATCAAATATTGATAAGTATCCAACATTATCAAGAATATCACGCCAGGTCTTATCTATTCAGTTATCTACCATTAGACAAACAAACAATCTATTCCAAGAACAAATTTCACTTATTCGTCTGATCAAAGATAACGGTGAAATGCTTCAGGCAATATATGTCCTTCATGTGTTGAGTAAACAATATAATTTATATCTATTTGATCCAAAAGATCTTGATTCTCAAATCGAAGAATTTCGATTTGGTGGTTCTACGAATACTACGGAGGAAGATGACGAAGAAATGGAGCTTGAGTCAGACTATGGATTGAATCAAGATTTAGAATCCATTCAACTGGAATCAAGTATTGAAATTGAAAGAGATTCGAATAAGAGAGCTAGGAAATTGTGAGATCTCAAAGTAAATGAAAAAAAAACGCACGAAAAAAAAAAAAAGGTCTAGGTTCCAATTCGCAACCAAAAGTTTCTTTTGTCTCTGGGGAGAGTACCTTCTCATTTTTATATCAATGATTAAAAATAGGGGGTAGTGCATTGACCGACAACTATCAATTTATGGATCTAGAGAGAAATATGGAAACGGGAGCATAGAAGTTTTGAACTATTTAAAGCCTTATATTGAATACACGATAATAAACGTATGCTTGAATAATGCTGTCGCTATTCATTGGTGTATATAAGGCATTGTACGATTATTCGGCACAGTCGGAAGAGGAATTGACTGTTGAAACGGATGATTTGTTGTATTTGCTAGAAAAGTCTGATATCGATGAATGGTGGAAGGTTAAAAAGAGACAAGTTGCAACTGGAGACGAAGAAGTTGAAGAGCCAGTTGGATTAGTGCCTTCCAATTACATTGAACCGGCACCGGCAATCAAGACGGCTGTTGCATTGTATGACTATGATAAGCAAACTGAAGAAGAATTGTCATTTAAAGAAGGTGAACGTTTCAATGTATACGATTTGAATGATCCAGATTGGTTATTGGTTGGCGATTTCCAAACTCAAACTCAGTTTGGGTTTGTTCCAGCAAACTATATAGAATTAGAAGGTACTGGAGCAGAGGCTCCAATGACACCAATTGCGCAACAACAACCACCACAGTCCTTGCCTCAGACAACTACGGCACCAAGAATTCCAATTGGAAATTTCGCACCACCTCCTCAACATAGAGACAGAGCTTCTTCTTCCCCCGCACCTGCACCTGCACCAGTACAAGCTGAAAGGGAAATTGAAAATGTAGAAGGCGAAGAAGAAGTAGCTTCCCCATATGACCACAGAAGTCCAATTAAGCAAAACAGACCTCACCACTATGATAAGCCTTTACCTGTGCTCGAAAATGTCAATGATGATGACGATGATGCTCCTCCACCTATGCCTTCAAGACCAGGTCTTGGCACACAAACACAATCATTTTCTTCTGCTGCTGGCACACCTTCAAGACACCTGACGGTTGACGATGTTCTGGGAGATACTCCAGAACATAGCTTTGATGGTGAATTCTTTACGTGGTACATCAATGAAGTTGATGGGAGAAGGAAAAGAGCTGTCACTTTATCAGTCGGTCAGGGTTTGATTATCTTGAAGCCAACAGAATCTAGCTCTAAGTTGTCTTTAAAAACTGCTTCAACCATTAACCAACAATGGAAAATTAGAGATTTAACGGATTTCAGCAATGAAAAGAAGCATGTGTTTTTAGAATTTACTCACCCACTGGCTTCGATCGAGTTACACGCTGGCAGTAAAGATGTAGCCGAAGCTATTTTGTCAATTATTGGAGACTTAAAGGGAGCAGAATCAGCAAGAGGATTGAGAGAAGTAGCCAGAGCCGCGGAACCATCTACCAAGAATAACAAGAAGATCGGAAGACTTATGTACGATTTTGTTGCTCAAGGAGATGACGAATTAGCCAGTAAGGAAGGTGATGAAGTATACGTTATCAATGAAACCAAATCTAAAGATTGGTGGATGGTTGAAAACATTGACACTGGTCGTCAAGGTGTTGTGCCTTCATCTTACATCGAAATTGTGGGCAGTTCTAACTTGGACAAGTTGACTGAACAACCTCTGCGTAAGAAATCTACCAAAAAGACGTCTAAGGGAAGGGTTGTAGAAAATAAGGAAAAGGAAAAGAGATCTAGACATCACCGCACAAGAGATGAGCGTGATAGAATCAGAGAAAATGATAGAATCCAAAGAGACAAGTCCAGCTCTAAGTCTCACGACAAAGAACACGATAAATCCATGCCAAACATCCACAGGGTTAGAACTTGGATTGATAGTTCAGGATCATTCAAAGTTGAGGCCGAATTTTTGGGTTGTGTTGAAGGTAAAATTCATTTGCATAAAACAAATGGTGTGAAAATTGCTGTGGGTGCTACTAAATTGTCACTTGAGGACTTGGAATATGTCGAGAAAGTTACTGGGACTTCATTGGAATCTTATAAAGAGGAAGTTTCAAGACAGCTTGCTAAACAAGCTAAGGCTGCTTCCAACAAACAAGCTGCTAAGCAAAGTGGAGTCTCGACCAAATCTGCAGCGGCTGTTATCAATGATATTCCTCCACCTCAGCCATCTAGACCAAAGGCCACTTCAACAACTGCTGTCACTGAACCTGATTATGATTGGTTTGAATTTTTCCTTTCCTGTGGTGTTGACATTGGTAATTGTCAACGTTATTCCCTTAATTTCAGTAGAGAGCAAATGGATGAGAATGTTCTTCAAGATATTTCTCCTTCATTGTTACGTACATTAGGGTTGAGAGAAGGTGACATTTTGAGAGTAATGAAGGCTTTGGATGCTAAATTCAATAGAAAGAGTGCTGCTTCCGACAATGGAGCAACAGGAAGTTTGTTTACCGAACCTACTGGCGCATTGAAGAATAATAATTCTGCCATTGAAGCCTCCAAGGTCAATGCGAGCGCATTACCATCTCCAATGAAATCTGCTGAACTTCAAGTTCCCTCCAGTAATGGTACAAAGTTTGAAGATGATGCTTGGGCTGTTAAGCCTGCTGCTAGATCGAGCGAAGACCTTTTGAAAGCGCAATCTCCTCAACCAGAAAGCGGTGCGCCAAAATACACTGGATCCTTGCTGGATTTGGTCAACATTAAACCATTAGAACTGAATGCTGCCCCACCAGCAGTACAGACGCCACAAAGGGCCCAAGAGCCAAGTGCTCCAGCCTTGACTCCAGTAAAGACTGGTACTTTGATTCAACCAGGTCAACAATTTGCAGTACAAAAGAGTGGTACCGGTGTATCAACCCAACCAACTGGAAACTTCATTCCAGTTCAACAAACCGGTGGTTTAGTTCCAGTTCAGAAAACGGGAGGATTTGTTCCAATCCAACAAACTGGTGGCTTTATTCCAGCGCAACCGACTGGATTCATGCCAATTGCAGCACAACCTACTGGATTCATGCCAATTCAAGCTACAGGTGGCTTGGTACCACAAATGACCTTTGGAATCGTTCCATTACAAACAGGAGCAACCACCTTTACACAGCAAAAGACTGGAGGAGGTATGCCAACTACTTCATTCGGACAAGTTCCACTTCAAACTGGGGGATTTGTTCCATTGCAAACTGGCAATGTCACTATTCCACAAACCAGCTTTAACCAACTCTCTATGCAGAGAACTGGGCCACTAGTACCTGTTCAAAAGACAGGGGGCCAACCCACAGGTGGAGTTATGCCACAAACTAGTTTTGGACAGATCCAACCAGTAATGGGTGGCCAGATGACTGGAGGAAGTGTTTATACCACTCCATTTACTAGTCAACAACCTACTGGTGCTCTTAACCAATTCAATCAACAGCCTACTGGTGCATTTGGCCAATTCAACCAACCACAACTTGCTCCTACCACATCCTTTGGTGGTAACATGAACCCATTCCCACAACAACAACAGCAACCTCCTCAAAACACTTTTGGGCAATTTCAACCACAACAAACTTCTTTTAACCAATTTTCCCAAATGCCACCTCAAAATTCATTTGGAAACAACCAATTTCAACAACAAATGCCACCACAAAACTCTTTTGGCCAACTGGTAAATCAATTCCAACAGCAACCATTCCAACAACAGACTCAACCATTCCAACAGCCAAACATTGGACAGGTTACTAACATGTTCCAAAACACTGGAATTTCAGGAGCTCCACCTCAACAGCAATTTCCTAACACTTCATTTGGTCAGCAGCCTCAGTTTGACTCGTTTAGTCCACAACCACTTCAGTCTCAACCAACTGGAGCTGGGTTTGGAAATTCTCCTTTACAAGCTCAACAGACCGGTAGAGGCAGAGCCAACTTACAAGCCGCTACAGCTGATAACCCATTTGGATTTTAGGGTACTAATTACGTGTGCTCTCACGGTATATGTTTTCTTTTACATGTAACATTATATTCCTAGATCCTATAGATATATAATTAAAAAAATGATTGTCTTTTTTACAGCAATATGAAATGGAGGGGTGATAGTGTGGTATATGTGGGTATTTTTTACCACATATTTTCTTGTAGGCGAATTCTTTTTTTTTTACAACCAATTTGTTTCAGAATATAAAAGGGGGGGGGTTAGGTAGGGAAAGAATCTTTTCTTTTGACGAATATACATCTGATTTCACTAAACAATGAATAACTTGCAACCACTAGTACAGTTCTTCTCTTGTAAAGCTAATGATCTTACTCTTGAGCCGCTTCTGTTAGTGACGTGTATTTGGCATTTATATGTTACATCAAGTTTGGCTGCTAAAAATGAATCATTAAACTTTCAAGATTTTTTGGATCAAATTCAAAGATTGAACAGAATCACTAATGGATCCTTGGAGTTTTCCATTGGATTAGACACGTTTGATGAACTGGACTTTAAAAAGCCAATTCCAAGATTAGTTTGGGTAGATCAAACTAGAATTAAGATCCTCGAAAAGCGATTGGGTAATACTGATCCTTTAAAAATCGAGAGTGGAGAAGTACATGAAACTAATCGTGTAACGAATCCACCAGATTTATTAAGTCTCTTGAAAGTTCCTCAAAATTCAGTTCTTTCTCAAATGGAAGAAATGATCCTGAGGAAGACAGCACAAAGTTTTCTAGTAAAAGAAAAGCTCAGACTTAAGACCGTTCACAAACCATTTTTCGAAGTTTGTAGAAATATCTCACATATTCAGGCACTAACTTCACTTTATGTGACTCCAACCGGTGATGTACATAAAAATGCGTCCAATGAGATTAAGAATAGATTACAAGGAGAAGTTTATAACTGTGTATCTAAAAAGCTTCATTATCTTCCACTTTTATCAAATTATACCGATACTTCATTAGGAGATTGTTCTTATCTAGACACATGTCACAGAATGAAAACTTGTCGCTACTTACATTATTATACTTTGTATCCACCCTCACCAATTAATAATGATAAAAAAGCAAAGCAAAATAAAATTGATGAATGTTTTGCAAATGGCTACATTATTGGAGATTGTTTTAGAGAATACACGAGAGAAGTAACTCCAGCTCAATGGATTAATTGTGATGTTCGAAGTATCCCATTCCTGATTTTGGGGAAATTTGCAGTCATTATCTCAGATCCTGCATGGGACATCCATATGTCCTTACCATATGGAACATGTAAAGATACGGAATTACTTTCATTACCCATGCATGAGTTACAAGATGAAGGAATTTTGTTACTTTGGGTTACCGGTAGATCAATTGATACTGGTCGTAAGGCATTGAAGAATTGGGGTTATTCTATATCAGATGAGATAATTTGGATAAAATTAAATCAATTACGTAGAACAATTGTTACTGGTAGAACTGGTCATTGGTTGAATCATTCAAAGGAGCATCTATTGGTAGGGGTAAAGGGGAACCCTATCTGGCTAAATCGATTAGTCGACTCAAATATTGTAGTAAGTCCAACAAGGGAAACCCTGAGAAAACCTGATGAAGTTTATGATATTGTAGAGAGATTAGTTGGAAAACATGCACGGAAACTTGAGCTTTTTGGCAGAGATCATAACGTTCGACCTGGATGGTTTAGTAAGTATATGAAATTTTAACACATATTTTGGATGATACTAACATTATAGCAATTGGAAATCAATTACAAGGAACTTCAATATACGAGAAAGAAGTTCAGTTGAAATACGATCAATATTCCCAGGGATTACCGAAAAAATGATTGGTTATAAGTAGCAATGTGTTTTGAGCTTCTAATAAGTTGTATTTCTTTTAAATACAAAGTTATAAATATATACATAATTTAATTTCATTTCTTCATTCAATAAATTTCATAAACTCATATATAAATTCAGATTCATATTTGCTTTGCTCTTCTCTTTTCAGCTTCTTTAAACTTCAAATCACGAACTATTTTACCAGCTCTATTATCCATATTCTTCTTTAAAGTTCTTCTGAAACCGAGAGCAAATGCCACTTCAAATACCACAAAGAAAGGCGCCAATACAATGGCCTGTAAAAGATTGTCCAACAATGCTGGTGCTCTTTTTTCATGGACCCCATGTCCATAGAATTGTGCCAACCAAGCAGATGTATGTGCCACAAGAGCATACTTTGTGAATTGATCTTTAGTGAACTCCACACCTGAAGTTCCAGCCCATATATAAGTCTGGGATAAGAAATACAGAGCACCCACTAAGATTGGCACTGTAATAGAGCCCAATTTGAAGTCAAGTAAAGTATAAAACGTGGAGTACCCAATTGCCAAGAGTACCCCCAAGTTCAAGTATGGCAGTACATTTCCAAGCTGATAGGGAAGAAGTAACGCTATCGCTGACAATAAAATAATTGGGATACAAATCAAATGAATAGTTACATTTGTATGATTGAAATGATACGAGCGATAAAACACGAGATGACTTTCCAAGTCAAATAAACCACCCATTGTAGCTATAAATTAAAACAGATAAGAAGTTGGAAGGAAAACAAACAGAGGCTAAACCCATTACCTTTAAATATGAGGGGATTGGATATATGTCATAAATATTTTCCGCGAACCCCGAACCCCACACTCTCAATAATATGGAATGTAGGAGAATCTCCTGACTCCTCTTTCTTTTACCCCAACTATACTCTACACAGGTTTAATTAATTTCTTTAAGTATGTATATTTTATATTTCCTTTGATAATTCGAGTATATCTGCTTACTCACGTAATTCTATAGATGGTTTTTTCATGCTTCTCTGTCTCTTGGCAGATTTTTCTTGATTTTCAAACTTAGTAGCAGAATGAAGATCTCTTCCAAGGTTATCCAAATCCTTAACCTTATAAAGTCTAACAATCCAGTTTTGAGAAGTGAAAGCTTCTTCAATCACGTTTAATTCAGGAGCCATGGCTGCAGGAATAACTTGGTTTCTAACACGATCCATTCCATCTCTACCGTTATACAACTCATTGAATCTGTAGTATGACATCTTGTACATCAAGGATTCTCTCATGGTGGTGGATGCTTCATGATCCATCTTATATTCACCTCTGTCACTGAAGAAGTTTCTTTCTTGGACATCATCTGGCCAAATACCTTCTGAAATTCTCACCATCCATAAGAATTTATTGAGATCATCACCAGAATATCCCAATAAACCTCCAAAGATTACCAACACATAATCTACATCATGTTGTTTCAAAATCTTGTAGGAATCTTCTTCATTGGAACACATAGCCTTACCAACGGTGGCAATGTGGGTATTATTCCAAGTGTTGTTGTCCACCAAAGTGGTACGGTCGGCCATTCCTCCGATTTGGTAACCATAATCCCACCATGCCATAACCTTGGCATCTTCTGGGGTGTTCATACGTAACCAATAGTAAGCTTCTCTAAAATCATCAATGATGTTTTGAGAACCATCAGCGTTCTTCAGGGCCAAAACAACAGAAGGAGAAGAGTAAGCGTTGGAAGTGACCCAAGTACAATGGTAAACAAAGTAGAAAAGATAAAAGGCGAAAGTCATAAGAACTGCAAATTTGGATAATAATTTCCATACGATATTCTTATCTTTACCAGAGTTGTTGGACAGTTTCTTTGACTTGGTTTCTTTAACATCATCTTCAACAACATCATTTCCTTGCAAAACATCACTAAGATCCATGTAAACATCCAAAACCTTAGATAAGGCAATGGCACCAGCAGCACAAATAATTGGAGTCAAAGTAAGCATTAATCTAACCATAACACCAGCAAAATATGAACACAAAACAGAATAAATAATGACAAAGACATCTTCATTCTTCAAGTCTTGGAAACATAAATAAACACCAGCTGGGAATAACCAGATCAACATGTTAGTGTCAAAGAAAAATGCTGGCCAAGCAGTAGGTTGATGTTCAGAAACTGAGGCAATGATTGGGATATGAATCTTGGCATAGTTTGTGTCCCATAAGGAATAGAAACGACCAGTCCATGGTGCAATCCAACCCAAAGCAGTCAAGGCAACTAAGCCGGAAATACCCAAGATAGTTATAACAATCATTGAGATAACCAAAAATGATTTAAATTGCTTGGAAGGAATTTGAGATTTAACATAATCACCTACGGCAACCAATTGTAATAAACCAAAGACACCCAAGGCTGCCATGTGATCATTCGATCTGATTGGTAAGAAACCAACGAATGGGATTTGCATGGAAGCTAAAGTTCCCAAGGCATACCAAGTAGTGTAGGCGGTATAAAGCTTGTGAGAGTAACGACCCATTAAAATCAATACAAAGATATGTAATGGGATTAAATTGGTAATGAAAACGTACCCACCCCAAGCACTTACCATGTAGAAATAAAACAAGGCGGTTAAAGTACCATAAAAGACAGAACCCAATTTCATGGCCTTGATCCAAAAATAAAAGGTAGCCATCAAAAGAGTGATTGCAATGGCTTCATTATCATAGGAACCTGCCACCGATCTAGAAATATAACCAGGAGCAATACCCATGAAGATAGCAGCAAGAAGACCAGCATTAGAATCTTTGATCTCCTTGGTGAAAAAATAAGTGGAAATGGCGGTAAGGCCAGAAAAGGCTGGTGCAAGCAAGACACAGATGTTTCTAATGTCGATAGGAAGAGCAAACCATTCACGGAGAGTGTGCCAGATAACTCCAGAAGTAACCATAAGACCTGGATAAAGAGTACCACCTGTGACTCTTCCAAGAGGGTACCAAGTTCTATCATCAAACCAATTCAAAAATTCATAGTATGAATGGGTGACAAGGTACTTGGTGGCACGGAAATTGAACCAAGGGTCAAACTCATGAATGATTGATTCAAAACGAATTACAGAAAATAACCGTGAAGAAATTGAAGCACCGGCAATTGATATGAAAATAATTACTTGAAGGAGTAAACGAACAGTATTCACGTCGACTCCAAGGATTTTTGGACTGACGGCCGGACCACTTGCTGCGTGGACCGGAGCCTGTTTCTGCGATGTGGATCCCATAATGCAATTGATGGAACGACGCGTTTCGTAGTATTTGGCTAACTATTACTAGGCTCTATGGATTCTTATACTATGGACAAAACTGTTTGAATACTTCGAAACACGGTGGCTGGAGTGTATACAGGCGGAATGTATACAGGAAAGGACATGGTGACTATAGTCAAAAATAATTTGAACTTGTGCGCGTCAAAGAAAAAAAAAATAAAAAATAAAAAAAAAAGGAGAAAGAAATAAATTTGATAAGATAAAGAGAGTGGAAAGAAAGTGGAAAGATATGTTGTAAAAAAGTGGAGAATGAGAGAAATCTAAACAATTGACAATGATTAAAATATGAATGTTGGACTCTAAAATGTAAAATTTTAAAAATTGCAGGGAATAAGTGTAGTTTATGAATTCATTCATTCATTCATTTATTATATATAGAAATACATCACGTGCGTTGATTATCTCTCCTACAAGAAAGTAACGCAATAAATGTTTACAATCTACCAAGTAACAACTTTATTAATGGACTTATAATTAGATGAATAGTAATATATAATGGGAAAGTAGAGCTCAAATTAATATAATTTAGAAAGAACTCCAACTCCAATTGGCAGGAACACTTCCCACCAATTGATCGGTACGAGATCCTTCTTTCCTGATTTGTTGAATAGCCCCTCCATTCTTTGGAATTTGGTGAGTTTGATTATTGATTTTGGATCCACCATAAATGTGATTTGTAGAAACAGCCTTTTTGGGCAGGGGTGGACCTTTTTGCAATTTCCTAGGAACTTTATGGGTAGGGTGGATATCTACGCCAAATTCATGTTTAATGAATTCATTATATTCTTCAATACAATAATCACAAACCTTAGACAATGTTCCTCTACCACCAGTTGTAAATTGCGCCAAATGGTTGATATAAAGATAATGTGACGTGTGTTCATTACAAAAAATCCCTCCACATTTTCTACAATGATGTCTTCTTTCAAAGAAGTTAAAGATCTTGGTGCAAGTACGCACTCCACACTTCATGACTGTTTCATCTTTCAACCAGTGTCTACGTGTAGGTGCCAGTCTTGAGAGGTCATCGTATGGGTATCCCTTTCTTCCCGACACAGAGTTCAATGATTCAGTAGATTCAATCGAGGCCAAGGAAGTTCTTGAAGATTGATTGTAATCGTTCGGAGGCGAAAGTGTTTCGGTTCCTTTATTGAATGAATTGTTATTATGATGCACATTATTGCCTTCACCATGTTCATCACCACTGGTAATGAAATTATTATTAGTATTATTATTGGTATTATTATTATTATTGGCATTCATACCGTTCTTAGTAGTGATCGAACCATTATTAAGTGTATTACTCGAGCTTTGATTGTTGAAACTGTTGGTTGGACTAAGTGGACTCAGTATCCCATTATTTCCATTGGTAATGGAAACCCCTTCGTGGTTTTTCATTGTCATTCTAAGCACTGCTGGAACATACATTGGGCTCCTGAACCCATTGATTTGTTGTACATGTTTTGACAGCTGTTTTGGATTTTGCGGCTGCTGCTGTTGTTGTTGTTGTTGTTGTTGCAGTTGCAGCTGTACTTGTTGTTGTTGAAAATATTGCTGTTGTAATTGTTGTTGTTCAACAGGTAACACCGAGGCATTAGCACCGGGCCTTGTAGAATTGGTCATATGCAGACTCAATGATCTTCTCATGTTCATATTCTGGGGCGGTATGACAGCAGCAGGAACCTTGGATGGTACCTGGAACCCAGGCTTCATCGACTTGAGATGCGATTCACGTAAATCATTATGATACTTCGTTTCTGCTTCCTTCTGTGTAAGAGTCTTTCGTTCATCTTTAGTTGAAGTTTCAGATGTTGCCTCTGCAGTTGTTCCAACATCATCCTCTTGACGCACTGGAACTTGAGCTGATACTTGTTGCTGTTGCTGTTGCTGTTGCTGTTGCTGTTGCTGTTGCTGTTGCTGTTGTGGTTGTGGTTGTGGTTGTGGTTGTGGTTGTGGTTGTGGTTGTGGTTGTGGTTGTGGTTGTGGTTGTGGTTGTGGTTGTGGTTGTGGTTGTGGCTGCTGCTGCTGCTGCTGCTGTACCTTGTGTTCACCCAACTTTGGCTGCCTAGTCAAACTAGCAAACGAAGATAAATCAACTTCAGCAGGCTGATAAGGCTCTACAATTCTATCCAATTGTGGCATTTTGGCAACCGATGGCTTCCTAGATGCTGTCTTCTGTTCAACAATAGTTTCTTCCTCTCCATTATAAATTGGAATGGGCGAAAGACTCAATTTCTTTAATGCATTCATGGTGAGTTTCTGTTGTTGAGAAATCACCTCTTGGTCATATTCATCATCATATTCTTCACGAGATCTACTGGTTTGTTCATCGACTCCCTTGTCCTCAAACGGCAATTGTTGGCCAATCTGAACATCGTCATCATTCTTAAGGTCAGAAATGCTCAGAAGTACCGGTGCTTGAATGAATGATTGGAAATTTTTGGAATTATTGTAATTACTGTTGCTGCTGATTATACTGTTGCTTCGTGGTTGGTTCAGAAGATGTTGTTGCTTGAGAGATTTGAGTGATGCTGTTGATAGTACAGATTGAAATGATTGTGTTCTTGAAGTTCTTACATTCTTCTTCTTGAAAAGGAGTCCAGACGAGGATTCATTCGTATCATTGCTGCTATTGGTTCCGTTATTGTTGTCATTACCGCCATCATTGTCGTCGTTACCATCATTGGTTGTTTCTACAGAATTGGTATCATCGTCAATTGCTGCCTCCTCACCATTATAATCATCCAGTGATCGCCGTTCATCGGAAATGGGCTCCTTCTCACCAGAATACTCCCGTGGCTCATACCGATGACTGGCCGTCATGGTGAGCGTGTTCTCCTCCGGTGATACCAGTTGTTGTGATTCTTCCACAGTGGACATGTAGAAATTGGAACAAAGGAAAAGTTAGTGAAGGTGTGGGTGTTAACTGCTAGTTGAGTTGGTTGGTCCCCCTATTTTATACTATTGTTCTTCTTCCCTTTACTTCTTCTCCCTCTTTCTGAGATAGACTGTCTTTCAGCAAATATACCAGACCAGAACAAATGCGCAATAAGATAACGCCCGTGTTCTGTAGGTCTTTACAGTTGCAGTATAAAATTCGACTACAGAAAAAAAATTTAAACTATTAATCTATTTCTTAATTTGAGACTCGAAAAAAATGTGGTGTTCACGTTATCAAAAGCACCCCATAGATTCCAAAGCAAAAAAAAAATAAAAAAAAAAAAAAAGCTCTGGTAAAACATACAAAACAATGTAACAGTAGAATAACTAAAAGTAGTCATGTGAATGGGCTAGCTATATGCACGTCGGCACACTGTAAAAAATTTCTCAACGATATATACTTCATAAATTAATACACACATTTTCCATCCAAACCTGGCTGGCTCAGTGTGTAACATTCTTATCAGCATTCAATTTCGCCATCAATAAATTGTGAGAGTCACCTTTTTACAAACTAATGTGTCACATTTCTTTTTGTTTTTATATTATGCCTTGTGCGCAGTCTCAATATACAGGTGCGAAAAACAAAATTATTACTATTTTACGTTTTCTTTGAAAAGAAAAAACTATTTTTCCTCACGTGACACTGTCTTGCAAATTCCAATACTCTCATTGGTTCTTACAGTGAAGTACCATTCCCCATATATTAAAACATTTGAGACTAACAAAGAGGGTTTCACATTATTCTAAAGACTACGATAAATATAATGATTGCACGTGTAGGATTAGGATTGGCCAGACGTATGTATACCAGTGTTCTCACACAGACACTTTCGGTCCCCTTGAAAGCATTTAAGCAAGATTTCACATCATCTTTACACAGGGTGTTGATGTCGCTCTTCCAACCCCCCTTGATCAATTTCAAAAGTTTATTGGTTACAGGAACCTTCGGATCGGTTTTAAATGAGTTATTAGTGTCTAAAACTGGAAGCTGGACCTGTCAAACTCGATTATTCAGCTTTTCCGGGCTCTTCCGGGGTGACCACCCATATATTCCACAAATCATTCATACTAACAATATAGCAAACCGTTTACTTTCAAGATCTAGCTTGAGATTGGTCTCCACTGTCAAGGCTTCCCATGAACAAGAAAATGAAATTCTTTTAGCACAACGTAAGAACAGACCAGTTTCCCCTCACTTGACCATCTACAAACCACAGTTGACTGCGGTATTGTCTGGTTTACACAGAATCACTGGTGTTGCCATGGCTGGTAGTTTCTACGCCTTGACCCTTGGTTACGCCGTCTCTTCTTTGACCGGTGCCTTCCCATTGGACTCTGCCCTTATCACCTCCACTTTCGCTTCCTTGCCAGTTGTTGCCAAGGTTGGTGTCAAGGCTCTTATGGCTTACCCATTCGTCTTCCATGTTGCTAACGGTATTAGACATTTGGTTTGGGATTTCGGTGCTCAATTGACCATCCCAGGTGTCTACAGAACCGGTTACGCTGTGCTTGGTGCCACCACCATCTTTGGTACCTACTTGGCTTTCTTCTAAGTGTATATTTTTAGTCATATCTAACAGGAAATTATATATGTGCATATATATATAGTATATATATAATATATAAGTATATTTAAATCGTTACTTCATTGATTTCTTTTGTAATTGTCTGATTTCAATCTCGGCATCTAAACATAGACATGGAGTATCATTAGTACAAAATCCACAACTTGAAAATCGTTTAGATTTCTTCCCTGATCTTTTCTTAAATGCTTGTTTCGTAAGTTCTTCGGCCTGCGGGAGTATGCTTCGCTGAGATGATGATGATGGATGTGTAGCGGTTATAGTGGCCGTACTGGACGCTGATGTCGATGTTGATGTGACGGTTGGGGTTGTAATGTTGTTATCAGAATTCACTGGCTTTGATTTATCAACCAATATATAATCATCTAATTCATTAATGGTAAAGAGTTGCTCATCATCAGGGGCAATAGTAACTGGTTGGTCCATCATGGAATTAATCCCATCATCTGAGAAATCATAATTCAATTCTTCGATTGGATTTAATGGAATCCCCATTTGGTTGGTAAATATAGTAGATGCCTTAAATGTGGATGATTGTGGCTCCTTACTACGTCCTATTCCAACAACATTATTTCCTAGCTTACCATGAGACCCGTTGGAAACACTTCCAACTCTTTTATCAACGCCAATATGAGTATTGATACCTGCGCCGTTATCCTTTTTCTTCCCATCCAAATAATTCTTGATTTGAATATCTAAATTCTCATCCGAACCAGAATAATTCTTTGTAACACTATGAATTATACTGGAAGATTTCGTGAGGTATCCTAAAAATTTGTTCAAATCGTTCAAATTGGTTATTCTTTCAAGCTGTTCATATTGAGTGAGAAATGCATTTGAACTCGAGGTTGACGTCCCAAGGCCCAGTATTGAAGATTGTTGTTGTTGCTGTTGTTGTTGTTGACTTGTCGATGGTGTTTGCTGTGGTTGTTGATTGGTAGATGGTATTTGTTGCTGCTGTTGCTGTTGCCGTGGTAATGACATAGTCAGTGTATGTTGGCTATTTGTTGAAGTTTGCATTATCGATCTATATTGTGGAAGTTTTTTATCATTAGTATTAAGTGCATCGAAGGTTATCACCCCATTTTGAACAAATCGAAGCTCTTTGATTTGCTTATTGATCACTTCAATATAATTTTTCACGAGTTCTTGTTCTTTAATTTTCGATAAATAATAAAGTTTGAGATTCTTCACTGAAGAATCGGTATTTACAGAAGGTTTATTATTTATATTTGGGTTACCATTTGAAGTTGAAGTGTTGGCAGTGGTGGTTGGATTAGATTTTCCCGATCCCATCGCAGATGGGATTGAATGAGATGGAGATGAATTCGATTGTGCTGCAGTTGTATGTGAATGCTGTCTCTTTGCATTTGGATACTGTTGTTGTAGTTGATTAATGATTTGAGCCTTCGACTCACTACTAACTTCGTCATATTTGGTGGTTTTAAGTTTCTTTTTAGGACTGAACTTCTTTGGTTGCTCTACAAGTGGTGATTGCACACATTGTTCATCTTCTGCTGATATTGACAGACAAGTAGGTTTACGTCCTGGTCTAGGCCTAGGAGGTAAAACCCACTTTTTAGATGTATTTACATTCAATTGGATGCTTGTCTTGAGAGTTGGAGTTGGATCAAAACTATAGGATTGAGTGGGTTTCGGAAGCATGGCAATGGGTACAGGTTTAGGTTTGATCGCTATAGCCGGTTGGATTTTAAGGTATTTGTTTTGCACGGGGGTGGACATTGAAGTGGCCATAGGAGTAGCCATTGGTGGCGCTATTGAACTCTTCTGAACCCCATGCCCAGGGTTGGTTCCGGGGACGGGACCAGAACCAGGTCTAGGACCAAGTCCAGGTCCAGATCCATACCCTTCAATCTTCACTTGTGGTTCACTTTTTATTTGCGGTTGTACCAGTTCAGTTTTCACTTGAGTCCGTGGAAACGCGGCTATTGGATTATTTGATCCCTGTGGATTATTATTAGACTTCCGTGCCAAATTAGGCAGTACGGCGCCCATTTCCGAACCAGTAGGTATGGGTGGAGTAGTCATGTTCAGTATAAGAGCTTGATCCTTTCTAAGAAGGAATCAAAAAAAAATTATTGACACTCGTTTAGGTAGTGTTCGGAAGTAAATGCCCGTATGGTACAACTTCCTTTTCTATTGTTCTTTGACTACTTCTCTCTCTCTCTCGCTCTCTCTTTTTCTGTCTTGGGCTGACTGCTATTGAGATCTTCTGTTTCTATACAGCGCTCTCCTTGATATCTATCCTTTGCAATTTTTCACTGTCGTTCCTTCTAAAAGGCTTCTACTAGTTTTACCAAATTCTTTTTTAATGACTCGTTGCGCGCACAATATCCTTAGTAGTGCAAATTAAATGTTCCCCGGAAAACTGAGGATGAGGGATCGGGAAAATTTCTTAGACATCCATATATGGCACAAAATTGCATTTTGATTCGGATTTTCACGGATACTCATTATTGTAAATAAACAAATAAATAACCAAATAAAATTAAATTCAGATTTAAAAAAATTACTTATATACATCATGTCGTCACTGTCTTCTCACTCTTCTCTCAAGCAACGTCATCTAAGCCATTTGAACTCACAGCTAGCTCAATTACATGCGAATCTTTCTGACTTCAATGAGCTTATTTCCATCACTGCTGCACAAGTTAAGCATATAGAAAAGTTGGGAATAATGCATGGAGCACTTTTCATGGCAAGTCATGTTGTCTTTGAAAATGATGCAATTAACGCGTCCAACAAGAATGAGTAGGGAAAATCATGGAAAGTGATAAAGTCATATGTATATTAAACAAAAGAAGGTTAATGGATTATATTTGGGGCGGTTTATAGAAATTTAAAACTAAAATCCTAATAAAGATGGTATTAGAAATAAGGAACAAGGTAAAATGAGAGTAATTTAATATTATTTTATAGAGAAGTACGTGTCTTTGCTCTCAAGTTGGCTGATGATATCTAGTAATATACTAGTATCTTAATACAGGGTAGAGACGATGACTGGTTATGAGAAATATGCTAGGAGTCGTTACAGTTGCGATAATTAATCAATTAAGTGAACGGAGTCATTCCTTGGTATCTATGACTTGGAATTAGATTAAATATACTTCAATCTAGATATTAAAATAGTTGCCAACATTCAAGATTGAAACTAATTCATAACAGAATATAAAAACTTTCAAGTACTCCAATTCTTAATAACTGATGTAATATGTAATCCGAATATTAGATTTGCACAAAGAATCTCACAATAAAGTTGAACGGGAATAGTGTGCTCCTAAATTGTTGGGAATTAGTACTATCTAAAGTTGCAAAAATTAGATGTACGATTAAATCTAGATAAGAGTTAGAAATATATATTCATGAGATACTGTTGTGTAAACTCTTTACTGTTTCGGGAATTAATAAAGGTAATTCTTTCAAGTCTTTCATGTATCGAGGACACTCTACTTCGTTTATCAGCTTCCCTGACCTCTTTTTTGATAAGCAACCCAAAATTATACCTTACAAAGTGAACATTTAAAGGTTAGAGTCCCATATAATCGGTGTAGATATGATATTTCACATTTACAAAGTGTACAACTCTCTAAGTCATACACCTACCTCGGATAAAATCTGGGAAATTTCCGATCATGCTCTAACAATCGACGAATACTTCCTAAACGAGCAAATTAAACCTATACTAAATATCTTGTCCAAATACTAAATTTATGAAAATCAACTCAATCTAGGTCAGATGACAGGTGTATGAGGTCGCCATGTATCCCCTACAAGCAATCAACCCACCGTCACTACATACATGATGAAAAATGTATACCATCAAACTATTCTATATCGTACTTTTCCTCGCCACCACTCTCCATGACTCTTCCTCTACCTTACTCTTCTCTACATTACTCTTCTCTACATTACTCTTCTCTATATTACTCTTCTCTACATTCCTCACTCTAAATTCATATTATATCTTATTTACAAGTTTTTGTTATCTGACTATTTACTATCCCTATTCTTTATATACTCCTGGATCCTTTTCTTTTCATCTAATTTTTCTTGGATATATTTATCCCTTTCTTGATCCAAATACTTCATTTCTTGATATTGACGAATACATCCTTGAGTTCTTGCATTGATGTCTTTACATTTATTGAAACCTTCAATAACATTTGAGTAATGGTTAGAACATTCAATATACAGTCTAATCAAATGATCACATTTAGCATGAGTATTTTTTCTCCATCTTTCATAAACCAATTTTTCTTCCTTTGGGGTCAACATCCAAGCGGGAAGATTTGGATTTGTATGTAAATCAACATCTTCAAGAGTCTTCTTGCTGTTCATTTTATTTTATTAAAAAACTAAAATAAATATTTATTTATAATCCATTCATTGAATTGAAAGTTCAATTGTGTATTTGAAGAATGGGTTGGTTTTCGATTTTTGAGCGCGCACGTGCTTTCTCCCCGTGACCATCTCTACATATCTCAATACGTAAACAAAACAATAAAAACACAATCAAAACTCTTTCTTATCAATATACTTTCTTCATTCATCTTGATACCTTTTCTCAATATATAAATATGCTTCAAGAAACTCCAGCATCTTTAATCCATTCAGCTATAGATAGTTTTGAGATCGAACCAGATTTACATATACTAAGAAGAATAGAAGAGGCTATTCAAAAAGCACAAAATCAAAGAAATCTTATAATAGAAACCCATGAAAACAAAATTAATCAACTTACAAGAGAATATGAAACTCTTTTAGCTGAAATTGAAGCACTTACTTCAGCTAGTGGAGTCTCGTTTGAAATGGCCCGTAAATTTGGTAGTCAATCTATGTCCACCACATCCATCGAAGAAGATAACATCTTTAAAGTATTCCAAAAGAAATCAATTGAATTAGATGGATTGAAAGTTCTGCTTGCTAAAACTTTGAACGATTTGGAGAGTCAAATCAATCTGATGAATATCATAATTTTGAAATTAACGGAATCATTAGATCAATTAGAAACCAAAAAGGAAAGAGTAATTAATGATAATTTTTTAAATAATCCAGACTCTAAAATTATGAAAATTAATTTATATAAATCACTTGGAATTTTAATTGAAAATTTTGATCAAGTCAATGAAAATGGTGATGGGAAAGATCGGATATTAATTTATAATCGTGAAACTGATCTTACAAACATTCTTAATGTTTCTGATAAGTATAGTGATTATTTTATCACTAATCACATATGGGACAGTTTATAAATTTTATTTGGAGTTGTAAGTTCTTGAAGTTAGATTATAGAATGATTCCTTGTGAATAAATTATGATTTCCCATGAAAATTAAGTTGGTTCGGCACAGACAATTTGAATTGTTTTATTGAGAGTGGGCAATACTACATAAATTTAAGCTGGTATTAAACAAGGGCAAAGGTATCAGGGCACCATAATTTTCAATTAAATGCGGGATTCAGCCACGAAGGTTCTTCTATGATCATTCCCTCCCTGACAACATGATCCATAAGTTTAATTTTGAAACTTGTTTTAGAATCTGCAAGGGGCTTCCCAAGTAGTGGCCCGACCAGAGTGAACCAATGTTCTCCAGATTCCATTTGAGTTTGGGTAAAATAGCACAGACTATGGAATTGCATATTTTTGTTTATAAATGTATGCGCTGATCACGTTACAACTGACTTGGTCCATAATTGAACCATCTAGACCTTCCCATTAAATACAGGAATATCGTATAAACCCAACAGAGTTTGAGCCCTCAAGTTTCTTGGCTATCCGACTATACCGTATCACCACATTGGTGTGTATTTATCAATTATAGTTACATAGCCTTGTATGTGCAGTTCTTGGGTGATTCAAGCAATGGAGGAATGCGCATGTATACTTAATTTTCAAATCCGAGGTACCCACATATTCGGATATAGAATTAACCCAACCAAACTTATTTGAGCAAAAATAATTAAAAACAAGTTGTACCACATAAACTTGTTATGGTGGAGTTCCAAGGCAGTGTTAAATTATATAAATAGTAAATGTATTGTGGTAATACAGATTTCAAAACCTCTTTAAACAAGAAATAGTATGCGTAGTACTACGGATAAAATATGTGAACCTAGCTAGATTCATCCTGATTAACTTATGCTCTATTCATTAACTATATACAATTTAGAAATATTTAGGGTTCTCTCTGAACGATAACTTTGTCCATTTAGGAACATGATGCACAGACTTTCTGTAGTTCTTTGAGTTTTTGTTGAATGTGGTGTACTTGTCAGTAGCGCTCATTTCATTTTCCTTTGGGAATGTATGCATGAGGTAATCAAGTTTAGGATGGCCGGTGGTTTCTTGACCTTGAATTTTAAGAGACTCGTACAAGACTTCAATGTTTTTGTCCACTACTTGCATTCTTTTTCTGAGTCTAGATTTTTGATCTGGAGACATTCTCCAAGATCTCTTCCAAAGAAGACCACCAAATGTGGGTAATGTACCTCTAAATGGACCAAGCATTATTGTATATACAAAGGTTTAGATTGATTGATGGAACTTTAAGATTTTCTTTGATTTTTACAATTTTGATATTTTTTGATATTGATCACAAAAGCAAAAGGAAAAAAATGAAAGTTGGTGTGTGATCGCGATCACGTGTGGTTGCTGGTTTGGTGGGAGGGTGTGTATTTATGAGTTACTCCTGTATGTACTGCATGGCTTAAAGAGGCAGGTGTTTGAGGACAATGAGGCGCATGGTTAGGATTTCAACAAGATCATACAAATTCAGTTATATAAATATGTGGCAGCACGTGAAAGATCTAGAAGTGCAGGGAGGATCAAAGAAGAGGAGAAGTTCTGGATCAGATCATTTGGATTTGGAAAATACAATAAAATCAAAAAAATAAAGGTAAAAATAACTGTAAAGGGTGATGTGTGGTCCTAAGGAGGAGAAGGGATAAGTGGCACAAATAGTGTTGCATATACTGCACAAAGGAGGTGGGTTAACCGGTCTAGCGGCCTGCTATGAAGTAGAATACGATTGCAACCAAAGCGTACAGAAAATAAACGAGGAGTCAGTTTGGGAATGAATTGTTGGCGGGGTGTTGGGGAGTGTAGTAAAGTTGTAGTAAATCTAAATACTAGTGTTACCCCTATTCGATAATCTTGATTAAACTTTGAGAATGACAGAATGAGGTGAAATTCCCAATAAGCCAAATTTCTTGAATCAATAGATAGTAGTGATAAGGGGGATTATTTCAGAGGTAAAGTACTTCATAGTAATATCAAACAAGGGGTCCTTCATATGAAAATTGCCATCATTCTACAATGCTTTTGTATTAATCCTATTTTTTTTTTTTTATTAATGCTAAACCCATATCTATAAACCTATAACCATAAACCATAAAACCGTAAAATTTGTAAACTCATATTCCTATAAGCATGCTGTAAGCCATTTCCTGTAGTTGTTGGAAGTGGATGGTGCTACCGAATTATCCAGAGAAGTCGTGTTGAGATCAAATGTGTGGTACTCTAAATCGATAGCAGAATTGTGCTTCAGAAGCATAAGTGGCGAATCTGCAAGATATTGGGGTTGTTGGTGTGGGTGGGTGTGGGTATAGTCAGTGATGTGTTGGTAGGCAGATGGTGTCAAAAGTGGAGACATCAAGCCTGGAAGATGCTCCAGTGTGGCGCTCAATGAAGAGGCCTGGGCTTCATCAATATGTTTACACGAATCCGAACAGTAAACTGCAGATTGCAGACACAACTGGTCGCATGTGATACAGTAGTTGTTGAAGGCAAAGTCAGACATGTTTAATAATAAAGTGCACTGTTTAGTTGTGTGACAAATGTGATGCAAAAAATTTGAATTTGCAGTCTTAAAGTCCAAATGGCAAACCTTAAGTACTTTTTCGCTATTTTTGCAACGTGTGGCGTGTCTGCAGGAGCAACGTTTCACAATAAATTATGGGAGGTGCGTGGTGCAGTCAAGAAAATTACTAATAATAATTAAAAAAAAAAAAAAATTAATCTGACAATTCTTTTTTTTTTTTCGTTATTTGCGTTTCCTGTGTGAATGGGTCCTTTAAAATTTGTACGGTGATAAAATGAACCGGTACTTTGAAGGAGGCACTTGAAGTGAATGTGGTAGTGGTAGCTGTAGCTGTTGTAATTAGGGGTATACTAGTAGGAGGGCTCTTCTATTTAAGATGCACTCGCTTGGGAAATGTTTGTTGATACTTTCTTCTCTAAAATTCTAGTAGTTTCTCCTCCCTTCTCCTCTCTTATATGTAAAATGAAATCTATGGTGTGTATGTGTCAGAGTCGCGTCATTCGAGCCTTGGATGTTTGCAATATCCGCACACGGGGTAGTTATTTACCCCTCGGAATTCATTTTCCGACTATGGCTCATCTTTTTTTTTTTCAATTTTTTTTTTTTTTCCACAGAAAGAGCTAGGCTTTTTTTTTCCTTCCTTCGGAGCTTCCATACAAGGGGGACCTGGGTTGCTATAGTTACAGACATAACCTCGCAGTACACTGAGGATCTGGACCATCCGAAACGATCCGCAGCCACAATTCCTGTTTACTTCCCATTGCCAATGAGTAATCTATGTTGCATCCATTCGCTAAACACGGTGGGGTTGAATAATCGGAGTGGGGCCCATCAATTGGGCCGTCACTTGTTCTCCTCATTATTGATGGCTGGAAAAGGTTTTTTTTTTTTCGCTCTTTTTTTTTTTATTTTTTTTTTTTGGTTTCCCCAAATTTATTGCAAAAAGCGTGCCTTGGCGTAATTCGACTCGGTGATTCATATGAGCAATTCTCGTGACTCAGTAAAGATGTGTCATCTGAGGTTGATAATGTACGGTGTGTCATAACTGTGGATGCAACAGGGTTCATTGTGATAAGAGTAAGTTTCACTTTTTGCAACCTCGTGGGTTGTAGTCCACAGTTTGATTACTTTTTTTACTTGTACGCCCTTCTCTTGTTTTACGGTGTGGTGGTGGTGGTGGTGGTAAGATTTTTGTTTTTTCTCGGATATCCTGGGCTTTCCTGTACATAGGCGAGACCCTTTCATTGTGGGGAAGATAAAAATAATCTTTCTCCTTTTACTATTTACTCGGAAATACATTTTATTTTACTCTCACAACTCGCTACAATCCCTTCTTTCTACAAGTTATGAATGACGTTTGGCCAAACTTCTATCATGAAATGATATTCGTAATTTAATAGGTTTTGCAGCTTAAACTTGTTCTTCTCTATCAATTTCATCTCGCCCAATGTGCAGGAATCTCCTTTTTCTTTCAATCTATTTTCGGACGTGTATATCCATTTCCGAAACCGGAAATGGAGCTTGTTGAGTTAAGTTTTTCAACTTTTTCGTGCATCCTGCACCCGGAATGGGTCCATATTTAATTTTGTTTACTTTACTTTTCTAGTATCTTCGAGAAGGAAAAAAAATTATGGGTGGCAACCGTAACTAAGATAATTTGTTGGTTACCACAAAATCGTCAATAAAACTTACGATACTCTTCAATCGTCTACAATAAACGCAAGAATATCCGGGACTTCCTATGACGATATCTTAAGAGATACTGAGACGCATAACTACACGGCGGCCCACCAGCAGGTCGGAAGTCATTCTTTTATTGCTACGATGTAGGGTCTATTATGTCAATAAGGTCGTGACATAGTTTGCAGAATGGTCAAAATTAGAGATTTTACAAAAAAATTTGTAAACAAAAAAAAAAAAAAAAACATCGGTTCAGAAAGAGAATTTTTCTTCCATGCAGAGAACATCCCCGATGCAGTATTAGAATTATTCCCGAGACGGCGGTGTCACGCAGAAAGAATTTTCACTAGCCACAGTTTCAAGACGAGGCAATGCCCATCAATGAAATTAATTGGTACTATTCAACTACAGTGGAAGAGTGCTGGTTGTCAACATCAACATCTATCACGATATTGATGAGGTATTGTATACTTAAAATGTAAAAACTGTCTCCTACTTTGCAAAAAAAAAAGCATGGTACGTTTAGCGACGCCCTGGAAAATTTTCAGACAATGCTTATTGCCGTCTGTGTCTCGGAAATACGATTGCTTATAGGCAATAATTGCAGTATTGGGAATTAATAAGCGGACCTCGAATTATCGGTACGGAGCGATGATGTTGATTTCCTCATCTATAGATCCATACATTCTAATCTAGACCCGTTGTTTTAAAAACGCCCTAAATATTATAGTTTATAGACAACATTCCAATCTGGTAGAACGTTGAATAGATCCATTCTTGTATCCATCGCATCATTTAGGTTAGAAATGTTTCAGGTTTTACGCATTGGGAAGCCGCAGCCCTAATTTGGTTAGGCCCAGATTGAAGATGCCAACTCCGGAGGCCCGCGCAACTAAAGTAATTTATATATATCTTGCATCACAAGCTTGCATATATATAGGTGGACAGGAAACTTGGGCGACAACGCACAAATGTGTATCTTTGCTTGACAAGACTAGACCCTGTAAAGGGGTCTAAAAGATCAGAGTAAATTGGCTTGCAGGATGATTTTGTATGGGTTGCTCAAAACTCTTTGGTATGTATGAAAAATTTTGAATCTCTATACTAATGACCCACAATAATCTCTTGTTTCTAGCTATCCATTTCAACTATAACTTCATTTCTTTCTGTTTCAGTTCCTCTAGTAGTGTCTTGGCAGAAACAACCTTGGCTACCCTAATAAAAATTTTATGGATATTCCATTATCTAATGCACCCTTAACTCTCTCAATGTCTTCTAATGGATATCCTACATCATCGAATATCATCAATTCATACTATATTTATAAATATATATATATATATATGTATATCATTAACTCATATCAACTAGCCTTATACTTGTATGTCAAATTCTTCAACTCTTTAATGTTCTCGATACTTGTTTGATGCCAATAGCTTAATACTAAACAAATGATTAAATCAGCTATGGGCAATATGAAAAATATTCTCCAGATCAATTCTCCATAGTAAATAGTACTTATTAATTTCAAACATAATATTCCATTTATAATGTGGTAAATTATTGGATTGAGTAATACATTTGCAATCAGTTGTGTGGTACCACGCGGCGCAGACTTTATTAATTCCAGCAATTCAAAATGTAAATAAATTACTGTTAAGGAAATAGAGAGTAAACTAACCAAACATGATCCTGGATATGCTTTTCTAAGCAGCTTCCAATATACTGTGAATGGCGTTTGAAGTAAAAATATAATTTTTAATATACGTCTATATAATTTGAAGTTTGCTAATTCATTGTTTTGGAGCAGTTCGATAAAATATTGTTGTTCTTCAAAATCTATTGGTACATCTGATTCAATACGATCTATATTCCTTCTTCTCATATTAACAGTAATAATAAATCAATAGAGGATATAAAAACGATTATATTTTGAGATTTTTGACAATATCTTGAGTTAGTACTCTCGGACTGTATATAATGATGGTAGGTTGTATTGGGGGTTCAAGGTTAGTATGTACAAGACGATGTAAAGAGGGAAAGAAGATAGAATGCATGTAGTTTATCAAGTTTGATTTGAATAGAAAGTTTGATTGGAAGTTCCCTAATTGTTGGCCGGTATATATTCTTGCTAATTTGTGGTGACAACTAACCACGGGGGAGGGGCTCTGCTTTACACCATAAGGTGACCCTAATATCATTCACGTACTTCTTTACATGCTTATATCCATACTTCTCGTACTCACTGTACTAGTATACTCCTAATCAATATATTATATTTATATATATATAATTGATCCAATTGATCATTCCTACGTTCTATCTATACTAACTCTCGTTATCCCAATCACTTCTTTTGCAGCCAAACTATTTACTAAAATTGTACATGGGATAACTGTTGAAGAACAATTATAGCCCTTGGTTCTCGTAGATAGTCTGCAGCTCCATGTACCCCGAATTCTTCTTACCCATTGTATAAATTTTATGAATTGTCTTTTTTTTTTTTTGCTTTTGCAATTATGTAGGCAAATATTATATAATATGTTTTGTGTGGTGGGATTAACTCTGCAACTATTTCATAATGGGTGTACTAGTGTTTTGTCACTACTTTCTCTTGAAATGGAGATTTATCATATCTACATGTATCCCAAGCTTCAGCGGTTATAAACCAACTAAGTTGCAAAAGTCGGACACAGGGTAATTGTAAAATATTGAGTATCCTCTTTGACAACGGATGACGTTGTGACACCATGAAAAAACCCTACGACTAAAGACCTTACGCCAACTGAGTACTTAAGTTTTGCCTCTTAAATTTAGTTTACAAATTAGGTATCTTCAAGTTTTCAGGCTAACATACTTAATACCGTTAATAGCTTATACAGGCATGACAATTTATTCTCTGCAAATAATAAGAATATGATTTATGAATATATCGTCTAGTAGAAAAAGTTATATTGCCTGGTTTGTCTATATCAAATTTAATTCATATGTCACCGCTTCCCCACATGGAACACCCCACAGATCAGATGTGGCACCCTCCTTCTTCGCTATCTTGATATCTGCATACCACGTTTTGTCAGCACTAGCAACTCGACAACAAGTGGACATAATCGAAGGAGTCTGCTCAGCATCGGCGATACATTCCTGGGCAACTTCTCGAAAATCATAGTCATATATTGATGATACAGTATCACAATCTATGTTGAAAGTTTTGGGAGAAAGGAGCACATACCATTGTATATCTCCTGATTCATCGAGGTACATAAAACCATTACATTGTTTAGCAGCCCACCCTCTTTCCATTACTCTGAATTTAAAGTCATTAAATCCTTTCCAAAGGGTTTCCAAAACATCTTGGCAATTAACAAGTACGTAAGATAGATATGATACCACTCGGGAAACATACTGGCAAATAATCTGAATCGTAGTACTACCACTCTTGGAAATTTCAGACGAGTAGTTAATCCCCAGTCCTTTCCCTTGAGATTCCTTTCCAGTCCATTTTCTCCCAGAAAACTTCTCATACAGAGTCATGTATTCGCTCATTGAACTACCTATTGTGATCTCACCAGTAACAAATGGCATCTCTGTGTATGCAATTGCCTTGTTATTGTCCACAAAATCACTTTTCACCTTGGTAATATGATCTTGATTGATGTAAGATATAATGGCCTCACTCCAATCATCTTGTTTACTACCATCGGGATAACTGTATTTGAATATTTCACTGGTTGCAATTGCACAGCAAGTGGAAACCAACAAAAATATGATCAATAGTTGTCTATTCATCTTATGTCAATGTCCTACAATCAGAATTCCACTCAATGTTGAGTTTAACACACATTACAGTGGGCGATTGTTGGTTTATGAAAGGTGTTATATGAAGGATCCTGCATATTACGTGGAGGTAGCTATATGGAAGAAAAGTTGAGTAACTTGCAGGATGTATAAACCAGAGTCTTTGATGCAATGCAGTGAGTTGAGGATGCTTGAAGCAGATACGGGTATGTGACAGGTGCATTGAATGTTCATGCAAGGCAGCTGTACGCCCAGACACGGCATCGGGAGAAAGAGGGGGTCAAGAGATGAGTTCTGGGAAAATTTTGCAGCAAATTTTGCCGTTTATCTTGATTATAAAATTAGGACGATTCTTGCCCAGAGGAGTGATTGTATTAAAGAATAGCAGAGTAAATACTAAGCATTTGAGAGAGTATTAAATTTGCTAATAGTTTCATAGTAAAACAATCATTTATAACGAAGCTAAAGCATCTAGAATATTTAAAAGAACTTATATTTATTAAGCGTAGTACAGCCTGAACATCCACGTGACTCCAGTCATTTGCAGTCCTGTACAAATTCTATCAGGGCGATAGCAGTACATAAAATGCAGTCACGTGCTCAGCGCTAAATAGGATATATACTTCGAGAGACCAGCCTTAGAAATTTTCCAGTAAGAGAGAGTATACAGATTTACTCAAAGATACATATACATATCAATATAATTCAATATGAAAGTAATTATCTATTTTTACTTATTTCAGCAAAATCCATTTTACATTGGCTCCCCTGGAATTGTAGCACGTTTACGACACTCAAGATGCAGTATATACTGTATACATCGATAAAGGTGAGGCTTAAAACAGAAGAACAATGCAACATTACTTTATTTTTTGTTTGCAGTTATTTGGACTTCCAGGTACCAACTTATTTCGAATAAATCGAGTTAATATAGTTCAAACAAGGGCTCCCGTCAATTGGAAGAGATACGAGTGCGCACTCGTCATACGTTTCCGGACTATTTGAAAGATTTCTCGGTAGATAGAAGGTAGTGATTTTCGTTGCTTGTACGACACATTGTAATTGGAAGATATACATTTTAAAATAAACAATGAATAAAATCGACAGTGAACAATTAAAGTTGGCATGGAATATCCCAAATACCATCTTTCACATCCAATCTTTGAATTCTCACGTCAGAACGCCATGCACCCGTATGGTCCATTCTACAACAATACCCCACCATTGACCCGCTATTAGCACGATTGATGCATCTACGAAGTGTATCTCGGATTTCATTTTCGGTTGCCGTTGTCGCACAACCGTTATTTGACCAAGGTGCAATAAAAATATTCCATCTAGCTTGGCCCTGGACATCAGAATATAAACCCCCCCCTACACTGTATCGAGGAGCCTGTCTTAATGTCATGTGCAATAAGAACCAAGTTGCTAGGCATAAATCCAATGAAGACAGTGTAAAAACCACCTAACTTCTTCTCTGTTGCATGCGCAAATTCATTAAGCCAGACCCGCATTTTGCCAGTATAATTCCTCCATACATAAGCTTTATAACAACAAAGAACTTGCTTCCAATACCCACCTTCTCTTATCTTGTTACAGTTTACCATTTGACCGATTTCTGCACGCTTTATAATCTTGGACTCCTCGACAAAGTCTTGTCTTTTCATATTCTCAACCAAATCATCATAGGCATTCATATAATCCTTCATGGAACTACCCAACTTCACTTCACCAGTAATTAGAGGTAATGCATCAAATGCAATTACATCATTTTCCAAATCTCTTTTAGCTTTGGCAATAACATCATAATTGATGTAAGTAATTATAGCTTTACTCCAATCTTCATTTCTATTGCTTTCCAGTGCCGCTTCATCCACATAGGTATAACCAATCAATTTAGTGAGTCCTTCACCGTAGCAAAGGGAAACGACGGCAAAAATGGCTAAAACCCGCGCAATAATCATAGTAGAGTACAAAATAACGTTGATACAAACATCAATTTCATCCAACCTAGCACTCCATAACGCTTTTATACAACTGGATCTCGATATTTCATCGAGAACAGTCGAAACCTTCGATGTGGGGATATACCGTTGAATACGAGACGTTTATCAATGCCAAGCCTCGCCTATCCCCTTCTGATGTAATCATCGAACCAATGAGATATGAACTTCAAGATTCAGTCACTCGTAATTCAGTCTCGTCAGATTCATATAACTTCATTTTCATCATTGGTGGCATTGTTTAGGGTTTCTTGTCCACCAGAATCTTGTAAACGAGCCGCATCACTGTGCGAACATACCCCACCATTGAAGTCATCAGGCCACATAGGAGTAGTTGATGGTCCAATAGGAGAATTCTACAACTTTGCTACCATTACCTGGTGATCATTACCGCCAACCATCTGATTAATGGCGAGGACTAAACCGCGGGATTGTGGTAATTTCCAAAATTTTTTGCACCCATAAAAACCAAACTTTAGTTAAAAGATAGGTAATAAATCTTTTACTTGAAGAGAGTAAAAACTGTTGAAGGGAGGATACCCATTTCCAAATTTATACACTTCATCCCCATGGGCGAAAAAAAAAAGAAGAATCCAAGTTGAACTTGCCCACAACAATATTAATACGTATAGGTATGCAAGTGGATATATATAGCTGCCGAATTTTATTTAAGAAGCTATACATTAACTGTACTAGTACTAATTAATTGTAAACTACTATATACTATATATGCAGATTCTAAATTTTTGGTTGCAATTTGCAAGAACTACATAATCACAAAATAAATAACGATTTCAAATTTAATCCATTCTCTCTGACTACGAGCATTTCCATACAACTTGGCTCATATGATTCAGATTAGAAGGAGAACCTTAACATACATTTTGTGATTTCCGGTTGCAAATGCCTTCAGGGACATTAGTAGTAAATACTACCATTACGTTGCACGTCTATCAAGTCAATCCTGGATCTAGGCCCAACAGTCTAGAAATGTACAGGTAAACATGTAGGAAATGGAAAAAAAAAACACACACAACACATCTAGAGTTGAAGTTTGCCTAGAACATACTTCTTATTCTGGAATGATGATGGTAGGTCACTCAATTATACATGTCAATTAATATCTACCTCACAATTAATCAATACACAAATATCCTACATGATCCATATATCTCAATTGATTTTTTTCTCGGTTAATTTTTCCCCTATTTGCAATAAATCTTGAGATACGATTCAATAATTAATCATTTGATCAATTCTCATTTTATTGTACATTCAGAGTAGACTACACAACAACAATAGAGAAAAAATAATTAAATCTCTTCGTGATGAAAAGCAATTTAAAAATTTTTCTTAATAAGATTACATAATCATGTTTGGTTAACTTAGTAAAATCATATCATAAATAACTAACTAAACCATCACCTTCTCGGCTATGTATATTTTGCCTAGTTATATTCACCAGGTGTATATACCATGCATTTGATTGCCTTCTACCAATTATTTTTTTGCATCCATATTTGAAATTTTACTTCTATAATTCTCTCGTGTAAAAGCAAACCCAAATAATTTTTTGTTCTTCATCCATTGTTTATTTTTATTATTGTACAAAAACACGGTCATTGTTAACATTCCCACGACTATATACAGGAATTGCATGGCGCCGCACACGGCCAGTGTATGATAGCGCAGATCAAAACTAAGTGGAATTTTCCAGGGGTTTTAACGGTACAATGTTCCACCGGTTCAAGTATCCTTCACCATAATGAAACAGGAAAAGTATCTCTTGAGATAGCACAATTTCTTTTCCATAGTGATGAGTTCTTTTATCCAATAATGATTTAGTGCTGTTTTCGTCTATTCACATGGTCAATAAATACTTTGTCATGTCCGATTTATACAGGAAATAATACGATTTGAATACCCCGATTTGGGTAATGCAAACTTAAAATAGACCGCCCCCGCTGAATACGAACCCTACACCTAGAAGAGCAAGAAAACAAGAAAAATAAAAAGAAAGAAAAAAAAAAAATATTATGAAGAATTCTCAAAAAGTTAATAACCTGATCATTCGTCTAGTAGACCAACCAACAGAATACACATGTACAAGTCTTCCCTAGAACTTATTACGCTCCACATATCTAGTAGAGCACCCATACCCACATCCTTATGGCACAGCTACTCTCTATCCCACCTCTCTTGCTCTTCTCTCTGCCCCTGTCGCTTAATAGACGCACACTACTGTAGACGCACCAAATCAGTCTTTTTTATTTTTTTTCCTTTTTTATTTCATTCCCCCCGTCAAATTTCCCACTTATTTTTTACCGCACGATCTGATGAAATTGTTTCAAGTGCGAATTCCTACCGTGAATAAGGCGCTTCTTTACCTTTTACATGGCCTAATAGGGATACCTTCTCTTAACTTTCATATAACATTCACCTAATTCCCAGTTTCTACTGAAGTGCGGCGACTCATAACACTTTTTATCGTTCTGTCCATACCACTCAACAATCGGTGTGTTTCTGTTTTCTATAGCAGTGTTTCTTCTTAGTCAGAGTTTTCTATCTGAGTGTACTGAATCACCAGCGTTGAACCAGCCCTATTATTGCATTCTTGACTGGATGGGATATCACTGAAAACAAAGCACAAGCGTCAACATATTAACTTCATATACCAAGCGCATTTTGACCCCCTAGCCCGCACTTGAATAGCTGTTTTCTTTGTTGCTTACTTTTTGTATCACCACCAACCCACCCCCGTGTAAGAAGACCATCTGCACCCGTTCATTCGTTTCCCGTGTGCAACATCGTCCTTCCTTTACCCGCGTATTAGTCCCAACTATTGTCATTCTTTGAGTTTATCTCCCCCCTCTCCCTTCCTTATCACAACAACATTTAAATGCGTTGTTTGAATCTTGTGTGCCTCTTGGCCATTGCCGCCCATGTCACTGCTGCCTCGTCTCAATCAAACTCGAACGGCGTGGCTTCAAAATCACCCAAGGCTAATTCCAATGCCAACTCCAAGGCAAAGGCAATTCCAACCACCACTACCACCTCAGACTTTGTTGCTGACTTGATCAGTAACATGTTTAATGGTGCAAGTGATGCCCCAAGTAGTACTGTGGATGCGGGAACTACTCCAACCACCACTGCCAGCCCCACGACGAACAACAAGCCTGTGGAAAGCACCACTCCAAAGGAGACTACCAGCGCTGTAGATGCAACTACATCTGAGACACCCACAACCACTACCCCAAAGGAAACCACCACTCCAGCTGAGACCACCACCGTGGTACAAGTATCGGCAACATCATAGTAATAATCGAACGATAACTATATTTCTGGATGTAGATGTAAATGAAACAGCAAGACGTAAGAGAAATGATATGAGGAAATGTTTGTTGATCCTCGATGCATTACCACAATATCAGATAAATCTTTATGTATTCACCCCCAAAGGAAACCACCACTCCAGCTGAAAGTACTACCACTCCAGCTGAGACCACCACCAGTCCAAAGGAAACCACCACTCCAGCTGAAAGTACTACCACTCCAGCTGAGACCACTACCAGCCCAAAGGAAACCACCACTCCAGCTGAAAGTACTACCACTCCAGCTGAAACCACCACCACTCCAGCTGAAAGCACTACTACTCCAGCTGAAAGTACTACCACTCCAGCGGAAAGCACTACTGCCAAAGCTAAGGAATCTACTACCATGGATCCCGTAGAAGCCCCATCATCATCTACTACCAAGACTCCTGATTCATCTGCCGCACCTGTAGAATCTACCACTAGTCCAACAGAAGCTTCTTCTTCTGCTACATTGGCAACACCTTCTACTGCAGTACCGGAATCTTCTACTCAGACAACTGATGCTTCTTCTACCACTCCTGGAACAACCCAAACATCTGAAACTTCGAGTTCAGAAGCAACACCATCTTTGGTTTCACCTTCTACTTCTAGTGACCCTGTCACCAGTTCTACTGAGTCAACTTCAGCGACAGAGGAATCATCCACTACCCCAACTACTCTGGTGGTAGAACCAACCACGTCTTCTTTGGATGAGTCAACCACTTCTCCAGTACCAACTCCAACTACAACTGACGAAACTACAGCAACCCCAAGTGTATCCACTGTTCCAACTCCAATTACAGAGTCATCGTCACCAAAGGAAACGCAACCAACTGCCACTCCTTCGGATGTAACTCCAGTTGAATCATCAACCCCAACCGACACTACTCCAACCGCCACTGTCACCCCATCTGTAGTACCTCCCGTCGAATCTTCTGTTGAGAGCGACACTACTACCCCAACCGACACTGTCACTCCTTCAGTAGTACCACCAACTGAGTCAACCGTCCCTACCGACACGGCTACTCCTTCAGTGGTACCACCAACTGAATCAACCCTCCCTACCGACACGGCTACTCCTTCAGTAGTACCACCAACTGAGTCAACCGTCCCAACCGACACGGCTACTCCTTCAGTAGTACCACCAACTGAGTCAACCGTCCCTACCGACACGGCTACTCCTTCAGTGGTACCACCAACTGAATCAACTGTCCCTACCGACACGGCTACTCCTTCAGTAGTACCACCAACTGAATCAACCGTCCCTACCGACACGGCTACTCCTTCAGTAGTACCTCCAGTTGAATCAACCACCCCAAGTGATACCGTTGCTCCAACAGATACCGTTACTCCTTCTGTAGTACCTCCAGTCGAATCAACTACTTCAGCACTTCCAACTGAAACTCCTACCGAAAGTCCATCGGCTGTTCCTGTATCCACTGTCCCAACAGACACATCTGATACCGTTGTTCCATCTTTGCCACCTACTGATTCAGGTGTTCCATCGGCCGTAGTACCAACAACTGCCACTCCTTCAACCGTATTGCCAGATACTTCTGCTGTTGCTCCATCATCTGCTCCAGTTGCATCTGAAGTCGTTACTACACCATCTGGCGCTGCAGCTTCTGAAACTACCACACCAGCTGCTGCATCTGCAACTTCTGAAACTCCAGCTGCTGTATCTGAAGTGACTACTGGCTCTACACCAGCCGCTGCTTCTGAAGCTACTACTACTACTTCGCAAGCTGCAGCTGTTAATTCCGAAGTCGGAGCTACCACTTCACAAGGAGCTGTCACTTCTGAAGGTGCCGCAGTTGACTCAGCAGCAACCACAGCTACTTCAGAAGCTGCTGCTGCTGCTTCCGAGGTTACCACTGCTCCTCCTGACGGGTTGACTACTGCTGTCCCATCATCTGCTGCAGGTAATCCAGCTGGCTCTAAGACAACAACCTCCAACTGGTTACCAACTGGTTTGATTGTCCAGACTGAAACTGAAGCTTCTTCAACTTCTGGCGCCACTGGTATTGCAGTTGCTTCAACCACCTCTTTCGCCACTGCGACTGCTGGATTGCCAAGAGCAATTACCCCAGCCACCACTGTGGCCCCACCAGAAAACTATTCCATTGTCTCTATTGGTTTTAAGTCTCCTTTGAACTATCAATTTGTTGTTCTTCATGCATTATCATCTGCCCAAATTTTCCAATATTTGCCAGGTGTTTTGACATTCCCATTCACCAATTCTGATGAGTACAATTCAGTTTCAGTTCAAAAGTTGGTTCCTTACAAGGATGAGAGTGGTACATATATTACTGTTGCTCGTGTTTATTTCCCAGCTGATTCGGTTGGAGCTTTGCAAAACTTTATTCAGAACACTAATTCGAAGTTGTACCGCAATGAAGATCCTACTGAAAACAGTTTGGCTGCCTTAATCGACAGTCGTATCTCATTAACATTGGACGTTTCCAATACTTCAGACACTGACAGTGGCAGTTCCTCCAGCAACACCAACTACGGTTCCATGGACAGTAGTCCTAATGCAACTATTCAAAACAAGGGTAGAATCGCAGGTATTACTGTTGGTGCTGCCGCTGGATGTGCATTCTACATGGGATTAATGGTTCTTTTATTCAAGAGATTTAAGAAGAATGGTATTGAATTGCCACCTTCCGACAGTGAAAGTAACGTTGGTATGGACTCTCAAACCGCTAGCGGTTTATCCGGAATCTTCAATAGATTTACTGACGCTTCTTCTACCGAAGGAATTGGAAACGGTAGCGGCAGTGGCGGAGGATCTAATGGGCGAAGTGTCCAAATATCAGATCCCGTTAATGCATCCAATTCCTTAGGTTGGGCTAGATAATGAAGACACGGAATAGTACCCATTAATCCAAAGGTGACTCCAATGTTTCTCTGGAATATAGATGATTCCCTATCCATAATGAATAGGTGAAAAATACAACTAGGTATAGAGATGTCTTGCTCTATGCCTTCGCATAATTCCTTGACTATTTTTAAACACTTCACTTGAAGTTATTCGTGTACTTTTATACCCCGACAATAAATTTGTTATATTTAATTTGCTGTAGTTTACTATTAATCTATTTACATTGGGATTCCCTATGATACCCGATCAGAGTGCTCTACGAACACTTGAGGTGGTATTTTTAATCATCTCTCTACATGTACATTGATGTACTTCTTTTATTACTATAATATATCAATCTGACAAGTTCGTCAATATAGGGATGAGACTTGCTATAGGTGGACTTACATAGTGACAAAATAATGGTCTTGATGACTTATTGTAGTCTTAGACATGCAGACAAAATTAGAGTGTAAGAGCTACACTTAATATTGACAAAAACCACCAACTCCGACAGCTATAGTATAGACTTTTCCAGCCTAGTTCTTCACCAATATGGTATACAAAACATTATAGCTAGTCGACTTCGAAGATGTTTTACTGAGACCTAAAACTTATTTTTCTCTCTCACTTGAATGAAGTCATAAATCCCCAAAGTTCCTCAACAACGACATTTGCATCATCATCCAAGGTTTCTGAAAGTTCTTCAATCAATCCTTCCTTGTCAGACAAATTTTTCTCCATAAGGAATGTAGAGATGAATTCGATTAACGATTCTTCTCTTAATCCCAAATACTCTTCTACTAAGTCACCAATCTTGACGTTTATTTGATCCCACACTTCCTTGTCAAGTTGAGAAATGACAATAGAAGTGATAGCAGGTAATGATTTGGGTTTCTCAGTTTCAGCTTTACTTTGCTTTGTAGAAATACTGATACCAACAGTAGATGGTTGCGGTTGCACTTCTTGTTGTTCAATATCTTGCTTCTCATCCAAGGAGTCGAGTTTTTCTTCATGGGCTCTTTCTTTGGTCCGGATCCGGAGATATTCAGAATGATTAGAATAGTATAAACGTATCTTGGCGGTGTTTAAAGTGCTTGAGGCAGGTTGTTGCGGGTTGTAATCTTGGAAACTTTTGAAATTTTCTATGAATTTGGCCTTATTCTCCATGAGGTAATTTTCGTAATTCTTTAAAGTTGAAAGTTTATTCAACAAAGTTTGCTTTTCAAAAGTTTCCAGTTCTTTCATAATCTTAAGTTCTGCAGAATATTGTTGTTCATTTTCTTGAGTCCTCTTACGGTTCATCAAGTCTTCATATTGTTGGTCGGTTAAATCATCATAGTCATTAACTGCATCACTGTTCTCCACTGCTGTTCCGGACTCTTCCAGCGGAATCATCTCAACGTCTTCAGTTTCTCCATTGACAGTTTCCTGAATATCTTCGAAAAGTCGCTTTAGATTTCTCTTTGCATTTTGACGTTCTTGTTCCATCTCCTTCTTTCTTCTTTCCTTTTCAATCTTCAACACTTTAGATCTGAATTTTATAATATCTTTTATGATTCCTTCCTTTAGGTCATTGGGTACATCAACCAATTCACTAGGCTCTACATTGTATGAACTATAGTAGGACATAGCTGCGTCCAAATCTTCCGTTCCCTTTGAGTTACCCATACGGTCGTAATTCTTCTTATTTTGAACAATTTTCTTTACAGTAGTGGTCAATGAGTTATCTTCTTCCATTTTCTTTTCATCGATATATTGATTTGAAGATTTATCTAATATAATCTTCAAATCATCCAATCCAATGGATTGTAAACGATCAACAAACCCACTCAATTTCTGAACATTGTCCAACCGAACAAATACTAGACGGTGCTCTATATGATCTGAGTCTATCATGGTCCATTTGAAAGACGATTGAGTTACCAATTGAAGGATTCTTTCGAGAGCAGACTTTTTAACTGCAGGGAAGTTTTTTATCGTTACTGTGGTCACTTGATCCTTCAAGTTTTTTGGATAAAAATTTCTAATATCCAAGAAATGTATTGGCCCAGTAGAGTCAATTTCCATGGCGTTCTCGTCATATTCTCCATTTAATCCTTCTTTGTCATTATTCATATTAATTTTGGTATCGTCATTCTTGTCTACAATCTCATCAATAGATTTCCCATCTTTGGTATCATTCCCAAGCCCAGAACTTCCAAGAGACCTTATTTTAGCCACATTTGTCCTGATGACTTGTAAAACGGCATCGTTTTGGAATACCGGCACTGTTAATCCATGGATAGGTGGAGAATCCGTAGCTGGAGATTCTTCATCCTTTTCCAAATATGGGAGAGGTTTAAGTCCCGAAAATAAAGTATTTTTCAACGGGGGAAGTCCATAGACTTTTAAGGATACCAACTTCGACCCATCTAACTCGGTCATGGTATATATTTATTATGAAAAAAAGGTCTTCAAGAAGGTATAGATGGAGGTGTATTTTAGAGAGAATTATAAATTTGAAACATTTTCTTTAAAAAAATCATATTGGTGTGTATATGCACTCCGATAGAGATTACTATGTTGGATGGGTATGTCATTTTAATTGTATATAGATATTGAATATGCTATATAGAGAGTACATATATGAATTGTAGCATGTTAGAAATTTGAATCCATACTTTGAAAGGTTTGTTCTTTTCGTTAAATTTTAAGAAAGTAAAATTTAGGCGGGTACAGTGTGATAGATGAGAAACTGATTACTTCTAGAAATTTAGAGGTACATGGATAACCGAAGTATCTTGAATAAAATCTCAGGGTGGATTGTACATTTAGAAGGCGAGGCAGCTCTTTGATAGGCTGCCTTTAAAGTATTTAATAAAAATATTTAACAAGGTAAAAACATGTTTCGCAGCCAATTGTTGAAACAGATCCTTTAATCTGATCGTTAGTATAACAATAGACAACACTGGATCTCTTACTATTCTCTAAGACTTTGCTTTACTACCAACTTTTTCGATCCATCCCATTTAACTTCCATGTAAGCTCTCATTTTTAAGAATTACCTCCATTAATCTATATTGATCCATATATACATAACCTCCCCCAAATGATATCTATTCTAATACTTCATCCAAAGTCAAGTCACTAGAGTAAGTAGCAGCCTTTTTCCAAAACTTTGAAAGGTGTCTTGCCCCCGAGTCACAAGCAACAACCACAATCTTTTGTCCCGGTCCATATTTGTAGGCGGTTTTCACTGCAGCTACACAATTGATGGCAGCAGAAGAACCCCAGAAAAACCCATCATTAATACAAAGATATTTCGCCATTTTCAATGCTTGTTCATCGGTGACTCTGATCGCTTCATCGATATTGTGTTCTCCTTGTTTGAAGTTCCAAGTAAGACGATTGAGTCCAATCCCTTCAACCATTGTGTCCACTTGGTGTCTTCTTCTAGTACCCTCCTTCTCCACCGTGTCATACATGACTCCATAATTGACACGGTTTGCTAAGCCAGACCCTTGAGGGTCAGCCAAGACAGTACGAACCGATGGAATTCTTTCCTTGAGATATGTAGATACCCCTGCTATGGTTCCTCCAGTACCAGACCCATTAATGAACACATCCACTTGACCATCCATTTGTTGATAAATCTCAGGACCTGTGGTGGTATAATGGATCCTCCAATTAACATCAGTTTCGAATTGATCAGCAAAGACTGCTTGTCTATCATCTAATGGATCATCTGAAATTTCTTGTGCCCTCCTTTTCGCAATGTTGACATATTGGCCCGGATCTACAATGGGTGCAGGTTTGACTGGTTCCAACACAGCTCCAAGGGAGCGTAAGAGTTGAAGTTTCTCCTCAGCAGTGTCATCAGGAAGACATATATGCGCAGTATAACCCAAAGAATTTGCCAATACGGCAAACGAAATCCCGGTAGATCCTGAAGTACCTTCCAAGATCACATCGTTATGTCCGGGCCGAAGTTTCCCCTGACGTTCATATTCTCTTATGATAGCCAAGGCCACACGATCCTTGGCACTACCAGCTGGGTTTTGAAGTTCTAATTTGGCATATATTCTACATCCAGTCAATTTGGAAAGTGATTTAATTTCTACAAGTGGAGTGTTCCCAATAAGCAGTGTGACCCCACGACTTCGAGGTGGGAGACTCGACAATTTTTGATCCGACCCGCTTGTAAGTTCATACACTTGTTTGACAACTACAGCTGTGGCTGCCAACGATATAGCAAACTTCCAAAAATCATTCCATGATGATGAACTCATTTTTAAATGTGTACAGATTCTTGATACTTCTACCGGCCGAGAAGTTCTCTCATTTTGTCTTGATATAATTTTTTATTTTTGACAATCTGTTTTTGTGTAATACCTTCATATTTTGAATGTTGCATGAATACGAAATTAAACGAAAATCAGGGGAAAAATTTGACCCTTCGGGTTAATCCGGTTCTACATAATCTATTCGTTCATGACAAGCAACCCGTTTCAGGTATTCATAGACCCCCTCCCCCGCCATATTCATTACAATCCAAGAATTAAATAAACTAATAGAGAAAGTGTGTATACCCCACTTTCTCAGTGCCTAGAATTACTACCCTCCCTCCCACAATAAAGTATATAGGTTGTTTTTTAAATTCAACTTCTCCTTTGTGTATGGGTTTCTTTCCCATGTGAAACTTGTACATTGGCAAGGTTGCCACCCGCCCTATCGTTTCGATTTATGTAAATCTATAATTTCATTGATTGAGGTCACAAAAGGTAAAAATGTAAAAAATAAATAATTAGAAAAAAAAAAAAACATCATTTTTTTTTTCGCCAATCCAAAAATTGTGCAAAGTCACTAAAAGACGCACGAATTAACTGCAAGGATGAATTCATTACATAAGTTTGTGTGGGGTTGTATTACAAATTGAAATGGTCAAATAATGACACAGATCTGCCAATCCATTCATTACTCTCCGCCCCTGATTATCTCAGCGGAGCCATTACTTCTATCAACGTCACATCTCCATGAGCATCGATCTCCTTGCTTCCATGCACACCTATGTATCACCCTACTGGTATCGCATTCCAATGTCATGTAATTTGTACTTCGTTACATGCCTGAAGTGTATTATTTTATCAACTTTTTAATTTATCTTTTTTTTCTTCGCACCTCTATTGTTCTGTAGTTAAATTCAAGAGAAAAAAAAAAAGGTAGAGAGGGTTCGGTGTTTCTACCCCTGGTGAGTGGGGGTTCTCAAATTGCATTGCACACTTAGTGTCACCTGAAGAGATTCCAACACCATATGTATATCCATCTTTCTGAACCGACCGAGTCTACGTCAGTGTGGACTCAGACGATTCTTCTGTATATTTTTTAATAGAATTGTTTTTTTTTCCCAGTTTTTTCCCTTGCTTTATTTTTTTTTTTTAAAAATTTTAACCTTTTTTTCTTTGATATAGCTTTTAGTTTTCTCGGACTTTTCTTCAAATTTGATATATACCAAAAAAGTGTCTATCAGCTTATTTCCCCAATCTAAGTTTTCTCTCTAATAATATGAAGCAGGAGGACTCAGAAAATCCCGCGCTTGAGGGTTCAACTCAAGCTGGGAATAATGTGTCGCAAGCACCAAATCGAACTGCTCCAAACGTGACCCTGAATGCCAACCCCACTAATGTCTCCACGGAGAAACCAAAGGCCTTCACCATCAAATATAAAAGACCGCGGGGATCCAGAGCTTGTGTGGTGTGTCGGTCTCGTAAGGTCCGATGTGACGCAGAAATACACATCCCGTGTACAAACTGTATCACTTTTGGTTGTGAATGTACCGTACCGGAGGCCAAAAAAAGAGGCAATGCTTCTTCATCGTCTGATTCGTCTCGGGTCAAGCGGAAACAACAAACTGGAATCAATAGCACTACAGGGTCAGAAAATGGTCAACTATCTTCCCATCAACATCAATCTACCCCACTTGGGAAATCGCATTCCATGCCAAATGGCTCACATTCACAATTGAATGGTGGCCAGAACTATAACCAAATGTATAACCAATCCAATCATAACTCATCCAATATTCCCAATAAAATTAATACCAACTCAACTATAAATAGTCATAACCATTACAACAAATCATCCACAAACACAAACGACGATCAATTACCAACCAATGGTGGCCTGTCTAACGAACCAGTGTTGAATATCTCTCAAGTTAGTGTTCCTCCTTCACTTACATCCAATTATAAAAACCGTCCATCTATGCATAAAAAGGAACTTTTAAGTGGCAAGGGGAGAGCATCTCTAACCTTTTTAGGATCCTCTTCCATTGGCCATGTTGCACAAAAGGTTGGACAAAATCATGTCGAATTAACTGAAGATTTGTTTGATTTGAATGATACCTCCTTGGATTCAGTAGAATTGGAGATTTTGAAGTTAAGAGGTGCATTCCTCTTACCTTCGACAGAATTGAGTTTGGATTTAATTGAATCCTACTTTGAACATGTACATCCTCTTATGCCCGTGATCAATCGTACAGAGTTCATGAAGAAGTTCAAAGACCCCAATGATCTGCCCTCATTGATGTTGTTACAAGCAGTACTTCTTTGTGGTAGTAGAGTGAGTAGTAACCCATTACTTGTTGATTCCAAAGGATCCAAGAATCTCGCTTCTTTGACTTTTTATAGACGTGCAAAGGCATTGTATGAAACCAATTATGAAAGTGATCCTGTTCTGATTATTCAAACTTTGATTTTAATTGGGTCCTACTGGGAAGGTCCCGAAGATGTGACGAAAAACTCATTTTATTGGTCGAGAGTGGCGGTTGGATTGGCACAAGGGTTTGGATTTCAAAGAGATGTATCAAATTCTCCAAATTTGTCCATTGTAGATAAAAAGATATGGAGAAGAATATGGTGGTGTTTGTTTGAAAAAGATCGAAATGTGGCAATTGCCTTTGGTAGACCATCGGTGATTGATTTGAACGATTGTGATGTTCCAATGTTGACCATTGACGATTTCAATGAAGATGAGCCAAATGGGCCATCTCCATATGAGGTAAACACTACACAAGCTCTTTATTTCATTCATTTGGTTAAGTTGGCAGAGATCACAGGTATTATCATTAAACACCAATACACTGTGAAGGCTGAACTGATGAAACGGAAAAACAAGTTTCCAATCATTCAACATTGTGATATGTTGATGGGGATTTGGTTTACCAATTTGCCAAGTCAATTGGTGTTTTCACTTTCTGATAAATCAACCCAAAACTTTTACAGTTGCTTGTTGAATGCTCAATATTATAATCGATTATATTTAATTCATCGATCTAATTTACTTCGAATGGCCAAGTCCAACTCTACCAACCCAAACAATTATAAGTATCCATCTTGGGGGATCTCTTTCCAAGCAGCTAGAATGATTTCTATAGTATCAAAGAACTTGTTGGATAGGGATCAAATTAAGTACTGCCCTGTGATGTTTGTGTACATTTTGTTCAGTGCCCTCATGATGTTGATTTATCATGTAGATTCACCAAATAATGTGATTGCTCTGACTGCCAGTGACTCCTTATTTGTATCAAGAGCCGTCTTGAGAGAATTGGGTAAGTATTGGCCAATTGCTGGGGTATTGGTGAAATTATTTGATAAGTATGCTAATGATAAATTTAAGAGAGCGAAAATTATCGAAAATGCCACCAAAGTTGATGAGTATCAAGAAATTGAAGCGATTAAGAAAGAAAGAGACACTCATAACAATATCAATAGTTATTATGGAACCACAGCAACATCTACGTCTTCTAACGTTATTCCAAATAATCAAGTTATTTCGTCACCTTCTGGTCATCTGACTGCTTCAGGGATTTCCCCCGGAGGAGGAGTATACCATAGAGAACTCAAATTGGATTCTATGGATCCATCGTCTATTCCAAAGTCAGATCCTCAACAGAATCATCAACAAGACCATACCCCACAACAAGGAAATGGTCAATCGCCACAGCATATACCGGAAGTTCGTATCGAAGACTTGGTACAACAGTTTAAACAACCAGTGAAGAAAAATGGCGGTGCTGGAGGTGCTGGTGGTAGTAGTAACTCGACAAAATCAAGGGGGACTAATGATACATCTCCTACATCTTCAACTCAATCATTTCCAGATATTTCACTTGTCACTGAAAACATACCTGCTAATTCAAACTTTTTCGAGAATTTTGAACCTACACAATTGTTCCCAGAAGTGAGATCTACAAGTTACCCTCCGAGTAGATCTCAATCCCCAACAACAATACGAAGTCTTCTCAACGACAACAATAAGTTATCTCCAATGGAAACTTCTGGAGTTTTTGATGACGAAGATACGTCAAATGTTCACCAACCTCCAACAACTCCTGGAGGTGGTCCAACTAACTTTATGGATAGTTCGTTCATCAATATGAATTTACAACCGTCTGTAAACAATTATTTGAATGACGATTTTGGGTCTTTGTTTAATTTCCAAGTATAATAGGGTATATATTAAATAAGAATAATATATAGATTTTAATTACATGTATATGATGTTACCAATTTACTTCCAAGTTCGTTTTTTAGATTGCAGCTTTATTTTAACTTTGTCCAAATTTGCCAATAATTCTTCTCTTTTAAGTCTTTGAGTATGTCCAACAAAATTCTGTACCACGGATTCATATATTTCGTAATCCCTTTTCAATTCAACCAATTGATTTTGCCATATAGAACTCAATTGGATGAGTTGGTCGTAATTATTTTGGTATTGATGTAATTTTTCATTTAACTCTTCAATCGAAGTGACAGAGCTAAGTAAGTGTTGTTGTGAAGAGTGTGCAAGATTTTCAGTCTCTATCTTCGAAAGAACTTCAGTTGTATCCAAAAGAAGCAGTTCTCCCTTGTTCTTGGTATCGATTGATAGATCTTTAAATTCAGGAATAATGAATCCATTCCAGTCGATGTCTGCCTCTGTCACCAGCGAGGCTCTTCTTTGTCTAGATTGTTTTGGTTTTAAATGTGTTTCTACTTGTTTTGAAGAATCTCCGCTAGTTACATGGCCATTGAGATCAGTACTTTCAGAAGAAGCAACCGCAGAATTGGTTGGAAGTATTTCATCCAAGTTCACTGGAACTCCCAACTTGATGAGCAAATGACGTCTAATCTTCAGCTTTACCCAGCTTGGAGGTTTAAGATGCGGTAGAAGTGAAAGTTGGCCATATATGTCATTAGATCTCTCGGACAATAAATTTGATGAATTAGACAGTTCCTCGGTATCACCACTCTTGTCAGCTGGGAACATTTTCTCCAAGAACATATCCAATTTCTCATGCAAAGTTTCCCGACTACCAAATGTACTACTAGCAAATGTGACTAGATCCGGTGGTGGCCCCTGTTGAAAGTGTTCCTTTCCATATTCTGGTTCATTCTCCTCTTCTTCAAATGAACCAAAACTGTTATCATCGTCATTTTCATCATATGCATTAAAGTCATCAAAATCATCATCCGAGTCTTCTTCTTCTTCTTCTTCTTCTTCTTCTATATCTACAACTTCTACTTCATTTTCCACTTGTTCTTCCTCTTGTTCTGCGACTTCCGCCTCGTGTTGTTCTTTTTCGTCCACCATTGGTGATCCCTTGTCCAGTATGTCACCTTCAATTTCCTCCTCGAGGTTGTTATTATTCCATTCCTCAGTCATATTCACTACGTTCAATAAATAAATCCTAAGATGATAATTTACTCCTTTTGTAAACTAAACTTGAACATTCCAGACGTGTTCCATATCTACTATCTTAGTCCGTTCCCGGCGCACGACCTTCTATATCACCTTTTGATCTTATATTTTATTTTTTTTCTTTTTCTGCTGTTGTATTATACATAAAACTATACCTATTCTTAGCTACTTATACCATATTATTCATGGAGGGCGTACGGAGGCTTGTTCTCTTTGCTGTGGGGAACCCTGGGGCCATGAACAGACACTCGGCGGGCCATTATATGTTGAGCCATCTAGCTAGTAGTTCAGGCTTAGAGATTGGTGATGGAAACAATTACTATTCTGTGGGTCATTCTGATGAATTATCTCTTGTAAAGTCTTTAGTATATATGAACGAGTCTGGGAAGGCTTTAGGACTGTACTTGCGTGCAACTCCTCTAGATCTGGATCTGGATGCCTTGGTTATTCTTTACGATGATTTTGAAGTAAATCTGGGGAAAGTGAAAATCTCACCAATGAAATCTTTAGAATCTCACAATGGACTTAGTAGTTGTCTAAAGACAATTAAAAAATTACACATAGATACCCAAAATATTTTCAAATTGGGAATAGGTATTGGTCCCAAACCAAAGAATACAAACCCATTACAAATGTCCTCATGGGTATTGGCAAGGTTCCAAGAACAAGAACTAGCCAATCTAGACTCAACTGCTCTAGCAATGTCTTTAGATTATTTACAGTTTATCAAATCCCAACCAGTAAAGGCAGTCCCTGAAGAAACTTCCCGGTTGAACAAAGTATTTGCTAAAAAGTTCCAAAAGGGTCTTTACAAGTAAAGACATATAGAGGAAGTTTGGACGTGTTTGTCACTTCTTCTTTAAACCATCCTCCCTCACTTATTTGCTATGGCTGCAAAAATAAAAAATTACATAGAGAAGCCATTTTCTCCATTCATTTCTATTTATCATTCCACTTCCAGTCCCTGTATTATATATAAATAAATAGTCTAATAGATAGTATTACGTCTAGTAAGCCTGTTACTACCGGTTGAAGCTCTTCTGAAAATCGACAGAAACAATCCTGTATCTGCATCTTCGTGAACTTCATAACTCCCATCGGTGGCTGTATCGCTATCATCAGCAGTTGCATCATCATCTTCATCAAAATCTTCCGTCGATGGGATATATTCATCATCGTCTTCATCATCATCATCATCATCAACATTCAAAAATCCGTAACCATTAGAAGGTCCTAAATTGAATGCTGATTCGGCATCGATTTCATCACTTGTATCAGTATCATTATCATCATCATAGTTTGCAAATCCAGTAAGTGTTTCATTATATGCTTCAGTACCTCTGCTTGTAGCAGATGAAATTTCAAACGCATTGTTAACGTTAGCCAATGGATTTGAAACTCTATTAATTGTTTTGCAACTTTTCCGCCCATTTTCAATCGCTCTTTCAATACTAAGTCGATGTTTGATAAATAATAAACTAGGGAAAATACATCTTTCACCTTTCAAGATCATTTCTTCCAATTGATCTTCACTTGGATCACTTAAAATGTTATATAAATCCAAAAATCTTATCTTTGGCCATATAGTTATTGATCCACTAAATCTTTGTAACCAAATATTCAGCCAGTCTTGTTCAAAGAAATGAGGTAAAAGATCAAGTGTTTTAATCATTTGTAACCATTTAGTGATTTCCAATTTTAAAAGTTGTTCTAAGGCGGTTGCTACAAATCCTCCTCGAAGTGATGCATATTTTTCTTTACGAGTGACATGTCTTGGACTTGCCACAGGTCTTCCAACAGTTCCCTTTGGAGCAAAGAAAAACAACAGAATATGTGGATTCACTTGTGATACAATGGAAAAATTCACATTATAATAAGTATTAAGTGATTCTAATGGTATATCTGTTCTTAATGAACCATCTCTCCATTTATTCCCCAATGAAAATGGTACAACATCTTCATTGTGTGGTTTTTTCATCATTAAAACTACTGGGTTTAAAATCCCAGGGACTGCTGATGATGCCAATAAAGATGACCAAATAATACAATTAGGTGAAGTGACACTGTTACACAAGATAACTGGAGAATGTGGATCTGCCGGAACTGTAGAAATATTCAATTTTCTCCCAGTTCTTTGAAATGCTTCTAAAAATGTAGTGGAACCTCTAGTGAAAAAATTAGCCTTCCTAGCCCATGCCACAGAATCAAATCTTGCACCAGTTTTCCACCATCTTGGAATCCAAACCCACCATGGGTCTTCACATGCAGTGATTTTCGATGCTAACTTTGGAACCAACAATTTCTTAAGTTCTGCATCAGTTCTAGTACATGCCAATGAAGCGACAATCCCACCACCAGATGTTCCAGATATAATACTAGGTAATAAATCATTGTCTAACAATGCCTTCACTATACCAAAATGAGTATAGGCAAAACAAGCACCTCCACTCAAACATAACGCTGATTTACCATAATTTTTCAGAACGAATTTGAAAAACTTTTTCTTAGTGTCATGATTGAGTAAAGAGGATTTGGTAACATGATCAATACATAAAACAACCTCATCAATATATTGACTAACCAAATCCTTGGTACCATAATAACGATGAGAATACAATTGCCTGTTTTCAATCCCGGCAAAATTCTTTTTGAGACACCCTTGAAGAACAACAATAAGTTCAGCATCATCTTTAGCCAGTTCTCTTAAAGATCTTAATCTATTCATAGTAAGTTTCACTGTTCTATAGTCATAGTACAGGAACTTTGGGTTCTTAGACCATTTATCTAAATGAAGAAATTCATCTAATTCCTTTGCTGTTTCCACCCATTCTTCATAATTGGTGGAACGGCGAAGTTTATCACGAATGACTCTTCTTTTACCAACCCATGTAAGGAAATATTCAGAAAGTGCCACATAAGCACGGATCCACATGTAACACCAAGTTAGAAACAGCATCCATGAGAGTACCAATATAAGAATGGGCCATCTTAAAAGTGTATATGTGGCACTAGATCTGAATTCATTTCTCAACATTTTCGAGAATATCTTTTTGTTGTCCCCTGACTTGGTCAGACTCTTCTTCTTCTTTGATCTGTGCCCTGAACGTCCAGACGTGTATGCACCGGTTGAAGAAGAGTTTATAGTTTTTGTGGTCAGAGGATGATTTATTGGATACCAATCTGATTTGGATGAGATGAGTTGTGGTGGTGGAGGAGTTGATGTTGATGGTGTTGGGATTGGTACAGCTGCTACTGCCGGATCCACGGCCGCAGCTCCCGTAGTGTACACATCAGACGTGGCTGACGGTAATGAAGACGTCAGAAGATTGTGGCTTTCGTGGGTAGTTGTAGTGTTGTCTTCGTCATGAGCATGATCCCATACTAAAGCAGTTGCAAATGCATCAATATGATTCTCATCCACAAAGTCCACGTCAGCTTCATACAAAGGTTCTGAGGAGGAAGCCAGCATGGTCAGTAAGAATAAATCAATATTAATGGGTACTCCTCCTATGTGCTACTGATATTAGGGAGGAAAAAAATAAAACAACAAATTGTCGGTTTATGTAAGAGGACTAATCGCTACCTAAATCGAAGCAACAGCAAAATGTTCAAGATAAACCGATACCGTGCGTGCAGGACGAGCCTGACACACTAAGTAATCAAACCATTATTTGATGGATAAGGTTTCACCAATTAAGAAAAGAAAATACAGCTACAATCGTCATACATTTTTATTTTTAATTTTTACAGTTTATCAAATGGGGTTTTTGATACTACAGTTGTCAGTGAATGGAATAATTACTTACTCATAAATGGATAGTGTCCTCATACATTTTCAATTTTTTGTTGGGGACGGGAGTGTATGCACAGAAGGATAGAAAAATATGAACATATATTTTGGGCTAATCAAATGTGGCAAAGCCAAGTGTGGGATAATGAGGCGGAACACTATTTAATTATTGAACTAGTGCAGCAGGGGGTGATTTTGTTTTTTTTTTGTCCAATAAAGTTTAATCATGTCCCCTTGCTATATAACGCATATCACATTACTTTATTTTCATACTGAAATTCTTTGACGACAAGAAATATCAGTAGTAAAGTGAAACATGATGTTAATCGGTACTTTTGTGCATTGTTCTGCATACGGCAAGTCCGAACGGATCTGCAATTTGTGAAGCCACACGTTCGACTCACGTGTATGACATTTTTGATTTAAAGAATATATAAGTAATTCTCCAAATTACATAAATAATTAATACAGAAATGACATACAATAAATTGGTTGTTGATATTGAAGGCACTGTGTGTCTGATTTCATTTGTCAAGGATACTCTTTTCCCATATTTTCTTGAACAAATTCCTTTAAAACTCAGGGAACTCACATATCCAATCAATTCTAATGATGAACATTCTAGTCCAATAACCTCAGTTGTCGCTGGTTTCCCACTGGATAAGACCACATCTTATGAAACATTGCTTGAACACATCACTCTGTTGGTGCGACAAGATATCAAAGACCCAACTTTAAAATCTTTGCAAGGTTTGGTATGGCAATTGGGTTATGACAATGGAGATCTCGTGGCTCCAGTCTATCAAGATGCCATTGATTTCATTCAAAGATTCAACCGGGTCAAGGAGAACAAGGTTTATGTATATTCTTCGGGCTCCATCAAAGCTCAAAAGTTACTCTTTGGGCACGTTGGAGGACCTGAGGGATCTTTCGATTTGAATCCAGAATTTGAAGGATACTTTGATATCACCACATCAGGATTCAAACAAGAAACTAGTTCTTATGAAAATATTTTGAAAGATATTGGAGAACTGACTCCATCAAATGTTCTCTTTTTGAGTGACAACGTTAAGGAAGTACAAGCAGCGGTTTCTGCAGGAATGCAAAGTTACATAGTTGTTAGACCTGGGAACTATCCATTAACACAAGAAGATAAGTCACTTGGGTTCAAAATTATTGACAATTTTGAAGATTTATAGACAACAACATACTTTATTTTCTGAGTTTAATTGTAAGAATTCTTTACCTGAAGTCTTAGACTACACATATCTTTTTTTTTTTATTACTTTTAACTCTTTCATTTAATGAGGTTTAATAACCCTCCTACTTTACATATCTCTAAACAAAATATCAGCAGCAACTTCTTCGTTTTTGTCACATGCCATATAAACTTGAATTACCAAGTTTCTGTCGAATCCAAGTTCGCATAAACGATTGATAGCACTTTCATCTTGTTGTGTTAATTCAATACGAACGGTACCCGATTCATCTCCTTCATCTTCTCCACCTTCACCTTCACCATCGTAATCGATTTCAAATCCACCTTCATCTCCACCAGTTCTCAAGAGACTTCTGATGAATCTTTCTGGATCTTGTTGAATCAATGCTGCAATTTGTGGGTTTGACGCAGCTAATTGTTCCAACAATGGTTGAATAAGATCTGGGTTGTTTTGAAGAGCGGCTCTTAATAATTCCATTTGAGCATCGTCGGTCATACCGGCTCCAATTCCACCCTCATGGCCAGCGCCTTCAACATCTTCTCCGCCAGCAGCTGCTGCGGCAGCTGCTGCTTCGAACAAGTTTTCTCCCTCCATGGTCTCATCTTCATCGTCGTCATTATGTGGGTTTGTAGACTCAGCATCTGGTCCAGTACCTGAAGAAGTGGCTGGAGGAGCAGCTGGTCTTTGAAGCTGTTCTGGGATTCCAGTTAATAAGTATTCAACAGCACGATGTGGATTGTTGAAGGCAGCACGTAATGCAGCTTCGACTTGTGGTCTTTCGTATCCCATTTCCATGATATTTTGAATGCTAGCTTCTCTTTCTGAGCCTTGTGCAAAGGTAGATTCAGTTGGCTCACCACTGGAAGTTTCTTGAGTGGTGGTACTGGAAGTAGTAGCATTTCCTTCGGAACCACCTTCGGTTGATGCAGGGGCACTTTCAGAACTTGTGGTAGCAGCAGTAGCAGCAGCAGCAGCAGTGGAAGAAGTCTCTGGTTGGACTTCAGGAGTGGCGGTCTTCTTGGCCTTACTAACCATAAATATAACTGAATCACCCTCCTTAATCTTGAATGATTCTAAAGTCTTTTCATCTTGTAAAACCTTCCCTGAGTAAACGAATTTCAATTGACTGGCGTCACATTGCTTTTCAGCGGCAACCTTTTCCTTAGTGGCAAGCACCTACAATGTTAGTAAACTTCATCTTTTATACCGCATACTGTGAACATATGCCCTTAACATTTCTTATGGTTTTAATCTCACTTTGATTTTAATCTTTTGGTAAACGCCACTTCTAAATAGATCCCCAATTGCAACCAGAGGAATTAGATTTAATTAAAACTTACGGTATCAGTGGGGTCAACATCCACTGGAATCTTCTGCTTCTTAAAGTCTTTGAATATGATTTGCATTTCTTGATTCTATTTATACTGAGATCAAACCCACAACTTTATAACTAAAACTTTGTCGTTTTAAAGGAACTCTTTTTGTTTCTGTATATAACCCCAAAATAGTGGCGATTTTGCTGGTTTCCATTTTCATACTAATTTTTTTTTCTTACTCCTAAATCATTTTACTGTTTTTTTTTTTTAGGACCGGTAGGTCATGTGACGTTAGCAACGTGATTCCTGTGATGGGAAGCAAGTTATACTTAGATAGGTAGATCTTATCAGTAGTGAAAAAAAATCATATACAGAACTTCATCAAAGTTTGCCACCAAGTAGTGCTAATTTGTTGGTTTTTTTATTTAATAACAACAACAACTTTGATGGCTCGTGGATCTAAAACTTCTGGTGTTAGAGGTCCTAACTCGGCGTTGACCGAGTTTTTAAGAGTTGAAGGTATTACTGATGGCTTTAGAAATCGAAGGAATAGACAATCAGAACCTGCTGAATCGGTGCTGGCGCTGCCTGACGTAGAGGATGAACCACAACCTGTTACTGTGAATAGACGTAGAGGTAGGGGTCGACTTAGCCGGGCAGTAGAAGAGGAAGAAGAGGAAGATGTTGATGAAGACGATGAAATTGTTGTGATGAGATCTGCTGCCCGAACAAAGAGAAGATTGGCGAGAAGAAATGGAGATGGTCCAGATTCCGATTATAGTTCTGAAGGCAGTAATTTTTCTGAAGATGATAATGAAAGTAAGAATAAGAAATTTGGAGAAAAGGATGAATGTGTAGACTGTGAAAACACATTTCTTATATCGGTATATTCAAGATATGATGATGCTAGAAAGGGATACCTCTGTGAGGACTGTCACGAAGAACTTAAAAAAAGAGAGCGTAATGCACGTAAGAACCAGTTGAATGCTCGTCGTAAAAGAAAGAAGATGGCCCTGGCTTTGCTTGATAAGGCAGAGGTTAAAGTTCCGTCTCTTCAAGATGTTTGCATTAAAAAGATTACTCAGAATATCGACGATGTGGATGTTTTGGGAGATATTGGACAAGCCAATATGAATAAGATCTCGAGAATTTTATCAAGGAATAGGTCCATGAATAGCACCACGGCAACTCTCTTTCTCCATCCAGATTTGAAAACATTAGAGTTATGGGATTGTTCAAACGTAGACTCGGATGCATTGAATAAAATTGCTCTGTTCTGCCCTCAATTGGAGTCTCTTACTCTTTTTATGTGTGGACATCTTCATAATGATAATTTGAAGTATTACAATGCAAAACTACCGCATTTGAAGTCGCTTTCATTAAATGGGCCATTTTTGATTAGTGATATTATGTGGCAAGAGTTTTTTGAAGGTGACATTAGACTCTCACAATTTGAAGTGCGAAACACTCATCGATTTGGTAATGATTCCTTGATATCTTTATTAGAAACCACTGGATCGAATCTTACTCTGTTGAAGCTTTCTCGTTTAGATGGTCTCAATTCAGCCGCTATTTATGAACTCATTCCTCATTATATCCAACCTAATATGTTAAAACATTTGGAAATATCGTACCCAACTGATGAAGATTTAATTACTGATGAACTAATGATCAATATCCTATCCATTTCAGGTGAGAGTCTAACTCATTTGAATGTAGATGGGTGTACAAGTCTTACTGATAGATTTCTAGAAGAGGGTGTTTCAAAGTTCTGCCCCGCCTTGACATCCTTATCAATGAAATTATTAGATCAAGTGACTGATGCTGGGTTTTCACGTGCATTTGATGGTTATTCATTTGTCAATAGTGGAGGTTTGATTGATGTTAATCTCACGAAATGCACTGGTCTTGAAGATGGTGCTATATACTCCCTTTTCCGTCATTCTGGACCCACCTTGGTTGAACTTAATCTTAATTCAATTTACAAATTAACTAAGGACTTTTTCATTCAAATATTTACCGACGACTTGAACCCAAAGAAGAAAGCTTTGAAAGAAGCGGTAGAAGCAGCTAAGGAAACTGAAAGAGAAGCCGAACCACTGGGTACTGAAGATGAGGACGAAATACAAGAGTCTCCTCAAAAATACTTTCTGGAAATCAAGTTGCCATTATTGACTACATTGGATGTTGGATTCGTTAGAGCTGTTGATAATGAAGTACTAAACTTGGTAAGTGAAAAGTGTACAAAACTAAAGATCTTAGAAGTTCATGGGAACAACAGATGTACATCAAGGGCTACGGTTAGAGAAGGACTTCTCATAATTGGAAGACAAAGCGATTGTATGTAGGTGGGTAATGTATGTTTTCGTATTATTTTCTATTAAAAATAGTAGCATCATTTTTTCTTTTGCTCTATAAATCGGTTGGGTATGGAATTGGTTGCGAAGCCTTTTCCACGTTTTTGAAAGTTGGGAATGGAGGAACTTCTAACTTATTGGAATCTAAAGAAATCCATTTCCCAGAAAGTCTGTTCGTAATTTCCGGGGTATTCTCAATAGTAACTCCAGCGTGACCAATTCTGGATTTTAAATATTTTAAGTATATGTCGTCCTCTCCACCACGAGCTTTTGAGGTATCTACGGCAAAGCTTTTCATTGCAAGCCTTTTCCTCCATGAAGAATTAACTACCAATGAGTCGGAGATATCTCTATCATATGAGATCAAAGTATCATCCGATCGCCCATTGTTTACATTGTTCTCCAATACGTCAGCAAGATTGGCAGATACTATATCGTAATTCAACCCCAAAAGTGCATCGACAACTACCTTAGGGAGTTGTGACTTAGTCTTAATATAGTCTTTTACCATCTTCAAATTTTTCATATTGTGCTGATATTTCCCTTCAAATTGTACGTAAAATGACCAGAACTTCGTACAGTCCTGTAAGGGGGATTCTTGATGGTATTTGTTGAAAAAATGACGAATACTTGCCGTTGAACTAGACATCAACATGAATTTTAGGTGCTTGTCTACTGCTATTACAATAGAGTCATCATTCCAAAGTTTTACTATGGGCTGGAATGTATCTGGGATATCAAACTTAGCGTCTTCCACATCATCTTTCTTATGCCCTTTCTGTTCCTTTGGCTTTCTCTTATTGAAATACTCCGCTATAAACTTTTGCAATGATTTCTCAAACTGTTCGTGATCAACACTACTACTAAAAGTCTCAAGAAATATCTCCACTCCCTTAATATAATCATCCTTTTGATAATATGGATAATTTGGTTTCAACCCACCAAACAATTGAATAAGTTGAAATAGATAAGAGATTGCCTTTTCATGTTTACCAGATTTTTGTAAAAAGCTAATGTAATTGAATCGTATCGTATTTTCATCCATGGGGACATATTTGTGAATCGCTCTGTCATAAACTGAGTCAATTGTGGAAAAGTCGACATCCAGTGAGTTTAAAAATGAAATATATTTAAGCCAAAGCTTTCCAGAAAGGCAATTGGGCACCAATGCTCGTTCAAAAAGATTTACCACGAGCTTATACTGAGTTGAACTGTTTGAAGTAGATTCCAGGGACTCCTTGCTCTTGTTGTAACATTCTATCTCGTAATCCAAATAAGTTACCCAATTTTCGTACTCCTTAGGTTCCTCAACTTCTAAACTGAATTCCGGTTTGGTGATGGCAGATTCATAAGTCCATTTCTCATTAACCTTGGCCTGTGTTCGACTAAACATCTTGTATGAGTAATCATCTATGATTTGGTGTCTTTCTACTACCGAAAGATCATCTGTAGTTTCTTTATTAAATTTCTGTAAATATTCATTTAAGATGCTTTCGGGGTGTTCTTCCACTGAAAAGAGATCTTCCAAGGAAAACTTTTTATTGATTTCTGAAAATGTTTGATAATACTGGGCGTACAGATATAATGGGATTTTGGTTACCTTGAGGAATAACCAGAATATATCATCATCCAGACCATCACTCAATGAACGTTCGAATTCAAATAACTTATCCCAGAGTGGGTGTGAAAGGAAATTCATCCCATTATACTTTAATCCAAGTTGAAATTGTGAACGAATAAATTCAATTTCTGTTTGTTGGTCAGTCAGTTCCTGCAATTCAGATATCAAGGCACTCAAATAATCCGCCCATAAACTGATCGAGTACGGATGGCTATCTACAGCCTTACTGAGTACTTCTATGGAAGCCTTGACGCCATTAAGTTTGTACTCAAAAATCAGAAAGTTCTTCCAATAGTTGGTAAGAAGTGGAAACCTCGAAAGTAACTCAAGGTATGCATCACTAGAGAACTTCTTAAACGACTCCGAAAGAGTACTGACCAAAGTTTCGGGGTCGTAGTTCTCAAGTACGTGGTCGTCTAGCATTTTAAACAATATATCCCATTGTTTAATATCATTTGGGTTCTTTCTAACCTGTTCCATTTGGTTATCCCAAGCTTCAGTACTCTTTGGTTTCACTGGGAGTGAAGACAGGACTGAACCAGAAGGAATGACATCCCCTGAGCTTCCCGCCCTAGATGACCCGGGACCGGTCACCGTGTCACTCAGTACATCAATCGGAAGTCTCATTCCTCCAATCATTGAATATACTGCTGTATCAAACTGCAAACCTTCTTTCTTCATCGCAAAATTTATATAAACACCTTTAAATTTTGGAAAAATCATATCCGCGCAAAAAAGTGTTTGAGGTAAAGTTACAACCACCACTACAACAAAAATTATTTATAATGTACAAAATGTATTAAAATCTCTAGTTACTTTACTCTATCTACTCTACTAGCGCTTGCCTGCTCCACTAGTTCTTTGCCTCAAGTCTCTTTTTCGTTTCACGGTAAATCTTCACTATACTCAAGGTAGAAGCACTAATTCCCATCCATATTTGAAGCGTATCAAATGGCAATCTTGCATTGAAAACAGTGTAACTATTGAAAATAAAGTCAGATAACCCTTTATAGATATCCAAGTATGCATTGTGTTTCTTAAATTGAATCTCTTTCAATTTCATCAAGTCCTTATCATCATTCACTTGAATGTTTGGATTTTCATTATTATGTGTAGCTACTCCTCCAAGTAGTTGTTTAGAAAGTACTCTAGCTCTAGATTTCACTTGAATTTGTATTTTAAGTTCAAATTCCTTCAGAGAAAGATCTTGTAATGTACCATAGGCATTGTATAATCCAAAGATTGTGTCATAGTACCATGCTAAAGATTCATGTCTACTGACTATGCGATGCAATCTTTTGTTGGTCAAGAAATTTAACTTGTAAAGAAGAAGTGATTCATCATTCATACCGTAGTATAACCCTAATACATCACCCAAGGTGGATTTATTAAGAAATTGCTTATTGAAATTATCAAGGTCAAGATAATCAATACCATCCTTTGTCACTCCAAGACTTGAATTGAATTTTCCCAAAAGTTTACGAACTCTGAATGGGGTCTTACCAAATCTAAGAAATTGTCTATACATGGAAAGACCTTTCACCATTCCAGCGAATTTTGTAGAAAATATGGAACAAACCAATACAATAATCACTCTAACGAAGTTTTGTGGATGTTTCAAAAAATTCATAAATAAATTAAGTTTCTTCTCTCGATTATTGTATCTCAAATTGATCAGTTTAATATTAATTTGTGAATCGGAAAGATATGTTTCAGAACGATTGGCCCAATGGATCAATAACCGGAGAGCATATTGGCCAAACTTGGCCAATTTATCCTTCCCGGTCACATCGTTAAGCATGTCCCAAAAGATATCCATACTTTTAACTTGCTTCTTAACGGTTGTTATGTTGTTATTGTTGATGGTCTCCGAAGTGACAGGAGGGGTGTTGGGACGACCAAATGGGCCCACGCTGAGTTCTCTCTTGGATGCATCCTTGGCATCGCTTACAGGAGTGATGAAATTCAAAGCCTTGGACTTCAGAGGAGTCTCATAGACCTTTGTATACAGCAGCAGCATTTGTTTGGTTGGCAGGTTCAAAGGAGAATCTATCCACTCGGAATGAAGGGTATGAATTAATGGACTAGTATGTGGTTGTGTGGAGAATATGTAGTTCCCCAGAAATGTTTGATGGTGGTGATGCGGTAGTCTAGAAGGTGATGTTTTGGATACCTGGTGTATTGTTGTCGATGTAGAGTCAAGCTCTATTTCCATTGCAGGAAAAAAGTAATGGGAACAAAGTTGGAAAGAAGTTAAAAATTTAAAATAAAATTAGAACCACGATTACGAGTTCCACCAGGGAGCAGTGTGATGTGATGGTGCGATGGGGATGCTGGCAGTGGTGTGAACGTGGCTGCACGTCTATAGTTTTTTTTTGCTCTAATGTATGCGAGATTAGCCAAAATGCGCTTGTTGATAATTGTAGTGGGGTTGTATTTGTGATTTTTCCCGCGAATTACGTATATTGCAACGTTACATGCGTGATGATATACCAAGATGACTTGCAAATGAATGAAGAAGTAACGTTAGCTTTTAAGCGATAAAAGAAAAATAGGGCTATCCAAGATGTGGGTAAAGAATAAACGTTAGAGAAGGTGTATAGGCTCATTGGCATAAATGTCAGGGTTCATGGTTTTATTTAGTGTTGTCAATAAACCTCGGCAATTAATTTGAGGGGAATTTTGTTCCATAAAAGGTTGTTTTTTTTTTTTACCGCTAAGGAAAATTGTAGATGAGTAATAATATGACAAGCTATAATATAAGAATGAAATGAAATTAAAGGGTCGTATTCACTTCCCACGCCATATATTTGCTCTATACTGCCTGATATGAATACATACCAGCATAATTTAGTGTATATGAACTTATTTTAAAAATTATGTCTCCTATTTTGCACTAAATAAAATCATTTTGCACGAAGTAAAATAAATGAATTGTTTGTTTATATGGTAGATTTGCAACCAATCTGAAATGACTAAAAACCTTATTATTATCATTTAGATGTATCGCTTATGCACTAAACTATTTCTTGAGATTGTAACTTTCGTAGGTGTTTTGTTACCCAACTCGTGCTATCCTACACTATCTCTACCATACATAAATTACTTATCCTACAAATATGTTTGTATTTGATTATGTTCTTCTTTTGTTGTCATTACTTTAAATTCGGTCCCTGGACCAACTAATAGAAATGAATAAATAAAATTAATATGTAACGGGTAAAAAGACAATCGTTCTGTACCAGCAGATACTCGGTCCATCCTGAACCCATTTATGAAGCATTGGTTTCTTCGGAAATGCAGCCATTCAGATCTGGACCCATAATGAATGCTCCTACACTACCGAGATACCCTTCATGTCTCAAAAAGTAGGACTTCATGTCACCATTAGACCAGAAATTCACAGCGTATGAAAGGGTATGGATGGTTTGTTTATGGCCAGATATATAACTCCCACCAAAATAAATTCGTTGGAGTTTGAAACGAAGGGCTTGAAGGTATGCAATTTGGCCTATATTATTCAGCACCAGGTATAGAAGAGATCTAGCAATATCTTCAGGCTTGAACTGGTTGAGTTTTTCTAAAGGTGTTAACTCCTTATTCTCATCGTTATGGAACCGGAGTTTCTTAAACACTTTAGCAAACGATGATGCAATATGATTTGATTTAAGACCAATCTTGTTGTAGTTAGATCCATAAATATCCCCTACAAGCAAGTCAATGTTTTCATTATCTCCTCTCAGAGCCATTTCCAACATTTCATTATAATCTTTAGCCTCAGTCAAAAGGGAAAGGAGCCCCCACAATGTTCCTCCACCTAACGAGGAACCTCCAATTCTTTCAAACCCATGTGGCCCTGGACCAGTGACTTTAATCATAGAAACTCCACTGCCGATATTAACAAGTAAATACGGATAAATATCCTGGTTAGCGGTATATGGGTTGGGGATGAACTTGGTAGTATGTTCTTCCAAATCATAAATGAAAATTTCATTGGGGATTTTAGTGATAAACCAATCTAACCCTCTAATCAAACATTCCATTTCATCTTTAGCAATCACCTTCATTGGTAATTTATGTTTTTGAAACGTCTTGGTCATTAGCTTGTGGAACTTGTTGGCTCCACCACCGGTGGCCATGATATACGTGATTGGAGGTAAATTCTTATCAAAGGACTTATGAATGAGTTTGATCATAAACTTGAGCACTTGTGATTGGAAGTGTTCTGTTTGGAAATCTTTAAAATGAAGTTTCCCACCTGATTTCGAGGTATCTTTATGACTATTCTTGGTGAAATATACAAGTTTCGTGAGAGTCCCACCAATATCTACTGAAATATGAATGATTTCAGAATTGTGTTGTGGGAGTGTGATGTTTTTCGTGAGGTCAATGTCTTCTACTGGACCATTGAGGCTGTGAATTGATGGCAGTCTAGAATTCGTATGGTCGGAGTCAGAGTCTTCGGATGATGATGATGATGATGATGGATCAGTTAAGCCTCCAGTAGTGCTAACTGAACTACTTTTACCCTTGGTACCATTGTCAATCTTGGATGAGTCTGAAGAATCGGTATCTACATCCTTTTCAGTATTTCTAAGCAAATAATCATTGCCAATGTAGGCACCCGAACAATCGATGCGAATGGTTCCTGGGTCAACTAACTCAAGATTGAGCTCCTCGGTGGTAGCAAAGCTCTTCTTACCCATGCCTTGATATAGTTCTATCAATGACCAGAAAAGAATGGTCCTTAGAAGAATAACTTGAGTGTATTTCCCGTGAGTAGTATCGAGCTGTAGTTGTACGACGGGCCACCCCAATGCGGTATTCCCAAAAAAAAAAAAAAAAAAAAAAAAATTTGGTTCAGACGACTGTAATAAACACCTGTTGCAGATATTGGTAGGGTATTACTATAGAAATGACAGAAATAACGAGAATTCGAGGCAACGATTTGAACTATATAATATATTGGTAGAGGGATTTCAGAGGAATTATCATGGTCTACTTATAATATACGTGAAATTGGAACTATGCCCTCGGATGAGAATGATCCTAGAATCTATGAAATTGGTGTCACCAGTTAAACTTTTAAAGGGCCACTTGAAAAAAAAAATATTTTGGATGGAAAAAAAAAATATTTAGCTTTGTTTTTGTTGGGGCTGCAAGGACAATCAGTTATGTGCACCACTTTGTCTGGGGAAACAAGGGCGCGATATGAATTTCCGTTCGAGCGGGTCTTCATAACGTGAAAAAGCCTCGATTCCAAACGGTTCACAAGCCGAGGCAAGCCTGTAGCTCTTGATTGATTCACAGTATGGTTGTACGTCTAGTATTTTTTAGTATGTGGAAAACTACTGGAACTCCGCGACCCCTCATTTCGGGTAATAGGCTAATCATAGACTTGATTGGAGCGGAGTTTGCGACTAGAATTCCTCATTTGGACTCGGCGTCCGAGGATCGAATCTATTTCGGGAATCTACGAATAATGCATCTAGGAGAGCCAAGAGATTGGATATATCCTTTATATTGAATATAGACATTATATATATTACTCGAAGTATAACAAGCGGTATTCAAGTGTGACTTTTCAATAGATAGAAAATAGATTTGCACATGCTTGCGGAACATAGTTACAAATGAATTTAAAGCTTGCCCTACTGAATAATAAGCTTTCATTTACTTAAGACAGGAAAGTAAGTTTAAAGTGTTTAAATCCAGATTCCAAAATCAGGAACAACCTTATTTCCAGAAATTAAAGTATCTTTGTGAACTGAAATGAGAGAATGAATTGCTACATACACGCCTTAATTGCCGTTTTAAATGTATTGCCATTAAAGTTTGGGCTCAATTACGCGTTGAACAACAATCTAACCCCGGGGGTTGGTCAAAGAATCACAAGCTAAGCTCCTACTGTGTTTAATAATTTGTTTGTTTATTTTTCCTTTTTTCTATCCGACTGACCACCAGTAAACACCAGTAGATATGTAATGGTTATGATCAGTTCAAATGGAGCATCCACTCCATCAAAAAAGAAACATATTGGTTGCAAATTAGATTATGGGCTAACGGTTTTAGTCTTATAATTAGACACCAAACCTAAATTAGATTTGAAATACAAGAAAATAATCTACAAGTTCATACAATATTTTATATACTACAGACATACTCCCATAAATATTACTAAACTTACTTCACTACTTACTATTCATATAATTTTCAATACTATATGAGGTCAAATTCCAAACCCCTAACTAAAACCTTTGGGTTGCCTGCATATACCTGATTGTGGTCCTGTATGTATGAGACACCCGTGTATATCACATGATGTGGGCTCAGCCCTAACATGTTCGCATTCGCACTCAGTTCCGATTTTGTTGAAATTTTCCAACCACACATCAAGAAAAAAGCCTTTACTCTTTTTCCCTACACACTAAGAAATAGTCTGCAAAAGTCGCTTAAATCGATTATCTCTAGTTGCAAGTAATACGAAATGTCTACTGAAACTGCTTTATCCTACGCTGCCTTGATCTTGGCTGACTCTGAAGTCGAAATCTCCGCCGAAAAGTTGCTCCAATTGGTCACTAAGGCTAATGTCGAAGTCGAAGGTATTTGGGCTGACATTTTCGCCAAGGCTTTGGAAGGTAAGAACTTGAAGGACTTGTTCTTCAACATTTCTTCCGCTCCAGCTGCCTCTGGTTCTGCTGCCCCAGCTGCTGCCTCCGGTGCCGCTGCTGAAGAAGCTGAAGAAGAAAAGGCCGAAGAAGCCAAGGAAGAATCCGATGATGACATGGGATTCGGTTTGTTCGATTAAATAGATACGAAGGTGTTGGAACAACCACTAATCACTAATGTACATTTATCAATAATAATCTTGTAAGCAAATAAATTGTAGAACTGTACTAGTATACGTGAATATTTTGGGAGAATGATGTCTAGAAGTTATTGGAAGAGTACTACATTTGATGGTACCAATATTGAAGGAAATCAAACATTGGGTTTGAGGGAAGATTAAGTACTACCATTTCATCCCTAACCTAGCCTTATTCAATAAAATTACTTGTTGAGATGACTTGGTGAAAATTTGTATGCACGCACAACCACCATCCCTATTCCTCTTGATAGTCAAACCATCGTTTCCGTTAATCAAATCAATGTACTTCACATCTCAACACCTAATGTATGAGTACATGATCGCTCACTACAATCAAAATCTAGATACTCTACAATCTTTTTCTTTCTTCTACTACAATGCTCTGTCGTATCAATTAGTAAGATTAACTATACAATTATTTCTTCTTCTTGTCAGCTTCGGCTTCAGCAGCGTCCTTGGCACGCTTTTCTCTGATACCTCTGTACTTCTTGTCAGATCTGGCCAATCTCAAGGTTCTGTAAGCAGATTGTTCTGGTTGTTCAACAGCCTTTGGAGTGGAGTCAATCTTTGGTTGGACAACTGGGAAAGTGGCTGGGGTGTTGACTTGTTCGTGGGAGGCAATGTCAGCAGCCTTGGTCTTCTTGTCAAAGACAACCAACTTAGACTTGTATTCGGTCAATCTAGCAACGTTCAAGTCGAAAGTTTCGGTAGACTTGTTTTGTCTTCTGTGGTCAACGGAAATACCGACGGTTCTGGCGTACTTGGCGGTGAAACCAACAGCCTTAAGTTCGGCAAGGGTGAAACCACGACCAGCTCTGATCTTTCTGTTGTATCTGATAGTTGGAGCTCTGACAACTGGTCTCAAGGTGTCGATTGGCTTTGGAGCGTACTCAGCGGCCTTGGACAATCTAGCTTGTCTTCTGGAAGCCTTCTTACCGGCTTGGTCAAAGTGAACCTTGACTCTTTCTTGCCAGTGCTTTCTGAAGTGGTTCTTTAATAATGGAAGGTTCTTGGAGATAGCCATTGTTACTGAAGTTAAGGAAGATGTAAGGAAAAATTTTTGAACTTATTTTCTTTTCTTTCCAATAACGTTTGTCCGCACTAGGTGAGAATGCCTACAGAGCCAGAGAATTTTTTTTTTTCAAAATTTTCATGTCACAAAACGATCAGGTGCAGTATATGCCGGATGGACCAGGTTTACTATGGGAAAAAAGCAGTCACACCAGGTTTTGTGTAGGTTTATTTTTTTAATGGTGTTTTTTTTTTATTCAATTTTTTTTTTGATTTTGCGTTACCTACAGTCCCTCTCTTCGATTGAGTGTCGGAATTCGCACAGTGAGGAAGATACTCACAGAAATTATCTTTGAAAAAAAAAAAGCGAAACAACTTTTCACGTTCAGTATATCAGCAAACAATGTCTACTCCATCTGTTCAAGTATGTATATATGATAGAGGGAGACAAGAAATAGAGGCAGCAAGCCCATAGAGCTACAGACCGACAGTGTCTGGATTTATATAATGACCTGATGTGGAAGGTTTAATTGAAGAACATTCTCAAGAGTTGATGTGAAAATATTTCCAATGATCAAAACAAGCACTCAATATCCATTGTAAGATTTCTGGAGTCTCGGAGAGGACTGCGGTCTATTGGGACGTGATACATGTCTCTTGTTGGAGAATCGGCTCTGTCTCTTGTTTTTTTTCGCCTAATGGTGAACCCACCAGCACGCATTCCAATGCCTGGGTAAATTTTTTTTTCTTTTACTTTTACTAACATTCAGACTTTCGGTAAGAAGAAGACCGCTACTGCCGTCGCCCACGTCAAGGCCGGTAAGGGTCTCATCAAGGTTAACGGTTCCCCAATCACCTTGGTCCAACCAGAAATCCTCCGTTTCAAGGTCTACGAACCTCTCACTTTAGTCGGATTAGACAAGTTCCAAAACATTGATATCAGAGTTAAGGTCACCGGTGGTGGTCACGTCTCTCAAGTTTACGCCATCAGACAAGCTATTGCTAAGGGTTTGATTGCTTACCACCAAAAATACGTCGATGAAGCTTCTAAGAACGAATTGAAGAAGATCTTCGCTGCTTACGACAAGACCTTGTTGGTTGCTGACTCCAGAAGAATGGAACCAAAGAAGTTCGGTGGTCGTGGTGCCAGAGCCAGATTCCAAAAGTCTTACCGTTAATCTATATACATATATACATATTTGGTGGTTAATATAGTTACGTAACATTATGAGATTGTAGAGAGAAAAGACAGTAAGTTGTAATGTGAGATAGAAGTAGGGATAGGAATGAAGTGTGTGGAGAGTGGTCCTGCTGTCAAAACAGGAAAATGATGGACCGGATCTTTGTATGAACTAGACTTAGAATAAGGAGATTAGAAGCACCAGAAAAAAAGAAATACAATGGTAGTATATTTTAAATTACCAATGAAGTACTCTATGTTGTTGGCGATGGAAGACATGTATATACCTATCTGTATATATCTATATATATATATATAGATGCCTCTTCATACTCAATCAAAAACTGAAAATTGTTGCAAAACTCTTAGACCAAATATAACCTGGCCCGTTAAATATTTCCCATTCTTTGTATAATAAATATACACTGTTTTTTGAAGTTTCATTGTTCTGTGTTATTCTGATACTATCTTGTGGCTAATACCATTACTTACTAGACACAAAAAATAAAATCATTAACACTTTAACATATTCCTCCTATATTGTAAATAATTTTGTTGTTTAATTTCGCAACTAGAATATTTATTGTCTACTAAAAAACGAATAAGGTTTTGAAAATATCTAAAATAAATCCATTTCCCAAAACTGAATCGAGACTCCCGTAACAGTACAAACTCCATTTAACCTAGTTTCTCTTATTCTAGCATCTTGTTTTAAGATCTTATTCTAGAATCTTGTTTTTAAGATTCAGATCAACTTGTTATCATCAATTATGTCCATTTGTACTGTTCATTTTTGTATACAGTCCGCACCACTTTAAAGTCTTAGACCATTTATCAACTGTTAAACCTAATTTTTGATATTCTCCACTTCACATCTATTCTACTGTTTTAAAACGTGCCAGCTCCAATGGTCTGGTTGAACTCATCGCCGACGCTTCTGGTCCCGCTTGTGGACCCTGAAACGCCCTTGGTTGCCCGTTGTATGCCACATGCTCCATTGATTGTCATTTTAACCGAATCAGCAGTTTTGATCTACCATCAACATACATTTCTCCCATTGGCAAGCCATCGTAGAACAAAAGATTCTTTATACCAACATGGCTACAATGCAAACTTTCGGATACAGGACATCTCGGTGAACACATCGAAGCTACAACAAAGCACACATGTCAATTTGATTGTTCAAACAACAACGTCTTATCTTGTAGTATTTCAAATTAACATTTCATATTCCAAGTCAATGTTTCTGATCTTGGATGCAAAGACAGATGAAACCCTTCAAGCAGGCTTGCCTCTTATCACGACTCAATCCCTGTTTTCCCTAGCAAATATCCTCAAGAGTGCCACTCGTAGTATCATTGCTGGCCATGATGCAACGTCAAATTTGGAAAATATTGAACATTTTAATAATTCCAATGCTGAAGATGAATTGAATAACTTTGCAGTACCGCATGTAAAGATCTCAATCTTCAGAATCCTTAAGATATCAATTGGATTATCAGACTTCTGGTTGAAACATAATTCTCATAATTTATTTGTGTATCATTCAAATGATCTTCAAATTATAAACTTGAAAACATTTGTAAATGAAGTATACCTGCTCGATGATCTTGATTGGTATGTGAGTAAGAGTCCAGTTCACATCATGAAATATAATGAGTACTTCAATTACTTTCTCTTTGTGAATTCTGACAATGAAATATGGTACATGACTTTCAATTCCGAGAAGGAATTGATTGGTCATAAAGTATCGGACCTTGAGATCAAAATTGTGTCCAATTCCATGAGTTTCCACTTTAACCCACAATTCAACCTTGTGCTTGTGTCCACCGACAAGGGACTCTTATTATATCGTACAGAGTCTATGGAAGATACTGCAAGATTTACTTTTATTAAACGAATGCAATTAGACCCCAACCATTCCCAAGAGGTTTCAACTGAAACAATTAATGTAAATTGGTCTCCATGTGGTGAATTCTTTACATCCATTCATGGTAGTACATGGCGTATTTATTCTAAGTTTGGCAATTGTTATTTTAATTCAAAGGAGATTTTGAAAGAATTGAACACTACGGCAAATGATACCAAGAAACTTGTTGATTTTTTGAAAGTTTCACATGTTTTGGTCCCCAGTAATTCTAGAAATATCGTTGTTATTGATTCTAACAATGAATCCATGTATTTGTTGGAGATACTAAACAATTCGACTACTCATCATGACAAGTATAATCCTACTCTTGTTCTCACTAATAGCGAATACCTTAACGTTTTAGTTGAATCCAAACAAACCATTGCCAAGTTCCCCATCTTGCCCCTGTTCAAAAGTATAATGAGACAGATACAAGTTGTAAACCAACCCCCTAAATCACATAAATGTTTAAATGGGAAGTTAACCATATCATCAAATATATATCATCAAATGAGTATCTCATATGGTGATAAAATATCTATATCCACACCATTTATGACCGAAGGTGGTGATATCAATCATACATTATGGTTTAATTTCCATGACTATCTACAAGAAACATTAAACATTATCAATCACTTTTGGTTTCAAGACTATTTGGTGTTAGTTAATAGAAATTTTGTTAAACTGGAGGTTAATGAAGTTGAACGTCTTACAGATGAATTACTTATTTTGGATACCTCACCTTCCAAGTATGGACATGGAGGTAATGGATATAAATTCAATTCAGACTCGATTATATGGAGATATAATCTAGACCAATGTGTCCTTGCATACGATATTTCCTGTTTTAATGGCAATCAAGATCAATTAGTGGTAATTACCAATGAATATAAGATCATAATGTTTAATATATCCAAATATGATCTTGTTAAACATAAAGGGTCTAATAATTCTAAAATATTTGTTGGGATGAATAAAACTATTAATTTAAAACTGATTCTGAATAAACTTTCAATTCAAAACATTTCCCTGATTAAATTAGTTGAAGGTCGACATTTCTTGATACTATTAAACACTGGAGAATTTTGTATATTAAAGAGTCTGGGTGAAAATTCCAATGTGTATGATTTAATCATGATTAACAATTGCGTTGAGTTCTTTAGATTGAAGACACTCTACGATGAATTCTTATATCTTTCCACTGGTAGTTCGATCTTGATATACAAACTTACAGACATTACCAATTGTTCAGGGAAAGTTATGGTCCATCCAATAGTTATCAAAAATGATGATTATTTCTTCCAACCTTTAATCTTGAATGTTACTCATAACGATAAGAAGAATAAGTCCATAAACCTCATTGGATTCGAAACATTTTCATTTTCAAGAAATAAACATTTAACATTGAAAACACGGATTAATTATAAATTAATTTTGAATGATTTCATTGAATTTGATTTAGTTAACAATAATAAGGATTTATCGATATTTGATAAATATAAAGAATATTCAAACTTTCAATATTGTCTTGAGTTACTTCTTTTCAAACATTTGACGAACATTGATGATGATATCCAATCTGATGCAGATGGTAAGGTATTGAAAATCTTGATTCAACTTATTGATAAACAAGAGGGAGCAAGTGAATTTATTTATATCAATTGTTTGAGGAAAATTGAAGTTGGTTATTGGTATAAATTTTTCGATACTCTTGAAACAACCCCATTAAAATTTATGAACAAACTTATATCTATGGGACAAGTTGAGTTATGTTATAATTATTTGATTATTTACTTAAACTTTAAAAAGGAATACGAGGCACCTACTAAAAAGACTGAGTCATTACTAGATGATCAAGATCAAACTATCATTCTCAAGATCATCAAGATGTTGGATTCCGCTGAAAGATGGGATTGGTGCTTTGAATTATGTAGATTCATCAAATTACTCGAACCATCTAGTGAATTACTTCGAAAGGTAAAGAAACAAGTTGAAGTTTTGAATAAATAATAATAAAAATTTATAGAAATAAAGCAAAATTACAATTACAACACAATTAGATCATGTCATAATTAACAACATTATATAATTTTCATATACTTATAGTGATAGTAGGTAACCCTGATCCTTGCCTATATACACACTTTATCTAAAATGTTTGTTATATACCATAATGTTACATAATATTACGAGAATATTACATAATCAATGAGAACCAACCAAAAACAATCTTTTTGTAAAGAAGGTTATTATCAAACTCCAAGTATTGAATTAGACAAATAAACATGACTTTAGCCACTGAATTTGCTGAAACTACTCGTCGCTCGGCCACAAATGCCGAGATGAGAAAGAGAGTGTTACACTTGTACCGTAAATATATGAGAAGTTCCAAGGAATTTGCAGAATTATACGAATTGGATATGCCAGTTTCCAATGTCAAGACTAAGATTAGACAAGAATTCGAAAGACAAAGATTTGTCTCTGACTTATCCGTTTCCAACGTGTTGTACATGAAGGGACAAATGGAATACCAAGAAATCATGAACTTTTGGAAGCAACAATGTCATGTTTTAAGATACTTTGAAGATCAAAGTGATTACGGAGTTGTTGACAAGAACGATTTCGTCAAGAACTTCTTGAGGGGAAATTAAATAGTTAGTGCATAATATTAGAACGAAAAAGAGAATCAGAAAACTTGTAGAGAAAGAGTCTTCGAGGGAAAGTTCTACATGAACAATCAGTGATTTTAGTGACTAAATAAAAGAATTTATGAATTTTACATCGTAAAAAGAATAAAATGGGAGCCTTTCACATTGTAGAGAAGAAAGGAATCTTAAAAGAACTTGACAGCGAATTCTTCTTGTAGTGGTATATGAAGACAATACCGTCGAGTGTCAGATCATATCTGTACATTGGGTTTCTCATACAGGTCCACCATACCCTCTTGGTAGTACTAAATATACCAAATCCTTGACTTATAGTCATAGTACTACATCTAAAGTATAACCAAACTACCAATAAGAATAAAAACACTATTAATTGAGATAACTGAGAAGAAAAAAATTACTCTAAACCGTCCTCCAATGGGACTTCATCGGCGTATTCCAATTCTTCATCATCATCAACGCCTGCATCTTGATATTGCTGGTATTCACTGACCAAGTCATTCATGTTAGATTCAGCTTCAGTGAATTCCATTTCATCCATACCTTCAGAAGTGTACCAATGCAAGAAAGCCTTTCTTCTAAACATGGCACTAAATTGATCACCAACTCTCTTAAACAATTCTTGGATAGAGGTGGAGTTACCAATGAAAGTAGCAGACATATCCAAATCCTTTGGTGGAACAGAACAAACAGCAGTTTGAACGTTATTAGGAATCCATTCCACAAAGTATGAAGCGTTTCTGGTTTGAACCTTTTGCATTTCTTCTTCAACTTCTCTAACTGAAACCTTACCTCTAAAGAAGGCAGCAACAGTCAAATAACGACCGTTTCTTGGGTCAGAAGCAGCCATCATATTCTTAGTGTCAAACATTTGTTGAGTTAACTCAGGAACAGTTAATGATCTGAAAGACTTAGATCCAATAGAAGTCAATGGAGCATAACCAACCATAAAGAAATGTAATCTTGGGAATGGAACCAAATTGACAGCCAATTTTCTTAAATCAGAGTTTAATTGACCTGGGTATCTCAAAGAAGTGGTAACACCAGACATAACTGATGACACCAATCCATTCAATTGATCATAAGTAGGTTGTGGTAACTTTAAGGTTCTTTGACAAATGTTGTACAAAGCTTCGTTATCAATACAGAAAGTTTCATCAGAGTTTTCAACCAATTGATGCACAGACAAAGTGGCATTATATGGTTCAATAACGGTGTCACTAACCTTTGGAGATGGAAGAACAGAGAAAGTAGCCATCATTCTGTCTGGGAATTCTTCTCTGATCTTGGAAATCAATAAGGTACCCATACCGGAACCAGTACCACCACCCAAAGAATGGGTGATTTGGAAACCTTGTAAAGAGTCACAGCCTTCAGCTTCTCTACGAACTACATCCATGACAGAATCAACTAATTCTGCACCTTCAGTGTAATGACCCTTGGCCCAAACGTTACCGGCAGATGATTGACCGAAAATGAAGTTATCTGGTCTAAATAAGTTACCAATCTTGGAAGTCTTGACACCATCAATAGTACCTGGTTCCAAATCAATCAAAACAGCTCTTGGGACGTACTTACCGGAGCTAGCTTCGTTAAAGTAAACACCCAAGTTAGCTTTTTGGATGTCATCATCACCATGGTAGTTTCCGTTTTCGTCTAACCCATGTTCACCAGAAATAGTTTCCCAAAAAGCAGTACCCTAAAGAAATAGTTAGTATAATTGATCAAACAATAAGGCGATTTACAAGTATAGTAGCTGAATCGGTCACTACTCTTATCAAGCAAGTAAAATTATTTGCCTTCTCTCTCATAATGGAATCATTTAATACATACAATTTGGTTACCACATTGACCTGTGGATAAGTGGATCTAAAGATAGTTAGTATTTGAATCAAATGAATTAAATAAATAAAAATTTAAAAATATGTGATGTAGGTGCTTTAGGAAGGGGTGATTTGAATGGGACGTGTACATTTCGAATATGTAACTCCAAAAACTCATGATCTGGTCCAATTAGGACGCGAACACCCCCTCTATAGAAGTGAACATTGGCCATAAGATTGTAGTACTTCAAGCTTCTTGGTGTATCTGGTTATACTTTGGAAATTGGTCTACATGTCCATAAATTTCGGGAATTTGATCTCTTCTCATTCTAGATTGAAAGGCGAGATCGTAGGATCGTTTGTGTACCAACCATCAAATCTAATGCCAATCGAGTCTTCCCATGCCCTCTAAGGACCTCATCACATGCACATATACGTGTCAACACATACAATTTCTCTCATTGCAATGGTTTACTGCAATTCTAATGAATGACTAAAATTGTGTAATGTTATCTCCTCGAAAGAAATCTTTGATCCTTTGTTGATGTTTTGTTTGTTTTGAATTTTATCGTCAAAATGTTACCCGGATGAATTTCGATTTTGTGTCATTCGCGGTGATAGGAGTAGTTATAAATGTATAATAAGGGCCCTCAGGATTAGATTATGAAGGGGTTACATGGTATATAAAATATCGTCCAAATGTTTAGGGTCAGCTTTTCTACATCAATCAATATATCTACTCATTGATCTTTTTTTTTTGTTTATTATTTATATTTTATTGTAGAGGTGACATGAAACCATCATGTAAGATCTCTAAATCTACCCATTAAATTGAGGATTGCGAAAATAATAAAAGTAATAATGATGATAATTGCATGACATTTCATACATCATGGAATACTTTAGTCGTAGCCAATATCTATCTATCCTTACAACTTCTTGTACAGATTTTGAGCGACATACTCGTGTGCAATATTTGTCAATGAAAAAACTTATCAACAAATTCATCCCAAAATAAAAACATGATCGTTAAAATTGGTTGCATAATTATATAAATAAACACAAGATCCTTTTCACCCATTTGGAATAATACAATCAATAATACACCTTTTTTTTTAAAAAAAAAAGAAAATAATAAAGCAACATGACGAGATAGACCTGCTACTATTCACTTAGGGGAAGCTTAGAAACTTACGGGCAACCTATTTCATTGTTATGAAATGATGACTAGAATCTGGAATAGATCCACGTGACTTATGAACAGTTGGTAATTCTGATCTTTTTTTTTTTCTTTTTCTGCCTTTTGAATCACAAAGATACGTTTTATACACATAATTAAAATGGTGTAAGTAAATACTATCCAACCTCTCTAACTAGTATTCACTTTTGCATACCACTGATTGTTTTCTTTTTAAAATAAAGACAACCAGCACGTAAAGAAGATTAGTGGTTCTACGATACAATCAGTCTGCTACTCTTCCACTAATTTAACCATATCTATTCGAGTGGAATCTGTTCATTTTAAATTTTCTTTCGTTATCTACAACAAAAGAAAGACAACAATTTAGTAATACCAATTTAATTCATTAAAAATCATGACATCAATTCAAAATAGAACTTTTGAATTCCAACAATGCGTCTCATCATTTGCGAAACTTAATAAGAAGCAAGCACCATCACAACAAAACGGTGGCAATAAGACAGTTCCAAAGTCCCAATTTTCCATTCAAGCAGGTATAATTGCTAAGGATATTGCCCATACAACTGATCTTTTATCAAAGTTAGCATTATTGGCCAAGAGAAAGCCCCTTTTTGACGACAAACCAATTGAAATTGGTGAACTTACATATGTTATCAAACAAGATATATTTAAAATTGAAGAAAATATTAAAAATCTTCAAAGATTTGTTAAGGGAGATCATTCAATTCAAGTTGATTCACAAATTACTCAATATTCTAAGAATGTTTTAAATTTACTTAATTCTAAAATGAAAAATATCTCTGGAGAATTTAAAACAGTTTTAGAAACAAGACAAAAAAATGAACTTTTGAATAAAAATAGAACCCAACAGTTCTTATCTGCCACCACACATCGTTCCCAATCCCCACAGGCTGCAATGGGACTTGGTGAAAATCCATACGCTGCCTCAATGGCAGCAAGCTCATATAACCCTGCTATGGATGGTCAACTTAATAATAATAACAATAATAATCCATATGAAGAATACCTTTCTATACCGGATCAAACCAGTCAACTTCTTCTCATGGAAGAACAAAATGGTAATCAATATCTTCAAGAACGTAATAGAGCCGTGGAAACTATAGAGTCTACAATCAATGAGGTTGGTAATCTTTTCCAACAACTTGCCACTATGGTGAGTGAACAAGGGGAAGTCATTCAAAGAATAGATCTGAATGTTGAAGATATTAATCTTAATATTTCTGGTGCTCAAAGAGAACTTCTTAAGTATTATAATCATATTTCAAGCAATCGTATGCTTTTTTTGAAGATTTTCGGAGTTCTCATTGTATTTTTCATGCTTTGGGTGTTAGTTAGTTAGTTGGGTAATACAACATTGATAGGTCATTGAAGTAAATAAATTGAAGTTAAAAGCAGATCAAGTATATTTGTGTTAAGGTAAATAAATGATGCCATTAATTGAATTTATTGATTCATATTTGGAAAGAAATACACTTTCAATTACTTCTCTAAGATATCACGCTGTAGAGTTTGGAAAACACATGAGGAGAAAGCTGCGCAGTTGTCTTATGTATACATACAATTTACATTACCTATAATATGTGAATATTAAGTCAAAATGGTCTTATCACTTATTGCATATAGTCATGCTCCTATCAATTAGTTCTGAAATGACAGTCGATATCAAATTCTATCAAATATGATTCGTCATCTTTATTCACTATTGACCTTACGAAATACTAGAAATAATAAATAGTTTTGCATAGAATATTCATTAGAGAAAATGATCTACTTATGCTGCTAGAAAATGTATAACTATAGATGTCGATTATTCTAAATTTCTTTATACGAAAATGGATTCAAGATCAATATAAAAGAAATGATACTGAAGTATCCTTTAAATGTTGATTACTATCTAGGTGCAAGGTAATTTATATCTACCAAATGATCATGTACATTCAGTACCAGAGAAAGTGGCCATATTATTTCAATCAACTTTTTTTCTATACATTATAAGATCTTCCAGCATATAGTTTACTTACTTGCATATTAGCTTTATCTTATAGATTATACCTCTTTTCCGTTAGAAATGACATTTATTTGTAATATATTCACACCACAAGTCATATACAAAAAGTAATCTATTGTTCTACAGCATAAGAAATACTAGGAAGAAGAAAGGTGGCCATATATATATATATATATATAGTTTTTCTAGGAGGTAATTTTGATTAAAAGTAAGTTAACACCTTCAAGTAGCCCCATTATTTAGACTATATGTTTAATGCGTGCGGTTACCGATACACCCTTTAATTTTGTTATCACTATCAGAAAATGAGCGGCAAGAGTAACACTCAATATATATATCAAAGGTAAATACATATATATAATATCCAAAGCTCAATAAGAGTATGTACATTCATTAGATAGGGATCTGAAGTCAACTAATATTCAATTTATCTTATTTGATATTTTCTTATAACTTTTTTATATTGGACTTTTTCCTTTTTAAACTTTTTCCTTCTATCCTTGTCATCTTTATTAACATCGTTTCCTAGTTTTTAATAAACCATGTGGAATTACTTATTCGGCGGCAACAAGGCGCAGAAGAAAGAGTTGCCCAAGAAGGCAATTGTTGAGTTGAGAGAACATATCCAAATGCTTAACAAGAAGCGGACACATTTAGAAGGACAAATTGCTGATCAAGAAGCACTTGCTAGAAAACATATTGCCACAAACAAGGCACTTGCAAAGAATGCTTTGAAACGTAAGAAGGGATATGAAAGCAATCTTATGAAGATAGAAAACCAAATTGACTCCTTGGAAACACAACTCACTGCCATTGAAGGAGCCAACTTGAACTTGGAAACCATGAAGGCCATGAAACAAGGTGCTAGTGCTATGAAGCAAATACATGGTGAGTATGACGTAGACAAGGTTGAGAGTACTATGGATGATATTAGGGAACAAGTTGAATTAGCAGATGAGATTTCTGAAGCCATTTCAAGACCTGTTGGTGGCGAGTACATCGATGAGGATGAATTAGACGAAGAATTGGCACAATTACAAGAAGAAGCTAATGAAGCTGCCCAAGTCCCAGCAGCAAAGGTACCACAACAGAAACAACAGCAACAACAAGCCAACTTGCCGGCATTCCCTGCGGTTAATAAGACCAAGCCACAAGAAGAAGAGGAGGATGAAGATGAAGAGGCTTTAAAGGCATTACAGGCTGAAATGGGATTATAGTGATTGGGTAGGATTAGGCTGTTCGCATTTCAAAGGGCTGTAGGAGAATGAGAAAGAAGAGAGAGGGAGCTTTGAGAGCTACTCTTAGTTTGTAGAAGATCATCGTATATTTTGACACATGGTTAGTTTGTAATAAAGATCAAATAAGAGAATGTTGACGTAGTAGAATTGTTTTATTTGCAGAGAAAAAAAAACACTAACGTAGGGCCATGTAAAGAGATCCATAGATTATTGAATATAAGTTCTTTTTGTTTGTGGCTGTCAGTGTCTATATAGCGAGCGTTCGCGGAGATCTCCCGGACACTCATGTACGACCACATTCGGAGTATCCAACTTGTGAAAGTCAAATCCTCAATCACTAATTACATGTCTAACAAGGATAACTTCAAATACTGTTACTTCCCCAGATTTTTTTTTACATTCTTGTGTAGTTGATAGTTCTGAACTCTGTGGCAATTTTTCCTTTCTCCTTCTTTCAGTTTTTCTTTTTCTTTTTTTAACTTTTTTTTTTGCTCACTGTGAATCTTTTTTTTTTTTTTTTTAGAAGGATTTCATAAATTTTGCAAACTCTTCTATCAGCTACAGTTAATCCATCGGTTGCACAAATAGATCGGGTTGGAGAGACGAAACATGTTTAGGCATATATCAAAGAACCGGGCGGTCCAGCTAGCCAGCAAGTACCAACGGTGTGGTGCTGTGAGGGGTAATAGCAGCGGCGGTATTCCTCTGAGCATCGCAAGAAGTAGCATCAGTTCTAGCAGCAGTACCCTTTCAGACCATTCCATGGTTAATCTGTATTATAATGGCGTTCTTCAAGATCTTAAGAGAAGAGATGGAAGTCTGATCCATGACATGCCTTCGTTGGGGATCAGTAACAAGTCTTTTAGTGAAATCAATATGGATGCTATTCGTTCGATTCCAGATGGCGCTCGTAAGGAAGAACCATGGTCTTCGCAATATGATGAAGTCACCAGATCTCCATTTGCAAGAGACGTTGGACATTTAGAGACCTTGTTGGATGCCCTTGTCCATAACAAGAACTTTGAAAGAGCAGAAAACATTCTTCATGCTCTCTATCCATTACTTGATAAGAAACAAACGATGATTTTTTCAATAAATAAATATTTGGAAGCATATTCCATGGAAGAAAGACATACAGTGGAAGATGTGGACCGATTTGTAGAATCAATACTGAAAAAGTTTATCGGAGTTAACCCAGATGACAGAACATTTGCCATTCAAATTGCCAAAAATAAAGAAGATGGGAAATATATGGATATCATTACAAATATGAGAGAAAATGGATATGGATACATGATTAAAAAAGTGTTCTCCCACATTGATATTCTTGGAGATGAATTGGCCACCGATATCTTGTGTAATGAAGGTATTTCCAGAAATGATGTTCCTAAAGAATGGAAGAGTGTTTACGATGAAATAAGAGTAAGAGCAGAAGAAGAAAAATCATCAGAAGTTAGAAATGATATGGAAGATCAAAATGATATGGAAGAACATCTTGGAGACTTATCAGGAAATGAAAACATACAAAGCATGGATACTACTGATTCTATAGAATCTGTCACTAGTCTTGATAAAGATGCATCCAACTTGATGGCTGTTGACTCGTTTGGGCTTAAAGTGGTGAGATATACCCTTCTTGGACTTAAGACTGATTCAAACCAATTGCAAGAATTTGTAGATAATCTTCAACAAGACCTCGATGTTAATGTTTTGGGAGATAACTCGTCTCGTCGTGATTATTTTGACATTTATAAATCATTGGAAACAGATGAACAACGTAGCAAGTTCAATGAAGTACTTGAATTATTTAACGAAGAACGTCAGAAACAATTGGAATCCAAGGGAGTTGATGCTGCTCGTGAAAAATGGAAGCATGAATATGAAGATATGAAGGAACGTGGAACTTTTTCCATGCAAAAATCTCTCAATGTTCAACTTTTCAAATGGTACACTGATATGCTCCCATATGTAGAACAAGAAGTGGTGGAATGTCAAAAGCTTCTCGATAGCAAGGACAATATTAGGCTCCTTTCTATTAAACCAGAAGAAAGACAATTGATCAAGGATAGACTTTTCTATGCACCATACTTGACGTTGGTTCCTCCAAAGAAGATGTGTGTCATTGCTATTCTTGAACTTCTCAAGTTGAACTCCACTGGTGGTATTGTCGATGGGATGAGAACAGCTAGAGCTGTGGTCCTGGTTGGTAAGGCTGTTGAATTGGAATATAAATCACAAAAGTTGTTGAAAGTAGAGGGTAACTCTAAATTATGGATGAACAAAAAGAATACTCATGAATTAAAGAAATATCTTCAAAGAAAGAGAGATGTGAAATACACACCTCAAAGAGCAGTGGAAGAAACAGAATGGACAGGTGTTGTTCATGCCAAGGCTGGTGAAGTCCTCACGAGGTTGTTGATGTATGTTGCCAAAGTTCCTGTGAATGGTGTTGACCCTACAACAGGAGCAAATGTTACTGGACTCCAACCTGCTTTCCATCATACTTTCCAATTCATGAATGGTCAGAAATTAGGGGTTTTGAAAATCCACAAGAGTTTAATTAAACAACTTGCAGGGGATAATTTGACAAATGCTGTGCAACCACAACTTTTGCCAATGCTTGTTCCACCTAGACCATGGACTTCATATGCACATGGAGGCTTCCTTTATTCTCAAAACTATCTTGTGAGAATTAAGGATTCGGCTGAAACAACTGCATACCTTAAGGCATCCAGTGAAAAGGGACATCTTGATCAAGTCTACCAAGGGTTGAATGTATTAGGAGAAACCGCCTGGTCAGTCAATCGTAAGGTCTTTGAAGTGATTAGTGCCAAATGGAATACCGGGGAAAAGTTTTTGGATATTCCAGATTTAGGAGTGGATCCTAAATTACCACCTGCACCACCAAAGAACGCGGACCCTCATGTGAAAAGAGATTATCAACAGCTTGTACGAAAATTGCTCAATGAAGCTGCCGGATCTCGTTCTCAAAGATGTGACTCTAACTATAAGTTGGAAATTGCTCGTGCCTTTTTAGGTGAAAAGATTTACTTCCCACATAATGTTGATTTCCGTGGGAGAGCATACCCATTGTCCCCTCATTTCAACCATTTAGGAAATGACATGACCAGATCCTTATTCTTGTTCTGGGAAGGTCGTAAATTGGGAGAAAGAGGATTAGAATGGTTAAAAATTCATCTTGCCAACTTGGCAGGTTTGGATAAGAAGCCATTAAATGAACGTTTGCAATACACGAATGACAATTTGGAAACTATCTTTGCATGTGCTCGTGACCCATTAAGTGAATCTGGTTCTTGGTGGCTTAAAGCTGATAAACCATGGCAGGCATTGGCTGTTTGTTTTGAATTAGAAGAAGCCTACAAGTTGGAGAACCCTGCTGACTACGTTTCCCATATCCCAGTTCATCAAGATGGTACTTGTAATGGTCTTCAACATTATGCTGCCTTGGGTGGTGATGTTGAAGGTGCTAGACAAGTCAACTTGTTACCATCCGACGCTCCTCAAGATGTTTACAAGTTCGTGGCTGGACTTGTGCAAAAGAGAATTGATAAGGAAGCAGAAGAAGGTGAAGAATATGCCAAATTCATCCAAGACAAGATTACTAGAAAGGTTGTAAAACAAACTGTTATGACCAATGTTTATGGTGTCACGTTTGTTGGGGCTGTTGCTCAAATTGAAAAGCAAATTGAACATTTCTTTACCAATGAAGAAAAGGCAGCTAACGCCCCTGGTAAAGTTTCAAGATATCTTACCAATCATGTATTCGCATCGATGAGAGAACTTTTCGAAGGTGCTCATCAAATTCAAGATTGGCTTGGTCTTTGTGCTAAGAGAATCTCCAAGTCGGTACGTATTGATCATGAGGACAACACTGGAAATAACACCAATAAGCCAAGTCATTTATCATCGGTTATTTGGACTACTCCATTGGGTTTGCCATGTGTCCAACCATATAGATCAACCAAGAAACAAATCATTTCTACAAACTTACAAGATATTGTGATCACTGATCCATTCGGAGCTGCACCTGTTGATGCTAGAAAGCAACAGGCAGCATTCCCACCAAACTTTGTCCATTCATTGGACGCCACCCACATGTTATTAACTGCTGCTGCATGTGGTAAAGACGGTATTGCATTTGCATCGGTCCATGATTCATACTGGACTCACGCAGCTGACGTGGACTTGATGAACAACCATTGTAGAAGTCAATTTATCAACCTTCATGAAGATAACTTGATTCTTAAACTCCGTAGTGAGTTTGAAAGAAGATACCGTGGATGTTTACAATTGATCAACATCCCTGGTGATCATGAAGTGGCAGTCCAAGTGAAGGATGTACGCAGAAACATTGTCAAGAGACTCGGTAGAGCATTGACGGTTGCAGATGAAGTATATTTGGAACAAAAGAGACAACAACTTCTCGACTCTGATGACCCTGCCAAGGTTCAAATGGGTCGTGAAATGGTCACCACCGTAAGTGTGACCGAAGGCCATGGTTTAGAAGAACTCAATATTCTGTCCGCCCATAAGAGAGCCATGCAAATATTGATCCCATTGAAATTCCCTGAAATCCCCGAACGTGGTGATTTGGATATCAAACAAATCAAGGAATCCAAGTACTTCTTCTCTTGATGAATTTACTTGAAACAAAAATAATTATATGTACATAGCGGAAATATCCTGTTTATATTAATAGATACAAAGGTAGGAGGAAATTAATATTGTAGCAAACCCAGAATTGGTTTAAAATGATCGTTATATTTTAAACTGTATATGTATATATGTGTTATTTATGATATTGGGGAATCTCAACTCGGGGTCCAGACTGCGAGCATAGAAATCCTCCAGAAGAATTTCTTCCAAATCAAACGATTTTACCTTGCTGTTCCAAGTTCTCGATCAACGGCAACAAAGGATCCAATTCGGCACGTTCTATCATTCCAAACTCCTTCACAAAACTAATAAAGTGAGAAAAGAACGAATTCCAATGGGCCTCCAACGATAAATGGACAATTTTTTCAAAATGATTATGATAAATATGAGCAAAGATACGAAACATTTGACGTGAAATGTTTTTACAATCCTTCAAAAAATTTGGTGGGAATGCACCGCCACTTTTAGTTGGGAATACGCTTTGATCGTTGATTTTGTTGCTGATCCATGTCAAGACATAATCGATATAAGTCCCAGCTGGGAGATTTACCATTTGTCCAGAACCATCAACCCACATGTAGTTGGTGTATGGGCCGGCATTCATGGTGGGGTACGCCTCTGGAGTCACATACTCCGCTATGATTCCATAGAACTGGTTCAAGTTATTGAACAGTTCAAAGATGTTAAGGGCTACCCATTCGCCATAATCTACGTATTTAGGAAGTTGAACGATTGTTTTGAATGATCCCTTGACAAGTGCTGTTTTCACAAATGGTTCACAAAGGAAAAGTGGTAGTTTTGTGGCTGCTGGTAGGGCAGAAGAGCCCCCTGAAGTTGGTATACTCCCTAATGACGTGGTATTACCTCCCACAGCGGCAGTGGTATTCCCTGATGTTCCCTTCCTGCCACTCTGGTCGGGAATGATGGACCCCGTGGTACTATCGAGAAGAGGCGTAGACAGAAGCTGTGATTGTTGCTGATGTTGAAGCTGTGCCTGTTGCAGCAGCAACTGATGCTGTTGTTGATGCTGCTGTTGAGCGTACTGTGTTCTTGCCTTGGTAGGACTCTTGTTGTATTGATTATTTCGTTGTCTGGATGGAGACTTTGTAGGAGATTGAGATCTTCTCAAGGTTGAACCTGAAGAATTAGGGTGCAGGTAAATAGATGTCGGGACATCCAAGTCTTTCTTATTTTTCTTCGAACTACGGCCTAGCCCCCTTATGGTGTTCAAAAACGACATGTTTCGATTGCTTCTTGGTTTAGCTTATGGGATGGATCACTATTTACAATCTATTGACCAGATCGTTCCTTTAGACGACTCAATGGAAGGTTTTTTGGCGGCGTATGCAGGCAAGCGCGAGAAAATGCGGTTATGAGGAGGGGAAGAGTAAAAGAAGAAGGAAAATACAAATAATAACAAAGACAAAAAAAAAAAACACAATACACGTAGAGAAAAATAGAAGCCCAACCCCTATATATCAATTACTTTTAAAATCTACACATATTTCTTCTCTACTGCTTTGACGCATATTGTTCCAATTCGTTCTATTATATTATATTATATTTATCTATTGTAATAAAATCAAAACACTTCTTTTCTTGCTTTCTTTTTATGATTTTTTTTGTACTTTTTTTACCTTTTTCTTATTGCCGTTGGTAAGGGGTCTATTCCTCAATGTGTCCCATACTTTGACCAACTTTAAGCTTTTGACCAACTTCTAAATCAAACTTGAATTCTTCTGGAGCTTCGAAAACAAGCACAACTGTCAGACCAAGTTTAAATCCTCCAACCTCTTGTCCCTTGGTCAATGGATATCCTCCAAGTAATCTACTGGCCTTGGTGTATGTAGCTTCATAGACTGTGTTTTTCTTCAATCTTTTATACACAGAAGAAGCGGACGAATCGCCAGTTGACAAGCTTGAAGAGGAAGTATTAGTAGAAGACATCAATGGTGTAGACTCTGTAGCAGTAGAACTCAAATCATTACTACTATTATTATTATCTTCTTCGACACTGCTCTTCAGATATACTTCATGTTCATATCTTTCATTGGTTTTAAGATTCTTATCAAAGTTTACAATGATACTTCCAACATTGGTGGCACCAACTGGAATCATTGAGAAAAATCCATACTTCCAATATCCTAAAAGAGCCACTCTTTCATTTAAAACAAAGAGTCCTTGAAGAGTTTTCTGGAAATATGGAGCCACTGAGAAAAGTTCACCAATGAAATGACGTCTCAAAGTGGTCACCCAATTGGTAGGAGAATGGTAACGATGGTAATCACCAGGGGCCAAGTAAATAACAGCAAAGAAGAGTTGTTTGGAAGAAGTTGGTAATTGATCTCCACCAGCCAATTCTTGAGCCACAGAAAGCTCTTGAGCTACAGATGATTTCAGTCCACGAGCAGTACCATCCCCATGGTCTTTATATTGTAAATGTTGAGTATTATCTTGATGAGAAACATCAATTCCATGAGATTTGGCAAATTCTTCATCGATCAGATCATTCAGTTGATGATCAAAATCAGCGATTTGATGACTTGGTGCAGCGAGTCTATCTGGTTGCAGAACCCCCAACAAGGCATCGATCGAATATGTCATACCTTTAACTTGTTCAATCTCACGGTTTTCAATGGCACCAAATCCAAGGACCTTCCCATCTGCTGGAGAAACTAAATCAGAATCAGCCATAGGTCTTACACCAGGTTTCAATTCACGATAGAAAAATTCTGACAAATTTGAATACGTGGTAAGGTCTGGTTCATTCATTTCATCCAAATTAACCCCAAAGATCGCCGAATAAAGACGATATGAAGGACTACGAAGCCATACAGGGAGGTCAATGGAATTGACTTGACCCCAAAGACGAGAAATCGCTTTAAGAGGGAGTGTTGAGTATGCATAGAGTGGCCATGACAGCGGTTTAATGGCATACTCGTTGGTTGGACCCATGTCATGACGTTCATATCTCATCTTGGCTGCAACACCACCAAGCACAACCGTCAAGGAGGTCACGGTCCACCAACGGATGAACCGACGACGTTGTTGTCTTTGTTTACGGGCCTCAGCGGAGAAAAATCGTTTATGGAAGTTTGATGTCTTGGTACGTATCTGTTTAGTGGAAAACAGTCTTGACAGGATCATAGGAAGACGGCTTCCAACCCCATGTAAGGAGACAGAGTTAGCACCCCAGCTTGAAGGGAATAAGACGCTTCTTTTTGGTCTAGGAAACCGTGGGAACAGAGGCGCGTATCCATACAAGCCACGTACACCAACTGACTTGTTGTTGATCACACGTTCAGTGCTGCCATTCACATGAACATTTTCAGTGGCTCTGGAAAGTGGACGAGTGATATTCTTTTCAAGACGCACACCTTGGTAGCCTCCACCACCATTACGGGGGTATCTCCAAGGGGATGATCTCACCTTGGAAAAGGATTGAGAAGAGGGTCTGTACGACATTACTAAAGAGAAAGAACAAGAATGAAAATATAAAAATTTTTAATTTTACCGGTCTTCTCTCCGTTCCAGCTACCTTGTGGGACAAAGGGTAGAAAAGTGCTAGGTTATAAGATTTCCTAGGTCCTGCTTAAAACACTACTCGTGTGGACTCTAAATTTTTTTTTTTTTTTTGTCCTATTTTTTTTTTTTATTATGATTATTTTTTTGTTATTGACGAATATTTATTATTATACAAGAGTAACACGAGCATGTGAAATTGAACTTAATAAACGGTGTTGGGCAAAATTGGTCAGAATTTACGAGCATTTGATATGTATTTACGATAACGTCGCCTGTTCTTGCATTCTCTCATTTTCTAGGTGGTGGTTATTGGTTTATGTCTAGGCTCTTATCTGAGTTTTCATAATAATTGGTGCATATAGGGGTACTCTCGCTCTTCCAATGCACAACACTTAAACTTGATAAACCCCATCATATTGTTTTTCATTTTTTTTGATTATTATTATCATTGTTATTTGGAAATAGTAAGTTGTGGCATGCAATTATAGATCTTGTATACCCCAACATTTCCTATTATTTTTCATTCTAAGATCGAAATATATCTCATATTGTATGCAAATGCCTCGTTTATATTAACTCTTCCTAAACATCCTCTTTCTTAAATTGTCAACATATCTATGAGATACATAACTCATTTTCCCTGTTTCACTGAATGCAAATATAAGTCTTAAATTCCATAAATCATTAACAGTTCTAGGTTTCAATGCTAATTGAGCAAGTTCAATCTTGTTATCAACCACATTAAACATGGAAAACATTGAATTATCTGAATCTTCATCTCCTCTAATCATATTACTTTCGTAGAGTAAAACTTTCCGTTCAAATTCGTCTAAACTCTGTTTTAACACTTCTAATTGACCAATCATAGAAAGATCAGAATTGATCGCAATCTCACCATTGGCAACTTGTAATGCTTGGTTTTCATTTTTAAGAAGCAGTCCAACTGATGCCTCGAGGAGTTGATGATTTCTTCTTCTATAAACGAAAATCGTAAAAGTTTTCTTGAAATTTTCCAAATATGATGAATTTAAAAAGAAATCAATTGTAACTTCAAAGTGGTTATTGGAACTAACCTTTATTTGCAGAATCTCTCGGAATGGAGGGAGTAAACATGGAGAATTAGTTTCAATGACATCTCCGTTACTCTTGTGGATTTCTATTGGAACTTTGCATGGTAAATTTGATGTCACGTCTCGGATTACCAAACATCTGGGTTCCACTGCAAGAGCCCAGAAATGACGCATTGCTTGTAAATGGACTTCGTAATCGCTATTGGAAGATGGGAATACTGGATACATTGAAGTGACTAGACATGCAATACTGAAATGTGATGTGGAAAATGCATATTGACCCCCTCCAAGAAATAAGAATCCTAATGCCATGTTGATCGCCATATAACTTCCATATTCCATTTCTTTACTAGTATCCCCATGGAGAATTCTCAATCTACGGAATGTCTCTAAGTCACCACTTCCAGCCATTACTACCGAAACGCATAATGCCAATAGGTTACGAATACTAATAGCACTATGTTGTGCAATCTTTTCGTCATAATTTTTAGCTGACCTGGCCAGTACTTCCATCATCAAATCCAAGAAATGTAATAGAGTATCTCTTGCCATTTTACTTTGGCTGGATGCATTTTTCACAGCTAAAGCCATGCAAATTCCTCCTAATACGTTGAAAAATGCCAATTGATCACTATTCAATTCATTTAACCCATCAATTGTCATGTATTTTTCTCTCAAACATATTGGGATTTCAGACTCAACCCATTCAATACTATCACCTGTCTGATCCCACATGATTATATTTCTGGCCATACATCTAAGAAGTAACAAGTCTGGTCGAATGTAGTCAAGAAGCCTTTCAGTCTCCGGTACAGTTAACTTGTTCGCAATGGATACTTGTCCAGTTTTCATATAAATAAAACCTAAAGCCATAACTGCACCGCAACAAGATTTATCAAGTTCTTGCGATGTTTGAAAATCCTTCATTGACGTTGCAAGTGCTAATAACTTATCAATAACATGAGTATCACCTAACCCTTTGAGATCGTTTCCCTTTCCTAAATTAACAAATCCAAGTGCAATCCCAGCTGCAAGTCGGTAACCTTCATGAATTTGTTCTGAATCATTTTGTGAAACTGATCCGGTAACTTGTAACAACAAGACTTCACTCATTCTTCTATGTTGAGTGGCAAGATATAATAAGCCGATACCTATAAGTCCCGCTGTCTGAACAATTATTGGAACATTCAAATCATTTGCACCTTGCGGTAATAAAGCGACTGCGTGCACAGATAAAACTTTAGTTAATTTATTGTCCATGGTTCCTCGTAAACTTGCAGCCATCCCAATTAAAAGCCCAACACTCGTTAAAGGGTGTTTAGGCCCCAAATAATTATATATGTGCCATTCCTCTAATTTCTTCAAGTGCCCATTGAGTCCTAATCCAAGTAAAAACCCGGCATGTTGTGAGTTTAATTCTGGGGGTTTATTGAATATTATCCACAGACCACTGATCCCCTTAGACTCGGGACTCACCATTAGACCTGAAGATACGCCATTATGGAAGTACCCCCATTCGCTGGTATTCTCGTTAAGTGAATCTTTGGAGAGAACAATTGTTGCCATGGAAGGTGAAATTAGAGTGTTGAAGTTGAATTTAGGAATAGGAAACTTCTCTGTCATTAATGGCATACGACTAGAATAGAATAATGCAGCACGGCCCAACGGAATGGTTAGCGTTCGTAATGCTACTAATGCAGCTAGTTCTCTTTGTAAAACAACAATGTCATATTCATTTAATGAAACTTCTTGACCTTTTAAACTTGCAGTTTGAACCTTGGTTTGATGTAGTAACGTGGTAATTTCGTAAAATCTTCGATCATAATCAAATATCAACTTGGTGATACTAATTCTATCTGCTTCAGCTTGTCCATCCCAAGCAGTTATCGATTCATTCTTATCGAAGACATTGCTTAAGATGTGCTGGATCGAAGGGAACGTGTTTGAAGGTTCTGCCAGAGCGCCTCCTGTTACCCCTTTATTACTCCCGATATCTCTATTATATTCTGTTTCTAGAAACCTGCTTAAATCTCTTCTCCCCACCAATTCTAATGCCTCGCTGGTCCATTCAAACGCTGGTCGTTCTTGACAGTGCAGAATAACTTCTTTCAATGGTAGATATATCCCAGGTGGGTATAACTCTAAATCACTAGATGATATTCCGTATTCACACATCATATCCACCAATTCATTTGGGCCATAATGAGGAGACACTAACACTTCAAATAATCTCAAAATATAATAAGTTTTCGGTGTAATTAACCGATCGACAGATTCATCTTCTTCAACAAGTTGCAGAAAGGTCACATACCTGATAATCTTTCCTCCAAATAAACTACATAATGACTCTAAAATATTAGGGGGTGACTCCAAGATGGACACCAGAAGAAATTGCACTGAATTGTCTATCAAATCATTGTCTATCATGTAATAAGAGGTCCACATTTCCGACCACCCCATCCATGTTGTTAATTGAGTGAGAAGTTGCCCGAGCTTTGACAAATTATGACCACTTAAGGCATCTAGCTTTAATTCTTCTTGAACTAGATGCAATGAAAGTACGATAAAGGGAGCTAAATCACCAAATGAATATTGGAAAGATGCTGTTTCGTGTAAAATCTTGGCTGCTGGTAAAAGTTTGGTGATTGGAGTTTCGTTAGAGCTTGAAAGGTTGGACATAGGGTATATGATACTTAATAGCATTATAATAAACGCATTCCATTCATCTTTCAGTTCATCCAAAGTCATGGCCAGGCACCATAGCATCCATAAAGTTTCCCTAATTTTGGAACCTGAAAGATATCGAAAGCATTTCAAACACATGGTAACCAAAGTGCTTGAAGGTTCAAGAACTAACCTCAATATGTAAGATTTTCCAGATTCAGACTTCATAGATACATCAGAACCACATGAGCTTTGGAGGGAATGAATGGCGGGGAAGCTACCAGCTTGGAACTGTAAGTCTATAGATTCAATCTCCAAGAATGGGTTGACCAACTTGATGGACGATGGCGATGTTAATACCACCAACCACCCTTGGTGTGAATTATTTTCAAGTGGTATACATATGGAGTAGTCAAGGGTGTAGCACAGTTGATACCGATAGATGTGAGAAGGTTGTTGGCGATAAATATATACTTGAGTTTTACTTTCAGACAGTATGACCAAGGCTTCTTGGTCTTCAAACTGAAGAGTATGTATTCCCAGTGGCTTAACGGAGAATGTATCTAAACGCGTCAAAATGAGATCTTTCCGAAGTGTAGAATCATTTCGTGTAGATGAATGTTGATCTGGAAATCCTGGTTCTGACCCCATTCTAGCAATGGATGATATGTCTGATAAAAGTGTACTGGTACGTTTTTTCTCCATGTTGATAGAAGGGATGTGTTGTTGCAGTTGTTGTGGATGTTGTTGCAGCAGCAGCAGCAGCAGCAGTACTAGGTTCTGGGAAGGGTGTTGTTGGGGTTGTAAATGTTGTTGCAGCTGTAAACTTTGGTGTTGTTGCGGCTGCAATGGATGAGACAACGGTTGTAATAGTTGTTGTTGGTGGTCCATATCTTCATCGTCCTCAATCACTACTTTAGGGGCCGATAATAGCGATGGTTTCCTTTTGTACGTAGATCGATTCAGTTGGTTCAATGCTAATTTTTGTCTTTGTCCATTTCCTCGGGTAGAAGATTTGGCATGGTATAACACGACGGTACCATCAGTACGGTTGTAAGTGGCACACAACATGGATGAACCTCCACGAGCCAATCCACTTCTCCGGAACGCCACAAGTTCCTCCTGTGCTGATACGACCGAGGTGGAGGAAGTTGTTACAAGCCTAAACTCCCCTATGGGATCTACCAACGTGAGAAACTTTGCCTGTTGGAGTGCTGCTGGTTGATGAGGACCTCCTGATATTGGCAGAGGTTCCTTTTCCAAGATAAGACCAAAATCAAACGGGAATACCAGCTTAAGCGTAAAGGGTAAGCTCACCACGTATGATCGGCCATCTTTGTAATATATATGAGCAGCCTTACGAAGACACACCACAAGGGCAAGTTTGGCATTGGCGCTATTTTCATCCTCTCTAGCAAGTGATATTGGGATCAGCTTCCCCCCAATTGTGGGCACAGCTTGTGACACCACGCCCACGCCAGGCTTACTGTTGAATGTGGTATACGTGGCAGAGACTACGGGCTCTTCGTAGATAAATTTTCTTGATACACAAGCCCCTTGGATCACCACAACTTCATATCGACCGATCAAGAGTTGAATATCTCCAGGAAACAAACACGACTTGTAGCCCACGCTAGACGAGTATGCATGACGGATCTCATTCCGAAGATCAATTGCAGGAAGTGCCACGGACATCTCTCTAGTCAGCTGGGGGATCTGTCTATCCTCCTATATGGTTATGATTGGGGATTGATTACTATGTTTGTGTGTTTGGTCAATATTTACAATTCGCGTTTTGGATGCAAAGACGAGATTCTTCATAAATCTTCATAAATCTTCATACAACGTATTCACACAAACTACAACTTAATTTACATTCAAAGTCTCTGCATCACTATATACAATTTCGACGCTAAGCTATTTACTCAATAATTCTGGTGACCAAACCGGTACCGACAGTTCTACCACCTTCTCTAAGGTTGAAACGTTGGTTTGGTTCAATTGGAGTCTTCTTGACCAAAGTGATTTCCATTTCAACGTTGTCACCTGGCATAACCATCTTGGAGTGGTCAACGTCTTCACCTTGAGGGAATCTCAAGGTACCGGTGACATCGGAAGTTCTGATGAACAATTGAGGCTTGTAGTTTTCACCGAATGGGGAGTGACGTCCACCTTCATCCTTAGTCAAGATGTAAAGGGAAGCCAAAACCTTGGTGTGGGAGGTGACGGAACCTGGCTTGGCCAAAACCATACCACGGGAAACTTCATCTCTCTTAACACCTCTCAAAAGAATACCGGCGTTGTCACCAGCCATGGCAGAGTCCAATTCCTTCTTGAACATTTCAATACCAGTGACGGTGGTCTTGTATGGCTTGTCAAAGTCACCAACAATTTCGATTTCTTCACCCTTCTTCAAAGAACCTCTTTCGACTCTACCAGTAACGACGGTACCTCTACCAGAAATGGAGAAGACGTCTTCAACAGGCATCAAGAATGGTTGTTCCAAGTCACGGACTGGGGTTGGGATGTATTCATCGACAGCGTCCAACAACTTCATGATAGCTTCAGAACCAATTTCTGGTTGCTTGTCTTCCAAGGCACACAAGGCAGAACCCATGACAACTGGGGTGTTGTCACCGTCAAAGCCGTATTGGGTCAACAATTCTCTCATTTCCATTTCAACTAATTCCAACATTTCAGGGTCATCAATGGTATCAACCTTGTTAACGAAAACAACCAAGTTTTGAACACCAACTTGTCTGGCAAGCAACAAATGTTCTCTGGTTTGAGGCATTTGACCGTCAGAGGCAGCAACAACAATGATGGCACCGTCCATTTGAGCGGCACCGGTAATCATGTTCTTGATGTAATCAGCGTGACCTGGACAATCAACGTGGGCATAATGTCTCTTGTCGGTTTCGTATTCAACGTGAGCAGTGGAGATGGTGATACCTCTGGCTCTTTCTTCTGGGGCTCTGTCAATAGAACCGTAGTCCAAGAAGGAAGCACCACCCTTGGCGGCCAAAACCTTGGTGATGGCAGCAGTCAAGGTGGTCTTACCGTGATCAACATGACCAATGGTACCAATGTTGACGTGAGGCTTGGAACGGTCGAAAGCAGCGTAGGTACGGATAGCTGGACGGGCAACAGCGGCTCTACGCACACTTGGAAGTGCGGAACGAACACTAGTGGCAAAGTTCTTGAGCATTTTTGATGGACAAAGAATTTAAAAACACAGTAAAAAGAATGAGACGTGGTGCTTTTTTGTCAATCAAATGAGAAAAATCAGCCCGTCGACTGAAAAAAAAAAATTCAAAAAAAAAAAATATTTTGGGGTCGTGTGGGGGAGAAGTAAATGGAAAGGAGGTTATTGGTGGTGAATTATCGGGGTTGATTTGGCAATGATACGGGAGAGGTTGGATAGATATTTTAGTAAAGTTGGTTGGTGGGTGATTATAGGAGTGCTTAAAGAGAATGATCGGGGGGAGAGGAGTTGATAGATGAATAGATTAATCGGTATATAAATCTGGTAATATTATTGTTTACCGGTGTGAGTTAAAAATGTTTTAGTGTGTTGATCACGTGAGGATGTGAGAATGATGCATGGAAATGTTATGAGTATGGGGATTACTGGAGAAGGGTAATCGAAGGAGGAAGTTTTGACGGGATTTATAGATACTTTCATTCATTATTTGTTTAGATAGTCTAGTCAAGTTGGTGTAGTGGTACTACTATTGTTGAGTACTTGGTGGGGGTTTTGAAACCTTTAATTTGATGCCGATTTTTTCGGTTTTAGAAGTGTAATTAAACCTACAATAAGAATGAAGAATCGTTAAATAATGTAGAAAGCATCATGATATTGAGACCATGATATAGATCATTTATCTTTATTACATATATTAATGATATATTCTTATTCTTATTCTTCTGATTACATAATCTTGTATGATCTAAGGGTGCGGTGTATGGATGTTCTGCTTGGGGATGAGATAGGATAAAGAATGGTCAAGTGATAATTGATAAGAATATATAAGAATAATATTAATAATAATAATATAGAATATGTACCTTTTAGTTGACATACCTGGAGTTGACAAACTAAAGTTTGAAGATGTTGAAAATGTAGAGGAGAAATTAAACGATCTTTGTATCCCATGTTCAAAATGGATATGTAGTACAAATGGTGGGATAATTTCAGCCAGGGCCAAATTTCCCTTATTGGGGGGCAAGGGAGGCTTTGGAGCCAACCTTAAGGCTGCAGGTGGTAAGTCCAAAGGTAAATCTGTTGGGTCTATCGATTTACAAAGAGATTTAACCACTGGAGAAAGAGTTAAGGATTTAAAGAAATTAAAGAAATTAAATAATGCCATTCAAAATTGTCAAGATGAAGAACGATTAAGATTACAAGCAAAGAGGGAAAAATTAGAACGAGCCATAGCATATTACGAGAAGAAATTGGCACCAAATGAGAAGTTTGATGACGTTGAATGGGAGCAAGAAGCTGAAAAATTGATGGATGATTTACAAGAAACTTTAAGTGTTGCATTTGAAAGTGAAGATGAAGATGAGAGTGAAAGTGAGGATGAAGATCAAGATGAAAGTAGTGAGAGTGAAGATGAGAAGAATAAAAGTAAAGAAGATAATGATGAGAATAAGAAGAGTAAAGATCTTAAAGATGGACATGAAGTATCAATAGAGAACAAAAAAGCTCCTAAATTTGCATCATTCTTTGACTAAATTTTATGTATTCATCTAAACATATGAAGTTGTGCCAGTGAAATATTTGTCATCTTACTTATATTTCTTTTTTTTTTTTAATGATGAATCAATGGACTTCCCTCTCGGGTGTTTTCTTCAACTATCCGGTCAACTTCTCTTCTTTCAGCAATCTCTGCAGCCAACCCGTGGTCACGGAAATATTCGTAATAGATACATAAACTGAGCAAACACCCTTGCAAGATGGCTGCAGTCATGTATGAGATCCATGAGCTCCAATGAGACCCCTTGGTGTACATCAACGTGAATGTGAAGAGAAACCCTCCAGGGGTTTGGATACACATCATACCAATTGAAAGAGTTCCTGGATGTTTCAAACGATATGTGGTATGGATTTGAGGTGCATATTTCACCATGGTTAACACGGTTGACAATAAACCATTCAAGTTTGCTATACTTAATAATAATCCATGGTCATTCATTACAACGGCAAACAAGATCTGCAAGAGTGAAATCACTCCATGTAATGTAACCCAATGACCCACCGTCACGATTTTTTTGTACTCTTCATGGTCTTGTTTATCTGAATATCTGGTAAGAATCAAAACAAACACCAAAATTAAAAGTGCACATAAACATTGAATACCAATTTGAATGAGATTTAATTGAGAATTCAAACAATTGAACAAGGTCAATTGGCCACTGAAACAACATTGACGGGCTCTGGAACTCACCAAGATGATGTTTGTGAATGTGAAAATCGAGGAACATGAACCCAAGAGTAAGAAGTTGGTGGAAAGACCTTCAGAGGTTCTCTTTTCCTTAATACGAAGATATTGAGGAATATAACTGGCAATTATTCCAAGGGTAATTAATACCAGAAATCCAAAGTTTGCCACTGAGGCGCCATCATAAACGGAACAGTAATCCTCGGGGGATTTCATTTTCGGAGTCTAGAAAGTTTTAATGGGGGATGGGTGGGAGCAATTTAACGCTCTTATCAAAGTATAATTGTTTGGAGGGGTCACTAATCTCTCAAGAAAATTATATTGGTCTGCGAGTCCTGCAGTTAGAGCAGAGCTGATAAGATATAGTAATAAAAGAGGAAATAGAAATAAAGAAACAAGATGTATATATTTTTAAGGGGAGTTAGATATGATGGATGGTATTGGATTGGATTGGGAATTAAGTGGAAGAAGTGAGAGAAGTGAAAGATGTGAAGATAAGTAGATAAGTGAGTTAAGTTAGAGATAGTAGCTATAATGAGGTCAGTTGTATGCAGTCAAAAAGCTTGTAGCCGGTCTTTGCCCGAATTAGACTAAGTCCAACTAACTTTGAGATAAACTTCTCTCTATTCTTCTACTCTATATTTTAATCTATATTTTTACTCTATACATTTCTATAACTCTACTCTATTCTTCTCATTATTATTCATTCTCTCATCTCAACTCTTTTCAATGTTTATAGGAATTTTCATGACTATTGGTTCAGCATGTTGCATGGAAATAGTAATTTTCAAATAATATAAACGACCAATGATACAACTTTGGAAACTTGGAACTAAGCATATATCAGATTCTGTATGGAATGTCTTTTCATTGATGGAAACAACTGTCTCGCCTGAATATTCCGAGGAATTTGCACCAGACGTTTTGCACCATTTCAAAGGGGATATCTCCACATGATCAGCACGGATCGATGTATACTTTGGTTGAAGTTTAGCAAGACTTTTTATATCCATGAAAAGTTGTTTGGATACATTTATATTTTCCCAACCAACGACTTGTGAAAGTTTATTGATGGTGGTAAGATATCTTTGAAATTTATTGGTCACAATATGTTCAAAACTTTGATTGGTTGAAGAGGAATTAGTAAATAATAGATCATGATAAAATTCAATTGGTACTGGGTATTTTTTCGACCTATAGGTGAAAGCAATCAATTCCACAGAAATATTTTTCAATTCAGGAGGTGATTTGGTACCTTGGAATGTAAAGTCAAGAGGGATTGTTATACGAGAGTTAATTTTCTTTGTAGCTTTCGTCTCGTGTGTGACATAGGGTAACACATATGTTCGTTTAGGGGTAGATAGAGATATAACCCCAATAGATTTGGCCGCGCTGGTTAGAGTGGCCTTTTTAATGCAAGGTATTGTAAGAGAATAAATCGGTGGTGACGATATAGATAATTTCTCCATTGGCTTGTAAAGATGAGGCAATTTTCTGGTGGAACTTTTCCTCATAGGAGTCTTTCCCGAAGTTTGATCATTCTCTAAACTTTCATCAATTCTCAGAATAATGTTCTCATATACAAGTTTTGATTCTCTCAAAATTTGATCTTTAGAAACATCTTGTGAAAGTCTTTCTCGTGGGATAAGTCGGACATAACAACTAGATTCATTGACTAACACAAATTCATCTTGGATAGAATCCTTAAATATTTTAGGGTAATCTGAAGCCTTCCCTACCACTCTAGCCTCGATACTGTATGAAATGGCAGTGTCGGGGAATGAGAAATCTTTAATTCTTGTTTTCAATACCTTATGAACACCGTTTTTGGACCCAATAGACAGAGAAGATGATGTAGCCTTGAGTTGTGGACGTGTTGATTGAGCTGAAACGGGTGGACGTTGTTGTTCTCTCAATCTTCTCAATTCAATTAGAAATTGTTCTCTAGCTAGGCCAATGGTTGGTAAAGCTTCACAATGTTGCAGTAAATTGTGTATTTCACAAGCACAATCCAATAATTTTTCTGGTATTGTGAAAGTGAAAAACTTCTTGTAGGTCGTCTTTGGAGCAAATACTCTTTCCATGGGGAATTGAAGTGTTGTCCCATCGATAGGATCTATTCCTGATTCTCTTACATTAGTATCAATAAACGCTGGAGTCCATGAGGCGTTATAATCAAACATGTTGAGAAATTTATAGAATATGAGAGGACATTTCGAATCAATGGTATCACCAATGGTATTCATGACTGACACTTTCCCTTCAAAGACCACCGAGAACATGTTAAACGGCACGTCTGCAGAAGAATCGTTTCGGACAGTCACATATCCAAAGAGTGAATCACCTTGTTGATATTCAATTTCAAATGGATCTTCAATCAAATTAGGAACCTTTCCTATTTCTCCAGGTCCATCAATTAATTGAATATTGATCTTAAGTGGATGTGGTTGCTTCTGAGTACCTACTCGTTTGAGTTTATGAGTATTCCCCAAAATGGAGTTTTCCCATCGACTTGACTCTGCGGGGTAAGATGAGGCGGGGGTTGAAGTTGATGATGTAGGGCTGATGGTGGTACTCCTTGCCGGTTGATCATTTGAAGAAGGAATCGATACCCCAGCAAAGTATCCATCACCTGTACCTAGAAGCTCGTTGGGAGAAGATTGTTCATAGGAAGGAGGGTCTAATTTTAAGTCTTCTTTGGAAATCAGAAGAGTTTTGGAAAACGTAGCCTCATAGAGTTGATATGAGGGAAGAATGTTCCAGGTGGGGACATCTTCGTGTCGTGGCGAGACTAAGGGGTGCACCTCGGGCTCACTATAGTGTGGAGATACTTCTTGACGAAGTATATCTCTAGATGAGGTCATATAACCCTCTATGGTGATAGTTGAAGGATGAAGATGAAGTATTAGTAATGATCCAGTTTAATTGCAAAAAAAAGAAGTGTGTCCAAATGCGGGTTGGGGAAATCTTTGCGAATTCCGCCTTAAAAGGTATGCAGGTGACAGCATGGAATGAATAACCCGCTCCACATTCAGTAATAATAAACGAGAATCATAGTTAACAATAAGTAGGAAGATAGGGTAGCGCATATTCTTCACTAGAAAGTTGGGTCGATCTATTGGATAAGAAAACTAGATTGAGAGAATAGTAAGGATGATAGAGGTGGATACATTTCCTGATAAAGAAAGTTAATCCTTTCTATTTGTAGGAAGTCTTTTCTCCCAATATCTCTAAAACGGGGTATGCATTTGCCAAGCAGTTTGAAAATATTAAACTCCATTGATTGTATGAACTGTTAGATGTAAAGAAAAATATACCCTTATTATGGAATTCCTTAGTATTTAGTGCATAAGTTTACTCTTACATTCTTTTTAAAGAAAAAAAACCAATTTTTAAGAGACACTTTAGTAAACTTGTACTCTCTCTTAGATTCTGTTCTATCTCTCTATATCACCAAAATAACATTATTATAACATCTTTAATTCTTTTTCAATTATATTTGTGGTTTACAATTTGTTGTTTTTGCAGCAAAATCCCATTTGAGTAAGAAATATATATATAAATATATTTTTTCATTCTTTTTTTTCAAACTGTAAAATTTCTACTATAAAAAACACTTTTGGGAAGCAAAGCTGATTTATTGTTACCCCCCCACCTCTCTACAATCCTATTAACATTACCTTGATTCTCTAATTTTTCTCTAGTCTCTCTTCACATTTGTATGTGTGATCTTTTCATTTTTTACACTCGCGACTTCTTTTCTCATTTCTCATTTCCCCTCTGCAGTCTCAATGTTTTGCAAGTTTTGATCCCCAGAAACAACTTGATCAATAAACTTTCAACGCCCCTAAAACACCCCATAAACACCCCATCACACAGCACCCATGGCATCCACGTTCTGGGCCCTTGATGCGGCACGTCGACGCCGTACAGAGCCTGTTCCCGGGACCTCGAAATGGGTGGCGAACGAATTGTACACCGTGAATGCTAGTGTTCTTTCCAATGCTGAACGCTTCGCTCACAACATGAGTGAAGACTACCATATGTTGAATGGGTTTATGAAGAGTGTCGTGAACGGAGACGCCGTTAAGGAGTATCCGATCTACGAGGAGATACCCGCTGTGCCTGAAGAGATCATCGAAGACAAAGTTGTGCCAACGTTTCCTGCAACGACAAGAGATCATCAGGAGGATCATCAAGATTTATATCAAAACACAAACAACTCAGACCATCATAAAGTCAGTTCAACCCCACTCAACAAACTTGCTCCGCCTACCCCGACTAGAGAGTACAAGGAAGTGAAAGACACATCGACTTCTTCACCAACACCTACGCGTGAAAGTGACGCTGCATCAAACTTTACCTTCATCAACCCGGTCCAAGATCAACCAGACAAAGATGATTCATTCCAAGCCATTAGAACTGCAATCAGAAAGAGTATAGCCGGTAAGTCTCGACATATTTCTCCCCAGGGATCTCCCACCACCCCGAAACGTAGGTCTGTGTTTGCTCTGTTACCGGTTAGAGAACCCATTGCTACCTTGGTTGATAGAGAACTAGAGCAAAAGACTAGAAATGTATCAGCACCAGTAATGGTGAATGATAAAGAATCAGCCCCATTGAGAAGTGCGTCCGTAAAACTTCCAATAGGTGGTAGACAACCAACTTCTGAAGACATCTCTAAGACGAAACAAATCATTCCAACATCAGATGAGATGGCAAATACTTCCTACGATACAACTACAATCATTCACAAGCCAAAGGTAAGTGCTAGTCTTGCAAGGAAATCTGCCTTAGCCACTGAATTCATGGGTCTATCAAATCCTACCACTGATTTGCTCAAAACGCCAAAATCATCATTTGAAAGTTTGACGTCAGATTCACACACGAATATTCCAAGACGTCCCACTTTGGCAGTTAGTGATCTTCAGTCAGTTGCCCAGTCTAATACACAATCCAAGGGGAATGATACCACATCTATTCCAAAGGAACTGTCGAACGTACTCCCACCGACAACTGCATCGCCATTATCCCCACGTCCATTAAATTCAAACTATATACGCCAAAGCATGAAAAGAAGGTCTTCTTTAAGATTTCCTATGAACTTTGACGGCGATGTTGGTTCTGATATTCAAGGGGAACAATTTAAGCGAGCTGAGCAAGCTCAAGAAGTGGAACAAGTGGAACAAGTGGAACAAGCTGAAGAAACGGATCAAGCCAAGCAAGTTGAAGAAGTGGAACAAGTTAAGCAAGCTAAGGAAGTTGAACAATCTGAACAAGTCAAGCAAATTGAACAAGTGGAACAAGTGGAACAAGTTAAACAAGTCAAGCAAGTGCTGGAAGTAAATGATAATGTGGCATTCGAGAAACCAACTGAAGCTAAACAGTCTAAAGAAGTTGAAAAACTGGAAACTAAACAAACAGCCGAATTTATTAAACTCGAGAACCAAAAAATCGAGAAAACTAAAACCCCAAAACAGCCTTTTGGACATTCTACCGATGCTATTCCAAGTCGAATCACTTCCAATCCGTTGAGATCCGTGGAACCTACCATTCCAGCTTCTAATAAAGAGATACGAGTTACTTCAGCTCCTACTATCATGCCAAATTTGCCACCTTTTACAAATCTGTCCCAAATTCCTAATGTTCCTAGCAAAACTCGAATTCCGATATCCGCATCTGATGCTGCTTCTGCTTTTAACACTGCATCCTCTGCATCTACTTCTAGACGTGTCACAGCACACAATAATACTAATACTGCTACTAATACAAATACTAATTCTGAACCATCTATTGTGAAACGCGAGCCGCCCAAATCCACCCATGACCACCATATTATCACAGACACCATCCCATCAACGGTTGAAGTATCATACCCACCAATATCTATAAATTCAAACAATTCCACCCCTGAGAAGCCATCTACGAAACCAAAACAATCAAGTCCTACAGTAGCCACAGATTCTGGAATTTATGGTCTTCCAGGATCTGTGCTCAGAAGGGCTAGGAATTTGTTTCTTAGCAGTGATAAGATGCCAGTCCCATCACTCAAGCCGAATTTTAGCGGATCTCCAAAGGCAGTTTCGAAATCTAATCCTCAATCGCGTTCCAGATCACGTTCTAGATCTCCAGTACATCTCGAATCATCTCCAAAATCATCTTCCGAATCACCCCAAAAGGCTGTAAAGCAATCAGATCTTATTAATAGGCTTATGGCGCCTACATCAGCTAGTGCAGCCAAGACAAATGCATCTTTGAAACGGTTGCAGAGAGACCATAGTGGTGTTAAGAATAAATTACTTACAGCTACATTGAATCCCACACGTCCTCCAAAGTTCAGTCCCAACAAGAATAGATACGGTACTTTAAGACAACAAGTTTCTAATCGACCAATCCAATCTCCGATAAAACGAGTGAACTTAGAAAGAGAAACTTCTCCTCAGAAACAACATCTGACACCACAACCACCACTTCAAGCCCAACCACAGTTACTGAAAGTGACTGCTACCCAGCCATTACGGACTCGTACCATGCAACCAGCTAAGCAAAAGATTATGATTTCACATATGAAGCTCCCTCAACTTAGAAAGTCGCTCAAGCCTGATATTGAAGAAGATTTGAGTATTAAAAGACGGAAGACTGAAAAGCAAACTCTTCGTACTACCACGGCCAGTCCAAGTAGACATGTGTTGGAAAAACCAAGCAGAGTATCAAATGCTACCAAGACTCCAAATGGTTCAAAGCAATATAGACAAGACTCCAATCCTTATAAGACTCCAGCACGAAGTAGTAAATCGCTGATGGCACCACTTCTTCCTGAAATCCTTACCGATGAGGAAGACAACAGAGAGAAACGAATTCTTGAAGACTGGGCTGAAACCCCTCAATTGAAGAAAGTATTGCTTCAACAACAAAGTGTGAATCCAGATTTGATATTTGGAGAGATCCCACCGATGAATATTGATGATATTTTCGAGTCACAAGCTTCTAGACAAAGAGGTAGAGCCTCCCTGTCCAATTGGTCCCCGCAGGGGAAATAGCGCGAGAGTACATAACCCCAATGCATTTCATTAATTTTAAATACATCATCTGTAGAAAATTTCTTCTATCTATATCTTTAGTCCATCCTATATATTACAATATTCTACTACTCTACTTTCTCTTTTCCAAGGCAGCCTTCTTGTTCCAAGTACCCAACCAAGTGGCAGATTGTTCCTTTGGCACCACATAGATTCTCAAACTGTTATCAAACAATGGGACGTCAGGCTTGTCTGCCATCAACACTTGATTAACAGCAACCTTCTTCCCCAACTTGACCAACCCACCTTGTTCTGTTTCCATGTAACACTCCAACTTCTTGATGGTGGCAAAGTCACGGCGTTCTTCCTTTTGTTCAAACCAATCACGTGGACGGTTCAATACGATTTCGAGAAGTTCGATTGGTGTGGTAAGTTCACTGATCTCGGCAACGTAGTCAAACTCATCAAGAGTAGGGTATACCACCATTGCTGGGAAAATCAACTGTGATTCATGGTCTAATGGGTCTTCCAAATGGATCTTTGCATCTTCCAAGAGTTCCGCTGGACGGGCAGTCTTCACAAGGGTGAAATGTCTCAACTTGATGGCGTTGACCAAGATTGTTTGTTTCATTTCCTTTTCCTTTTCTTCACGTTCGCGCTTGGCGGCAGCTTCAGCAAGGGCCTTCTCCTTGGCTTCGACCTTGACCAAAGTTTCTTGAATTGGTTTGTTTTCAGGGTCCAAGGTCAACCCGTATTGGAGGATTCCTCTGGCTTCCTCGTACTTGGCAATGGCAAAGAAGGCACGCCCGGAACGATAACATGCCTTTACACTCTTCTCATCCAAAAGTAAGACCTTCTTACAATCTTCAATACAACTTCTATAGTTTTTCACTTCCAAGTGACATGCGGCACGGTTGAGGTGCAAGGCAGCGGAAATGGCGTCTACCCCGCAATCAACCTCGATACCCTTGGTATAGAAGGTAATGGCTGTCTTGTATTGCTTCTGCTTGAACGCTTCATTCCCCTGGTTCTTGAAGTTGGTGGCAATCTCGTCCGGTTCACCATCGTAAGCCAAACTCTTCAAGGCTTCAACTCCCAAGTTCTCTCCACCTTCACCGTCTGTCTCGTCCAACTCCGTCATAAAGAACGGAAGACGGTTAAGCTCCTTCATCACCTCGTCGGCAGACTTGTTAGCAAACTGTGAAATCTGTGGTGGGAGATCTGGTTCACCAGGTTTTGGCACATATCTTCTCTTGTCCCATTCGGAAAAATGTTGGATGATTTCTTCTTCAGCCTTCTCCATAGCTCCGGCAACCGCTGGCAGTGGGGCTGCGTCGGTGATCTCTTCTATCTTGGGCTCGCTCATGTTCGTGGAACCGTGTATTGTGTGTGTGTGGACATACAAAGTGCAGCCATCAAAATTTGATGGAGGTTTCTTTTCAGAACTTTCTTTTTTTTTTTTTTCCTCAATTTTTTTTCTCTCTTCTTCCAAAGAGTTCTAAAAAACACAAGCAGTGACATTCTTATCAAGAAAAGGGCTGCAAGTTCAAATTTTCTTAGATAATATGGTATCAAAATAGTGCTTACAGATGTCTCTTTCATAAGAATTATTTATATGTATATAAAATAGGTATTCTAACCTTCTATTAATCTAATTTACAATTATTTTGTTATGCATTTTGCAGCCATTTTCCATCACTGTGACCCCTACTCTATATCTTGAACCCACCTTCATCTTTATGCTGTTACTTCAAGACATATCTGAATATTATTTCAGTTTATCATCTCTAGATCAATTCCAGTTCATCTTCTCTGAAGAACTATTGGAACCTTCATGGTCAAATTATCCCCATTGGGACACTTGATGTGTACTTTCAAATAATACATTCTAATCAAATAACAACTTTGGAAGTCTGGAACCAAGGTGAATTCTTTCCCCGGGTCCACAATGCTGTTTAAGTCGACAATAACATCGAATCGTTTTGTATATTTGCACTCATGACCAATTTGTTCCTCTTCCCATGGAATTGATTGAAGCAGTAAAAAATTCCCATGCCCTCCTCTCGATTGTAGTACCACTTTCTCAATCTTCATGTAATCATATTTGGTCCCCAAGTTGGCTATACTCTTGACATCCTCAATTAAGCGATATGCATTGGGCCCAAGAACTTCTGGCCCCCCATATTGTTTGATGATCTGCGAAAGCTTTACCGCATATTTCTGGAACTTTAAGATGGTGAGATATTCAAAGCAATCATGACTCGATGGTTTATTTTCAAACAAATGTTCATGGGTAAGAACCAGCAGAATTGGGTGTTTCTTGGCCTTTATGGTGAGTGAAACCAACTCAACTGAAATATGTCGGAAATCAGGAGCCTTCTTTTGTGCTTTATCAGAAAAGATAAAGTGAAGATCGAGTGGAATTCTCACTAGTGATGGCGTGGTTACTTCTGTTGGTTGATATGATACTTTAATATCTCCCTTGGGCATGCTCAAGGCAACCAATCCAATGATTTTGGTCCCAAGTATAGACTTCTTACGGTATTGCATAAATATCTCGTACAAGGACGACGTCAGTTGAGGCGTTTGGGTGGCATAGTATGACTGTCTGAGTTTACGAAGCTCTGTAGTGCTAGGGGTTGTAGTGAGTTTCGGCCGGCTTGAAGTTGGAAGGGCGAATGTTTCTGCAGATGGTGATCCAATGGGAGATATCATGGGAGATATCATGGGAGACATTTGGAGCAAGGGATTCACATTACCACCGGCGCTCCCATTGACATTATTATTATTAGTATTATTATTAGTATTATTATTATTATTATTCCCTGTAACGGAATTCGCCACCACCACATCAATCGAAGATATTGAAGTTCTTCTGGATGAAAGTGCTGTATTACCGCCTTTCAATTCCTCTACTTTTTCTTCAATTTCCTGTACCAAGTTCTTATAAACCAACATGCTTTCTTGGTTGATCATTTCTCTATTTGATTCAAACACATTGTTCGTGTTTGGAATTACCCTCAACTCACACAGCTCCTCTCCCCCCACCATATATTCATCACAATCTAAATTCACCCCGTACTCAGAGGCTCTTGCTATCAATTTTGCATTCACGCTATAAACCACAGAACAGTTGGGGAAGCAAAAATCTTCAAGCTTACTACCACCCATTGTTGGTGGAAGTTGCATGTGTTTAACAAGCCCATGGGTCTCACATACACTTTCTAAAAGCTTTTGTGGAATTTTAAACGTGAAAAACTTTTTGTATGTGACCCCGGGTTCAAGAACTTTCTGGAAACTCAAATCTATGACAGTATTATCGCTCTGATCCCAATTCTTGGTGTATGGGCCATGCGGATTTCTATGGTCATCGGTACTCAACCGATCCAAATATCCATCATTCCACAGCGCGTTGAAATCAAACAAATTAAGAAACTTGTGTAGCACCGGTTTTGAGGAGCCATCTTCCAAGGTGATGATCCCTTCAAATAGTACCGCAAACATTTCAAATGGAATGTCATCCGTTCCTGCGTTCGTTACTGTAAGTACCCCATGAATGTAATCGCCTTGTTTGAGTTCGATACGTGACAATTCTTCTGGCTCCACAACTTTCAGCTTGACCCCAACCTTGGGGATATTTTCCGTAATGGAAATCTTAATCTTAATATCGTTTGCTAGCTTTTCATTATAAGTATTTAACCGTTTTAATTTATGTGAATTGGCAAGAAGGGTATCTTCAAACCGGGTAAAGGTGTCTGCATGGGTCTGTTGTGCAGCTCCCGCGGGATGTGGTGCTTGTGCTTGTGCTGAGGAGGAGTTTGACTGGGCTGGGAAATATCCATCTTGTATCATCAGATCGTGGTTGACTGCAGGAGATACTAATGGAGATGTTTCCGGGGTTAGTTCGTACATCGGAGGAGAAACCCGGAAGTTTTCACTACTGGGAGTAAGATCTCGAGATATGGTCGACTGATGCATTTGGTACGAGGGTAATATCGAAAGGAGGAGCTCCTCTCCGTCCTCTGGTTGGTCCAAAACCATGCTAGATACCTAACAATTGTATTCCGTTCTGATCGATCAGATAGTCGTAAACGGTTAGATCATCCTTATATGTTTGTAATCATGTGAGGTACGCACTTTTTGTTCTAGTGTATAGTGTACACAGGCCGGCCCGTAATGGGCAAGTCGCTGCGGCCCGTAAATTTTCCGATACTGTGGGGAAAGGTGGAATAAGAATGGTACAATGAAAAAAAAAAGTAAATTTGGGTATATAAGAGCAGGTGGAGATATCCGTTTGAGGAAGGGGAGATATATAAAAGTACGTAGGTTCATTTCTAAAATAATAAAAAAAAAATAGAAACGTCACTAAAAGCTTCTAGTGAATTATAAGTGCGCGAGAAACAAGTTTGTACTTTATAAGTCTACAGGTACGTATGTTGGAACTGTTTCTTTCTAACTAACGCTCATATATGAGTCCGTCTTGTCTATAATATATACATATCGCCAAAAGAAAAAAAAAAAATATTCTAATACTTCTCCACAATCAATGGAGCATTGACAGTCATCACCTGGTTGTTGGATAGCTTGACACATATCTTCAAGTAGTACATCCGTGCCATGTGACACAGTTGGAAGTCGGGAACCAAGCAAAACTCTCCAGATCGGTGCCCGCCGCTGGTAGATCGAAGATGGGCCTTCAGAATGTCAAGTGTCACTTCAAAATTTTTGGAGTACACAGTGTGCGACAGCAGTACAGTCTCACTGTTTTGACGCTCCCATGGCACAGAAGAGAGGTTTTTGTGCACTCCGGAAGAGTTATCACTGGCCGAAGTAATCACAGCGCCAGCGACTGCAAGATTTATGTACTTGGCATTGAGAAACGCCATACTCTTCAAGTCTTTGAAGAGTTGTGTTTCGACAAGTAATATATCTGCCCCTACTCTTCGAATAAGGTCAGTAAGCTCCTGGATATAATTCTGGAATCGTTTCACCACTATAGTATCGAAATTATCTCCACCATGTCTTTTCGACCCTTCCACTTCTTGTTCTCGGAAAAGATGTTCATGGGTGAATTCGACTGGGATTTGGTGCTTCTTTGCCTTTGCTGTAAAAACAACTACATCAATGACCACATCTTTAATGTCAGGAAGGGTCAGATGCACTTCTTGGGACTCATTTTCATGCAAGAATTGTACTTCTAATGGGATTGTGATGATTGTGTTCCCAGCAATAGGTACTCCTTCCTTCCGGTATCGTTCTGGAACCACATATGAAACTCGGTAGGGTACTTTAGGAGTGGTTAAGGTGAGTATTCCTGTCGACTTACCATAACCTGTAAGTGTCTTCTTCCTGTATGCCAAGAAACTTTGGTACAGTTCTTCATTGATAGATTTATGGGGCACTTTCAAGTTGGCCAGTGATATAGGTGTAAGACCGTGTCCATCACCACCTGAGTGTGTTGCATATAGTTGTCTAACTTTCACAACCGACAGTTCCATAGAATTCATCGGCGTAAGGTCAAGTGGACTGGCAATTCCTCCTCCAGCCCTAGCTGCTTCACCTTCTTCTGGCGGAAGATTAAGTAATTCTCTTCCTAGTTGAATTTTTGCTAGGACTGAGTCTACAAATGCCTTGTAGAATAAGTTGCACTCTTCAGAATTGGCATACAGATCGAGTTCCGGGTTCAGTAAGGGTAATACTCTAATGGGCACTGATACTTCCTTGGCAATAACATATTCATCTCCAGTTCTTGAAGTTGATTGGAAATGATATTCACTGGCTTTCCCAATGACTCTTGCATCTACCGAATAGAAAATTGACGCATCCACAAATGAAAAATCTTTGATATCGTTATGGGCCAAAGATGTGGAATTATTCGTAACACCCATATCCCTTCTATGTCCAAGACTTGGTGGGACTTCTTGATGTCTCCCAAGATCATGTATCTCACATGCATCATCCAATAATTTTTCAGGAACTCTGAATGTGAAGAATCGTTTATATTTAACTCCCGGCTGGAAGAGTCTTTTCACTCCAATGGAAAGCACGGTATTATCCCATGGATCTGTTTCCCCATCACACCAATCGTGTGGGTCTCCATTATCAGTCACCAACCGGTCAATATTGGCATAACTCCAACTGGCAAATAAATCGATCATATTTAAGAATTTATAAACGGTGCATGGTTTCTTGGTGTCTATGATACCTTGATTATTGTCCAAAGTGACCAACTGTCCTTCAAACACCACGTACACCATCTCGAAGTTGATTGGCTGCGTAGACATATTTTGAATGGTCACATATCCATGGATGTAATCCCCCTGACGGAATTCTTTGTCTTGTGGGTTCATGGGGATTGGTTCTACCCCCTTCTCACATACCCGCTCAGTCACATGGATCTGAATGTCCAAATCATTGGATAATTTATTATCGGTATGGGTGAGATTCTTCAACCGATGGGCATTAGCCAACACGGTATTTTCCCATATATTGGCAGAGTCTTCATTAAATTGGTCGTCAGCTTGTAAAGGGGTGTCAGGTCGTGAGGGTACCAGAGACGATGAGGGCGGAGCCGACGCAGTGGGAGGAGAGAATTCCCCGAAATATCCAGGGGTGCTTGCTCCACTAGCAAGAGGTGTATCCAAGGGACTTCTCATGGGACTCAAGTCAAAGGGACTGGTGGTAGGAGTCACTTCATAAGTTGGTGGGTCAACTTTAAAGTTTTCTTGCGATGGTGTAAGTGCCCGGCTAACTGTTGATTTATACATGTGATATGAAGGAAGAATGTTCAAGATCTTTTCATCTGGTGGGATACTTCGTGGTCCAACCAGTTGTGGCCTTGATATCTGGGGGGATATCGTATTCAGATGAACTGGAGTGATCGATACTGAGGATGATGTTGACGACATGTTGGACTTGCTGGGGGTGAGGTCGTCCGTAGACTTCTCTTTCTTCTTACTCCTTCTCTTAAAGAACGACATCCTGGAAAAAATTAGATATCAGGGCTTGATTTTTGTCGGGATGTATTGACAATATCAAATGTGTGGAGAGAGGTGGCTTATTACTAAAAATGATGAAGTGTGTAAATTCATATTGGAGTGCACATAATTCGGAAAAAAATGTAGAGAGATGAAGTTAAACCAAATTTTTTTTTTTTTCTTTTTTTGGGGCATTAAATTTGTGTGAGACTAACGGTGTTTGCACGTGACACAGGGATAATAAATTAGCGGTTAATTTTTTTTTTTTTTCGCCCTTCTTTTTTACAACCATGAATGATTTAAATTGGCCATCAATATATAATCAATAAAATGATATCGAGCTTTTAGGTATGATATGAGATACTAATGTAGGATGAATTGAAAGTCCATCATCACGGGAACCACCCCGGATTTTATTTTTGATAGGGCGGCGGGCATTATTTACTTTTGTCTATTGTTGTGTTTGTGGAAACAATATATACTGTGCAGACGGGATAAATGGCCCAAAGTTCCGTCAAGATATACACCAGTTTCAATCTATGTAAACATTCCGCTATTTTAACTTTCGAAAAATTTCAACCAATTAAAAAACTTCTTCAGAGTTTATCAATGATTCTTCCACACGGAATCATGAAACTAGAGTCAGGACGAGTCAGGATGAGGTTAGTTTCTTTTTTTTTTGCCGTGAATTTGTGCTCCACTTTTCCAAAAACATGAAATAGCGGGGCCGACAACCTTATTCAGCGAGAAATTCTTTGTTGTGGCCGCTGCGCAGCAAGTGCATTCTTTGGAGGGGGCAAGTGCATTCATTGGAGGATTCATTGCATTACTGCATGGTTAGAAAGGTTGAGGTAAAAAAAAAGGGAAGGCGGCTACAACGTCCCAATCGAGCAATTTCTGTCCAAAGTTAAAAACTCAGCCCGCCCTTTTTCGCACAGAAGCTTATCTGTCCGTGATTGCTATACTGTATATGGAAAACCAGACCCTGGCCAAAGCTCAGGGAACACCACAACCAACATGCTTTCCCACTAGAGCCCTCACACCGTCCTCAAACGGGACAATATCTACGGCAGTCTTCATTTGGAAACCCCGCTGAAAAAAAACGGAAAGTTAAACGCCGCTCTGTTTGGTGATGGGGTAAATAATGAAAAATCTCGGGGAAGCCTCAGTGGTCGTGTGGCTCATAAGTGCGCCTTATCTTTTATTGCGCACGCAAAATGACAATAGTGACGGAGTGGCTCCCAACGCAACACCATCAACACATAGAATAATTGACTCTTACTTCACTGCACCCTTATTCCATTACCCCTCGGGCCAAGAAAACTTTTCCATCTTTTCAATCGTATAAAAGGGTTCTGTGATTCCCCCTCCACAACCCTGGTCAAAATGTATTCCTCTCCATTAAACGAACGAACTCCATTGATTATGACTAATTCTAATCAGAAGGAAAGAAACCAAAAATTGGTGACCACTAATGTCTTGCGGGTATTGGCCTTGGCCCTAGCTGCAATGGTTTCTATGTCCATGTTCGTTAAGCTTGCTGGACCTACTTCAAGTGTACCACAACCTATCAGAAGTGGCAGGTCCATTCTTACCGATGAAAATATTCTGACCTTGAAATTAATCCGTAGAGATGTTCTTGGTGAACCCTTGGGTATCCCAACTCTTGATCCAAATACAACCCATTTGCACACTGGTATCCATGCCATGGTGGCCTGTGATGTCCCAATCTGTTCAAAGTACGGTAGAGACATCCTTCAAGCTGGTGGTAATGCTGCCGATGCAGCTGTGACTGTGGCTCTTTGTATCGGTAGTGTTAACTCACATTCCCTGGGAATTGGTGGCGGTGGATTCATCACTTCGTCCTTCCAAGGTGATGCCATCTCGATCGATGCTCGTGAAATGGCCCCTGCCGCTGCTCACAAGGATATGTACAAAGGTCACGAAGAACTTTCTAAGTTTGGTGGACTTGCTGTCGGAGTTCCTGGTGAACTTAAGGGATTGTATGAACTTTTCAAACGTCATGGTTCAGGAAATGTAACTTGGGAAGACCTTTTCGTACCTGTAGTACAACTCAACCGTGTTGGGTTTACTGTTGACGAGGTTCTTGCCAATGCCCTCCATAGTACCCAAGAGTTGGTTCCAAAGTTGGCACCAACTGGTTTGCTTGATTCTTGGGATTTTATCTTCAAAAAGAATTCAACCACCAAGTTTGTCACAAAAGGTGATTTTATTAGAAGACCAAACCTCGCCAACACCTTAGAAATGATTGGTAAAAGTGGCTCCAGTGACATCTTTTATGATCCAAATGGTCCTATTGTTGAATCTCTTGTCGAAGAAATTGCTCGTTGTGGTGGTACTATGGACGCTCAGGATTTTGCCAACTATGAAGTTAACGTTGAACAAGCTCTTAACTTTACATTTAACACCTCTAGTGATACTTCATACACCGCATTCACCGCTAATGGAGCCTCTTCCGGACTCGCTCTTATTACTGGACTTAACTTCTTCTCCACCATTCAAGACTTATCTTCTGCTTTAACGAAGTCGAACGACATCTTGAGAGTCCATCGTATCGTTGAAAGTATGAAGTGGATGGCTCTGGCTCGTTCTGCATTGGGTGACTTTACAGTCCACGAGGCAAATGCCACTTATCGTTCGGATCTTATCAAAAAATATTCATCTGCTGAATGGGCCGATAGAACCGTACAAACTAAATACTCGAACAACCAAACATTCGATTGGGAACATTATGAACCAAAGTACGAATTAACTGAACCACATGGTACCTCTCATTTTTCCATTGTGGACGCTAATGGTAACGCGGTTGCTATGACAACTACCGTCAACCTTCTTTTCGGGTCCCTAGTTTACGATAACTCTACTGGAATCATTCTTAATAATGAAATGGACGATTTTTCTGTTCCAAACCTGCCTAATGCCTTCCATTTGACTCCTTCCATCTATAACTTCATCGAGCCTGGTAAGCGTCCTCTTTCTTCAACAGCCCCAACCATTGTTGTTAGGGGTGATGGTACCATTTCGCTTCTTCCTGAATTGGTTATTGGTGCTGCTGGAGGTTCCCGTATCACTACTGCAATCTTCCAAGCTATTATTCGAGTCTTTTTCGATGAACTCCCACTTCTTGAAACTATTTCATACCCTCGTTTACATCACCAACTTATTCCAGAGTATATCATGTGTGAAGATTTCGATGTTTTCGAAGAACAATACAAAGAGGAGACTCCCAACATCATTGAATACATGACCAAGAACTTGAACCATACATTCTACGAATCTGGAACCTTGACGGTTATGAACGGTATTAGACGCAAAGAAATAGATGAGGGGTATGTCTGGGAAGGTGTGTCCGACTATTGGAGAAAAAGAGGAGAAGCAGCTGGATACTAATGGTTAAAAATAAAATAGAATATTAGAAAATGTATAGAATATTAACAATAGAATCAATAAGGATTTAATGTAAGCAGTCGTTCGTATGTCCGATGAAGATGCTTTTCATTCCATACTTGTTAATTTGCTACGACTTTGCTATGCCTTTGTCAACTGTTGTTCTGTATGAACAATAGGAATATCATTAACTTTTATTTTGTTACGATTATAATATTAGTATATTATAATATTAATATTTTGACTAAGTCCCTCTTTTAGATTGTTACCCGAAAGAAGAAAACTGTGTAATCAACAGCTTTCCGCTTTCCGCCTTCCGCCTTCCGCCTTGAGCAGCCATTAAATTTAAATTTTGCCTCTCAGGATTATACAGTTCTTTGTATACTTTTTCTTGTATTTCATATCTATACCCCATCTATTATATTGTTCACTATAGAATATCATCCTCGTTTCTCTGGATTCTGCAAGGCAACTTAATTTTGGCCTATTCATTTCTATACTAATGGCACCAATTTGTCAAGTAGGCGCAATCTGGTGTATGCATTTTCGGTGTTAGATGCACTAGATAATTGATTATCAGTAGGATTATTTTTAGACTAATTAGATACGTTTTCAGCTGAGTAGGGTAAGAGAACGTATTTCGTTAGATGTGGGCTGTTTCCCGCATTCTGTAGAATATATGTGCATTTACAAAGATGCATGTCAGTAAAACCAAAATATCTAAAGAAGCTTCAGGGTGCAGTTGAGAATATTTTTTAACAAAAACTACCACATCCTTGCAAGACCGATCTTCTTTTCTTTCTTTTTTTTTCTTTCACTCTACTAGTGGCCACGCTTATGACCTTAACGGACTTACACGGACAAAGCTAGACCATAGTTGGATATTTAGAACAACACCATCCAATAATTTGACCGTAGTGCCCCCTAGAATGATCTCACTTCATGTACTATATACAGATATAAATATTTTTATACATACCAGCAACATATTTCTGAAACATATTGTCAATCCAGCGGGTATCTTGATGATCATGTTCGTGATAGCTGATCGCAAACAATGCTCTTTGAAGATGTGGCACCTATGAATTATGCAAGTAAGTGTGCGCCCGCGTGTTCTCGAACTCCCGGCTAGTGTCCCGAGGGTTAGTATGTGTATGTATACGCACCTATTCTGCTGCGGGCCATGATTGGAACCCACACACAGTTAAAAAATATCTATTGGAATTATGAAGCAGTTGTGGCTAATTTGTTGAGCCCCTTTCATTAAAGTGACCTTTGGAGAGGGTGGAAATATCAGCAAACATCATTTGTTTCTCAGTTTCTTCGTCATGTACATTTGTACAGGGCAAAAAAAGAAGTACAACCATCTCAGAGGGCACTTTCTCATCGACTTATTTTCAACAACCGCTGTGCAGATTAGATCGTGCATACACTTCCTCTACAGAAGAATCATTTTGATTTTTACCACTCAATATATCCCCTCCTATTAATTATCTATTGGGATTTAGTGATGTTAATAGGTTGGACTTAACCAGACTTCTAATCTTTTGTGGGTTGAAGTAAGCTTTGTCGAGGTGCAAAGTGACATTTTGTCTATACACTTACCCCAAATTCAACCCTGAAGGCTGAAGTGGATGACTTTCTATCACACTTCATCGTACTTCCTGACTTCATGAAGGGATTTATGCAGCTCCCTGCCTTTCTATTGTCAAAATAAATTAAAAATAAAATAAAATGAAAAGACCCTTTCACACACAAAGTAAGAGAAAATATGACCACATTAGTCTATGCGCCAGTTTTTCAAAGTTCAGAAACCAGGTCAGGTCAGATTATATTCACACTTTTTCCTTTTTGTCTAAGATTGTAGAAACAATCGTGTCTGTACCAACTGAGTTTCCAAACTCATTGTCCAGAATACAAACTTCCCAAAAAAACAATTTGTTTTACAGACCTTGTTGTATATAAGTCCTCCCGCATGGTTACGGCCCTCATGAACCGAGACATTCAATCAAGAATGTAGAAACAAGAAGACTTGAACACAATGAATACCAACGATACTTCCGTGGGACAACGACCTACCAAATCTTACGATTTGCGGAATCGAATTTATTTTTCAAACATCTCGCCAAATTCTCCAACAGGGCTGCATGAAGTGCGTTGCATGAACTTCTGCAGAAATAGATTAATCAAACTTTGCAGCCTCAAATAATATTTTTACAAGTTTTATTTCAAACCTATAATAAGTCAGTACATTTCCTAAATGAAATGGTTTTCACATCAAAGGAATCATAATGAAATTATACAGCCTAACAGCAGCTCTTCTTGCTGCAGCTACGTCTGTTTTTGCAGCTTCTTCTGCACTAGTAGAATCCCCCAGCACCACTGTGCCAGCTACACCAATTGCTTCAGCATCCTCAAGTCCCTGCCCGGGGCTTAATGCAGTCTTCTACCCTTACACTTACCTCGATGCCTGGACCCTGAGGGATATAGAGTTTATGACTGGGGGCTACAGAAGCGAACCCAGTATTGCCGAGGCCAAGAACGTGGTAGACTTTTTAATGGTTTTGATTCAAGAAACGAGCCCGGTCGCAAAAAATATTATTTATGGACAGTCCGTGAATCAAAACTTTCTTGTGGAACTCACTGGATATTTCAAAGCACCAAAAACCGGTGAATATACATTCACTGTGATTAATGTTGATGATGCCGTGCTTATGAAATTGGGTTTTTTCGAACCTTTCCTTTATGCTCATTATAACTACCAAACCGATCTCGAAAGTGCAAAAATTACTCTTCAAAAGGATATATACTACCCAGTTAAATTCGTGTATGTAAACGCAAGAGCTGATATATACTTTCAGGTCACAGCAACGGTTGACTCCGAGGATATTGACATCACTAAATACATGGTAAACTTTGAGGATGGCTGCCATTCACACACATCAAGTTATATTCACCCTTCGAGCACACCTGCTGCTTCTAGTTCGATTGTGACTCCATCAGCAACAGCAAGTCCGTGCGACAATGTACCAGCTTCTATGAGCACTGGTCTTAACGCGGATATCTACTCTTATGAATATGGTGACGATGATTCTTATAAGAGTCTTGAATTTATGTCAGGAGGCTACAAAAGTGGAACCGTAGTTGCCCTGACCAAGAACGTGGTCAACTATGTTATTAATTTATATATAGAAGACGAAGACCCCCTGCAAATTATTAGCGTTTATGGACATCCTATGCATCCAAATTTCCTTGTGGAGCTCACTGGATACTTCCGAGCCCCTAAAACCACCGAATATTTTTTTGAAGCATATGTTAACAATGCTGTGCTTGTACAATTAGGTACTAATCAAGCCTTCACTTGTTGCGAGTCAAACTTGGTTAGCGCACCATCCAGTAAGTTGATCTTTGCCGAAACCAGTGAAGTGGGCTATGCCGAAGATACAAATTCTGTTCACCTCGTAGAAGGAATGTACTACCCAATCCGAATCGTATTTGCCAACGCGAAGGGAACGATATCATTTGAAGTCGATGTACATGATGAAACAGGATTTATCGATATAACTCCTTACTTCTACAATTTTGAGGATATCCCAGGGGGATGCCCTGTAGTATCATCAAGTTCTATTCCACCCCCACATCCGACTACTGTTACCACTTCATGGACCGGAACGTACACTTCGACTAGAACCCTCACTCCATCAGACTCTGACGGTACTACAACCATCGAGATCTACACTCCTACCCACGAATCGATTATCACCACCTCGTGGACTGGAACTTACACCTCGACTAGAACCCTCACTCCATCAGACTCTGACGGTACTACAACCATCGAGATCTACACTCCAACACACGAATCGATTATCACCACTTCATGGACCGGAACTTACACCTCGACTAGAACCCTCACTCCATCAGACTCTGACGGTACTACCACTATTGAGATCTACACTCCAACACACGAATCGATTATCACCACTTCATGGACCGGGACTTACACCTCGACCAGAACCCTCACTCCATCAGACTCTGACGGTACTACCACTATTGAGATCTACACTCCAACACACGAATCGATTATCACCACTTCATGGACCGGGACTTACACCTCGACCAGAACCCTCACTCCATCAGACTCTGACGGTACTACCACTATTGAGATCTACACTCCTACCCACGAATCGATTATCACCACCTCGTGGACTGGAACTTACACCTCGACTAGAACCCTCACTCCATCAGACTCTGACGGTACTACCACTATTGAGATCTACACTCCAACACACGAATCGATTATCACCACCTCGTGGACTGGAACTTACACCTCGACTAGAACCCTCACTCCATCTGATTCCGACGGTACTACCACTATTGAGATCTACACTCCTACCCACGAATCGATTATCACCACCTCGTGGACTGGAACTTACACCTCGACTAGAACCCTCACTCCATCAGACTCTGACGGTACTACAACCATCGAGATCTACACTCCAACACACGAATCGATTATCACCACCTCGTGGACTGGAACTTACACCTCGACTAGAACCCTCACTCCATCAGACTCTGACGGTACTACAACCATCGAGATCTACACTCCAACACACGAATCGATTATCACCACCTCGTGGACTGGAACTTACACCTCGACTAGAACCCTCACTCCATCTGATTCCGACGGTACTACCACTATTGAGATCTACACTCCTACCCACGAATCGATTATCACCACTTCATGGACCGGAACTTACACCTCGACTAGAACCCTCACCCCATCAGACTCTGACGGTACTACCACTATTGAGATCTACACTCCAACACACGAATCGATTATCACCACTTCATGGACCGGAACGTACACTTCGACTAGAACCCTCACTCCATCAGACTCTGACGGTACTACAACCATCGAGATCTACACTCCTACCCACGAATCGATTATCACCACCTCGTGGACTGGAACTTACACCTCGACTAGAACCCTCACCCCATCAGACTCTGACGGCACTACCACTATTGAGATCTACACTCCAACACACGAATCGATTATCACCACTTCATGGACCGGGACTTACACCTCGACCAGAACCCTCACTCCATCAGACTCTGACGGTACTACCACTATTGAGATCTACACTCCAACACACGAATCGATTATCACCACCTCGTGGACTGGAACTTACACCTCGACTAGAACCCTCACTCCATCTGATTCCGACGGTACTACCACTATTGAGATCTACACTCCTACCCACGAATCGATTATCACCACCTCGTGGACTGGAACTTACACCTCGACTAGAACCCTCACTCCATCAGACTCTGACGGTACTACAACCATCGAGATCTACACTCCAACACACGAATCGATTATCACCACCTCGTGGACTGGAACTTACACCTCGACTAGAACCCTCACTCCATCTGATTCCGACGGTACTACCACTATTGAGATCTACACTCCTACCCACGAATCGATTATCACCACCTCGTGGACTGGAACTTACACCTCGACTAGAACCCTCACTCCATCTGATTCCGACGGTACTACCACTATTGAGATCTACACTCCTACCCACGAATCGATTATCACCACTTCATGGACCGGAACTTACACCTCGACTAGAACCCTCACCCCATCAGACTCTGACGGTACTACCACTATTGAGATCTACACTCCAACACACGAATCGATTATCACCACTTCATGGACCGGAACGTACACTTCGACTAGAACCCTCACTCCATCAGACTCTGACGGTACTACAACCATCGAGATCTACACTCCTACCCACGAATCGATTATCACCACCTCGTGGACTGGAACTTACACCTCGACTAGAACCCTCACTCCATCAGACTCTGACGGTACTACAACCATCGAGATCTACACTCCAACACACGAATCGATTATCACCACCTCGTGGACTGGAACTTACACCTCGACTAGAACCCTCACTCCATCAGACTCTGACGGTACTACAACCATCGAGATCTACACTCCAACACACGAATCGATTATCACCACCTCGTGGACTGGAACTTACACCTCGACTAGAACCCTCACTCCATCTGATTCCGACGGTACTACCACTATTGAGATCTACACTCCTACCCACGAATCGATTATCACCACCTCGTGGACTGGAACTTACACCTCGACCAGAACCCTCACCCCATCAGACTCTGACGGTACTACCACTATTGAGATCTACACTCCTACCCACGAATCGATTATCACCACCTCGTGGACTGGAACTTACACCTCGACTAGAACCCTCACCCCATCAGACTCTGACGGCACTACCACTATTGAGATCTACACTCCAACACACGAATCGATTATCACCACCTCGTGGACTGGAACTTACACCTCGACTAGAACCCTCACTCCATCAGACTCTGACGGTACTACAACCATCGAGATCTACACTCCAACACACGAATCGATTATCACCACTTCATGGACTGGAACTTACACCTCGACTAGAACCCTCACTCCATCAGACTCTGACGGTACTACAACCATCGAGATCTACACTCCAACACACGAATCGATTATCACCACTTCATGGACCGGGACTTACACCTCGACCAGAACCCTCACTCCATCAGACTCTGACGGTACTACCACTATTGAGATCTACACTCCTACCCACGAATCGATTATCACCACCTCGTGGACTGGAACTTACACCTCGACTAGAACCCTCACTCCATCAGACTCTGACGGTACTACAACCATCGAGATCTACACTCCAACACACGAATCGATTATCACCACTTCATGGACCGGAACTTACACCTCGACTAGAACCCTCACCCAATCAGACTCTGACGGTACTACCACTATTGAGATCTACACTCCAACACACGAATCGATTATCACCACCTCGTGGACTGGAACTTACACCTCGACTAGAACCCTCACTCCATCTGATTCCGACGGTACTACAACCATCGAGATCTACACTCCAACACACGAATCGATTATCACCACTTCATGGACCGGAACTTACACCTCGACTAGAACCCTCACTCCATCTGATTCCGACGGTACTACCACTATTGAGATCTACACTCCAACACACGAATCGATTATCACCACCTCGTGGACTGGAACTTACACCTCGACTAGAACCCTCACTCCATCTGATTCCGACGGTACTACAACCATCGAGATCTACACTCCAACACACGAATCGATTATCACCACTTCATGGACCGGGACTTACACCTCGACTAGAACCCTCACTCCATCAGACTCTGACGGTACTACCACTATTGAGATCTACACTCCTACCCACGAATCGATTATCACCACCTCGTGGACTGGAACTTACACCTCGACTAGAACCCTCACTCCATCAGACTCTGACGGTACTACAACCATCGAGATCTACACTCCAACACACGAATCGATTATCACCACCTCGTGGACTGGAACTTACACCTCGACCAGAACCCTCACCCCATCAGACTCTGACGGTACTACCACTATTGAGATCTACACTCCAACACACGAATCGATTATCACCACTTCATGGACCGGAACTTACACCTCGACTAGAACCCTCACTCCATCTGATTCCGACGGTACTACAACCATCGAGATCTACACTCCTACCCACGAATCGATTATCACCACCTCGTGGACTGGAACTTACACCTCGACTAGAACCCTCACTCCATCTGATTCCGACGGTACTACAACCATCGAGATCTACACTCCTAACCACGAATCGAGTCATTCGTTTTCCAGTGTTCCATCATCTGCAGAATCATCGGAAGTATCTTCAACAGTTGAATCATCTGCAGAATCATCGGAAGTATCCTCAACAGTTGAGTCATCTGCCGTTGAATCCTCATCTGTGGTCCCATCATCTGCAGAATCATCCGATGTATCCTCCACAGTTGAGTCGTCTGCCGTTGAATCCTCATCTGTGGTCCCATCATCTGCAGAATCATCGGAAGTATCTTCAACAGTTGAATCGTCTGCCGTTGAATCCTCATCTGTGGTCCCATCATCTGCTGAATCATCTGAAGTATCTTCAACAGTTGAATCATCTGCAGAATCATCGGAAGTATACTCAACAGTTGAGTCGTCTGCCGATGAATCCTCATCTGTGGTCCCATCATCTGCAGAATCATCTGAAGTATCTTCAACAGTTGAATCATCTGCCCTTGAATCCTCATCTGTGGTCCCATCATCTGCTGAATCATCTGAAGTATCTTCAACAGTTGAATCATCTGCAGAATCATCGGAAGTATACTCAACAGTTGAGTCGTCTGCCGTTGAATCTTCATCTGTTGTCCCATCATCTGCAGAATCATCTGAAGTATACTCAACAGTTGAGTCGTCTGCCGTTGAATCTTCATCTGTTGTCCCATCATCTGCAGAATCATCTGAAGTATCTTCAACAGTTGAATCGTCTGCCGTTGAATCCTCATCTGTGGTCCCATCATCTGCAGAATCATCTGAAGTATCTTCAACAGTTGAATCATCTGCCCTTGAATCCTCATCTGTGGTCCCATCATCTGCTGAATCATCTGAAGTATCTTCAACAGTTGAATCATCTGCAGAATCATCGGAAGTATCCTCAACAGTTGAGTCGTCTGCCGTTGAATCCTCATCTGTGGTCCCATCATCTGCAGAATCATCTGAAGTATCTTCAACAGTTGAATCGTCTGCCGTTGAATCCTCATCTGTGGTCCCATCATCTGCAGAATCATCTGAAGTATCTTCAACAGTTGAATCGTCTGCCGTTGAATCCTCATCTGTGGTCCCATCATCTGCAGAATCATCTGAAGTATCTTCAACAGTTGAATCGTCTGCCGTTGAATCCTCATCTGTGGTCCCATCATCTGCAGAATCATCGGAAGTATCTTCAACAGTTGAATGGTCTGTCGTTGTATCTTCAACCATGGAGCCGCTGTCAATTGTAACCGAGAGTTCAGTGTCATCATCAATAGAGTCTAGTTTGGACTTTTCTTCTTTCTCATGGAGTAACTCTACTTACTCCACTGCGCAATCGTCTGAGTTGAGCACTGTCCTGTCTTCGATATCACCGGTTTCTTCATCTGCACAACCATCATCAACTGTATCTTCATTTGCAGAATCTTCTAATCTCGAATCTTCAACCATCGAATCGTCATCGGCTGTTCCATCTTCTGCTGAATCATCTGGTGCTGAATCTTCAACTGTTGAATCATCTGCAGTTCCATCTTCTGCTGAATCATCTGGTGCTGAATCTTCAACTGTTGAATCATCATCGGCTGTTCCATCTTCTGCTGAATCATCTGGTGTTGAATCTTCAACTGTTGAATCATCTGCAGTTCCATCTTCTGCTGAATCATCTGGTGTTGAATCTTCAACTGTTGAATCATCCGCAGTTCCATCTTCTGCTGAATCATCTGGTCTTGAATCTTCTACCATGGAGTCGTCAACCGTCATTACGGCTGATTCATCGTCTCTACCCGGTTCATCTTCGTCATCATTCATTTTACCCTCAGGATGTACTTTCTTAAAGAAACGTGATGGTACCATGGAGTACGGATGCCCATCGTCGGCGACAGAATCTAGTGATACAATGATATCTTCAACAACACCTCCGGCATCTTCGTTTGTTTTACCCTCTGGTTGCTCATTCGTAAATTCGGATGATAGTTCAATGATATTTGAATGCGCTACAGCTTCATCTACTCCTACACCTAAGAGTAGCTCAGCTGATGTTATTACAGTTTCATCATCTATTTCGTCAAATACTGATAGTGGCATTCCATGCGAAACATGTTCTCTAACATCACTCAGAACTTCTACTGCTACTGTGACAGATCAAACGACCACAGTGATAACAGTTACATCTTGTGATGATCATAGTTGTTCTGAGGTACCTGTAACTACTGGCCAAACAATTGTTACAGTAACCGTTAATGATTCCGTCACTTCATACACAACGTATTGTCCGATCTCATCGAAAACTGGTTCCAATCATGATACTACTTCAACTAAACAATTGACTACAGTTGTGACAGTGACATCTTGTGATGATCAAAAATGCAATGAAGTTCCTGTAACTACGGGCCTCACAATAGTTACTGTAACAGTTGATGATATTGTAACTTCTTATACAACCTTCTGTCCTCTTTCTGATCATAAATCCAATCCACTGACTACTGCTTTGCCTGATACGGATTTACCTCCAAATGGTATCCCCGTGGAAAATCCTTCACTGTCTAGACAAATAGAGGACCAACCAGACAATGCCAATCTGAATACTACCTGCTCCGAAGGCAAGTGCAGTGTTGTTGATAACTCAAATACCCAGCTTGTTTCGCCTTCTTCCACATCTAACGCCACTGGTTTGTCTTTAGCCGGAGATTCTGCAGCACAACTTACAACCCCTACATCGGTACATGACGCTGGTTCATCACCTACTACGATATCCAAGCCAGCGCCTTCCAGCATTGTGACTGGTGGCTCAGTGACAACTGTTTTATCTCTTTCAACAGTATTGGCAGCATTTCTTTCTATTATGTTGATTTAACTCAACGATTTCGTTTAGGACTTACCTATTCCATTCTTACTAAACCTTGCTAGAAATTTAGCCTCAAACTATTTTTACTTTCTTCCACATGCGACATAGATTGAATTCTACGTTATCCCTTATCTTCGAGAATGAATGGTTATTCCTTTGTTTTATTTTATATGTTTCTTAATAATATGATTATTTTATATTCTATTTAAAGTATCAAAGTGTAGACTTGTTGCCTAATATCTATGACTTAGACCTATTCCCTACTCCTGTGGGATACTTCTATTGATGCTCATCACAAATGTGTCACGCGATTGCCATAAAAGCTTGGCCACATTATTTTTGAAGCATTTGGCTCGGATTAACTTCGGACGGGGAAACATCAACATCATTAATCTGAGTATGAACTGATGTCATGAACTGGCGTAAAGTTTCTGGATACCTCTGTGAAAAATGATTATCAACTTTCAAAACCAATCCGCGTTTCAATTGACTTCCTGTCAACGAGCATGAATTTACTAATTGGAGGTGTGATTTCTCTATTGTTATTCCCTTAATGGTATTACTAGTTATTAAGTTCTTTGATGAATAAAAGTTTATCATTTTGAATTTGATTACACCTCTCATGCTAGGCTTTATCATGCTGTCAATTCATTTGTATTCAACATAATGTTTCAGCCCTATTTCTTCTCTGAGGAAGAAAGATAAATTTCGAGCGTATAACCCTCAAAATTATGCATTTAATGCCACTACATACCTTTTCTTTTATATTACCAGAAACGCCCAGATAAACAACAGACCTAGATTATTAATAATACTCAGAGAGATTGAGAAATTGTGTGAGTGCTTTTGCAATTAAAATGTCAGTCGATCTGAAAGGGGGGTCATGACAAGTGCCATCTATTCCTTTTAGTGTACGCAAAGGGGCAAATTCACCTCATACACACACATTTTGCTTAAAATTTCGCTTTACATGAAAAAAATATGAGTATTTTCTTAGTTAATAGTTTATATTAGATAAAAATGGATACCTCATGTATTATCTATTCCTATTACAAGGGATTGTGTGGGCTGACTCTAAACTTAAAAATTATTTTACAGGTTACATACCTACTTTCTAGTGTATACACCAATGACCTGAAATTAGTAGAACTTGGCAGAAACGCCAATACTTCACTTTCAAGCTTTTAGAATAAAAGAGGAGACACTATGTATCTGTGCCAAGTGACAGTCCCGCACACTTATATGCCCCCCGACGCGGATATATCAGGAAACCCCTTCATATCAGAATCTTCTACTGAAATTGGATGATATCTCATCTTATGTGAGAATTAGCAATGAATAAATAGAGTTAGGATATAGAAATACAAATTTGAAAGAGGAAGATTGTATAACTGACCATTCTAAGGAAAGAACTGGTTGTTAGTAACTTTGTATTAAGAATCGTGTGCATGCAGTTTTGTGACCACCCTAATTAGTTAAAAATCTCGATTGTTGGAAGATCTGGTGTATAGGTTTTCCGTGCATATTTAGTTGCATGAAATTAATTTAGTATTTTTTTTTTTCATCTGATGGGCATTTTGGTTATATTATCATTCTTAATCCATTTACGCCTCAAATATACGAGCACCAAATCCGACGATGACTATAGGTGAAAGATACATCAGCATGAGGCATGCGAGTGATACAATTTGCAGAATATTTGTTACCTATTATTCACATTATGAACAATTGAGCCACATATCTGCAAGCAGCTCCAACAGAACAAGAGAGCAGGGAACTTCCTAACGCACGTCCACAACTAAATTCTCCAGAAGAGCAATATATGTGACACTTTCAAAATAAAAAAAAATAAGATAGATACCTATATTTTGCCACTTTTGTTTATTTTCTTGAAATGAATTGTGGGAGGCGAGACCAACATATCACTTGACTCATTTCCTACGTCTACCAACCCCCTTTATGTGGCACTATTGAATAAATGTACTAATACACCAGCTTTCAGGAGTGCCCAGATATCTTCACCACCCTGCATTTACTTGAACGCACGGATTAATAGAGGTGCGAAGCCTCCCCCCAAAATAAACCATCTAAAATATAAACCTCCTGTCTTTGTATATCGAAAACTGTATTGGAGAGACTCTTAAACTGTGGTTCTTAGACACGTTTTAGGAAGTGGGAATAATGTAGGTAAACTTTTAAAAGAAAAAACAAACCGAAAACCTCGTAAGATAAACCTGCTTTTGCGTTTTTTCCCGCAATAGCTTTTTCGGAAAAGAATAAAAAACACACCCCAAATAGGCGGTACATATTTCGGGGGTTATGCATATTGCTATTGAAATTGCTTCGATGACTAAAAGGTGAATGGATTATTGTAGTCTATTACGTCACACACCCACCAGATGTTTTGCACTAGCAACGTGAAGGATTCGTTAGATTCAATTTTTAGAGTCCAGTTGGTATGAGCGACCTATGTTAGTGAACAATGCACTTGAGTAATCAATGTGGTGTGTCAAAAAAGACAGGAGTGAGTGAATATTTTTTAACTCCCAGGCTTGTGCATTTACGCAACTGCTTAAAAATTTTGAAGAAAAGATCTCGGCAACGCAGCATGTGGTGGCCGAGGTGCAGAAAAAAGAATGTACCGACTTTGCAGCCTCAAAATTTATAATAAGCAAAAAAGAAAAAAAACTACTTATAATAACTGCCAATAATGCCCTGAAGGTATTGAATCCTCCTTTCTGTAACCACAATGAAGCTAATTAACTTAACGGTAGCTCTTATTTCTGCCGTTGCTTCTGCATATGCAGATTTTCCCACTCTTGGAGGCAATGCTAGTGCATGTGCACCAACAGGAACTGGGGCCCTAGGGTTTAATGCCAAATTTTATACTTACACTTATGACGACGATACCTCACTGAGAGAGATCTCTTGGTACCAAGAAGGATACAAGACTGAGGTATTCCAACAGATGTCTGGTATCACAGATATATATCTTTTTAGCGATGCCAGCAGTGATCCTCAGGCAACCATGTTGGTCTACGGCACTCCAGTGCCTCAAAACTTTGCATTAGAACTCACTGGGTACTATTTGGCCACCGAAACTGGAAGTCACGACATCGAGTTAGTGGTTGACGATGGTGCAATGGTGACGTTTGGAGATGGGCAAGCATTTGAATGTTGTAATACTGGAAACAAGGATCCTACGGCAGGGTATAGTTTGTACGCACATTGGCCATCGTGGAGTGGAGAGCCTGGTAAAACGATTGTCTCGTATCGTCTTACTGAAGGTTATTACTATCCAATTAAGATTGTCTACGTTAATATGGCTGGTCCTGCAGAATTAAAGCTTTCTGTTAAGACTCCCAGTGGCCAAAAGATAACGAATTTTGAAAATGTGTATTCGTTTGTCAATGCCCCGCAACCATGTCCTGCTCGAATTGTTACGACTACTATCCCATGGACCAACACATTCACCCTGACCCTGACGATAAAGGGTAGTGGATCAGTTACCACCGACACTATAGAGATTTTAACTCCACTGCGAGCAACTACTACTACTGATTCATGGACTGGAACTTACACCTCCACGAGAACAGTTACTCCATCAGATTCGGATGGTACTACCACTATTGAGATCTACACTCCACCACACGTAACCACAACAACTGACTCATGGACTGGAACTTACACCTCAACGAGAACAGTTACTCCATCAGATTCGGATGGTACTACCACTATTGAGATCTACACTCCACCACACGTAACCACAACAACTGACTCATGGACTGGAACTTACACCTCAACGAGAACAGTTACCCCATCCAACTCCGATGGTACTACCACTATTGAGATCTACACTCCACCACACGTAACCACAACAACTGATTCGTGGACTGGAACTTACACCTCAACGAGAACAGTTACTCCATCCAACTCCGATGGTACTACCACTATTGAGATCTACACTCCACCACACTCCACCACAAAAACTGCTTCGTGGACTGGAACTTACACCTCAACGAGAACAGTTACTCCATCAGATTCGGATGGTACTACCACTATTGAGATCTACACTCCACCACACGTAACCACAACAACTGACTCATGGACTGGAACTTACACCTCAACGAGAACAGTTACTCCATCAGATTCGGATGGTACTACCACTATTGAGATCTACACTCCACCACACGTAACCACAACAACTGACTCATGGACTGGAACTTACACCTCAACGAGAACAGTTACCCCATCCAACTCCGATGGTACTACCACTATTGAGATCTACACTCCACCACACTCCACCACAAAAACTGACTCGTGGACTGGAACTTACACCTCAACGAGAACAGTTACTCCATCAGATTCGGATGGTACTACCACTATTGAGATCTACACTCCACCACACGTAACCACAACAACTGACTCATGGACTGGAACTTACACCTCAACGAGAACAGTTACTCCATCCAACTCCGATGGTACTACCACTATTGAGATCTACACTCCACCACACGTAACCACAACAACTGACTCATGGACTGGAACTTACACCTCAACGAGAACAGTTACTCCATCAGATTCGGATGGTACTACCACTATTGAGATCTACACTCCACCACACGTAACCACAACAACTGACTCATGGACTGGAACTTACACCTCAACGAGAACAGTTACTCCATCCAACTCCGATGGTACTACCACTATTGAGATCTACACTCCACCACACGTAACCACAACAACTGACTCATGGACTGGAACTTACACCTCAACGAGAACAGTTACTCCATCAGATTCGGATGGTACTACCACTATTGAGATCTACACTCCACCACACTCCACCACAAAAACTGCTTCGTGGACTGGAACTTACACCTCAACGAGAACAGTTACCCCATCCAACTCGGATGGTACCACCACCATTGAGATCTACACCCCAACATCTATCTCAATAACTGCGTCTGCGTCTGTTAGTACTTCATCTGTGGTATCTTCAAAAACGGAACCTTCTTCTGCTGACTCAAGTAGTCAAAGTTGGACCTTCTCTTGGCATAACTCAACGTACCCGACAGTTACAGCATCCAGTAGTGTTTTATCAAGTTCATCAAATTCAATTCCTGTTGAAACAGCCTCAGTTACTGAAACATTATCTGCTGGAAGTTCATCCATCCCGACTTCGGATGTTGTGGAGTCTTCATCCATTGAGTCTTCAGCTACTCTTACTTCAGTCATTGAATCATCTTCTGTGAAATCTTCAGAATCTTCTATCTCCACTATTACCGATATTTCAACCACTGTAATAACAGTTACATCTTGTGATGATAATAAATGTACAGAGATACCCGTAACTACTGGGCAGACAATTGTTACCGTAACCGATAATGATTCCGTCACTTCATACACAACATATTGTCCGATCCCATCGAAAACTGGTTCCAATCATGAAACTACTTCAACTAAACAATTGACTACAGTTGTGACAGTGACATCTTGCGATGATCAAAAATGCAATGAAGTTCCCGTAACTACGGGCCTCACAATTGTTACTGTGACAGTCGATAATGTTGTAACGTCTTATACAACCTTCTGTCCTCTTACTGAGAATGAGACCAATCCATTGACTTCAATCCCAGCCGTCACTACTTTACCCCATTCTATCATTCCCACGATAGTTCCATCAGGTGCTCAAACTGAAGACCAACTAGTATGGGAACACCTGTCGATTATCTGTACTGAGGGAGAATGCAATTCAGGTCAGAAGTCAAACTCTCAAGAATTTTCCTCTTCTCCTGTTACCACTGGCTTATCTTTGACGACCGACTTTTCGTCACAGACTACATCACCGGTTACAAGTTCTAATCCTACACCTACTATCACAACCGGTGGATCTGCTACCAATAGATTACCATTTGTGACAATTATGGCTTCAGCATTTCTTACCTTTATTTTGATATAGATTTATGGTTTCTACTAGATCCAAATCTATCCTATTTTCTTGCGATTTCAACGCATATGGCTTGTGAATTCTCCCCAGTACCTCGTTGTATTGTTTCCTTCTAGCAAGTGATTCATATACATTTTTTCGATTTATGCATTATTTAATTCTACGATTATTTTACTTTCTTTTATTATCGGTTCAGTGTACTTTTGTTCTCCATTTCTCTAATTCAAGCGTATTGATATTACTTATGTTGTGAGCTTATATCGGAACTGTTTTGGCACTTGTCTCCATCGCAATGAATATGGAACTATAGTCACCTTCAGTAACCATCATTTCGGATTAATGGAGTACCACAATTACAAATCGTGTTTATATATAGAACTCTATCACTATTCGTGATGATTAACTTCTTCATAGATACTTAATACGGTGTAAAAATTAATACCCCTGTTACGATCTAACCAGAATTAATCCCCTTGCATATGACGTCAGTCGCTAACAATGAGTTTGAGGTTAGAAGTAGTTTCTACCCTGCAGAGTTATACAAAAGCTACGCCTTCATATCACGCAAGAATCTTCACAGAAGATAGAGAGAAACCAATAGTTCTGAACACTTCTCCCAACATTTAATAAACAAATCCTCATTGAAAGTATCTAATTCTATTGGCGCAGAATACAAGCAAAAGAAATAATATCCTCCGTTCGTCCCTGACTCGCGTTATGAACTTATCATAGTTAGGCTATTTCAAAAGTATAACACTTTTCCCCGGATCTCACGTTATCGACCAATTAAATCAAGTCCGAACAATTAACTCGGACTTTGACGCGGTATTATTTTTGGTCGGACTTAAAGATACCCCGGATTTGTCATTCCTGGAAACTACAAATACTTCCCGATCTGCCGCCAAACGCCAATTAGCCCCATCTACTTCCTGTGTGGCTCCCTGTTACTAAATAATTTCGCACACTCGGTCAGTATGTACCACCGGTAACATCCCACACCCTTAGCCTATCCCCTTTTGTCAGAAATAATATTTTTTGTGGGGGAGGGGGCCACATTGTGTGGGGTTTTTATGCGCGGTCATTTTTTTTTCTGTTCTTTTTATTTTTTGCTTTCTCTGATCTCTACACTTTTATTCCCTACGGTTGCCAAGGCTATTCGTCCATTGGTGTATAAAATTCGGGCCCTCTCCACATTTTCTGAGTTTTAGCTTATACTAACAAGGACAGTACATAAATTATGACTTTCCAATACCAAGACTCGTTACAGAAACTTCCAATCCCTCCACTTGAACAAACATGCAAAAATTATCTTAAGGTGTTGAAGCCTTTGCAAACAGAGAAGGAGTACGAGCGTACCGTTCAGGCAGTTCATGAGTTTCTTCAGGATGGAACCGGAGCCTACCTTGACCAAGAACTTCGTAAGTATGCAGAAACCCGTAATTCTTTTATTGAGCAATTTTGGTACGATTCATATCTCAACTATGATTCCCCCGTGGTGCTTAATCTCAATCCATTTTTCCTCTTGGAAGACGATCCCTTCAACAATGAAAGCATGTGTGTTGACCCACAGGTGAAACGTGCTGCCTCCTTGACCTTGTCATCTCTCAAGTTTGTTCGTGCCCTCAAGAATGAAACGTTACCTGTGGACAAGCTTAGAAATGGTCAACCTCTTTGTATGTACCAGTACTCGAAGCTTTTCGGTGCTCTGCGTATCCCCACCGACGACGGGTGTCTCCTCCAGCTGGATCTGAAGTCACACCATATTGTTGTCATGAGCAAGTCACAGTTTTATTGGTTTGATGTGTTGGACCACGACAATAACTTGTTGTTACTGGAAAAGGAATTGGTGATCAACTACAAGAGCATTGTACACGATTCCCACCAGTCCTCCAACGACGATGTAGCCAAGTCAAGTTTTGGGGTATTGACAACTGAAAACCGTCGTATTTGGGCAAAAATTCGTAACTCTCCGGCAATCACGGAAATTGAGTCCAACAAGGAAATCTTGGATATCATCGATTCTTCACTTTTCATCTTATGTTTGGATGACTGTAAATTAGATGACTTATCGGACTTGGCCCAAAACATGTTGTGTGGATTGTCCATTCTAGACAATGGGGTTCAAGTGGGGACCTGTACAAATCGTTGGTATGATAAATTGCAAATCATTGTTACGGAAAATGGAAAGGCCGGGATCAATTTTGAACATACAGGAGTAGATGGCCACACGGTGTTACGGTTTGTTAGTGACATCTACACTGACAGTATTTTATCCTTTGCACAACTCATCAATGGGAATGCGCCTTCTTTATGGAAGGAAGATGATGACAAGAAAGTTGCAGAAAGTTCCAAAAGTATTGATGATCTTGTCACGATCCCTAGAAAATTGGAATGGGAACTTACTCCTGATCTTTCCTTGGCATTAAGATTTGGTGAAACCAGACTTTCTGATTTGATCAATCAAAATGAATTTAAACATTTGGAATTCAAAAACTATGGCTCTTCAACTATTAAGAAAATGAAGTATTCTCCGGATGCCTTTGTACAAATGGCATTCCAGGCCACTTATTACGCCCTTTATGGGAAAGTTGAATGTACTTATGAACCTGCCATGACCAAGCAATTTTTCCATGGACGTACGGAAGCAATTAGAACTGTTTCTGCGGAATCCAACCTTTTCGTTAGAAAATTCTTTGATCAGCATGTAAGAAACGAGGAGAAACTCAAGTATTTGTCCGATGCATGTCAAGGTCATTCGAAGCAAACCAAGTATGCTCTGATGGGTGAAGGTATCGATAGACACATGTATGCGTTGTTTTGTATCTGGAAACGGTATCTTGCAGAAGAAGACGAGGACTTTGTGGGCACTGAGCAATTCCAATCTTTGGAGATTAAACAAGATGCTTCAATCCTGACAATTACCCCAAGTAGTGGTGATGATACTGTTTCATCCGACGATACACTTGCTGGCTCTGGTGGTGTCGATCACAAGCGTCTCAGAGAGCTCCCATCCATTTTTGCTGATGCTGGCTGGGATAGGTTGAACAACACCATTATCTCCACTTCAAACTGTGGGAACCCATCCTTGAGACTATTTGGATTTGGCCCGGTATCTGCCAATGGGTTTGGGCTTGCATACATTATCAAGGATGATCTGATTTCTATCTGTGCTGCCTCAAAGCACAGGCAAACAGAGAGATTTTTGGTAACTTTGGACTCCTACTTGAATGAAGTATATCGTATATTTACTGATGTGAATAACAGTCAGAAGGTTGCTCCTATTTTGAAACAGTCGATGAAATCACCAACGCCAGTAAAGGTTCCTAAACCAAATGTTTTGAATACCCCAGGAGCTGTCCAACCATTGTCAACCCTTCTTGGTGGTTATGGATACTTTGATATGGGCGAGGACGATATAAAGTCAAGAGGTCCCAGTCCAGAACCACCCTTCTTAAATCGTCAAAATAGCGGCTTTTCATTACGTGAAATTGGAAAGAAACTTAGACTCAGTGAATACTGATTCAGTACTATACTATTTATTATATTTATTTTATTTATTATTTTGTATGAACGTAGTTCTCTCTAACTAGTACATGGATATTACCTACATGGTCTTGTACGTATTGTGTATTCGTAAGTCATAACAACTAGATGAAATATCTAAAGTCCAAACCCTTGGTTAAGCGCAGCACGCATATTCGCTTTACTGGGTTGCTTATTCTTATCATACCTGTTAGCAGCTGGCATCCCCATGACCGTACGATCGCTAGTAGTTTGAGTCGGTTTCTTCTTCTCAGAACTCTTAGGACGGGGTCCACCTGGACCCATGTATGGCATTGGCATAGGGTATCCCATTGGTGGAGGTTGGTAAGGATAGTATGGATAATATGGTTGCGGCATATATCCGTAAGGTTGTGGTGGATAGCCAGGCTGTTGGCCAGGCATAGGTGGTTGACCAGGAACGGGTGGATAAGGTGGATAATGCTGAGGTGGGTGGTGACCATTTGGGTTTGGACTGGAGTGTGCAGAACCATGTGGTTGCATTGGTGCACCTGGGGGCATTGTGGGTGTTCCACCTGGTCTGGGTGCACCCGCTGAATGTGGAGCTGAATGGGTTTGTGGCGGCATAGAAGCAGTGGCGGGGGCTTGTGGACTTCTTCTGGAAGATGGCTGGGTAGGTGAGGCACTTCCAGAATGGGAAGAAGGTAACGAATGCGAAGATGATGCCTTTGGTTGGGGAGGAGCTCCATTAGTTTGATATGGACCAGGTGGAGGTGGGTGTCCGTTTCCAGACGCAGGTGGATAGCCATGTGGTGGTGGGTATCCAGTAGGTGGATATCCAGCAGGGGGATATCCAGCAGGGGGATACCCTGCAGGAGGATATCCGTACCCAGGATACCCCGCGTAGCCCGTAGGTGGAAATCCTGGAGCACCAGGTGGGTACGGCGAAGGATGCGTGTGTGCCGGTGAAGTGACTCGTGGTGCGGTGGTAGGAGGTGGAACTTCTGGCGCCGGTGGGAGTCTCTCTGGGGATTGGGGTAATCTTCCCGTTTGAGCTACAGGCAGTCGTGGAGTAGTAGATGGAATCTCGGATACAGCCGCACCACCATCCTTAGGTGGAAGAGATGGGGGTATCGACTCGCGCTGATATCTTCCTTCCATAGACTCTCTCAATTTTCTTTCTTCTCTTTCTCTGCGACGTAGTTCACGGTCTTTCGATCGTGGTGATCTACTTGGAGAAGTAGTCGTTGGTCGTTCTTCAGATGGGGTTTCAGTTGATTGACGTACACGAGAGTTGGAAACAGGGTGTGAGTCGTACGGTGGGTTATGTGACTGATATTGGTGATCTACCGGATGAATATCTTGTGATTGTCTATGTTCGACAGGACCATATTCAGCTTCAGTTTGACGTGGATACTCGTGAGCTTGTGATTGTGGTTGAGAATGAATATGATTCTCGGATTCAACTGGGTGTTGTGAATGGGAGTGAGCTTGTGTTTGCTGTCTGTCCTTTTCCGCTTGTAATTCCCGTTGAAGTCGAGCTTCATCTTCCTGAGCTTCTAGTTCTCTGCGTTTTCTCTCCTTACGTTTTCTTCTTCTCTCTTCTTTTGCCAATCGCTTGGCTTCCAACTCTTCCGGACTTGTACGCGTTGGGGAAGAAGAGTAAGCTCTATCAGAATGACTTGCATTGTTAGACTTCTCGGGTGAGAGAGACCGAGCATGTTGACGAATAACATCATTAGGCTCATGATGCTCCTGAAGTAACCGAGGACTAACTTGTTCTTCCGCTTGCTCTCTTGGTTGATACTCTTCAGAAGTTGGGGCAACATATTCCTCTCTCTCAGTTACTCCGATTGGTTCTCTGCCTTCAAGGTCCTTTTGAAACTGAGTAGAAGGAATATAATAGTTATTAAAAGGGTCTTGCTGTGGCTGTTCGCGTCGTTGAAGATGGGACATACTATTGTCTACAACTAATGTTGTATCCGTGTCTGTTGGGTAGTTATCAAAAGGTTCTGTGTACAGCGGTCTGCCTGGATGCAGAGTACGATTTCCAGGCGAATGGTTGTGATTCTCTGGAGGTGGCTTATTGGGCGAGTACAGTAATTTTTCTGGGGTTTGCAGTCTCCGAGTAGGTGACTTATGGGGCGAATTACTACGTTCCTTGGCATGTAAAGGAGATTTATCTGGTGAGTCAAACACAAGTGGGATCTTATCTGGTGAAAAATATTGGGTATATCTGTTGTCAGGCTCAAAGTCCAGTTCATCCGAATATGTATTATGTTTGTTGGCCGCTACAGGCTCTGCCCTGAGATGAATTGGGGAAGTTGGCTCCTTGGTAGGGACATTAGGTTCGAGCTTTGGCGTGAAATATGATGCTGGGTCTGCCACAGGTGTAGGTTTGGGGGTCGAGGCAGAAATTTGAATATCTGGAGGAGGAACTGGATTATTAGAGTGCGGGGCCGACGACTTCGCATTCAAAGAATGTTTTGCAAACCCTTCATTCAACTTGGATATTCCGGCACCAGGATCAAATGTCTTGTAATTTGTCAGCTGTGGAGGCTGGGTCGATCGCTGTTGCTGATGTTGATGATGATGATGATGCTGCTGCTGCTGCTGAGGGTGGTGTTGGTGGTGGTGGTGAGGTTCATGGTGGTGTCTTACTGGAGTACCCTCAGTCTCTCTGGTTGAATCAAAGTCTATAATAGGTAAAATTCCCAAATCAATTCCCAGAATAGGACGGAAGTCCAGTGTCAGGTCTTCGTGGTCATGAGATTGCTTCTCCGAGCCAGGAATCGGTGGCAATGGTAAGTTCTTATACTCATTCGACGGTATACGAGGAGACGCACTCTTCAGAGACTCGGAAGATCTCCTATTTGCTGGTGGAGGCAAGTCCAAGGATTTGAACTTTTGATAATATTCCTTTGGGGGAATTAGTTCTTCAGTAACAATAAGCCATTTTTCAAACCCTTTGAGCCCCGCTTCTACCACCAAGGAGCGACCAAAAAGCTTCTTATTCTCCTCGCATTGGTCGGACCCCAATGAAGATAACCAAGTCCATATGTAGTAGTCTTGAAGAGTCACGTCTACAATGACGATCTGTGACACAAGTGGGATATCTGAATGGATTTCTCCAAATACTTCAGGGATGCTACCATTGGAATTATTCTTGTGTGTGGTAATTTGAGAGTCTCCACTTTGTCCACTTCTGGACCATCCTGGGTAAACTCCGAAATCCGAACAAATAGGTTCAGCAGATATACGTCCAAGGACACGACGAGATTCTTCAGTAAGAGTGGCCACTATGTCTGAAGTGGAGTTCTTCCGGAAAATATTTTTAAGGATTGTATAATTTTCCACCAGCACAAAGGCATCCTTTTTATCAAAGGATATGGTATTTCTCACCTTACTGAGAAGTTCATATGCCAGGGAAGACCGTTTGGTGGATCGTACAAGCACACAGGGGATGGTGATCAACAGTTTCAACAGCTCTGTATTGTCCTGTGGAGGGTAACTGTTAGTGATGAGTAAAGATTGCAAAGTCTTGGGCAACTTGAGAGTTTCAGACTCTCTATCTGGCAACATTGCTCTTAAGAATGATAATAAGAGATGGAATAGGGCACCCAGGGTCAGTTTCCAAGATTCCAAGCCTTCGATGAAATTGAATTCACTGGGGAGGGTTGCGTCATAGAAAGGATGTGCGGCACGCCCATTACCCAGAGAATAACCGTTTGCATTTGATTTACGACCTCTTTCTCTACAATTGAACGCCCATATAGAAGCCATTTTGGCAATTTTACGGCCACTAAGGTAATTGTATTGAGAGTTACTTGCCACATTGATGAGTAAATCCAAAAAATCATACACTATCAGAGCATGAGCAGGACTACCCAAACACTTGGGCATGATGGAAAGGAAGGCATTCCGAGGATATCCAGCAGCCTTTTCCTTGCGTTTGTATTCTAGGTAGACGTCCCAGCCAATGACCTCGTTGTTGGGGAGCCTTGACCAGAGGTATTTAAGTCCACACACCAAGGTGAACTCATCGGTACGTTTAAACATGGCCAGATACTCCAGTGCTGGAGCCAACTCACCACCAATGGGGAAAAGCTCCATGAGAAATCGTTCCAACTTCCCATCATCGATCCTCGATCGGAAGGGGAGAAATATGTGTGGGGTCTTAGTACCACGCGCCTTGAGCTCGGCCGTGATGAGATGGAGAACTGACTTGAGATTCTTCCTTGTGAGTTGGCTTTCCTGGATAAAAGACATCCCATAGGGTAATTGATGGTATTCTGTGGAGGTTGTTTTCAGTCTGCTAGACGTGTGTTTCGCCGTGGACTTCGCAGGCACGCGGCCCAGGGGTGGTAGCTGCGGGAGATCCATATGGAGCTGACAAAGTGTGCTGCAAAAAAAAAAATATTTACAGTAAAAATTGGTTTACTCTACAAATCAAACACCTCTTTGGATAGAGATCAAGAAAAAAAATGAAAACAGTCGCCTGTGTAAAAAAATCAACAGTGCGAATGTTTTGACACGCTGTGTGAAGGAGCTCCAGTATACATGGAGAAAAGTGTAACTTGGTAGTACACCCACCCACCACACATAAACGCGCCTGAAGTAAACGCGCGCAAGGAAAAAAAAAACATGCCCAGTGAGCGCACAAAAAATTTAAAAATAAACGCTAAAATTCGTGATCTCTTGTATCAGCGGGTAATTGTTTGTTGGCGGACAGCGAAAAGTTCCGCATCATGATAGGCAGCGAGGAGCATGGGCAAGAGCGAAACAAAACAAAAAAATAAAGGACCTTCACATTAGTCTGAGCATGCATATGTGTGGGTGTGTGCGTGCTGCTCGTCGTCTATTTGCATTGAATCTGGTTGGGGGTCAGGCTTATGGATACGATAAGCGATTGCAACCCGGCACACTTTGGTAGTTCAAAGCTTCTGTCTACATGTCGAACCACGTCTGTTTAACGTTCGCGGGCGCTACGGAGCTGAGCTGCGCGCGTGCCGGAACGCGGTTACAAAATTTCATTCCGAAACATCTCTATTGTGCCCCTTACCTAAATGTGTAGAAGTATCTGAACCTAGCGAGCTTTATTTTTTTATCATTCCATCTATTTTAATTTTTACGTGTGGGATACGTTATGCGGGCCAGTGCCCTGGAGTGGGGGTTTATCTATTTCTGTAGCTACAAAGGATATCATCGGCTCCGTTGATTTGATAGAGTTGTGCTAGCGACTCGTGAATCCTGGGTTAGACGACTATGATTCATTGACCCCCGCGTTCTATCTTATAACATCTCTACAGTTTCACCCTCAGGAATTTGAAACAAATGGAATCTCGTAAATACCCTCTCTTATCTCTTTTATTCGTCTTCCTTTTTGAATGGCTGCAAAATTATTTTATTAAACTATACTCTACTCTCTAAGCATGTCCCATGTGTAGGACATTCAGCTGATCATACCCATGATTGATTTGATCGTAGCCCGTGGAATTCTGAGGCTGTTGTTGTGGTTGTTGTGTGTGTACTTGCTGCAGTTGTTGAGAAAGATCAACCATGCTTGCCACCGGTCTTAATGAAAACTCTGACTCTACAACATGATTGTTTCTTTGGCCAGAGCCTACTAAGTTTGTCATTGAATGCACTGGGCGAAGGTCCAGGCCAGGGTTGACTGAAACCTGGTCAACTCCCTTGTTAAGTCTACCATGTGATGTGGATAAAGCAGGGGTTGATCCGACCGCAGGAACTTGTGATGACATCGGACCAGTTACATATGTTGAAGTTGGAAGGGAATCAGAAGATCCAACTGTAGATCTTCTTCCATTGGCTCCATTTACAGACGTTGGTGTGGAATTTACACCTGCACCGACTTGTTGCGATGAAATAGATGGTTGTCTTTGTTGCAGTTGTTGAAGCTGTTGTTGGACTTGTGGAGGAATTTGTTGTTGGAGATGTTGTGGAATTTGCTGTGGCATTTGTTGTGGAACGGCTTGTATGTGAGGGTTTGACGCCTGGATTTGTTGTTGTTGCTGCTGTTGTTGCTGCTGTTGCTGTTGTTGCTGTTGTTGTCCCTTCATATAATCAAATTGAGTTTGTCTAGGAACAGAATTACTCGAATTCAAGGTGGTGAGAATGGTACTGGGTATAGACGTGGTATTAGCGTTATTCCCACTAATTTGAGAGAGAAAAGCAGTTTGTTGAAGGATGTTGTTGAGGTTCTCATACCCACCTGCCAGATTAACAAATACAGGACAGTCCTTGTGGCCAGCTACAAGGTCATGTAAGGTGAGCAATTGGGACCGAAGTTGCGATACTTGAGCAGATACCTCACGATATCCATTGGAGAAAAATGCAAGTTCATCCTCCATTTTTTGAATAAGTTGCTTCTTTCTTTGTCTACATTTTGAAGCTGCCACTCGATTTCTCTCAAGGAAAACTTTCCGTTTATCCTCTTCTGTGCCTTCATCCGCAAGATCTCCAGAGGTATCTCCTTCATTTTTAAACCTTGGAGATGATGAATCCTTCACCGCTGGGGGTTTCTTACTCTTTTCTTGTGGTGAGCTTTTCAAAGCACCACTTTGACCTGATGTGGCATTATTTTTCTTCTTCTTAGATGCAGAAGGACCATCGGTACTGACTATAGTTGAATCTACAGAAGTAGTTGTTGGTTTGGCTGTTGTGGCTGCAAGCTTTCTCTTTTTCAGCTCAGATTTTTTCTTTGACAGAGGAATTTCTTCCTTGGTAACAGATTTGGATACTGGAGTTGATTGACTTTGTACATTTGCTTGCGAATTTACAGTTTGATCTTCTTGAGGATGTTGAGATACTGGTTCAGGAGGTCCACTTGGAGCAGAGGTAGCAACGTTTGAAGCGGTTGAGACCATTACAGATGGAGCAGGTCCTGGTGGAGCCACCGTTGTCCCATTCTGCTGTTGCTGTTGTTGGGCTTGTGGTTGTACCTGTGTATGTATTGGTTGACCCTGTGGTGGTCCTGTTATCCCCAATAAGGATGATAAACCAGGAGTCATGGGACTATTAAGTAATCCACTGGGAGTGGTCAATCCGGGTAACAGGGTTGCACCAAAGGGGAATCCTGTAGCACCACCAGGAGTATAACCAGACCTAATATTAGATTCATTGGGAGTAAGACCAGTTTTACGTAAAGTATTTACAAATTGATTAAAATTTTGGTTGTAATGTGGATGTCCAGTAGTATCCACTGGTGGAGACCCACCCCCGGAATTGATATTATTTCCGACCACCATTGATGAATGCATTCCATTTGAATTGGTATTATTCCCCTTATTAAGATGGGTTGTGGTTCCTCCTGGATGACTAGTAGCATTAAGTAAGCTATTCCAAAGATTACTTCCTGGAGTTCCTGGGTTAGATAACCCTCCAGGTGAAAGTCCCAATGGTGGAAGTTTCCTCTCACCAGGAGTATATCCGGTGGGAGTTATCCCCGGAAGTTTACTCCCACTAGTAGGTCCTGCATTAGCACCCGTCGTGCCCCCACCATTCAAGCTAGAAATATTAGGAATACGTAAATTATGTCTGTTGGTACCATTTGCCCCAGGACCAGAATTTTGAGATTGTTCCTTCTCTGGAGCAAAAGATCTTTCGAACGGATTAGGTTCTAGTTCAAATGATGTTTTCAGCTGCAAAAATAATGTTAGTATAAAATTTAAAGAGGCCTGCACATAGTCTCGTAAAGGGCGACGAAATCTCTCTATTGGAGACGCCTTATTGGGGAGAGGGGATGGAGGATAGAAGACTCAAGGAATACCATAGATAGAGATTAAATATAATCAATGAACTAATGTATGAGCCAAGACAGACTAATAGATATTTTAGACACCACTCTTGTACGGTATCCCCCCCTTAATCTTGCATGTTGGAGACATACAAAACCAATCGCACGCATATGAACTCTGTAGACAAATGTGATGTCATTGTAAGTCAAATCGAAATTTTATTGGCTCTTCGCTACGGAAAGCCTTCATAACGGATGAAACATACCTCGCTGGACATGACATGTAAACGGTCTCTCTTGGATGCGACCTTGGGTATTGAACCTAAAGACGATGAAATATAACTAGGAATCTGTTGGAAAAGAATCAAATAGTATATGTTATTAATCCGCACACTTTAATTTCATTTACGTCATTTTTTTTTCTCGCAGGAACGACATTTTGTTTACTAATGTGTGGCACGTGACAGCCCCCTATCCAACTTTCTCCAACAAGGTTTCAAGTTTGGTTGCAAAAGCTTAACTTGGAATGAAAGGGGTGAGTTATGAAAATTAAAAATATGTATTTAGAATGTGGCGGAGTGGAATTACATTCTGTAGAGGTAAAATAGATTAGAGAAACTTCGAAGTATAAGAATGTATATGGTGAAAAAGATTTATGAATGTTATGAAAAGAGAATATATTTGCCAACTTGGCTCAAGAATTGTTTTTTGCCCTCGTCTATGTTTCTAATAATAGGTAGAGGTGTACAGAATTAGAGGCAATTAAATAGTGGTAGAACTGACGTGTAATCCTACTCAGGTTCATGAAGAATATGAAAAAAAAAAAACTTGAATTGTTTGCGAATATTTAGCATTGGAATTTATTATCATCTCTCTATCTCTATCACCCTTCTTCTCTATATAGTCTTGTATAACTAATCAATTACTACTCTTGAAGAGTTCTACAACTTCTCTTGTTATTCACAAATATTTCATATTTATATACTTTTACCTTAAAGTTGATTGAGCAATTGTTCAACCTTCTTCTCAGACTCTTTCTCTTCATCCAAAATGTTTGGATTTTCCTTAACCACTTCTCTTACTTCGTCATCCACCTTCTTATTGGCAGGAGCTGCTTGTGGTGGATGTTTCTTATCCACCTTAACATCTTCATTACCATTGGAAGGTCTCTTAGGTTGTGCATCTTCTTGGCCGGATCTCTTCCATCCAGTCTTAAACAAAGGTTTCATGTCAAATCTTGGGAATGGATGTGCTTCAGTGTTGAATACATACTTGTCCAATGGAACCTTGTTATCATCATCAAACAATAAATACAAGTACTTGAGAGTTTCCGCGAGCCAGAAAGATTCCATGTTATCACCCTTTCTTGCAGGTGTGGTGGTGACATCGTCAAGCGTGGTGTAAGAGACTTCTCCAGTGATTGGATCAACGATTTTGGTATGTTCCACGAAATTTTGGAAGATTTCATAACCCCATTGACGATATTTCTCATCTTTGGTGAGTCTATACAAGATGAAAAGAGATTCCACAGTTTCAGGGCGTTGAAGGTTGTGTCTGTCGGCTGGCTTGATGTAAAAGTCTTCGTTCTTTCTACCATCTTGGTTGAACACAACAATTTCAGGGGAAAGACCAGTGGCAGGAACATCATGATACATCTTATAACAGGTATAAGTCAATTCTTGAGCCAATTTGAAGTCAGATTCCTTTTCGGCAGTCCAATCTGGCTTGGCCTTAGCTTCCTCGTAGGTAAGACCATTGGTAGCCCCTAATGCAAGTAAACCACCATAGAAACATACCAAATGGTCCATCTTGGTGGAAAGACCTCCACCAATACCGTATTCTAATTCACCAATGAAGGCCAACTTGTTTGGTCTTGAGTATCCAACAAGGTGCTTCTTGACTCCTTCCACTGATTCACGATACATTTGCCAATACACTGGTTCTTCGTTGGAAGTTTGAAGGTATTGTTTCAAGAGATATTCATAGTAGGAGTCACCTCTCAGACCAAGACGAATCAACTTCCCTTGATACTTACCGGTATCAGGGTGAACATAGATAGGGACAAGACCATCTTGAGGATCGTTTGCCTCCAAGACTTCCATAACTTTTTCAACTTTTTCCCAAAACATTGCTTCCCCAGTAAGTTTAGCCAAATATTTGAATTCAAGTTGTAAAGTGGCCACTTCGGCAGTGGAAGAGGCACCTCCATCTACATGGTTCTTGACCCCTTCTCCAGTTTCTAAATTAACCGAGGCGTATGGAATGCCACTACCACTTTCAAAGGATTTAATCATGGCATTGGCCAAATCAGCGGCCTTATCAAGGTACATATCGTCACCATCAGAGAAATGGAATGCAGATAAGAGACCACCCAACATTCTGATAGTGGTTTCAAACACACTAACATCATAGTTGAAGGAATAATCCAAATCTTTCTTGACCCATTGTCTTGCACGAGCCAATTCTGGTTGACAATCCATAAGCATAAGAGTGTCAAGAGAATCAACAATAATCCAACCAAGTGGTTGAGGCCCCATATTTTCTCCTCTTTTAGAAACTGGATGGTATACATCTTTACCCCAAGCATTTTTTTCATAGGAAGCCCAGGATTCAAGGAAAACATCCTTCACTTCTTGTTGTCTTTCTGGCCATGTGAGCGCAGCACCTTTTTTCCCGCCACCTAATAAGGAGCCAGACGAGCCTATGGTGTAGTGGTACACCATGTATAGCCCCAAAGAGATTAAAAACCCCTTGAACAACATGAAGATTTTCTTTTTATTTTCTGTTGAGGAAGGATATGTATTTGGTTTATCCTTGTAAAGTGGGAGGTCTGATTTTGGTTTCCAAGCTGTTGGATTTCCAAATGACATGCGTTGAAAAAATGCAATTGACTACAAACACGGGGTTATAATGCCGTGGAAGAGGAGGGGATAAGACAAATTACAAATACGAGACTATTCTGAAATGGTTAAAGAATCTGAATGGGTTGACAATTGTCCTTTGGAAGAAATTCAAATTCGCGTATGAGTTGCACACTACAAGTGGAGAATCTCAGGGTTCTAGAGATTGGGGAATTTTGCAGTCGTGATCTAGGAGTTATTATGGAGTATATTGTTTGTGTGTATAGACTGGGGAGATATGCTGTAGGTATGTTAGTGGACGATTTTAGGGGGTTATATTGAAGTAACTGGATTTGTGGATGCATTCTTGTGAATATATAATCTTCCCAACTCATGAAATCTTCTTAGTCTCCAATGAATCCCATACATTGAATTATATTAATCTTATATTGAATTATATTGATCTTATATTGATCTTATATTTATCATACATTCATTTATAGTTATGTAGCCATAGAGTTATTGCTGGGTAAATTATTCTAATGTATAATTAAATACAACTATTATAGAATGCTATACCACCTCCTCTTTCATATACATCCTAATCCGAATGACTCCACTCCTACCAACTTCAATGAAAGATCCCCGCATTCCCCCAAGGGTCTCAATCGTATTCATGTGGCCTGTCAATTAAAAATCATCCCAAATCCGGCGATACTTAAAAAAAAGGCCAGATCTCCACTTCAAATGCTTAAATTAACTACATTTACGACTACATAGATCATTCGATTGCAGCTTGACCGCAAATCGTTGTACATTTAGATCTGCATGGTGGCTACTTTCCTCTTGTCCTATTTGTCCATATCTTTTCAAATCGCCCCATACGGGTCCTCTCCCCCTCTTTCAAAGTTAAGGAACGCCTCCACCCTTTTGTGAACTACTGTATTTTTTTTTTTTTTTTTTATATTTTTCTCGGGCATAATTCCCGCCGTCAAATATCAGCCGTTTATTGTGTCTAGGAGGCTTGAGATTAAGATTTATCACATCTCTTTACTCTCTTAATCCCCTAAATAAAGCTACGTTCACACTGTAAAAAAAAGCATGCACTAAATCGCACACCCATGCGTGCCTACAATCCAACAAACAGCCTTTCCCACTCATGAAATAGTCTTTCACCACCTGTTGACCCGTAATTCATTTTCTGTTTATTTTTTTTTTCTCCCTCTTTTTTTTGGTAATTATTTTTTTTTTTTTAACTCTGTGATTCGGCCCCAAATCGGTAATCGGCCATTTTTGCATATCTGTTCCCGAGCACTAACACCGTACCTTCAATAGCCACCTGTATACGCAACTATTCTAGTCTATTCTAATAGTCTACTAGGAGGTTAGGATCCAAAGAACCATCTGCAGGGAACGAACCCTTGCCGCAAGAACGAAATACATAATCCAAAAAGAAATTCAATTCAAAAAAAAAAAAAGAAGACTAAAAGAAAATCAGTAGTGAAATACTTTGTGACAACTACCCCACCTTAAGACTCATGTCAGAAACCCCAGACTATCACATGAACGGCAAGACTGATACCGTGTCTCCGCCAGATGACCTGGCCACGAACACGAAGGGGTCCGGCTTGGATGGCAGCAGTAGTGGCGGGAACAACCAGTCAAACCCCCCACCGCCCATGAAACCTGGAAGGAGACCTGTGGCATGTAAGAAATGCCATTCTCTAAAGGTAAAATGTACACCAGCGGACCTAAATAACCCGGCAGGACCATGTATTCGGTGTGTGAACAGCAAGAGAGAGTGTGAAATCGATCTCAATCAAACAAGAAAACGAAGACGGCGTACTCGTGCCGCGATTGAAGGTGACTCGGTCATGCATCTGAACTCAGACATTGGCGTTTCTTCAAACTCTCCTGGTGGAGCCACATATGCTTCCATGGGCTCTGGCTCCGGCTCTGGCAATACTTCTAATACCATGGACCAAACGGTGTTGGTGTCACAACTTCAAGATCAAATCCGCCACCTTACATCAGAATTACAAAGAGCACAGAATCAATCACTGACCCAATCTCAAAATTCCCCACAACCAAATAGAATGTATACTCCACCGTCTATATACATCTCAAAGAACGATTTAGAGTCAGAAATATCGTTATTGTGCAACTCTTCACTGGTGGTTCTCACCGATCTAACCACTTCGCTAAAGGAAACGGCCGATAGAAGAGCATTTCTCTTGAAAGGGCTCTCTAAAAGTGTTGATGTGGTGTCAATGGGACTTTTAACCATTGAGGATGCCACCTTCAGACTCAATCTTTACAAGAACACCATCTATGTGGCACATCCATTTGTCGAAATCAAGGACGATGTGACGGTCCATGATCTTCGAGCTTCTCATCCGTACTTATTCAATGCCATCATGTCTGTCACCAATGCCATTTATACCAAACCAATTGAATTGGATAGTTCCTTGGCGATTGATAACGCCGCCATCCAATCTGTCACCACCGAGGTGCTTGTGGCAGGACTGAAGAGTGATGAGCTTGTTCAATCGCTTCTTCTTCTTTCTCTTTGGTATAATACCCCGGAACTCTTCCGTCATAGAAGATATCATCTTCTCATTTCCTTATCGGTCACCATGCTCCATGATTTGGGGATTGTTGGGAAACCAACCTATAGTTATAATAAGGGTAGCGGCACAGTTATAGAAAGAACTGGAGCTGGACAAGTTGTGGGTGGATCAAGTCTCAAACCGAGTTCCAAAGAACAATACACGCTAGTCGAATACAGGAAACTTATCATGATTCTTTATTATTCAACCGTTTCCATTTGTCTCATTCTCAGACGTACCATCTATGTTAAATGGACTCCATATGTTGAAGAGAGTTGTCAGGTTTTGGAAAGATCTGGAGACCCAGTTTTGGAAGAAGTGGCACTTTTTCTGAGACTTAGTCATCAATTGGAACGTATACATCATATTGTGCATGCCCCCGATGTACCTGAATATAAGACATCAGCTGGTCAATACATCACTCTGGAACTCCAGAAACATCTCAATGTTATCAAGGAAAAAATTAACCCCACCAATTACCCCTTTATGGCATTTTATTATTCAGTTGAGGCGTACTTACATGAACCAATGCTTGGACATATTCTTACATCTGGTGACAATCAGAATCTTCGTCTTTCTGCAGAATCGATTGCATCCATTGGTATTTGTACCAGGTCTTGTCTTATGGCCCTTGAAACGTTTAATAGAATGGCTCCTGGAGAAATCGCAAATATCCCCCTTTTCTATGCTTCAAGAATCATTTACACGGCGGGAATGCTTCTCAGACTCAGATATCTTATTCTTTCGCTTCCCCTGCACATTGAGAAGGATATGGTCCCACTGCAAGCGATTTATGTGATCCAGAAATTAAACTCATTGGTGGCAGAGGCGTCCAAAATCCATCCATGTAACCATTTCTTGAAAAAGACTAGATTGGTGATATCCTTATTCATTCAAACGTATGCAACTCAAGTACAAGAGCTCTTGAGAAAGAACGGTCAAACTCCGGATAATTTCAGGGCTCCTTTACTCAATAAGAAGGAACGCCTGGAAATGGAAAGATTAAATGATATGTATGCCACTAATAGAGGTGGAGGAGTCATGACTCATGATCTGGGGAAACCTTTCCCACCACATGTCCCATTGGATATATTATCGTATGCAGCTTCATTTAGAAATGCTAACTCGGGTAATAGCCCTACTTCAAGTGGACTTCCGCCACCTCTGCCACGGGGAGATCTTTCGAGAACACCCAACCCTCCTAAAATTCCATCTCCGTCATTTTTGAGGTTCAATTCATATGGAGAAGAAAGAAATGCTCCTTCGCAGCCAACACAACTCAGTGGGGATGTCATTGCCGCCAATAAAAATACCACTGATAATCAAAATGACGGTATGGTGGCAACTCAAGCCTCTTTATCTGGAAATAACGGTACACCAGATTTAAAGCGTAATTCTGTAACATTCAATCGACCATCGGATACTTTGGATTTCCCCGTTGGCAATAATATACCCATGGAATCTAATAACCCCATGCCAGCACCCTCTACTGGTCGTTACCTTGGTTCGATCCTTAATCCCAATTCAAATTTCCCAGCGCCGGTAGCTGGAACTCCATCCATGGAACCTAACCACAAGGTGAATTTAGCTAATGCAGACCAACTAGAATCGTCTTACTTGGCTCTTAATGACGAGTTCTGGGTTGATCTTCTCAGCTCCGACAAAGATAGGATCAATTTCTCCAATAACATTAATAGCCAAATTACGGAGCTGTTCTTTATGTAATATTAGGCAAAAATATATAATATTTGTGTATATGGGATATCTATTGTAAAGAGATTTGGTAGACAATATATTTATTAGCTTAGAGGAGAGAGATTGTATTGTTCTTGGCAACACACATGTGAAAAGTACCAATTCTTAACAGGAAATCGATATATTTGCTTATTGTTCTTTTGAGGCCCAGTCCAGTTGGTTTAAGATTACTCCATCATTCTTGATATACTCTATATTAGGTAGTTTGTGTGTTTGAAGTGTTTTTGCGTCATGGGTTGGGTTTTATCTCTGATGTGATGTTTGTATAGTTCGCGAGCTCGGAAATTCAGTTAATACAAATTAAAATACATTGTTCCTACTATTAACCCTTCTTATGCCTAAACCATCGAGATCTAAGAATGATTCCAAGGTCCGAGAGGACGATAGTGACTCCTTTGGATTGTTAGACATCCTAAGAGTGGCTGGAGGGCTTCTCCTTATCAATGCAGTTCTTTCGTATTGGTTTACATCTACATCGACTTGGGGTTACGATGGACGATGGTTGGATCCAAGATATGTTCATTTCAGAACATTGGGCCATCCAGTTACTCTCTCAGAAGGAGAGCTTTCTCTTTATAATGGCTCAGACCCGTCTTTGCCCATATATATCGCTATAGATGGACATGTGTACGATGTCACTAAATCTCGTAGCACATATGGCCCTGGTGGTCTGTATTCATTTTTCAGTGGGAAAGATGGTGCTAGAGCATTTGTTACTGGATGTTTTAACAAGCCAGATGAATTCACCCATGATTTACGTGGCTTAGATGAACAAGAAGCTCGTCAAGATGTGCAAGAATGGCAGGACTTCTATCAAAATCATAAACGATATTGGTATGTTGGACAAGTTCTTCATGAAGAATTAACAGGAGAGATCCCGGAAAGTTGTGAACATATGAAGTTCCCAGGTCACCATTAATAGATATCAAAATATAGTATAGGCATAACAAAGATCATGTATATTACTCTAGGGCCCATAAATCGTTTTGGGTGTTCTTGAGTACAAAACTGCTCTCTCTCTCTTCTTCTTCTTCCTCCACTCTACTATCTATGCTATGTAAAGAATGTAATCTTATGTGTATTTATTTATTTAAAAAATCTACTTATGCTGCGCTGCAGCAATGTCCAAACTAGCTTGTAAGGCATCAAGTAACTGGCTCTTTTCCTCCAAACCAACACTAATTCTGATCAAATTTCTATCAATGTCCCACTTGGCAATTTCATCCAATTCATCATAATGTGCCAAGATTGCGTATGGACAAGCAAGGGTGAAGTTAGTCCCCAATGAAGGACCCTTATGGATGTTTACGGCATTGAAGAAACAAACTGCATCAGCAGGTTCATGGAAAAGAAAAGAGATCAACCCACCATATCCTCCTTGGCTCGTCTTAATGGCGTCATAATGCTTTTTAGATTCGGAAATCGATGGATAGTACACTTTTGAGATAAGTGGGTTCTTAACCAAGAGTTCAACAGCTGCCAAGGCAGTGTTATCGATCTTGTGGGCTCTATCGGCGAAATCACGAGAGTTTCTTTCCAAATATAATGCGTCTTCTGCCCAGAAGAGATCCTCATACTCCTCGTCAAAGTATTGCTTGAGTTCTGTATACAAAGGAGAACTTGGGTTAAGAATGAGTGATCCGGCCATCACATTAGAGTCTCCAGAAAACACTTTGGTTAAAGAAGATGCAACCAAGTCTGCAAATGGTAAGACATGGATATTCAAGAAATTACCCACCGTTTCATCTACAACAACTGCAAATTTGTACTTGTCTGCCAATGAACGGATTCTCTTTAAATCTGGAGTCTTGAGGAGTGGATTGGATGGACATTCACAAAAAAGTGCCATTATATCTATTTCACCATTGGCCAATTCCTGTTCCAATTTATCTAATGATTCGTCATCACCCATCCCTAAAAAGTGTACACCTTCACCAAATTTCTTCAAAATGTTGAGAGTGTCAACGTATGGGAATCCAAAACACACAGACTTCTTTGGATTCTTCTTGTTGATATTCATCACTGCTTGGTGTGCGTTGAAAATGGATGCCATACCTGAAGGATACAAGTAAACGTCAGTCTCACTCAAGTTTTTACCTCTACGAGCCTTTTCCATTTCTTCTTCTTGATTGTGTGACTTATCGGCCTTACCAGAAATTCTTCTTCTTAAGGCAATTTTAGCTTGTTGAGCAAACTTAAGGTCAAGAACTCTACCGAATTTTTGTTCAATGAAAAGGTTTGTGTCATCAGAGGTGGAATTTGAGCCATTAGTGGTATTTCCATCACTTCCAAGAGTAATGGATGGAGATCTTTGTTGGATCTCATGAGCTTGTTGAGCGGCTTTAAAGCTACCAGAACGGCCACCACTGGTGGAGGTATTTCGATCTTCATCACTAATCAACTCTTTCAACAAGTATTGACCCATACGAGAAGAAATACCTTCTCCCAGATGTTGCCAATAGTTTTTAGCTAATGGGAATAATTCAGCTGGGAACAAAACTACCCCAATGTTGGTTTCAATGACAGTTGATCTTTCATTGTCATCAGCTGGGGCACGCGTACTCAATTGCAAGACTCTAATCAAGACGTTTGGCTTGTTACATTTCTCCCGAATAAACTCTCTACATCTTTTGGCAACTTTATAAGTGGGGAAGATCATACATCGTTCACCTTCACGACCATATTTGGCCTCGATCCCACGTCCAAGCTCTTGGATTACCCCATGGATGAAGAAACGAGGGTACCCTGACGTCATCTTGGACACAACCCAGTCCTGACCCTCTTCATACCCGACTGTGGCCTCCCATGTAGGAAGGGTTACTGAAACTGCGTGCGGGGTGTTCTCGGGAATCGGTACTCCAATTTCTTGAGATGGCATTTTTTTTTTTGCTTCGTTCTTTTTTTTGACACTGGTCCCTTTACGTTCTGTCGGGGTTCTTACTTCTTTTCTATTAAGCCCACGAAATCGTTTATATTCTATCAGAGCTAGACAAGCAGAAAAAGAAAAAAAAAATATTGGTTACCAAATCTAAATTAGTGTTGGTGTATCAATTTTTTTTTTCTCTCTTCAATTAGATATGAGTATTAGATCAACTCTATTGACTCATCGCTGAGGATTGCCACAGTCTTTCAATGAAAAGGGTTCTTGAGTTTTTCCACAAAAATGGGCCGCTATGTGCAGGTTTTTGAGCAAAATATAAGTAGGAGAGAAGGCGAAATTTATAAATTTGGCTGCAAACAACAAACTTTACAAGATGAATTCAGAACTAATTTACATGAATCTATATATGCTATGAACGAATACAGTTCACTGCGCCTTCCTTAAGACGGGCAATTTCAGCGGCACTGACGGCCGGGGTGGTTGCAGGAGCAGTTGGTGCTGATCCGTTAGCTGGAGCAGCGGCCGCACCAGCACGGTTATGTTGCATGTGGGATTGGACAAGATGACCAGCGGCCAAAGCAGAGGCAAGAGAAAGCTCGGCAGCTAATACAGCACAAGCGACGATTCTGGCCAATTGTCTAGCATTTTCACCTGGGTTGGTAGCATGAGGACCACGAACACCCAATAATTCAAGCATAGCACCTTGAGGTTCCAAAATGGTACCTCCACCAATGGTTCCAACTTCAATCGAAGGCATAGAGACAGAGATTTGCAAGTCACCACCAACATTGTTCATAAGAGTTATACAGTTGGAAGACTCGACATTTTGGGCAGGATCTTGACCACAAGCTAAGAACACAGCAGTAACCAAGTTAGCAGCTTGTGCATTGAATCCACCGATAGATCCAGCCATGGCTGAACCAACCAAGTTCTTACTTACGTTCAATTCAACAAGAGCATCAACATCGGACTTAAGAACCTTCTTAACAACATCGGCTGGGATAATGGCTTCAGCAACGACAGATTTACCTCTACCTTCAATCCAATTGATGGCAGCTGGCTTCTTATCGGTACAATAGTTACCGGAAACTGAAATAACATCCATATCAGACCATCCACATTCCTCAACCATAAACTTAAGGGAGAATTCTACACCCTTGGAAATCATATTCATACCCATAGCGTCACCAGTAGTGGTACGGAAACGGATGAAAAGTAAAGTACCAGCCATGGCGGTCTTGATATGTTGTAAACGGGCAAAACGAGAAGTGGAGTTGAAAGCCTTCTTGATGGTTTTTTGACCTTCTTCAGAGTCTAACCAAATCTTGGCAGCACCAGCACGAGCTAACGATGGGAATCTAACACATGGACCTCTGGTCATACCATCTTGAGTCAAGACAGTTTGAGCACCACCTCCAGCATTAATAGCCTTACAACCACGCATGGTGGATGCAACAAGACAACCTTCAGTAGTGGCCATAGGAATATGGTATGGCTTTCCGTCAATGATCATAGGACCGGCAACACCAACTGGCAATGGTAAATATCCAATAACGTTTTCACAACAGGCACCATAAACACGGTTATAGTCGTATCCCAAATAAGGTAAGCGAGGAGTTTCCAAGACTGGGGCATTTGCCAGCTTGGCGACAGCCAAACGACGAACAGCAACAGCTCTGGTGTTATCACCAAGTTGCTTTTCTAAAGCATAAAGTGGAAGTTTACCAGAAACCACAAGGGATGAAATTTCATTATCATTAAGGGTAGAAACCTTACCTTCTTTAAGAATACGGGCACATTCTTCAAGTGGCTTTAAAGTTGTTGGACGGGCGACAAGTTCAAGTGATTCAGACGATGAAGAAGTCAAAGAGTTGGAGTCTTCAGTGACATTATCCTTCTTGGATGAAGATTTAACGGTGGTGGATGCAACGGGGGTGGAAGCAGAAGCAACCTTTTTAGATTCCTTAATTGAGGATCTTCTTGGTCTATTAACTTCCTTTTCGATCAATTTGTTGGTAGCAGATACTTGATATCTGGAAGCATTCAAAAAGTAAGCATTGGTAGAAATAGAAATAGCAAAGGCAAATAACAAAAATTTAGAGATAAGACTATCTCTAATGGCAGAACTAACTTTTTCGATACAAATCAAAATGAAATCTTCAACTTGTACAAGCATACCCATAGGCATGTAAACTCTTGGGTTCATCAAAGTAACAATGGTACCATTAGAACCAATTTTAATATGTTTGGCCATAGATTTTGATAAGTTTGGAGCATAAGTAAGGAGTAATTTATCTTCATCACCCTTCAACCAACTACCACTAATCCAAAAGATATGGAAACCAACAAAGGCGGCAACCATGGCAAACTTGAATGAAACAATGGAAAAGGAAGAAGTATCGTTAAAGATAGAAACTTCATCATTTGGATGTTCAATACGAGTCAGTTGCAGAGCAACAGATTCGGCAACAAGTGACAGAATTCCATCTTCTTCAAGAGCTTCTTTCAAATCTTCAGTACGTCTAGCACGATTAATTTCAACCTTAAGAGCCAAAATGGCAGAGAAAAAGGTATAAATCAAGAGCCAATCAAAAGTTAAGATGAGGGCACTCAAGATACAGAAGTTACGTAAGCCGTTCAATTGTGGAGCATAAGAAGCACAGGCAATTAAAGCTCCAATGGCAACCAAGTTATCTCTCAACAAACTGATAGTATGGGCCAGAATGGCTCTAGAGACAATGGTCTTGACATCAGGCAGAGAAACAACGGTCAGATCTTTCAAAACAGAACCAGTGATGGAAATCTTATGTTTGAAGCCAATGATAGCCACCAAGAATGGGATTCCTTCAGTAAGACTAATAAGAGAAACTCTATTTTCAGGGAACCATTTGGTGGTAATGACAAGGGCAAATAAAAAGGCAAAACTTGACAGGGTTAAAGTGGAAAATGCTAACCAAAAGTTACTACCCATTTTACGCATATCAACGAAAACCTTGAGTAAAGTGTACCACATGGCAACGTAGGCCAAAGTGATGAGGGCAATGTCAAAGTTTTCAGCCCCTTGGATGAGTGACTTGATTTTCTTGACCCCATATTTGAGGTATTCATAGTATTTGGTAATTCTGTTGGCATGACGAGCCTTCCAAGTGACATTACCTGACGATAATTTGTCAATGGATGCAAGAGCAGACTCGATATGGTCGCTGGAGGCAGCAAGGAACCATTCATTGTCAGCGGTACTACGGAAAACATTCACATCAGGAATAGAAATTTCAGGAATAGTTGAAGAAGCTCTCTTAAATCTTAAAGGAGCCAATACAATGTGTTCAGCGTCAGGGTATTGTTGCAAGTCGGTGATTGGGACCCAGTCGGCGTAGGAAGACGAGCCACCAGGGTGGTAGAAGGATACTCCGAGAAGAGACCCATTACGGAAGTATTCAGGGATGTATTCATCAACCACGGATAAGTACGAGATGGATGCTAAAAGGGCCGTCACGAGAATGATATGGATCGGACGATGAGCCGAGATGCTGGCCAAGGCAGCAGAGCCTTTGGTAACCAACGCTAGCATTATCTATAGTTGTTAGTATAAAAAAAATTCTGGACAGGAGAGTTTTAGGTAAGGGTCCAAGAATAGACGACAACCAGTAGAAACCCACTGATTAGCAAATGAAGTAGCTGTGATCTTTTTTTTGGGGGGAGTGGCTTTTATTTTCCGGATATACCAGACAATCTCGGACTTGCTCTTCTTGACGATGTGGGGAAGAAACCGAATAGATATGTACCTTTAGTGCAGTAGACTTTACTTTCAATTCAAATAACTTAATTGCCACTAAGATGGCTGTCAAATTTTCTTTGCTGTGCAGCCTCTCAGTAGAAAAATAAAAAAAATTCGAGAACGACAATTGAACGAGAGAAAGCCCTTTACACTTTAGGTAGTGGTCTGATGAATAAAGATAGCTCAAAGATTTTATAGCACAAGGTAGAGTGGTTGCAAAACGGCATTGTTCTTCTGTAAGCAGCTTGTCGTAAGCAGGACCCTTTCCATACATACATACTTCAATATCTAGACTAATGGAGTGGTGTTGAAAGATTGAATTTGTAAGGTTTACAAGTTGAAAAAATTGAACAGTGAACGCGGTGATTTTAGCGTGTGTGAGTGTTTTGTGTGCAGGTTGGTACGAGATTTAAACGAGACGACGATAAATTTATGCGCACAAACGAGAAAATAATAGGAGAGAAGTTGAAAGAAGAAAAAGAAAGGAGGAGATAAAGAGACCGAAGGAATGGCAGGCAGATGTATTATGTAGATGGGATTAAGTGAGCTATACTGTAGGTGTGTAAAATAGAATGAAAAGAGGAAATTTAATCTACTACTCTTTGTAAATATTGTAGATTGAAGATGCAACTTTTGGAGTGTGTTCTTTTTTTTTGGGCGGGGGAACCATGTCACGGCTGAAAATATGAAACAAATGCAAGACACATAAATGAATAGGTAATCAATTGAATAAATTCATGGGGTATAATGAACTCTGGTAGTATGTATGCTGGGTTCAAAGGGGTCCTCATATCTCAAAAATAAGATTTATAAAAAAATTTAAATTATAAACGTCGATTTGCAACCAAATTTAATATTTGAGTATTTGAAGTAAATTGTAGATGTAGAAAGTTATCCATATTTAGTATTCATACTATAGAATTGGTGGTATTTGTAATGACCATAGAATAAGCATGTTGTTATACATGAGTTACCATGCTGTGTTCCCCACATCAACGTCTTGTTGTGTCAGTCAATTCATTGCAATACAATCCTTTAAACATATCAATTAATTATCAATGACTACTATTTAAGTCTATTCTAACTACTACATCTCTTTAAAATATTCTAATTGTTCCTAATTCATTCAATTTATACACTTAATTTATTTTATTTATTTGATGGAAACCAACTTGATGTCAAAGGTCAACTCAGAGTTGGCTGGAATACCTGGCAAAGCTTGGCTACCGTATCCCATCTTGGCTGGAATGATAACTCTTCTTTCACCACCAACAGCCATACCGGCAACACCCAAGTCGAAACCCTTGATACATTCACCCTTACCTAAACCGAAGGTGAATGGCTTACCGTTGGTGTTCTTGTCGAAAGACTTACCGTTCTTCAACTTACCAATGTATCTGATACCAACCTTGTTACCGGACTTGGCGGTTGGACCCTTACCGATCTTTCTGTCTTCAGTGACAACACCACCCAACAAGGTCTTGGTTGGGTACTTCTTGTCCTTTGGAGCACCGGATTCTTCTTGTTCCTTGGCAACGGCAGCGGCGGCTTCCTTCTTGGCTCTTTCCTTCTTTTCCTTCTTGGTTTCCTTCTTGGCAGCAGCGGCTTCCTTTGGTTGTTCAACAAGAGTGGAACCAGTTGGTCCTTGTTCCAATTCCTTGGTGAATTGAACAGACTTCTTGTCAGCAGCGGCAGCGGCCTTCTTTTCAGCCTTCTTGGCCTTCTTGGAAACAGCAGCGACTGGGGCTTCAACTTCTTCACTGGATCTCTTCTTGGATTCTTCTTCAAGCAATTCTTCAATCTTGTTTTCAACGTCAGAAGCGTTTTCAAGGTCTTCCAAGTCGTATGCAAGTTCGTCTTCATCTGGGGTCATGTCGTACTCTTCGTCATCGTATTCTTCGTCGAATTCGTCTTCAGAGTCGGTTTCATCAGCTGGATGTTCAACATAGTTACCAGAAAGGTGGACTGGGTAAGAACCAGTGACTACAAAGTAGACTTCTTCTTCTGGGTTGATGGTCAAGTCAATAGTTTGTTGGAATTGGACCTTTGGAGAAAGAGTACAGACAATGAATTCTTCAACGTCACCTTCTTCATCGTCATCAAGATCGAGGTCAAGGTCATCTTCATCTTCAGAGTCTTCACCGTCCTTTTCTTCAGCGGCTTCTTCTTCTTCTTCTTCTTCTTCGTCATCCAATTCATCTTCTTCATCTTCATCGTCTTCATCTTCAGAGTCGTCGATGAATCTGTTGCTTCTCTTTAACAATCTTAAAGTAGATGGCTCAGCCTTTTCATCAACGGCTTCTGGGTCGACAGCAGCCAAGGTCAATCTGATGGTGACTGGGTAGTCTTCTTCGATAGCTGGGGCTGGGGAAAATGGCTGAAGAGCCAAGTTGTAAGTGGCAAGAGGCAACAATGAGGACATGGTGCTTAATTATTATCTACGGATGAAGAAAGAGAGGTTAGTGTAAATGCTAAGTTAATTAAGATTTTTCTAAAGAGGCTATTCGCGATGAGGTTCTTTTTTTTTTTTTTTTGTCATCTTTTTCCTCACTGTCTGAAACGTGCACTTGTACTAAAAGCAGTTAAACCCCTTATATAATGAGATAAGCTGAAAGAATAAAGAAAAAAAATTCCCTACTTTTAGATGAAGTGGGACTAGATGAAGGGAGAGAGATAGTAGATATATAGACTACAGACTACATGTAGAAGATAGATAAAAATAGTATTGGTGTGGTCGTTCACCAAGAGTGCTCAGACAAGGAAGGGCTGGCTATTGCAACTAAGAATAGAATTGTAGGTTTTACTACAAGGTATAAACTGCAAGTATATTATTTAAATGTATTAACAAAACTGTTGATATTGGAAAATGTAAATTAAAACACATGTAGGATATATAGGACGACTATATTACCGTTTTTACCGGTTGCCAAGGTGCACAGGTGTTTAGTCATTCTAAAGGAAAACTACCACATACCCGGGTATCATTCCAAAGTCCATATTGTACATTGTCAACCCCACATATATCCACATTTATCTACATTAATCAATTTATCACTTTCTTCATTCTCTATCCAATATAGTCAAGGTGGACATCTATTCAATCTACATAACTCAAATGATAACATAACCTTTTACAATTCATCTACTAAAACTCAGTAAACAGTACTACCACTGCGTGGGCTTCGTATTAAATATACAACACTATTAAAACTTCAACAAGTGTGGCTTGTCACCGCTCTTTAAGGAGAAAGAAGCAGATAAGTATTGCTTCAACAATGGGGTCTTCTTGATTTCGGACAACAAGGAGGCGTCAACAGACTTTTGGTCGGCAACTCTTTCGGCCTTGATTTCCTTCTTTGGGGCAGATTCATCGAAGAATTCAGCTTCGGACTTCTTGGACTTTGGAGTCTTTTCTCTGGCAAAGTATTCAACGTTGAACTTGGAAACGTCAACACCTTCGACGGAAACGGAAGTGGAGGTGGCAATGACGTAACGAGCGTTAACTCTTCTTAATGGAACACCGTTGACCTTGAATGGACCGGAAACCAAGAGGGTGTTGTCTTCCAAGTTCTTAAGGAAAACAACTCTCTTACCTCTGAATCTACCGGCCAAAAGAATAAGGACGGTACCTGGAACCAAAGAAGCTCTCAATTTTTGTGGACGAGAAGTCTTTCTGGTTTGCTTAGCGACTGGGGCGTCTTGGGATTGGTACCACTTTGGAGCCTAGAATGTTAGTATTAGGAAGGTAAAAAAAAGTTTTCATAAATAAATTTAAAGTCTTGGACAAATAGTCATGAGTGAGTCTTATCAATCTAGGAATAGAATGGGTGATACATCACCAGACATGGATTTCCGCTAGTCTTGTTTAAACCCATGATGATATGATAATAATTTTTTTGTATTTGGTTCAGGATCCAACTTTGTTCAAAAGAACCTCTTCGCCATATAATTTCTACAATCGACAATTTGATAAAAGTTTCATAGCTAGTATATCCCACTTCCTAGCTATCTCTGAACAGTGTCACTCATGCTTATTAGTCTCTTGACATCCACGATCTATCACATACAATTTGACTCATTTTGATGTATATAGTGCTGTCTATTGAATAACAATTTGGTGAATTTTTTTGTTTTATTTTTCACAGTGGAGCGTATACTAGAAAAGAATTTCCGGAGTGCACAGTGGGTCGTGCGATTTGGCGAATGCCAAAGCAGTCACATCAAATTGAAATCCCGCGTAAATGTAAGTCTGGGAACGGTTTGCACAAGGTAGTGCATTTGCGCGACTAGTAGTAAATGTGGGCACAAGTGCATTGCTACCCTAGAGATCACATGGCTCCCGTCACGCGCCACGCATAGGATGTATATGTTGATTTAATGGTTGCAACCTTTAACTATTGGTTATGTTGCTAAAATTAAATAAACATTCAAATATATATATATATATAGATTAACGATATTATATACCCAATGGTTTTCTTCTACAATTAAATAATCTCATAAACAAATACAATGAATAATACATAGACTCTATAAACCTTTTCATCATTTTATAGGAATATATCTAACATTAACAAGAATGGTACCAGATCCAACTGTGATAGGAATATTTTCTTGTTGGTTTATAGCTAACGCCAATGGCAAGGAGCCAGTTCCAAGGTCGGCACTCTTACCAAATGTGTGCTTTTCTCTGACGTGGAATTCAAGAATGGAGTCTGAAGTTGCCTTGAATGGAATTGATTCATTCCAATTAAATCTCTTTTCCTTATCAGCTTTTAATTGTCTTGTTTTAAGTAAATCCTTTTCTTTTGAACCCGATTTTAATGAAATCTTAACTTCTGCAGCATTACTGGAAAAGCCACTACCAGAAATGATGTGTACTCTACCAGGAATAGCCCCACTTCCATTACCATTGGAACCAACAAAACTACTAGCATCACTAGTAGAACGCGAATGTCCAACATTTGGTCTTTGCGCTGGTGGCAAGAGGTCAGGGTTGACATTAGGAACAGCATGAACAATAGATGGTTGTTCTGATTGCATAGATTGGATATCACTCATCAATTTATCTGGATCTTCTTCAGTAGCCTTATTACTCTCCGAAGTAGCGTTAGTTTGGGATGTTTGACGTGTTTGGTGAGAAGCAAGGTCTGAGAATTCATCACTATTAGCTTCACGCTGGCCCCCATTGGAACTAGATTTGGATGGTGACTTCTTCTTGGAACTTCTACCAAAGCCCTTAATGAACGAACCACCCTTGGTAACACCATCTGCAGCCAAACCAACACCACCACCAACAACACCTGTGGCAATATTAGCAACACCACCAACGGCCTTCAATGGAACAGCACCAACGGCTGCCAAATCAATAGGCAATCCACTAGTAGCGTCCAATTTTGGTCTGATGTATTCAGGCATGAATGTAGCTCTCAAATGTATTTTACCTTCAGTATCCAACTTAACAGTAAATTGAGTAGATTCAGAAGGATCAATACTAGACAAATCCAAAACTGCTCTACCCAAGAGTTCATCATCATGAGTCAAATCCCAATCGTAAACCTCCAACCATAAGATTTGTCTAGATCTAGACATAACAGGAAATTCGACAGCTTCATTCCAAACTGGGTCCAAAGTTCTTCTCTTCTTGTCAGTTTTGAAAACTTCAACACCATCAAGTTTAACCACGCAAAGTGGATCAGACTTACCATTGCTGTCAACTGAAGGTAAAGCTTCAGCACTGAGAAGTTCCAACTTAATCTTACCAATGTCCAAAATAGTGTCCAATGGAGCCAACTTGACTGCAGAAGGAATAAATTCAAGTTGAACCTGAATGGAGTTCTTGTCATTAATCTTCAAAGTAATTGGTTTGTTTGCAGATTTTTGCAAGACATCCATGGTAGAGAAAGTTTTCTCAATAAGAATTTCCTTATCTTTGGAAATTTCAACCTTCTTACCCAATCTAAAGATAAGTAAGGAGTTTGGAAGATCTCTAACAAATGCTTCAGCTTGAGAGGCAACATTCAATTGTCTGTCGATAGATTGTGGCGAAACACCAGATGGGTAAGCATTGTCATCCACCAAAGTGTGTACGTAGACGTCTGTCTTATCGAACTTACCACTCAAAACGTGAACAACGATAACCCCATTTCTGTACTTGATAGCCTTTTCTAATGGGATGGATTGCTTAGGAGGATCAGCAAGATCATCTTCAGAAACATCAATCCATTCAAATTCATCTGGCTTTTCCTTAATCAACTTGGCTTCTCTTTCATGTTGCTCAAATTCCAATCTCTTCTTTTCTTCAAGCAGGGCCAAGTAAGCATCCTTGTGTTCAACTTGAGCCTTGGTATATACCGGGAGAGTAGGAATAAAAGAAACGGAGTATGACAAATAGCCATGCTTGTCACCATTGTACAAAATAGGTTGTTCAATAATTTCATGAGATCCATCGTAACCCATGTAGTAACCCTCGCTGTTCTTCTTCAAAAAGTCTTGAACATTGATAGCACATGAACCCAAAGATCTATCTTTACCTTCCAGCTCTTCATCCATGAGTTGCAATAACAAATGTTGATGTTCATTGGCGACAGGGAAAAAGTACACAACATTAAAGTGTGGATCCAAAGAGTCGGCAATAGTGACAGTCTTGGCACGAAGGTTACCATTCATCATAACACGAATATATGGATCGACCTTTCCAACAGCTTCCAAGTTTACAACATCACTAGCAGAACGAATATGAACTCTTAAACCACCAATGGCGGCATCAGAGAAGCCACTAACTTCTTCACTAGACATACCCAAGGCCTTCCAGTTAGCACTGATTCTGAAGTGAGCAGGTGGTCCGCCAGCCTTAACACTAGGAGCCTTAATCCAACCTTGTCCTCTGGATGTTTCAAAAATAATATCTTGTAAGTTAGCAATCAACTTACCCACAATACGGTCAGTAGAATTATCCTTCACAATGACTTGAACCTTAGTCTTTGATTGTTCGGTAATCAAGGATTCGAAAGTTTGTTCCCAAGAAGGTTCGTTTGTCAGCTTCAATACACGACATTCCTTCATCAATTCATTGTTCAAATAGATTTCAGCATATGGGTTAAGTAATCCAACTTCCAGTCCAGTAATATCCAAGTCTCTAGCTTCATGAAGGTTCAACTTCAAGATACCAGTTTCAGTGTCAGTGACTTCAATCTTTGTACCATCATCAAGAATCTTTGGAGGAAGACTTGGGAAGTACAACAAATCAAATTCAATCTTACCAACAACCTTTCCAGATTCAGTAATGTTCTTAACTAATCCCGTTTGAGTTTCTTTTTGAAGAAGGTCAGTCAATGGGAATTGAACACTACCAATAAGTTGATCATCAGGCTTATCGGCAAGAAGGTCAAAGACATTGAAATTTAAGTGATTAGATTCCAATTGATTGATTAAAAGGTACTTGGTTTCCATGAAAACAGGATCATTGACAGCCTTTTTAACCTTAGTACGCTCTTCAATGTCAGCATTATTTTCAATTTTAAGTTGAACATATGGGTTGATACTGTTTGGCTTGGTGTCTGGACCAGTTTTCAAAGCAGTACATTTCTTAACCTTAACGGCTAAACATCCAACAGAATCGTTAGAGTTGGCCTTCATAAGTTCTTCAACATCAACATCAATGGAGTTAGGGGCATACAAGAATGGTCTTAATCCAGAATGGATCAAACCATTGACCAATGAGGATAAACCAGGAATAAAAGTCATGATATCAAGACCCAAGGTGTCACCACCAACTGGCTTCAACCCGTAATCAATGGTTGGAGCTTCCAAAAATTGAACACTAACCATTTTAACGTGGGGGAAGTTTTGACTCAACTTCAATTTAACATTCATACGACCTTTAAAGGACATATTTTCTACAATAATTGGCAATTTCTTAGAAACAAAAGCCTTACCAACAGTAACGGAAAGTTCAACCAATGGTTTAATCAAGTCTGAGATTTCCTTCTTGGTCATCCCATCAGTGTCGGTTGGAGTGAAGGAAAATGCCCAATCCATTTCAATATGATCATGACCCTTTCTGGTGTAACTCTTGATGCTATCCACACGTGGAGCCTTGGAACCAAGGGTAAACTTAGTTAAAGATAACTTGTCAATACCAAACCCTGGAGCAAGGTCCTTCATGACTTCATTGGCTTGAAACAAAACTTGTTCAGAAAGAGCAGGCATATAAATAACCCAAAACTTATCCAAAAAGGAGTTGAGCCATTCCATAGTTTCCAATTCGTTTTCTAAACGGTTACTTGAAGCAATTCTATTCATATCATCACGAATATTACGGTTAAATCTACGATATTCAGTACGATAAACTGAACTGGTACAAAGCAAAACAAACACAAGAGACAAGAACCCCCCACCTAATCTTGCAACCAACCATGAGAAGAAACAAGTTCCAATGACAATGGAACAATTCCAATACCAATCACCGTATAAATGGTCAATGATATAGCCTTCAACATTTTTGACAACTTTGAGGGTATGTTTCTTGTCGCTGGTGGATTCGGTATTCCAAGGACCAACATTCTTCCAAGAGAATGTTGAATTGGAACGAATAGAATCCTTGTTTGCTGGAGGCTTTGTTCCCTTAACATTGGAACCACTCACAGGTGCAGATCTGTTATTAAGATTATCTTTAACATCCAGATTGTAATCCTTGACATTGCCAACATTGGCTTGGCCATTTTGTGACTAGAGTTAGGTTAGTAAATATTAAAGTAAAGACACGTTTGCCGATATTTTATCGAGACAATTGAACAATTCAACCTTAATGAATTAAAATTTTAACATCTCTGGATTTGACTGTTATTCATTGTTTGATGGAAAATTGCTATGGAGAGAAACAATCGAAGACTAGATTGCCCCACTCATCATCATCACTCCATAACCATCCATTGTGGGAGGGGTACATACTTCACTCATTATACAATGATTTCCTCTGACACAACCTATTGGGAATTCCCTATATATGTTTTATATTTTTGTCAATGCAAAATAATCCAATGATAAATATAAGTATCTTATCTTGTGTGGTATGTCAATTTCACTTGAAAACCCACTCGAGCAAACAAACCACGACGGTTTTGTGCGAGTTCCTGCAGGTAGCGATATTTCAGGGGCAGCGAAGAATTTTTAGAGTTAGTATGACGCCGCGAAGGATTATAATAGAAGTACCGCAATACACAGGTTATCCTTTGATAAGGTTGCTCAACGAGTAAGATTATTTTAACGGCTGAGTTATGGTTACGAGCTAGTGGATAAAAAGAAACAACTATTTTGTACTACGGAATATATGAAAGGTTACTTAGGATTTGATTTGAGAGTTGTTAGAAGTAAAGGGTATCGGATATACTTTTAGTAGCCGTCCACTAGTACACACACACACATATATATTAGTTAGATACGACTCTTTTTGTGTGGTATCTTTTTAATTTTTATTTTTTTATTATTATTTTTTATTTAACTATCTTTGTAGGTCATATGCTATTTTGTATATTATGTGTAAGAAGGTGAAATTAATAGCATGGGGATGCATAACGAGAATGGAACAAGAAGGTTGAGTAGTGTAGATGAGTTAAGATGATTACAAAATATTTATATAATTTTTAATGAATTGATTGCAAAGAGGAAGAAAAACTTGGAAAGTATATTTGTGTTGCAAATTGACATTAATAGGTAAATATTAAGAAGTAATTAAAAAGTAATTATAGAGCAAAATGTGGTAGTAAATTTATATTAAGGAAGAAAGTAAAGAAGTGGGATAAATGTATATTTTCTAGAAGGATTTAATACATGGTGTGAAATAATGAGGAGATAATATGGTCACGACTGGTTATCTACTGATGGCGAATTAAGTGGTAACATTGAGTTTGTGTTCTTCTTATCTGACCACACCCAGAGTTTTAAATTCAGTGTGTTTACTTCTACTACTTCTACTACTTCTGCCTATACTTCACTTTCTATATTACTTAATCCATCCCAATTCACTCTTTAAAAGATACCCTAGTTATTTTAAGTCCCAACTTCCTTACACTACCTCACATTCCACTTCTTTACACTCACCTCCTTACACTTATCTTACTTACAATCTACACCTCACACTCACTTCTTTACACTCTACTTCTACAATCTCTTTCATCTATCAATATAATATATTATACTAGACTAACTTAAACAGTTTCCAAAACGACATCCTTGAAACCGCCGGCAGAGACCTTCTTGCCCTTTTCTTCGGTAGAACCCTCACCGTGCAAAGCCAACAAAGCACCCAAGTCGAACTTTGGTTGCTTCAACAACTTGACCTTTCTGATGTGGACATTTTGCAATGGGAAGATGGTTTGGGTAGACTTTTCAATTTCACGTCCAATGACTTCTGGAATCAACTTGGAGGTTAATTGAGCCAAAGTACAGTTAGAAACTTCTCTTTGCATGATTTCAATCATCTTCTTTCTGACTTCTCTCAACTTGGAAGATTGAGCGTAGGTAGTCTTTCTGATTTGGTTGGCTTGTCTCTTGGTGAAGGCAATGGCAAAGATTCTCAAGACGTAGTCGTCAGAGGTCTTAACGGTGACGTTGGCTTCAACCAAAGATTGCCACTTTCTAACCAAAGATCTCAATTTGTCAGTGGTGAAGTCAATACCGTGGAAGTTGGTCAACAAGTTCTTACCTTGGACTTCGTCAACTCTCAACTTGACCTTTCTGTAGGAGTGGTCTTCGGAACCTTGCAAGTCAGCAAGACAAACTTCGACGACACGGCCCTTCAAACCATCAGCGGCGTTCTTCAAACCGGTAGATCTGTTGATCAAGGTCTTACCAACGGCTCTGTTTTCGAAAGTGGATGGAGCCTTAATGTCGAACCAGTCCTTTCTGGTGAATGGGTCAACGACCTTCTTCTTCAAACCCTTCTTACCCTTGGAGAGTCTCTTGTTCTTACCAACAGCCATGATTAATTGTTTGTACAGATGGAGAAAAAATTTTTAACCTGAAAATTGATAAATTATTAAGGTGAAATTTTTTTCACAGTGCGGAACGAACGAACAATCGTGAGAGTAACAGGAGGAAAGAGGAGGGAGTGTATGCGAGCAATCTGGGACACACTACAGAGGTAGACGTACTGCATATAACGTGGGTTTCGCATGGTTGGGAGTGTTGGCCCTTACAAACACTAACCAGGTCTGGTTGCGAGCACGTACGCGCGAGTTGAGATTGGAAAATAGGAAACTGACATAAAAAAATGCGTTGGTCTGCATATAAACACATATTTTGGGGTCAAGTGTACACAAAAGGTTCAAAAAGGTTACGAGCGATGGGTCCATATATCTACAATCATCAAGAGTATTGAATAAAATGGGTTGATAATAAGGGTTAAAATTGATTGAATTGTATTCAAAATGTAATAATGGTGTTAGTTGAATAACTTTATCGGTATTAATTGATTTTAGTATTTAATATTAATGGTAAATTATATAAATATCCTCTCTAATTAAGATTTAATGGGTGAGAAAGAAGTGATCACGTTATCATTTCGACTGCGGAAAATCTATAACACGTGACATTTTCAGGGCAACAGCCCTCGCGAAATGTAAACAAACCATCACAATTTCATATACGCACATATGTACACATAGAATCATCTATGAGATAACGACGATAAAGGGTCTAAATTAATTCAATTAAAGTCAAATTAGTATAAAGAACCATCAATCTATCAATCTATCTATAATGGAGGATCAGAATAACCAGTATGTATAAAATAGAAATAGATCATCCAAGTAGACACGTGGAATATGTGGGGCAATGACGAATGATTCCGAGGTCTTGGAGGTTCAACAAAAATGATTAGTGTGTGTGTGTGTGTGTGTGTGTGTGATATTAACAACAATAGAGTAGCACTTAAAATAGGGCTCATTGGAGACTCCCAAATCGGTAAGACATCACTAATGGTGAAATATGTCGAAGGATCATTTGATGAAGATTATATCCAAACTCTTGGAGTTAATTTTATGGACAAGAAGATTCATATTCGTAACACAACTATCACCTTTTCTATTTGGGATTTAGGTGGACAGAAAGAATTCATCAATATGCTCCCATTGGTATCAAATGATGCAGTAGCCATTCTATTCATGTTTGACCTTACACGTAAATCAACTTTAAATTCCATTAAAGAATGGTACCGTCAAGTACGAGGGTTTAATAAGACTGCCATCCCCTTTCTTGTGGGAACCAAGTATGATCAATTCATTGACTTGTCATACCAAGATCAAACTGAAATCACTCAACAGGCCATGAAGTATGGCAATGCAATGAAGGCTCCAGTCATATTTTGTTCTACAAGTCATTCAATTAATGTACAAAAGATATTCAAGATTATATTGTCAAAAGCTTTTGATTTGAAATTGAATCTTGATGAGATTGTAAATACAGGAGAACCAATTCTTATATTCAAATAGAGACAGGGTGGGGAGGACAAAGAAGAAATACATTTGATCTGGTTATCATTTGTTTAGATTAGCATAATAGGAAACGAAGTCATTGATAACATTTGTAGACGTAGATAGGGGCCCTAGTTACATTTCTGGAGCTTCTTGATAGTAATCAGTATAGATTCTTAAATTCTTTTTATGTTGCCTGGTTGTGTATTTTTAAATCTTATCTGTGCGAGGAATATGAAATATTCAAAAACATCAATACACAAATCTCAGAAAATAGTTGAGCATCTACACATTTCTATTCCATAATCATCAATGGCCAAGACTCAGCGAGATCTCAAGGGATGGCTGCATAGCTTATGTGAGTCCAATGAGGGTGCCAGTGTCGCAGGGGATGAAACACCTTCAAGACGTAGTACTCGTAGAAATAAAGTTGTCAATGAGGAACTCATTCTTAAACGAGATATCGATGATCTCGAGATAAAACGTGGAGATTCCGTCTTGATACAACAGGATGGAGCATCTGAAATTGCCATTGTTAAGGAGATCAAGTTTGGGAACGATAACTTTATTGATTTGGTGGTGGCATGGTTTATTCGAATGAGTGATGTACCTCAAGAGAATTTACCATCCGAAACGTATAGTTCAGATGAGATCAATGGCAATGAAATCTTTGCCACTGCATATTTGGATGAGATTAATGTTAAGGAGATTGTCGACAAAGTCACTATCATCTCACAAGAAGAATATTCATCCAAAGAAATTGTGATTGATGATACAAATCAATCTCATGTGTTTGTGTGTAGAAGAGGATGTGATTCTAATTCTGAGCATTTCACTGAAGAATTCGATTATAGGGATATGCATAAGATATTTCTACAAGATCAAAGTGAATACATTGAATATATTAGAGAGAAAACGATACCACCAGCATATAAAAAGCAAATACCATCACCAACAAAGTCAAAGCCTAAAGTTGAAACCCCAAGAAGGGAGAAAAAGAAAAGTGAATTAGCCATGGCAGAATACGAGAGTATGGGATCAGCTTCAGAGTCAGAAGATTCAGATGATTCGCTTGTCGAAGGCGCGTTGTCGTCCAGTGAAGAAGATTCAGATGAGGAAGTATCATTAACATCCGACGAGGAATATGGGAAGTCTAGTCCAAGTAAAAAGAATAAACAACCTAAAGCATTGAAGTCGCCAAGGAAAAGAAAATTGAAGAAGGTGGAAGAAAAAATCCCTAAAAAGAGAGGTAGGAAGAAGAAGGAGGAGGTACTTTCAGCTGCCAATTCACCATCCAAGTTGAACGACGAGTCTAGAAAATTTATCAACAATATGTTGTCACCATTAAAGAAACGGTTACGGTTGAAACAAGATTTATCGAAACCTTCCTTAATGTCCTTGCCGACATCAAAGAGGTCGAATCTGAAACTTTCAAGCCACAAGATTGAATTCACTGATGGTCCATTGGCAGTAGATTCAACTTCTGAAGTTTTCAAGGAACTTAGAGAAAAATTGCATACATCGACGAGATTATCCTCGTTACCATGCCGTGAAGATGAATTCACCTCCATATATTTGAATTTAGAAACCGCCATTCAAGAGCAAACCGGGTGTTGTCTTTACGTCAGTGGAACCCCTGGGCTCGGAAAGACAGCTACCATCCGGGAAGTGATTGCTCAATTACAGGAATTAGTACCAATGAATGAATTAAATGATTTTGATTATCTTGAAATCAATGGGTTAAAGTTATTAACCCCCCAGGTGGCATATGAAGTACTCTGGGAAAGAGTCAGTGGGTTGAAAGTGAGTGCATCAAATGCAGCATTACTCTTAGAATCATATTTCAGTAACGAAGTGGATGATCCAGATAGGAAACCATTAATTGTTTTAATGGATGAATTGGATCAAATTGTAACCAAGAAACAAAATGTGATGTATAATTTTTTCAATTGGCCAACATATGCTAATTCTAAACTTATTGTGATTGCCGTTGCTAATACTATGGATTTACCAGAAAGAGTCCTTTCAAACAAGATTTCATCAAGATTGGGTCTTCGTAGAATTCAATTTATTGGTTATACATTTGAACAACTTGGAATTATTATTAAACATAGATTGGATATGCTTACCAAACAGAGTAAACGGAAAGTAGAAATCAATCCGGATGCCATTGGGTTTGCGTCGAGAAAAGTGGCAAGTGTCAGTGGAGATGCCAGAAGAGCATTGACCATATGTAGAAGAGCAGTGGAAATTGCTGAAAAGGAGTTTATGGCTGAAGAAAAGGAACGAGACGGAGAAGAAGAGGAAGAAGATGGAAAAGTATATTGTGTACAAATTTCACACATTTCTAAAGCTATCAACGAAACCATTAACTCGCCAATATCCCAATTTCTCACTGCGTTACCATTTGCGCACAAGTTAGTTTTGGTTGGGGTACTTTTACGGATGCGTAGATCTGGATTAGCTGAGAATTCGTTGGGTGATATTATTGATGAAATGAAGAATTCATTACAATTGTTAACCTCCAAGATCCGTGATAAGTTTCTTGAAGAGATAGACTCCTCGCTTACCATGTTAGACGTTCTTTATGGAGAAGCATTGATACCTAATCTGGATGTGGTTACGAATGTCCGGATTCTCAAGTTTAAACAGGTGGTCAGCGAATTGGTAGAGAATGGGATTTTGCTCCAGCAGAACGTTAGAGGTGAAAGACATAGACTTATTCAGCTTAATATCTCAGAGGATGAGATCATTACCGTTTTGAAGAGAGATAAAGACATCAACGGGATGTTATAGATATTATTGGTGGTGTGCTGTTGGCTGCAAACTTCCTTTGTTGTGCATTTTTAAATTTTTGGCAATTCTTTCTTTTTTTTTTTTCCTTTTTTCTTTTTTTCCCATCTGCAGCATTTGGAGATTACAAGAAAAAAACGATAAATTCATATTGGAACCTCATCGCATACTATACTTAATTATTCAGAACCATGCAAATCGACCCAGCCGATTACATTGAGGCCCCAGAGGGAGTCACCACGCTTCGTTTCAACAACGAGAAGCAACAGGCCAAATTTGAGCTTGGTGTGTGTATGGCCGTGTACAAGTGGGATGAATTGAACACCGCCGTGGAAAACTCATGGGGTGGACCAAACTCCGCTGAAAAGAGAGACTGGATCTCTGGTGTAGTGATAGATTTATTTGAAGAAAACCTTGTTGATGTTCAATTAATCGAAGAAAGTTTGTTATATGCCATGGTTGATGAATTTGACACTGAGATCGATAATGATTCTGCATTGGAAATCGCTGCTCTTGTGGTAAAAATCTATAGAGAAATCCATTTGGGACAAACCGCAACTGTGGATACCATGTACGAAAAGTTCCAAGCCAAGCAAGCATCTAGATCTTCCGCTGCCCCAGTAGTTATTGCATCCGATCCAAACAACCCTAGTGATGATGACGACGATGAAGATGAAGAAGATGAAGGACAACAAGCACCTGCCTTGGTCCAAGACGACAGCATGCAAGTTGACGATGAGCCACAAGGTCCAATTGTTGATGAAGATGGGTTTGAAACTGTCCAAAGAAAGGGACGTAGAGGTGGAAGACGTTAGAAGTAGATAAAATAATACTTAATACATGAACTAATGATAGAGTTTACATTGTAAGTAATAGATTCAATACACAGAAAAGATCTATATAATCTCTAGAGCAAGTCACTTTGTTTGGAATCCTCCCTTGCTTCAATGCTTATCGAGTTACGTGGGGTATTTGTACGAGATCTGTTTATCATGTTCATGGAATGTAGGGACGTGACAGAACTTCGTTTGGAGAAATATTCGGTTTGCTCCTCAATTGGAGTGCTCAATGCAGATCCAGGGCCACCGCCACCACCATTGGTCCCGAGCGACGATGAAATACTAGTCCTACTTCCATTGTTCAATCTAAAGTCACTTAGTCTTCTTGTCAAGGTGTGTGGCATGTCCACACTTCCAACACGAGGAGTTCCAGGCATGCTGGCAACTTGGGCCTGTTGCAGACCGCCTAGTTGAGCACCAATCTTGGCAAAGAATCCTTCTGAAGTTGGTTGAATCTTGAAGAGTACTATAGATGCATTCGCCCAATGGTTGACCGTTGTAAGAGTTCTATTAGAAATTTCAATAATAGTTTCCAACTCAAGTCCCCCATTTTGTTGTGCTTGATTTTTTGAGCCCCCTCCCCACACAGATGTGAGCTTGCTGAATGTGGCTAAGGATGTCGAGATATTTTTCAAAAACTTATTATTATTTCCCGTGTAAACACGAACATTGTCCACTGCATTATACATGTCCCCATATAACAATGAAAGGTACCACCCTAGAGAGATATGGCTCCATATAAATTTGAGCGTCTCAATTGGAACTGTAGGAAGAAAATCTCCATTGATTTGACGTTTATTCTTCTCAATGAGAGCATCGAAATCTGTGTTTTCAATGTATTTGATCAATGTGAATGTATCAATGGACGACCCTTCTCGACCAGACCAGACTTCTTTCAAGGCAAGTTTTAAATGGGGAAGTATTATTGTGAGAATAATTCGTAGTGAATCATTGCCACCCCATGAACGTTTAAGTGGAGCATCTCGTGGAAGTTTCTCCTTAGCTCTCAGTGACATCCCAGTGGGAAGCTTTGGACGGAGAGCACTATCAATTGATGAGTAATCATCCTCTTCATTGATGATTTCTTCAACATGTGGCTCTTCATTGAGACTCAGCTTCCTATCTAAACTTGACATAGAGTTTTTCTCTGACGTATGTATGTACATCCCTTGACTTCGTATACTTGAATCATCACCAGATTCGTCAATTATAGAGTTGGTTTCAGAAGCTAATTCCTCGTCGTTAATGGAACCAAGAACAAGAGTCGACCCACTGAAAAATTCTGTCTTAAAGGAATAAATAGTGTTCCATACAAGATCGTAAGCCTTTTCGTTTTTGAGAATATTAAATAGAAGCATTCTAGAAGGCTTTGGATGCTTTACCACTGCTGTACATACGGCACGAACGATAAGAGCTAAAAGATCTGCATGGAATGATTTTTCAAGTAGAAAAGATCTCACAGAAAATCGTTGAATAACTTGAGTAATCAGAGAACATGCAACATATGATAAGCCTCCTGAAGGGTTTGAGTTACCAATCTTCTTCGAAGGGATATCCGGTGGTTCATTAGCTGCTGTGGAATTGATGACGGGGATAAGATTGTAGAGAATTTCAACCAACGTGGTAATTAAAACATCAGATGTAGGTCGCGCAGTGGGACGGAATATTGGTTGGAATGCAGAAGACGGAGGAATTGGAGATGATGAGAATGCAGAAAGTTGATTCGAATTGAATGAGGGAGAATTCGTAGTTGGCTGTTGTGTACCAGCTGTTGTTGCAGTTGCCTGTGCCACAACACCACCAGTCATAGTGAATAATAAATTACAACTATGAATAACAATCAAGTCTCGGACAGTTGTGGGTTGACTACTGGTTATGAAATGCTTAGGAAGAGCATCCAACAATTGTTCATCAAATGGAACAACACATAACTTTTCTGTCAATTGAAGATCAGAAGAGATGTAAAGGATGAAATATGTACAAATTCGTACAAAGTTTCGTAAATTCAGTACGGTATGATACGTGTAAACATGATAAAGAAGTAGAATCACGACTTCAGAAACATATCGTTCATACATGAGTTTCCGGAATGTTTTGTTACATTGGAAAAGTTCCCATAGAAGCATTGTCGCACTTGTGACCCATGGGGATGGTGGTGTTCTGCGTGGGCTACCCGTGAACAGTGACAAAGTGTATGACTCCTGGGCATCGCGTACAGCATCCATGGGTGCCCTTAAGATGTCCATGAGCGAGGTGGCAAGGTAGATAATTTCCTGCTCCTTATGAAGTTTTCCAAAATAAACTCTTGCCATATTACGAAGCGATGATGGCGACAGTTCTTCTTTATCCAATAATTCAAGATCAAATAGAAATTGGAGCCCCTCAACAGAAGGAAGTGGGTAAACGATCAATGTGGTGAGTAATTGTGCAGAGTAAGTCACACAGAGGTGTCTTAATTCATTCAATGGTCCATTGGGGGAATTTAATCCTGAAGCTTGCGAAGAGCTCGGGTTGGATGATCTACATACCAAATTCAATAGTGAACATACCAATGTGAGGAGCTCCATGCGTGATGTGGTTGTGACCAACACGGTTAAAAATTGATTCCCCCTGGTGACAATGGTGGAGGGCAGCAGATAGAAACTTGTGGAGAATAAAGTAAGAAGTAAGCGGAGAGTTTCAGTTCTATTAGAATCCAACGCTGCACTCACTGGTTCAAAGCGTGGAACGGAGTTCATGGATGCCACACCTGGCTCCCATAACCTTAAAGTATCTGTTTCAGATAAAGTGAATCCTTTGGTGAATAGTAAAGATACAAGTCTTTTCAACAATTCTGCCCCCAATGGTGGGACATTTCCCAACAGTTGATTATTAGAAACATCCCTATTCCCCTCTGTAAAAGCCAATGGGTCAAAACCAGCTCGACTCCAAAATAGTTTCAGTTCCACAATTGGACCCAATTCGAAAAAGATGGGGAGAATCTTTGTAAGAACACGCATCAGGTTAAGCAATTCACGATGGTTCAAGGTAGCAGACCGGGAAACCACCAGAAGAGAGAGTCTATGGATCAATAGGGCGAAATTTGGAAGGTTTTGGTCTCTAATGGACCGCACATCAGCCGCAGATAACACCTCAAACACATCATTTGTGCAATCAGGATCAGTTTCAAACCGTAGCCAGTACAGGTCGTCAAACGGTATGAGCCTACCTTGACCTAGTTTGTAAAAATGAGCCTTGAACTGCGTCCTTTCTTCGGCGCTTTTCATAACAGATTAACTCCAGTAGATAGAGATGGTTGTGATACTCAGGACAGTTTTAATTTCTCATCTGCTTTTCATATCGCGATAAATTTTGTGCGGGTAAGGAGACCCATCTACAAAGTATGGAGTTACACTTTTTACAAGTGATCAAGGTGGCACATTTCCTTACCCCTCACCCCCAACTAAAGTTGTAAGGTCCATTGATCATATATTATTGGGACATGTAGGGATATATTCTTTTACTTGCTAGTTTCCCATAAGGAATATTTTTTTACTTGAGCTATTTAGTGTTAAATTTTATTAGAGTGGCCCCACTTGTGACTTACATACAATAATCATTGAATCTTTTATTAATTAGTTCAGAAATACTAAGGAAAAATTGGTTACCAACCCGGTTCCTTCTCTCTATCATGGTATAGATATCTTTATTGTTTCTATCGCACTCTGTTTCTCTTTGTAACCTGATCTTCATTCTCTTCATCTTCACTCCCTCTACGAACCGTACCAGCCACAGACCCATATCCAACGTCTACATACATCCCCCCAGCACCTTCTTCTTCCTCACATATGCTCTCATCAAGATCGTCTGCAACCCCATGGTTCAACCATGATGCAGGAACCTCCGCTTCCGACCCTGCTCCTACTCCTTCTCCACCAGTATACCACTGACCTACACCCATGTCAAGATCTTCAGCTTCGTTGTCGTCATCATCATCATCATCAAAATGTAACGCAGAGCATCGAGACATAGCTTGGAAAACGTCGGCGATACTGGAAGGACTGTAAAGTAAAGGATTCACCTCTCCAACACAACCACCACCAACTTGGATCAAAATCTCCACCGTGAGTTCAAGTCCTTCATCTTCAGCGGCGATAACTCGATATATGTCACTGGAAAGTACTTGGAGGTATAACCCTCCGTCTTGCAATGCATGTAATGTGACACATTGGTACGGAAACTCAATTCCGCATTGAAATTCAGAGAACCAAATCAAAAGATACGTATTGAGGACAAACAACGAGACGTCACCTTCCAAAGGAACTTGCCCCGACGGCACCTCGACCTTCTGGGTTGGGTCATTCTGTAACACCTTGAACTGGTATGATGGTCCACCAGCAAACAATACAAATTTATCGTCTTCATGGTGCAGAAATTTTTCTGGGGCAGACGCCAGATAGAGCCCCACAGGAACTGTATTCTCTACATTCGGCTGCTCGTACACTATCCGCGGCGAGAGACGCATTGCCACAACGATTAGACGTGTCTATGAATGTGTTCTAATACTTTTCGTTGAATCATCAGAAACGTTTTGTTGATGGTTTCCATAAGTATTCCGCGAAAATGCGCACATGGAGCCCCCAACGTGGTAATCAATCGGTTGCAAAAAAAAAAAAACACAAACAGTAGAGATCATAGATAAGCTGATAAGATGATGTTTGATACGACTACAGTGGTTAATAGTCCATCTATTAAATCCATGTCCAACAAATTAAATGCTTGAAAAAGGTGTTTATACTTGAGACGCACTTTCCTCCCTCTCTTACACGTTCCCCCCGTTTATGTGACTACATATATATTGTTCGTAACTACTTTACTTAACCCTGTGACAACTTCCTAATGAGTCTTTGGAATACCGGACTCGAATTCAGTGAATTGTTAATTTCTTGTTTTATCTTTTCTTCCTTTTCAGCTCCACGACGCTTCATTTCTTCGTGAGATGGTGGCAATGCCTCATTGGCCAAGTCAGCCCTTCTAGCTTCTTCAAAAGTGTTGATCTTTTCCCGAAGTCCTTCACTACCATGTAGAAGGGAACCCTTAGGAAGTGTCCCGCTGTTCAATTGTTTAAGGTGTGCAACTTGTTCTGATTGTTCTCGAAGAACTTGATACATTCTAGAGACTCGTCCAATGGCAATGACCTTATTACGAAGTGCTTGACGCTTTGCCTCGTACGAATCGTCCACAGGAGTCATCGAGGCAGCAGCTGAAACTTCTGGACTAATCACTACAGACAGAGCATCTTCCACGGAATGGGTGGTGGTGCTTTTACTGGCTTGTGGGGTATTGGTGATGCTTTTACTGCCATGTGGGGTATTGGAGGAGGTGGTGGAGCTGGTGGTATCAACTATATGTTTGGTTGGATCTCCTTCAAAAACAGTTTCTTCACTTAATTCTTCCTCAGTACAAATATTCAAAATTGATACCAACATATCGGTAACTTTTTCTCCAACAAACGGTAAGGACCAACTGAATACATCCATGAAATTTGGTAACCAATATGGATGTGGAGACAGGTTGAATTGACGAATATTCATGACATTGTTTTCATATTTCAACACTGCTGCCTTGTTGTTGTATGTATCCAAGTAATTAGGAGCACTGAACATAGTCAAAAGTGAAGGGAACCCCATTGTCTTTGTTCTCTTGTACATTCTGTACCCCATATCTTGCGCTTCATGGGCTCTAATCACTGATAAAAGTCCGGTACGTTCCAAGAATTGACAAGAAGCCTTATATGTGAATGCATATGAACAACCACGAACAGTATTACGAACAAACGTAGCATCCATATTATCTTCATCATAATCTTCCACTGGATCAGCCCACAATAAATCACACATAAGTCCCTTGGTTGGAGGTTCTCTGAAACGATCAAGTTTAACCAAATCATCCAAAGTCTTCAAATCTGGTGATAATCCACCATGTACACAAAAGAATTGTTTATTCATGATGGCGGCAAGGGGTAAGGCATTGAAACTATTAAGTGATTCTTCGTACAAGTTGATGGAATATTTGTGCAAACATTCAGTCTTGAAAGTGAAATAATCGGTCAAATGCTTACATTCATGGTTCCCACGAAGCATCCAGAAAGTGGTTGGATGGTTCAACTTGAGTGAGTAAAGATATAATAAACATTCAATCAGAAATGATCCACGATCAACATAATCTCCAAGAAATAAATATGAGGTAGTCATAGGGTCTCCACCAACTTCAAACAACTTCATCAAGTCGAAATATTGACCATGGACATCCCCACATACTGTGACTGGAGCCGGTACATCCAAAAGATTTGGTTCCGATGCAAGGAGTTGGGTAGCATCACGTAAGATTCGGATTGCTTGATCTTCACGAAGTCTCCCCTCATGAATGAAATGATCACGAAGGAAATCACAGTTCGGACGGCCATCCGGGAGGAATAGCTGGGCATCAGTAGGGATTTTGGTGGCTGGTGGGGGTACACTGGTGATTGCTCTATCTTTAGTAGAAAGAACCGTTCCGTCGTCAGTGGTGTATTGGTTGATGGAAGGTATAGATTCAGGCTTCTGTTCCAATGCTTTCAAAGCATTGGACACCTTAGCGGAGTTGGATGCAGCTATCGACATGGAACCGGCTACTCTTCGAGTCGTCTATAGCTATATAAAAGATACTGTTCAAAAAGGTAAATCTATTTTACTTTGATAATTATCTTTTAATCGTTACTGATCAACGAGTTGCGAATTACGATAGTGAGAGAAAAACTAAAAAAACATAGACTGATCACGTTACCACCCTCAACATTTTCCCAACCAAAAATGTATTGTACCGATTTACTTGTGCGAGTTAAAATTATTTTAGGTCATGGTTGAGGCTGAGTCAAGAAGATGCATACATGTTTCTAGTGATTAAGAGGGTCGCTTTTATGTGTAAACAGTGTTAGGAGTTAGACATTAACGGTGTCTTTTAATTGGTTGATTTTTTTAAAAGGAATGTAAATTAGGAGAAAGAGGGGAATGTCAATTTTGTGACTAATGGACCCTATAGTTGAGATTGTTGTATTATTATTTCTTAGCCAAATTTTGAGGGTGTTCTGGATTCACCATATATATTATGACATATTTATAATTGGTATAATCCACCCCACAAAGTGTTTTTTGGGGTATTTGATCATCAGAAATGAAAGCTTGATATTGTAGAGATAGGTTTTGTAAAAATTTGCAGCTCATTTTTTCTTAATTCTACAACAATTATTATTCTAAAACATATATTAAGTACTTCAATCGCTCTCCGAATTAACGTAGATGACGTTTGCTACACTCTTGAACCCGTTGAACGAGGTAGTGGCCGCAGAGGTGTACGCACCCAAGTTGGAAAAGTACAACCAATCGCCAACTGCAACGTCATGGCCCAAACCGGCCCGACTACTGACGCAGTCTAACCCGTCGCAAGTAGGACCCCAGATAGAAAAGTCTTTTCTTGAGGAAGTCAGTCTTTGGTCATAGACGAACTCACCCAAGTGGGTTAACACCAGCGCTTCTGGGTGCTGGTGATCAAAAAGAATACAGTTCAAGTTACCATAGACTCCATCATTGATGTAGAGCATGGGCAACTCGTCACAATCACGGCGTGCAATGACATGTGCCGCAAGAGTGAAAGCGTTGGAAACCATGAACCGACCAGGTTCAGCAATGAATTTCACATCATGTTGCTCGGCAAAATCTTGAGGAAACCATTGATCCAAAGAACGTCTAACCATGGCAGATGCCTCAATAAAAGAGTCCTGTTGGAAACCTCCACCAATGTCCAAAACAGACATATCAAATCCAAAATGGGAAAGCCCATGATCAAACACTTGTCTTGCATCACGAATAGCCTTGAAAATAGAAGTCAAATCAGTGGCTCCAGACCCAACGTGGAAGGCTACACCCTTGACAGACAAGCCAAGCTCCTTAGCTAAGGGCATAAGCTCATGGGTAGCAGTAGCAACACTGCAACCAAACTTGGTGGACAAACGACATTGGGCCAATTCATCATCAGTGGCAAGTCTAAGCAAGATTCCACAACCAGGATGGTATTGAGCCAACTTGTACAACTCTTGCGAGTTGTCCACAGTGGTCAATTGGACACCATTGGTACGAGCATTCCGGATGAACGAGTTGGTCTTGCATGGATTAGCATAGACAATACGATCAGCGGAAATTCCAAGGGATAACACAATATCAATTTCAGCCTTGGATGCACAATCAAAGTTACAACCAAGCAGAGCCAACAAGGAAATGACCTTACGATCAGTGTTACACTTGACGGCATAAAATGGTTGAACTTGAGGAAGATGTTGCATCCACAAGTTGAATGCACGATGAACTTCACCAAGATCGGCCACGAAAAAGGAGTCTTCATCTCCTGGATCACACTCATCAAGATCAATGTTTGAAACTTGAGTGTTAAGAGCTTGGCCAATCATGGCACGTGCTTTCAAATTGGTGTTTGGAGTAGCAGCAGATGCTGGAACACTTACCGATTTGCAATGAGACGATGATTCGTAACGAAACAAGTCGCCGGCAGGAACTGATGGCTGCTCTTGGGTAACTACAGATGGGGCCATTTTGTGTTCTCTTTCTTTTCTTTTCTATTCTTTTCTTTCCTTACGGTGGGGGGGTGGCAACTGACTCACTATTCTGTGAGTACTCTACAAACGAACTTCAAGCGGCAGCTCTCGTGGGTAAAATGTACGGGTTCTTTGGAAGACTACGCTGCAGCGGGTTGGACAAGCTGGCGGCAGGAAACTGGCAAATGCGTTAAGACGACGAGGTACCAGACAAAAGCGATTGTAGTATGACAAGAAGAAGAAGAAGAAGAAGAAAAAGCAGAAATGTGAGAGTCTTTAAGGTTGCCTTTTCAACATTTTTCAGTTGCCCTGGGAAAAAAAAAATTTTGGTGCGTAAGAAAAAAAATAAGCGTTATGATGCATTGATGCAGTAATGGACAGAATAGGCCCGAGCATGAGAGGTTAATGGATCACGAAAGGGATGTGATTTGAGGGATAAAGATGTGGGTCATGGTAATCGGACGCTCTAAGCCGGTAGGCGCTCCAAGGACTGCTACGTGCACCTGAAACTGAAATAGAAACAGGGAAGCATGGGTCATGGATGGATGGGAGGCGTCCGCATAATTTAGTGGATACTACAATTCTGGGGTAGAGGTCAGTAAAACGGTGCGATGGAGCCCCACCCGCCTTGTAATTTAGTGGCCGTGGCTGCGAAAAAAAAAAAGTTTTTGCGTATGGAATTCTCAATACCAGTTCCCAATAGGGGGGTTTGCAGACGCCGTTTGAAATTTCCGATTGTTTTCCTTGAGCCAATGGTACAGCTTGAGGGATTATTGATGTAGCAGTGTATTGCATTCTAAATGCTGCATGCATAACTCGTCTATTACTCTCAGGTCTTTTGTTTTTTCGATACGAGTGATAGTTGTAAGGCTTTCTTATTTTATTTTGATTTCCCTAAAGTTAAAAAATGAAAATATCGCAAAAAATTTTTTTACGAAAATCTTATGCCCCTACGATTCATCATCTTTAGGGGTAATCGTGCCCCCCCCCCCCGCTAATAATGAGATATATTGACGAATTTATTTTAATCGGCTAGACGAAGTAACTATTTCCGGTAGGCAGTAGTGGTTAATAGTAAGTATTTGGGGTTATTCCCCTCTGTTGATATATCTTATGACTCATATAGAAACGCCCTTTCTCTGTCCTCTTTTTAGTATAGCACAAAAAAAAGAAATGAATATAGGCGCCCTTGCGTATAGTTACTAAAATTGTGTTGCATTAATTTATTTTATCAACGATATTATTTGCTGCTAGGGATCACTCAAATTTGCTTCCGAACACTACGATGTCTAGTTTGACGTAACTGATCTACGCTATCTGTTTGAGCTAGGCTGGTCGAAGTCTATAAAGTCCGCCTACATTGGTTTCTTTCTTTCAACCGTTTATTTTTCAAGTCCCCCCCCCCCCCCCCCTCAATGTTTTAAGTAGATTATCATAACTCTTCCTTTCAAACTCTAGATCTGTTTTTCTTCCTACTCTCTTTTCCACTATATCCCACTACAATTATTTTACTTTCAGACTTATAAATTAACTAAATACTCTAAAGTTCGATGAGTGGCTCCTCCACGTATTTACGTTGCTCTTCCTTCTTCAGTGATGCTGGAGGTACGTCAGAAACTGTTGGCAAATTTGAAAGTTCACCTATGCTGGGAAACTTTGCTGCAACTTTCTCTTCATTCTCATCTTCTGGTTCCCTTTCATTCACTGGATAGTATTGTGAAGAAGATGAAGCATCTTGCTCTTCTTGTTCTTCTCCTGTGGTGTAATCTTCATTTGGGTATGGCAGAATAACATTAGTATGCTGTGGTTCTTGTTCTTGAGGACCAATTGAGTTATACTCTCCAGGAGGGTAACTTGGTTCCATATCAGGTAATGTTGGTGTAGAAATATTTTGAGGAGGGTAAGCAAATTCATTCTTTGATTCCTCTGAGTAACTTGAAGGGTAGAGTGGTTCCAGTTGTTGCTGATATTCTTGCTCATATTGCTGCTGATATTCTTGAGGTTGTTGAGGTTGTTGAGGTTGTTGAGGTTGTTGCGGTTGTTGAGGTTGTTGAGGTTGTTGAGGCTGTTGATAGTCTTGAAGATGCAGTGATTGTGGTTGTGCAGGGTACGCATAGCCTGTATGTTGTTCACCACTATAAAGAGGGGGAATTGAAGTATGATCACGGTTCGAAGAATAAGATTCTTCTGGTTGATTGGATTGAGGAATTCTTTGAGATTGCCCAGTAGAATTATATGCAACGCCGTCACCAGTGGATTGGTATTGACCTTCTACATACAGATTAGTGGTATACCCTGTACCTTGTGGTGGTACCAGGTATCCTTGAGAGTATCTTGGGTCTGGTCCATATCCAATGTTGTGATTTCCATAAGCCTGCAGTAATTTTTCCTCCAAGTATGTATCATAAAGTCTAGTGATAGTAGAAATTTTATTGTTCATTTCCAAAAGACTGTCATATCTTTCAATAGCATCTCTTAATGATCTGTTAAGCTTTGGTTTGCATTGAAGGATATTGCTATGAAGTTCACTTAAATTGCTGTCATACATGATCGTTTCTCGTTTCTGAGGATCATTTTTAACATTGTTCATGAGAGTTACAAATAAGTTGATCGATTCCTCTTCTTGTTGGGTAAGATCTTCTATAGGGGGTGACCTAATTGGAGAAAATGGTTGAGGTGGGAATTGTTGTTGTTGTTGTTGTTGTTGTTGCTGTTGTTGTGGTTGTGGCTGCTGATAAGATTGAGGTAACAAGTTTCCATAAAAGTCGTCCTGAGGCTCAGGTGGGGCCAGTTGTTGTTGATACAAAGATTCCTTAGCCTTAAACTCTTGTAAGCTCGCAGCAATAGCAGCCTTCATGTCTTCATCGTCAGACTCCTCATTGGTGGTAGTTGGCGGTTCAACAACTCGTGGAGCCACTACTGGTCTACTAAGAGGAATTTGAGACTCCTTTAATGATAATTCAATAGCCTTACGCAATTCTTCATCTTCATCTTCACCACCAGGTCCAGGTCCAGTATCAGTGCTCTGGAGAACTTTATCAATCCTTCCTCCACCTCTTAGCTTAACCTTTTCATAACAATTGTCACATACTCGAACAGCCTCCATGATCCCCAAATGAACCAATGGGATAGATTTGGCTGAATGTTCTCCACAAAATACCCCACCACAGGACCGACAATGATGTTTCCGGTTCAACACACTAAATGCATTGTAGCAAATCATACATTCATCTGCATCTACCCAATCAGGAGGAACCTCCAGATCAACAAATTGAGATTGAATATGATCATCGGGGGAGTCTGACTCGGGGAATTGATATCCTTGACTCAATAATTGACGGTACAGTTTTTCCACGTTACCCAATTGAAGTTGCCCCTTAAAATAAACGGTCCAATTTTTAATCAATTGAAGTATATATTGACCAACTTCAAACTTTGCAGGACTATCTCTGATTTTATTCAGTTTAACATCATAATGCAACTTGAATAAGGTATCAACCAAGTAGTCAGTAAATTCCTTCGACAGAACTTCTATAAGGAAATGAAACCCACCATTCTTAACACACAAATCCACCAATTGTAACGTCAGTTTCACAAGATTGGGGTTGGATGACGTGAGAGTGAGTCTCTTCTTTAAGGCTCTCATACATTGTTTGGGTGGGATTTTTTTACTACGAATAAGATCAGTTATTTCTAAGGCTATCACAAGGTCAATGTCCCCATTGGGGATTGATTCCGAAGTAGCCTCACCGATCTTTAGTTCAAGATCCCCGATAGGAACTGAAGTGCCGCTGAACCATGACATTGTGGGCAATCAATACTATCAATCTTCTAATACAAACAATATTCTTAATTATTAAATTAATTTGAAATGGATGGCAAATCATTATGTCATACATTTTGGGTTATCGTCTTTTTGATATACCAGGCTAATTGGGTGGTGGGGACACGACTACAAACCAGCCCACAAATACATACATATATATATATAGAAAGAGAGTTTTTAGTACCACCCAGGATATTATAATAGGTATATTATTAGTATTTCCAGGTATGAAGTGAAGCTTGATACAAGATATAAATGAAGTAGAATGGCTGGCTACTTCAATCAATTGTAGGATGGATATACTCAAAAAGACAAAAAAAGGAGGCACAGACAAAAGTTCGTTCTACTTAAATGCGATTATCAAGAAAAATCCAAAAAAGGGAGGATCTAATATACAATCTATATTTGACACCTTAGTGTTGTTTATAGGAGTAAGTGGCAAGATTGGGAAATAGATCTATATAGTGTTAAACGACAAATATTCTTACTAATCTCAAATTCATCTCATTTTTCTGTGTAGGAAGAGAATCTTTATTTCTTAAACGAGGAACTATAGTGGATGACTGTCTAAACATATGGTCAGCGGCTAAATCTGCAGTAGAAATGAATGCAAGTTAGGAAATCATTCAATAATGGTCATGAGACGGTAGACGTAGTCTCCGACCCTTGTCCTGTGCATATACGTACTGTGGTAATATAAAGAGTGTCAGCATATGGCATTGGGCCGAGAGTTTTCGCAGCCAAGACAAAGGTATGGGTATGTAGCAATTTCCTACTAGTAATTATGGACTGACCCTTTCAACAGTTGAATATTAAGAAAATGTTTAACCTGAGAAGCTTTACCATTTGGAACCTTTTCAAGAATACTCTTTACTGTAGAGAGAGAATATGCCGCCTTTACAAATTCACAGTATTTATTCATCATATTCTCGCTCTTCTCTACATTAACTTAATTATTGTACATCTTGTATTGGTGTAAGTACCCTACACTAATGGTTGGTTGGGTCATGATAGGCGTGTGGTGCTTATATATATGTGTGTATGTGTGTATGTGTTAGAACTATTTTGATAATCTTTTAGCCCACATTGTTTCTGAAATTGCTCGCTCTTTCGTTTGCGTTTGCTAGTTCTTCTCTAAATGATCCTCTTTTTACTTCAAAAATAATACAAATGATCCGACTCCAAGAACCCCGACGGCAGTCCACCACCATGTTTCTTTGGAAGTGACACGAGTGGCCGATGTTCTGTATTGATTTTCTAATGAACGTCTAGCACGTTTTCTCAAGCTGGTTCCAGTTTCAGAGGCCTTATCGGTCGGATTAAGAGCTGAAGTTGGCAACATGTTTGGTGGACGGTATGCCAAGTATAATGGTTGCATCTTAGATCCATCAAATTGATATATTTGAAGGGTCCAACGTCCATGGTATGGATCCACATATACTTGGTATTTTTCAAACCAAGTTGGTTGGTTATATCTAGAATAGACCGATTTGGAGTCATCGGTACATGGTGCACTCAATAGTTGTCTACCATCTACGGCTATAGGGGTCAAGATCAAAGACCCATTGGTTAAGAGTTCATATGTTCCATGTTGGAAAATGAGCACGGCTGAAGGGCATGAGTGGTCCCGTGGGTTGGCAGTGACACGGTAAAGGGCCTCCTCGTAGTGGCCGTCTTCGGTGAACGAATACAGGATACCTGGCAAGTCTGGCTCGATTAAGAGCTCATCAACAGGATCATAAAATCCAGGACCAGTAAACACGGTGTTTGATTTAGATGACCACGTTCCTGAAAGCTCTTGCATGTTTGGGTCCGCTAGAACGAACCGGAGGACAAACAAAATGCAAAGTGCAAAGTTCATCATTGGATTGTATTAAGTTATAATAGAATAAAACAAAAAGTGACCCTTGTTTTGTATGTGTTTTAAGTTTTTTTGGTTGCCTTTTTTGTTTCTGATCTTTTTTTTTTGGTGCGCTCTCTCTTTTTTTAGCAAACAGGGGAATGTATAATCTTTGTCCTGCAGGAGGCTATATCAAGAAACTGGTTTGAATTGCCAAGAATGGACAATTATAAAGCAACGAATGGATAGGGGAGCAAGAGCAGCCTGTGGTGGAAAAGGTATTCCCTGTAGTGAATTCAGATGGATGAGTAAAGGTTTCCAAAAGAAAGAAAATGTTACAACAATATGGCCGAGAATTTGAATATTGTGGTGGAAGATTGATCAATAGGGAGTGCATGTAATGATAGTGGCAGTGCAAAAATAGCAAAAAAAAAAAAAAATTAAACAAAAAAAAACAAGAGGAATAAAAAAAGAAAGAAAGAATGAAAGAAGGTACAGGATCAAGGGGTTAAACGTGACATAATTTCACATTACCGTTCACTAATTATTGAACGTGAATGGTAGGAAAGTCCAGGTTGAAGAAGGTAAAAAAGAAGGTTAAAGAAGGTTTATGAAATGGAATGAAGATGTTTCATTTTGTTTTTTGTTTTTTTCTTGGGATTCTATCCATAAGAAGGAGTTGGTGTATCTATTGTACGCGTTAATTGTAATTAGCAGTCAAAGAAAAACAAAAATAATTAAAAATAGTGAGAAAGGGCGCAAAAAGTATTTGCAGTCAATTTTTGCAACAGGGAGGTTAAGTGTAAATTTTAATGAATAGAATTAGTACCAGGTGGGAAGGGGTGTACTGACCCATAATCTTAATATTTGTAGTAAATTCTAAGTAATCATATCCTTTCATGACAAGATATAGTTATTGGTATATCTTATTAGTTACTACTAGTACTTCTCTCTCTACTGGTTATTATATCGCGATTGTCTATTAGGAAGTGAAATTAAATATGCAAATATATATTACAACAGAGCGATTCAAAAAAAAAACCTGAATTCTATCTTGACCACTTAAACTTTTTGAAATGTTGTTTAAACTTTTAGGGGAGGAGAGGATTCCCTCTCCAGTTAATTTCTTTTTTTAGTCTAATTTCATCAAATGAAGCAATGGTGAATCCGCTTCACTTGAAGGAGTGCCAGCACTGCAAACCGGATGTTGTCCTGATTCATGGTCAAATATCAGTCCATCATTACGGGAAGAGCATTGCGAGTGGAGACTCGCTTGGCTATTGTTATTATGAGTTATGGCTGTGATGATATGGGGGAGTTTTGTTGCGGTCGGGGTTAGAGAATCAGAACCATCATCAAAATTTGAACTGGTTGAGATTGTTGAAGATGCTCCCGAAACAGAATCTCCATGACTATGATTATATTTAAGTAAAACACTGGGTAACACAACTGGTGAATACATTTTATCATTGAAAGCAGTGAAGTTATGAGGAAGTTGATGAGGGGGAGGAATGCAAGAATATTTTCCAATGGGAGTCTTTTTATGAATATTATTATTAGGGGAGTTGGTGACATTACGTTTCCTTGGAGGTTGTCTAGGAGATAACGCATGATATGATGAAATGTGAGTATTAATGGAATTATTGTTGTTGTTATTAAACATCACAGAATTGTATACTTGTTGAGGACCAGCCGATTCAAAGAGTTTTAAAATGAAATCTGAGGAGTTTTTAACTGAACTTATGAGGTGTTGTTTGATAACACGCATTGATAAATGACGAGAATTGGATGGAGTAGTGGTGGTGGTAGTTGTAGATTCATAAAAGAATTCATCATCTGAATCATTTGAAGGTACAAAGTTAACCTTTTGATAATAACAATCATTTTTTCTAATGTTTAATGCTTCATTGGTAATGGAACAAATGGCTTCACTTAATTCAATGACATCAACATCAATGAGTTCATTGCAATATAATGCAACATAACTAAGATATTCTTTAGTTTTGAAGATTTCACGTGCAATGGTTGAATCTTCCAGCAGTGGAGTAATATTAAATTCTGAAGAATTTGTTAAAAATTCTTCAATTGATGGATCATTTAATGACCATTCCAAAGTTGATAAGACATGGATTTCCATTTGTTTGAACATTCCTTGATCATATTTACATTTGGCTCCACAAAGTTTAACAAGTTCATGTAATTTAGGTAATCTAAATCTTTCAGTTGGTCCTAAAAGACGTCCTCCAGATCCATAACCTAAATCAGTAATGGTTTTAACATCGGAAAGTTTACCTACATTACTGAGATTCACAAAATGATTATTACCACCTTGTACTTTCAGTGCTATCCAAAGACATGTAGTGATGATAAGTTGACTTTGATCAAGTAAAACAACTCTTTTAGAACAATATCTATCAAAGATTTTAACTGCTCTGAAAAATACAAATGGTAAAATTTTAAGACGAATTGACATTTTCAAAAGGAAATCAATAAGCTTACCTCTAATGGCAAATGTAAGATATGGTTGTTGTTGATAAAGTTCAAGATTTGGTCTATTATTTTTTATGGAATGAAGCATTGTTGCAACAATTTCTTGATGATATTCATTCACATTTACTGAATGACGTTCTATTTCAGAACGATAAAGTTGAGGAGGGTACTCAAACTGTAAAAACCTGGTAGTCATGATGAAGAGATGATATAACTTCTGGTTATTTTTCTTTGCTTTCCCGTCAATATAATCCAACTAATTCTTATATAATAATAATATAAATGAAATTATTATTTTGAATATTTTATATGGATGTTGGATGACGATATGAAAAGTGGAAAATATAATTGAGGTTCCTCTTTAAAATCTGAATTGATTACCCAAATGAGTGTGGCCGGCTAACGGAATTTGGGAAACAAGACTTAATATAGCAAAAAGTGAAATTTTCAACTCCTCTCGTCTATTTGATTCTAGGCGAGGCGCGTAACGGTTGATGTATTTTGATGCGCTAGATTCGGAAATGTGATAACACCCACAGGAATGAAAGCCCACAATGCAAGAAAAAATAAAAATGCGACTCGTGTTCTCTCTCAAGCTAATCTCGCTTGACTTTTTATTTATCTGAAAGTGGTTACTGATGTACGGCAACGATTGTCCTATTAAAAATTTAATATTATTTTTTTTTTTTAACAATTCCGAACAAAGAAACTTGGTGGGGAATTTCAAAAAACGCCTTATGAAATTTTGTTAGATAACAGATCTATTAGTGTGTGATACAATCTGCAATAGGGTTGTATCAATGAAACGAAAAAATGGTGGTGGTTCAGTAATAAAATACACCTTGATGTAACAGGAACCGAGGAAAATGAAGGAATAAGAAGAAAACTACAAGGACTTATTGAGGCGATAAAGACATTCATATATATATGTACATAATGGAGAGTCACCCCCAACCACTTGCATGATACCATGAGTATATTTTTCATACTTTAAGCTGCCTACCTCCTCGAGGTGAAGATGTGCAGTTGTATGTCTGAAAGGTCTTCTCCTGCGTCAATCTTGGTCTGGGCCAATGTCTATTACCAAACAGGCTGGCTTAATAAGTTTCTTGTGATTTTACCCAATTAGGACCTACGCGTGGTGTATTGTGAAATAAAAAATACCAACTCAAATGCCACTGTAATAGGTTAAATGTATGGGGAATGTGTGTTTTAGGACGAAATGTAAGGTTGAAGACAAAGGTCGTCAATGTGTCCCCAGCATAAATTTACGACGTGCATAAAAGTCAGGCACAGCCTTGAAGATTGTCGAAGCGGCTCATACACTTCGTAATAAAAAAGCGCGTGCTTTTGTCCAAATTCGGATGTTCACCTGCCCTTTGCGGTTCCTGCAGGGGAGTTCCTGATGTTATAATTTTAGACGAGCATATATTCTCATGCGGATTTAGTACACTCGACAGATGTGAATACTTTCAATGAGCCCATGAATACACTGTCAGGTTTTTTTTTGCAATTACACCACCAAGTCCACCTAACATACTTCCAGAAGAATATCAGAATAAGAAAAAAAAATAAACTTGAAAATAAGGAGACCGACGGAGTTAAATTAAAAAGAAACAAATAAACAATTGGCAAGACAATGTGCAAAATAATAAAAAAAAAAGATCAATGCCAATCTATTCTTACCATATAATAGTCAAAAAAGACAAAGAAAAATTCTATAATTAACCTCAATGAAGTAAAGATAGATGAAGACAGACTAAAAAAAGAAACTAATTAAGGTGGACGCTTTACATTCTATGAGTTAGGGGGTTTTCGTTACAAACCATTGCAAACCAAAGAGATTAGTAAAGTCGCAGGGGCAAATCAGAGGATATATTCTCCAATTTACGAGAGTACGAGCTGCATTAGTCGGAAAAGTAACTCGCCGAAGCGTAATGTGCAGTATTCGGTCTTATATTTGCGTGCAAAGCTAGGCGAATACAACGTCGTGTTTTGAAAATCGTGCCATTTCAGCGCCAGGAGCCGCCTCATTGCCTTAGGCGAGAGGTTGTAGTCAAGGAGATACGGTGCTAAGATGCATACTATCTCTACTCACTTTGTCAGATGGACTAACAATTTGAAGATAAATCATTCTAAGAAATTTTTTAAGTTGATTCAATAAATCAACAGATTCACATGATACAAGTCTCCATCTGTATAGATATGCAGCTTCATTAGGAGGTGATACCTCTACACAATAAAGAAATTTCAACTTTATTCACATGATACGCGTCTGTGGTAAACTTTTCAAATGAAAATTTATTTATTTGAAAAGGGGCTACATGAAGGTTGTGAGTGTGGGTATCCCTTACCTTAGCTCCGTTTATGATTATGCGGAATACCCTATTCAATTTTTTTTTTCTTTTTTTTTTGACCTTTTTTCCATTTTCATCTTGAGATTGTAATGACGACTTGGAAAATTTTATGACGGGGAATCACACATTATTTTCCAACTTGACTCTATAGTCATTTTTTGTGGTTATATACAGGGCTTGAGAATTTTTTTTTATTTATATTTTTTTTTTCAAAATGTGTAAATAAAATAAACAAATAACATTGAGAGTAAACATATAGAGAGTGGTATACGAAACCAAAAGAGTTCCAATCAATAAAGGCGTAGGGAATATATACATGTATAGAGTGTATGATTGAGAGGAATTGATGGAATGACTGAGACGACGAATCATGCTGCTAAGGGGATCTTTCTGAGAGTTTATGATGGACTCTTTGGAGCTGGAGATCCTCTAACCAATGAACCAACCATTGATTATAATAATACTTTCCATAATAATAATAGTACAGTAGATGTAAATAGAAGAAATTCCGATTATGAAAGCACGATCGATTCCACAAGAGAATTCCAGATGTTTCTGCGGGCAGAACCAACCGGTAAAGAGGGCGCCTCAAAACCATATCGAGATTTATTTGAACGTACACATCAAGATTGGTATGATGATGATTTAGATCGAGATTTGGAGCTGATATACAAGCTGCATGACAACACAGCTATGAAATTAGACAGTCTACCGAATAATTACCCCGGTAGGTTTCAAGAAGAATGGAAACAACCTCCAGTGCATCATACCGATAGACGAGAACAATTTCTGAGTAGAGTAGTGGATCATGACGACAAGACTCGTAGTCGTCATGAATCCTATTCACATAGAGAATTGAATAATAATAATAATAATAATAATACTAATAATAAGTCTAGTGGCATATCGTCAAGGAATAGTACCAATCGTCAACTTGAACAATTAGAACGTGAGATCGATCAAGATGAACAATTACGATTGGCCTTGTTGAATAAAAGATTAAACTCTAAAGACGATGAAAATATTATTAAGCACAAAGAATTAGAATCTATTTTAACGTCAATTGAATCTAAAAATGAATTTTTGACGGAATTGAATCAATTAATTGATCTTAATAATAATAAAGATTTAAAATCTGAGTTAGAAATAAAGTATAATGAATTATACAATGAATATACTGAAGAGTTGGTGAAATGCAACAAATTTTATGAGGCATATTATAAGTTGGCCTTCCAATATAGAGAGCTACGTAAGGAGGCTTTAGTCGTGAAGCCTAGTGTTGATACCACCACTTTGTTAGAAAATATTAAATTAATTAAATCAATTTCTACAAATCCACTGATTGTGGCAAAATGTGAAATCATTTTACATGAAGTCAAGAAATTTAAGCTAAAATTAACCGAGCAAGAATCAAAAATTGATCAATTACAATTGGAAAATATTCATTTGAAACAAAAATGTGTAAATTATCAAGAAGAATTGAAATTAGCTCAAGAACGGATAGAAAAATTAGAAAGGAGACATTCTCTTGCAGCCAGCAAACATTGAATTCCATGCTCTACATATGCCGCGAACAATCCAAAAGGATAAAGTTCCGTGTCTTGAATGCATGCTCAAGACTTCCAATTTCAAAATAAATTGCTATATACTTTCCCCACGCATTAAATTTGTTTTATGAATGAATTTAACAATAATAAAATTAGAGAGGGAAAAAAAAAAATTTCGATTTATTTTTCTATTTAATGTGTGAGTTGGTATGTGCATGCATGACAATGCGGAATGGTTGCAAAGGATTAAATTAGACGATAGACAAATATATGCACCCATCAACTAAAAATATTGGCGATAGATTACTTATGTGGAAGTTGACCAGCAGAAGTCTGATAAGGTCAGATTGTTGGTTTATCGATTGCACAGCCCTTTTTTTTTTCTTTGCTTACTAAATTCCTATTAGGGAATCTTTAATTAGTAACTCCTACAGTTTGTTTGATATGTATGTGTTAATCTTGCTATTCTATACAAGCAAGGATCCATGACTCATACTGGGTACAAGTGAATGAGCATCAATATTGATACCTCCATCCTCGATACCTTCATTAATGCACTCATTAATAATGTGATCCCAATCACTAATGAGAACAAAATAATATTGCAAGACTGATACGGTAAATAAGGCAATGATCATCCCCAACCAAAGTCCAACAAGTTCAAGATCAAAATAAAAGGCGAAAAGGAAAGCCAATGGTAATGCAATACAATAATAAGAAAATAAATTCAAATAACCTCCAATTTTTTGTCTACCTTGACCTCTTAAAACTCCATTTGTAGCACACGAAATACAATCATTAACTTGATAACATGCACCAATAATTAACACTTTTGATGCTAAAGTGATAACTAATTCATCACTAGTGAATAATTTAGCCAATTGTTCTCTGAAAATAAATAAAAACAATCCATTGATGACTCCAACAACCATTGATGTGTAAATGGCTGCATTTGAGGCAATTTTGGCAGCATTTTTGGAGGCAGCTCCAATGTACCAAGCCACTCTAGTGGATGCAGCGATCGAGATGGCAAATGGGATTTGGTAACACAATACACATGTTGTTGAAATAATCGATTGAGCTGCCAATACTTCAGTACCAAATGTAGATGCAGTGAAAGTAATAATTTCAAAGGCTAACCATTCTGCTTCAACCATAAGTACACCAGGTACTGATAAATCAATCATTTTCTGCCAATTAGTGAAACATCTCTTACTGAAAAGAGAATCTGCTGGCCAACATTCATATCCACGAACAAAATAAATATAGGCAAATAACATAAAACACATAACCCAATCGGTAATAACCACTGAAAGAGGAGCTCCAATAAAGCCCATTCCAATATGTTTATCCCAAACAAGTAAATAGTTTAACAAAGCGTTTAATGGTGCACAAAAGAAGAGAACATAAGTTGATGCATGGAAAACACCTTGACATTGAAGGAAATGCTTTGCATTTTCAAATAAAATAAACCCTGGAAGTCCAAAACTTAAAACTTTCAAGTAATCGGATGCAAATGTACATAATTCCAATTGATCTTCTCCAACAATTGCCAACAAGATTGGTTTGGAAAGAAATACCCATAAAATGAACATTGGGATGTACAAAAGGAAAAGAAGGTATGAACATCTAACAAAATGTAACCCAACCATGTTGTAATCTTTCCTACCGTAAGATTGTGCACATAATGTATCAAGACAAGTAGATACACCTTGAATAATGGCATAACCGGAAATATTTGCCGTCATGGATGATAACGAAACCGCCGCGAGTTCAGTCAGTCCTAATCGACCGACAGAGAACACTGAGGCCACTGTAAGAGAGTATTGTAACAAGAAGGTAATACTCAATGGTACGGAATATAAAACCAACGATTTAACTTCATTTATTAAGGAAGTTTCTGGTTCATCGGCTAATTCATTGGCATGATGAGATAAGATATCTGAGACATCAGCCAATGATTGTTTGTTGAACGATGAATGGGATTTGAAGGTCGAGAGTCCACCGGTACCTCCACTGATACTGGTGCTTCCACCACCAACGATATTTTCGGATGGACCACGGTGTCCAGTTCTGGTGTGAACTAAACTGAACGGATTCTTATCGCCCATGGAGGCCATTGATGTACGTCTTTCTTGGACATACGAGACGATTTCACTCTCATCATATTCCGAGCCTTGGGTAGACACAGGGTGAAGAAGGGGTGTTCTATCAGTCATTGGTAACAATTTCAACGAAGAAAGAAGCAAGAAAATTTTATATTCTTGATCTTAAATGGAAAACTTGTCAACGTGCGTGTTGTCGAATGAGATAGTACTTTTTTGCGCGTATTGAGAAACAATGGCGGAAGAAAAGAATTTAGTAAACAAATAAAATATATAGGAGAGGTGGAACTTTTTAAACAAGAGGGGTGGTTCCGGTAAGTGATTCTTTTATAAATAGGATTGGGTAGTAGACTAACCTTTTTATTGCTGGTTAGTTTTATTCGCCGATGTCAAATTGACCTCTCTGATTTGATCCCCAACTCTAATCTACTGATATGCAATCAAAATGCGCGATAAACGAAAAAATAATCAGGGAAAAAAAAAACTGGTCGAAAAATGGTTATCTTCACCCGATTGGGACGACTGTCTAAGGGGGGTTAGCGATAAACACCCCTTCCACTAAGTATGTTTAAATGTTGACGTAAATGTGAGTTCAATACAGAACAATATGACTAAATTTTATAGAACCCTTTATTGGTCGCATTATTTTTTTTTTTACTGTGCCTATCACTACTTGAAATCATATCTTCTTTTGTATTTAATTATCTATTATATGTCTAGTGAGTCTACTTAAAACTTCCCCAAGAGTAAGTTTCTTCCCATGTCTAAGGCGGTGAAGTAGACGGTTCTACCGAAGGCATAGAAATCAAGGGTGGAACTCAAGGTGTCCAAGAAGCCAAATGGCAACATGGCAGGAATCCAACCTTGGGCAAGCTCCATGGCAAATGCACCACTAGGCATGGAGTATTGCTTAGCGGTACCCTTGACCAAGTGATGAACATCACCTGGTAAGTAAACTTCTGGGGTAAGAGCACCAGGGAATGCAGCTTTTTGTTCACCAGTTAAAATGGTGAAATAATCATCTGCGAAATGAATTCCTGTATGACCCTCAGTACCAATTGCAGTACCAAAGAAAATCAAATATTCAGAGATTGAAGCATGCAAGATGAACATGGTACCCATAGCACCACCAGCGTTATTGTAGACCCAATCGTCGAAGTTTAAATCGTTGACAATGTCACCATATTGAGCCTTGAGCTTAGGAGCAAGTTCCAACATGATGGCAGTGGCATTTCCGTCTGGGTGATTGGCAATAGTTTCTCTAGCAAGACCAGCTAATACATCTTTATCAAATACATAATTATTTGGGAGCCAAGTGTAAAAAAGATGGTTGAATACGGAATAGATGGCCAACGGAAGTACAGTCCAAAGGAAGAAAGTTTTGGCAAGCATGGTGATTGGGTTGAATCTACCTGATGTGTCTTTTTCGATCTTGTAGAGTCTGCTAATATATATATGAGATTTATTTTTTTTTGCCTACTTCACCATCGTATAGAAAGAATTAAACGATCGTATGGATGTGACACAAACCTCGAGATCAAAAGTAAATAAAAATTAAAAGAAAAAATAATATAAGACTATACGATTAGGTAAGAAAAAAATATTTCTTGTAGATCACGTGCATATGTAGATAGTCATTTTGTCAAGAATTTACCATTATGTCCTAAAAATGGTAAATAATAGTCCTTTTTATGCACAGGAACAAGGGATTATAGATATTGCGATTACGAGGAGGGTAACACCGCATTGAACTTCTCAATACAGATTTCAATTTCTTGTAGTCACTAACTCTTTTTTTTTTTTTTTTTTGAATTTCATATCAAAGTACGTAGGGTACTCGGAACGATTTAAAAAGATTATGTATTCATACATATGTCACAGTGATAATTTAAAACAAACTTGTAGTAATCACACCAGCAATCACATATATATATATATATATATATCCAGTTATTTATCTGTCTCTCTTGGAGGGATGGGAAGAACGTTGTAAGGGACTCCTGGGATTCTAAAATCTCGTAACTGTAGATGAAACAGAGTAAGATTCCATCTCATTGTACAGTACAATGATGCTATATACCTTTTGTGTACTAATTCGCTTTGCGTTACCACTTGATCTATGGCCTGAAATGCGGGGAAAATGACAAAATACTAGATGCGCTGTAAAAGCGATGAGAATAGTATGAGCTTTACCTACCATTATAGAGCTTTTGGTACACATAAACACAAACGGATTGATGTATTTATAAGGTATTTGTTGCAATACACCTTATCTACAAATTATTGAGTGACAAGTCCTCTGTACTTCTCACCTGGCGATAACACCACCTCGCTGTTTTCTTTCCAGGTAAAGAGCACTTCGTGCTTTTTCGCAAAAGTTGCAAATTGGAATTTTCAAAAGATCGGATCGGACGGGGGAACTATTCCTGAACCTTAGTACGAAAGCGTTCGTACCAATGAAGGTAGTTGTCACGCCATTTCTTTTCTTGTTCAAGTCGTTGGCAACATTCATATGATATTGAGCAGTATCTACCAAAGAAAAATCCTGATTATAAGGCTGCAATGAAATAGATACACTTACTTTTTGAAATATACGGATGTGATAACGTGGATACATTATGGTTCAATTAAATAATTCAAATGGGATGATTTTGAACCGTGATAACAATGAACCAGCATATAAATTCCCCTTCATGGTGCACTTGTAGCAATATTTCAAAAGACCAATAATATTAACACCTATTAACCAACAAAATGAAATTTTCCACTATTGTACTCTCCTCCGTTGCTTCATTGGCATCTTCTGTAAATGCTTTTGACATCCCAAACATTGCCGGTGCTACTTGCGAAGTAAACTCTAAGGACTGGTTTGAAGTTTATGATTGGGAATTCCAATCATTTGGCGCTAAAGATCAATATATCGGGTATTGGTACACTGCTAACAACCCTGCAGTTCATATTACCTTGACAGGTGGTACCAATGGTACTGATTTCTTCATCGGTAACAACGCCGTTAAAGACTGTTCTTGTATCCCAGACACTCAACCTGACTATCGTCTTGCTGAAGGTGCCAAAACCGAATTGGATGTCACCGTCAAGGAGGGCGAACTTCTCGGATTCAGAATGAGAAGTTGGGGAGTTGATTTTGGCATTGACTTTCAGCAGGAAACTAGTATGTGGAGTCCTTTAATGAAATTGGAAGCATGCTCAAAGTAAATAATCGATTGAGCAATTTGATTTAGGGTTAGTTGACCTAACCTGAGTATTTAATTCTATTTCAACTATTTTGTTAGGGTTTTTTTTTCTACCTCTATATAGATATGAGCAGTATATAGTAATTGATTTCCCTATTTTAATTATGGCTCCGAAATATGTAGTTCAACTGTTATTGAGCGAGTAATGTACTACCATGTTAGAATCGGGTATCGCTTCTTTTCCCAAAACTATACACAAAGGGGAGCATTCCAGGTAACAGCAAATCAATGCATCTCCTTGAAGAGTACTCCAGTGGCTCTCCCCGAACAGTAACCCGGAAGAGCGTCATATAATCCAGTGTATCTCGTGGTTTATTTACCAATGGGGTAATAGTATTGAGCTGGATGTGTAAACAGGGCAACGAGTTTACATACTACTCTCAAAATCTTGTCTCTCCTGTCATTCAACCAGGAAAAACCATTGCTTTTTTTCTCTTCTATTAATGAGATTATCCCTCAAACTCCTACTTTAAACCCAACATAAATAGGTTTAAATAATTGTAATGCTAAGGTAGCCTCTTCTTGGTTTTGGCTTTTAGTGCGGAAATTGACATTTTTGCAGCAATTCCGATTTCAATTGACTAACCTCTCTAGAAGAACTTATCTATTGAAACATGTTTTACCATACTTTATATTTTATACCAATAGACTTAAAAGACTTCACTTTGGGGAAATATTATTCTTCTAGTTAAAAATGATCTATTCAATTAAGCAAAGATCTTTGCAGCATTTTATTCTTAACATTGTATGGTATTTTTATGGAACTGTTGTATTTGAATCTCTAATTCCTGTATATAAACTTATGGATAAGAAGAGTATATTACATTCAGCTATTTCATCCTATATATTAACGACCTAGAGGAAGGGTGATAGGAGTTTACATAATAGCAATATATCTCCATTTTAGCTAGATAGAATGAGTACTGTCAATTCCATCATTTCATCTGCAACGCTGGACGTTGATAAAATCAGGGCAATTAAAGATCTCGTATCAAATGATCATCAATTAATTAGAACCATACCTGATGATTTTAATACCAATGAACGATCTAAATCATTTCTGATGCTATTGATTCTTCTTAAAATTGAACTATTACTTATTTCCGACGAATTTGATCCATCAATTATTGCCACATATTTGAAACAAGTACAATCATTATTACCTAAGAATTCTACCAATACTACTTCTAATCTGGACTTAACTTATCTTAAGCTCAAGTATGATGATTTATATACAGATTTCCAGCTCTTATACCCACCAAAGTATATGGATTTGGTCAATAAGAAGCTAATTTTATTAAATAATATGCACAACAATCAACAAAACATCCTTGAATGGACTCCAGAACTCCTACAACTAGTGGTCGATATATACCACAAGACTACAGAATGTCTCTTACTTACCGGGAATGAATTTCTCAAGAATAACATTCTTCAACATTTACAAAAAATCTTGAATGAAAATGATCCAATTTCACATGAATTCAATAAATCAATCAGTCCAACTACTTCATTTTTCTTCGACCGGAACATCCGTAAACAATGTGTACTGTGGCAACAATTCGAAGAGTTTCTTCGTCATGCCCATACTCCCTGGATACGGAAATTGGCCTTGAAACAACCTCTTCCTCATACACTTCTTTGTAACCAATTGGAGAACAATATTTCCTTGTTATCGAAATATTATTTAAACATATCACTTTCAAAGATAAAATCTCTATTTGAAGTGCCTGATTCCATTGATATTGAAGATTTGGTTGCAACAATGGTGATTAAAGATAAATTACCGCCACATTCCCAAATTGACCAAATAAAATCAGTACTTTATTTCGGTGGAGATACCGAAGTATACAATCCTGAGAATCAGCATGTGAAGGATATTTGTTTATTGGTTGATGAAATCGTCACTTTAATTGGGGAGTAGGTGAATCTCTAGTGGTCTCAGAAAGGAAGTCGCTGATCTTCTCGAGAAATTCCGCACGTTCTACAATCTGCATTCAGTGTGATTCCTTTATCAAAGTGGTAGATGAGTTTCTATTGATGGGACCCGGTTCCCAAGGAGGATATCCCTTGTATAATTTTGTTTGCCCACCCGCCCCTCATGAGGGAAATGTACATTCCTAGGAGTAAGCTGAACGCTATAAGTCCAATTGAAAGCTTGTAAGCTTCTTCAGGGAGATTCTTGCATCTGATTCAAATTAGGACATACAACTACTAATAGAAATATTTGGTTATAATACAAACCCAATAATACTTAACTCATATTAATACAAATTCTTCTTATTTACTCATTTGATCATGTATTCAATTACTAGACTACTTAAACTAGATATTAGAATGTTAAACAATACTTCCTAACCTACTCTAGTTGTATTCCTTGGTCCAGTATTGTCTCAATTTCTTTTCCTTCCCAAGTTTAGAAATCTCTTCAACTTCTTCCTTTGTAAGTTCAAAGTCAAATACATCCAACAGTCCTTGGATTCTTTCCTTGTTTGCTGAGGTGGTTACAGGTAAAACTCCATTTTGTAAGACCCAACGAAGCAAGACTTGTCCTTCGTCCTTACCGTACTTCTTGGCTAATTCGGCCAATGGACCATCCAATGGACCTGGCTTACCCTTAATGATAGGACCAAGAGGACTGTAAGCTTCCACCAAGAGCCCTTGTTGTTGAGAGTATTCAACAATTCCTGGAGTTTGTTCTTGCAAATAGGCATTATATTCGATCTGGTTGACAGTTGGCTTATGCTTGGCAACCTTCAAAATACGGTCAAGGTCCTCCTTGGAGAAGTTAGAAACACCAATGCTCTTGGCTAATCCTTCATCTTTCAATTTTTCAACATAAGCCCAAGCTTGTTCCAAAGAAAATCCATGAGATTCTTCCTTGATGAATGGTGCGTGTAAAAGATACAAGTCAACGTAGTCCACTTGGAATCTCTTCAATGAAGCCTTCAAGGACTCATATGGGTTAGCTTCTTTCGAATGAGCAGTATAAGAAGAGTCACCAGCAAAATACTTATCAGTAAGATAAATGTCTTCTCTCTTGAGACCGGATTTCTTAATTGCAAGACCAATTTCTTGGTCAGTGTTGTAGACTTCAGCACCGTCAATGTGAGTGGCGCCTACACTAAGTGCAGTAACAAGAGTGTTAACCAAGTTTTCATCAATTTCATTTCTACCCAACTTAAACCATTTGGTACCAGTACCATAACCAATGGCTGGGATAGTGTTACCATCGGACAACTTGAAGACTTTTCCGGAAAGAGACATTGTTTGTTTGTAGATTATTTAATAGAATTAGAAATTAGATTGTATTGGAGGTATGTGGTAATATACTGTATGTATTTGAACACCTGTATAAGAATTGAGTTATCTAATCATGTATTTTTTAAAAAAAAAATGATTGTTATCGCTACTTTATATAGTTTTGATTAATAAGCCACAGGAAAATGTCTATAACTTAGCAGGACATATAAATGTGCCAAGAAATGACTATAGTTACGGAATCGGCGCTAATTTTGGCGGCAATCGGACTTTTCTAGTGTATATATGCCCGCCACGTCTACAGAAATAAACTTTAGAGAGCCACAAATAGCCACAAGTGTGTTCAGGATACCCCCTCTATGAAATAATATTATAAATGAAACAATGTATACGCCACATATACACACTAATTCTCAACCTGTAAAATCTGGATCTACCGCATATGTAAGTTAAATTTTAATGATATGGATTTTGCTCTTTACCTATGTAATCAATTATATAGATTTGGTTTTGATGTAATAATTATAGTACAGATTTTCTCGTAGATCGTAGATGTCGTTGACAGGATTAAAATTATGATCAACCTCAACCTTAGCCTTATGCAGAAGTGGGAGGAAATAAGAAAACAATGAAAAAATATGGATTATGAAGAAAAGAAATGCTTGAATGCGGGAGGAGAAGGATCAACTGTAAAATCCAGAACCAAGTTGAAGTAAAGATTTAGCCACACTGAACGAATTTGGAGTACCAAATGAGTTGGAATTGGCCCGGATTGGTGAAGAACTCAATAATTCCTTGTTTCCAACTCTAATGGAAGTACAAGTGCTTTCCTTGAGTGGACCATCATCATCTTCATCGATAGTTTCGTCAGTATTGAGATTATTTTTCCATTTTTTGTTGTTTGTAGGTAAATATGGATTAACCAAATTTCTAGAAGAAGATTTCATTGGAGTCTTCAAAATTTTATTAATTGATGGTAATTGTCTTGATTTAGAATGGGAAAGGTGATTGTTGGAAATTGAATTGGCGTTAAGTTGAGCATTGGTAGGAATGGCAGCATCAGTGGTGGCATCAGTGGTAACATTGATTGGCTTTGGGAGTTTGATTTCATGGTTAGGGGTTAAAGGAACAGCTCCATTTCTATCAGCATAGAATTTGGAGTCCTTTTTAATGGAGTATAACCGAAGTTTCTGGGTGTTTTTAAACAACAGAAGATTTCTATCGTATGCAGTGGCAGTAAGAGATGGCTTTTTTCTTTTAGTCACACCTGAAGTATTATTCATACCGGTGTTTGTGCTGATAAAGTTGGTGGTATTGGTAGTGCTAGCATTACCGCCATTGTTATGGGTGGATTTGGCTTGTTCAAGGCTTATGGCAGCTCTTTGAAGATCTATGTTTATGGATGACGAAATGAAAACTTGTGGGGCTTTAGTTGGGAGAGTACCCTTCTTTTGCAACTTATAAAGTGCAAGTTGTAACTTAAGTTTGAGCTTGGTAGCAGCTAAACTGGCAGCAGCTGTTTTGTCTATACGTTCAGGAGACGTTTGAAGGGATGGAGAGTTTGATGTTGAGTTTGGGGTGAGTCTTTGGTCTTTGAAAGTAATAGTCTTTGGGGTTGATGGTCTGACACCCTTTTGGTTAGGAGTGAGTGGGACAAATGAACCTATCGAGTACAGTTTCCTTGCTACTCCAGCACCACCTCCAATGGTTGTCTTTGTATGAGGAGACTTCTGTGGCAGGCATATGTTAAGACTAGAGTCTCTGATTGGGGCCAAGGCCACTCTGTTGTATTTCGATGACACTGACATGCTTTGCTTTGCTTTCTCTGAACTTCTCTTCTCTACTGTCAAACAAACAACCAGGCTCCAATTGTGAATAAGAAAACCTTTTCGACTGTAACGTTGAAACCTTTTTTGACAAAAAGATAGTACTATGTGTATGTCTAGTATAAAGAAGCTAAACAGGACAAATTGGCACCTTCTAGTATCTTTATTCAAGGTTGCCAATGTTTTGACGCTAACTCACCAACAGGCTCAATATGGGTTGTTTATGTTTACGTCGCGTGTGTTTGGAGTGTATAGAACCCGCTTTTGGTGTTTTTCCTTTGGGTCGCACTTTTGTAGGAAATGGTGATGTTTGTGTTTATGTTTTCCCGAAACGGAACGCGTCGCGATCCACCCGAAAGGAACTTGATGCGGAGTTTGCGCTTGTGAGATGAACTAAGTCAGGTACTCGAGTCAATCAATAGTAAATTGGTGGCGACTAAGGACCTAAAAATAAACCGACAAGAAAAAAAAAAAGAGTAAAACGGTTGAGCCCGGCAGCTACCGCGCTTGCAAGCTTTGGCGAGGGCAAACCGAGATACACTTTGAATACATATAACCGTTCGTGCCACCAACTTATGTTTCTGTTGTGTTGCTGCTCTACTTTGCACGCTTTGCTATCTCCTGTGGACAATTCATTCTCTCAGGGTTTGGTAGGGAATGTTTGGCTCACATATGTTTGTATTGTGCTTTCTCTATTTTTTTTTTTTTTGGTTTCCCTACTGCGCAGCTATTTTGTATTTTTTCCTCACTTTAGCGTGCATTATGTAACAAATTCTCTGTAATATTTTCTAAATGAGTGACCGATACTGCTGGTGAATCGCGCTCACATTTGCATTACTTGAATTTTTGTTTACTTCTACGCTTTTTCTGGTACTTTTACTACTAGTATTTTTTTTTGCAAGCATAAGGAAGTACAGTAGGTCAAGATTGTAGCGAAATGGAAGTGCTGAGGCGGCATGATAGAAGAAGTACGAAGAATGATGGGGAAAGGCTCATCTAGAATACGTAGAAAATGTCTAAATAATTGAACTAAATTGTCATAACAACAAATGTTTAGAGCGTAGATAGTTGAGTTGAAGTTGGTTGGGTAAATGATTCTTCGCATCAAATTTCTACCACAATATTTAAATGAAAAAATAAAATATAAAGTAAAAAATAAAAGTAAAAAATAAAAAATAAATAAAAAATAAATAAAATTAAAGGTGAAGTAAAAACAAACACTACACAATAAGGAAGGCACCTAAAAAGAAAAACAAAGAGTCATAGTGGGAATGAAAGGTGGGCATTATGTATGTACTATGCAACTAAGATATGTAGCATGACAGAGATGATGGCGATTGTGTATGTAGGAAGATAGTTGAAGGGAAGAGGAACAGCATAAGATGCTATTTCAAAGGATGATATGTAAAGCGGTGAATCGCGCGAAGTTTCATCGTTGATGATGAAATATAGACGCGGGGTACGAATTACAATTCGTGACGAAGTACTGAACAAAGTATGATAAATCACACATTTTTAACTTGGTCTTTTCAAATCTAGTATTTCTTCTTTATATTATCAATTTTGGGTACTATATTATTGGTTTAAGAGCTTACCATCTATAATTTGTTCATCCCCATGTATATGTATAAATTATGTCGAATGAACTTTGTTGTTAATACTTGTTCTATGGATATTTCCTGTATATATTCATATTCCTGTATTTCACTTTATACCTGTGTGTGTTCTAATCCTGTACTCTCCCGATAAGGGTGAAGTGTGGTAAAACTTTAAAGATCATTCTTTTTACTTGTGATAAGGAGTTACATTATACAAAAGTATTTATCAATTGAACTTCTGATAATATATTTAGTATGCTCCGTTCTAAATTATCATCACTTCGGGAATACCTTACCCCTATCAATCATAGTTCTAATTTTGCCACTACCGGTGAAATCTCACCAGAAGAATTTGTTCAAGCTGGAGATTATTTAGTTTATAAATTTCCTACTTGGCAGTGGCTGCTGGCACCTGAGAAACTCCGGAAGGACTTTTTACCGCACGATAAACAATATTTAGTGACAAAGCATGTGCCTTCGTATCAGCGATGTGCGCTGTATTTAGGAGTGGATGAGAATGGTGAAGATGAAGAAGAAGAAATTGAAGAAGAAATCGATGGAGATGGATGGGTCAAATCTAAACGTGTAGAAAAGGTCAGTAAAGATGATCTCGTACAAGATCTTGAAGGTGGACAAGATATTGATGATTTAATTGATGAAACTGCCGAGGGGGGCGATGATGATGAAGATTATGATCAAGATGATGACTTTCAACACCTTGGATCGAACAACAACTCGTCATTAAGGAAGTATGATCTTTATATCACCTATTCAACTTCATATAGAGTGCCCAAGCTTTATCTTGTGGGGTTCAATTCTAATGGGATCCCGTTGTTACCGCAGCAAATGTTTGAAGACATTTCGGGTGATTATCGTGATAAAACGGCAACCATTGAAAGCTTGCCCGTTTCCTACAACACCACGTCAGTATCGATTCATCCTTGTAAACATTCATCTGTGATGAAGGTTTTGATGGCCCATGTGAAAAGAAGAGGTGGTGAAGGTGAAGAGACCACCGAGGATGAACAACCTCTGATTAGAGTTGATCAATATCTAATCATCTTTCTTAAGTTTATTGCAAGTGTTACTCCTGGGATTGAATATGATTACACTATGGATGCTCTATAGAATAAGACCGACTGGTCGTTCTTATAAATATATAGAAATAGAAATGTGTTCAAGAAAACTGTCAAGATTGTTCTATGGGTGCTACAAATAGTATCAAAAAGAAAAACGGACAAAGTAAAATATGGAGGGGGTTTTAAGGTGGTAAGATTTAGAAGATGCTAACGTTTTGTCTTGTAAGGAATGCGGTATCACTTTGTGGATCCTACTTAGTAGAGGAGAATATTATGGGTGGGCCGATAATGGCTAGTTAATTGCGGGGCCATGATACTAAAACTACGAAATATGGGCCTACTCTCGTTCACATTTGTATAATGTGTATATCATTATTAAATATAATCTAAACGAGGAACTAGCTGCGGCTCGATCGGGGTTGACATGTGCTCTTTATTATTATTATTATTATTTTTTTTTGCCTTGACAGTTCAGTTCTCGAGCAATTGAACAATCACGTGCGTTATACTTGCTCTTTATTTTATACGATTCCAAGTTGTTTAATACTTTAAAATAAAAAGGCTGTATTGATAGTGATGGGAAAGAGAAAGAACGCCAAGAGTCACAAGACAAAGGCTCATGAGTCTAAATCTACCGGGACAAATCAAACCCCACCAATTCCAAAACTTAAAGAAGTAGGAGGAGAAGATGATGATGAAGGCGATAACGCGTTAACCACCACAACAACCGGATCTGAGTTCCATTTATTGGAAGATCTCAAGGTTAAAAGAAGTCTTTATCAAACCCGTAGGGCGGTATTTGCTCTTGGGGCCTTGCTAGGTCTTTTGATCACCGTCTTTTTCACAACAAACAATCAAAAATCACTTCTGTTGGAACTTGATAAATTGGTTAATTTTGATAGTGTTAGTGGATTTCTCGATGATTGGAAAGATGTTCTCCCAACGGGGATCCAATCCATGATTTCTGATTTTGATATGAGTTCTGCAGCCAAGGAAGAAGGTCAACTTCATGGATCTGCAGATTCATTTTCTGTTGGAAGAAGAATGCTTGTGAATTATAATCTTACCAGTAAATACAATGTAGTGATGGTTCCAGGAGTTATTTCCACCGGGTTAGAGTCTTGGGGGTTGGATAATCCAAACGTTGAAACTAATAGTACTACCTCTGAATGTCTGCTGGAACCATTTTTCCGTAAAAGACTTTGGGGGTCATTCTTTATGCTTCGTTCAATGATTTTGGATAAGGCATGTTGGTTGAAACATATCATGCTTGATGAAGAAACTGGATTAGATCCTCCAGGAATTAAAATTAGAGCAGCCCAAGGATTTGAAGCTGCAGATTTCTTCCTTGCTGGATACTGGATTTGGAATAAAATCTTACAAAACTTAGCAGTCATTGGATATGGTCCAAATAATATGGTTTCTGCATCGTATGATTGGAGATTAGCGTATTTAGATCTTCAAAAAAGAGATGGATATTTCACAAAATTGAAACAACTGATTGAAATGATGAAGGAATTAAATGGTCAACAAACTATTTTAGTTGGTCATTCTATGGGATCTCAAGTTATGTTTTATTTCATGAAATGGGCCGAGGCAAAGGGTGAATTTTATGGGAATGGTGGGCCAAACTGGTGTAATGATCATTTGGCTGCATATGTTGATATTTCTGGTAGTTCATTGGGTACACCAAAGGCAATTACTGCTTTACTTAGTGGGGAAATGAAAGATACAGTTCAATTGAATGCATTGGCAGTTTATGGATTGGAAAAGTTCTTTAGTCGTAAGGAAAGACTTGACATGTTAAGAACATTTGGTGGGATTCCTAGTATGCTTCCAAAGGGAGGAGACACCATTTGGGGGAACTTGACTCATGCACCAGATGATCCAATTAATACCCTTTCAACTGATAATGAGAAAATTGAAAAGCAAGATATGGAAAATATTTCATCAGAAAAGCGAAAGGAAGATTCATTTGGAACATTTATTCGTTTTAGACCTGAAAGTTATGATGTTAAAAATGGAGAGGGCCATAAGGATGAATCTCCTAAAAACTTGACTATTAACGATAGTATTGATTTCCTTCTTGACCAATCGCCAGCATGGTTCTCTAAAAGAGTTAAGGAACAATATTCGTTTGGTATTGCCAAGACCAAATCAGAATTGGCTGCAAATGACCATGACCATTCCAAATGGTCTAACCCATTGGAAGCTAGGTTACCTAATGCCCCCAACATGAAGATCTTTTGTTTCTATGGGGTGGGAAATCCTACTGAAAGAGCATATGCATACCAACGTGCTGACAAGGGTAGTAAACTTGGATATATTATTGATACAGATTCTGAGAATCCAGTATATTTTGGAGATGGTGATGGTACTGTTTCGTTACTTACACATTCAATTTGTCATGAATGGCAAAAGGGGAGCAAATCCAGATTCAACCCAGCAAACTCAACTGTAACTATTGTTGAGATTAAGCATGAACCAGATCGGTTTGATATCAGAGGTGGTGCTAAGACTGCTGAACATGTGGATATCTTAGGATCTGCTGAACTCAATGAATTAGTCTTAAGAGTTGCTCTGGGACAAGGAGACTCCATTGAAAATAGATATGTGAGTGAGTTACAAGATATAGTGAGTAAAATTGAAATATAGTGTACTATAAAGTACTTGATAGAAAGATTAAAATATATGTACATGGAAATGCAAATCTTGTAGTGCAAAGAGGTATAGCGGTTAAAATCAAGTGCGTGATGGATTTCACAGAAGAAAAGAATAAAAGAAAAAGAAGAAGGAGAAGTTAATATGGCTCTACACAGAAAAAGAAATTTGGTAATCTGTAAGTTCAAGTAATAATAGTTGTAGTACCCCCCACCTAATCATATTTTTGGTAACTGTTGTACAAAATTAATCTTGACCAAATGAACTGATTTAAAGCTTTAGTGTATGTCAAATAACTCCGTCATAACTTCTAGGAATAGAGTCTATCAAAATTGTATATATCCTAAAATGAGATGTTACAATTACGACATCATAAATATATATTTTTATCCTACTATGATTGGCACTACATTTATCCTTCTTTCTCTGTTCCTAGTAGGTAAGCTGTCTCCTTCTTGTATTAGAAACTTCGCGCGCATATTTATAGAAGTTCCACTTTTGACTGCAAATATTCAGGCTGCGGGTTTTCCGGCATATACCCGACGAACTATCAACACCTCCTTAATCAAACAATCAGGTGTCCGACTAACAGTGTATATCAACCTTTACTTGAATTTTTATAAAATTTATTATTTACAATGAGGTATGTACTTTGTAGATGCTTGGCTACAGATTTCCGAGTCTAGAAGGTCCTCCGAAATGCGTTTAGCCTCAATTGAGAGCTGCCCAACCTCCTTTTCAATGTTTGACACGCGGGGAGTTTCTCATGAGTGAAAAAGGACCCTTTCTTTGAAGTAATATCCATCCTGATACTAACATCGTACCAGTGGAAAGTTTGTTAGAGCTTCCAAGTACCGTCATGTCTATGGCCAAGCCGCCAAGCGTGAGCTTTGTTACGAAAACTTGAAGATTACCAAAAACGCGTGGGACTCAAACATCATCCAATCCAACGGGAAGTACTTATCAGTCAACTGGGATGCGTCTGGAGGTGGTGCATTTGCCGTCATCCCTCTCAATGAAGTGGGCAAAGCCCCAGACCAAGTTCCTCTTTTCAGGGGCCACAAGGGACCTGTTCTTGACACTGCGTTTGATCCATTCAATGAAGAAAGAGTTGTCAGTTGTTCTGATGACGGGAAAATTCTTCTCTGGACTATTCCAAAGGACTACTCTTTCCATAAGTATGTGGATGAAAATGATGAGATTAAGGATATCACCGAACCAACCAAGGTTTTGTCTGGACACACCCGTAAGGTTGGACGTGTTTTGTTCCATCCATGTGCCCAAAACGTCTTGGCTTCGCTGTCCTTGGATTATTCCGTTAAGATTTGGAATGTTGAAACTGGAAAGGCTGAAATTACCTTGCAACACAAGGACTTGGTCACTTCCTTTGCATTCAACTACAACGGTACTTTGTTGGTCACCACTTCTAGAGACAAGAAGTTGAGAATTTGGGACATTCGTTCTGGAAAAATTGTTTCTGAAGGTCCTGCTCACACTGGTGCTAAGCCATCAAGAGTTGCCTGGTTGGGTAATACTGACCGTATTGTCACTACTGGGTTTTCCAGACTTTCAGACCGTCAAGTTGGTATTTGGAATGTTCATGATATTGAGGCTGGACCAATTGATGGATTTATGGTTGTTGACTCTTCATCTGGTGTTCTCATTCCAATTTTCGATGAATCTACTAATATCTTGTACCTTGCCGGTAAGGGTGACGGGAACATCCGTTACTACGAATATGACTCCGATTACTTGCATGACATCTCTGAATATGCCTCAAATAACCCTCAAAGAGGTTTTGCTGCTGCACCAAAGTTATCTGTCAATGTTAAAGAAAATGAAATTTTGAAATCTTTCAAAACTGTCAATGACCATTACATTGAACCAGTTTCTTTCCATGTCCCAAGAAGATCGGAATTATTCCAAGAAGATATCTTCCCAGATTGTCCATCTTCAGAGCCTGCCTTGAGTGCGGATGAATTCTTTGCTGGAAAGGAATCAAATGGTCCATTATTGATGAGCATGGAAGCCTTGTATGAAGGAACTGAGCCAGTAGTTAGAGAATCTGACCCAGTGACAGTTGTTTCCGCTGCTAAGGAAGAAGCCGCCAAGAAAGAGGAAGTTACCAAGAAGGAAGAAGCCGTCAAGAAGGCTGAAACTAAGAAAGAAGAAGTGGTGACAAAGAAGGTGGAAGAACCAAAGGACGCTGTAAAGCCAAATGTAGATCAATTATTGAAGACTTCCAGCCTGGTAAATGACTTGTTAAATAAAGTTAATGATCAATCTGATAATGAAGAAGTAGAAGGAGAGGATTGGGAAGAAGTCAAGAAACCTTCTCCAAGAGAAATTACTCCAAAGCCAAAGGAAGTCACTCCTGAACCAAAGGAAGTTCCAAAGCCAAAGGAAGTCACCCCTGTACCAAAGGAGGCTCCAAAGTCAAAGGAAGTAACTCCAAAGCCAAAAGAAGTCACTCCTGAGCCAAAGGAATCTCCAAAGCCAAAGGATGTTACTCCAGTTTTGAAGAAGGAAGAGACTCCAGCTTCTTCTCCAGTTAAGGCTACTGCTGCTGCCACACCAGCTGCAAAGTCACCATCCAAGACTCCAACCCTTACCAGTGTAGTTGAGAGACTCCATGGTCTTGTTGAAAAGCTTGAAGGTCAATTGGCTGCATTAACCGAATCAAGCAATAAGAAGGACGATAGAATAGAAAAATTAGAGAATGCCCTTGAAAAGCTTCTCGAAAAAGCCGAAAATTAAACTTACACACAATTTGTTAACAAATATATTTTGAATTATTATGTATGAATACTACTTTTTTTTAAAAACAAAAACTACTCCCTTTTAACATCATAAAACTTTCTAAAGATAAAACCCATCAAATTCTGGGTGTCAAATGAAACAACACCATCAAAGAGTTCCAAAGTTGGTTTACTTTCGTACTGTAAGTTCAAAAGTTCATCAAGGGAAACAGTATTGTAAGCACCGGGGATATTTACAGATCCAGAGGCGGCTTCAATGGAAAATTTACCAGCTTCATGACAACTAAACATAAAGTCTAACTTGGATGAAGATGCGTACTTCTGACCAACAATTCCTGAAAAATCTTTCAAGATCCCTTGATCCATCAACTTCTTAGCTGAGTATTTGTAACTTCCAAACTTTGGGAGTCTGTTATTCTTCCTGAGCTCTCTATGATAGAAGTATTGCTTACTGAAAACCGGGATAATACTGAAGATCTTTCTGTCCTTTGGTTTCAGTTGTAACTGAGAAAGGACTTCTTCGACATGTCTGTTATAGTCCGCTAATTGTTTCTTCAAGAATTGTTCCTTTCTCTTGAGCTTACTGCTTGAAGCTTCAGCAATTTCCATGTGTGATTTCCGACTAATTCTTCTTGAGTGTTTAGTCTTGATATCAACTGCAATTTCATTCAAGAGATCTTGGAATGAATTCTTACGAGTGAGCTGGTTGGCCTTTTCTAATCTGAGAATAATCTCAAGAGCCATCTTCTTTAAGTCACGATAGCTGATTGTGGAGAGGTCACCCAAAGATGTCTTATAGTATGGCTTCTTGGTTTGATTATCGATAGATTCTTCAGCTTCACGTCTTTCTTGAGAAACAATTTCACGGAATTTGGCTTCATGTTGAGGACCAATTCCTGAAATAAGAAGTTCAAGTAATCCGCGACCATCTTGAATACGGATTATATATAACACACTTCTCTTTGCCTGGGCAAATAATACTCTGGTCTTGGAGTCATGAACAGATTCTTCTTGAGTTGTTGGGTTGAGAGATAATGTTACTCTTCCTAATTCTGCAAGTGCGACGAAATCTCTGGCGGAATCGGCCAAATCATCAATCTTTGTGGCAATTGCATGAAGCTGATCATCTACACTTGGAGCAACAACTTCCAAATTTCCACGAATTAACTTGGCAAGTTGAAGCATATCACTAACCTTTAAAGTGAGTCTTGGTCTTTCATGAGCAATCACATCATCATATTGATTCAAATCGTACTCAGTTTCCATAACTTGAACGTCAATCACTCTCTTAATTATGGAACTGACAGTATCCACATTTGATCCAAGGTATTCATTCAATGGTTTCAAGAAATTATCACTGAAAGGCTTGAGAGAAAATGCTTGAAGTAAGACTCTTCCCAAATGCTTCAAATTCTCACGAGTACGACGTGTAGCAGGTGTTTCATAATTTTGTCCAGAGTAGCTAATTGCAATGCCATAATTTTCAGGATAGGAGAAAATTGCTGCCACATAATGCTTAGCAAGGATAACACCAGCTACTGCCAAATGTTGGTTGTCGCTCTTATCGGGATATTGGAGCCTTGAGAGTTCATATGCATGACGCGAGATGATCTTAATATGGAGTGGAATCCTATGTATATTCTTTCCCAATAAATCCAAAGTATCAGTTGTAAATTCTCTAAGTGCCATAAGGTTTTCAACAAATTTTCCTGATACTTCTGGATCCTTGATTGCAACCTGTGGAGCCAAAGATGCTTCACGGTTACTACTTCCATGGACCTTGATTTCTCGTTCACGGATTCTACGATGGATCTCGGACGGATCAGATTCAAAGTCAACATGTTCTTCTTCAACAACCTCAGTGACAATTCTACCAATAATCCCCTTCAAGTGTTGACGTTGGTATGTATGGTTGTTAAATCTCAAGAAGAAATCTAACCAAAGTACATGTTGAGACTTTGTAATATCACTAATGTTACGACATGTTTGTTCAATATCGTTCTTCATAATGCTGCAAATAAACTTAACCAAAAAGTATTCTTCTCTTGAATGATGGTCAATGGCTGAATTCTTGATAGGGAACATCTCAGATATCAATCCACATAATGCTGGTAGTTGGTCACTCCCTTCATCTCTTTCGGTAACTAACAACCTCAAAAAGTAAATTGGATTTGTTTGTAACAAGTAAAACATTGATTGGTACAATTCAAGTCTATCTCTGGAAGATTTCTCCAAGTTTTGATCGTTGATAGAGAGTCCACTTGATGTGATCCCTCCATTTTCACTTCCAGATGGTCTATATGTTTTATATTTGTTCTTATGTCTCAAAAATTCTTCGACAGAAATCTTGTTTTTATCTAAAAGACTCAACTTAATATCCAAGTTTTCGATTTGTTGTTCTAATTCTTCATTACTCTTGGAAGTTTCAATTATTTGATCTTTCAATTCTGCTAATGACATCTCTTCTCTATAATCAACATCATTATCGGTCAATAAGTATGCAAATCTCTTGATGACGGAAAGTGGTGGGTTCTTCATATTAATTAATGATTTATATGCCCTTTGAGTAAAGTTACTCTTGATAATCGCTTGTGCCTTGATAACCTGATCAATATGCAGCTTGTAGTAACTATCAATGCCTTCGAGTTGGGAACGAACCTTTTGAGCACGAGTAATAGATTGTAATTCAATTAACTGGTGAATATTTTCGTATAAATCTTCCATAGTGACCTCCTTTTCAAATCTTACGAAAATTCCTCTGAAAGCTGATTGAATCGGAATAATCAGACTCGTTTCCACTTCATTTAAGACAGCCTTCTTATGAGAAACTTCTCTTCTAACAGCATTACCTCTAACCTTTGCGAAAAGTTCATTGAATGCCCAATCTTCGTCTATCAACGTGATTAACACACTATTGCATAATTTGGTTCTAGAAATGGCACCTCTTGCGATACTTTGAAGTTCATGGATTTGTTTAAGTGATTTAAACACCCTAATTCTAGTCTTACTAACATTATTTCTAACCTTTGCTCCACGAATAATCGATTGGAATCGAACAAGGTTGCCACTAATGGCTGAATTCTTGATAACTGTAGTATTCTTTAATCTCTTGTACAAAGTACGTCTTGCAGCAGATTGTAACTCGACAAGTGAAGATTCAATAGTATTCTTGTTCTCGAGAACAACTTTACTCTTTTGATAAATTTTGTTTCTTCTAATCAATGATTGTAATGCAAGAACTCCGTCTTGGTTCTTACTTAATTTTATTCTGGTATCAATGTAAGAGTCTCTGATTTGCTTTGCACGATAGAGTGATTGTAATCTTAAAGTAGAATATTGTTCATCAGTCTTACCATCAAATTGAATTCTTCTTCTACTACTCAACTTTCTTCTAGCTGCGGCCTGCAATTGAATGATATCATCTTTGAAAAATAATAATTCGGTTCTATGTTCATGAATTGTTACATTTCTTGATAAATTACCTCTAATGATAGACACAAGTTCATTCAATTCATCACCAAAGGATCTTAACATGATTCTATCAACAAACATTCTGTATCTAAAGTTAGATCCTCTAACTAAAGATTGAATTTTCACAATATTTGATAATTGTTCATCGATTTCTGGGGTATAAAATGTACTGTCCTTGGCTACAGTGGTGGGTGGTTCTGGGATGGTATATTCCAAAACCTCTGGTGGCGGAGACACTGGACTAGCCTCTCTAAAAGGATCTTCTTCCTCTGGTGGTGCTTGTACGGTAATTTCCACTGGTGGTGGTTGAACTACTCTTGGAGATTCTTGTTCCTTTGTTGTGGTGGAAGAACTCATACTTGGTCTTCTTAAATCGGTTAATTTGGTGGGGGAAAGTGCTCGGTTAAAATAACTACTTTCCCCATTACCGGTGCTGCTTGCATTGGCAAAGTTTGGCAATCCAGCTCCAATTAAAGCTCTAGTAGCAGTCTTGATATCTTCGTCAGAGAATTGTTCTGTTCCCACCAAATCCTCCATTTGCGGTAAACTTGGATCAGACTTGGATAAGGTATAACTCAATGCATGTAAACAAAACCAAACTTTAGGAACATTCTTTGCATCGTACAAGTCTGTAAGTTCAAACCTGAATAAATCTGGAACATTCATATAATCTAAGAGTTGGAAAAACCGATTAATATTCTCTGTATGTTTGAATTGTAATTTTGAATCATTGGTAAACACTTTCCGGGTGGTTGGGAGTACCAAGTTTGAAAGTTTAGCAAGATGAATCCCATTTCTAATGTATGAAATTAATTCTGCTGGGGTTTGAGTGATTTCTTCTTGCAAGATTTTTTCCATCCAGTTTTTAATGGCTTGCACTCGACAAAGATATTCATATCCTTGGTTCCCCTTTGTTGGAGAAGATGGTTGTGAAATGGATGTGGAATCATTTGATGTAGCTGATCCAATTTGTTGTTTCAATGGTGAAAGCTTAGCGTTCTTATTGGCAAGTGCACGCATCCATGCTGGTTTTTCATTGATACCTGCTCTGGTAGGAGTATTGGATTCAGGAACAATTCCTGGGCTTTGAGCTCTAGGGCTTTTAAATGAAGAAACAGTGGCTGATGGAGATTCAAATCTAGTACGAATCAACCCAGTTCTGGATGGCAGACCATTTCCTCCTCCTACGTTTGAAGACATCTCTCTTTCCAACCGGTCGAGATCTTCTCCACCTTTGGACTTGAGTGGAGACGGTGAGGCATTATATTTAAGTGAAGGTTGAAGTGGGAATCGAGGTGAAGTATCCTCAGCGTCCAAAGACTCCAAATATCGAAGTGCAACGTTCTTCATCAAATGAGAATGTCAAAGGGTATAATATGGAGAGAAAAGACAAATACAAATAAAGATAATAATAAGAATGAGAATAAATTTATTGGGTGTATGACGTCTGTCTAAGCATCCCCCTGGTGAAAGAAGACTATGTACAAGGTGATCACATTCATAGAAGGGAAACATTCCCGATCAGGACAAATGTAAACAGAAAATGTAAACAGTGTTCCAGATTGATATTTTTCGCGGAGATGGCTGATAGCCCCAAAGAAGAACTAAATTAATTTTAGACAGACACTATACAATAAAATACTGAGAGTGTGTAAACTTCTTCTCATTCCTCCTACATAGAATACTTGTTATTATAATGCGAGTTTTTTAGGTATTATATTATATACTATGCGAATATATTGTAAATCATTCTAGCCAGCTATCACGATGAACAAAGATGAGGAAAAAGAGTTTAGACGCTCTTTCCTGGATGCTGTGTTATTTCTTCCTTATGGATTTGGACTGGTTGTTGTTCCATTCAATCCTTCAAGAAACTTGATTGTATCATCCAATCTCTCTATTTCAGCCGCTTCTCCTGGGATACTTCTTTTCAATTCATTTAATTTCAAAAGTGCTTCTTCATAATCTTGTTCAATCATATTCAATCGATCCTCATTAATAATTGGATATTCATCGACTGACTCGATTTGAGCCTCTTGTTTAGCTTCTTTTTCTAACTTTCGAAGTATCCCAGTTACTTCATCATCTGTTCTTGCAACTAATCGTTCATACTCCTGCATAGCCTTAAGTGGGATTTCCTTACGATACTGTGTGACTTCAATTGTTTCTTCTTCAACTCTTTGTAATAATTTACGTAATTCTCCATTTAATTCAAAATCAAATGGTTCTATTTTTTCTCTTGGTGCTAATTCAAGTAAATCACGAATCACTTGTCTACGACTTTCTTCATCATCTTGTCTTCGTTGTCCCTTTCTATGAGATAACTTTGTACTCAATTCTTGTCCATCGACCACCAATGCATTACATGCCATTTCAAATGCATCCATAAGATATTCATCTAATAACCCAGCTACATTTTTTTTCAATACATCTATATTTGATGTAGGAAGGTGTAGATCCAACTTGGCAGTGGTATTGTTATATATCTGTCCGTATATATACCGTAAATCCTGCTTGGAAAGTTGGATCTTTTCATATTCTCCTGTATTGTTCATATTTATTAAACCTCTCTATACTTGGAAAATATTGATCAAACTATTCAATTAATTGCAACAAGTTTTGTTTTTGTCTCGTTTGTGTGTTTTGGTTTATAGTAGTAAATCTGTTTAATTCTAAAAGAAAAACACACACAAAACAGAAATCCTCTTGGAAGTGCGTATACCAATCGTATATGTAGGAAAATGTACTTGCAACAAAAGTCTTCCCCTTAACAGTAGTATAAATTAGAATAAATATAGAGTAACATACATGAATAAATAAAAAAATGGTATATGTAATATATAATATGTATATACTTAAATCAACTTTTCTCTACTTCCACCAATTATATACATATATCTCTCCTTAAATAAAAAAAAAAGAACATTCTTTTTACAATATATCTTTCTATATCATATTTTATATAGGTCGTGTCTAAACCGGCAACCCTAATAACTCTATCGCGAGATTAACCACCACCCAAAACCAGCCAACAATATGACAGAGATACCCTTTCTTATCTCCATTGCAAACCTCATTTAATCCTAAGAAACATGTCAATCACAGGAGATGAGTATGCGCCTGCGTTTGCGCCCTTCTTTGGTTTTGCTGGCTGTGCCGCGGCCATGATCTTGTCGTGTGCCGGTGCTGCCATTGGTACTGCCAAATCTGGTATTGGTATCTCTGGTATTGGTACTTTCAAGCCAGAATTGATTATGAAATCCTTAATTCCAGTCGTTATGTCTGGTATTTTGTCCGTCTATGGATTGGTCGTTGCCGTGTTGATTGCAGGTGGCCTTGATCCTACCCAAAACTACTCCCTCTTTAATGGGTTCATGCACTTGGCCTGTGGGTTGTCCGTTGGCTTCGCCTGTTTGGCCTCTGGTTACGCCATTGGTATTGTTGGTGATGAAGGTGTTCGTCAATTCATGCATCAACCAAGACTTTTCGTGGGTATCGTGTTGATTTTGATTTTCGCTGAAGTTTTGGGCTTATACGGGATGATTATTGCCTTGATTTTAAACACTAAGGGAAGTGGTTAATTCTTCTATCATTTCCTCTTTTCTTCATTTCTACTCCCATACATAGATACAGAATATAAGTACTAATTGTACCTTTAACTATTACGTGTAAAGGTCATTACTTGATCTCAACTATGACCAAATCCCAAATAGTCCTCTCTTTCTCTCTTTTCATTCTTTTGCTACAAGTCCATTCTCCTACTTATTTCTTTCCATTATCTAAACAATTCTACTTTTTTTTAAGCTTCAACTTCCATCTTATCTGAATTGGCTTCAACAGTGGCTCCATATCCAAAAGTCACATCACCATTATCGTCAATAAATTGAGACGCATTCTCTTCCAAGTATTGAACAGAACGGTCAGAGTCAAAGAATAACATGTATCCTCTCTTGATGTCTTCCAAATCAACCGCGTTGCTTCTACGTTTCAAGGCAATCTGTTGAGCAACTGAAATCAAGTTGGATGCATATCTCAAGCTCGTTTCCTGTCCGATCTTGGTCAACAATGCAATGGCATCTGCTGTCAATTCAACTTCTTCCTCAGTGGCACGGATGGACAATATAGTTCTGATTTCATCGGCATTGTATGGAGCAGTATGGATGATGATCGAACGGTCCAATAAATCAGCTGGCATACCGTGTGGAGACTTGTAATCAGTTCCACGTGTACGTGAAATACCTCTATTGGTGGCCATCATCACAATTGGTGAAAAATCATCTTCCAAGGCTCTATTTATAAAGGAGAAACATTCAATGTCAAGCATGTGTACTTCATCAATGAAAAGAACCCCAGGAACAATCTCAGCCTTACCTTCTTCCTTCCATTCGGCAACCTTTGTGTTGATTTGATCACGTACTTCAGATCTGATTTCACCAGTGTCACCAGAAAATAAAGCTAAAAAGCCTTGTTGTCTGGAGTTTATCACATCGATTTCATGGAGAGAAACGGTATGGACAACTTCTTTACGCTTTTGCAATTCACCTTCTGGACATTGTACAAACTTGGTTTCAGGTCCCATAGCGTCATAATCACGCGCACGAGTGAAAGATTTCCCCAACTTGGTAATCTTTCCTGAGGCCTTGTCGATAGAAATCACATCTCCGGCAAGAACCTTTTCCTTGGTCAATCCTTCAATCATCTTATTACCCAATTCATAGATGGTTTCCATGTCAGTGGTCTTGATGGTCAATTTCCCTTGTTTATGACCTCCAGTGATGGAACGATCAATTTGGATTTCAACTACTTCACCCTCAATGATTTCAGTTTCTTCCTTAATTTTAATTCCGATAGATTTACGGAATGCTTGAGTAAGAGATTCAGTCTTGGATAATTCCAAGGAGAAAACTTCACTTCCAGCAATGGCAGTGAATGGAACGTCTTCACCCAAACTTTGAGACAACCCCATGGCAATGGCGGTCTTACCTGTGGATGGAGGACCGGCAACTAACACGGCACGGCCAGCAATCTTACCGGCTTCAACCATCTTCAAGATGACACCAGCGGCTCTTCTGGCCTTCAATTGACCAACCATCCCTTGGGCAGATTCCTTGGGACGGAGATTCTCATCGAGACCTAACCCGGAAATGTGTGAATGAGCGGCAATCAACGAAAGACCGTTCAATTCTTTGGATTGCACCTTGGTTGTGATAGGAGCAGACTATATGACGTTAGTACAGATGAACAACAACAAACAAAAAAAAAGAGACAAAAGGCGAAAACAAAATTAGACAACGACGAGAGTTCCACTACTCTTCCCGCACAAGTTTATGGTATCATACTGATGCTGGAGAGCACTTCAACGTCGATTCGTCGTTCTTGGACCTTCACAGTTTTCTTGTTACATACCATTTTGATGGATATTATAAAGTATTGAGTCCTCACTATGGATTTCAAATGTCAGAGAAAAATGCGTTTTGATGATGTACCGTAGGGAGTGCAGACAAAAAAAGTTTACTAGTAGATAGACAACAGTAGTAAGGAACAATGAAAATTAGGATGATTGGTGAGCCCAGTAATATAGTCAAGGTACCAAATGAAGAGTCAAAGGTACTCCTTAAATAGAATGTTTAAATAGAGGAAAGGTAAAAAAAATAAAACTTCTCTATCCAATGACCCTTTGATGAGATTGTCACATAGTAAAAACAATTGGGTGTCAGCAGGCGGGGTGTCAGACGCTCCGCTGGCCCCTACTCGGGGAGAGCCACTATGTGGAGCCTAGCTCCTCTACGAGGAGATCGAATGTAATAATTTCTAGAATCAGAGCTTCTAGATATTTATCACTTATTCGCTTATGTTGAAAACGAATTCTAATCCTTTCCACTCTATATCTCCTATTGTATCTACATTTATCTTAATATTATATGATTTATTTTATTTATTCTTCTCTCAAGTCTACTCTACAACTTTGTTCCATTCAATAATGAGCCTTCTGCGTACATCTCCTTGATAGACTTATCAAAGAATTTGCTTGCAATTGGACGCTTCAACTTCATGGTTGGGGTAACAACATCTCTATCTAATCTTAAAGGTTCAATTTCACTGTAAATGTTGTGAATCTTTTCAAACCCTTGCAATTTGGTGGATTTAGAAACATTTGCATTCAAATATTCCAATAAAATCGCCTTGTTTTCCTTCTTATTGATCTGATCAATCACCTCACGTTCTGAAGCTAAATGGGATTTTGGAACATGACATCTTTCAGCAAGAAAATTTCTAGTTAATTCTAAATCAACACCAACAATTCCAACCAAATAATGTTCTAATGAAGTTCCATGAACAAACAATTGTTGTAAAATTGAGTTGGATGAAAGGTATGCATTTTCAACCTTTTCTGGTGTAACGTATTCACCTTGAGACAACTTGAAGAAATTCTTTACTCGATCAATGATATAAATTCTACCTCTGGAATCAATTCTAGCAACATCTCCAGTGTAAAACCAACCATCCTTATCAATAGCCTTTTCAGTTTCTTCAGGATTCTTATAATAATGAGAAAAGTTTTGGAATCCTCTCAATAATAATTCTCCTCTAGGACCTTCGGCATCGTTCAAATGATAACCCATTGCAGGTAATTCTCTGATTTTCATCTCGGTACAAACACCAGTAGATCCACAAGATCCAGGACTAATATCATATGGTTCAGTCAATGCCATCCCAGCAAATGATTCTGTTAATCCATAACCTTGAGCAATTCCAATGTTTAATGCAGCCTTCAAAAAAGTCACGGTGGATACAGAAATTGGTGCTGAACCAGTAACGGAAAATAACATATTATCATATCCAAACTTGGCTCTAATTTTCTTTAATAAAAGATTATCAATAACCAAATGTTTACCTGGTTCCCCATCCTTTTGTGATTGTAATTCCATTTTGGTCCCCAATACACGTTCAAATAAACCTCTAGTGAAACTGGAAGTTGGATGATCAACGGTAGCAGCCTTGATGGCAGCTTCAAACTTGGTCAAAACTCTTGGAACATTGGACATATGGTTAGGTTTAAACAATTGCAAATCTTCAACCAAGGTTAATGGCAGACCTTCCAATTGTGGGAACCCTACACAACCTCCGTAACTCAATACAAAGGCAGTGTTTTGTCTTTCAAAGATATGAGCCAAGGGTAAAAAGGCAAAGGCTCTGCCACCTGGAATATTGGGCATTTGGGCCAACACAAAAGTGATCCCGGCACCGGCAGCAGTGTGTGACAACACAACTCCCTTTGGACGCGAACCAGTCGTTCCAGATGTGAAACTGATGGTGTAAGTCAGCTCAGGAGTAGATGGTAATTCAATGTGAGGGAAAACTTGACCGATTTTTTCGACTCTTTCCAAATCAATAAGGGTACACCCCAATTCACGAGCATATTGAACGTTACTAATATCTTCAAAAGATCTACTTTGGTTGTCACCTTCTAAATCTAATGGATCCATGGAAATAAGCATGATCAAGTTGCCCAATTCCTTGGGGTACCGTTTCTTCAAATTAAGAACAGTCTGGATATTATGCTTAGCAAGAACAATCACAGGTGATTCGGTCAATTCTAAAATATATTTGGAGACATCTGGTCCCAAAGTGTCATATAAGGAAGAATTGGTGATCAGGAAATCTGAACACATCAAATCTGTCAAAATCCATTCATATCTGTTAGGGGCAAACACGGTCAAAATAAAGGACATTTTATCCTTGTTAAATTTGCCGTAATTGGAGACATGAGAGTCGATCAAGGCATGACTTTCGTATTTTTCTGGTTGCTTGTAGCTACTATTTTGAAGTAAATACAACAATCCTGAACCAAATCTCTTCTTTCTCTCATTAACTTCACGGTAAGAAATCTCAGTGTAGGAGTTGGCAGACTTCTTTTGTACATAATCATACTCTCTATAGGCAAAACATGGTTGATCACCCTTGGATCTTACCGATTGTGCAAAAAATTTACCATAAGTGTCTAAATCTGGATGGATACCTCTTTTCACCGAATTTGGGAATGCAGCATTGCGGTATATTTCACTGAACCCGTCGGTGGCAGTGCCAGGAATTGGAACCGATCTTTTGACTAAATCACTACCGGCACCTTGGAGTGGGAGGTACTGTTCAATGAGTTCGTCGAGAGACTCATTGGTATTCGATTGGAAGACATACGGACTGTCTGGAGAGTAAACGTTCTTCATATTCAATATAATTGGTTGGAAGACAAGAGAAAAAAAATTGACAAGAATACCTTTTTTATAAAAACTTCCCCACAATTCTAACAGAGCGAGCTAATTCCTTATAAAAAAAAATAAAACAGAAAAATTACCAATGATTTATTTTAAAGGAGGGGAACAATGAGTATACTTTCGGGTTGAACAACTGAGTAATATAGAACAGATATAGAAAAATAGTTCCCCACGGTGATAGAAATGGGTGCGCGATGTGGGGTATGTTTCACGTGCGAGGTATCCACATCCGAGAGCCAGGGTGGGGAATGCGGATTGATGGGTTTAACTCTAAAATTAGAGACAAGCACAATACTATGATGGAAATTGTACCGATAACTTTACGAATTGCATTTCTGAGCATCATTTATTGAAGTAAGCGCTGATGAGGGATGAACAATGGTATACTACTACCCTTACCTTTTTTCTTTTTTTTTTTTTATTGGATTTTCGTTTATGCTATGTACTACTGGGGGGGGGAGCTTGATGAGTGTTGCACCAAAAAAATAAAAGGGCTCGGCAAAGAAGAAAGAGTCGGATTTAACCTACTTTAGATCTTTTTTTTATTTTCTTTTTTTTTTTGGCTTTTTGCCAATTTTCATTTGCTTCATGGTTAATGTACCAACTGTTTTAATTTGGCAAGTGAATCCACCAGTAGATCTGATTCTTCAGAAAGGTTAAAAATCCAATCAAATTCCGTTTCATCGACATTGGTTGCAAGATATTCCACACCCGTGCTACTATTACCGGTGGTTGGATCTGAAAAATCATCAATATATATTTCATTGTGAGTTTCAGTTTGTTGAGGGTAATCACGCACGTGCACATTCAGACATTCTTCAACCACTACCCGATTGTTCCGAACTCTTACATAAATTGTGCAATTGGATATACGTCTGAGTCGTAATTGATGACAGTCCACCACCACCACCAGGTGCAGCACCTCGTCGATGAAAACAGGACCATTACAACTCAATTGGAAAATGCTTTTTGTTGCTAAATCAATGTGTATTTGACCGCTATGATTTTCCATTTGTGATTGTGATCCTCCAGTATATAGTATAGACTCCTTTACATCATGAACGTAGACATTCTCTGACCCTATTCTGCACGACTTCTGTCTGAGTGACTTCACATCGGGCACCCTTTCTCCCACCGCTGATACCGCTGCTAAACTAAGATTGATCTTGGATGACAAAGTTTGTGATTCCTTTGCAGGAATTGGATCTCCTACAAATTTAAATAATGGCTTACCAAACAGTTTGGATTTCTCATTTATCTTGTTCAACAATTGTCGGATTTTCTCATTACTTCTTCGTATTTCAAATTGATTGAATGTTTGAACCTGTTTATGGATAATCTTTTGTATATCTAAACATTCTCGTTTAATGCTAACTAAGTCTGATTGATTTACCTGATGAGTTTTATTTTCGAGTTCTGTCCCATTTTGTTAGTAATAGAAAAAAAAATTTTATCAGTTCGACCATGGTTCCCCGTTGGGGTTGTATGACGCTCCGCTGGCCCCTGCTCGGGGAGAGCCACTGCGTGGTGCCTAGCTCCTCTTACGAGGAGAGAAGCAGCCAATTTCCTCATCAGAGGAACAAAGGCTTCCACGGCTAGTGGCCCACGGAGTGCCAGCGGGGCGTCATACAGCGCCCCCGCAGGACCCTACACATACCTTGTAAGGCTCTATTGAGTTCGTCATACAGGGATATTAGAGCCATACTCCTATACAATTTATCTATATCTGAATGGTTTTAGTGTGTAAATTCTTTTGTGGAGATAAGTGCGATCGTTTGTTTTGTATGGGTGTATGGATTTTTCTTCGGACCTCCACCAGGCTTACAACAACAATCATCTACCAGATTGATCTAACATATTCTACTTTCCAATATACAGATAGTATGATGGCTGATACTGGTCACATTCTACCTAACTTCTTAATTTTTTTCCAACCTTTTTTGATATTTTTTAAAACTTTTTGGTAAATGTCTCAACCAAATTATTTATCCAAAGGTATACATCCAACATCCTTTACCAAAATAGATTACTTGGTATTTCATCACTTACAACCTACTATATCTTCTCTATTCCTTTCTTTTATTTTATTATACTAAATACTTAACTTCATTCATTTACATTAACCAATTTAAACTCCAATTGGCTTTTCTATTCTTGTTCTACCAACCAATTGATCGGCAATATCTCTGGCATCTGCCCATGAAATCTTCTTTGGCATTCTCTTACCAAGTTCAGTCTCAAAGTCGTACAAGTGACGGATGGACTTGAATCTTAAATGAGACAGCTTGATTCCAAGAACGGCAGCTGTAGATGAGGCAGTGGCATCATCGTATGCAAAGTCTACACTGTACTTGTGCTTGGCAATATCTTCAAATCTATCTTCAATGAATTCAACAGCCTTGACAGTAAATCTGGCGGCTCTAGTTCTATCGATTGGAGATGGCAAACCACCTTGTTGTACATGACCAGGAATGGCAGTCTTGGCATCAAACTTACCATCGGATTCCAGCTTGATGATATCGGCAAGAACTTGAGTGGTCAACACCTTCAGGGCATTGGTACTCTTCAAGATCAACTTACCTGCCTTGGACATACCGCTGTCTACAGCGAAGGATTCACGTAATGATTTGATATCCAGTTCCAATTGGTCAAGAGTGATACCTTCTTCAGGAACGTACGATGCTTGGGCACCACATGCAAGAGCCGCAAAGGTGGCAATATATCCGGAGTTACCCCCTTGAACTTCAATCACAAACGCTCTATCTCTGGTAGAGGAAGCAGATTGCTTTACAACATCACAATAGTCCATCAATGAATTCAAACATGTGTCAGAACCTAAAGAATATTCAGTACCTGGAACATTGTTGGAAATGGTGGCAGGAATCAAAACCATAGGAATACGGAAGGCAGGGTATACAATACGGGCCTTTTCCAATTGATCCAAGGATACAAAGGCTTCGAACCCACCAACAAGAATCAAACCATCGAATTGGTACTTTTCAAAGTAATAGGCAATCATTCCAAGATCAGTGTCTTCTGGAGTCGAACGGTTGGTACCGATTTCGGAACCACCAATGGAGTTCCATCCTTCGATTTCTAACCAGTCAATCAGACGGACAGACTCGTGTCTGGCCAAACCAGCGAACCCGTTGTGAATTGCGTATGGAGTATGCCCTCTGGACATACAGTAGGTGGCCATCGAGTAGACGGCACTGTTCATACCACCAGCTGGGGCACCGATGTTGATGATGGCAATCTTCTTTCTCTTTTCCACTGGCAAGGTTGGTTCGTTATGGTTGGCAGAGTTCATAGCAATGAAATTGTTCAAATGTTCAACAAACTCAGAATCTCTCAAAGACATGGCCTTTTCAAAGTCCTTGTTTTCAATTGCAGTGGCTACACTTTGGGTGATCTTAACGGCCTCCACAAGTGGCTTACGAACAATTTTGTTTTCTTCAATGGCAATCAATGGAGATGGGGTTTCTGGAGTACAACTCAAAACAGCCTTGACGGCTTCAACACCTTGCAAAGTGGCCAAGATACGGTCATAGGCCACAGCAGTACCACCTCTTTGAACATGACCCAAGGTGGTGACTCTGGTGTCCAAGCCTAATTTGTCCACAAGGACATCCTTAACATCGTTGGCACTAATGTGTTGCAAGTCCAGGGTGATAGCACCTTCGGCAACAATCACAATGGTCTTTCTCTTACCCTTAGATCTATGCTTGGATACAATCTGACACATTTGTTCTTGCCAATCTTTGGAAGAGGAAGGCTTTTCTGGAATTAAAATGTAATCAGCACTGGTGGCAATACCAGCCATAAGAGCCAACCAACCACAATGTCTTCCCATGACTTCAACAACAAAAGCTCTGGAATGGGAGTTGGCAGTGGCATCGATATAGTCAATGGCTTGACAGATTCTTGCCAAAGAAGAGTATGCACCAATGGTGGCATCAGTGGTGGCCATATCGTTGTCAATGGATCCAACGGTACCACAGATGTTCAAATGCTTGTAGGTTTCGTATTGTTCAGTGGTCACTTGCTTTGTGTCTCTCAACTCAGCGATAAGAGAGGGCCATTCAGCACGGAAGAGATCGGCCCCGGTAAGAGAACCATCACCACCACAAACAATAAGAGCATCGATGCCAGCCTCAATAAGATGCTTACAACCCTTCAAACGACCAGCACGCTCCTTGAAAGCCATACAACGGGCAGTCCCGATGTTGGTACCACCTTCGGAAAGGAACCCACGAACATCTTGCCACAGCATTTGCTTAATATATTCTGGACCACCTCTGACCAAACCTTCGTAACCTTCCATGACACAGAAGGCCTTACAACCTCTGAAAATGGCAGCACGTACAATGGCACGGACATTGGCGTTCATACCGGGGGCATCACCACCGGAAGTCATCACGGCAATGTTTCTGCGCTTGGCCGGGTGGTCAGTGTTGTAGAGATCAGAATGAACGGTCGACATTGGGGCTGATTGCGGTACCACGTTTTTCGAGAGTTTCACCACGGGTGGAACAACGGTCATGGGGTTGGACTTGGTGGTGAATCCAATGAGAGTACCCATAGGATCGATAGTATGGACTTCATTGGGGTAAAGTTCATTGGGGGTAACTTGCACTGGATACCGTCTCAATCTAAGGGCGGTGATCAAGGAGTTCAAGTCCGATACTTGGAGGGACACACTGGAGACGGTGGATCTCCAATCGGCAACCTTACATTGTTCGAGAAGAGCATCTCTCTCACGGATAGTGTCGTCTTTAGAGCGGGAATCCTTGGAATGGACAATTTGGACGGTGAATTTGGTTTCGTCGGAACTGGCGACAGTGGTATTTGAATTGAGTTCTTGGACGTCAAGACCAACGACATCGCTGTAGAAATCAACTGTTTCCTCACAAATGTTCCTATCGGAACTGCTGAGAGACAACGAAGTAACCCCGTTGACCACAGAAATCATAACCGGGAGTTCTTCTATGTTCTATTAGTATATATACTCAAGGGAATATGTTTTAAATTCCCAGGTGGATGATGTTAATTTACTTCCAAGGGTCGGGTATACGACTAGAAGTAGGTTTGAAATTGAATTGTACAAGAAGTTACGGAAATTCTGAGCTGTTGAATGGTACTTATGGGAGTCCAAGAGTCGCATCAGCAGACTCGGACTGGTTCCGTGCGACACGTTGGTGTGCGGGTGTTAATAAGGTGATGTACATAAAAAAAGTGGTGATACCAAAAAAAAAAATACTCCCAAAGGAGACAAGACCGGGAAAGTGGGGGTTAATTGGAAGTACTAGGATGGTAGATTAGAGAGAGAGAGAGAGAGAGAAAGTTGGTATAAACCGGATAGATTAGGGAGAATAGGTTAGGTAGACACTGGGTAGATGTGTAGTTACAGGTAGTAGGAGAGGTTGTATATGGCATGTGTTTCTTGGAGTGTATGTAGTTGGTAATTAATAATTCTTGTAGTTGAACTATTGGAACTATCTATTTAATTGAATAACGGTTAGGGCAAAAAAATAGAAAGAACTGAGAGTGTGTCACGACTAGATTGAATGTCTACGGGTACGATTTGATTTGACCTATTGATACATAGTTTTATAGATCTAGGGAATTATGCGCTTGGAGTGTTTTCTCAATCTAATGCGGATATGTGGGTGTTTGGGTGTGAGTGCAAAACGTGCATTGTAGTTACGTCATAATAATGAATAGATATTAATGAATAAAATAAGACCCCGTCCATCCCTACGGGACCGTGAGACGCTCCGCTGGCACTCCGTGGGCCACTAGCCGTGGGGGCTTCTGTTCCTCTAACGAGGAAGATCTGATTTCGTCGCAGAGGAGCTAGGCACCACGAAGTGGCTCCCCCCGAGCAGGGGCCAGCGGAGTGCCAGCGGAGCGTCTCACGGTCCCGCCACTAGGTAATTATGTTCTACTCTATGGGGCATGTATTCCGATCCGGTGGCTACCAGTGGATAAAAGTAGGTTTCAGCCCAATCTCTACTGCCTTAACTTCCAATCTCACAAATGTCCCAACTTCCCCTTTAATTCGCCTTTCACCAATCCCCTAACTCACTCATCTCAATAATCTCTTCTTATATAACCGTGCTCTAACTCTATCTATCCAAGTATCTATCTACCCAATATAATCAATCCCATAAGATCTTACTACTAATATCCGGTCACGTGCACGCACCAACTCGTTGCTACATAAATTCATTCCCCAATAAACTACATTCAACATTACATCAGATAAATATATATCCCCACATATAAATCAAATTTTGACTTTCAACACCATCTTTAAAACTCATTCACCCATTCGCCCCCTCCGAATGTAATATCTACAATATCTACGTCGATACTAAAATTGCTTTTATCTATTACTACGTGCACTGTACCTGGATTTACCGCACTATTGCAGAGCTCACGCGTAAATGTCTGCACCGCAAATTTTCAACCAGAATTTTGCGGAAATTGTCGCTAAAACTCACCGCCATCCAAAATTCACACCCGCAAATACAAACTTGATCAGTTTTTCCAAGAGAGTACATCCGTCGACAACCTTTCTGCACCATGTCCTCTGCCCCTGCTGCCGCCACCCCTGTCCCCTTGGCCGACTTGTCCAAGTTGGACATCTCTACGCTCCCAGGTGTCACTCCACAAGCCCCAAAGCCAAACGGCTTGTGGTCTTCCAACCCGGTCTTTTCATACTTGAACGATGCTTACATCACCATTGGTGAACACCGTCGTTCCCTTGGTCTTGTCAACCCGGGTACCATTGAAAACTTGAACAAGGAAGTCTCCCGTGACGTCTTTTTGCAACAATATTTCTTCACTGGTCTTAGAGCTGATTTGAACAAGGCCTTCTCCATGTCCCCTGCATTCCAGACCTCCCACACCTTGTCCATCGGTTCCAACGTATTGCCACCTTACGCGTTCTCCGCCCTTTACGCCGCCGACGACTACTTTGTCCAAGGTAACATTGACAACGACTTGTCCTTCTCCGGTCGTGTCAACTACGGTTGGGACAAGCACAACATTTCCAAGCTTACCTTGCAAATCGCCCAAGCTCAACCAGCCATGGTTCAATTGGAACAAGACTACCAAGCTTCCGACTTCTCCATTAACTTGAAGTCCCTCAATCCTTCTTTCTTGGACGGTGGCTTCACCGGTGTAGCCGTTGGTTCTCTTTTACAATCGCTCACTCCAAACTTGGCTGTTGGTTTGGAAGCCATGTACTCCAAGCAAGCCGGCTCTGTTCCTCCAGACAGTGCTGTTTCCTACGTTGCTCGTTACAACGCCGGTAACTGGATCGCCTCCGCACAACTCCAAGCCCAAGGTGCTCTTATCGCCTCCTTCTGGAGAAAGGTCACCGACAAGGTTGAAGCCGGTTTGGAAACCCAGGTTGCTGCCACCATGAAGCCAATCACCGACAGCTTGATGGGTACCCCAATTGGCTACGAACCAGTTGTCGAAGGTCAAACCACCATTGGTGCCAAGTACGAATACCGTCAATCCGTCTTTAGAGGTCAAGTTGACTCTCTTGGTAAGGTTGGTGTTTTCATGGAAAAGAGAGTTCTTCCAACCGTGTCGATCTTGTTCTCCGGTGAAATTGACCACGCCAAGAACGCCTCCAAGTTGGGTTTGGGTTTACAATTTGAATCTGCTGGTAACGAACAACTTATGTTGATGCAACAAGGTTTGATTGATGCCAACGGTAACCCTGTCCCAGGCGCTCCTCCAATGTAATGAGATAGAAGAAAAAGAAAAAGAATAAGAAGAAGAAGAGGAAGTAGAAGATGAAGAAGAAGAAGAAGAATTTAAAACGAAAAAGGAACCCTCGATAGAAGCCACTTCTCGCTGTGTATAGAAGGTACGGACATTGTATATATATTTGTCGACGAAAGAAAAAGTGTAGAATAAGGACACCCAAGTGTTACTCTTGGCCTGTTCATGTAGACCATATCTTGGATCATTAAACATGTCATTACTATAAATATACTTACCAACCAAACAATCTTGAGGCAATTCCTCCTCCACCACCATTTTGTTTTGCCTTGATATCTCGTTCACGTTCTAGTCTCTCTCCGCTTTTCCGTACGTTTGCTGATCGCAGAGAAACCATCTTGTACACGTCATCTGGGTTTAGCCCTCCAGGTCTTTCATTGATGACGCTATTTGAGTATTTTTTCGGTTTACGGGCATGTGAGGGCTTCACTGCCACCGGAGTGAATGCAGGCGTATACGCTGAGCGGGATAACGGCGGGTGTTTCAGTCTGGATTGATAGTGTGACTTTGTAGACTTGGCCGACCGTGTATCGTCTTCAGCAAGATGTTGGGCAAGGTTCCGTTCTGTGATAGAACGATAGATCTCTCGATATGTAGTGCTGAGGTTTTGACTGTTTCCTCCTCGTAAGGAGGTTGCAATGCTGTAAGAAGATCGTGATTTAGTCAATGCGGGGACTCCATTATGTATACGGTTATACTCTGAAAGAGAGGTGGTGGGGAAATCCTCAAGATATGGATCTTCATCTTCAATTTTACCTTCGAATTGAGATGGTCTTTTGTAGTTGATGGCGGACGATACAAACGAGGTCGATGCTCGTGATTGTGGCCTAGAAGGTACAATGGCAGATTTGGTGGTGATGTTTTCCTCATACTCATCTAATAGAGAATCAAGAGAATCAGTAGAGACGTTACTCACAATGGTAGCCACCACAGGAGCATCCGTCACTGGGACAGTGGTGGTGGTGGTCATTGGTGCGCGTGAAGTTTGTGGAATAGAATGTCTTTGCACTTGGAATGGATTCGAATGTGGAATAGTTACAGGGTATTTAGGTTTGGGATGATGGATCATTGGCTCATCATTGACGTCAAGACTTGCCAATGCAGACATAAATGAATGGTCAGAGGGCCACGTTGGAGCGGGCCGAGACAACCGAGAGGGGGTATCAAGATCAAGATCAAAGTGAGATTGTCCACCACCGACAAGATCCAGATCGACTGGATTATGAGGTGAAATGGGTGCAGATGGTGGAGATTCAGGAAGTGAAATGGATAGTTGAAACTCATTTTTAGGGGTCGAAGTGTTGGGAAGTATATCGTCTAAAGAAGACATTTTATCATTATTCTCCTCAATAGGGGTAGATGGAGAAACGTCCACTGCCACCGTCACCATTTCCTCTTGACTGGAAGATTCCTCTACAAAGAAAAGCTTCCTATATCGCACGGTTTCCTTAAGAATCTCCTCAAAACGAGCAATAACTTGGGCATCCGAAGTGTCCACCAGGATTTTCCAGTAGCGCTCCGGATTGACCAAGGGTAATATAAACGTGTTGAAACTAGTTCTGAGGATCTTGAGCTTACGTAGGAGCGGGTACACGAATGAAGTGCCACAGGCCAAGTACGTCATCACCCCGTTGTTCAATTGAAATATTTCAATGGTACCATGGCCAAGCAATCTTCCAGAGGTCTTGGCCAAGTCTGTACGGGTTTCATCCTTTAATTGCTCGTCAAACACGAGAACTTTGGATGAAGGGTGGGAGAAAAGCGTATGCTTGTCGCTCTTGGAATAGGTTGGTTGGATGAAGGTGACTGCAGGGTCAATTGAGTTGCTGTTGGTATTGTTTGTCAGAACTGCCGCAGCCGCAGCTGCGGCAGCAGCTGCACTGTCATTGTACCTCTTGATAGACTGTTTCCTTGGGCTCATGGGCAGACTTTTCCGCACTGGTAGAGGACCTGAAGTGACACTCCCATCAATCGAAGGATTTCGTATTCTTCCCGTGTATGGAGACCGTTGTTGCACCGCCGGGGTAGTGACGGTAGAGACAGACGTGTTAGCAGATTTGGGGGTCTCTATTGAGGTTGTAGAAAGCTTACCATTGTAAGGCAATGACGTTGGGTTAATTCGTGGGAGCTCTTTGTCCTTTTTCTTTTCTGGTTCTTGTTCTGGCTGTTCCTTACCCTTTTCCGGTTCCGGCTTCTTTCTTTTCCGGCGCTTGGAAGACTTCCGATGACGCCTTGCCGTGGTCGAATGATCCTGTTTCGGTTCATTGGCCCGTAAAGGTCTGACCAAAGAGTTGGCTCGGTCTAATAAAGTGGAACGTCGTTGGAAGAAATTCGAGCCATTGGTCCCATTTTCCGACCTAGCGGCAGAGTCCAGACGGGTAGCACCGCCATCTCCGTGTTCCGCTACAGCTTCTGCTACAGCCATAATGTGTATGTATGCGGGGGAAAGTGTCAAGAGGTTGGTCAATGGTATGAAAATAAAAGACCTGTGTTATGAAATTTGGTGGGGTTATGACTGCACATGATAACTAAAATCTAAGCATTGTGTTTGATAATATCCGACCGATACATAAACTTAAATTGAATTCTATATGAAGGCCTATATAAGGAGGAGTGGATGGCAGGGGGAGGAGATTTAATCCATGGTGGAGAAAGGAGAATGTTAGAGAATATATATATATATATATATATATATATATATGATGCAAATAATTAATACATATTCAAAGTCTGGCAAAGTGCGGGTGTGCGGATGTCCAAATGTATGGGCTATCGAGATAAGATTTGAAGTGATTTGAAGGGAGATGAATAATGTATTCGATAAGAAGCTGGGAAATGATAGAATGTATAGAGTGAAGTCCATAATTTGGAATTTAATAAGCTGGGCGATGCTTATTCATAGATATAGTAACTGCAGGTGAGAAATAATGAGGGGAAGATTTTCTCAATTTGCAACCACAACCTAATCGAATTGACAACAAGAAAAGTATGAAGAGGGAATTATTAAGACTGGTGTTGAAGATATATATATATATATATATATATATATATATATATATATAATTGGAAGTACAATTTGCAATTGGCTGAAAAAAGAAGGAAGGTGTTATATTTATGAATTACAAAATGAACACGGGAGATTGAACCTTGAACAACTCATTGAATAATATTCAGATATAAGAGGAAAAAAAACTCAGATTTTATGAAAGAATTAATCATAGTTAGTTCACTGCTTAATAAACGAGAGACACAGTATTATATACACTTGTATGCAGCTTGAAAGCATCAAGTGTGGCCAAATAAGGAGGCAATGTATAATATTATTATGAATGGAGGATAAGATGAGTTTCAGCGCACTAATTCCCTTGGCTGCAAACTCAGGAGACCTTCCCTCCCATAGTAGTGATATATGAAAGTATCGTGGGTCTAGTAATAATATCAATGACCAGTAACTTTAAAAAGAAGATATATCTATGTATACATTATGTTCTCCTTATTTTTAATTTGCACCTTTCGACAGAACTAAACCTTTATGACGAAAATTGTAGAAGCAAAATCATTTCTAGATTATCAGATCTCATTGTTTCATGAGAACTTACGTCAATTGCTTAAAGATTTCACAAGGGAGAACCTAGACCGGATAATTAAATCTATACAATGGATTGAAAACATTCAAGGTCATGATACTGAGGTGAACAATTACTACGCCTGTTCGAAAAAAATTTGTTTGCAAATGGACGAGTCTCAAACATTGACTGTGCAAAATCCCAACCCACGGTATGATTATTATTCAGTTGTGATGGCTGTCGATAAGAATCCAGTTTCACTTGAAAATATTTTGTGGAAGTATAGTGAGAGGCTAATAAATATTCATGGAAAGCAAATGGAAGACAACGACAAGCTAATGCACCGAAACTGAAATCAAGAGGAACAGAACATGAAGCAGTTGGGAAGTAACGAGACACAATGGAGAGATAACGAAAGACAAATGATTGAAATTGGAAAAAAGAGTAAAAAGGTTAAAGAGACAACTTCAAACTTACGAATCGCAAATCAGGGAAGGTGTAAAACTAGAGAATGCTTTGGTTTTGATCATACATGGAGGGATTGACATGAGTAACCAGCTTAAGTGAGACTAGTAATATCCACACGCGAAGTAGCACAATTGGCATAAGAAAGAGATATGTAAAGAAAATAAGTAGATTTTAACTGGTATGGGTATTTTACTAACTACCAATGAACTTGTAGGATGGGGTTCCTCCACGGGAAGCGGCACACACAGTAGCAGTCAAGATACTGGTGGACCCTGTAGGCGGAATTACTATTGGTTACTTATGAAGGCGAATGTGATACGGGAGCCAAACTAGTGGGGTACTTCCCAACTCATAAAGATTGTATCATCAAACTCTCTTACTCCAGTTTCCCAATGGCTTCTCTTTTTAGTATATTCAGAAGGTCTCTTGTCTCTTGGTTGCCCTCGAGGAGTCGGAAAGACTGTTGATTCACTGGAACTTAGTGGGCCACTAGCCGTGGGAGCACCTGTTCCACTCATGAGGGTAAGACCGCTACTGGCTCCTCCTCGTAGAGGAGCTAGGCCCCACACAGTGGCTCTCCCCGAGCAGGGGCCAGCGGAGCGGCTTGCAGACCCCGTAGGGTAGCTGGTACTCCCTTCCCTGCGGGGCAGTAAGCCGCTCCGCTGGCACTCCGTGGGCCACTAGCCGTGGGGGCTCCTGTTCCTCTACCGAGGAAGTAGGTCTACAACTAGAGACACTCTGGAAGAGCCAGGACCCATCTAGAGTGTCCCTATGCATTTCATTCTTAACAATGCCTGTCTATTGCGTCTTGCCAATTCACATTCATTTATTTTTCTATACATGGCAACTAATTAGCCTCAGGATCGGCACTAAATATCGGAGCATAACTGAAGCCACGGATGGAAACAGCGTCAACTTCACGAATAAATAACACCAAGCCGTCCAACAACCCAATGGCACCGGAAAGCTTGTCCTCAATCCAAAGAACAACCTTCAGGGGTGGGAACATAAAGGCCAAACGGTCCATACCAAGCAAGTAACCAGCAAAAACGCCGAAAAGATGGCCCCAGATCGAAGAAGCAGGAAGTAAAATCGCACAGACAATCACAAACAAGAGAGGAGAGTACAAGGTTGGGATCAGAACCTCACGGCCTTGGACACGCAAGGTGTAGATGACTGGGGTCAGGAAATGTTCCTTGTACGCGGTGAAGGCAAGGAACAGGAAGACCACGCCCGAGAGACCAACCACATGCATCTCTGGGAACAAGAAGTAGCCAACAAGCGAGAATTGAAGCCCAGTGACCACGGCCAAAAGGTTCAAGGTGATCCCCGTGTTGACGGTACCGTGGGTACGTTCGTAGATGGACAACGGGGTCCACAAGGCAAAGATGTTCAAGGCCCAGTGTATGATGTCCTTGTGGAACAACAAGTAGAACGAGAGACGGTTCAAATCGAACGCCAAGATGGCCCCAGGGTACAAGGAGAACATTTCCAGGAGCGAATGCGACGTTACCAAATCAACCACCAAAAGGAAAAAGGTGAAGATTGGAAGCCCGGCGGTAAGAGCCGGGGTTTCTTTGAGGGTGGCCAAGGTTGGCATCTGGAAGGATCCCAAGTGTGTAGACATAGTAGCAAAGGATTTACGGGAGGACAAGGGTGGTGGTTATTGTTGGTGTTCGATGGGCTGAATTTTTGTTTTGATCAAACGCGTGAGGGTCCACCGTTGTGAGGTGTGCAGGAGGTCTGGGGAGATGAGACATGGAACCACACATCGGGGAGGAATACAGGGTCAGGTATTCTGGACCGGTGGAGCTGGGCATTGTGGATGATGGTGTAGTAGGGGCGAGTTTTGGACTTTATATGGGTCATAAAGTAAGGAGAGAGAACGTCTAGAAGAAGAATTTCGCAGCCATTTCCGTATTGCTGATCCGGTGAGGCCGATGATCAGGGGAGGGTACCGAGGTGAGAAGAGGGAGACTAGAGCCATTGGGTGGAGTCTAGCTTCTCTAGGAGGAGGATCTCTAGGTACACTACTTCCTCGGTAGAGGAACAGGAGCCCCCAACGGCTAGTGGTCCATGGAGTGCCAGCGGAGCCGCTCACTGCCCCGCAGGGAAGGGAGTACCAGCTACCCTACGAGGCCTGAAAGCCGCTCCGCTGGCCCCTGCTCGGGGAGAGCCACTGCGTGGTGCCTATCTCCTATACGAGGAGTGCTTCTGGCTGCAGACCTACTTCCTCAGTAGAGGAACAGGAGCCCCCACGGCCAGTGGCCCACGGAGTGCCAGCGGAGCGGCTTACAAACCCCGTAGGGTAGTCACTGACTTCCGGGTGGGACTGTGAGACGCTCCGCTGGGCCCCTGCTTGGGGAGAGCCACTACGTGGTACCTAGTCCCTCTACGAGGAGGACCTCCATTTCCAACTGCATGTCCTTATGGGCCACGGAAACTGGTGGGTTGAGGGGTGCTGGTTGAGCGGTTGATACATTGTGTATGTCAGAGAGATGGACGAGAGGAGATGAGGATACCGGGAAGACGTGTCTATTTGTATTCTACGTAACATATATGAACTCTACTTGTGGGGTTGGCCGTGGATAGTGGCTAGCTGTCGTGTCTTGGTACGCAATATAGTCCCATTGCCACAAGGAGAAGTTGTGGTTGGCGGTGAAGCTCGTTGAGTCGAGTGAAGCGATTGTTTCTTTTTTAAATTATGGGATATATGACCGGCAGGGGGAGTCCGAGAGGAGTCAGACAGGTACCACATGGCATGGGAAACTGAGTGGCTATGTGGGTAACTCTGGTGGGGTGCTCTGTGAAAGAGGAACTTCTAGAATGGTCTCAGAAGGCTCCGAGAGCCAGTGAGATACCCCGAGTGCCTCTGAGAGCTCCTGAGATCCCAAACTCTCATTCTCATTGTTTATTTACTCTTCTGCTATCGCTTCAAACTTATCCAGGGACTCATTAGACTGACGACAAGTCTGTAAGAACTCGCGCTTCCGTCTGTTATTCTCCTCCAAACGCCTGATCTCGGCCTCTCTATCCTCCAAGCTCCGGTTGATTCCTTCTATCTGTTGGAGTTGTTGCTTCATCTGAGTTACCTTGAGCCGGATGCTTCCTGCATGGTTGTCAAAGTCTCGAGCCAGAATGACCCCAGACTTCAAGTCATGAAGTAAGGCAAACAAGTCTGGAAGCAACTCAGTACGCTGGAGCTTCTCCAACACTGCAGACGATGACATTGTTACTGTGGGAGACTCACAAGTTGTATCGGTTGACCTCCGTTTTCGATTTCAGGGCACGCACACAAGTGCGCGCGCGCGCCCAGCCATCCCCCCCCCCAAAAAAAAACAGGCCAACTAACTTGAACACCAAACCTCCCCCTGGAGGCCCAGTTGAAGACACAGGAAAAATAAAATATTAAATCACTCACACAGTTTGGCATTTGTACCATCAATGGAACTAATTCGAAGTTTATTTGGACAGTGTTTGCCCTGTCTCCCGGACATGTCGCTGTCAAGCGTGTCCATCAATGGGAACAAGTACAAGATTCTTCGTCTTCTAGGTGAAGGAGGGTTCTCGTACGTGTACCTTGTGTCCAAGGGAACCAACTCACAATTTGCATTGAAAAAAATTAGATGTCCTTTTGGCGGTAATGATGAGGCCTTCAAAAACGCATTGAAGGAAATCCGCAATTACCATCGGTTTGCCACGGCAAAGACGCCCTTCATCATTCAATCTATCGATGAAAGTGTCATTGATGAGCCTGATGGATCGAAGACAATCTATATAATCCTTCCCTATTTTGAACAATCGCTTCAAGACGTCATTAATGCCAACGTGTTGAACAACCACTCTATGCCGGAGCCCGACGTGTTACGGGTGTTTATCGGTGTATGTAGAGGGCTTCAGGCCATGCACAAATATAAGGTGTATGGACGCAATGTAGAGGACGAGGAAGATGATCTTTTGTTGCCCGGTAGTGACGAGGAAGAGGAAGAAGCCACCACTGAAATGCTGGAATTGAAACCTTTTGCCCATAGAGACCTTAAGCCAGCAAATGTCATGCTTTCAGCGGAAGGATTACCAGTGTTGGTTGATTTGGGATCTTGTTCAAAAGCTCGAGTTTCAGTTAAAAACCGTCAACAAGCGTTATCACTCACAGATTACGCACAAGAACATTGCACTCTTCCCTACAGAGCGCCAGAACTCTTGGATGTAGCCACCAATGCAGAGATCACAGAAAAGACCGATGTTTGGTCTCTTGGATGTGTGTTGTATGCCTGTTGCTTTGGGTTTTCTCCGTTTGAAAAACTTGAACTTGACCAAGGTGCATCTCTCAATTTGGCCATTTCACAAGGTAGGTACATCATTCCTTCTACCCACCAATACTCGGAAGGCATCATTGATTTGATAGAGAAATGTCTTCAACTTGAAAGCTCAATCAGACCCACGGTGGACGAATTACTCGAGCAAGCACTTGAGATACAGCGTCAGTAGGAATATGAGAAATGAGATAAAGACAAGGGAGATAATAAATTCAGGTTAATTTATAAAGATGGAGAAATGTAGGGAGAATAGACAATAGGAAAGAGAGCATATTTTGTTAAAGCTAGACTAACTAATATCAATAATAGTAATATCCTTCTTGCACCCCGTAGGGTAGGCGCTGTCATCCCCTCTGGGAGTGCGAGGAGCCTAGCTCCTCAACGAGGAGGACCTCCAGGTACAGATCTACTTCCTCGGTAGAGGAACAGGAGCCCCCACGGCCAGTGGCCCACGGAGTGCCAGCGGAGCGGCTAACAAACCCCGTAGGGTAGTTACTGACTTCCGGGTGGGACTGTGAGACGCTCCGCTGGCCCCTGCTCGGGGAGAGCCACTGCGTGGTGCCTAGCTCCTCTACGAGGAGTCCTGACTACCTTCCTCGTTAGAGGAACATGGCCCATCGGCTAGTGGCCCACGGATGTGCCAGCGGAACGGCTTACCTACACCGCAGGGTGGTTACTCACTTTCAAGTGGGACTTTAAGACGCCCCACTGGATGAGTTACTGCATGGTCAACCGGCTAATTTCATATGTGCTACATATTCTCAGCTGGTTCCACAATTTCAGATTAAACTTGAGATTCATGTGGATTCTCCGCATTTTTTCAGAAACTGTGAATTTCATAATAACGTTTCTTCGTTTTCTCGTGTCCAGATGTATGAGATGGTATTATTTACAAGGAAGATGAATGGGGTAATTGTATATACTCTAGATGGGATTTAGAAATCTAAGAAAGAAAAATGCTTCTAATTATTTTAGTACCACTGGCCGTCGATGGCTGCAAAATTATCTTCAATGTAATTTATCCTTTGACCTTCTATAACCAATTCTTTCACTAATCCATTCATAGTTTCCACCAAAGTAAAAGAATAAAAGTATAGTAAATTCCTTGAAACACAGCCATCCAAATTGATATCCCGAATCCTCAAGGTACAGAGAATCGACATGGCTAATGTAGGAGTAAAATAACTGCAGAGTGCGATCAATGTGTTCATCAATGGAGATGAGAGATAAATTGGATTGAGCAATCTTCAACGTAAAGGACCAACAAACCACCAAGTATATAAGATGCCAAGAAGAAGGCACTACGGGGGATTTTCTTATGATAAACCTGCCCAATACTCGGGAAAACATACCAATTATCAAAAGTATTTGAAACATTGCTTGTGCTACACACAATACAAGAGGGAATATGCGCACCAACGTGGAGATTTCAAACTGTTTAAATGGATTCAATACAAGATCTTTATCGAGCAGTACTGGGATTGTAACCAAATTCAATAAAATTATTCCATAGTTTAGTTTCCAATACCAGGGAAGATTAGTGGTGACTGGATCATACCCAGATGCCAATTGTACGAATATTGATAAGATATAATTGTGGTTAACAATCTCCAATGTTGAAATGATCAAGTTAAATTTTTCCAAATCCCATTTTGTGGTGTTGGAATTATTGTTGACATAGAGTGAGTAACAGTAAAAGATGCAATAGAATACAATTTTCGGAATGATGGTGTAATAGACCAATGTAACAGGCCCTAAAGAGTACCCGAACCCATTCTGGGTCAAGGCCCAAACAAGAATGAGGGAAAAAATGGATGCAAGTGGGATATACCATTTGTAACAAGATTGTTTCAAGTATAAAATATGTGGTAAATTCCCATGTGAGCTTACAAATTGGACATTGACGTCAAGGTTTTTGTATTGAGCCACTTTCTTGTCACCAGTACAAGCCTGAGCAAAGACGCAATAAGTGCCTGGTTCCACGATACTCAAGGTCAATTGAGGGTTTCCCGAACCCAATCTACCGTCAATAAACGAGCCACTTGGGGTTGTATGTGGCGTGAGTTGTTGTGGACGATTACATAAACCCTCGTCCAAGAACTGCTTCTTGGTTGGTAGATAACCAATTTTTTTAAAGTCCGAGTAGAGGAACGCAGATACTGCAACGTCTATATCATCAAGAGACAGTTTATCAAGGGAAACATTGATCGAAGCGGGCACTACACCATCATAGTTGACCAATTGACATTGCACTTGGGAATAAGAATCTTCATATTTGGGGAAATTACCGTCGTGTGGCGGACGAGAGGAGGTGGATAGTAATGCTAATAATAAGGCAACAAGTTTCATAAATGCTTGGTGGAAGGAGTGTCAGTTATTCATTGTAGTTCGTATTCGTTCACAGAATTCGGAAAAAGTGTTGATGTGGGTGCACGGATGTGGAGATGTGCCACTGGTGTCATTTTAGTTTTTGCGAAGGATTAGGGTGGATTTGAAATAGGAAAGAATTTGAGAGTAAAGAGAGACAGAGAGAGAGAGGAGGGGGTAAATAATGGAGAGGAGAGGGTAGACACAAGGACAACAGGACAGTAGGAACCAGGACAATAGGACACGGAGTTGTGAAATCGAGGGATCTGAACTAATTTTCTGCATCATGTGCGGATATATTTGTATTGCAGGTGGGAAGAATCCTCAAAGGGGGGAGAGCGCTTTGTCCCATCGTGCACAGGTTAAACTTTGCAAGAGGACGCAACAATATAGTAGGCGGACAGTTGCTGGCCAGTAGGAGAAGGCACGACCCCAAGCTTCATGGGTATTGCTAAGTAGTAGTAGTAGTAGTAGTAGTAGAAAGTGGTAGACATATACAAGAGCAGGCCAGAAGATTCATATCTATCAAGGCTAGGATCTACTAGACCAGTACGGTAACCAAGTAGTGACTCCAATACAGGTGTTGCTTGCGTAAATAATATTTTCTCAGGTGGTTCTTCCTTGCGTTCGGTGGGTAATTTCTGATGCGTATTTGATGCACCAAAGGCATTTAATCGCCTCAGGTGCGCGATGTCGTATCAATTACGTCAAAAAATAAACAAAAGTATAAAAGCGTAATGGACTCGCTGTAGTTTTTTTCTTGAAAAAGATTGTAGAGCTACACAACTACACAGCATGATATCGAACTACCAAGTTGGCGGACCCGTTCAAGGCTGGAACGATTGTCCCGAGATGACCAGTGCCCGTGTAGTTAGCGGCGGGAAGCGCAAAAGACCACTTCGTGTGGCCCATGATTTCACCGGAGGTATGACGGCCCCAATGATGCCCCAGGGGAAGGTGGTACTCCAAGCCCCAGCACGCAAGACTACCGTGACAACAACATATACCCAGCCGGTAGCCAACAAGGATGATGTCCGGTTACAGCATTCAAACACACACGCTACTGGCCCGGCACCGGCAAGAGCCTCATAATTAGGGAAACATATAGCATTTACAGGATTAATACACGTACAAGGATATAAAAGGATAGGGATGTAAGAGCTTCCAGAGCTGCGCCATTTACAGGGGGGAAGGAATAGACTCAGAGGAGGGCCCCGTATGTTATCCCCTCTGGGAGTGGGAGACGCTCCGCTGGGCCCCTACTCGGGGAGATCCACTGCGTGGGGCCTAGCTCCTCTACGAGGAGTACTACAAGGAATTTCCTCGCTAGAGGAACAAGGCCCCCACGGCTAGTGGCCCACGGAGTGCCAGCGGAGCGGCTTGCAGCCCCGCGGGGGAGGGAGTATGTAAGTATGTACCAGCTACCCTACGGGGTCTGTAAGACGCTCCGCTGGGCCCCTACTCGGGGGGAGCTACTACGTGGTGCCTGGCTCTTCTTCGAGGAGCGGCGGACTGGTTTGTTGAGAAGAATGTATTTTTGTTCTAGAGGTGCGATCATGCCATTCCAAAGGGGACAACATTCTATAATCAGACGAGATTGATGAGGGCCCAGAAATTCTAGAAGAGTGGGAGTAAATGTAGAGGGCGTCATGATGCATCGCGTTTTATGTCACATGAGTAGGATCAAGGGATGTGGGGTGGCCCTTTAGAGAAAGCTTACACATTTGGTAGCACGTAAATTTGTAGAGCACGGAGTTATGACAAGATTTCGAACGGAGATATCCAAAAAGAAACTTTTTGGCAACACGAACGTGTAAGTAGGAAGAAACTATCATCCTCTATAGATCAAAGAAGCAGAGGTTATTCGTATAGGAGATAGATGTGTATGGGTATCCGAGCACAGGGTGACAGAGGTGTCATTTCCAGTCTATTCCTAGTACCCACTCTGGGATCAATGTCCCATTGTGGTGGTAACCGTGGCCATGAGGGATACCTCTTGTTGTAGAAGAACTAGGGTCCCACGTAGTGGCTCTCCCCGAGTAGGGGCCAAGCGGAGCGTCTTACAGACCCCGTAGGGTAGCTGGTACATGCTCCCTCCCCCGCGGGGCTGCAAGCCGCTCCGCTGGCACTCCGTGGGCCACTAGCCGTGGAGGCCATGTTCCTCTAACGAGGAAATCATTCCCCTTGTAGTACTCCTCGTAGAGGAGCTAGGCACCACGCAGTGGCTCTCCCCGAGTAGGGGCCCAGCGGAGCGTCTTGTTTGGGGACGTTACTGTGCGTCACAGAGACAGTAAGCGCCCCCCACACACACACACCCTAAAGTAGAACCACCTGGAGGTCACCAATGCCGCCACTACCTTCGTAGCTCCTCTACAAGAAGTGGTACCATCGTTATCTACCCAGTCTCAAGGACCACTACATCGTCCAACGCCCTCCCATCTCTTCTACACCTACTATTACCTTATTTTTGTTCATTCTATGACATACTATACACAGATCAAGCCCTCTTTCTTCTACCGATTTGTGCTTGGAAACCGGTCTTAATGGAAGAAACAGATCTGGTGGATCCACAAGCCTTACAACTCAAGAAATGCAATCTGTTGGCAGACTCTCTCTTCAACTCGGTGTTCATGGACTTACAAGTCTTACAGGTGACGTACTCGATGATGTATCTACGCAACACGGACTCCATTTGCTTGGGCTGGAACTTACCCTTCAAGATCAATCTCTTTTCACCGTCGATGGAACCAGAGGTACCCAATTCGGCAAACAAAAACTGTATTAAATGCTCTGGGGATCTTTGCAAAACGGTGGCAATTTCTTGTACGTTGGCAAACAAGGTCTTCTTAGAACCTTCTCTTTGACAGACTGGAGGTGGGATTCTAAACTTTGGCCCTGATCTATCACCTGCTAGTTCTGGGTTATTTTGCTTTAAGATGGAGAAGAAACGTGACAAGAGCGTTTCGTAGGCTAAGCCGCCCACAGAGCTCTTTTCTGGCTTGTCGGAGGTTTCTTCAGTGGTCACAACGGAGTCTTCTACACCGGCTTCTTCCAATTGTTGTTCGAAATCGGTGGCGTCAGCACTCTTCACAGACTTCTTCTTTTTCTTCTTCAATGTGAGGTCGCCAAGGGAGGCAGACAAGTCATCAGCAGCTGGAGAACCAGAGGCATCATCGGTAGTCTTGGACTTCTTCTTTTTCTTCAAGCCTGCGAACATGTCATCTATTTCAGGGGTAGGACTGGCGGCATCAGCGGCACCGGCCTCGCCCTCGTCGGTCTTCTTGGCCTTCTTCTTCTTCTTCAAAGTAGGGTCAAATCCTAAATCACTCATGGTTACTAATAAAATTTGATGTAATACTCTTTACTTTACAAACTTTGTCTCTTATGACTGAGCGTAAAGTTTGTGGAAAAAGAAAAATTTCAGCGCGGGCTGAAATTTACACACAGGAATCAAATCCGCGGTATTTTTCAGGACATCTTACATCAACAGATAGCACTGATTCAAGATGCCATGTGTTTGGCTGTCTCTGACTAGGAGCATGGTTGATTGTCTTACGGTTCCAGGAGGGCGTGACAGTAAACACCCTACGGGGTTAGCAAGCCGCTCCGCTGGCACTCCGTGGGCCACTAGCTGTGGAGGCTCTTGTTCCTCTAGCGAGGAAATCATTCCCCTTGTAGTACTCCTCGTAGAGGAGCTAGGCCCCACGCAGTGGCTCTCCCCGAGCAGGGGCCCAGCGGAGCGTCTCACTGGCCCCGTAGGGCTAGTACTCTCCCATTTATTCGTGTTGTAGGACGCACTCCCCGGGCCCCGAGTTGTCTGACGCGCTTTTGTTCTTCATTCTTCCTTTGGCTAGTCCAGTGGCCCCTCTACCGCTCGACCCCACATCTCCTTTAACCAGCTCTTGCTTGCTCTGGTCAGCTCTTTCTACATTCCTCCTACATTTCTTATTCTTGTTATCTGTTCTATTCGTCCCTCTCTTTCGACTATTTGTCTATATATATATGTCACTCAGATGCTGAGCTTCTCAGTCTTGTCTTCGATCTCCTCGGTGGAAGCAGGAGCTGAAGCTGAAGCGGCAGCAGCAGCAGCATCAGCAGCAGCAGCAGCAGCATCGTCGGCTTCCTTACTCTCCTTCCCTGGGGTGTATGTAATCTTCGTCTCGTTATCTCCCTCTTCAACCTTCAAGTCGTAGTCCTCAACTGCAAACTTCTTGAGGAACCAGGCCTCTATGGCGTCTTGTTTGTTGTTCTCAGCTTCAAAGATCGAATCGTGACCCGAAGAATTCTTTACAAAAGGATCAACCTCATATTCATTCACCAAGAGCTCTACAACGTCGAGATGCCCGGCAAATGCAGCCCAATGCAAAGGGGTGTTACCACTTTCGTTCTGTTGTGAGGCCAAGGCTATGGCGTCCTTCTTGTCCACTATAGAAAGTAAATATTTGACAACTTCGAAATGTCCGTTGGCTGCAGCCATGTGGATTGGGGTGCTCAAGGTGACGTCGTCCTTGATGGTGAGCAATAACTGAGGCGACAATTCGGTGAAGATTTCGGTTAATGTCTCGAGATCTCCCTCTCTGGCGTCTAAAATGACACAATCCATTTCCTCTTGTGTGAGAGTTGTCACTGATTCTGATGCTGAGGCCATTTTGGGAACTTTTCTTTATACTGTTATATTTCCTTTTCTGGACGGATTTCAAGCCTGGAAATTTGGTGTGGTGTTCTGATGGAGATTAGCTTGTCTACGAGCCTTTTCTCCAGGAACTAAATATTAAATATTAAGGTAAATAGATGGGGTTACCTGTTTGTCGATGGACTTGTTTTAAAAAAAAAAAAAAAAAAAAGAACAAGAGAGAAAAAAAAAAAAAAAACTAAAGTCCAAATTGAGAAGGCCTGCAGATAGCCAGATATGACATATAGGTGTAAAGAGAGCAAGAGCTCACAGTCACTGTCTTAGCACCTCATTTGCCACCACTAATTCTTAAGGAAGACAACTTCCAATGCCGCCAAAGATCGAAGTGTTGGATGATGTCCCACAGGAACCAAGGAAGAATCCATTCAGTGTAAAACCACCGAAAAAGCCCACAATTCGTAGAGATGCCAAAGAAATCGATCCATCTTACCGCCAAAGAAAGGGGTTAAACAACCCTGAAATTGCCTCGAATGCACCCATAGATGTTCTCTTTGCAGACTTGGAGAAGAAAATCATGGATATGGCACTTGTAGAGCTCACTTTCCCCGTTTTGTGTGCCCGATTTGGCGTCACATTGACCGAATCAATCGACGCTCAGAGATTGGATCTTGTGGCCAAACTATTGGACACCCTTACCCAGATCCAAACCCTTTCAATGAACCAGCAAATAGGTGGGGATTCTCTAATTTCCATTGCCCTTCACGATATCAGAACCTTCAGCACTTTAGTAAATCTAATCATCATCCATGGAGTGTATCCAGCCCTCACCAAATATCTGATTGGGATCCCATTTGAGCAAAGAAGACTCAATTCCTTCACCAAGGGAGCCACTCCCATTAAAATTGTCAAGATGGAATCTGATCCAGAACCACTTCTCCTACTTCTTTATCGGAAATTTCTAGAAATCTTCCAATGTGAAGGGTCTGACGTTAAGGAACTTCTTCTCAGAGGCACTGGGTTCTCTGACTTCTACACCATCACCTTAGCATTGATGACTATCCCCAGTATCAATAGTCTGACCAAATCTATCGTGAAGGCACAATACCCTCAAATCATATCAATTCCAGGGACGTTTGAACTTTTCCAAACTCTTTCCCTTCTCTTGGTATCCCCCTCGCCATCATATTTCAAGGCATTTGCCACCATGCAATTACAAGTGCTTCATTTCGACTCTCCTCATAAAGATGGGCTTCTTACCCTTGTAGAGTTTGTGCTTGGACTAAGAGAAAATGAAGAGGTCAATGTTGAAAAATTCGATCATGTGGCAAATGTAGTGTTGCTGAAACCAAAACAAATCCCCACCGTGCAATATTTCCAGAGTATTGGCCTACAAATGTACGATCTATTGGTTAATATAAACAAGCCAGTGGTCAATAGTTGTATTTGTTATGTTTTGGAGAAGCTATGGATGAGAAATGAACTTGTAGTGAAGGATTTCTTTTTAAAATTGATCTGGAAGAATTTTGGAAATCATTTGGAGAGTACTACAAATACTACTACTTCTACTATTGTCTCTGAAAAATCCTTAAATAATAACATTAATGTCCTTTTATCACTCACAAAGAATAATCCATCTCCGAGTCTACTCTCTGCCCTGTTCAATCCAATCCTTATCAATCTTTGGGCATACTTTAATTATCTCAAAAGGCAAAGTAAACCAATTGGGGTGATTAAAAACTTGCTCGTTAGTTACTTCACCATCATGAAACAAGAAAATTCAGATGATGGGTTGGATACTATTACCAAAAACATTCTTCGTGAAGGAGGAGATGAATGGGAATTTTCAATGGGACCAAATGATATGGTTGAAATAGTCCACAAGGCACCACAAATCGGTTCCCAGACCAATGAAGCCAAGGTCAACACCTTCCTTAGTCAATTGGACGTCTCTATCGATCTTTTCACCGATCTTTTGACCGATTTGGACGATACTTTTGTTCAACTGGTGTTTACCAAAGTGTTGAAAAGATGGTTGAATATTGACCAGATGGCCACCAATCTTGTGAGCGATGATGAGAATCCATTTTTCAAGTTGATCGATTTACGGATCCTTGAAGGATTGGGAAATAAGTTCAAGGAGAGTCTTGCCAAGACACCATATGATATGTTGGAGATTGTAGATACATTTCTTTCATTGTATGGGAGGAATTCACCACAGGGAAAACAAGTACATGACACGGAAGTCGACTCAGACGATGACTCTGATGATGAATCCGATGAAGGATTGGTGGAGCAAACAATCCCAATCCTATTGGAATTATTATCCGCCATTCTTTCAGAAACGTCAAGTTCCGATCTTGATGAACCATGTTTCAAAATCCTTACCAAGATCCTTCCTCGGTTGAAATTAATTCAAACCGGTCCCTCGGTAAATGCTGCACAATCTCTTTACGAAAGAATCACTTCCCTCCTTCAGAACGACAAACAAGCACCCAAGACCACTAAGGAATTGCATGCAAAGACGTTGGCTAGGGCCATCACCAGTTTAAACGATCCCTTGGTGCCCATAAGGGCGCACGGACTTCATCTTCTTCGTCAATTGATCACCTTGAAGAGTGAAGTGATTTCGCTTGATTTCGTGGTTAACTTACATTTGGTTCAACTCAAAGACCCGGAACCGTTCATCTACTTGAACGTCATCAAGGGGCTCCAACAGCTTATCGAATGGGACGAAGCCACCGTGGTCCCGATGTATGTTGACCTTTACACTCAGAAGGATTTGGATTTGGATGAAAGACTTCGAATCGGTGAAGTATTACTTCGTTACATTCAAGAATCAGGCGAACTATTTTCAGGGGACACTTCCAAATGTGTTGTTGAAGGAGCGTTGAAGTTGGTAAGAAGAAGATCAGAAGAAGAAGAACCCGTCGATAATAGACTCCGTAACTCGGCAATGTCTCTTCTTGGAGTTTGTTGTATGACTAATCCAATAGGAATGGTTGACAATCTACGTGATGTACTCGACTGTGCTATTGGGATCTTGAAACATGAAACTTCTAAAGATGAAGCTATCATGAGAAGATCAGCCATTGTCCTTATCCATGATCTTATCATTGGAACTTCCAATTCAGAAGTCCTACCATTCCCGGAAGAGTATAGGAAAGATGCTTGGAATTCATTGAATTACGTCTACACTACAGACTCAGACTTGTTGGTTAGAGACCAGGCCAAATCGGTCATTGACACCATCGATGACTTGGTCAAACAATCATTCCAACAATACGAAATGAATGATCAATACGAAAAATTTAAAATCATATAAGAATGATTCTCTACTCCCTACATATATATATTTTCTTTCATAGTGAAAACCTCTACCACCTTCTCAGGTCATACAGGCTCTTTATTATAATATAAACAAGTTCCATCTAATACGTTATTCATTTAATCAACTTCTTCCATAGCAGATTCAACAGCTGGTTCAGTGGTTTCGGTAGAAGTACCAATTTCAGCTTCAGCTTCTTCTTCTTCATCTTCGTCAATGTTCAAACCCAAAGAAATCAATCTGTTAATTCTACCAGCGAAAGAAGATGGTTCTTCCAAGGAGAAACCAGAGGTCAACAAAGCAGTTTCGTACAACAAGGTGGTCAAGTCCTTGACGGTCTTGTCTTCAGCACCATCGGCTTCAACCTTCTTCTTCAATTCTCTAATGATAGCAGACTTTGGAGAGATTTCAAAAGTCTTCTTAGAGGACATGTAAGAGGACATGGTGGTGTCTCTCAAAGCTTGAGCCTTCATGATTCTTTCCATGTTAGCAGACCAACCGAATTGACCGGTTCTGATAGCAGCTGGGGCGTCAACCAACTTGTGGGAAACAACAACCTTTTCAACTTGGTCACCCAAGATTTCCTTCAAAGCCTTGGTCAAGTCTTCAAATTCGGCAATTTCCTTTTCTCTTTGAGCCTTTTCTTCTTCAGTTTCTTCCAATTCGAAGTCCTTGGTAATGTCAACCAACTTCTTGTCTTCGAATTCCTTCAATTGAGTCATGGCGTATTCATCAATTGGGTCAACCAAGAACAAAACTTCGAACTTCTTAGCCTTCAAAGCATCCAAGAATGGAGACTTTTCAACAGCCTTGATAGATTCACCAGTGATGTAGTAGATGTTCTTTTGGTGTTCTGGCATTCTGGTGACGTAGTCAGACAAAGAAGTGTGTTCTTCGGTAGACTTGGTGGAGTAGTATCTCAACAACTTGGACAAAGCAGCTCTGTTTTGTTGATCTTCATGGACACCCAACTTGATGTTCTTGGAGAAGGCAGTGTAGAACTTTTCGAATTGTTCAGCATCTTCAGCAATTTCATTGAAAGTTTCAATAATCTTCTTAATGATGTTCTTCTTGATAACCTTCAAAATCTTGTTTTGTTGCAACATTTCTCTGGACAAGTTCAATGGCAAGTCTTCAGAGTCAACAACACCTCTAACGAAAGATAACCATTCTGGAATCAAATCTTCGGCATCGTCAGTGATGAAAACACGTCTAACGTACAACTTGATGTTGTTCTTCTTCTTCTTGGATTCGAAAGCATCGAATGGAGCTCTTTGTGGAACAAAGAGAATGGCTCTGAATTCCAATTGACCTTCAACGGAAAAGTGCTTGACAGCCAATGGGTCTTCCCAATCGTTAGAAATAGACTTGTAGAAAGCATTGTATTCATCCTTGGTGACTTCAGATGGGTTTCTGGTCCACAAAGGCTTGGTCTTGTTCAATTCTTCAGTTTCAGTGACAGTTTCGGTAACCTTCTTGGTCTTTTCCTTCTTTTCACCTTCTTCATCTTCAACTTCTTCCAACTTTGGCTTCTTGTCTTCACCTTCTTCGGTGGTTTCTTCTTCTTCAACTGGAACTTCCTTTTCAACTTCCTTGGTAACAACCAATTGAACTGGGTAAGAAACGAATTCAGAGTGTCTCTTGACAACTTCCTTAATTCTCTTTTCTTCCAAGTATTCCAATTGATCTTCCTTAAGGAAAAGTCTCAAGATGGTACCACGACCAATCTTTGGGTTGGTTTCATCCAAAGTGATGGTAAACTTACCACCAGCGTTAGATTCCCAAATGTATTGTTCGTCATCGTTGTGCTTGGAGATGACTTGAACGTGGTCAGCAACAAGGAACAAAGAGTAGAAACCAACACCGAATTGACCAATCATGGAAACATCGGCACCGGCGGACAAGGCTTCCATAAAAGCCTTGGTACCAGACTTGGCAATAGTACCCAAGTTGTTGACCAAGTCAGCCTTGGTCATACCAATACCGGAATCTCTAAGTTCAAGAATCTTACCTTCTGGGTGTGGGGTGATTCTGATGAATAATTCTGGTTCAGTGTCCAACTTGGATGGGTCAGCAAGAGCTTCGTAACGGATCTTGTCCAAAGCATCAGAAGCGTTAGAAATCAATTCTCTCAAGAAAATTTCCTTGTTGGAGTAAACAGTGTTGATGATAAGAGACATCAACTGAGAGATCTCAGCAGTGAACTCGTGGGTTTCAACTTTTTCCGACATATTGTATATATTTTAGTACGTGAAGTAGCTAAAGAATAGAAGAACTGACGTTGCCACGAGTTTTAAATTTGATCGCCTTTTATAACTTTGGTGCTGCAAAAGTTCGACGATCCGTCGAATGTTCCACCATGTTCCATGAGCATGCAGGATGTGCCACATACCGGATCCGGAACCATTTTAGGGTGGGTGCGAAAATTCTAGAAGATAATCGGAATGAAGAGTGTTAGAGGGTATCATTGGTGGGAATAAATTGAGGTAAGCTGAGTTCTGAAGAGTTGGTAGTAGGCTTTATCGTGTTAATTGATTAAAGATAGAAAAAAAATTAGAAAAAATTTGATTTATTGCTTCTCAGTGCGTAAAGAGTAATTGCTTCCCTCATGGGAGTGCGAGACGCTCCGCTGGCCCCTGCTCGGGGAGAGCCACTGCGTGGGGCCTGGCTCCTCTACGAGAAGTCCTGGCCACCCTCTGACCTTCCTCGTTAGAGGAACAAGGTCTCCACGGCAGTGGACCACGGAGTGCCAACGGAGCGGGTTACAGACCCCGTAGGGCTCGTAGTCTCTCCCAACTGTAAGACACTCCTCTGGCCCCCTTCCGCAGATGTGGCTACTATATGGTACCTTGACTACCTACACCTATTTATTTCCTCTACACTCACTTGTACTCTCCCGATTATTTTGTATTTCTGACGCTCTATAGAATCAATTCTTCAGTTTCTAACCCACAATCAATACACCTCCGCTTGACATTCTCTCCACAGACAAGTGGTTCAGACCAATCATGTACATGTCTTTGCCCCAAAGATTCTCCATTACGTAACTTCCGGGTGTACTCTTCTGCACGGGTACGTTTCCTCATCTCTTTCAATTTCTCCTCGTACTTCTTTTCCTTCCTTTGTAAGCGAACTCTTTCTCTTTTCTCCCATTCCTCGTCCAACTTGTCTGCACCTCCCCATTTCTTCCAGGCATACTCCTCCACTTGGAGCCTTAGGAAAAGTTGCATCCTTGAAAATCCATGAGGGTTTGGCTTTTCCACCCGTGGTAAAAGCTCGACATCTTTAAGTTCTGGATCGGTCAAGAGATAGTCTTCCTTGCACTCAGTCTTGGTGAGAAGGGCATACCGTTCAGGTTTCGCCCTGGCACATGGCCTACAGACCCGTACGTGACGAAAATTCTGATAAATATTCTGATCTATCTCCATTGATTGACATTCTTCACATTTGGGTGCTGCCGAGATATCCAACGGTGGTGGGAGTTCTCTTACCACAAGCTGTTGTTTCTGGCGTTCCTTCCATGCTTCCAAGGTGGGGTTTTCCTCTGGTGGTGCTCCGGCCCCGCCTATACCTCCACCAGTTTCATCAATGAACCCACCATATGAATCCTTCATGGTGGAAAAATCATATTCAATGTAATCTTTTTTGTTGATCGATGGTGGTTGGTATTGTTTCGCGGGGGGTTTACCATTCACCAAACTTGTTCCTCCTTCACTGGACAGTTCCTTGGGGAGTCTTACATTGGTATATCCAGGGATAGGGGCCGTTGAAGTATTGGATGACGTCATCGGTACGGTAGACGCTGCAGTTTGTTCAGCATTCCGATTCTGTAGTTGCTTTTGTCTTTGGATCTCAAGCGCTCGTTTCCTATTCTCTTCTATCCTTTTCCTTTGTTCTGGAGTCAATTCTATTCTTGGTCTTTTCAATGGTGGTGCCACTGGGATGCTCGATGTCGCAGCAATGGATGACCCGGCACTGACAACTGGTGCACTCGATATATTATTGGTAGAGCTAGACACAGTTGTGCTAGCTACATTGGCTGGTCCAGATGATCCAACTCCAGCACTTGTCCCAGAACTAGCCAAACCTTTTCTTTGTAATCTATCAAGAGCTCTTTGGCGATTCGCCTCCTGCGACATTTTGTTAGTACCATGTTAAAAAAAAAAAGGGAAACTACAAGTAAAGCACCAAAAACCGCTGCAATCCCCATGAAAACTCAGCACACATACTATTCGAGCCTTCTGCTCGGCTGTGAGATTCCCCCGTACAAAGGACATCTTCCAGAACAATAAATATAAAGAGAGTGATGACCCCACGCCATCTGTGGCAATCTCACGACATTTTTGATGCGATTTTCATATTGGGGACATATACAGGAAAAGCTTACACATCTGGTACTACTAGACCATGTATGAGTACACTCTACTGGGGATATTCTGGGGCTAAAATTTCAGGGGAAGAGACTGATGTAGAGTAGAACTACTAGAATATACTGGGATGAGGTAGGAGTACTTCAGTGTGCTTGAAGAGAAATTGTCAGTCCGAGTGTAAGAATTAAAAATGGCTGCAATTGCCAAAAGGTACTGAGAGTGAACTTTAAGTAGAGAATTGGAGGTTTATCAATGAGAGATTCTGGGTAAGACCCTCTCTAGTAGGACCCTACTCTAGGAGCTCTGGTTCACAGTTAGGAATCCCAGCTAGGTCTACTGGGCGGGTCTAGAACCATACTGCGGCGACCGCACCCTGTAGGACTGTAAGACCCTCCGCTGGGCCCCTACCCGGGGAGAGCAAGTGTGTGGTGTCTAGCTCCTCTAAAAATAGGACCTCCAGTTGTAGACCCGCTTCCTCGTTAGAGGAACCGGAGCCTCCACGGCTAGTGGCCCACGGAGTGCCAGCGGAGCGGCTTGCTAACCCCGTAGGGTAGCTACTTACCTCCCATGCGGTACATGGATCCTATCTACAGAAGTTCTCCCTTTATGTAGTTGTTTATGAAAATCATATACAGGTTATAAAAGTAAGCTTATTTCTTGTTGAGGACTTCGTCGGCAAAAGTTGGCAAGACGAAGGAGGCTTCATGGATCTTGGCGTTGTAGTACTTCATGTTCTTACGCACGTATTCGTCGGTCCATTCAAAACGGATTGGCTTGTTGACCACGGCGTTAGGGTCCTTGGAACAGACCATGAACCCAATCAGACCGGATGGGTAGGTTGGGATCATGGTGTAGGCGTACTCGGCCACTGGGAAGATCTCGCTACAGTCTTGCTTCAACTTGGAAATGATGTCCATGTGCAAGTAGATGTTTTCCGCTTGGGTGGTGATAACCCCCTTTTCAGTCAAGGCATTCTTCAACAACTCAAAGTATGGCTTTTGGAAAAGAACTTCAGCTGGACCTTCTGGGTCGGAAGAGTCAGTGATGATGACATCGAATTGGTTTTGGTATTCAGCAAGGAACTTGAATCCGTCACCAATGTGCACGTGAACACGTGGGTCGGCGTACGACTTGGCCATTTCTGGGAGGTACTTCTTGGAGACTTCAATGACGGTTTCGTCAATGTCACACAACCAAGCTTCTTCGATGGACTCGTGCTTCAAAAGCTCACGCAAGACACCACCATCACCACCACCGATGACAAGAGCACGACGTGGGTTAGGGTGGGAGTTGACAGCCAAATGGGTGATCATTTCTTGGTAGGCGAACTCGTCACGTTCGGTGACTTGGATACAGTTGTCCAAGACCAAGACGTTACCGTAGTTGGTTGACTTGAAAACCAAGACGTCTTGGTACTTGGATTGTTCAACGTGCAACACTTTTTCAACTTTCAAGGACATGGCTTGACCAGGCCACATGGTGTCGGAGGTTTCGGCGAACCAGCCGTTCTTGATGGATGGGTGGGTGAGTTCTTGGGCCATTTTGCTATAAGATTGTGGAGTGGAGAAGTGGAGGAGTAAAGAGGCGGAGGATCGAGGGCACTAGTTAAATACTTTTCAATCTGTGGGCGGTGAGTCTGAGGGCTGCGGGCTATTCGTCCAATAAATTTTTTTTTTTCTTTTTTTTTTTAAGCTACAGCACCGTTAAGGTGCGCCTACGCATGCGTGTGGTGGGGCTAACTGAGATAAAGACATATACTGTCACTAACTTATCTGAGTCACAGGGGAGAAAGTTCGGACCCTACACGGTTTGTAAGCCGCTTCGCTGGCACTCCGTGGGCCACTAGCCGTGGAGGCTCCTGTTCCTCTAACGAGGAAGTACAGGGAGAGTGGTAGGTGGGACTCCTAGATGAGTTAGACTCCACGGATTGGCACTCCCCGAGCATGGGCCAGCGGAGCGACTTGCTAACCCCGTAGGGTGGGCAATGTCAGATCCCCTTCGAGGGTAAGACGCTCCGCTGGCCCCTACTCGGGGGGAGCCACTGCATGGAGCCTAGCTCCTCTACGAGGAGAGGTCCATGGAGGAGTTAGTACTCGCTAGCACACTCACCTGCGGAGTCTTCGCTCTTTCGGTGACTCGGGAAAAAATATTTTTTTTTTTTCTTTTAGTTTAGATGCGCGGAGCGGATTGCCAAAATTGCCGCTAACGTAAAAACAACAGGCGGGTCGGAGTATCTGCACTGCTGTTCAAGCGCAAGCTGTTAGTTTGTAGGCGTGTAAGCATGTATGTATTTGTGTAGCGCGGGAAGGTGTGTCATTTCTAGACGATATATTAGGCCAGTTGGGCTTCTTATTGTAAATTGATGAGTCAGATCATGGGAAAGCGAGAATATTGAAATAAGCGCTAGGGGCAAAGGAAGCGAGGAATGGCAACAAGCACGGACTGGTATATATTGTAGGGGTGTTGGAAAATGGCTTTGTGTGTGCTTAGAGTATGGGCGGTGGAATGTAAGGAGGCCAGAAAAGGTTGGTGGTGTGTTTTGTAGGTTGTAGAGAGGAGAAGGGGTTACTTAATTTATAATATTTTTGCATTATGTTGCAAAAATTCAAAAAAATTCAAAAAAATTAACGAAGAAATAAGAAGATAGTAACCAACTTTTTAACACCATGGAGACAATAGATGGGGTGTAGGAGCATTATATCTGACCACAGGTGGTACCTTTGCAGTCTACTTACTTGTTAGAGGAACAAGAACCTCCACAGCTGGCGGGCCACGGAGTGCCAGCCGAGCGGCTTGTTAACCCCGTAGGATGGGCACTGACAGACCCCCTGGGAGTGCAAGACGCTCCGCTGGCCCTTGCTCAGGGAGAGCCATGCGTGGAGCCTAGCTCCTCTACGAGGAGTCCTACCGACACCCCTATGTTTCCTCGTCAGAGGAACAAGGCCCCCACGGCTAGTGGCCCACGGAGTGCCAGCGGAGCGGCTTACCCACCCCGTAGGGTGGCTACCCAGCATCCTTTCCATGGATCCGTCAGTTGTTCTACTGCCCCCCCTGATCTGTGCTGTGCCTTTTGCCACCCAGTTGTTTTTGCAGCCATGACCGCTCTTTTTTTTTTGATCGCACCCTCACAGAAAGAAAACAAATACACAACGTTTCTTTTCAAAAAGGTGAAAGAAAATCGATCTCAAAAGAAACTCAGCAGGATAAGTATCTCTTAAACTCCTCCCATTTTCCATTTTCCTCCTCCTATACCGACTTATAGAGTGTCTATTGTCCACTTTTTTATCTACCCTATCTCGGACCATTCGGAGCTATCTACGGACTATCTGCAGGCACTTTGATCACGTGGCCAGCACACGCGTGCCTGGAAATAAAGACCCGTCAAAAAAAGGCAGTGCCCTGAAAGAACACCCAAAGAAGTCTACTATCCTCTAACCTATATCAATTGGAACTAAGTATGATATCGGCATTGTTTCTATACGACACAAAGGGTGATGTGCTCATGTCCAAGGTTTACAAGGCGGGCGTCAAGCGGAACATTGCTGACGTTTTCCGCATTCAAGTGATCTCCAACCGTACAGGTGGTGGAGATGGTAGTGCTGCTCGAGCGGCCGCAGGTGGTGGTGCTGGAGATGGAGGCCCCGGATCTGTGTCTGCAGCTGCCAGTAGTGGCGGTGCAGGTGAGGTCAGGTCGCCAGTGTTGACGTTGGGGAGTACGTCGTTTGTTTACATTAGAAGCGGATTGGTTTGGATCTGTGCCGTGACGCGATCCAATCAGGATTGTGGCCAAATCTTGGAATTTCTCCATAAATTGGAATCTTTGTTGATGGTGGTGGTCGGTGAAGAGGCCGAGGGTTACGGTGCTTTAGACGCCGCGCTGGACGCTTCGCTTGGTGACTTGGGCAGTGGTGGCAGTGGTGTAGGCTCTGGAGCTGCTGGTGTAGGAATATCCGCTTCTATCGCTCGAGCTCGTCTCCCCAAGACAACCCTCACAGTTGATCTAGTCACCAATAACTTCAATACGATCTACGAGTTGTTGGACGAGGTGGTGGAGTTTGGATACCCCACGAGTCTTGATTTGGCCACCTTAAGGCCGTACATGACCAGTGTAGGTGGGAACGATGGGTTATTCCGTAGGGCTCTACTTTGGGGAAATTCCGGGGCCAATAGCTCCAGCAGCACTCCTAGTAATACTGGTAATGGTGGCTCGTCTTCCAAAAAGGATGACTCGGGGTCACCCCCCTCCAACGTCCCCTGGAGACCTCAAGGGATCAAGTACCGTAGAAATGAAATTTTTTTGAATGTTGAGGAGAAAATCCACGTGCTCTTGGCCCCTCAGGGTGATGTTCTACGGTCATATGTCGATGGGAAGATCCAGATGAAGACTCATCTCTCAGGAATGCCCGAGTGTAAGTTTGGGTTGGGCGACGGGAGCGTTCTTTTGAATGAAGGAGGGTCTACCAGAGGCGGTGGAGGCGCTGACTATGCCACGGGGGCCATCCTTGAAGACTCCAAGTTCCACCAATGTGTTAGTCTCCGACAATTCGACGAGCAAAGAACCATCAATTTTGTGCCACCAGATGGAGACTTCCAACTCATGTCGTACCAATGTCTTCAGAATGTGACGCTTCCCTTTACCGTACAGGCACAGGTTGTGCAACAGGGTCCACAGAAACTACTTTACCGAGTGAAGATCAGTCTGTGCTTCCCCAATAAGGTGCTTGCCCGAGACGTGGTACTCACGGTGCCCACCCCAAGAGGCGCAGTCGCTAGACAATACACCCAGACCCTGCTGGGCAAGTGTAAGTTCCACCCAGAGGACAATGCCTTCCGGTGGAAAATCAGCAAGTTTGCCGGACAACAAGAACAAACATTGACGGGGGAAGTCGAGCTCGGCACCAACGAAAGTGTCGGGTCAGGCTCCGGCTCCGGTTCCGGGTCGACCGTGACAAACTGGGCACGCCCACCAATGAACCTCGCATTCAATATTGACATGTACCTGAGTTCCGGTCTCACGGTCAAGTACTTGAAGGTTCACGAACAGGCAAACTATAGAACGGTGAAATGGGTAAAGTACGCCACTCTGGCAGGAAGTTACGATATCAGATATTAGAAATAGTTAAACCCACAGCGACAGGTTGACACACACACTTGTTTGTTCTTTGTAGACCCGTCACTGGTTGAAAATAACGGCGATTCACGGGGGGCGCCCACAGGGTGGGGTCAGAGTAGGAGTTCCAGATGATGCCTTAGGGGAAGGAGAGTACCCACCCTACGGGGTGTGTAATCCGCTCCGCTGGCACTCCGTGGGCCACTAGCCGTGGAGGCTATGTTCCTCTAACGAGGAAGGTCAGGAGGGGTGGCCAGGACTCCTCGTAGAGGAGCCAGGCACCACGTAGTGGCTCTCCCTGAGTAGGGGCCAGCGGAGCGTTTTAGTGTTCCACAGAGAAGGAGAACCCCTACGCTAAAGGATTAGCAAGTTAGTCGTGCGGGGCTCCATGGAGAGTCCCTTCAAGGATAGGAATTAACGGGAAGGTCTAGTTGTTGGTACGTGGTGTTGGAAAGGTTTGGAAGTGTGCTGCTGAACTTTTATAGATTCATGTACATTTTGTATATATCTAGAGCTTACGGAGAGAGGTGTAGACTAGTGTGCTCATGGCCAGAGAATCATAGACCTTATAGACCTTGAAAGAGGAGAGGACATTATGACCGAAAACGGTCGTGACAGTACATACCCTTGCCGAGTAACAATAAGAGGTGCGAGAAGTACTTCTCTCTCTAACGCCTATGGACCAGATTAGGTATAAACTGAGGAGATACAAGGACAGAAGGTACCACAGAACTGCTATGACTATGGCTACGTGCTGTACACTGCGGCAGGTAATTCCTCGTCAAAGGAACAAGGCCCCCACGGTTAGTGGCCCACGGAGTGCCAGCGGAGCGACTTACACACCCCGTAGGGTCATTCCTACCCACTCCCTCTCCCGTAGGACAGTCAGACGCTCTGCTCGGGTGTGCTCTGAGCGAGGGTGCACTTGGCGACGTGCACGTGTTCAACGCTCGCAGGATTTTGAAAACGTTTTGAGAGTGCGGGACTGAGCGCGATGAGATCACCACTAGCGGAAGGAAGTATAGCCAAGTCTCCACGACAACAGCAAAGTAGAAGCACAAGCAATGAGAGACCTTATCGTGCTAGGCGGGTCGTCGCACCCACAGCTCACACGCAGCATCTGCCGTAACCTTACGATCGAACAGGGCGCTGTGAAGTCCATAAAGTTCTCCAACGGGGAGACTTCCATCGAGGTCAAGGACTCGGTCCGTGAGAAGGATGTCTTCATCGTGCAGTCCGGGTGCGGGGACGTCAATGACACCTTCATCGAGTTGTTGATCATGATCGCCGCCTGTAAGACGGCCAGTGCTCGCAGGGTCACCGCCGTGTTGCCTTTGTTCCCGTACTCCCGTCAGCCAGACGTCCCCCATGCTGCCACCCTGACTGGAGCCCCCAGTGTCAGCGTGACCAAGGACAAGTATACCTACGAGAGCGCCCCGGGAACACCCCGTCCGTTAACTCCGGTGGGAACTACCGGGTCAGGACCAGCGGTTCCTGGACTTTCCTTGGCTGGAGGCGCTGCCTCCACTGCCACTCCAAAGAGACTCTTCCAACCAGTGGCCAAGACTTCTGCCATGGGAAGCAGCAGTATTAGTAGCAGTGGCAGTAACACTGCCGAGCAACCGGTGGCTGAAAGCGGCTACAAGCAATGGATTGCCCAGAATGGGACCCTTATTGCCAACCTCTTAACCACCGCCGGGGCTGACCGTTGTATCACTATGGACTTGCACGACCCGCAATTCCAAGGGTTCTTCGATATCCCTGTGGACAACTTGTACTCGAGACCACTTCTCAAGCACTACATCACCGACTACATCCCTGACTACAAGGAGTGTGTCATTGTGTCTCCTGACAGTGGTGGGGCCAAGCGTGCCACGTCCATTGCCGACGCCTTGGGCTGTTCGTTTGCATTGATTCACAAGGAAAGACGCCAAGCCAGAGCTGGTTCCGGTACTGCTTCTTCCGTTGCCGGTGCTGCTGCCACTTCTTCGAGTGCCGGTGCATCGTTTGTGGCGCTCCCAACGGCAGTAGCCATGTCTCCATCTATTTCCGCCCCTAGTGCTTCAGCTCCTTCGCACATGGCGGCCACCACCATGCTTGTTGGTGACGTCAAGGACCGGGTGTGTGTTCTTGTTGACGATCTTGTCGACACCCTGTACACCATCACCCGTGCTGCGAAGCTCTTGAAAGACCAGGGCGCCAAGTACGTGTATGCGTTGGTGACCCATCTGATCTTGAGTGGCGATGCCGTCAACCGTCTTGCCCGGCTGTCGATCGACAAGGTGATCACCACCAACTCCGTTCCTCAAAGCGACCATGTGGCCGCCCTTGGCGCGGACAAGATGGAGGTCTTGGACGTGTCGCGGATCTTGGCGGAGTCTATCAGAAGAATCCACAATGGGGAATCGGTCTCGATGTTGTTTGACCATGGTTGGTGAGGAGTATAGAATGAATACAAATATGTTAATTAGAGTTCTTTGTAGCGTGTGACTGCCTAAAGATCTAGGAGGAAGCACTATGATCTTGTCGGAGTCTCTACGGGCTAGTGGTCTAGGGAGTGCTAGCGGAGGGGCCTACATACCCTGTAGGGTGGAGTGAATACGTCTCCTCTGAGAGTGCAAGACGCTCCGCTGGCCCCTGCTCGGGGAGAGCCACTGCGTGGTGCCTAGCTCCTCTACGAGGAGTCCTGGCCACCCCTCTAACAAGGAAGGTTAGAGGAACAAGGCACCCACGGCTAGTGGCCCACGAAGTACCAGCGGAGCGGATTACACACCCCGTAAGGTGGGTACTCTCCTTCACCTGTTCTGCATCAGATCTTCAACGACGCCTGGTAACAGCTCAGAAGGAGTTAGGCGCATTTTATGATATGACGAGAGGGTGGCGATGGCTGCTCTTAGATCTGGAAATCTTGCCCTTCTAATGCTACAGTACCTACGGGACGTACTACAATGGACCCGACCAGGGAGACGGTCACCTCTACTACAGGATACTTTCCCAACCAATTTGCCCGTCAGGGGAACAGCAGCCCCCACGGCTAGTGGCCCACGGAGTGCCAGCGGAGCGGCTTGCAACTGCGTGTAGCATTCCTCCCCTGCTCGGGTAGACCCTTAAACTCAGAGTGTTTCCTACAGACTTCATCGTGTATCGGTTACTCCATCTACATCCTCCACCCATGATAACCTTTCTTTGAATCTCGTGTGCATGTGGCAATTCAGATGGTTAGGCATGGCCCAACCGTCCTCCCCCCGGATCTCGTACTCTCGTGAGCCCGGAATTGAGTTGCAAGGATGTACCTAGCCCGTAGACGTGTCACCGACACGACCTCTTCCCATGACGTATCACCTTGTCAACCGTGTGCGGCTGTGTCAAGAAGATGTCTGTTTGGGTATAAGCCTCACTACATGAGAGAACGAGAAATAGAGATGAAGGTTAGAGGATAGAGTTAGAGGATGGAGTTCAGATCGGGTTAGAGGGAGGTAGACACAGTCTATTAGAAGAGTCTCGAACGAGAGAATAATGGAAAATCATTCGATCATCCCACGGCTCTTTTGTCTATGCTCTTTGATCAATTGTGCTTATCATGAGATTACGTGCAGGATCCCGTCCCGTAAATTGGATCGTTGCGGGTAGAAGCTCCGCAATCTTTGGCAACATGATAAACAGATTCTTTCAATTTTGCGTAGAAATCGATCAGATTCTCAGGGTATGAATAGAAAATACTTTCTTCCTTACCCTCATTCACTTCTCTATACTCCATCTTCTCTCTACTCCATCTTCTCTCTACTTTCTACTCCTCTCATTCCTACTCTTCTATTTTCTCTTTTATAATTCTTTTTAATTTTTATCTTGCCGCACCTTTGACAGGCCTCTCAGGAAAACATCCAAATTCCCACAAGTTCGGGAAAAATTAAATATTTCTCCATTTCCTGCACAGAGAACACACATCCTACGGAGACACTTCCCGTGGTGAAACCCCACCAAATTTTTTTTTGTATCTGCCAACTGGGCGGCCCTTTCCCCATTGGGGAGAACCCGCCTTTGAAGCAACCCCAAACTTTAATTGACCAAAAAGAAAAGAAACAACCCAAAACATATTTGTTGTGTGTTCCCCACAATTTGATGTCAATTGTGGAGACGATCAATAATAAAATATCCAAAATAAGAATGATACTCCACCACCACGGTAGAATAGGTGGCATTCACTAATAAAATGCCTTAGTGGGGAGAAATAAACTGCCGTATACTCGGAGTACAACGGAAGCGTGTCCTTTTGTATTTGGAGCCCTGGCGCGGCTCTCCTTTCCTTAGAAAAAAAAAAAAAAGAAAAAAAAGAAAAAGAAAAAAGCACAAATGTAAATTGTGGCCCATACTCAGTAGATGAATAGTACCACCGTTTTAATAAAGCCCATCAGTGTAAGGCATTATTTCCATTCTAAACCTTATACTCACTCACTTAGTCACTCACTCTATTTCCATCTCATTCTCCCACTCTCTACTTTCACTTTCTTTCTTTCTCCCCCACAATTCACCCCCGGAGTCACGTCTCCCCTCCCATCAATGACCAAGCCAAGGCGTGCGCATCCAATTACCAAATGCCGTTTTTAGAATTCTTCTCGCTTCCTCTGCCATAATTTCAACCTGGCAATATGGAACACCCTGCATATCACTCATTTTGTATACATTTTAATTTAATTTAATTTAATTTAATTTTTATTTCTTTCTTATTTTTATCCCCTCCCCCGGATTAACAAATCCGGTGGTGTTGCAAATAAGGTCAATCCATAAACCGACCACCACTTTTTTTTTTCTATAAATTTACCGCCATTCGCCCCTCTAATGAGAACTTTTTTTGATCTCCTCTTTGACAAACTATTCACATTGTAGTACCTTCCTACAAGCTCCAAATAGTTTAGCGGGTCTTACAGCCTCACCAAAAACAAAAGCAACAACCACACAAAATCTCTTTATCATGGCTCAACTTGCCCCCGATATTCAAGCTCTTTCACTTGATAGAACCCATTCCAATGGTTCCACTGTTTCCTTGAAACATGGGTACATTGACACTCCCTTTTCTGGTAAAAAGGATCAATATGAACAGGTTCTTGATCTTTTAGATAGTACTGGATTCATTCCTGAATCTCTTATTGAATCTGAAGCTCAATGGTTTTATGAATCTTTAGGAATTGATGATGTTTTCTTTGCTAGAGAAAGTGCAACTGGAATTGCTTCACATATCCATGCGTTGTATTCTTGTAAAGTTCAAGCATTTGCCTCGGATGTTACTGATGAACCAATCATTCTGTACAAAAGAGAAGCTGAAGATCATGCAGTTTATTTTGATACTAGTGCTCCAGGAACTAATAGTTATATGAGAACAAGATTTGAAGAACGGATTGATGATAAATATATTGATCCTTCAACAAATATCTCCAATAGTTATAGAGTTGAATCTTTTAGTGCTCCTTTAAATTACAAGACTGATCCAATTTTAATGGGAGTTTTCCAAAAAAATCATCAATTGGCAGATCAAATTGTTAGATGTTATTTTGTTTATAAAAATGAATATCAAGACAATGAATCTCATGATCTGTTTGATCTGATTGGTGATAAAACATTTATTAAAATTGCCTCTTCAAATACGAAAAAACTTTATTCTGAAGTCATTTCAAATGTATTGGAAACTACTGGTCCTGTCATTAGACATTTCCCCGTGGATGATTCAGATGATGAATATAGAGTTATCATTGGGTTTAAACAAAAATCATCTGCTCGTTATAATTCAGCCTTGAGTGATTTGGCTAATTATTATAAATTACAAATTACTAGAAAATATGTTGAACAATTTTCAAATGGAGTTACTGTTATCTCCATGTATGTCACTTCCAAAGAAAAAAAATCCTTACCAGTGGATTTATCAATCTATCAAGTTATTAAGGAAGCTTCCTTATTATATTGTATTCCTCATAATTATTTCCATGAAAAATTCAGTAAAGGTCAATTATCTCTTCAAGAATCAATTTATGCCCAATCGGGAGTTATCTTTGTCACTCATTTCTTGAATAGATTGGGTCCAGAATATACAAAATTGACTTCTTTATTGGATCCTAAAAAGTCAATTATTCATGCTGAAGCTTTGAATAGTTTAAAGAAAAGATTAAGACTGGAAACTTATACTCAAAATTATATTAAAGAAGTCTTTGATTCTAAAATTGATATTGTTAGAAAATTGTATAGACAATTTGCTGATGTTCATTATATTAGATCATCTACTGAAAAGACTTTATCTTATCAAAGATTATCTCAAATTTCCCCCGTGGGAAATGAAGAAGATTTTGAAAAATTGTTACAAAGAGAATGTTCTCAAAATGAACATCATGTACTTGTATTGAAGGCCTTGTATGCCTTTAATAAGTCGATTCTCAAGACAAATTTCTACACTTCCACCAAGGTTGCCCTTTCATTTAGATTGGATCCATCTTTCTTACCAGCTAGTGAATATCCTGATAAACCATATGGAATGTTTTTCGTGGTTGGTAGTGATTTTAGAGGATTCCATATCAGATTTAGAGATATTGCCCGTGGTGGGATTAGAATCGTTAGATCAAGATCTGTTGATGCTTACAATGTTAATGTCCGGAATTTGTTTGATGAGAATTATAATTTGGCTTCAACTCAACAAAGAAAGAATAAAGATATCCCTGAAGGTGGATCCAAGGGGGTTATCTTGTTGGACCCAAATTCCAGTGCCCAGGAAAGACCACAAGCTTGTTTTGAAAAGTATATCGATTCCTTAATTGATATCTTGTTGAAAGAACATATTCCAGGAGTTAAGGATTCTTATGTTGATTTGTATAAGAAACCTGAGATTTTGTTCTTGGGACCTGATGAAGGTACTGCCGGTTATGTCGATTGGGCCACATTACATGCTCGTAAAAGAGGTGCCCCCTGGTGGAGATCATTCTTGACGGGTAAGAGTCCACAGATTGGAGGTATCCCACATGATGAGTATGGTATGACCACGTTATCGGTGAGAGCCTATGTCAATAAGATTTATGAAAAGTTGAATATTGATCCTGCCACTGTGAGAAAGTTCCAAACTGGTGGTCCCGATGGTGATCTTGGTAGTAATGAGATTTTGTTGTCTCGTGAAGAACAATACGTTGGGATTGTTGATGGTAGTGGAGTGATTGCTGACCCGGCTGGATTGGATAAGCAAGAATTGTTGAGATTGGCCAAGGAACGTAAGATGATTGACAATTATGACAAGCTGAAGTTGGGACCTCAAGGGTTTGTTGTGTTGTGTGATGACGTTGACGTGACTCTTCCTAACGGTACTACCATCACCAGTGGTGTCAGTTTCAGAAACACTTTCCATTTGAAGTTGCAAGAAATCTACGGGTCTGACGGAGTTGATTTATTTGTTCCATGTGGTGGTAGACCTGCTGCCATTGACACCAATAATGTCAATGACTTGATCGATAGCAAGACTGGGAAGTCTCTTGTACCATACTTTGTAGAAGGGGCCAATTTATTTATTACCCAATCTGCCAAGTTGGTTTTGGAAGAAGCTGGATGTATTATCTTTAAGGATGCTTCCACCAACAAGGGGGGTGTTACTTCATCCTCCATGGAAGTGTTGGCTGCTCTTTCCTTTGATGACCGTGGGTTCTTGTCCAACATGTGTGTCGATGAGACCAGTGGACAAAAGCCTCAATTCTACCAAGATTACGTTCGTGAAGTGCAAAGAGTGGTGGTGAGCAATGCGCAGGCTGAATTTGAACTGTTGTGGAGATTGAAGCGTGACACTGGCCTCCCAATCACCGAATTATCGGACAAGCTTTCTGTGACCATCAATAAGCTTGCCGACGAGTTGGCCAACTCCAACGAATTGTGGAATGATGACAAGGAGTTTAGAAATGCCGTATTGCTTGACTCGTTACCACCATTATTACTCAAGGAGATTGGTATTGCCAACATCTTGGCCAGAGTTCCTGAGACTTACTTGAAGGCTCTCTTTGCCACCCACTTGGCCTCTCGCTTTGTCTACACCAGAGGTATCGACTCCAACCCGGCCAAGTTCTTGGAGTTCATCTCATCGATTAGAAAGGAGTACGTGAGCAAAAACATCCTTTAGTGAGTTCTATAAGTAAAAGTTTAATAGTTTGATTTATGAAAGTTATGTTAGAGAATCTGTAGTATTAGAAGGAGGGGTACTAAGAGAGCTACTCGGACAAGGAGGGGGACTAAGAGAGCTACTGGCAGAGCTGGCACTTACTTACCCTGCGGGACTACAAGCCGCTCCGCTGGCCCCTGCTCGGGGAGAGCCACTGCGTGGGGCCTAGCTCCTCTACGAGGAGTCTTACCTACCACCCCCCCATAGACTTCCTCGTTAGAGGAACAGGGCCCCCACGGCTAGTGGCCCACGGAGTGCCAGCGGAGCGGCTTGCGAACCCCGTAGGGCAGCACTACTCCCTTCCCTGCGGGGCTGCACGACGCTCCGCTGGCCCCTGCTCGGGGAGAGCCACTGCGTGGGGCCTAGCTCCTCTACGAGGAGTCCTGTCCACCCCTCTTGTCCTTCCTCGTCAGAGGAACAAGGCCCCCACGGCCAGTGGCCCACGGAGTGCCAGCGGAGCGTCTCACTGACCCCGTAGAGTGGGGCATTGGGCCCGTAAGACGCTAAAGGGAACAGGGACCCGTTTCTTCTACAACGTGGTTCATAATTATATATCTATTGCTATGTACATTATTCCTTCTGAAGGGCCTCAAGGGCTTCCTTCCGGGCAACGACTTCTTCGTTGACCTTGGTAGTCACGTAGTCGCCGACGAGCGCAAACACAAAGGTCGAGCCGCCGATGTAGTATCTGGCCTTCACGGGAAGACTGTTCCATTTCGCAAGGAGTCCCATGGCGCGTGCGGTGTGGTGTGGTGTGGTGTGGACAGCGGGCAGGTTGGGGAGAGTAGGTGGTGTGCTCAGAGATAAGTGGCCTGAATTCTTTTGTGCGTGGTGCGTGAGATCGAGACGGACGGCATGGCAGGCGATGAGAAAGAGAGAGATAGATCAGACAAAGACAAGTCCGGCAGACTGACCGCGAGAGTGCTACAGAAAGAAAAGAAATTACACAAGAGAGCAATGTCCGACTTGCCCGTCAATACACGACTCTGTGTGACAAAGACCGAGTTACCACCCTGCTGCCTCCAGGTACATCCGGATGGGGTCCATGTGCTCTTGGGTACCTACAAGTTGGAGGAGTCGTCCGGGACACGACACGGAAGTGTGGACGTGTACCGGATTGGTGACCAACTGATGGAGAAGGTTTCAAGCGTGGCGACTAAGGGTGCCGTGCTCGACGTGAAGATCAGTCCCTTTGACCCGTCGTTTGTGGTGACGGCACATTCTACGGGGAATTTGATGTGCTGGAGATTTGATAGCCAGGGCCTGGGATTGGGACTGGGACTGGTGGAGGAAGTTAGTGATTGGCAGTTATTTGCCCCGGACAATCTCGTGACATCCGTCATCATGTCTCCGTTGGAGGCCGGGGTCGCCTTGGCCACCCTCACCAGTGGAGAACTGGCAGTGATTGACCTTGTCGCGGGGGTTGTACGTACGACGTTTGACGCCACCCCGCACGATCTTGAGTGTTGGACCGGGGCATTTGGAGAGGTTGGTGAGCTTTCACACGTTGTGTTCACCGGAGGTGATGATGCCAAGTTGATGGCCCATGATCTCCGAACCGAGGAGCACGTGTGGTCGACTTCCATGCGTCATCACACGGCAGGTGTGGTATCGATCCTCGCGCCGGGCGACCGTTGGAACCACCAGAACCTGCACCAACTCTGGACCGGGTCTTACGATGACACTCTCCGTGTGTTGGATCTCCGGGTCATGGACTCCACTAACCCATCGTTGGTGCCTGGATGGATCCCCAAGGTTGTACAAGAGGAGAACTTGGGCGGCGGTGTTTGGCGGCTTATTCCAAGCAAGGTCGACGGAGATGACCGGGTGCTTGCGTGCTGTATGTACGACGGGGCCCGCATAGTGGAGACCACCGCGACTGGCGACGGGTTTGCCGTCAAGAGCTATTTCAAGGGAGACCACGAGAGCATGTGCTACGGGGGTGATTGGGCCCCGGACGGCAAGCTGGTGGTGACATGTTCCTTCTACGACAATGTCGTACAACAATGGGAGCCGTAGCTGGTTTCAAAGCCGGACGGCAGGGTAGATAGATTTCACATAGAAACACGTAGAGTTCACGGAATGGCTGTAGAAGAGGGAGAGTGTAGAGAGAGAGAGAGAGAGAGAGAGAGAGAGAGAGAGAGAGAGAGAGGTGCTGCTCTGGAAGGGACCACACTGGCTCACAAAACACAGGGGAGAGGGGAGCGTCAGCCCTACGGGGTATGTAAGCCGCTCCGCTGGCACTCCGTGGGCCACTAGCCGTGGGGGCCTTGTTCCTCTGACGAGGAAGGCACTACAGGAAGTCAACTCCTCGTAGAGGAGCTAGGCCCCACGCAGTGGCTCTCCCCGAGCAGGGGCCAGCGGAGCGTCTCACTAACCCCGTAGGGTGGTACCGCTCACTTCCCTGCAGGGCTGTAAGCCGCTCCGCTGGCATTCTGTGGGGGGCCTGGTGTGTCACAGGGGGAGGGAGTGCAAGACGGTGCTCACTCGCTCAGGGGTCTACAGAGGGGGGGGGGGCTGTCATGCATACGTCGTTTATAGTTACATAGCTAAATACGTGGCCGTCCAAGGAGGGGGCGTGTCTAGAAATGAGAGAGGTCGAGGGGCACAGAGGAGCCTCTTCCGCTCGGGTACAACTTTTCGGAGGCGCCACCCTCGCCGAACCGACGTGGTTGTGGGAGAGCGGACGCGTTGATGAAGCGGAACCGCTTGGCGGTGTCCTGGATGACCACGCGCGGCGACGAGGTGCCGGTGGAAGAGGAGGAGGTGGTGGAGGATGAGGCGCCGTTGCGGGTGTGGTGGGGGTCGATGGTGTAGGCCAGGGCGGAGATCTTCCGGAGGGACTGGCCTGCTGCTTGTTGGGAGGCGTAGTTGGAGGTGGCTCCTGCGGGAGGCGGTGGTGGAGGAGGTGCAGCCTTTCTAGGACGGTCTGTGGAGGAGGAGGAGGGTGGTGGAGGTGGTGCAACGGATGAGGGTGGTGGAGGAGCAGAGGAGGAGGGAGGAGGTGGAGCTGCAAAAGTGGAGGGGGGTGGCGGAGGTGCAGTGGAAGAGGGTGGAGGTGGAGGTGGTGGAGCTGTGGATTGTGGGACTGGTGGGGAGAAAGTAGGGGGTGCAGCTCTTGGTGGTGAGGGGGGACCGTCTGTTCTCTTTGCGTTGATTTGGGCGAGGAAGGGGAGACCTCCAGCTGGGGGAGCTGGGGGAGCTGGAGGAGCTGCGGGAGCTGATGGAGGAGGAGGAGCGGCAGATGGAGGAGGAGGAGCGGCAGATGGAGGAGGAGGAGCGGCAGATGGAGGAGGAGGAGCGGCAGATGGAGGAGGAGGAGCGGCAGATGGAGGAGGAGGAGCGGCAGATGGAGGAGGAGGAGCAGATGAAGGAGGTGGTGGAGGGGCCGCAGCTGGAGATGATATGGAAGGCGAAGGTCCGTCCTTTCTTCTCGAATTGATTTGGGAGAGGAAGGGCAACGCCGGGGCAGCTGTTGGTGGGGTAGGGGCTGAGGATGCAGGAGGAGTAAATGGAGGAGGAGCCAGGGAACGTGGGGGAGAGACAGCCGCTGCCTTGGAGGGAGTGTGGGAGGTGGGCACGGAGTCTATGACGTGAGTTTCTTTTCTTTTGGCGTTGATTTGGGCGAGGAAGGGGAGACCTCCAGGGGGAGGAGGTGGAGCCGTTGCTGTGGAGGTGGCTGGGGATTTAGAGGGAGCTGACGCAAATGAGGGGGGTGGGGGTGGACCTGGAGGAGGTGGTGGAGGAGGAGGTGGTGGTGGAGGAGGAGGAGGTGCAGCTCCGGTTGATGGAGGAGGACCTGGAGGTGGTGGAGGACCTGGAGGTGGTGGAGCTCCACCAGTTGGAATAGGAGGAGCACCGCCAGTTGGAAGTGGGGGAGCACCACCCGTGGGAATGGGAGGGGCACCGCCAGTTGGTAAAGAAGGAGCCAGCACCGGTGACAGCTCCTCGAAGGAATTGAGAGAATTGATAGAATTCGATTTGAGGTGGTTCGACTTCCGAGGGCGACTTGGCGGCATTTTAGGGGCCAAGGAGTTTGGCACCGGGGGTGGCGGGGCCAGGGTTGGGAGTGGCGGGGCCAGTGAGGTGGGAGGGGTCACCAGGGGTATGGATGGGATCCTAGGAGTGGTGGAACTCGATGGTGCGCGTTGAGGTCTAGAGGAGGGGAGGGAAGGGGCAGGACCGGTTGGTGGTGGTGGGGGAGGGGCCAGAGGAGCCAGAGGAGCCAGAGGGGCCAGAGGAGCCAGAGGGGCCAGCGGGGCCAGTGGGGCTGCCAGCGATGGCGCCAGGGGCACTGACGAGTGATTTGGACGTCCAATGGGGATCTTGGGGGCACCCAGAGGGACTATACCTGACCTATTATCTCTACTGACAGTTCTTAATTTTGGCATACCACCGGCAAAAATATCTCCGAGGGCAGGAGGACCGCCCAGTGCACCACCGGAAGTTGGCGCGGATGGGATAGGAGGGGCGCGGCCGCCGGGGCCAGGAGAGGAGCCCAAGCCCAAGGGGATGGATGAGGCCAGCGTGGAGGTCTTTGAATCGATCACCGGCTTGGACTTATCGACTGTGACGGCCTTTTTAAGACGAGTCCCCTTCCGGATATCGCCCAATAAGGCGTCTCTTCCGAGGGACGGAGGTGGGGGCATGGACATTGCTGGAGGAGGTGGAGGTCCACCAGGGGGAGGAGGAGGCCCACCTAGAGGGGGAGGGGGAGGAGGGGGAGGAGGTGGTGGTGCCATAATATGATACTATGAGAATGACCGTGGAGGATGGAAGTGGGGGGGTAAGATAAAGGTTCAATTGAGGAGGAGGAAGATCAGAAAAGTTGTCTACCCTGTGGTGTTTTTCTCCCGCTTTGGGAATTTCCAACCGTCCGCAAGCGCCAAATCTTGGAAGATCTGATCACGTGAAACTGATCACGTGGGAGGTCACGGGATCGGATCACCAAGGGGAGATATACAGAGGAAGTGAGAGTGAGAGAGGGGGAGTGTCAGCCCTACGGGGTCAATGAGACGCTCCGCTGGCACTCCGTGGGCCACTAGCCGTGGAGGCCTTGTTCCTCTGACGAGGAAGGACAGGAGGAGTTGTGGGAACTCCTCGTAGAGGAGCTAGGCCCCACGCAGTGGCTCTCCCCGAGCAGGGGCCAGCGGAGCGTCGTGCAGCCCCGCAGGGGAAGGACGTGGCACCGGTCCCCACTCGAGGAAAAGCCACTTCGTAGTGCCAAGCTCGTCTGTGAGGATAGTGCTACATGCGGGATATCAGGTATCAATGGTCTGTGTTTTCTCTATATATGTACTTTCTTTATTTAACACCCCATGAGAGATTGTCGTAGCCAAACAACCATGGCCCCACCGTGTGACGAAGGGCAATCATCGAGACCCCGATTAAGAGTTGTGCCACAAGAATCACAAGACAGAGTGTGTCTTCTCTCAAGGGCCCGAGCCAAACAAGCGTGAGGTTAATGATGGTCAAGTTTGAAAACCGGAGAGTAGTGGTCTTGTTCTCGCCTTCCTCTTGTTGGAGATCAACAAGACGTAATGTCAGAAGGATGGTGAGAAGACCACTCGAAACTTTGTTTGGCTTGTCCAATGAACCATAGCTTGGATACATCAACCCATCGGTCTTGTTGAAACGAGGCATTCTATGACGAGGACAGGGGACAACATGGAACAATTGAGGGAGTCCATATACAAAATTTATGATCTGTGGCAATAAAAAGATGAGTAAAGTCTTTGAAAAATGACCACAGATACCTACAATGGCAAACACCATGCCGCTGAAATAACAATAGGTATCTCCAACAAAGCAACGGGCAGGCCACCAATTGTATTGGAGAAGGGCCACACTAACACCAATGAATGGGATGAGGAAAATGGCCAGGAAAAGGTGCAGATCATGGGCTGCTTGACTGATTGAGGTCAGAACTAAATAGCAGAAATCATTCAAAAGAAGAATAACTGCAAGTATGATCGATTGACCCACTTCAAGTCCATTGATACCAGCAAGGATATTGATTGAATTGGGAGAAAAGATTGAAATTGCACTCATATAGATATAATAGAAAATCCCAAGATCTAAAAGAGGAGGACTTGTAATCAAGGTAGATTCTCTGGTCATGAACTTCAACCCACTTAACCCTTCAACCATCCTATTAACCCCATCTATAAAAAAATTAATCACTAAAAAAATTTGGGACCCCCACCCTTTCATTAAAAAGGGAGGGATCACTACACTAGTGACCAGGAAATCTACATAATAAACAATTAAAAGTGGCAACAGTGCGATCGCAGGAAGGAAAAATTTATGTCTCCAACGAATATCAAATAAATCATCAAATAATCCAAGAAGGGTTGTCAGTTGCAAACAAAGAATTGCCGAGAGATATTCGGCCAATTTGTTGTGTGGGAATAAATTATTATCGGAAATAGCGGCAAACTGCTTTTGGTAGGTTGATGATGTAAGCGCGTCATCATTGGTAAAGGACACGAGATATTTAAAAAACACAAATGGGATTAAAAAAATCATTAGAATCAAATATGTGATTGCTGAAACCAACCCCATTGTTTCTGGGAGGGTTGGTTGATGAGGTTTGGATAGATCCTTACCCTTGAGACCGATTTTAATAAAGCTATCTGAAACTCTGGGGATTAATTTTAAGACCGCCAAATACCCTAAAAGGGAAAATGCGAATGCAGTTTGTAAAGGGTGATTTGGCGCTATTAAAGTGATTGCCACTGTAAGTAGTAGGAAATGGAAGATGTAGATCATGGGGGCTTGGGTTTGTGTAGGAAGTGTGTGGAAACGGAGCGAAGTGGATGTGCGGGACCAGGGACCAGAGGCAGGGTGACTGGGGATTCAGGGGGACACGTTCTTGAAGGTAGGAGGAGGGGATTTCGTGGGTTCTAAGGATGAAGAAGGAGACGAGATTGTCGAGTCTTCACCGGTTGGGGCCTTTTGTTGATCAAACGCGAAAATTGACACGAGATAAATGCAACTGGGGTATGTGCAGGATGGCTGCAAAAATCAGTGAACACGTGCAAACAAACAGAGGGACTAGAGGAGTGTTAGTGGAGCATCTCTCAAGGCAAGGCAAGGCAAGGTGAGTTAGGGTGGGTGGTCATTGACACATGAGATGGTGAGACGCTCCGCTGGCCCCTGCTCGGGGAGAGCCACTGCGTGGGGCTTTGCTCCTCTACGAGGAGTCTTACCTACCACCCCCCATGGACTTCCTCGTTAGGGGAACAAGGCCCCCACGGCTAGTGGCCCACGGAGTGCCAGCAGAGCGGCTTGCGAACCCCGTAGGGCAGCACTACTCCCTTCCCTGCGGGGCTGCACGACGCTCCGCTGGCCCCTGCTCGGGGAGAGCCACTGCGTGCAGCTTAGCTCCTCTACGAGGAGTCCTGTCCACCCCTCTTGTCCTTCCTCGTCAGAGGAACAATGCCTCCACGGCTAGTGGCCCACGGAGTGCCAGCGGAGCGGCTTTCCGACCCCGTAGGGTGGGCATTGTCATCCCCTCTGGGAGACTGTGAGATGCTACACTGGGCCATTACTCAAGGAGAACCACTGTTATATGCTCAGTTCTCTCAAAGGGACTCCCCTACCCCATTCTAGTAACCCAATGAAACCCCTCATAACCGATTTGCTTACCCCCCCATCCCCTGATCACCCTGTATGAGTATTTACTTTTCACCCTTCCACGTGATCTCTACACACGTGTTAATACCACGTGATCATTATCTAAAGAATTATTTAAAGAAATTTAATTTTTTTTTTTTTTTTGGTAACCATCAAGGTTGAAGAATTGAGTTAAAGATTGGGTGAGTTTAAAATTTTGAGATTTGACAGTTGAAAGGAAGTTTTTCAAAGCCAATACTCAAGTTAAGTAGAGTCTAGGACGAAAGATTGAATTGATTTAGACGATCAAAAGAATTCTCCAAGGAAAGTTTGTTCTATCTTCTGTTTGAATTGCCAGTCCTCAAGGGAGAAGAAAGGTTCCAAAAAATTGCAACACAAAAGCGCCGTCCCACTAAAGAAGTCATAGGAGGCCCCTTTTAAAACCAGGAGAGCTGACTGTGGAAGTAAGACCAGAAGTCAGAGAGATAGAGACAATAGTGCTATGAGTAGTAATGCCGGTAGAATAGATGGTAGCGGAGGAGGAGGTGAAAGTCCTCGGAAAAATGGTGCGGCTGTGGTGGAAAGACGGGCACTCCGTGGATTGGATCTGCTGAGTTCACCATTGAATCCTCAGATTCCTAAATTGGAAATGATGAGAGAGACTAGTGGACCCTTGATGTTTAAGGGATCAGGACCGAGCCAAGGACTGGGTGCCCAGGTATTGGGTCAGACAACTACAATGGGACCAGAAATTACACAAAGACGGTCACAAGGACAACCCCAACGAATGGGTCAGACTGGTATAATAGAGGGTCAAGGACTGCTTGAAGGACATATAAAGGTCGAAGGTCTGGTGGAAGAGAATGCAGTTGATCGTAGACAGTCTCAAGGACTGGCTAATGGTGGTCAAAACTATGGACTGGTTCAAGACCTGACTAACAGACTGACCGATGATGACCCAACAAGTCTCACTCAAAGACTGGGTGGTGTCTCACAAATTGTGAATAACAGAACTGTTACTGAAAGTCTTGGTCAACTCTCAAGTACCCAACACTCTGTAGACTCAATCAAAGACAAATCCGACTTACTAGTCCATGGATACATGCATGGACATATCCACAAACATAAAGACCATACGCATATCCATGGACATATCCATAACCATGACCATTCACATGATGGAGAGGATGGCCTTGGAGCTTGTAAGGAGTTTGAAGAGGCCAGTGTTTGCGAAGGGATTGTTTGTGATGAGTTGGATGATTGTTTTTTTGAGTATTGTGGGGAGATGTTGGGAGAGAGCAATACCAATGGGAATACCAATGGCGTAGCCAGTGGTATGAACAGTGGACTAGCTAATGATGTAGTAAGTGGAGTAGCCAGCTCAATGTCTAGTGGAGGGACCACCACCACCTTATCTAATGGAGCAGCCAGTTCCTTATCTAATGATCCAACAAATGTCACCAATTCTCTGGATTTATCTCCACCAACCACCCATAGTCATCCAACAACCCCCTTACTGATTATGGAAAATGAATGTGTTGATGCTAAACGACCTATTTTCGAAACCCTCATTTCCAACGTCCATCAACAATCACAAGAAGAACGTCATAAACGTAGAAAAGTAGCTGCTGCCACTGCCATGAGTCCTCAATATCTCCAAGACTCGCTCTCCATGCCCTTGGATTTGGACTTACATTTCCCGCATGTCTGCCATACTGGAGAGGAAGAAATCCCTGAGGTTAATTCTTCTCATGCCGCCCCTGGTCAAGGTCATAGTCATGGCCCAGGGTCCGGCCATCATATCCACAACTCTTGCTTCCATACAAGAATCCCCAATGTTTCAGAAATCAATACCATGTCAGATTACGAGTTTTACGTCCAATTCAACAATTTCGGCCAAGGATCTCCCTCAGGTGCCGCCCCAAACTACTCCACGTACCCGAGCTACCCATCGGTACAGCAAGACCCAACCACTCAATGTCAATGGGACAACTGCTATAACCAAGTCACCAACGACACTTTCCTCCAACACGTGCAGCAGAACCATCTCCCATCCAGTGGGTTACCACCATCAAAGTTCCAATGTGAATGGAACAACTGTGACTTTTCCATTGACTCCTTGGACGAGTTCTTGAACCATGTCACGGCGCACAAGACCACCACCCCCTCATCCACCTTGGTTGATCAGAGTTCACACCCTCATTCTCTACTCCCCTCAGAGTCCCTGAACCAACTCAACATCACTGCCATGAACATATCTCCACAAGTTGATCTCACCCGATGTAGTGGCCAGGCAGCAGCCAACAACACTTCTAACCATCACCACTGTGGTGGACATCTGCACTCTTCCTCCTCCACCACCTCTGCCGACAACCTCATTTGTCAATGGGAAGTCAGTAAAGATTCTAACGGAAACCCAATCCCCTGTGGGGCCCATCTCAAGTCCACAGGAGAGCTCCAGGAGCATCTTATCACACATATCGGCCACGGGAAGCTGGTCTACCATTGTGGATGGATAGGCTGTGAGAGGCATCGGGGCAAAGAGTTCACCCAGAAACAGAAACTCTTGCGTCACATCCATATTCATACACGGTTCAAACCTTGTCAATGCACCATCTGTGGGGCCAAGTTTGCCGTCGAGTCGATGCTCAAGCAACATCTACGTATCCACACGGGCGAGAAGCCGTTCACGTGCTCGATCTGTGGCAAGACATTCACCACGAGCTCGTCACTTTCCATCCACCATCGAGTCCATACGGGCGAGAAACCGCTCGAATGCAAATGGCCCGGGTGTGGCAAACGGTTCAGCGAGAGCTCTAACTTGACTAAGCATATGAAGATCCACATGAAATCGTTTGAATGTGAACGGTGTGGTAAGCAGTTTGAGAAGAAGCCCAGTTATACAAGACATATCAAGAGTTGTATGGGAGATAATTCCAATCAACGCGATCTATAGAGTTATCACCACGTGAACCGGCATTCGGGGAGAGCCACTGCATGGTGCCTAGTTGAACAGAAGCCCTCACAGCCAGTTGACCATGGAGTGCGAGAGGAGCATGCTAGTCCGTGGTGCTGCAAGCCGCTCCGCTGGCCCCTGCTCGGGGTGAGCCACTGCGTGGGGCCTAGCTCCTCTACGAGGAGTCTTACCTACCACCCACATGGACTTCCTCGTTAGAGGAACAAGGCCCCCACGGCTAGTGGCCCACGGAGTGCCAGCGGAGCGGCTTACAAAAGGGGGAATTCAGATGCTCCACTGGCCAGACTGGTATTAGTACTTCTTCCCTAATGAAACAGGAGCCTCCACTACGAGAAGGGACCCTTCCCAGTGGAGTCCGACTCTCCCGGAAGTCGATACACCAACTCATGAACTTGGCTCCTCCCACTCTTCTACACTTGCAGCCAATTCCCGCCCTCACGTGACCAAATATTCCTCTATATAGTCGTGACCTATTTAATATTATACAAACAAACATTAACTCAACTTGTACTTTCAAAGAGACAGTCTCAACTCTAACCAGCTTCCTCAACACATCTTTACAGGTATACACTACCTCCACCAATTCTATAACTCCCATCCTTCATCCCTCCCTTTGAAGTTCTTTCTCTCTCTTTCCCCCCAGTAAGTCTCATATTTAGCGTGCCCGCACCAATTCTCATACACACTCGAAAATGCAAAATAAAAAAAAAATCTCACAAACACTAACCACCACCCCCTTCACCTTTTAAACGGTTGATATATCAATTTTTTTATAGGATCACCGCCATTGTAAACCACAGATTAAGCATGACCCCAGCCAGATCTTCGCTCAAGAAGCTTTACATCGAGTCTATCCCTCGCAACATCACGCCGTACCAATTCCCGGCCCTCGCGTCCATCGGTCGTCCAGCGGTCGAATTACCAAACGAGACTTTCGGTAAGCAAAACTACTACATATCCAAGACCAAGTTCGGTCATTGGCCCGTCTACCTCAAGATTCAAAACACCAAGATCACCACGGAAATTAAGAAGTTACAAGGGGACGTTCACCAGTTCAAGGCTGATTTGTTGAAAGCCATTCCCGGTTTGGACGAAGGTCACGTTACCGTGAACTCACATGCAGGATACGTCAATGTTAAGGGTGACCTTGTCCAATTGATCAAGCAAGTTTTCAATGAAAAGATAAAATGAGCGGCCCCATAGAGTAGGAGAGGATGATGAAGGAAGATGATGTTAATAGAAGGACGTAGTACGTGTATATATAATGAGACTAAATCAAAAAAAGAACAGAAAATAAAGTATAAAAGGAGGACTTTGTGTCCGTGTAGATGTTGTAGACGAGGTATGTAAACTGTTACGTTTGCACTCAATGGTCCACTCTAGCCTCAGGAGCATTATTCCTCTAGCAAAGGAAGAGATATCTGTTAGTGATCACCTCGTAGAGGAGCTAGGCACAAAGCAGTGCCCCGAGTAGGGGCCAGCAGAGCGGTGCAGAGTCCCGACATGACTCTCTAACTAATTTCTATGTAGACACGTTGCTCTCACCACCAGGACATGTGTAGCACCCGTACAATCTTTCTACAAACTCAGCTGGTTATACGAAGTTATATTCTACCTTATAGTTAACGCTAGATCTAGTTCTACATGAGTTCAACCACAGTTTCCGAGGAAGGAGTAGAAGCGGTATCCGAGGAGTCAAAGGCAAGTTGACGGATCTCGTCGATCCATGGATCGTTCAACAACTCTATGGCACTTGGTCTCTTCCTTGGGTCGTGCTCAAGACATCTCAGAAGGAATCTACGTCCTTGTTCACTGAGCTGGTCAGGCAGTGGGAGTTGTGGCATGTGACCCGCGGCAATGTGGTACATGATGGCCCATTCATTGTCGAGATTGGCCCATGGTCTTCTACCGGTGGCCATTTCAAGAACACAGCATCCGAGCGACCAGATATCCACGACCCCGTTCTTATCAGAGGAAATTCCTGTGATTACCTCGGGAGACATGTACATTGGAGTACCGGTCATACTACCGACAGGGCCTGCGACGGCGGCTCCACCATTGTTGTTGGTGGTTCGACTGTTACCGTCTGGTGACGTTTCACCAGAGTCTAAGCTAGAAGATTCAGACGACGTTGAGTTGGACCGGTCGGATTGTTTGGTGCCACCAGCTCTAGTTCTACCACTGGTGGCAATAACCTTGGCAGCACCAAAGTCGACAAACTTGATGACCCCGTTGTGATCGAGCAAGATGTTCTCCGGCTTGATGTCACGATGAACAACCCCCAGCTGGTGCAAATATGCCAAACCTTCCAACATTTGCAACGTGTACACTTGGATGACCATTTCGTCTTCAATTCTACCGTGGGTCAAGAGACCAGAGAGCGAGCCTCCTTCACAGAATTCCATAAAGATGTACACCTTGTCACGATGGACCTCGACTCCAAAGTATTGCACAACGTTTGGATGGTTGAGCATTTCCAAAACGGTCATTTCATCCTTAATGGAGGGCACAATGTTCTTGATCGATTGCGAGTCATGGAATCGGATCTCCTTAACGGCCATGACACCACCGGTGTCCAAATTGACTGCCGCGTAGACGTTACCGAAGGAACCTCCACCGATGAAGCGGCCCTTCTGCCAACGGATGGACACCGACGAGAACGAGCTGGCCAAGAGAGTGACAAATTGGTATTCCAGATCGGTCACTTCCAAGACTCTTCCCACCTGTGACTGTTCATCTTCCAAGGCGCTACGAATAAGTTCGACTCTTTCAATTCCCTTCATCATGAGTTCTCTGGAGGCTAGCAACACCTTCTCATCGTCCACGGTGTTCTCAATCTTGTTTTGTTTCGATAACGTCCATTTGGCCATCATTTTCTTGCTGGCCTCGGAAGACCGGGCCCCCATGACATCGAAATGAGAAATAAGTAACGACATACAACGAGCCACTTTCAATTTAAGTCTATAGAATTGGTCCTCATTGAGCACAAATACATTGAACCCGGTGGTCATGTTCATGGCAAACTCCAAGGCAAGCACACACCACCGGAACGTCTTCCGGTCTGTTGGGATACAATCGTCACAAATGAACGAGACCCACTCGATGGCCAATTGCATAAGCTTCATGATCACGGTAGATTTCCGGTTGGCGTCCAAGAGCTTGACCGAGTTCTTGACGTAGTCCCGAGCGTAGATAAAGTAATTATTGATGAGTTCTTGGAAATCGCCCAGAGGAGCGATCTCGGTACATTTGGCCCGGACGATCTGAACCGAGTCTAGAACCACAAGCGAAGTCTTGAAGAAGACGCGGTAGATTCTTGTGAGTTGATGATGAACACGAGCCAAGGAGCATCGTTGTTCGAAAGTGTGGGTGCGGAGCACGTCAGAGACAATGTCCAAGAATTGCGCCCTTACTTGTGGCAAGCGGTGATGTGGATGCTTTGAGATTAAGAGAAGTTGACCAGGGCGAATCTCCAGCAATGGGACATCATCCATCGCCAAATTTATAAGGTTACCTTCCCATACAATTGGTTTGGGAGGACAGATCGCCAAGACATACGACCCGGCTTCATATGGGGTGAGAAGCGGCTGGTCTGCTTCCGCAATGGTGCCACGTCTAGATCCGTAGCCAGCAGCACCTCCAGATCCCACGTTGGCATTGGAGGAAGCATCACTGGACTCCTTTTCTCTTTGACTGCCACTTCTGGACAATCCACCCAAACCTTCTTCATCATCATCCAAGTTGACCAAAAACTCTACAAATTCGTCCTTGGCCTCACCGTCCAACCCAACGTACCCTCCTTGTAAGATCTTCAAGATCTCCTGTTCTCTGCCTTCCATCTCCGGACTGGCAATGAAGTAGATCCCCTGGGTCTCCAAGGTCCCCGTATATACCAAGAAGTGGCCAGTTCTTCGCAACACATCCAACAATTGTTTCACTCTGGTCAGCGGCATTTCCAACACCACCAGATTGGTGAAATCTCTTGAGATTTCACCGGTAAATCTTGCCAATTTTCTTCTCAATTGGCCAAAATTCTGTGTGGTGGACGTGTACCATCGGATAAGATCTGCCGCAGTGGTGCTCGGTAAATGAGGCGGATGTCTCACTTGGTTATTGAGATACGCCAAGAGTCTATGGATCAATTTCAGGGCAAGGAACGTAATGTGTTCCGCCACCACTACACTACCACCATCGATATAATTCCCAAGACATTTCAAAAAGTGCCAGGCTTCTTCCAATTCCTCTGGCTCCTTGAACGTTCTGAAGTTGGTGGGGCTTCGCAGCGAATCCAACAACTTCCGGTTGAGCAACACAAGGAAGTACCGGACACATTGTAACACCACATGGTCAAACTCGGCCAATTCTTCTTCGAAAAAATCGCTGATGAGCCAGTTGTGAACGTCGTCGGGTCTGCAGTACTCGATGATGACCCGTTTCACCTGGAGTGCGATCGTAATGTACAGCTTGAAGTCGTCGATCATTTGGTCGATCATCATCAACGTTGGGTTCTGCAACTTCATCGCGTACTGAAGACGGATGGATATGATTTCCTTGATGAGTCTCGTGGGGAAGAGACAGATTTGGATGAGGTCATGAATGTAGTCTGGGAGCTTGAGCTTTTCAAAGATGTAACCTCTTTGGATGTAGTTCTTCTTGGCTTTGCTCATCCAGGGGGTGATAGGCGAGAAGATTCGCTTGGAGAACGTCGATTGGACGTCCTTTTCCTTCATGAGACGTTCTGCAAGAGCAGCCGTACCCGTGCTGGCCCCGGTGCCATGGAATGCGGGGTCCCTGTCACCATCGCCTTTCTGGCGCAACTCTGGGTTGGTTGGGCTTATAGGAGTTGCGGTTGCCGAAGTCGCAACTGATCCATTGAGCGTGGATTCAGTCAGCAGCACATTTTCTTCCAAGGGGCTTTCTGCAATGTTATTGTTCTTACAATCGATGCCCGTCTGCTGTTCATTCGGGGTCGGGATCACGGGGTCCTCGTCACCTATCCATTCGCGAACAACTCTAGACTCTCTTTCAAGACCTCCCGTGATGCTCAACCAAGAATTCAATGCATCTATACGTTCCTGGAACTCCTCGCTTCTACAAACAACCTTGTCGGTCTTCATTTCCTCCCAAGTTCTCCAACATTCACAGCATTTCTCCCATTTGTCCAACAAGATCTCCACTTGTCTACGCGGCAACTTGGCATCCTTCTCGTAGCTCACTTCAAACTGCATGATCTCGTCGATCACGGTGTCCACAAGAGTTCTTCTGTACGCCACCACTTTCCTCTGGTCGTCTTCTGTACGGTTGAAGAGCTTGGCTCGGATACCAAACCACAAGTTCTCCTTGTATGTGACGTGGATGAACGATGACTCGTGTTCGTTGTCTGGGTTATTAGTGATGATCTTGGTCTTTTCAGACCGAACCACGTCCCCTGTGAGGACACTGGTGAGCATTGATTGCCACTCAAGACGTTCTATGACTGCTGGATCGTCGGAATTGCGAAGAGAAAGTTGTGAAGATGGTTTCGATGGATTTATGGTGATGGATGAGGATGACGAGTTCATCATGGTTAATGCAAGGGAAAAGTCAAGTGAGTAATTGTTATCGTCTTCCCCAGTCCCCGAGGTGGTCTGTCCCAGACCAGGCACCAGAGCAGGTACCAGGCTCTGGGCCAGACTTTGAGCCAAATTCTGATTCTGGGCCTTCTTCTCGCCCGTCCAATCATAATCTCTGAACCCGTTATACCCTTTATATCCATCCTCACCTCCGGAGTCCAAGTCTTCCTCCTCCTCTTCGAAATCACTCTCGGTGTCCTCGACGTCGGTGATGTCGTCTTTCAAGGTCATATCACGAGGCTCACCCGTGGGATCCTCACTGGCAATTCCCTTTGTGTAGTAATCGTCGGCGGATTCATTTCGGATCTTACGCAAGTAAGCACGTTCTTGAGCCACGTATGGGATCGCCAGGGGTCTCTTAATACTGCTGGCGGATGTACTAGAGTTGTTGGTCAGGGTGAATGATCTGCTACGGGTCCGGCCAATATTTGGTCTTGTTGAGGAGGAAGTCCCGGTGTGTGTATTTGGAGTGGAGATGGCATTTCCACCGACTTGCAGCACCGTAGAACTGGAACCAGTTCCACCAACGTGTCCACCAGCGTGGCCACTTGTTGCAGGATTGGCCCCCAGCTTGCCGCCACTGGCAGTTCTCTTCATCTGATGCAGATGGATCGACGATGTGGAATGACTTCCAGCAACTGCAGCGACAGCAGCAGCACTGGCAGCCGTGCCAGCAGCCCCTCCAGCGGTGGTGCTCGACGGATTACGGAGCATTGAGGGCCGTCTATTTGGAGTCAATCCATGGTGTTGTATAGCTTGTGGAGTGGAACCTCCCAGTACGGATCCAGCCGTGGCCGTGGGCCCAGTTGAAGACCCAGTCGAGGGCCCAGTCGAAGAAGAGGGCCCATTAGACCCTTGTCCAGTCAGGGTGGCCACGGGGCCTCCTGGGCCACTGTGAGTAGCCCCACCAGCCGATAAAGGTCTTTCAGAATGTGTATTGTCTCCTTTCAGATGGTTAGAAGAGTCCTTGATGGGTCCATGTGAGCTTATCTTCCGAGGGCCTTGAGGGTGGCCCAGGGGTTGTCCCGGTGCCGGCGCGGCTCCATGGCCGGCCGGTGACACCACGCGTTTCTGGCTCAGCATTATATATGTCTATCAGTTCGCTAGCCCGTTTCCAATGGTGATATAGAATCTAAATTTCTTCTTTTGACCGGCCCCCCTTTTGGTTAATCACGAGGCCTCAAGTTTTACAACCGAAAAAACAAAAAAAAAATAAAAATTCGCTAACGGATATTATGTGCAGGACGCCAGAAATTAGCAACTGAACTGAAACAAAGGGAAAGTCAAATGAGGTGAATTATAGAGAACAATAGGCAATAGAAGAATAAGAATAGTAAAGACAATAGGAAAGGATTGATATGAACCCTATACCCCTTTTTTTTTCTTTTTCAGTTGGTGACAATGACCAGAAGGATAAAAGAAAGTTTTTAGTTTAGGAATAGCACGCCTTCCCCCCGCCCTTGTAATGATAAAATTTGTGACTGGACACGACCTTGTGATAAATGGTTTGGCTTTGGTTGCAAAAACGCCCGTTGGTTGTGACTGGCGTACGCTGTAAGATAGACCTTTATCTTCCCTACGGGGTTTGCAAGCCGCTCCGCTGGCACTCCGTGGGCCACTAGCCGTGGGGGCCTAGCTCCTCTACGAGGAGTCCTACTCATGCCCCTGATCTTCCTCGTTAGAGGAACAAGGCCCCCACGGCTAGTGGCCCACGGAGTGCCAGCGGAGCGGCTTGCTGACCCCGTAGGGCTGATTTTTCCACTGATCGGATCTCAGGGCCCAAATTGGAGATTTTACTCAACTCTATGGGAATCTTAAGCAGTCTATACAGGCTATATTTTAAAAAAATTGATTACTTGGGGAGCTTGCTCGTTTTTTATACCGGCCACCCCTACACTACTAGTCGCATAGTAGCACAGTATTATATACACTTGGCTATCCTTGGCACCTCTTGGCAATCTTTGTGTCGGGGTCGTCACGACTTTTTTTTTTGAAGTTGGTATGCCCTTCCCCTCCTTCACGTCTAAAGACGCGTGTGAACTTTCGCGCGCGAAAAACTGGTGATGTTTATATGCCGTACCAACACGTCCTCCTCAACAGATGGGAAGTTACTTTTCCACTACCAGTGATAGCATTTCCCATACTACTCGGGAAGTCAGACAAAACAAGAACAAATCAGTATGGTGTCACTTTATGAAATGCTGCAACGACGGCGTACACGCACCTTAAAAACTGGGGCACCGGCCTTGGACGCTCTACTCCCCGGTTGTGGAGTGTACGATATCCAAGCAGTACCTGGATGTATGGCACAATATCAAACGGTGGCAGCTATGATGGCCGAACATTTACATTTATCACCCGAGAATCGTGTAGTCTCTATAGATACATTGAACCCATTCCCCTTCCACTTGTTGCAAGACCACAAAATGTTTGACCGATGGATTGACGGAGATGGTGATCAGACACCCCCACGTCTATTGTCTCTCACCGCTAATTCAATGTCTTGCCTATACAACTGTTTGATGCTGGACCCCCAGATCGCCCAGTGCTCGCTTCTAATAGTCAATAACTTCCACGAGCTTGTAGAATTATATAGACATGAGGTTTCTTCGATACATGAGGAGGCTCTTTTAAAACATCAAATTGTTGTAAATTCCACATTCCAAGCAAATTTGGCCAAATTTAAAGAAGAGGGGACTTTCCCCCACCTTCCGAAACTTCCAGCTCAGAGTGACTTGTTGAAGGAAACTCCAACTAGACGGTTCAATACCCACATGAATCTTCTTATGGCAGCCATTTCCCTGATGGTTGAGAATGGTCTGACGTGTTGCTTATTGGTTGGGTATTTGGATACAAAGAGAGTATCATATACCAATGGAAATGCTACTATGAATCGAGTTTCACCGGCGGTGCAGGACCACCACCACCACCCACGTGGAATGGGACTATCACTGCCAATGCCGCAAACTTCTTCAGAACTTTCATCACAACAACTGTTTCGTTTGATGATGACGTGTACCACTCTTGGCACTTCCTTTGATAGATATCTTGCCTGTAGAATGCTCTATTACAAGGAGATCACCACCGATTTGGACGTGGAAACAAACGTCAAGGTATGGAACTTACAAGAGGAACGCACTGGTGAAGTGAAAGGGCTAAGATTGACAGTTGGTGGAATTGATCGAGAGGATGACCAACCAATGACCCAAACGCAGGAGAATAACCACACACTCCCGTTCCGGTTACCCTCTTCTCCGAACTTCACCGACAGTCAACGACGGGAGTTTCTTGATCAACTGGTAGTGATGGAGGAACGAGTTCCATCAAGTTCTCCTCTCACGAATATCTCGAGTCAATCGTCGGTCGTGGAGGCGTCTGATGAAGATGATGAGCTTTTGGATGTAGTGACCTATCAGACAATCACCCCATGTATCAGGCCACTCGACGAGCTGGTCTTAGAATGAACAAGGCACAGAATGACTCTGGTTTGGTATCACCAGAATCATGAAGCTACCTACCCTACGGGGTTTGCAAGCCGCTCCGCTGGCACTCCGTGGGCCACTAGCCGTGGGGGCCTTGTTCCTCTATCGAGGAATTGGTATCCAGCTAGCTTCAGGAACACATTACTCATCCTATGGGGTCGGTAAGAGGTACTCTTCGTAGAAGAGCCAGGCCCAAGGTAGTGGGCTTCACCTAGAAGAGGCTAGAGGAGTGTCTTATTGTCCATGTGGAGAGAATGAGGTGACAAAAAACATGGCAATTTTGCAATCTAATTACATACTCCACACGTGACTTCACACGTGACCAAGTATAAAAGAATAGAAAAAGTACAACTACAAGTCACCAACCATTTCTAATTAATATATAGCATTCACTCCTATACTTATTAAGGCTTACCAATTTCCATTGAGTGTTTGATATCTACTGGTAACTACAAAACATATGTCCAATTCTTTTCATCGAGGCATATACATATGTATCAAACTGCCGATTCCGAATCATTCATGATAAACCATATCAATTCAGAATATCAAGACTTTATAAAACATAAGATCTACAACCCCGGCTTTAATAACAAGGAATGTGGTACGGGAGAAACGAGGATGGTGGTAAAAATCGATAAAAAAATATCTTTGGCAACACTTTTTTCTGCACCGCCCCTAGTTTCTCCTCCAAAGAATATTTAAAGAGCTTGAGAACACTAAACCATATTCGTCAATTAATCTACAGAGAAATAATTCTATGATATATTTTTATCGCCCTCGGCTCGGCTCGGCTCTATTACTTAAAGGTTATATATGACGCTTGATCCATTATGACTGGTCTCCACTGACCTAATTTCTCGAGGATCTTTAAAACACAAACTGCACCAGGGCTTCGAACTCTCAACCCAGATCATATTTTTTTTATATAATGGATTCGCACGTCCTGCATCTAACTATCCATCGCATATCTCAATCACCACAACATTTTAATTTTCGCGAAGAGCATCGAGCTCCATTCTATTTATTCCTCTTATATCCATTGGTTTATTATACAAATTTTTGTATTAAGCCTACTGATTATTTAAGCAGAAATGGCTACTGTAGTACCCCCACCATCCAAGAAACAGAGGAGAGAGGCGCAGCAAGTGCGTGACGTGCAACTCATCCCCGATGATGTGCCCAATGTATTGATCAAATTCCAAGCTTCAGACACTGGTGAAACCGTTGGGGGATCTCTTAGAGTGCCTGGTGGTATCACGGAAAAGCAATTGGAAGAGCTTTTGAATGAATTACGTGGAGAAAAGGATGAACCTGTGCCGTATACTTTCGCCCTCATGGGTGAAAACGATCAATTGGGAGTTGATATCAAGGACAATCTTTACACATCGGTACTTCAACCAGGTATTCGTACCACTGAAGACTTCATGACCTTGGTGTATACTCCCCGTGCCGTGTTTAAAGTGAGGCCAATCACCAGACTGAATGCCGCCATTGCCGGTCATGGACTGACGATTTTGTGCTGTGAGTTTGCCCCCAACGACTCCGGAAGAATGTGTAGTGGTGCTGGAGACCTGACAGCCCGGATCTGGGATTGTAACACACAAACCCCCATGGTGACGTTGCTGGGCCACTCCAACTGGGTGTTGTGTGTCAGCTACTCCCCATGTGGCCGTGTGATCGCCACGGGTAGTATGGACAACACTGTGAGGTTATGGGACGCCGAACTGGGTAAACCTTTGGGTAGTGCTCTTCTGGGTCATACCAAATGGATTTCCAGTTTGGCCTGGGAACCACTTCATCTCATCGCTGATGATCAAACTTATCCACGTCTTGCCTCTGCTTCGAAAGATGGTACAGTGAAAGTGTGGGACACCGCTCGTCGTACTTGTCTTTACACCATGTCTGGCCACACCAATGCCGTCTCATGTATCAAATGGTCTGGACAAAACATCATCTATTCCGGATCCCACGACAAGACCATCAAGGCCTGGGACATCACTGCCGGCGGTAAGTGTATTCAAACCCTCAAGGCCCATGCCCATTGGGTTAACCACATCAGTTTGCTGACTGATTACACATTACGTAGAGGTTGTTATGACCATGCCAGTACTAAGAAGGATGCCAAGCAATTACTGGTCCCACAGATGAAGGCCAAGGCCTTGGAACTTTATGAAAAGGCCGTCAAGCTTGGTGGTAATGTTCTGGAAAGAATGGTGACTGCCAGTGATGATTTCACCATGTACTTCTGGGAACCACTCAAGTCTGGAAAGCCAGTGTGTAGAATGTCTGGTCATCAAAAGTTGGTCAATCATGTTCTGTTTCTGCCAGATGGCCGTCACGTAGTGTCGTCCTCGTTTGACAACTCTGTCAAGGTATGGGATGGTCTTAGAGGAACTTTTATTGGGACTCTTCGTGGACACGTTGCTCCCGTTTACAAGACCGCATGGCTGGCGGATAACAGACTTCTTGTCAGTTGTCTGAAGGACACCACCTTGAAGGTCTGGGACATCAGAACCAGAAAGCTCAGTGTCGACTTGCCGGGCCATGCCGACGAGGTTTATGCTGTTGATTGGAGTACTGACGGGAAGAAGGTTGCCAGTGGTGGTAAGGATAAAATGATTAGATTATGGTCGAATTAGGAAGATGAAGTAATAAGAAGCAAAAAGAAAGAAGAATAACAGTAGTGAATGTAGATATTAATGAGAAGATTGTTAGTCCATAGCCTGTTAGTCCGAAAGGGTGGTTATGGAATGATGTCTTATAGATTTACTTAGCAGGAGGGGGATTCAAGTCGCTCCGCTAGCCCCTACTCAGGGAGAGCCACTGCGTGTGTGTGTGTCTAGCTCATCTACGAGGAGTCCTCTACAGCTGGTGACCATCCAGCCGACCCGCTAACAATACAGTTAGGCACTCCCTTTAGAAGAAAAAAGTAGCAATTCCACCTGACCACTACGCGGGAGAAAGACACTAGGAGGTGGCTCAGCTGCCCAGTAATGGGTGACCCATGCTACATATTACTCGTTGGAGGAACAAGGCCTCCACGACCAGTGGCTCACAGATCGCCAGTCGAGCAACTTTCTAACCTCCAAGGGTCCCGTCCCCCATCCTTTGCCCCCTTGTAATCGCCCCCTTGGGACCGCCCCATGGTCCACCCCCCCACCCAGTTTGCAGCTAATGAATTTCGCACCCAGACATAAACTCCGCCAATCGAAACCTGAAGATCTCTGGCCTATACATTTTTCCTAATATATACACATCCCACACCAATACTAACTCTACTTTGTATACTCCTCCTCAAATCCAAAGTTCCCCCTCCTTTAGATTAACCCTCTCTTTTACTCATCATAACCTCCACTCTCTCTCTTATTCCTTCTTTCCTGTACATCCAAAGTCGTGCTCTGACCAATAATACAGGCTATGAGAATTGATACCGAATGGCAAAATATCTCAAGGGGGAACCCTTGAGAAATAATTCAAATCTATACAAACCTCCAATTAAATTCGGATTCCATCGATCCACAACTAAACGAGATCAACCACCAACCCATCACCTAGCTTTAGAAGATGGCCATTGTCAAACGAGGTGGTCGTACCAAAAAAACATCGGCGGCCAATGGCGGCGGCGGCGGTTCCACGGCGGCTCCGGCTCGAATCCAAAAGGCAGAATTCGATGTGACCAAGAAAAAGGAGGTTGGGGTCAGTGATTTGACCTTGCTTTCGACCATCAGTGATGCGCTGATCAACGACAATTTGCACAAGCGGTTTCAGAATGGGACCATCTATACTTATATCGGGCATGTGTTGATTTCGGTCAACCCCTTTGAAGACTTGGGAATATACACCAAGCAGTACTTGGACAAGTACCGAGGTAAGAACCGGTTGGAGGTACCCCCACATGTCTTTGCTATTGCTGAGGCCATGTACCATAGCTTGAAGAGTTATGGTGAGGCCCAGTGTGTTATTATCTCCGGGGAGAGTGGTGCTGGGAAGACCGAAGCGGCCAAGCAAATCATGCAATATATTGCCAACGTGTCCGCCAACACCACCACAGCCACCACCGACGGGGGCATTGCCGCCATCAAGGATATGGTGCTTGCCACCAATCCACTTCTTGAGTCGTTTGGATGTGCCAAGACCCTCCGTAACAACAACTCGTCACGTCACGGGAAGTACCTTGAGATCTTTTTCTCGCCTTCGACATTTGCTCCACAGCTGGCCCACATCACCAACTATCTTTTGGAGAAGCAGCGTGTGGTTTCTCAGATCACCAACGAACGTAATTTCCATATTTTCTACCAATTCACCAAACACGCACCAAAGAATTACCGTGAACAGTTTGGAATCCAGGGCCCGGAAACGTATGTTTACACGTCTGCGGCCCAATGTATCAACGTCGATGGTGTGGATGATCAACGCGACTTGAACGACACCATACAGGCCATGAAGACGATTGGATTGTCCCAATTTGAACAGGATAACATTTTCAGAATGCTTGCCATGATTCTTTGGATTGGTAACGTTTCCTTTGTCGAGAATGAAGAGGGGAATGCCACCGTACGCGACGAGCTGGTGACTCAATTTGTAGCCTATTTGATGGAGGTTGACCATTCCATGTTGCAAAAGCTGTTGACGGAAAGAGTCATGCAAACGTCCCATGGTATGCGTAGAGGACTGACATACCACGTCCCCTTGAACATTGTCCAGGCCACCAGTGTCCGAGACGCGCTTGCCAAGGGTGTTTACAACAACTTGTTCGACTGGATTGTCGCCAGAGTCAACAAATCCTTGGGCGGCACCTCGGGTGGGAACCATGGGCAACCTTCCATTGGGATTCTTGATATCTATGGGTTTGAAATCTTTGAACAAAACTCCTTTGAACAAATCTGTATCAATTATGTCAATGAGAAACTTCAACAGATCTTTATTCAGCTCACACTTAAGGCAGAACAAGAAGAATATGTCCAGGAGCAAATCAAATGGACCCCAATTGAATATTTCAACAACAAGATTGTTTGTGATTTAATTGAAGCCACAAGACCTCAACCAGGGTTGTTTGCTGCGCTCAATGATTCCATCAAGACCGCACATGCGGACTCGGACGCTGCAGACCAAGTGTTTGCGCAAAGATTGTCCATGGTGGGAGCCACCAACCGTCATTTTGAAGACCGTAGAGGTAAGTTTATCATCAAGCATTACGCCGGGGACGTCACCTACGAGGTTGGCGGAATGACCGATAAAAACAAGGACTCGATGCTTAGAGACTTGTTGGAAGTTCTTTCCACCACCAATAATGCCTTTGTCAAGGAATTATTCCCTAGCGAGCTTCTTGCCGCAGTGACTGACTCGAAAAAGAGACCCGAAACTGCATCCGACAAAATCAAACGGTCGGCAAATCTTCTTGTAGATACTCTTTCCAAGTGTCAACCATCGTACATTCGTACCATCAAACCGAACCAAACAAAGAGACCAAAGGACTACGACAATGCGCAAGTGCTTCATCAAGTTAAATATTTGGGGCTTAAGGAGAACGTCCGGATTAGAAGAGCAGGCTTTGCCTACAGAACAACATTCAACAAGTTTGTCCAAAGATTCTACCTTCTTTCTTCGAAAACCGGGTATGCTGGTGACTACATTTGGCAAGGGGATGACATCACCGCTGTGAAGGAAATCCTTCGTAGTTGTTTTATTCCTGACTCAGAGTTCCAATTGGGGACCACCAAAGTGTTTATCAAGACTCCTGAAACTCTTTTCGCTTTGGAAGATATGCGTGATAAGTATTGGCATAATATGGCTGCGCGGATCCAGCGGGCCTGGAGAAGATATGTCAAGCGTAAGGAAGATGCTGCAAAGACTATTCAAAGGGCCTGGAGATCAAAGACTCATGGTAACCAATTTGAGCAATTGAGAGATTATGGTACCAAACTCTTGGGTGGTAGAAAGGAAAGAAGACGTATGAGTATTTTGGGATCAAGAGCGTATATGGGTGACTATCTTGGATGTAATTATCCATCTGGGTTTGGTCGGTTTGCAATCAATCAAGCTGGTATTACCGATCTTCCTGTTTACTTTTCAAGCAAGGGAGAAATTCTTCTTTCCAAGTTTGGACGCTCAAGTAAACGTCTTCCTAGAATTTTCGTTCTTACCAAGTCGAACTTGTATGTTTTGGTTGAAACAGTTGTAGAAAATAGATTGCAAGTGGCCAAAGAATTCACATTCCCCGTTGGAGGCATTTCATACGTTGGTATGTCACATCTACAGGATAACTGGTTGGCCATTTCAGTGCACCTGCCAACTCCACAACTTCCAGATGTTTTCATCAATCTTGACTTCAAGACTGAATTGGTAACTCATTTAAAGAAACTTAATGCTGGTTTGACCATCAAAATCGGTCCTACAGTTGAGTATCACAAGAAGCCGGGTAAGTTCCACACCATCAAGTTTGTAGTTGGACAAGCCCCACAGTATGGAGATATTTACAAATCAGGAACTGTTACTGTTGGACAAGGGTTGCCAGGAAGTAGTGCCAATCCTAAGAGACCAAGAGGAAAACCAAGTAAGGTTGATTTCAGTAAATATAGAACTGGTAGACCTGGTAGAATGGCTCTGGCAGTGCAAGCACAAACCGGGTATTCCGGCCAACAAGCTTACAACTCTGCACCTGCAGCAGCACCTGCTCAATCTCAACCACAAGACCATGCTTATAGGTCCATCTCAGGCCAATCTGTGGATATTGTAGCACCACCAGTGGCTAGTCCAAGCCGTAGAAAGGTTCCACCACCTGCCCCAGTATTCCAACAACAGCAGCAGCAACCGGCACGTGCACCAGTACCAGTTGCACAACAACCTGCTGTGGTACAACCTGTACGTCAAGCTGCTAAAAAGATTGCTCCACCTCCACCAGCGAGAAAGACAGCACCACCACCGCCTCCTCCACCTCCAGCAGCAAAGCCACTTTTCCCTACTTATAAGGCTGCTTATGAATTTGTAGGAACTGGATCTCCATCTGAATTACCTCTTGCAAAGGATACAATTGTTTACATAACTAAACAAGAAACCAGTGAATGGTGGTTAGCCAAACTTTTGGATGAAAGTAAAGAAGGTTGGGTTCCGGCTGCATACGTTGTGAAGTGTGATCCACCTGCTGGACTTGGTGCTAAAGCCACTGCACCACCACCTCCACCACCTGCGATCGCTTCCACCAACAATACCGCTTCTGTTGTTACTGCTACCCCAGCTGCAAGTAATGGTCTTGGAAATGGATTGGCAGACGCACTTAAGGCAAAGAAAACAGAAGAAACTACACTCGCTGGATCATTGGCGGATGCACTTAAAAAGAGAGGAGTCACCAGAGACAGTGATGAAGAAGAAGATGATGACGATTGGTGAGTGTCTACATAACTAAAATAAATGAATAGAAGAAAAATTAATAAGAGATGATGTAGACTAGCTAGGAGTTCATTTCTGTAAAAATTGGGACGTATAATACAGACAGGCTTTACGTAGACTAACAGTTGAATAGACTGGTTCATATAGAGTTGCTAGAGTACCACTATAAACCCAGATTGTACAGATCTAAACACAGTAGGAAGCCCCCCTTATAATTATTGATACACTCAGGCTACACAGCAAAGCCAAAATAGCAGACAAACCCGGTCTGCAATATCCAAATAGAATACTAACTCCCCTTCTCCTTTCTTGTCACATTTTAGTGCAACCTTTTTCCCAATGAGGAACTTTGCGAATCTGGGCATTTTAAACATCTGTTTTGTGTATCGATCGGTATATGCAGTCCCTATATCAGAAATCCCTCCAATGTATGAGATCAATCACCAGATACCCACCACGATTTAACCACGTTAAATTGAACGAAAATTGATTTCCCCTTGAATTGAGCTAGCTCGTGGGACACATCAGATCCATATCATTGAGATTGAACCATTTTGGAGCCATGTCCAAACGAAGTAAAAACTCATTATTGACGCTGAACAATCGCGAGAAACATTTTAGTACGGTTAGAGATGAACTTTTGGCGATGAAATACACCATGGTTGGGCCTGGAGCCCCCATATATCCATATGATAGCCTGGATTCAACCACTGCGGAGAGTCTGGCGAACGGTGCAGGGATTATGAACACCCCGGGGAATAACTCAAACACACAATCGGCACCAGCCGTGCCTTCACAGGGCACTTCAACGTACCCAGATTATAATCCTTGGCTGGACCATACCCAGATACCTGGAGATCAAGCAGCGGCAGAGAACTCCAAGATCATCAACACCGCATACCTCAACAAGGGGTATTTTGAGCCTCCGCTGGTGTCCAACGAGTACTACTCGGCTCGTAATATGATCCAAAACACCATCTTTCTGTCGCCAGCAGCTTGTCAGCTGGTGCTTCTGGATCTTCTGTCACTGTTGGCAGACGCCTACAGGGTGCGTAACGACGATGTCAACCGTATCAGACACGATCTGAACACGTTCCGTCTACCGCCCAGAGTGACCCTCACATCCCTGAAGCGTGACGCATGGATGAAGGATCTAGCCAATCCAGATATTCCGTTACTGCTGCTACTGGGGAGAATACCCCATGGGGTGAGGAATAGGGTTCTTGTGGATGGACTAGTGGCGAAACAGGTGCCCTTACCTCGAGCCTTGTGGTTCACTAAATGTGTGTTGTACTCGGAACTGGGCAAACGTCACATGCACCACCAACAACTGCTGACAGCGTCATCTTCTCAGCTAGGTGCTACAGGATCTACAGACCCTCTACTTCAGGATTGGACCCACCAACTAGTTGACTATGTATACAAATTCTCTCGCGAAGTCGCTTCCATCACTTCTCCAGAACGGAAACAAATGTACATGAGCAAATTACGGTACCTTCTTTCTTATGTACAAGCTCTCTACATCGAGTGTTTGGTGGATAAGGCATTCTTTTTGACCCTGGTGGGTAAGTTTTTCCATGTAGATGCCTTGGTGAAGAGAACCAATGAAGACGACGAAATTGAAGACAACAATGAAGATTCCGATGCAATGGACGCCGAGTCAACTTCATCGTTATCGTTGGGCCAGAAGTTGATTGCCTTAACATTGGTGAAGACATATTGGACAGACCTCCTCAAACATGACCATATATGCAAGGAGTTAGCCGAGAGCTTGTTGTTGAACCATTTCTTGATCATGAAGAGTATGAAGCGGAAGAGATCCGGGTCCAGTGGAGCCCAGGTATTCCATGGGTCTCAGGGATCACCCGACGCCACTAATGCCAACTTATTCACACCTTCAACCAACGCCAGTCGTGGCACTTATGACCCAGAGTTTGGCCCACCTACCGTTGCCTTACCGCTCCTCAAATCGATTGCAGAGTTGATTCTCCATCTTTTCAAGCATAACTCAAGTCTGTTCATCATTCCCAACTATTGGCCTGTGGTTTCCAAATCATTGAGTAACATCATTATGACCTCCAGTGAAGATAACTCACCTGAAAAGCCTCTCTTGAAGAAGCAATTCAGACTCATCAAGTATCGTAACGAGAGTTTAATGTTGTCCTCCTCTGATGGGTCCATGCCATCCATAAGGTCCCAAGATGATTTGCTTTCAGTGGTGCATCAATTTGAAACCCTCAAGTTGAATATGCACCTTGCGGAAAAATTTGCAGAATCAGGACCCAGGGGAACCATCTTGGTCAAGATCGTTCTTCATTATTGTGTTTCTCCAAGTAACTCCACCGAATCTATTTTGGTGCTTTGTAACTTCCTCAAGTCTCTAGTTGTTCCCAAAATCTCTCCAACCCATAGAGCAGAGTTTGACAGTGAAGTCTTGGAAGTCATTTACACTTTGGCAGAAGACCACTTGGAGAACCCAAGAGTGGATTCACACCGTCTCTATGTCCTCATTAACGAATTGTACCAATTGAAAATCCTCACCATATCTCTGTATTTGCGGAAATTGATTGCCTCTGGAGTCTTTTACCAATCAGGAATGGGAAGCACCCTGGTTTCAGCACATTTAGAAGTGTTGAAAAACCTCCCGGTATTAAACAATAAGCAATGTGATAGTATATTGAAGAAGTGGACAGAACGAGGTGGTGACTTCCAAAAACAATTTGATCAAGGCAAGCAGATTGTTGAGGAGGAAATATTGACAATGTTCACCAAGGACTATGACCCTTCAAAACCTTCTGCTATGGACTTGAAGAACCTTTCAGTTGGACTCAAGTTTCTTCTCATTAACTGGACAACTACCCAGATAAAGTCACTCATAATCAACTCTCCAAAGCTTGTACATATCACTCCAGTGATTCTTGCCAACTTGTACAACTTTTACTTGCTGTGCGACTCCCTTACCGTGTTTTTCAAGGTCATTCTTCGTTTCATTTTAAAGAATGACGGTATGATTATCATTTATTATTTGGATACCTTGCGGTTGATCGCTCGTTTGGTAATGAAACATGAAAAATTGGTTAATTTGGTGCAGCCCCAACCTCAACCATTAGCCAAGTCTGAAATTCGAAGCAGCCTGTTTGGAGCTGAATTGAATTCGCCCAGTGGTCCTCCATTTGGTGCTGGCTCGCCATTTGCTCTGGCCAGTCCTGCCCCCAACTCTTTACAAAGCATGAGTTCAATATCAACTCCAACGATTTATTCACTCATTATCAACTCATATATTGATCTATCTACTAGAGATGCAGACTACTTTTCATTTCATCAAGTTTGGAAATTCATTGATCAAATCTATGAAAGCTCTGGACCAAATTGTTCGGATACCAATCATATTGATGAATTCTCCACCCCGTACCCTCCTTCCTCTGGGATCTCTACCGTTATCCCCCCACCGCCACCTCCTACTATTCGATCCCAGTTGGATATGCTCCTTCAATCCCGGAGACTGGCATTATCCCCATCTGAAATGGAAGAACTTGCTGCTCAGTTCCCAATTGACAACGGACAGGATCCACTAGAACTTTTAACTCTGGTCTCCGAAAGTCAAGAGCCACTACTTATGAGGTTATTAGTTTCTCAAAGTGATTCCGATCTCTCGAATTTCACACATCGAGTGAAAAACACCATTGCAAAATTGGATTCAACTTCACTCATCATTACCATTCTTGTGAAACTTGTGGTAAATGACGTGATTGAGTACAGTGTAGCATTGGAATGGTTCCCACATCTTGCTACCCTGGGAACAGACCATCTAGCAGTAGACCAGAAACTCTCACTTTCGGTAATTGAAGATCGTTACTATTTCAAGTCTCCAAGAGTTCTGTTGACATTGTACAACAAGATTTCTCCAGCGATTCTTGAACAAGTCTCCATCAGACATCGTGAAATGATGTTGAATGAATTTCTTGACCCTGAGAAATCAATTGATGATTTCTTGGACTACTTGAAGGTAGTGGGGTTAAAACTTGATGCAAACCCTTCAGATGAAACATTTTGGTACCAGGTAGCCTCCATTACCGATGAATTCAGTCTTCCATTTGTTCAAGTTCTTTTACGTATAGTACAAAGCAAAACCAATGGTTCCACTCTTGCACAAATGGTGGAAACATTTATTAAGAATATCAGGCTTCAATTTGACCCACTGAACCTGTACTTTGGGGAATTGTTTGAATTCTTGGAATGGGATCATAGATTACAAGTATTAGGATGGTTAGAGGATGGATTCCTCAAAAAGAATTTAGGTTCAGATGGAGATAACGAAGAGGTTGGGTTCCTTCTTGAATTCCCTGATTCTGGGCCACCTCTTAAGGATTTTTTCAAGAAATTTCTGGTCACTGCTTCCGTTCCAACTACTCCTTCATTCTTTGAACTTCTCACCAAATACGTGACAATACTTTGTGACGAAATCAACCTGGATCTGCCCTCTAATGAAGTATATACGTCGCTATGTATCACCCTTCGAATCCTTATCATCCACAAGGAAAACCTTGGGCCAATAATTGCCGAAACGCCATCATTTTATTCACTCTTGGCTCAAATACTCAACTCGAAGTACCTCTCCAGTGCTGGTCATGAAAAAGTACGGATTTTGCTCTATGACTTGTTATCATTGATCCTGTCATCCTCCGCACCTCCAAGGAGCCCGGAGAAGTCTGGTACCGCAGAAGATTCTACATCATCGTTGCCACAGAAAAGTTGTTTGGAAACTATTACCGCTACTATTAGTCCGCCTGATAGATCAAATCCTCTAGCACAATATGTTACGCCTATGCCATTTTCACTAGCTCTTGATCAAGATGAGCTTTCAAACGATGGAGACTTCCATTTTGTTAATGGTGACTCTTTAGTTGTTATCGATAAGAGAGAACATACACAGAAACTCACCTTCAAAAGTTTTGAGATTCTTGAGGACACTGGTGACGATATCAACGGAGGATTCATCAATCTTCTGTTGTTTGAAGCATATACTACCAAGCAAAACCCCCCATAGTAGAATGTACTACACCTGGAAGCGGTAAGACGCTCCGCTGGCCCCTGCTCGGGGAGAGCCACCGCGTGGAGCTTAGCTCCTCTACGAGGAGTCCTGGTCCCCCCTCTTGTCCTTCCTCGTCAGAGGAACAAGGCCCCCACGGCTAGTGGCCCACGGAGTGCCAGCGGAGCGGCTCGCGAACCCCGTAGGGCAGCACCATTACCTTCCCTACGGGGTTGCACGACGCTCCGCTGGCCCCTGCTCGGGGAGAGCCACTGCGTGGAGCTTAGCTCCTCTACGAGGAGTCCTACTAGCCCCATGACCTTCCTCGTCAGATGATCAAGGTCCCCACGGCTAGTGGCTCACGGAGTGCCAAGAGGAGCGGCTTGCTTATCATACAGGGTGGTGTGTCCCCAAGACTCTTAACTAGACCCCTTTTCAGGTACACTTTTTCTACATGGTATGTATTCTACATAGCAACATCTTCACAAATATGACAATCCACCATCTTTATAGAAGTATATCGGGTAAATGAAAGTTTTAGAACCAAGCAACTGTATATACATAGATCTGTACTTACCCACCTATCAACCTCTAGGGGATATCGGCACTAGAAATGACGTCTGGATCAATTTCAATTGCTTCTAAATTTAGAATCCCAGACATTCATATCTTGTTTGTCGCTCGCCATTTAAAAAAAAAACCACTAATGAATTACACTATCATGGTGGAGGATTTCCAACCTATCAGCTACTACCCATCCTCTCCCACTACATATTCCGGACTTAATTTCACTCACTGTTCAGATCTAGATCGGTATAGCCGTGCCTATTCCTGTACACGTTTTTTTGTGTGCACACCCCATTCTCGTTACATGTGTGTTTGAACACACCATACAAAAACTGCCAGGGTTGCGTCAATAGACATTTACCATCTAATTTATTTACAAACTTTTGTATAGGTGATGGGCGATAAAATGGATCTAGATGAATCTATCGAACACGAGGTACCGCAGTATGGGTTTCCAGGGGATTCAACGCCCCTGTTTGGGCAGATAAAGACTCCCAATCAGCAACCCAGTGAGGTCTTTGACTCCCACCACGATATTCAAACAGACACAATCAACAACACATACAGAGCCCCGGGAAAGATAACCCCGACACCCATAGATGTCTCCACAGTAAGTTCATTATCATCGAATGCAATTGGGAGTGGGGGTCCCGGTCCAGCGTCGGACCTTCGATTCCTCTCGCTGGCCAACTTTTCGTCAGACTCTCTCCCAGGCACCCCACCTACACCATCCAATAACACCATGGCGTTTGCTGCTCCGATGTCGGCTAGCTCCTCCTGGAGAGGTCTTAGCAACCCGTCGCTAGCCAACTCGCCAATGCTTGGGAACATGAGAACTTCTCCCACGGGACCGATTGGTGGAAGTGCCGCCAATGGGAATGGACCTAACGGCCGTTCCGCTAGACCAAAATCGGCCATTTTTATGATGGATAGCAATAGTTTTGCCATTGCAGAAGACGGTAGCCCTGTTCAGGAAGCCATAGACAACACCCCACGAGCCAGACGAAGTTTCCATTTCGGTGCGGGCAGCAGTTCCATGGCAAACTTTGGAGGAGCTTTACCTTCAAACTCGTCTGCTGCCCGGTCGTACACCCCTGTAGTACCCATGGCGCCTCCAATGGGGCCACTGGGCAGTCAAGGTGCCCCATCGATCCTGTTTGCACAACTAGGAGGACCCACCCCGCCCAGGCCCGGAAGAAGAGGTTCCGCGAATTCGTCAGCGGCTTCATCAAGGAGCACGTCGCCTGTTCGGTCAAGATCGCCCGTCCGTCACCAACATTCTAGAAAGCAATCTATGAGTCCTATTCGTAAGAATAACCTCAGTATTGGTGGTGGTGGTGCTGGCGGCGCTGCGGCAGGAGCTTCGGCTTCACCTTTCAATTTCAAACCACTTCACCACGACTCGTCGTCGTCAATCTCTCTCAAGCCAGCACAACGTAAAGGTCACAAATACAAGCACTCATCGGTATCGATGAACTTCTTCCAGGAACCTCCGCCAGCTCTCTTGAACTCGTATAACCAACCACTCTCGATCCCGGCGCTGTTCCCGATCCCAACCTTCCGTGAATCGCTCACACTGGTGAAACCTCCACAAAGAGTGAAGTTGTTGTGGTCCGGGTTCCATTTGCTGCTCTCTATAGCAGTATTCTGCTTAGGTATCCACTTGGGCCTTCCAACGCTTCTGACTTTGGCACATTTGGTCTTTTACGATGCATTGGGCTCGTTTGTCACTGTTTTTGTTGACGTTATGTCCAACTTTGACGTTTGGGGCAGTTCCTCGTTGCAATATCCATTTGGATTGGGACGGTTGGAAGTTTTGGTTGGGTTTGCATTATCAACAAGTTTGGTGATGGTAGGATTAGACTTGGTGAGTCATGGGTTGGAAGAATGGGTAGTGGAAATGATGGGAGATGAAGTAGTAGAGGCAGTCGCTACCGAGAAAGTAATGGACGCTGTTGGTGACGCTACAGCTGCAGTTGCCGCAGCTGCGGCAGCAGCTGGAGCTGCCACCGCCTCCCACGGGGATTCTTCGCACCATATTCATCATTCATCAACTCCAACCCATTTCACCCTTTTCCAATATACCATATACCTCTCAACCCTTCTTTTGGTCATCATTACTACATTTATTTCATCGAATTATGTCCTTCTTCACGATAGAATTGCCGCTATCGTGCAAGCCAATCACCAGCAGCAATCAGACGTGATTGCCCCGCCTAAAAAGCGTGGCTATGGTCTTTTGACCGGTAAGAACACTTCCAAAGGTAATGGCCTTGATTCTGAGTCACAATCCGGTACCAATTCATCATCAGTAACCGGATTGAAGGCTATAACTGCATATTTGGTTTCATTTTCACGTAATCCAACCCAATTCCTTACCCTTGCCTATTCACTTTTATTGGTGATTTTACCTCTTCTTCCTGAACTAGACCTCAATGTTGATCTCAATGAGTCCACCACACTTGTGGTAGCTCTTCTTCTCATATACAATGGTTGGAGCCTAGCAAAGACTCTTGGTGGTATTCTTCTTCTTCTGTACCCTTCCCTGGATTATCAATACTATCTTCTTAAGCAAAGACTCGTGGATAGTATCACACAATTGGAATCATACAGACAACTGTACACGATGTCACGATTGTTTGTCACCAAGGTGAACTATGAATTACTTGTAGTCGGAGTCCGCATGAACATGAAGGGTGCCAGCAGTGATGATGAAGCTAGAATTCGGTTTGAAGTAACAAGAATTATTCGATCAGAAGTTGAAGAAGCTGCCAAAAATGGGAGAAATAACAAAGTTGAAATAACTTTGGATATCGAGAGATAGGATGGTACAACACACATATACTTATATACTTACATAAAAACCATGAAAGTCATTATAAAGAGAGGAAGCAATGAGTAGGAAGATGTATTGATCTCTCCTCTTGTAGAAGATTCTCTGTGAACCATACAGAGAGTAAAACGTATAGCACCACTTGGTTCTCTACCAACAACTCTCTACCCTACGGGATAAGCAAGCCGCTCCGCTGGCACTCCGTGGGCCACTAGCCGTGGAGGCCTTCTTCCTCTTACGAGGAACCCCACGGTGCTCACAGTCTCCTCGTAGAGGAGCCAGGCCCCACGCCAGTGGCCCTCCCCGGGCAGGGGCCACCGGAGCGGGTCACACTCTCCCTAGAGTCTCTACCAGGAACTCTCTTCCCTACGGGGTAAGCAAGCCGGTTCAATCGCTTGGTTCCTCGGTAAACTTCCTTCGTCATGGCTGCGAAATTATGCAGCACCGTTTCCTGCACAGCTCTTTGTGATGATGTTGCCCCCAAGACGCTCTGAGCACTGAGCCATTGAAAATTTTGTGATAAACAAAGCACAATAGCCACCCAGTGAAACACTATCTAGGCTTCCCTGTATTGTGCCGTGCTTCTTCTTGCCCGTAGGAACTGTTGGAAAATGTCCAACTTTGTCAAGAAACAATCCTTTGACGTGGATTACGCGCCCACCCACATCACATCGTGGACATCTTCGCGGACTGGCCTTCGGTTAACATACATTGACCAGGCGTCCCCTGTGGTCAACGGTTACTTTGCTGTGGCCACCGAATGTCCAGATGACTCTGGTGCCCCACATACTTTGGAGCATTTGGTGTTTATGGGAAGTGAACGTTACCCGTATAAGGGTTTGTTGGATACCTTGGGGAACCGATTCTTTCTGATGACCAACGCTTGGACAGCCGTTGATCAGACTGTTTATACCTTGACCACTGCTGGTTGGGAGGGGTTCAAGACCTTGTTACCGATCTATTTGGACCACTTGTTCCACCCCACGTTGACCGACGAGGCTTGTTTGACCGAGGTGTACCACATCGATGGGAAGGGGAAGGAAAGAGGTGTGGTGTTCAGTGAAATGCAAGGTATAGAGACCCAGTCATGGTTCATATCGTTGTTGAACTTGCAGCGCACGTTGTACCGCAAGGAGAGTGGATACAGCTCAGAAACCGGTGGGTTGATGAGCGAGTTACGTAAGTTGACCAATGACCAAATTAGACAATTCCACAAGGATATGTACCGTCCTGATAACTGTTGTGTTGTCATCACCGGGTCTGTAGACGAAACCGAACTCTTACAAGTGATGGACGAGTTTGACCTGATTTTGCCCGCTAGAGAACCAGGTGTCATCTCCAAAAGACCATTTGTAGACTCTCCTAGAGATTACCCACCAAAGGAAAACATTGTCAAGACTGTCGAGTTCCCAGAAACTGACGAGTCTATGGGTGAAGTGTTTATTTCATGGATTGGACCGGAAGCCAAGGACGACGTGGCCAACGTTGCAGTTGATCTTATTGGATCATACTTTACAGACTCAGCCATTTCCCTTTTCAACAAGACTCTCGTGGAAGTGGAAAACCCTATGGCCACCGACGTTGACTATTCTACCGACGATTACGTGTACACTGGTATCAACTTCTCATTGAATGGGGTGCCCACCGAGCAGTTGCAACAGGTTGACGTAGTTTTGAAGGATCTCATCCAATCGCAAACCAAGCCAGAAAACATCGACTTGAAGTACCTTCAACAGGTGATTCGTCAACAGAGACTCAAGTATGTCTCCACTGCCGAAAAGTCGCCTCTGACCTTTTCTAACGTTGCCATCAGTGACTTCATATATGGGGACGATACCACTTTGAAGGCTTGGACCCAGAACTTGGATACCTACGACGAGTTATTGGAGTGGGACACAGTCAAATGGGCACAAGTTATAGACAAATGGTTTGCCAGTAACCCATCTGTCACCATTTTAGGTAAACCTTCGCCAGCACTCCACGAGTCGTTGAAACGTCAAAATAAAAAAATTCTGAAGGATATCAAGGCCAAATACGGTAAAGATGGCCTTGCAGAATTGGATGAAAAGCTTAATTTGGCCAAGGAACATAACGATAAGCCAATTCCAGAAGACCTTTTGACCCAGTTTGGTAAGCCAGACCCTTCGAAGATCAACTTTATTGAAACAGAATCATACAGTGGAGGTAGTAACCAATTGGCTGGCTATGTTCAAGAGGATGAGTTTAGTAAGTTACTCTCAAAGAACGCAGATTTCCCAATGTTTTTCCATTTTGAACACTTCAAGTCTCAATTCTCCACCATCAACATTGTCATGTCCTCTGGTAAGGTGTCACCTCCTCTTTTGAGATACCTTTCCGTTTTGGAGGAAATTTTTTCATTACCTTTAGCACTTCCGGACGGAACTTACATTCCATATGAGGACGTTATCTCTCAAATCAATGAAGACTTGATTGAATTCCATTTGGATAATGGATACCAGGGTCAATTTCTTGAACTCATTGACATCAAACTTAAGTTTGAATCCACAAAGTACACCAATGCCATTGATTGGTTGCTCAAGGTGATGCAATATAGTGTCTTTGACGAAAAGAGAGTGAAAATTATTATCGAGAAGATCATCAACTCTATCCCTGATAAGAAACGTAACGAGGAATTAATGATGTACTCTGCTCAATACAGAACATTATACTCGGAAAAGTCTGTTCGTAGAGCACAAGATAGTCTCAATACTGAACAATTCTACAAGGATTGTTTAGAACAGATCAACCAGGGTAACTTCAAGAAAATTCAAGACGACTTGAACTTGTTGAAGCTGCAATTGTTTGACTTGAGCAACTTCAAGGTATTTGTTGTTGGTGAATGTAAGAATTTGGAAGGTCCTATCACTTCATGGAAACCATTTGTGGAAAGTTTTGCCAAGGGTAAATATACACCACAACCATTTGAAGAATTACCCCGTTCATTTGAATACAGATCAGAAATCGGGGTAAAATGTTCCAAATATGCCCATTTGGTCACCACACCTGCCACTGACACCACTCATTTAATTGCATCAACAAAAATTGGTAATGATTATTTGGATGAAGACATTACTAAAATTGCACTTGCATCGGAATTCTTAACTGCCGTTGAAGGTCCATTCTGGAGAGGTATCAGAGGTACTGGTTTATCCTATGGAGCTAACATCCAACGTAACTTGGAAACTGGATACCTTAACTTTTCCATTTACCGTGGATCTGATGGTCAAGAGTCTTGGAAAGTTGCCAAAAAGATCGTGGAAGATTATTGTGATGGAACTCTCAAGTTTGATAAGATAAGTATGGAGAACTCCATTGCTGCCATTGTCAACGAGCTTGCAAACAGTGAGTCCAACTCATTTGATGCAGCCAACAATAAGATTGTTGACAATCTCTTCAAGCACCGTGGACCAGCTTACGCAAAGTCATTTTTGAAGAAACTTGATAAGATCACAGAAGAGGACCTTGTGTATATTGTAAACAAATACTTCAAGCCTTTATTCTCTGCCGAGACCTCGGTCATCTTCAGTTGTATCCCACCTGCCAAGGTTTCTGCATTCAAGGAATTCTTAACAGAACAAGGTTATTCTGTCACTGTGGAGGAAATAAATGCCGAGATTGGCGATGATGACGAGGAAACTGGTAGTGAGGGTGAATATACAAGTGATGAAGAAAGCGGTAGTGAAGATGACAGTGAGGAAAGTGGTAGTGAAGATGACAGTGAGGAAACTGGAAGTGAAGACGAAAGTGAGGATGAAGATTAATTTAGATTTTATATTAGAATAGATACGATTGAAAATAATTGAAATGTAGTCTGTCATGATTTAGATAATCTATGTAATTTTTGTTTGCTCTAAGAAAGTCTTTCTGGCTTGTGAAAGATTGCAAATTGTTTCCTGTTCTTTTCCGAAAAGTGCCCAGAATTTCGAACTCAACCCTTCACACTTAACCCAAGTGTCAATCTTTTGAAGCTCTAATTCCCAATCAGATCCTTCAAATTCTGTTTGATACTTGGAGGGGGTGCCTAGTTGACGATGTTGCTGATCCTGCAGCAACTTCATGTCCCACTTGATAAACGAAGCAGTGGGGAGCTTGTAAGGGGTCACCACTGTGGTTACAGCCTGTGTACCATCCTCCATCTTGAAATGTTCGTTATGCCGAGTCGTATGGGTGGTCATAAACTCCAGAAATAACTTGGAAGTAAATGAATTCTGCTGGAAGGGCAGTAGTCTGGAATCCAACTTTTTCGCAGCCAACCATCTTTTCCAATCATTGAAAAATGATATACATTCTAAAGAATCGTGTTGAATGAGAGGGGTTGGGGAATATTCAGGAGGAACGTTTGGCGCTAATGGTGCAGCAACGGCAGCTTCTGGTACTAAATCTCTCCTCTTTGAACCTTCTTCAATGGGTTGTGGAAGATATCTGTTTAAATGATATGCCTCATTGAAGACATGCAACGCAGGGATGAACAGTTCCCTTTCAGACTCTTCAATTTCACCTTGATAAAGTAGTCTATCATAATATGATTTCCCATGGATATTATAGTACAAAGAAAGAAGGAAACTTCTATAATGAGCCCGTTTCAGGAATACCATCTGACCCACATCCACCGATGCAGCTGGAGGTAACCCTTGTAAATCGTGGAAACCACAATTAGTAGACTTATCAGACTCAACATAGTTTGCAAAAGATACATCATTTGCAAGACAGTCTCTCCTAATAATCTCTCCAGTTTCAAACCCAGCAAGCTCGTAATACAATGGGGATGTAGTTCGATGCCACAAATTTGGCCAAAATACCCATTTAGTAGACATGAAAGGTTTAGATGTGAATTGTTTATCCAAATTTTTCACTGGGATGGTGTTCACATCCAAAGATATTATATTATCAAACAGTGATACGAAAAGACCCAAGATTCTGGCATTGGTACCCTTCTCGGTTACAAGTTTGTAGGTTGACGATCCAAATTCCAGAGAAATCACAAGACATTTAGCCTTGATTGGTTCAATCTCAATGTTAAATGCTTCAACAAGCTCGGTATCAGTTTCAGATTGTACTTCATCTACAATAATTTCTAATGGTAATTCACTTCCAAGTCCTCGGATCTGTTTGGCAAGAATTAGGGCCTGAGGTAACTGTTGTACAGTGCCAGCATATATCACCATACCATCGTTCTTAATGAATGGGGGTGGTTGCAAATCATACAACACCTCCACCACCCTATCATGGCTCTCTTGTAAGGCTCTATATTTAACATAATTCAACAGAAGATGGTCTTGTGTGAGTTTCAGCTTCAGAAGTCGCTCTGGTTGGTCGATATGAATGCGGGCATAGGGTTCCCAGCTTCTATTGGGGTAATCGGACCAGATTGTGGAGTATTGTCTAATATGACTTCCTTGAGTATGAATTCAAAATATTTGACCTTGTCGGTTAATGGCTTCCCATTCTTCAACTCCTCCAGATGTTCTTCCATATAGATCTGTTCCATTTTCTCAATTACACTATAACTCTTTTGTGCATTGTAAACGTATCTTTTGGTATAAGCCATATCAATTTGCTGCTTGATTTGATTTGTAAACTCTTCAGTCTTGGACTCTTGAATGGACTCACGAAGTTCCTTCATCATGGTATCCGAGTATTTTTCATGTAATGACAGTTTCAAATCTTCCAAAATCTCTTTAGATTTGGAATTTTTCAATTCTTTCGAGAACGAGTTCCAGAAATCGGGATTCGTTGCATCATCAACCAATGATTGAAGGGTAGTTCCGGGACTTATAAGATAATTTTCACCCTTTGTTCCATAATCCGGATGTTTAGTATGATCGTACCAAGACTCTGGAAGTGACGTGTGGTTTAGTTTATAGAGGGTTACATTCACTACTATGAATATTGTGATTGTGATCGACAAAAGGATATGTAGTGGAGAAGAGTAAATCTTCCTCGGGAAACAAGTAGGCATTCTAACCTAGGTATTACGGAATGAATATATAATGAGGAAAGAATATAAAGAAATGAATAAAGAGGGATAAGATGCAATAATATTCACATTATTGAAGAAGTGTCATACTATTAATAAACGAACCCCACCATGGCTTATAAGATTTGTTGTCCAGAACATTTTCCTGATCTGGTTACATTCTTTATATTTAGAAAATAAATTGACTAATTTAACCACTCGTTTGTTTGTACCTTGCATCTATACAATGGTTAGAATATATTCGAGGCTGTGGTAACGTCGTTGAAGTATGTTTCATTATGGTCAAGGGCCCAGACTGACCGAAGAAACTGGTGAATGATTTCTTCAAAAAAAAAAAGAAGACACCCCTCCTCAGAATTGTTCGGCAACAAAAAATTTCTAATGGCTCTGATATAGACCTTTCCTGCAAACCTACCTACCCCTTACCCCTTACATTCTATGGCAATTACCTTTTTGCCATGGGAACCTTTTGGCACCCTTTTCGGTTATGTGCCCGCACTGCTGCAAAGACTGACAATTGTTGTCAAGTGCAGTCCGCATCAAATTTATGAACATTGTGTTTTGCCACACTCACTTACACAAGCTGTACTTCTATACCAACTAACCGTATACGGAATAGAACCAAGACAGGTAGAATAATTTCGGAGGAAGAAAATGGAGAAACTTCTTCAGGTAGACCCCACCTTGAGCGGCAGCTTACCGAGATTCTCAGACAAGACTGTACTTCCATCATCATATTTGGGGGAGATTATAGATCGCTTTGGTGAGGACACACTTCCTCACCCCATGATCTTCCGGGCCACATGCAATGATATCACTACGTATGTTGGAGTTCAAGAGTTCAGTGAGAGTAGAGATAATATAGTAGGGCTTCCCTGGGTAGTTCAACAAAGATTTTTGGGCGGCGAAGATGATGAGTCAGCACACTTAGACATTACATTTTCTCTTGTAGAGGACATTCCCAAGGCAACAGCACTTACTCTTCGACCAGTAAAGACATATTCCAAGAAAGTTCGAGACAATTGGAAATACTTTCTTGAATCAAAATTGCGTAGATTTACTGTCCTTACCGAGGGAACCGTTTTGTACGTGGAAGATTCGCAACAAGTATATGAATTACAAATCGAACAAGTTAGTCCGGCTAAAACTGTTTGTATTATAGATACTGATGTAGACTTGGTGGTTAATGACGATGGAATTGACCAAGTAGTAGAGACGGGAATTTCCGTGGGGGACACTTTTGAAGTAAATAAAGAAAATTTGCACCCAATGACCATCCCCAAGGCACAAGTGATTGGCAAGTATCTCTGCTTAGATGGTGACGAGAATGTGGATATGGTTGTTGGTGATCGTTTTGTGAGCTTAGACCGATATCGATGGAGCACTATGACCAATAGAGAAATATTAATAGAAGATTTGGATGGTAACGACGACGACGACATTCATTTGATTGTTTTCTCTTGGGGGGCATCAACCAAGGCTAAAGTTTTAATACGTGATCATAGCGAAGTTCTGAATCAGCATTTACCTCATGATACGTCTAATGGCGTTGTACCTGACGATAAAGTAGAATGTGGAAATTGTCATCAATTGATTCCCAAGGCTTCGAATCTTGTTCATTCTTCATTCTGTTACCGAAATAATATAGTCTGTTCATGTGGGAAAGTTTTCCTTAAACAAATCCCTGAATCTCATTGGAAATGTGCACATTGTTCTGTTCATGGAGATAATGAAATTTCTCAATATAAACATGAGAAATTGTTCCATTCTGGTCCATACACTTGTACACATTGTAATAGCCATGAGGAGTTTAGTACATCGATGGATCTAGCAACGAAACATGGTAACCTTGAATGTCCTGAAAGACTCCATGAATGTAGGTTTTGTCATTTGGAAGTTCCGGTGGAAGTTGCAGACTTTGAAGATAATTTTTATGGATTATCACATCATGAAAACTATTGTGGGAATAAAACGGTCGATTGTCCTAAATGTGGGAAGATTTTAAGAGTGAAAGATTTGCCTAAACATAGTCAGATCCATGAGTTGAAGAAGGCTGCGTTTAATGAAGCGGTAAAGACAGATCTCCTCACTTGCAGTAATTTGAATTGTATTAACATGGTAGGTACCAATGTGTTAGGATTGTGTGATTTATGTTATGGACCACTCTATTCATCAATTCTTGATCCAACAAATTTCAAATTACAAAATCGAATCGAGAGAAGGTATATGATTCAGCTTTCAAGAGGTTGTGGCCAATCGTGGTGTAAGAATGAAGAGTGTAAGTCGTCTGGACGTAGTCAACTAGGATCGATGAAGGAAACATTAGACCATGTTAAAGACTTATTAACTCATATTTATAGACCCAGTCTCCCATTAAATGGGCCAAGAGAAGGTGGGATAAATCAATTTTGGTTCTGTGTCGATCAAAACTCAACGAAAAGGAAATTGATGGTTGAAAATTTACATGGAGAAGAAGAATATCCTGAAGAAATGATCGTCAAGGCAGTCAATGAAGTGAAAGATGTTAATGAGTTAAGAATTAGAGAATGGTTGGTTGAAAATGCATTAAAGGTATAGTGGGGGATACAAAAGGGTATAGAAAATGTTAGACAATTAATAGCTTGAATTTCATTTACAGTTTATAGACATTTATAATTTGCATCCAAAAATATAAATAATGAAAATTAAATAGAAAAGTACAATTTAGAATTTTCAATAAAAGATATACGCAAATGTGAAATGCTTGCTCATTTGTCTAATACTAATTTTATCAGTCCTCACTTCTATCTTTATTCTATTTTGATCTTCTCTTTATGATCCTGTCATATCTAAAATTATGACCAAGTATTCCAATTGGAGTAATTTTCGATTTTGTGTCTCTTTCCACAATTTTCTGTGTAACATCATTCATTACGCTTTTGTGTAGTGTAATTCAATTATGGTTTATTTTTAGATCCACAGATTAAAGTGAAAGAAATTTATTGTTTACTGTTAGTATGTGATATTAAAGTTCGACTAAACCCAATATACGTATATATACATATGTATTGTATAGATATACATCTTTATTCATTCAACAGGTGTACTCATCTACTCTTTATCTTATCTGTTGTATAAATACGTCATGTCTAAGACAATGCGCAGAACGTGTATGCACCAATTCCATCATTTACCCCCAATTACATAAAATCACTCATTGCTACTAGCAATCCCGATCAGCGGATGAGACATAGTACACATACGAGTCTTATTTATACAAGACAAAAAAGAAATAAACAATTCAAAATACACAAAAGAATTATATATCGGTTCTACTTTCCTTCTTACACCATTTCTAATATTCTTTCTATACTTTCACTCTCTATAAAATTTTTATCTGTCGTACGTTGCAAATATTCTCTCCTCCAACATTCTCTCCTTCTAATCTAAAAGCTAATACTACATCTCTAAATAAATCACTAAACAAACTCATAATCTTTTATCTTATCTCCTTATCAGTACCCTAAACAAAAACATCCCTTCTCCCATTATTATATAATCGTCCCCACTCCATTTTCCCACACCTCGGAAATCCACTCTTTCTTGCATGCCAGCCATATTCCTGCACACACACTATCGCTCGCCACCCAAAAACTTTATCTCTTGGCCAGGGGGGGAATTGAGCCACGCTCCGCAGAGTATAAACTTACAGCCATTTCTCTTTCTTTCTTAAAAAGAATATTATTTTATATATTTAAGGGATATACTTTTTTTAGTTTGTCCCACCCACATAAACCCCAACTGTACTCCTTAAACGCTTTCAATTAGTCTTTCCCCGCTAATTACCCCCCCTTCCGCTACAAAAAGAATTTGACCCCCTTGAGTTTTTTTTTTATTGAAACCCCCTTTCCCCCCCCCTTAGAATTAACTACAATTGCATTACAATATGTTGTTAACTAAATCTGTTGCCTTGGCCATTTTGGCTGCTATGGGCACCCAAGCCTTGGTTATCCCTGAAGCCAACACCATCGATGTTTTTGGCAAGGGTAAGGCCAACGCCGATGCTGCCGTTGCTTCAGCTGCTTCAGTTGTTGGTGACGCTGCTAAGAAGGTTGCTGAAGCCGCAGGAAACGCTGCCACTCTTTTCCAATCTGGCCGTAAGCTTATTCCTCACAAGTATATCATTGTTCTCAAGGATACCGCCACTGCTGAAGAGGCTAACTTCCACCGTGAACTCATTGCTGCTAAGCATTCTGAACACTTGAGTAGTTCAAGCACAATTCCTCAAACCTTTGTTACCGCCACCAAGGAAACCGCTGGCGGACTCCTTGACTCCTTTAACATTGGCTCTCTTATCCAAGGTTACACTGGTGTCTTTTTAGATGAAACCATTGAATTCATCCGTAATGACCCAGCAGTTGCCTTTGTTGAACAAGATTCTACCGTTTTGGCCTCTGAATTTGACGTTCAAAAGGGTGCTCCATGGGGTCTTGCTCGTGTTTCTCACAGACAACCTCTCTCCTTAAACTCTTTCAACCAATATTTGTTTGACAACAAGGCTGGTGAAGGTGTTACCTCATATGTCATTGATACCGGTGTTAACATTGAACATCAAGAATTCGATGGTAGAGCCACTTGGGGTTCCACTATTCCATATGGTGATGCTGATGTTGATGGAAATGGTCACGGTACCCATTGTGCTGGTACCATTGGTTCTGCATCCTATGGTGTTGCCAAGGGCGTTGATATCGTTGCCGTCAAGGTTTTGAGATCTAATGGTTCTGGTTCCATGTCTGATGTTGTTAAGGGTGTTGAATTTGCTGCCAAGTCTCACCAAGATGCTGTCAAGGCTGGTAAGAAGGGATTCAAGGGTTCCACTGCTAACATGTCTCTTGGTGGTGGTAAGTCTCCTGCTTTGGATTTGGCTGTCAATGCTGCTGTTAAGGCTGGTTTACATTTTGCTGTTGCCGCTGGTAATGAAAACCAAGATGCTTGTAACACTTCTCCAGCTTCTGCTGAAAATGCAGTCACTGTTGGTGCTTCCACCATTGCTGACGCTAGAGCTTATTTCTCCAATTATGGTAAGTGTGTTGATATTTTCGCCCCAGGTTTGAATATCTTGTCCACTTATATTGGATCTGATTCTGCAACTGCTACCTTGTCTGGTACTTCGATGGCATCTCCTCATATTGCAGGTTTATTATCTTACTTCTTATCTTTACAACCAGGTGCTGATTCTGAATTTTTCGTTGCTGACAAGGGTATTACTCCAACTCAATTGAAGAAGAATTTGATTCATTACGGTTCTGAAAACATATTACTGGATATTCCAGATGATGGTACTCCAAACATCTTGGCCTTCAATGGAGCTGGTCACAATTTGACTGGTTTCTGGGGTGCTGACTCCAAGTTGAAGGAAATTGAAGTTCAAGGCAGTGATGACTTGGAATCCAAGGTTGAAAAATTACTCTCTAAGGTTGAAAAGGATTCCGCTAACGTTGTTGATGACATCAAGAAGTTGGTTTTGGAAGCTTACAAGAATTTTTAAGGTTATAATTTTGTTTTAATTGGATTAGATGTTTTTTTTTAATTTTATTGTAGAGTGGGAGTAGAACAATGGGAGTAAATCATATAGCTTATTTTTATATTGAACCCGGAGTTGTACGGAATAAAGATGATTATAGTTTTAAGTTTGTTTGAAGTGTGTTTGACATTTTTAGTGGGGGCTCAAATATAGTTGCAACTCTACATGCAGGAATTTTCTCCGGGAGGGAAGGCAAAATATTAAAAGAAGAGACACATTGATAGAGATGGGAATATCTATTAAGAATACATAGGAATACTGATATGATGAATGAAAGGGACATTACCAATTCTTGAAGAATATTGTTAACAAGATTCCGAAAAAAAATTGTTTCTTAATTTCGATTAGGAAAAAAAAAGTTTGCCATCCATAACACGGAACGGCCCCCGCCACTGGAGATTTTGCGCGATTCTGACGGACTGCATTGACCAACATGGACGGCAGCGTGATAACTAGCAGGTCCAATATTGCCACCAAAGGGGAATCAATCACACTTATATATTGTATTGCGGTGCCGTATTAAGTCTCATTTCAAGCAAGTTTACTCCCTTAGTCCCGGACAAATAACCCCTCGATTCCCATAACTTTAGACACCCTGACGAAATGAGTACACCCGCCAAGCGAAGACTCATGCGAGACTTTAAGGTAAGCAACAACACAAACTTTTTCAGACTAAGCTAATTGTTTCAATACTAACCGTTCAGCGCATGCAACAGGATGCACCTAGTGGAGTTTCCGCCTCGCCGTTGCCAGACAACGTGATGAGTTGGTATGTATTAATAGGGAGTGGGACCTTATTCCCCGATAGGTCCTTGAACCCTTTAAGGAATGTTTATACAGAGATAGAAGTACCGAGTAATTCTCTAATTCTATTTAGATACAGGGTATTGACGTGGAGAGATGTTATCTGTGGTGCTAGATGGTGTTAGAGACGCGTTGTGGCGATCTCCATGAATTGTCCCAGCTAGATGATTTTGGTCAGTCATCAGAAATTAGAACTAGATACCAGTCCAACTCGCTCAAGACTAGATGAACATCCATTTCTTCTATCTCTACTCTCTCTTTACTCTTATACTAACCAACAGGAATGCTGTAATCATTGGACCAGCTGATACCCCCTTCGAGGATGGGACATTCCGTCTTATCCTCCAATTTGACGAACAATACCCTAACAAACCACCATCGGTCAAGTTCGTCTCGGAGATGTTCCACCCTAACGTGTACGCGTCAGGTGAACTTTGTTTGGATATCCTTCAGAACCGTTGGTCACCAACATACGACGTGTCGCTGATTCTTACATCCATCCAATCGCTTCTCAATGATCCTAATATTCTGTCTCCTGCAAACGTAGAGGCAGCCAATTTGTACAAAGACCATCGGTCTCAATATATCAAGAGAGTCCGCGAGACAGTGGAAACTTCATGGAACGAAGATGACGACGAAGAGGAAGACGAGGAAGAAGAAGAATAGTGAGGCATATATATTTGCTGTGTACATACATTTATAGTTTAAGAGATATCTAAAGATAAAACAACCATCAAACGAATCGGCTGGCAGCCACTGCTAGTGGCCTCACTTAGTGTCAAAAGGGCGGTTGGCTGATCATTCTTCTGAAAGAGCTGCTGTATGTCGTCTGGATGAAATTGAGCATAAAAACCTTCTCTTATCCTACTAAGCTCTATCCAATTGAAGGACATTAGAATGATATCCCAATTTCTTCAATGTAAGACAAGTGTCCGTTCCATAACCTTCCAACAGATCCATCAGGAGATTACCATTCCAATAATCAGCGTACACACGACACATGGGGAGACCCAAACCGAACTTGTGTTCATGAGCACGTCCAACCAATGAAGAAAGTGTCGATTGCTTAGAAGATGTCAGTTTATCAGAATGGTCCAGAAGGGAAGTCTGAGAGAAGAGAGCTTCTTGTGAAGCAGCAGCAGAAGGATCAACAATGGATGATCCAGCTGGAGTGACTTTCAAGTTGTGATGAAGTTGAAGACCAGGGATACGATGGAAATTGGCAAGTGATTGTTTAGCAAGATTTGGAGATTTTGCAAATGAGAAAATGTTTGATAAGTGTTCATGTGGGATTCCTCCACCTTGATCTGAGATTCTGAATGTGATTTCATGAGGAGAATTAACAACAGTGATACGGATTGGTGGGAGTTTACCCGATTGGGACAGAGCTTGTTGTAATTCCGAGTTAGATGAGTCATTATGTCCTTCCTTGGCCTTCAATATGGTGGCTTGATAAGAATTTCTGAGGATTTCTCCAAAGAGATAATGAAGATGAGGGATCATAAAGGGGAATGTTGTGTTGACATCGCCATCTATTTCTACTGCAGGCATGGTCTCCACGTCTGGCCATATTGGCTTCATACTCTCTCTAACGGTATGGGCTACTTGTTGTAAATGTTGTTGAGCGTTACATTGGGCAAAGATCTCCCCAATGAAGTCTGCAGGCTTATCAAAATTGGGCAGCAGTTTATAATTTTCAGTCAACAGCAAATGTTCTTCCACAATGACTCTTCTTGAAAGTCTCAGACGAAGCATGACACTCATAAACTTGTCCAAATCGTGGGGATCCTGACCACCATCATTGGATTTATTCGAGAGTATACTCACTTCAAGAGCTCCCATCATAAGATGGGGTAAATTAAACACATGGTCATCCAATAAAGTCAGTAACGTCTCACAAAATTGGTCATTCTGCTGAGTAGTGGTGATTGGCTGAATCTTTCTAAAGGCATTGAACAGATGATAATAGGATTCATAGATCTGAGTCATATGGAAATTGTTAACCATTCCAAAGGGTAACGTTTGTAAGTCTCTGATTCTCATCGATAACCGGATGGGTAATTCCATCCGGACAAAGTTGGCACTGGCCAAAATCTTTTGCTTGGTTAATCTCTTACCATAACCGGCAAGTTGTCTTAAGGATACTGGATGAGGATCTCTCTTGGAATAATTTATTAAGATTTCATTTTGATAAAAATGTCTTTGGTTTAAGATGCTCAGATACGAGGGGAAAGGTCCCAATTCGGAAAGTAAACGATCTATCTCCTTATGGTTAACGATGGAAAGATCGGAATCAATACCTCCAAGGGTAACTGGTGGTGGTGGTGGTGGTGGAATAGATGTTGATGATGATATATATCGGTTTGCGGTTACGTGACGCCACGATAACTTATTTGAATGATTTTTAATTCTTAACATAGTAGGTAAAATGTAGGGTGATAATGAGTATGTTAATGTGGGAGTCGTGATTCAATGCAGGAGTTTATGGAGAATAGGGTATATTAATTTAATTTCTATGAGTATTACAGAAGAATGTGTAGTAGAAAATGGTGTGAGCTTGTATGTTAGTCCACATTATATTTTTATTTTTTGTTGAAGAGATTTGACTGCATATAGGACTGGCGGAAGAGATACAGAAAAGAGCAAAAGAACAAGATGATATTGGATTGAGAGGAAATATGAGATCAAGAATTGAGATTGAGAATAGTTGGGAAGATGAATACCATATGGTAGGTGTGGTTACTGGAAGTGATCTTAGAAATCTAGGTTGTAGTATATGGGTAATTACAACAATCAATAAAGTTTGCCACGACACGACCCGAGTATCAGTCATATCTATTTGATATAGCACTTCTAATTAGTGTCACTGGGATATGGTACAGATATTCGGCTATCTATCACGAGACTGACTTTCTCAAGAACTATATGAACAATATTGGTTATCTTAAATTTAGGACACTGTTAGCAAAAGCACAATCTCAAAGTCTGTCATTACGAATACTTTATAACATCTTATATCATATGACACACATATCATAATCAAATAGAACCCCTCAATCAGTATATACTTATTTTCTTATGACTTTTATTGGATGTCATTCTCTACTTCCCCGTACCTAAATCTATATACAGACCAATTAATTATTTACTACAAAATATCCTGCACTTTGTTATCACTGATATCTTAATTTTAAAGTAGACGGGGGTACCCACATAAACTCTAATAACAGGGTGGAATTGTATCCATGTACTATAGCATCAAATCTTCTTCAATAAATCTAATTATTCCATCCCCTGGAATGTTAACACAATTCCTCTTTCCAACCAGGTCCATATTGTGTAGGGAAGGTTTCTAATGCGTCAATTGCGCATCTCGCTAAGCCAGCCACCCGGATCTGGGTGTATGGATGGAACGTTTCAGTAGTGGCATCGTAGGCACGCTTTCACCATGATTGAGTGATTTAGAGTTAGAGTAGGAGATGTAAGCAATTCTGTAATTAATCCTCTAGTTGTTCTTCTCCCTGATAAAGAAGAACAATATTAATATTATGATGAACGTGACTAGGGACGGATATTACAGTTCGCAATACCTAGACGAGGAGGCCCAACGTAATCGTGACAGATATTATGATGATGAGGAAGGATCTCTGACCTATAGTGATGTTGGGTATGACCAGGTAAGCTCACAGAACCGAGACGGGTTCATTTCAGCAGCCGTTGGTGGGTCCAGGACCGTGTCCAGTAGCACGAGCACCCCAAGAGTTTTACTGGGGAAAACATTTAGAGAGATTGAAGATGGTGGTGAGTCCAGTACAGAAGCAGGAGGATCTTCCACACGAGAAATTGTAGTAACTGAACATCCTGACCTCAAAGCCGAGCTTACGCCGGCTCAGTTGAATTACCTCCAGAAAAACAATACCCATCGGTTACCGAGCCGTGGGGCTAGAAGGTATGCAGATGACGGGGAAAATGCTGCTTACAAGCAATATGTTCAACATGGGAATTCATGGGTGATTGCTGGTGGTAACCCCGCAGGTTATAAGGGATATGGAAGACATCCTGGAGACTCTGGTTATCGGTATGAGTCTCGTGGCCCATCCAATTATTATCGTACTCCACGATACGAATCGCGATCAAGACGATACCCACCTTCTCCACCAGGTCAGAGTCCATTCATCACCAGTCAATACAATGATGAAGTGAGGACGGAATCTTCATCAGAGGAAGATTCGGCGTATGAAGGTGGTTTCAATGATCATTCTGGATATAGGTCAATGCCCGCAAGTCCGGCGGGGCGTAAGAAATGGGGCCTTTGGACTAAACCAAAAAGACCACAAGATGATGAATATTATATCAAACAACAGGAAAGATATGACCAATCTGATTTCAAACCAAAACTTTACACTCATAAAACTTTCAGAGAAGTATTTGAAGATGAAAAGACAGAAGAAAAGGAAACCAAATACAGCCCCATTGAATTTGTGTTTGATCCTCCTACCAGTGAAACAAACCCACAGTCTCCAACATTGAAAGGGGTATTGAAGAAAGTTAGAAGAAAGGATGATTATAATGATTACGATTATTATGACGAGAAGAAGATAAAGGAGAGTGAACTTCGAGCTGAAATAGAAGCAAAGGCTGACCGAGAGAAAAGACGCAAGAGAAGACAACGTGATAGAGAAAGAGAGGAAGCACTCAAGCGAAAGGCGGCAAACCCCAAAGGTGGGTTCTTCCTGTTTGGAAGAAATACACAAACGGCACAACCAAAGGACAAGATAGTGGAGATTCATTCAGAGGATGAGTCCGCTCCGGTAATAGTTGAAGAAGGACAGGTGGAGAAACGAGTTGTATCCCCTAAGTCGATTAAATCAAATAAGACAGCAAAGTCTGAAGCCACTTCCAAGAAGTCAGCTGTTCTGGCAGAAACTTCTTCAACTTCAGGTCCACAATTCCACCCAGCATGGGAATATGTTCTCTCGTGGTTGGTTTATTCTCCACCCGAGGAGCCTGAACCTACTCCAGCACCGCAATCAACGAAATCTATCAAGACCTTACCTTCAACTATGAAAAAAGCTGCAGTTCGAATGGTCACACCTGAAAGTAAACCAACACCTCTACCAACAGGATCCAAACAAGTAGTCACTCTTGGACCAGCAGCCACGACACGTAAAAAGTATCGTAACCTCAAATCCAACACCAAGCAAAAGTGGAATGCCACTAAGAATACTTGGCAATGGGCACAACAACCAGCACTGGGATTATTTGGTAAGGAGTACGAACCTCGCAATATTCCTAGTGACCAATATCTGACAGTACTGTTACCAAAATCCAAATCAACGACAGGAAGAACCGTTGAATTTGATGAAAATCTTCAAGAATTTGTAGTTGAAGTCGATGATTTTGACACCACTGATCTGGAAGGTGGTCTGGTAGATCAAGAGCTTTACTATAATCCGGAAACTCGTCAATTGGAAAGAACACCTCCTACATCTTATGGGCTGATGTCTATCCCGACTGTCACAACCACACCCACGAAGGTCATTCTGAACATTGCGTCTGCAATCAAGAACATTAACATTATGAGGATCATATTCTCTCCTATAGATGCCATTGCAGAGCAGTTCCCTGCACTTCAATCGGTAGTACTTGTATTAGAATTGGCAATTTTTGTTTGGATTTTGTATGAGTTGAGTCGGTTAGTTGACGCTTTGTGTATGATGGTTAAGGCTATTTGCGCACCCATGATTGCCATTGGGAGATTTATGAACAGAGTTACTTGAAGATAAATAAGCAGAGAAACTTTCTATGTACAGATATACTAGAAGATAATGAACATGTATAGTTATGAAAAAAAAAAAACAGAATTACATCGATTATTGTAGACCATTTGTAGGAGTATCAATGATATCATTGACATAAATTTCGCACCCATGAATTTTTCAAGGGTGGGGTCTTGATAATTCAGGCGAATATGAAAAACGAGAAAATTTCTCAAATATCATTATTAGGCTTTGTTTGTAAAGTTCAACCCCATTAACCATGTACCGTATATTAACCCGACCAACCGTTCGTGTGGCCAATGTTCAGAAACGGTTGCTTATAAGCACAACGAATTTGCTGGCGGAAACCCCATCGGGCAAGGCACCAGGCTTTCCACAACAAGCCCCACAGACTGGAGCATCCAACTCTTCTTCAACTACCGCTCCTTCTCCGACTCATACACGTGCAGCTAGCCCGGCAGATGGAGAAGCTGCAGCTCTTGCAATCCAATCTATAAAGGATATCGGATCCATTCTCTCCTCCTCTCCACCTGGAGAAGATGATGAAACTCAGCCAATCGATTCCAAACCAGTGTGGGAAAACCCTGCTCTCTTTGGTACTTTGAGCTTACTTCACCAGGGGCAAGTGCAAAAGGAACTTCAAGAGAAATTTGATCGTCTGTGGCATAAGCTTTCTATCAAGGACAAGAAACTTGGATATTACATGGCGTATGGGAACTGGGGGGTTCGTGAAGAATTCGATAATTGGAAATCTGCTCAATCTCCACCACTTGATCTTCCCTTCACTATTCCGCTGAAGGTTCAAACTCTGACCCCATCACCAGAGACTCCTGTGCATAAGACTGAACCAGCCGTTGTTCTTGCGGAGACCGCAGTCCGTAAGCCACAATTCGATACCAAAAAGATTGATCCAGTGACCAAGTTCTTTCTCTACATGATTGTTTTTGTTGCCATGTTGGCCATTCATCGTGACAAGACCATTGGGGAAGAGGGACGTCCAGTCGAGCAAATCATTGCCGACCCTTATGAAGAACTCCGCAAAGCCGAGGCACGTGCTGAAGCTGAACGTCAACGCCTTTTAGAGGAGGAAAGATTAAGAAGAAAGTGGTATTACCTCTGGTTGAGGTAATTACGACATGAAAAGTTGGGTATTCTAGGAAATACTTCATTAACCTGTACATATATAATAGACAAAGTATTTAAGATGGGAATTGGATTCTGTAGGTTATACTGAATTTTGTTATCAGTAGAGTTAGGAGTTAGGACAGCCTTCGATTAGACACTATAAATTTTATTGGAGTCTTGTCATAGTAAATTTCAGTAGACTGATTTATTTATGAAGTTGGTTTGATTGCCTTTATTCAAAAAGAAATTGTGACCATCTTACTCACTCCACGTGTACGAACTTGCAAAACAACATTCCTTTCGACTACCATAACTATTGATGTTACCAATATATATTTCATGCTAGAACAGGAATTTAAATGTAGTGTATATCACCATAATTGAAGAATGTTCACTATGAGGACTTACTCTGCACAGCTTAACCAAAAATATTTGTCTATGGTTGCAAAAAATCGTTGCGTAGTGAATTTATCAGTTCTTAATTGACTAATTTGTACCTAAATATAAACAGTATTGTTATTTCAGCAACGGTGTATCATCTACTATACGCGGATACCCCATGTGACTAATTATCAAGACTTGATTGTTCATCATGTAGCAGCGCGAAGCTTTGGATAGCCAAATTCCTCAAATATTGGACAAAGAACCTCATCCTCTTTGATAATAACTCCACCAACTGACCAACTGATCCTTTAATGTTTTATAATTATTGTCCTTCCTAAGCAGATACAATGAAATATTTAGAAATATTCAAAAATATTACATTGTTTGTAAACATTTTAAAACAATTTTCTCCTTGACCTACAACTACTTACTGGTTGTCAAGCTCTTAGGAGGTTTATAATTATAAATCTATTAACGTAAGAACACTAAGATCTACAATCTAGCTCAACCACAATATCATTTCTTTATCCATCTCTAAATATATTTTGCTTATAATTGTATTTTCTCATCAGTCAATTCATCAAGCAGCCACCCTTATTCAAGCTATAACCATTTTATGATGTTTCACAAAATCTTCAATATGGCTGCGCATTAAAAAAAAAACAAAGTCCGCTTAAACGATCTCTCCCGGGGTTAACCATTATCAGTGGAACTTTTAATCCAATACAAGAGAATGTCGGGTCGCAACTTCACGATTTCGTCATTGCTTGACTCCAATGATGACAACACACGGCGGGCGGCTGGTGGTAATAGCTCTCTGGCAGCCCCTCCACCAGTAGCAGCCACAAGTCACTTACAGCCACCACCACCAACAGAAGTCAAGTCACGGTCTACGAGCCCTCTAGCCCCTTCGAAGAAGGAGACTATTCCTTTGACAATGAATGCCGCTCAAATGGCCCCTCTGGCCGTTTCACAGTATCAATTGGCTCCAATGACCCTGCATGGACTGGCGGCGATACTGCCAGGACGAACAACACCACAACAACAACAATTATCGTTTCAAACAGACAATACCGCATCACAAAGACAGATAATGTCTCAGCCGCCCAAGCCGATTCTTGTGGATGACCGAACAGAGGTCATCGTTGTGGAAGATGAAGAAATGCCCGGGTTAGGACCCCCTAACAGGAGGGCCGCTCCAAAGAAGAGAGCTGGTAACAACAATACCACTAGCACTTCTACTGGTTCTATTTCTCTACTGGGTAGCGTGGTTCCCACGCCTCCAGGAGGGCCCGTTGGAATGCTTCCAAAACTTATTCCAAAGCCATTATCACAAGGTTCGAGCTCACCAACACCAAGTGTTTCATCGTTCCAAGCTCGTCCTACAAACTCGACAGGTCCTTCTAATGCCACTGGGGCAACAGGAGACGCAATCTGGCTGTTCCAGTCAAGTTTCCAGTTAAATGGTGGCAATGGAGCTGCTTCGTCACCAACCCCTGCCACACCTACTCCAAACAAGGCAAGTATCAATTCTATAATAAATGTTGAGGATGCGCCAGATCGAAGTCCATCTGTAGAAGTGGCTGCTCCAAAGAAAAAAAGGGCACCCAGAAGGAAGAAGGAAGATGGAGAGGCACCGGCAACTAAGAAAAGGAAACCCGCAGCCACTGCTGCGAATACCGCTACTGCGGGTGCTGGACTCGAAACAGTTATTGAAGTTACTGCAAATGCTACGCCACCTCCAGGTGAGGAACAAAAGAAGGCGCGTGCCAAACCAAAACCAAGAAAGAAGACTCCAGATACAGCAGCCACTACCAATGCTGTAACTTCTTCCACGACATCTGCAGGTTCATCTACTTCTAAAACAGTAACCACTGTTCCTGAGATTACACCAGCTCCAGAAATTCAACCAACACTGACGGCAGAACGTAATTCCAAAGCTGGATCTTCCGTTCCAAATCCTACTGTAGTTGAAATTGGGAAAAAGGAATCATCTCCAAATCTGGCCGTAGCAACCACTGGTACTACCAGTAATGCAGTTTCTTCGACTACTGCTACTACGGCGCCAGTGGTACCTGCATCGGCACCTCCCCCAGTTGAAGCACCAATAATAGCATTGAACATTCCCCTTCTCGATCCTAAAAATCCAAAACCTGGCCAAGCACAAGTGGTGGTTAATGTTCTCAAATTGGCCGAAGAAAAGTATGGCTGGGCTGTAATGCATCCCAATGCTAAATCGGCCATCGATTTAATGGATGACATTATGGACGATGATGAAGATGCTGCTGATGAGGACGATGACGAAGAAAAGGCTGCCCCTACCCTTAATGAGGAAGTTTCCAAAAAGGATACCCCAGAGCTCACAGAAGAGCAACTTGTTCGTCAGCATGAGGTTAAAATGAACCGTAAGGTTGGTAAATATGACTATGAAGATCCTTTCATAGATGATGTGGAGCTTCAATGGGAAGAGGAGATCACTTCAACGAAGGACGGATTCTTTGTATATTGGGGTCCTTTAGTAGAGGACCGTAATGCACCCACTGCAAAAAAGGCAGGAGGGAAAGCCAAGAAGTAAGAAAATTTATTCAACAAAAGGTTTAGCCATAGTTTTCAATTTGACTCCAAGTGTTGCGGACTCTGATCTTGGTGTTTGTGAAAAGAACAATGTATGCCGCCACATCGAGACGTGTCTCTAGTTGCAGTATAAAATCTCAATTATAAAAGGCGCATTTAATTAGGATGGCCAATATAGTCGTATCCAGAAGGACTGTGAAACTCTTGTTGTATCTGATTAGATTGAAGTTTATAGAAGTATGCTTGCGAAATATATCCTCAATCGAAAACTTGCGGGAATGTAGAGTGGGTGGGAGCCGGTTGTAGGAAAGTAGAAAGATGGTTTGAGGGAATAGTATAATAGAACCTCCACATCGTGGATGGTAAGAGAGGTCACTGATGTCCATTATCTACAGAGTACATCACATATCTTCATCTATTCATATATAATTAAGCTCTTATTCTTTCAAGAGCGATCTTGAGAATATCTGCTGCATTAGCAGTAGGTGGCTCGTCAGAAATATCTTTAACCTTTTTGATCACTGTCAGTACCTCCAAAAGAACATCCTTAAGTCTTTCCTTCTGTTCGGTCTCTTTCATGATAGGGTCAGTTCTGCATACTACAAGAAGGTTAAGAAGACTTGAAAGAGTCAGGAATTTAGGACCATCGACAGAGACCAGACCTTCACCAAACTGAAAGGCGGTTGTAAGGTTATCCATAACTAGATCAAAAATGTCGTTGGCTCTCCCAGGGGTCAACTTGATATACTTGACTACTCTTGGAGGAAGTGCTGGTGCAGAGGTAGGGCCCAGGCTTGAAGTCGACAATCCACCCATTTTCTTGGTTATTTCATCTGCATTTTCCACAGCACGATTTTGCGTCAACAATTGTCTCAAGACTCCTGCCAATGCAGCCTTGATATTTTCATAGGGGCAATCATTTAGCGAGTCAATCAAAAATGAATAAACAGCATCTTCTGGTGATAAGCTTAATACTCTTGTCAAAAGAGTAAGAGTGACATACCTGAAGTTGGAGTTAGTTGTACTTGAAACACAAGCAAAAAGGAGTGATTGGAAATAGACAGTAAGAAGAAGTGGAGGCACTCGTTGAAGTTGTAATTCAACTTCCCTTGTCAGTTGAAGATGAATAGTAAGCCAGGACCAGTACGCACAGCAGTCATAAAGAGCCTTTGACAGGAAAAGCTTTGGTTGAATCATTCCAGGGACAATAGAACGAACACTTAACACTAAAGCATCACCAAAAGTGAGTTTAATGCTATCGAAGTTCTTCGAACTTGCTACTTGGTGTGTGGCAAGAATTAAACATCCAATAACTGAATCTGTTATACCTGTTCCAGTGCTATTTACAATTGTGGAGTGTACATTGGTCTGGTAATCATTGATAATTGCCAGGAAGAGATCCGATGGATCAGAAGTTTTCAAATTTACTGAATGGAAGAGCTTATGAGAATCAACGATATATGAGGCAAATTGTCCACCGAGATCGATGTCAAAGGATTGCGCTAATGATATGAGACGATTCATTGATTCGTTGTCCACAGTATAATCGAAATACTTTTCGAGTTGTGGGCGTAGTGGTGTTTGGAGCATGGTAACAATGTCCATAGAATATCCAAAGAGATAATTGCGGCCCACGAGTTGGATAGTTTGGGTCAACAAGGAAGTGAGAAGTTTACGTTGAATAGCAGCATCTTCTTCATCTTCTTCCAGTTGCACGACTATTTTATCAATGGAAGTTGGCTTCAAAGAATGTAAATTATCATCACCTTCGGCTGGGGCTGGGGCCACCAGTTCAGATTTCTCTGAACTATCTTCATCATCAAATTCACGGAACAGCTTCAAAGGCACGTTATTTTTAACCCCAAGAATAGCCCCATCGGTGTAGGTTCTACAAAAAATATAAACTCTTTTCAACATGAATGTCCAATAATCCAGTCTATTAAGTCCATTAGACGCCACCATGTTAACTATGGCAGTGGCAGCCATTGCCAAGAACTTCAGTGGAGATTTCACCGGGGTTGAAATTGTGCCTGTGTTAGACGAAGTGGTCTTCAGGGCTTCTGGTAAGGTTCCTCTAATACCTCTCAAACAAACACTCATTAATTCAAAGAGACAATACACTTTAATTTCAAAGAATTTCATTTGATGTGATTCATCTTCGGTGACAACAGACAGATGGGACACAAGCAAGGTACTGACACATTCACAAGCTTTCAACAACAATTCTTTATGATTACCCCATACTGCAAGCAACTCGAATAGTTTGAGGACTCGATAAATGCATGGAGCAAACCTAATGGGTGCATCAAAATCATAATCCAGATCAATGAATCTCAATAGTAATGGGGGTAAATCCCACCCGGCCTCATATACAAGCTTAGGGTCAAGGATGAATGCCAGCAAGAGCAGTTGAAGCAATTGTTCACGTTCATCGATCTTGTATTGTAGTGGGTTTCCCAAATAAACGTCCAACACGGTGCCGTAAGTGAGGTAGTCGCCCGATTCGGTGGCGTCATGAGCCGCCAAATCGAGAACATCCAAGATTCTCTCAATGGATACTTCTTCGAGCGTGGATTCGCTTGTATCTGACATTGTTTCGTGGGGGGAATTGGTGTTATGAAAAGATACAATGAGGGGATATGAATTGAAATATATTACGGCTGCATGGCTGTTACTTTTTGGTGTCTCTTCTCTCAGATGGAGGTTGGCGCGCGCGCGCTACAACATGCACTCTGCCTATGCCCAGATTGTACCTAAGGGTACCTGTAAACGGCTGTGGTGCAGGGGTGTTGTACAATAGGAGAGGGCCCAACACACCATAGAGCCCCCCACCATAGAGTATTGGCAATTTTATCTAAGGAATGTATTGTAGAGGTTATTCGTTGAGGGAAATTTATATTGCACTGTATATTTTTACCCCTGTAGCGTGTACGGATGAATATTGGTCTACATAGAGCTCCAGATATACATGAAGATTAGCATAGAGGTGTAGGATAAGTGATTCTATAAGAGAACTACTCTAGTTATTGGGTCCTCCATACCAGTTCTTTGACTCTCTATATCAATTATTTGGTGCAACAATAATTATTCCCATACAACTACAATGTATATTTTCTCTCAATTCTTATTCTGGAATCTCCCACAAATAGTTTTTGAATGAAGAGTCGTTGTCATGGGGGTCAAAGTCTTGATGAAGGATGGCAATCGTTTAAATAGAAGATATATACATCTACATATCATTATGGATATGTAAGTAAATGTATTTGAGGATACCTGCACAATTATAGTTAACCCGCGTTCAAATCTACTCCTTATCCAAATTTCTTTCTCTTTAGATTACCAACTATGTCTGATCTAGAATCGGAATCAGCTTCAGATTCAGGTCCAGAATCTGAAAATGATGTTCGAGCACCACCACCATTAGCTGCATCGGTACTTTTAGAAAAAACTTCAATAGTACCCCCACCTCCGCCTCCTGAGAAGGTTAGTATTCGATTAGTTTCAATTGGATCTACTCCGTCAGTATCACCCAATGTGATTCGAATCTCAGGAGACCGTTCCATGGCTGCTGTGGGACAATTTCTTCGAAAACGTCTACGTCTGAAATCTGTTCATTTGTATATTCAAAACACTTTTGAGCCTGGACCAGATGAACTGGTTCAAGATTTGTTTAATTTATTTAAAACCAAAAATGAATTGATTGTTAGTTACTGTTTACAAGTTGCATTTGGGTGATTAAAATATCATAGAGATAATAATATGGTCCCCTAAAGGATTGGGCCGAGCATTGAGGGGATTTCGAATCCAACTCTTAGTTGAAGATAAGGGTGAATATTTTTTATAACTAGCAGAATCTGAAACCTTCTCCCACCTAATGTGGCAAAACTAAGGATAATCATCTTGTTAATAACCACAGGAACTTCTAATCTGTTTTTTTAATCCCCTATTAGTTGAAACACGTTACCAAACAATCCTATTGCCAAGTTATTCGAAGCCCTTCTGCGTTTCAAATTGGTGAGTTTAAAGGTTCCTCGAAGAGGAAGAAGGCCCCCACGGCTAGTGGCCCACGGTGTGCCAGCGGAGCGGCTCAAATACCCCGTAAGGTGGTGACTGACTACTCCCTTCCCCTGGAGGACTGTAAGACGCTCCGCTGGGCCCCTGCTCGGGGAGAGCCACTGCGTGGTGCCTAGCTCCTCTTCGAGGAGTTCTCTTTCTCTAGATTCATACACTCAGTGGATGGGTTGATATTCACCGTATCATATTCTAAATCTATATCTATTTCACTTTATAAATTCAATTAATGTGTCTGTAAATTCCTTACTCTTTTCTGTAATAATGTAATGACCAGTGTCAAAATCAATAACTTTCACTGATTCGAAATAATCATCAAACAGCTCAATAGAGCTAATAAACCCGGATTGAGTACTCCTTATCACCAACACTGGACCTCGATATTTCTGACCCAAGGTCTCCCTTTTCGGCCATTGACTGACTATTTCAATTGCATCATGTTCGATAAAGCAAGTATTTGGATTTTGGAATGTAATCACATCTTTACCTTTCACCATATTTGATAATAGGAATGTTTGAACCATTGGTTCTATCCCATGTTTAGTTAAAATATCTTGTACTTCATTTTGAATTATTCGACCATTCAATTTAGATGAGATTTTATCTTGTTCGATTTCTTGTAAAGCTTTCAAATTTCTTCTAAAGGATGGATCCAATGGAGTATATGCGGGCATGTTATCAACCACCACCAATGAGTCAATCAATTCTGGTCTTTTCAAGGCTAATACCATGGCTACTTTGGCCCCCATTGAATGTCCAACTACTACAAGTTTACTCAATTTATTGGTATCAAGGTATTGCTCTACATCTTTGGCCATGGTCTCATAATTCAATGGGAGTGCCTTGGGGGACTCACCATGGTTCCTCATGTCTAAGCCAATCACATTAAACCCAAGTTCTCTACTTAATTTCTTCCCAATTGATCTATAATTCTTTTTTGATCCAAGAAATCCATGAAGGAAAAGAATTGTTCTTGGATCTTTTTGTACAAATTGTTTGGTAACAAATTGTTCTGAAACTAAGGAAACAGGGCCATTAGCAAGAGGTAAGTTACATCTACCAGTCTTTGCCACTGTATAAGCACGTCGTAAAGTTGGGAACATTCTAAAAAAAAATTGACACCAAAGAAAGATCTTTAGAATTTCCTAAAGAGTCATGGACCTTTTATTTTAACCGCGCAATCTTATCTACTAGCACTAGTAATAACACCTTCAATATTCTTCCAATACTACATTCTCTACCTTATTATCACTCTACACTCTTCTCTTAATAACCTTTTAATAATATTATACAAACGAAAATTTTAAAAATCCAACGAAACCGAAATGGTGAAAAAATAATCCCAAAGCCATATATAATCTAATAAAAGATAAAGTTGGCCTTTCCAGAAGAAACAGTAACGGTACAACCATCGGAACCGTTACCACCAACGTATTGACCGTTTTCGTACTTACAAGCACCATTGACATCGGATCCATCAGCACCTTCAATCTTGATGCTATAGTTTGGAGCATCCTTGTTGTTTGGGTTTGGAATCAAGGACAAGTAAGTCTTACCACCAGTGACACCAGCACCAAGAACAACTGGAGCCCAGTTACCAACACCAGAACCATCAGTTCCCCAAATACAACCATCTTCAATAGAAACACCAGCATTGTTAACATAGTATTGGGTAGAAGTTCTACCACCCTTCCAAGTGAAGTAGTTATCAGAATCAACAACAGAAGCTGGAGAAGTACCACCAGCCTTCAATAAGGTTGGAACATTCATGTTTTCAGAACCTGGGTAATCAGTTCTACAGATAGCAACATCCTTTTCAATCTTGGAAACAAAGGCAGCAGTTTCTTTACCCCAAGAACACAAGTACTTGGAATCTTGGTTAGATCTGTACAACTTACCATTCTTACATAACAAACCACCAACGGAAATACCAGAGGCAGGTTGGTTAGATGGCCATTGAGTCTTGGACATACCAGCTTGACAAGCATAAGAACAGTAGAAACCATCAGTACAGTCGGTAGAGGTGTCACCGTTAAGGTTCATGATGGAAGTGAATCCACCGTTAAGGTTAGAGAGCCAATCAACGGCAATGACACCTTGACCAGTTGGAAGAGAACCACAGTCATGAACACCATCTTCAAATTCAACAGATGGGTCAGAAAAGGCAGAAAGATCACCGGAGATACCACCGGAACCACCAGAAGAGCTGGAACCAGAAGATTGGGCAGCAGAAGATTGTGGAGCAGAAGTAGTCTTGGTGGTCAAGGTAGTTGGAGAAGCAGTGGCAGTTGGAGTGGTAGTTGGGGAGGCTCCAGCTGGAGTGGTAACCTTTCCATCACCATCAACGTAAACGATTTGGGTATAAACATCTCTCTTTTGGTGTTGATGCTTGTGTTGATGTTGTTGTTGTTCCAAAGGAACAGCAAGAGCAGTGGCAGCAAGGGCCAATAAGGTAATAATTGAAGATCTCATATTGTAAACAAAAACAAAATTAATTCAAAAAATAAAAACCAACAAATATATATATATATAAAGAATGACTACTAGAAAGGAGTGACTAGTTAGTTATAATGAAGGACAAGTAGTTGGAAAGTTGTTGGTTCGTTTTTAAAGAGAAGAAATTTAAAATGTTTAAAAAATAGACGAAATTTTGCCCCAGTTATAAAAGCCTGAGTTGGATCGTAAAAGAGAAAATTTTGGTCGTCAATAGGGTAAAAAAGAAACAACAAGAGGCATACCAAGCGCTCGCAACGTGCGGCTCCGCCGCATTAGGCGCATTTTCGACGCGGAGTGTTCCCCTAGTTGTAAGTGACAATCCCCCGTGTGCAGGCCCGCGCGCGACAAATTGGCCTAGTTGGGCGCAAGAAATTCTAGACCCGGCGGGGCGAACACAGGTGCAGGTCAGGGGATGCAATTCTAGATCTGTGTGTCATTAAGCTCAATTGGGTGATCTGATGATTTGTGACAGCCGAGGGAAGTAAGACATCGGACATTTAAAAGTCTATATTATAAATTTTCTACAACAACAGCGGTTAAATGATATAGGAGAGATTAGGGGTGTTTCCTTAGTTATTATTGGGGGAGCATAGATTGATTTGTAGATAATGAAATAATAGAGGCTGTACAGTACGGGCTCACACTATGGATACAACGAGTAATTGAAAAACAAAACACAAAATTTGAAGCATTTACAAAACAAATTTCAGGTCTGCACATACATGAGTGTCCCATTGTATAGAAATTTTGAAAAAAGAACAAATCAAAATATAAATTTAATTTTTTCCACTTTTTGTTGATTCGCGCACATTCGTTGTGTCTCAAATTTGCTACAAATTTGTCACAAGATGAACAATAGAGAGGCACAGTAGACCGCCACCGAAAGAAAAGAAAAAAATAACAGAGAGAAGGTGGGTGACATATTAATCGGGCTCAATTGATCAATGACTTATATCTCGTAACCATTGGTAGTTCATCTAGACAAAAGCAATTTGCAAAGCTTGTTTTCAATGTCTATTATGTAGTACACGACCATCAAAGGAATGGAAAGAATGGCTAATATGTACGCCAAACTGTACATGGTGCTAAACCTGTAGATAAGCAGCTCATCAAATACGGAATGCCGGTCTATCGACGTAGCATTTTGAGATTAATTAGTCCTGTATGACTGATTTCAAAGAATTAAAAATTTACTTCCCCCCGGTTACGAAGCCCTTACGAGAAAATAATTTGCCCCTAATGGAGTTAATTACATGCGCCAAATTGTGGATTAAAGTTTGTATGGGAATGAAAATCATAGAGGGAATTTAAAAGATTTCCATCAATTTTTTTTTCTGTTTTATTGATCTAGAAAGATGTAAAGTATGTAATGTAAAGTATGTAATAATTGAATAGTTAATAATGTAGGGTAACCGTTCTCTAGTCAATTTGCCACCTTGGACCATTTCATCACCTTAGATCTCGCATTGGGCTTATTCAACATGCAATTAATTGCATATTAACATTTTTTCCGCATAACACATCGGAAAAATTATACTGAAAAATTATTACAAAACCGATAAAATATGCGGAATATCAATTACACTTCCACATCTAGAGTCCATCGATTTAATTCCGTCACCAAGTACGCATAACGGTTCCGTTTCACTACGCCCTTTCTACCAACTATGTTAGCATAATCCTATAAAATATCCCAAAATATACACACCCAGATGAACTAAAAAAAATAGTCAAGAAAACCCAAAAGAAAAAAAAAAGAAAAAGACCGATCTCTACCGCGCCCCTGTAGATCATATTACCGGTAACAGGGTGATGGACGCTTGTTCATGCAACTATCCTGACCTACTTTTCTCAACAGCTTTCTGGCCAACGGTCGTTATTCCGTAGTTAAGGAGTTGTGCCGTTGGGGCCAGTAACCTGCAACAAGTAAAAGATGTCAAATTAAAAGTCCAGACTCTCTTTCAAAAGAAATTTGAAGATGATGTTTCAATCATTATCCCGATAATCCTTTCAAATCCCTAACCTGTAGGGGAAGTAATACAGAGAGTGTAATACTCTCTTACTAATTTATACCTCTCTAAATCTTAACCGGAATAGTCCCTTCATCTTCAATTCCTAAATTAAACCAAGGATGTTGTAATGCCTCATAAGCAGTAAGTCTTCTATTTGGACTTATGATAAACAATTTTCGAATTAAATCAATTAAAAACCACCAAAATGTAAAGTTTCCAAAATCAATTAAATGACGATTTCTATCAAAATTTTCATTTAATGAATAATCAAAATCAATTTCTAAACCTAATTTTGAACTTATAAATAAATCAATTCTATCAACTCGTTCAACAGATTCAATAAATCTTAAGGGAGTATTTATAGATTCAGCAAATTCTAATTCATTATTAATATCAAAATATTTTAATCCACATTCATTTTGGAAATTTTTTGATACTTTAACCATATGAGAATCTATTTTACATCCACAAATTTTTTCAATCATTGCTAAATGTTCAAGATTATCATGAGTTTTAAATAATGGTTCACCAATGATCAATTCTACAAGTATACAACCAGTAGACCACATATCACAGGGGAATGACCATCCAGTACCCAAAATGATTTCTGGAGCTCGATAATGTCTTGTAGATACAATTGATGAATGATATTCATCATTAAATATCGCACTACCAAAATCAATGATTTGAATTGATGGATCATTTAAAACTTTCAAAAATTTTGGAAATTTCTTTAATTTTTTCTTTAATGATTCATAACTTGAACGAATTGTATGAGAATTTAATTTCCTTTTAGTAAATGAATCATCATAAAGTAAAATATTTTCTGGTTTTAAATCAGTATGAATTAAACTTAAATCATGTAAAAATGTAATTGATCTAATCAATTGTTTCAGAATTGCTTGAATATGAGATCCGGGGAAACTAATAAATTTATTTTGTTCCAAAAAATCATATAATGATATTTTCAATAAATCTGTTACAATACAAATATGACCACGATAATCAAAACATTCTTTTAAATGAATACAATGATTCATATTATCATTATCGAATTTTTTCAAAGTCAGTAAAATTCTTAATTCAATTTTGGCTGCATCTCGATATTTTGGAATATTTCTTATAATTTTAATGGCACATTTTTCATTTTTTTGTTTATCAAAGCATTCAATCACTTTACCAAATGTTCCTTGACCCAATAATCTTACAATGAAGAATCTATTGGCAAAAGTTTCATTGATTTTGATGATATAATGACCATCATTATCATCACAATTGATCATATCATCTGATTCATAGGGGATTATTGTGGGTTTAATATTGCCCAATTTAGGTACTTTACTGATAATAGCCGGGGAAATCCGATTATAAAAACATCTCACTTGTGGCAATTGAGGCAATGAACTTGTTCTTTGCTTCTTTATAATTGTTGATGAATTATCATAATTATAATTTGTTCCCCCCTGATTATTATTATTATTACTATGAACATTGAACATGTTATATGCACATTCTTCCTCATCATTATTGATGAATAGGGCAGAATCAGAATTATTTCTACCTCTGATATTGGCAGTACCCAAGTTCCGTTCTTCAAGAATAACCACATCGTCATCATCATCTTCTTCTTCAATGACTTCATCGTCTAGTTCTTCATCGACTTCTTCAATTCCATCTATATCATAATCATTTTCATATCCATCATGGGGCCCGCCCGTATCAGATTCAGAAGTATCATCGATTACAATACTGTCATTGAATGTAATTGAGCCGTTTTTTTTGGATGACTCGATTGTATGAGAACTAGAAGATGACAGACTGTTTGGGTCAAATTCCAAACCAATGATGGAAGTCCCGGTTGTTGATGTCTTTGTAGTGTGGGACGCGTTGAACGTCTCACTGAAACCTCTAGGTCTTTTTCTGTTGGATATAAGGGACATTAGTATTACTTTCTTGTACTATCAGAAAAAAAAAAAATAATAATAATAATAATAAAGGCTCACGTGTAGGCCGATATGACTACCGTGGTTGAAGGATCTCGTACTGAATGTACGCGCTGGGGCTGGCGGTCGTGCAAATGGGAGGACGCAGACGACAACAACAGCGAAAACTAAGGACGTAGTTGAGAAATGATTGGTAAGATTCTGGATAGCAAGAGAAAGAGGTTTAAAATTAACGCCATGGTTTGAACAAAAGAGAGAATGATAAAATTAATTGAGTCGTGCGAGGGCGCATAAAAAATGACACAAACGGATGATAAGGTAAAAGATTAAAAAAAAAAGAGAGCATGAAGATAGCAACAATCAGAACGGGATAGACAAGGTAAATAGAAGGATTAGAAGTAGGCAATAAGTTGGAAGGTAAGTTTGGAAAAAAAAACCTATTCATAGGTAAATATCAAGTATGTACAGTCCGTAGACCAGTGTTAAATGGTTATTAGTAAGAAAGTAATTGCTCGTAAATTTTCTCATTCAACCCCAAAAAAAAAAAAGAATTCCAAAATACATACATGACCAGAAGCACGAAAAAAAAAAGTGATAAGGTACGTTTGTATGTGGGGGTGTGATAGGGAGGAAAATGAATGAAATAGGACAAAATGATAGATATGATGAGTGGGGCGTAGTAAACACTATTAAGAGGAGAAATAAGCTATGTTGATATGAGTGGGGTTTGTAATAAGGGAATTCTTCATTTTGAGGAGCACTTCCAAAGAGAGGGGGGTGGCAAAAACTCCAAAAAAGAAAAATAAAAAGAGGGGATAAAAAAAAAATAGAGAATTTTACAGTACACAATATACAGCCGTTATGCTTTTTTATGTTATTGGACGGGTAGGGAATAGATATGTAAAGAAAGCAGTGAAACAACCGGGTAACCAAAGACGGGCACGTTCTTTGCAGGAGAAAGACGATCCTATTGGATAGCCTAAAAATATAGAATTGGAGGATGTCGTCTAATTTTGGGTTGTTTCTTTTTGACTTTTTTTTTTGTGTTCCCTTTTTTGGAATAATTCGATTTTAGGATAAATGGGAGATAACAGTTTTTTTTGCTTAATAGAATGGAATAGGGCCTGTAGAGACTTTGTAGATGAATGTGGGGGTGAATTTGGTGGGTGTTATTGGGTTTAGAATACGGCAATAAGAAACTTTTTCAAAATACTATTTTAAAGATATTTGGTTGCAAATTGAAGAAATATTGTATTTATTTTTAAAATAATTGAATAAATAGCAAAAGTATTAGCAGGATCAATGAAGAATGCATAGAAGAGCTAGGGTAACATGTTTTATGATAATAGCTGAGAAGACATTATATCAGGGCTACTATTACAGGTCTTGTTTGCTAAATTGTAGGTCAGCAAAAAAAAAAAAATTATTACTTCTTTTGTGGCGTTTTTCTATACCTTCAAGTTTTTAAGGAAGTTTGTCAGGAATCGTTCCAAGTCTACCTAAGACTCATCTCGCGGAACTCCACTCAAGGATCTTGAAGATGTCCATCATTTTTTTCACTTCGGTACTCCGTAATTGTGATCTCATCATTGCTACGTAACCGCATATAGTTACCTTTTTTCTTCCATAGAAAAGATGCGAAATCGCTATTCCCGTCGCGTCAAATACGGGGAAGGGCACATAATTCTTGCCACCAGCATATTATTTTTTTGTCAAACTATCTAATTACATACTACATTACGTACTTCAGTACATAGTTAATTACTTTGTTCATTACTTATTTCATGACTTAGGTTAAGCACCACAACTTATGTTTTCTCCTTCTACAACACTCATACACTCTCTACAGTACTCATACACCTTATTCTCCATTTGAACCACATTCACCCTCATCTATATCTTTTTCACTTGATCTTTATAAAAGATATCACAGGATACCATTCTGATCATCTCATAACTATGCATTGGAAGTGACGGAGATTACAATTTACGGAATGTTTTCAAATCATCCCACCTACCATTACTTAGTTCACATAATGTAATCGAATTACCCTACCTTTACACCCTTCAATACTCTTACTCAAACCTGTGTTACTCCACTTGTATAAGTTAACTATTGTCTAAATTCAAAAATAAGATCTCAAAACTTTATTCTTAATACAATTCCAGAGCTCAATTCGAAAATGGTGTTATTCCCGTTACATTGCAACTCTCATACTTAAAATCGTGTACTTACCGAGGACCAATTTTCTTTTTTTTTTTCTAGGCTTGCGATCACAAATCTCAATTTGAAGCCTTTCACTAAAAATAAATAACTGTCATATTCATTTGGTAGCTCTAAATTAAATCATAACTACAACTCCACACGGAATAAACTCCCGGTGGAACAATCACACAACTCATCTGCATCCCCACCCCAACTCTACGGCCAGTCTTTGCAAGCTTTATATTCGGGCAGGTCAATTACAACACGAGCCAACACATTCACGAAGAGTGCTGCACTGAACTAAGAGCAGAGTGTCTGCCATAACAATTCAAATTTTTTTTTTCTTGACAGTCTTTAAACATGTCCAAGTCTAACCTGGACGATCTACCGGATGCAGTAATCGAGAACGAGTCCCTGACCTTGAACAGTAGTAAACCTGACAATGATAATTCCAACGCAGACAATGCACCACCACCATCAAGAAATGCAGTGATGAACGCTGGCACAGCTTTAGCGGCCGCATTGGACAGCCAAACCTTAGATGAGCCAGCAATAACCAATACCACTGGATCCAAGCAGTTTGTGTGCAAAATTTGCAATCAAAAATTCACTCGTAAACATAATATGCTTTCCCATGAATTAACCCATTCATCACTTAAACCATTTACTTGTCAGGTTTGTAATTTGAAGTTTAGAAGGGTACATGATTTGAAGCGCCATGAAAAGCTTCACACTGGTGAAAAACCTTTCAATTGTAGTCAATGTGGTCGGAAATTCGCTCGTCCTGATGCATTAACAAGACATCAACAATCAGCCAATGGATGTAGCGTTGCACTTGATATGACCCCTGAAACACAAGCTACCTCCTCGATGAATATAAAGGATTCTGGAGGCGGTGGCACCGTGGAAGCCTCAAGTGGGAACTCCACTGACAGTAGTGTTGGATTAAATTCGAATTTGTCAATGGCTGATAGAACAGAAACTTCATATTCAAATTTTTCAAATCCACTGGAGAAGGATAAAATGGTGGAATCTTCCAAGGGAGCCATTAGTATTAGTTCTGTATCATCAGAAGGATCAGCATCTGTCTCAGGATCTAATTTTACCGATAATATTAGCTCAGATAATTATGATATGAATAGATGGAGAGCATTACAATTTTCGAAACAACAACAGGGGATTTCTGACACAACTGCGGCGAAAGCTCAAGAGAGACGAGAACTGGAGGATAGAATTATTCTGAACCTGCCACAAGAGATACAATCACAACCTGTACAAAATCTGATCCCACATTTACTTCAATTACAACCAATGCAACAATTACGTCAATATAGGGATGGACTGTCACGTCAAACAGAACCACCGTTTTATGCTTCACCAAAGCAACAGTCTCAACCTTATCAATATCAATATCAAGAGGAGCAACCACAGTCTGAACTGCCTCCTGATCGTCAGAATACACCTCAGTATAATACAACCACGACTACGACGACTACAACCACCACCACAACAAAAAGAAATCGAGATAGTCAAGCTAGAGGAGAGCGGCAATTCTACAGACAAGACCGTCAAGATACTGAACGCCCTCAATTTAAATTGTATGGGAACAAGTTTGTTTCTTCGAATCAACAACCCCCACCACAACAACAGCAACAGCAACAGCAACAGCAACAGCAACAGAAACAGGGCTCCGCACCACAATTACCACAGCCATCGAATAGACAATGGCAACAACAACAATTACCTCCAGCTCCTCAACCGCCATTTATCGACCAAAATTACGTTACAATGGAGAAATATTGTGATCTCGTTACATACACCAATACGTTGCAGGACAGTTTACGGAGAATGCATACGAGATTACAACATTTGGAAGATGAGTCTGCAGAAACCAAGGAACATAAAAAGCGAGACTTACATAGTGAGACATGATTGGGCAAGACCGAGAGGCTTGAGGAATTATTTTATAGAATTTTGATAACAAATGAATACATGTGAATTTGAATAGATATGTAAAGTAAGATGAGATGATACATTTAGACTATCGAGATAAGGTTCAGTCATCTGGTAATGAGTTGTGTTGGCGATGAGAAAAAAAAAAAGAAAAAAAGTAGAAGAAATTAGAATACGTGAGTTAATATATTTTACTAGGTAAAATAAGTATCTGCAACTACTATATCTAGGATTTGGTCTTCTGCTTTAAACTCTACTAAAACAAATATATCTATCTATTATATACATTCCCGTTTCTTTGTCTGAGAATTCTTATCAGATGTTCTTATCTCCGTCATAATTCATCACTTTTGAAAGTTCTTTGAAAGACGTACAAAAATGAAAGTGATATTTTGACATAATTACCTATAACCACTTATAATTCTTATTATTCTATTGACTTATCTAATTCATCAATATGCTTTTACATATAACTACTCTACAGTAGTGGTTTCACTCAATTCAGATCCACATGACCTCAAAACGGATTTAAAACACAAAGACGCACGCTTATCGTGAGAAATCACAAAAATACATATATTAAAAAAAAAAAAAAATAAAACTAAAAGGGGATGAAAGGCAACAGTTATTGATCCCTTAATAATACTAAACACAGACACACACACTTAAATTATAATACTGAGCCTCAAGAGTAGAACTACACACAGAACTACAATGAACACAGAAGAAGACTGGTCTATTATCTCGTCGCTGAGCGACTTGGATGACGATCAAGCCACTATTGAATCTCATGAGGAGGGGAATGGGGGTGAAACCCCACAGAATGTTAGTAGTATAGCCACACTACGTATTCCAGTATTGGAATCATCTTCAGCAAGATCTTCAGCTAGTGCTGGATCCGATTCCATTGTACTTGTTGATCATGAAATCACTATTGACCACGAGGGAAGTACGGGGTTGAGTAGTACACCCACTGAGCTAGAACCAAAGGAAAGGGAAGAGGAATCCAAGCCTGTTGGAAGAATTCAAATGACTATTGCATTTTATGAAGAGCTTGCAGGAGGGATCTCATCAACTTTTAGTCGCCATTTTGGTGGTGGTGGTGAAGATATCGCCACTGAATCTGAGTCAAAAGATGAATTAATTACCGAAAGTTCTAATAACCAGAAGAAAATTGTGAAAGAATCAAGACTGGTCAATTCAATTGTTACATCAGCCAGGGCAAAAGCTCAAGACTTTGGTAATCAACAAATGGAACTTATCTCCAAACAATCTCCAAAGACTATATTAATAAGTTTATTAACTTTTGTGACAATAATTTTAGCTCTGAGTTATGTTTTCAGGATGGTTATGGTTCAAATTGTTGCACCACAACCTCTACCTCAAAGACAATCCTCATGGACTCAACTTTGGAATAACTCTCCTCCACCTCAAGAATCTAGGTTCTTTGTGTGGAGGACTCCACCATCACCACCACCAACAACGTTATCAATTATGAAGAGTACATTAAACAAATATATTGAACAGGAAGCTGACCAATTCCATCATTTGGTTGAGATAGTCTCAATTGAAACTGAGAAATATTCTAAAGAAAGTTTTAAATTTCTTTTAAAATTCCAAGATTTATCTGAAAAGTTAACAAATCAATTGATTCAAAATTCAATAAATTATAAATTAATAATTATGGAAAAGTCCAAAATATTAAATAAATTATTGAATTCTGAAGCAATTAAATGGAATTTTTTTTTGAATAAAGAATATAAAGAAATTTCCAAACAATATGAAATTTTAAGTAAAGAAATTTCAATTCAATTGAAACTTTTCAGTAATAAAACCAAATTAAAATCAAAAGAATTCAGTAAATTAATTTTAATTCAAGCAAATGAATTCAATAAATTTGCTTCAATTAAATCAAAGGAATATGGTATGACTGTTTCAAAATGTTTTAATCAATTTGTTTATAAATCAAAGGACACATATTCAATATTAAATACCAAACTTAATTATTGGACACCAATAGCTATTTCAAAGCTCAATTTTCTTTATACAGAATCAGCAAAGACTAGTACTGTGATTGTCTCCAAGGGACTTGAGAATTCAAGAAGTATATTCAATCAATGTAAAGTATTTGGGTCAGATTTAACAAGGAATGCGCTTGGAAATGATACGGCTGGAACTCTAGCAAAAAAGGGAATTTCCAAAAGTTACAAGACTGGAACAAATATTATTTCAAAAGTCTTGAGAAGTTCAGCTGTTGGCGGTTATCATGCAACCACTTGGATCACTTCATGGATATAACCCGATTGTTCGGATAAGGATACCCCCATTTATAAATGGATACAGAGTTTGTGAAATTTTCAAATGTCTGGATGGATGAAACGCACGATGGGCGTTTTGGTATGGTATAAGGTAATGGTCATGGTCATGGATAGGTTGGAATGAATTAGTCGATACTAACATTCAAATATGGTTCTTTTATTATTATTATTATTCTCTCTCTCTTTATTTTTTTTTTTTTTTACATCTTGGTTTTGATATATCACATATATCTTGTCATAACTCTTGTTACTATTAATTTTTATTTAGTCTTTTTATTGTTTATTATTTTGTTTAGTTTATAGGATATATGTTTAGTTTTTTGAAATTTGAATGTAGTGAACAATTCTCCAAGGGTTTGTATAGGGCTTCTGTGTACAGGAATAAACATTGCATGCAGACGGCGACATTGAAGGTTCTCAAAATGAAACAGCCACCGATTAACCTTGAATTATTTGTATATATAGTAAAGATAGTAACCTAGACAACAATGGGTATGTATAACGAGACGAGAGATAATTAGATTGAGTGGGAGTAGTAGTTACAGGAGAGTACCAGAGTTCATATAGGTTGATTCTTAAAGCCAATTATTCTGAGAATAGAATGAGATCCAAAAGTGTACATACTCAAGAGGGGGAAGCTTGAAGATTGTTGAATGATATGAACAAAGTTAGAGTATTATTGGTCCTATATGGTGATGGAACACGATAAACATTCAGTTGAAGTTCCTCCATGTGCACCAGTTTTCATTCAACCGTGTTTTGACTATTGCTCTACCATTCAAAGTGTTTGCTGTTGATTAACTTTTTTTCAATTCTTTTTATTGTACTTCTGGTGGCAGAAACGCGTGATTTACTACCGGCACCATATAAAATCTTCGTACTAACTAGTAGGTATCCCCAAGTTCTTCAGATTTATCTCGGAAAGATGGCCGTTGATCTCTCAACCTGTCGAAGAAGGGAAAGTACCCCAATTCGACAATCTTTACCTTGATATGAACTCGATTTTGCACACATGCACACACCCTAATGACGGACAATTAAGTCATATGACTGACGACCAGATGTACGCTGCAATTTTCACGTATATCGAGCATTTGTTCCAAATCATCAAGCCTCAAAAAACGTTTTATATGGCCATTGATGGGGTTGCACCCCGTGCCAAGATGAATCAGCAGCGTGCCAGACGGTTTAGAACTGCCACTGAAGCTGAAGAAAATGTGAAAAAAGCTCTTGCACGTGGAGAAACACTCCCAAAGGAAGATCCTTTCGACTCGAACGCCATTACTCCAGGTACAGAATTTATGGCTAAATTGACATCAAATTTGAAATATTTCATCCATAAAAAAATCTCTGAAGATAAACTGTGGAATGGTATTGAGATTGTTCTTAGTGGTCATGAAGTACCCGGTGAAGGTGAACATAAAATCATGGACTACATAAGAACCATGAAATCACAAAGTGAATACAATGCAAACACCAGACATTGTATCTATGGGTTGGATGCCGATCTTATTATGTTGGGACTTGTTTCCCATGATCCTCACTTTGCCCTTTTACGTGAAGAGGTGACTTTTGGTCCGTCCCGGAAGGCGGTCAACGATGTTAATGACCAACAGTTTTATTTGCTTCATCTTTCTTTACTTCGAGAGTACATGGCTTTAGAATTCCAAGATTTACAAGATGAATTAAATTTTGAATATAATTTTGAAAAAGTTCTTGATGATTTCATTTTAATTATGTACGTCATTGGTAACGATTTCTTACCTAATTTACCTGATTTGTTTATCAATAAGGGAGCCTTCCCATTACTTATTGAAACATTTAAACAATATTTGAAACAATCAGATGGGTACCTTAATGAAAATGGTACGATAAATTTGCGTAGATTGAGTATTTGGTTGGCATATCTTTCAGAATTCGAATTGGAGAATTTTGAAAAGGTCAATGTTGACGTTGAATGGTTTAATAAGAAATTGGAAGATATTTCCATTCTGGGAGAGAAAAAGAGAGAAAGATTTGGAAAATTGTTGTTATTGAAAGATCAAAAGAAATTGATCGGTAGTATTAAGCCTTGGTTATTAGGAGTTGCTTCTAAACCAGTACAGGAACTTATCGAACTTGAAACTAGTGGTAAGGGTCTTTCCACTTTGAAATTGCCAACTGAAGAAGTTAAGAAACATTTGGATTTCTTGAGACAATTTGCTCTTGAAGTCGGCCTTATTATTGTTCATTCCGCTTCCAAGGACACTTATGAAGCTAAATTGGACATTGATGGAATTTCTCCACATGAAACTACTGAAGAATTCGATGAACGTGTAAATGAAATCCGTAGAGTTGTTAAGAAGTACCAACTGGCCAATCTTATTGAAACTGAAGATGCCATGAAGGAAACTAAAAACATTTATGATGCCAAGTTTATGGCATGGAAAGACCATTATTATAAGGATAAATTGAAGTTTTCTATCCATGACACTGATAAGATGGTTGAATTTACCCGTCATTATCTTGAAGGTTTACAATGGGTCTTGTACTATTACTACAAGGGTTGTCCTTCATGGAACTGGTACTTCAAGTACCATTACTCTCCTAGAATTTCAGACATTGCCATAGGTTTGAACTGGTTATTGGAACATAATGAACAATTGACCTTTGAACTTTCCCATCCATTTAGACCATTTGAACAATTGATGGCCGTGTTACCAGCCAGATCTAGAAACTTAATGCCATCCGTCTATAGACCAATAATGACCGACCCACACTCTCCTATAATTGATTTCTATCCAAATGAAGTTGATATTGATATGAATGGGAAGACAGCCAGTTGGGAAGCTGTGGTATTGTTATCCTTTGTTGACGAAAACAGATTACTTGAAACTTTAAAACCAGTGGAAGCCAAGTTATCTCCAGAAGAAACTCAAAGAAATAGTTTTGGTAAGGATATTTTGTTTACCTTTAATCCTCAAGTTGATTATGTTTATCCAACTCCTTTACCAGGATTTTTCCATGATTTGGAACACGATAAATGTATTGAATCAACCTTTGTGTTGCCTCCTCATGGTGAAATTAAGAGTGGTTTACCTGAAGGTGCTGTATTGGGTAAAGAGGCACTTGCAGGATTCCCTGCTTTAGAAACTTTGTCCTTTGATTATAAGTTAAAGATGAATGAAACTGTTGTTTTCCAACAACCTTCTCGTTCTGAATCGATGGTTCTTACCATTGAAGATAAATATAGTGACTTGACGGTGGAACAATATGCCAAGAAGTACGCAGGACGTCTTGTTTATTCTAAATGGCCTTTCCTTAGAGAATCTAGAGTCATTGAAGTTATTGATAAAGATTTCAAATATGAATCCGTTAAGGTTGGTACTGGTAAGAAAGTTGTTGGTACACCATTAACTGCAGATGAACAAAAGAACTTTTTACAAACGCGTGGCTCCATCAAAAATGAATACATCAAGAAGAAGGGTGTCGTCGTTGGTGATATTGAAGCATTGGTGTATGTTAAACCAGTCACTGGGTTGATTCGTAATAATAATGGTGCTATGGTTAAGACTTTCTCTAAGGAAGTTGAAGTGTACCCAATGCAATTGATTGTTGATGATGTCATTAACAAGGACTCAAGATACGTAACTCGTGCTCCTTTACCAATTGACCGTGAATTCCCTAATGATTCTCATGTCGTCTTTTTAGGGGCCTTTGCCTATGGTGCCCCAGCTCAAGTTGCTGGTTATGCTGACCATGATAAGTTGAATGTCAAGATTTCCAAGATTCAATCAGCCAAGGAACCTACTATCGGTAAGGAAAGACTTGCAATTGAAAACAGGGAAATTGTATACATGCCATCTTATGATGTTGCCAAGAGATTAAAGTTGAATGCCTTATTCCTTTCGAAATTGACATCTTCTTTTATGTTGGAAGATAAGGGTGGTAAGAGAGTTAATATTGGTCTTGAATTGAAATTTGAAGGTCGTAAGCAAAAGGTTTTAGGTTTCACTAGAAAGCAAAACATTAACTCCAAGATTTGGGAATATTCTCCATTAGCCATCAAGTTGATTAATGACTACAGACAAAAGTTCCCAAAGATGTTTGCCAAGTTGATCTCTCTTAGAGACTTTAAGGTGATTCCAAGAACAAATGAAATTTTTGAAAGTGAAGCAGAATTGGCCGAAGTTAGAAAATGGTTGAAGGAATTAAGATCTACCTTGATTACTGTTTCATTAGAGCTGGAATCCTTGACCAAGTTTTCTATTGAAGCTATTGAAAGTTATATGGACAATTATGTTACACAACCTATCCCATTGACTAATAAGGATATTAGAGGTGTTCCAAGAGACGCTGTTATCAACCCATCAGAATCATTCCAATTGTTGAGTACTCAAAGATTTGAACTTGGTGATAGAGTGATTTATGTTCAGTCTACTGGTAAGGTTCCATTCTTGAGTAAGGGTACTGTTGTTGGTATTACCAGTTTTGGCACCAAGGTCTCTTTGTCAGTTGTTTTCGACTTGCCATTACTCAGTGGTAACAACATGAATGGTAGATTGAATAGTAGTAGAGGTTTGATTGTTGACTCTTCCTTGGTTTTGAATTTGAGTATCAAGCAATTGGTATATCATAGTAAGGCTTCGAAGGAAGGTAGACCTAAGCCAAAGGCTACTAAACCAAAGCCAACCAAGAAGGAACAACCAAGACAACCACAAGAAAAGGCTCCTGCTCCTGAACTGGCCGATCCAGCCAAGAACCCAAGTAATGAGTTATTGAGTTTGTTGAAGGGCAAGAACCAACAAAATGGAAATAGAAAGGCCAAGGAAGATGATGAAACAGTGCCTGTTGCTAACAGTAATGCCATCAAACAAATCTATGGTCAAATCTATTCCAATGTGATGAATGAAGGTTACCCACAATATGGATTTGGATACAGTGCTCCTGGACAAATTCCTCCCCCTGGTGCACCAGGTCCAATTCCAGTTACTCAAGAACCACAAGTTCCATTCTCTAATGGAAACCAGCAACCAACTCAAGAAGGTTCAGGTTCTACTAGAGGTAACTCGAACCGTGGCAGAGGTGGTAGAGGTCGTGGAGGCAACTACAGAGGTAGAGGTCGTGGCAGAGGCAAACCAGCCCCTACTACACCATCTAGCTAACTTTTGTATAGGTAGTTGAATATAAAATGTGTATGTGTATGTCTATGTACAAGTAGTAAGTTCTCAAAAATATGAGCAAATTATGTAAAGTGGCAATTAAAATTTGATTCTTTTAATCTTTCGGAGTATTGGGCAAATTAACCAAACCTAGCGTATCCCATGTCAGTTCATCCATTAATTGGTTATCCATTCTGCAACGCAAGTAGTCACGAGCCAATGCCCTACAGTTTGGAGCGTTCTGGTTGTCAGTGAACTTCATACAACGTAAATATTTGTCCATGAATGACTTGCATTCACCATCGTGGTCAAGAGGGAATGAACCTCTTTCTGGAGGAGTTGGAGTCCATTTAGAAAAAACGTTACCTTTATGATTAGTATGAATGACGAAGTAGACATGGGTTTGTTTGAAGAAATTCACATACCTGGAGCACCTGTAGCCATGTTGTAAGATTATTGAGTGTGTTGTTATGGAGAAAGATACTATGATATAGAAACAAAAAGTGCTCAACTAGATTTGATCGCGAAGAATAACACAAAAAAATTACATATTGTTTAAAGGAATCGAACACACGACCATAACGGGGGATAAACGAGAGAATCGTGATAAATCAGAATATCATCATGCAAGGTATTTGTGTGTACAGGTTTGTAAAAGTAAAGCTAAATAGTGTTATTCATCTCTTAAAACATTGATATTACTATAACTTGAAACAGAAAGTAAAAAAGCCGAGATTGTATCTGAAGAGGGGTAACAAAAATGTTCCACGATCAAGGCGAACTTTTTAGCGGATCTATCCCGCTAGCCCCGGATCAAAATATTTTGCAACCTTGTACACCCCATTCCAATCCAACGACCAACTCTCCGAGGATTGAGAAACTGATCCAATTTGTCTTGTAGCGCGATTCTTTACATAAGCGCTGTACTGAAGAAGTCAGGTTATAATACTTGTCCGCAGAATGAAGTGAATGTGTGTCCCCCCCAACCTATTATCAGTCTTTGAATATATCATATTAAATTCCTAGATACACTTACCCGTAGTTCGGATAACCAAATATTTTATTACAATCTTTCTGTGTCACTTTGCTTGTGCAACCGCAACTTGCGTTAATCTTTTCTCGTGCCTAGGTTTAACCCTCGGCTTTGTCTAATCGCCGAAACACTTGTCAAAATGCTGCCAATCTCACCATCAAACGTTAATATCCCGTTTCATTACTTTCATGGCTATTCATGTGTAATTTACGCCGTGGGACTGTTGAAAGTCATTCAGGTTATTCAAGAAATTAAAAAAAAATGAAATACTAACAAGAAAAAATCAACTATAGCTATACCCGCGATTGTCTCATCTACATGGGAGATTTCTATTATATTTTCTACTCTAGCAATCGTATCCTTCTATCCACTCTCCCCCTAAGATCCCATACCTATATTGGCAATCTTATCCCTCTATTATACACGGCACGAATCAAACCGTTTCACGGGTTTCTTGTGAAGTTAAAAATTTCCCCGCCGGGTCAACGGATATCGTACACACAAACTTTTGGCTCGAAATTTCCCTTTTCTCCGGAAACGGCCGGCGACTCCTCTCTTTCTTTCTCCTCGAAAAAAAAAAAAAGAAAAGGTTCTTATATCTTCATCTCGTCATTCAAACCTATTATTTGCGACTCCACTTTCTCTCCACAACATCACCTTCTTGCTTCCACCCGCTGCTCGAACACCCCAAACATATACCATATTTATTGTTTTATTCTCGTAGCCGCATTGTGCCCCAGAATTAAACGAAAAATAAATAGAGACCAAAAAAAAAAAAAGTAATTAAAAATAAATAAAAAGCATAGTCTCAGGAGTCATCCGCCGGTTAGTAGTGTGAGGAGTATACTCAGCATTTATTTTTTGTTTTTAATAAAAAAGAAAGAATTGAAATAAAATACAAAGGTAAGTTTCAAACGTGGAGCTAAGAATTGTATTAAATCCCCCAAAAAAGAAGTCAATATTGCCAAACTTAGACCACCCATAATATTTTTTATCCGTTGTCAATTTCCTCGAATCTAGCACACTTTTCTGTCTTTATTCTAACTGGTTCAAGCATTGACTTAGTTCCATAGTTTATTTGTGCAACTTCTCCACAACCTGTATACGGTGAAAAATTTCTCAACGTGACGTTACCGAGTCATACAATCGACACTTTGTTTTATATAATAGGCAAGTCTCTTCTAGTCTTTTGTGTGAAATTTCTTACAAATTTGAAGTAATCTCAATTCAGAATACCTGGGTTAAGTTTCGTGATTTGTTCTAGTTTGCAAAGACGCTCCCCTAGTTGATATCCAGGGTTATACTAAATTTTTCATCTCTGTTGATTCCAACCAAAAATTAAAGATAGACTTCCGAGCAATCCTCCTAGCAATCTTCCATCATGTCTAACGAAACCAAAGCAAGAGAAATCTTTGCTCAATTTGCATCTGAAGATCGCTTATTGCTCCCACAATTCACTGCCATTCTTTCACCTTTCAAATCGGATGTTTCCAAAGAATCATATGCTCTTCTTTATCTTGCAGCTGATTCCGACCAAAAGGGGTATGTAACCGAGTCTGATTGGGTTCAATTCATTCGTACTTTGACCTCTCCAGACGGTGAATTCAAGCTTTTATTCCGTCTTTTGGGCCATGGTAAGTCTTCCGTTCTGTACGATGAATGTCTCAGTCAACTCAATGCCTTGAATAAGGCCATTGACCCTTCATACCAACAGAAAAAGGCTAAACTCAATTGGACATATTTCAACATGTTCTTCGAACCAATGGGTTCTTTACAATATTCCGATTTTATCACCTTAATCAATTATCTTCCAATCAGTAAACTTATTGGAAATTTTGAAATTGTTGCCAATAAATCTGGTTTAATTTCAAAGCAAGAACTTTATGAACTTATTACAAGAAATCTTAATCATAAATTAAGTTCCAAGTTGAAACACAACTTGGAAACTTTACCAGGATTTTTCCAAAAGGATCAATTCACTCTTGCTAATGTATTATTTATTTATAATGCCTTAAACAAAATTGACTTAATTAATGAAGTCATTGCAAATGCCCCTCCAACCCTGAAGGATAAACAAGATATCTTGATCAACAAGTCTGATTTGTATGATCATTTGAATGATCATTTACTTAAATCTTCTAATTTCAGACCTGTATCAATGTTGGAATTGGACTTATTGTTTTATCTTATTAATAAGGATGAAGAAACTATTCCTCGTAGAGATTTAATTGGTGTTTTCAATCCAAATTATGAAAATAATTCTGTTCAACTTTATAGTATGTTTGATCATCCAGCTGCTCAACCAATTCAAGATGATAACTTCCTGTTATGGCCCATTTTTGATTCCCTTTATTCCTTCTTTTTAGGTTCCATTGCTGGATGTATTGGTGCTACCGTTGTGTATCCAATTGATTTAGTTAAAACTAGAATGCAAGCTCAACGTCATAAGGCTGTTTACAAGAATTCTTTTGATTGTTTCAAGAAAATCATTGCTAATGAAGGGCTTAAAGGTTTATATAGTGGGTTGGGTGCTCAATTAGTTGGTGTTGCCCCAGAAAAGGCCATCAAATTGACCGTCAATGACCTTGTTCGTAAGATCGGTACTGATGAAAATGGTCATATTTCTATGAATTGGGAAATCTTAGCTGGTATGTGTGCTGGTGCTTGTCAAGTTATTTTCACCAATCCATTAGAAATTGTGAAAATTAGATTACAAATGCAAGGTAACAATACCAAGGTTGTTAATGCTGGTGGTCCATCAAATGAAATTCCTCTCAAGAGACTCACTGCCGGTAAGATTGTTAAGCAATTGGGTATTAAGGGTCTTTATAAGGGTGCAAGTGCATGTCTTTTAAGAGATGTTCCATTTTCTGCCATTTATTTCCCAACTTATGCCAACTTGAAGAAATACTTATTCAATTTTGACCCTCAAAGTCCAACTGCCAAACATAAATTGGATTCATGGCAATTACTTGTGGCTGGTGCACTTGCTGGTGCCCCATCTGCTTTCTTTACCACTCCAGCTGATGTTATCAAAACCAGACTTCAAATTGAATCTAAATCCACTGAAACCAAATATCATGGTATTAGACATGCTGCTTCCACTATTTTGAAGGAAGAAGGTTTTGGTGCATTCTTCAAGGGTTCCATTGCTCGTGTTTTCAGATCATCTCCACAATTCGGGTTCACTTTAGCATCTTATGAACTTCTTCAAAACTTGTTCCCATTACACCCTCCAATGACCAAAGAATCTTCTTTCAAGACCATTAGTGGATACCCAGGTGTGTATAACTTGACCAATGATCAAGTATATTCATCCAATGAACGTTTGATGTACTTGAACCCTAGTGATTTCGGTATCACTCCTAACCCAACTCCTTCATCCTCCGCTAATTCCGCAAAATTGAACGATGCCTTGGTAAAACTTCCAGCTGAATACGTGTACAAGTCCCAAGATGCCATTAAATTGTTGTTAGACATAGATTATAAGTTTGGTAACTTCAACTACGATAGTTACTTGAGCTACATAAAAAAATAGACGCATAATTTATTGTTGAATAAAATGTAGAATGAATAGTTTGATATGTACATTGTATGATTCTCATGAAACCAGTTCATGTTAATTAATACCCTTTTACTGTCTGTCTTGGCTTCAGTTGTAGGTTTATAGCGGTGATTAGCATTTTTTTCACCTCGAATGAGGGCTGTTTACTTCTTCGCCTATGATAAATTTCACTCTATAGAGTTTGACTTCCCTCATCAATATAGAACCGGCCATTTAATACATACTCATTTAGTATGGGCTCTCTGAAAATATACCCTCCATCTATATTTTGACAGATTTTCCAGCATTCATTTAATCGACTCTCTATTCTTTGTGCTTGTATAGTTTCAGTATACTTTTTACGGTCGATTTCCTCTTGGGTGGTTGGGAAATCAACTTCGTTGAAACCAGGAGGTGATGGGAATCTATCGTGTAATTGAGACGCTTCTGGTCGAATTTCATTTTCGTCATTATCGTCATCATCATTCCATCGAAGTGACTGAAGGCGTACACCGGGACCAGCTAACTTGTAGAATTTATCGATATTAGCCTGTTCCTTCCAAGTACGTCCCAATTTCCTCTTAAGTTTAGGTTTCACATATTTTGGATTGGGAATGAAATCAGATAGAGCCCAACGTTGTGAGTATATAGGATTCAGTGAAAGATTCAATCTAAATTCAGGTGAAGTATGGAATAGCGTAGAGTAATGATTACGAAGATAATCTCTTTTTTGAAGCGGTGTCATGCGAGAAGTTGCCGTGTTTATATCATCATTCTTGGTGACATTGGTAATATCTTGAAGCGGTAATGGGGATGATACCACAAGAGGATTTTCTTCTTCCTGCGAATCCGCAATAACTTCTGGGGATGCAGGTTGCGATTCTGTGGATGCTTGTGTAAGAATGAATGGAGTTAAGTCAACTATTGGGTCCCCAGCACTACCCTGAGTGACAGAATATTGTGTAGGTAATCGTGCAAGTTCTGAATCAGGAATTTTACGTTCAGGAGATGACATTGTCTCGGAATATTGAGTTGGGAGTCTAGCAAAAAGATAGTCATCTGTAGCATTTAAATCTCCAGGATCTTCGTCATATGGCTGAGATTGTACTTGTTGTTTTATAGGTGATAATCGGTCAGTTGGAGATGATGACGCGTGCTCATGATGATAGTCCAAGGCAACGATTTGGTCATTGAATTTACGCTTTTTACTTATAGGCAAGAGCGAACTAGGAGTAATAGGATGAGGGAAGTTCCCTTCTTGCTTACTCAGAAGCTTTAATTGTTCAATTTGTTTATCCTTGGCTGCCAATGATGACTTCAATTGTTTGATCTCCTGCTCATATCGCGTTTGTTGATGTTTCAATTGAGCAACAAGTTCATCCTTGCCCCTAGAAAGATCATCAAGCTCTAGTAAGATCCCCTCGTATAGGTTATCTAGCTTATCTCGCACTGACATGACCAGCCTCTATAAAATTATCGGCTTTGATACATGTACTCTTTGAATAGACTGTTTGTTTATCCTTAAGCCTGTGATTTCCTGCACCTGTCGCAATATGAATCGCAATTTTTTGAACTACCTTTTGTTTTTTTTTTGTGTGTGTAGAAAAAAAGACAACCACCATAAATTAGAACATCTCGATCAACAACATTCATTAGACAACAGTAAATAATGTTTGGAGCAGCACAGAACACTGGATCGACATTTGGTGGGGCCTTTGGGTCGGGTGCTAACAATGCCGGAGCAGCAAATACCGGTAACGCCAGTGGGGGCCTTTTTGGAGGAGCCGCATCTTCATCAGCACCATCTGGTGGCATGTTTGGTGGTGGAGCTGGTGCTACCAATTCCAATTCTGCCTTTGGTAGTAACACTGGAGGAAATTCATTGTTTGGAGCCAAACCAGCACAGCCATCTACAACTGGTGGTGGATTGTTTGGACAAGCCAACACCGGTACAAACAATGCTTTTGGAGGATCTGGAGCTTCTGCCCCTGCTTCCGGGGGATTGTTTGGTTCCAACTCCGGTGCTAAGCCAACTGGTGGTCTCTTCGGAGGTAACACTAACACCAATACCACATCTGGAGGACTCTTTGGAAATAATAATAATACAACCAACAACGCTACTGGTTCAACTACTGGTGGACTCTTTGGAGGCAACACTAACAATAACAATGCCGCTTCATCTACAGGAGGTGGCCTCTTTGGAAATAATTCAGCCACTAATAATACCAATACTACAGCCACAGGAGGATCTCTTTTTGGGAACACTGGTAATACTGGTAATACTACTACTGGAGGTCTCTTCGGCGGAGGTGCTCAACAAAATAATACTAATAATAATACTACCACTGGTGCCACTGGTGGACTCTTTGGGAGTAAGCCTGCCGCCACTACTGGTGGACTCTTTGGAAGTAATACTACCCAAAACAATTCTGCACCAGGTGCAACTGGAGGACTTTTCGGTAAGCCTGCTGGTGCTACTACCACTGGGGGTGGGCTCTTTGGAGGCGCTTCCAGCAATACTGGTGGTGGTGGACTTTTCGGTGGTAACACTGCGTCTGGTACTACTGGTGCCACTTCTGGAGGTCTCTTTGGATCCAAGCCAGCTACTGGTGGTCTTTTTGGAGGAGGCGCCACTACCAATAGCAACACCAACTCTGGGGGTCTCTTTGGTGGGAACAATTCCAACACTGGGGGCCTCTTTGGTGGTCAACAACAACAGCAACAGCAGCAGCAACAACAACAATTCGGATCCAACCAATCACTGCTTGCTCAGCTCCCACAACTTACGGCAATGACCAGGGTGGGAGATCTCCCACCACAAATAAAGCAACAGATTGAAGATTTCGATCGTTATATCAACACACAACATGCCATTGCCACTCAACTTCAAGAGGATGTGTTGAAACATGACAAACTCATTAAGTCCATACCCAACGATACTAGCTACTTACGTACCAAGATATCCTCCACCAAACAGGCACTCAATGGAGACAGTGCACAATTAGCATACTTGAAGGAAATCAATGGTGAATTGACAGATGATTTGAATAAGATTATGCATTTAATCATACAATTATCTACCCCAGGTACCAAACTCTCATCATCCATGCAATTGAATGAATTCTTTGTTAAGAAAATTCATAAATATCATGAAGTTTTAAGTAACTACGAAAGTGTTGCCACAGAAGCTGAACAAACTGTAATGAGTTTGGAAAGACTGTGTGTCGATGGATTTGGAGGACTTTTCAGTATTATTGAAGTAATCCGGTCACAATATGGTTTATTTATGGAGTTATGTGATGTGATGGCTAGACTTCATAGTGATGTTGAGAGGATATAAAATAAAAGTAGATAGAAAAATAGAATGAAAGCAAGAGGAATGTCTTAATGTAAAGGAAACTGTAATAGCTGGATGTAATATAAGGAAGTAAGGAGAGAGTTGAGAACCCACTATTCCATCCCAATGAAATATGTGTTTATCTGTTGTTATTTGTATTTTTGCTGTACGTCTATTTTAATTTTGATATAAGGAATGCGAAATTCAAAAAGTAGTAGTATAACTCATTTGATCCGAATAATGTCATCTCGAGCAGATTACTTGGCCAAATACCTCAGCGGGGGGTCGAAGAAAGATGAAAAGAAAAAGCGGAAGAAGAAGAAGGACCAGGTTGTAGAACCGAAACCTTCGGTGGTGGTTGTTGATGGGGGTACTCTTGGAGGAGCAGTTGAAGATGTTCTGGAAGAAGAACCTACCGATGAAACACCAGTGCAAGTTGATATACAGGGGGAAATATCTGCATTCAAAGGATTCAAAAGAATAGATGGCAGTGAAAGAGTTATACCCGTTTCTGAGCCATTACAAGAATCTGGCCCAGAGAGTGTAGTTGTGCCAACAAAACCTGAAACTGTTTATAGAGATAGTAGTGGACGAATTATAGATATCCAAGCTCGAAGAGAGCAATTGAAGGCGAAAAAGTTAGAGGAGGAAAAATTGGAGTTGGAGAGGAAACAAGCCCTTGTAGAGACTGATTTGAGTCGATTACAAGAGAAAGAATTACAGGAAAAGTTACGTAATGCCAACAAGTTCACCATATCTAAGGATGACGTGTCGTACAATGCTAGACTTCAACTGGAAGCTCGGTTCGAGGATCCAATGAGTAGTTTCCAATCGAAGTCAACTAGCAAGTCCGGAGATGACTTATTCAGTAAGACTGGGAAACCTATATATACCAAGGGAATAAGTCCTGCAAACAGATTTGGGATTTCTGCTGGACATTTTTGGGATGGTATCGATAGATCCAACGGATTTGAAGAGTTGGTTATGCGCAAGCGTAATGAGGTGACCCAACAGAAGAGAGTGGATGACTATGAATTGGATTTAGATGATTAGATAATGAAAGGAAACGAGAACGAGAACGAAACATAAAATAGAAAGTAAAGATAGTTTAAAAAAGGGATAAATGATGATGACATGCTTCCTTAAAGGAATGACAAGGGCCTAATGGAAGGTATAGCCTACTGATTTCATGAAGGATGATATTTACATCTTCGTTATCAGAAGTATCAATCCTTTAATTTTCAAGCGAAGACATTCATTTTTTGAAACACACATGTCTTGAAAGATTGTCGATCTTATAATATAACCAAATGTACGATATACATTCAATAAATCTTGTATAATAAACATTAGTATCTAGAAAATATGTAGACACATGTATATTAGTCAATCTTCAGTTGAAGATATGGAATTCGCGTTTGAGGAATGATCTATGAAATACACTTGTATGTCTCTTCTTCTCACATGCAATGGCACCAACGATTCCTGGATTCTTTTACGACGAAGCCAAGAAGAAATACTTTAAAATTGTCAATGGATCGTCATCTCAGGCAACTGAAAAGTATCATAATAATTCTGTTCAAGCAGAAAAACGAAGAAATGATTTCATAAATGAACAAACCCAAAAGAAGAAGAACGTCAAGAAACCCAGAAAAGTTGCCACTTTGCCCAAACAGATAGTTAAACTAAGCGAAGCAATTAGACGACATCGTCAGCAGATATACGAAAATAATATAAAGGGAGATATAGTGGCCTACAAGTTAGGTGCTGTTTCGAAATACAATGTGAATATTGATATAGATATTGTTACGGCGGGGTTGAAACAATTGAAATTTGATAGAGAACAAAGTCGAAGGGATGGCTACTATGACTTGGATCATATTGTCATTGGTGGGCAAGATCTGGGTGAGACTCTGGTTTTCGTTTCTTTTACCCCCCGGAGCATGAGTGTAACGCATGATAATTTATTACAAAATGATGAAAGTATCTTTTGGTCAACGCCAACCCCTATCCATATAGATACAGAGAGGCGTGATGGCTCTCCTATTGACCCTCAATGCACATTCCCTCACACTTCGGCGTCAGTTACTGTCAACAATAATATGCTCCGATTCTCATCGTATTCATGGACAGATACGGACCAGAAACTACAAAAGGTTTTGGTCTTGAATTACTACAAATTCAATAGAGATCATCCTTCGCTTATTGAAGTCACTCCCTATACTATAAAACTTGAAAATTGGATTTGGGAATGTGATTTGTGGCAGAAAGAACCCGTTATTGGAGTATTAACTGGGTTCGAGTACACGCAAGGTACTGATGAAATTGTGGTTGCATCTTCATGTACGCCTAATTTATTATTGTGGGGTACTAATAAGGGAGCTCTTATAATCATTCCATTTGAAATATTTTCACATAGACATTTCACTAGTCTTTATTACTGTAAACTTAGCCAATATGAAATTGATCTCATTACAGTTTCTGATGGTGTAATCTTTGTGGTTGATATTAAAGGGATTATGTCAATAGTGTACGATAATGGTCATATGTTTCAAAAATCAGATATCTCAGATGGTGTGCACCCACCTGTGGAATTTGAAGCTAATGGTCCCAAGTGGTCACTTGGTAAAGTGGGGAAGGTTCTGCGTATCATTTGGTTTCCAGAGTCCAGCACGGTTGTAATAGTTGGATTGAGGAAAATAGTGAAATATCTTGTACCACCTCAAGGAAGACCTATCTTTATTCAAGATTACACTTATTTGAATTGTAACATTGTGAACCAAAACTCCGTTGTGGTTCACCTGAGTGTGGCACAATACTTGTTAGTTAATGAGTCTAACCACGAACTTCGGCTAATTAACTTACATGATGGAACAAATAGGCGAATAGTACTCGATGTTCCTCGAAATTATATCCTTTGTAATATGTTTATGACAGCTCATCAGTATCTCTGGCTTTTTTATAGGTCTGGAACTACTCTGCATGATGTTGTTTACAAGTGGAATAAGGTTACTGGACAATGCTGTAGCGAGGTGAAAATAAGGTTTGATCAAACAATATTTTTGATTTAGGTTCCACATCTACCACCGAACCAGGTCCACTCAAGAGTGATTTGGTGTTGAGAAACCCGATTAGTAGTTTTGCATGGAAAACTTGGAATTGAAAATTTTTCCAACGAGAGAATTCATCGTGTTCGATAGAATCATATGAATTTGATCATTCTTGTTCCAAGTACTCTCTGTAACGTTTGAGCTGCAAATTAGTAGGAACTTATTGGTAAATGAGACGGAATTTAGGCTACGCCTTATTAATTTGGACTTGGGTAGTTCCAAAGAAAGTACTTCCAATAGAGTCTCTTGCTACTACTGTATGAATGGTAGACTCTTTCTTGATGTTTAAAACGATAATCAAAAACAAAAACACTCGTCCCCGAAATTGTTCTATTATAGTGCCAGATTTTGTACAAAATTGTGCATTGAGTACCTGAGATCCCATAATTACATATTTGTTCAGATTTACTTGCATATAGTATCTTCTGGTAGTGTTCGTGGTGGTCGTTTCACAGATACTTCAAAGGGATACTTTGTATAATTAGAGACTGGAGTAATTGAAAGAAAAATAGCAATCATGGAGAGGAACATGGAAGGAGAGAAAGCGCAGATTAATACCTGGGATCTACGAGAATCTACAGGGACAAGAGGGGCTCACATCTGAACCAGGGGAGCTCCAGGGACTATTCCTTGATACCCACATCACCGGGTCTCACCTCGAAGTGGCTCTCCCTGAGCAGGGGCCAGCGGAGCGTCACGCAGCCCCGTAGGGAAGGGAGTAGTCCCTACGGGGTTTGCAAGCCGCTCCGCTGGCACTCCGTGGGCCACTAGCTGGGTGGGAGGGGGGTCGTAGTTCCTTTTACCAGGAAGATGAGAGTGTCTCCTTGAGTGGGGACCAGTGGAGCGTCTTAGAGCTTTACACAGAAGAGTGGTTACCACTCTGTGGGACTTGCGGCGAAGAAGAATGGTAAACCCTTCCCTGTGTGGGACGCGGAGCTTTGGTGAAACTCCAACTCTATTTTATACCCTCCCCTATAACTGTTGAGGTACTGTTTCACCAACTAGCTACAACTCTCTAAATGTAAACATATACATTATCTCTATACTCTGAATAAATTAGTCATCGTGGACAAACCCACCTTCTTTGCACAAGCCGTAGAACAACGATTCCTTCTTCTTTAACAAGTTGGCAGGAGTGTCGAACTCGGCAACTTGTCCCTGATCTAAAACAATGATTCGGTCCGAGTCCAAGATGGTGTTCAATCTATGGGCAATGGTCAAGATGGTTCTATCCTTGAACTCCTTACGGATGGTCTCTTGGAGGACTCGGTCGGTTTCCACGTCCACAGCGGCCGTGGCTTCGTCCAACACAAGAATGTGTGAAGGGATCAACAAACTTCTGGCAAGACACATCAATTGTCTTTGACCAACAGACAAGTTGGATCCACCTTCCGAAATCCCAACTTCAAGCTTGGACTTGAGTTCATCCTTGTTGTCAGCCTCTTCGTACATCTTGAGGACGTGGTCCTTCAAGTGGGACAACTCCAAGGCACGCCATATTTGTTCATCGGTGGATCGGTCGGTTGGATCCAAGTTCAGTCTGATGGACCCTTCAAACACTTGCGAGTCTTGTGGGATGATCGACAACTTATGTCTCAAGTCAGCCAAACCGATCTTGGACGTGTCAACATTATCCACGTCAATGTGACCCCCGCAGCTTTCAATGATTCTAAAAAGAGCCAATGTGAGAGAAGACTTACCAGCACCAGTTCTACCAACGATCCCGACCTTTTCATGCGGACGAATGTTGATGTTGATGTTCTTGAGAACAAGGTCCAATTCTGGTCTGTACTTGGTGGAGTAGTTCTTGAACTGGACGGCACCAGCTTCTGGCCACAGAGCAGCAGGTCTGTTATCCTCGATAATTTCCGGTGCTTCCGGGGTGAGTCTTGAATATTCCAAGATTCTCTCAACGGAAACAATGTTGTTTTCTACTTCGACAGTCATACGAACAATCCAAAGAGATTGGGTTATCTGAAGGGCGTACGAGACGGACAAACCAACCAAACCGGCAGAGAGTCTACCGGAGGAAAGAGTCATGATGGAAAGACCAGCAGCACCTAAAATTATGAGAGAACCCAAGAATTCCAATCTAACAGCAAACCATCTGTTGGCGTTATTTGAAGAATGGAAGGCACTCATGTTACGATCGATTCTGCTATCATTCAAGAATTGGAATCTTTCTTGTTGTCCATAGGCACGGATGATCGAAACACCGTTTAAGGACTCTTGGAAGTTGGCAAAGATAGGGGACCGGGAGACAGAGTCTAATCTACGCAATTCACGCGAGGTCTTCATGTAGTATTGTTGGTAGTACATGCACAAGATGGCGATTGGAGCAAGCATAAAGGTGAATTGCCAGGTCGAGAAACAAATAACAACAATGGTGAACATCACCTTGATACAGTTGGAGATGAACATATCAAATACACGGCCCAAGATCTCATCGATCTTGTACACGTCGTTGGAAAACCGGTTCAAAATACGACCGATAGGAGTGGTTTCAAAGAAGGACATTGGTGCACGCAAAACGCTAACAGCCATGTTGTTGTGCAAGCGTTGCAGCCCATGAATGGTACAGAAAATCCACATAATACAGTTTTGAGCCAATGAGAGGGATGAGGAGAGGAAACCAAGGCCAAAGTAGATTCCAAGATAAAGAGCGATGTTCGGGTTGCAACCCTTTTCAGTGTTGACTTCAGACCAATGCTTAAGCCATATGTTAGAGCAAACAGATGTGAGCATGGTGAAGATAGTACACCCGAGGTACCAGCAAACTCTGCTGGGGTTACAGGCCTTGGCGTATTGGAGATAGACATCCCATTTGACCTTACCTTGTTCCATGTGTTCCTTTTTAGGCTTTGCAGCTTCAATTTCGGCCTCTGAATCGGATTGGGAGTCGGAGTCAGTGCCATCGTCTTCCAATGGTGCAAGCGAGGCCCTTCTCAAGTCGACACTAGCGTTTTGAATGATGGCAAGTTCTTCTTCATTGAGGTCTTCCAATTCTTCTTCTTCTGAATCGAGGTCCTTTTCTTCTTGGTCATCATAGTTCTTTTCAGGGGTCTCCTTAACCTTACGACCGTATTCTTCAATCAACAGTTTCAATTGAGATTTTTCCTTGTTCATGATGGCAGAGTAGGTACCCTGTTCCACCAAGCGTCCGTCACTAACCATATGGATGCTATCGGCGATACTCAAAACCAGGATAGCGTTGGTGGCCAAGATTTTACATTTAGACTTGAGTAAACCTTCAGGTCCCAACACATTATCAATCAAGTGTCTACCAACGTGTTCATCAACGGCAGATAATGGGTCATCCAAAAGATAAACGTCAGCTCTGGCATAAACAGCACGAGCCAAGGAAAGACGGGCCTTTTGACCTCCAGAAAGAGAAATACCCTTTTCACCTACTTCGGTCTTGTCACCATGTGGTAAGATCTTCAAATCAACACCCAAGGCACATGCCTTGAGAACAGTAGCATAGAATTCAGGATCATACTTGTGACCAAACAAAATGTTTTCCTTCACGGTACCATTCATGATCCATGGGACTTGTGAGACATAGGCTACAGATCCATCAACCTTGACTTCACCTTCCAAACGGTACAAATCTCCCAAGATGGCTTGAATGATGGAAGATTTACCGGAACCAACTTTTCCAACAATACAATCCAATTTGCCAGTCTTGACATCCAAATTGATTTGAGAAAGGGCAACTTTGTAGTTTTCTTCGCCATTGGTCTTTATCCAGATGAAAGTCCCATTCTTGATCAGCACAGCACCAACAGAGCCAGATTTCCCATTTCTGATGACAGCATCTTTTTGTAACTCAGTTCCAGTTAAAAACTTGGTCAATGTGGTGACGGCGACTTGAGATTCCACGATGTTTGTGATCACCATTGGGACGACCGCCAAGGGGGACGATAACAAGTTGAAAAGAGATAAGGCTGGGAAAACAATATCAGTCAGTAACATACGATCCTTATCAATGAGTACAAAGACGGCAAAGGTGGAACAACTGACCAAGACGGGAGCGAAATTCCAAGAAAAGCTGGAGATGGCCGAGAAAATCCCCATTCTTTTCAAGTTTTTCAACTCCTTTTCGTTACGTACATGGTTCAAACGGGCAAGGTAAGGTTGTTCCCAACCGTACAACTTGAGAGATTTGATATTGTTGAGGATTTCACTAATGAGACGTGACCGTTCATCCTTGTTCTTCATTTGAGTCTTTTGAAGCTTTTTCTGATACTTGGCGATGGCTCCATTCAATGGGATCATGATCAACATGATGGTTACCCCAGCCCACATGGAATTACCGAGAATTCCATGGAGAGACACAAGACACAAGATGATTTGTAAAGGACCAGACCAGATGATCTGGATGGTTTGGGCCAAGTCTTGCAACCGTTGGGTGTCTACCGACATGAGGTTGACAATGTCCCCGGTATTTGATTGCAGCTTGGCCTCGTTGGAGAGAACAAGAGATTTGGAGTAGATTCTGGCGGTAAGAGCGGATTTGATCTTCATTCCAAGATCAAACCCCCGTTGGAAGTATTGATGGAGGGCGGCTGTTTGGGTGACAGACACTACAAACATCGACACGGCAATCATTACCCCTCTGGTCAAGGGGAGAGATTCACCGCCGGACTTCTTGGACTCGGAGTAGTCGTTGACGAAGCGGATAAGCATACGCAAGAGTTGTGGTTGGGCAAAGGCAAGGATATCCTGGACAAACTTGAAGAACCCACCAACCATGAAGGGGAGACCGAACGCTTGACAGATAGCCCAAAAGAGTGAAGGTGAAGAGGTCAGGGCTGTAAGTTGTTTGTCCCAATAATGGGAGAATTGAGCCGTAGTGGCCTTCAGTTTGAGTTCCGAGGGGAGTGTGGGGAGATCTTCCTCGGTGAGGAATTGAATGTAACCCTTCTTCATGAGCAGAGCCATCCAATGGAAGGTGATTCTCGAGAAGATGTTGGCGGTATCATAGGGAGAGACCTTGGATTTCGAGGGGTGTTTATTGATTGGTCTTGGAGGGAAGTAACATTCTACAAGGAGGAGGATGAGGGCGTTAGCGGTGGCCAAGCCGGTCAATGCGAGATCGTGCAGGGAAGACAATGAGGAATCGATTCTAAATTTCAAGTTGACAAACTTGACAAGTCCCAAAATGACCTGGAACAACCAGTAGAAGAGAAGGACTCCATTGGGGATCACGGTCTTGAATTGTTCAATGTAATGGAGACCAAGGGCCACAATGACGGCCACAAGGTTGGCAATGGCAGACACACTGATGATGTCGAGCGAGGAGGATGAGTGGTGGTTAGAGCCCGTTCCGGCGTTGGATAACACGACTAATTGCCACACAACGAGTCCCAACTTGGAGTAGAAGATGGGACCAACTCTATTGCCACCAGAGGCCCTTTTCTGACGAAGGACGGAGATTTGATGAGCCCCAGCCCCGATGGCCAAAACGGCCGAGAAAAGGTACAAAGCCGCCACGAAGCACGGCGTGAAGTCGCTGTAGACGGGGGAGATAGGGCCCCAGCCTTCACCACGGTTGGAACAGGACAAGAAATGAACGTGTTGTGGGCGGTCCACGGTGTTGTTGGACGAAAGAATGGGGAATTGCGCTTCCACAGAACGGTCCTTTGCCAGCAGTTGGAGGAGATAATCGGACCATAGGAAGTCCAAATGAACAGCGGCTCCACGACCCATGTCTATCAAATGGACCTCCATCATGTTTTGGTGGTGAAAGACGAACGGGGAGGGTCAGAGAGTGGAACAACAGATAGAGAAAACAACAATTGCCGCAAAAATGCAAAAAAGTGACAAATCTTAAAAATTCGCGCCGCTCAGCTTCAACATCGAGGATTTTTTTACAGCCATATTAAAGAGACAGAGAACGAACAGGAAGTTTGACTCTAGATCTACAGATACACAGATATACAGACATGAAGCATCCTTTCTAGAACATTGTGGTGGACACCAAGACACAGCTTGTATTTGCCGGCGTGGACAATGGTATCCGTGTGTTCAGCTTGCCCGAGCGTAAACTTGTTGGCTATGGATCGATGATGTAGTGAGTGAGGCCGACATTTAGAAGCGCCAAAAGGAACAAAAGGACACTTTGAAGAAAACCCGTAAGGAGGCCACGAGGCTTTAGAAAATGGTGTTGTTATCCACCAACCGCTGAAGAAGATCAAGCCTTCCTTTGAACACTCGACTCACAATTACATCCGGTCGTTGCAACTTGATGGCCATGGCAAGTACTTGGTGGCCACCACTGACACTGATAAGTCCGTGGTGGTGTTCTCCGTGGATGCTACCAACCTGGAAAACTGTCTTACCGTCGTCAAGTGACCACCGTTCCCCATGAGACCTTGTTCCATTGATATCGGCCGTGACACAGCGCCAATGTGGTCGTGGCCGACAAGTTTGGTGACGTTTACACCATGCCATTGGCCAACGGCACCGAGGTCTTGGAAGAGAAGTCCTTGTTGCCCATCTTGGGCCATGTTTCCATGTTGACCGACGTTGCCGTGACCACCAACGCCGCCAACGACCGCAAATACATCCTCACAGCTGATCGTGACGAACACAGCCGTGTGTCCAACTAACCCAAGCTGTACGTGGTCAAGCACTGGATTTCGGCCACCACGAGTTTGCTCTGTGTTTGAACATCGATGGCGAACAGCTTGTTTCCGGAGGTGGGGACAACTACATCTGTCTTTGGAACTGGTACGAGAACAAGCTTTTGGCACAAGCCAATCTCCGTCAACACGTTGACAAGTATTTGACCGCGTTCCACGATACCCCGGGACGTTGGGCAACCGAGGAGTCCAAACGTGAGATCTCTGTCTTCAAGATCTTGCGTCTCAGAACCAACTTGATTGCTGTGTTTGTGGAAAACGTCAAGTGTTTGCTTGTTTTCAAAATCAAGGACGGTAACTCTTTGGTGCACAAACAAACTTTGGAGCTTTCCCACGAGTTTGTAGACGTTTCCAAAGTCAACGAGGACCTTCTCTTGGGATCCAACAACGACACAACCGATGAGGGACAATTGTTCTCGTACGTCAGTGTTGCCGAAGACGGCACCTTTTCCGTGGACGTCCTGAGAGTGTTCGACGTTGAGAGCATAAGAGTGGCCTTTTCCGAAGACATGTGTCCATTGTGGTACGTAAACACCTTGAAAAAGAGATCCGAACATTAGAGATGTACAGCCGAGAGAAGCATTAGGAGTAGTATAAAAACTTTATCTCGTGTAACTTTTTTTTTTTTTTGCAGCCATTTTCCTCGTCTAAGTTAACGCAACTCCTCCCAGGAAAAAGAGAGCCTAGTATCTTTCTCAAGATATCAAAGGTCTATACACGTCTACTTGGAATGTTTTACAACTTTTTTCCCGAATAAACAATACACAATGTGTTTGTGCTGTTTATCATTGTTATTCATGAGAGACAAGTCCCTTTGTTATTTCGCAGCCATTCATATCCTTATTTTTTTTGTTATAGTTATAAAGCAAGTGCTGATTCATGTGAAGTTAAGTTACTAACCAATTTGTATGTGCACTAGTTCTTATTTAATTGCATAGTCGCCCCCTAATACTTTAAGAAACTCTACTGGGTGGTTACGGACGTGTATTCTGAAAAGTTGCCGCAGGTTCGACTCCCGGTATCAAGAGTGCGAATGAGAAATACTACATAGAAAGGTAAATAAAAGTATGGACATACACTAAGTTGTTACTAACAATAGACAATGAACAAAAATTATTTTAGACATAATATTTAGCTTTTGAACGTGAGTTAACGGGATTGGACCTACTACAGAGCTTGTTTTATCGAGACACGCTACTTTTATTTTCTTGGTGACGTGGTACCACTTGGCATACATTTCAACTTCGTTAAGCTTATGGCGGCGCTTAGAATGTTACTTACATTCGCACTCGGGTCATGAAAAAAAAAACAATCCAAGTCGCCTTGTTAAGTTGCAACTCGTGACAATGCTTACTCATACAAAATTATCTGGTAAGAGAGACTCCGGTTATAATCAGTTTTCGAGGGTCTTTCAAAAGCTAAGCGCCGCCCTGCACACTGCCTGTTGGTGGTTTCCAATTATACTTTGAATTGCAGAACTCCTTCTTCCCGTCCTAAAAAATAAGTTCCTACGTCGACTTGCAACCATATACACATTTTAACTGGCGATTGCGCTGTACCATCTCACATGGCTCAGTTCTTATATTGCATTGTCTTCATTCCGTTAAAAGTCTCAAAACTCAAAATTTATTTTTATCTCATTTTAATTTTTTATTTTTTTAATCAAGATATTTTCTTATTGAAATGAAAATTAGAAACCAAATCGCGCTAGGCGCAGCCTGAAGTTTTATCCAGAACATTCTCTAATTACACTTTCAAGGACACACAGCTAAGAATGAGCCAAGCCGCTGGATATATTTTGAAATTGCATTTATATTTGTATAGAGCTGTACTTTCGTAAATCTCTATTTAAAATTATCTGTATGTCTTTAACCTCCCTTTTAGCCTCATTGATAAATCCATATTTTTTATGAAGGATCCCTCCTGCATGTATTGTGCATCCTACCCTCGTAATCAGAACCTCTTTACTTGGGTGTACCTTTTACACAAAACACGACTCCATTCGTATGTCTAGATTCCTGCTTTTGGGGTCTGAATTGACGATATTTTGCTACAATAATCCACAAAAGGGTTATCCTGTGAAGATATCATTGACGAATTCTATGATAAGATAGTTTCACTCCATTATATCACTGGAAAATACCGATATTCAGTTCTAGACAACTGCAAAAATGACACACTATCCACATGCATCTGTGAGACTTGTTTCAAATCCGCTTTGCAGTAGCAAAATATTCGCTTTATCCCCCCTTTCCCCCAGCTAAAATCCTGATCTGACCTTAACCGACTACCCGTTTTTTTTTATTTAATATTTTTTTTTTGCCTATTTCTTTTTTGTCCTACTGGGGACATTAGTGGGTGTGTGTGTCAGATCCCACAAACCCCCTTGTCCATTCCTGTTGGCGGGTTTTGTCATTGCTCTCAACCCCTTTATAAGCCTTTAAAATTATATATATATATATATATACACATTATTTATTTCTTCATCAACGTTCTTCTTTGATTTGAAGTTTGGTTTAGATTTAGAATTTGTGTAGAAACATATTCCTTAAAACTATTCCACTTTGAACTGAACTGGGTATTCATTCTTTGCAAGAGTTTTGTTCATCATGTCAGATCAATCATTTCATTCACATTCTCATAATCTTTCAATCAATTCTATCGGATCAATTGTGGAACCAACTACTCCTCCTTCCACTGTAAAAACACCCAATGGTGGTGGTGGTGTTGGTGGTTCTTTTCAACATAAAAGATCATTTCTGAATTTGTGGGATAATCAATCATCTGTCACCAATACCACGTACAAACATATTAATGATCTTCAATTACCAAACTTTAACTTGGATCAATCTTTACCATTAAATGTCAATCATCTGATTATCAATAGGGCAATCCCTCACACTCATTTTAACTCTACTACTACTACAAGTATCCCTACTCCTCCTCCACCCGCATCATCTACAAATATTGTTGCCACTCCAACTAAAACCACAAGTATTGATCAGGAAAATCCCAAAGTACTTACATTGAATCCTATCACTCATCCATGCTCCATTGATAAAGATTATCTTTGTTCAATCAATAAAATTCCCCTCGCCAATTTAAAATCGGAGATTTTAAAATTATCAAAAGATCAATATGGTTGTAGATTTTTACAAAAGAAAATTGATGAGAATCTTGTCTTGAATTATAATCAAAGATTGGAAAATTTTGAAATTATCTTTAATGAAATCTATCAATATTTCTATGAATTAATCATTGATCCATTTGGGAATTATTTAATTCAAAAATTGATTGGTTATTGTAATGAAGCCAAATTAAATTTGATTTTAGAAATTTTACAATTTAATTTGTTTCAAATTTCCATTAATCAACATGGTACTAGAGCATTACAGAAAATCATTGATTCCTTGGTCAATCAATATCAATTGGATTTATTAGTACAAGGTCTTCAACCTTATATAATTGAATTGATTAAAGATTTGAATGGGAATCATGTGATTCAGAAGATTTTGAATAAATTTAAACCAATTCAATGTCAATTTATTTATAATTCAATTCTTGATGATTTGGTCACAGTTGCCACTCATAAACATGGATGTTGTGTTTTACAAAAATGTCTTAATCATGTCATTCCATTACAATTGGTTGAATTTCTGAAGAAAATTTTACAATTTGGTACTTTTTTCAAATTAATTAATGATCAATTTGGTAATTATGTCTTGCAATATCTTATTTCAATTAATTCAATTAACATTAATTATAAGATTTATGATAATTTCTTAAAATTTGGTATCAATAATTTATGTAATTTGAAATTTTCATCAAATGTTATTGAAAAATTTTTAAAAAATTGTTTTACAAATGAAAATAAGAATAAAAAGAAGATTAAGAATGAAGATGAAGAACTTGTCAAGTTTTTAGATGAATTAAAATTGGATAATAATCAAAAATCTAATCATTATAATGAACTGGGTGCCCGTGCACGTGACAACTTATCTAATGATAATCATAATTCAATCACCAATAGTTCAACTGTTTTAACATTTACAGATTTAAAGTATGATTTAATTTATCAAATTCTTTTATCTGATTTAAACAAGTTAATCAATGATCCTTATGGAAATTATGTGATTCAAACTTTATTGGATGTTTTGAATAATAATCAAAAATCAAATAAAATTTATCTTTTATTACCAGAAGGTTTAAATGATTCAGAATCAATTCAAGTTCAAATTATTAAGAAATGGTTCCTTAATTGTAAAATTTTATCAAGTTTTGGGAAAAGAATTCAACTGAAAATCAATAGTATTTTAAATGGTAGTTTACCACAGCAACAACTGCTGCAACAACAACACCAACATTCAAATTACTATAAGAAAAGCCTACCACTTAATATGAATTCTAATGGGGAATTTATCCAAGAAAATTTTTACGCACGTTCAGCTTCAATTTCAAGCTCTGGTCCTAGTTCTAATGCTCACCTCAGAGCACAATCTCTTTCATTTCTACCATCTCAATCAAATTATGTTTTAGGTGGTCAATCTCAACAAATCCAACCGCAACAATACCCATATACGCATTACTCTCAGCATAGTTCAAGTGGTGGTAATATGCCAGTGAATCCGGGGCAATCTGCTCAATTTACTCTGCCATACCTGCAGAACTTTTCGACGGCCCAATCTACCATTCAGCCTCATCCGCAACATACACACACACGCTTGAACTCCCATTCTAACGATTTCATGATCCAGAACAATATTCCTCTGCAATATTCTTCGACTTACGCCATCCCACCACATTCCCAATCATACTATCAAGGTTAGGGACAACAATAACAACAAAAAATATGTATTCTTATGTTTCATTATATAGCTAAATATAACACTTGGCCATTTGCCGGCAAATAATAGTTCAACGAGCAAAATGTATGATATATTAAGATGATTATATGTGGTGAGATTGTTTAGAACTCGGTGTTCCTTCTTACTAGAAAGTGATTTTGTCCACCTGATAGGTACTGAACTTTCAGTGCAGTATATAATTTGTATAATAATATCATAAATGCTATGGGTACAATACATCTTCTCTTCAAAATCATCCTGTCCTCCTCTACAATATACTCGTTTATGACTCGTTTATTTACTTCTATGAACTTCAAGTTCCCTTCCCCTTGTATTAAGTTCTTCTCTTCTTCACTCTGTCCCATGCAGAGTTTGGCTTTTTCTTTCTGGATGTAGAGTCACTAATGCTTCTCTTATTGTTGAAAATAGACCAATCTTCACCAGCAAAATTGTTGACAAGTTCACTTTGCTTTTGTCTGAATGTCTTCTTAGTAGCAGCATTTGGCAATCTAGTGAAGTTTGTTTCTTCATATGTTTGAATTTGTTGTTCCTTTTCCTTCTCACGGTTAGTCTTTACACCACCCTTACCATGGTTGACAATGGTGGACCCAATAGATGATTCCATCAATGGTTGGTCGGAGTTTTCCTTAAGATATTCTTCCATACTTTGAAGCTTACGGTTGTCTCCAGATGTAGGTGCTGCGGTTGGCTTTGGTGGTGCCACAGCAGAAATCTTTGGTGGCTTATATGCTGCTGAAGAAGATCCATCCTTGGATGAACGCTTATCCTTGGCGGCAGTCAATTTGGCAAGAGACTGGACGTCTGGTTTGTATGCAAGGTTGTCATCAGCTTCAGAATCAGAGTCATCATCAGATCCGGACTCAGATCCAGATTCTCCTTCCTTTGCCTGTTGTCCCTCCAATTTTTCTCTAGTTTCAGTTTCTTCGGTCTCCATACGTCTATATGCTCTTACCAACTTGTCCAACTGGTAACTAAGTCTTTTTTCTAATGGTTTCACACCTTTTTCCAAAGTCACTCTTTGAATGATTGTATTTTCTACAGCTTGCTTTCTAGCGTTGATTACGTCTTCTTCTTCAGCATCTCCTTCTAACAGTTGAAGCTTTGCCAACAATACTAATGCGGCGTTATTTAAATATGACATTAAAGAGTTGTTTTTCAATGCTAAAAGTGATACCCCTTCAAGAGAACTAACATTATTCTGTTTCCTTAACTCTTCAATCATCACTGGGTTTTCTTCTTCCAAGGTTTGTGCAAGTGCCGTCATGGCTTCCATGGTCACATCAAGTGATCCACCGATGGTTTTCAATAATTCATCCATCTTGTATTGATTATTCCTGGATCTATCTTTAAATGTGGGTGAATTGGTCTCTTTACTTGTAACCTCTTCTCTCTCTCATACCAATGCTTACTTAAGCGATGGATATTCTTTTTCTTTTTTTTTTTTTTTTTGCCTTTTTTTTTTTTTTTGGTGTGTACCAAATTTTGATTTTTTTTTTTTTTCGTCTCTCCGCGAAGAGCTTCGCAGAGAAGAGGAAAGCTCCAGAAGGAAGATAAAGATATATCTTACACTTCTTCTTTCCCTTAACTACATACCTACACATCCAACATGCCTCAAAACGAATATATTGAACAGCACATCAAGCAGCACGGTAGAAGACTAGACCACGAGGAGAGAAAGAGAAAGAGAGAGGCCAGAGAAGGACACAGAGTTGCCAAGGATGCTCAAAACTTGACTGGTTGGAGAGCTAAGCAATTCAACAAGAAGAGATATGCCGAAAAGGTTGCCATGAAGAAGAAGATCAAGGCTCATCAAGAGTCCAAGGTCAACGGCCCAGCTACGCCAAAGCAGGACGATGGCGAAGCTTTGCCAACCTATTTGTTGGACCGTCAAACCACCAACTCTGCCAAGGCTATTTCCTCTTCTATTAAACAAAAGCGTTTGGAAAAGGCTGACAAGTTCTCAGTTCCACTTCCAAAGGTTCGTGGTATTTCTGAAGAAGAAATGTTTAAGGTGATAAAGACCGGTAAGAAGAACCACAAGTCATGGAAACGTATGATCACCAAGCATACTTTTGTTGGTGAAGGATTTACCCGTAGACCAGTCAAGATGGAACGTATTATCCGTCCATCTGCCTTGAGACAAAAGAAGGCTAACGTTACACACCCTGAGTTGAAGGTTACCGTTTTCTTGCCAATTTTGGGAGTCAAGAAGAACCCTCAATCTCCTATGTACACTCAATTGGGTGTTTTGACCAAGGGTACAATCATTGAAGTTAACGTTTCCGAATTAGGTTTGGTTACCGCTGGTGGTAAGGTTGTCTGGGGTAAGTACGCCCAAGTGACGAACGAACCAGACAGAGATGGTTGTGTCAACGCTGTTTTGTTGGTATAGGCTAACAGATGGGGAGGAAAGCATACAAGATAGTGAAAGAAAATGCTATTTGTCACTGCTTAGTCAGAGAGAGTCCGTAAGCTAGCGCAAGCGAGTAAGTTAGTTAGCATGAGCGAACAAGCGACGTATAGGATCCAGAAGTATATATTTTAATTATACCTGGTTTTGGTATAATTTCACATATAGTATCAACATATTCTAAAAAACCTGTATTCTAGTTTTTTTTTGCATGGTTTAATACGCATACTATTATAGAACTTAGAAATGTAGATAGAGTGAGAAGAGAATATGTAGTATCATAGATGTGTTGTTTAACATTTTATAAGAAAGGAGAAATTTGGGTGCAAAAACAGATGCGTTGGCTTGCTTTGAGACGGGATTTCGAAATCGTTTATATTTAGTGTTACCAATGAACTCCACGATAATGTAGGGAAAAGGGAAAGTATTGTTCTATCATTATTTTCTTCACAGTTTCTTCTTCGTAGAAGTGGAAATAGCGCCTAAGTTAAAGAAGAAGGGTGTGAAACTCGTGGCTCGGATATTGACCCTAATCTTGGCGAATGCAGATCCGAAACTGATAGTCAAAAGTAGATCCTACTCCAAAGAATCTCACAATTCCAAGAAGTTCATAAAATTCAGAATACCGGAAATCATGAGTGTATTTCTCCCCGATATAATTGGTAGGAAAGTTGAGTAGTTGGCGGGTATATAAACCTTTATCCAATGTAGTTTACAATTCTTATGAACTCTTCCAACTTATAACACTAATGAATACCAAGCAAGTGTGGCTTTTATGTATCTGATTTAATTAGTTGATCATTTCAAGTCTAATAAAACGAATAAGATTAGCAACTTCTTCACTTTGGTATAGAAAGGTTCTTTCCTTGTTAATTCTTGAATACGATGCCATCGATTTATCTTCTGAATATTGCTCCAAAGGTAAAAAGTATCTTCAACTTCTTCTTCTTCTTCTTCTTCTTCAGTTATACTAGTGCATCTATATATGAGTCAATGATACTGGATTCGATCGTATCAAATTCTTCTTCGATAATATCTTGCTTCTTGATAGTACCAAAGGCTCTCCTTTTATATAAGCCAACCCAAATACAATTGAGGATTGATCAATGAAGAAGTTAAATTGAAGAGCTAACAAGGCGACATTGGCATGAAATATGGTATGGATTTTAAAGTAGAAAATATATAAAACGACACTATCTTTTGTATCAAAAGAAACTCTTTCAGTGATATTTTATAAATTTCCTTCGTATTGAAACAATGCAGCATTTGAACTTGCATCTTTCGAATATTTTCAAGAACAAATTTGTCCCGTATCTATCTCCAAATATCTCGCTCCATTGGAATTGAACCGTGCCATACTCCATCCATGAAGACATTTATGTACAGCAGAATTGAGTACTGATGGGAATTCAGGAGGATACTTTAGGAAAGGAAGGCAATTAGAGGTGACTTTTTCGCTATTATCGAGTAGTAGAATCACCGTCACACATTAGTTCACTTGAAGAAATACCTGAACTGATTCAAGATTGTACATTTATGTAGACTAATAGGGAATATAATTGGGTTGAATAGGATTTGGTGTGTGCGCCTGTGTTGAAAAGTATGGCAATAAGTGGACAAAACGAAGTAAAGTATATAATCTGGAAAACCCAGCGATATACTTTAAAAAATAAGTTTATGTTACTTATTTCAATGATGCAAAACCGTTTAAATTGTCTAACATCTTATATGAGCGTTTTTTGTGCCTTTTCGGACTAATACATGATCTGGGAAATGGTTTACAAGTGCTTATATGTTCAATCATTCAAAGCTACATTGTAGCATTAAAAAGAAAACTACATCAGATAGAACTACTAAAATATGATGGATACAGTTTATTAAAGGACATTGTTATCGGTTGAACCCACCTCAAAAAAAAAGTGTAGAGAGATTAATGAAGATTGAGATGAATATACCAAAATGAAGCGTTAACTAATCTATTTTAGTATAAATTTTTACACCTGTATGGTAGTATCTTGAACAATATTTGCTTTGAATTTGTACTTAGTACGTTACCATGAAAGTAGAGGAATATGGAAAAGAAAGATGTAAGGTTTTCAACATTTTAAAAAAAGTGGCTGCAAATTCGCAGTTAGTACACAAAAATGAAAGTTTGATAACACCTTCAAATCGCTTCTCTAAATCAATAGTCTGAATCACAAGTAAAAAGATATATCATTTTAATTTATGTTTACATCTTAAATCTCTTTAATGTTGGAAGTGCTCTTTTATTTAATATTAGTTTACTAAGTTTATTATATATTTATCTACTCCCAATCATTGGAGAACAAGTCTTGGCAAATAATAGTCTTCTTTCCAATTGACCTTAACCCACAATTTAAGATCAATTTCGCGTTTTCACGTAAGATCTCCCATTGACTCTTGAGTAACTTAGATCCCACAAGGAAACAGAGCCCGCTGATATTTTGTTTGTCCGTGATCCGAGAAAGAAGCGCAGTATATTTGACAAGTACTTCATGAGGAGTCTTACCTGATTTTTGAATTTGGAAAGGTTGAATGCTATACTCCTCACCTAACCCATCACTTCGAAGATATTTCGTAAATTCTTCTCTCACTCTATACAAATATGCATGGCCGCTTTCAGTACTAAATTTGACCAATTTGTCGTAATTTTCATTTTGTTCTAAACCTTCTTCAAATTTCTGAGATTCAAGTCCACATGTAGTGAAGGCAAAACTCCAAAGCGTAAGAGTTGCTACTCCAACAGCATACATAGAATCATAATAGTCCCGCGATGCAGTCCAGTCCAAGTACAGATCTTCGGGATTTGATGGAGTTTCAGCCTCTCCCTTTTCTGGTAAAAGCATAAGCTCCCATAGCAACAAGTAGGAATGAATTACACTCTTCAAATTTATTAATTCACTGATATTCTTGCGTTTCTGTACCGCATACCTTGACCACATACTGTTCAATTTAGCTTGCACAATAACATGATCTTTCATGGTAGCATCCACACTCATGTTGGCAGGAGATCCACCAAAGATGGCAATATCATATTGATTTAAATCAGAGATTCCGATAATTTGAGTCAAATGATACATTGGAAACTGACATTGAGTAGTATTGACTGCATGTTCAAATGCAGTCTTACCAATTTTATGTTGTTTAAGAGAACATTTCTCATTAATATCAATATTCCAATTATCAAACGATTTGGTCAATATTTCCTTCCATGACAGCATGTTATTCTTTGTAGCGGCTCCATTTCCAATTACACCACCACCAATTTTATCACTACCAGTGAGGAGAGATGTAGTATTTTGAACTTCTGTTTGTTGCATTTGATACATGATTGATAACAATCCAGCAAATAAAATCTTTTTTGTAAACGGAGATAGACCCGATTTGGGTACATGGTCTCCATTACTGTGAGGCCTGAGCATCTTTTTTAGGGCACTCAAAAAGCTCTCGCCAAATTTGACCCCAGTATAACGTGACGAGCTTCCTGATAGTGGACCATATTGTTGCTGGAGTTTCTTTTGTCGCTTCACAATTTTCTTAAATGATCCAACCACTTCAGTCGACTCCCAAAGGTTTGTGTCATCACATGGTAAATGAAGGAGTTGTAATTGAAAAAATAAAATTTGTGGATTGTGTCTAAACTTGATATAGTCGATTATATCCATGTAAAACGTCATAAAAGTTGTTCTCTTCATGGACTCTGATTCAACCCATCTCATATACAAGTCAAAGTCAGAGTCATCCACAGATTTCTTCTCCACTACTTCACCAGGGTCCGATTCATCTTCTCCTGCACTTGTTGAGTTACCCCCGCTGTTTGTCCTTCTCTTTGGCTTTGCGGCCGCAGGATTACCTCCTAATAGGGGTGACCGTCTGAGCAATTGTGCCGTTGTTCCATGATGAATATGTGCTCTTTCATGCATATCTCTCAGGAGAAAATTCTTCTCACACCACTCCAAAATATTTAAACTTTGCAAGATCCAAAGTTTGACTGGGGTTTTAAAATCTTCATGTTGGAATATCATAAACCTCAATGGAGTAGCCACCTGTAAGCTGAATTTGAACTCTGGAGTAAGTTTATGAGGAACAGTGACGGGAAATTCTGAGTAATTACACCCCATGATTATCATGGAAAGTAGAAGCAAAGGTTCACAAGTGCGCGTATCAAATGTTGGCTTATGAATGAAGGAGTATTGTGGATGGAAAAGCGCCCAATAGAGGGAAAGATAGTACGAGAGACGGTCTTCTAATGGAATGAAAGAAGTAGTTTCACCATCATCTTCAAAGATTTGAACTATTTTTTCTCGTGAAAGTGAAGGTATAGCTGCAAGACAACCATCCAATACAAGGGTATCTATAAAGACTTGACAATTTTTCTGGGTATTGTGCCTCTTCGCGTAATCTGCGATTCTTTCTTGCATGGAAATTGTAATGTTCTTCATTGGTGCTGGATGGTTATTGTAATGTCGAGGAGAATTGGAGTCTGTGGTTGTTGTTGGTGATGAAGATGAAGCTGTAGATCCACCAACCATATTAAACGTAAAATTTGCATTACCAGTTGCTGACTGGTCGGGGAGATATGAATTACCCTGAGTAGAATAAAAATTTGACATAATCCCATTCTCTGGCAAGGTCTTCAAGAATATTTCATCCAATGGATTATCACTATTCAGAAAAATATTAACATCTTGAAATCCATATGAGTTTATTAATTGTTGGTCCATTGATCGACCGAGCAGAGTGGTAGAAAATGACTTGTAGAATGGAGACAAGGAGTTATCATTCGGTCCAATTAATCCAGATCCAGGAGGTACAAGAGATCCATTTAGTCCCTGTGGTGGTGGAATAACCAGTGGTGGTACATTTTGTGTGTTCACAGCCGGAGCATTCGATACCATTGGTTGAGTGATTTGTCTATTTCCCGATTGTGGCTGTAACTGATTGTTCCCATTTGTAAACTGTCTAGGAGATGCATTTTGAAACATTAAGGAGGCTGGTACGGGCGTTTCTGCTGGCAGGATTTGTGGAGTGTGACCATCGAATATTACACCATTCCTCACTTGTGGAGTGGGGAATCGATGATTATTAATTGACTGTCCAGCATGTTGAGCATTAGCTTGATTCATCATATTGTTGGGTGGTGAGTCAGTGAAGAGCCAGGATAAAATATCATTCTGGGTAGGTGGCGCGTTACTATTGAAATTCTGATAATAATATGGTGCATTACTGGTTTGTGCATTTTGTGTGCCAGTGGCAGCGGTGGCTTGTTGAGTATATACAAGACTTACCATTTGAGGTGAGTCCTTCTCGTTGTGCAGAGGAGTAGCTTGAGGTGTAATGGAATTGTTGCCCGGTCGCACTTCTGAATTTTGTATAAGAACCTGTTGAGAAGGTTGTAAATGGGCTTGAGTCTGTGAAAATGGTGATTCAGGGATAGTTGCTTGTGATGAAATACTATTACTTCTCTCTGTTTGTGATACAATCTTCACTGTTTGTGAATTATTATTACGTTGTCTCTTGGTGGCACCTCCATCTAGTTCAGAATGTCGTTTCATATGACGTTCTTTCAAATCCTTACGAACAAACGTACGACCACATTTCCGGGCCACACCTCCAAATTCTTCAATCACAGCATCGCATTCAAACACCTCCTTAGGTGCATGGTTTAAGTAATGACGAGAAAGATGGTCACTACGAGTGAAAACTTTACTACAATCTGGACATGGGAATGATCCCAATACTCGAGCCTTTTTCTTGTTTGATCCAGCTTGAACCGTGATTCCCTCTCCAGTTTTCACACCTGATGCATCTGTATTAGACTTTTCAACCGTGTATGGAGTACTGCCTTCCGATCCATTTACCTTGTCACTCGATTTATCTGGCATATTATTAGATTTGGTTTGTTGGTACTATATGTGTACAATTACCGCAATAGCCCTGTAATTGAAGCGTGAGTTTTTTTTTTATAAAGTTTCAATTTGGTATTGTAATATTTATCCTTCTTTCCCTTCTCTAAGAGTCGTAGGGTAGCGAAAGGCTGATCCCATCCTCGTAAATTTCCGAGTCCCCTTCTTTTCTAATGTTTGGATGTTTTGGACTGCATATAGCGCAGTTTAAATCTAGGTTCATCACGTTATTCACATTCTTATTTCTTTCTTGTTCCTATTTCGGAGATTCACTCCGAAATCCTACAATCAAAAACTGTAAATGTTTTTTTTTTCTTTTTTTTTTTTTGCAATTACAATCTAACATTGGGATAGACTTCAAAATACTGAAATAATACTCTTTGTTACCTTTTCCCTTTCTGTAGCGGTCAATCTATTTCTATATAAAGTTATAAAATGTGTTAATTTTTATGTGTATTCCGTTGTTACTACATAATTGACACATGCTGAAGTACTGCATGGTGACCTTGACATGTCAAACAAAAGATCTCCCCCTTAACACCGGACAGATAATATTTCTCTTAATGCGTGACCTGCCTCCAATTGACATGCCACACTTGGAAACATACTAGTGATTTTTATTTTGGTTTTCACTCTACCTATCAAATTGATAAATAGTATTTGTTTTTTTGTTATTTTTATTAGGTGGGTTCCGCTTCCCGCAGAATCTGTCATGCACACACATATCACAGAACAAAGAGTATGCTTAAGTCATTTAATGAATTTGAACTAATTCAAGTTTAGAAAAATCTCTTCATACTTATATATTTCAATATCTCTTTGACTATGTGTAATACAGTTATCATCTGGACCGTCTCTAACCGGTTGGTTTATCATATATTTGGATGATAACTTTTTGCAAATGCGTTCTATCGCTTAATGTATTACCCTCTACGCATGATAGAAGTTTTGTTTTACAAATTTCATGTCTTTATCTTAATATTCAACTATTTTGACACATTCCTATCCTACGAGCTTGTCCTTCATATATTTATCTATTCGTTAATTCTTTATCATTTCTAATTTCTATTATACATTGTTTACTTGTGTCTCCCCATGGTTCAAGCTCACCATTCTATACACTCCTTGTCATAATTCACATAAATAGGCGGTTCTTCCGGACTATAGTCAAGAACTACCAGCATACTTTCAAATCGAAGATTTTGCTCTGGTCGTATTCTTTCCTTAATAGTCTCAATCACCGCTTCGGCATCATCGGTCAGTTTCACTATCTTACTCATTTTACCCTTCATAATGTTCCCAATGGAATTATTACGTGGGTCAATGCCATTACTATTCGATATACTGCCTCTTCTCTTAGCAACAACTTTCCCAGGTTTGATATTACGATTGAAATAGTAATAAAACTTCTCAACATTCATCAAAAATCCTTGACTGACATACTCATGTAATATCAAATCATCATTGGTCAAATCATCACTTTCAAGTTGTTGATGGTATTGTTCCTCAACGTATTCAACAAAGCAATTGTAATTATAATCTTTAAACCCTTCTCGGTCAAGTAACCAAATTGCTGCATAATCATGGTAAAAATTTGGTCTTTCAATATCCAAACAATCATTAGCTCCACTGATGCTCAAGTATAATTCATCATAAAACTTATCCAATTGTTCCAGTGGATATTTCTCCATAAATGTATTTTCTATAATATGGAGAACTCTTTCCTTACCTTCTTTACGGAAAAGTTTGTTATAAATTGTTCCTAAATCATCAGATTCAAAATCTTGAAGTACCAAATTAACAATACACAGTTTGAATGCGGTAGTAGATGGGATCAGAAACCTTTCTTCAATTAATCGTTGAAGTCTTCTTTGAACTAATGGTAATAATGAATTTGGAGTTTTACTTGGTTTCAATAGAGAATGGCCTGGTAATTTGGCTTCAAGTTGAGTTTCATGTTCAAGATCTTCATCCTCATCAATCTCATCTTCCATTACGTCTTCATAATCCAGACTTTCGAGACTATCTGTAGATTTCATATAATGGTCATTAATATTAGAAAGTCTTTGGAAACTTGCAACAGCATTTCTAAGTCCTATTCGTATACTTTTGGGAGAATCTCGTAACAGTAAGTCGGAACTCATGGGAAATGAAGTGCTTGAATATGTAGACTTTGGAGTCTCAACAGCCACAACAGATGTATGCAGCGGTTGCAACTGTTGTGGTTGTTTGTTCTTGTTTAAGTCCCATAGTAAGGATACCCGTACGGGCTCTTGCACAGTTATCATTTGTATTGATATCTCTAATTGTGGTCTAACTCATACAATCTTCCCAATCTAATATTTTTAAATTCTCTCTTGCACCCAAAAAAAAAATATATGAAACGTGGGGTTCCTTGTTTCTAATGGGTGTATGTGTTAGGTGGGGAGAGGGGGGGCGTGGGCTTCTCTTCCAAATTAAGTCGGTAATCCACTTTCAATTCACGTGGCAGACACAAAGGACTAGTCGCAGTCTTCAAAATATTATGATAAAGATTCTCGAAATCTTTTATTTTTTCAGATTATGAGTATCCAAATCACTTGTATAAACCAATTAGTGGTCCATATATAGTCAGAACTATGAATAGTTCTGCTTTCTGTGCAAAAAATTTCTAGTTCATCATTTCTTTTTTTTTATTGACCCCTCGTGCTCATCCCACGATGTTCCACATTCTGTACTGCACCTAACGTGTTCCACACATCCCAATTAGGATACTCTTTCCCTTGGCAACCGTTTAGTTGGGTTATTTATTCCCCTCTAGTTGAATCAACATGATAAGAGTACATTCAAGCAACTATTACAAGGGCAAAAAAAATAAATAATAAGAGCAAAGGTAAGGCAAAAAAAAAAAAAAATAAAGGGTGGGAAGACGATATAGGAATAGCAAAAAGAAAAATGAAGGGTAATATTTTTGTTTTCATAGTAATATCTATCCAATCAATATTTTGTATAGTTTTTGTTCTCATTATAATTCATCAGGTCTTGAGTAAGGATGGTTTCTGCTAGCCGAAGAACTCCGACTCGATCTCTCAGGCCCCCCGCCTCTCGCAAACATACTCAGGAGTTGGCGCGGAAGTAATGGCTCTTGTAATTCCGAATCGGGATCGTTCCGTATATCGGATGTAGGCACGGCAACTGTCGGAGTTAGCTCTGTAGTTGTGCTGATTATTGGTAAGTCACCCAAAATATTTGTGGCCGTTGGAGGTGTGGTAGACACTCTGCCAGTACGGAATGGGAAATCATTCATATCAGGTAAGGGAAATCTTCTTGGAAGTATCAAGCTTGGATCCCGGGTGTTGAGAGAAGTCTTAGACTCACCTGCAACTCTTCTTTGAGACCAGCTTTGAGGAACATATCTATCGGTTAATGGGGTCACTCTTGGGTTCATTGGTCTCTTGAATGGTTGGAATACATCTGTCAGTCTATTCACAATGTACTCCACCAAATCATCTTCGTTTTGATCTGAATCTTGAAAATGGAAGTTACTTTCTTCTCTGATTCTACTCCGTTTAGCTATAATTGGGTCAGCTGCAGTACTACTTTCAACTTCCTTGCGGCATAATGGACAACTAACGTTACTCTTGAGCCATTCTACAATGCACGATTTCCCAAATATATGGTTACATCCAGGCATTTTCACTGGGATATGAGGAAATTCCTTTTCCTTATCTGATGCATCATTTGAATTTCTCTTCTTTTTCCTTTTCTTTTCTTCATTTTCGGTATACCCTGGTATCACTTGTTCAATGGAAGGTTCCATTTTGGTGTAAAAATTCTTCATGGGGAATCTAGAATATACAGTGGCAACCTCATTGATCGGGAAAAAAAGTGATGGATCATTAAATGATGTATTATCTTCTTCTGTATGAACTTTAGGCTGTTGATCCATCGATACTTCGTCATTAGTATCCCCTTTCTCGCTCATGGATTGTTGAACATATGCATCGTAACAAATTGGACATTCCTTATCGACTGGGTTCTGTACTTGTTGTAAATTTTCTATCACTTCTTCGGACGCCAGCTTCTTCTTAAAACTTAATCCAGTGGCACTTAAAGCTCGATCTATAGCGTCTCTAACCCATGGTGGAAGTTCATTCATGCCATTAAATTCAGAATCTAAATCTAGATTGATTACAGTGGGGCCCCCTCCTTCATTTGGTTGTGCCATGTCTGATACTATCAATCTATCTACTATTAATAATTATTAAAAACAAATTTCGTATAATGAATAAAGATATTACAAATAAAAAAAAATAAGGATCGTGGAAATGTCTCACGATCATGACAATCGAAGAAATGTACATACATATTTTAAATCCTTACATCCGCACACCCACCACAATTTTGTATAGTATCAATATGATACATATATACATTTTTATATAAATACAATTCTACCTATATCTTATTATGTCTCATCTACATATATTGAGATCTTAAGTTCATCACCATTGATTGCTTATCTGGTGGGAGACTACTGATTTGATCCGAAGGTAATGATAACACTTGCGCAATCAAATCAGCTTGATCTGGAGCTAAATTCAAAAGTTTGGCTTGAGTTTGAGGTGGGAGATGTGGCCATTTCAGTGGTTGCATTTGAGGTGGTTGAGATGGTGCATTATTATAATTGGATGATCCATAATTATTATTATTATTAGTAGTATTGTTGTTGTTGTTGAATTGTGAAGATGGTGGAGGTGGGAGATGTTGTGGTTGTTGAGGAATTTGTGGAAGTTGTTGTTGGTAACCTTGCTGTTGTTGTTGTTGATAACCCTGTTGTTGACCATATCCTGAAGATTGTTGGATTGGTGCTTGTTGTGGAACTGGGGTACTTGATGCAGACTTCATAGATTCAGCGATAACTTCAGAATCAATAAGGCCCATAAGTAATAATGCTTGCGCGGCAGAGGGTGCCAAATTAGGAGATAATTGAAATACATCGGCTGCTCTACTGGCACCAGGTGCATTCAAAATATTCTTCAAATTGGCAATTAATTCAATGAGTTGCGTAGGAGGGATCTTACTGAGAGTATCACTAATTTTATCTGGGGTAGTGAATGGAAGTTTTTGAGCTTGAGGAAGAGATTGTGTAGCACCGGTAAGATTTGATGGCATTAAATCTGTAGAACCGGAATTGATTGGATTTGGTGATAAGATACGTGGTGGTGCTTGTTGAGCTAACTGTTGTTGTGGAGCTTGTTGTTGTGGTATCTGATGTTGTTGTCTTTGTTGGAATGTCTGAAGTGGATTAGGTGGTAAAAAGCTCGGTTGTTGAGGTAACGTGGATGGTTTAGGCGCCGGTGGTAAACCAGCAGGGATGTTTGGTTGGAATGAAGTGGTTGGAATTGAAGGTAACCCTGGGACTACTGAATTCCCCATTTCTGAAGGGAAAATAACATTAGGAGGAATCTTAGATCTATCAAATGTCATAACATTCTTATGATCTAACTCACTTCTCAGACCTTCTTTAGAATAATCAATTCGAAGAGTCTTATATTTTTGGAAGCCTCCTGGACCTCCTGACATAATCTTAATGTTGGAAAGAAGAGGAATGGCATTCAGTGCATCTTGTGCAGTCAAGAATTCTACAAACCCAAAGCCTTTATTTTTACCGTCATAGTCGAATCCAACACGAACATCAACCACTTTGCCTGTGGAACAAACTACCGCAGCGATTGTTGGTTGGTCCCATTCATAAGGAATATTCCCAATGTAAAGAATTGTAGGAGCAGGGCCAGGAACAGGTGCATGCATTGTGGACCTATTATTCGACATCATGATCCCAATTCTACAAGTTTAAAGAGGAAAGTAAAGATTTCTTAAGTATTTAAAACTTAACACCTTTAGTAATTGTAAATAGAAAAGCATTGAGAAATTTAAAAAACAAAAAATCTCAAAATCTGAAAATCATAAAATGATAGAAATGGAAAATTAATTATGGAATAGAACACTTGAACACTATAAATATATATTAAAATGTGTTTAATGTTGACTGAAATAAATAAGGATCGATATTTATGAGTATTTGGGTATATTTTTATAACAATGGATACAAAAAAAAGAAGGGAAGTTCAAAGAAAGAACAAAAAATAAAACAAGCTCCGATACCGGGAGTCGAACCCGGGTCTGCTCGGTGAAAGCGAACCGTGCTAGCCGTTACACTATATCGGATAATTGTTGAAGTACTTTTTTGTGCATTTGTGTAGTTCAAAGGACTATTTTACGGTTTTGGAAATTCGGTATGGGCACGACCATGCAATATTTAATGTTGCAAATTGTAGTTGAGATTAGATGCCAAGGGGGTGGAGGAGTACATTCATTAAGTAGTATTGGTAATGCTTATTTCACATTGAGGACCAGTCACATAATCTTCAATCGTTTAATTCAATGATCTGACACTATCGAATTCTGAAAATTCTTGAGGGAACGCAGTGATCTGATGTGGGAGAATAAACCAATTGCTAACAATATAAAAAAAAACCAACCTTTGTCCCCAATTTCTAGTCAGCCTTCTTATATGGTTCAACTTAATTGGTGACAGGTGAAAGTTACCTGTGGGTTGATGTATAAGCATCCGTGCTATTCGTAATGGTGAGCATAGTGTCCTCGAGAATAAAATCACCTCTGTTGGGGTCAAGAGATGGATCAATTTTTTTCGATGTTGGAAACTCCTCCGCAGTCCCCAGGAAACTCGAATAAATGTCTGGACACGTATCGAAGAACTTGCACCGAACATGTACTACTACTATATACGTGCCTATGCCGAGTGCTATTGCGAGAACTTTTATCTTCGTAAGCACATTACGTTTTGCCAGAACCTTACTGAAATTTGATTCAAAGTCCAGCACATCAGCAGCTCCCGACTTTGGTGCCGTGGTTGCCCTATCGTTGTTCAACATAACTAATTGATCGGGTTAAAATACTTTATCTAGAAATAGAAGAATTTTATTCCTTATAATTCTACTTTACTGGGCCCTGTTGGTTAACCGATCAAAATTGGGAATTTTTGGTTTACGCGCTACACCGCATCAATGACGCACCTCTGAGTTGTGTAATCTGATAAAGAGAGAAGAGAATGTCATCGAAGAATGAAGAATATTTATGGCCGGGAGGTAACGGCCAATCTTAAAATCAACAAATAAGAGTAGTAAATAATTCTAAACGGAATAGGTAACTTATTTACATAGAATTAATGACACCTAACTAAAAATATTATGATAACATTAGCCCTACCTACAATATACATTTTGGATTTGGTTATAGAGGAAAATTCAAGATATACAATCAACTTGAAATACAATCAATTTGATATTATCTAACTCTGAAGTGCAACATATGATTCTGTGTAATTTTTAATCCACTTGATGTTCAAGTGAAGGTTGTAATTAAAGAGTACTTCGCCTCATCTGTACGTAATATTAGCGAACTCCCTGCATATATCCTTGACTTATCAATAACCAAGCCACTTAACCTTTAGTATTTAGATTTGACACACATCTAGGTACGATTTTTATTGTTCTAGAATCTAATGTAGAAGTTTGCCAAGTATGTAAAATTTATGCACCCGGACTTTGCGGGTTTAACGAGCGGCTGAAGACAACTCTCATTTATTTACTAAATTTTAGTAAATGCACAAATTCATAACAGTAGAAGTTTATGAAACATATTAGCCAGTAGACATAGTGAAATTCCAGATCAATTAATTCCTTTGCCACTTGGATGACTTGAATGTAAATAATTACTCTAGCTAGCAAATATATATACTTCAAAGGTTAAAATAAATATACTTCAAGGTTGCAAGAATTTGTTTTAAAGTTAAAATGTAGGGAAATATAGTTTTGCACATTTTGACGGGTTTTATTGTCCCAAATAGGAAGGTTCGCCGAACCGCAATTTTAACTCCTACGGCCGATACAAGAATTCCATCTCACAATATATAGAACTAGATGATTAAACGTATAATAAGCCATTGAATTCCCTAGACTTGACATTGATAATTTCTTTGACCTATACTCTTCATTCTTCGACTTATACGCTTCTGTCTTCTAATCAATTGTTTAAATTCTGAAGCAGAATATTTTGTCTCAGTCTCGAACGAGAAAAAAAAACACAAAAAATCACCTTGAGAGATGTCATCCGATTCGTCTAGTCTTGAAGACTACCATGGTGAAATTAGAGATGAGGAAGACAAACAATTAGAGTTGGTAAGAACCATTACAAATGCTAATCGTGAGGACATTCTTGAACGTTTACTGAATCTCTCTAGGGAATTATCTCATAGAACAGCAAAGGATGGCGAATTTAAGGTGGACCCTACCGATTTTGATTTACAAAAGATTTTGAGTTCATTTGTAAGACTTGCCTCTAATCAAGGTATTAGATTGCGTAAGTCTGGGGTTACCTTTGAAGATGTAGAAGTTCAAGGTGTCGATCAAACTTTTGCTATAGCTCCTACTGTGGGTGACATGTTAAAGGGACCAGTTGGCGCAATCCAAAAGGCACGTGCACAAGCCCGGATTCCAGATCGTTATATTCTCAAAAATATTAATGGACTTGCTAAACAAGGTGAGATGGTATTAGTTTTGGGAAGACCTGGTGCTGGATGTCTGAGTTTATTGAAGAAATTGAGTGGTACCGACTTAGATTTATTCACTGCTACCAATGGTGATATTAGGTATGATGGAATTCCACAGTCGGAAATGCTTGCAAAATTTAAGTCGGAACTCATTTATAACCCGGAATTGGATGTGCATATGCCTCATTTAACTGTGGAACAGACTTTAAAGTTTGCCATTGCATGTAAGACTCCCACTTCACGTATCAATGGTGCCAGTCGTGACCAATTCATTGACGCCATGAAGGAAATCTTGGCCACTGTATTTGGGTTGCGTCACACTTATGGTACTAAGGTCGGAAATGATTATGTGCGTGGTGTTTCCGGTGGTGAAAGAAAGAGAGTTTCTATTGCGGAAGCATTGGCCTGTAGAGGTTCTTTCTACTGTTGGGATAATGCAACCAGAGGATTGGATGCTTCTACTGCATTAGAATATGCAAGAGCCATTCGTACATCTACAAATTTGTTGAAAACAACTGCATTTGTTACTATTTACCAGGCTGGTGAAAATATTTATGAAACTTTTGATAAGGTTACTATTTTGTACTTGGGTCATCAAATTTATTTCGGGCCAGTAGAAAAGGCTAAACAATACTTTGAAACCATGGGTTGGGCATGTCCACCTAGACAATCTACCGCTGAATTCCTTACTGCTGTCACTGATCCAATTGGTAGATTCCCACGTCCAGGTTATGAAAATAGGGTTCCTCGTACTGCTGAAGAGTTTGAAGCTTATTGGTTGAACTCCGAAGAATACAAAGCTCTCAGACAAGAAATCAATGAATATAATGCATCGGTTAATGAAGACGAAACCCATAAGTCTTACTACGAATCTCTTAAACAAGAGAAGATGAAATACCTGAGAAACACTTCAAGATATACCGTTAATTACACTGAACAATTAAAATTGTGTACTAGAAGACGTTTCCAAGATATTTGGGGAGACAAGGCATACACTATCACTCAAATCGTTGCTGCTTTATCTCAGGGTCTTATTGTTGGATCGTTGTATTACAACACCCCGGATTCCGTTTCGGGATCTTTTTCTCGTGGTGGTGTATGTTTCTTTGCAGCTCTTTATGTTTCATTGGTTAGTTTAGCTGAAGTCTCTTCAACTTTCAATACCCGTCTGATTTTGATGAAACAGAAGAATTACTCCATGTACCATACTTCAACTGATGCTTTGGCCCTTACCATTTCATCCATTCCAATTGCCTTTATTGTTACAGTTGTATTTGTTATTGTGCTTTACTTTTTGTCTAATTTAGCAAGAGATGCTGGTAAGTTCTTTACCTTTTTCTTGTTTGTGTTCCTCTTAAATTTGACGATTTCATCTTTATTTAAGGCTATTGCTGCATTAAATAAGACCATTGCTGCTGCTAATGCCATTGCTGGTGTGTTTATGCTTGCTCTTTTGCTGTACTCGTCCTTTATGATTCAACGTCCATCCATGCGCCCTTGGTTCAAATGGATCTCTTATATCAACCCCCTCGTTTATGGATTTGAAGCAATGATTGCGTCTGAGTTCCATGGCCGTAAAATGGAGTGTGATGGACAATACCTTACTCCAAACGGCCCTGGATATCAAAATTTGAGTCCTGGTGAACAAGTTTGTTCATTTGCAGGGTCAGTTCCAGGTCAGAGTTGGGTCTCTGGTGATGCCTATCTTGAAGCTTCGTTTACCTACAAGTTTTCTCATGTTTGGAGAAACTTGGGTATTCTTATTGGATTTTATGTCTTTTTCGTCATCATCAATGCAATTGCAGTTGAATTCGTTAGACCTGTCATCGGAGGCGGTGATCGTTTGATTTTCCTTAGAGGTAAAGTTCCTGATACTATTGTTTTGCCTGAAGAAAAACCTTCCTCGTCCTCTTCCACCTCCTCTGCCACTGCCACTCCTAATTCTTTGGAAAAGGAAGAAAATGTAGCTGCAGTTTTCGAAGATTTAAAATCTAAAGATGTATTTGTTTGGAGGGATGTTAACTATGTCATTCCATATGACGGCGCTGAAAGAAAATTGTTGGATGCAGTGTCCGGTTATTGTGTCCCTGGAACATTGACAGCTCTTATGGGTGAATCTGGTGCTGGTAAGACAACCTTGTTGAACACTTTGGCTCAAAGAATTGATATGGGTGTTGTCACTGGTGATATGTTGGTTAATGGGGCACCATTGGATGCTAGTTTCAGTAGAAGAACTGGTTATGTTCAACAACAAGATATTCATGTCAGTGAAGTCACTGTGAGAGAATCACTTATCTTTTCTGCCAGACTTCGTAGACCAAATACCGTATCGGATGAAGAAAAGATTGAATATGTCGAGAAAATCATTGATGTTTTAAATATGGGAGAATATGCGGATGCTCTTGTTGGTGAATCTGGTTCTGGTCTTAATGTTGAACAACGTAAGAAATTGAGTATTGGTGTTGAATTGGTTGCTAAGCCATCGCTTTTATTATTTTTGGATGAACCAACTTCTGGATTAGATTCTCAATCTGCTTGGGCTATTGTGAAGTTATTAAGAGACTTGTCTAGTGCTGGACAATCTATTTTGTGTACTATCCATCAACCTTCTGCTACATTATTCGAAGAATTTGACCGTTTATTATTATTAAAGAAAGGTGGTCAAACTGTTTACTTTGGTGATATTGGTGATCATTCTAAAACCATCTTGAATTATTTTGAACGTAATGGAGCCAGAAAGTGTCATGATGATGAAAACCCTGCTGAATATATTCTTGAGGCTATTGGTGCTGGTGCAACTGCTTCAGTTGTTGAAGATTGGCACCAAATTTGGTTGAGATCCCCTGAAATGCAAGATGCTCTTGTCGAAGGTGATAGACTTATTGAAGAATACTCTCAAAGGGCAGTCTCTTCAGAATCTCAAGAAAAGATCTCCACATATGCTACACCATGGTCGTATCAATTTTTCATTGTTCTTCGTAGAAATGCCTTGACATTCTATAGAAAGCCGGAATATATTGGTGCCAAGTATGGTCTCATGACCATTGCCGGGCTCTTTATTGGATTCACCTTCTTTGGATTAAAACACAACATCATTGGTATGCAAAATGGTATGTTTACCGCATTCTTGGCAGTTGTTCTTGCTGCTCCTTTAATCAATCAACTTCAAGAACATGCCATTTCTGGTCGTGACTTGTATGAAACTAGAGAGAAGATGTCCAATACCTACCATTGGTCTTTGATGATCTTATCTCAATTCCTCAATGAATTACCGTACTGTTTTGTCGGTGCTGCTATCATGTTTGTATCATTGTATTTCCCAACTCAAGCAAATACTTCTGGACCTCATGCTGGTGTCTTTTACTTAACCTTTGGAATCTTCTTCCAAATGTACTATGTTTCATTTGGTTTAATGGTACTTTACATGGCTCCGGATGTTCAATCTGCTGCTATTTTGGTTTCCTTCTTCTATTCATTCATTGTTGCCTTTAGTGGTGTTGTGCAACCAGTAAGTTTGATGCCTGGTTTCTGGACTTTTATGAATAAATTGAGTCCTTACACTTACTTTATTGAAAACTTGGTAACATCCTTTTTGTACGGCAGAAAGGTTGTATGTTCTGCCAAAGAATTGGCTTACTTCAATCCACCAAGTGGGAAAACGTGTCAAGAATTTGCTGGTGCATTTGTAAAGCAAACTGGTGGTTACTTGACCGACCCTTCAGCTACTGAAAATTGTGGTTATTGTACCTACTCCAACGCTGATACTTATTTGAAAGTCTTGGGATTGAGTCATTCACATATCTGGAGAAACATTGGATTCTTCTGTGTTTACATTGTGTTTGACATATTTGCCATGTTATTCTTGTATTGGCTCTTTAGAGCCAGAAAGGGTTCTTTAATCCCTGGATTTCTCTTGAAAAAGAAAAAATAATATTACATTACTTTTATAACAGATGTTTGATAATCTCTTTAATAAATAATACATACATATTTAAATACCTCATTACATAATTATAATACTACAAATAAAGTTATTATAAAAACCCCTTTTGTATATTTCCAAAATCTAGTATATAGTACCATATGAACCCTTTTTGATTTCATCTCTGATTTGAATGACAACTTTCCGTTTATCTTCTGGAAGCAGGTTAGTCTCAGCCTCAGTCAACAGATTAACTTGCTTCAAAAGTTCAACATGATCGACACTAAGTTGATCAATATCTGTCATCTTTTTATTTAAACACATTTGAATGATGTCTGGTGTCACCATATTTAAAAGTAAACATGTTTCCACAAGTGCATGAGCCAATTGAGGACATTGTTCCAACAAGGTGCGAGTAAGTTGAGGGTTAGTCTTTGCCATTTGCTTAGCTTCAGCTATGAGTTGATACGCAGACGCCTGGTCTAACGTGGATAAAGCTCCAGATACTGCTTGTGGAGGCGTTTGATTGGCAAATAATTGCATACCAGGCGGTAATGCTGGGAGTGAATTTGAATCAGATGCTTCATACGAACCCGATGAACCTGCAACTCCATTTTCAACTCCAAATTCTGACAGTATGGAATTATCACTAGAAAATGAACATTTAAGCATTCGATTACCCAAGGCAAAATTATTTAAATTCCGTACAGCAGATGCAGCTGTTTCATGATCAGTGTATTTTACAAATGCATATCCTTTGGACTTCCCGGTCAACGGATCGAAGAGAAGTTTCATGTCCACCACAGGACCAATTGATTTAGCAATCTCCATCACTTGTTCTTCTGTTTGATCAAATGGGATGCTTCCCACATAAACAGTCTTAGTGGCATCCATCCTCTATACAAAGAAAAAAAGAATTCTACTGGATAATAATTGAAGCTTGTATTTGTTATCGATATACTTGTTCTCGTTTGATCTGCTTGTTTCGTTTATTGCAGACGTATTATCGTACTATTGTCGTGTTTTTATATTACCTTATGCTTGATTCTCTAATTGCCATTCTATTCATTTTATCATTTCTTCATTGTAAATGCTACATTCATATTGGTGAGACACGACCTTCCTCTCTCATTTTTTTTATTTTTTATTTTTTTTTGGCTTTTCCTTTGTGACAAAAATGAATTTAAAACAAACTCACACTATATCTAAGCGAATTAGACATCGAGGTGAACATTCAATCATGGATTCAAAGGAGATAAAAAGTACGGTTTCCAACTTGGAAAAGTCGACTGATGACACCACTATCTTACGTTTGCTTAACATCTTGAATGATGGTGTAGTTCCCACAGAGAAACTCTTGAGAGAAACAAAAGTGGGTGTTGCGGTCAACAAGTATAGAACTAGTAATAACTCAGATATCAACACATTAGTCAAGAAGATGGTTAGAACATGGAAAGATGTTGTATCGAGCGAAAAAAAGAAGAAAAGTTCTGAAAAGGCTAAAGAGCCAGCATCTGCCGCTGGTGGTCCCAGTGGTGGAGCTTCTAGTTCAAGCTCTGCCACACCATCTGGGAAGTTCCATTCTGGTCCAAGAAACCCTAAAACTGATGGAGTCAACACCACTTTGTACGATAATGCTACCCGTAATGCTTCCGTTAGTGCTTTGTATACTGCATTGGCCATCGAACGTTCAGAATCGGGCCAAATCATTTTAGGAGTAGCGCGTGATATCGAAATTGAAGTATACAAGTCAGAATACATGGCTATCAATGATAGTTATAGAAATAAGTTGAGAACATTTACCATGAATCTCCGTAACAAGAAGAACCCAGAGTTGAGAGAAAGAGTGGTAACTAGAAAGATTACTCCAGCAGCTTTTGTCAAGATGACTCCAAATGAAATGGCTCCAGAATCACTCAAGAAGGAAATTGAGAAATTGCACAAGCAAAACTTGTTTGATGCACAAGGTGCCACTGAAAAGAGAGCTGTGACAGATAGGTTTACCTGTGGTAAATGTAAGCACAAGAAGGTTAGTTACTACCAAATGCAGACCAGATCTGCGGATGAACCGTTAACTACTTTCTGTACTTGTGAAAACTGTGGTAATAGATGGAAGTTTTCTTAAGTGGAGAATTGAAGACGGGGATATAGAAAGGTTAAGGATGTGGAGTTTTGTATTATAATAATAGTAAAGAGATAAATATGTGTAAATGCAATGTAATGCGTATACTTGATTGTATACACCTACAAAATAAAAAAAACAGGGACCTTCTTTTTTTTTCTTTTTTGATTAATTATGTGACTATGGACTATCTTGCTATTCTATTTAGTTGAAGTTGGTGTTCTTGGTCAAGAATGAAATCAAATCAACCTTGGTAACGATTTGAACTGGCTTCAATTCTTCATCAGTGACAATGGCATTGGAGTTAGTTTCGAAAAACTTGTTCAACAAGGACAATGGAGTGTCCAAGGTGATTGGGGAGTAAGATCTCTTGGTCAAACCAGAGGCCTTGGTGATGGTGAAAGACTTTTCAAAGTCGGCCAACTTTCTGAAGTCAATAATGACAGATCTGATAGAGTTGGTCAATTGAACCTTCTTGGTAGACAAAGCCTTCAAGATGGAGGAAAGAGTAACCAAACCAACCAACTTTCCAGATTGACTCAAAACTGGCAATTGATCGAAACCGTTAGATTGTAACAATTCGAAGGTTTTACCAACAGTGTCGGCAAGGGTGACAGTGACAACTGCAGCCTTGTCAGCAACCAATTCTCTGATGGTGGTCTTGGCCAAGAAATCATCGGATTCCTTGGACTTGCTAGATTCATCTTCAACTTGGAATCCGTTGGTAGTCATCCATTCGTCATCAGCAAACTTGGAAAGGTAAGATCTGATAGAATCTGGGAAAACAACAACAACGGTGTCATCTTCAGTCAAGTCCTTGGCAACTTCAAGAGCAGCTTGAAGAGCAGAACCAGAAGATCCACCAACAAGAATACCTTCTTCCTTGATAATTCTTCTAGCCAACTTGAAAGATTCAGTATCGTCAGTCTTGATCCAGTTGTCGACAAAAGTACGGTTCAAGACATCTGGAATGAAATCGTAACCAATACCTTCAACAAAGTAACCTTCAGTGGAAGTATTCAAAGATTCTGGTTGAGCCAAGATGGAACCCTTTGGATCAGCACCAGTGACTTGAATCTTGGAGTTTTGTTCCTTCAAGTACTTGGAAATACCAGAAATGGTACCACCGGTACCAGCACCAGCAACCAAATGAGTGACCTTACCCTTGGTTTGTTCCCAGATTTCGAAACCAGTACCGTAGTAGTGTGCGTTAGGGTTAGCTTCGTTAGAGTATTGATCCAAAATAACAGCGTTTGGAATTTCCTTTTCAAGCTTCTTGGCAACACCAATATGAGATTCTGGGGCATCCCAGGCAGCTTCGGTTGGGGTTCTGATGATTTCAGCACCAAGAGCCTTCAAGACAGAAACCTTTTCGTTGGACATCTTTTCTGGAAGAGTGATGATGGTTCTGTAACCTCTAACGGCACCAACAAGAGCCAAACCAATACCGGTGTTACCAGAAGTTGGCTCGATCAAAGTGTAACCAGGCTTAATTCTACCTTGCTTTTCAGCTTCTAAAACCATGTTCTTGGCAATTCTATCCTTGATAGAACCACCAGCGTTGAAAAGTTCAACTTTGGCGTAAACATTGGCCTTGATTCCCAAAGATTGAGGGATTTTGTTCAACTTGATCAACGGAGTGTTTCCGATGAGGTCAAGGGCATCAGCAGAAATGGCAGGGGCTGGCATGTCTATAGTTTTATTGTATTAGATGGGGAAAAAGAGGCAACAAATCGAATCTTGAAGAGTATTCAAATGAGTTGCAGGTGATGATTACCAAAAAATTGTGGCTTTTTGGTGTGGGCACGTCTGGCGGGTATAATTAATGTCAACCCGTCAAAAAATGGTTAACCCCTATTCTTTTCCCTCCACGGAATGTATTAATATTGATAATGAGGTAAAGATTGAGCGAGATGAGTTCCTATAGTGGTTTTATCGGTATTTAAGAATTGAAAATTATCTCATTTATAAAATAACCTTAGGGGTTAATATATGCTTTGAGTAGAAATCAACGGCTTTTTTTTTTCTTTCTTTTTTTTTGCACCCAAACAAAGCGCCACGAGGAGAAGAGCTTGTAGGAGCGAATAAATTAAAATATCTAGAAATTTTTCAGAGGAGTGAGAGGTGTAATTTTATGGATTAGTATTTTATATGAGAGTATAGGTGGTGAAGAGAAGTGGCGGGAAGGGCAAGAAAGAAAGTAGAATATAATAATTGAAGCGTTTTTTAATAATTTTGATCAATTATAGCTGTAATAAAAGTAAAAATATTAATTTTGCAATTAAACTTAAAAAATATTTGACACCCGAGATATATTAAAGTATGGAACTACTTTAAAAGAGGACATTCAATCAACTGTCCTTGACCACAATCTTGGAAACTCAATAGTTATTAGTCTTATTTCAACCAAGGAATTTGCGCCATGAGTTCATTCCCAAGAAACACCTCATCAAGATAGAGCAGGTTGAGCCAGCATTTCATTGTATGGAGAGAATACCACTCAATGATTAGTGTAGCTAGTAGTATAAACATATATTAGCACCCATTACAGAGCTTGTGGGGTATACTTCAAAGCATTATAAAAATATTTTCTTATTTCTCCATCCATAAACGGAATGTAGAATCTCTTCAAGAATATTTCCAATGATCCTATCAATTTATCAAATTTAACTCAATTTCCAGGTTACCTATCTTCTTAAAAGAAACAGGTTATCTACTATTTTGCAACACCTTATTATTTTGAAACTGCTGTATTTGAGTTGAAAATTGTCTCACGTGATCGTCTAGTTCTGTTGCAACAATTTCGCAACCGAAGTACAAAGGAAGTAACATGAGCACAATATGGAAAAAACAAAACACTTATAATGATACTGACAACAGCCGATACTGTGCAATTTTTGTAAGCTCACCAATAAATTGGCGTTATGAAATTTCCTTCTTTTTTCCCATCTCTTCCTTCAGGGTTGGACGGATATATTGTATTCTACAGAAAGTAGGTGATAATAATAATATTGATCTAGTCTATTGAAGTTGGTAGGGTCACTTGTACAACCTATGACAAGATGCTAGTGTTTCCAAACATCATTTTTAAAACTACTGTAGGTAGATCTTATAAGTAAGTACACTGTTTCCTCGGATCATTTGTAGAAGTAGCTCTTTTTTACCCTTCAACGGTCATCTCCCTCTTCTCTACCACTCAATTACTAATCTGATACAAGCTCAAACTCCAGCAAAAGTTCATATATTTACCCACTATAATTTGTAGAAGCGTATATTGGATCTTTTTACCTCTATCTGTCTGATAGCCTAACACAATTTATATACCAATCATTCCTTTTTATTCCAGAGTCAACTCAATGTATGGTGGAATGGCTTATAGAGTTTCCTGTTAAAATTAAATTCCCATATCAACATTCCTCTTGTTATTTCTAGAGTGCAATTGCTCTTCCATTTCAATGTTCATCTAATTAAATCATAGCCTCGTTATTTCCGCATCTCATTTCTATGTCAAAATCTTGTGCAGTACATTTAAGGAACCACTCAATTCAGATCGTCAAAGCATGTTTCGCCATTACTACCATCCAAGCAATACGAGTCTTTAATGTACAGTTTGGAGAGGATCAGAGCCAGACACCTGAAGAAAAACAAGCTAGTTCAATATGTCGATTAGGAAGAAACCTCCTATGCCCACGGCCCAGGAAGCCACATTGGAAGATGAAGTATATTCGTACATACAGCAGTCACCACTTACATCTGAATTTAGACTTCAGAACCCAAACCTACATCATATGGATGATGAAGTGATTAACCATGGGTCATTGGCTGATGATGAACGTGAAGAGATGAATATAGAGAATAGTATACACGCTCAAAGGATAAGTATATCACCATCACCTCAACCAGTTCCACCTCCACTCCCACGAAGATCTAATACTACACTTCGACAATTTTCAACCAATTCCTTAAAGAGTCAATTGAAAAGGTTATCATTGAATGGTCAGTCTGGTAGCAGACTATCATTGTCATCTATGAGACCAAGATCCACCATCTCACAATATGCATACTCATCTCCTGAAGATGATAACTATACAACGATATCAACCACAAGAAGCTCATCGATAGGGGAAGATATATATAGCATGGAACAAGAAAATGAGGAGGGAAAACTACAAAGGACCCCTTATTGGAAGTATCACGTTCTTAAATTCGGAAGAAATCTTTATCTTACCACCAATCCTGATTTGAAACATGTATATTGTCGTAACGGGCCCGGCTTCTATGTAGAAGTTATTTCCAACCAAGAATCGGACGGGGTTCTGTTACTTTTTAGAGAAATACAAGGAGTGGAACATCCACCATTTATGGTAATTCTGAAATTTGGAGATGAATTCACCATTGATGGCGTTGGCGAAGCCATTCTGCAACCATTATATCAAAGAAATCAAGAACCAACAGAATTAAGTTTGGTAAATTACGAATTCAAGTACCAGGGAAATACATGGAACATTGGATCAATTCCAAGGACGCGTGTGAGTAAAATGAGGAAACTTCGTGGTAGAGAGGATGAAGTGAAATATATTGGGAAAAGGAATATCTATTTTTATCGGAAACCTGGGAATCGAAATTCCATTCAACAAGACCCACCGGGAGGAATTTTAGGTTTATTCAGACCATATGAAGAAAAAATGAAAAAGAAACTATTAAGAACAGCCAGGAATATCCACGGCTCTAAAGGATTACATAACTCTAACAACAACAACTCTCAATTCCAATTGCAAGAACAGGCCACCATGCAGAAAGATGCAGAGTATGATCTCGCAATTGGAACAAATGTACGCAAATTCTTTAATACCGGTGATGGACTCTATGGAGGACCCAATCCAACCGATGATACCCCTAATGATAATAAGCTTGGATGGATTACCGTTTATGAAAATGAAATGTTACAAGGAATGGCTGAAAATAACCCCTTGTTCGCCTTGGTAGTTGGTTTAACCTTGGCAGTGGGGATGGACCATTCATAGGGTTGTTTAATATGTTGCGCTGCATTACGCTCAATTAGGAAAAAATTTAAAGGAAATCAATTATGCAAGGTGCGTCATATAAATGAAAATAGAAAAATTACAAAGAACAATGGGAAATGGAAATGTAAATAGAAACTGAGGGTTTAATGGCATTTTCAACATTATTCGGTGAATACACGGATGTAAGTTCATTAAATCCGAGGACCGAGCCAATTATAGAGTAATATACATGTATATGTAAATACCCTACATGCAACTTTAAATGATTTTATTTTGCATTTGGTCAAATATTTGTCTCTACACAAAATGTGTACTATGTAAAGTGTGAATCATCGCGTCTACCTAATTATTTTTTTCAAGTGAAATAATATTAATGTCAATATGTTATGCCTGATGAACACACCTCCAGATCCGATTCAAAAAGTGAAATTAGAATAGAATAATAACTCCGATCTGTGCATAACGACAATGGGATATTTCAGTAATCCAGATACCTCCAAGACGTAAGCATATTTAAGGTTTCTTATCTCATAGCGTTGGAAGTGTTCCAGTTGAATAAAGTGCAGCTTGTTGGAGTTGATGTAGGCACATTCTAGTTCCAGACACCGTTGCTGTAGTAACAGCTGTAGTTGTTGTTCGGGCGGACCACCCTGTAATATGTCCACCAATGCAGAGCTTTTTTTTTTTTTTTTTTTTATGCTTCTCGAGGGCCTATTGTTCATCTCAGTACGGAAGGGTTGAATCATTTCGATTTACTATTGTTCTCCCTTATTGTTGTATACTGGTGTACGAGGTTTGCATGGATGTGTTGGTTCAGCGGAGGCAACTCCTCAATGTCGGCGTGGAAGATTCCATGTATATATAAAAGGGAAATATTCCTTGTGTTCATTGTAGTGTCTTGTGATTTAATTACCAAGACAATGTTATCTTATATTCGAGACAAGAGTAATCAAATTACTTCAAAATTCAACCATTTCTATTTTATACCTCTCTTTGGGTTAATATGTTGGTACACCCTTCTCTTTGCACTTGTGGGTCTTTGGGTCTCTAAGGGATCTCCATCATATCCAGACTTTGGTGAACCAGAGACTCCAATCCCATTGGAAAGAGTTGGGGTCATAATGCTACCAGGCTTTTTCATTACTTTTATTGTAATTCATTCTATTTGCTTTTGTTCTTCGATGTATTTGGAATTCTACCATCGTAAGATTGGTAAATTGATCAAGTTCATCAAACCAACTTTACAAAAGAGATTAGCCTATGCTTCTATCACAATTGGTATATTTGCCCAATTATTTTTCATTGCCCAAGCAATTGTCAACACAGTTTATTTGCACCGTCGGGAAAGAGCAGCTTCCCATTATGCCGTGCTACTTGCCATTTTTGGTATTTTGGTTATGATTTCATTAGCTTTAAATTTTACAAATTATTATATTATGGGACAATATTATCGTCAATATGTTAACGGAGAAAGATGGAATAAGTTTACCATTTCATTTGTGGTTAAAATTTGTTGGTTATTTGTAACCTTACTGTTGGCAGTCACTACTGCTGTAATCTACATCAAGGGGAATCATAGAGTTTCATCATTTTTAGAATGGGCCTTCCATTTCTGGTATGGATTATTATTAGCCTTTTGGACTTATGATCTTTATCCATTAACCGAACTTCGTGCACTTCGAAACCCAGCTCGTCGCAGTTCTTCACAAGATGGAATTTTATCGAAAATTGGATTGAAGAAAAAGAAGGAATCGCCTACATCGATTGTTAATATCCATTCATCTGGTAGCTCAGATTCGCAAATCTTCACTTATGAGCATAAATTTCCTGAAGTATAACAATCTGACAACAACTTTTAATGATGCCACTATTATATATTTCCACTTTTAATTCTTTTTATGCAACCAGGGCAAAAGTGATGGTACGTGTCAGTACGTGTCTTTCTACTATTCTATACATTCGTGAACCAAATACACTCTTTGATTGATTTTCGTGGAAGAACCCTACAGTCCACCTTGCCCAAGTTTTTTTACATAACACCCCTTACTATGTTGCTGGACAACATATAGTGAATAAACAAACCATTCCAATTCCCTTTGTATGTGTATTTTTGCAACATTCCACTTTAAAATTCAAAGTCGCGTCTTTTGTTCCTTAATTTTAAAGTTTCAACCCTTTTTTTTTCTCTCATCTACAAAAAAATGAAAACCCCTCACACATAAGGGACCGGACCTTGATAAGACATTTGTACAGCTTTTTTTTTCTTCGACATCCTACAGATTTTTTTCTCTTTTATATTCTTTCTGAGTGGGTATCCACATAAAGATGAGATTTGCCATGCTCATATACCCCCCACTTCATTCCTTACACTTCCCACACACACATCCCTTATATTTACCCCTGCCATTGTTAATTATTTTTTTGGAAAAATAATTAAATAATATGCAGCGAACTTTTCCTGTGCTAGCAATCTCTTGCCTCAAGATGCATCAACTAATTTTCGTCAATTTGTTATTATTTATTACCTCAAATCCTTTCAATTCTATTCTTCTTCCTCTTCTAATCCATTAAGATGTCTACTGGAGCTGACCTAGAAGAGGTCCTGGTGACCAGTGGTGCCCCGGCATTCACCGACAGTTTTTGTCCTAATTCTCGTCAAACTCTCAGGATTTGTTTGAACTTGAAAACGTTAATTGACAAGGTCGTTCCTATTTTGTTCCCCGAAAATGATATTCTTGGCCAAGCCTCTCCTGTACTCAACACAAATGTGATTGATTTGGCTTATCGTGCAGCAGGTGGTAGAGGTAATGGTGAAGTTGGAACCTCATCTTACAAGTACAGAGGTGCTCTCGTATTTTGTCTCTTGAAAGTTTGTGATTGGTATTGGCAACAGGCTGAGTTTGAATTATATGACAATGAATTATATCATTTAAGAGCTACCGTTGCTCAACAATTAGCCAAAATTGTTATTGAGGAAACTACCAATGATGAGTATTTATTCTTGGGGATGTTATGTCATAGATATAGTATTTCCTTGAATGAAGTTGATTCAGTCCCAATTTCTGTCTTGGAACTTGCTGTTGATATGCATTCTACCATTGTTATTGGTTCTTCCGGTTATCAACGTTGTATCAAATGGTTATGGAAGGGTTGGATTGTGCAATCGTCAAGCGATCCTCACTCTTATGTCATGTACAAGGGAATCTCTTCACATTCAGTTAGAACTCATTTTGATCCTGCTAGAGTAAAGACTCCACTTTATCAAAATATCTTGGAAATCTTCTTTAGTGTTGTTTATTTGGCATTATACTCGATTATCCTTAATACTCATCAAGAAACAACCACCCCCTTGGATGTATTCGAAGTGATGTTTTACTTGATGACGGCTGGTTCAGTTTTGGATGAATTTGTTAAAATCTATCATGTTGGTGTCAACTACTTGGGATTCTGGAATGTTTTCAATGATATTATGTATGTGGTTGTTGCTATTTCAATTGGTTTCCGTGTTTTAAGTTTGGATGCCAACACTTTGGAACGTCGTGATCGTCTTGATGAGATTTCCTTTAGAATCTTGAGTTGTGCTGCTCCCTTCATGTGGTCTAGACTTTTATTATACTTGGATGCTCAAAGATTTGTTGGTGCCATGATTGTGGTTATCAAAACCATGATGAAGGAATCTCTTTTATTCTTTGTGATGTTGGGAGTTGTTATCTTGGGTTTCACCCAAGGATTCATTGGTCTTGATGCCTCGGATGGTAAGAACGAAGCTACCAAACGTATTGTCATTGCCCTTATCAAAACAGTTATTGGGGGAAGTGGATTTGATGATTTCTCAAAATTGGTCCCACCATATGCGCTGATTATGTATTACATCTATTCCTTCCTTATTACGGTTATTTTGATGAATATCTTGATTGCTTTGTATTCCACTGCATATGCAGCAATCGTTGAAAATGCCACTGATGAATATTTTGCATTGGTTGCTCAAAAGACATTACGTTATATCCGTGCTCCAGATCAAGATTTATATGTTCCTCCACTTAACATTATTGAATTTATTATGAGCCCATTATATTATACTTTGAACAAACGTGTCTTTAAATCTATTAATTACTATGTGATGTTGGTTTTATATTCTCCTTTATTGGTTTATATCACCGTTGTTGAACTTGCCACTGCCAGAAGAATTCAGTACAATAGATTCAAAGGTTTGGCAGATGATGCCAATGAATTTGACAGTGAATGGGATTTAACCGATGGTTATGACGTCGATGCTGCCAGTGGTTGGGAAGGTATACAGGAACGTAATAGTGAAATCAGTCAAGCATTACGTGATCAAAGATCAGGAGAATTACAAGATCCAGAGTTTAGAATTGATTTACAAAAATTTAAGGCTGATATTGATAAATGTGTACAACCAGTTGAACAAGCCAATAAGTTGGGTATCAAATGGGAATACTTTGAATTATATCAAAAAATTGATAAACTTACAGATTTAGTTGAAAGTGTTCTTGAAGATAATAAATCATTAAGAGAACAAATTTCTAGTTCACAAGTTAAGACTGAAGTAAAAGAAGAAGATCCAATTAAAAAAGAACCAGAAGACAAGAAATTGACTGATGATACCAAGGTTGGTGAAGCTAAGAACGATGATTCCAAAGACTCTGAGGGTAAGAAATAAAAAAGCAAAATGTGTTTTAAAAATGGACCTCTAGAAGACAAAATTGGTTGCAATTATCTATTTGAAAAATGAAGATAAATACATAGAAAATGTATATATAGATAGATATGGAAATATAGACCAATCGACTAAAGTCACTACTCTCTCCCTTAGTTTTTTTTTTTTTTATTACGTTTTATAGAATATGGATGTGAAACTGTCTTCATCATTACTAGGTGCAGCTAAACTTGAACAACCTGGAAAATAATTACTACTCTTTTTTTTTTTTTTTTCTACTCTGGGTGATTTATATGCAAAATACTAAAAAAGTTAAACGGTCGTGCACTGCCGAAACAAAATTTGGTAGGCCTGGATATGGCATAGTTGGTTAAAGTGAGAGGATTGTAGTGAAATGAATAAATACATCAGCAGGAATAAATCCAAATAACGACAAAGGATGACCGGAATGACTGCGAGTACCGTTCGAGAGGATGAAGTACCCGAGTCCTTCACCAACGGGAAAAGTGTACATTTTACGTATACAGAACCAACAGCAGAAGATCAATATGCCACTGGACCTCAAGAGTCGAGTAAGAGCAAGAAGAAAAAGAAAAAGAAGAAGCACAGTGGTACAGGGTCAGCTGCTGTTGCAGGAGTCTCCGGCTCACTGCTGCCTCAGATCCATATCCCCAGTCTTCAACAGTTACTGCATGCGACCTTAAATCGTCCGGAAGACGATTATCCAACTTCAAGAGTGATTAAACAAGGTCCCAATGGAGATGTGATAGTAGAAAGTTTGGACGATTCACCATTGCCACCACCACCTCCGCCAATCCTTCAACATCATGTAGATCAACACAAGAGTAGCTATCATGATGGCCGATGTAATCCACTCGGTTGTTCGCATGGAACTCCACATCCAAATCCAGCCAATATATGGGATAATTCTACTCTTGAAGAACAAGAAAACCTTAAACTGTTTTGGGAATCACTTGATGAACAGCTGAAATTGGAGCTTGTGAAAATAGACAAGGATTCAATAATGGAGATATTTAAGAATGAATCAAGAAATGCAGCCGCAAATTCAAACTCAACTACAAATGTCACTGGCAATGGACATCATCAAACACATCATCATCACTCCCATGGAAATTCACACCATGGTCATCATCATAATCAACCACATTCTCATAATGGTAACCCGAATTGTTCATGTCCATTTTGTGGAAGGAAATCAAATATTATTGAAGATGAACTTGAAAGTATATATGATAATCATTTCGATGACATAATTGACTTCATACATGAAGTGAGAGATATTAACGATCTTAATGCATTACCTGGACTTCTCTTTGGGGGGTTTCATATGCTTGAAGAGGAACATAAGCTTCAACGAAGACAACAAAGACATGGGTTAAACCAAGTGCCACTGTATGAAGAACCAATAATAGATGACGATGAACAACGTCAAACTCACGAACTATTACACAAGCAACAACAAGAGGAGGAACATCAGGATGACTACGTTGAAGTTGGTGGAGAAGATGAGGATGAAGATGAAGAAGGTGATGATGAAGTGATGGTAGTAGAAGAAGAGATTTCGAACGATCCTACAAAACAAAATGTTCATGAACAAAATATAGAGGTGATATCAAAGGGAGATATTAAAGGAGTTGAACTGCATCAAACAGAATCAAAAGATGGAGAAGCGGTTAACAGCATATCCAACGATATCCCAAGTGAAGAATCACTCGAAAAAGTTCTTGATCCAAAATTATTCAAAGCACTTGAAAGTATTGATTTTGAGAAATTTGCAGATGATATTTCGAAAAGTGAAAGACTGGCAGATTTACTTGAAAAGGTAAGTTCAGTTAGAGATATTATAAAGCAGCTCAATATGGCTGAGAAAGTTGAAATTGAGAAGGGAATAGCATTGTTGAAAAGTATGGGGAAATTATTTACTGAACCAAAAAACAACATTGTGCCACCAGTAACACCAACTGATCAACTTTCGAGAGGATTATCCAATTTTGCGGATGACTTGTTGAAAAATGACGGACGTTCTTTTATTGAGATGATGGAAACTTTATCTGAATCTAGAAGTGCTAGAGAAGACCTCTTGAGAAATGGCCATGAACCTATTTGGATAGATGAAGATGATAAGGGACAAATGAGAGAATTGGTCGAAGATGTAGTTAAAGTTGGAACTAATGGAGATAAGAGACCCGAAGATGGAGCTGATTTGGAAGAAGACGAAGATGAAGAAGATGACGATGAATATGACGATGACGACGGTGATAATGAGGATGATGAATACGAAGATGAAGACGATGGAGATGGGTTTGAAATTGAAGAAGATGATGGTCATCAAGAGGGACCAAGTGATACTGAATCTGAAATCTCTGAAGAAGAAAAGATGCAAGAAATTCGTCGTTTATTTCTTATTCAAGTGATAAAACTTTTCCAAGAGCGTCTTAAGAATGCATACAAAGAGAAGTTATCACAAGATCGTACTCGTAAGTTAATTGAAGAATTAGAAGCTGAAGAGAATGCTAAAAAGGAAAGAGAAATGAAAAAACTTAAGCAAAAGGAGAAGGCTAAGGAGAAGAAACGTCTTCAGCAACTTGCAAAGGAAGAAGCACAACGTAAAAAGGAAGAAGAAGAAAGAGAAAGGGAAGAAGAGTTGAAGAGAAAGCAAGAAATGCTTAAAGCAGAACAAAAGAAGCGTAAGGAAGAATCTCGTCTCAAGAGAGAAGAAGAAAAGAAGAAACGAATCGAGGAAGCCAAGAGAAAGGAAGCTGAACAGCAAAAGAGGGTGGAAATTCAACGTAAAAAGGAAGAAGATGCCAGAAAACTTAAGGAAGAAAGAAAGAAAAAGGCAGAAGATGCGAGATTAATGAAAGAGAATGAAAAGAAACAGAAAGAAATGTTGAAGAAGCAAAAAGATGAAGAAATGAAACTTGAGCAAATGAAAGCACAGTTGGAAGCCGAAAGCATTCTCAAGGAACAAGCTGCAGTTTTGGAAAAGGAAATTCTTCAAGACGAACCAATCTCAATTGATCAACCAGTACAAACACCTCCTGCTCAACTGGCACCAATTGAAGATGTTAGATCTCCACCTGCAGCAACAAACCATCTCCTTGAACAATTGTATCAAGCCAAACCAAGGGCTTCTAGTCAAGTATTTGGTGGTATATATGATTCAAATATTCCAGTTATGAATTCTCCTGCTGCTTCGCATGTTTCAAATAATGCTTTGTTGAACAATACTGGGTTAACTAACTCAGGGTTGAATGGATTTGATCATTCAATGCTGTCAATTACTGCTCCTACTTCTGGGACTAGTTCATCAACCAATCCATCCAATGATTTCCAACTTTTTGGAAGTACTAATCCTATGTCTTCATTCTTGAGTTCAAGTATTCCTTCTTTAGACACCTTAGGATCTAACACATATGCTAACACTCCAAATATGTCTCAACAAATCAATAACTGGAATACTCCGCAACCAGCTCCTAGAAATGGATCAATATGGGGAAGTATTGGAGATAGCACTGCAGTTGCTTCACCTCTTGGGTCTACTTCCAACTTGAACTCGGGGTTATGGAACAGCTCTGGTCTTCTGCCATCAACTGTACATCAAGTGCCTACTGTGACCTCTAACACTTCTGTTGGTCCACATTCTACTCTCCAAACAGTACCAACACCAGCTGTGGGTCCTCCTCCACAATCACAAACTCCACAATCACACCATCATCATCACCAAAACCATCAAGCACAACAAGCTCCAATACCAACACCACTTCAGACACCTGGTACTCGTTCAGAAATCGATATGATTCAAGCAGGTGCATTCCAAGCATTCCAATACTTGCAAAATAACCAACAATTAGAGTTTGGTGTAGCCCCAAGCATTAAATTGTTCCAAACTACTAAATCTTTTATTGGTAAGCCGGGCTTAACACTCAATCAGTTTTTGATTTCATGTAGAAATAGTACAGGAATGTACCACTTTGATTATATATATGACGACATGGGTACTGTGACACATATTAAGGTTATTACTGGAGGTAGTGGCATATCAACCCATCCTTCACAACAAATACACTCTTCCCTTCAATCTACACATCTTGGAACCGAAGGTATGATATCTGGATTTAATGATTTGAATCCATTTTCAAATTCATTGAGTGGTGGTAACAGAGGATTATGGAATTGAGAGAGCTCGAGGATAATAGTTTTGAAAATTACATAGTTAGCAAATAGTTAAGGGAATGAAAGTTAAAAATGTATAAATGAAAATAGGAAAAAATAACTGAATGTAAAAAGAAAGAGGAATCATTGATATGTCATATGTCAGATCCAATTTTAGATAAGTAAACGTCTTTAACACTGGTTGTTAAACGTACAATTATAGTGGAAATGATTATTTGAGGGACGTGCGAATCAATTTTCGGTGCATAAAACAAAACAAACACACAGCTGGTACTCTAAATATAGATACAATTTTTCGTAAAACGGTTTAATCAACTTGGGAGCCTACATTATCCATGGATTTATGCACTTACATGTTTAGTCTATAACCATAAATGGAATATTTTTTCAATGGTTCTATTTTAAAATTATTCCGAGATATATGGGCGCAGATTTATTTTTGGATCTTTCGTAAAAATGCTTGGTGAAGTAAATTCTTAAACCCAAACGTTTAATCATATAAACTATTTTTTTTTTCCAGCCCAACTTACATAAATAATAAAGTATCCCACAAAAAGTGGGTATACATAGTGTACTAAACTCACGAATACATGACTGAACCCGTGAAAAGAAAAGTTGTAATAGTAGGAGATGGTGCCTGTGGAAAAACATCATTGCTATATGTATTCACACTTGGCGAATTTCCTACAGAGTACCACCCTACTGTATTTGAAAACTATGTGACCGATTGTCGAATTGACGGTAAAGCGGTCCAGCTTGCCCTATGGGATACTGCTGGTCAGGAAGAATATGAGCGGTTGAGACCATTGAGCTATAACAATTCACACGTCATATTGATCGGGTTTGCAATTGATGTACCGGATTCACTTGAAAATGCAAGAACGAAATGGGTAGCAGAAGTTCAAAAATACTGTACGGGTGTCCCCTACATTTTGGTAGGATTAAAGAAAGATAAACGAAAAGACAGAAGTAACTTATATGTACAGACGCCACAAGGAGAGGCTGTTGCGAAGCAAATTGGAGCAAAAATGTACTTGGAAAGCTCTTCACTTACGGGCGAAGGTGTTGATGATATATTTGAAGTTGCTACGAGAACTTCTTTATTAGTACAAGAAAAGGAGAAGAGTTCATGTTGTATAGTAATCTAAAATGTGTCTGATTGCACCTATATAGAAAAAGATATTACTACAACAACAATAAAAAAAAGTTTAATTAGTAAATCTGTAGCGCAATTTCTAATTTCTTTTTTTTTTTTTGAACCCCAGCTAAGGTATGAGCGAAAATGATGGGAGAACTAACAATTTTGAGGGTCCATATATCAAGGAAGGTTTTCATGCATTCCATACCCAATAAAAAAATATGGAAGGGGGCCAAAAAAAAGAAAAGACGACCTCGGTGAGGATCGAACTCACGATCTCAAGATTAACAGTCTTACGCCTTAACCAGCTTGGCCACGAAGTCCTTTTTCGAAAAAAAAAAGTTTTGAGGTCTTTAAACCAGCATTATTCATTTTGAATGGTATTCGCACGACCTTTATATTTTATATAGAAGTGTATTTCCAATTGGCAACCAACGTAGATATTAATGGAAGCAAACCCCATTTTCTACTTCAATATAGACTATGGAATACTCTAAGATTTTTCCTTTTACATAGCCTGTTCATATTGTTGATATTTTTCTACAAAAAAAATGGAAAAAGAAAAATTTGGAATAGAGTATTTTAGTCTTATTGATAACTAATCAATATGAAATACCAAGAATTTTTTTTTGTACAGTAAATTAGATTTCTTAGTCTGCCAATGATTGTTAAACCTCAATATAATAAACGAATTGGTACAAGAATACGGGTGTATTGACTCGGTCATACAAATAGAAGTTTAATAAAAAAGAGGGCTTCTATGAAACATTTCATAAATATAGATGCATAATAAGGGACTCATTCATTCACACATATTTAATTTACGCTATATATTATAAATGTATCTTATCAACCGGGCTTCATGTAATGTCGCTAAATTCAAAGAAGTGTGTAAACTTAAAAAAGGGGCACAGATGGGTCCAGACCTTGCTCCAATAATCACAACTTTTCATAAGCCATCCTAACCAGCCATTATTAAGGACAAACACACACCAAAGATATCATAAACATGTAGATTTCACTAGTCTAACCCTCCAATTATTTCAGATGTAGTTGTTGAGCCAATTCCCCCACACGCGCGGACATCTCTCGTAAATCCCCGAAACTAGGATATGCAGTACCACACATTTGCGCCTCAGCTAGGGGGGGCTAATCTTCCCGGAATGACATCTGCATTCAATATAGATATTGGGTATTGACACATTAACTCCAATTTTTTTTCTTTTTTTTTTTTAGCCCCTTGTATTAACATTTCCCACCACATATAATTTGCTGATTCGCTTCTGAAATATTAAATAGCACCATATATTAATCAATAGAGAGGACTCATACTTTATTGGAATCTCAGAAAAAAAAATAATCAAAAAGCAGATCCGCAATCAATGAGTAGTACCGGTTCTTCAACTTCGCCGTCAGGTGAACCATTTCCAGAGCATCCACAGCAAGTACAAGAAGATTCACAACTATGGACATCTACTAAGAACTCATGGGTTTATAGATTCTATGAAAATGTGATTCTTCCCAACGTGGGATGTTCTCTTTTGGTACTATCGCAATTTTTCAATTCCATTATGGTCACTACTTGTAAGTTACTCGTTACCGATAAGGAATTTACTACCCCGATCCACCCTCTTCAAATCTTATTTGTACGTATGATCATCACATATGCATGTTGTTTGATCTATATGTATACCACCAAGTCTGTTCCAGACTATCCGTTTGGGCCTAAAGAAATTAGAAAATTACTTGTATTACGGGGCATTGTTGGATTTTTTGGAGTTTTCGGACTTTACTTTTCCTTACAATATCTTTCACTTTCAGATGCAGTTGCAATAACTTTCTTAATTCCAATGGTTACAGCCTTTTTAGCGTGGGTTGTAATTCATGAACATTATACCTTAATCGAAGCAGTTTGTGGATTGATCTCCTTAGGAGGTGTGGTTCTTATTGCCAAGCCACATTTTATATTTGGATCAACTTCCGATTCAGAAACTTCCATTGATGAAAATATCGAGTCACTGTCAACCGAAAAGAGGTTATTAGCAACGGCTGTTGGACTTATGGGTGTATGTGGTGCTTCTTCAGTATTTATTATCTTACGTAAAATTGGGAAACGTGCTCATCCACTTCTTTCTGTGAGTTATTTTGCTGCAATTTGCGTAGTATTGACATTTACTCTACTTTTAATAATCCCATCATTAAGCTTTGCTATCCCTCAAAATGGTCATCAATGGTTTTTATTCTTTTTAATTGGAATTTCAGGATTCTTAATGCAATTTTCATTAACAGCTGGAGTTCAACGTGAAAAGGCTGGAAGAGCTGCATTGATGACTTACTCAAATATGATTTTCGCCATCATTTGGGACTTGGTAATTTGGGGCCATTTACCCGGTATTCTTAGTTTCTTGGGGATATTCCTTATCATTGGTATGGCAGGAGTTATGATTGTATACAAACCAAAGGAAGCAATGCCTCCTACTGATATCGAGAATGGAGCGTCTTCTGCGGAATATAAGGAGTTAGGGACTCCTGGCTCCGATGATATTTCGTTGGACAATTTTATTATCTCTGATGAGGAGGAAGAGGAACTGAGTGACCAAGTTGATAATAAGGCAACTCAACACAACACTTGAGGACTTCTCAATATTTTGACTGACAACTATCAGGTGATATCCATTTATCTATTTACTTCTGACTTTGAGTGATCCTATATTTATTACTCTTTTCTTCTCTTATTTTAGTTCTTTCTTTTTAGGTTACTTTATTTTATAGACCAAATATACTTTAAAAATAATCAATCTTGTAACCACAGAAAGTTATTCTGTATAGCATTTAGAATCAATAATCGTTCATTCATCTCTTCTATGAGTTCCACATTTTCTGATGAATTAGCGGCCAATTGGTTTAGATTGGCGATAAGCTTCCTCGAATTGTTCAAGTTCACATCAATATAATCTGGTTTCAAATAATCGTTACTTTCTGCGTTTGATGGCAATGCTCTAATGGACTTCGTCCATTTTGCCCGGTCGTTAGTTACCAGTGACGTTGCTATCTTTCCTCTAGCCATGATGTAAGGAGTAGTAATCTTATATTTACCTCGTGTAAGAAATAATTTTTTAAAGTTTTACGCACTGACAAATATCTTGAAACAAAAATAGATTACAATAAGGGGGAAGTTAAAAATGGGGGTAACTTTAGAAACATGAATAGAGTTTCTAATATGTCAGAGTACCTAATGAGGCAATTACTTGATATACACCAAATGTTTTAATTTAGAAGAACACATCTGATGTATCAATGAGAATTGTATATACCATTTCCAATGAGATCCTCTTAGGGTACTGATTAGATATATAAAAAAAGAAAGATACTACACTCCTAATTAACTATTTATCTACTGTATCTACTGTTTTGATTCATTTAATCTTTTAATTTCATCCCCTTACAATATTCTAATAATGTAACGTAAATATAACAGTATAGAAGAAAACATATCATTAAAGAAGAGATCAAACACCCTTAATACAACACCGAGATCTCTTGAATGCTCTTGCTGGCAAAGAACCGCACATCGTAATCGTTGTCATTCTGCAACTTTTCCAAAGATGGTATGATATCAGTCTTGATTAACTTGTCAAAGCTAGCACGATTGGCAGCGTCCGATTTGGTGAAAGTTTCCGCAACCACAAGATAAGACTTGGCAATATTGAAACGAATATTTGGCACTGCATCAGTAACCAAGTTGTCAATAAAAGGAAGAAGCTTTTCCACAACCACAGAAGAGTCAATGACAGGTACCAATTTAGTAATGGCAAAGAGACATGTAATTCTAATGATGAAGTTAGAATAATCAATTGCTTCATCAATTCCATCAAGTTTGTTATTCAATAATCTGTCGACAATTTCTCTTTCTGCCCATTCAGAGCCGAATATAGTGGTGAGTTCCTTTAAGTTGTTCACAGCAGCATCTCTGATGGCATAAACTGGATCCCAAAGCCAAGACATACACAATGATAATAATTCATCATTGAAGAAGGAAACACCAAGTTGATCGGCCAATTTTGGAATATATTCAATGATGGCCAATCTAACTCTCCATTTACTATCTTGAGCAAGTTCAGTGATGGCAGGAAGTAAGTTGGTAGATAATAAGTTTATTCCAATGGTTTCATTGACAACAGACAAGTTGCTGATAATATTCAAACGAACATCAGGGAATTCATCTTTCAACATCATCAAGAATATTGGGAGAAGATTATCTATGGTTGATTGCTTTTGAAGAATTGGAGCCAATCCTGTAATAGTTGATGCCAATGATGCACGGACGTTTTCATGTGGATCTTGACTTAATTCATCAACAACAGGGATGATTTTATTCAAAATATCCAGTTGATGAGAAGTGGTATAGACGTTAAGCAATTGACAGAATTCCGGAAGTTGTTTAGCAATGGCCTTTCTTACTTCTCCTTCATTATCCTTCATTAAGGCAATGAAAGGATCAATAAGTTTTGTAAGGTTTTCTTCATTAGTAACAAAATTCTTCGCCACCTTGGCGAACTTGTCAGCAGCAGCATATCTAACTCTCCAACTGTCATCATTAATCAATTTCAAGGCACTTACAAGGAATTCTCCATTATGAGTGGTATCATCAACACTTTGGAAAAACTCCAAAATGGCAACCAAAACGTCAACACTCAAATGCTTAACAGAGTCTTGATCATCATTGATGAGGTTTTGGAACATTTGAGAGATAATTTCCCAATCTTGATTGTTTATTTTATCTTCACTAGTATTTTTAGTTTCCTTTGTAAATTCAGTCAATTTATCAACCAAGCAAGCCAAATGAGATGCTGCCGATCTTCTAACAATTGGAGAATCATCTGTGACCAACTTAAGATACAAGGAAAAGAGCTTCTTACGTGTGACAGAGTTTACCTTGACAATAACAGACTTGTATAATCCACAACTTGCCACCTTGGCGGAGAACCAGCTACCGGTGCTCAATGATTCGATAAGCAGAAGGAAAATACTGTTTAACTCATCATGGGTGAGTTCCAATGAGATTTTGTTGAGAGAATCAATGGCCTTGTCTCTAACAATTGGTTCTTCAAGCAGGGCCAATACTGAAAGAATGGCAATGATTTGTTGACAATGTTGGTGACCACCAACAAAAGGGATGAAATCTCCTAATTTGGCCGCCAATACAGCGAAAACTTCTTCTTCATCGTCTTGGGCAACTTCGTGTAAAAAGGGCATAAGTTCCAGACGAGTACGTTCAGGACCAAGGGCTATGGCGATGGTGTCAAGCTTTTGCATTGCTTGCACTCGGTTAGCCACGTCGTCATGCTTAAGCTCGTCCATGAGCAACGCCAAGGGGTAGAGGTCGTCATTCATGCTGTAGCCGTCCATTGTGTGTTAATGCAGAGCTATATACGATGGTGTGGTCTAAAGGAAGGTGTTAGAATGAGAGGGGAGTTGTTGTTAGATTGAACGAGTGAGAGCAAAAAAGTAGGACTACAGTATTCTATTTTCTAAGCGCGTGAGAAATCGACAAAACTGATAAATTTCGATTAGCAAGGGAGAGAAGTGAGCATCAGAGAGAGGGGGCACCACCTTTTTTTTAACCTTCTTATTTCGGGTGTCTACACAAAAAATTTTATATATGAAATCACTACATTAATCCACCAAGTAATATGTATGATATTGGAGTTTAAATTAGGTTCTTAATCCAATTTATTGCTTGTATAAATGGTTCTGTTTAATCGGGGTAATCATAAACACCCAAATATGGTCAGGACACGTAATTACACAAACGGATTTAGTGTTTGCCATTGTTGGTAGGGACTATAGAGATAAAGAATGTAAAGGATATGAATGAAGGTTTTATATATATATATATCTAGCAAAGAGTAAATAGAACTGCTTTACATCCAACAATATTTTGAAGAGTATATTATATTTTTTTTTTTTTCAGTTTTACTTTTCCTCATGGATGTGGTTTCTTTTCAAAAACACATTTAGACCAAAGTTGTATGACATCATTTACGCATATTTATAGATTGTAGTAAAATGCATAGTTAATTCTGTTATATATTTTGAGGACTAATTACTTGAACTATTTCCTTTCACCCTTGACAAACACTGGGATCATTCCTCCAGTACCTACAGCAAATTCCCTATGACCCAAAGCCAATAATGAAGCTCTAATAGTTCCTGAATGACTAGTGATTCCAATGACTTGGTTTTCATGTTCATTTTCATCAAAAATCTGTTGAAATGATTCATTTACACGAAGGGCGTGATGACTAACACTTTCACGAACATCATCCTTGTAATAGATATCTTCTTCTTCAAATCCTGGTTCAAATAAAAATCCCAAGGGACTATATTTTTCAGATAATTTACTCTTGGTTGATCTCTTATCACAAGTATGCACACCCGTAGTTTCTCTAATATTTTCCTTAATTAAGGGTTTTATATTGGAAAGTTGTACAATATCTTCCCAAGTTTTAATTAAAGTATCTATTGATCTTGAGAGTGGTGAACTGTAGAATTTTGTTGGTTTAGGAGCCCCTTGATCAAGTTGAACTTTCCATTCTTGATTATTACGTGTGGCTTGATCTATCCCCAATTGAGTGAGTTCTGGGTCTGGACCCCATACTATTTCCCCATCACCAGTTAATTTACTCCAATATTCATTCCATGCATCATTACCATATTTCTCATGGGCCAAATTATGATATCCTTGACCATGTCTAGCCAAAAAAAAGACCTTGTAAACTACATTTGAACCTCCAGATTTATTTAATCTAGTTAATTCTTCTACAATCTCCTTCCATGAAGTTTCAATCCCGAAATTTTCTTGTAAATAATTAAATGTTGTATCATCAGTACTCTTATTGGATTGTTTAAATTGTCCAGCAATCACTTCAAAATCCCAATGTTTAGTCTTTCCAGCATTCTGCTGAGCAAGAAGAGTTCGGAACTCATTAGCTTCTTGCTGGTTTATCTGTGCATCAATGACATCTATGTTATTAAGCATGTTGTTAGTGGAAAAAGAACCACAGTTGATAAGTAGATAATTATAACAAAATTGGAAAATCACACAAAACGTGTGAAACACACAAAATGTACAAAAGATTAAAAAAAAATAAAACAAGCCGTAAATAAAAAGTTGTACATTATTGTCAACAAGCTTTTCCGTTTTAACTCCAAATACTGAATAATCGGCAATAAACCTAAATAACTCTCCGATCCCAAAATTAAATGTGAATTCTAACCCTTGTAATTTGCGGTACTTTTTCGCTAATCCCGCAGCCGAAATCATGTAGATTACAGACTCTGGTAATTCATACAGTCTTAATTTGATGCACATCAATTTTTTTTCCCACATTTTTCATTTTCCATCATTATAAGACCCTACTCATATCATAAAGTTATTAATCAATCATTCAAGTCTAAAGGTAGTGGTATAATTCACTTTTCGACTCCCAACATCTATCCTTTTTACTCCACAGTTACTGTGAAATGTCGGAAATGTCTTCGTTTCATGTCTGTCTATAGGTCCGTGCCTGACAGCTTTGACTAAATTATACGAAATCGCACTCTCAAATATTCGGGCCCGCCCCTCGTGGGTGCCCCTCTATAAATTATAGGAAATACTAATGCATAAACAATGCGATGGCGAAGGAAGGCTTTTTCCAACCTTCTTTCCAAAAATAGTACTCAAGTAGTCCACTCCTAAAGTGTAACAATATTGTAGTCTGTCTCCACTATATCTTGACGATGGGGGGGGGGGGGGGGGGGAGCTTTACTCCACTTTGCCTTTACCATTCATGTTGGATGGGTAAAAATTTGCAGTCGTGCAGATTTTACCTTTTAGTTGTAAATTAAACTGGCAGAAAAAAATAATAGTGAGGAAAAAACAAGCCCCTCCCTCAATATGGTGAAGACAATAAAGAAGTGCAGAGCTTTTTTTTTTTGTCTCGGAAAACGCCGCAGGGTATAACCTAACACAGCAAGTAGTTTATATTTTTTGCTGCACCAAACCAAGGTAAGACAGATCCAAATACTAGTAAGACAAAAAATCTAGGGGAATGATTGTACACATACGTCTCTTTAGTATACCAAGAAATTTTCAGGTTTACACCCTCATGCGTATATGTACAATGATAACGATTAGTGAGTTCTCACCATTACTCTCTATAAACTCCCAACTTTCTCAAACAATAACTTTTTCTTTCTGGAAAACGTGCATGAACTATGCATCAACTTGTCTTTGTCCCAAGATGTATTTTTCGGTCTCGGTAGTAATATGTGAAATTAGCTCTGTCTACTGCAGTGTAGGCACACGACACATTTACTGATTGGGATAGCCCGAGTCGATGTACGTTGTTGTTATAAAAAATCTGATACATATAAACTAAGGGGTTTGCACCTTAAAAGGCGAAATTTATATTCTCTTATAACAAAAATAACTGGGGCTAACTACAACTTTCTATCATCTAAACCCCCCCTATTATTCCATATAATAGTCATCACCTCTCTACATTCATTTAAACTTTTCGTTTTGAAGCACTACCGAGGCTCAACTCTAGACGAATCGGGGCGATCTATCACGTATTTTCCACCCTCATTTTAACAAGATTCACCCCCAGACTACCCCCATTTATCTTTGCAATATTGGATTCTCCGACACTCATCATTAGTTAGCCTATCCAACCATTTTTTACCCAAGATAAGGCTCTTCGTACATTTTATTTTTTTGCGATTAGGATCCTATTTTTTTTTTTTTTCGGGCTGTATATTGAATTTTGTGTGACTACCCGTATTCCTTCACTAGCATAGATAGTGAAGAAAAAAAATATACGCCAAAAAAGAAATTGGACCCAGCCGCCTTTTAAATATTACTACATTTCCCATTCTAGTGCCACCAGATTTTGTCAAGCAAGCCAAAAAAGATACCCAATCTTCTGAATACCTATGAAGTTTGGGGAAAATCTACATAGTTTGTCTATTCCTGAGTGGAAAGCATACAATTTCGATTACAATGACCTCAAGTCACAAATTAAGTATCTCACGAAAATATCAAACGACTCCGATGTTGACTCAGATTCAGCACCTTCACTTGGAGTTCCAGGGAACTCCAAAGGACGTCGAAGAAGTAGAGTGGTCACCTTGACCTCTCTTAGAAATGCATTTATGGATAATTTCAATTATGTTGACCTTTTCATTGTTACTAAAAGGGGTGAACTTGAGAGGAAACTTCTCCATCATCAGAAAATTTTCAATAGGATAACTCTGCCCAATTCGAGTCTTCTGCCTTTAGATCGTCAGATTCAATTGAATGATCTTCACTACCAAGTGCTAGAGGTGTCCAAAATCCTTAGAGATCTTAATCGATTCATTATTGTTCAAAAGATTGCTAGCAATAAGATTTTCAAAAAATTCCTCAAATATTATCCAGACGAACAAGCATCAGGTATCTTTGTACAAAACATGAAACAATATTTGGCCACCAATGAAAACTCATTTGTTAATATTGATCTTACCAATATGACTTTGGAATTGGCTTTCTTTTTGGATATGATTTCTGATGAGAGTAAGAGAATGAAGGAGAATAGTCAAAATAGTACCACGAATCGTAGTGTGAAACATCCTCTGATTTCAAACAAAAGTACTGTTTCAACCAGTCCTACATCCACAGTTAATTCTAGGATACATGAACAACAATTGCCAATCACAAGAAGCTCAATGTTTGACTTGGAAATAATAACGAAGAAGAATTTCAAAATTGATTGTTTAATTGCCGATAATCATAATTTAAATGAGTTAATTTTGAATCTTCGTGTTCTTATAAATTGTGAACCATTAAGCGATGAATTAATTCGACGTGATTCTGCTGCAAGTATATTGTCAGATTTCCTGCAAACCACTCAAACTACTCCAAACTTTCATCATTCCCTTATTTCATACACATTTTTAGCTAACAGCAAGGATAGTTCTCTGAGTGAACCAACGTTTATCATTTCACAATTCAACCAACCAAATTCCCTTATTATTAGTCATGTTGGTGGACTTCGAAGATATGCTTATTGTTCATTACCAAACCATGTTGTTCAACTTTTGATTGATCATTTTATAGACAGAGATAATCGAGAAATTTCATCGGCATTAAAGGACTGGTTCCAACACAATCATGTTAGTCCGTTGACTAAAATGGCAGTTGATTGGGTTTTAAATAAAAATTTGAAACCAATTTTTAAATCATTCAGTGTTCGATCAAGATATGTAATCAATAAATCTGACGATGATGGACATTTGAAATCAAGTAATGGAGGTAATGGATATTCATACGATGGTGATCGTAATGCCGAAGACAACGATAATGATTCTGAATCAAGCACCCATAATAAAGTATTTGAAGATGATTTCTTACTTTGTTTGGATCAAGATATAGTTACATCTAACAATCCAAATGTTGTCAATACGTTAAAATTTGATTCTAGATTAAATGACTTTGAGAATAATCCATCAGTTTTGCAAAACTTATACAATGACGAGGTTTATGATAGATTCCCATTTCATAAGCTATCCATGTTTTCCAACGATTCCAACATGTCTAATTTCAAAAGAGATATGAATAAAGACCCTCTTACGAACAAAGAGAATACGGAACCAATTTTAATGAAGCCTAATGCCCGTAGCATGAAGAAAATCCCTACTAAAATCCAACAATTATTAAAATTAGATTCTATTAATCTATTTAATGGTGAGGTGAATTTCTTCCAATATATGCTTTCATGTTATTATAATGTGATCCCACCTCAAAAGGATTTACATAATCACTATTTGAACTTACTTACTTTAAATTTGTTGAAACAAAATGAAAATATCAGTATTTCAAATCAAGTAACAAAATTTCAAGATAAGATGTTTGAAAAGAAATCTAGACAAGTTTTAAAATCTCAAACATCCTTGAAATCCATTAAACTGTATACACAGCTTTCTACCGCATCCAACAACCATCATACGCATCAAAGCCTGCCACTTCTGCAAGCCACTGTGAATCATCCTTCTTCAAATCACCTCCGACCTGAATATCAATTTGAAAATCAACATGCCAAATTTCAAGTTGGTCATAGTGATATTGAATTATTACAAGAAAATTATAATAAAATGGGTGGATATGGCACTATCCAACAAGATCCAATGGATACTTATGGTTATATGGGCCAACCAAACTGGGGATATTTGGATAAATTTGTCAATGCAGCAGCCGAGATTAAACATAAAATTCTTGGTGGGGACAATAATACCATCGACCTAGAACAGGGGATGATCACATACTTGGACATAGAAGATGATGACCGGTCATCTATATCTACACTTTCATCACACGGCAGAATCACGAACATACGTGATAAATATGAGGAGCAAAATATGCGCAACTATGACCAAATTTTGTCAATTATTTACTTCTCTTTCTTTTTCATTTCACTTTTCATTTCGAGTATTATCATGGGGATTGTGTATTCACTTATTGAACTTTCAACTGACGATTCACAATTCCTCTTGGAAGATAATGTTCTTTTAATATTGACCATTGTTATTGGGTTGCTTTTAAGTTTAATTTTCAGCATGATCAGTATCAACCTTAATTTATCAAGATATCGTAAGAGTCCCTCATGGCATTCTGCGATTGTTTGGACTGGGTCTGGTGTTGTTTTTCTTTCATTTATGTGGAGCATGGTATTGCTCTTCCAAAGTCATTAATTCATATAAAGGTATATAATTACCTACTGTAATATTTTTCCCTTAATACATTTTTAATTCATTCATGAAGTTGTGTAATATGGCTGCAAAATTAGATTATGTGCAGTTGAACGAGGAGGTTCCCACTATAGATATGATTACACTAATATTAGAATTTTGTGGATTACTACAGAAAATAGTATACAAGTGTATCTATTAACTCATATATATAAATTAAAATACGTGTCATAAATTTAAGTCTATTAGTCTACTATTTTATTATAATAGTGCAACTCAATTCAATAATATCACCTATCCTCGGTAAATATTTGTGCGGACATCCGGAGTATTTACAAAAAGAGAACACAAAAATATGTCCCTCTCAAAAATAAATAGAACCCTTCATCAATGTTCGCGAAACTTTTACAATTTCACGTGACGACTTCTGTATCAAATTAAATCACTGGTAAAACTAATTGTAGCCACGCTATGTCACGAGGAATGATTCAATATCGTGCATAATCAGCACTTACTTTCATTATCCCTTTAAATGCAGGTTTTCTCTGAAAAAACTGCTGCGCGATATCAGAAGGCTGCAGGTGGGGAATAAACTACTTAGTCACAATTAACTCCAACACATTTCTTCCCTTTATCTTTTTTCTTTCTATCTGAAGTTTAGGAATAGAACTCTGGTTAGTCTTATCACTAGAACCTGCCACCATGTCTATCACGAAGGAGGAAGCTAGTAAGTACACTATTCTTTGGTCCATAAGTGTCTCGTCTCATATGCACTAGAATTTTTTTTGAGATTTGCTTTGACAAACGTTGTTACTAACAATATTTCAGTCTACCATATCCAACAGAGGATCCCTGGAAAAGGTCAGTTTTTCATCACACAGCCTTCGAAGTCGACCGAGACTCAATTCGGTAAATATGTGAAGGACCTGATCAAGTTGATTGAATCAACTGATCCATACGCCCAAATTATTGAATATGCTACTTCCCACAAAGAAGAAATTGTTTCTCTTTCCACCAATGGACAAACTGTTTTCAAGAACTTACCTTTCCTTTCTGGCTCTAACTTCAAGCTGTCTACGATAGTGTCCCACGTTGAGTTGTCCAACTTTGATTATTCCATTGTCACATCTTTGAGAGATTTGGAAATCACTGTATTGGTTTCTCAAACCACTGAAGAAGTGCAAGTTAACGCCGCCTTGGCTTACAATGTTGCACAATCACTTGGAGTTCCAGTGTTCCACTTTTATGCTAGCTCTGACTATGATGTTGCAACTACCTACTTTAAAGATGCTAAGATTGACCAATTATTGACTACAAAGGAAGTTAATTCTATCGAAGAACTTGTATCTCTTCATGAAGTGGAACCATTTCAAGTTATTAACCCAAAGACGAAAAAGTCAGCCAAGGATGCTATATTGTACTTGGGTCAAGTGACTCCTGAATTGGTGGATGCTGTCTCCGCGGAAAACACTTTATTAATTACTGTTAACGTGTACAGACCATTTGAATTGCCAAAGTTGTTAACTGCCATTCCTGCTTCTGTGTCATCGTTGACTGTTGTTACTCAATCTACTACTCCAGTGACTTCTTCCTTTTCTCCTTTACTCTTGGATTTCTTTCAAAACTACTCCAATTATCAATCTTTGAAGAACTTCAGTAAGGTTGTTTCCGCCACTTTCGGTTACATCAAGAAGGAAAATTGGTCCACTACAGTACAGAACTTGTTGGCAAACACCCATTCTACTAGTCCCATCCAAAACTTGTCCATTGGTAAGGTGAATACTGAATTAGCCACTAAGATTTCTAAGCAACAACACCAAGACGGTGAAGATGCAATTGCCAAAGCCTTCACTTTGGAACAAGTTTATTTAAAGTTGTTGGAACAAATCAACAGCAATACTTCTAGCTTGAACATTTTGAATGAATTTAATGCTGAGACTATTGGCGACCAAAAGACTCCTGAATATGGATTTGGTGCATTTTTACGTGACCAAGAACAACGTCAAAAGTTACAAGATTTGGTTCGTGAATCAGTTCAAGAGAACTTGTTTAAGACCCCTAAGGCCAACGACTTGATTGAATCGTTATCCAAGTGGTTGATTCTTTCTGAGGATGGTACTCTTCTGAAGGATGTCGAACAAAGCGAAGTCTTATCGAATGATATCATTTCTATTTTACAAGAAGAAACTTCTTCCAGAGGTAAGCAATTGCTCGAACTCTCTAACTATTTCAAATTTACCAAGAATTGGTTGGTTGGTTCCGACAGTTGGGCTTATGATTTGGGTAGTTCTGGTGTTCACCACGTTCTTTCTTCCGGCGCCAACGTCAACATGTTGATCATTGATTCTGAGCCATACGAAGAAAAAAGTACTGGACTGAGCTTATTGAATGGATTCCGCAAGAAGGATGTCGGTTTATACGCCATGAATTATGGTGGATGTTATGTAGCCTCTGTTGCCATTTACTCTTCATACACTCAAGTTTTGCAAGCATTGATTGAAGCTGAAAAGTTTAACGGTCCTTCTATTGTGTTGGCTTACTTGCCATATCACAGTGAATCTGATGACACTTTGAGTGTTTTGAAGGAAACTAAGAAGGCCGTTGATACTGGTTACTGGCCATTATACAGATACAACTCCGCTGAAGAACAGGAAGATCTTGTTTTTAAGTTGGATTCTTCCAACTTGAGAAACCAATTGAAAGACTTTTTAGATCGTCAAAACAAATTGACCTTATTGAGTCAGAAGGATCCTCTTTTGTCAAGAAATTTATTGAGCGATGCTAACAGTGCTATTAAGGCTAAGCAAACTCAAGTTGCCGACGAAGCATTCTCTAAGTTGTTGCTGGGATTATCTGGACCTCCATTAACTGTTGCCTTTGCCTCTGATGGTGGTAATGCTGAAGGTGTAGCGAAGAAGATTAACAGACAAGCTCTTGGTAGAGGTCTTAAATCAATTGTTTTGGCTATGGATGATCTCTCCATTGAAGATCTTCCTTCTGAAACCAATGTTGTGTTTGTCTCCTCAACTTCTGGTCAAGGTGAATTCCCTACCAATGGTAAGCAACTCTGGGATGCTTTGAAGAATACTCCTGACTTGGATCTTTCTGGTATTAAGTTCTCTGTCTTTGGTCTTGGTGACTCTGAATACTGGCCAAGAAAGGAAGACAAGCACTACTACAACAAGCCAGCCAAGGATTTATTCGCCAAGTTGAAGTTCTACGGAGGTGTTGACTTTGTTGACATTGGGTTGGGTGATGATCAAGATGCCGACGGATTTAATACTGGATTGAACGAATGGATCGAAAAATTGTGGAAGGCATTAGGTGTCGACAATGTTGAAGGGGTCGAAGAACCAAAGCCAATCACCAATGAAGACATGAAGATCAACTCCGACTACTTGAGAGGTACTATTGTCGAAGGTTTAAACGATCAATCCACTGGAGCTATTTCTGCTGTCGACCAACAGTTGACTAAGTTCCATGGTATCTATATGCAAGATGACCGTGATATTAGAGATGAACGTAAGGCTCAAGGTATGGAACCTGCTTACGCATTCATGGTCCGTGCTAGATTGCCGGGTGGTATTGCTACCCCACAACAGTATTTGAAGATTGACCAAATGTCTGATGAAAGAGGTAACGGTACTTTGAAGTTGACTACTAGAGCTACTTTCCAACTTCATGGTGTTGTCAAGCATGACTTGAAGCCAGCTATTAGAGGTATGAACTCTGTGTTAATGGACACTTTAGCTGCTTGTGGTGATGTCAACAGAAATGTTATGGTTTCTGCTTTGCCTGGTAATGCTAAGGTTCATAAGCAAGTGTCTGATACTGGTGCCTTAATTTCTGAATTTTTGTTGCCTCAAACAACTGCTTATCATGAAATTTGGCTTGAAGGTAAGGATGATGGTGATGAACCTGGTTACACTGAAGCTTATGCCAACCGTAAGGATGGACCAAAGAAGAAGAAGACCTTGGTTGCTGGTAATGCCTTGGTTGATGTTGAACCTCAATACGGTTCTACCTATTTACCTAGAAAGTTCAAGATTGTTATCACTGTTCCTCCATACAATGACGTTGATGTATATGCACATGACATTGGTCTTATTGCCATTGTTAATGAGAACGATGAAGTAACTGGTTACAACTTGGTCGCTGGTGGTGGTATGGGATCTACTCATAACAACAAGAAGACATATCCTCGTACTGGTTCTATGTTTGGATATGTTTCCAAGGATAAGGTTCACATTGCGTGTGAAAAGATCATGTTAGTTCAAAGAGACTTTGGTGACAGAACTAACAGAAAGCATGCTAGACTTAAGTACACCATTGATGACTTGGGAGTTGATGTATTCAAGGCTAAGGTTGAAGAACGCTTGGGCTTCAAGTTTGAAGAACCAAAGGAATTTGAGATCAAGTCCAATGTTGATTACTTTGGCTGGTGCAAGGATGAAAATGGATTGAACCATTTCACTATTTTTATTGAAAATGGTCGTATCGAAAACACTACGGAATTGCCTCAAAAGACTGGGTTGAAGAAGATTGCCGAATACTTGACCGACAAGGAATCTGGTGAATTTAGATTGACTGGTAACCAACATTTACTTATTTCTAAAGTTCAAGATGCTGACTTGGAGCTGGTAAAGCAACTTTTGGCACAATACAAGTTGGACAATACAGACTTTTCTGGATTGAGATTGTCTTCTGCTGCTTGTGTTGCCTTCCCAACTTGTGGTTTGGCAATGGCTGAATCCGAACGTTATCTTCCTGAATTGATCACCAAGTTGGAATCATCTTTGGAAGAATATGGGTTGAGACATGATTCCGTCGTGATGAGAATGACTGGTTGTCCTAACGGTTGTGCTAGACCATGGGTGGCTGAAGTTGCCTTGGTTGGTAAGGCTCTTGGAGCATACAACTTGATGCTTGGTGGTGGTCACCACGGTGAAAGATTGAACAAGATTTACAGATACTCCATCAAGGAAGATGAAATCTTGAGCATCTTGAAACCTTTGTTCAAGAGCTGGAGTTTGGAGAGAAATGAAGGTGAACCATTTGGTGATTTCGTCATTAGAACTGGAATCATTAAGCCAACTTTGGAAGGTAAATACTTCCATGACGACATCCCAATTGAAGCTTGATTCAATTTATTTACAAATATATATATATACAATAATTTAAAACGTTTGCATAAAGATGAGTTTTGTATGACTATCAAATTATAATACATTTATTATTATTATTATTATTATTATTATTATTAATGCTATTGATGGGAAGAAGTTGTTCTCTTTGATGGTGGTTTAGAGACGCGCGAATGTGGATCGCGTAACGACACACTCCTGAGTGGTCGCACTGAGTTGCGGGTATGATCTGCCGACGAAGAGTCGTTATAAGATATAAATGACAGCTCTTGATGTAAAGCACGTATATCGGCCAAAAGATGCTTTATTGTGGGTTTATGATGACGTTCGATGGCTAGGACATCCTTTAGTTTAACATTCCATAAAGTGGCACTAACATTATTTAATCGTCTAAGTATTCTCGTTTCTGATTCTTGAGCTATAGTTGCATATTGTTCTTCAAGACGTCGTATCCGATTTTCAGAATCTTTCTTAAAATATTCTATAAGCTTCTCTTTCTCCTCCTTTGTATATAATTTCATGATATTTTTCAATGTTAGTTTCCAGTGAATAAAACAAACTCTAATATACTTAAAACCAAATAATCCTGTAGATATGCGCGGGGAGTGCATACTGACCAACACTTTTTAGTGGCAACATCAAAGTTTGACCATTTCATAGAGGAACATAATAAGGAGAATCAATTCACGAGGAATCATTTGGTTTGAATAACACTTCAATTAATTCTTTTTTAATACATATCTATATTTAACCCTTCACTTTCTCCCCATTCCATACTTGTGTATCCTCATCTATTAGAAATAACGCAAAAATGGGTGGCCTTGAAGCAACAATGATTGCAATTGATAACTCCGAATTCATGAGAAATGGAGACTACGTAACCTCTAGATATGATGCTCAGCTTACTGCTACTGAGTTTATTTTCCAGAACAAGGTGAACTCTAATCCAGAAAACACTGTTGGATTACTTGCTTACGGTGGGAATGGTCCAGAAGTGTTGTCAACTTTGACCACTGATTTTGGTAAGATTTTATCGGGAGCTCATGAAACTAAGATTCATGGTGAATCCCATTTCTCAAATGGTATACTGGTTGCTGCATTGGCATTGAAGCATCGTCAAAACAAGGTTCAAGCACAAAGAATTATTGTTTTCGTGGGAAGTCCAATCGTGGAATCAGAGAAGGAATTGGAGAAGTTGGCAAAGAAGATGAAAAAGAATAACATTGCCGTAGATATTATAAATTTTGGTGAGGAATCAGTCAATACTTCCAAATTAGAAAAGTTCAATGCCACTATAAACAACCACGACAATTCACATCTTGTTACTGTACCACCGGGCCCTAGATTATTGTACGAAGTTATTGCTTCTTCACCTATTCTTCTTGAAGAAGGCTTTGACATGGGTGGAGACAGCATGAATGATGGCTTCGGAGGAGGTGTTGGTGACATTATTGATCCTAACATGGACCCAGACTTGGCATTGGCATTGAGACTCTCTTTGGAAGAGGAAAAGTTGAGACAAGAAAGGGAAGCAGCTGACAAGGCAAAGGAAGAATCTTCCAAGGATTTAGAAAAGATTGACGAGAATAAGGAGGGAAATGAAGAAAGTAAGTAAAAGTGATATAGCTAAGTAGAATCGAACTGTATGACTGCATTTGCTTGAATATACAGAAAATTATTAGACAGATGGTAGTTATATTAATCTTGAGAACTGGTCTGTGTCAACTATTCCAAATTTTCGTTAGATGTTGCTAAAGAATCATTTAAGCTTGAGAAGGACACAATTTTGTAAGGAGATCGATACAAGGACAATTCTTGCAAATTTCATGATTTGTTACGGTCAGACTAATTTGTACCAGACCAGCTCAGAATATAGGCGGTATATGTCAATGGTGTTACTTGGACGCCATGCACTCTCACACAAATTTTAGCACTGGTGCATAATGTGGATACCCTAATTCAATTCCAAGAATCCATGGCTTTTAGGCAATTCAATATACCTGCAAAGGGACACATAAAGTTGCCCAAGTTGCTCAAGTTGTCCAAGTTGCTCCTGTGGAATATTATAAGTCTTATCTTCCTATTGCTCGACCAATAGTATTTTTTTTTCTCCACATTTCAATCTCCGATATTTTTACAAAGTTTTCTTAAGTTTCACACATATGTTCAATTAGGCGTAAACATTACCATAAACAGTCAGTGTATTAGATTTGTAAATGTGTACATGGCACCCATATATCAAAATTGTCCAGATATGGTATAGATTGCTAATCGATCGGATGTGCGTGCGGCGGCGTCAGTTTAAGATGAAGTATACCGCTTTTACAGATATCACAACCTTCCTAAATGTGGTATACCCAGCTTATATTAAATTTGAAGGGGTGGTTCATGCAAGTCAGGGAACTTACGGTCGATAAGTGTGTCATAACTTTGATTTGTAGTTAAGTCTAATCTATTGAAAATCCAACCGGTCTTCAAGGGAAACGGAACATCACATCCAGTACTACCGTACCACTATGACTCTACACCCCTAACCCCACTAGTTTAAGCAATGTAATATAAAAGATTAATAAATCGAAATTCATGTTGAAATTCTCTTAGTTTCAGTAGCCTTAGTTGCTGACATTAATGTTTTGACAGTACGGTGTAAATGTTTTTTTATTTTTGGGCTGCAAAATGCTTCATTGCGTACAAAACAGAATTGTTGCAAAACCGGTTTTGTGAGTTCATGCCACTCTAAGTTGTTTATACCTCCAAGTAGTGCCACTATAGCAATTAATAAGATTTTAGATACAAAGAATGGATAGACTTAATCAATTAGCGAGCAGCTGCTATTCACCAACAAAGTCTAAACCCACTGGGAAGAATGGAAAGAGTACAATCAAATTTATCGCACCAAATGATGAAAGACATGTCGAACCGATTACGTTGACGGTTGCACACTTTCTAGATGCTTATTCTAAAGTAAGTTTTATAATCATGATCAAAAATTATAGAAGTAAAATACTAACCAATATAGGGTAAATGGAACCTTTCTAACGTACCTTGTCCACCTTGTTATACAGATCAAAGGTTATTCCAATCACCAGAATGTTACAATGAATCCAGTAGATTAAGACTAGTAGAACAGTATCTGAGGTTACCCCACTGGAAAGAACGGCCAGTCTTCAAAAAAATAGTGAGTAAAATTAGAAAAGAGTTAGGTATCAATGGTGTATCAATATCAACAGTCGAGAGCACCAGAACTATTATAAAGTTCGAGCATCTACTTGATATGAGTGATATACCAAGGATTGCTTCAATTGATTCACATACAATCTTGTCTCAAGGTTATTTCTTATTATTGGATGCTTCCAAAGATTGGAGAACAATGCAAAATCCTTTTATCACTGGGGTTCCCCATATCAAGTTTTATCTTGGGGTACCTATCCTCACGAAGAGCGGTGCTGCAATAGGTGCACTTTCAATCTTTGACTCTATTGTCAAGAAAGATTTTGCAATTGAAAAAATCAAAATATTACAAGGTTTTGCAAAGGAAATCATCAAGGTTTTAGATACTCCCATTGAACAAGTCAAATCAGAAAATGGGAAAGCAACGTTGAATGAGGAAATTGATGGAATTAAAAACTTGACTTTGAAAATTGGAAGAGCTACCAGTAAAGGAGAACAGATGACGATTTTTGAAAAAGATGGATCTGGTGGACCATATACTCAAAATCATAGTTTCAGATTTTCAAGATACAACCGGAATGATCGAAACCATCTTAAACAAAATCAATTATTACTTGAAAAGTTAATGAATGCTGGAACTTTGAAAAACTCCGCCACTGCCCTTTCTCGATATATTTCGACCACCTATGAGGTAGACTTCGTATACATTTTGGAGATTCGAATTGCTGAGTTATATCAAATCAAGAAGGAATACTTCCCAAGTAAGGAAAAACAAGTGGATAGTGAAAAGTTCAAACATGCCAGTAAACTAGTTAGAGGTGATAAAAGCGCCAATGATTACATCACGAGAATTATTGGAGTTCATGGGTGTAATTACACGAATTTATCTTTTGAAAGTGATATACATTATAATGCGTTTACTTCAGAGTTTGGAATCTTTTATCATAGTAATCGAGAAACTGCTTTATACAACGAAGGTATCATTATGCCTTTTTTCCGACACAATTCTAAAATAGTTAGAAAGCATAGAATTAAAAGCGCCAATTCTGTTAATGAAGATGGTAATATTGATGTGTTTTTAAGGTCAGGTGGGTACCTTATTGGATGTTTCAATGAATGTTCCAAGAATGAAGCTTTCAGTGCCAATAAAATCTCGCTGATGTTCGAATGTGCTGGAATTTTACGCAAGATTTACATTTCTAATTAGATTCAAATAAATAAATATTATAAATAGTACCATTTCCAATCTATAATCCCATTTCTCTCATGATATCCATTTCGTTATCATACTCCTGTTCCTCATTGTCCTCAAATTCACCTTCAGGTGGGTATTCTTCAGTCGTTGTATTAGATTTCGTAGGAACTGACGTGAATATGTCATCATCATCGGAGAAAGGGTCATTATCATCATCATCTATATTGTTTTCATTAGGGGTAGAGTTGGCATTATTGTTATTAGTATTATTATTATCATTATTTTGTGATATTGGTTGAGTTTGAGGCTGTTGCAGGGTTTGCGAAGGATCTTGCAGTTGCAGAAGTTCTGCCTGAGTTGGAGGAACTCTATAAAGACCCTCATCATCATCGTCATCATCGTCCAAGAATAGAGCATTACGTCCTCTTGTCGAAGTATTCATAAAACTCCAGTCGTCATCTTCTTCAGGTTCAGCCGTAGTACCTGACACGGTGGCTAAAGGTTGTGCAATAATGGACGCGTCATCCTCTTCTTGCTGTGGTTCATCATCTTGCATTGCATGAGGTACAGATGATTCACCCTCAACAAACATGCCATTGGCTTGTTTAAGTTTATTTATCTCTTGGTCAAGTAGCTCACGTCTATACAACTTCATACGAGATGATTTCGCACCATATGCTCGCATTAACTTCAAACAATCTTTGAAGTTTGCCTTGGGGAATATTCCATGACACCACAATTGATAGAATTGTAAAACTGATGAAAGATTATCAAATTCATTTTGAAATTTAAGTTTCTTCTTCATTGATGAGCTTGAAGCAGTAGATAACTTCGAGGCTAACTTGGAATCATTCCGCTTAATGATTCTATTTACTCTATTATGGTTCTTGACTATTTCAGCGATCCCATTTGGCTTATTAAGTATTCTATCATCATCTATTTTTGCAATTTTAATTCGATGCGTAAGTTTAATTGGTTTTTCTAACCCTAAAATATCATCGTTATTTTCCTTATCACTTGGACCTCGGGTCCCTTCATTTCTATCCTCCACTGATTGGAAATCTTCCTCGTCAAATATAAGATCTTCCATTTTTAATAATGAATATAAAGATCATCAATTCTTCAATCTATTTACCTTTACACGCGTTTAAGTTCTACCGTGTCGCGCTCTAAAACTGATCAAGAAATCACATGACCAGAGTCACACGAGCATATACAGACTCGACCCAAATTCCAGATCTGAAAATTGTCTGATTAATTCTTTTTTTTTTTTTTTTTCCACTGCTGTTGGTCTCTGCATTACATCATATGTAAAAAGGATGTTTCAAATTAAATCCCCTTACATTTCAAGTTGATGTGAGGTTCATGCAGTAAATGAGCCAAGCACATATTGTCTATTGAGGTATTACATCTCATAACTACACATAATGTGATTAGATATCAAACACTAAAAAATACCACTTAATTGAAAGGGGGCGGAATCAAAAAATATTTTTAGATTCCGTCCTTTTTGGTAAATAGCAAAATAGCAAAATGTTAAAAGAGTAAAAAAAAAAAAAGTGACCTTAAATTTAAAAAAAGGGATCTCAATGTACGTGGCTAATTGGAACTGAGCTCCCCTGCACAATATGGTAAATTGGTGTAGTTTCACAGCTGGAGCATTGATCCAAACGGATCGACCAGCATTGTTATCCCATTGATCCCGGTGTTTAAAAGAACGTCACATTCCGCATACATTCCCATTGTCTTTGCAACATCTTCCAAGATTATTCCTCACTTCAAATTTTTTTACTTCGGACATAATTTCGCATCGTCCGGTACATGCAAACGGTTTTTGGATTAAAGTGTGACATCATAATCTATCTTTCTTGTGCGTCTAAGGCCCAGACAAATCTAGAAAAAAAAAATAAAAATAAAACATCCCAAGTCCTTTGCTCTAATTCTTTTCGGAAACCCACGGCATTTGTGTTATACATATCAATCTATAACTGAAGGCCAAAAGATTTGCCGACTTTTCCCACGGCTCATTCTGGAGTTTAGTATATGATTGCAGGCGATCGTTCACTATATTTTCCTTTTGATCTCCATCTGTTCCGTGTTTAAAAGCAACCCCATACAAAACTTGTGCTGCTAACTTGAAATTGTTTACTCATTGCAAATTCTATAAATGTTTTCATTATCAATATATGTGCTATCTGCGCTACTTACATTCTTCTTCCCGCTTATTATAACGGTGAAAGTACTGGCACAAATCAAAGGATCCTCACAATTACCAGTATTTATAGCACAACTACAATTCTTAGCAAACTATTGGCTAGCCTATGTGCTAGTCTCTTATATTCAGAGTATTTTAACCACCAGTTTTGGTGTACTAATCCTTGGTCAAGATTATTTGATCTCAGGTGCATTCCTTGTGATAAAAGTTTGGCTTTTTTACTACCATGGATGCTTGTTAGTGAATAGATTTTATTTCCAAGCATTTTCAAGATGTATTCTTCCACTTTTCGGCAGGAATGCAGTTGCCAACAAATCTTCACCTCCTATACAACAACTTGAAATCAGTCTTGATCCAATTCTTAGAATGGGGCTTTCATCTTTGGTATCACTTTCGCACATTCTTGGCATACATAATTTTTCAATTTCTGTTAATATGAGATATTTCCAAGAATTCCTTCTTTCAAATCCACAATTGTCGTTCTTACAGGCATTTTCCAATTATGTTTGTTATATCGATACTTCAGAAGAGTTGATTTCTCGTTTTAATAGTGTGAGAACGTTTTTTAATGGTCTTTATCTGTTATTTCATGATAATCATCTAGCATTTAAAAAGAATTCATCCCCTCATCGTTCTGTGAGATCTTATTCCAATTCTCCCAAGAGCAGATCTGTCTCTTCCAAGTATAATGATAGTATAGACCAGGTTCTTAAACCAAGTCATAGAAGACGTTATACCAATGGGACCCCTCCAGGAGCCAGATCGAGATCCCCCAATATATCTTCGAACTACGCATCCCCTACCAATAGTGTCACCCTGGGACGTTCCATTCTGGAAAGGTACCCTCGTCCACAAAGCCCAGAGCCTTCATCTCAGAGATCAATTAGTCTTGATCTGCTTAGGAGAATAAGACCAGATATTTATAAAGATTATGAATTTGGGTTGGACTCATCAAGTGAAGAGGATTCCATTGGTTATGTAAACAAAAGATTACAAGAACCCCCAAGAGAAGAAATACAACCTATACTTCCCACTGGAGGGGGATTACTGGGTCCACCATCGATTAAGTCTCGACTGAGACTGTCTTCTAATGCTACAAATTTACCATATCCTATCAACGAATCCGATGCCGTACCAATTATGCTGGTTCCAATTGCTGGATCAAATTCCAAGAGTTACCGGAGATGATCATTAACTATATAATAGCTACCACTCTTTACACATTCCAATTAATGGTAATGATACCCTTTTACTATATGACCACTATATACCAATAGAATTAATCAATACAGGAGAAATGAAAATCAATAATAACACTAGCTATAGAATTTAAGTCAGTAGGTATTAAAGAATTAGAACCCTATAGCATTAAAAACACATTTTCCTTTGGTATACATTTCTTTCGCACACAAGTTATCGAAAAACTAAATGGCAGTCAAAATGTATCTTTCGATCTTGATGTAGCCAACTTCAGTAGATACGTTAAAATGTATTTGGCTGAATACCTTCCTAGATTAGACTCGGTTATAGTTACAGTGGATAATGATTCAGACGGCTTGGATAAAGTTAGGATAGAGTCTGGGGATATCTTAGTAGGGGATTATAGAATACCGACTCCCATACAGGGAAAGCAAGACCCCAGGCTAACCAAATTGATAAACTATAAGAAAACAAAGGAAACAGTCTCGTTAACGATCAAGCTACCAGCAGGAGAACTGAGTGAGTCATTTATGAACTACTCAGTTCCCTCTTTATCATCTCCGGCGTCTACATTTGTGCAGAAATGGTCAGTACAGGATTTGAAGAACAAGACAACTATGGATTCTGAGGGAAGGAATCAATTTTCTTTCAAATGTCATGCCTGTCAAGCCGTACTTGTAGACAGTGACCTGAAGTTTTTCGATATGCCATCCGAACTTTGGTCAGAAATGATGGAGTTTTGGCATTGTCATAAACCAAATGAGAATATGTCTGATTTGAAAGAACGTCTGTGGTACAAGGGTATTGTGAAACCATCTAGCGACAAAGAAGTAGTTATTGGGAGTTATTATTTGTTGATACGACGGGGTCAAGTGGAATATGGAACCATTTCCATACAAGACGATGGCTGCGTATGTAATCACTGCCATGCCAACGTTGGCAAATATCTTGAAGATATATCAGTTTTCAACCGAGAAATGTACTTTAGACTCAATAAATGGGCTTTGGACTTACAATATGGAAGTATAAAGGAACTGTATCAACCGTATATTTACATGTACAATATGTTTATGGATAAAATCAATTCTTTGGCGGTTCGAAAGTTTTCCATCAATGACAAATTATTTGTATGGATCATTAATATTGGAGTGAACATTTCATGTGGAGGTAAAACACACTTTAATACTTTGAAAATATTATACTCAGAGTTAAAGGGTCAAGAAAATGATATGATTGAAGAATTTACAGTTCCAACTAATATTTATGATGAATTTGTTAATATTTTGAATAAGATACACAACACCTTACCAGATACGAACAAGATTATGACGATGAAATCAGATGATATATCTCAAGTTTATAGAATTAGTTATTTACCAAGTAATTAATAAAGTGGTAATATACCAAACAAATCGACAGTACATTAATTTATTACTCTATTATATATGTCTAAATATCAGCAGCTTCAACAACGTCCTTTACAGCTGGAACAACTTGCTTTCTAGAAGCCCTGATATTTACTTGGTTATAAATTTCAAGAACTTGGTTGTGCTTGTTGTTATTAATTTGGGAAAGTTCAGCCTTATCAAGACTGTAGACATTATCATTTAATTCTAAAACAGGACTGGTTAATTCAGCCAATTGATGGAAAAACTCGGCATTCTTAGAGTCCTTATTAAAAGAGTATGCAAATTCTCTGGTGTATTCATCGTTATCCTTTCTAGTGTACGATGGAGTCATTACAATGACATCCAAATCGTTGATCTTGCAAACGTCAATGCAAGCAGCAACGACTTCATCATGTGTATAAGTACTCAAGATCCATGACATGGCTTTCAGAAGAGAACTGAATCCAATTCTAATAGCCAGTTTCTTTGCTTGGAACTCAAATTGTTTGTAATCCTTTCTTAACAAGTCAGAAACCGAGAATCCTTTAACGTTCTTCTTTTCAGATTTAGTTTTGGTGTAAAATCTTTCAAAGATATTATCTTCCGTAGCAACTAATTTGGTAGTAACAGCTCCTTCAGAAGATTCAAGATCAGTGAGTGTTTTGTTACCTGGGAGGTTTAAAATTTCCTTGTATTTGGCAAAGGCTACTTCGTCACCTTCTTCAACCTTTTGAGTCATGTTACTGGTATCGATGAGTAAGGGAGCCAAGAGCAACAGAATTACATCGATATCTTTGTAGAATTCGGTCTTCTCGCCAATACAATCATACCAATAGTTGAACACCAAGGAGGAACATGACCCGTTGGAATGAACAATTCTTGGCTTGGCATCGAGTGCGATACCTTCATCGGCATGATGATCAATGATTGCAACCACTTCAAGACGTTTTTGTTGGTATGCATCGGTGAGAATATCTCCTTGAAGGTTGCAATGGTCTACAAGGACTAATTCAGTTTTAGTTTGACTCTTGGTAAGACGGGCAAAGTCTTCAACAAAGTATAACAAATCTTCAGAAATTGAGTGAGCACTTAAGACCAGAACAATATCACGACGTAATTTCAAATCTTCTCTAGGAATATTTATCAAGGGAATGATATATTCATTCTTATCCTTCAAGTTTGAAAAATATGAGTAAGAAATGGCAGAAATGACAGAATCCAAGTCTGCAGATTGGTTACCAGTAACAAATCTGAGTGGCCCCTTGGAGGTTTCCAATTGAGTCTTGATGGTAGCAAGGAATGATCTGACTGACATGTCTGTATAACCTAGATAGTGAAATCGTAATAATATATCGGGGAAAAGAACAATGAGAAAAATGTATTCAAATCAAATCATGGACGGCTGGATCATAGCAATTTTCGCAATATGAGAAATTAATAAAATGTACATTTCCATCATTTTCCATAGTGAAGGATAAGGGGGACCCTACTTTCGTTAAAATTTACTTCGATGTTTGTTTTTTTCTAATTTTATCAATTAGGGGTACCCATAATGATCAATTCAACTTACATGCTTGTTCAAAGAATTTATATTTTATTTATTTTTCAAATCAAACTATTCATATAGATATGTAGTTAGTTACTAGTTACAATTTTCCACTTCTATTTGGCGTAGTGTAACTTAATATCCAACCATTGTCTACTTCTAACCTGTTCTGGGGTTAATGAGATGTCACCGTAAGTAATGGCTTGGAAGTAGTAGAAAAACACGGCGATAGCAGCAACAGAGACACCAACGAAAACCTTAAGCTTGATGGCATTGATTTGTGGACGAGCTGGACCAAAAGTGTTATGAGAACAAAGGAAGTCAGTTAAGGCACCAGCAAACAAGGCTGCGATAAGATGAGCAGGAAGATAATGATGCAAAAACTTTTGTCTACCCATAAGGAAGAAAGGAAGGTAATGAGCAGCCCAGCCAGCAAAGAGGAAGCCGCAAGTGTTATAAAGACGGGATCTAGCCTTGTCAGTCAAAACATAAACAGCTCTACGACGGGAGATTTGATCAGCAAGAATAATTCCACCATAAATGGCAATCAAGGCAACTTCTAACCAGAAACCAACAACGTTACCAATGAAGAAAATTTGTCTTTTACTATCGTTGTCATTCCAGAAAGAAACACCAGATAATGTCAATGGCCATGAATCTGGTTGAGATGCGAATGGATGTTCTGAGGTCAAGATATTGTTATGATGGAACATCAAGAATTGTAATTCCCACCACTTCTTTAAGAATGGTTGAGGGGTAACCTTCTTAGGGGTATATTTAGATCTTGGGTCTTCAGGCTTCAAGTTGACAATAGTCTTGAAAGACCAACTATTGTCATTATCTTGGACCTTCTTGTTACCACAAACTTCTTGGTGCTTGAAACCCCATTCTGGCAAATGCTCATCATCATGAGACCACATAGCCACGACAGTGTCGACATGAATAACCTTGAATTGAGTGGAATGCGTCTTGATCATGGTTCTCTTGTTCTTGTTACTTTGAGTAGCATCGGTGTACTTAAGCTTGAACAAGGTTTCGTTGAATCTAGTAGCGGCAACTTCGTCATAGACAATGGTGAATTCTTCATGGGTAGCCTTCAATGGAGAGGCAACATCATGAGCTAAAAGATATCCACCAGTTCCGACATGTCTGAATCTAACAACATCTTCAGTGAAAACTTCAACAAATTCAGAGGTACCAGTAACAGTACCTGGGACAATTTCCCACCAATTGTTGGCATCATTAGTGGCAACTTCCTTTTCAGCATTGGTTTCCTTGTATTCACAAGTAACTTGTTGCTGATTAGAAGAAATTCTTCCATCTTCATATCTTAATGGATATTGATGGTTATGAGAATGGAAGAAACAATCAGTGTTCAAGTGAGTCAAAGTAAGTTGATCAAAATAATGAACTTCTTTAGAAGATTTAGTATCAGCAGACTCTTGCAAAGTTTCTTGGAAATCTCCAGACATAAAAGAATCACCAGGGCCAGATTTGGTCAAAATAGCAAAATGTAAGTAGAACCAGAAAAGGTAAAGGGCAAATGGAACTGCGATTAAAGTCCAAGCTCTGGCAAAGAAATGATAAGCGAGTTCGTTCAAATCAAGACCACGTTTATGGTCTAAAAGAATCCACAATTCATGTAACACACCAATACCAATAGTCAAGTAAGTGAAAACACCAACGTATTTGGTGGAGATAACCAATGAAAGGGAAACACCGGTAAGATAAAGCCAAGTCCACCAATCACGAGAGAATGCTTGCTTTCTATAGGTGGAGTACTTGACATAACTGAAGATGGTCATTGCCACAGTAAGGTTCAATGTGGCATCCAAAAGAATAAGTCTAGAATCAATGACATGGGCATTATCGAAACAAACAATTGCACTAGCAAGGAAACAAGCAGCTACAGAGAAATTTAAAGTTTTCAAAGTCCAAAACATCAATGGAACGGTAATGGTACCTTGGATGGCAGAAGCAGCACGGTACGCGACGTAAGGAACGTTGTTGGTGATATAACTGTCTCCAATGTTATTAAACTTGAATTTACCATCGTATCCAACGAGATAACCAACAAATGCAATGAGAAGTTTAGCGAATGGAGGATGAAGATCAAAGAAATATGTTCTTTCAAGATAGTAAGATGCAAACTTACCGAAGTGAACTTCGTCAAAAACAACCTTATCTGGGAAGGAGATTCTGTCAAATCTAACGTATGTGGCCAAGATAGTGATCACAGCACATGCAATGTAATAGTAAGATTCAGGGTCCTTGGAACCAACACTATTGGAGTCAGAGACCTTTGTTTGTTCAGCTTCTTTGGTCACATCAGTGCCGGTTACAGCGACACTAGGGGTGGTGGACCCCAGTTTCTTGGCTCCTCTCTTCCTTAACTGGGACATGAATAACAAGGGTGGAGACTAAAAATAAAGAATAAAGCGCAAAGAAGAGAATTATAGAATACGAGTTCCTGCCACCATATATATGGATTTGGCGTCGCGCGTACTTGAAAAATGTCAACTGAAAATAAAATAGAGAGAAAAAAAAAATATCATGCTAACAGCCAGGTGTTCAATTCTCTGGCAATGCAGAGAAAATACTGAGGGATGAAAATAATGTGGTAAATAAGTTCATGTTACATATATTTTCTAGGATATAATTAACTCTTATGAAATATTAGATTGATTTCTCTTTTGTTTTTCTTTTTTTTTTTTTATGAGTCTATAGAAATTCTTTGAGTCCTACTGTTTTCTCTTCATAAATGTGTAGCCGGTATTGTAAACAAATTCAACTGTAGTCTCCTTATCCCAACCTAATTCAGTTTCCCACTCTTTTAAAATTTGATTGGGGATATCAATTGCCTTCTCACCGTTTACCTCCTTGTAGTTATGGTACCCGCTATTGGTACCAATGTAGTCGCCAACTGCACTCACCGGGAGCTTATGATTGACGATATCCAAATCATTTTGACCTGGGAAGGGTGCATTTTCCACATCTGCATGGAATTGATTGATTTGAATATCTTCAAACAAATCACGAGGAATGTTTTTATTAACTTCTTCCAAATATTCACGGAGAATATTTCTTCCAGGTTGTTCCCAATGTGGACCAGCAAAATTAGGATCATCATATAAATATTTATCGATAATCTCCCTTGATCTGTGTAATTTAGAAATCTTCACTTCTTTTGTATCATTTTCACTTCCTGAATAGTCAACTACAATGGGATCAATATAAAACCAATAAGCCAATGTACCTCCAGATTTCAACAGCTTGGCAGAAGCTTCGAAAAATTTCGGATAATCTTGAAACCAATGAATACATTGAGCTGCACTAATCAAATCAACATCTCCCTTACCAAATATAGAACTTTCTCCTTTAGTAACTAATGATTCAACACTTCCAGTGATAAATTCAATACGATTAGATTCGACCCCCATTTCCTTACATCTTTCCTGCTTTAACAGATTGGCAGTCTTGATCATATTAGCAGAAAGATCAAGTCCAATGACCTTCTCAGAGATGTTTAAGAGTGGGTAAGTAGCCACCCCAGTTCCGCATCCTAAATCAACAGACTTCCCAATTGGGAGCTTCGAAGGGTCCTTACCAATTGCGTAGTCCGACAAAATTTTGTAGAACAGCGCAGGATAATGTGGACGGAAAGTGTTATAGTTGAGTGATTTGAAGTTAACTTTAGAGAATGTAGCCATGATGTTGTTTAACTTGCAAACTATTAAGATATAATTGTCATTTTCTTATCTTTATATATTTCACACCTCCACATTTTTCAAAATCGACGGATCCGACCGCGGGATTAATTCTTCGATCCAAAGCAACTCCGAGCAAACTCCGAAAATACCACGACGTATTATTCAAGATTTGGTCATTAAATATACTACACTCCATTGGCTAGTGACCTCATATGGTTAACGTTCAATGACAATCGTCATCATTAATAATAAATAAATAAATAATAAATAATACATTGTTAATTCCAAAGCTCATCAGTTGTATCCATCGTATACATCCCATGATTACCTTCACTATTCATATCCAAAAATGGTACCAAACCTAAGGAACCATCAGCAGCAAATTCATTCATCATAAGGTCGGGGTGCATATTAATCTTGAATGGATCAAATTCAAGAATGCTATCAAGTGCATCATTAGCATCATTCATTTCATTAGAGTCATCTGTTCCTTGATCTAGGCCAGAAAGTGAAGGATATTCATCGTCACTTTCAACTTTTACCATTTGTGGTGGCAGAGGTATAGTCGTATTAATTGAAGTATGAGCGGAAGGTAATGTTCCTTCCGTTTTTACCTCAAGGTGACTGGCACGATCGTTACTTGCACTACGAACAAGTGATAATTTGGAACTTTGAAGAGGTGCATTTGCCGTAGGCATCGAGGGGGAAACTCTTTTACCCAAATATTCCTCGGAATATGTAACTTTTTGTTCTCTTGGCCTACTTCCCATGGTGGAAATAATCTTTTTCTTCGATGCCAATGATTTATTCAAATTTAATCCAAGAATACTCAATATAGCGAGTTCTAAAAGTTTTACTGAAGTTTTAGTTAGACCACCGGGTCCATTATATTCACTATCAGTGTTCAATGCAGTTACGGTTTCGAGCAATAAAGACCTCAGATTTTGGTATAAAGGTCCATTTTTCACATAATCAAGACTTCCTCTAGCCACCAACAATGATAATCTTGCCTGTTCTCTAGCCAAATTCATAGGAAGTGGGAGTAAATATGGAGATTGTGCAAAACTTGCCATGGTTTTCAAAATTTCAAGCATTTGAATGGAGGATTGTTGGATTAAGCTTGTACTTGACACAACATTTGTACTGAAATCACCCTTTGGTTTCAATAACTGTTCCTTTTGCAGTAGTCCAACATTGTGATTATTACCAAATTTGGATATCACCGGTAAGTAAATTAAGATTTTAGCATGATAATAAAGAAATATTAAGGTCAATTGTTGCCTACTGTAATTTTTCCAAATATTACTATCGATAGCAGCAGTGGGGTCTTTATTGTTCGTTAAGGCAAGCCCATTGACATCCATTTCAAATTTCAATTCCTTTGGGAGTTCCCGCCTCCAACAATCTAACATTCTCTCTCTACTAAGAGTCTTGGAATGCTGATCACCACTCTCATATCTAGAAAAAATTGAATCCAATATATTCGCCAATACTTTACAATACAACATCACACTAAGTGAAAGCTTAGAAACTTTCCCCACAATGGATAATTTTGTATTGTTAACAATCAAGATATTTACATTATCATCAGCTGTATCATCCACATTTCCAGCGAATGGAATGGCACATTCCACTTCAAAATCTTTAAGTAATCTTGGCACCCCCAAGTTAAGTGATGAATAAACATCCAAACTATAAATACACCAAAACAAAATACGTCTTTCACCTTGTCTAAAGTTTTGTAAATGGACATTATTTGGGTCATTTCCTCCACTTATACCTAAAACTGCAGCGGGACATCTATGTAATCTTAATTGTTGCGCCATTGATATTACTCTTCCTCTCAATTCATAACATTTGGTTATATCCCCAATTACAAGACAATACTGTAATGCCAAAGTTAAGATTTGCAATGATTGTATAGAGCAGGATTGAGTTATAATACAGTTAGGTTTTATAAACTCTTGGATAAGGTAATCGAAATGTTCCATATTGGTGGAGTATTGTGAGGTGTTCCCCAGTTTATTGGATAAAATACTCAAACTTGTCACCAACACTAAAGTGGCACCAAATTTCTCAAGCAGCTCATAAGAAGAAGTTTCATCTTTAACCATATACAGAATACCCATTTCCAATATGTTAGTAAATTTGACATAATTTTTCAAAAACAAATTCTTATCCAAAATGGGGAAAACATTCCCCCAATCTTGGAAGTAAACGGTAATCAAATGATCTAAATCTATTCTTGATGTAGGCAAGTGTAAAAGTTCTTGCACAAAATAGATTGCTTCTGCATCTGGTAATTGAGTCACATCGTATCGATTAGTTATGAGAGAAAGTAAATTCTTATTGAAATCAGATTGGAAATCTGCAGATTTACGTGTTGCATCATGGGAACTTTCCTTGATAGATGCAATGGCATTTGCTGTGAGAATTGCTGGTTTGGAATTATAACCATATACTTGACAAATTTTGGCAAGTAAGGTTGGAATAAACAAGGTTTCCTCGGTACTTCTGGGGATAGATACTGCCACAAGTGATGTCAACATCTGTTGTTTGCTGGCGTCATTGAATTCCACCGTAGGTTGAGGTTTATCTCTATTACGTTGCATTTGAGCAATGGCAGTTGCCGCTGCAAACGCACCAGGCGCAGGGCTGACGCCTCTATTTTCATACAATTTACCAAAATTGGCACTTGAATGTTCAATCAGTTTCATATCATCATAACTTAAAAGGGAGTCATTATCTTCTGCATCACTTAACTGAATCGAGCCAGCAATAGATGCTGGATTGTTGGTATTTTCATAGAATGAACCAGCGATAGAGACGGGACGTTCATGAACATGACTTGGGAAATCTGAACAACTACAAGGTACACCATCATGATGGTCATGCATGTGAGAATGAAGACTATCTCTCTGTTGGCTAACCAAGAGTGATAGGTTGGACGAAGTAAGCATATTTGGATGTTGAACATTTAAAGTTGGATCTGAAGTTGTTGATCTATTAGCATCCGTTAAAATTGAGCTTGAATTCAAATTTGAGGTTGTATTTGCGGCCAAGGAAGGATGATTATTTTGCGCTGAGCTATGCTCTTCTGCAGCTGCGTCTCGAATACCGGAATTTAACATGGAAACTTGTTCATCTCTAAGATCAAGAAGTCCGGTAAGTTTCTTATTCTCAGCCTCCAATTGTCGTATCCTTTCTTCTAACGTTTCAGTGTAACCTTTTGGGAAAGCTCTGCGCGATAATTTGTCTGACACAATACATTGGAACCCAACGGCTGCACAGCTTGAACATGTTGGTAATTTCCCATCACATTTCGTCTTTTTTGCTCTACATCGATCACAAGCTTGTGCAACTCTTACAGTGGACGAACCAGGAGCATTGATAGTTTTATTTTTTGGAGCAGTTTTGCTCTTGGGCACAGACGCAGGCCGTTTGGCAGCACATACATCTGTCATCTTTCTGCTGGTTGACCTGGTACGAAAGGATTTTTATTAACAAAAATATTAAAATTTTTACCATAAATCTACGGCTTTATCTAGCACGATAATGACTATTATGGTTGGGGGTGCAGTATGAATCATCCCCAGATTTTGACCATACACGACTGAGAAAAAAGATAAAAAAATAAAATCAAAATCAAAATCAAAAAAAAAAAAATAGATTTGATTACAATTTTCAAATCAGATCAAGTCAAGTGATCCTATTGCTGCGGCGTTAAGGACCTCCCCCCTCCCCCGTGTATTTCCCCCTTGTTTAATGGATAGGGTGTTAAGATCCAGGAGTTTAGCATCTGTCGATGCGAACGGGCATGCAGGGGTGAAAGGTACTCCCGGACGGATTGTCAAAAGTACCCGGCCTAGATCAAAGAAGATAAAGATAGAAGAAGACAGTGCAGGACACACACTTGATAAAGTATCGAGGTACTTCATTAAAAAAGAAGATGAAGATCAACAGGTGAATAAAATTATTGAGGAACATTTAAAAGTTGAAATTAAACAAGAGGATCTTGGATTGATTCCAAAATTAGAAACGGTGATACCTAAACTTGAAGAAATCCCAAACTCATTTGAACCAAATCCACTCCAAGTGTTCAATCATAAGGACAATAAAGAGCTCTTGGTAAATGTATTCAAGCCGGTTCAATTAGAGGATATTGAAGATATACCATCAAGTATAGCACAGCCCAAGAATTGGCTGGAAATATATAATCGAGTGGTGAAAATGCGTGCTCTCTTTGTAGCTCCAGTGGACACTATGGGATGTGAAAGGATACCAGAACAAATTAATTCAAACATCCGAGAGAATCCAAAACTATTCCGATACCAATTACTTATTTCATTAATGCTTTCGTCACAAACTAAAGATGAAGTCAATTATGAAGCAGTACTGCGAATGAATCAAAGTTTTATTGTGAATGGGTATCGTGATGGACTCTGTATTGAAGCTATTTTGAACACATCAGAAGTGGATATTGATAGATTAATCCAAAAGGTTGGATTCCATAACAAAAAGGCTATTTATATTAAAAGAAGTAGCGAGTTATTGCGGGATAATTTCAATGGTGATATCCCTAAAACAATTCAAGAAATCGTTACTTTACCAGGAGTGGGGCCCAAAATGGGATATTTGCTACTACATAAGGCATGGAATATAGCAGATGGGATCGGTGTAGATGTACACTTGCATCGACTCGCTCAAATGTGGAAATGGGCACCTAAATCGGATAAACCAGAAGTTTCTCGAGTGGCTTTGCAAAAATGGCTCCCAAAGAAATTCTGGTCAGAAGTCAACCCACTTTTAGTTGGGTTTGGTCAAATGGTATGTTTACCCAAAGGTAATAAATGTGATGTTTGTAGTTTGGCAACTGCGGGTCTATGTCCCAGCGTCAATCGGAAATTACTCAACCAACGAGGGTCCCCTGATAGACTTGCTCAATTACACAAGGGTAGAGGTGATTTATCTCTTTTAATTGAAGAAATTGGGAAATTGGCATAATGTAATATACATATATATTTTTTTTATTTTAATTTGGTTTTATAAATATATAAACTTAGACTGAAGAATTGAATGTGTAAAAACCTTTTAAGCCTTAGGAAGGTATCCACCTTCCTTGCAAAGCAGGTAGAAAATACCTTCCTTGTCTTTGAGTAACTCTTCTGGTGAGTTGAACTCCTTTACTTCACCATGGTCCAAAACAAGAACACGATCACTGTCCATAATAGTTTCTAATCTATGAGCAATAACCAAAATTGTCTTATCTTTAAATGCAGAACGAATAGTTTCTTGAATGATTTTGTCTGTTTGAACGTCAACTGCTGCAGTGGCTTCATCTAATAAAAGAACCTTCGAAGGGTTCAACAATGCACGGGCCAAGCAAAGAAGTTGCTTTTGTCCAGCAGATAAATTAGATCCACCTTCAAAAATCTTTGCATCCAACGCATATGTGGTCACTAATTCATCATCTCCTTCATGATCTTCCTTATCCTTATCAGTTGGTTCAGTCTTCATAGATTCTACATGTTCCTTTAAATGGGCCAATTCTAAAACCTTCCACAATTGTTCATCTGTAAATTCTTGGAATGGATCTAAGTTTTGTCTTACTGATCCTTCCACAGTGTGTGAATCTTGAGGAATAATACTTAATTGATGTCTTAAATCTGAAAGTCCAAGCTTACTAGTGTTCATTCCATCAATGGAAATGTGACCTGTAGTAGCTTCGATGATACGGAACAATGCCAAGGTTAACGACGATTTACCTGCACCAGTTCTTCCAACGATACCAATTTTTTCGTTTCCCTTTATATCCAAGGTGATATTCTTTAATACCGGATCTAAGTTCTCAGCATATCTAGTAGAATAATCACTAAATGAAATGGCACCTTGATCAGGCCATGAAGCCAGAGGTCTGTAATCTTCTACAACCTCAGAAGCTTCAGATGGAAGGTTACAGAATTCAACAAGTCTTTCGACTGCAACAGACTGAGTTTCCACTTCGGACCACAATCTAACAATAGCATTCAAAATCAGAGTGATCGATAAGGCATAAACCATGATGAAACCAAGCAATGCAGGGTTAATCTCACCAGCAGTACCAATAGTAAGCAATGCAAGAATACTTGATGCAAATAAAATGATACTAGAAATACATTGCAATCTCATTGATAACCATCTGTTACAAGCTTGACTGTTGTATCCAATGGCCACAACTTTATCAATATTCTGCTTGTTCTTGTAGACGAAACGCTCATTTTGACCATAAGCCTTGACGGTATCAATACCATTGATAGACTCTTGGACATGTGCAATTTGCGGACTCTTTGTCTTACTAGAAAGTCTCTTAAGTTCTCTGGAACTTGGGATGAAAAATTTTCTAATTTGATTGTAGAGAATCAAAAGTACTCCGATGATAAGAACCATAGCTGGTAAATTCAATACGATGACTGCAAATGTGACAATACCGTTAACAATAAGTGATAAGAAGGACATAAAAATCCAAGGCAATTGCATATCAATGACCCCGATATCATCCGTGAAACGGTTTAAAATCCGACCAACAGGTGTAGTTTCGAAAAATCTCATTGGAGATCTCAAAATAGACTTAGCCATAGTGTCATGGAAATAACGAGCACCACGGATGATACACAAGGACCATAAGATAAAGGCTGAAACCAAGTTCAAGATACCTCCAATAACTCCAATAATCAAATAGATGGTTAAGTAGAATTTGGCATCGACAGTTTCTCCAGCATCGGCATTTATTTGCGACCAAGCAGTTAATAAGGACTTTTCCAATACACCAGCAACGTAAATACACAAGGTGAAAAGTACAAAGATAGTGACCCAAGCATAGTTACAAGCTCTAAAATATTCAATGAAAACAGCAAGTTTGACTTTACCCTTCTCACTATCTTCAGTTGTATTCCCGGTCTTCTTTTTCGATCCGTCATCATCCTCGTCAACGTATACGTGTGAGTACGAAGTCAAACTAGCCTTACCGATGGTTTCATTGGAAATTACCCGTTGTAAGGCAACTTCATCACCAGTGAATTCAACAATCGTTTCATCGGCAATTATGTTGGTAATTGGTTTGTTTGATGAAGTAGCTGAAACCGGAGGCGTGGTAGATGCAGACTTTGTCTCCTCGGAGACTTCGTCCTCTTGTTCCTTGTCATCTTTACGACCAAAATCCTTAATCAAGGTAGCCAAGTCAGAGCCACGAGCCATAACATCTGAGAAGTTACCCTTTTCAACAATCAGACCAGACTTTAACAAAAAGATTTCATCAGCTTCATGAAGAACGGTTACCGAGTTGGTAGCTAAAACCTTGGTCTTTGTAGAAATAATCCCATTTGGTCCCAAGACCTTTTCAATAATGTTTTTACCAACATGAGCATCGACAGCGGAAAGAACATCATCAAAGAAATAAATATCAGACTTGGAATAAACAGCTCTAGCAAGAGAAATTCTAGCCTTTTGACCACCAGAGAGCGAAATACCCTTTTCACCGACAACAGTGGCATCACCATCTGGTAAAACCTTGAAGTCAGTTGATAATTCACAAGCATCGATGGTCTTTTGATAAAAGGCTCTATCGTACTTACATCCAAACAAAATGTTTTCCTTAACAGTACCATTCAAGATCCAAGGAGATTGGGAACAATAAGCAATCGTACCATTAATTTCAATCTCTGGTTTGGACTCTTGTTCAGTTAACAATGGAACTTCTCCCAATAAAGCCTTGAAAAGAGTAGTTTTACCACTTCCGACCTTACCAACAACACAAGTCAATTGACCCTTTTTGGCGGTAAAATCGATATTATTTAAGGCAATCTCGGGCTTGTCACTAGATTCAATAGCTTGTTCTTCATCTGAATTACTGTCGGAGTCAGTCAGCTTCTTCTTGTTGGTCCAGACGAATGTTGCATCTGAAACACTGATCGAAACTTCACCGGACTTTAATGGGGTGTTAGTCTTGGTGATAAAGTCAGTATCTAACTCATCCATCAAGAGTAAATCGCTCAATCTCTTCAACGAAGTTCTAGCTTCGATAAGGTTAGTGATCAAGTTTGGAAGCATGAAAACAGGCTCGGTAAGCATATCAAACAAAGATAATGAAGGGAAAACTATATCTGGAGTCAATGGAATGTCATATAAATAAGTGAAAGTAGCATAACTAGCACATGAGACGAAAAATGGGATACAATTCCATAAGAATTGAGATCCTGCTGAATAAATACCAATCTTCTTCAATGTCTTCAATTCCTTATCATTTCTAATAGCACTTAATCTTGCCAACATTGGCTTTTCCCAGGAATAAAGCTTAATACTCTTCATGGAGTTTAAAATTTCAGTAGTTAAACTAGTACGAGAATCGGTATGCTTCATAAGAATAGGGTAAAGACTCATAAAGGAAGTACTTAAAATAGAACTGATTGGAATAAGGATAGCTGCTGCTGCGACACCTCCCCAAGTAGCCTGACCAATAATCTTGTACAATGAAGCAAGACACAAGAAGAATTTGATAGGAGTAGAAACAAAATCTTGTAATGACAGACAAAACCATTGAATAGTACTGATATCCATAGTAACATTATTAACGATATCACCAGTAGATTTGTTTTTACGAGCTTGAGGTGTGAGTTTAAGAGCCTTATTGTAGATCATCACTGTAAGAGATGATTGACAACTGTAAACAATATTAAAGATTTGAGTAAAATATTGATTGAAAAGGCAGAATCTCAATGCAGACATAATGAAAATAAGTACAGCAATGAAAAACCCAAGAATCTTTGGAGGTGGTGGGTCTAATGGAGATGTACCATCTTCCACGGATAAGCCGGTGGTTGCTGTGAAGTATCTAATAAACCATTGTAAAAGGAATGGTTGAATAAATGAAGTAGTGACTTCAATAAGATTCAATGTTAAAGTATAAATAATTAAACCAGAAAATGCCACTGCTATAGAAAGGAAAAGAGAAACATTTAGTTTCGAATCATCGACTTCCTTTTTACCAAAGATCTTAGCCCATAAGCCTGATCTTGGGTTTTTCTTGGATTTCTTCGCAAGCTCTTGTTGTTGTTTAGCCTTGAACAAGGCAGAATCCCATACTTGTTGAAGTTTAGACAGAGTATATTCGGAAGTGATATACAAGGGAACTGGAGAAAGATCTTCCATTCCTACAGTGTCAGTGTTGTACACCTTGGAAATAAGTTTCTGAGCCCATATAAAAGTCAAGGTTGAATAGATATTACGAGATTGGTCGAGTCTCCATTCATTGAGGTTATAATAATCGACAAGTTCAACAGAAGGGCTCCAAAATGCCAATTCTGAAACGAAAATGAACAAGGAATTCAACACAAGGATAATATCAAGAGTAAGACCAAGAGGAGAACCAGTGGATAACAAGTGATGTTTCAGGGACAAATCTTGCACTGCCGCGACCGAAATCCAAACAAAGGTCCCAGTCCAATAAATAAGAATTGAAGCAAGTTGAGAAGAAGACCTTGTTGTTTCCCGTGCATGAAGGGGTAAGATGACCAAAGCTGTCAAGACAGTAGCTATAGCAAGAATGTAATATTGATAATTCCAACCAAAGTTAAGGAAAGCCAAAACAGCAAAGGAAATGGATTGAACAAGAACGGCAGCCAATCTCACTTGGTGAGCGGAACCAGTATTCGAGCTGGTGAAAGCATTTCCAAAAGAGTACTTGATGTTGAAGACACCGTATTCACGAGCATATATAATCTCGAGTAATTGGTAGAGAGCAAAAGGACCAATAAGGACGAAAAATGCAGCCACTACAAGGGCATAAAAGTCAGGATCAATGGCATTACCGTGGGGCTTGTACAAGACTGGCGGTAACTCCCAGGAGTCCTTGTTGAACATAATATCCATCTGGGGTCGTATCTTGACTTCAGAAAGAAACTCTAGGGGATAGGATGATTAAATTTCACAATTAACTATTGAGGTTCCCTCTCAAGATAGCGAAAAGTTTAAAATAAAAAAAAAAAAAAATAAGTCTTGAATTCTTTTTTTTTTATTTTTTCGTCTTTTTCCGAGTAAAAGAACTGATAAGAAAAATATCCCACGGCCAGAAAAAGACCGTTTGCTTGGATTGCAAAATTAATTACAGAAGTATTTATTGGCAAGTACTTTGGCAGGCTGGTCCTTATCTATTTATACGAAATTGGAAGATGGCCATTATCTGTCACCCGACGCGGCTAGACATATTGTTTCAATCCTTGCATGAAAAATACCATATTCAGGTTTGAATTTAGAGGCTTGTGGTTATTCTATGATATGATTGGCTTGGTTTTCAGGATAAAAAGATATGTTTGCCACCTAAAAAGTTGGAGCCTCACATTGTACGGATCTCGCGTCGGAGCCACATAAAATAGGAGGGAATTGAGCTAATCTATTTTTTTTTTTTTTTTGTACCATTTTCTAGAATCATAACTTTGTGTCATATTTCCTTAAATTCAAATTATATATTTATAATTATCAGATCCAGCCCTAGCCTGCACAAATGCCAATGTGAGACCCGTTCCGTCTATACCGGATCTAAACATATCGGTGTTTAGAGCATTCGATGGGATCGGTAAGAGAATGCACGCTTATCACCATTTTTGACGGGCTATTGAAGTTGTGTGTGTGTTTTTTTTTACCCGGTAATTATCTCGAACCATACCTGGAGTGACAGAGTTCATCTAGATTATTTTAGAATTCTTTTTCAATCTTGCTACAGTGTTTTTTGCATACTATTATTGAAGAAGTCATGTTAGTTGTACGGAGGATCCCTCGGAGATCAATGTTTAAAATGATGATGGCCCGGAACTTTCTGGATGTACTGCTTTCTCCACATTCCCATTATAAGCCCCCGGTTGATTTTGATGCCACCAAGTACCGTAGATGGGTATCGGTGGTACCTCAGGATGAGAGCAAGCCCCGCATGGTTGATGTCGCTGCAGATGCTTGTAAAACTTCTGCAACCAAGTTTTCTATCATGACCTATAACCTTCTTTCACAGCATTATATGTGGAAGAAAGTGTTTGGATACTTGAACCAAAACTATCTTGATTGGTCCGGGTATAGATTCCCCTTGATCAATAAGACATTAGAACAATTTCATTGTGATATCATGTGTTTCCAAGAAATGGAAGCCCGGGTATATGATGAGTATTGGTCTCTGGCATTCCCCGAGTATTCTACCATGTTCATCAAGAAACCTAGTCCCAACTATTGGGGTCACCAACCAGAAGAATGTATGGATGGTGTCGGTGTATTTATTCGCAAGGAAAGGTTTGAAGTGCTTGCATGTAAGAAATTGCATTATGGTGAATATATTACAGAGAACCCAGATAAGTTTGAACTTACTCAAGATATGAAGGAAAGGGTTATACCTAGAAACACTGTGGCCCTATTGGTTAAGCTTTTAGATAAGAAAACTGGATCGAAAGTATATGTTACTAATACTCATTTATATTGGTCACCTCAATTCAATGACGTTAAAGTCATCCAAACAAAAGTATTATTAGGAGTTTTGGAGGAATTCATTGATATAGAAGATAGATGTAATCCCGTGGTGGTAATGTGTGGAGATTTTAATTCTACCCCACACTCAGATGTGTTTCATTTATTAGAAGAAGGACAAGTAGATACAGAAACATCTCCTGAATTCACAAATAAATACTATGGAGAGATTCTCAATGCTGAAAAATTGGAAAAGGGCAAGATCTTGAATCCATTCCTGTTGGCCACGGCATATAAAAAGCTTCTTCGAACAGACGGGCATGGACTTGAGTTTACGAGTTACACACGTAGTCTCACGGCTGTACTTGACCATATTTGGTACTCTAATGATATATTTCAAGTTAAGAGGATACTTGGAGAAGTTGACCAGGAATATTGCAATAGAACTGATGTCAAGGGGTTTCCCAATCGTCAATTTCCCTCTGATCATATACCATTAGTAGCTGAGTTGGAGTATAAGTAGTTCGCGAGTGTATCTCACACCTCGAAGAGTGGGTACTCCGTTCTCTGTGGCAATGAGTGGACGCTCCGCTGGCCCCTACTCGGGGAGAGTCACTGGCGTGGGGCCTAGCTCCTCTACGAGGAGTTTTACACTGTTCCTTGCTGGAGGAAGGAGCCCCAAATGCTAGTTGTCCACGGAGTGACAGTGGAGCGATTTTGACTAAGAGAAAATCGGTAAAATAATTGGAAAGGTCTTTAACAAAGAATTCCTATAACTACAATGATGAATCTCGACGTTTCGGTGGTCAAAGAATAAGATTACCCTACATACTCCGTATACAAAAGCCTTCTTTCTTAGAGGTATAAACAAGGAAGGAACTTCAAATTGGATACAGCTAGTTCACCCATGAAGTCCGCAACAATTTACAAATACTCCTCACACCCTCACACTAACTTGTTAAAAAAAATTTATTGATCTCAAAAAAAAAATAAATAGATTTAAGATCGTTAGTGTTCTGCATTCTAGAAATAAACATTTAAACAAGATTTAAAACGAATAAACGATATACTCTGTATATATTCACGCTAATTATTCAACTATTAATCATTTGCAACCCTTATATTATTTATTATTTCCTGCATATATTGTAGGAAACTTTTTGGCAGTCGTGCCTCGTTCAAAGATTGGCCACTTTCGCTCTCATTATGAAAACTCAAACATTGTAAACTATCAAGTTGTCATATATCTATCTATAGATATTGATTCATTTGAAGTACGCGACCAATTTGTGACCAGAGGTGAAGATATATATATAGTTGTCGAGCACTTGCATTGTTGATCTAGAAAAAGTAAAGCCGTGCTAGTTCCATAGACTATATTATTGTATCGTTCAACGGACGTGCTACAAAACATTTTACCGTTAAGAAGTTGACACACCATTGAACTTAATAGTGTGGATATCAAGCTAGACTCTTAACTGGGATAATTGAGGTGCATTGTCGTTTAATATAGGAGTGTACGGATATTCTCTAAGAAATGAACATGAACAAGTTCCAACAAACTCCTGTTCAAGGACAGGCTAACATACAAGCACAACAGATTCTCTTGCAACAGTTGCAACAGGGCCAGTCCCAGCAACTGCAGCAACATGTCCAGCAGCCTTCGCAACCACAGGCCGCCGGAGGGATCAATAATGGCCAATTTGGACAAGATGTGTATGCCGAAAATGGGTACCTGAGTAACTATCAAAGACCACTTCAAAGTCAAATTCCAGGACAGGTTCAACAACAGCAACAACAACAGTTCTTTCCTCAACAATTTCTGCAACAACAGCAGCAACAACAGCAGCCACAACAGCCACAACAATCCTACCAACAAGCACCCCCACAACAATTTACTCAATCTCAATCGCAGATACCACGTCAACAGCTCCCATTCTTGCAGCAACAACAACAGCAACAGCAACAGCAACAGCAGCAACTGTCTCAACAGTCCCAGCAACAACAACAGTTCTTCAACCAACAAGTTGCTTCTGCGATGCAACAACAGCAGCAACAACAGCAACAACAACAACAGCAACAACAACAACTGTTACAACAACATAAGCTCTATTCAATTAACATCGAGAACACAAACTCTATATACTGGCAACATCAACAACAACTTTGTCAATTGTCTAGAAATGCAAACATTCCACATTACTATGCAAGACATTATGCTGCCAACTCTAGAAAGAGTAAGAACCCATACAGTGAAGTTAAGTCAGTGAACTTGATTGATGCTACTAAGGCCATTGTCACTGCGTTGGAGGAACAAGAGAGATCTACTAAGAAACTTCCAACCACCCCAACCAACAGTGCCTTGTTGCACAACAAGAAATTGGCTCAAGGATTGGATGATGAACATATGCAAGAAGAACAAAGAATGAGACAAAAGACTCAAGGTAGACAATTATGGTGTCAACTTGATTTAGGGGGACAAGGTTTGGCTAATCTTTCACCTAAACTTTTCCAATATGATTTCTTAGAATCATTATATTTGAATAATAACAAGTTGACATCTGTTCCTAAGATAGTGAGTAAGTTAAGAGGGTTGAGAACTTTGGACTTGTCTCACAATAGAATTGGAGAAGTCCCACCTGAATTAGGGATGTGTTTCAATTTAAGATATCTTTATTTGTTTGATAACAATATCAAGACACTTCCTAATGAATTTGGGAACTTGATTGAATTACTCTTTCTTGGAATTGAAGGTAATCCAATCGACCTTAAGATTGCCAATTTGATTGCTGAAAAGGGTACTAAAGAACTCATTGCATACTTGAGAGATCTCAGACCTACATTTGGTAAGCCACCACCAAGAAACTGGCTTTTATTAGAAGATGATGGGGAAGTAATTGATCCAGTGGTGAACCCAGATGCCTACACGAATGATACGAACAAATCTGATGCTAATGATACTTTTACGATGACCTCCTACAACACATTATGTCAACATTATGCCACTACCAGTATGTATAAATACACTCCACTGTGGGCATTGGAATGGGATTTCAGAAGATCTGCCTTACAAGAAGAAATTTTGGCCCAAAACAGTGACATTGTTTGTATGCAAGAAGTTGAGACCAGAACTTATCATGAATTCTGGACTCCAATCATGCAAGAATTTGGTTATAAGGGTGTTTTCTTTTGTAAGACTAGATCGAAAACCATGGGGGAAGCAGATGCTAAGAAGGTTGATGGTTGTGCCACTTTTTATAAAACAGATAAATTTACCCTTCTTCTGAAGCAAAACTTTGAATACAACAGTGTTTGTATGGGATCAGAAAAGTATAAAAAGACCAAAGATTTGTTCAATAGATTTATGAATAAGGATAATATTGCCTTGATTACCTTTTTACAACACATTCATACTGGGGAAAAGATCACCATTGCAAACACTCATTTACATTGGGATCCTTTGTTCAATGATGTGAAGGCACTTCAAGTTGGTATTTTATTGGAAGAATTGAACGGAATCATGAAGAAAAACCATCATACTAGTAGTAATGAAGTTAAGAACTCATCTCTCGTTATCTGTGGTGATTTCAACTCGGTCAAGGATAGTGCAGTTTATCAATTGTTCTCCACTGGCAGTGTTTCAAAGCATGATGACCTTGAAGGTCGTGATTACGGCCGGTTTACAGATGAAGGGTTCCGTCATGTTTTCAAGTTGAAATCAGCATATGAAAACCTTGGTGAACTCCCATTCACCAACTTATCACCAACTTTTACTGATGTTATTGACTATATCTGGTACTCTACCCCAACCTTGCAAGTCAAGGGATTGTTGGGCAAGATCGACGAGGATTATTCCAGCCGTTGTATTGGATTCCCGAACGCACATTTCCCATCGGATCATATTCCACTTGTAACCAAGTTTCAAATTAAGAAAAGTTCCGGTTCGAAGAAGGCTGATTTTAAGCCTGATTTCAAGTCTGGCTCGTCACGTAAAACCTAATTGGAGCGATCATGAGCCATTCTCCTATAATTTTCCACTGTACATTACTTGTTATATACTGTTGTTGCACAACTGCCATATATTAGACGGTTGGCCTACCCCATATCTACCTTTTATTTAGCGTTTTTTATATACACAATCCATAATCGATAAAAAAAAGACAAGGTTGTACAGAGTTGTTCCGCATCCGGCAAGTCATCCGAAAAATGATCCGACACACCTCGTGGTAGAGCCGAACTGTTAGTCCTACATATTTATATGACGGGTCATTTCATCACTTGTAAATTCGGGTGATAGTACTCCATAGATCCAAAAAACTGAAATGACATTATCATTACTTATTCCTACCCAAAACGATTATGATGATGCTCATGGAGACACTTCGCAAGAAGTTGTTTATCGTGAGAAGATTGCAACATTGAACGAACAGCGAGATGCAACCACTCAAAAACTTACCCATCCATGGAAATTTGAAACTGTGGATGGATTTTTCAAACAATCAAGACCGGAAACAGATGATCTTGTCTTCAATTATGCTACTGAAAACTTTGGTAGAACCATGTCTTGGCCAGATATCGTGACAAAACTCCAACAATTGAATGAACTGGCAAACAGTAATGAATGTTACAAGCTTTTATTCCTTGCAAGACATGGCCAGGGTTACCATAATTTATGTGTAGAAAAATACGGAGTTGAACAATGGGCCACTAAATGGCACAATATGGAAACTGATGGGGAAATTATCATTGGTCCAGATCCAATGTTGACTCCACTTGGAGTTGACCAAGCAAAGGAAAATAATCAAGTTTGGAAACAAGAAATTGACTCTGGGGCACCAATCCCAAGTAAATTCTATGTCTCCCCATTGCAAAGATCGTGTCGTACCTTGGTGGGTACTTGGACGGGGATCAAACCGGAAGATAAGGATCCACACCCGTTGGTTGTTGAATCTCTTAGAGAAACTCTTGGTGTGAATATTTGTGATAAGAGATCACCAAGATCAGTAATTTCTGAAAGATTTTCTAAACATGGATTCGTTATTGATGATTCAGTGACTGAATTTGACGAACTTTATACTGAAACAAAGAGAGAAACTCTTTCAGAACAAAGTATTCGTGTAAATGGATTCCTTCAACGGATCTTTGATGAAGATTGGGACGGATCCTCTCTTGATAAATCTAAACAACTTGAGCATCAATTCATCAGTACCACATCTCATGCGGGAACAATTAGAGCGTTCATTACTGTGGTTGGTCATAGAAAGTTTACAATTTCCACTGGTGGAATGATCCCAATTGTAGTTAAGGCTACACGTTCCTTGGATTAGGATCTAGGTTGGTTCTATAGAAGAGTTAATAAGTACATTGTTTATTTCAGATGCTGCATGGTTTTCTTTTTTAATATATATATATATATATATATATATATATATATAGCATGTATGTATAAGTGTATGCGTATATGGAGCAAATGAACCATTCTTAACTTGTAAATTTATTTTTTTGTAATTTTTAGTTTAGTCTCTCATAAAAGTTTGTCTCTTTTTATTCAGCCTTAGCCATTGATCCTCCCAAGAAAGATTTTCTGAAAAGTTCTGGGTTGGTACTAATTTCACTGCTTGATCTGGTGGTTGATGTTGAAGATCTTCTACGTTGATTTCTTGCTAATTGTGGGTCTATTTTCTTACCATTTGCTTTCGCAGAAGCGAAAAGTCCAAGAATGTCGGTCAATGTAATCACACCAATCAAAGTTCCTTGTCTTCCAGGCTCTGAAGTGGCAGATTGAGTGGCCAGAGACGCCAGAGCTTGTTGATGTGTGAGTAAAGCCTCGACTGTCGATGGAGTACTACTTGGAGATCCCAGAACACCGGAAATTGAACCTCCACCACTTCCAGAACTTATGGAACTATGGTTTGCAGTCTGAGGTGATTGTACTATCCAAAGTCTATGAGATTGAGTGGCCACTAACTTGGCAATCACTCTACCCAAAGAAGTTTGCTTATTAACATGGAAAATTGGGAATTGATCTTGACCCTTTTCAATCCCCTTTTGGGTCAAATTATATGAAATGAAATGCAAAACAGATTTGAAAAGTAAATGAGAATTCTTAGAACTTGATACATTTTGAACATCAACGATGGAAATGTTCCCAATCAAGGATTTGGATCTGTCCACCACTGCAAGCGAACTGATTCTCTCCTTGAACATCTTGTACAATGCTTCGATAAGAGGTTGGTCTTCATAAATAGTGATTGGATTGGAAGATCCAACGTCAAGTTCTTGTAAAGTAGAGTTGAAAAGGAAATCAAGACTTGGGAATCTTCTAGCATTTTCCCACATGAATTTGATCAATCTTCGTTGTGATAAGATACCAACAATATTTTCATCTGGCAGACTATCAGTAATGGCAACCCTATGAACTCCATTCCCCAAGGCTTCCATTACATTGTATAAAACATCATTTTCATTGAATTTAATAAATGAGTTTTTTGGGTTCACATTGGTGATGAAATTAACGGAAACTTCTTCACCTTTCTTGGCCTTTTTCATTTGAGATTGAATGTATTCATTATAAGTTTTATCACTGGTATCAATACTCAATTCTGCAAATGGAATCTTATCCATGATAAGAAGCAAATAAGTGTTCAAATCGGAGTAATCAAAGGTTGAACAACTCTTGAGGGATCCCTTGGTGTCACTGACTGGTACAGAGGTGAGATTATGGCTGATAAGGGTTTCAAAGGCTTGTTTGACGGAGTATTCAGAATCGATAAAGATAAGTTTATTGGACTCAATCAAATCATAAAGGGGGATTTCCGCCCAATCGGTGATCAGTGGGGTAACTGAAGACGCTCTAGAGCTTATACTTGTATTTCTGGAAAGACTCAAAGAATGTATATCTTCATGATCATTTGGATTGACTGGGAGAGGTGGGGGCGAAGAAAGCATCTCCACAATTGAGGGCTTTCTCGATGGTTGAAGGTTTAACGGAGCATGTGGCAGGACTGGGGATTGTCTCTGGAACGATGACGAGTGGTTGGACATAGCAGGTAAAGGGTAACTGCAGTGTGCAATTGTTCAATAAATAATAATATTAATATGATAATAATATAGATGATGATGATAATACCTACTAAAAATATTCAACACACGGGCACAAGAGGTAAGTCCACAATTAAAAATTCTGATGGTGGAATACTTTTTATTAAATATATTGTATGGAGACCCTTTACTATAAGAATTAAAAAAAGTATTAATTGTAAGGGGGGGAGTAACAATAGGTTTGGAAATATAGTAAGAAAAGTACTTTAACCACACGACAAGGGGAGTGGTGCTTGGAAACTCTTTGTAGTGTGCACGCGCGCGCGACAACCACTAACAAAAGGAGTGACCTGCATGTCCGTCAATTTGTATTGGTTTAGAGCTTAGCAAGAAAGAGGAAAAAAAAAATTAATAGTTTGATTAAACGATAATGGAAAACACCCCACACAAAATTTTACTATTGAATCCAATTTGTAATGAATTGAAATGAATTGGAATTCCCCTTGGCTGATTTGGTTAGAGGTAGGCACGGGGTGATTTGGGATAAAAGGGGTCTTTTTGGTTCTGAAAAAAATAACTCCATCTCCGGATTATTTAATGTATAATGTGTAATGAAATGTATTTAACTCGATCTCCGCGTACATTATTTAGCAACTATCTCCACTTGATCTCCTCTCTTTTTTAATTCTTTTCCACCCCGCCACCCTCCATATAATAAAATATGCAGTTTCCTCACCGTATCTTCCAAATTAGGGCATCAACTTCACACATTATTTTTTAATTTTAATTTTTCTCACTCGTAATTAAAAAAATTAACATAAAGTATAAATTAAATGTTAATTCAGGTGGTCGCGTGATCATGGTCACGCCTATGCCTGGATTGCTTTGCGCCACTTTGTACCACTTTGTACCACTTTGTGGTGGGAAAAAAAAAATAATCATAAAATTCATTAATTGATAGGATAAATGGATAGAGCTCCATTTTGTGTAATGTTGGACAATATGGTTTCTTTTTCTTGCGTCTACTTGCATCCCAATTATCTTTTGGGGGGGTTCTGCAGGACGAACCTGATTATTGAAGGGGGTTTTTTTGGACCTATAACGGTATATAGATTAAATATCCACAAGTTGATTTGTCCAACAAAAAAAAGGAATACAATTGATAAAATAGCCTGATGTCTAATTAGTGGTGATGATGTTACAATATGTGTAATTTGCTTGATGATTTAGCCGTAGCAAAAGTAAAATAATTTGAATCTGTCAAGGAACCGTGGGGCATTTGGGGCCCAAAAGTTAAAAAAAAAAAGAAAGGCTGTAATAATTGGAATTATCATAAGAAAGATATAAATTGACTTTCATTATGTAATCGAAACTGTAAAGACTATATAATTATTAGGGACCAAATTAGGAATTAGTGAATGATAGTAACATGTTCACCCTTTTGAATAGACGATCCTACTACTACTCGGTTATTCTATAACCTATTCTTAGTCGATACCACTACAGCGAATTTTTGGCCTACATTCAATTTTGGAACGGTCGGAGATACTATGCACGCACACCCAAACACCCAAGCTTTTTAACACCAAAATTTTGCGATCAATCTCACTAAACTCTAGCCCAACAAAATCTCCGCGCCAAAAAAAAAATTATGCACAAAATGGCAAAGGAGTTGTGCAGCCCACACAATCAGGTGCAAAATGTGTAGAGAGTAAAATATATATTGCAACTTGTAACCCCTTGATAGACTTCTTTTTTTTTCTTCCTTCTTTCTTTCTTTCCAGGTCTGTATAGCACTTACTTTATATTACACAATCTATTGAAAGGAGCATGACTGAATCGTTGGATGTTGTTGACATCACGGCGTTGAATGCCCTTGCTGCAGGTACCAACAAAAAGAACCCAAGAATTGTGGCGGCCGGTCTTGGAGGAGCTCTTATGGGAACCAAGTCCTTGGTTGACGTTACTGCTGATCAAATTACTGAAGATTCAGCAAATAGTCTTCTTGAAAAGGACAGACGTGAAGCTGAAAAATACACCAAAATTAAACATATTTCTGAAAAACCATGGACATTATCCAATTGGCATGAACATTTAAATTGGCTTAATATGATTTTAGTGGTTGGTATCCCAATGTATGGTATTTATGCCGCATTACAATACCCTCCGCAACTCAAGACTGCCATCTTGGGATTTGTCTTGTATGTATTTTCTGGTATTTCCATCACTGCTGGTTATCATAGACTTTATGCTCATAAATCTTATGATGCAGCTCTCCCAGTAAGAATTTTCTTTGCACTTTTCGGTGCTGGTGCCGTTGAAGGATCCATTAAATGGTGGGGTCACTCTCATAGAGTCCATCATCGTTATACTGATACTCCAAGAGATCCATATGATGCTAGAAGAGGATTATGGTTTTCTCATATGGGATGGATGTTAACCAAGGCTAATCCAAAGAATAGAGCAAGAGCTGACATTTCCGATTTAACTAGTGATTGGGTTGTTAGATTCCAACATACCCATTATTTACTTTTGATGGTTATTATGGCTCTTGTTGTGCCAACATTGATTGCTGGTTTAGGATGGGGTGATTATTGGGGTGGATTCATTTATGGAGGTATTTTGAAGACTTTTGTCATTCAACAAGCCACCTTTTGTGTCAATTCATTGGCTCATTGGATTGGTATTCAACCATTTGATGATAGAAGAACTCCAAGAGATCATGTTGTCACTGCTTTGGTTACATTTGGTGAAGGATATCATAACTTCCATCATGAATTCCCACTGGACTACCGTAATGCCTTGAAATGGTACCAATACGACCCTACCAAGGTTGTTATTTGGATGTTATCTAAAGTTGGTTTGGCATGGAATTTGAAGACATTTTCTCAAAATGCCATTGATCAAGGTTTAGTTCAACAACAACAAAAGAAAATTGAAGCTATGAAGGCTAAATTAAACTGGGGTGCTAACTTGGACCAATTACCAGTTTGGGACAGGGAAGAATTCAATGCTAGAGCCAAGAAGGAAGGTTTGATTATCATTTCTGGTATTATTCACAATGTTAAGGATTTCATTAAGGAACATCCAGGTGGACAAGCTTTGGTTAGAGCTTCTTTAGGTAAAGATGCTACTAAGGCCTTCAATGGTATGGTTTACGCACATTCGAATGCAGCACATAACATGTTGGGAACGATGAGAGTTGCAGTTTTAAAAGATGGACAAGCCAGTTCAGATACATTTGCAGTTCAACAAGAATTCTTAGATAAGGAAAAAATTCTTTAAAGTATTTAGTTTTTTTACATAGTATTTTTAATGATTATGATACTTAAAAATTAACTTGGTAGAGAAAGAGTATGAAGTGAAGAGAATGAAAGTGTCTAGAGAATTAGACATGGGGAAGTATGTATTGAGTGGGCTGTTGTAATGAAATGATATATCAATAGTTATTTTGATTAGGTGCTGTAATGGCAACTCAGGTTGCATAATCAGCTATCAATAATCACCTACAATGATCAATAACATGAGGTTGCTACAGTCATCTACAATAATCAATGCAATAATCAATGCAATAATCAACTACATAGTGTTGTTGTGGTGTGGTATTGACATGTATAAGATGACTTCTAATGCATCTAATGATCATTACCCAAATATTTATCAAAATCATTAGTCAATTAATCGGCTAGATTATTCTTCAGGTCGGTTAAATTGTTCATAATGGGGGAGGGATTTTGTTCTTTCCGGTATTCACGGCTTATGTGCAGTAAATCGTAACAAAATAAGACGATTTTCGCAGAAATAGAATGATTTTCCATTAAATATGGGTGCGAAACAGACCACATGTCAGACCACTTTTGCAGTTTATGTAAAATATTTTTTCACTCATTCTGTGCATTCAATGTTGCATGATCTTACCATATTTTTGGTATTCCTTTTGACGACTAATATTCATATATAAATCGAACAATGTGGCAGCTTTGTAGAATATTCATTTTAACCATCATACGAAAACCATCAATTCAAAACTAATAAATACTTATTCATATACAATGTCTGCTGCTACCCATGCTATTAAGAGAACCTCCATCCTCAGCTTATACGCTAAGCACGTCCCAACTTTAGGTATTTGGGCTGCTGGTCTTACTACATTCTTTTTCTGGCCATATGCATCTTCCAAGGTTTCTAACAAGGTGCACCATGTTCCAGCTCGTTCTTAGAACAACCCCAATCACGATATTTATTAATATTAATGCATAATGTTTAAACGAAGAAATTTTGAATATATTAAATGTAGTATGTGTAGTAAGATAAGTCAATTATTAACAAGATAAATCAGTTTTTATATATGAGTCAAATTGATATATTGAAATTAATAGTCACTTCTTTTTAATAAGGTTGCGAATAAATCGGAGTTCAGAAATTAAATGTGTGGGTATACCCTATTCATTAATAAGAGATTATTCATCTCTATCCATGACTAGGGGATATTGTTGTTAATAAACACAATCTATAGTACAACTATGACATCATTATTTTGTATAAAATATTTTATTGTTTACAATCTGTATATACCCTTTAGTAATAATAAAGGGTCTCGATAGATAAGCATTGAAGTAGTAGTATATAATTTTTTTTTTTGTTCATTTTTCCATTAATATTATATATGTATTGATGTAAGTTCCTTCAAACTAGTTTCCTGGACTTAAAGTATTTGATCTAAATCAAAACAACTACTAGCAAAACTTTGATAGGTATTTCCTTATTTATTATCTTTTGTACTAAAATACCAAATTCATAAAAAAATAGAAAATTACCACATATATATAAAATTTAAATTAAAATCACCTTACATCCCTCAAACACGATACAATCCCTTCCATAACTATTTAACTACCTCTTCCACCTATTATTCCCTATTCAATCCATTCTTCATCTATTACTTTATCAATCATCATACCTATCTAAAAGTCGTGTACCATGCACATTCCAAGAATTGATATCACCAGATAAAAGATCAAGATACTGAAGAAAATGGAACAGCTATCCTATCATTAAAAAAAACACCCCATCTTACAATGTCCAAACCATTCCAGCCCATAAGTGACATAATCAATACTTCTAGCTCTAGACACAAGCAACAATCATTCAATGAAATCTATGGAGAACCAGAAAACTTTCTCGAAATAGAAGTATGTGTAAATTAAAGACTATCCTTTTACTTGGCAATCATACTAATTCTTTATAGGTACGCAATCCAAGAACATACGGAGTTGGACGTGATATATTCACAGATTATGAAATCGTTTGCAGAGTAAGTAATATTATATATATAGATGTTTTTCAGTACTTCATTATTTTAAAAGGGGGCACCTATAACCTTCTTGGTGTATGGTCATAATAATTTTATCATAAATACTAACGATTTTTACTAGACAAATATTCCAGCATTTAAAAAGAGAAATAGTCGAGTACGCAGAAGATACTCTGATTTTGAAAGATTTAGAAAGATTTTGGAACAAGAAACAACACGTGTTATAATACCACAATTACCAGGTAAGATATTATTAAATTCTAATAAATTTAATGATGTTAACATTGAAAAAAGAAGACAAGGACTTGAAAAATTTATGATAGTTGTTAGTGGACACCCACTTTTACAAACTGGATCCCGCACATTAATTGACTTCATTCAAGACGAAAAATGGGAAGCTAAGGGATTCTATTAAACCACATAGAATACGTCATGTCTAGCAGGGTTGTATAACCGCACTAGTAGTTATTGCATAATATAAAATAAAAGGAAATATCCAAAAGAAATGTAGATTTTTGAATAATTATGAGTTCACAAAAATCTACCAAAACAATATAATTAATATTGATTGTACTTGATCATTCATTCTCAATATTTATTGTTGAGTAGCTTTAATGGACTTAAGATTAAGAGGGGGAGATTTTGTTAGGTCCGAGATTAATTAAACACAAAGACAAAGATGTTTTTTTTTTTTCAAAATCCATACAAGCGCATACGTTAGTTCTCCACAAATCTGACGTACTATTTCCCCAAGCTCCATCTTCCCCAAATCTTTAAGGTATCGATGTGCGTCTCACATTGAAATAAAGTGGGGGTAAACGGGGGAAAAAATAAAAAATCCATCTGGTTTACTCGGCCAAATCATTGTACTCCGTTCCTAGCTCCGAAACTCGGAATTTTCATCTGACACTCATATTGAATCATCTCGGGTAAAATCAAGTTCAAGCTAGATGATCCGTTTTTTTTTAACTCAATTATTCCCCTATTTCATTTAATTGATGCAACCGCATCACCAACGGAAAAGGCATATCTCCTAAATAAATTAATCCTTTCTTATGCTTCATCTCGTAAACTTACTCCTGAGTGGAACCACTTTGTGATTTTAGTCACCTGTTCTAAGAAATTAATATGTGTGCATTTCTCTCTGCAGGTGGTCACTGCGGGAGTTAATAATTATTTTTTTTTTTGCTGCATATCCATGGTGGGGATATTCCTACACGGAGCTTACCGTTCTAGTCCCTAATAACCGAGTAATAAACGTGCCGGACATAAGCTATTTGATCTTATAGAGGGGAGCCATACAACAAAGCCCCACATGCTCTACTGTAAGCCAATCTCCCGAACTACCCAAAAAAAAAAAAAGAACTTGAATTAAAGATTTACATTAAGCTTTCTGGGACATCAGATATTCTGCCTACAGTGCATAGTGGTCTTTTATTTTTTTTTATATTGCAACTAATTCCAAACGCCGACGTTCAAGTGTTACATTTTTCTTTTTTACAACCCGCTCTGACCCCTCACCGCATATGTTGAGTGGTACTCTCCGCCAATATATAAAGAGGAAGTTCAATCCTCTTTAATCAACTTATTTTTATTCTCTATCAAGTACTTTTTCTTTTAAAGATCTGTTACTACTAACTCCATACTATTAAAAAATGTCTATTCCAAAAACTCAAAAGGCTATCATCTTTGAAACCAACGGTGGTCCATTACAATACAAGGACATTCCAGTTCCAACCCCAAAGGCCAACGAAATTTTGATCAATGTCAAGTACTCTGGTGTTTGTCACACTGATTTACACGCCTGGAAGGGTGACTGGCCACTTGACACCAAGTTGCCATTGGTTGGTGGTCATGAAGGTGCTGGTGTTGTTGTTGCCTTGGGTGAAAATGTCAAGGGTTGGGAAATCGGTGACCTTGCCGGTATCAAGTGGTTGAATGGTTCTTGTATGTCTTGTGAATACTGTCAAAAGGCCAATGAATCCAACTGTGCCTCTGCCGATTTATCCGGTTACACCCATGATGGTTCTTTCCAACAATTTGCCACTGCTGATGCCATTCAAGCTGCTAGAATTCCAAAGGGAACTGACTTGGCTCAAGTCTCCCCAATTTTGTGTGCTGGTATCACCGTTTACAAGGCATTGAAGACTGCAAACTTGTCCGCTGGCGAATGGGTTGCTATTTCCGGTGCCGGTGGTGGTTTGGGTTCTCTTGCTGTCCAATACGCCACTGCCATGGGTTACCGTGTCTTGGCCATTGACGGTGGTGATGAAAAGGGTGCCTTTGTCAAGTCCTTGGGTGCTGAAGTTTTCGTTGATTTCACCAAGTCTAAGGACATTGTCAAGGACATTGTCGCTGCCACCAACGGTGGTCCACATGGTGTTATTAACGTTTCTGTTTCTGAAGCTGCTGTTTCTCAATCCGTTCAATACGTTAGATCTTGTGGTACCGTCGTTTTGGTTGGTTTACCAGCTGGTGCCAAGGTTATTGCCCCAGTTTTCGACTCTGTTGTTAAGTCCATCTCCATCAAGGGTTCTTATGTTGGTAACAGAGCTGACACCGCTGAAGCCATTGATTTCTTCTCCAGAGGTTTGATCAAGTGTCCTATCAAGATTGTTGGTTTATCCGAATTGGCCAGCATTTACGAATTGATGGAACAAGGTAAGATTTTGGGAAGATATGTTGTTGACACTTCTAAATAATCTTGGAATTGATCCAATGAAGAAAAATATGAACTTGAATGAATTTTCTATGTGTTTATGCCAAATAAAATGATTTCATCATCAAAGAATTGTAGGTAAAGAATTGTAGATGAATTAGAATATATTTCTTATCGTGTCTATAGATGTCAATGATGGTCAACATGGTATGTCTTCCTGAAATGGAAACTTTGAGCGCATCGTTTATGATCTACAAATTCTCTCTTTTCTTCTGGGAGAACTCACCAATTGATTACTAGACTACAATATCTATCACTACAAATTTTTTTCACAAATATATCTCTCCTAGAGTCAGATCACTTTCCCTGGTATATTGACTGGAATACCTGTCAATCTTTGGGTGCGAAATTAATTTAACCGTTGTGCTTGACCAGTACAAATAAAAATATTTTCCCACTGCATAAACAAACCTTACAGAAGCAACCATAAACTTCCAAAGTTTGAAACTAATTCCTATTTAGCTTACTTGACTACTGATAATTCCAATGTCATACGGATCCACTGCCACATTTTGAAATAACCCCCCGCATTTTTATCAGTGATTTTTTTTTTTTTTAAAAAAATACAGCCAAATTAGGAAATTTTTGCACTTTCCCCTGAAAAGGGAAATACGAAGATGTTGGTTGATAGGTACAAGGGAGCAACCTTGGATAGAGGTTATATATATTGTTTTCTTGGTTTGACATGTGTATTGGCCCCCATTTTCAATAAAGTTTATTATATATTGTACGTTGGAACAATAGATTCGAGCCTTTTCACTACAGAGCCGAGCCCTTTTACAGATTCGTAGCCCTTGGAAATGCGTTTGATTATATTTTGCTTTTATTTGTTAGTGACCATTAGGGCCTGGCTGTGGCCCTGGCAGACTACCAGCACCAACAGTGATGTCAAGGCCGAACCCACAAACAGTGGTGGTGATTCCAGCAGCAGCAGCAGCAGCAGTGATAGTGGATTCCAATGGGGTGCCATAACGTCTGAAGTTGGTGGTGCTATAGGAGGCGTGTTTGGATCATCATCCGCCTCCAAGACATCCGACCAATCATCAACTTCTACCGATGCTACAACTAAAGAACAAGATTCGTCTGCCTCGGCAACTGAAAGCTCATCCGCTGCTTCTAGTGGGAGTAGCAGTGGGGGTGGAAATGGAGTACTTGGTGGACTCTTTGGAGGTCTGTCAACCAGAAATGCATACCAGCCATATGAAACAGATTGTCCCTCTGACCCGATAGTACGGAGGGCGGAAAACATCTCGAGTCATGAAGCTGACTATATCAAGAATAGACAGGTTAAAACCAATGAAAATTTGATTAAATTCCTTCAATCAAGGGCAAATTTAACCAACTTTAATGCCGAGGACTTTGTTAAAAACAGTCCTAGAAACATTTCCATTGGACTTGCCTTCTCGGGAGGTGGTTATAGAGCCATGTTGAATGGAGCGGGGCAAATTTTGGGTCTTGATGGGAGATTTGATGATGCTAATCAAAACGGATTGGGTGGTCTTTTACAGAGTACAACCTATTTATCTGGTCTTTCAGGAGGTAATTGGCTTGTTGGATCATTGGTTTTGAATGATTGGGTATCTGTTGCAGATATTTTGAGCAGTAAAGTTGATATTTGGAAGTTACAAGACTCTATTTTCAACCCCAATGGATTGAATGTAGTGGCTACTGCTGAATACTACACCTCAATGTATGAGGCTATTTCAGCCAAGGAAGATGCTGGGTATGAATCCACCATCACAGATGTTTGGGGGCGGGCCTTGAGTTCTCAATTCTTTGTATCTGATGACCATGGAGAAAACATTACTTGGTCAGGAATTAGAGATCTTGAAAGCTTTAAAAGTTATGATATGCCCTTCCCCATTGTGATTGCAAATGGTAGAACTCCAGGGACATTGATTTTGAATTTAAATTCCACTGTTTTTGAAATTAGTCCTTATGAATTGGGATCTTGGGACCCTTCATTAGAAACAATGGCTGATGTGAAATATGTTGGTTCATATGTCGAAGATGGTACAAATTCCACTGGTAAATGTATGGTTAATTTTGATAACGCTGGATTTATCATGGGGACTTCTTCTTCACTTTTCAACGCTATTTTACTTCGAGCTGGGGATGTCACTTTACCAAGTGCAATCTCCACTGTGTTTAAGAAAATCTTGGCAGCTGTAAGTTCCACCGAAGTGGATATTGCAGACTATAGTCCAAATCCATATCTTGGATCCTCATACGGAACAGTTTCATCAATTACTCAAAATGAAACTTTGTATTTGGTAGATGGAGGTGAAGATGGACAAAATGTTCCGTTTTATCCCTTGATTCAAAACTCTCGAGAGGTGGATATTATCTTAGCTTACGATAACTCAGCGGATACGGATGATAATTGGCCTAATGGCACTTCAATCATTCAAACATACCAACGTCAATTTGGCAAACAAGGTAAGGGAACTCCATTCCCTTATGTTCCTGATGTGGATACATTTTTAAAAACAGGATTGACCAAAAAGCCAGTCTTTTTCGGATGTGATGCAAAGAATTTGACTTCATTGGTTGAATACCATCATAATAGCAATATTACGGAAACTGATATCCCATTGGTTGTATTGTTTTCCAACAATCAACTCTCATACGGCACGAACACGTCAACGTTTAAGATGTCATATGATCGAGAAGAACTCGAGGGAATCATTCAAAATGGATTTGAAGTCTCAACAAGAAATAATTTTACTGATGATTCAAAATGGGCCACTTGTCTTGGATGTGCTATTATCAGAAGAACCCAAGAAAGGTTAGGAGATGAACAATCAGATGAATGTAAGAAATGCTTTGAAGAGTATTGTTGGACGGGAGGTGAAAAGGATGCAGCACCAACTTCTGCAGTTGCTGGATTTAGTGCAGAGCTGGGTGGGCCTTCATCGACTGGTGGTAGCAGCAATGGTGGAAGTAGAACTGGTGGCGCAGCTTCAGCAACTGGAACATCCACCTCTTCCTCGTCAAAGAAGGGTGAAGGATACAATGCAGTTTCAATCCCATCAAGATTACTTACTGCCATGGCCTCATTACTACTTTTTGTTGTAATTTAAAATAGTATTATAGAAGATAGAATACGATATGATTAACAAGTATGTCACCTTGTAGGGAGGACACCCCTCAGCCCTTAGTATTGACATTCCTTATTTGAGTTTATTTTAGGGAATACCTACAAGGTCTCTTCTAGCAGGCACCACGCAGTGGCACTCCCCGAGTAGGGGCATTAGTGGAGCTACTTGGATACCTCTTAGGGTGGAACTTATCAGCTTCTCTGCGGGGCAGTATGTCCATTCCGCTGGGAACCTACTCAGATGAGAGCAACTGGGTGGTGCCTGCCCCCTCTACTAAGAGAACCACAACTATCAGCTGGCTACCCTATTTCTTATGTACTTGTACTACAAGAATATTCAGTGAACTAACTCCAAAGTAGGTAAAATTTGGTTGCAAATTCTCCAGAATTAAAATTAGAGAGGGAGTAAAAATCAATAATGAGAAAATCCTTAAACAAATAAGACAAACAGCGATCAAAAATTAGGAGAAATTCTAATCTCAAGTATCCACCTACCATCAATACATAACTTATAATTGGTAAATCCTCGGAAATACAAAACTCCAACTTTTACTCAGCTTCTCTGAGACTGTATATGTATACGTATTTTTTTTTTTTAATTTTTTTTTTAGTTTTCATCCGAGTACTGCACGTGACTACCCATCGCCAAAATTTGAGATTCGGTAGTGTAAAAAAAAAATATATCATAGAGAAGTTCAAACTCATCGTTAAATAAGCACCTTTGTAGAACAACATTGAGGTTGCATTACATATAGTGGATCGTACAAGATGGTCAAATCATATCAGCGTTACGAACAAGAGCGTTGCTTTGGTGTGATAAGCTCGCAATCCAACATTGTTTGGGTCTCTAATCCAAGCAGCTCTGCAGGAAGAGCCATCACATCTGGACTCGAAGAAATTTTAATTTGGGATGTCAAGACAGGTGAAGTAGTATCTAGAATGCGTGACGGCCTCACACCGGGTGCCTCGAACGCCCTGACCTCACAGGCCCCACTGTCAGTCTCATACTTGTGCCATCATGCCGAAACAAACATTTTGGCAGCTGGGTACAATGATGGATCTATCAAGATTTGGGATATGACTTCTGCATCAGTTTTAATCAACTTCCAAGGCCATAAATCCGCCATCAGCATCTTAAAGTTTGACAAGAGTGGTACCAGACTTTGTTCTGGATCCTCAGACTCATCTATCATTTTGTGGGATTTAATTGGAGAAGAAGGTCTTTTCAAGTTGAAGGGCCATAAAAGTCAAATAACTGGAGTACATTTCCTTTCTGAAGATCCAGAGACTAAGGAAGTTGATGAATTAGAAGATTACCTTGTCAGTGTCTCTAAAGATGGGTTAATCAAGTTGTGGGAATTGAAGACTCAACAATGTATCGAAACACATGTGGCACATTCCAATGAATGTTGGTCGCTTGGAATCAATGATTCAAACACCATGGCCATTACCAGTGGTAATAAGGACCAAGTCAAGGTATGGACCATTGACTTGACTCAACCAGACACCCAGAAGTTCGTTGAAAAGGGAACTTTTGAAAAGCAAAGTAAGGCCAGATGTACCGAGATTCAATTTAAACAAAGACCTGTAGATGTATTTTATTTACAAAATGCAGACAGAACCATTGAAATCTTTAGATTAAGAAGTGAAGAGGAAATCAAGAAGGGGATTACCAAGAGAACCAAAAGACTTAGAGATAAGGGTTTTGAAGATGAAGAAATCTTACAATCATTGCAAGAATCTGAAGTGAGTATGATGATTACTCCATTCACTACTGTGAGAACCACATCCAAGATAAGAGCTTGTACATGGGTCAAGACCAACAAGAGATTAGATTTAGTGATTTCTTTGAGTCAAAACTCTATCGAATATCATAATATCCCAGTTCCTGAACAAGTGAAGAAGGTTCAACCAAATGAATTATATTCTGTTAAGAAACACTCCATTGATTTATTGGGTCATAGAACTGATATTAGAGCCATGGACTTGTCCTCTGATAACAAATTACTTGCCACTGCATCCAATGGTGAATTAAAGATTTGGAACATCAAGACTAATAACGTTCTTCGTACATTCACCATTGGTGGGTATGCCTTATGTTGTAAGTTTTTACCTGGTGGGACCTTAGTTGTAGTTGGGTTTAAGAATGGTTCGTTAGAATTGTACGACTTGACCACTTCTTCACTTGTTGATACCATTGAAAGAGCACATGGATCTTCCGATTCAGATGAAGAAAATGGATCTGCTGTATGGTCTTTGGATATGACTTCTGACGGTACCACTCTTGTTACTGGGGGTAATGATAAAACAGTCAAGTTCTGGAACTTTAAAGTAGAACAAGAATTGGTTCCTGGTACCAACACTACGATTTCACAAATGAAAATTGTTCATAAGCAAACTTTAGAACTTGAAGAGGAAGTTTTATGTGTTAAGATCTCTCAAGATTCCAAATTTTTGGCAATCTCATTATTGAATAATAATGTTCAAGTTGTATTTTTGGATTCATTAAAGCTTTTCTTAACCTTGTATGGTCATAAATTACCAGTGTTATCAATTGATATTTCTGATGATTCAAAAATTATTATCACTTCATCTGCTGATAAAAACATCAAGATTTGGGGGTTAGACTTTGGTGATTGTCACAAATCTATTTTCGCTCATCAAGATTCTATTATGAATGTTAGATTCATTCCTGAAAGTCATAATTTCTTTTCCAGTGGTAAGGATGGATTAATTAAATATTGGGATGGTGATAAGTTTGAATGTATTCAAAAGCTTCCAGCTCATAAGCTGGAAGTATGGTGTTTATGTGTGAGTAATGATGGTTCGTTTATGGTTTCTACATCTCATGATCATTCTATAAGATTATGGGAAGAAACTGAAGATCAAGTGTTTATAGAAGAAGAAAAGGAAAAGGAAATGGATGAACAATATGAAAACACATTATTGGATTCTTTAGAAGATGAGAAGCCTATTAGAGGAGAAGGAGATGAGGATGAAGATGATGAAGAATCTGAAGCTACCAAGGTTAGTAAGCAAACTGTTGAAACCTTAAAAGCTGGTGAAAAATTGATGGAAGCCATTGATATTGGAATCATTGATGTACTTGAATCAGAAGATTATGAACAACATCTCAAACAATTTAATGCTAAGAAGACCACTGTTCCTCCCGTTAAACCAAATAGACATACTATTCTTATGGCTTTCAATATGAATGGACTGGAATATGTGATGAGTGTTCTTAGTAAAATCAAACCATCTCAATTGGATGATGCCTTACTTGTTTTCCCATTTTCTTATTCTTTGAAGTTATTCAAATTCATTCAAATTTGGACCAACAAGTCTAATATTACAAGCAATGTGACTAATATCTCATTGATTTGTAAAGTATTATTCTTTGTGGTTAGATCCAATGCCAAGGAATTGGTCAATCAAAAGGATCCAGGTATCAAAAACCAATTGATGGAAGTGAAGAAACAGATTCGTGATGAGCTTGAAAAGACTAGTGGCCAACTTGGTTACAATATACTGGGACTTCGTTTTATTAAACAACAATGGAAACTTACCCATGAGACTGCATTTATTGATGAAGGTGAACAACAAGCATACGATGATCTGAAGGCTAAAAAGAGAGTTTTCACCACAATCTAATGATATCTACAGAATAGAAATTGGAGAAAGGAGAGAAATGGCTTACATAGAGAGAGAGAGATGTAAATATACAGATAGAATAGGAATATACATTCAAATTATTTTTTTGAGAATAATGAAGGCCCCCATATAAATAACAAGCTGCAAATAATGAAAACAACAGACCTACATATAAAACGCACGGCTGAATAGCGGGATTCGGCAAAATTGTTAGATTCTCATGTGTCAATAGGCGTAGCGAGCTAGGTTAGATGAAAAGTGAAGTAGTGTAGAATGTGTTTTTTTGTTATGGATTTAAAAGTTGTACAAGAGTTAAATTCATAGTGTTATGAATAGTGAAAAAGAGAAAAATGATACTGTAGTTTGAAATTAAAGTTTAATTGAGGAAAATAAATTAAATTTAAGATAAAGATTAATCGTACGGCGTTCTCTCGGGATCGCGAACTAATAAACTGACCAAGGGGTATTTTTAGAATTGATGGCCATCATTGACGAGAACGAAATGGGTCATATTTAACGAACTCTCGTGTAAGAAGGTGTGCTGGAGGTTATCTATGACGTGCGAAAACATAAAAAGAAAATAAGCACCAAAGAAAAGGGAAAGGGGCATGTTGGGGTTTTTTTTTTATTATTACGGAGAACTTGGAAGATTATCTCCCAAGAAATAAAAATAAAAAGAAACGGGGTGTGGGGATTTTCATATTTAGGGACCACACAAAAAATCTACGCCATTTTCGGCTATCTATTTTTTTTCAGGTTTCAACTTTTACACACCCACAGTGATAGGGAAAAGAGCAAATTTCCGAAACATGATAAAACATGAAAAGACCGATGATGGGAAAAGGATAGTAATTTGTAGAGCCGAGGTTGGTATCGGTCCACCAACACAAAAGGGAGGAATATGTAGGCATTTGTAAAGATTAGTGTAGAAATTAGAAGTAGTTGGAATAAGGGATAGGGATAAATTTACGGATGGTTAGATCGGAGTTGTGTCAAATTATATGACATGAGAATTAACGGGTGAGCAAAACAAAAAAAATACACAAGAAAGCGAAAAATAAAAGGTACTGCCTAGGCGGGAGATAGACTGTATAGACAGGGCTTTAGAAACAAGCCGACGGAAGATTCTCAAGAACGGTAGACTGGGGGCACTTGGAATTCGAATTCCGATAATTTTAGCTTGGTGTTGTGGAATCACCTGTGAATCTAATCTGTTTGATGATCTTTTCTCCAATTTCCAATTTTCTCGCACACCAATTTTAGGATCAATTTGATTTTTTCCTTTTTCCCATTTTCGGCTCAGACTTGTGTTTGATTTTCAATTTTTTTTTTGGCATTTCAGGTTTGTTTCTTTCGTAGTGGACCCAGCTCGAACCTCTCAAACACCAGGTACGAAAGCAAGTGAGCCACCCACGCATCTACTACTCGGACAGGTTTGCAATGAACGTTCCACAGGACCAACAACAACCTTCGGGGATGAATTCATGGCACGCCATGTACTCGGTGACTGATAGACAAAAGGTTGTTCAGATTCTCACAGGGACCCTTAAGGATATCCAGAACACGAACTTTGACCCTCAGAAGGCTGCCAATATGGCGCAAGAGTTTGAGAAGTTTACGTTCACCAAGTCCCACAGTAAGGATGAATATCTTCGACTTATTAAGCAAAAGATCACGCAACTTAGAAACAGTGTTCGGAATGGCGGACCAAACAATGGTATGCCCCAGCAACAGCAACAGCAACAACAGCCAAACATGAGTGCCCAGAACATCAATTTCTTGCAGCAACAAGCGCAGGCAAGACAACAATCTGCTGCTCAAATCCAAGCACAGCTTCGGAATAAGAATGGAATCCCACAACAACAACAACAGCAACAACAACAGCAACAACAACAACCTCCGCAACAACAATTCCAACAGATGAACCAACAGATTCCACAACAACAGCCTATTCATCAACAGCAACAACCACAGGGTCAACGGCCCATCCAACAACAACAGCAACAACAAGCTCCACAAGGGGGACAACAGACCATGCAACAAAGCCAACTTCAGCGGATTGGGAACCAAATTAAGAACGTTCCAATTCCACAGGCGTTGCTTGTTAGGATACCCAACCTTCCACCAAATGTCAATACATGGACACAAATTTTTGAATGTTTTCAAAAGAAATTACTTCCTCCAACTGTTATGCCGCTCATAAAGGATTTGCATACGACCCACATGCAGTTGGTTGCACGCCAACAGCAACAGCAACAGCAGAAGATGAACCAACTTCAGCAGCAACAACTGACTGGACAGCAACAACAACAGCAGCCACTAGCAAACCAAAACGGGGGAGGTCCAATTTCCATGAACAACCAGAACTTTAATCTTAACAACATGACTCCACAACAAAAGCAGCAGTTTCTTCAAAGACAAATGCAGCAACGGGGTATGACTGGTAATCCACAACAGCAACAGCAACAGCAACAGCAGCAACAACAACAACACATGATGCAACAAAGGCAACAATCTATTCCACAACAGCAAATGCAACAGCCTGCTCACATGCAGCAGCAACAACAACAACAACAGCAGCAACAACAGTCTATCAGACAGCAGAGTGTTGGGATGCAGGGAGTTGGTGTGCCTCCACGATCTGCCGGCGAAGCTCCGGACTTCCAGATCACTCCTCAAGACATCATGAAGTATAGTTCTGATGCCATGACCTTGTTATCTCGACTCCAATCTATGGGGTCAATTCAGGCAAATTTAGATGACAAGCAAAAGGAGGCATTTATTAGGAAGTTTATTAAACACCAGAAAACAACTTCTTGGAGACAGGCGAATGGTCAAGGTATTCCTAATCAAATGAATGGGAATAACACTGGAAACAATGTGGGTAATAACAACATGGCTACTGCAGCTGCTCAAGCTGCGGTTCAAAGACGAATGCAAGGTATGCCTCCACAAGTTCCAGGTCAAGGGCCAATGGGACAAAATATGCAGCTGAATGTTCAAGCACAAAGAGCACAAGCACAAGCACAAGCACAAGCGCAGGCACAAGCACAAGCACAAGCACAAGCACAGGCCCAAGCACAGGCCCAAGCACAAGCACAAGCACAAGCACAGGCCCAAGCACAAGCACAAGCACAGGCCCAAGCTCAAGCACAGGCACAAGCACAAGCACAGGCCCAAGCACAAGCCCAGGCACAAGCACAAGCCCAAGCACAACAACAACATCAAGCACAAATGCAAGCGCAACTTCAAGCTCAGCTTCAAGCTCAACAATCGCATCCACAATCACTGCCATTAATGAACATGCAAGTGCAACCTACACTCCCACAAGCTAATCAGACACCTGTTTTGAACCAACCATTACCTCAATACACCAACAATTCATCACCTGTTATGCCATTTCAACAACCACAAGGACAAATGCAGCAGCAACAGCCACCACCACCACAACAACAGCAGCCACAACAACAAAGAGTTGGCGCCGTTGGTGGGGCAGGAAATATTGCTCCAGGTAAGAATTTTGGTGGAGATGGCAATGGAGGACTGAATGGTCTCCCACCACTCACTGATGAAATGAAGATTAAATTGAGACAGTTGGTGGATGAAGTTAGCCAAAGTCAATTCCAATTGAGAGAGGTTGAAAATCTTAGTGAACAAGACAAGACAATTGTTAGAGAAACCATGGTACGGATATCTCAACAATATTCAAACGTTGATAATATTATTACTTATTTCTATGCCACTACACGTAATATCGAAGGAACGAAGAGATTGATTCAAATGAAGTACATGACAAAAAATATTATGGAAAATTTGCAAAGAGGAGTTTATCTTGCAGCCCCAGATTTACTTGAGAAACTTAGAGCTCACTACCATAAATATTTTGATTATGTGAATGAACAAATCAATCAACGAAGAAGACAGTTGCAACAACAACAACCACAACAGATTCCACAAATGCAGGCATCACCACAGAATCCCCCACTTGCTCCCACACAAGCTCAACCCCTGCAACAGTTTGCTTCACTTCAACAACGACAATTACAACAACAGCATCAACAACAACAACTTCAACAACAGAGGCAATTATCTGCTCAGCAGCAGCAGATGAACCTTGGATCTAATAAGGCTTGGCCAAATGCTATTCCACCTCAACTGGCGGGTTCAATGCCAATGATGCCTACTGGAACTTCACCATTGGTAAGCAATGCCAACCTTGTGATGCAACAACATCAACAACAACCACAACAATCTAAGTTATCACCTCAAAGACAAAATTCCAGAGGAAGCATTGGTGGTAATAAAAAGATTAATGGAGTAGGGCAAGTTGGTGTAGCAAATAATAGACGGAAATCTGGAAATAAGAACTTGGTCCCTCCAGGTGGTATCCCAACCCCTGTTGGTGGGAATGCACCTACGCCAGCTACATTGGCCAATGCAATCAAGACACCCAATAGTATTTCAACCCCACATCTTCCACAATCTCAAAGTAATAAGAATACTCCTACCGAGTCACCTAATTACCACACCAAAAACCCTTCGTTGTCTTCTGCCACCATTGCTAAGAAGCAACAAGATTCTATACTCGGGGATATATTTGAAAACATTAATGATCCAAAGGTTGTAGCTAGAAGGGAACTTGCAAGCACTGATGGTGAGAAGTTTTTCTTTGCAGCATTATCAAATTTATTGGAACTTGATGATAACTCAAAGGATGGAACTACTATTGGTAAGAATAGCCTTCCAACTCCATCATACCTGTATGGCAATAAAAATGGACCATCTCCCCAATCTATGGCTGGCCTGCCAGGATGGACCTGTGAGATCAGACCAGAAGCCATTACTCTGGCATTCCATCAATTAGACGGGGTTAGAGATATTTCTACTGATATCATCAAGGTTTGTGCCAATATTTCCAAGAATGAAAAGATTGAAGGAGATTTATCACTCAAACATGCAAGAGATGAAAATGATGCGAATGACTTTGAAGATCTTTTCGTGGAAAAGAAACCAAAACTTGAAGATAATTCTAATCGGTTTCTACATGAACCAGTTGAGTATGAAGAATGGAGAGATTTCTTTGTCACAAGTATTGAACAAGAGATTTAAGACATAATATTAAAAGTAAAAAGTAAAAAAGAAAATATTTAGGATAATTTTGGAATAATGTACATGTATTAGTGAGAGATTTGAGTGTAGATGAAGTAATGTAGAAGGAAGTAAGATACCTTTTATTATGAGTAAGAGAGGTACTAGAAAGAAGAGATTAGTAGTGATAGGATATTTGAGTAGCAATGATTTCGCGTAGGAGTGCGTGTAGTACAGATATGAGATATATCACCAGATAATGGGAGCCACCTTTAGAACTTTGTATATATATATATACACATCATTCTTTATATCTACATTAAGATGGCAGCATTTGATCCTAGCGAAAAGAAAATATCCGTTGCCTTTGTATGTTTGGGTAATATGTAAGTCTTTATTGATGAATTTATATTATCTTTGTTCAATATTAACATTAATCGTTTAGTTGCCGTTCGCCAATGGCAGAAGCAGTTTTTAAACACACCGTTAAGGAAAAGGGGTATCTGGAATATTTTAAAACCATTGACTCATTTGGAACTTCCGGTTGGCATATCGGAGAATCTCCTGATTCAAGATCAGCGAAAACTTGCCGTAAACACGGAGTTCCTGTAAATCATGCTGCTCAACAAATTTCACCTCGTGATTTTGAAAAATTTGATTATGTCATAGCCATGGATACTTCTAATAAGGAGGATTTACTCCATATGAAGCCTCGGAATTCCCCAACTAAAGTTAATTTATTTGGAGATTGGAGAACAAATGAAAAGTTTCAAAAAATTGTTGATGATCCATATTATGGGGGAATTAATGGATTTGAAACAAATTTCGAACAATTAACTCATTTCAGTGAGGAATTTTTAAAGAAGGAAATAGGGGATATATAAATATTTGAATAGTAGAATTAAAGTATATATTTACTAATTGTATTGGATGGTTATAGATAACAGAAATAAGAGGAAGTGTTAGTTTGTGTGTGAAAATACAAGAAGTGAAATGAAAAGGGGAGTTCAGATTTTAAAATCAAAAGGAATACAATTGGAAATATAGATAATAATGATAATGGTCTTTAAAATTTGAATCATATCATTAATCATTGTTCACATCAATACCTGTTAAACACTAATATTCAATTAATTGTCCCTTTTATTTATTTTTTTTTTGATTTTTTTTAACCTTTTTGAATTTTATTATACACATCACGTGCCCGACACACACACGACCTTTCCAAATTAAGCTACATTAAGAAAGGTTCAACAATATACTAATACAATAAATATATACATAGAGAATAGAACCACTCATAACATTTTGATTAGATAACAATAACAAACATTGGAGATGAGTGCAAGGAAACTACAGCAAGAGTTTGATAAAACAAACAAAAAAATCGCCGAAGGATTAACTGCCTTTGATGATATATATGATAAACTTATGACTACTGAAATCAGTTCACAAAAGGAGAAACTTGAAAGTGATTTGAAAAAGGAAATCAAAAAGTTACAAAGACTGAGAGATCAGTTGAAGACGTGGCTTGGTGACAGTAGTATTAAGTTGGATAAGAATTTACTTCAAGAAAACCGAACTAAGATTGAACGAGCAATGGATCAATTTAAAGATTTGGAGAAGTCATCCAAGATTAAACAATTTCTGAATGAAGGATTAGAATTACAGAGTCAAAAGTCAAGGTTTGGAAGACCTGAAGACCGTAAGAAGGAGGAAGCCAGTAATTATATCTGTGATATTATTGATCAACTTAATCAACAAAACGAAGCCTTAGAGGTTGAGATTCACCTGCTTCTGGTTCAATTAAAGAAGGCCAAATCATCAAATGTTGCATCTTTACAAAGTTCCATTGACGATGAGAGATACAAGGTGGATAGAAATGTCACACATTTAACTAAATTAGAAAAAATCTTGAGAAATTTAGAAAATGATAATTTAGAACCTGAACTGATTGATGAGATTAAAGATGATTTAGAATATTATGTGGAGAATAATCAAGAGGAAGATTATGTTGAATATGATGATTTCTATGATATGTTGGAGTTATCTGATGATATCGTTGATGATGTTCAAGGTAGTCTTGTGACTTTGGCAGTATCTTCACAAGCAGAAAAGGAAGATTCTTCCATAACAACTCCTGTACCAGCAGTTGAAGAGAAGAAACAAGTGGTAAATGTTGGGTCGAGTAAGTTATCCACTCCTAAGGTGTCAATTGCTCCATTAAACAAGAAGACTTCATCTACTATTAGTATTGTTACCAATGGTGCTGGGGCAAATCTGTCCTCCAATAACACTAGTGCTCAAACCGGTAGTGGAAATGTTGGATGGGGTCCATCGTCACTGACCAACTCTTCATTAGCTGGTACTCCAGTGAAAAAGGGAGCTAAGGCTTTTGTAGCCAGTGTACAAAACCCACCACCAATTGCATCATATACTAATATTATCAAGAATGCAACTGCTGAAAAGCAGCAACCGCTGCAAGCATCTACCCCAACTTCAACAAAGGCTCCACCTCCAGGATTTAGAACAGAATCATCTCCAGGAAGTTCCACCCCAATTGCCCAAACTAGTAGATCTTCACCCACCACTACACAATCACCTGAAATTTCAAAAGTTGAATCAACAGATGTACTTGAAGATTCAGAGATTATGTCTAACGAAGGCAAAACTTTTATGGAAACCATCCCACGTCTTTCAACTATTCCTCAATCAAGATTAAATAATCCATTACCATTCCAATCTATTAATCAACTTTTAGAATCATCATTATTGAACTGTCCAGATTCATTTGATGCTGAGAAACCAAGACAATATCATCCGGTGAATACTCATCCATCATCGGTGGACTTCCCACAAGAACCAATGTATGAACTTAATTCTAGTAATATGATGAAGAAGTTTGATAATGACACACTTTTCTTTTGCTTCTATTATAGTGTTGGCGTTGACAGTTTAGCTAAATGGAATGCCGCACAAGAACTTTCCAGAAGAGGATGGATATTTAATAGTGATTTAAAACAATGGTTTTCCAAGGATCATAGTAGAAATCAATCTGTTACAGGAATAAGAGAAGATACCAATGATTCAAATTCAGAAAATTATAAATATTTTGATTATGAAAAGACGTGGCTTACTAGAAGGAGAGAAAACTATAAGTTTTCACCAGAATTAAGGGAGACTTTTTAATGAAAGATATAGAAGTAATGTATAAATAAGAATAAGAGATGAATGTAGAGAGAATGTAATATTATGCTAATTTGTATAAGACAGGCTGGCCATGACTGTCTGTTTTGGAGATACTTAGAGTTGGTTACCTGAATAGGGTAAAGAGTATAATATAAACAGCGTATTGATTGAGATAGGAATAATACTTAGTATCGTATACCTATCACCCATCATATTACATGGTGATATTGTGACATCGAACTATAGATAAAAGAGAATATAAAAGCAGCTCGTAATTATTTTTAGAGAATATCGACTATCCTTCAAAACTGATAGAAACTTGCATTGCATACTGTTCAATGGTTGTTTATACCATCAACAAGTACTCCATGCTCATGTGAGGCTTAGTGCTGCCAATACAGGACATTCCACTAGGATGTTTCGCGTTCAATGTGAAACTAGTTTCAAGTGCGAATGTTTCCTATACAAAGTCCAACTATAGAAAGAATTTTTTTTTTTTTTTTTCTCTTCGTGTAACTTTACTTGTCCACATTGATCTGCTTGTGCGTTTATCAAATACGAAGCAGAGGAGAATAACGGGGGTAGAATGTGATTCATTTTTTTACACCATTTACCAACGTCTTTCTTTCGACTGTTCTTTTTACATCGCCAAGACACAGTTAGTTTAGCATTATTAACTTGGAAAGGGTTTTAAATTCAAGTGAGTTCGCATATACCTTCACAGGCAGATTTCGCAACACGTCAGTACAGGAAAAAAAATTATCGCCTACAACATACGCCTCATAACAGATTTGGGAATACGTACTCCATATCCATTCCAAGATTAAGTGTGTGAAAAATTCTTAGTACGAGGTTATTAAGATTTTTTTCAGATTTAAGGATACATTTCTTTTCAGCAGCACATTTTGAATATAGTGTGTGTGTTTCGAGCTTATCAAGAGAAGAGAAAGGGAGAATAGGCTTGAATCATCTTTTTGTAAGACAACGAGTTAGAGCCGCGTCTCAAGAAATAAAAACCCAAAGGGAATAGACAAGAACTTATATTGAAAATTCAACAATGGCGATACGAGGTACAACAGTCACTTTTGAGCTAGATGTGCCTGCTACCAACGTGTTTGCCCGAGCAGCAGCAGAAACTTCAGCAGATTGTCAAACCAATTGTGATAATGTTCCAACATGTGCTAGTATTAAATGTAAATCGAATCAGCAATGCCAACAACAAACACGAACAGGTTGTGTATGTCAACTGTACTATTGTGTGGATGTTTCTGGACCAGCCACGGGGACTAATGTCGGGGGGATTGTAGGAGGTGTAGTGGGTGGGGTTGGTTTATTGATCATTGCAGGGGTGGTATATTTTTTACTAGTGTATCGCAGAAAGCACCCGGTACAAGAAGATGATGACATTGAAATGGGGAGTACTGGAAGTCAATATGTGGACAATGACAATGATAGCAGCTATGTGATCAGTAACATAGACAGTCATATCGGAGACCCAAACCTGTCACCACTTCCTGGTGCATCCAGTGGAGCAGGGAGTATCAGGGGCACTGGTAGAGCGCTTGCACCACCAGAACGTCGACCTGCCAATAGAAGATTATCAACTTATGAATCTTTCACTAGACCGACCGCTAGACATGCGCCTAAAAAGGTTCAAAATAGAAGTATCAATAACCAACAAAGACTTCAACAACAAAGACAACAAGAAAGAATGCAACAACAATTACAACAACATCCATATCTTGATCCAAATACTTCAAATAGAAACTCGGTTGCAACTTCTATATCCACTACCAATGCATCCAATATTCTACCAATTGCATATATTCCCGGGGTCACGGTAAGGCCTACAATCAATAATACTAGATCGATCTATTCATATGAGACAGAGTCAGTATTTTCTGACTTGAACACCATTGAAAATGCATCTATTATTGGTGCCAAGCACCATCATATCGATGGTGCTTCTCAAAAGGATTCCACCATGACTGCAATTAAAGCACAACCTAGATTAGTTAATGTGGGGAAAATTGAAGAAGAAGAAGAGGAAGAGGATTACGATGATGATGATGACGATGAAGTACATGGAGTACATGGAGTGGAAGAGGTTAGCGATAGAATGAATGACAGTGATATTACCAGAATAGAAAACTCTGGTGCTGGGGTTGCTAAAAACCATCATATGTCACTCATGGATGGTACTACGGATGAAAGTGAAGATTCCGATATAGATTCCGATATCGGAGAGATTGTGCGGGCCACAAGTTTGCGGAGATCAGAAGCAAATGGCGCACATCAACAAACCCAAGATGAAGGGAATTCAGAGACTCTTTTGAACCTCGTCGAGATCGAAAGACCCCCACAGGCACCACTTGCATCTGTGCAACTGCCACAATCAAGTTTACAGGGATCATTTTTACTTGATGTAGATATCTTAAGAACAACAACGAAAGGTAGTGGTGGATCTTCAAGCCCTTTCGAGGATCCGACTGATCGTTTATAAAATTATAGAATAGAACAATAATGATAAAATATCAGTAACGATAACTTTGTAAGAATATGTGTGGTATTTGTAAGAAGTGGGGAATCTCCCTATTACTCAGCTCAGTCAGTGGAGAATAAATCTTGGTAGATAGGATTGATATACATAGCCAGAATATGTGGGGGAAAACAAAGTGGGGGATCAACGTGGACCGACCATTCACACGTGATTACGAGTCATAACCTGTATTCCGACCAGAAGGATAACGTTAATAAGGGCTAATATTGTTATAAATGAAGGAAATTAATTTACAGTATGAATGTATATACTGAAATATTTGGGCTTGAATAGACAATTTAAGTCTGAATAAACTTGAGCACGTGCAGAATATCAGCATTCAAAAACTAATTATGTGGTGCCTAGAATGTAATGATTACTAAGTTGGAATACCATGAAAAAAAGAAAGGATTCGATTGATAGTCGGAATTCAAATGTTTGCTTTACTAATTTGAGAACCGGTCTGAATCTGAGGTTACATTTTGCGAATGAGATTTAAATGATTTTAACCCCAAGAGAGGTATATAAGAAGGGTGAAAAAAACAGATTCAAGGTGATAAGAACCTTACTATTCGATACTCATAACCAATTCCACAGTTCGTATGAGCTGTATCGCCTTGTTATTTGATGCTTCCACTGTTTTTGCATAGTACTAATCTTTAGTCAATGGACCCTCGGAACTCACTTTTTGTGCTATGAATCGCACCCCAGTTCTCCGGAAACGGGCTCTAAATTTTTGTTGAGGATTGGGTTGGCATTTATCCAAAAATTATTAATTGAAATCCATTGCCACTTTTTTCATAATCTTTTTCTTTCTGTATTATTGTATTTACCAGATACATACTCCTTAACAATTGAAACCATGTCTTCCATTGAACAAAAAACAGTCAGCACCATCCGTTTATTGGCTGTCGATGCTGTCAGTGCTGCCAATTCCGGTCACCCAGGTGCCCCTCTTGGTCTTGCTCCAGCTGCTTACGCCGTGTGGCAAAAGATGAAGTTTAACCCACAAGACACCAAGTGGATTAACAGAGACAGATTCGTTCTCTCTAACGGTCATGCTTGTGCTCTTTTGTACTCTCTCTTGGTACTTTACGGTTACGATTTGTCTGTTGAAGACTTGAAGCAATTCAGACAATTGAACTCTAAGACCCCAGGTCACCCTGAAGCCACTGACGTTCCAGGTGTTGAAGTTACCACCGGTCCATTGGGTCAAGGTATCGGTAACGCTGTTGGTTTGGCCATTGCCCAAAACCAATTCGCTGCCACTTACAACAAGCCAGACTACAAGTTGTCTGACTCATACACCTATGTTTTCCTCGGTGATGGTTGTTTGATGGAAGGTATTTCTTCTGAAGTTTCTTCCCTTGCTGGTCACCTCCAATTGGGTAACTTGATTGCCTTCTGGGATGACAACAGAATCTCCATTGATGGTGACACCGCTGTTGCCTTCACTGAAGACGTTGTTGCTAGATACAAGGCTTATGGCTGGCACGTGTTGGAAGTTGCTAAGGGTGACACCGACTTGGAAGCCATCTCTCAAGCTGTTGAAGATGCCAAGAAGGTTACCGACAAGCCAACTTTGATCAGATTGGTCACCACCATCGGTTTCGGTTCTCTTGCTCAAGGTACCCACGGTGTCCACGGTGCTCCATTGAAGGCCGATGACGTCAAGCAATTGAAGACCAAGTTTGGTTTCAACCCAGAAGAAAGCTTCCAAATTCCATCTGAAGTTACTCAACATTTGTCCGAACTGGTCAAGAAGAACCAAGATGTTCAAGCTCAATGGAACAAGCTTTTCGCCTCTTACAAGGAAAAGTACCCAGAATTAGGTGCTGAAATCCAAAGAAGAATCGACGGTAAGTTGCCAGAAGGTTGGGAAAAGACTTTGCCAACTTACACTACCAGTGACAAGCCAGTTGCCACCAGAAAGTTGTCTGAAATTGTTTTGGAAAAGATTCACGCTGATTTGCCAGAATTGATTGGTGGATCTGCTGATTTGACTCCATCTAACTTGACCAGAACCACTGACGCTGTTGACTTCCAAGCCCCATCTACTGGTTTAGGTGACTACTCTGGTCGTTACATCAGATACGGTGTTAGAGAACACGGTATGGGTGCCATCATGAACGGTATTGCTGCCTTTGGTGCTAACTACAAGAACTACGGTGGTACTTTCTTGAACTTTGTTTCCTACGCCGCTGGTGCCGTCAGATTGTCTGCCTTGTCTCACCATCCTGTCATTTGGGTTGCTACCCATGACTCTATTGGTTTGGGTGAAGATGGTCCAACCCATCAACCTATTGAAACCTTGGCTCACTTCAGAGCTACTCCAAACATTTCTGTCTGGAGACCAGCTGATGGTAATGAAACTTCTGCTGCTTACAAGTCTGCTATTGAATCTACTTCTACCCCAACCATCATTGCCTTGACCAGACAAAACTTGCCTCAATTGGAAGGTTCTTCTATTGAAGTTGCCTCAAAGGGTGGTTACACTTTGATCAAGCACGAAAAGCCAGATGTTATCCTTGTTGCTTCCGGTTCCGAAGTTTCCATCTCTGTTGATGCTGCTAAGCAATTGGAATCTCAAGGTATCAAGGCTGGTGTTGTTTCCTTACCAGACTTCCACACTTTCGACAAGCAATCCTTGGCCTACAGATTGTCTGTCTTGCCAGATGGTGTTCCAATCATGTCTTTCGAAGTCATGTCTACTTTCGGTTGGTCCAAGTACTCTCACGAACAATTCGGTTTGAACAGATTCGGTGCTTCCGGTAAGGGACCAGAAATCTACAAGTTCTTTGAATTCACCCCAGAAGGTGTTGCTGAAAGAGCTGCCAAGACCGTCCAATTCTACAAGGGTAGAGAAGTTGTTTCTCCATTGAACACTGCTTTCTAAGGAGGAATATTGGTATACTAGTATATAATTATAAACTATTGAGAGAATTAAATTGATGTAGTTAAGTAAATTCAACTGGATGTAAAACAATAAGCACAAAATAAAATAAAAAAAATAATTGAATAGTGAGAGGAGAAAAAAAAAATAATATCGAAAGATAAGGCGATGTCGATCTTCAATATAATAGAAATTGATAGAATGTATTGGAAGATTCAAAATTACATACATGGAAGGTTAGGGAGTAAAAAAAAATACATCAATAAAAGATAATTCCAATTGTAGAGAGATACATGAGACTCTTGAGACATGACAGGGGGTACGAATCCTAGATGATAGCTTGAAAGAGTTAAAAGTTAAAAGGATCATGTCAAAGGATTGTTTCATGATCTGTAGGTAACAAAATAAGGTGAAATAGAATTGTGTAATTTGCCGGTAGAATCGAACTATGTTTCACTGAAACTACAAAGAATATATACAAGAGCAATTGATGTTCGATGGTTGGTAGTACGTTGTAATCCGTAACCACCATTAATAGCGTGTGCGCTATTATGTCGGGGATTGTAGCAAAAGTGATGCTAACAGTAATTTTTTTTTTTTTTTTTTTTTGAAATCCTGCTATTTTTTCATGATTTAAATTTTTATTTTTTTTTTTCTTTTACTTTTTGCAGAGAACCTTACATGTAAGTGACTATGTGTACGTGGCTATATTCTCGTTTGATTGGTCGTGCTGCGAATTACGCGCCGCCTATACTACCCGTGCGCGGTTTGGAACCAAAGGCCAGCAATTTTGCGAAATTAATGCGTATGCAACCTGCATGTGGCCGCTCATCGTGCCCCAAATTACCGTGAACATGAAAAATTTTGCAAGATTTTTTTTTTTCGCTCTTCTCGTGAGGGGGGCGTTGCCCATTATATAAGGAGTTGGAAATTCTTGATCGTGCCCTTTACTTCTACTTCTTTTTTTTTCTATATAACAAACTAAATCTATTAAAATGGGTAAGGAAAAGAACCACGTTAACGTCGTCGTCATCGGTCACGTCGATTCCGGTAAGTCTACCACCACTGGTCACTTGATTTTCAAGTGTGGTGGTATTGACAAGAGAACTATCGAAAAGTTCGAAAAGGAAGCCGCTGAATTGGGTAAGGGTTCTTTCAAGTACGCTTGGGTTTTGGACAAACTTAAGGCTGAACGTGAAAGAGGTATCACCATTGATATCGCTTTGTGGAAGTTCGAAACTCCAAAGTACAATGTTACCGTCATTGATGCTCCAGGTCACAGAGATTTCATCAAGAACATGATCACTGGTACTTCCCAAGCTGATTGTGCTATTTTGATTATTGCTGGTGGTACCGGTGAATTCGAAGCTGGTATCTCTAAGGATGGTCAAACCAGAGAACACGCTTTGCTTGCCTACACCTTGGGTGTTAAGCAATTGATTGTTGCTGTCAACAAGATGGACTCCGTCAAGTGGGACAAGAACAGATTCGAAGAAATTATCAAGGAAACTTCTAACTTCGTCAAGAAGGTCGGTTACAACCCAAAGACTGTTCCATTCGTCCCAATCTCTGGTTGGAACGGTGACAACATGATTGAACCATCTACCAACTGTCCATGGTACAAGGGTTGGGAAAAGGAAACCAAGGCTGGTAAGTCCACTGGTAAGACCCTTTTGGATGCCATTGACGCCATTGAACCACCTCAAAGACCAACTGACAAGCCATTGAGATTGCCATTGCAAGATGTCTACAAGATTGGTGGTATCGGAACTGTGCCAGTCGGTAGAGTTGAAACCGGTATTATCAAGGCCGGTATGGTTGTTACCTTTGCCCCAGCTGGTGTTACCACTGAAGTCAAGTCCGTTGAAATGCATCACGAACAATTGGCTGAAGGTGTTCCAGGTGACAACGTTGGTTTCAACGTCAAGAACGTTTCCGTTAAGGAAATTAGAAGAGGTAACGTCTGTGGTGACTCCAAGGTCGACCCACCAAAGGGTGCTGCTTCTTTCAACGCTCAAGTTATTGTCTTGAACCACCCTGGTCAAATCTCTTCTGGTTACTCTCCAGTTTTGGATTGTCACACCGCCCACATCGCTTGTAAGTTCGATGAATTGATCGAAAAGATTGACAGAAGAACTGGTAAGAAGATGGAAGACTCTCCAAAGTTCATCAAGTCTGGTGACGCTGCTATTGTCAAGATGGTCCCAACCAAGCCAATGTGTGTTGAAGCCTTCACTGACTACCCACCATTAGGTAGATTCGCTGTCAGAGACATGAGACAAACCGTCGCTGTCGGTGTCATCAAGTCTGTTGACAAGTCTGAAAAGGCCGGTAAGGTTACCAAGGCTGCTCAAAAGGCTGCCAAGAAATAAGCTCGTTAGTATAGTGTATTAATGTTTTGAGTTATTAAAGTTTTATTGTAGGATAAATGGAGTAGAGAGATTTTCGAATTTGTTATGGCTACAACTACAAAGATACAATTGGCCTCTCCTCTAACTCTATCTGAGCAGCTATATTCAATTTGTTTGCATTTTATCGTCTTTTTTTTTTCATTCATTTTTTTTTGTTCGGGTTTATGAATCCGGTAAGAGTCAATCATTTGACGGCTTGCCAGTTATTCTTGTGGACCCGCGTACGATATTTCCTAAATGATATCTAGAATTCTGAACCCGTTTTTTTTTTTTTTTATTTCTTTTATTTTTTTTTTTTTTATCCCAATCTTTTTTTTATTTTTTCCCTCTTTTAAGACTAGGCTAACGAGAATTTTCACATGCTCGCGATTTCAAACTAAAATGGCCAGTCTAGATAAACAAGAGTAGAATGGTATACCAGTAATATACCATGTAGTATAGAGATTGAAACTTAAACCAATCAAGAATCAAACCCGTAGAAGCCCATTAATTAGTTGACTCCAGCCAAATACTTCAAAAAAAGATATATACTCATAGTAAAATAAATGCCGTGTTTCAGAGTCAATCCGAGTCAGCACCCCAAGTTGACTCTGCGATGAAGTTCAATTTGTATAAAAGCCAAGTGGTCCCATCTGAAACAACAGCCTGATGTTTAGAGAACATACTATACCATCGGCAAACTTGCAGGACCAATCTTTTGTTAGATCAGATTACTACCAATCGGTTTCAGTGTAGTTTCAAGTTAAGACCCTTATACTACAAACTTTTCTTTTTGACACAAAAAGAGTTGCATAGATAAGGTACAAACCCTTTTACCCTGGATTATATTAAAGTTTGATTTTGAAAAAATTCAAATTAACTTCTCATATATACTGCTCTGAATTCATATATGATTTCTGCTAGAGTATCCAGATCGGTCGTGAGATCACTCGCCAGAAGCGTGAGACCTGCTCCAGTTCGTGCTATTGGTTCCAACTCATTGAGCGTTGCCGCACGTTTCTTGGCTACCAAGGCCAACACCTCATCACAAAATTATCAAAAAGTTTACAATGAATCTGATAAGAAGATTTCATTGAATAACTTGGACACATTCGCTAGACGTCATCTTGGTCCAACTCCAGGTAATGTTGAAAAAATGCTTACCACTTTGGGTTACAAGGATATTGATGAATTCCTTGCCGCTGCTATCCCAGAACATGTTCTTATCAAGAGAGCTTTGAAAGTTTCTCCAGAAAAGGGTTTCACTGAAACTGAAATGCTTGAACATCTCCACGCTTTGGCCGGTAAGAATAAGATTGTCAAGTCTTTTATTGGTAAAGGTTACGCTGGTACTAGAGTACCTCCAGTCATTCAAAGAAATTTACTTGAATCCCCAGAATGGTACACTTCATACACTCCATATCAACCAGAAATTTCTCAAGGTAGATTGGAATCTCTTTTGAACTACCAAACCATGGTCACCTCTTTAACCGGTTTACCAATGGCCAACGCTTCCTTGTTGGATGAAGGTACCGCTGCTGGTGAAGCGATGTCTTTATCCTTCCACAGTTTGAAGGGGAAGAAATCCAAATATGTGGTTGATTCTAACCTTCATCCACAAACCATTGATGTTGTAAAGTCTAGAGCTGCTAACATTGGTTGTGAAATTATCGAACTCCCACTCTCCACTGCTGAAGGTTTGGCTTCTTTGGAAGCCATTGCTAAGGACTCTTGTGGTGCTCTTGTTCAATACCCAGGTACTGATGGTTCCATTGTCGACTACACCAAGGTTGGTGAAATTGTTCATGCTAACAAGGGTTTGTTTGCCGTAGCCACTGATTTATTGGCTTTAACTTTAATCAAGCCACCTTCAGAATTTGGTGCTGATATCGCTCTTGGTACTTCTCAAAGATTTGGTGTCCCATTCGGTTACGGTGGTCCACATGCTGCCTTCTTTGCTACCAACACTAAGTATTCAAGAAAGATTCCTGGAAGAATCGTTGGTTTATCCAAGGATAGATTGGGTAAGCCAGCCTTGAGATTGGCTTTGCAAACTAGAGAACAACATATTAAGCGTGAAAAGGCTACCTCTAACATTTGTACTGCTCAAGCCCTTTTGGCTAACATGGCTGCTATGTATGCCGTTTACCACGGTCCTTCTGGTTTACAAAACATTGCCAAGAGAGTTTACGGATACACCACTCTTTTAGCTAAGGAAATCCAAGCTAACTCTGCACATGAAATCGTCAATGACAAGTGGTTCGACACTCTTACCATTAAGTTGGGTGGTGGTGTTTCTGCAACTGAAATTTTGGACAAGGCTTTGAACCAATACAACATCAACTTGTTCAAGAACAGCGAAAACTCCGTATCTTTGACTTTAGATGAAACTATTACCAAGGAAGAATTGGTTGCTCTTGTTGATGTTTTCACCGGTAAGACTTTCTCCACTGAAGGTATCGAAGAATTGCCAGCCTTACCACAAGAAATGTTGAGAACTGATAAGATTTTGGATCACCCAGTTTTCAACACCCACCACTCTGAAACTTCCATGTTGAGATACTTACACTTGTTACAAAGCAAGGATTTATCTCTTGCCAACTCCATGATTCCATTGGGTTCATGTACCATGAAGTTGAATGCTACCGTGGAAATGTCTACCCTTTCCATTCCAGGTTTCAACCTGATCCATCCATTTGCCCCATTGGATCAAGCTCAAGGTTACAAAGAATTGGTTGATGAATTCGAAAAGGATTTGAACGATATTACTGGATTTGATGCCACTACATCCATGCCAAACTCTGGTGCTCAAGGTGAATACACTGGTTTGTCCTTGATTAGACAATATCATGCCTCCAAAGGTGACTACGAAAAGAGAAACATTTGTCTTATTCCAGTCAGTGCCCATGGTACTAACCCAGCTTCTGCCGCCATGTGTGGTTTGAAGGTCGTCCCAGTTAAGTGTTTGAGCAATGGTTCTATTGACTTGGATGACTTGAAGATCAAGGCTGAAAAGCATGCTGACAACCTTTGTAGTATTATGATCACTTACCCATCTACTTACGGTTTGTTTGAACCTGGTGTTAAGACAGCCATTGACTTGGTCCATGCTAACGGTGGTCAAGTTTACTTGGATGGTGCTAATATGAATGCTCAAGTAGGTTTGACTTCTCCTGGTGATTTGGGTGCTGATGTTTGTCACTTGAACATCCACAAGACCTTTGCCTTGTCTCATGGTGGTGGTGGTCCAGGTCAAGCACCTGTATGTGTTAAGGAACACTTGAAACCATTCTTGCCAAAGCATCATTACTTAGAAACTCCTCACTCAACTTCTGAATCTATTAATGCTGTCAACTCTGCTCCATATGGTTCTGCTTCTGTCATTCCAGTGTCTTACTCTTACATCAAGATGTTGGGTGCTAAGGCCTTGCCATATGCATCTTCCATTGCCATGTTGAATGCCAACTACATGTTGTACAGATTGAAGGATCAATACCAAATTATGTTTATTGACGCCAACGCTAAGGAAGAAGGATTGAAGCATTGTGCTCACGAATTCATTTTGGACTTGAGAGAATTCAAGGCTATTGGAATTGAAGCAATTGATGTTGCTAAGAGATTACAAGATTATGGATTCCATGCCCCAACCATGTCTTTCCCAGTTGCTGGTACCTTGATGGTTGAACCAACTGAATCTGAAAACTTGGAAGAATTGGACAGATTTGTTGATGCTTTGTTATCTATTAGAAAGGAAATTGATGCTTATTCCAAGGGTGAAGCTTTGGGATTAGCTTTGAAGAATGCTCCACATTCCTTGGAAGACGTTGTTTCTACTCCACAATCTGATTGGGATGCTAGAGGTTACACTAGAGAACAAGCTGCTTACCCATTGCCATACTTGAAGTACTCCAAGTGCTGGCCAACAGTTGCTAGATTAGATGACACCTACGGTGACATGAACTTGATGTGTACATGTCCATCTGTCGAAGAAGTTGTTGCTGATCAAGAAGCTTAAATGTAAAATAGAATAAATTAAATTAAATTAAATTAAATTGGAATAATAGAATATAAATTAAAAGTTTAGTAAAGTGTAAAAGGTGGCTTTTGAATGTGGTAATTGCCGTATTGTGAATGCGGTACTAAAGTCTCAAAGTATTTTTTAGCAGCAATCTGGTGGTGGTCGCGCGCCTGCCCAAAAAATACATAAACCCTGCATACACCACTCGGAGTTACAACATTGAAGTTTGTACATAGAAAGAAATAAAAGAGAATAAGAATAGCTCAATTAAAAAAATACATTTAAGCTATGGAGTGGTATAACGGTAGGGCCAAGCGAAGCTCCGAATCTGCTGGGCTTTACACTGCGCCTAACAGCGACATGACGTACACGACTCCGCTGCGACTTACACCCTTGAAATTTGGAAATGGAGGGAATTACAATTACCCTCTCCTTCCACCTAGTTGTGGAAACAGTTACTATGATGTGGGGGGATATACTACTAGTGCGGGGCCCAGACTGACATACTCGGCCGAGCTGGGGTCCTACTACTCGTCCCAGCTGCCCTTGTACTGTTCTGATTGGGTGTATTTTGCCGGTGCAGAAACTGATTGCGTTGCTCTCAGTTCATATAAGGAAGATTTTACCAATAAATTACAGATTGTTCATGGGGTTTCCTATAGTGGAGACTCTCGTGAAGACTCGAATGCTGACAGTGTGAGTATGGGTTCCCCTGGTGGGCCACAATCCCTTGAGTCTGAGGATGGGTTTGAATTTTATAAAGTTGCAGAGATACCAACTGATTACCCAATCACAAATCTTCAATGGGATCCTTCCATTGCACTGGGAGGAAACGGGAACACAGAGCGTCTTGCCGCATCACTGGAGGTGTTCCGTTTGTATGAAGTGGATCATGAAACCCTTGACCGCAATAATAACTTCAATATTTCTCAAACTCACATTCTTGCTAATAATACAAACACAACTTCAGCATGTGGGTCTTCGAATTCAGGAACAGTTTCTGCCACCGGTAATTCATGGAAAAATGACTCAACCACCATCAACACGTTCCCACCGGTAACTTCTTTTGACTGGAACAAAAAGGACCCTTCTATCATCATTACCCTGTCTGTGGATACCACCTGTACGATTTGGGATCTCAATCGATCACATCAACTCTCTACCGGTCTTAATACCAAGACAGACACGGCATCTGTGAAAACACAACTTATTGCGCATGATTCAGAGGTTTTCGATGTCAAGTTTATACACGACTCCACCAACATATTTGCATCGGTAGGTAATGATGGTTCCATCAGAGTGTTCGATCTTCGACTGTTGGAACATTCAACCATCATCTACGAGCCCCCTACCACCGCTCCTAAAAGTGGCTCTGGTGTGAAAAGTAATAATTCACTGTTACAACACAACTCGCATGCACTCTTAAAGTTATCAACGTCGAACGTTGACCAGCATCATTTAGCGGCAGTTGGGGTGAACTCCAATCAAGTAAAAATCATAGACATGCGTATGCCTGGTATTCCAGTTGCCCGCTTGGATGGATCTTTTGATGGGGTGAATAATGCAGCCATTAATTCCATCAAGTGGCATCCTAATTCAAACTTCTTACTCACAGGGGGTGATGATTGCCAGGCCCTAGTTTGGGACTGTAATTCTCTTCCTGCTGTCGGTGCAGGGTCCAATGAACCTGCTGTGATAGATGTCCCTGTTTTGGGTTATGAAGCTGAGCTGGAAGTGAATAATGTCTCTTGGAGAACAGGTCTGGGCGATTGGATGGGTGTAGTGGCTGGAAAGGGCTTCCAAGCTGTTCTTTTGTAACGTTAAGAACTAGCCATACATTAGCATAGGCTGCTCTTTTTCTTTTTTTTTTTTTGGTCATCATTTCTGCCCTTCAATCATCGCATTATTATCATCGTCTCCTGCGTCTACATAGTCTACGTGGTTTAATATACTATAGAATAACTAACCCTTACAGAGTAATGTTTGTTGATATCTTGAACACGTGCAGGTACTCTCGTATAAACGTAAAATGGTGGAAGTAACTTCCACCATATCAATGAGGTTAATTAAAGGTTAGAATTTAACAATACAGTACATGCATATCTGGTGTACCACATTAAAGTCTCCATAGATCTAAAATTGTACCTACATTGGGCCATAATTACGCGCCGCACTGGAAGGAGTTGAAAAATATTTCGCGTTACAAGCCTTCCGCCTCGATTGTACGATGTATCGGTCCCTGGCTATCAATAGAATAAGCATACGAAAATAACATTTTCCCCACTTTGTAGCTATTTCATACTCCAGTATTATCTATAGGTGAAGCGTATATCAGATGTTGACTTTACCCCTCCTGCGCAAATCCCAGTAATATTCCAGGCGAAGCCTACATCCAAAAATATATTCTATTGATATTTCGAGCGGTGCATTGCAACCGAACCTTCGCGAAATCCTTATTCTATTTTTAACATCAAATTTTGAACCCAGACCGAGCCAATAGTACAGATAGGGTAGAGTGATATGGACAAGAGAGACACTCTGTTGAAGCCCTTTGAGCTGCTTCAGCTCTGAGAGAAGAGTATTTTCTATCATATAGGTTGGATCTTTCTACTGTCTGTGAATCTTCACACTGTATAAATTTGAATACCACGAGGTTGTTAAAATTATTTCGCAGTCCTGTCGTCCTTGAACAGCCGCACAGGCTTTTTTTTCTCCCTTGCTCTACCAAGTAACATTCCCCCTGCCGAGATTATCATATAATCATCAAGGATACTCACCCATTCATTTTTATTTTTAATTTACTTCATCTAGTCATCTTCTTGTTAATCCTTTACTTCATTGCATTTACTTGTTATATATAGCACGATATGAACTTATTTGGTAGAGCAGATGGTGATGGTGTCTTGACACCAGCTAATACAACTGCCACCCAATCCAGTTTATTCTCGGGAGTTGCCTCCGCAAATCAAGAAAGTAGTATACCAGCACCAAGTTCTGACTCACCTAACTCTGCAGTCTCGTCTGCGGTAGAAAGCTCGAGACCTCCTTCCAGTTCAGCTGCTCCTACATCTTCCCAAATTGACACACCATCGTCGTCATCCTCATCGACCACCTTTGCGTCGGCCTCATCAACCGATTTATCTTCAACCTCAACTGAATCTTCGTCTCAAAGTCCGTCGAGCGAACCACCATCATCTTCATCCACATCTTCTTCTTCGTCGACCTCATCAGCTCCATCGTCATCATCCACATCTTCGACTTCATCGTCGTCACCACCTTCATCTTCATCTTCATCGTCATCTTCATCTTCATCATCCTTGACGTCATCCTCATTTCTGTCGTCCCTGTCATTTGCAACAACAACTGAATCAACTTCGTCATCAGTTTCACCCACTGCATCCCCTCTGAGCTCTTCAACTGAAGCATCATCAACAACAGACGCTTCCAGTTCCCAAGTAGCAACAAGCACCTCATCGTCAGAATCGCCTACATCCTCTACTTCTTCCTCATCATCTTCATCGTCAGCATCGGAATCAATTACAAGCACAACTTCAAGTACTTCAGCTTCATCATCTCCACTGACGACAACTGGTCCATCGAGTTCATTCACTCCATATGTATCAACCATTAGTGTATCGCCAGATAAAACCATCACTACACTTGTAACTGTCCCTACTAGTGCACCAGCACCAAAGAATACAAATGCATCTTCGGATCAAAAGAATTCTAAACTTATTGGTGGGTTAGTTGGTTCAATTGGTGGGACCATATTGATAGCAGGTTTGGTACTTTTCTTTGTCTTTTTAAAGAAGCGTAAGAGTAAACTTACCAACCAATCTCCAGATTTTAATAATGATTCTGGCTTGGATTCATTTGGAAGTGAAAAGGGAGGCTCAAGTTTCGGATTCAAGAAACTTTTCGGTTCTAAAGTATCATCTGGTGCTGGTGCTGGTGGAGCTCTTGCCGGGATCAACGACCTTGAAAGACAAATGAATAGAAAAGCAGGGGAAACTCCAGGTTATCAAAATCTTGAAAATGATGATCAAGACAATGATTTCGTTTATAGAGGAGTTGCAAATAGTAATAATCTTGACTCTGTTTTCAAACCGCTGGCCAATAATCTGACGGGACAAAACACGGCATCATTGGGACATACAAGATATAATTCCACTGGTGGTAATTCCTCCCCAGCACCTCCATACCCAGCATCTGCTCATAGTGAGGAATTTATCTTTGGTTCCATACCACTTAGTGATGAACATAATCCTTTAATGCCTATTCATCAGGAAGAAGATAGGGTGACATCTGGGGAATTTAACCCTTCTGATTATGATCTGGAATTGGAAGAAGATGAAGATAAATTGGTCAGACCTTCAATGCCAGGCACCAATGAAACAGAGAGTAGAAACTCAAAGTCTAGATTTACAGAAGAAATTCTTTAGTATGAATTAATTACAAGAGAGTAAACCAGAAATTCAAACAAACTGCAATAGCATGACCAGGAAGCGTATGCGCCGGTCTTACCTTAGTATTTAGCATGACTTAACTAATATTATTATTATCATTTATTATAAAAAATTACAACCTTCTTGTTGCAAAAAAGGGTGTTGCTAACATATTTAGCGCTTACGCAATCTAATCGGGGTTGCTTATATAATCCACTCTCTTACTTCTTCATTTTCCAGTTTTTTTTTTTTTTTATTCTTCTTTTTTTTTTTGAGATATAATTTTTGATTTCGAATTAAAAGTTTATGTTTGAACACATTATTCTTCAAACGTTCATTAGTAGATATGTCACAACAAACTAAGAATCTTCTTGTGAAGTTGATCGTCGGAGCTGGCCAGGCTGCGCCTGCACCTCCAGTCGGTCCAGCCTTAGGTTCCAAGGGTGTAAGGGCCATTGACTTCTGTAAGGAATTCAACGCAAGAACTGCCAACTTCACTCCAGGAACTCCTATTCCATGTTTATTAACTGTTAAGCCAGACAGAAGTTTCACTTTTGAAATGAAGTCTCCACCAACCGCATGGTTAATTTTGAAGGCTGCTGGTGCTGAAAAGGGTGCTGCAAAGCCTAAACATGACACTGTAGGAACTATTTCCTTGAAGCATGTCTATGAAATTGCCAAGATTAAGCAATCTGACGAAAGACACAAGGCCTTGGATTTACAAAACATTTGTCGTCAAGTGATTCTGAACGCCGAAGTGGTGGGTGTCAAGGTTATCCCATAATAGAGAAGAAGCAAAGTCATTCATTGTACATAGAAAGAATAATAAAAGTAAAAGAAACGAATTGGTAACTTACATTGTAATAAATATAAAAATCTGTATATTTTGCATTTTGAAAAAGGCTGGAATTAAACCAGTTGGCTATTTGAAATAAAGTACACAAGTCAACTAATATTAAATTGAGCGATTGTAAATGAGATATAACAAGGAAATGAAAGTGTGGATGGAGTGGGGGTCGGTAATAATAATAAAAATATCAAACAAGATATAAAACCAAACATAAACAGTTATTAATCACTGGTGAGTCTATTATGCAAATTAAAAAGGAAACAAAAGAAATAAAGTAATCACGATAGACTATTTCTTCTTATTCTTATCAAATGCAGCAATGTGGGCCTTTGACAGGTCAACTTGGGTATGGATATGGTCTCCACCAGAAACGGCTTCGTAAATAGGACTTCCATCCGGTGAGAGCTTTTCTTCGACGGTACACATGTGGATTGATTGAAGCCATTCATCGTTGAAACATTCTTCAATTGAAATACGACAAGCAGGTGCCAAATCAACCATTCTTCCAATCAAAGGACGACAATCTTCAGGTAACGCAAGTAAGAGTCTTCCGGCACCGGTCTCGGTGGATGTATGAGCCTTACCTTCGATATTAGAAGAGGAACCGGATCCAGTTTTTTCGGCTTCTGTTGAAGTAGATTCTGGTTCTTTTCCTTGTTCTTCTGATTCAGAGGCCTTTGAACCTTCCAATTGCTCAGAAATATCGTCCAACTTCAAGGCTCCCATTTCAGGAACCATGTCTGGTGTTCTCTTCAACATTTCTGTGAGTGGGATGGCTTCCTTTCTAGTGGAAAAAAGTTTGAAACTATTATCAGACAACTTTGGAACCTTCCATGGGAACTTCTTCAACATCATACAACAATAAATTATTGCTGCAGACCAAACATCAACCGGTCTTGGATCATACTTGTTAAATACACAAACTTCTGGTGCCAAGTAAGGATCAGAACCAACAATTCCATGAGATTCAATTAATGTCTTGGTAAATGGATATGAAAATACAACTGCTGAACCAAAATCAATAATCTTTACAATACCTCTGCCATCAATCACACAATTATCAAGTTTTAAATCTCTGTGAGCTAATCCCAATGAATGTAAATAATGTATACCGGACATGACTTGTTTAAAGCAACAATTAATTTCTTCACGAGACATCTTGTTGGACATAACAATTGCAAACAAATCAAAATCACAATATTCCATAACTTGTAAAATTCGTTCATTTTCATAACAGATTTCAACAGTTTCAATGATATTTGGATGTTTTAAAGTAGACCCAATACAATATTCACCGGTAATCTTCTTAGCATAATCTCTCTTAGATTCATTTTGATATTTATTTCTGAATTCTTTTACTGCGAAGACTTGTTTGTCTGCAAATCTGGTAACCAATCTAACTGCTCCACCAGCTCCAGCTCCTAAATTTTCACCAAATTTAGAATATCTCTTGGAAAAGGGGAGTTGTTGGTTACTAATCAAAGTTGAAACAGAACCTCTTCTATCTTGTTGATAATTCATTTTATTTTGCAACATAGATGAATTTCTACTGACTGACGTACTTCCAACAGAAAATCCACCACCAACACTTGGTGACTGAGAATATGATGCATTTGAAGATGTGGCTGTTAAAGAACCTTGTCCATAGGAACCTGCTTGGAAACCACTAACAACTGGAGTATTGCCTCCAGAAACACTATTAATTGGTATACCTCTTTCTCGTTCTGTATTAGATCTCAATGAACTAGAAAGGTTTGAAACAGGCGTACTACCAGTGGTTTGAGTTGGTGTTTTCTTGAAAAAACGCTTCAAGTTTGCCATTGAATTATGTCTCGAAGGAGGAGGGAATTGTCCAGAGTAGGCAGATTCAGCAGAACTAATAGATGATGGCGAGCTTGCTACTGTATTTCCTTGAGGAATATGCGATTCTCCTTGATAAGAGTTATTATAGAATGAGCCTAAATCTGTTGAAGACGAATTTTTCTTACCACCTTTACTTTTTGAAGATGAAAAGAAAAATGAAAGTCCGGATTGAGACCCACTCCTTTGTGCTGAACCATATGAAGCATTTGCTTGTGCTTGTGCTTGTGCTTGGGCAACTCTTTGTTTCGATATAACGAATCTCGAATCAATGGATGATGAATTAACTTGAGGAGATTGGATATGAATGGAAGAAATAGGTTGTCCATTAGGAAGGTTAGGTATATAAGAGGTGGACTCTGAAGGTAATGATGGGGTTCCAGAAACAACTGGGGTGGCACCATTACTTCCACTAGGCCCATTAGAAGCAAAACCGGAAGTGTTATTGGCGTTGTGGGCAGCGAAAGAGTTTGATAATTGGCTTGAACCTCTTCCACCAGGTGCACTATATGGAATGGATGAGGATAAACTTTCTTGTCCAACAAAGGAAGAATGTGATACAGACCCATTTCTTGTGGAACGAGGAGGTCTCAGAGGAGATTCCTTTTGGAATGCCATATTAAATACAGGCTTGCTAGTTGGGGTAGTCTTTGGAGAGCTTGAAAACGAAGGCACGTCAAACCCATTAATGACTGGATTGACTGCACGTACATTTCCTGGTGAAATGCTAACAACATCAGCATTGTCGTCAATAGGGTCAGCATTCACCCGTAACGTGGAAGAAGAAACATTCACATGCTTTGGATTGTTATCAGATTCTATTGGATCCAGTGCAGTAGTTTCTTGAGAACCTTGAACAAGTGAAACTTGCAGGTTCGCCTTGGATACAGCAGGCAGAGCAGCACTTGATCCCAGTTCATTGAGAAGTCTGGTCAATGAACTGACAGGTGCTGGAGGCTTGCCCGGGTTGTAGGCAGCGGCTGGCTTTTCTAAATCCATCCTCGTGGACGTATAATAATGACGAGGGTAAAATATGGTGGCTTGAAAGGCAGGGAGGAATAAAAACTATATAGTTAGAACCCCGAGTAAAAGTGTGGTGGCGGTAAACTCAAAAGAATAGATTCTTTTAATTCCCCACAGCACAGCAACTAATGACCTATTTCGCAAATAGAGACAGTAGATGAACGTGGAAGTATACGGGTGTATAGATACTTCAGCTGAACAGGACTTGTTAATCAAATTAAGACACTTGTATGGAGATATCAAGGAATCAAAATGAAATTAAGTTCTTAAGGTCGGCAAAATTGATTTGTGTGAGTCTTGTTTTTTTCGATAAGAACCAAAATTTTAGGATAATAAGGTTGAAATATATCCTGGATGCCTCTATAATCGTGGTTCAGCTCTCACTATAGACGGCTATCACGATTCTTGCAAATAAAATCCTTCAAAGGTGAAGATCAATAGTGTATTAGTATTACAATAAGGGGTAATGTTTAGGTTTGTTTCGAGGTGTATCCGGTTCCGGTCGTTGAATATCGGTCAGAGTCGGGACGTGTGGTACTCAATATTGATTTCGTTGATAGCAAAGGGGAAAAAGAGGGGATGAATTAGCGGTTAATTTTTGAATAAGCGAAATTGGAAGGTCAAAGAGAGAGTTTATTTTTACAATATGGTGGTGGATCATCTACACTTTCCACAAATACTACATTTGGAAATATTCAACTAGTATAAAATTTTTAATTCAAATTTCCTTGTACATGTGAGATATTTTCCCGTTTGCGCCCGGTACCTGCTGTCTTATCAATTCTTATAGATACGAATCTGATTGGGTTTCGGAAGTTCCTGCAGGTGAACCAGTACTCATCAGGTGATCTTAGATCTTTCGTTAATGACAGATACAATGAGGGCCATGACAACCAAAAGGGTTCGTATTCTCAATAATTTAAATCATTGTACATGAAATTTTGAAATGGAAACCATAAAATAAATTTCATATCAAATCTCTACCGGTAAATATTCCACGATCTCTACTGTCAAATCTCTACTCTTTGTTATAATTCTTTTTTGTTTTTTATTTTTTTTTTTTTCTTTACCAATACTCTATTTACTAAGCCTTTTTACCCTTTCTCTTTTTTGTAGCAGCCGATGCTAGATCCTTACGAAGTATGTTTAGCTTTGCTTCGAGTTCCTCTGGGGTTTTTGGCATCGTGTATACATCTTCTTGGATCAGACTTGTGGACAAATTCGTAGCAACATCTTCTTTCCCAGTTTTTTCCTTTTTATCTTTCTTTTCCTTTGGTGGTGCATTCATTGCTCTTTGCTTTGCTGATTGTCTTTCAACTTCTTCAATTTTTTTCTCAGTTGCTTGAAAGTATTGCTTTTGTAATTCCTCATCAAATAATTCCTTACGTGAAGACTTCACAATTCGACATTCTTGAATATGTTGAGCACCTTGCATTTTAGCTAAATCTTTTGCTGAAAGAGCATACATAATCAGTTGGGAACCTTCATAAGCACTTTTTAAAAAGATAAACCAAATTGGGAAAAGAATCCAATAAAGGATAAGACCCCAAACTGAACCTAAGGATAAGAATCTACGAGTAGAAGGTGTTCTTAAAATCCCAGGGTTGGCAGTAACTAGACGGACATTACAAGGAGCTTTATCCTTTCTTTCATATTCATCAAGTTGATTTTGGAATTCTTTAGCAAATAATCCCAATAAAAGTTTAGATGTACCATAAACAGATAATGGTTTATTAGTAGGATATCTTCTTGTTTGCCATAATGGATCTTCTAAATCAAGTTCTCCTAATGATTGAGAGGCACAAGAAGCCAAAACGACTCTAACATCTCTATCAGGGGGTTGGACACGAAGAGCTGGTCCCAATAAGGTAAGCAAATGGAAATGAGACACATAATTGACACCCATTTGTCTTTCCAACCCGTCAGTAGTAACTTGTCTGGGTTTGTATGGAGGAATTGATTCTGCAGCACAACAAACTACCCCATCTAATCTTCGAGGAGGAGAATTGTCTAACCATTTGGTGGCAAACTTTCTAACAGAATGCAAGCTAGCTAAATCACATTCTTCAGCATAAATTAAAAAGTTATTGGTACGTTCTCTCATATCTTCAATATAATCTATAAGCCACTGGTCTTCGACTTTCCGTACAAGCAAGACTATCTGTGCACCCTGTGATGCTAATTGGAAAGCAACCTGCGCACCAACCCCTGATGTGCCTCCTGTGATCATAAACACTCTACCATGCATGTCACGCTCCCAAATGTTGGAACTGCCTCCAAAGTAGTACTTGATAGCACCTACCACGGCCACTGCTGGTGCATAAGTTTTGATAAGCTCCCATCCAGGAATCACTTGAGGTCCTTCAAGAAGAACCGCTCCAAGGACATTAATCGGCATATTATAGTATAAAAGTTTTGAGTAATACGTATTAGTTTTGCAATTCTTTTACTACTAAGCCTTTAAAGATGTTCAAATGGATGCTCAATGTGCAGGTGGCGCCAAATTTAAATTTGGAGACAACAGAAAAATTTTGAGTAACAAAACCAAAATCAATTGTTATATAGACCAAATAAAGTGATTGGTGTATGGAAAATAATTGTATAGTGTAGTAATGAAATATGTAAAACCTTTTAATATAAGGTCTTGTTGATGTACCTAGTGAATGATTTTATAGCGTGACAAAGAAGTACAAACATATTGAATATTTTTTTACTTTTATTACTAAGAAATCATTTTTGCAACCAAAAGTAGTATTTTCTTATTAGCAAATAAATTTGAATGTATTCAAATATTTTTGTATGAATGTCAAGAATATATCTATGAGTAGCTCGTGCAAGTAATAAGGCAAACTACAAAACGTTCGTCTATTACTTAATCATGGTGTAAAGTTTGAAAACTATTATAGTAATAGTCTATAAACTTCACTAGTATATGTCTCTAGTATATGTCACTACTATATACTTTTTTAAGAAATACAAGTGGGACGTGACCAAAGTTCTTATCGTTCTACAATCAACATGGTTCTAACCACTTAAGTCATACACCAACCTTCCCATCCTCTAAATGGTCAAACTATTATGATTAGCACCGCACCTGAATCCACTCTTAGTGAATCCACTCTTAGTGATTCTATTATTAACCATAAAAAATACCACCACCACGAATAAGTCAAAGAATTATAAACCAATACACTATACAATGTTGTCAACTACATACCTCTCCCCTAAAATAAATCCAATTCACATACCATTTTAAATATGGTCCTGGTAGGAATCTCCTGCATAATGAATGGCATCTTTTTGAATATTCTCGAACTCTTCAACCTCATCGCATTTTTTCCAGATCTTAATAGATAGGTGAATAACAGTACCGTCTAATTTCAGATATAGGATTAGTAGGACATAATGGAAGAGTCAGTATTTTATATCTCCGAGGGAGATCCCAATGATAAACATTCGCAAGAATCGTTTGCCTTATCCACATCTATTCACAACAATCAACAATTTGCGGCTTTCAGACAAGCTGATTGTCCACAAAGAGGTGCTGCCTTAACTGGGTTAGGACCTGGTGAAAGACTTTTCGTTGCATCCCAAAACAAGGCCTTGCTTCAGGTATACCTGTGGGGTAAGGAAAGTCCAGATCAACGTATCCCAGTCCCTGAACAACTCTCTTGCCTCACCTTGTGCAACCATCCACATTCCAAAATTGATAGTAATAATAACTCTGTTGGTAAACTTCCAGCATTCAGAATTCCTTGGTTATTAGCCGCTGGGTCCAAGTCTGGTAAATTGTACATATGGGAATTGTCTTCGGGTAACTTATTATGTGTCAAGGATGCTCATTATCAAGCTCTTTCAGTAGTAAAGTTTTCTAAATGTGGAACCTTTTTAGTCACTGGGGGTTTAGATTCTCGTGTATCTGTATGGAGAACCCTGGATTTGATTTCCATCTATAACAAGTCTGATGAGGCCAATAGATTGGCTTCCATTAAACCATTTGCAACTTTTACAGACCATTCATTAGCAGTAACAGATTTGGTATTATCTGAAACTGGTATTCTTAATGATTTAAGACTTTATACTGTATCTAAAGATGCCACCTTGAGAATTTATGATGTTTGTACCAAGGCTCTTCTTACTACGTTTGTTTTCAACCATTCTATTGAATGTGTCACCAAAGATCCAGCTAATAGAGCATGTTATGTTGGACTCTCCAATGGATTAATTAGATCTATCCCATTGTATCAAGTCAACCCAACTACTTCAATTCTTGAAAGTGTTGGAGGATGTGAAAAGATCATTACTTTAGATCATGATCCTAATTTATTGAATACTTTTGTTCATCATCAACAAAATCAAACTTCATCTTTACAATCTACTTTAAATAAGAAACCAAACCAAACTCTGTCACAACAAAATGATAAACCTATTTCAGTGACCAATATTGATATTTCTATGGATGGTACAAGCATTATATCAGGAGACTCCGCTGGAAGAGTGTTTGTTTCTGATATTGTTACTAGACAAGTTGTACAAACATTTAAAGAATGTAATTCTCCAATTGCTTATATCCAAGTAAATTACTGTCCAGTTGAAACAGTTGATTCTAATTCTACATTAGTAGGAAAGGGAGACAAGAACCATCGTTTAATCCCTCCTTTAAAGCGTGTTCTTGCCAGTGCTGATCCTATTGAACATAATTTATATATGGAAATTTCCACCGGATCTGAACCTGAATTTAATTTTGATCAATGGTTGAATGCCAAATCACAACAAGAATTAGAATTTAAGAATGTTACTCATATTAATTCTACTGTGAAGGTTGTGGATAGTGTTGGATCCAATGATAAAGTTGCTGAATTAGAAGCCAAACTTGCCAAGGTATCCAAGGCTTACACCGATTTAAGAGGTAAACATGAAGAGTTATATGAAGAACATAAAAAATTACTTGAATAGTTAGATAGAGTAGTACTACATTAAAGAGTTACTTAAATAGGGCGGTTTTATATTATTAATACATAACGGAAAGAATTAGCCATAAGAATTAAAGAAAAAAGAAAGATATCAAGTCATATGATATCATTATTATTATTATTTGAAGAGAAAGAGGATGTCAAGTCATATACGTAGATATTTTTATATGAAGACATTTCTTTGCAGTACTTTAAAGGAGTTAATTCAAAGTACAACTATTTCCTTTTTAGATATCCCACTCAATGGTTTTTGTGTGTCCCATATTGAATGATTCTTTGTAGAAGATTGAACTCTACCTAAAGATTGTGCGATGAATGAATCAAGACTAAGTCCAGGCAACCCAATCACATAAGATTTTATGTTCTTTTATTTATCTCGGGATGGAGATAATGGACGATTAAATCCTTTAGTTCTATTCATATACTGTCTATATTCAGTTTTCTTTTCTGTTTTAGCAGCACCTCCCTTCGAGCCCTTTACATGCTTGCCCTTTGTAGTTCCAAACCCAGAAAATCCCATAAGACTAATCATATCTGGATCATCTTCTTCCAGAGAAGAGTCAACGGTTTGATTTGTTGAAGAATTACTTTTAGTTGGAGACGAATTCCCACGATCTCTAGATCTGCCTCTTTCATTCTGTTCCTGTTGGAATTGAGGCAGATTAATCCTATTATTGAATGAAGAATTCAGTAGTGGTACATCTTGAATGGTTGGTTTTTCCTTTCTATAAAGCTCAGATTTATGATATTTCTCATTGGAACGTTCCTGAGATCTTTCACGATATATGGACTCTTCCACTGATTGTTTCTTAAATGGCAGTCTTGATCGAGACCTTGAAATTGACCTTGACAGCATGATGGAATAATTAGATAGAATAGATTAAATTGTAATAGTTTAAATTATTAGAGACCCCCCCTCTTCTACCAGTGATGAGATGGCTCACGTGCTCAAAAAAAATTACATAGACACACTTAACAAAATTTATAAAGGAAGAGATAGATCATTACATAATTTATTTTTCATCAACGATACATAGATAAAAAAAAGATGGCTGAAGAGAAGTTAACCAAGAAGCAAAGGAAGGCCTTAGAGTTCCGTAAGAGTAAAGAAGAAACCGAGGAACTTAAGAAGGAAAAGGAAGAAACTAAAAAGAGAAAGCTTGAAGAAGCTGAAAAGCCTAAAGAAGCTGCAGTTTCACTTGATGAAAATGGAGAACCAAAGAAGAAAAGAAAGACCAGAAGAGGTAAGAAGGGTAAAGGTGTTAACGGGGGTAAAGGTCCTAGATTTATTCTTTTTGTCGGTAATTTGCCATATGATGTGACTGAGGAAGAATTATTGAAGCATTTCAAGAACTCTAAGCCAAGTAGAACTAGAATAAGACAAGATAAAGGGATTGCATTTTTAGAATTTGATAATGATTCAAAGGAAATTCAAAGTCAAATGGAATTAGCTTTAAGATTGCATCATTCTACGTTGAAGAATAGAAAGATTAATGTTGAATTGACTGTTGGAGGTGGAGGTAATTCTGAAAATAGAGTCAACAAGTTGAAGGAAAAGAATGAAAAGTTATTGGATGAAAGAAGAACCAGAATTAAAGAAGAAGCATCCAAGGATAGAAAGAAGGTTGTTCCAAGTGGTATGCATCCTTCCAGAGCTGCATTGATGGATTAAGTTTGTATATTAGATAGAAAGAGTAAGAATAAAAGATGAAGAGAGTAAACAGAGATAGAGAGAGAACTTGTGTAGAAGAATGGATAGGGTAGTAGTAGGAATAGATTCTGAAGAAGTAAAATAAATATGAGATGAAGGTATCTTACTTTCTTGATATTTGTACTCAGTAATACACCATTTAAATGAATATATATGGTTATACCTCTGATTCATACACTATTTTTTAGAAATCTTTAATATATTAAATAGGAGATAATACAATAAACCAAAACATTAGTTGAGAAATAAAAAAAAGACTTAACAGAAAACAATTATATATGGGTCAATATTAAAGACTAAATTAAAATTAGTTCATCTTTAAAATGATGTAGTATCAATATTGGTAATGAATGATATCGCCTATAATAGATCCTGTGAATATAACCAATCCGTCAGTTTGGAAATCAAAAGCGAGTGGATAAAGGAGTCAATGGTATTGTAAAACAAAGTTGATTAAGATATCCTTTCTTTACAAAATTGTACATTTTTTAGCCTTCTTGACTCTTCTCTTTCTCAGAGAAAGATTATTGAGACCAGAAGCATTCTTTTTATTGGAGGATGCATTGTTGTTGCCAAATGCCGCGGAGTTATGCCCACCAGTGGTTGAATCAGAAGCTTTAGTATATTCTTCTTCAGCCTTAACTGGTTCTAAAACTGCACGAATAGCATAGTCGAAAATCTCCTTAACACCAACTTGAGTGGCTGCAGAACATTCCAAATAATCAACAGCACCCAACTCCTTGGCCAACTTAACCCCTTGTTGATAAGTGATTGGTTTAAGACCCTTATCAGTCAATTCATCCAATACATGAGGCTCATCTCTTAAATCGGTCTTGGTTCCTACAAGCAACACAAGAATGTCCTTTGGACAATGATGATAGATCTCCGGTATCCATTTGCTACTAATGTTGGAGAAAGAAGCAGGACTTATTACTGAAAAGCAACAAAGGAAAATTTCTGTTTGTGGGTAAGACAAAGGTCTTAATCTATCATACTCAGCCTGGCCGGCAGTATCCCAAAGACCAAGCTTTATGGGTTCCCCATCGATCATGACGGATGCAGAGTAGTTGTCAAAGACAGTTGGAATGTAGTCATTTGGGAAGGTGTTTGTGGTGTATGATATTAAAAGACAAGTTTTACCAACTCCACCATCTCCAACTACTACAGATTTGATACTTCTCATTCGAGGATGATTTTTTTTGTGTGAAGGGGTTGTGGGAAATGTGTTTCTATGTGTACAGACAAAAGCAAGCCGTGTTGAGGGGTAAGGTAAAAAAAAAAATTCAGACAGACGGTATCGTTAAGGGTCTCTGACGAAACAAATTAAAATAGCTTTTTACTTTTCTTTAAAGTAACTTTTCGTAATAACTTTTCTCTTTTTACTTTTCTTAAGCACAATCTCTCAGGTTGTTCGTGCGCGCGCGCACCGCACCTCACTCGCAGTCTCAGGTCCCTACATACAGGGCATGAGTTACCAGCCAGTACTTTTTTGCAAGTGTTTCTTTTTTCCTTTTTTTTTTATTTTTATTTTTTTTTTAATTATTATTTACCTATGGTTTCGGTTGTCATGCAACAAAGCATACACAAACTGAATTCAAAGGGTCCGATTGGAGAACCATCATCGATGATTTTAATAGAATGTTTCAACCATGATCCATTATACGAGTGAAGTGCTTGATGCCATGGCTTTTAAAATGGGGCAATTTAACATGTGAGAACATTTAACCGTTGAACACTCGTCGTCTACCGAATTGAGCCAAATGAGATGATACCTAAATGGGATTGAGAATTGAGAATTGCCTCTTTTTTTGCCTTAACATATTTTGAGTCGAGTACACGACATAGAAACCAGCCACCTAGAGGAATGGTCAAGTCCAGATTGATATATCTATTTGAAGAATGAACTCACAAAAAAGATTGGTATATCGTCATAAGAAGCTAATTAGCCTTGGATGCTCCCCCACTTATCAAAAGAATGTGCAAAACAAGTGGAATTGTCGAAGTTAATTCCCTAATTTGTAATTAGACGGCTGTACTACTGTATGCAAAAATCGAAGTAAGGTGTGCAAAATATTATGGTGTGCATGAAATGGTTTAGTACATTGTTACTGTAAAGAAATGTACCTGTAGATTGAAAGTAGATGATGTGATCTATGATATGTCTCAGGAGAATATGTATGTGTAGATTTCTGGACTATATATTCAGTTATGATCCCTTCTTTAAGAATGCGGTATGTTGACATATCATTATCCGAATTCCTTCATAGCCTTACAACTTGCTTAATTTGCTACAGAATCTATTTTGGACACCTTTTTTTTTTTATATGATTTTTATTTTTTTTTACTTTTTTTTTTGCTTCCTAGCATTTTTTTTATTTTTTCCCGAACTACTGGAAAATACCAAGAACGCCCTATTCATTTATCTATAGTGTATTCTTTTGTAAATTTTTTTTTTTCTTAGTGCTAATCTACTAATTTTTTTTTAATATCATATCCTGCAGATAGCGCCACCGACAATCAATGTACTGATAAAAAATGCTGAAAATGTTGCCATCAATTAATTTACTCTTTTATAATAGCATACATCTAGTAAAATGGCTTATAAGGATATAGTACCAATTGGATCTAGTTTGATTATCGCCGCGGCTTCTTTTGGATTAGGGGCTGTTTACGGAAACTGGCCATATGATTTGAATACCCTTTTCATTCATGACCCCACTGGTAACAGTTTCAATGTATCATTAGCTCATTACATGGTTTGGGCCAATGCTCCAAACTACATCCATCACACTCTTCATGCTGTGTTTGGGTTTGGTCTTCTTGGATGTTTTATTAAGTTGTACAAGCCTGATGAAGAAGCCAAGTATTTTGAATATGGATCTCTTGGTCTTTTGATGGTTTCCATCATTATTTATTTGACCAACCTTAGAACTGGTATCAATAGTTGTGTTGTTGGAAACTGGGGTGATGTTGACATGGCCACTGGTATCAATGTCATGGCTGCCTCACAAATCATGATTGTTTTGGCCTTGGTTGGTGTTTTATTCTTACAAGGTGGATTATATTATGCTCAATGGTATGATAACAAGATTAAGGTTGAATTTTATGAAAGGGAAGCTGAACTTGCTGCTAAGGCCAGAGAAACTGCTGCTGCTTCTCCTTCTGCTACTGAAGTCAAAGTTGATGTCACCAAGGTTGAACCTACATCAAAGACAACCACCACTGGATCTGCCAAGTCTAACTCCAAGGCTAAGAAGAGAACCAAATAAGACTATAGTAAATACATATTAACTTTTTGTTTGCACTTTGTTGATTATTAAAAAAAGAGTAAGAAAGAACAATAAAATATCAATTAAACAGACTTTCTTCAAATTAGAAGGCTTATTCAAAAGAAGTAAGGTACCTAAGCCTTTTCTTTTAGGACCTTTGTTTTTAGAATAAGAATATTGTTGCAGCCAAACTATCGTCATCATAGTGCTTATGTAATCTAATACGTTGATATACTACTTACAGTACAATATACTTAAGAGGCTGTCTATTAAACATGTTAACTTCCTTTTACCATTAAAATAAATGATTGTCAAATCTCTTTAATAAATACTTTATCAAAATTTGAATCCCACTTGGTTCTGGGCCAATTTCGTATACAAGTGAGATTTACATGGTTTTGTTGTTGGTTTAGAAAGTGAGTTGCAGCAACTCCATAAATGGGAGTCCAATATGGAGAAGAAGTAAAATTACTCCAGCAGTTATTGAATGAGATCAAGTACCTCGCGAAGTAAACTGTCATTCTTAGACGAAGCTCCTTCTGTGAGTAGACTAGGATCTCTTTAAACAGTTAATTTTCCGGAGAATTGTTCAGAACTGGTGTCACAAGGTTGTAAGCTTGATCTTGAGTTCAATAGTGCCTTTTGAACCCATGAGTATTTCCCAAATGAGAAGGCTAATGTTAAAATCTTGCAACCGAATACAACAAGTGCAGAATGTGACATTCTAATGAATGGAGAAAACGACAATGTTCAATTTACCTGCCAACAACAACTGAAATCCTTGCTTGGACCTGTCCATTGTAAACAAAACTTGCGGAGATGTGTACCCACTAGACACTAGGAATACCAAATATCAATTGATCCACTTGACGTAGCAACAACACGCAAAAATTAACGGGCCAGACACTGGCCCACCAGAAATCACCAGAATAAGTGGAATTGGACCAAGAGCTGCTAGAATCACCCCTAGGACTAGAGTCAATTCCAATGTATAGCTCTACGAATTTCCTTCGATAAATTCGTTAGTGAGATTTTGGAATTCTTTCCTGCCTTTATCCTCAACGACACACAGGTCTGGAGGATTGATCCCTGGTTTCCACCCAGTGAGTTCGGATGAATAGACGTAGAAAGCTATTATTGAGAAATGCCATCTAACCAAATATCCAACTAACAACGTTAATTTTAGGAGAAGGGGAATAGTTGCCTCACGGTTTATACGTTTTACCTCAAACATGTTTCCAGTAATGGATTAACTACGTCGCATCTAGTCTGAACAACCCAATGCTGCATTTGAAGGAAGGACATTATGTTAAACTTTATTAATTTAAACTCCGAATTGACTATCACTGGTGGTAGATACCTAAATTCGGCAAGTAGTACATACGTCATAGCATCCCATGTGGTAATCAGAAAGGAATGAGTATCGGGTATAATCTCCCATGATAGGTTCTGTGATCAAGAGTTCAAAGGAAGGAAAGAAAAGAGCAGTATAGAATTGGGAAACTGAATCATAAATATAAAAGAGAGGATCTAAACACATTTTATTCTAAAAAAAAGTAGCATATTCAATGTCTTGTCAAGAACTATTGTCATAGATAAGGTAAATCAAAGTTTAAGGGGGTTCCGCGAGTGGAATACACATTGTCCAGTTTGAAGGTCTAACGGTAAACTGATTTTAGACATTAGAAATTCAGTCATCCAAAACTAGCTATGAGAACAGAGAAATACACCTTTAGGGGAATAGAAAAAGCGTAGTTAACAACTACTCCACCTCTTAACAGAGACAAGTTTATATGTACAGACTTGCATGCAGAACCTTTTTTTAAATAATTACACAAAGTCCATATAACCAATTAAACGTGATAATTTTTTTGTAGGTAGAGTGAGACATGAAAAACTAACAATATCAAATATATAGTGATTTGTAAAACACATACCTCTATATACATATAATACATCATGTCTTCTGAAAAAGTATGGGGTGATTACCCAGTATATTTCAAAGAGCCACTCAGAGTAAGTAAACCGGAAGAGAGGAGATTAGTATCAATTAACTTACCGTTCAAAAGCAAGATGTTGATTGATTAGTCTTTGATTTATTAATTTTTTTGTTTGAGTACTAACAATGTTTCTAGTGGTTGCGTTACCATGCTCACACCAAGCCTCACTTCGTAGCTTCTATTGGTTTGGGATTATCTGCCCCATTACTTGTCATCTTTGCCGCTCCATTGAGAAGAAAGTACCTCTATGCCGACCATGAACCTATTCCATCTGTTTACCCATTGCCAACCAGAGCTAGAGACTCTAGTTTGACCGGTTACGACGACGAATAAACAAAGTATGTACTGTGTCTACATCATGTACTATAGCTAAGGGTTAAAGTCTCTGCAAATTTTTTTAGTCATGGCAAGGTCGTTTAACTTGCCGAATATCATACATAAAGAAAATATACATTAAAGATAGAAATTAGAAGTGTAGAGTAACAGTAGTAGAAGATGGAGAATGAATATTACGATGAATTTTCAGGAGAGGACTAAATAGCCCGGATAAGGGGTGTTAACTCTTTATAGAGAATAGTTTATTATTCTTTGAAATAAACCTTGAGTATGATAATATGACTATGAATCTATGACCATGTAAGTAATGAAGTAATGAGTTAATAAAAGTAAGGAGGTATGATCCTTTAGAATATATAGATATTCATTTGGGAAGATTCTACAAACCCATTTAGTTGACGCTTTCTTAAAGTATTGTGCGCTACCAAAAAGAATTGATTTCGTCTCACTTCTATGCTGAGAGTGGCCCTTCTTATAGCAAGCTAAGATTTTATAGATGCTAGTTTATAAACACTCTATTCCATGTAGTACAGAAAAAATGTCTAAACATCCCAAAAACAGATCAAGAGCCAATCTCAAGTTCACATATACAGATTAAACTACTAGAAACATACCGAACTTACACAATTTTCAGCCAAATTAAGTCCAATATCTACTCTCACATCCCTCTACTTAATCCTGGTGAATAATAACTACAGTTTGTTAATACTCAAATTAATTCTAATGGCTGCAAATACTATTCAATACCTTTTTTTGAAAAAAAGGACAACAATGAGGTACTCTTCTTCCATCAACAGGATTCAACTGATTTACTATTCTTGAAGAGTACTCTTGTCGAGTAAGAAAGTTGATCTATACTATATATATATACTCCCAATTAAACCACCAGAGATATCTCGAATTTCCGTAATATCTCTTTATCTCTACGACATATTGATTGAGTTGGAAGTAAAAAATCACATACATTCAAACAAACAAAATTCACAAACATATATGTATATATATATAATATTAAGTGGATTATATCCATAACTAATCTTTACTTGAATTATATACTCTATATTCAACTTTATTAATCTTGATTATAAGTATCCACTATAGTCCTTCTCAACTGATTCCTACATATAAACCCACCATTGATGATCAAATGGATTTTCTTACATAATCAAAATTTCTCAAAATTTCTCTTTTTGTGTTACAATTTTCAAAGACAAATTTTCAAAATATCAAAAAAGTCATAAAGACAAAAATTCAACTTAATAGATCGTGATAGACATACAGTTATTTCAAATATAAATTTACATTTAGTGATGTTTTGGAGGTCTACTGTACCACGTCTTGTCGATACGCGTGTATTGCCTCAAGTGTCTGTTCGTTTGAGCAGAGCACAACTTCATAACACATCCTTTTTAAACAGTGGTGGATCACTCTTTGGTGATATAACAAATGCTCCAAAGCAACCAGAATCAACTGTAAGTTCAACCACCGACTCTGAAACCGGTTCTAAGGTTCCAGAAAACGCTCAACAAGACAAGGAATTACAAGAGTTCAGACGAGAAAACGCATTGAAAGAACAAATCTCCATTGATAAATATGTAACACCTTTGAAGCAAAAACTTTTCAATTTAAATGTAAAAGCAAATGGATTTTTCAAAAATAATCAAGTTATTCATGATCCAGAAACTGGTAAGATGTTCAAATTAACTTTAAAAGAAAAGGAAATTGAATATTTGGAACCAAGTATTTATTTACAATCTTTGAGAATTAAATCTTCAGTTAAGAAGGCTACTTTGGTTAATCGTTTTGTAAGAGGTTATAATGTTAAGACTGCCATTAATCAATTGCATTTCAACCCAAAGAAAATGGCCACTGAATTAGAAAAACTTTTGAAAGATGGGTTGACTCAAGCTCGTACTCAAGGTTTAAATGAAGATGGGTTATATATTGACCAAGTTTGGGCTGGTTCTGATGGTGGTACTACTAAAAGAGCCGACGCTAAGGGTCGTGGTAGAACCGGTGTTCTTCGTCATCGTTATGCTCATGTTAAGGCAGTTTTAAAGACTGAACAAACTTTACAACGTTTGAAATGGGAAAAGGAACAAGCTGTATTGGAATCTAAGCCAAAGATGAACTTGAACAATGAACCATTGAACTTTAGAGTTAAGCCATTCTATAAATGGTAAATGGATCTTTTGGGAGCTAAATAATATGTATATAGTAAACAGTCACCATAGACAAAAAAAATAAGTAACGCATTTGCCTCAAATTCAAATTAGAAACTCACACACCACCACCTACGTCTTACCACAAAAAATAACAATAGTATAAGAAATTCAACCTGTAATTAATATATCTCACATCAAGTACCTTATATCTGGTAACTATGCCATACTCTGGTTTTGTGCTCGTTTAGAAAATACCCTTTCATGACCTTAACCCCTTCTTATGCACAAAATAAAAAAAAAAATATTATAACGGATTCAACTTTATATATAGCCCGAATACGATTCTGATAAAATAATATACTGACGATTAATATCATTCCCCGTTCACCTTAACCTGGTTGAATTCCGTTTTTTTTTTATTACATACTTGAATTATATCTATATACCACGGAATTAGGTCTTATCTATGCTTAAAGATTTGCAGTCATTGAAGACGCAGTGTAGTACTGTAACAATAAAAAAAAGCAGTTAACTACTATTGTAATCGTTATCTTAATCCTCGGTATCGAATGAGCAATACAAATTTTCGTTACAAACTTCGGCCGTAATTTAGTTGGGTTTCACCTGACCTTGAATCGGGGTAGGGGGGTTTTTTATTCTGGCACGTTTAAAAAAAAAGAAAGAAATAGCAAAAAAAAACATAAAAAAAGCCCAATCCAGGCTAGAATAGGAATTACATTGCATGAAGTGTGGTTCTGTCCTAATGACGCAGGATGATTCTTTTTGGTTATCTACTATTGTAATCATCATATTTTTGAGTCATGTCATATACCAACTTCCTTCTCAAGCCCGCACCACCCCTCTCTTGACCCCACCTATCCTCTCCTCCCTTTTGTGCCGATAAAACTTTGGAATCCACTTTCCCCACCGAGGTTCCGGGTTGATGCACTCGCGCGGTTCCAAGATTGGGACCCGATACTGGGATCTGCACCTCTTTAACTAGTATTTAAGTAATTGCACACTCCTCACACCTACACACCCTCTGTATATTTTCTAACACAATCCTCTGTTTCCTCATTCCTCTTTGCTCCCCCCTTTCATCGTTTCCCACACGTTTCTATTTAACTTTACTTGTTCTTTTTAAACTTTTTGTTTCTGTCTTTTTCTTTTGTATTCTTTGATCACCTTTTTATCATTATCTATTATTTCCGTGTATAACTCTCTACTTATTACAGAGTATATCCACTATCTTTATCCGGCCTTTGGCAAGCAATATTTGAACTCCGTTCATAGTATTAGTTTGCGCATACTAAAATCCCTAGTGTGCACCCATTTTGTTTGTCATTGGTAACCCCCTCCAAAGTTTCCTGTTCAACGCCACCACAACTCTTTAGGTTGTCATTAAACAACTATCATGGGGTTAAAGCATACGAATTTCTTTGCAAATTCAAACTATGAAGCTGATGATACCCAGATCATCATATGTAAGCAGTGTTCTTCTCATCTATGTCTTTCAAGTCTTATCTTATCAGATAAATTTTTTGCGTCATCTGGTGAGGCATATTTGGTTGACAAGCTAATAAATTACACCCCAGAACCAACAGTTCAAGAAACTAGCATGCATACTGGGATTTATCTCATCAGTATGGTTAGATGTCATCAATGTAATACCAAATTGGGTTGGAATTATAAAAAGGCTTATTCATATCTGGAGACCTATAAGGAAGGTAAGTTTGTCATTGAGAAGTCCTTTATCAAGAGTATTCCCAATAATAGTTCCACAGCAACATTGATGGAGAATGTGAAACGTAGTCGGAGAAGATCTTCAGCTGCTAATTCCCTTCGAGCAGGTAGCATATCTCTGGAATTAGATGAAGATTCGTTCCATTTTGAGAAATCACCTATCTCAAAATCAAACCATGACCTTCACAACATTTCATTCCAAGATTTAGAACATGATTCAGACCAAGCATTTCTCAATAGACTTGGCTGGCGCTCTCTAGTCAGTGACAAGCTTGAAGATATAGAAGATACAGAAGCAATAGTGGATGTTTAGTACTACTCATTGGCACTCAACTACTCCCCCGTCATGTCCCTATTTATTTCTGTTTTTAAACTCCTTCTATCTCTCCTCTAATACGTTTCTTCTTCATCTTTTTATTTCCTTTAACCTTGGTTTGACAGATTTTTGTCCTTTTTCATTTTGGTATGGTGTTTTTTTTTGGGTATATGTGATTTCACATATGGTTTGGTATTGGCTGTTGTTCATTATCGGTTGCTGGTTTGGCTCATCTATTTTTGTTTATCCCCCTCTCTATTTATACATTGGTTTCTTAAAAACCAATTCATATAATGTTTATATTGTTTATTTTACGTTTCTAATATACATAATCTTAAATTACAATGTATCATGTCAATGCCCATTATTTCTTTGACTTTTTGTTTGACTTGGTTGTTGATTTTTCAAGTTTTCTTTTCTTTCCAACTTCATTGATTGGAATAGATTTATGTGTCAACCTAGTATAGACCAAAAAGTATGCTGAAGGGTCTTTGAGTGCTTCACGCTCTCCAACCTTGTTAATGTATTCATCGTCATAATTGGCCCAACTTCCATCAGGTTGCAAACAATGCGCAACATAATGACCAGACAGAATGGATCTACCTTCGTGTACAATTACTGAAGTGAGTTGGTATTTTGTTGGTGAGTTATCAGACAGAAATTGTGTAAGATCAAGGGTGTTTGGATATGAAACTGGTTGTTTCACTTTCAGGGACAGGTTCCCATTGAACTTAAATCTCTTTAAATGAACCGTTAAAGTTTCTGGGGCTCTATCAATGGTACTGATTTTCAATGCATTGGTTCTTTGTTGACAATTCTCACATACATATCCTGAACTTTCATCCTTTTTATCAAATTTAATTAATTCAGAAGAAAAGAAATCTTTAATTGATTTTTCAATAGAATATTTTTGATTATTGGTTAATTCAGATGTTTGTGGTTGTGGTTGTGATGAATCTTGTTGTGGAGTTTGAGATTTCTTTTTACTCAAACCAAGAGATAAATCATAAAACTCTTGCTTGGTATTCGAAACATGTCCACAATTCTTACATGTGACAGATTGATGCAATAACCCCCCGAAAATATCGTATATAATCGATTGATTTAATTTAACTCCCTTTGGTGTGGAATCTTCTTGTAACCTAGACATTAATGACATGTAATATTCATGGGAATCTTCTTGTTGCCATTCAGACATCATACAATTGATATCATCCAATCTTTGAATGAGTTTCTTAGGGTTGATGTATTTGGGAGTACGGGTGTTGTTCCCACCATTAGATTTCTCCCCTTCAAGTCCCCACATTCTTCTAGAAAGTTCAGCTAATACATGACTAACAGATCTAGGCTTTAAGACTTTATTGTATTTCCCCTCATGAACTTCATCCAAGTAGTGTTGCATTGCAGGAATATGAAGCATTGCTTGGATGGCTGAGTTCATATAACAGGTAACTCCATGGTTCAATAATCCGACCGGTTTCTTTTTAATCAATTCTCTCCAATTCTTGTAAATCCTGGTGGATTCATTGGATCCTCTATCATTGGCATTTTCATTTATTTGGTAGAATTCCTTCAAGGGTAATACCTCTGGAATTGTAGCGACTGGTGAGGTATTACCTTCCTCCTTTTGAGATTGTGTTTCATCATCTGGGGAAGTTGGTGGTGTGCTGTCTTCCTTTTCAGAATCATTAGATTCAGTGGCGACAATGGCAGCCTTATCATTGACAGGCACTGAATCTGAGTTCGAAGCTGATTCAGAATCAGAATCAGAATCAGAACCAGAACCAGAATCAGAATCAGATTCTGAACCAGACTCTTCAGACTCAGATTCTAATGCATCATGGACTTCACTATTAAAGTCTTGATCATCCTCATCACTATCTTCAACATTTCCATCCTTCTTTTCCGGCTCTTCCGAAGTTGATTCAGAAGAGTCTTTCAAATCAGATTCAGTTGCCATTCCAGTATCATCTTCTTCTTCCTCATCATCATCTTCTCCTTGAGTAGGGGATTCGCTATTTGTAGGATACTCAGAAGCAGATTCATATTCAGATGATGAAGATTCTCCAAGATCTTCTCCTTCATCGTCAACTATATCCTCACCAAGATCTTCATCTTCAATCTTGTTTTCCACCACTGGTTCTTCAATAACCTTTCTCTTTTTGGAAAACTTTTCTGCTCTCTTTTCAGCCTTTGTGAGAAATCTTTTCCCAGTGTACGCTTGAACAGCCTCATACATTGATCTGGGCTTCTTCATCTCTGCGGCTACTTCGGTGGACTCGGATTCTTTGCTAGCACCGTCTGAACTTTCTACAGGCTTAGATTTCTTGCTACTCTTCTTACTAAGTACAATGTATCCTGAGGGTCTATCCGATGTCTCTTTTTCGGGATGGCGTGCTGCGTTAAAGTTAAGTGGGTTAGAGATAATCCTATCTATCAACGGAGCAAGTGTTCCAGTTGTGTCAGACATAGGATATATATCTGTCTCAGTTGCAATGAACTTGGATCAAATTCTATTACCGACTCTTCTCTTAAGGGCAAGCTCTTCTACTTAGAGCTGTTTGTGAGACACTAAAAAAAAAAAAAAAAAAAAAAAAAAAGAAGAAGAAAAGAAAAAGAGAAGAAAACGAAGAGTTAAGGAAAACTTTGCAAAGAGCAGATAGAGAGTAAATGGTGAAGTGGGAATACATGATAGCTACTATAACGAAATCGTATGCATCACACTGATGCATTCAATGAAATCACAATCGATTTCCATTTCCATTCTACTGATTTTTAATTCATCTACAAATTTTTACCCAGTATTCTGCAGTTTCCTTTTTCGTTTTGGCTGCCTCTTCTCATATGCCATTAATCTCATATCTTGGTAAACACAAAATAATTTTTTTGGTCTTTGGAGGTAAAATCAAAACATTCTATTCTCACGTGAGTTTGTTCCACTAAAGAGTACTAATTTTAGAAATAACAAACTACTGAGAAGTATTTATCTTATTGGATAAACTTTAGTCTTTTAAAGATACCCATATGATTATTAAAATATTTTTTTTCTGATTGCCTACACTCTATTTATCTTATTTCTTCTCTTTCTATTACGTCTCCTAATTTAAACCCCCAAACACTTTTTGTTGTGCTCTTAATGTAAGCAAATCTTCAATGGCCAAAGTGGCAATCAATTCACCAGTTCTCAGGATTTGATTCATATTCTTATTATTTTTAGCCATTTTCAAGTCATGTTCTCCATATGCAGATAATGATTCCTTTTGACGACCCAAATAATGTGGTCCATCCACAACTATCCCTAACCTTGATCTCAGTAAATTTTCACTACTACTATTACTACCAGGTCGTCTTCTTTGAATTTTCCGTTGTCTCCGAGCCATCCCGTATGCTGACATCATTTCTTCATTTTCAAGATCTTCTTCTGCATCATTCCGTTTATTCCTTGAAATGGTGGTGCTTTCCATAGACATATCATCGTCATCATCATCCTCCTCTTCCGCAACATCTGAAACATCCAATGCCTTACCAGCACCAGCCTCTAAATCACTCTCATCTTCCATATCATGGTCCTCACCATCACTTGGACTTACATTCAGCACAAATGCACTATTTCTTGTTTCCGCCTGCGTTACAAGTAATCGTTCACTTATTTCTTCCTCGAAAATTTGATCAAATTTCCTATGAAATGATACTTCCATTAAACTCAACTTACCATGTTCCTGCTCTTTACATTTATCAATCAATCCTTGAACAAGGTCAGAAAATTCTTCTTCTTTCTGTGTAGATCTTGCCAGTGTATTAATTAATCCAGAGATCCACGATTGATCCGTAAGCAAGTCAATGACGGCTGAATCATTCTCAGACTTGATGATTTCTATGTCCAAAGAATAATAATTATCACAATGTGCCCCAAAATCTTGTCTTTTCTCCTTGGGGAGTTTCTTCTCTCCACTACTATGCTTTTGCTTCATAGTACCATTCTTCGTTGTTGGTTGCTTATAATTATCAGGGTACGTCCGGAATGCACCAATTTCCACTTTACCTTGTGCAATTGTCTTGGATGGATCAACAACTACCGCCAAGTATGGATCTTGGAAATTTTGATTAAGACTTTGTGTTGCTACATCTATCCCAGAGAGCCAACATCCATATCCTGGATGTGAATGATACCAACCAACAATGTGCTCTTCTCGGCCGGCCTTCTTCAGCTGCTCAAGATATTGTACCATATACTCATAGCCTTCAGCTTGTGCATTGACTCGGGTTTCGGTTCCTTCTACGGGAAGAGGATACACATCCATAACTACAATGCCACGTTCCACAATCTTACCAGTCATCATGCCCATAATTTCAATGGATCCACCAGACTCGGCATGTAATGACATCTTAAGAAGTGCCAATGACGTGATATAAGTTTTCTGGAAGTATTTGGCATCTTTCTTCCATGGTCTATCTTGCTTCAATTTACTGTTAACTTCATTGTTAAATAGTTTCTTGGTATCTATTTTTCTGCCAGATTGGGCCATTTCTAATACATTGTACTCATTCTGAAGTTCACTCAGACTAGTGATAGTCGCCGCTAGTTCATGTATTTTACACATCAGTTGATATTCTACTCTTATGTATCCTTCTATTCCTATCTACATTTTGATTCAATTTATTTTATTTATCTTTTTTTTTATTTTTAAACAATTCTATTTTTTTTTTTTTCGCTTTTTTTTTCGTTTTCTTTCATATCTCTCAATCTATAGCCAGAATGGTTGCAAAAACTTTATTGAAAAAAGTTAACCATTTGTAATTATTGCTCAATATTATTAGGTGGTTGAGGGTAATAATACTGGTAGTATGGAACAGGGCCGGGTGTATAATCTTGAGCTCCTTCATAAGGAATATAATATGGATATGGATTATAGAAATTTTGTGGTGGAGGTGGATGTGGTGGCGCTCCACCATACCCACCAGGAATCCCCCCAGGCCCAATTTCATTTGTTGGGATATAATAGAAGTAAGGTTGCTTTGCTTGCTGTTTTTGTTCTGGAATATTTTCTTTTCCATATTTGGCAGCATCGGATTTCTCACTTTTAACTATACTGGAAGCTGAATAAGTTTTAGTGATCGTTGGGGATGTTGATGAAATTTCACTAGCAGCTGGACTCATTGTATTCTCATTATTTGAATTTTCCATATCAGGAGAATTTGGATTATCAATACTTTTTCTCTTTGTCTTACTAGGACTAGTAGCAACAAACTTTGAGTAACTCCCACTCCCACGCAGATAGAATACATTTGATGGTTTTTTAAATAAATCATATAATGGTTGTTGTTGACGATTTTGATATTGTGATTTATTATGAAACTTTGAATAAGTCCCCGTCAGCTCCAATAATGGGATTTTCTTATTCATAGTTCCATTCACTCTTCTATTGAAGTTGATCGGAGATGGTGCTAAGGCTAATCCATGAACCTTTGGCGAATAAGCATGATATTTCTGTTTTGGATTATGAAGCTCACGATATTGAACATGCATGGTCTTCTCTTGAAACATTGAATGATTTTCCTTCTCAACCGCGCGTGCTGCACTAACTTCATCTCTATATTTAATAAATGCAAAGTTGTTCTTTAATCTTTTAGATAAAATAATATCAATAATCTCACCATGGAGGCTAAATCTTTCATATAATGCATCTTTAGTAACAGAAAGGGAAATCAGACCAACAAAAATAGATTGTTTATCAAAAGTTGGCTCAGAAGATTTCAAGCCATCATTATTTTCATCTACTTCATCATCATCATCAATATTTTGAGCCCATTCAACACATCTAGACCTATCAGATTTAATATTTGCAAAAGCACGGATTGCATCTTCACGATATGCAAACTTACAAAACCAATATTTGGAATATTCACAAACTCTCAGAATCAAATAACCCTTTTCGGTACTTGGAAGTAATTTTTCAATTTCACCAAAGACTTCTAATTCAGTTTTAATTTTAGAATGAGCAAGTTGATACTCATTTGAAATGAAAAGAGTTCGATTTACCTTGGCATGTTCACAACGGATTGTTCTCCCTTCCAAAACTGTGTTATGAGCTTCTGCAATCGCTTTCTTTGCATCTTTGTCATTATTATACTGTACGAAAGCATATGGTCGATTATGTGGATCTCTGAGCACTTTAACGGTTCCTAATACTCCCCACTTTGAGAAATACTTGATAACTGCCATGCAGAGATCATCATCAGATAAAGACGAAGTGAGACTGGCAACAAAAACACAAGAAGATGGTCGATCACGAACAATTGATTTTTGTCCTCCAGAAGCATTACCCTTCATCAAAGTCTTATCGGAGGAAGTATTTGAAGTATTGCCTACTTCCTTGGACGATGATTTAGCCTCCTCATGGTTCTCACCATCAGAATTAGCTTCGTCATCTGAACTGGTATCTCCAGAAAGTGAATTGAACGAATTCGTCATCATTTTCTCCTGGAAGACAGAGCCGGATTTCAAAATCGGAGACATTGGCCGTCTTGACAGATAGCTGTTAGGTTTCATCATAGTGATTGATTGATTAACCAAGGCTTTGTTTCAAGTTGTTTCTTATTTTTAAATTTGACAGCTAAAGATTCTTTAAAAAAAACTAGTTCTTGGAACTAATATTGGGTATTACTTGAAGACTTGCTCGATTGCTTATTCAGATGGAAAATATTATACTTAAATATGATTCAATGAAATTGATTATGATTCTTCCTTGGTGAAAAAAGAGAAACGTTAAACTATAAAGTTGACAACAAAGGGTTGTAAAAAAAGGTGTTTGTGGTTTTTTGGCTGCAAAATCGCACAATGCGGAATCTTCGATAATCAAAAAAAAAAACCAATCCTCCTGGAAAAGAATTGAAATTTAAAGATAAATACAAAGCGGAAATAATCTACATGTCGATATAAGGAAGAGATATATACATCTTCTATCAATGACAGTAGGACAGTAGAGGTTATAGGGAGAAGTATATAGTTATAAGATGGTAACGTTGTGTGAGCACTTCTTGGACGATAAGTAGTGATACCTTTCTATATATAAGAATATCTTTTCTGAGCATTTCGAAGCTCTTCTATATGTTAGTCAAGATATTCAGCGATTAAAACAAATGGTGTATCGCTTGCCAATAATTATATGGAGCCATTTGTAATACATCTCAGAGTGTATATAACCCCAGTTGTTGTAACCTTGCGCTGTATTGCCTCATATTTCTCCAGATTGCTACATTCTTCATCACATGCAAATCGAAACGATATCCACGGTTATGCTCTATTTCAATACTTTATCTCGCTATTATCACAACCTTGACCACATGTTCCAGTAGTGACAAATCCTTTTTATCTTTGTGTTTGTCTTGAGACCTTCCTCTATGTAAAATCATCTCCATATCGCGTGCTATCCACTGAACCTGTATGTAATCCTTGGCCGGTCAATCGGGTGATTCCGGAACTCGGCATTGGGAATTCCAAGATTGTGTGAATGTCACCGTTGCACAATCTTTCTACACATTCATGGATTGTTTATCGGCGATAAAGTAAATGTGGGTTTAGATCACAATTTCTTTTTTTTATTGCTATCGATTACTTGAACGTATTGAGCTAATACTACTCTTTACATCTATATTCACATCTATATAACCTTCAGTACTGACCTATTACCCCCCTTGAACTAACCATAAAATCTTCTCTCTTGTAATTTTCAAACAGAGCCACGAAATGCCAACACTTTTAATTCCCCCGGCCCCCACATTATCCTGGCAAAAATCGGAAAGAAAAGAAATTCATCGAGAATTTCGGGGAAATTCAAAGCCAGATCCACCCCCACGAAATCCCCACAATACATTACCCCAAGTCTTATTGGCTGGTATCTGTTCTTCCCGTCCCTAGAACCCCCGTCTCGGGTTATTCAAGGGGTTTCATATATGTAGGGTAATTTTTACTAGTATAGGCCGGAAAATTCAACTACAATAGCAAAAAAATAAATTATATGGAGTCTGGGCGGGGGGCCGAGATTGGAATTAACATTCAAATTTTAATTTGAAGGCGGGTTTTCTCTACAAACATGCAAAAAAATAAAACATAAAGAAAATTAAAAGGAGGTGGGCGTTTAAACTTTGCTTTGAAAGATAAACAAACATTAGATAGTATTAGCAGGTGAGCATATCTCCTAGGTTAGAGTTTTCCTTTCATAAAGCAGTTTACAAAATATAATTTACTGTACGCCCCCTTAATTCTTTCTGTTTTTAGGTTTTTAGTGTCTTTATTTATTTGTGCATTTTTTTTTTGTGTACCCACCTTCACATCGTGGGTTCTCCGCAAAAATATTAGGCAAAAATGATGGTAACTCTTTCCGAACGGCTTTTTGGTGAGTTTCTTTTTCCTCACTTAATTTTTTTTTTTTTTTTTTGACACCAGATGTTCCCTCCTGACGACATTACAATGTAACAACAACTAGTATCATGTAGGATGATATAGAATCAAGCACAGTGTTTAAAACACCGAGCGTGTAATGTTCGCAGTCATGTAATGCGCATTCAAAATGTTATTTACATTTTTCGTAATGTCCTATGCCTATTGTATTTCTCCACTAATTTAATCTTCCCCTCATAACGAATCATAGTATGCAACAGAAAGAAGACACGCCAAAATAAAAAATAATCTACATACTCACCCCTCTCTTTCCTATAAAGTACATAGCAACGTTACTCGTGTGATAACGCTGTTTGGGCCATGTATTCTGCCACCTACCCCGGGTCGGATCTTCTGAACTGTGGGATATTTATCTTTTTTTTTTCCCTCATCAGTTGTCGTTTGGCTACAAATTTGGGGGTCCCATACATTCACCCGTAGTGTGTGTATAAACTTCAATCCACGGCTCCAGGTTTTTTCTCCGTGAATTCGATTTTTCTTTCTTTTTTTCCTCTTTCTCTCTGTATAACACTTCATTTAGTTTTTTTTTTACGGATTATCCATTTCTATTTCGACTCATAGCTTAGTCGAAGATAAAGAAAGGACTTTCCATTTAAACCTGCTTCTTACTCGAAACTTATATTGGTACCAAAGAAGTACAAAGTTAGTTTCTTTTTTTTTAAAAAAATATTTCCCCTCAATTCGTTGGAGAGGCCCTACAAGAAAAATACAATCCCGCAGTCTAAAACTTTATAACAAGTATATCCTGAGTAAAGAAGTATAATACCAACTTCTACTATAGTTACTTGACACTATCACCACGCCCCACCAAATAAATTTTAAGAGTCCACCATAACTTTTAAGATGATGGACGTGAAGAAGAAGGATCCAGCCAATAGGCCGTATAAATGCCCCATGTGTGACAAGGCGTTCCATAGACTTGAACATCAAACAAGACATATCAGAACCCATACTGGAGAAAAACCTCATAGTTGTTCATTCCCTGGTTGTTTCAAAAAATTCTCAAGATCTGATGAATTAACCAGACATTCAAGAATCCACACAAATCCAAACTCCAGAAGAAATAAGAATTTAAATAAGACTGTTCTGGGCGGAAGTTCGAGCGGTAATTCGCCACCATTGACAGGCGACTTGACCAGTGCTCATTTAGACTCCTCCCCACCAGACTCGTCTTCCTCGACCTCCTTGATAAACCATTTGACCAAAAAGAGAAGTGCAAGCAGATCCCCTGGTTTGGAATCTCCACCTGATATATCCATGAAAAATGAGTCTAGTGGCTCTGATGAAGAAATAAGTGTCTCGGGAGGTCTACCAAATTCTAAACCTACTCCAAGTAATGCTACCTCTTCCAATTCAAATTCGGACGCCACCACGGGTCAAGAACTTGCTAGACCGCCAAGTACAATGAATATTGATATATTAGCTAGTGCTGCTTCTGAAGAGTTGAAGAATTTGGAAACTACCAATTCTAAATCTTTACCATCGCTCACTGATTACTTTGGGGTTGGTAAGAATACGATACCTCAACCTTCCACATCTACCAAACCAAAACCTATCCAACAGACCAAATCACAACAACAAGTTATCTCTCCAAAATTGGCTCGACCCCTGCTTAAGAATTCGCATTCTTATTCTACCAACTCACTTCAATACCTTTCCAACATTGCTATTTTAAATAATAACAATGCCAACACTCCTACCAACAACCTTAATACTAATTCCAATGGTTTATACCCTGGAGGAACCACTCACAACACCAACCTGCATTCTAAGAGTTATACCACATTATCAAATAGCACCAAGACGCATTTGAACACCCTTTCCACTCTTCAAAGAATGACACCATTAGTTCAACCAGTACCTCATAAATCACACATTCTTGAAGATTCTGATTTGGATTATGTTAAACAGAAACTCAAGAAATCAAGACCAAATTCACCCCTGGGTAGTTCTTCTCTGAGAACATTTACATTGCCCAATTCTCCAGTTCTTGGATTGTCTTCCAATGTAACCCCCATTCTCTCGGCAAACAATAGTTCCACTAATTTATCTGGATTGTTCATGACTCCAGTGGTTGGAAGAGATACAACCCAGCAACTGCATCAACGAGCTAGAACACCACCCAAATCCACAAGTAGTTTGCACACACCCAAGTTCTCACCAGACCAGTCAAAGGGCGCTCTCAGTAGCAGCTATGGCTCAGCCAACGAAGAATCCCATGCATTGCCACCATTAAGAAGCTTAAACCTTGATTTGCCAACAAACTTGTCCATGCCCACTTTCAATCGCATAACTCTGGACTTTTCTGAACCGCCGTTAATCTTTAAAAATTCACCTAGAACACTCAGTTCAAGTTCAGGGAAAAGCGGGCAATTAAGAAAGTATTTGGAAGAGGGAAATTAATAGAGAATAAGGATATAGTTCATGTAATTTAGTGTATTATAGATCAAACCGGAAATATTATCCAAATAAAAGTAATTACAAGATTAGTAAAATATATATGCATATCTATAATTTATTTGTTAATATAACTCTAAGTGAAATGTTAATTCTAATATTGGGGGGAGGTTTATTTCTTCTTATCAACACCACCAACAGCCCAGACTTCAGTTTCATCTTCAAATCTATCAGAGAACATCGTTTCGGCGTCACCACCAGCTTCAATTCTTTCTCTTTCAACGCTAGCTAATCTGCTACCAACTCTCTTGGTGTAATCACCAATAGATCTTGGTTGAATGGTTGCACCGATAGCATTAGTGAATGAACTCTTTCCTTCGAACCAGGCGTTGAAGTCTGTTAATGCAACGTCATCAATCATGTTGAAAATAGCCAAGAATGCCTTTTCAGCGGCCAATCTAATAGGAATGATTGGGTCTCTGATACAGGTAAAGACAGAAGGAGCCAACATATCCAAGAATGGCTTAGTCTCAGATTCGTATTGGAATCTAGCAACAGTACGAACAACAACAAGTGCTAATCTTCTTGAATCTGGAGAGTTGGAAACTGGTTGTAACATGTTTTGAGAAAGTTGGTTCATAAGCTTTTCAATAAGTGATTCAGGAATGTTAAATGGAGTTTCCGAAACTACTGGATTTCTAACCACTGGAGATTTAGTTTGATCCTTCAATAACAATAACTTACCAATGGCAACAGTTGCATTATCACTGATGTAAGGATCAGCGGAAGAGGCAGACTCGACAATGAAATCAGTAATTTCTGGAAGAACACCGGTTTCAAAGATGTGCAATGGAGCATCTCTCAAGAAAGAGTTAATTGATAAGACAGCAAACTTAGCATCTTCGGAAGACAAAATTTTAGACTTTATGATGTTAGATGCTTCTTCCAGCAGCAAGATCTTGGATAAGGAACCAACAAGTCTTGCGTATGCAACGGCAGACTTATCGTTAACCTTGGTGATTTCTTCTTCAACTAACGTCATGATGGAAGTCTTTGATCCTTCACTCATGTTCTTACCAGCCTTACTGACAACTTCAAGGATACCCTTCAAAATAGAAGTTTTAACACCTTGTTCGGTGGCCACCTTAGCACCAGAAACCAATTCGGTGACGAGGGAATCAACTCTTGGTTGGAATTCAATGAGCGTTCCAAGGGCAACAACAGCTCTCGAACGTAAACCTTCATTTTGTTGATCCAGTAATGATCTAACAAAAGTTCTTTGCAATTGAGGAATGAATGGACGCAAGAATTGTGGAATCTTAGCAAGCAATACAGTCAATGCGTGTAAGATAGCAGCCTTAATGTCAGATGAAACCTTCTCACCAATAACACGAATCAATGGACCAGTGACAGTAGTGGCGAATGGTTTCAAGTTAGCAGCAGGAGTCTTTTCAATAACTTCGGCAATACCTTGGGCAGATAATTCCTTTTGTTCACTGTTACCGTACATCAAACCGTGCAAGAAGATAGGCAAGACACAGCTTGGACCACGGGCCAAAGTAAAACCGGCCAAATCTTCGCCCAAAACACCAGTCAAACCAAGAGCTTGACGAGCAGGCTTTACCAATCTTTCCAAAGATTCCTTTGGTTGTTGCTTTACTAATGCAGACAAGGCATCGAAGGTACCTTGAACAACTTCAGGCGACTTGTCACCCAAGGACAAAATAAATTGACTGACCATGTCTTGAGTGTATACAGAGTAATCGAGCAGGGTGTTGGTGAAGAAGTTACCCAAACGAGCGTAAACAGTTGCACGTCTGGCAGAATCTTCATGCTTAACAAGAGACATCAATTGTTGCATTAATGGGTGTAATCCTTCACCAGCATCAATTGCTAATAATACACTATCGAATGCATCCTTAATCTGTTGTTGTTGTTCCTCTGGTTGGTTCTTAGCATCCATGATGGCTTGTACCAAGGTGTTAATAACATGAGACAAACGCTTGTACAAAGCAGGACCAGCGACAGAAGCCAAAGAGGCAAGTGCGCCAGCCTTGAATGCATCGATTGGAGGTGACAACAAGGTTGGAAGCAAGATTGGGAAAATAATGTCAGACTTAGCAGACATGATGTCACGAAGTGCAAGTAAAGCATTTTCAGATTCTGAACCCTCGGATTGTAACAAGTTCAACAAATGTGGCAAGATTTCATCAATAACAACCTTACCAAGTTCTTCTTGTAAAGCTTCAAATGCCAGAGCAGCAGCTTCTCTAACACCAGAAGCTGGGTCTGTAAGAGCTTCACGAATTGTTCTAATAAAGATGTCTTGGTATTCAACAAGAGCATCATGTTGAGAGGACTTGATAAGTTCGGTAAGTGCGATACAAATACCTTGCTTGGAGTCTGTGTCTGAAGAGATCAATGCCTCTTCCAATGTAGGAAGCAATTGTGCTAAAGCATTTGCACCAACACGACGAACCATTTCTCCCAATGTTTGAGCAGCGATAGTACGTTGAGTAGTTTCAGGAGAAGCCAAACGACGGACAATGAAATGGGTAAGAGTTGGAAGAATTTCCTTGATAGTTCTTGGGGTGTTGGCCACCAATGCCTTCCAGATATCAACGGAGGCATTACGAACAATACCTGCGGTATCGGAACGACAAATGAACAACAAGGCCAAGATACGGTCACGACGTTCTTGTCCAAGAGCCTCGATAAGAGCCTTGTTGATTTCACTGGATTGCATTTGTTCAACTTCTTCATCTTCTTCACCTTCCTTGGCTTCTTCGCTAGATAATTCGTTCTTACCAGTAATACCAGTGACTTGGAACAACAAATCTCCAGTAAGTTCGACAGAAGAAAGACGAATACGGTAACTTGTGTCAGATAAACCAAGTTCCAATTCTGGTAACAACAAGTCAACTGCCTTGGTGGCGTAGTTCTTGACAATGAGTCTACCAGCTCTCAATGCAGTGTCACGAATATCTTCATCGACATCAGCCAAACCATTCAAAATAGGTGGAATGATTCTAGCCAAGTATGGAGAGAATTGAGAACCAAAACAAACTGGCAAAAACAACAACAATGGCATGTAACCGGCTCTGATGTGGTTTCGTGGAGAAGCAGCGTTGGATAAAATAGATGGTAATAATTCTTCCAATTTGCTAATACCAAGACCACAAACAACTTCGGCCAAGGCTTGGGCAGAACCAAGTCTGTCACCAGCACGAGATTCGTCTTGCAATGTGTCTAAGAGTCTTGGGATCAAATCTGGGAATTGATCTTCACCCAATTTTTCAACAAGAGAACCCAAAGCACGAGCAGCAGTAGAACGAGTTCCTGGAACTGGGTCAACCATAGCGACTTCTAATTCGGCAACTAATTCATTCAAGTATGGATTAAGATCCTTAGCATCGACCAAGAAAGCCATATTACCAACAATTTGGCATGCCTTACGCTTAGTGGCAGCAGAACGATCACGCATACCTCTGTGAATAACATGAATGATAAGAGCCAAAGAAGGACCATCAATGTAATGGACGAATTGAGTCTTAATCAATTTATCCAACGCAGCGTCAGTGTACTTAGTTGGGTCACCAATGGCATTAAGAAGATCAGGAACTACACCTTGAATTTCGGGGTTTCTGATGACTTCACCAAATCTCTTCAAGGCTTGATCAGCGGCCTTACGAACTTCCTTATGTGTGTCATTCAAGACACCAACAATTTCTGGAACAATGGTTGATAAAGAAGCAGATAATTGAGTTGGATCTAAGTAAGCCATGGAACCTAAAAGTTCCACGGATCCCTTCTTAGATCTCCATTGAATTTCGTCCAAATTGGCGATGGCAACTGGGATCAATTGCTTTACACCAAAACTGGTAGTGTTTTTCATGATTTGACGAGCTGCCAAATCAGTAGCTTCACGAACTTCAGGAACTTGATCACCTAAGGATTTTAAGATAATTGGAAGGACTTCAATCACATAAGGTTCGAAGAATTTACCCAAACTTTGAGACAAGCATTCAAAAGCATAAGAGACACCTTCACGACGTTGGGAGTTCTTCTTGTCGTCAGCAGCATCAGTCAACAGACGGATAATGTCAAAGGTAGATAAAGATTTGATACCTGCACCCTTAACCAAACCAGCAAGACCATATGCTGCACCACGTCTAATAGCCATCTTCTTACCATCAAACAACTTTTCAAACAATTCATCGAAGTAAGTTTGTAACTTTGATTGGAACTTTGGAACTAATGGAGCAATACATTCTGAAACAGAGTATTGAACATCTTCGGAAGGAGTATCCAATGTCTTCAATAAACGTTCAACAATAAGATTCAAACGAGGATCAGATGCATCCAAGTGACGAGCTAAAGCACCATACAAGATAATAACAGATTGTCTAATCTTATCTTGAGTTCTTGAACCAGTATCCTTTGCAGAAAGACATTCTTCAAAGAGTGGAATCAAGGCAGCAATATTTGAAGCACCATAAGCTTGGATGATTTCAACACCAGCGTCTTGGAGTTCTTGGCGAACCAAATCTTCCTTGTCACCTAAAGCAGATGGATCTTGAACCAAAAATTCAAAAAGAGCCAACACAGTTGAATCCTTGTAAAGTGGTGACAAGGTCTTCAAAGCAAGTGCCACAGTTGAACGATCTTCCCAAGTATCCTTTTGTTCTTGAGAAGTCTTAACGATCAAACCGAATTGATCAACAAGTGGTGCAGGTGGTTGTTCCTTAACCCAGTAGTGAGCAATGAGTTCTTGAACGATGTCATCCAAAACAATAGTATCATTCTTTGTTAACTTGGAAACAGCTGAGAAAACCGCATTGGCAATGGACAAACGCAAACCAGTATCTTGGTTGTTGAAGAATGGAAGTAATTGTGTAACTACGTCGGCAGGGATTTCGAATCCACTTTCTGACCAAATACTAGCGGCAAACTCGGAACATTGAGGATCGTTGTCGTGTACGGCAATCCAAAGTTCATTAGAGTATGACATGTCCAGTAAGTCGAATTCTGCGTCCAACGATTCCAATACTGCAGTCCTCACATAAAGCTCTGGAGAAATAACAGTATCCAACAAGACTTGCAAATCAGAATCAGAGATACTGACAGCAATGTTCAGAGAAATTGACAAGAAACATTCCTTAGCGAGCTTAGCTCTAGTTGGCAACTTCATCAAAGAAATTAATTCCTTCAAAATATGTGTTCTTGGAATGAATTCATCTTCAAATGCTTCGGCGTGGGCAGCAAGGATTTCCATAGCAAGAAGAAGTTGTTCTTCTTCGGCATCTTCTTCAACGAACTCAGAAGTGACTGCTTGCTTGGATGCATTTCTGATGGCGACAGCCTTACCATTTTCTAAAACCTTGTTCAAAAGCGGAAGAAGATAAGACAAAGATAACGAGTCTAAAGCCTTATGATCAGAGAGAAACTTGACTCTAAACAAAATTCTTGAAAGCAAGTTCAAAATAGGTTCTTCAAAGTAGTTTTCAGAGAGACCGGCAATCTTGTGAACTCTTAACACTGCAACACCAATAAAGGTCTTCATAGTACCTAAACGATCGGTGAGAAGTTCTGAGAGATGAATAAATTGCTTAGCAGCAGCATCCCCAAGCAATGATACACCAATAGAATTAGATGAAGTAGATAACATACCGTTAACAGCAACTGGGAACCAATGTTTAGCACCATTGTCTACACCCTTTGCTGCATCATTAACTAACTCGTTAACAACATCAATTGCACGGGTGAAATTGTCAACAGTGGCTTGAACCTCAGAACGGATAGTAGATTCCTTTTCTAATTGCTCCTTGACTAAAAGTTGCTCTTCTCTAGTAAGCTTCTTTTGCACGGCTTTACCCTTGCTGGCTAATTCCTTTCTCATATCTTCTTCCCATTTACGGGTTTCGTAGTCTCTTGAGTTCTTATCTTCTTGACGTTTCTTTCCATCGTCCAATACATTCACGACAAGTTCACCTTCGGCAGCTCTCCAAATATCAATATGGGTGGAGTCGTACTTGAGGTTAGATTCTTGAACGTCTTGACCAATGATTTCAGAAATCTTAGGAGAGATGATATCAGGTTGAATGAATGCAGCCAATGCTAAGGACTTGATACAAGCGGCATAAATAGCACTTGAAGCGGATTCGTTCAAAGCCTCAGAGACAATAGAGTCTGCGTGTTCTTGGACGAGCTGCCCAACATCGAGGCCAGCACGTTGACAGAGACCAGTCCATCCATTTTTCACTGGAACACTCGCATGATTACAAGCAATCAAAAGCAGTCTAACGTTTTCGGAGAGTACGTCTGAAGCAGTGGTAATAGATGAAATGACTGGCGATAAAAGAGCGAGTTTGTACTTGAATGGGTCTTCCTTACTTGAATCTTGTTCATATGTTCTTAAGATGTCATAGATTCCAGAAATGAGACCAGTAGAGAAGCTTGGAAGTTTTTGATAGGATTCTCCAATGAGTTGAAGTGCTAAACGTCTAACGGTGGAGTTCGCATTTGTGGAAGTGGCAAAGTATAACCAAGCCTTACTATATTCTAAGGTGGATTCTTCATTTACTTCAGATAATGCCGCTTGTAAAGCTCTCAAGAACCAAACTTGGTCAGCTTCAGTTACGAGCTTAGTGTATACTCTATAATTAGTAAGAATGGCAGGCTTGTCGGTGGAAGTTTGCAAAGCATTCACCAAGATAGCTTTGTCCAGATCAGATGCAAAGTAGAATGAAGGAGAAGCATTTCTCAAGGCAATTGCCACGTAAGCAGATGCAATACCCTTACCGGTTATCGCTGGTAATGGAGAAGCTTGAACTTCACTCAATGACTTAAGAAGTGCTGGATAAATTTCTTCCGAAACTATGGAAAATCCTTCACCTCCAACAATTAATTCATCACCTAAAACGGTAGACCAAATTCTACGCAAGTTCAATTTCTTATCACCTAAGCCAGTAATTATCTGTTGCTTGATCTTGGCATCGATTGAGCTATTGCCAGAAGATACTAATCTAAGATAATGAGAGACAAAGGCTGATACAAACCCAACCAAAGAAGTTTCATTTTGGTCCTTAGAAACGTATGGCAAGAGTTGTGTCAATATCAGTTCAGTGATAGTAACATCTAGTCTGATCAAAGCAAGGGTATTGGCGAAAAGAAGCTTTTGATCAGCGTTAGACACCAGTTTAAGGGCTTTGAATAACTCTGTCACCACGGTGGAGGATGGTTCAATAGAACCATTGTTATTAAGATGCACGATCAATACTTTACTGGTGGAAAAGGCACCTTCTCTAGTGATATCCTTAGTAGACTTGAAAGCTGAAATTATTTGCAGAAGAAGTTTTGAAGATGAGAAGGTTGTGGCCAAATTACAATCTTTCACGTCTAAATGAGCAAAGAAAGTTGGTAGAATCAGACCAAAAGTTGACTCTGGAGACCTCAAATTAGCCTTTTCCAAACTAGGCAATATTTTCTCGGTGAATTTAGCAAGACTGATGTGCTCATGGACAAAATGACCAAATACTTCAAGAGAATAAGTGAAAGTTTGACCTTTCCCTAAGAGTACTTGAACCCCAAAATAATCCAAAACTTTATCAGTTTGTGTTTCTTGAAAGTGTTTATTCAATGATGGTTTCACTGGGATTAAATCTTCCAAACATTTAGAAAGTACACCCAAAAGAGAAAGAGATGCATTAGTGTTGGTGATCTTGGTGGTAAGTACATCGGTGTAAATGTTGATTATCTCGACGTCAGTGATTTTGGTTGTCAGCAAGAGGGTCTTGGCAATGGCCAGCTTGGTGGTTGATAATACAGAATCATAAACTCTTAATCTATGCTTTGAACGATCTTCACCACACTTACTGTACAGTACAATTTTATCCAACAAATATGCTTGAGTGACAATCAAGTCAGAGGCAACAGATTCAAATTGTTCGTGCTTTGAGGCAATAACACTAAAGCTATTTGTCCATGATAAGAGAGTGATCATACCGGTGACTGACATGGAGTTTGTGTTGCTGGCTATGTCCAACATATACTTGACATATTTGGGCAAGAGCTCAATCTTTGAATCCAAAAGAGTCTCCAAGGCACGAAGAGCTTGCTTTCTAGAGTCATCATCCAGATAATAATTGTAGGTCAGGAGCGTTACTACAGAAATCTTGGAATAAGCTTCCAATGGAATTTCTGATTGAGTAACAAGATCAATGAGTCTACCAATAGTTGGAATTCTGACGCTGGTAAGCGACGAATTCACATTTTTTTCGAGGATTGGGCCCAACTGGTCCCACGACATGGTCAGAATGTCTTCTCCTTGTGACATGGTAGTACAAAATTTACAGGTAAGTTAGCCCTAAAATGATTTATTCAAATATGAATTATTTTAACTATAAAAAAATGCCAATAGAGATCGGGTCGTGTGCGGTACGATATAAATTTTCCAAAACGAAAAATAAGGCAAATCTTGGTATGCAGTCCGTGGGTTGCAAAATTTTTTAAAAATCTCAAATACAAAAAAAAAAAAAAACATACTGATAAATTGATTACCCGGAGTTTAAGATCTCTCCTCATTTATACCATATGTGGAGAATAGTGTGTTTTAAGTGTGTAAGGGTGTATCAGGTGCCATCCTTTATTTTGTTTTTTTTGGTAGGGGGAGAGCGACTTTTCTCGATATTGTCTCATATTTATTGAAATACTTCCAGACTCCCCCTGTTGTTTATTCTTTCTTTTCTTCTTTTTTTCTTTTTTTTTCTCTTTTTCCTCTCCTTATCAACTATTACAGTCAATGAGGAGAGGCTAACTATCCGTTGCAGCATTGGACTCACCAGACTTAACAGACTGGAGGGCGCTGTGGAGAACATCATGGCCATTTCACCACTCAATTTAATGATGTTTACAATTTCTGAGGCTGTATTTGATGCTACAACTTACTCTACATTATTTCATAAGTAACGTAAAATTAGAATTTCGAGTAATAAATAACCAACAATATAAACAAAACCAACCGATGAATGCAAACTAAACTTTTTTAGTATGAAGGAACCGTCCCAATTAGATAATAAAAAAACAAATAGTAATAAAAAATTTCAAGCCAATGTAATGTGTGTTCGTGATATATACTTTTCTTTAAGTGAGGAGGTATCAATTAGACACCATGTTTAAAACAACATCTGTTTCCATATCTGCAGGACCCGTACTTGGCCCAGTTCACACAAGGCTTAGATCTCCACTTTGGTGGTCTTTCTACAACCTTGAGTTCATTGTGGCCATGAGCAAATTGACACTTGTTACCATATGGACAGATCCCCATCTTGACAAAAGATGCACAAAGCTCAGTCTTGTAGAGTTGTGTATTTACAGGCTGTTGCTTTTGACACTGTGATTGCGATTGTGTTTGAGTCTTTGTGTGGGGGCGTGGAGCTGGAACTTGTGCTTGCACTTGATGGTGATGATGTTGTTGATGTTGCTGTTGTTGCTGTTGCTGTTGTTGTTGTTCAAAGTCAAACAACTCTTCATGTGAGTGGTCTGAAGATGAAAATGTAGAGTTTTTCCTTGTATAAATTTTCGAATGGTCTGGAGTCACAAGTTCATATTGAAGAAGATTTTCCTCTGTAAGTTCAGTTGCAAGGTTATTAGGCAACAAAGATCTCACATCAATGTCTGACAAGGTGTCGTTACCGTTCCAAACCAGTTGTCTTGGCTGTTGATTCTGAAGCTGGTAGTAATATTGTTGTTGCTGCTGTTGTTGCTGTTGTTGTTGCTGCTGTAATTGTAATTGTAATTGTAATTGTTCTTGTTGTAATTGTTGTTGAACCTGGTACTCCAAGGCTCTCGATTCTTCTTGGAATTTGCAGTCCAGCCACAAATCAGGAAGAAGATCACTATCAGAAGATGATGATACCAGAGACGAAAAACTCAGACTTGGCGACGTTGATTGGGTGTACACGTGTTTAACTTCACTCGTCTGCACAACCGGTATGTTGTAGAGTGAGGTTTGATGAAGCATTGGCGCGATAATAGGATAACTAGGGGAAAGGGGAGCACGAATTAGGTGGGTTAAAACTTGAAAAGACAAGTTAAAAATAAATAAATAAAAAGAAATGGAAAGGTCAATTTACCAAGCCGTGGTTGAAGAAGAATATACTCTCTCTATATATAGATGTACGTATACTTCCCCAACGGTGGGCTCATCTGCGCAGTGCCAATGTGGTGCGGCGGTTTTTTGGGCAATATTGTTCCGCATCGGATGAACATCTGACCCACTCTACGTAACCCAAATCACCCTATTCCTGCGTATGCGCATGTCACGAGAGGATTATCGTCTCATTCTTAACAGCTGATTTAACCTTATGCCCCTAGTAACCACTACATGTTTATTTCTCAACCACTGACATCCTGGTTGCTACATTCATCTACAAAGGCTTACCACATGGCTGACCCCTTCAAAATATCCTCATGTAATTATTTTCCTTTCCTTTTCCCTTTTTTTTTTTTTTTACTCAACTCTATTTACTCCTCTTAAATTTCTCCTCATAAAATCCCCTCCTAAATGCAAAGAATAATTAGAGAAAAAAAAAAGTGCGATAATAATCGTGACGAAAATAAAAATAAAAGAGGGAAAAAAAAAAAAATTAAAAAATTTATCGGTGAAAAATTCCGGCTTAGACAAACTCTTCTACAGTAATTTCTCCCCTCTATGAAAGCGGAGAGAATACTAAGATAATGAGCTCGTATACTGCATGTAAATGTCCCCTCATGTCTTCTTAGCTTTTACTTGTGGGGGGTGGTGGGTTGATCTTTGTAAGATCTAACCTTAAAGTAACATTTGCATGGGACATGTGATGCATTCTCTCAAAGTTGGGAGTGGTGCAAGTTTGAAAATCTGTCTGGGCCGAGACTGGGTTTCCAAAGTGGTCTCGTACACCACATCTCCACGGCTGGCCTCGCCGTCTGCAGGAACTGACAAGGTTATTGGGAACTTTGTGTGGCTATTCTGCGCTCACAACCGTTGCGAGGATGAAATGTTCCTATATTACAAGAATTTCCATCATTTTTTGAAATCAACCATAACCCAAAGTCCGACTTAACGAACTCATTCCCGTGTTCGGATTTAATGGTTTACATCTAACAAAAAAAGAACTTGTCCTAGTATACTTTTATTTACTCCCCCCTCCTACGTACATTGTTCTACTAATCTGAATTGCTTTCAAATCTCAAAGTACATTCCCCCTCCCCGTTTTCCTTCTTAAAAACATTTCTCCGCCTTTTTTTTCCCTCTCCACTTCCACCACCCCGTATATTGGAATTCGAAGCATCCTTTTTAATTTCTCCTATCTGCAAAATTTCAAAATAAAATGTGGATTAGAGTACATTACAACTCCACAATCTTGAGTTCCCCGTTTTCATCTCGTTAGTTGCTTTAATACAAGATTCCCCTCGCTCTTAGTTTCCCCGTCTTTGTTATTTTCTTCGATGCGTAGTTAAAATGACACATAAACGATAGAATAGGTGTGTGAGTATTGATTACATGTGACATCTGGCCCAATAAGGGCATAGAATGATTTCGCCCCATATTGAGAAAAAACAGTCTAGATCATATTTAGGTGATACAAATTTAAGTATTAAATTTCACATTCATCTTATGGATATGATTCGTATATATGATACAGAAGATATATACGGGGCAAGGGCAAGAGAAGTAGAATATGTGAACAATCACTTTTAATTCTATCAGGATGGGGTTTTTTTAACCCCCCCCCCCCATAATATTGTTCACTAATCTTTTCTCACTGTTTTCGCGACTTTTCTGCTGTAGTGTCTATATTTCGCGTCTAGAACAATAATATAAACATTGTAGATCATCACATCATCACACAAGTAACATGGCGATATCCAATAATTTGCAACAACATGTGAAGTGGATGAATGAAACGAGGCCTCAGCTACCTAATCCTCAATTCATGGATATTTTCCTAGATCCAACCGTAATAGATCATCAGAATCGGCGGCAAATTCCTCAATCATCATCATTTTTGGCCCCTCCACCGCCACCTCGTAGTCTACCAGTGACACACACTATCCCTAGCAATGGGAGTCCAGTAATTCAGTCCACACCAATAACAAGAGACTTTACTACTCCAAGATCGGGTCCACCCATAATATCAACGTCATTAGTGCCGTCCACGGTGCCTCCCACATCAAAGATAAGTTCAACCACCACTGTTCCATCTAAAGTGACTCTATCTTTAAGTCTGAATCTGACAATCCAAAGTAATACCTCCACTACATCGCTGGACTTTGTAGATCTTACTTATGACAAACCTGCGCCACTTAAAAGAACAGATAATCAATCTATTACCCCCAATGTCAAACGTCAAAAGACTTCACAATCTCTGTTGACAAATGAACAATTACAACAACAATACATCAATGTATGTGAAACTATGATAAATCTTCTTATGGAAAGGTTTTCCACCACTGAATCAACTTCAAAATCCATTGATTATAAAAAGGAATACATAAAAAACAAATTCGCTCCTGCTTTCCAAAAGATACAAGAAAGGAAAGCGGTGTTGAAAAAATCCTTACCTATTATAGATGGGATTCCGGCAATTATAGAAAATGACCCTAGTGTTTCTTTCAATTATAGCCAGTTGCCAGATATAGATTCGGATAAGATATCCGGTACTTCTACACAAGATCTAGAACCTACAATAATTCAACCACCACAAAATTATAATCATGTTCCTGATAATGATATTTCAGAGAATACATACGAAAAGATTAACTTTTCCTCTCAATTTACAGATGCTGATGGAGAACATCGTAGAGATCAACAACGGAATTTAAATGATGCTAGACAGTATGTATTGGAACAACGAAGACAACCAGTTGTGGTCAATGCAGGGAATATTAGTGAATCGGATCCAGAGGATGAATTTGGAGAAGGTGATATGGAAGGGTTACATACTCCTCCACATGAAAGAGATGTCGAAGACAATGGCAGTGATTTGGCCAGTTTCATCGAACATGATGGGAAATCCAGTCAAGCGCATGGAGAGTTTTCAATGTCACAAGATCGAACTTATAGAGATGATGACGATGAAGAAGATGATGAAGATGATGATGAGGTCAACAATAGTGACGTTGAGTTTACTCAAAGGAATGAAATTGAGGAAATTAGACTATCCTCGGATGTTGCAGATAATTTTGGGATCACATATGATGATGAACCTGTACTTATCGCATCTGAAGGTGATGATTTAGGTGATAGTGAAGATGAAAATAATAATAATAATAATATCAATCAAAATGTTAATGACGAAGAAGTGGATGATGATTTTGATGAGATAGAAGAGGTTGACTTCACAACACAATTGAATGAAGAAAGAGAATTAACCAATAATGTGGACATCATTGTAATTTCAGAAGATGAAGAAGATTTTGATGTAACTCCACGACCATCAAGACCAATTCTTTCTGAAAAGGTTAAGAATGAGAAGAGATCAGATATGATAACACCACTCAAGAATGATATTTTACAATATGATCTTGATGGGTTTGATGACGATGAATTTACTGACGAGGAAGGTGCCATGACTCCCGAGAGAGGAAATGATATTGAGAGAATTTCAAGTTCTCCCATTACATCCAATAAAGAAAATGTACCACCACAGGGAACGCAATATTCATTCTCTAGCGATGTAACACATATGCTCAATTCCGTTTTTAAATTGTCTTCATTTAGACCCAATCAGTTAGAGGCTGTGAATGCTACTTTGAACGGGAAAGATGTTTTCGTGTTAATGCCCACTGGTGGGGGGAAATCGTTATGTTATCAGTTACCAGCACTTGTAAAATCTGGGCGAACCACGGGTACAACTCTTGTCATTTCACCATTGATCTCGTTGATGCAAGACCAAGTGCAACATTTACTTAACAAAAATATCAAAGCTGGGATGATTAGTTCTAAAGGTTCTGCCAATGAGAGGAAGGCAACGTTTGAATTATTTAGAAATGGCTTTTTAGATTTGGTTTATCTTTCACCAGAAATGGTAAATCTACTGGAACAAGCACAACGAACGATTGACTCGTTATATCATCGGAAACAATTGGCACGAGTGGTTGTAGATGAGGCCCATTGTGTTAGTTCCTGGGGTCATGATTTCAGACCTGATTACAAAGGATTAAGTTTATTCAAACAAAAATATCCAGATATCCCTATTATGGCATTAACAGCAACTGCCAATGAAAAAGTTAGAATGGATATCATTCATAATCTTAATATGAAAGATGCTATTTTACTTAAACAAAGTTTTAATAGAACTAATTTGTTTTATGAAGTCAGATGGAAGGGACCTTCTTATATGGATTGGATCAAAAACTTCATATCAGTTAAACATAAAAATCAATGTGGGGTTATATATTGTCATTCCAAGCAATCATGTGAACAAACTGCAGACAAATTGCTACTGTGGGGTGTAAAAGCTGCATTCTATCATGCTGGAATGAATCCAGATGATAGATCAAATATTCAACAACTTTGGCAAAAGAATAAAGTACAAGTGATTTGTGCAACTATTGCCTTTGGAATGGGGATTGATAAACCTGATGTAAGATTTGTTTTGCATTTGTATATCCCACGTACATTGGAGGGATATTATCAAGAAACTGGTAGAGCTGGTAGAGATGGACAATATTCTGAATGTGTGATGTTTTATTCGTATGGGGATGCAAGATCTCTTCAAGGAATGATTATGAGAGATGAAGATTTGAAAAAAGATGGTAAAGAAAGTCATTTATCAAAGTTGAGACAAGTGGTTCAATATTGTGAGAATACCACTGATTGTCGTAGAAAGCAAGTTTTGCAATATTTCAATGAACAGTTTGATCCTCGTAAATGTGAAAAGAAATGTGATAATTGTCTTAATTCAGATAATATCAGTACTATACAGAGAGATGTTACTGAGTATGCTAAAAACATTTTAAAATTAGTACAAGCAGTTCAAGACGATCGTGTGACAGTGTTGCATTGTCAGGATGTTTTTAAGGGATCTCAAGGAAGTAAGATTGTAAAATTAGGACATCATATGATCCCCTTCCATGGTAAGGGAAGAGACTTGGATAAAACAGACATTGAACGAATTTTCTTCCATCTTTTAAGCGGTGAACAACTCGCTGAATATCAAATTATGAGAGCGGGGTTTGCAAGTAATTATGTTAAACTTGGGAACGGTGCACTGGCAGTATTGAATGGGAGTAAGAAAATCTCTTTAGAATTTAGTACTGAAAAAAGAGCTAAACCTAAATCTACGACCCGAACAAATTCTGCTCCAACAAGTACAGGTTCCAATGGATACAACTCTTCTGGTAGTGGTAACACGTTACCATTACCAGTGGGAGGAGGGGTAAATGCACGCTCGGCAGCTGGCTCTTCATTCACTTCAGCAAGAAATTTAGAAAGTTTTAGAAACCAAGCACAAAATGAATATGGAAGTTCTATACATCATCGTATTCAAGGAACGGTATCTACGCCAATTGTTCTTGGGAAAAATAATTCACTTGATGGAAGTCATGAAATGTATCGAGAACACATAGAACATTCATACAATGAATTAAATAATCTTCGAATCCAAAAAATGGCAGAATTTAGTTTCAGATCAAGTGCTCAAGTGTTTAGTGATCAAACATTAAGAGAAATGGCAATAAAACTTCCTACAAATAAAAGAGATTTTGCAAAATTAAATGGAATTACTAAAGATCAATTGGGAAATTTCACATATTTCAAAAAGTATTTGGGAACTTTATCTCGTGAACGGAAAACTCAAGCGAGTGACTTTGTAAAAGAAGTACCAGCATCTTCATCTTCTGTTATAGCCACACAAATAGAATCTCCATATTTCAATGCTTCACAAAAAGATCAAGAAATCTTGGCCCAACTTCGACTGAATCATTCACAAGCAGATCTGGTTGCAGAAAGGGGAGACTACTCCAACTTCCAACAAAGAACTCAACAATCTGGGGGCAAGAAAAGAAGAGGTCCTGGGAACTTTTCTCGTAGCCAACGACAAACACAAAACAATCCAAAACGGCCTCCTCCTGATAAATCAAAAGCTTCCAATGGAGGAGGTAAAAGTGCACAAATTGCCAGAGCTATGCCACTTTAGAAAATTGAAAGGGGGGGAACACATAAATAAATAGAAATATAGATAACAATAACATCTTCTAAAAATATTAAATTATACATTATCATCGTGATATACAAACCCGGTATTTTTCGGATTCAAAGGAGCGTGAGAAACGTAGTTTGCGTTGTCTGGAGGTCTTTCATTGGAGGAATTTGTAGATAACATGGATTGTATACTGAGTAAAATTGATTCCATGGAACATGCGGGAGTCCAACCAGATCCAAGTAAATCTAAACATATATGACCATTGGAATAAATATGGGGATGGACTGGGATTTTCTGTTGTTCTGCAGTGCCATAGAGTATGAATTGTACCTGGGGAGAGTCTACAGGGTAGTCTGGTGTAATGATTATCCGGAGATGATAGGTATCTGATCTGTATAAAGAATGCAATACTCCATCATCATCAGGTGGGAGAGTAATTGAAAAAATCAAGGTTGAGATATCCAGGGTATCTTCGATTGGAATTAGGGAGATACCAGGGAGGGTGTTCTTACGCAACCCAGCATATTCTTTGAGGATACGTTTCTGGTATGGATGTGTTGGCATATTATAACTACTAAAGATTTAGATCAATTGAGATAGAGAAGAGATAACAAAAAAAAGATACAGTTTAATTAAAAATAATATGTGTAGATCATGTGACTTCCTCCATGTGACAAAAACACCCAGCAAACAAATAATAATTTGGTGTGGTTAATTTTTAGCGGGCTTCGAATCGTGTGAAATCGATTTTTTATGCCAAGTGCGAAAAAATTTTTGAACATCAGGTGATGGTGTGCAATTTGTTTTTGTCTTAGCTTCAGGTATCAAGGCGGATACTTGATCAATCACAAATCACTTAAGCGAAACAAAGACTGTAACGAAGTTGCGTCAAAATTATGATCAGTAAAAGGACTCGGAGATTATCCAACCAATCAGGCAATTTTGCGTGACGGAAAAACTTTTTCCTTGTTGTGAGGGTTGCATTAGCGCATACGTTTCTTCATGTTCTATGACATCAAAAATAATATTAGATGTGAAAATTTTCAAATCTCATTGAGTGCGTCAAAAATTCCTAACCAACTCCTTCGGTACTTCTCGGTATTCACATGTTTAGAAATAAAAGTGTAAAATTGCTACCAAATTGCAATCTATAGATCTTAATTCTACACTTATTCCATTCAAAAGAGAATCTAGAAGTAGCCAAATTGTATTGTACTAAATTCATTAAACTTGAATTAAACCCTAGTCTAAAGCTAATCCATAAACTTCGAACAGTTACGAGAAGCCCCTCTTTGGTTTATTTATTTTTTTTTAACCACCCATTTGTTGTACTTTTGTTCCCCTCATTTCCCAACTCCAACTCCGAAAATCCCTCTCCGAAATCTAATAACCACTCCTAAATATTTTTTTTTATTTTTTATAAAAATTTTAATTTTGTGTAGTCATATTGCAGATAGCCCCGCTCACGTGGCAAAGTTAAGGTGTGTACTCCTTTATCATTTGTACTAGATTTAGAATTTATGCAGTTATAAAATTGATTCATTGCTGTTTTGTGTTTAGAAATGCGTTAAGTGCAGGATAAAGAGTGATTTACCGTGTCGGCCAAATGCCTCGTAATAGAGACCGTTGATGTAGGTAAAAAAAAAAAATTTTTTGAGAGATACATTTACCCAATGCATGATCTCCTCACCGACAATTCAGGGTTGGGTTCTTACTAATGGAAGTAGATTCGCCTGTAAATTTTTGATGGTATTGTAGTTTTTCTTTCTTTCCTTTTCTCTATATTATAATTCGATACTAATTTAAAACTCACTTTATTACTACCACCGTAGTACAGGAATTATTTTTCGGCTTTACTTCCTTGTGTGTTATCTATATTCCCGGTATTTCCAGAACCTCCCTTAATAGATTTCAATTTTTGGAAAAACCACTTTACAATTTTAAAGCAATCAAAATAACCCATTTAGATATTTATTTTTGCTTTCAAATTGACACACCCGTTATTAGATTAAGTTAAGAGAATTATCAATTGAATTCTTTCTTTTAACTTGGTGAGTTTTGAAATTTTTTTAATAATAATATTAATTTGGTATTGTTATTTCTGCATCGCCGCAATTCAATCGTTAATCTGAAAAGCATTAAATAGATTTACAAATTAAATTAGCGATTAGCATCACCACCAATCCTGTTTTGATAAATATTGCTATTATGAAAACCTCATCATCTGCTTCGTTAAACACTCTTGCAAATGAATCTTCATATAACCCATTCAATCCCAATATAGAACAAGCTTGTGATTCATGTCGCAAGAGAAAATTGAAGTGTTCTAAAGAATTCCCCAAATGTACCAAATGTATTCAACATGGTTGGTGTTGTTCATATTCTCCTAGAACGGTACGATCCCCACTTACTAGAGCTCATTTGACTCAAGTTGAAAACAAGGTGAAAACATTGGAAAATCTTATTCATTTCTTATTACCAGAAAATGTCTTTCAAGAATATGATATGGATGATCTTTTAGCATCTTCAAGATTTAAAAAGACTTTGAAACCATATCGTGAAGTATTAGAATCAACTCCAATTGACTTACCAAAACATGTTAAATTGGAACAAACACATCAATATCCGATTAAATCTGAACCTTTTACAAATGATCAACCAATTTCAACTGGAGTTTCTACATTCCCAACCATTTCACCATGTGAAACTACACTCCCCACCACGTGTTGTAGTCCACAACAAAGACCAAGATGTTGCTCAAACATCACCTGTAATAACACTTGTGCACCATCAATCGCTCAATCTCCATCATATTCCATTTTTTCTGCTGATGATAGTATATCAAATGAATCAGTTTCTGCAGAACATGATGTCAATTCCTTCAGTCTTGACAAGGTTAAAATCAAGCAAGAGATTATTGATGACTTTTTATTGAACAATATTCCATTGACTCAACTGCAACATCAACAACATCAACAGCAGCAACAACAACAGCAACAGCAACAACAACAGCAACAGCAACAACAACAACAATTTATCACCCCATCAGCAATCAAAAATGAAGTACCGGAAACAAGACTGTACTCCGGAAGCAATTCAATTGCATCACCATCTTCATTACTATCATTGAACTCTTTAGTTGAAGCCAGAACCGTGAGACCTGATATCTTACCAGAAGAATCGGATAAAATAAGATCTGAAGACTTTGCTTCACTTCTCTCAAACAACGGTGATAGTAATTATGATTTAATATTTGATGAAGTTATGGATGATTCGCCTATGATTAAGGCTTAATGGGATTTTAAATGAATTATGAATGATAATATATATACCTTTAAAATGATTTTTAAAAAAGATTTAGTTCGATTTTTTGGCCCTGGTATGTGCCATTATGAAAAAAAAAAATGCAAAGAGAATGTTTATGGAGATCTCTCTTTCACCCTTATTTATATACATGTTTATACTTTTTTATATTAATGGATTTTGATTTACGGAAAGTTCTTATTTGTAGAATGCGGTTGCAAAAAAAACTCTAAGATGTGTTTATTCTCTTAGAGAGGTCGATTTTGTGCGTATCATTTTTCCTGCAGAGGGCGAAAGGAAATCGGAGCCGTTTACGCAATTTCAATTATATGTCATTCATTCTAATGATTCCATAATCGCATTAATATTATTGTAAACCACACACTCAGCCCCAACATTTATCAACAGTACATAACTAAAAGTTGGGCTTGTAGATCTCATATAACAAGGTTAATAACTTTAATGTATATATATACGTACATTTGATATTGAATAACTTGTAGATATTACCCCACCCGATACTTATTTCTTTTTTTTTCTCTCAAATTTGACATTAATTCAATGAAGTACAACTTTTGCTCGTTTTAAATGTACTTGTTTAATTTATCGGGTGAGGTATCACCAAGATAATAATAATCTATTGTATTCATAGTACTGTGGTGTTTATCGTGTTAATCTAGATTTATTTTTTACCTTCTCTTATTCTCCTTTTCAAAAAAAAATTAAACTTTTGTGTTGTGGTTTTTCTTTTGGTTTACTTGTTTTTTTATTTTTCTTAAAAAATCACTAAATATTAATACCCCCTTTTCTTTCCTAATAATATAAAACACTTTTTATTATAGTATTGCACAGGCTTTAAATCCTGCTGGCCTGTCATGCTACGGAATCTAATATCGTTGAGGGCCAAGAGAGCCGCTCAACGGCTAAAAAAATCATTGGAATCGCTTTCAGAAGCTTTAGCTAATAATGCCAACAATACCCCTTCCCATCTGCCAGTACCCGTACCTATTCCCGTAAGAAACTCTAGGAAAGGGGCTCCAGTGGGATCTAATCCTTTCAACAGAATGACCGGAACAAGATCATTAAGCATGTTGGCATTACAAAGAACTTCCATGAGAAATTATTCAAGTAACCCGTTTAACCCTTTCCATCAAGTTGGATACTTTTTCAGATTAACCAGATCTTTTGGTTTCAAAGTAAATCATATTTCTAGATTTAATCCTTTCAATCCCTTCAATCCTTTGAATAGATACAAATTCTTCAATGTATTCAAAATTATGTTACAATTTAAACATCAACCAATGATTTCATTAAGAGCAAATTCTCGAATGGCTAATTGTATTTGGAATTTTTCTGCCTTTAGATGTCATTCAGCATCAACATCATCAAGATTTTTCATCTTTCTGGGATTATATAGAGCCTTTCCTCAAACTCAAGGTCGATTATTTACAACATATGCTTGTGGTGGACCAATCCCAGGGTTTGGATTTTCTGCTCAAATAACTACAGAAACAATTAAAAACTTGGCCATTTCATTTAGAACACTTTTCAATTTGGATAAATCTACTTATAAGCCATTAAAAGCATCTGAAAATAAATTCCATCCATATTTAAATGAAAAACCAACTGATGAATTATATCCAAACTCTCATATTAAAAGTGATATTAGATTAAATCTTTCATTGACTCCAAAGCATGCACAGACAACCATGGCTATAGGAGGAGAAGAATATCTCGATGATGATGATGATGAAGTTCATGTGATCATTGACGAAGATGAAGATGAATACTTGTCTTCTCCAACTGATACTCATCACCAATTGGTAAATGGATGTTGTGTTGACTTCCCATTGGGTGGGAATCTTTCCATTCCTTCCATGACCTTTTTAACTGAAGAGATTTTGGGAGAAATTAATGCAAATTTAACTTATATTAATCGAAGAATCAATGAATTAAAGCAAGATTTTATGAATTTAAGTGAATTGGGTGAACTTCCAATTAAATATTTACCACAAGAAAATGTTCTTCGAGTTTATTTCCCCAATTGTGATAGAGATAAACTTGAAACATTATTAAGAGAGAAAAATATCATGGGAGGAATCATTCGAGAACAAGGTGATTCTCTGAACAATACCCCACAATCTACAACTTTTAATACAAATGTTGAACAAGATTCAAATACTCATAAATGTGCACCACCTCCACCACCACCATTGGTATCGCATAACTCTGAAATCACCGAAAATGATTTATTGAGTTCGTTGTACCAATCTAATGGTTCTTCTTCACAATCTAGTGAAGATTCAAGTGTTCTTTATGAAGATGATGTTCTTTCATCTTATGGATCTCTGAGAAGTCATCATCCATTGTCAGATGCTGAAGTCATTCGTATTAACGATATGGGTATTATTCCACCAATGGTATCCTCGGGTCCAATAGCAATTAGTGATTCTAGTGGGGGTTACTATTGGGTAGACCGTAATTAATTTGGGAAAGTTGATCTTTATCTTTATTTTTGAGTTGGTGATTTTTATTCAGTTCGAGTTTTGGGACATCAGTAGATGGTTACGTTATAGGTTTTTTATTTTATTTTTAAAAAAAAATATATATATATATGGATTATTTATTATTGAATGGATTGTAGAAAATGGCTGCAACGTGTGTCTAATGAAATACTACAGAAAATAAAAAGGAATTGCTTTGTGTCTCGCAATTCATTCCTCTAATTGGGTATGGGCCGGGATTTTACAGGATTTGACAGGATGTTCGGGCTTAAGAGCGAACTTTAACTTTTTCGATAAATTATTTACGAGACTCTTTCTAAAAAATCTCATTAACAATAGATCATGTCACACGTAACTATTTTAACTGGTGCTTCAAGAGGTATGCGATATAATGACTTTTTTTTCCAACTCCTGGTGTTTTTTTATATATACTAACTATTTTTTTAGGTATTGGTGCTGCCATTGCCAAGTATATTTTAACTGCTAACTCATCTACTAAATTAGTTGCAGTTGCCAGATCTGCAGGTAAATTAGAAGATTTAGTTTCTGAATATGGTGCTGATAGAGTCGTTGCTGTTACTGGAGATGTCACTGACCCAGAAACTGTTACTAAAGCTGTTTCAGCTGCCATCGACAATTTCGGTCAACTTGATGCTGTGATTGCAAATGCTGGTGTTTTAGATCCAGTTAGTCCAGTTGTTGATGCCAAGACTGATTTATGGGCAAACCTTTATGCGGTAAATTTGTTTGCCGTTGTTGAATTGATCAAGCAGCTGATTCCTGAACTTCGTAAGACAGGTGGTAAAATTCTTACTGTTCTGTCTGCAGCATCTGTCATGACATTTGATGGATGGGCTGCCTATGGTTCATCCAAGGCAGCTCTTAACCATTTGGTCATGTCTGTTGCTGAAGAAGAAAAGGGTAAGGTTTCTGCTATTTCCATTGCTCCAGGTATTGTTGATACTGGAATGCAAGTTGACATTAGAGAAAAATTCGGTGCTAACATGAAGCCAGAAGCAATCAAACAATTCAATGATTTGCACAGTGAAGGACAACTTCTTCCAGCCCTGGTTCCAGCTGCTGTTTACGGAAGATTGGCATTGAATGGTTGGTCTGATGAAGTCAACGGTAAATACTTTGATTATGATGATGAAAAGTTAGCTTAGGATTATATATAGAGAGATCTGGTTACCGGTCTATAAGATTGCAACCAACTAATAAAATACAACAAAAAAATAAAAACAGAAAAAATAAAGTTTGTTGTAGAGAGAAAAATCAAGAGGAAGGATATAAAATATGGGTGGGCTGGTAACTTGATGAATGTTAATAGTAACAGAGCGGTTCTTATTTATAATTCTAAATTGAAACAAATTCGCAGTATAAATTTTTATAGAAAATTACAAATTTACAGAGAAAAATATTTAACTGTAGTGTGTCAAATTAACTTCTAAAAAATTTCTAAGATGAAACATTAAATCAGTCTAATAAATAGCTGAGCACCTACAACTATATTCCATAATATTTGTTTTTTTAGATATCTCTAATAAATATATCGGATTGGTGGTGGAAATCATGCTCACTCTTTTAAGTAATTGTTAATGCCGCCTTTTTGTTTGTTTGTGTGTACAAAAAGAAAAACATACTGAAACAAACGGCGACTACCTGCAGTATAGACACGGAAACCCTTTTAATTTTGTGGAGCAGTTCAAAGTGTAACGTTTACAAGGTGGGAAGATTTGTTTTTGTTCCTATACGTGAAGTATTGAATATTTGCAACTTATTAATTAAAATACTACCATGTCTGATGACGAATTTCAAGATGCACACGAGGGAGACGTTGGAGTGAAGGAAATAAGTTCTATTCCTGTTAGTAACTCGGGAAGTACGGATTCCGTTACATCCTCGAAGAAGAAAAACAAAAAGAAGAATAAGACTAAGAAGAAGAATAGTAATACCAAGAACGATACGAACTCTACTAATAATGATAATAATGACGTGGATCCCGACATTTCAAGACAGGAGACTAAAGATCAAGATGATAGAAAGACAGACTTTCAAACTGAAGGAGAAGATGAAGATCTTAATGAAGAGCCAAGAGATAAACTTGACGTGTCGTCAGTAAGTGAGATTGGATCTTCAGTATATGACGAGGAAAACAGATTTGAGTCTAAGGATGAATTGCCAACCAGCACGAGAGAGGAAGAGGTGAATGGATCATTGGAGGTACCAGCTGAATTAACAATTGAAGTTCCAGATGATCCAGATGATCATGATGATGTATCCTCTATTGCTCCTCTGCTAATGACACCTCAAGAGTTAATGAAGCCAGAAATTGGTGGTACTCATGCTGAACGTGGGGATACAATTGAAGGTGGTGGTGAAGAACAAGAGGAACCTTCAACGAACCCTACATCAAATGATAATAGTTTCACATCCCCACAACTTCCAGATCGTAAGCCCATGTTAGATACAATCAAATTGGACCTTGCCCCTTCCGCAGAACCAATTGACAGTTTGAGTGTATCAAAAAACTCCGGGAAGGGAGGCCACCGTGTCGAAAGTGCCAATTTCTTACTTGAATCCAAATTCAGTGAGTTGGATAGAGAATTCCAACAGAAAGATTCCAAGGCCAAAGAACTGATCAATACCGGTACTCAGAGTATTCAAAAGACATTCAATGACATCCAAAATACTGTTGGAGGCTTTGGAGATATGTTTGGATACAAGATCGATTGGGAATTCTGGACCAGAGTGGTAAATGATTATCAATCTGTTGTTATGAATGAACCGAATGAATTGAATGATGCTATTACCAGGGGTATTCCTAAAGAGTTTAGAGGCATTATTTGGCAATTAATTGCCAAGGCTAAGAATTTCCAATTGGAAGAATTTTATTTACATTTGAAAAGTGAACATTCAATTCATGAAAAGGCAATTAAGAGAGATTTAACTCGTACTTCATTTTTCACCAATGTTGAACAAGTTGGTAAAGCTGAAGAATTATTTAATGTGATCAAGGCTTATTCTTTATTTGATCCAGATGTGGGATACACTCAAGGAATGATGTTTGTTACCATTCCATTAGTAATGAATATGACTGATTCTGAATGTTTTTGCTTTTTGGTTAATATCATGAAGGAGTACAATTTAAGAAGTTTATTTTGTCCTGAGATGAAAGGATTACATTTACTTTTGTATCAATTTGATCGATTGTTGGAGATGTATTGTCCCAAATTATACAACCATTTGGTTAAACAAGGGATTAAATCATCAATGTATGCTTCACAATGGTTTTTAACCTTTTTCGCATATAAATTTCCATTGGATATGGTTTTAAGAATCTATGATATTATAATTACTCAAGGTATGGAATCAATTTTGAAATTTGCTCTTAATTTAATGATTAAAAATGAATCTAATTTATTAGCATTAAGATTTGATAAATTATTGGAATTTTTAAAGGATAAATTATTCAATTATTATGTCAATGAAGAATATGTGAATGCGCCAGCAGAAAAGACTAATCTTCGATCCACTAGAACTGCCAGTGTTTCTAGAAGATTTTCCTTACTTGGGAAACGTAATACCATTGGACAGATTGCTAGTGGAGGAAATAATGGTAATGGAGCTAATGGCTATTATAAATTAGATCAATTAGTATCTGATGCAATGGAGATCAACTTTTTACCACTGGATTTGAAGAAATTTGAAAATGAATTTAATACAATTTTCTTGAATGAAAAGGCTAAAGAAAAGGAAATTGAAGAAATTAAAGTGGAAAATGGTAAACTTAGACATGAAATTAAATCTTTGGAACAAGAATATACCAATTTACAACGGGATCATGTTGATATTGTTCAAGAAATGGTTGATATCAAGGTATTATTACCAGAAGTTGTTAATGATAATTCAGAATTACGTGAGATAATAGATAACTTACGTTGGGATGTGAAAGAATTAGAATCTAAAATTGATGAACAAAAGGAAGCAGAAAAACAAGCAGCTATGGCTTCGACTGGAGGTATGAAATCTCCAGGAATCCCTTCTAATATTGAAGAAGATATCAATGAATTACTTGTTATCAATGCCAATGAAACCGAGAAATTTGCTAATCTTGAAGAAGAATTACAAACTTTAATTTATGAAGAAAATGAATTGGATAAGGAATTGGAAAAGAATGGTGGTAACAAAAAATGGTTTGGAAGATGGTGAGGAATGATGTAAGTAAGAAGATGAAGTTAACGAATTAAATAGGACATAATATCTACAATCAATTAGTAATAAATATAAGTATTGTAATTGTCAAAAGCCACAGCTGGAGGAAATGGTTGCAAAAATCCAAATAAATATATGCATATAGGGTGGTAGCAGCGCATTCGTAGGCTAGGATTCTCACGTGAGAAGGGCAAAAGCCCTAGCTAGTCACGCGCTCACAATATATTGAATATTTTTTTTTTTTAATGTAGAGAATTTTTTTTTTTGCGGCCAACCTGCAGTACCAACCAGTCTCCTCACAGTGGGAGGATTCCCTTCGGTTTTGGTGAAAAATTTCATATTAATTGACTTTTTACTTCTAGTTTATTCGTTTTAAACCACACATTAAATCAATTAGACAAAATGGGTAGAGGTCCAAAGAAGCACTTGAAGAGATTAGCCGCTCCATCCCACTGGATGTTGGACAAATTGTCCGGTACTTACGCACCAAGACCATCTGCTGGTCCTCACAAGTTGAGAGAATCCTTGCCATTGGTCATCTTCTTGAGAAACAGACTTAAGTATGCCCTTAACGGTAGAGAAGTCAAGGCTATCTTGATGCAAGAACACGTCAAGGTTGACGGTAAGGTCAGAACTGACACTACCTTCCCAGCCGGTTTCATGGATGTTATCTCCTTGGAAGCTACCAACGAACACTTCAGATTGGTTTACGATGTCAAGGGTAGATTCGCTGTCCACAGAATCACCGCTGAAGAAGCTTCTTACAAGTTGGCTAAGGTCAAGAAGGTCCAATTAGGTAAGGGTGGTATTCCATACGTTGTTACCCACGACGGTAGAACCATCAGATACCCAGACCCAGCTGTCAGAGCTAACGACACCATCAAGATTGACTTGGCTACTGGTAAGATGACTGATTTCATCAAGTTTGACACCGGTAAGTTGGTTATGGTTACTGGTGGTCGTAACTTGGGTAGAGTTGGTGTTATCACCCACAGAGAAAAGCACGAAGGTGGTTTCGATTTGGTTCACATCAAGGATACCTTGGAAAACACTTTCGTCACCAGATTGACTAACGTTTTCGTCATCGGTACCGAAGCTGGTAAGCCATACGTTTCTTTGCCAAAGGGTAAGGGTATTAAGTTGTCCATTTCTGAAGAACGTGACAGAAGAAGAGCTCAATCTGGTTTGTAAGTATTTCTCTAGGAATCTTATAGTTAGTTTTGCAATTCAAATGTAATATAAATATTAAAATCGATGTAGTGTTTATTCTTTTGTTTGACCTTTTTTTGTGTGTGTGGGCCCATATAAGTCTCCCCCTGTATAGATCTTATCAAGCCAAATTTGTGTGCAGTCTATCAGTGCAACCACCACAGTCACTAAAATTTATAAAATGCCAACTACATCCACGTTATAGATATCTTTTGTATTAGGAATTGAGAATCTTCATCGTTTGTAGCTACCATGGAGACTCAGCCTTTGATAGCTACAGAGGAGCCCGTGGAGCGTAAGCCAACTCCATTTAAACATAGGCTTGTCGGACTTATTGCCGGGCTTGCTGGGGCTCTTTTATTATTTCAATTCTTTTTCTTTCCTGGTCCAAGGGAAAGAGTCCATTATGACCTTCTGATTCGTGATCTTACTTGGGGGGATGTTAATTTCCTTCAAACTACGGACACACATGGCTGGTACTCAGGACATATCAATCAACGTCAATACCATGCAAATTGGGGTGATTTCATTTCATTTGCCTCTCGTCTTCGTGAGATTGCGAGGGCAAATAATCAAGATATCCTCTTAGTGGACACTGGAGATAGACATGATGGGAATGGACTTTCTGATGTGACTGTCCCCAATGGCTCCAAATCCTTACCAATATTTATTCAACAAGAGTATGATTTGATCACTTTAGGAAACCATGAACTTTATGAATTTGAGAATTCACGTCAAGAATATGAATTGGTTGCTGCTCATTTTGGCTCTAAATATGTTTGCTCCAACGTTGAATATAAATTACCTAATGGTACATTTGTCCCAATTGGTAATAAATATCGTTATTTTACCACTGAAAATAAAAAGGTTAGAGTTTTAGCTCTTTCATTTTTGTTTGATTTCACTCGGTTCAATGACGGGACTCGAGTGACTCCTATTCGTGATAGCATTGAACAAGAATGGTTCTCCGATACCTTGAAACAATTCCAACCTGAAGATGTCGATTTATTGGTTGTGTTTGGACATATCCCAATTAGTCATAAATGGAGTGAGCTCTATTTATTGCATACTAGATTACGTGAATCTTATCCCAACACCAAGATCCAATATTTTGGTGCTCATAGTCATATTAGAGACTTTTCTGTATTTGATGAGAATCTGGTTGGCTTACAAAGTGGAAGATTCTGTGAAACAGTTGGATGGGCCAGTGTTAAACTCAACGGGAAGGCTGCTCCTTCTGATAGTTTAATCGATGCCGCCAAGGAATCCTTTTCCAGATCATATATTGATTTCAATTTACAATCTTTCTTGCACCACAGTCGTGTGGATTCTTTGGATGATTTCCATACTGAAAGGGGACTCAATGTTTCTAAACAAATCGTGGACACTAGGAAATCATTGAAATTAGATGATGAAATTGGGAAAGTTGAAAACAATTATTATCTTGATTATGTTCCAATTAATCATCCAAAGAGTATCTTCGAATTACTTACAAAGAAAGTTCTTCCAACTTTGAATTCTACTAAAAGTGAACAGGTTTCATCTGCTGGTAGAATTATCATAATCAATACTGGGTCCATCAGATATGATCTTTATAAAGGTAGTTACACCTTGGATTCTCAATATATCGTATCACCATTTGAAAATGATTGGGTCAAGTTGAGTCTTCCAAGGAAAGTGGCGCTTAAGATCGCCTCTAAATTGAATGATGTGCAATATATTACCACTGATTCCCAACAACTGTTTGAATCATTGAAACCACCACATCATTGGAATCAACCAGATCATTTTTTCACTCAAATGACAGATGGTGACAAATTTGAAGTTGAACAGGAACAAGAAAAAAATGATTACTTCAATATCAAGAAACAATTACCTAAAGGTTACGTTACTGTTGATGATTTCGGCCATGATGGTGACGATACTCCACATAGACCAGTAGTGAACTATCCTATTCCAAACGTGGTTGAATCAGTTGAATTGAACCCTCATTTGAAAAGTGACCATGATGTGATTGATGTAGTTTTTTATAGCTTCATTACCCCAAATATTATTTGGGCTTTGAAAGAATTGGATTTTACAAGAGATGTTACCAAAGATGTGGAATTTTATTCTGATGAATATTTGGGTCTTTTATTAAATTCTTACATTGAAAACTTTGGTGCTTAAAGAAATTGTTGTCTATCTTTTTATATTTCAATACATTTTAGTTTTTATATATGGTACATTAAGGATTGTTTAACCTATCTATTTTTCATGTGATGTGCTTCTCTTTTTTCTATATTTGAACGACAGAATCACGAGGCTTGAATGTAAATCTGTAGTTGAAACTATTGATAATTTCAGATTCATCATTGTTTCTTACTGTTTCATCGACCACAAGAGTAAGACTATAACCGAACCATGACCCCCAAATATTTCTATTGGAGTTTGTAACCTGTGGACCTCTAATAAGATCAGATGAGTCCCCTAATCTATTTTTGCCACTCTCATCAAACCTCACTTTCCCACTAGCGTTGATTATGAAGGTACCAGTGCCTGGAATCAAGTGACAATCAAAGGAAAGTAATTGATGACTTGTTTGCGGAGTTTCAAGCCATTTTTTTTGGAATTCTAACTTGGAATCTGGGGTTGGTGGGATCAAAGGTTTACCATTGATGATTACAGCCGCCTGTGGCTTCATTTGTTTGGCAAATTGTGTAGCATAAGATTCAACATTTGGGAAATGAGAAGGGTATTGATTATCTAATGATTGTAAAAGTTTCTTTAAAAATGGTTCTATCGGTTGTGCTGCAAGGTTAGTTGGTCAGTTATTACTTTGCATTAAATATACGTTGGAGGTACTTACAAACATCTTGCGATACAGTAGATGCAAGAGACATGGTTTATGTAATGAATTAGATAGTTTTAGTTTTCAGATTGATCTCTTTAGAAATTTTTATAACCTTATAAAAAATACAAAGGGTCACGATGGTACAAGCACGTGATCAATAGTAAGTAATGGTTGGAATTGATAGCAATTAAGCAGAAAGATCATTTATAAATTGATATGATATTTTTTGTATATGACTAGGATGGTATAATTATTCATAGAATTAGTATAAAGAACTTAATTGAAGAGTTATCATAGCTGGAGGCAAAATAATAAAGATATAAATCAATAAAAAAAAAAAACAGCAATGGAGTAGGTTAAGGAAGTGGTGAACATTATTATAATGTTGACTCTAAAAAATTCCAAGGTGTTAGGTATAGGTACTTACCATCATAATTACGTAATATTCACTTGATTAAGGCAAATTTTACTCTTAAGAAATAATTAGAAAAATTCAATGATTTCAGTGTGCATGTTGGCGGCAATTCCAAATTATGATCGTCTGTCAACCAAAAGCAAACTCATGAAAGATAAGCGTCAAATTAATTAAATGCACACCATGACAGGAGCGGATGACCAGAATTGCTCTATTGTCCACTTTTAGACACTTATGGCTAGTTTCATATGCAAGAATGACTTGAAGTGAGCACTCCTACTTTGTAATTGCACGACATGATAGCAATCTTAATTTTAAGGAACTATATATAAAGGAAATGCCCAGATAGGTCAAACATAGAAAATTTAAAACTGTATAATATACATATTATTTAGAATTAAAAATGCCTGACGATAAATTACAAATGGCCAAGGATATTGGTGTTTCCGTTGCAGGATCAATGGGTGGTAACAAGGTTGCTGATGCTCTTCACCTTGGTGGTGCAGGCCACATTGCTGGAGGAATTGCTGGAAGTATGGCTGCCAATGATGCCGAACACAAGCTTGAAGACAAGAAATAATCAGACATATTGTTTATAGATTAAAAAAAAGATTATTGTTAGTTAGATAATGATATATTATTATTAGACTAGCTGCCAATTGTAGTGAAACAAAGATGACATCCAAAAATAAATATTTTTTAAAAAAAGAATAAAAACCTTTGAACGTTGGAACAAAGCATTAGAAATCCGTGGGGTAACAAGAATGTAGTAGAACGAACCAAAAATAATTCGAGAATAAAGAGATTGTAAAAAAAAAAAAATAAAAAAACATAAAAAAAGAACAGAGTCTATCTTATAATGAGCATTTGTTCTATTGTTATTTTCAGAAGTCTGTTCTATATATGGAAACAACTCAATTGGAATGAAAAAAGTAAGTTCAACAAAATAGAAGTTTGCTATTGATAGAGTGAAATACATGAAGTAAAGATGATGTTGACAGAAGCTTCCACACGCACCCCTGAGACTAAATTGTTTCATATACCAATGAGAAAGGTAATTTTACATCAGGTACGAAGGAAATGAGGCGTCGAGTTGCTATATGAAATATCTCGCCCTAATCAATTGATCTCTTGTTAATAATAAACCAGCCAAAAAAACAAACATGATACCCAATAGCCAGCATAAGAAGGTGATAATCAAAATACATGGAATCAAATCATGCATAAAGAACAACCGTGCACCCGCGCTAGCGGCAGAACGCCCACAAAAATTCGTATGTGGTAGCTGCACGTAATCAGGTGGCTGGCAATCCTAATTTGGAAGAGCTGGTGCTGGATCAGGAATCTGCACGTCACCATCAGCTGGATCGGGGGCATCGGTGGTTACTTTTTGTATATAACTAGTTTAGACCCCTGAATCAGATCAGAAGGAAAGAATTTTACGTTCCAAGAAATTATCCATCAACCACAAAATAATCATTTAATCGATCCCTCATAAACAACCGTTTGTTTATTTGTCAGTGTCCAAACACATTACTTCATTTCAAATTAATATCAAACAATTAACGTTGATCAATTCATCTACTAGCAATTTGAATTTTTCAGTCCAAAATCTACTTAGTATTGTTGTCACGACTACATAGATTTTCTGTTTGATCGTCTTTCTTATTTAATAATTAAGAAAAGTCACTTGCAACTACATAAACCGATTTGCCCCTGCACCGCAGATCATCTACTTTGAACTACAGATATTTACCTGTATCTCGTTTTTGCTATTACACGTAGAACTACTGTGTGGAGCACCGAATACAAAACTATATCACTTCAATAACGCGCGCATATTTAAATCCCCTCTATTGAATTATAAAAGGGATTGAAAAATAAAAAAAAATAAGGATTTTATTTAAGTACCACTTTTTTTGGCCCCCACTTTTGTGTAATTTGCACTAATTTCACTTGCAGATCTACGACCATAACTCCGATTCCGGTCATTAAGTATTTTTTTTTTTTTCCACAAGAAACATTTAATCAGATATTTTTTTTTTGCATCTAATTCATCTAACATGAGTTTACTTCACACACCTATATTCAACACCAATCATTTCAAACCTGGGCATCTGAGATCTCGTTCATATAATGAGTTATTATCGCAATTCAAGAGTGCCATTTCTTCAACTTCAAAGAATTCATCTCCATCTCCATCAGTTTCTAGAAGCACATATGTGAAAAAGAGATCGTACAGTGATCTAATCAGAGAGTCACCGGGGCTTACCGGGGTTGACGAAGATTCTAAGCGTGCTCGTACAGCACCCCCTTCCCCACCCTATGATTCATATGCATCGAGAAAGGCATCAATCTCAAAGTTACCAAGCACCCTTAATTTCAAAAGTGGTGTCGTCGTGAGATCCAGATCCTTATCTCCAGTCAAGAGAGCCATTGGTCCTATCTCCCCAACATACTCGCCAAATACGTCGCCAGTGACACCAAAAATGACATTGGAAAAGAGTCTGGTTGCTGATACTGTCCTTCCATCGGTTGACAGTGCTACAATCTCTTCTTCTTCATATTCAACTTCATCTTCCTCAACAAGCAAGAAGTCAGGCGTGACTCTCCCAAGCATTTCCGCGGCTTTACAATCAGCCCCATTAACCCCAGTTTCAAACGTCAAACTCAACCCAATCACTCCTACTGTTTCCTTGGATTACTTTGATACATACAAGCCAAATGATGAGAATTGGCGTTATGAATTATTAGATTCAATCACTAAAACTTCAAAAAATTTCAACTTGAACAGATATAATTATCTCAATAGATCACCATCGACTCAGGCACATACTTCGACATACTCATCGAATCCAAACCACCACCTGCATTCATCATCTAAGCCTGCGTTCAATTCCAAGATAAGTTCAAAAATACTTCACAATAGTAAAATTGAAAAGCAACCAAGATCGTATAGCTCAAGATCCCCTAAGGCATACACGGAAAAGAAGATTAACTTCCCATATGAATCTAATTACACATACTTAAACAAAACCTACTTGACTGATGTTGAGAAGTATCCTGAATATTTGGAACTTGCACAATCTCTTATTCTGTTGTCTAGATCAGCACAATCACCTCCGCAACAGTATCTGGCTTATACTGCGGCACAGGCACCTTCTCCACAGGCTCACTCGTACACTAATCAATCACAAACACGTCATCGGGAAACATCATCTCCGTCTTCTGTTTCACTTCCACATATGTCTCCAGTGTTACCTTCTCCTCCACAAATTGCGACAATGACGCATAATAGCCACCCGACTGTGTACCAAACAGCACCTATCCATAATATTCAACTTACACCTCAAACACCTTTCAATCCATTTTTGAACATGGTGAATGAAGTTTCTCCAACCACTCCAAAGAAGGAACTTAAAACCCCACTTACTCCACCTTCCAGTAAATCCAAGTCTCGCACTGAATTATTGAAATCGCCAACAAAGTCCTCTCTGCAACATAATGCTAGGGTATGCATCTCATGTGGATCTGATCAATCACCATGCTGGAGACCTTCTTGGTCGATAAAGGAAGGACAATTGTGTAATTCGTGTGGTCTTCGTTACAAGAAAACATCTGCACGTTGTCTTAATCAAGAATGTAAGAAGATTCCTGCTAAAGGAGAATGGTCACTCATGCAGAGTAAAGGTAAAATGGTATTTGACGATGGAAAAGACGGTTACAGCTGTTTGGATTGTAATTGGAGGGTTGAAGTAAAGAAATAGAATGAAAGACGGAAGATAATATTACATATATATGAACCTTGATGGCATTATAAGTAGAATTTAATACAAAAAAACAATATGTTTAATAAAGCAACATCTCAACTTAGTATACATTTTTGATTTCGTCAAAATCTTAAGCTGTTGGTAAAATTCCCATTCTAACTGATTTGACTTGTGTGTAGTTGTGTAAAACTTCTTCACCCATTTCCCTTCCCATACCAGATTGATTGTATCCGCCGAATGGAACCATAGGATGGAAATCGTTGTAAGTGTTTACCCAGACAGTTCCAGCCCGTAAACGACGCGAAACATTAATAATTTTGTTCACGTCAGTTGATTGAATACCAGCTGCAAGACCATAATCGGAATTATTTGCCATTTTGACAACCTCATCCACGGTGCTAAATTTGGAAACTGTAATTACTGGCCCAAATATTTCTTCCCGAACGATACGCATGTTTTCCTTTACTTCTCCAAAGATTGTTGGTTTGATGAAGTATCCTTTCTCGGGTAACCTTTCACCTCCGCAAAGAAGTGATGCACCTTCATCTTCTCCGATTTTGATGTACTTCAAAATCTTATCTAATTGGTTAATAGAGTTTTGGGCACCTTGAACTGTCTCGGGGTCAAAAGGATCTCCAACTTTAACATGTTTCTCTGAATACTCAACAAATTTCGCAACAAACTCATCATAGATACCTTCTTGAACATATAAACGAGATCCAGCACAGCAAACTTCTCCTGAATTGTAATAAATTCCACTTACAATTGCCTTTAAGGCAACTTCGACATTTGCATCATCAAAAACAATATGTGGAGATTTTCCTCCAAGTTCGAGAGTAACCTTCTTCAAGTTTGACTCAGCACATCTTTTCATGATAGCTTTACCAGTGGCTGTAGATCCAGTAAATGCAATCTTTTTAATCGTTGGATGTTCTGTAAGAGCATTCCCGGTAATCTTTCCGAATCCACTAAGTACATTTAAGACTCCTGGTGGGAAGATATTTCTTTCACGAATAAGGTTACAAACATAAAGCGCAGATAAAGGAGTTGTTTCTGAAGTTTTCATAACTACAGTGTTTCCTGTCACCAAAGCTGGGGCAATCTTCCAAGTAAACATCAAAAGTGGAAAGTTCCAAGGAATAATTTGACCACAAACCCCTAAAGGTTCTTTTCTAGTGAAGGTGAAATGGTCTTCTCCTGTCTCAATTACTTGACCGGTGAGTTTGTCAGCAAAGCCGGCAGTGGAACGTAAGACTCCGATTGAAAGAGCAACATCACCTTTAGAATTCGAAATAGATTTACCATTGTCCAAGGTTTCAATTGCAGCAATAGTGTCAGCATGTTCTTCCATTGCCTCAGCAAGTTTGTAAAGAGCTGCTCCTCTACGAGCTGGATCATCTGTCGACCAGCCTGACTCTTCAAACGCCTTCTCGGCAGCTTCAACGGCTAAATTGACGTCTTGTTCACGTGATTCGTAAACCTCAGCAATGACATCTTCAGTGGAAGGGCTGAATACTTCAAAAGTTTTCCTTTCACGTGAAGCCACAAACTCATTGTTTATAAAGAGTCCTGTTGGCTGTTGGTAACTTTCTCCATTTGGGAAAGTTACTGGAATCAGAAGAGGCAAGTCAGAATAGTGTCTGACGGACCCCATAGCTCTGAGAGCAACTGGTTTAGATTGTTTAAGACTAGATTGAACTGCTTTTACTGTTGATAATCCTAAGAATCCCATTTTATGTGTCTTATATGTTCAAAGAAGTCCTCGATATACTTATGGTCATGATACACCTAATTTATAGTAAGTCCATTGAGAGCAATGCTACATTTCGGGTACTTCGGCCCTTTATAATTTACCCTTCTAGATAATAAATAGTGGTTTCGAGCATCAATGAGGTAGCAACTCACTTTCCCTTTCCTCCTCATTTTTAGTTTCGTTTTTTTTTTTCTTCAAACTTCTTTTTTCTCGTTTCAAATGCTATATGACAATATATATATGACCCGTATCGTGTACTTGTTCAAGGTATATATTCCTTATTTCTAGATATCTTTATGGTTGCAACAATCTAAGAACCCTTACCCAATGCATGCAAGTGTCAATATTTATGCAGGTTTAGAACAACAATATTTTTATTTTTTATGTTATCAGTTTGTGACACAAACTTGGTATCTGTCTTGCTTATCATAGGTCAACAAGATACTGTTGATGTGTGTCCCAGTGGAAGTGACGGAAACACATATATGAATGTATGTATCTACCAATTTATGATTTCGCTAGTTTGAAGACATATCATTATTTAGAACTCTAATTTGGATATCATTCCCTCAGACAAACATCTAAAGAAAAACATGGAAAGTAAATTAAGACAAGGTAAAGGCAAAAACAAAAACTAAGTAGTTACTTGTAGATCTGCATGTAGTGAAAGTTTCGGCTGGTACGGGAGCACTATCTAAATATTCAATGAATGTGGTCAGATTTATAAAATAAACCTGTGGTATTTGTTTCATTTTTGTGTTGCATTCTCTGGAAATTTTTAGAAAATAGTATTTTACAATGAATTACTGTTGCTAATTTCAATTTGGGGATTGATTATAGGAAACATCTGAAACACTAGTATTTTCATATGGTAAACTAAGAGTGTAAAAGTAAAAGGAGCAAAAATGAGAAATGTAACTGGTTTTACAGTTCTTCGTTTAGTTACAGGTATTACATAGACATACATATGTAGGAGTTACTAAGGAATTTTTGGTACCTCAAGAATAATACCTCCAACACAAGAAAAAGACTAATAACCCATTAAATATATATGTGTTCCATTAACACAATACAGACTATGCTGGATATTCATATTTTCTGCTTCGCTCACAAAAAGAGGGTGTACTATCATCTGTTGCAAAGAAAATTCAGCTGAGAGTAACAAAAAGATTAATAAAATGTCAACTATAAAACTTAACTATCAATGCACCTACAAGGGACGTGAGATAGTGGAATAAATGCGAAACCACGTATGAATTGCAATCCAACAATTTAAGTTGTTATCGTAGAAGCGTAGGTGATAACTACATTCCCCACAAGTAATCAGGAGTAATATTAAATTTCATACAAATATACTTTGACCGAAACACAATTTGATGTCATCAATCATTGCAAAACCTTCAAATTGTTAATTTCCACAGAATTTAAAATTCCCACAGTAAATTGTGGCTGATTCTCTCAGTATATATTTTTACTGTGTATTGTTAATTTTGACACAGACAAGAAAAAATCCCACCACTGTTTAGCTTTTAGATCATATTATCCATTTCAAGATTTAGCTCTTGGCACAGTTGAAATATGTATAAATATAGAAGATCTTCTCTTCAAAAGTTCATGATTGTTTTTTTTGCACTGGATGAAACTTATCTATTAACAGCTGATTACTTAAAATTATTGCAAACAGGCACGCAATGTATATTGTTGCAAAGATGTGGCTGCGCATATTATTCCCGTATCCTAATACTGTGGATTCAAATTTGTATAAGCACCCATAATTGTATTACTCATTATGAGAGTCGGGGCTTATAATCATCATCTGGTAGACTTTCTGTATATATGCCTTCCCTAAGTACACTATTTCATATATATGTATAAATCACCAAAAACTTTTACTCTCTAATTTAGATACATATTCAATATAATCAATGGGGTTTTCCAATATTTTGCGTGGAAATGGAAGCCATCAGGCGTCAGAAAGACCAATAGATTCAAGTGATGACTCCAACTCACACTACAGTATTGGCGAAAAAGGCACTGATGCGATTATCCATCAAAAGTCAGTAGATGATGATGAGACGTATATTGATTTGTCTCTCAATCTTACTCCAGAGGAAGAAGAAAAGAGAAAATCCAAGTGGTTCAAGTTTAAAGTTCTTCTTTGGGACTCTCATGATAAACATACACTCGAAAAGAAGTTCTTATTCAAGCTTGATTTCTTCCTTTTAAGTTCATCCATGTTGGGATATTTCATCAAGAATTTGAATCAATCAAACGTTGCAACTGCTTACGTGAATGGTATGAATGAGTACTACGATATGAATAAGAATCAATACAATTATATGGTCACGCTTTGGACCGTTGGATATGTTATCGGACAGATTCCCTCGAATTTGATCTTACACAGAATCTCCGCTAGATATTATTTAGGAGGATTGGAAATCATTTGGGCTATTTTGACATTGATGATGATTACTTGCAAGAATATCTATGGTTTATACGCAATTCGTTTTCTTATTGGATTTACAGAAGCTGGATATTTCCCTGGTTTGGAATATTTGGTAGGTAGTTGGTACGATCGTCGGGAGCTTTCGAAAAGATCATCATTTTTTGCAGTCGCTGGAACGGCAGCAGGTCTTGTGTCCGGTCCCCTTCAACAAAGAATTTTACAAAACTTCCAAAATAAACATTTCAAGCCATTTCAATACATGTTTATTTTCGATGCAGTGATTTCGTTTCCTATCGCATTTTATACCATGCTTGTCGATCCTAATACCCCATCAACTACAAACGCTTGGTATTGGACAAAAGAAGATAAACTCATTGCTTTGGAAAGACGTAGAAGAATTGGAGCTCAATTGAATACCAGAGAAAAGTACACTTGGAAGAAGATTAAGACCTTTTTCAATACTTGGCACATTTACGTATTTCCATTATTGTTTTTGGCTTACAATAACAGTTGTGCCGCTAACTCACAACCTACTTTTACGACTTGGATGAAGCTTGACCTTAAGGTTCCCTCATCTGTCTATAACACATACCCAGCAGCAGTTGCCGGTACTGGTATTGGTGCAACTATTGTTATGGCGTATTTTGCAGATTTTATTGGGGGTAAGAAGAACCACTTCTTTGTTTCTGCCTTTTTTATATGCTTGATTTGGGGATGCTCATCGCTTTCTTATTGGAAAATCCCACAAGGATATCATTGGTTCTGCTACTTCTTAATTGGAGCTCCAACTTCTTGGGGGCAACCACAGATTTTTTCTTGGGTAAATAGACTCCTTTTCCATGATGATATGAAGAGAAACTTTGTTGTTGTTGTTACCAATACCTTAGCCTACGTGACTGGTGCTTGGGTTCCAATTTTTGTTTGGAACACAAAGGATCAACCTCAATACTTTATTGGATTCACCTATACAGCCTGTTTATCTTCATTTGGTTTAATAATGACCGGTATTGCCTACTACTTGACTCAGCGGGACGAAAGGAGGGAAAGCGAGAGATCAATTGTGGCAGAAGAAAAGTATTTGGTTCATGGAGCAGATGCAGACTCTGAGACAAGTTCAGAAAAACGTGTATATTAATTAATTTAAAAATAATGGCTAATCAAATCACACACGAGCCATCCGCAATCCCACATTGCAATTGGCAAAATTGTAGTTTATCTCCGCTCTAACTCATATATAAAAATACAATTGTGGCCCTCGTACTTTTTTCTCACGTGCACAAATGTGTCTTTGCAGGAATGGTTGCAAATTTGTGTGGCTGAAATCGAAGAGAAGATTTGACTGTGGATTCCCGCTCACCCATTCAAAGATAAGGAAGTTCTCAATTATAGTTTAGATATTAGTAATAGTGCCAAGCAAATGTAAGAAGGTTTGCATCTGGGGTTATCTCTTCTTAATCGTTTCATTTATGTATATAAAGAGGACATGAATAGTTCAGCATGTCCTCACCATGTATCTTTTCTTCCTTAAAAAGTAGAGCTAGTATGGGATTTTTTGACGTATTGCGAGCTAGGACTGTAAGAGAAGTCACAGATAGACACAATACAGCTACCAGTGATTCAAGTTCAACAGAAAATGAAATTGAAAAAGGTACCGATGCTATTATTCTTCAAAGGTCTGTAGACAATGATGAACCTTACATCGATTTATCGTTAAATTTGACTCCAGAAGAAGAAGCAAAGAGAAATTCTAAGTGGTTCAAATTTAAGGTATTTCTTTGGGATTCTCATGATAAACATTCTCTTGAGAAGAAGTTCTTGTTCAAACTTGATTTTTTCCTTTTAAGTTCATCCATGTTGGGATATTTCATCAAGAATTTGAATCAATCAAACGTTGCAACAGCTTACGTGAATGGTATGGATGAACACTATGAAATGAATAGAAACCAGTACAACTATATGGTAACCCTTTGGACTGTCGGATATATTATTGGACAGATTCCATCCAATTTGATCTTGCACCGAATTTCCGCTAGGTACTATTTGGGAGGATTGGAGATTATTTGGGGAATCTTGACTGTATTGATGATCACATGCAAGAACTTGAATGGTGTATATGCTATTAGATTTTTCTTAGGATTGACAGAGGCTGGTTATTTCCCAGGGTTAGAATACTTAGTGGGAAGTTGGTATGATAGCAAGGAGCTCTCTAAAAGATCATCTTTCTTTGCGGTAGCGGGTTCAGCAGCGGGCCTTGTTTCCGGGCCACTCCAACAAAGAGTTTTACAAAACTTCCAAGGAAGAAGTCTCAAACCATTCCAGTATATGTTTATATTTGATGCGGTGATTTCGTTCCCAATTGGTATTTATACCATGTTTGTCGACCCTAATACCCCATCTACCACCAACGCTTGGTATTGGACAAAAGAAGATAAACTCATTGCTTTGGAAAGACGTAGAAGAATTGGAGCTCAATTGAATACCAGAGAAAAGTACACTTGGAAGAAGATTAAGACCTTTTTCAATACTTGGCACGTATACGTCTTCCCAGTTCTCTTTTTGACATATAACAATTGTGGTGCAGCCATTTCTCAACCTACATTTACAACTTGGATGAAGCTTGATCTCAAAGTCACACCATATGTTTATAATACGTATCCTGCAATTCTTTCTGGGGTCGGAATTGCTGTAACAATTATTTTGTCATACTTTGCAGATTTTATCGGCGGCAAGAAAAATCATTGGTTTGTTGGAGCATTTTATGTGTGTTTAATATGGGGATGTTCATCTTTAGCATATTGGGATTTACCAAGAAATTATCATTGGCTTTGCTATTTCTTAATTGGAATTCCTATGAGTTGGGGTCAGCCACAGATATTTTCGTGGGTTAACAGACTTCTTTTTGAAGATGATATGAAGAGAAATTTTGTAGTTGTTTGCACAAACACATTAGCTTATGTTACAGGTGCTTGGGTACCAATTTTAGTTTGGAATACCGCAGATAAACCTAGATATCATACTGGATTTACCTATACGGCCTGTTTAGCTTCGTTAGGTTTGATTATGACTGGTGTCACCTATTATTTTACAAGAAGAGACGAACTTAGGAAACTTCGGAATTCCGAGGACAATCAATTGGAAAATGGTACAGTGGAATACCTCGAGAAAGTAGAATTGAAAGAATAATTGTGTATCGCAATGAATTGACTGAATTCCGAATTTCAAACTTTGAGGGAAGTTTGACGTGCTCTAATTATTTATGTGGTGGCGCGTAATTTACGGATGTCTCCGCGGAGACATATTTACACTTATTGTTTTATTTTCAGAGATCAATATGAATATATGTACAGGTAATATACACAGTCTGAGGTAAGAGAATTTGATAAAGAGTATGATTCTTTTGTAGTAATGATCAGAGTAGGTGTTAATTTCATATTGATGAAGAGTCATGATTTTGTTGACTTCAACTAAAGTTTTCTGTAGCTTCGCTGTTCCCTTTCAACCTTAATTAAATCTCAAATAGGATTCAGTTCACATGTGGCGTCTGATAAGAAAGTAATGCATCAATTGCGGATGTGTCAGTGACTCGGAATAATTACGGTTGGGTGAAAATTTGGGGGTAAAGAGTGGCTCAAAATATTGTAATGTGGAAGTATTAGTAAGACACGATAAGCAAGACAAAGATGAAGCTATTAATAATTTATTGAATACACCTCTATGGATATGGTCCCACGTTCTAAATTATTATAAATTAAGCCCAAAAGTATCATTGGAAAGAGGTTTTTCATTTAGAGACAGGCACAAAATTAGTAACATGGGGTTATTAGACAAGATTCGAGCAAGGACTATTCTGGAGGTATCCCAACAGAAAGTTGAGAATCAAACGAGTTTAGAAGATAGCAACAAGAAGGGGACCGACACCATTGTCCGCGAAAGGTCATTAGATAACGACGAGCCATATATCGATTTAAGTCTTAATCTAACTCCAGAACAAGTGGAAGAACGGAATTCTAAGTGGTTCAAATTTAAATTATTTCTTTGGGACTCTCATGATAAGCACCCACTTGAAAAGAAGTTTCTTTTTAAGCTCGACTTCTTTATTCTTAGTTCTTCTATGTTGGGGTATTTCATTAAGAACTTGAATCAGACAAATGTTACCACTGCTTACGTTAACGGTATGAGCGAGTACTATGATATGACAAAGAATCAATACAATTATATGACTACCCTTTGGACAGTTGGATACATTATTGGTCAAATTCCTTCAAATTTGATTTTGCACAGAATTTCCGCCAGATATTATTTAGGAGGATTGGAAATCATATGGGCAGTCTTGACAATTTTAACAACTAGATGCAAAACTATTAACGGCTTATATGCAATTAGATTTTTCATCGGGTTGACCGAATCTGGGTACTTCCCTGGGTTAGAATATTTGGTAGGGAGTTGGTATGGCCGTGACGAGCTTTCTAAAAGATCAACTTTTTTCGCAGTTGCAGCAAATGCAGCCGGACTAATCTCAGGTCCACTTCAGCAAAGTATATTGCAAAACCCTCTGTTTCAAGGCAAGAGTCTCAAGCCATTTCAATACATGTTTATATTTGATGCGGTGATTTCATTCCCAATAGGATTTTATACCATGTTGGTTGACCCTAATACCCCATCTACCACCAATGCTTGGTACTGGACAAAAGAAGATAAACTCATTGCTTTGGAAAGACGTAGAAGAATTGGAGCTCAATTAAATACCAGAGAAAAGTACACTTGGAAGAAGATTAAGTCCTTTTTCAATACTTGGCATATATATGTCTTCCCATTGTTGTTTTTGGCTTTCAATAACTCCTATTCAGCAATCGGGCAACCGACTTTTACCACTTGGATGAAACTTGATCTCAAAGTCTCATCGTATGTATATAATACCTATCCTGCAATCCTATCAGGAGTTGGTATTTTTGCAGCCCTATCTGTTTCCTACATCGCAGACTTTGTAGGAGGTAATAAGAACCACATATTCATTGCTATCTTTTTTTCTTGTGTAATTTGGGGATGTGCATCGCTTTCATACTGGGACCTTCCAGTTAATTACCATTGGTTTTGCTACTTTATCATTGGTGTTCCATTATCTTGGGGGCAACCACAGATTTTTTCTTGGGTGAATAGACTCCTTTTCCATGATGATATGAAGAGAAACTTTGTTGTTGTTGTTACCAATACCTTAGCCTACGTGACTGGTGCTTGGGTTCCAATTTTTGTGTGGAATACAAAGGATCAACCTCGATACTTTATTGGATTCACCTATACAGCCTGTTTATCTTCATTTGGTTTAATAATGACCTTTTTGGCGTATTACTTCAGTAGTAAAGACCATAAGAGAGAAATCACCAGAGAAAAGAATCCCAATGAAGACAGACAAGATACGGAAAGTGATTCTGATTATATCAATCGTTAAATTATTAGATTTAGATTTCAATTTTACAAGTTTAATTAAACATATATTATTCCTCTTCCTTAATTATAAACACCACTCCTTGTTAACAAAGGAATCAAACCATACTATGAAACTTTTGTTCTGAAGTTAGGTCATATTTTAAAATGAAATGCAAAATATATTTCAACGAGACTTATGATCCCCGGAGATTACAGTTTTGTACTATATTTACATTTCTTTAAATCCGTTTAATTCCGTAAATTTGGTGTATTTTTTTGTAATATCCGTGAGGTGCATTGTTGTATCTTTGAATCCATTTACTCTTTATAGGATCAATATATGTCGTTTGCATCGTCGGAAATGAATAAAAGGAGCGCCGAGGGACGAGGCACGCGTGCTCCCCGGAAAAGAAATAGACCAACATTGGTTTGTAATGTATGTCGTCAGAGGAAAACAAAATGTGATAGAGAATATCCATGCTCTTGTTGCATGAGGGCAGGAGTAGCACATTTGTGTAGCTATGGGTCACCCGCAGTACTGATCCTTACTGCCCAGCAACAACAGCAGAAACAACTTGAGCAAGACCAAAAAGTGCAGATCCCACCGTTAGGTCAGCAGGATCTTAAACATTCAACTACTACTCCGCCACCACAGATTCCTTCAATTAGTACTATTCTACCTGCTATAGCTGACCCACAAAGACAAACATCAGCATTTGACGAGTCATCTGTCCAAGCTGAGTTAGAAAGTCTTAAAAATAAATTCAAAGAGCTCGAAGCCTCTATTACTGTGGCCAGTTTGCATCGTACAACTCGTGATACAGTGGCTGAGAATGAACATCCTGTTGGACAAATGCTGCCACTTCATGTGAACGGTATACCTGTCACAACATATTCCAAAATACCAATGACATACATAAGTCGGAAACTCGATCCAAATCCATTGAACTTGCCACCTCCATTACTAAATGAACAGTCCATTAATTTTTTCCGTGACGTCGGAAGTGAAGCAAATCATTTGGTCCACATGAATAAAACATTGCCCTTTCTCGCAATTGCAAGAAAGGACGCTGCCATACATATATTTTTGAAATTCAAACAATCATTGAAGAAAGACATAGCTATGTCAAATGAGACGACCAGTGGTCCAAGGTTTGACTGTGGGGGTACTAAACTTCGATGTATTATGAATCAGGTTGGGATTGATGACCACAATTCGAATAAAAGAGCACCAGCAGTTTCTGTAGGAACTCGACTTGAGCAAATTCTTGACGAAGGTAATAGAATGGGCTCAATACCAAAACAAAACCCATTTGATACAAATAGATTGAATAATCCCGATAAAAACTTAGTGCCCCCTTCACTTGGCGAGAGAAATACCGGAGACAAATCTTTGGAAGAAATTGAGAGGACTAGGATGAATGAGTATGGTTCACTCATTGGAGTTGTTTTCAATGAAAGGCCGGACTCTAATAGTCACCATGGTTCGCCTTTAGTTGAAAAAGTACTAAATATACTCCCAAAGGAAAGAGTATTATGGAGACTAGTGAGTCGATTTTTTAGTGTTGTTTATCCATTCATGCCAATTTTGGATGAATATTCCTTTAGACCAGAACTCAAACGTATGATTGGCACTGAAGATTACAAGGATTCTCACATCCCACATCTAAATATCACAAAGAAGCAAGACTTTGTATTCATTGCAATAACATTAATTTTAGCTCGATTGAGTTATCTTTCTTTGTTGAACAATAGCATCCAATTGAATGAAGCAGCCATACAATTGAAAGATAGCGAAGAATCACCAAGAATAACTCCTGATGATCTTGAATTACAATATCTTCTTAAAAATCCTATCCCAGTAGAAACAATTGAAATTGCTCGGCTTTGTCTTCAAGAGGTTGATGTGATGAGAAAACAGAACTTACAAGTTTTCCAATGCATGCTTTTATTCCGAGCTTATCGTGTCATATCACCCGAGCAAGGTGACCTGTTTGTGGGAGGAGATATGCAAGTAATCAATGGACTTCTAGTAAGTACTGCGTACTCATTAGGCTTAAATAGAGACCCCGACTACTATTGCGAGCTCCACACTTCTGATGATGAGCGTACGAAAAATCTTCGTCGAAAACTTTGGCATTATCTATTGAGTCAAGATGTATTGGATTCGATTTCTTCGGGAGGGAAGTTCTCGATACATGATGACAATTATGACACCAAACTCCCAGTCCATTACCTTGGATCAACCGAGAATGTTTTCGATATAAATCTAGAAGTGTCAGTTATCAGTGCATTCGCTCAATTTGATAAGATAAGGAAGGCGATAGTAGAGGTAGTTCATCCATTTTTTAAATTGGGGAATACTCCAATTTTAAAATTCTTGCAGTCTGTTCGAAATTTAGAGGATATATTAACAAGCGAATTAGGAACTTTGGAGGAGTACCTCAATCCAAGCTATAATGCAGCCGGGTTTCAAAAAACTTTGCGTTTATGTCAGTATTTATACGGTCATCTTCTTTTGACTTCAGTATACTATACTTTATTCTTATACTATGAGAAACGAGGTGATACAAACGAATCTATATTGTATTTCACTAAATTGTTTTCTCATTCGATGGCCAAAGTCCTGCCATATTTGATGGAAATTTTGGATGAAACTCAGAATTACCTAACTAAAGGGTTCCTGCTTATTCTTACCCCTATCGTAATAATGGTAAACCATAACTCAAATTTGGTGTGGTCAACGGTGTGCATACGTGTATTCAGTACCATACGAGAATTACATAAATCGACAGATCATAGTAGACTCCTATCTGTTGATATCAAGTATAAGCAATATTATGAATTACTTGAGATGTTGAGAGCCGAGTTACTTAAAATTAGAAGACAAAACATGTCAGTTACATATATGTTGAGCAATCGGTACTACGCTGCATGGAAGGTAAAGAGAATCCATTCATTTGCCTACAAGCTTTTATGCAGTGAAGATTTATACAACGTCGACAAGGAAGTAGCAAAGAAAGTCTTGCTCTCAATACCTTCCGACATTTTGAGTGAAATTGTGAATGATTTAAGGAGATGTAGAGATCGAAAGGACAATGATAAAGCAACAAGTCTGAAGTTAGATAGTTCTTCTGCATCAGCAACTTCAACTCCAAATGCCTATCTGAATTACCCTAATTCAAACAATGGAGGGTTTCATACGCCTACTAGTATGTTCAGTCCAACAGGAGACGACGATTTCTCGCAAATAGAAGACCCTAGATCGGATGAGTTTTGGCTGTATGTTTTCCTCTGGCGACAATGGTATCAAGATGGGGCTTATATACAATGTAATCGAGAATTATTCAAGAGTAAACCAGAAAATGCAAACTTTACCGAAGAAGCAAACCCAGAAAATGCTAATGGCAGTACCCCGGGTCCATCTATGATTTTTCAAAGTGGGACACCAGGAGGTGACTTTTCAATCGAATCTATGCAATATGATTTTGGGATTTTTGACGGTCAATCATATGATGATTTTTTGACAGCAAACCCTTGGAAATAGTGAAAATACATGTATTTATATATTGTAAACCAAGCTTGTAAGAATATAGAAAAAAAGTGGAATAAATTGGATATAGGTCAAAATGCAAAAGGTTTTATATTTTGCAACCTGATTATTTGGAAGTTCCGATATGTTATCAATTTTTTTTTTTACTATCTTACTGCCCGATTGAGCATGTCGACCCGATAAGATTTGATCTACTACTTAAATAACATGATCACAAATATTGATTAATTTTTTCACCGAGAGTATATTAATAGCCATGGTTTCTGTCTTTATAACTGGAGCAACAGGATTTATAGCTCAAAATATTATAAAATTATTGATCGAGAATAAGTACAGCGTGGTGGGTACTGTAAGAACTATTTCAAAGGGAAAAAGACTTACAGAATTATTCGGTAAAGATTTCCAGTATGAAGTCGTCCCCGATATCCAAGTTGAGGGTGCCTTTGATGAAGCTATTAAGAGACACCCCGAGGTATCAATTGCTATGCATGTTGCATCCCCATGTACTTACATAATTGAAGATGCTGAGAAGGATTTGATTTTACCTGCAATTGAAGGGACCAGACAGATTTTGACATCAATAAAGACACATGGTAAGCAAATCACCCGTGTAGTCCTTACATCATCAGATGCAGCGGTATACTCTGCAGCAGATGAACAAACCAAGGGCCTTTATTTTGATGAAAGTTCTTGGAATAATATTTCTAGAGAAGATGCCGCTAAAGACCCCGTATCAGCTTACTATGGCGCTAAGGCTTTTGCAGAAAAGTTAGCCTGGGAAATTGCCAGACAGGATGAAGTCAACTTTGTTCTTACTGTAGTTAACCCAGTATACGTATTCGGACCCCAGGCATTCATTTCTGAGGTGGGAGAAGAATTAAATGAGTCTAATGAGATTATAAATCAACTTCTAAAGGTTGGAAAACATGGCAAGTTTACAAATGAAAAGGGCGGATGTATTCATATCAAGGATATTGCCAAGGCACATGTTGCAGCTTTTGAAAGAGAAGATACTAAAAATAGAAGACTCTTGATGTCCAACGGATACTTTAGCTCCCAATTAATACTTGATATCATTCATAAGAATTTCAAGGAGTTGCGAGACAAAATTCCGGTCGGAACTCCTGGTAGCGGGCCGATGGATATTTCTACGTTAGCCACCGTGAATAACGAAGAGACTAAGAAGCTTTTAGGGTTTGAATTCCAAACTCTTGAATCAGCGGTTGTTGATACCGTACAGCAGGTTTTGAAAGCCAAAAGAAGTAAACTATAGACAAATAACAATATAGAAATAAAAAATATACCATAAGAATTTTCACGACAAGCTTATAATATTACTCTTTAGTAACAGAATGACTCAATTTGCATCCGAATAAGGATAATCTACACGTTACTTTGATAGTACAGGTACATTCAGTGCTTTGTATACCTCTCGCGGAAAAGATACGAGATATGATGCAATCTCATAGAATTACCTGATTTAGCATGTATTTCCGACATGCAGGATCTGATAAGGTATATAAAGAAGTGGACATCTAACATGGAGAAAAGTCTGGTCAATTACAATACCATCTTAAAAGATTGATTACACAACATGGTATCTGTATTTGTCACCGGAGCTAGTGGCTTTATTGCCCAACATATAGTCAAGTTGTTGGTGGAAAAGAAGTACAAAGTCGTTGGTACTGTTAGATCTGCCGCCAAGGGTGAAAAACTCCAGGAATCTTTAGGAGCTGACAATTTCCAATATGAGATAGTTCCAGACATTCAAGTGGAGGGAGCGTTTGATGAGGCTATCAAGAATCATCCTGAAGTGACTGTTGCTATGCATACTGCTTCTCCCTTCACCTACGATATTACTGATCCTGAGAAGGATTTGATTCTTCCTGCTCTTGAAGGTACCAGACAAGCCTTGACCTCCATCAAGAAGTATGGACCACAGATCACTCGAGTTGTCGTTACTTCTTCAGACGCGGCCGTTTATTCCGCTGAGGATGAACAAAAGAAAGGACTTTATTTCGATGAAAGTTCATGGAACAATATTTCCAGAGAAGAGGCTATCAAAGATCCAGTTTCTGCATACTATGGAGCCAAGGCATTTGCCGAGAAGTTATCTTGGGAAATAGCCAAGGAGACTGGTGTCAACTTCACACTCTCCACTGTGAACCCAGTGTATGTATTTGGCCCCCAAGCATTCATTTCCGAAGTGAAAGAACAATTAAATGTTTCAAACGAATTAATTCATCACCTTATTAAGGTTGGCCCAGAAGGAAAATTTGATAATGATAAAGGTGGGTTCATAGACGTCAGAGACGTAGCATTGGCCCATGTTGCTGCATTTGAACGTGAAGACACAAAGAACAAGAGACTTTTCATGACAAATGGCCACTTCAGTACACAAGCCATGCTTGACATTATCAACAAGAACTTTGATGAATTGAAAGGTAAGATTCCAGTTGGTACACCTGGTAGTGGACCTGAGGATATTTCTACTTTGGCCACTGTCAATAACGAAAAGACGAAAGCACTTTTAGGATTTGAATTCCGTAGTTTGGATACTATTGTAATTGATACTGTGAAGCAAATCTTAGACGTTAGAAAGAGCAAGATATAGAATATGAATACAAAAACGTGCTCAATGCAAGCAAATATGAGATTTTGAGTAGTGAACTGAGTTGTAGTAAAAAGTAAAGTGAAAGCGAAAAAGAAATAAAATACACCAAAGAAAAAGGAGACCAGCTTTGACTTCATTGCCTTATCCATGTCGATTATAGAGAGGATAAGACTTCCCTTGATCATCATTATTGAATCAAAAAGATATTGATTAATTGATTGTGATGTGTAGATGAAACTCATGATCACGTGCAATAAGTCACTTGAAAGCTCATTCTAGATATCTTGGTGAGACTCGCATAATACAAACATGAAAATGAAAACAATAACATTAAATCTACTATATATACATTGATTTAAAGTCTTCTTCATAGAAATGGCAACTCCATATTTAGACACAGAAGCCATTTTAAATGCCGCAGAGCTAGTGAACTCAACCCTTATTTCAAAAGGATATATATCGAATAAACTTTTATTTAATTCAATTAATTGGAAGGACTTATGTGAAGGACAATCGTTTGATGAGGTGAATATCACTGAACCAATATATAATAACGATAAGAATACTATTAATATTATCTATTCACTTCTTCAATCCATAGAGCGCAACGCCACTCAGAATAAAACCTTCAATAAGATTGTGGCCCAAAAGGATGATATGATTACTTCATTGAACAAAAAGATTGCATCACTTGAACAAAAAGTTGATTCTTCTGAATCAAAATTAGAACAATTCACTCAAATTGAACGTACCAAACTCACCTCAAAGCTTCAAGACTTGACCCGAGTTAACAAGTTGCAGAATCAAGATTTAATTAAATTGAAACATTGGTGTAATGATATTAAATCTAAATACACAGTTGAACTTAAAAAGAAGAATTTGGAGATTAATCAATTGAAAGATAAATTATTAGAAAAGCGGAATCTTTCTAGCACATTAACATTAGGAATACCGTTGACGAATAGAGCTTTAGTTGACTCTACTTATTCAGAACCTGTAAAGGTTAATCCTGCAATTGTTTACAACAACAGCCCCAACACCAACAACGTTCCTGGGGATAGTGGTAATGGTAACGAGACTTCATCTCTCCCATTTAATAAAGAGTATGAAAGTATGATGGTGGACTTAACTCAATTAATAGAGAATCTAATTGGTGAGAACTTTAAATTCTCAAAATTTATTCAACATATTAACAGTTATTATCATGAATTAAATATTCAAATATCAAGTTTCAACAATAATAAAAGATCAATTGAAATACCAAATCCTTCGGACTCAATTGATTTAGAAGACTTGGCTTCCATTGCAGAATCAAGTGCACATGCTTCTGATTTGGTCAATGAACTAGAATCATTTGAATTCGTATCGAAGCCCTTACTCAATAATATTTATAAAAATTATCATTATATTTCCGACCTCGTTACTAATGTCACTGGTTCTGAAAATAGGGGTGGGAACTCATCAACAAATCAGAAAACCATTGAAGCGTTAACCTCTGAATTGGAAATTGTTAGGAAAAATTGGCAAGATGCTATACTGACACTAGAAAATTGGAAGAAATACCCCAAAGAAAGTTAGATAATTCTATTCATGCTTCAATAATGTTTTCTCTAAGGAAATGATGTTCAAGGGGAATACTCTGTCTAGATTAGAATCAGTATTCTCATGGAACTTGATAACCATTGTTCCTAAAGTTGGATCATGTTCTAAATACGTGTTCAATAAGATACCCATACATATTATATCAGGGTATACTATATTAAACTTATCAATAAAATGGGCAGTGAAAGTGGGTTGCTTCTCAACTCTGAAATCGATCATTCGAAGTAGATCGCCAACTTGAAGCAATTTCAGAGGTTCTAATGAAGAAAAATTGTATGATTTTACAACAACAACTATTTCGCCAATGTTGATGATATCAGACAGATATGGATCTCGTACAGATTGGATGGGGGAGTTTTGCACAAGTTGTTGAATGAGCGTCGAGTGTGGAGTATTGTTGGATGTACCTAAATCTATAGTTTGTGGGATAGTGCTCACAGAAGTGTTTAGAGGTTGTGGTATACTACTATTTGGTTTTTTTCGCTTCTCGGTGGAATCTTTCAAATATTTAAGTCCAAGAACTACTAGGAAAACCCCAACCATAAGAAATATACAGCCAAGTACAAAGAGAAAGATTACCAAACCATTCAGAAACATGATGTAGTTTCGTATAATAAGTAATTAAATAGAAATTCTATAGATATTTGAATCTTTATCACGACAATCAAAAATTGGCTGCAAAAATCTTTCGCAAATTTCGCAAAATAATTTCGCATTATGATGTGGCCAAGTACCATTATTGGGACCATGGTTTGGAGGGAACAGTCACTAATGCAACCAGCAAAGTAACAGGAATAACGTGAGTATAAAATTTGGCGTAGTGTCATCAAAAATAATGGAGAAGAACATAAACATGACTTTCTTGGTGACAATCATAATAGAGAGTTATTCATAACAGCACCAACGGTATTATCAACCGCTTCATCCAATCTGCGACAATGACCACAAACTCAATTTGCAAACTTCAAAGACAAAAGGACTTTGGAGAGAGCAGGTTATAAAAGAAAGATTATGATGTTCATATTTCCAAAAAAAAAGGTTAATACTTCAGCAGTTTAGATGTCAAGAGTACCAATTCCACAAGGTGGGAATCATGCAAATACCGAAGACTTTACACTTGACCTCATATTGTGTACTCGAATGCTTAGCTTCATTGTAGACGCATATTTTACTATGAGCCTAGTCTAATACTTTCTACCAACCTTATATTAACTCTAGTATTCCACTAATTTTAAGTTTTTCTACATGATTGATGCGTATTAGCAATATTGGGTATATGATAATAAAGATGAAAGAAATTGGCTATCTATATATATGTATATATACTAGAAACATTTTTATTCTTAACTATAGATGGTGGTGTCGTATAGTGTTCAAAAGCTCAGATAAGCATTTATCTAGTCCCATGCGAAGAAAATTGTTACAATAGAGAGACATAATTCCCTTGTTCATCGTTTCATGCTCTTTCTGAATTAGTGAAAAGAAAGTTAGACGCGGTGTTTACCGTAAAAGAGATGAAGACTACAATTGGGTAGTATGAACATCAGCAAAAGTTCAAAGAATAATTCTCACTTAGGCAATTAATGCAAAGAAACTAGGAAACTACTAATGGTTATATTTTTTTTAGAAAATTTGACCCTTATTGTACAAGACTTGTGCTGCTCAAAGTATTATAAACCTCTTCTCGGCATACCTAACGTAATCTACATGATCACCAAAGAAGGCACTCAGGGCTATTAATTCACATTCTGACTTGAACTTAATAGCTACTTCATATTTTTGCAGTTTTTTTTTCATTCATTAATAAATACTTATTTCACTCATTCTCGCGTGTAAACGGGAGGTGGTCCAGATATGTTTGTTGTCTTTGCAAATGGTTCATAATTGACACTAGCCACAGTTCTATATGAAGGGGCACTATCCACAGTATTCAATTGGGCTAGATCCCCTCCGACATCATCACTGGCGGCAGATCTAAAAGTAGGATTACTATCCACAAGGGCAATGTCGACTGGATCATCTCCCGCAGGGGCCACGAAGGCTGGACCTCGTTCCACAGAAGCAACGGAGGTTGGATTAGTGTTAATCGCAAGGTTTTGAGTTTCTTCAGCAATTTCTCTCCTTCTTGTTACTGCCGCTACATATTCTGCATCATCTCCCAGACACCCTTGAATACAACAGGCAATCATCAAACATGCTGCTATAATCAGTCCTATTAATATGAGGTATATTAGAAGAAGGTTCATCCTCAAATTACTTTGTCGTGTTTGCTAGTAAAAAAAATAGAAGTAGACTTTCATATCATTTATTAGGCACCAAGCAGATTAATATATCAATCAAGAGGTCGATGATGCTCACCAATTGCTCCTTTTTTTAACCACTTTACTCAAATTTCCATCTATAGACGTAATAACATAAATTTGTGAAATAATACGCAAATAAGTGAATTCTTTATCTTTCCAGCATGACAGAAAAGTAAACCTCCGCTTGAAACATTTCTTCACTTAACCTTCTTTATCTCATCCTCGATGTTAATTTTAATTTCAGAGTATCCAGAAATCATCCGTTGAAATTCTTCTTCTACGTCAATAATTTGTGCATCTTTCTCGTCTTGAAGTTGTTTCTCAATCTTTCTCTGTTCATCTATCTCTTTATATTTTCTATTCAGCTTCTTAGCCTTGTTTTTCTTGACCATTCCCTTTCTCTCTTCAATAACCTTATTTCGTGATCCTTCAGGATTTTGTAAATCTTCTAACTTATGAGCAAGAATCTCACGTGCTCTCTTTCTATTCCCTTCTTGAGATCGTGAATATTGACATGTTACAACTAATCCTGTAGGAATGTGAGTAAGTTGAACTTTTGAATTAGTTTTATTAATCTTTTGACCCCCTGGACCTCTACCCCCCTTTAAAAACTTCTCATCTATTTCACTTTCTACAATTAACCATTTAGGTCGTGGAGGTAATTTATGTTTCTTTGGAAGTGCTAATATCCATGACGAACTAGATAGATATCTACTGAAATTCAATGCTTGACCCTGTATTTGTTTGATGTACATATAAGTAGAGAACGAAAATAATATATAGAACTGTATGAAAAAAAAAAAAATTGTATACCGATCTAAACACAAAGTTGAAAACAGTTATTCGCCCTCTACCGCTGTTTTTGGAGGTTTTTAAATCTACCACCAAAGATGAGAATGTCACAATTCACTTTGGAGTCTTTTTTTTTTTCTTTTATTTTTTTCAACGCGTAATTTTCATTTCATTTTTTCCTCTTTTGGACGCTTAATTACACGTTAGAATCATTTTAGATATAATCTTCGATTTCTTTACATTAATATTTATATTTACTAGTTAATAGACATTTTCTAAAGCCATATACATCCCTTTTATTAACTATGTCTTACGAACGTGCAGAAGTATATAGTGCTAATGTCTTGCCTGGTGAAACTCCAGCTGACAACTCATTCAATGAAATTATTAAAGTCTTCCGTAACTTCATTCTTGAGTTCAGATTGAACACCCAATTTATCTATCGTGATCAATTGAGAGAAAATCTCCTAATTAAGAACTACTTCCTTAAGGTCAACACAGAACATCTCATTGGGTTCAATGAAGAATTAAATAAAAAATTAAGTGATGATCCAACTGAAATGATTCCACTTTTTGAGAGTGCCATCTCTCAAATTGCTAAGAGAATTGCTTATTTATCCAATGAAGAAGTACCAGATAATTTCCCAAATTGTCAGTTAATCTTATATTCTAATGCTAGTAAGACTTCCATTAGAGATTTGGACTCTGATCATATTTCCAAGATTGTTAGAGTTAGTGGGATCATTATTTCTGCCTCTGTTCTTTCATCTAGAGCCACACAAGTACAATTACTTTGTCGTAATTGTAAGCACACAATGAAACTTAGTGTCAATTCAGGCTTTGGAATGTTGAACTTGCCCAATAAATGTCAAGGTACTCACAACATAGAAGATACTCTGGCCGGTAACAAGTGTCCAGCCGACCCTTATACCATAGTTCATGATAAATCAACCTTTGTTGACCAACAGGTGATGAAATTACAAGAATCTCCAGACATGGTCCCTGTCGGGGAAATGCCAAGACATATCATGCTTCAAGCTGACAGATACATGACCAACCAAGTGGTACCAGGTATTAGAGTGACTTTAGTTGGGATCTATTCGATTTATCAATCGAAACAAAAGGGAGCCAACGGGAATGCTGGCGCGGTAGCAATTAGAAATCCATATCTTAAGATTTTGGGGATTCAAACCGATGTGGATAATACCATTGGTGGAGAAGGTCTTACCTTTAGTGAGGAAGAAGAAGAAGAATTCTTGAAGTTATCTAGATTGCCAAACTTGTATGAAGTATTCTCCAGATCGATTGCCCCATCTATCTATGGTAATGAAGATATCAAGAAGGCTATCACCTGTTTACTTATGGGTGGTTCTAAGAAGATTTTACCAGATGGGATGAGACTTAGAGGTGATATCAATGTTTTACTTTTAGGTGATCCAGGTACTGCCAAGTCTCAATTATTGAAGTTTGTAGAAAAAATCTCGCCAATTTCGGTTTATACATCCGGTAAAGGTTCTTCTGCCGCTGGTTTGACTGCGTCCGTTCAAAGAGACCCTCAAACAAGAGATTTCTATTTGGAAGGAGGTGCCATGGTCTTGGCTGATGGTGGTGTTGTTTGTATTGATGAATTCGATAAGATGAGAGATGAAGATCGTGTGGCTATCCACGAAGCCATGGAACAACAGACTATTTCCATTGCCAAAGCAGGTATCACAACCATTTTAAACTCTCGTACTTCTGTTTTAGCTGCTGCTAACCCAGTGTTTGGTCGTTATGATGACTTGAAGAGTCCTGGTGAAAACATCGATTTCCAAAGTACTATTTTGTCCAGATTTGATATGATTTTCATTGTTAAGGATGAACATAACGAGGCAAGAGATATGACCATTGCTAAGCACGTTTTAAATATTCATGCTGGGAACACCAATAATAATCAAGATCAAAACCAAGAAGGTGAAATTCCAATTGATACTATGAAGAGATATATCCAATATGTTAAGTTGAAATGTGCGCCTAGATTGAGTCCAGATGCCTCTGAAAGATTATCATCTCATTTCGTATCTATTAGAAGAAGATTACAGATCAATGAAGCCGATATGAACGAGAGATCATCTATTCCAATTACTGTCAGACAATTAGAAGCCATTATCCGTATCACCGAGTCCTTGGCAAAAATCAGTCTTTCTCCAGTTGCCACGGCCGACCATGTCGAAGAAGCTATAAGATTATTTACTGCCTCCACCATGGATGCAGTTGATCAAGGTGTTTCCAGTGGAGGTTTGATCACTACAGGTGAATTGAACATGGAAATCAAGAAGGTTGAACAAGAATTGAGAAGACGTTTACCTATTGGATGGTCCACTGCTTACAAGACTTTGCGTCGTGAAATCGTGGACTCCGGTAAGGCCAGTGCAGGTGCATTGGACAAGGCATTGTACATTATGGAACGTCATGAAGTTATCAAGTTCAGACATCAACGTCAAAATGTTCTCAGGGTAGGAATTTAAATGGTAAGAAAAATGTGAAAAAAACAAACAAACAAAAAAACAAACAAACAAGTAATACTTGGAGCCGCTTAGCTCTTGATCAATTGTACATTAGGAAGTTTAATAGTAATATAATAGAAAGATATTGATTTAGTGTTTAAGTAGTAATATGTATGGACCTGTATGTAGAGACTTGTAATTTTCCTTCTCTTTTTTTTTTTTTTTTGTTTTAATTTTCTCTGTGCGTGCTTTTTGAATTACATGGTTGTGGTTAAAACATAGACCAACCTCCCCAGATACAATTAATTGCAATCATGTCCACGGATGAGTCAGATGACTTCAAGTTCTTTGGCTTAGGTGGGTGCAATGAAGTTGGCCGGTCATGCCACATTATTCAGTACAAGAACAAGACAATAATGTTGGACGCTGGAGTCCACCCAGGGTTGTCAGGATTCAGTTCTCTTCCCTTTTACGATGAGTTTGACTTGTCGAAGATTGATATCTTGTTGATCAGTCATTTCCATTTGGATCATGCAGCATCTTTGCCCTATGTGATGCAACACACAAACTTCAAAGGTCGTGTATTTATGACCCATGCCACCAAGGCCATTTACCGGTGGTTATTATCCGATTTCGTTAGAGTGACCTCGATTGGTAATGGTGGAGATGCTAGAGCCGGAAGTGGCAACCAGGATGTAGGCAGTGCTTCGACAAACTTGTATACTGATGACGATTTGATGAGATCCTTTGATCGTATTGAAACAATTGATTATCATTCAACGATGGAAATCGATGGTATAAGGTTCACTGCTTACCATGCTGGGCACGTGTTGGGTGCGTGCATGTACTTTGTAGAGATTGGAGGGCTCAAGATCTTGTTCACAGGGGATTACTCTAGAGAAGAGGATCGTCATTTACACGTTGCTGAAGTTCCACCTCAAAAGCCGGATATTTTGATTACTGAATCTACGTTTGGTACCGCCACTCATGAACCAAGATTGGAAAAGGAAGCTAGAATGACAAATATTATTCATTCCACTCTTCTGAAAGGTGGGAGAATATTGATGCCTGTATTTGCATTGGGTCGTGCTCAAGAATTATTGTTAATTTTAGAAGAATATTGGTCCCAAAATGAAGATTTACGAAGCATAAATATCTATTATGCATCCTCATTAGCCCGTAAGTGTATGGCTGTGTACCAAACATACACGAATATCATGAATGATAACATTCGACTTACTGCATCTGGTAGTTCTTCATCTGGAAAGCAAAATCCTTTCGAATTCAAATACATCAAATCGATCAAGAGTCTTGACAAATTTCAAGATTTTGGTCCCTGTGTGGTAGTTGCAAGTCCTGGGATGTTACAAAGTGGTGTTTCTAGAGAACTTTTGGAGAAATGGGCACCAGATCCAAAGAATGCTGTTATTATGACGGGGTATTCCGTCGAAGGAACCATGGCAAAGGAACTCTTAATCGAACCACATACTATTCAATCCATATCAAACCCAGATATCAGTATCCCACGTCGTCTTAACGTGGAAGAAATTTCATTTGCTGCACATGTTGATTTCCAACAAAATGCTGAATTTATTGATCAAGTAAACGCACTGAAGATTATTTTAGTTCATGGAGAAAGTAATCCCATGGGTCGTTTAAAGTCAGCATTACTTAGTAAGTATTCCCTGAGAAAGGGAACTGATCAAGAGGTTAAGGTGTTTAACCCAAGAAATTGTGATGAATTGAGGTTAAGTATCAAGGGATTGAGAGTTGCTAAAGTTTTAGGTTCGTTAGGTGAAGAACAATTACTGTTATTGAAGAAGGAACTTACTGATAAGGTGGAATCAGCCAATAAGAAAATTGAAGAATTGGGAGATGATGATGTGACCGAAACTACATTGAACAAAGAAGATTCACTGGATGAAGAGAAGACAGATAGACCAGAAGAAGGAGCAGTGTCTGTAATTACTGCCGAGCAGCCTGTATCGGGTCTTCTCGTATCGAAGGATTTTGACTTGAATCTTTTACAACTTCAAGATTTACATGAATTCACCCAACTCTCCACATCGATTGTTAAATCAAAGATCAATATTAAGATAAACTCAAGCATCGAGTTGATTAAATGGCATTTGGAGCAGATGTTCGGATACATTAACATCATTAATGATGATACCGAGGAATGGGAATGTTTGATTATGGATGTAATCAGTGTTATAGTTGATATCACTGGTAGTGAAAAGAGTAATGGACTTTTCGTCACAGTAGAATGGATTAACGACAATTTGATGGCCGACTCATTGGCTGATAGTGTTGTTGCCATCTTGTACTCTACCGATTCATCACCGGCGTCGGTTAAATTGACTTCCAAGAGTTGTCTGCATAGCCATACACATGTGAAAAATGAGGATACTGAAATGCTTACTGAAAATGGACGTGAAACAACTCCACCATCACAAAAACATGCACATGCTAACTCTGAGATTTCTAGTAGAATTCATCGTATTTCAACTTTACTTCGGGCACAATTTGGTGACACATTCAAACCAAATTTGGAAGAAGAAACAGCAGTGATATCTATCGGTAAAAACGAAGCGAAGATCGACTTTAAGAACTTGACAGTTGAGTGTGGATCTAAAGTCTTGAGAGATAGAGTTGAGAATGTGATCAAGAGAGGATGTGGACTTGCCGCACCACTTAGTCAGTATCAAAAAGTTTAACTTACCAGAAATAAAAATAATATGAATGATGGTGGGTAGTGAATCAATATAAGCTGAACTCTAGAGGTTGCATATATATACCCGTATATAGATAAATTAAATTGTACATTAGGATTAAATACTTATAAAGTGTAGATATGACAGTCGTGTGAATGTCAATTCTGAGATGGATATTTTTGCAGCGACAAAGGTCCTTATACACGTAGTAAGGTGACAACAAACAACTGATCATTATTCTACATCAATGGCGTATGTATATCCAAAGTCTACACATGGATTAATACTTACTAACATGACAAACAGTGACTTAATAGATAGACCTCGTTCTGAGCTCACTGAGCTTGAACTTCAAAAATTGGAAGAGTTTGAGTTTGCCAATGGCCCCATGTCTCTTTTACAGAATGCAGTCAATAACAACACCCCAGTGGTTGTATCGTGTCGTAACAACCATAAGCTCGTAGCCAAGGTTAAGGCCTTTGACAGACACTGTAATATGATTTTGGAAAATGTGAAGGAATTGTGGACTGAATCAGTTAAGAATAACAAAGGGAAGAAGATAAAGACCATTTCCAAAGAAAGGTTTGTACTGAAGATGTTTTTAAGAGGTGACTCGGTGATTATAGTGTTGAAGGCACAAGTGTAGGGACTGTTGTTGAAGAAGAGTGTCTCATATGGAGATGATTGTATATTAATGCGTGGCTAGTCCACGGTCTAGAATAAAAGATAAACAGGAAATTATAAATGTAAGAATTTAAGTAGGTAAAGAAGAAAACTGGTTTTACGACCAAGAATTGAATGACCAGAGGATAGAGGAATCTCTGAGTCATATAGAAACCTATAGTTTGTAAATGGTTGTAAGGGTTTTTTGCCCCCAATATTTAGGGATATGATAAGTCTCGCACATTGGCAATTTTTTTTTCTTTTAGATCTATTGTTATATGAACAGGTGATAATCCAATTTTCATAAACTAGATATGAAGTTGAAGCTACATACCTTGAACACTGAGACGCTCAAGACCACGCTAGCACTTGTGAGTCACATACGACGGTTTGTGATCCTTCGATTCACCACCACCCATTTGCTTATCATTCTGGTAAATGGCACATCAGTCACCCTTGAACCACAAGTTTGGTGTAAACTTCAAATCCATAGTATATTTGATCAAATTGAGATCCAATCATTAAACGACAATACCATCCTGCTTGAAATAAACATTGAATTATTTCTTCAAACATTAAGAAATTTTGATCGTGCAAGTAATTCTGAAGGACTTAGCATTCGTTTACAAAGAAAGGAATCGTCTGGTGAACAAGGAGTTACAGTAAACAATGGTAGAACGGCATCATTAGCGCTATTCTACTCGAATACAAACTTAAATTCAAATACCATCAATCACACGTTCCGTATCCCGGTGAAAATCTTGAAAAATACACACGAAGCGATGTTTTTGAAGGAACCAGAATTGGCGGGGGTAGACCATATGATGAGATTACCTCAAGAATTTGCATCAACGTACAAACGGCTAGATAAATTTCGGAAATTTGGAAATAATGAATTGGTTTCTATAAGGACCAGTAGACGAGATGGAGGATTCTTGGGATTTGTATTGGAAGAAGAAGGTTCATTTAAAGTTACTATCAGTTGGAATAATAAACTTGAGATACAAAAGCCTAGAAAAGATAGTGAAATGAATCAAAATACATTGACTGGAGATTCCTTAAGAACGGCTTATCGCGAGTTATTAGAAGGTGCAAACAATCAAGACGCTCCAGATGATTTGGACGAAGATGAAGATAAGGAGATTCTGGTACGATTGAGAGACTGGCGCATGGCCTCGAAAATCGTATCTACATGTAAAAGAGTTATATTTTTAGTGGCACATCAGGAAGCATGTGTTTTACATTGTTTATTGGATGATTCTGGTGATGTGGAAATAGTGTATCATATTACAGGCACCAGAGTTCGATCCAGTATAGAATAGAATGGAAAAAGAAGAAAACATAAAAAAAATAAAAATCGAAGTCTGTAAAAGAAAATTCAACTAATTTTGATATATACAGTTATAGTGGTGGGTCTTGACTAGAGAAAGACGTCTTATTATACAGGGTATCACAAAAATGTAACATTCCATTTCTATCTTTTTATTTTTGCTGCAATATAAAGTATTTTATTGTTCCTGCACACACGGGTGTACGAGTCAGAGATGGAATAGTCATAATGATTCAAAGTATGGAATTGATATTATAGTTGTATTAATTGAACTTTTATTTAACAAATCCCATTCACTAACCATGTCAGTCAGAACCTTAGAACGTGAAGAACCAAACTATTTTGGTGCTGGACCAGCATTATTACCAACTTCTGTCCTTCAAGAGGCTGCCTACGATTTGATTTCTTACCAAGGTGAAAACTTGGGAGTTGGTGAAATCTCACATCGTTCCAAACCAGCCATTCAAGTGATAGATGACACCAAGGCTCATCTCAAAGAGTTAATGAACATCCCAGATACTCACGAAGTTTTCTTCATTCAAGGTGGAGGTACCAATGGGTTCTCCACAATTGCTTACAACTTGATTGCTAACTACGCAAAGAAGACTGGTAAGAAGGGTAAGGCTGCATATGCAGTTACCGGTTCATGGTCGAAGAAGGCTGCTGAAGAAGCTTCAAGATTGGGTTTTGATGTCGATGTAGTGGTCAACACCAAGGACTCCAAATTCACCACCATTCCAGAATATTCTGAATGGAAGTCGATTGACAAGGAATCAACTGCTTATTTGTATGTTTGTGACAACGAAACCGTTCATGGGGTTGAATTCCACAGTGTTCCAGGTTCAGACTACCTTCCAGAAGGTGTTGAACTTGTTGCTGACATGTCTTCCAACATTTTATCTAGAGAAATAGATGTTTCCAAATATGGTCTTATTATGGCTGGTGCTCAAAAAAATATTGGGTTGGCTGGTTTAACAATCTATATCATGAAGAAGTCGTTGTTGGAACAAGCCTCCGATGATGAATTGAGAGCTTTGAACATTCCATTGGTGCCAATTGCGTTCCATTACCCAACCGTTGTTCTGAACAACTCTGCTTACAATACCATCCCAATTTTCACCTGTCATATTTTAAAGCTTGTACTTGCCAAGGTCTTGAAGGAAGGTGGTGTTAGTGCCATTGAAAAGATTAATAACGAAAAGGCTAAGATCTTATACACAGCCTTGGACAAATATCCAAATGTTTACAAGGTGCCAGTAAAGACCGATGTTCGTTCCAAGATGAACGTTGTTTTCACATTGGTTGACAACGAAAGGGAAGCTGCTTTCATTTCAGAAGCTGCCGAACAAAAACTCACCGGGTTGAAGGGTCACAGATCTGTGGGAGGTATGAGAGCTTCTATCTACAACGCTGTGACTTTAAAGAGTGTTGAATTATTGGTTGACTTTATTAACAAGTTTGCCGAAAATAAATAATTAGCTTACGATTGAAATTCTTTAATACGAATATATATATAAAACGTGGACGTTATGTACGTGTATTGTCTTGTTCAGTTGGAGTTCATAGTAAAGGCTGTTTGAACATTTTATTATTCTTTTTTTATATTTTTAATTTTTTTATTTTTCACATTTTCTCAAACAGTACAGAAGTCTGGATCGTACAGCACATAGAGCTTTGGATTACCGTTAGTATAGTCCATACCGTTTAATGATAACGATACAAGGCTTTGCGAGACTGGGGCCGACCATTAGGACTGCTTTGTTGCAGTCCTTCACACTTCTAGGCCGTGGAAATATCCAAAGATCTTCATCAACTATATCAGCGACTGCCAGTCCTGCTGAGAAGAGACTTTATCTAGACAAGGAAAACTACCGTAAATCTGTACAAGAACGTATAGCAAACATTCCAATCGAGAATTATAGAAACTTCAGTATAGTTGCTCATGTCGACCATGGGAAGTCAACCCTATCCGATCGTCTCTTGGAACTTACTGGAGTCATTAAAGCTGGTGATGCAAACAAACAAGTGTTGGACAGACTTGATGTTGAACGAGAACGTGGGATCACAGTCAAGGCACAGACATGTTCGATGTTCTATACACACCCAGAAACCAAAGAAGATTACTTATTACATCTCGTCGATACACCAGGGCATGTAGATTTCCGTGCTGAAGTGTCACGTTCCTATGCAAGTTGTGGGGGTGCATTGCTTATTGTAGATGCATCCCAAGGTGTACAAGCACAAACTGTCGCCAACTTCTATTTAGCATACAGTATGGGGTTGAAATTGATTCCAGTTATAAACAAAATTGATTTGGATGCAGCAGATATTCCTCGTGCCATTGATGAAGTGGAAAACACATTTGAACTCCCTGCAGAGGATTGTATCCCAGTGAGTGCCAAAAGTGGCCTTAACGTGGAGAATATCATACCTTCCATTGTTCAAAATATGCCTGCCCCAGAGGGAAATCCCGAAAACCCCTTGAAGGCTTTATTGGTTGATTGTTGGCACGATCCATATGTAGGAGTTGTTATGTTGATCTATATTCGTGATGGGACTCTTAAAAAGGGTGCAAGATTGATCTCTGCTCACTCAGAGAAAAGATATGATGTTAAAGACGTTGGAATCATGTACCCAGATAAAATGTCAATGGATAGTCTTAGAGCTGGGCAAGTGGGATACGTTATTCCGGGGATGAAGAATCCAAGAGAAGCAATGATTGGTGATACTTTCTTCAAGTTGGGAGAACATGAAGGGGTTGAACCTTTACCAGGATTTGAAGAACCGAAACCAATGGTGTTTGTGGGTGCTTTCCCTGCTGAAGGAGTTGAATTCAAAGTCATGAATGATCATATGGAGAATTTAGTTCTTAATGATAGATCGGTCACTCTTGCAAAGGAAACATCTACAGCTCTTGGGTTGGGTTGGAGATTAGGATTCTTGGGTTCATTACATGCATCTGTATTCAAAGAAAGATTAGAGAACGAATATGGTGCCAAAATCATTTTAACTGCACCAACAGTGCCATATAAAATCATTTACAAGAACGGAAAGGAAGTTATTGTTACTAATCCAGATGATTTCCCAAATGTTGATGAAAGAGCATTGGTGGAATCATTTATGGAACCATATGTATCTGCCCTCATCACAATTCCAAAGGAATATGTTGGGGTGGTTATGACTTTGTGTGAGAATAATAGAGCCATTCCAGAAGATGTTGAGTACCTCAACTCTGGTCAAGTTCTTATGCGTTATGAAATCCCATTAGCACAATTAGTCGAAGATTTCTTTGGTAAATTGAAAGGGTGTACCAAAGGTTATGGATCTTTGGATTACGAAGATTCAGGATACAAAAAATCAAATATTGTTAAATTGGAACTTTGTGTTAATGGAATCCCACAAGATGCATTAGCCCAAGTTATGCATAAATCACAGGCCCAATCCAGGGGTCGTGAATTTGTAGAGGAGTTCAAAAAATATCTTCGATTTGAATTATTCGACGTGGCAATTCAAGCAAAGGTGAGTAATAAGGTTGTTGCTAGGTCAACGATTAAAGGTAAGAGAAAGGATGTTACTGCCAAATTACACGCAGCTGATATTTCAAGAAGAAAGAAGTTGTTACTGAGACAAAAGGAGGGTAAAAAGCAAATGAAGGAGCTGGGACAAGTGAAGATCAGACCTGAAGCTTTCCAAGCATTCTTAAGAAAGAAGGATTAAATGAAAAATTGTACATAGTTATCATACATATAGAAGTATTATTAAAATAAACCATTCAAAGCTACATTCCCATAACTAAAATTCCGTTAACGAGTGAAGAGGTGTGTATTTATTTCTCTTGGGTTAATATCTATAAACAAGTCCTGTTACTTTTTAATGAGATTTCTATATTTGTTAAGTGGGATCCATCTAGTTACACTTCAAGAACTTTTGATAGACAACATTCTTGCTTTCATCCACAAATTTGTAGCCCAATTGAGATAACCAGTCCAGGAACTCTTTTTCTTCAGTACCCTTTGGAATATGGAAGGCACACAAAACCTTACCAACATCATTTCCGTGGTTTCTATAATGGAACAAGGTAATATCCCAGTCTGACTTTAATGTTTGCAAAAAGTTAAACAAGGCACCAGGTCTTTCTGGGAATTCAAATTGATAAAGTCTCTCGCGATAGGATTTTTCACAAGACATTGGTGTCTTACCACCAACCAAGTAACGGCCATGAGTCTTTGCAACTTCATTTTCTGAAATGTCAAACACGTCGTATCCGTGATCCTTGTCGGTCATGATTTCCAAGATTCTTGGCAATTCCTTTTCCTTATTGATAACATTGAAGGAAACGTAAATGGATGCGGAGTCGTTGTCTGAAAATCTGTAGGAAAATTCGGTGATAGCTCTAGGGTTGATGATTTTTTGCAACTTTGCAAATTCACCTGGTCTCTCTGGAATAGTGACAATGAGGGAAACTTCTTTACCTTCACCCAAAACAGCTCTTTCACTAACAAATCTCAATCTATCAAAGTTCATGTTAGCTCCACTCAAAATAGGAACATAAGTTTTATTTCTGTGGTCAATTTCGCCACTAGTCTTGTGGACGTATTTCTTAAGACCAGCTACAGAGAGAGCACCAGATGGTTCAACAATCAGTCTTGTATCTTCAAAGATATCCTTGATGGCAGCACATAATTCATCAGTCAGTACACGGACAACTTCATCAACATGATCACGGAGGATTCTCCAAGTCTCCTCACCCAAAACTTTAACGGCGGTACCATCGGCGAAAACACCAACAGAGTCCAAAGTCTTCAGTTCATTACTCTTTAACGATTGATAAAGGGCATCGGCATCGTATGTTTCAACACCAATAATCTTGACATGAGGAGCGATTTGTTTCAAGTAAACGGCTAAACCAGCAATCAAACCACCACCACCGACTGGGACAAATATGGCGTCCAACTTGTCCAATCTTAATTGACGGGTGATTTCCAATGCAACAGTACCTTGACCAGCAATAACGTATGGATGGTTGAATGGAGGAATGTTGGTGAGTCCGTTTAATTCACTTAAACGGTCACATTCCAGCTTGGCAGAGTCAAAGTCATCTCCGTACAAGACAACTTGAGAGCCCAATCTGGAAACGTTAGAATATTTAATGGATGGGGTGGCCGTGGGCATAACTATAGTGGAAGGAATCTTAAGCTTGTTGGCTGAGTAGGCAACACCTTGTGCGTGGTTACCCGCGGAGCAAGCAATAACCCCAGACATTGGAGAAGCTGAGTTTGTATGTAAATGAGAAATCATATTGTAAGCCCCACGCAATTTGAAAGAAAAGACTGGGAGTAAATCTTCACGTTTAAGGTAGATGTTTGTGTTACATTTGTGGGACAAGTTCACTGCGTGGGTGAGTGGAGTACCTGCTCTGTCTACAACATCGTACACTCTGGATGTCAAGATAAGCTTGACGTAATCTGGGTTTCCGTTAGCGTCAAAGTCGGAGTCACGAAGCTCAGGGTATTTTGATTGGAGGGATTCTGTTGGGGCAACAGTTGAGTTAAACCTCACAGCTCTCAAGGCAGGAGCCAAGGCACTTCTTTTGAGAAGTGTCGTTAAGTTAGACATATTCGACACAGAGGAAGTGAAAGTAAGGTGAGCCCAGGTTTTGCGACTTTTCATAGTAGTGAAAAATTAACCTTGACATCAGTCAAATGAGTCAATCACATGAGCGATCATAGGCAATGCACGACTTTTATTATCAGTTGCATGAATGAATACAAAAGCGTAAGGGATATACTTTTAATACTTTTTTCAACTTTCTAGGTTGAGGAACCTAGAAAGATGACTGCTCATGTACTATTGAATTATTAGTCAGAGTGTTTCAAGACCTCAAATAGTTTATATAGGAAATTTTTGAGATACTCCAAACAAAAATGACACGTACGGCGGTGTTTTTTTCTTCGTAGAAATAACTGGAGAAAAGTGTAGTTTCAAGTTTTGTTGCTACTCTTGACTCTAAAATTTCCTCGTAGATTGTCCCGATCTAAAGATATAACAGATATATGTGAAGATCTAAAATGACCATTGCGTAACACATTTTTGGTTGTTGGATTGTATCCTCATTGTCTGTCACATGCGGAAATCCTTCCGTGAAACAATGTTTAAATCCAGTATCTATTATTTCCTTGAATGGGATCGCCACCATTTTTTTCAAATCTTACAAATTTGGAAGACCTTAATTTGGGAAGAATAGTACAGATCCGTCAGCTACTCTGAAAACAATAGATACGGTATTCAGTGTTTGAGAACAAGAAGATTGATAGAGATAGTCTCGTTGAGAGTTTAATGTCTGTAAGCTATGACTCCTCTAAAGATAATATCGGGTTTTCAATCAAAAGAGAAAATGTTTAGAAGGGTAACTTTTGAACCTGTTTGATCAGAATTGCTGCAAATTGTCTTGAGAAAGAAAAAGGTGGTAAAAAAAAAAGCTGAGAAAAAAGAAAATTAGGTTGCAAATATGCCAAACGAGCATCAAGAATTAACTGTTTGTGGCAAGTACAAGAGTACTAACATACAATATTGAGCATGGATCCTGATATGCCATACAAGCTCAAATGTAGTCACCATATCTGATATACATATTTATCTGTTACCCTTATAAAACTAGGATGCAGATTTGCTTGCCATAAATACTAAGCTAATACATCTTGCTAACGATCGAGCTAAGACTACATCAATAATATATAGATACTATGAATTCTGCTCCAGCTTTACCAATATACTCGCATATGGATTTATTCAATGAAAGTCTATTTGATTTGAAACCTGAACAGCAGCTTCAACTAGATTCTACATTGAAAGGAGAACTACCCTTAGAGTTCAATTTCGGTTTTGAAGGTGGGAATGACTTCCAATATTTAGATCAAAGAGAAGAAATATTACCTCTTGGTGAAATTAATTCAAGAAGTGTATCTGATTTCAGTCTCCAATCTCAAATCACATCAGAACAAAGCTCACCCGCTAGAAGGTTTTCCAATACGTTTTTAATTGAATCTGCCAGTAAGAAACGTAAGAGAGAAAATTCCTTACTTAGAAATGAATCACATAGAACAAAGACTTGGAGTGTACTTAAGTTCTCACCCAAGAGAATATCGAACTCTGTTAAGAGATCACTTGATGATGAATTTGAAGTACTTGATGAATATAAAACATGTTACTACGTTAATGCAAGGAATCCACCCAATCCAAGAAAAAGACGAGATCCATTAGACTTGGAATGGAAACCTATATCTATCTTCAAAGTGTATACAAATGTTGCCCCCATGGAAGTAGAAGACACCAACTACCATGACAACATTCCTACTACATCTTGTTTTGGACAGATAAACATGAGAATCAAGGGGGCATGGAAGAGATCAAAGTAGTTAACCTAGCATTCATTTTGCCGTTGATTGTATTTTTTTTCCATAGTAATTTATTTTTTAACCTTAAATTGAATTCTTCTGTAGATTGTGCCAAGAACAATATTTGTAAAATTTGTGGGTGACCATGAAATCTAATTTATTTTTATTTTTTATGGTCCTTTTTGGAACAATCTTTCGTAAATTGACCATACATGGTTGAAAGAATCAATGCCTGTAAATAAGGTTTAGATGATTTCCACTGGTGTTTGTTAACCGAGGAATTTCGCTCATTCTTTATAGACTAATAATTTATTTCTGTATATATAGTGGTCCTTGTTTTAGTATATGTGGTAACTTCGTACAGTATAAATGACAATGAAACCATCAAATCCTAACTTGTTTGCATCTTCTACTACGTACAATAATGATAACTATGATCATTTCCCCACTGTGGAAGAGATTGTAGCAGAGCTTAAATTGTTAAGGGCTTTCTCTGAGTTGAAATCTAAAGTTGTTGGGAGTCCGGAATGTGTAGGTCCAGATGGTAGAATGATTGGCTTTTCAATTGAACAATTGAAAGCATGGCAAGTTTATCTCACCAATGCTTCGAGAAGATTCATAATATATGTGTCGGCATTGAAGGCCAGGTTCAAGAAGCTGGATCAAAGCTCTCCCAAGGGAATATTTCAAGAATTCTTTAATGTGAATCCATTTGAGAATGGTATAGACAATTTCCGTATGGACATTATCAAAAACGAAAAAGAGATGAAATTAGCATCGAAACAATTGCAAAAGCAAATGGCCCAAAATCCTGGGGACTTCTCGAAGATTGAAATTCCTTCAATTGTTTCTGAGATATTTCCTGGTTTCAAAGTTATGTCTCCCCAGAATTCTGGGTCATTTGCACCTATTTGTTACAGTAATCTGGAACTTAGTCGATACATATATTCCCACCTTCCTCCCTTGGACGTTCTTTTCATTTGGCATTGCTTCATGTTAAGTCACCCTCAATCTAAATGTGTAGAACAATTCCGAGAATTCTTCATGTGTTCATTCCCGTTATATCAAGTTACCCAAGCAATTGATAACTCGTCATTCAACTACTGCCCTTCAAATATAGTTGCGACAACTGATGAGTTCCATAGATTAACCCGTAATTTTGGAAATGAAATTGATTATGAAGTTCTCAAAGTGGATATGAATATGAAGGTCCCAATCACATGTCCCGTATGCAATAAAACATTAATTCAAGAGGTGGAATTTACCAACTCTAGAGATAGAGGATTTGCTGATCTGGGCTTTGTTGCGGTGGCCAATCCTAATGATGCAATTCTGAAACTTCCGAGATGTACATGCTTGAGATCAGCACTTAAAGTTACACATGAAGAGCTCACCAAATTAAGAATTCCTGGCAATATATTAACTACCGCTCAAGAAATGAAAGGATGGAATTATCAGATGTTTGGTAAGGAAGTTGGTGATGAAATGGCCAATCGCATTCAAAATGCTGTTGAGGACTCGATGCAATATCAACAAGAACGTGGACACCGTCCTAGTAGACCCCGCTCTAAAACTCGAAACTTAATATACTTGACAATCCCAAGAATGTTTGATAATCAAGACATCATTGCTATTGATGAAGATCTTGTTAATTGTGCAATTTTTCAAGAACGATTTTCAATTGAGATAAATTCATTACAATGGCTCAAAAGTAATGCCCTTGAGAGTACTATCGAGGCAAGTTCTCGAAGATATTATAATTTCTTCCAGCTTATGCGTGATACATACCTTACGACATATCATGTACCCCCAATTGACATCAATCTTGTTTGGAATGTCCATAGACTTTGTCCGATTGCATATCGAAACTATCAACGATTTCCTGAACATGTTAAAACAATTTTATGCCCTACAATCCCCATTGGAGATCTGAAATTAAGTGCATGTTTTGAAAATACTTGTTCACTTTATAGGAAAAGATTTAATGAAGAATTACTGAATTGTTTATGTTGGTTCTGTTCTATTGCACGTCGAAACTCACGGCCAAAAATTTCAAAAATGTTCAGTGGAAGTGATGAAATACCTGGGAGTAATTTTCTTTCGAACGTTGTTTGCCGACATACAGGGGTAAACCCATCACATATTCTGGGGTTTAATTCCATTACAATTGAAGGAGTTAAAGCCAATGAAGTAAATAGTAAAGTGAAAAAAAGGTATGGCCTTGAAAATCTGGAACGTCCCTATCCTTGGTATACTGGATGTTCAGAAATGGAAGCATTGGTAAAATACTCATATGTTTTTGTAAATGATCCCACTAAGGATATTGCTTTTTTTTGTCCTTGGTATACGGGAACTAAACCACATCCTAGCGAGTATAGATGGTTCATAAAATATTAGACATTATATATGATAGAGGAACAATCAGCCTAACCATGTGGTTGCAAAAAGCATAGAATCGTAAAATAAAAATTATTTATTGTTCGTGTAAATTTGACACAGAATGAAGTAGGAATTGAAGAATATATAATGAGCTGTCCATATACATATATATGTATATAATTACACTTGTCTTGTATTCTTGCCCAATTCATTGATCTACCATATTTTCTTCACGATAATCATGCCAACTGTTTTTAAACTGGTCGTGCGCGCGCACAATCTTTGAATCGTCCATTTTGGCGTACATATGAAGAAATTCCCAAAAACTCAAGTACACCACATTCGATAGGTTAGCAAAGAATGGATTCACCTCTTATCGCCACATATGGTGCTCGTATGAGCGCGGACCTTGTCAGCGCCGAGGATTTCCGTAGACAAAGACAACGTTTGAACAAACAGTTGAGAAATTTGCGTCATGAACTCAATATTGTCACGAGGGACACCAAGAACTACAGTGACAAAGTTCCTAAAGTGACCAGTGAAATTTTAGGAAAAGATGAAAAATATGGATACTTACTCTTGTTAACTGCTGAAAGAGACATCTTGTACGCTTGTGAAATTAAGAGTTTACTTGAACTTGGGACTGACGGTGCATCTTCATACAAAAACCTCTTGGTTAGTAAGAACAAGAAAGCCTTAGTCCATGCCAAGAAGGTATTGGAACTGAAGTACGCTAGTGACCACAGCTACAAGATAGAGCTGTACGTGTATGCTGCTCTTATCCAGGGATCTCTTTCCATCACCAAGAAACAATGGGAAGTCGCCCTTCATGCGTTTGCTGTGGCCCGTTGTGGATTGGAGTACTTGAACGAAAGTGAATCTGATTCATTCAAGAAAACCTTATTCAAGGATCTTTTGGAATCTATTGTTGATCCATCTTTGAACTTGGTGGTTTCTCAATCCAACTCCTCCGTTAATGGTGGATTTACTGACTTGAAGTCTATTGCCCGTAAGCATTGTCGTGACAATGAATTACCATATTTGGGCAAATTGGTTGATTATATCAACTCTATTGATGGAACTTTCTTATCCGATATTTCTTCTGAAAGAGATTTGATCCGTAGTATTGAATGGAGAGGACATGAGGCAACACTCACAAATAATGAAATTGCATTCAAAATCATGAAATTGAATGAAACCACTGATGTTGACTATGATGAGTTGGCCCAAGGATGGTCCGAATTGGTTGACATACATCGTAGTGAAAGAAATATCGACGAGGATGATCATCAAGTCGTGCAAGAAAGAGCCATTCTTGACACCTATCTCAACTATAATGCACTTTTCGCCAAGTTGAAGAGAGACATCGAGTTCCTCAGCAAGGATGATGGCAGTCGTACTAGTGAAATGCTTCTTTCCAACATTATAGCTACCGTTAAGGTTCTCAAAGACTTGCCAGGTGTCTATAATGATGAAGAATTATATCAAACTTTGGAAAACTTGGAAAGCTTTTATGTTTCTAAAAGAATTGTATACTTTGCCAAGTTGTATTCCAAAATTAAAAAGCTTCCAGAAGCTCTTAAATTATACAATCATGTTAACGAATCTCTCAAGCCTGAAAACCCATATTTGGTTGATCTTTTATATGATGTCAGCACTTTTGAAGAATACAAGACCTTCAGAACTACTGTTCAAGAAGAGTTACATCAATGCCATATCTTGACTCAAATTGCTCGTGATACAGAGGAATCATCCACTTGTCACCAAGCTATTGTGGAAAATGTTAACCAATACACTGGATCAAAAGATTCCCTCAAAAATATTATTGGGTTTGAAGAAGGAATAACGATCAGTCCTGTGTTGAGTAAGCCTGTTTTGTTTGACATTGGGTTCAATTACATCAACTATGATGCTGGTAGAAGCCATTACTCGTCATCTCCAGTAGTAGAATCTGCACCAGGGGCAGCCACTTCCACCACTGATGATTCTGAGACTAGACAACGTAGTGGATTCTTTGGAATGTTTGGAAGATCTTAAGAATACTCTTATAATCATGTAATCAATGTATAATAGAAATAATAAAAAATTACCTATAATAAATTAATATGTAAGACTTGCTCTTGTTGTGTATCTCCTCCTGTGTATACAAAGTGTGAAAATGACAACGAACTCTAAATTTGCAACACTATTTTTTTTTTTATTTTTCTTTCAAAATATTTCAATTTAAACACTACACAAGTTATTCATTCAAACATCATCATGCCTCAACGTAGCACATCTGGCGGTCTGATAACAACGCTTCTATTTTGTGTGGCGGGTCTCTATGGATCGTTCATCTCGTGGTCTCTTCTTCAGGAAAGAATAAATACAAAGCCATATGGTTACAATCCAGATACTGGGAGTCCTGATTTTTTCAAAGCTCCTCTTGTAGTAAACATAGTCCAAGCATTATTTGCAGCTATAGTCGGGCTCATTTATTCTTTGGTTACATCCAAGGGGAATCCATTTGGCTTGTTTTTCCAACAAGATAAAGTTTTGTCGAGACAATATTTCAAATCATTTGTGTTGATTTCAATTACTTCCAGTTTAGCTTCTCCACTTGCCTATAAATCGTTGAAACACGTTGATTATTTGGCCTTTTTGCTTGCAAAGTCATGCAAGCTTATCCCTGTCTTGTTGATCCATACTACCCTCTATAGAACAAGATTCCCACTTTATAAATATCTTGTTGCAGGTTCTGTATCTGCTGGGGTTGTTCTTTTCACATTGGCACAACTGTCCAAGGGTAAAAGTAAATCCAGTATCAATGATGGACAATTAATTCTAGGCATGGTTCAACTTGTTGGATCCATGTGTTTGGATGGTTTGACAAACTCCACTCAAGATCAACTTTTCAAATTAAACAGTAATAATTCAAAAGTCGCATCTATTAAACTCACAGGTGCAAGTTTGATGTGTATTTTAAACACATTTATGTTTTTGATTAGTTTCGGTTACGCCTTAGTGTTCAAATACGAAGAAGAAATTGGATATACCCTTAACTTTATTCAACATTATCCACAAGCTCTTACAAACATTTTAGCATTTTCCATTCTTGGAGCGGTTGGACAAATTTTTGTATTTATCATTTTGGAGAAATTTGATTCTTTAATTCTTGTTACTGCTACAGTTACTAGAAAAATGATCAGTATGATTTTAAGTGTGATCATGTTTGGTCACCATTTGACTGCATTACAATGGTTTGGTGTAGGTTTAGTTTTCACAGGAATTGGATATGAAGCCGTTGCCAAACTGCCAAAGAAAGAGAATAAGGAGAAGAAGAGTCAATAGATATTGCAAGTAGAAGAAGTGTCAATAGGATTATCTTCACAATTAAAGATATGTCAATAGGATACCCTTTATGTATGTCATTCGCGAAAAATAATTTTATAGCAGGAGGGAAAACATAATCTCTGAGGTTTGTGTTTTTTAATAAGTAAACTATCTATATAGAACTTTCATGCTTATATCGCACCCTAGAATCATGTACCAAACATGGATGACATCCTTAGAGTCTGTGTGCTGTGCATTGGCACTGTTGTTCCCGAAATTCTTCTGTAGCATTTTATTGACATGGTCATATTATGTGTTTATGATGGAAGCTGTATATAATGGATTAGTGATTTCTCGAAACAAAAGTGTGCTAGCATACACAGCCTCGATAGTTGCTACGGTGCTATATGGGTTGTGTCTCTATACATACTTCAAGGTTGTAGTGGCTGGGCCTGGATCACCACTTGATTTTGAGGAATTAAGAATAAATAACATTGATTCATTGGCAAATAGACGTCGTTCAGAAAATCCATTTGATACAAATACGACACCTACAACGTTGGATCAAACCAATGAAAGTGAAACACACTTGCTAGCGGAAGAAATGAATACTCAAGCGCCAGAAGTGCCGCCACTTGATTATGTGAAGATGTATACTGTCAAACAGAAAAGATCCGCACCGGTGGCATATCGATACTGTTTGAAGTGTAGTTGTTGGAAACCAGATAGATGTCATCATTGTTCATCGTGCAAGAAATGTGTGTTGAGAATGGACCATCATTGTCCATGGTTTGCGTCTTGTATTGGCTTTTATAATCAGAAATTTTTCATCCAATTTCTAACATATCTTGCCATTTATAGTGGCTTGGTATTTGTGGTCACTACAAGTCTCTTGTGGAAGTTTTTCACTCAAGAAATGTATAAAGATGGTGAATATCTTTCGTTAAGTTTAGTGTTTTTATTTGTTGTTAGTCTTTCATTCTTTTTCGCAGTTTCAGGATTTGCTATATTTACTTCATATTTGGTGGTGGTAAACACAACCACCATTGAAGTTCAAGAGAGTAAATGGAACGTTAAAAGGAATGGGAAATCCAATGGTGCGTTCCAATACGAGTTTGATCAATCTGGGGGTAATTCTGGGGAAAATGGGTCGAAAAAGTCAATTTCTTCCAATATATTTGATTTGGGATACAAGAGAAATTGGACTAGTATAATGGGTGAAACTTGGATAGAATGGTTACTCCCAATCAATTCTACCAGTGATAAATTGGAAGATGAATACAAGAATGGGATAAACTTTGAAATCAACCATGAAGCATACCAACAATGGGTTCACGATACACAATTACAAGATCAATTGAATCAACAGGTTGAGGATTATGTTAAGAGAACAAGAGCTGAACGTGAACTGTATGTATAGAGATAATATATTTATAAAAAATTAACGAGAAATAAACATAATGAAGGAAATATGAAGTAAAAAAAAATGGAAGTAAATGTCATAATTAGTTACAAATTATATTTAGGAAATGATAATAATTTTGATAGTAAGCGATATATAAAATATACAATGTAGAATAATGAGAATTGCCTTCGTTCTTTGTACCTCTTTGGATAATTCTTAAAATTCGCATACAAAACCTCATATGCACTCCGTGATAATACATACCAACACTTTTCCTTGTGAAGTGAAGGTAATAAAGTTTTGAAAGATCTAATCTGTTACGAATTTCTACGTTATACGCCATCTTTGAAGGTATTTTTTACGGTTGGTCTTCATTTTTATTCGCTGGGTATACAAGAGATTTCCTGCAGAACTAAAATTATTACTAGAAGGAGAAAAAAGCAAAAGTCAATCAGATAAAAAAAAAGCAAAACTTACCAGAGAGATTGAAATGTACGTTCAACTCCCATTTGACGAGCTCGAGGTCTCGGACACCAACAAGAAGCGCGTTGCCTACTTCTACGACGCAGACGTTGGTAATTATGCTTACGGAGCTGGGCACCCCATGAAACCCCACCGTATAAGAATGGCCCATCTGTTGATTATGAACTATGGCTTATACAAAAAGATGGAAATCTACCGTGCCAAGCCGGCAACTAAGCAAGAAATGTGTCAGTTCCACACCGATGAGTACATAGACTTTTTGAGTCGTGTTTCGCCGGACAACTTGGATATGTTTGCCAAAGAGCAAATTAAGTTCAATGTTGGAGATGATTGTCCAGTTTTCGATGGATTATTTGAATATTGTGGGATTTCAGGAGGTGGTTCCATGGAAGGTGCCGCCAGATTGAACCGTGGGAAGTGTGACATTGCCATCAATTATGCCGGTGGGTTACATCATGCGAAGAAATCTGAAGCTTCAGGATTTTGTTATTTGAATGATATTGTGTTGGGGATCATTGAATTGTTGAGATACCATCCACGTGTCTTGTACATTGACATCGATGTGCATCATGGTGATGGTGTTGAAGAAGCCTTTTATACCACCGATCGTGTGATGACTTGTTCATTCCACAAATATGGGGAATTTTTCCCTGGTACTGGTGAATTGAGAGACATTGGTGTTGGTAAGGGTAAATATCATGCTGTGAATATCCCATTACGTGACGGGATCGATGATTCGACCTATAAATCCATTTTTGAACCTGTGATCAGTAAAATTATGGAATGGTATCAACCATCGGCCGTTGTTTTACAATGTGGTGGTGATTCCTTGAGTGGTGATAGATTGGGATGCTTCAACTTGTCAATGTCTGGACATGCCAATTGTGTGAATTTCGTGAAATCATTCAATATCCCAATGATGGTTGTTGGTGGTGGTGGATACACCATGAGAAATGTCGCCAGAACCTGGGCATTTGAAACTGGTCTTTTAAACAATGTTAAATTACCTACTGAATTGCCATACAACGATTATTATGAATATTATGGACCAGATTATAAGTTGGATGTCAGACCATCTAACATGCATAATGCCAATTCCCCAGAATTTTTAAATAAAATTTTAACGAACATTTTAACTAATTTGGAAAATACTAAACATGCACCATCGGTTCAAATGAATTATGTTCCTAATGATCCAGAAGATTTGGGTGATGTTGAGGAAGATACTGCTGAAGCAATTGATACAAAGGGTGGATCCCAGCAAGCACGTGATGAAGCCATTCAACCAGAAGGTGAATTTTATGATGATGAGGATAGAGATAAGGGAGAAAAGAATATTCAAAGTTTTGCCAAACCAGAATCTGTTGAAACTGGTGAAGATGTTTCCAAGACTTCCAAGACAGTTTCTGAAGAAGCTCCTGCTCCAACAGATTCTTCTGGAAGTGGTACCAATGACTCCATGCAAGTTGATTCTGTCACTACTAATGAATCTAAGGTTGATGAAACTAAAGAGAACAAAACTGAACCAGTAATTAATCAAACAACAAAATTGACAGAAGATGAAATGAAGGAGATTGAAGAATTGAATGCTGATGATTAGATGGATGAATGAAAGTTCTCTAATGAAAAGATTACTAATTGTACAAATAGTTTATATATTATTGTTTTAAAAAATAAGAAAGAAGAAAGAAAGCATGTAGAAGAGATGTTTGAGCTAGCGATACCTATATGGTTGTATAAAAAAATAAGTAGACGAGAAAGTAGAAAAAATTATTTGCACAACTTGGAGGAATGGTAGAATGTGTGAAGTTCTTGCAGGTAGATTCGATATAGGTATAGCGAGGAGATAAGTGTTAGGTTGCTCTCGGGGCAATTTCTGGTGAGCCTAAAGAGGGGATTCGAATACATGGTCTACGGAGTTAGTAAGATTTTCTCCTTACTTTCTACCTAATATACAATTTTTCACTGAATTTCATGGCTCAGCTCATTTGAGCCCTTATTTAGAATGCTGACCTTGGTGTACACCCTCATTTGCAATCGGACCGGCCGGATAATTGACAATCATTGTTTGTATGTTGATTATTACACATTTTTGTACTTCTCGGATATATGGAACAACGTGACACTTGTCACGCGACTATGATTCACAAACCGGACTTAAAACCTTTGACACTAGGTGTCTCACCCCACTCACTATGGAAGATATAATTTGAAAATAAAACCATTCCTTGTGATTTTCTTGTTTAACTTTTCCAAAGACAAAAATGATTGAAATGGTTCATTGTCTCTGGAAACGGTCACCACTTTTAGCACAAGTGGGACGGATACGAGTTCGGCTGTACGGAACGATAAAGGAGAATAGTTTGATAACAGTGAAGTCATGTAAATTGCTTAGAAATAGTACGTTCCCAGAATATGTTGGATCGCCACATTCCAAGTTACATGGAATGATTTGGCGTCAACCCTTGCAAAATGTGTATGTGGTTAAAAAACCGTGGAATGACGATGTAAGACAAGCAATGTATCAATTCATACGACACTTGCATGATCAATATCCTGCTGTGAATGTGATTGTTAGTGAGGATGTCGTGGATGAATTGATTGACGAGACTCAGGAACAAGGAATTAGGATATCAGAACTGGGTCCGGGTTCTGGTCCGAGTCCGGGCCTGGATGTAGCAGGAGCTACAGAAACTCATACTAAACCACTGAAGGGTAAGATAACCCTTTACACTGGGAGTGTCGAAGATGTTGTCAATAAGACCGATGTAATAGTGACTCTTGGGGGTGATGGGACCATTCTAAGGGCCGTCAGTACATTTCTGAATGCATGTGTGCCACCAGTACTTAGTTTTGCCTTGGGGACCCTTGGGTTTCTTCTTCCGTTTGATTTCAGTAAATTTGCAACAACTTTTAAAATGGTATATGAATCAAGAGCTAAAGTGCTTCATAGAAGTAGATTAGAGTGTCATGTTGTTCGTAAAGTGCCAGAAATGAGCGATTCGGAGTCTTCACTTAAGAAGAAACAAATCCAACAATGGAAAAGACAACAAGAAAACCATTCATTATCCATGGTTCATGCTATGAATGACATTGTTTTACATCGTGGTGGGCAGCCAAACTTGTCCTCGATGGATATTTTCATTGACAATACTCATTTAACTACTACTACAGCTGATGGGTTGGTATTTGCCACCCCTACCGGTTCTACTGCATATTCGCTTTCCTCGGGAGGGTCCATTGTTCACCCATTAGTTCAATGTATATTATTGTCACCCATTTGTCCTAGATCATTATCTTTCCGACCATTAATATTACCATCTATCTCACATGTTATGATTAAAATGCTGGAAAAAAATCGCAACACTTCAATTAAATTAAGTATTGATGGTATACCACAACAGGATTTACATCCAGGCGATGAAATCCATGTTGTTAGTGAAAATGGAACGATTTATCCACAAGGGAATTATGCACACTTACCGGCAGGGATTCCCACAGTTAAAAATAATGAAAATATGAAGCCAGTGCCCGATACAAAGGCTCTGCATCATAAGGGTATTTGGTGTGTTGCAAGAAGTGAAACTGATTGGACTTCAGATATAAATGAATTACTTGGGTTTAATAGTTCTTTTAAGCAAAACAGTAGAAAAGAGTGAGCATACATATAGAGAAAATATATATACTGATAGATGTATAAGTGTGATAACATAGATAGCGATGAGTGAAAAAAATGTACACTTGTACTAACACAATGAAATGCTAGAATATAAAAGAGTAGATATTTGAGAAAATAAAGTAGTTCTTGGTACCATGTAAGAAGCACTTCTTTATATATGGTCCTCATTTGTACAACCATTGCCGCCAAAATAATACATAACGTAGTCTCATTCACTTTGAACTACTTCATCTACTTTCATTTAATTCCTCTTTCACATATTAACACCAACACATCTACATGATCCATTGGTTTTTTTTTTTGTTGTAATAATGACCAATCATTGGATTCAAATGTGTTGTTATTTAAAAGTTAAAATTATTATTTATCATCCTTAATTGATATCTTCGCAACGAGATCATTCTTATTTTTTTTTTTACCCTTTTCATAAGAAATGATCTCAAAAGTACAGCCCCAAGTCGTTTCATGTTCAACAAAAAAAAAAGCGATTTTGAATTTTTGGCTCACATGCTGTGCACCCCCTGTTTTACGGGGTGCAAAATGAAAATTAATCTAGAGGAGAACAAATCCCGTAATCGTGCGAAAAGTTGCGTTAAACCCTAAAAAATAAAAAAAGTCCCTTTTAGTAACGTAGCTTATGGGCCAAATGAAACACCAATTACTATTGTGCCATGATGAAATGTTACCGGAATGTAACATGCATCCTTGCCGTGCTATTCTTGTTTATTCGTCAAAGCTTGTGCTCGTTTGATGTTTATCTTCCCCACCTGAGGTTGATGTCATGTATAAACTTTGCGTCGTGTTCATCACAAAAGGCGAATATTTTACTTTATGCTGGCACTTTATTTTTTAAGTTTTTTTATTTTTCTTTTATTTATTTATTTTTTTTTTAGCACTCGTATATTTGCTATATTTTTTGGAAAGCTCCTTTCTTGTTTGAGTATACTAAATTTGGTTTCCATAATTTACCTGCCCACCCCGCCCCTCTTGCCACTGGTCAACAATGTGCAACAGCTTTCTTTTTATGCCTCGACCAATACGCACATTATGTCGGCGCATAATGTTAGCTTCCCCACCGGTTGTCATGTGGCATTCCCTGCGTAGTTACCTCAAAAGCCATCCATTAAAGTATTTAGAATCCCCCTGACGTTTTCTCCAGAATCCTAGGCGAATCTCAAACTATTATCTTATTATTATTATTCTTTCTTTTTTTTTTTTTTTTGCGTTTTAAAAATTGTTTTTTTTTTTTAGCACTCCAAGAGAAAGTCAACTTTCTCCGAGCGGAACTTTTCGAAAAAACGACATAACAACAGGGAAAGGGAAAAAAAGACACGATTTTTTAGCACTCTTTCTGGAACCACCACCACTTTACCATTAATCACAACAAGGACCCGCTTCAGTTTCTGTGCGACCAATCTATAACTATGACATCTACCATTCCTACACAGATGTCGTTGACCCACAAAGTGAATGGAGCCATGACTGTACCTACACCGCAACCACCCATGGAACCTAGTGCACCACCTAGCATTCTTGCCGAAACTACTGCCGCCACCTGGATGGCCATTGGTCTGCTTGCCGAAAGCCTTGGCGACTTGGAAAAGGCCCTTGCCTCCTATGATGCAGCTCTTAGACACTCCCCCAACAACCCTGAAGTGTTGACTAAGCTAGCCAATATCTACCGTTCCCAGGATATATTCTTTAAAGCCGCAGAACTTTATGAACAGGCACTCAACTTCAACCCGGAAAATGGCGACACTTGGGGGCTCTTGGGCCACTGTTACTTGATGCTTGATGATTTACAGAGAGCTTATGTGGCGTACCAACGTGCCTTGTACTACTTGGGTAACCCTAACGTGCCCAAGTTGTGGCACGGCATTGGGATCCTCTACGATAAATACGGCTCGTTGGAGTATGCCGAAGAAGCGTTTGTACGGGTCTTGGAATTGGATCCAAACTTTGATAAGTCTAATGAAATTTATTTCAGATTAGGGATCATTTATAAGCACCAACAAAAGCTTCAGTCTGCCTTGGAGTGCTTCCAGTACATCTTGAGCAACCCACCACATCCCTTGACCCAGCCAGACGTTTGGTTCCAAATCGGTTCCGTTTTGGAACAACAGAAAGATTGGAACGCTGCCAAGGAGGCCTATGAAAAGGTTCTTCAAGTGAACCCACAACATGCCAAGGTTCTTCAACAATTGGGTTGTTTGTACTCTCAGGCGGAAGCTGCCCCCGCAGCCTCTGGATCCTCCGGTAATGGTGCCGCTTCAACGGGACAACCATTCCAACAAGATTTGAACATTGCTCTCAAATACTTGTCACAATCTTTGGAAATTGATCAATCTGATGCCCACTCTTGGTATTATCTCGGTAGAGTCCACATGATCCGTGGTGACTTCAATGCTGCATATGAAGCCTTCCAACAGGCGGTCAACCGTGACTCCCGTAACCCTACGTTCTGGTGTTCTATTGGTGTTTTGTACTACCAAATCTCCCAATACCGTGACGCATTGGATGCGTACACGAGAGCTATTCGATTGAACCCATACATCAGTGAGGTTTGGTACGATTTGGGAACCTTGTATGAAACATGTAACAACCAAATTAGTGATGCCTTGGATGCCTACAGACAAGCAGAAAGATTAGACCCAGGTAATCCACACATCAAATCCAGACTTGACCAATTGGTCAAGTACCAACAAGAGGGTAACACCCATCCACCACAACCACCACCAGTATCCCAACAACCAAGATTGCCTCAAGGTATGGTTTTGGAGAGTAACCAACCTCAACAGGGTCAACCACAACCTCAAATGTTGAGCACCTTACCTGCTGGACAACGTCAACAGGCACCTCCACCACTTTCACAACAGCAAGGAATCCCACCTCCTCTTCCTCAACCAGGTCAAGTTTCTGGTGTATCGGTTATTCCTGCACATCAAGCTCAAGCCCATGCTTTACAGCAAGCTCAGCAGCAAGCTCAGGCTCAGGCCCAAGCTCAGCAACAAGCTCAGCAACAAGCCCATGCTCAGGCTCAGGCTCAGGCACAAGCTCAGGCTCAGGCTCAGGCACAAGCTCAGGCTCAGGCTCAGGCTCAAGCTCAGGCTCAGGCTCAGGCTCAGGCTCAAGCTCAGGCTCAAGCTCAAGCTCAAGCGCAGGCCCAGGCTCAAGCGCAGGCTCAGGCTCAAGCTCAGGCTCAGGCTCAGGCTCAAGCTCAAGCTCATGCTCATGCTCAGCAGCAAGCTCAAGCTCATGCTCAGGCTCAGGCTCAAGCTCAACAAGAAGCTCAAAGACAAGCTCAGGCTCAGGCCCAAGCTCAGGCCCAAGCTCAAGCTCAAGCTCAGCAACAAGCTCAACAGCAGGCTCAGCAAGAAGCTCAAAGACAAGCTCAAGCTCAAGCTGAAGCCCAAGCTCAACAGGAAGCTCAAAGACAAGCTGAAGCTGAAGCTCATGCTCAGCAAGAAGCTCAAAGACAGGCCCAGGCTCAAGCTGAAGTACAAGCAAAGGCTCAAGCTGAAGCTGAAGCACAAAGAAAAAGTGAAATTGAAGAGGCTAGCAAGAAGGCTGATGCTTCTGCCATTGAGCCTGTAAAACCTATTTCGCCCCCTGAAGCTACTCCTCATGTTGCTGCTCAATCTGTTCAGGCAGTGGCTGCTCCAAGTGAAGGAGAATCTTCTCAGTTGACTCCTCCTTCCACCAATGGAAAGAGAGAATTGGAAGAAAAGACTGAACCTCAGGCTACTAAGAAGGCTAGAGAAGATTCTGGTGAACCAGTTCCTGAATCTTTGCCAGCTGCTTCCCACCCACCAGCTGCTCCAGCTGCTCAAGAACCTGCAAGTGTTGTCGCTGCTACCCCTGCAGTATCTCCAGTACCTACCCCTACTGTTTCTGTTCCTGCTCCTGACGCCTCTGTCACTAGATCTGATGCAGCTCCTGTTGCTGTACCGGCTGCTCCACCTGCCTCGGTTACTCCACCTGTTGAAACTAAGCCAGAATCTCAGGGAAATGTGCAAGAATCGGCTAAGCCTGATGTTGCTGCCCCTGGTTCCAGCTCAGAACCATCCACAGCAACCACTGGAGTTCCACAATTCTCTTCCAATGTTACTGAAAAGACGGAAGAAGAACCTGAAAGAAACGACGCTGAAGAAACTAAAACGAATGAACCTGTTGAACCACCTTTACGAAAAATTGAAGAAGATGAAAACTATGACGATGAGTAATAATTGTGTTTTATTATTGCTAAACTTGCGATTTATTTTGTTAACCTATGTAATTTAATTGCCCTTGTATACTACAAATTCCGAATTTATTCATGTAGAGATTTCTCCAATGCAAAACGTTTGTGTGTCTTTTATAATCTGATATTATGGCAGTGAATAGCCACCTGGCATTCTAAAGGAAAAGTCATCAATTTCTGGGTCCTGATACTCGCCCGCTTCGATATTTGCGAATTCAGTTACCTTGGTGCCTAGGTCATTCATAACATCACTCATGACAAGCATGTCAGAAATTTGATTTGCCTTCTTGGAACACAAGTAAAGGTTGAAACAGTCCTTAATGAAAACGACTCCTAATAATCCAATGATGTTGGCAAGAAGCAAAAGTTTGGACTTTGGGATATGATCAAACTTACGACTATACTTGAGTAAGCTTTTAAACAAAATTGACCCAACCTTGGAACTGAGGAATGGCCATAATATAGATGTAACACATCTCAAAGTAAATGATTTGTAGAGCAAAGTGGTTGAGTAATCATGTTTAATACATGCTTTAGTTCCAGCCATCCACGATGCAAAACGTGCACGCAAGTATTGCAGGGGAAGATCCGATTTCTGACAAGCTTGGTAATAGTATACTTTCCTCTTTATCGATTTAATCAATGGACTAAAGAATGAAGGCAGAGAGTTGCGGGACTCAGAGTCAACTATTTGACCTGCTTTTTTATAAAGATATGCAAAATCGCCTTCATAATTTGCTATATTTGATCCCAATTGTTCAAGATGGTCTAATTCTATCGGATCTAAACTATTGGCAATATCTCGAGGACGAATTTTCATGGTTAGATTGAAATGCATCCTATTAAGGGTCAACCGGTATAGGAGATCATACAGCCATCTGAGAGGTATAATCATGGAGATCATGTTGTTTACATTCCAAAAGTCAACTTTTGCAAGAAGAGATTTGGAGTTCATAAAGTTTGAAAAGATTGTTTGTGCAAGTTCATGATTACCTAAACCTGAAATGTATCCATTGATCATTATTTCAGTGATCCATGCTTGCATATTATTACTGGTATCTTTCCAGGCATTGGCGTTATTGCTCGTATGGTTGGCAATATTGTCGGTATTGTTGGTATTATTGTTGGTAGATGTATTGTTAGTTGTTGATCCCGTAGTTGAGTGAATACTCCTCGATCCGGTAGATCCCACTATGCAACTTATGAGAGATGAAGATCTCATGCGATAGAGTACTAGCGGTAATACAGGGATTCTGGAAAACTTAAAGGGGTCTATTATTCCCCTAGATAACGCCATCTCCATAGTATCGACAGAATAAGAGTTCAAATCAAATAACAGGGTGAGAGATGCACCCGGTATAGTCGGTTTACGGAGGATATTGACAAGTAGCGGACCTGGCACTATTGAGTCCATAATCTTGAGACCACAAGTGGAAAGACCAATATATGACATCGAAAGAACCCCAGTGACAGCAGACGCTAATATGGTGAATACACATCCAGCTTGTACTGTTCTAGTTACCAATGTACGCACTCCTGAATTCAATGCAAGTAATTGAGAACGTTTCATACTGAACGTGACATCTCCTTTACATTGAGGGCAAGAAGCAACCAAGAGTACAAGCCGACCCTGGGCAAGTGGGCCCTCGCTACTGAGATGGCTTCCAAGACCAGAGGACATGGTTGTCATGAGTCTGTTGAGCAGCTGCCCTGAGAGTCTTATCTCAAAATATGACAGAGCTAACCCCCATTCGTCTGCATTCTCCGCAATGACGGTGGGGATTTCTTCTTCTTGTGCCTCTTCTTCTCCTGGGGAATCTGGGGTAGAATATTGAGAATGCAGTTCAGAGTGTTCCCCAGAGTGTCTGGCAGTTGTGTTTGTCAAAAACAGACAGTCCATAACTTTCAACTTATCAGCTGGAAGCGAATTAAACCAATCAAGTAGACATTTTCTATGGGTTGTGAGGGAACATCTTTCACAGGGTTCGACAAAATCTTGTGCGTCTTCAAGCTTGCCAAAGGGCGGGACGTCTGTGTCGCCACCCAAACAGAAGCAACAAGGATTGTAATCTGACATAGTTTGGGGGTTTATCGCTTATTTTTTGTGTTTGTATACTAATTATTCTTATTCAGTCGCATGTACTATTACTTTTACACCTCTAAGTTTGTAAATTTGTGGAGCAAATGTGTACAATAGCGTGTGATAGTGACGCTTATGTCAGCGAGGGAGATATTTTGCCTGTACTTTTTGCCAACAAAAATAGTGGAGAGTCAATAAAGTTAAAGAGTCAGAAATGGGTCACTATATACAGTCTAGGTTAGATGTGTAAGTAAATTCTTACTTGTTTCTTAATTGTTTTGTTAATTTTCCACTTTACTCGGTAATAATTCATATATGAGTGACACTAACTCTTACTAGTGTTGGTGGAATTACCAGTAAATACGTAGTCTTACGAGTTCCCAATGTAGTATTTTTTAGACTTTATTAATAATAAGCAATTGAAATTTCAATATATAATTATTATAGTATCATTTCGGGGCCACTATCCATGTATGTATTGAAATTGTTTCAGGAACAAAGTGTGGGGTAGCTTCATATTTAAAGATAATTCTTAGCAACGTCAATACCAACAGCAAAGTGATACAATCTGGCATCAACAACACATCCTTCATCCTTGGCCAATCTATGGAGTTCGTCCAATAATCCATCGATTGGCACAGTAACAACATCTATGAATTCCCCATCTTCAAGCTGCGCTTTTGGATTTTGATTCTCTGGGTTTGATAAATCTACATCAACCACTGCCAAGTCCATATTGGCATTGGTAAGTCCCGGATCACTGTAGACACCAATTAAAGACGAAGACAGTTTGACAAAAGTTCCTCTATACCCCGTTTCCTCGTGTAACTCCCTAATTGCAGTAGATTCGACTGACTCATTTGGATCAATGAGTCCCGCTGGAAGTTCAACAACAACTTTTTCGGTAGGTGGTCTGAATTGCTTGGTCAATACAATCTCAGTAGGTTTATCTTGATATTTAAGAAAGGCAGCAATTGATACGGCATCGATATTGGTTGTTTCTGATCTAGTTGTTCTTACTGCCATTTCCCATTCTCTTGGTTTCCCAGTAGGGTCTGTATACTTAATTTTTCTTGTTTGAATCCATTTCCCGTTTGAAAGTGGTTCAATTGAATCGATCTTAGCATCATATGGAGATCCCTTTGACATGGTTGTAGCGTAGCTGTGAAATAAAGTCTGGAACTGTAATTTTGTTGGAGCAACTTTTCTACGATATGTATTTCGCACTAGATTAGATCGTGATATCATATGACGGGAAGTTTACAATATGATTTTGTTTTATTTTTTTTAATCAAATAGTTTACACCCCACTTTAATAGGATTGTGCAGTCTTTGTCTAGTTTATCTTGATACTTTGGAATAAAGTGGTATTTGTTTCTCAAAGGAAAAATTATATTTGCGATAAATATTTGACTGTATACATTTCAAATTAGAAGATACATATATCCATCGATTCATACAATGACACAAGAGCTGAAAGAACTCGATCAAATTAAAGGACAGGTCCAAGATTACCTTATTTCGTCTGGTAATTATGACATTATCAACAAACAACTCAAACTTAAACTATATGAATCAGGATGGTTTGATCAAATTGCACAACTTGCAAGCAGAGAATTATTAGAAAATCTGAAAGAGAATAACCAAATGTCATTTGAACAATTATTTGCATTTGTAAGGCCCAAGGCTGAACAAATAGTACCTAAGGAAATCAAAGCAGAAATATTAGAAAAACTTCAAGATTATCTTGAAGATGTAATAAATTAGAATTTGCATAAAAACATCATACAAACATATAATGAAAAGAGAAGTGAATAGATGAAGTACAACAGATTACTAGGTAGACGTATAGGTTGAATAGTGATTAATACAGATAATAACGAATAGTAGTGGGTTCTTATGTAATTCGTTCGTTCAAAGAATTTGTTGAATGAAATTCTTCTAGATTCTAAGGGTCCACTCAACCACTCAATGGTCTTCAATGATAACTTATTCTAGAAAACAATGCCAAAAGTGACTTTTTTAGGGTTCTTATACGTCATTACCAAATATGAAACATCTCGTAAACTACCCGGGTCCTGCTCTTTATACTTACAACGCAGTTCTTTTGGTACTTTATGCCATTGTTCAATATAGGTCTATATGTGGTATAATTACTTGATTTGTGAACCCTATTATTTTGAATTAGCTTAGGAAAAGATGAAGATATGCGTCAGATAATCTAGAGGCTTAGATTCTTGAATTCTTTCATTCATTTCTTTTCAGCGAGTCTTTGTACAGCTCTTTCACTTGATTATTCGAATTAATGAAGATCACACACTTCGCTCTTATAGAGAATGATTTCATCTCATTTTTGTATCTCATCCATGTCCTACGAACCTTTAAATACTAGGTTTTCTCCTTAAAAGTCTCTTCTTTAGAAGTCAGGCTTAATATTTTCAACTGCTAAGTAAACACCCTCTTTCTTATGTCATTTGAACTAGAGCCCTTTTTGTCAAATGATTTAATCGTTGAACCCCGCCCCCCATCTCACTACTTCTAGTCGACAATATCCGACTCATTTTCCCTGTCCCATGATGTATTCTGCAACGTATCAGTATTTAAAGCTTCAAAATGTACTTTCGTTGAACAATTCTCCTCCAACTTGATCTTTTCTACCTTGATTACAATTCATATCAATACAAGATCTAAAACTTTCAAGTGCTAATATCTTCAAAAGAAAGAGCATGAACTCCAGTTGAGTCTTTCCAAGTTCCTTCAAATGACTAAATATCCACTAGCTCCAAGGATAAGTCTATGGAATTTGTACAGATTTCCAAATGCAGACACTTCAATGTCCGAAAAGAGACCTCTTTCTATTCATTTGAGAAAATATTTGATATATTAAAGACCTAAAATTCATAAGTGAAAAAGATGAAATACTTTGACTGTTCAAGAATAAAGGAAGATAGACGAAGATCAGATTTATATGGTCATAAGGAGTGATTATGTACTTTATGAAACAAAGAACTTGAACCGTTCAAATTCTTTGAAATTCGAATAAACAAGAAATAAATGTGTAGAATTGAGTAAAGAGTTGTATGTTGAATGTGTATAAACTGATAGTGGTGATAAAAATATATATAGTATTCAATTTAAAGGTATATTGACATCTAGGAAATAGAATTCATTGATTAGAGAGGCAATTATTTTGATCAAGATGTACTCAAATTGCAGCCAAAATAATAAAAACGTAGGAAAATAGAGTGACGGAGGAAAACAAAATTCAAGGCAAAAACAGTAAAGAACTAGGAATTTTATATAATCATCGGAGAATACATGGTAACCTTATATACATTTCTATACTGCCATATACTATATATATATAAAAAGATTCACAAACAAATTAAACCTACAATTATCTACTATGTATTGTGTTACATTGAATCTCAACTTTCTTATTCTTTTTTTTTTTCGCATTATATATAAATATTTCAAAAACTATCTCTAGTTTTCCACATCCTACATATAACAAACACACAAAATCATATTGAGCCAATCAATCGTCTTATTTTCCTGCTGATCGCGAAGTTTTGTTTGTCAAAAGTTAAACCTTTAAACCGGTTATTGGATTGTAGTTTATACATATACATATAATTATCATCCAGTATCATGTTGAGCTTGACCGGAAGAACGGCCCTTAGTGCCAGACCAAGACCACAGTCTATTGCCTCCATGGCTGTATCTGCACACCGTTTTGTCTCTTCCAAGGACTTAACTCCAAAGGCCATGCCTACCGATTTCCCATTAATGTCCCAAAAGACTGCCTCTTCTCCAGTTGACTACGCCTTGACTTCTTTGGACACCATTGCCAACTGGGCTAGAAAGTCTTCTTTCTGGCCTGTCACTTTCGGGTTGGCTTGTTGTGCTGTTGAGATGATGCATGTCTCTACCCCAAGATACGATCAAGATAGATTAGGGATTATTTTCAGAGCTTCTCCTCGTCAATCTGATATTATGATTGTTGCTGGTACCGTCACCAACAAGATGGCTCCTGCTTTAAGACAAGTTTACGATCAAATGCCAGACCCAAGATGGGTTATTTCTATGGGTTCTTGTGCCAACGGTGGTGGTTACTACCATTACTCTTACTCTGTTGTTAGAGGTTGTGACAGAATCGTTCCAGTAGATGTTTATGTTCCAGGTTGTCCTCCAACTGCTGAAGCTTTGATGTACGGTGTTTTCCAATTGCAAAAGAAGATGATGAAGACCAGAATCACCAGATTATGGTACAGAAAGTAAATGGAAATGATTATTTCCATGTGGAGAGATATTGAGAAAAGGAGAGAAAAGGGGGAGAACTGAAGACAGACTATTCGAAATAGAGAAAGAACGGGGCATTCCGGTAGCAGGATGAATGATTCATATACTAAAAGTAAAAAGAATAACAATGTGAGTTTTTCGTTTTTGCTGTCCGCGTATGGCACCACATTACCTAACATAGCTAGCTCTGTGCTAGCCATTGCATTGTATTTATAGTTATACACAATAAATTAAGATTAAAAGGAGATTAGTAGAAGAAAATTTTAAACGTATATATGAGAAAGAGAGAAGTACCAGAGATAAAATTCTCAATTGTGTTATAAGGATGAAGAGAGAGAGAGAGAGAGAGAGAGAGAGAGAGAGAGAGAGAGAGAGAGAGAGAGAGAGAGAGAGAGAGAGAGAGAGAGAGAGAGAGATGCTATCAATCTAATTCATATATAAATAAGAAGGGTTGTTATCCATCAAGATACTTATACTCTTTTAAATAAAGTAATATGAATCCTTACGTAAGCACAAAATAAGTAAATTATTTTTTATATAACCCTTGTAAGAATTTTATTTTATTAATAATAGGGGGAAATACAATTGATATAGTAATTAATGAAATTAATATGATTTATTTATTCTTAACCATTTCATCTTTTCTACATTATTTTGTTATGGTAAATCTATTTCAATTACCTTCCAGTAGATAATGTGCAGCGAATTATGCAGGTGGTACATAGACCGCACTTATATGCACACGCCAACGTCATATAATCTGATCATTCTTTCGGTAAAGGATCCGCCATGTAAATGTGGTGCGAACATTTCTTCAGATAATGTCCCATTTCGCACACTTTACTTAAATTAGAAAATTGGCAGCCATCTTTGTGCACTCCGCAGCACAATATGATTGGCCCATTATCATTTCAGAACCTGATACTCTTTGCGCGCTTACTTGCTGTGTAAGTGTAAAACTGTCGTGGCCATGTTTCAGTTTCCCCCTTTTGCCATCGTCTCGACAAAGTCTCGCACTTTTAATTTTTCCTTAATTTTTGTAATTTATATTATCTTTTTCCTCTTGTTTAACAAACTATATTGAATCAATATGGCTAGAACTAAGCAAACAGCAAGAAAGTCCACTGGTGGTAAGGCACCAAGAAAGCAGTTGGCCTCCAAGGCCGCTAGAAAGTCCGCTCCAGTTTCTGGAGGTGTTAAGAAGCCTCACAGATATAAGCCTGGTACCGTTGCCTTGAGAGAAATCAGAAGATTCCAAAAATCTACTGAACTTTTGATCAGAAAGTTACCTTTCCAAAGATTGGTTAGAGAAATTGCTCAAGATTTCAAGTCTGATTTGAGATTCCAATCCTCTGCTATTGGAGCTCTTCAAGAAGCCGTTGAAGCTTACTTGGTTTCTCTTTTCGAAGACACCAACTTGTGTGCCATTCACGCTAAGAGAGTTACCATCCAAAAGAAGGATATTCAATTAGCTAGAAGATTAAGAGGTGAAAGATCTTAGGGAGGTTTTTCCCAGTATTGACTTTTTGATTCTTTTCTCTTTGTCCTCGCGAGGGCTCTTTTTTGGTGACTATGTTTTTTAGGTAAATTTTTATACTCAATTTGATGTTTATATGTGATAAGGATACTATTGTAGGTACATTGTAGATAACTTTAAAACAAAATATATATTAAACTTATAAACGATTTTTTTTTTTAAAAAAAAGCCGTAGAGTGAAGGGAGCAGTAGGAAGAAAGGATGTATGAGAAGAAAACTATACACATCGATGTTAATCTTCCGATTTAGAAAGTGGTTCGTCGGAAGAACCATCCGATTCTTTCGAATGGCGATGATTGGCAGGGATATTACCAGACTCCATTGGTGGTTGATATTGTTGTGGAATGTATGAATGATATTGTGGTTCATGGTATTGATATGCCCCACCAAACGGTGGCGATATCATGTATCCACCAGGACCGCCACGGTTTACTCCTGGTCCATATGGTTTATGGTCACCATCGGCATGATCACCGCCATCCAGAGACTTTTGTCCTAGATTCATGGCGTTCATGGAATGGACCAAATCATCTTGTTGATGATGTTCACCATATTCTCTTGGATGATCATTATTCATCCCAGTATTTTGGTTAACATATTGACCCTCAGGGGTAGTATGTTGGTCTCCACTTCCATTATGACGTTGTGGACCACGCTGCAGCAGCTGCAGTGGTGGCGGTGGAGGTGGAGGTGGATGGATACCCATATGATGATATCCAGGACCAGCAGTCCCAGGTAAAGGCATTTGAGGCATTCCCATATGTGCCATCATATGAGGGGGGAATCCTCCACCATTTGGTGGGCCATTCCTTGGAATATGAGCTGGAGGGAATCCACCGGCTGCAACTGCAGCAGCTGCAGCAATGGCTGATGCTGGGTCCAACCCCATGGATAGAGCGGCAGCAGCTTCAATTTGAGCCGCTTGGGCAACTTGTTGCTGTTGTTGTTGGTATTTCTTGTTATTGGCAGAAACCCTTCCCCAACTTAACCGTACTCTGTTCCCACCAATAACAAAACCTTGCATGGCAGCGATGGCTTCCTCGGCCTCTTCTCTCGTGGAATATTTAATGAAACCACAATTCTTTCCCGGTGGTATTTTAACTTGTTGAATAATACCGAATGGTTTGAATAACATAAATAATGTTTGTTCGGTAACTTCAGATGAAAGCCCACCAACAAATACTGTGGTATTATTGGGGTCTGTGAATGGTTGTCCAGACACAGGTGCAGGTGGTGCAATAGAGCCATCCAAATGCTGTTGAGGCTGTTGAGTAGCACTCATAGTTGGAGACTTGATCGATGAAGATTCACTTGGGTCATTAGATTCATTCTGCGATTGGTGCAGCAGTTGTTGTTGTTGTTGTTGATTTTGATCTTGATGATGTGGTGGGAGTGGTGGTTGTTGTTGTATGAACTGCGGTTGTGTATAGTAATTGTTGTAAGGAGGGACACCGGGTCCATTCCCTGGATGATTCATTAACATTTCTTGTTGATCATAGCCTCCATAATAGAAGTTTGGATGTCCTGAATTCCGATGTTGTTGATGATGGAAATTATGACGACCTGGTGTATTTCTTGGGGTGGCTAATGCTAACCTTAATGGACGTCCACCAAACCATGCTCCTTGAAGATCAATCAAGGCACGTTGTCTTTCAGATTCATCGGTAAACCGAACAAACCCAAAACATCTGGATTTACCCGACACTGGATCCGTCATTACCCTAACGGTCTTGATAGACGAGGGGAAACTCTTTTGAAAGAATGCCAAAAGGTGAGCTTCTGTGGTTGATGCAGATAAATCACCTACAAACAAAGAAAATTCCGGAGTTTGGACAATTGGTGCACTTAAAGTAGCTCCACTAGCCCAATTGAGCCTGAAGTATTTCTTTTGATTGTCAGGGTTATTTGGGAAATGTTGTTGGGATGGCATGGCTATGTCAGGCAACAATTGACCATTCAAACCCAATGATTGTTGAGCGTCATCAAACGTTTCAAATTCAACAAAACAATATCCCGAATGGGCCAATCCTGGAGCAGTTATTTGTTCAGGTAATATACCCCTAGGTTTGATGATCTTGACGGTGACTCGTTTATTCATTATCTGCCACCACAAATCTGAAATGGCGGCTTCATCTAACCAAGGATCCAAGTCTCCCATCCAGAGAGTTCTTGGAGCTCCTACACGACCGACACCTCCTTGAAAACCATGTTCATTTTCAGCAGCGGCGCTCGATTGTTGGGTTGAAATGGGGGGATTGGGTACCAGAAACCCCAAAAGCATTTCTTGTTCTTGTTGATGTTGCAGAGAGGCAGTGTTGGAGGTGGTGGTTGCATTGAGTGCCTGGGAGACAATTGAAGCGTTGGAAACTTGATCAGGGTTCTGAGAAGGGAGATCTTTCCCCTGGGACGGTGTTGCCATGTCTAATGGTTGTTCATGGAATTCCTTTTCGGAAGAAGACGCTAAGAATGACATTCACTGTAAAATAAAAATCGAGGATAAATAATATAACACACACTAAAAATCAGACAGAAACGGGGTAGGAAAACAAGGCCAACTGGAAACTCAAAGAAGAACAACAAACAAGAAACAAATATGATCTAGCTATACTAGTAAACACACCCTATGAATTGTGGCTAATTATTTCTAAAAAAATTTCAATATAAATTCAAATCTCAGAATTGTTATCGATCTGACGAGGTGGGGGCGCACGTAACAGAATGAGTTACTAACGATCTATAATCCAGGTCTTTCTCTATACAAAGTTGCAAAGAAAAAGCACAAAAAGTAGAAAAGCACACACAAAGCACACCGGGGTTTAGAAAGGTCCCAATTTGGTAGTAACTAGATGTTTAATGGTGAGTAAGGGGTCGGGATATGTTTCACAATTTGTGCAGTAACGTAGTAAATTGGAGTCCCCAACTTTCCACTCAGTATTTTTTTTTTTTTTTTTTAGGACCGAAAATATAATAAAAAAGAAAAAAGACGCCTAAATGTGACAATATGCGAAAATATTGAAGGGTAAAAACAGAGAAAGAGTGTGCGTAAGCAGTAAAGTGCCAGGGGGTATATAATGTTGGAGGAATGAAGTTAAATAAGGGATAAGAATACAAATTGATACAAAGGGAATAAATAAAAACAAAAAAAAAAAAGAAGAAGAAACGTGTTATAAGTATTAGGTGTAGGTCAGTAGGTAAATAGTGTCTAGTTCTTATACAAATTATAAGTAACAAGGTAGTATACTTATTGTGTTTTGAATTTGGTACACAAGTGAAAATAAAACTCAAATTGAAATTAAAGTTAAATTTTGAAGAAATTTGAAAGATGTACAAATACCAGAAAAAAAGCGGAAGCGTACTGTCTGCAGTCTTTGTTATTATTTTGATTTTAAACAGGTGTTGTAGGTGATTTGGCTGCGATTACATAGGATATTTCAGCCAGGGTAGCCAAATAGGATATTAGAGATGAATAGACTAGTTCTGGACGCATCGTCGGCCACCACAGGCCAGATACGGAACTATATGAAGAATACGGAGTTGAGTGACTCTATGATCCATCCTCCAGCAACCATGACCACTGATCCATCTACCGCTCCATCAGTGCAAGAATATCACGATAAAACGGAAAAGGACTTATCATTTGCCTTGAGTCAAGAGAGCAGTTTGAAACGTGATGGCGAAGACGTGGACTTGAAAGTGATTGTAGAGGACGAATTTGAAGGAACAACAAAGAAGCACCACAAAGAGAATGATGATAGCAACCACGAAGATGAACATGAAGACCATTTAAAGATCTCAGAACCCAAGGAATTTTCATACCAGAACAAACTCAAGTACCTCCCCAATGCAGATTTCCAGGATGGTGATAGCACTGGTAGATCTTTCCAAATGTCGACCTATTCGCCATTGAATTCCATTCCAAATACTTTTAAATACAAGTCACATCCCAATGCTAGAACTAAACTGTTACTTGGTGGACCCAGAAGGAAATCACAGGAATTAGTGGAGGAGGAAGAGATAGAAGAGGACGAGGATGAGGGCGAGGAAGAGGAGGAAGAACAAGTACTGGATGGTGACAAAATAACAAACAAGAAAAGGGAAGATGATCTGGTAGAAGAACAAAGTCACATGCGGAATGAAACAAACGAAGTACCAATGAGAACTTCGACAATCAAGGAACATAAGAATGGGGATACAACCCCAAATTGGATGCCTGATGTACTCAATGAGAAATGGCATCCACCTGGATCAGTGCGTTTTGATTCACAACTTCCTGAAAATGAATATGAGATTCCTGATTTTGGCTCGTCTGTAAGAATAACACGTCCAAGTAACAGAGACTTTGATTTACATTTAAATTCTACTGGTAATACCATGATCCATAACTCTAAAGCGGAGTTACACGTGACTCCTGAATGGATGAAGGCCAGTAAAGAATATGCAGCTAAAAAGGCAGAACCATTTGAAAATATCTTCTTATCCGTGGGAGCTGCTGGGGGAGGAGATATTTACAGAAAACTTGATGATTCTGGGTCCAAGGGATTTACCATGTCTTCTACCACTTCATCTCCAATCCCATCATTATCAGAGAAGAGAGGTAGAAATGGAGGTGGTATATCTCCACAAATTGGAGCTGAAGATGTACGACAAATCGTGGAAGCTGGTTCTTCTCGAAACCCTGAATCTCCCTTGAAACTTTTCCATGATAAGTATAATACATACACCAAGGATCGATTAACTGAGGTGTTACAAAAAGTTCACAATAAATCACCTGCTGTATTCCAAAATATGAATGGAGTAAATGATGATTTGAATCTTTCGAAGGAATATGTAGTACCCGATCTTCCAGAACCGAAGATGAAAATTAAAAATTTCACTAGATCGGGTTCATACACTGAAAGAGAATTCCTTAAAAACGCAGATGATGTATTTAAAGGAGTGCAAAAAAGAGGTTTCATGGGCCGACAATTATCAATGAGAGATGTTACAAATATAAGTGGAAGATCAAGAAATAACAACTCTACATCTGAGAAGGTGAATTCACAAGTTACCTCCAATTCGACCTCCACTTCAACTCCAAAGAATGACCGGGTGAGACATATTAATGAATTAGATGAACTTGAATCTGACGATGATTATTCTTCTTCTTTCACCAGTGGATTTGAAGATGATCAAAGTGGGTCTAAGATTCATCCAGGAAGTAGTATCAATGGTATGACGAATAATGAATACACTTCATTTGAACTGTCGTCATTGAATAACAATCTGCAAGAGAATAATCATTCATATAATCAATTATCACCAAAGAACTTGAAGCATTTACAACGTCAACTCTCCACTGAGAGTAATAATTCCTACACGTATGACGGATCTTCAGAAGAAATTGAAGAATTAACGAGTGATCATGTACATGAAGTAGAATCTAAGAGATCTAATCAAGGTGAAGAATTGGAATCCATTATGAGACGGTTACAAGATATTGAATATATGTTGAAGGAAACTGCTATTAAGTCTCATAACGAGGAATTAATGCAACTTCGAAGAGAAAATGAAAAACTTCGACATGAGTTAGATGGTAGGAAGCCAAATAATGTTGGTATTTCACCAAAGGGTCCAATAGGAGAAGTAACAATGGATACTTTAGAATATACTGTTGAGGATTTGAGTCAAGTCCAAGACTTCATTAGATGGAAAAGGCCATCACAATTAACTTTGGGGAAGTCACCGGATAATTTTAGAGAGGCGAATGCTGCAAAGGATCCTTTAGATCATGAGCCTCAAGACTCAAAGAACAATATTGTTAAGGGTAGACTTGATCCAAATCTTGACTTACCCAGAGAATATAATAATATGATACTTGATATTGAAAACCAAAAGTGGATAAATAATGAAGTTGCAGAAGCATCCAATTACCGTGGAAGTTTAGACTCAATAGAGGATTTAGTGTCACAAGATTTGGATGAAGGAGATGCACAAGGACGTCATACTCCTTCAGGGGAAGCAGCCAATGTAACTTTGAACAGTACTTTGCGTCTGAAAGGTAGTGCTCGTAAAAATAAACTTGAAGTTTCATTCCATTTACCAAATCTGACATCAGATTCAGTTGAAAATTTTTCAATGGCAGAAAAGGAGAGAGGAAATGTCACTAATGTATCACAGTTGGGAGATGCAACTTTTTCTCAGACTAAGAGGCGTCTTGTTAACGTAATTACCGAGATTCTTCCATCTGACGTTGATTGGAATAAAGTTCGGGATATTTCATTATCCAAGTTTAATCTTGAAAATATTAAGGAATTGGATACTTTCCTTCCTAGGTTAACATCTGTTGATCTTTCAAATAATGAGATTAAGTACACTGATGGTATTCTGAAGAAAATATTAAACTTGGATATCTCAAACAATTTGATAGACAATATCAGTTCTTTTGCAAAGTTCCACGACTTGCAAGTATTGAAAGCTTCACATAATCAATTGGGGTCACTTTCAAGTATCAGCAATAATATCCATTTAACAGAATTACTGGTCAATAACAACAAGTTGACTAATTTAGATGGTATTCAAAATTTAACGAATTTGATTAGATTGGATGTTTCACAGAATGACCTTGTTGGAGATATTGATTTCCAAAAATTCAATCTTAAGAATTTACAAGAATTAAATCTTTCTGAAAACAATTTAAGAAATATTATTGGATTGGAGAATCTTCCAAATTTGAGAGTGATTAACTTGAACGAAAATAGACTTCAACATATCGATTGTAAGGGAAAGCATCCACGCTTGAAGAAACTCTTATTTAAGCTCAACAAAGTGAGAAAGCTTGATTTAGAACCATATCCTTGTTTAAGAGTTTTACGTATGGATGGGAATGCTATCGATACGATTTCGGATATCAAGAAATCGACCTATTTGGAAGAAATTTCATGCAAATCCCAAAGTAATCTCACAGTTGTCGAGAAAGTTTTTGAAGGAGCTTCCGATATTCAGCGTTTGGATATATCAGGGAACACTCATTTTGATTTCCGTGGTCTTGAGAGTGTTAGAAAAAGTTTACACGTTAATCCATTCTTGAATTTGAACACTTTAGTATTATCAGCAATGAACTTAACTAAGCTCCCAGAAAACTTTGGGGATATTTTCCCCAATGTTCGAGACTTGAATTTAAACTTTAATAAATTGAATAACATTGAGGCTCTTTCTAAATTGAGCAACGTCCGGAAGTTATACATGGTTAGTAATAGGATTGATAAAGTTCAACAAATAGTGGGAGGTCTTTTCAACAGTAGAAAGACACTTAGAGTTTTGGATATGAGGTTGAATCAAGTGAACATCGAGTTTTATCCATATGTGTTCAACAAGCAGGAATTAGAGTACTCACAGCACATCAAGGCCACTGCAAACATTGATTTAAGTCCAATTCAATTGGAGACTTTGGATGATATTGAGAGTTTTGCAATTTTATATCAATCATTGAATAAGAGTTACGACGAATGGGTGGAACGTGATTCGCAATTCCTCAATAGATTACAAGTTGAACACGGGTCTACTTGGGCAAAGCAAAGATTAAACTACGAAACTCTTTTAATTAACCTATTCCTCCGTTTGAAGAAATTAGATGGTAGTTTGATTACTTCCGAAAGAAGAGATGCGCTTAAAAAAAGGTTGCATCTGAATACCCGATAACGCAAAATCTGCATATAAATTGATAAGATGTGGAATCCATATTCCGCTGCGGAATTCATGACTTATATAAATATTGATGAAAATATACCTTAACTTATTTAATATATTAGAAGCATAAACTAATAGTAATAAATAATGACTTTTTCCAAAAGAATATTGATTCAATGGCTTCCCGAGCCAGCATCCGAGCCTACTAGCACGTATGTTCTCCATACACCTGGAGACCATTTCGTGGACATTCGTATACTAGAAACCCATTACCCTTACCCAAAGAGTGAAGATAAATTTAATGAAGTATTCGATTGGGTGCTGTCCGGTAAGGAACAGGCATTTGAAGGAACAAATCAAATTCAATTCAACCTCGAAATTGATTCAATGGAAATTGGGGAAGCTATAGAAACTGGTAAACCATTAGAAGAATGTCGTCATAAGCCAGATCTGGGGTTTTTCCATGCCATCCCGGACAGTGAAGACCGTAAGGAAACTGGATGTATGACTAACCCAGCCACCGGAGTTCCACAAGATTATATCGAAATCTGGAGATCACTCGATGCGGAAGAACACTCCCCTTCAAAAGAAGTCCGTGAATCAACAAGTGGCACCAAACCATCCAGAATAAACACATTAACAATTGACCTGGAACTGTATGAAGGTAAATTGGTTTTAGTAGGAAATTGGGCTCAAGGTATGTTACATGAGAAGAAAACTCATAATATTCATGTGGTACGCGCTTGGTTTGATGGTCAAAAATGGGAAAAACTTATTGATTATGGTCATGATCTTTTCCCGTTGGACTTTAAAGGTAAGAAGGATGATATAATTTCAAAAGAAAGTTTGACCTGGGTGTGCATTGAATAGGAATATTTAGAGAAGTTGCAAAAAAAAATAGTTCATTTCATAAATCAAATTTAAAGAGTATACGAAAGAATTGTATGATAGTGTGAGCTACATGTAAAAAAGACGTCAGATATATACCAAGTTTCAAAGCAGTAACCTCTTTAAATATGATGTAATTATGATATGCACCCTTTAATTGACGAAAAGGGAAATCATAGAAAGATAGAAGATACTGACATACACTCGCACACATACTTTCACCTTCCAATTCAAAATGCAAACTAAGATTTGTGTTTCAATTCTACTCTGCACGATATTATCACAGCCACCTTACTTGTACAGTAGTGGCACACACTAGTCAAATTAGGATCGTCAAATTAGGAATATTTTCTAGCTATAACAGCATATATAACCACCCTATTTTATCTTGACCGCCCTAAAAACAATTTAACAGTTTGAAGTTGCTCGTCTTAATCTAAATACAACATTGTACTTATCTTATATTCTCACCCTCACATGCTACCATATGCGGAAGTCAATGCACCAGCCGAAAAACAAAAGATTCAACGATTTGGCAGTGCACACGACTTTTATCAAATAAGTTTATCCTTATTAAACTCATCATATCTTGACATCAGATTCAGCTCTATTAATAGCTTACTATTTAAGATGTCAGGCGAAAGTTGGTAAGTCTAACTGTACAAGTTGCGGGCAAACACCCTGTACTCAGGACATTAAGCAGCAACTTGATTCGAATCTCAATTAGAATACAAAAGTTGGCAAGGGATGTATCAACTCATTCCGTTGTATTCAATAGTTCTCCCTCTGGTGCACCTTCAGCCGTACCAACAGAGTGATCTGCTATCTCTCCATCCCTTCGACTCATGGTTTCAAATACTAACTATCCAGGTTGTTTATCTTGGCAGTTATCGTCAATGCTGTGAACTTATTCTCTCAGGTGTTTTTCACCATCATGTACTCTGACTTGGAGTGTGATTACATCAACCCAATTGAGTTGTGTAACAAATTGAACCCATGGTTCATCCCAGAAGCCGGCTTGCACGCCTTCATCACCGTTCTCTTCTTGGTCAACGGTTACTGGTTCCCATTCTTGTTGAACCTCCCATTATTGGCCTACAACGTTAACAAGTACTTGAAGAAGAACCACATGTTGGACGCCACTGAAATCTTCAGAACCTTATCCAAGCACAAGAGCGAGTCTTTTACCAAGCTTGGTTTCCATTTGTTAATGTTCTTTTTCTACTTGTACAGAATGATCATGGCTTTGGTTGCCGATGACAGTTAAATTTACTGAGTGATTGTTTTGTGTGTGTGTGTGCGTGTGCGTGTGTTACGTTGGAAACTCCATTTTAAGACTTTTTGATATTAATTCTATACTATTCCATGTCCGCCATATTTATCGTTGTTCGGCCGATTTTGGGCCCTTTTGTTCTATCACTTTCTGTATAATACTATGTATATGCAATCCATGACTATAGATTTACCAATATTCTATAATTCTCCAGTTTCGATTTTTGTCAACTTTTCATTAATCAGAATGAGTTTTTGAGTAATTCCATGTCTTGGATTAATAATACGATTGATTTGTTGAAGTCCTCTGTGAACCTCATCGTTTATTGCTGGTGTAGTATTGTTCGTTTCAATAGATGCTTTTAATTTATCAATATTCTCTTCAATATGATGTAATTTATTCAATTGTAACTTTTCATTTTGATAATCCAGTCTAATATCATTCATTTCATTCCCAACATCTGTATGTTTATTCCGAAGTTCATAAATTTGTTGTCTCAATGCTTCCTTTTTCCTTTGAATTGAATTGATTTGTTGTGATAAGTTCCCAATGCTTGAATGAGTATCAAGTAATGTTCGCAAATGGTATAGTACATGTATTTTGAAATTGGAATGAACAGTATTCTCGTCCAATGTGTTGGATTCAACACTTGATTCCGGTTTAAATGATTGAACGAGATGTTTCATTACATCTAAAGTACCAATTTTGGCTCTTCTTGCTGAAATTGAAGATGCGGATGTTGATGTTTCTAATCTTTCAACATCAATGAATAAAGGATTCTGTCTATCCCTGGATGATTGTAAAGTAAGTGAAACAATTTCTTCTGGAACTGGTGATTCCGTTGCTTGTTGTGGTCTAATTCTTCCCTCGACAGGAGGTTTTGTGGTCTTTCTCTTCTTTTTATTATTATTTGTATTATTGGTCCTTTCTCTTGGTGTCCGTTTCTTGTTCCTAGTTGTAATTTCGGCTTCTGATTCAGACTCTGATTCACTAGGTTGTGTTGATTGTTGTGTTGGAGTTTCTTCTGTCCGTATTGGTGGTATTGCTCTTCTCAGACTGGATTCTTTTATTTTCTTTGATTTCTTAGACTTTTGACTTGGTAATGGTGGTCCTAAATCTAATCCTGCAAGGCCAAGATATCTTCTTGCTCTTCTAGGCGTAAGAACATCATCCTGAGTATTATTAACTGGTGGGGTATCATCTTCATTATCATTGGAAGTTTCATTAAAATCTGGCACATTCTGAAGTCTTAAAGATCTTCTACGACTTTTTTTTGGTGAATTGTAGATCGTAGATTCAATCCCTGGTTCCTCTTTAATTTCACTTTCACCCGGTATCGTACTTTTGTCAGGTTTACTACTAGAATTATTAGTCTTTTGCGAAATTCCACCTATATTATCTAAGTCCTTACCTTTCCTTAAGTTGGTAGATGCCACTCTAGTCTTTTTATTATTACTCTTCTTTATAGATTTAGTCTTCGTTACTTTAGGCTTAACCACTCTTGACTCAACTTCTTCGGGAGAGTTCACTTGATCGGTTTTCTTCTTTCTAACTTTCATTGGAGATCTATCACCAGTTCTATCTGGTGAAGATGGTTGAGGTATAACACTTGGTTTCCTCAATCTAGGAAGTCTTCCAATCAACTCATCGTCAATAAGTGCTGAAGTCAATTGCAGTGGTTTCCTTCCATCTATCAGCTTACTATAATGTCTCACTGGTGAAACAATATTTAAATCATCAGTTCTAACTTGTCTATTACTATCATTAACTTGTTAGTATATCAATTGCATTTCATACTCTCTCTCTCTTCTTTACATACGCAGCTCCACGTTTACGTGCTTCACGTCTCGCTATTCTATCGGTTTCCGATTTACTAGCCATTTCTTTCTTGGTAATAAATTAATAAATATATATATACTTTTATATAAATCAATTAACATTACCCTTTCTTAAACATAGTGCTTTGTTTACATATGATATCTACATCCTGCATATTAACTTGAACTTTATGTATTATACAAAATCCTTCATGTCATAGGCATTTAGAATTAGATACTAAATCAACTTAATTAAAAGTCAATGAATCCATCTAATAACAATGTGAATCCAATCCAATCAGGTACTTATCTTTGCTATATAGTAAGTTAAATAATCTATTGTTGAGAGAAGTGTTCCAACAAGATGTTTCTTTCTTCAGAGTCAGCACCCCAGTTCTTGACAACAACACAAGAAGCACCAACGACCTTTCTGGCGTTACCTTCTCTGTCCAATTGACAAAGACCAGCCCATTCACCCAACAACTTGGCGTCAGAGACCTTGATCAATGGAATGGATTCTTCTGGCTCGTTACACAAAGCTTCAACCAACTTAATGATGGATTCTTCGGTAACAGAGTCACAGAGGACACAGAGTTGAGCTTCACCTCTGGACAAAGCCTTGGAAGCTTCTCTTAAACCTCTGGCCAAACCATCGTGAACCAAAGAAGTTCTCAAGACAACCTTCAAAGCGTCTTCGATGGAGATGGAACCGGATTCAACTTGTTCAACGGCAACTTCTTCGACAATTTGTTGTTCTTCAACGTCAGACATTATGTATATTTTTCTGTTTTTGGTATAGACTAGACTTCTTCGACAGGAAAATTAACTGCTCAGTGCTATATTAAAAGAAAATAAAACTCCAACAGGTTGTTGGTGCAAGACTTTTTTTTTTGAAAATTCCAGACCTCACGCTGGGGAGACAGTATACAGAAAAAATATTTAAAAAAAAAAAATATTCAGGAAGAATTTTATATGTGTCACGTGTGACGGTTAGGACTCAGCCCTAGTCATGAACATTGGGATTGTTTATTTTATTTTCGATTATTTTTTTTTTCCTTTTGGCTTTTACCGCGTGCGCAACAGTATGATTAATTAGAAACCTAATATGCCGGCTAGGTATGCTTCCTGTAGGCGAGCACCGATTTAGTTGGCCGCGGTGCATAATCTTACATACATTCTTAAATAGCTACGGGTTGCAAAACACAGCAATCATAAATGGTAGAAACAGCAAGTTGTTGAGAATAAATAGAATATGAAATGGAACGGTAATGCCTGGGCGTTTACAAATACATAGGTAATACCTCATGAAAGAATTGGCATTACAGATTGAAATTTCAAAAAAAAAAAAGTCTTGTATATTATGGTTAAAGAACGATTAATTGAAACTAAAAGTTTATGGAAGGGGGGGCAATCAAATATACATGTATATATATAATAAAACCAGCACAACTATTGGTAAATAAATAAGCGAACAAAAAAGGTATCTGACCCGTTGATCGGAAGAATATTAATGGTGATTTCATAAGCCTAAGCTTGAGGTTCAAGGATTAGAGGGTTTGAGTGTCACAGAGTGGTAAGAGTGGCATTATAAGCATAGGGTCAATGGTATGAATTACACGCGGTGAATTTCTTCAAAGCTTTCCTCATGAATTGCTCTGCTCTATTATACTCTGGGGGGTCCGAGAAAATTACAATTCCATTTCACTTGCTCCAAATGGTTCATGGTGTACGTCATCTTCGTCACTATCAGCAATGGCATGTTCATTATCCGTATTGTTCTTTGCAGACAGGTCATGTGCATTGGAGGACAGGTTGTTGGATTGAGTATATTCATCATCTTCATCTTCAAAGTCCACGTCGAAAAAGTCCTCTTCCGCTCCTGTAATTCTTGAGTATAATAATTTACATTCACTAACAATTCCATCATAACTCAATTCAGCAGATGGCATGTTTGTAAATATTATCTCTTCTGAGTCAGGTAAGGTTGCAGCGGAAATGTTATTAGTGCTGGTTGGGTTAAGAATATTCGATAAGTCAGATTTAAGGAAGGATTCTTGGACATAACCAATCTTACAAACAATTTCTAACTTGTCCTTTGGAACAAAGTTAGCCAAAGATTTGCCCAATTTAAAGGAATTAACTAAAACTGGAGTGCCCTGAGCACTAAGAATGAAATCTTTATCGTCCAAAACATCTTCCAAATCAGAAGAAGATTCACGTAATAATGAACTTTCCATCTTTTCAAAAGCAGCTTGTAAATCTTCCTTTGCCTTGGAATGATCTGGTTCTGTAGTATGAGAATACCAAATGGCTTGTCCATCGGGACAAACTCCAGATTTCCCATTTTGAATAATCACTTGAACAGATTCGTTGTTCTCAGTTGGTAAGGATTTTGGTGGGAACACAACAATTGCTGATGATTCATGTTCTGACATCCATTCGTTACAATCTCTCTTGACAATAGAAATCAATCTGGTGACATCATATGTCTTAAGATTCAATTTATTGGTCAATTCAGTGTAACTAGACTGTAAAAATTTAGGAATTTGGGTAGGAGAAATTACAACTTTTTCCTTTATTCTTACATGACTTCCGTCGTTAAACTTGGCAACCTTCAGTTGAGGGTCAAAGTCAACCAATGAAGTGTTTAACTTGTAGACAGTTCCGGCAACAGCAGCACTACGACAGAACCCTTGAGAGATTTCACCAGGGCCTCCGTATTTCAGAACCATTACTGGGAAATTCCCATAAACATCAAATGATACTAAAAATCTTTTAATTCTTGATAATGCTTCTGGAGTTCTAGTCTTAGACTTACTACATAACCCAATAGAATAGGTTAATTCTGAAATTTGAGGAGGTTCCAAATGGAATTGTTGAGCTAAAAACTCATCAATTGGTACTTGAGCATTATCCTTGATCAATTTTACCTTAGCTTCATCATTATTATCTTGAAGAACAAATTTTAAAAATTTCATCAAATATCTCTTTGTAACCAATGATAACGATTGATCAGTGAAAATATCTCCCTTTGTTGTTTTAGAGATTTTCTTATTAAAATCATCATTTTCAAAGATATGGAAGTTACTCAAACTTTGGAATTCTAAATATTTGTAAACTCTTGACTTGACCAAAAGGGTCAACAAATCTGATTGGGCAAACATAACTTTTGGGGTCAAATCCAAACCATAGTCTTTACTGTTGAACTTATTGGTAGACTTTCCTCCAGGGATATAGATTTGGGCATCTTTAAAGTGTTTAATCTTGTTATGGTTGACGTCAGAACACCATTTCTTCATTTGGTCAATGGTCAACGTTGACGACAGGTCTCCATAATATGTGCCGTTGTCAACGTGTAGGACCTCGACACCTTGCCACGAAAGGGCAGCTGCCAAGATACTTTCACTAAGTCCAGTTCCCAACACCAAAACATCACATTGATCTAATTTCAAACTATGATCTTGTGGTTTTTCTAGGCCAGCTAAGTGGGGGATCACAGACGGGGTGTAGGAAGTACTTGGTCTTCTCTCTGCAATGGAGGCACGTCTTTCTGTGTTCTTGAAAGTGCCCATGATTAAAAATACGTCTTGATACCTGGTTAGATTATCTCTATCTCAATGAATTTTTGTCCTTCTATATGGATTGGGTGGGCGATTAGATTAGATTACTAGTTAGACACAATTTGCCGGAATGTACGGACAAAGACAAAACTAGAATGGATGGAGCAAAGTACAAGCAGACCGGATTCAGCAGGACAAGCTAGAGAACCGGAACAGTTAAAATGAGAAAGTGATCTATTGGAGGAATGGGGAGGAAAAGTGGAGTAAAAAGTTTATCAACGTTGAAAACGATCACCTTTCCACAGTTCGAGAAATTTGCCTGTAGGCACTTGCAGGAAGAAAATTTAGAAAAAAAAAAAAAAAAAAAAAATGTAATAAAAATTTTTAAATTGTTCAAAAATCCCAAAAAAAAAATACTGAGACAAAAGTCGGAGAAAAGAGGGGGGATGGGAAGTTTGAAGGGGGACCCTTCCAAGGCCTGGACTTTGATTGTGGGCTTTTCACGTTTCTTGACGTAGTCTATCTGAGACGTAATGTAGTGGTATGAGAATAGTGTGAAGTATGACAAAGCCGCCATTCTACGATGATGGGAATTTTATAGCATGATGGTATATTAATCAAAGTTCTTGGAGGTGAAGTGACGTGTCTTAAAACTTTTTTATTAAAAAAAAAGTTGCAAACAACGCAAATCTTTTCTAATCACCAGAACTTGCAGCAAATTTACGTGCGAAAATTTTTTTTTACGGAAGGAAAAGGGCGAGCAAAAAAAATTTTATGGGAAAAAAATTATTATTAGAGCGAATGGCCGAGCTTTAAAATGGAGCGGATTTTGTCTAGACCCTAGGCATTTCACAATTGTGTGGACACTAATTAATTATGCTTATTCTTATTCTTATTAAGTAGACATTTGAAATAAAAATGTAGAAATTGTGTGTAGATGTGTTAGAAAGCTAGTACTTTGTGTCAAAGTTTGGTAGCGGATGATATAGTATGGCAAGAATGTAGTCTCGGGATATGCTGATGACGGATGACGCAAATTGATCGTTTAAGAGTATATATATTATATTTCAATTCCCGTTCACTTTTTCTTTTTTTTTTTTGCTGGACTATCTCTAGATCTAATTAATTATCATTTCCCCTTCAAGCATGACATGATTTGAAACCTGGAAACTTAAATTGATTTTTAATATTTTCTTAAACCATAATTTGTTGTCTGGCTTATACTGTAGATAACCCGATTATAGGCGATAATCGGCTGGCATTGTAATAATAGGGCACAAAACCAGCCTCAAAAATCTAGGTGGGGGGATATAACACAAAGATAATAATTAGAGTACAAAGCACTAAAAATCATGCACATGTGGGTTTTTACCAAACAACATCATATCATGTGATCTGGTGTCAAGATGCAGTATGGGGATAAAGACCATTGAAAGTAGCACATTATGACTTTAATAGAGGATAACATACAATCAAATATTGTGATTTGTAAAGTAAATTCCAGTTCTAATATGGCACGTGGATCTTTATTGCTAGCATGGCAAGTTGCAAATAAGCATTGTCTAGTCATTGGGGGTGGAGATGTGGCTCTAAGTAGAGTCGAGCATATGATAAGAGCTGGAGCTAAAATTACAGTAGTTACCGGATCCGGTCACATACACCCAAAGATTATCGAATTATCCGAACAAGGATCAATTTATTCATTAATTAAAAGAGATTTTAAATCTGAAGATCTTAAAATGTATGAGAAAAGTCAAGTTAAAATAGAAGAGGTGTTTGATCTTTTGAATGCTCAACATTATGAAGAGATCAATGATGCAGTTCAGAATCAAATATTTGCAGTTGTTTGCTGTTGTATAGATGATTATGATCTCTCAACGAAAATCTACTATCAATGTAAATTACTCAGATTGCCGGTCAATATAGCTGATAAGCCTCCGATGTGTGACTTCTATTTTGGAAGTATGTATAATCGTGACAATTTACAAATCATGATCTCTACTAATGGGATGTCTCCAAGACTTCTGAAACTCATTAAGGATAATATATCTCGTCAATTTAATGACATAGATCTTAACAAGGCTGTGGAGAATCTTGGACATTTAAGAGCTCGTCTCAGAGAAAAAGTGGTGACCCAAGATGATCTTCTGAGCATTGATGCAAGAATGGCATGGATTAAACTGGTTACAGATTATTTCACTATACGACAATGGAGTGAAATGGATCTCGGTACAGATATTGCTGATCGTATGTTGTCTTATTATCCTGAACTTCCTCCTAATGACTATGAAAATTACGTTTCTTAGATATGTATATATAATTTAATCTAAAGCTTAACATCATTGATGTTCAAATCTTCATGAACAAACACTTTTTTACCTCCACCTCCGACATATTCTCCAACGATATGTCCATCACCTCTCAATTGGTATTGATAACTCATCAAACCTTCAAGTCCAACCGGTCCACGGGCATGGATCTTATTGGTACTGATTCCAACTTCAGTTCCAAACCCGTATCTGAATCCATCAGCAAAACGAGTGGAACAATTCCAATAGATTCCTGCGGAATCAATGCTCTTCAAGAAGAGATCGGCTGTGTCCTTATTTTCTGTGATGATTGCTTCTGTATGTTTGGAAGAGTGAGTATTAATATGTTTAATAGCGTCAGCAACAGATGAAACAGATTTAACTGCAATGTCAAAGGACAAAAATTCAGTATCAAAGGATTCGCCATCAGCATCAACAATAAATTCTTGATTTAAACCAGAAATTTGAGCCTTAATTTCAGGAGTAACATGAACGGTAACCTTGGCTTCAATCAAACTATTGATAAGAGAAGAAACCTTGGTAGAGTCTTGGGCAATACTTTGATGGATCAAAAGTTGTTCTGCTGCATTACATCCTGCTGGATAATTAGTTTTGGAATCAACGACGATTTTCTTGGCCTTGGAAAGATCAGCTTCTGAATCAACATAGATAGAGCAGATCCCGTCTGCATGGCCCAAAACTGGGATCTTTGTGTTTTCTTTAATGTTACGAACTAATGCATTAGATCCTCTTGGAATCACCAAGTCAATATATCTATCTTGCAGTAAGAGTCCACTGACTTCATCTCTTGATTGAATGAGTTGTATAGCCTTACCTGGGACGTCAGTTTCTTGTTGTAACGTGGAATTCACAATATCACTCATAACTTTAAAAGTTTCATATGATTCCTTCCCACCCTTTAAAATGGCTGCATTACCTGACTTAATGGCCAAGGCAGTGATGTTGGCAATAACTTCTGGTCTAGATTCAAAAATAATTAACAAGACTCCAATAGGAGCAGTTAAACGATATAAATTCAATCCTTCATCTAATTTTCTGGCCAAGGTACATTTCCCCACAGGATCAGGAAGTTGAGCAACATCTAAGATTCCCAGAAGCATAGCATCAAATTTCCCACCAGTAGAAAGATCAAGTCTTTTCACAAGAGTTGATGACAACTTGTTATCAACAGCATTAGTCATATCAAGTTGGTTTGCAGCTAAAATTTCATCTTTCTTAACATAAAGAGCGTCATGAATTTTTTGAAGAGCTGAAGATCTTTGGGTATTAGAAAGAGTCTTTAACGAGGCAAATGCCTCAGCAGCTTCTCTAGCGATTATTTCAGCCATATCTAGATCCGTCTTTTACTTGATAGTTATATAAGATGTTTGAATGGAAGAAAAGGGCAAAAAAAAATTGAAATTAGTAATTTGATCTATACGGCTAATATGAGTCAATTCACCGAGAGAAAAATGAGAAATAAATTCTCACGTTTCAGAAACAGCACAGAATCGAAACGAGATTATATTTTTAACCGGTTCATAGAATTCTCATTTCCCATAGTACAGCCCGACGTACTGTACATAAAAATACACGAAAAATGATCAAAAATGCGCAGCAGGAGAAACGACACGCTACTAAATATGGAACACATAAACAGTATCATATAGGGTCAATTGTGCCAAGACAGATAATTTCAAAAAAACAACTGACCACCGGCAGTCTCTCATAGTTCTATTCTTGGTTAACTACAGAAACGACGAATTGCTGCAGTATTCGATATTGTAGAAGATACTATATTGAATATGTCGTATACACCTTTTGATCTGAATGCCAAATCGGATCCATTCTCCGACTCTGCAGGGAACCAAAACTTAATAGATTTGGATGCTGGGTCACACGACGACCCGTACAATGTAAGGGAGTCGGCGCCATACATGCCGTACAGACCGGATGGATCTACATCTCAGGCAAGCCACGGTTACTCCGGCTCTAACAACAATCATACCAATAGTTATGACAACATGCATTCCAATCCATTCGACGATGATCTTGCCCTTTCAGATGATGATTTCACTTATAATCATGATATCTCCCATGCATCAGATCCCTCGCAAAATCGCAGACAAGTGCCATTATTGAGTACATCCAATCAACCAGCATCTGGAAAGAAGGCCAAAAGAGGGATCTTCGGCGGTCTTCGTACCTCCAATGCCGACTATACAGATATGAGCGGTGGAGCATATGAATCATTTGACGACAATGGACGTCAAGATGGACTGTCGGACTTTGATATCCGTAAGATTTTCCGTAAAACAAAATCCTTGTTCTCTCGGTCCCCACAAGCGATAGAAGAGGCAAATGCAAATAAGGGACCGAGACATATTTATATCATGGATCATAGCAAGAACTCGGCATTTGGTTACTTTGGGAATTATATCTCAACCACCAAGTACAACTTTGCTACTTTCCTACCAAAGTTTCTTTTTGAACAATTTAGCAAATATGCCAATCTTTTCTTTCTCTTCACATCGATCATTCAACAGGTTCCAAATGTGTCTCCAACAAATAGATATACCACTATTGGTACCTTGACCATTGTGTTGCTTGTTTCGGCCATCAAGGAGGTGATGGAAGATTTGAAGAGAGCTGGTGCTGATAAGGAACTTAATAATACCAAAGTATTGGTGTTAGATCCTTCCTCGGGAGACTTCCATTTGAGAAAATGGATTCAAGTTCAAGTTGGTGATATTGTCAAAGTATCAAATGAAGAACCATTGCCAGCTGATTTACTTTTACTCAGTTCATCCGAACCAGAAGGGTTATGTTACATTGAAACTGCCAATTTGGACGGAGAAACTAATTTAAAAATCAAACAAGCTAAGCCGGAAACTGCATACTTGGTGAATCCAAGAGATCTTTTATCAGACTTGGGTAAGAGTGAAGTGTTATCTGAACAACCAAACTCCTCTTTATATAATTATGAGGGTAATTTAAAAGGATTGGGTTCTGCTGGTGATATTCCATTCACTCCAGAACAATTATTATTAAGAGGTGCTACCTTGAGAAACACACAATGGATTCATGGGGTAGTTGTATTTACCGGGCATGAAACAAAGTTGATGCGTAACGCTACAGCTACTCCAATTAAGAGAACTGATGTGGAAAGAATCATTAACTTGCAAATCATTGCGTTATTTTCTATTTTAATTGCCTTATCGTTGATTTCATCGATTGGTAATGTCATCAAAATTACTGTCGATAGCAAGAATTTGGGCTATTTATACCTCGAAGGAACCAATAAGGCTTCTTTATTCTTTCAAGATATCTTAACTTATTGGATTTTATTCTCCAATTTAGTTCCAATCTCATTATTTGTAACGGTGGAAATTATTAAGTATTACCAAGCTTATATGATTGGTAGTGATTTGGATATGTATTACGAGGAAACGGATACCCCCACTGGTGTTAGAACTTCGTCATTGGTGGAAGAATTGGGACAAATTGACTATATCTTTAGTGACAAAACTGGTACATTGACTAGAAATATCATGGAATTCAAAAGTTGTACTATTGGTGGTAAATGTTATATTGAGGAAATTCCAGAAGAAGGACAGGTACAAACTATTGATGGTATGGAAATTGGATTCTATAGCTTTGAAGATATGTTTGCTCATTTGAAAGACACTCAGCTGCAACAATCCGCCATTATCAATGAATTCTTTACCTTATTAAGTACCTGTCACACAGTTATTCCTGAAGTTAATGAAAATGATGGACTGCTTAAATATCAAGCTGCTTCCCCTGATGAAGGTGCTTTAGTGCAAGGTGCCGCCGATTTGGGCTACAAGTTTATCATCCGTAGACCTAAGAGTGTCACTATTGAAAACACATTCACTGGTTTGAAGTCTGAGTATGAATTATTGAACATTTGTGAGTTTAATTCGACAAGAAAGAGAATGTCTGCTATCTTTAGATGTCCAGACGGTGTCATTAGATTATTTTGTAAAGGTGCCGATACTGTCATTTTGGAGAGACTTTCCCAACGTGAAGAACAACCATTTGTTGATTCTACTTTACGTCATTTGGAAGATTTTGCATCTGAAGGTTTGCGTACTTTGTGTATTGCCTCTAAGATTATTCTGGAAGAAGAATATAAGGATTGGTCAGCCAAATACTATGAAGCTTCGACATCTTTGGATGATAGAAGTGATAAGTTGGATGAAGTTGCAAACCTTATTGAAGGCGATTTGTTCTTACTTGGAGCCACTGCAATTGAAGATAAGCTTCAAGATGGAGTTCCAGAAACTATTCATACTTTACAGGATGCTGGTATCAAGATTTGGGTTCTTACTGGTGATAGACAAGAAACAGCCATCAACATTGGTATGTCTTGTAAATTATTAAGTGAAGATATGAATCTTTTGATTATAAATGAAACGACAAAACATGATACTAAACTTAATTTGCAGGAAAAACTTGATGCTATTCATGAGCATCAGTTTGATGCAAACGATGTCACTTTAGACTCTTCATTGGCTCTTATCATTGACGGTACTTCCTTAGGTTTCGCACTTGAATCTGATTTGGAAGAATTATTCATTCAATTGGGTACTCGTTGTAAAGCTGTCATTTGTTGTCGTGTCCTGCCTTTACAAAAGGCATTGGTTGTTAAGATGGTGAAGAGAAAGAAGAAAAACTCTTTGCTTTTGGCCATTGGTGATGGTGCCAACGATGTTTCCATGATTCAAGCCGCGCATGTTGGTGTGGGTATCAGTGGTATGGAAGGTATGCAAGCTGCTAGAAGTGCGGATGTTTCTATTGGACAATTCAAATTCCTCAAGAAACTCTTATTGGTACACGGTGCTTGGTCTTATCAACGTATTTCCAATGCCATCTTGTATTCTTTCTATAAGAATATTGCCTTGTACATGACTCAATTTTGGTTTGTATTTTCCAATTGTTTCTCTGGACAATCTATTATGGAATCTTGGACTTTAACACTCTATAACGTTCTTTTCACTGTTTTCCCCCCATTTGTAATGGGGGTCTTTGATCAGTTTGTTAGTGCTAGACTTTTGGATAGATACCCTCAATTGTACCAATTGGGACAACAAAAGAAATTTTTCAACGTTTCAATCTTTTGGGGCTGGATTATCAATGGATTTTATCATTCAGCAGTCATTTTTGTTTGTTCATACTTTATTTATCAACATGGAGATGAATTGGATTCTGGTTTATCGGTAAATAATTGGGCTTGGGGTACAGCTGTGTTTACCACATGTACGTTAACCACTTTAGGTAAGGCTGGTTTAGTGGTTACCTTATGGACAAAATTCACATTGATTGCCATTCCAGGTTCTTTTATCTTTTGGCTTCTTTGGTTCCCAGCATATGCCACCATTGCTCCAATGATTAATGTCTCACAAGAGTATCGTGGAGTTTTGAAAGTCACATATCCTTCAATCACTTTCTGGGCTATGGTATTTGGGGTTGCCTTCCTTTGTCTTCTTAGAGACATTGCTTGGAAGTTCTTCAAGAGAAGTTATAGTCCAGAAAGTTACCATATGGTACAAGAAATTCAAAAATATAACATTCAAGATTATAGACCAAGAATGGAACAATTTCAAAAGGCTATCAGAAAGGTTAGACAAGTTCAACGTATCAAGAAACAAAGAGGTTTTGCATTTTCTCAAGTTGAAAATCAGGACCAAGAGAAGATTGTCAGATTATATGACACTACAAAGAAGAGAGGTGTATTTGGAGAACTTTCTGAGGGTAGTTGAATAAAAAATAAAAAGAGTATATCATTTTTTAAAAAAAAAAAAAACAATCAAGAAAGAGAATAGAACATACAACGAATTATGACTCTATTATTTCTTTTCTTATAAGAATTCGATTACTATATGTAATTAGTTTCATAAAAATAATTGAAGAATTATTAGTATTACTACTTAAAATGTAACATGCAACAAAATTGTAAACGGTAAAAAAAAATTGGGTCCCATGCACGACCTGTATTTTTTCCCATCGAAAGTATTCATCTTAGTCATATTGATCTAGTCAATAATAGCTCTTAGTAAGTGAAACTCTTTATCTTTGTCAATCATAAAAAATGAGTGCAGTTTCTTCCCCTGGAGCTGTTCCAGAAAAGCAAGCAAAGCAGGCCAAAAAGGAAGGAGACAAGCCCACCACCCAATCTAAGGGATCGGAAGATGGCAAGTCGAAGCCAGAATCTAGTAATGGTGATACACCATCAGGTGGACTTTCCAACAAGGAATTAAAGGAATTAAAGAAGAAGGAAAAGGCTGCCAAAAGAGCTGCTCAAAAGGAAGCTAGTGGTATCTCACCAGAACAACAACAACAAATTGCGGAACAGAAGAAGGATAAGAAGAAGAATGCAGCTGCTGCCGCCACAAACACCAACCTTAAGAAACAATTGAACCAAACTTTGATCAAGGATGCCGCCGCTCAAAAGAAAATACCTGCCTTATTTAGTCATTTGGAAACTAGAGAACAAAGAAATGCCTCTTCTCCATCCATTTCGCACATTGTTCATCCAGCGATCTTGTCCTTAACTTTGAAGTACTCCACCTACAAGATTGTCGGATCCATCCCACGTTTGAAGAGCATGATGCAAGCGTTCCAAGTGGTGATTCGTAGTTATGAGACTCCGGTCAACACAACTTTGACCAGACATTTGACTGGACATTTATCACATCAAATTGAATACTTGAAGACGGCTCGTCCACTTTCTATTTCAATGGGTAATGCCATCAGATGGCTTAAACAAGAAATATCACATATATCAATTGATACCTCTGATGAGTTGGCCAAGGAAATCTTATGCGGCAAGATCGATGACTTTATCAAGGAAAAAATCGAACTTTCTGATAGACTTATCATTGAGTATGCATCAAAGCATATCACTAACGGCTCCACGATATTAACATATGGACACTCGCAAGTTTTGGAAGAGTTATTCAAATACTGTGTGTTGGAACAAGGTAAGAAGTTCAACTTGATCATTGTGGATTCTCGTCCATTATTCGAAGGTAAGAAACTTTTGAACAATTTATGTGACACAATCATTGGTGAAGAATCTACATCTGATGATGCTGAATCTATTGGTAGTAGAAGTAGTAGAAGGGGTTCTGGTGGAATTCCTATCACCAAGGAACACATCAAGGTTCAATACACTTTGATTTATTCCTTATCATCGACCATTTTGGAAGATGTGGACTGTGTGTTCTTGGGGGCACATGCGATGTTATCCAATGGACGTCTTTATTCTCGTGTTGGTACCGGACTCATTGCCATGATGTGCCACTCTAGAAACATCCCAGTCTTAACCTGTTGTGAATCCATCAAGTTTTCTGACAAGGTTCAATTGGACTCTGTAACTACCAACGAACTTGCCGACAGTGATGATTTAGCACAAGAGTTTGATCTTAAGAAACCACCACAAAAGAAGTCATTTGCATTGGAACAGTTTGTCAAGTCCTTTGATGATAAAAAGAAAATTGAAGAAAATAATAACAATAATAATAATAAAAACAAACAAAACCAAAAGCAAAAATCCAACGGTGGCTCGGGACAAGATGGAACCATTGCAGAACAAGAAGAATTCCCCCTTAAGAATTGGCAAACTACTCCAAACTTGAACATCTTAAACATTATGTACGATCTTACCCCTCCAGAATACATCAAGAAGGTTGTCACCGAATTGGGAGCATTGCCTCCATCTTCTGTTCCTGTGATTTTAAGAGAATACAAGAACACATAAATAGAGTAGATATAATAAGAAACAAACAAAAATGAAAAACTTTGTAATGCTTTAGAATAATTTCGCAGCCATGTCAAAAATTAAATCAAAATTGAACACCATAAAAAAATGTGTGTAACTGCCAGGCGCGATTTGGATTTGAGATATCAATTGGCGTGGAGTTTCGCCATCAATTGAGAAATTCACAATAATCCATATCGGACATAATTTGCCACCAACATTCACCTCTCTCGGTTTACTTTTCTCTTTACCTTTTCATTGTCAACAGTTGCAATCTTCTAGTCTTTCAGCAATTCCAGTGTCACATTGAGTTTCCATGGAGAGTGAATTGTCCTTAATCAACAAGGTTGAGCTTCGTATTGCCTTAGCAGCAGACGATGTTCAATTTGAGAATGCATTGAAGCTCTATTTGACCCCTCTTTTGCTCAAATTGGCAAGTCCTCATTCCCAAGTTAGACTGGCCATCTTAAAAATAGTTCAGTATCTTATTCCTCGAATCACTGCTGCCAGATCGGTCAAATTGCCAGTCGAACAATTACTCGCACAGGTCAAAGATCCAAAGGTTCCTCAACATGCGGACCCTTCAACTATGAGATTATATTCTTTAATCTTTATTACAAAATTCATTGATCGAGTCTCAGGTGTTGAGGTTCGTCAATTAATTTCACAATCGGTCTTTAAAATTTCTGAATTCCCTGCCAATGTGGCAGCAAGACTTTTCAACTTATTTTGTAAATTGTTGGTCAATTGTTCCTACAAGGCACCAGGGAAAGATACAGAAGAATATCAAACTCTGCGAGTAGTGTATCGCTTTGATACAAACCCTCAGGATGAATTATTCGTTACAAAGTGGATTGGGAAGTTTTTCATGTTGCAACCAAATCCTGCCCTGGTTCCACCAACCATGTGTCCTGGTTTGAGCGCTCAAGATGTCAAATTCTTAACCCAAGATGCTGGTGTTCTTTATAAATCGAACCAAGAGATAACTGAAGTTAAAGCGGTATTGTTACAATTTTTAGATTCTGGTTGTTTCCTCCCACAAAACTTGGCAATTCCTTATGTTATTGCCAGTTGTGATGGATCATCATCCATAAATGATCCTGCTGATATTTTGTTCCGTAATCTTAATTTAGACTATGAAGACTCGGGCTTAATTGACTCTTTGTTTTCTCTACTTGTTGGTGATGAAGGTTCTCAAACACCACCTGTCAAATCTACTACACAAGATCAAATTTTAAATTTATTATTAAAAAGTAATATAGCAACTCGTCATCCAGATATTCTGAAAGTTGCCTCCATTGGCTTCTCATCTGATTATGCAAGATTGAAACAAACCACGGTTCAATTTATAAGATGGGTAAGTAAATCGGTAGTGTCAAAAGACAATGGGCAACATCTGGATAAATTTGGCGGACATATGGCTGCACAATTAAAGTCAAACTTAATCAGTGAAGGATGGCCAAAGATTGACACATCTGTTGTGAAGAATTATAGTACTGCGATTGGTCAAAGACAATTGCAATATGAAGCATTGGGTGAACTTTTGAAAGCGAATCCTGCACTTTTCCAGAACGACTTGTCGTACATCGAGTTTTTGTTCTACTCCTTGGAAGGAGATGATACTGAATTGAGAACTATTATACAAGATGCTCTTTCTGGATTGACAGTCCATTTACCTGCACTTTCAGAAGGTTGTAAGAATGGACTTAAGCGCCTTATAAAGGAGTTTTTAGTTTCTGAGAAACAAGAGATCCCCATTGAAAGTATTCAGTCTTGTCGTTATATTGCCATAAAGTTCGCCAATTGTTGTTTCCCATTCCATGATGCAACTGCTCGTTATTTGTGTGTTTTAGGAACTTCAAAGACAAATAGATCCGATACAGTTGATGAAGCATTGAAAGGCTTACATCCACATTGGTTTAATATCTTACAAGCTTCGAACACCCTTGAATTCAGATCTACTCTGGATTTACTCGGTCAGAGTGGGACTGTTGAATTCCCTGACTTTTCCGATATGGTCTATACATTATATGATGCATTGAATGACGCGAATATCTCGACCTTGTCACAGGCAATGGGGAATGCCATTTCATTTACGTTCCAAACTTTGGTTATGCAAGCTGTGAAGGGAAAGACAACCGTCATTGTTACAGATGAAGACTGGTCAACAAGACTCGAAAAGGCTTTGGAAGTAGATGAAACTGTTCAAAAGCTTTTGATTGGTGAAATTTTAAATGTTTCTCATGACGTTCAAACAAACGATGAAAATGCGATGACTGATAGACCAGATAAAAGTAACTCATTCATTGTATTTTTGAACATTATTTTCAATGCATTTGCTGCACAATACAATGCCAATGGTGTTACAAATGTTGGGTTTGGAATAAGTTTGACTAGAATTTTATCATTATCTCCGGGTCATGTTATTGAGAGCTTATCATCATTGATTAACCGTCTCTTTGATCTCTTGCAATCTAAGCAATTAAATGATGTGGCTTTAGAACAGGTGTCCCAATCACTTGCCATAATAGCTAGTCATCCATCTGTAGATGATGGTGTTGTTTCTAAGTTATTGGACAGACTTGTCCGTGGTGGTGTTACTTCACCCTCTGTGGCAAGAGCTAAACTTCTTGCAAGCAGTTATTTAATGTCAAGATTAACATTGAGACAGAGAATTGGCATTATTACATCCGAACTTCTCTCTGAGCATTTGAATACAGTTGCTAAATCACTCAAGGATGTTCACACGTATAATCATGCTTTAGATTCTATTCTGCAATTGGCACTCTTTGGACTTTTAGGTCCTGAACTCAAATTGGTGGACAATTTGAGTGAGATTGTTCAAGAGTTCAAGGATGAAATTCAAAAGAAGGTGAAAAAATGTGACGAGAAATCTGTCATTACATTAGCACATTTTTCGTTAGCATTTAATCGTAAGAGTAATGATGAGAAGTCTGATGAATTTGAACAATTGATTTATGACACTCATGTGTCTAAACAAACCGAATTTATTTTCTCTGGTGGTGAAGCTTTTCTGATTCTTGCAGCAGGTTGGAATGCTACAGTGTTGAAGAGACAACTAGATATCCAAGGTGCTGTACCATCCTATATTCCTGAGAATATTACGAGACTTCCTTATATTTTAGAATTGGTCTTGAATTCATGTAACCAAACGAAGCCATCTTTAAGAAGATCGGGATGCATTTGGCTCTTATCGCTTGTTCAATTCTGTGGACATTTGAAGGAAGTTCAAGACAAGGCTGCTAAGATCCATGTCACATTCATGCGGTTTTTGGCTGATAGAGACGAGTTAATTCAAGAACTGGCTTCTCGTGGTCTCAGTATCGTGTATGAATTGGGTGACTATGAATTAAAGGACACCCTTGTACGTGGACTTTTAAAATCATTTACTGATTCAAAATCCACTTCTTCGTTATCTGCTGGTTCTGTTGACCATGATACTGAATTGTTTGAGCCCGAACTTTTAAAGACCAATGATGGCTCAGTTTCAACTTACAAGGATGTGTTGAATTTAGCCTCTGATGTTGGAGATCCAAGTTTGGTTTATAAATTTATGTCTTTAGCAAAATCATCTGCTTTATGGTCTTCTAGAAAGGGTATGGCATTCGGTTTAGGCTCAATTCTATCGAAATCTAGTTTGGATGATATGCTTAAGAATAACAAGAATTTGGCTGATAGACTTATTCCAAAACTTTACAGGTACAGATATGACCCAAGTACATCTGTTGCAAAGTCCATGAATGACATTTGGAATGTTTTGATCAAGGATTCTGCGAAAACTATTAAGGATAACTTTGGAACAATTCTACCAGAACTTCTTAAAGGTATGGGAAATAAGGAATGGAGAGTTAGACAAGCAAGTACTGCTGCTTTGATTGACTTGTTACAAGTTACTGACTTGGAAGTCTATGAATCTAAACTTGAAGAAATCTGGGGCATGAGTTTCAGATCAATGGATGATATCAAAGAGAGTGTGCGAAAAGAAGGTAACAAGTTGACTAAGTCATTAGCAACAACTTTAACTCGTACTGTTGAAAAGGGTGCAGCTTCAGCATCTTCCACTATTACTGAGAGTAAAGCGAAGGATACATTAACAAACCTTATCCCCTTCTTGTTGGGTTCCAAGGGTTTGCTAAGTGATGCTGAAGATGTTCGTAACTTTGCATTAGAGACTATCTTAAAATTAGTAAAGGTTGGAGGATCTGCTATTAAACCATTTATTCCAGATTTGATCGATAATTTTATCTCATTGATGTCTACCTTGGAACCTCAAATCGTAAACTATCTTGTCCTAAATGCTGATAAATATAATATTAAAAACGAAGAAATTGATGCTAAAAGATTACAAAGTTTGGGTCAATCTCCAATGATGGACGCTATTGAGAAAATGTTAGACCATCTTGATGACTCATTGATGGACAGAACAGTTACAGTTTTGCAACAGTCTATCAAGAAGTCCATAGGATTACCTTCGAAGGTATGTGGAAGTAAAGTGTTAGTTAGCCTTGTGGTCAGACACTTGGAACTTTCAAAGCCATATGGTGACAAATTATTGAAAACTTGTTTAACTCAAATTGGTGACAAGAATGATGCAATTGCCACGTCGTATGCAACTGCCGCTGGTTATTTATGTAGAATTTCATCCTTGAATGCAATTGCTGCATATGCTGACAATTTACTTGAACTTTACTTCGAATCTGACTTTGATAGAAGTCGACTAGTTTGTGCTGTTGCAAGTGAAAGTGTTGCCAAGTATTCCAAGGATAAATTTGAATCTATTGCATCATCATTCTTGCCCTTAGCCTTCATCGGTCAACATGATCCATTGGACAATGTCAGAGAACCATTTGAACGAGAATGGATTGAAAACACTTCAGGTAACTCATCAATTAAATTGTATTTGAAAGAAATTATTGAACTTTCTCATAAGTATCTTAACTCAAGGCTGTACGAAGTTAGACAAATCATTGCCAAAGCTATTGCGGATGCGGTTAATAATATTGATAGTACAAATGAATTTTCAGTGGCTTCCTATGAATCAATCTTTAATATTTTGTTGGAAGCTTGTAAAGGGAAATCGTGGTCTGGGAAAGAGTTCATCTTAGAAGCACTTATTCTTTTTAGTGTAAAGTCTTCTAAATTTTTGAAAGATGGGCGGGAAGACTTACTTCAAAGAATTGAAGGAACTATTAGAACCGAAATCAAGAGAAGAAATAAAGTATATCAAAAGCAGGCCATCAAATTGGCTAGTAAGTTTTTATTCACCTTCCCTGATGATGATTTGGTGGAAGTCTACACAGAAATTATGGACCAGATCGTTTCTGATGAATATGAAGACGACTCTGATGACGAAGATGACATGCAAATTGATAATAAAGAAAGTATTCAATTGACTGTGAAAAGGGAAGAAGATAGATTGACTTTCATTAAAAGTCTCTTTGATTCATACAATCCAATTCTCAATACTAACTCAGAATATATTGAACTAGTCTTTAGTGCTATTCCTAATTTGTTCAATTCACCAAACATCAAGAATACATGGAGATCTAAATTAGTATCCTGTGAATGCATTCAAGGTGTCAGTCTGAAGTTGGAGAAAGTACAAGTGCCAGAATCGACATATAAACAATTGCTCGCAAATTGGAAGGTACTCTCCAGGGAATGCTTAGGACCAAAGGATATTGAGAACATAAAGTTACAGTTTGTCAAAGCGTCGAAGTCTATACTTAAACTTCAACCAACAACTGAAACCCACACAATTATCAAAACTCTTTTGAAAGATTACGAAAGTACAGAAACATCTACTGTCATTTTAAAAGAACTACAAAACGATATTTAGCTTAAAAAGAATTATATTTTCTTATTTCAATATATAGATATAATATTCCTTCTAGAAATTTATTCCCTTAAAAACCACCTCTCAATCTCAAAACCAAATGTAAAGTTGATTCCTTTTGAATGTTGTAGTCAGAAAGGGTTCTACCATCTTCCAATTGCTTACCAGCAAAGATCAATCTTTGTTGGTCAGGTGGAATACCTTCCTTGTCTTGAATCTTAGACTTGACATTGTCAATTGTGTCAGAGGATTCAACTTCAAGAGTAATGGTCTTACCAGTCAAAGTCTTGACGAAGATTTGCATACCACCTCTCAATCTCAAAACCAAGTGCAAAGTGGATTCCTTTTGAATGTTGTAGTCGGAAAGGGTTCTACCGTCTTCCAATTGCTTACCAGCAAAGATCAATCTTTGTTGGTCAGGTGGAATACCTTCCTTGTCTTGAATCTTAGACTTGACATTGTCAATGGTGTCAGAGGATTCAACTTCAAGAGTAATGGTCTTACCAGTCAAAGTCTTGACGAAGATTTGCATACCACCTCTCAATCTCAAAACCAAGTGCAAAGTTGATTCCTTTTGAATGTTGTAGTCGGAAAGGGTTCTACCGTCTTCCAATTGCTTACCAGCAAAGATCAATCTTTGTTGGTCAGGTGGAATACCTTCCTTGTCTTGAATCTTAGACTTGACATTGTCAATGGTGTCAGAAGATTCAACTTCAAGAGTAATGGTCTTACCAGTCAAAGTCTTGACGAAGATTTGCATACCACCTCTCAATCTCAAAACCAAGTGCAAAGTTGATTCCTTTTGAATGTTGTAGTCGGAAAGGGTTCTACCGTCTTCCAATTGCTTACCAGCAAAGATCAATCTTTGTTGGTCAGGTGGAATACCTTCCTTGTCTTGAATCTTAGACTTGACATTGTCAATGGTGTCAGAAGATTCAACTTCAAGAGTAATGGTCTTACCAGTCAAAGTCTTGACGAAGATTTGCATACCACCTCTCAATCTCAAAACCAAGTGCAAAGTGGATTCCTTTTGAATGTTGTAGTCGGAAAGGGTTCTACCGTCTTCCAATTGCTTACCAGCAAAGATCAATCTTTGTTGGTCAGGTGGAATACCTTCCTTGTCTTGAATCTTAGACTTGACATTGTCAATTGTGTCGGAGGATTCAACTTCGAGTGTAATAGTCTTACCAGTTAATGTCTTAACGAAGATTTGCATTTTGTTTATTTGTTACTTGTGTAAAAATTGTATAGTTTAAACGTGAGTAATTATTAATTGTGTGGCAAATTAGCCCCCTTATATACTCACATTAATAAACCCCTATTTTCCTGTATGTGCAGTGGCAGCAAGACCTGATTGCCACAAATAGGCAAGAAAAAAGAAACGTTCCATGCGTTTATGCGTCTTTCCTGCACAATGACCAATTTACCAAAAAAAAAGAAACGACAGAAAAGGCTGGGTCATACAATAATCATCTGTTTCGTAATTACGATTCCCCGAGAATCTTGTCATTTTAAAGTTTCAAAATATTGTTGATCCATCTGATTCTTCTATGCGAGCTGGCTACCGTTCTCACTACATCTATTGATTTGAAATACTCTTTTTCAAATGATTCATTGACTCTCTTCATGTAAAATCATGCTCTCCCCCAATTCTTAGTAATTCCGTCTAATTTTGCACCGCCTTACCGGCTTTCCGTGTGGCGATAAACTTGCGCGAATTCAACATAAAAATAAGTAGAAACGTTTTAAAGTTCAAATGTAAACACTTGATAGATATGTATTAAGCGTAATAATGCATGAAAATTTTTCCTTTCTATGACATGTTCTTTATTACCCACGGTTAACATAGCTGTTAAATTCAAATTTAACTTGCTGGAATGTATTATTCTTATGAATAAGATACCAATTGTGGTACAGAGTACACCTATGAGAACACCAGATGGTTTGCTTCTGTATAAAAAAGTGTAGACTATTCTACCAGAACCTTACATAATGAAATACATTTAGCTATTCATTTTATGTGATATATTATTTTTTAACCTCTTCAACGGTTTATTAATAAGTGAATGTTGTAGTGACGATATTTGAAAAAAATTGCTTTTTAAAAAAAGTAAATGTACGGAGACTTTTTAAACTACTAACATGAGTGAATCTTTCAATATGTATCTTATATCATATACTCTTAGGATGATCATACATAGGATACCTTGTTCTACTTATATCTTAGTTCAGTGTTGTCGCTGTTTTTTTTTTTCCTCATTAATATTTCACAATCTCTTTTTTTCAGCCGTTTAGTCATGCACTGTAATCTAGATGCATGCATTAGGTGTGCATTATACATTGTCGCAGCCAACAAGAAATGAAAGCAATTTGCAATACTTATCCTGAGTATTAGATATGAGACTAGTAAGAAAAGGAGAATATGTGAATTGATAGGTGTATCATCTGTGCTAATTTCTGCAAATTTAAAGACAATTAAATTTCAGTATTTAACCTTTTTCATCGTTTTTCGCAACTAAATAGTAAAAATATATTTACAACAATGAACTGAATCAAAACAGATAAACCATTAAATCCCTGGTTTGCATTAATTATACGACTCTCTATAGTCTTTACAAGTAATGGTTATTCAATGATGGACATATACTTTCATTTTTACCAAAAATATTAACTGTTCATACATTATTTATTTATGATAAGACTCCTAAATTATGTAGATTAATTCCCTTTCATTAATTTGTATGCCTATTAAATATATGACTTGATTTTGATGTAAATATACGTTACCATAGAGACTCCACATCAATGAATGGGTTTGTAGGATGATAACTCAGAGCTCTATTATTCCTCTGTAGGAAGGGATTATTTGAACATGCATGCATGATATTATTACTAGTATTATTATTATGATTAGTGGTTGTTGAATAATTTGCTGAACGCCCATAATTACTATCAACCGTCCAATAGTTTGATGAGCGCGTACGATCCATATCAGTCGTTGTGTAGTTCATATTAATAGTGTCACTCGGTACATTACTCATCTCCTCTTCAGGCAAACAATCTAGTGTTGGTCTACGGACGGTAGTTGGTATCTCATAGTCTAATAGTTCATATGAAGTTGTCTTCTGATAAACCATACTTTTCAGTTTCCGCATCCGTTCTTCTGATTTGCCCGATGGTGAATCTTGATGTTTCAGTACTAAATTATATTCTTTTAAACCTGGAATTATCATATCATTTCTCAATTGTTCAAAATTTGATCTTAATCGATTTAATTTCTCTTCGTCTCTAACGTGATTTATTATACTTTTGGATTTTGTCCTTATCGGTTCTCCAATCTCAACGTCTTTGATATCATAACAAGAGAAATTTCTATATCCTTTAATCAAATTGTACATATTTGCCTTTGCCCAATTCAAAAATTGTCTGGAACCACTTTGAAGTAGAAATATTACTACTGTTAATGTTTTCAATATACTACGCCAATTCTTTGTAGGAGATTTCACTATTAATCTTTTTTGTATTATGGCTGCAATTGTAGGTAATTTATTGGGATTAAAAGTAAGAGTCGCCAATTCATTCAACTCACTACCATATGGCCCCAATGGTTCATTATTGGTGGCTTAGAATACCGTTAGAATCGCATCAAAAATGTTATTATCTATTTTAACATACCTTGTCTTATCTTTTGCTCAGTTGAAGATACTTTGAACTTCTTGATACTCAGAAAATTCAACATGTTTAGCTTCCCTTGGCAAGAAAAAGGTCAATTCATTCTACAAATGAATTTTATATATATATAAATATGCTAATTACATTGAAACGTCCTGTCGGACCGGACATAACTTCTAGACCTCCTTTTTTTTTATTGCCGGAGTTGCCGTTACACAAACTATAATGAGTGCCCCACATAAAATATTTTACCCGACTCATCCACAATTTCTCAATAACAAAAATAAAAAAGGAGAGAAAATTTCCCGGTGGTCACACGACTTTCGCCCTCAAAGAGCAAATGATCATAAGACATTATAAAGAAAAATAGGTCCATCATGAGTCTAAATACAGGCTTATCTTATTTGTGGAGGTGTAAAGCCATACATACAGGAAAAAGAGTGATCTTCCTTCGTAAAAACACACGACAAAGAGAAAAAGTTCAGGGAGTAAAGAGTCGTCTCGAATTATTTTAAAAGTCACACCTGAAACTCCCCACACGATGTTTCATAGTAGCATTCTTCTATTTTCTTTCTGTGGTATAATCCTTTCCCTCTTAATTCTATTATAAAGTAACTCCTTCACTGTTTCTCTTCTTATATACCCACACCAATTCCATTATTGTTGCTCCTGCTACTCTGTATTTGTTGAGTCACAAAGTGCCAACTGTGGAATTTTTTTTTCTAAATTTATTTTTTTGTTCTTTTTTTTTTTTTTTTTTTCTGTAGAGATCGAGCAGAATAAGTTCAGCACAACCCCCTGAGTGACCTTTTGGATTCGAATAAAGTCAGTTACTACTTGTCCTTGTACCTGTTCCTTCAAGCAGATTTGAAACTAGATCCTTTTTTTGTTTTGGAGTACCTTTTCCTGGTGATTTTCTCTCTCCCTGAGCCCAAACCATTAACCGACGTTTAAGTCTTTCAACCTCACATTACCAGAACATCACAATAAAAGGGTTTAAAACAATATGTTCTAACCCTCAATTTATACCCCCCTTAAGCCCAACCAGCCCAACAAAAGAAGGTTGAAGAAGAAGTAGAACAAATAGAAAGATTCCATACTCCAATTGAAATGACTTTGATGACAGAACAACCCACCAGTACAGCTAATAGTCCTTCTATGGTTGCCAATGAGGTGTCCATAGACTTGCACCCTTCGAGTGACCAACTCCCACTTAACCAACTAGTTCAACCGTCCAAATCGAGACCTGTTTTCGATTATGATGCTGATCTTTTAAAGCTTTGTCAAGTGTACCTTAAGGAGAAAAACCATCATGGATTGGCACTTTTATCTCGACAAAAGGGATTACCACCCTTTTTGAGATTCAAAATATGGCCAGTATTACTTAAATATCATCCATTTGTATTAAACCCATTCCTTCAACCTGATAGTATTGATGATGAAGTGGTGACTAAAAATTCCGATACTTCATCAATTTCATCATCAAATTCCAATACAGGAGGAACTCCTTCATCAACCACCAAAGAAGAAGACTTATCTAGCAAGGCAGATGATCTTTTACAACAAGAAATCCGTAAGGATTTAAGAAAATATATCCAACGATTATCCTTTAATAAGGAAAAACTACTTTCTGAAACTGAAATGATGATCTTTGATACTTTAGAACATTCAATCTTGAAATTCATAAAGAAATGGGGGAGAATCATCAAGTATGACAAGGCCATGGCCTGGTTAGCATTGGGGTTGGCAGAATGGATGCCAGCAATCCCTAAAACCCCTTGGGTACTTGTCGGTAGAAACATCACTTCCACCGATAGATGTTATAAAAGTGTTTTCGATGATTACCAAGAGTTTATTGATTTACATGAGGGGATGAATGAAACATTAAAGGAATTGGTTGAAGATGAAACTATTTCAAACATGAAATTTAAAGATGTTTTCGAAAGATTAACCTTGGTATTATTACATTCACCGGAAAAGAGTGAGAATAAATCCAATGATCCTTCGAACAATTTCAATAAGCAAAAGATAAATAAAAGTACCTTACCAGTACATGGGGGATCCATTGAAGAAAGAGTTTCATTTTTCATATATTTACTTCGGAAACTTCTTCCAGAACTATCAACATATTTCCAAGAAGAACAAATTTTAAATAAATTTGGATCTCATGATGATGAATGGTTGATTTGGTGGTTGAAATGGTCTGGTAGTAAAGTATGGTCTAGAGTTGATCGTGGTAGAATATGGGATCTTATGCTTGGATACAAGCAAGATGATGGGAATTATTCGAAAAAACTTAATAAACTCAAACTTGATTCTTATTATTTGAATATATTAGGTCCAGATATATTTTGGTCAGCCATTGATATCAGTAATAAGGAGGAAAATGAAGGGTTTAATGATTTCAATTCTTCATCGACAAACACATCAACAAGAACATCCACATCATCATCATCATATGTAACCAATATGGGTGATCATAGTGCTCAACCACTTCATAAGGCCAATTCATTTAAGGATTTGATTCAAGAGTTAACAGTACATCAAGATGAATCTTCATCTACAACACTGAAACAAACCCAACACGTATCCACGCACACACCATCGAGAAGATCATCATCAGCATCTTCATCGTCTACTTGTTCATCGTCAGAGGTTCCAGTTTCAAGATTAGATCCTCATATTGAATTGATTTTCATATCGTTAGCAATTCTTAAATCTAAGGAACATACTTTAGTTGAATTGGATCAACATGAAATCAGACAATATCTTTCGAAATTACCTTCTAAATCATACAATCCAAGCAATAAATATAAGCAACATATCCTTAATAGACAAAAGGAAAAGGAAAAGGAGGAAAACAAGACTGATGTTGCCATTCAATTGAGTGAAATGGACCTCAATTGGCAAAAATTATCATCACCATCATCGGTGGCCGAATCAAATGGACTGAATCTCCAGCATTATAAGGTGAATTACATTGACAATGTTATCAATGAGGCTGGGGAATTATGGAGAAAATGGTTATGGAGAGAAATGATGGAAGATGAATGAGTAAACGAAGTAAATAAAGGAATACACAAGATAAAGTAGGTTATAAAATTGAAATTAGAGAGAGTAGAAAAGACAGTAGATGATTAGCCTGTACACTAGGTAAGAATAGCCACTCGATTCTATACGAGATATAATATAAGAACAGAATATGTATTTACATCAAGAATACTATCTCCTCATATCCTCTCTATATTCATATCTAGCTCACTTATGACTGGACTATGTTTTAGCAGCAAGTTTTTTGGCTGCGAAATTTCGTCCCAGTTTATTTTTCTTAATTTTTTTTAATTATATTTCGAAAAGAAACAGAAACACACCATTATTAACCTAGATATGATCATTCTATCCAATACTCCCCGGTCCTTTTTTTTTTAATCAATACTAAATCCTACTTGAAGATTTATCCATCCCGATGACCTTTTCTGCTATCAAGTACTGGATGGTGGGATTGAGACAAGAAAACGTAAGCTTTTGGATCTATTTAATGGTGGTTGTGCTTATTCAATTATCGGTTATGTGAAAGTTTGACACTGATCCCTACCCCTGAAACTGAGGAGGATAAGACCATCGTTGAAAACTATAATAACCTCATTAGCGATTGGATTAATGCTTGCCCTTTTCTTAATTGCGGTTCCAATTGGGGCTGCAAAAGGTATTGGGTTCAACAGTGGACATTACATCTTTGGTGAACTTTTGAACACAAGAACTTGGTCCCCTGGATGGTCATTTATGCTTTCTTGGATGTCAGCAATTTGGACAATTGGTGGATTTGACTCTTGTGTACATATGTCTGGAGAAGCGCGGAACGCAACAAGAGGGGTTCCAATCGGAAATTATCACGTGCTGGGTCCTAGGTTGGGCTATCTGTATCGTTTCTTGTGCTGTTATCAAGGATGGGGATGTAGAAGCCGTCATAACTACAGGATAATGCAGGCCATGACTCAGATTATTTACGATGCATTGGGAAAAAAGTGGGCTGTTGCATTTATGTCGTTTATCGCTTTTGTTCAATATTTAATGGGGGCCACAATTATGACGGCTTCATCTAGACAAATTTGGGCTTTTGCAAGAGATGATGGTTTGCCATTCCACAATTTCGTGAAAGTTGTTAATCCTACTCTTAAAGTCCCCTTGAGGGCTATTTTATTTGGTGGTACATTAGGTTTACTTTGTGGGTTATTAATTCTAATCGGACCGTTGCTGCGAATGCATGATTTTCATTATCTGTTGCGTCAAATGGCTTGGCTCTGGGTATGCCTGCCTTTTTGGTATTGTTACCACACGGACTGAAACGATTTAGACCAGGTTATTTTTATTTAGGGAAAATAGGAACAATGGCAATACATGCAATCACTTCCATTTGGATTGCATACGTTATCTTTATGCTGATGTTCCCTGATGGCAATTCGGTTGATAAGAATACGATGAACTACACTTGTGTCATTAATGTCGGATTATGGATTCTTTCTTTGACATACTATTTTATTTTTGGCTACAGGTTCTATTCTGGTCCAAAATCTAATCTTGATCATCTAGTATTGATGTGGAGAATATTGAAGTTGTTCTCGGAGAGAAGGAAAGCTAAAATCTGCCACATTCCATAAAATATCTACAACGTATGTGTGCCAAGCGTACCGCTAGTTGAGAATTTTTCAATGTTTGAAAAAATAATCCCACATTTAACGCGGTATATATAATTGTTTTTCCGCTAATTATTTTGTTATCTTAGAGCGCGCCCGCTGGCGGATTACCTAATTAGGCCACACGGATGAGATAGGTTGCAAATTTCCAATAGACGTACTATGTATAAATGTACTATGTATAAATGCCTAAAGCATCCCTTTACATCGTCGACAGTGTTTTTACTTTTTCGCTAGTTATTTAGATATTTAAATATGTCAAATCTAATAACACCTATAATTTCGACCATTAGGTCAAGGACAGGTGAACATGTTCATACTATTCTCTCTAATAAATCCGAACTAAGAGCAATCACCATAGATCCAAGTAAAGCTCACGACGAAGATGACTTATTGGCAGAAATAGGTTATAAGCAAGAATTAAACCGTAACTATTCTACAATTCAAATTTTCGGTATTGCTTTCTCAATTATGGGTCTTCTTCCTTCAATTTCGTCAACTATAGCTGTTGGTCTTGAAATTGGTCCTGTTGGTTTGGTTTGGGGTTGGTTATGTTCCAGTTGTTTTATTCTTTGTGTTGGTACTTCAATGTCTATTTTATCATCTTCTCTTCCAACCCTGGGTGGTTTATACTACTGGACTAATTATTATGCCCCAGCGCTGCTTAGAGTCCCTTTGAGTTTTATGATTGGATGTATCAATGCTCTTGGTTTAATCGGTGGATGTTGTTCCATTAATTATGGTTTTGCCTCTGAACTTCTTTCTGCAGTTTACATCAACAAAGATGGTGATTTCACCATCACAGACCCCATCAAGTATGGTGTCTTTTCTGCTACATGTGTCTCTCATGTTTTCTTATGTTGTGCAGCCTCCAAACAAACTGCTTGGTTACAAGCGTTCTCCATCTACGTTAATGTTTTCATTATTATTTTGTTTTTAATTGCAGTTCCCATTGGCGCTTCAAGAAATGCAGGCTTCAATGATGCCAAGTTTATCTTTGGTGAACTCTCCAACGTTAGAACGTGGTCTCCAGGTTGGTCTTTTATGCTTTCCTGGATGCCAGCTATCTGGACCATTGGAGCATTTGACTCTTGTGTCCATATGTCCGAAGAAGCCCGTAACGCTACTAGAGGTGTCCCAATTGGTATCATTGGGTCCATCAGTGTTTGCGGTATTTTGGGTTGGATCATTTGTATTGTCGCTTGTGCTGTCATTAAAGATGGTGATGTTGAAGCAGTTTTGAGTTCTGACTCTGGTCAAGTTATGGCGCAAATTATTTATGATACTTTGGGTAAAAACTGGGCTGTTGCATTCATGTCTCTAATTGCCTTTGCTCAATATCTTATGGGTGCTTCTATTTTGACTGCTGCATCTAGACAAATTTGGGCTTTTGCAAGAGATGATGGTTTGCCATTCCACAATTTCGTAAAAGTTGTTAATCCTACTCTTAAGGTCCCCTTGAGAGCTATCATTTTTGGAGGTGCTGCATCTTTGATTTGTGGATTGTTGATCTTGATTGGACCAGTTGCTGCAAACGCTCTTTTCTCCTTGGCTATTTCAAGTTCATTGTCTTGGGCCACACCTGTATTATTAGTTTTGTTGCCTGAAGGACGCTCCCGTTTTAAGCCGGGTTATTTTTACTTGGGTGATGTCTTGACTACCATCATTCATATTATAACTGTACTGTGGATTGCATATGTTATTGTGATGCTGATGTTCCCAGATGGAATTTCAGTGGACAAGGAAACTATGAACTATACCTGTGTTATTAACGTGGGTGTCTGGATACTCTCGTTGATTTATTACTACACATATGGCTATAAGGTTTACCATGGGCCTAAGTCCAATATTGAGGAATCTAATTCCAGTCTTGAAGACGAAAAGATAGATCAAGTGTTAGAAGGAAAGCAGTAATTAATTTAGATATAATTTGTATATAAGGATGCTGAAAAATAATAGCAATAATTTATAAACTATAAGATTTTAATGCGATAATTAAAAGAATATTCTTTTGTAGGTTGAAATTTGCACCCATTTTTTTTATATGTATATTTACGTTTCACTGCATATAACAAACACGTACATTAAAATAATTTCTTACCAATGTGTTTCCACCTGCAAAAGATGAAGTTTACTAAAACTCATCTTTATCAATAAGCATAGATTCTGATTGTTTCAACGAGTTTAGAAATTCCGTGTAAACTATTTATTAAGTACATTTCACCAAGCTGCAGATGTATGAAGAGGCTGTTGAGTGATGATGAGAATGAACATCAACATCAAGACCAAGCACATTCACTCCCGCCATCGTCACAATCATTCACATCTTCTGGTTCACAGTTACAACTTTCAAATACTCAAGAACAATATTTGAAGAAAATTAGACCAAATGAACTGGAAGGTCCTTCCGAGTTTGAAAGAGAACTCTTGGATATGTCCCAAGCCCCAGTGCTGAAATCTGAAGAGGATCAAGGCTGGGAGAACTTACGAAATTTCTTTAATTCGAAACAATTATTAAACAGAACTAATTTTGATAATGGATTCAAACCAAGATTTTTTACCACTAATGGATTGGCTCCTTTGACTATAATATATGGATCATGGCATAGTTACCAATGGAGGCGAATTAAATATACAGAATAAAGGAACACACAAGATAACGTTATAAAATTGAAATTAGTGAGAGTAGAAAAGAGAGTAGATGATTAGCCTGTACACTAGATAAGAATAGCCATTCGATTCTAAATGAGATATAATGTATGAACAGAATATGTATTTACATCAAAAATACTATCTCCTCATATCCTATCCATATTCATATCTAGCTCACTTATGACTGGACTATGTTTTAGTAGCAAGTTTTTTGGCTGCGAAATTTCGTCCCAGTTAATTTTTCTTAATTTTTTTATTGATTAAATTTCGAAAAAAGAAAGAAACAATTAATGTAGAGATTATAATTCTATCCAATAAACCCTTCTCTATACACCCCGGCCCTTTGTTTTTTTATAATCCTCTAACTATGACCAAATTAATTCACCTTCAAAAATTAAACTAAGTTTATTATTTTGGTGAGCATTACCTGCAGGACTATCGAAAAAAGGAATATTAAAGGAGATGAGATGAATTTTTGCGATCAAGATAAACTTTTTAATTGAATATTAATCAACAATAAAATGAGTAAGGAAGAAACCAAGGTCTCTAACGAGGTAGTTGAAGATATCGTGGACACCAAGAAGGAGTCTAAGAAGGAGAAAAAGGAAAGAAAGAAGGAAAAGAAGGAAAAGAAAACCAAACTGGAAGATGGAGAAGATGATGAAGACAAGGATGAAGAGAAATACACTGAAGATGATAGAAAGAAATTTGATGAAATTGCCATTGATTTGAACGCCGGTGTTCCCTTATCCAAGAAACAAAAGCGTTTGTTGAAAAAGGGTAAACTTAACTTGGAAAAGCTTGCCAAGAAGAACCCTGCCCCAAAGCCTGAACAGACTGAAGAGGAGAAGGCTGCTGCAGCTGCTGCTGAAGAACTCAAGCCTAAGAAGTCTCCATATGGTATCTGGGTGGGTAACTTGTCCTTTGACACCACCAAGGAAGATTTGGTGAGATTTATTGTGGGAAAGACTGCTTCCTTTAGTGAAGAAACCAATGGATTTGTCAAAATTGAAGAATCTGAAATTTCAAGAGTAAATTTACCAAAGAAGGAAAAGAAGATTAAAGGTTTTGCATACATAGATTTCCCTAGTGCTACACAAGTCAAGAGTGCCATTTCGTTGAGTGAATCCATTTTGAACGGTAGAAAACTTTTGATCAAGGATGCTACTTCCTTTGAAGGTAGACCTGATAAGGATGCTGCTGCCACTTCAAACTTATCGAAAAACCCACCATCTAGAATTTTGTTTGTTGGTAATTTATCATTTGATACTACTCAAGACAATTTGGATGAACATTTCAGACCATTTGGAGATATTACTAGAATCAGAATGGCAACTTTTGAAGACTCTGGAAAGTGTAAAGGGTTTGCCTTCATTGATTTCAAGGATGAATCCGGTCCTACTGCTGCATTGACATCCAAGCACGCCAAGAAACTTATCAATAGACCTTTGAGACTTGAGTTTGGTGAAGATAGATCCAAGAGAACCCCAAGAATGAGAAATAGAGAAGATTTACCAGAAGGAGAAGTCAACACTCCAGTAAGAGAAAGAGAAGCACCAAGAGAAAGAGAACAATTCCGTCATCATCTGGCACCATCTGAATCTGATTTCACTCCACCACAACGTTCTGCACCAAGACCACCAAAGAGACAATATGAACAACGTCAAGATCCAAACAAGAGATTGAAGTCAAGTGTCGCCTTAGCCACCGCCCAAAGAGCTAGTGCGGCTATTGTGCCATCACAAGGTAAGAAGATATCCTTTGATTAGTTCGATAAGGGGAAATGAGTAACATACATAAAAAATTAGTAAATAATAAAACGGCCATGAGTAAAATCATGTGATGTAGTACAGAAAGTAAATGTGGATCTGGAAGTATAATTCCGGGGAAATGAGGTTTGAATATTATAGTTTAAGTTGCTTTTATATCAGCCCTTTAACATTAGAGAGAAAGTCCTGCTATATATTACTGTGTGTGTGTGTGTGTGTGTGTGTGTGTGTGTGTGTGTGTGTTTGTGTTGAAGAAATATACAATGTCACATGGTTACTTAAATCAGTATTTTATTTAAACGATACCATCGATCTAAAAAATAAAACACTTTTATGGGGATAAAAAGAAATAAAAAACCCTCTTGTTTTGAATTTCTTGAGTCACATCATCATGTCTAACCTCCTATTCTAAACTCCTCTAAAGTCGAATTTCTGATTGGGGCAATATTTACCACAATTAATTGATGGTGCTCGGCGTTTAGACTCAAACATGCATAATAAAATTTAAATCGAAAAAGAAAGTGTCACGAGTTCTCTAACTGCATGCATAAGCCCGAGCTTGTATGCGTTCTATTGGTCAATAGTTTACTCTAGCCGTTCACACGAGGCAATGATTTTTATCATATCTCCACAGACTTGTTTGTATTTAAAAAGTTAGCCAAGTCCCTTATATTTTACTTTTCCTGAAATTATATAATTTACGAGTTCAGATAACCCACCTGCATTGGATTCTCCGCAATTATCTAATTTATTTTAATTTTTAAACAATATCATCACCATTTAGAATTGGTGTGACATTGACTTCCCCTCGATAAGAATTTTATTAAAAGGAGGACAATTTTGAAGATTGAAAGAAATAAATAGTAATTTTGATTTATATATATACAATTTTTCTCTACTTTTATAATGATTAAAGGATTAAGATTAGCAACAAGAAATGTTGCAATTGCTCGTTTCAATAGACCATTGAACGGAGTAAGATTTGGGTCCACATGCTCACATAATCATACTCATGAGATCAATTCCACTCGCAATCTTGCCACAATTGGGTCTCAAGTCCCCAAGATGCAAAAGGGGGTTGTTTTTGAAACTAATGGTGGTCCTTTAGAATATAAAGAGATCCCAGTACCAACCCCTAAACCCAATGAAATTCTTGTTAATGTTAAATATTCCGGTGTTTGTCACACGGATTTACACGCTTGGAAAGGTGATTGGAAACTCCCAACTAAATTACCCTTGGTTGGTGGACATGAAGGTGCTGGGGTTGTTGTTGGCTTGGGATCTAATGTCACTGGATGGAAAATTGGTGATTATGCTGGGGTCAAATGGTTGAATGGATCTTGTTTATCATGTGAATTTTGTGAAGATGGACATGAATCAAATTGTGATCATGCTGATTTATCTGGCTACACTCACGATGGTACTTTCCAACAATATTGTACTGCTGATGCTGTCCAAGCGTCTAAAATCCCAGAAGGTACTGATTTGGCAGAAGTTGCTCCTATTTTATGTGCTGGGATCACTGTTTATAAGGCATTGAAGACTGCTGGGTTAACTGCCGGTCAGTGGGTTGCAATTTCTGGTGCTGGTGGTGGCTTAGGTTCCTTGGCTGTACAATATGCCAAGGCTATGGGTTACAGAGTTTTAGGTATTGACGGTGGTCATGATAAGGGTCAATTGGTCAAATCGTTGGGAGCTGAAGAATATGTTGATTTTACCACCATTTCTGATGTCCCCAAGGAAATCATTAAGATAACTAATGGTGGTCCACATGGTGTCATTAATGTTTCCATTTCGCCTCAGGCAATGCAACAATCAGTTGAATATGTTAGAAAAACTGGCACTGTTGTCTTGGTTGGACTTCCAGCCGATGCTAAAGTTGAATCTAATGTTTTGGATTCCGTTACCAAATCCATTTCCATTAAGGGATCTTATGTTGGTAACAGATCTGATTCAAGAGAAGCCATTGACTTCTTTACTAGAGGCCTTGTTAAAGCTCCAATTAAAATTGCTGGATTGTCCGAATTACCAAGAATTTACAAGGAAATGGAATCCGGTAACATTTTAGGTAGATATGTGGTAGACACCTCCTACTAGTTAGACATAAAAAAAATCGAATATATTATTAAAACAATAAACAAACATCAATATTACAAATTACCAAATATTAAAAACAATAATAAACTAAAATGAACGGGGGAAAACAACACATCTTTCTTTTCTTGATGAACTGTTACTTAAGCTTCGTTTGCTTTAGCCTTAGCCAAGGCAATTTGAGACTTTTCGTATTCCTCTTCAGTAATCTCCAAGTAGTCTGGGTTACCCTTGTTCTTTTCATACTCCTTGTCTGACACTTCTTCGTACACAACAAGACTTTCATAAGAACCAGTCTTGTTGGTTGCAACCGTCTTTAATTTTTCAATTCCAGCAGGTTGCTTTTTAATATCTAAATTTTCACCGAATGCAGGGATATCCTTAGAAGTTGATGTTCCTTCCTTTGGAGCAGTAGCCTTGGTGGAAGTGGTTGGCTTAGCCTTTTTTGGGGATGCAAAGGCAGAAGAAGCTGAGACATCATCGTCTTCATCCTTCTTGCTGCTGAATTTCTTGGCGAATTTCTTGACAGATTTGGTGAGACTTCCACTTCTCTTGGTTTCAGAGGGAGAGGAAACAGTTGGGGAACGAGCAGTAGGAGTTGCAACAGTGGCATCAATAGTCTTTGCAGAAGCGACAGTACCAGCAAGAGCACCAGCAGCGACTACGGCAGATGCAGTACCAATATTCTTGGACTTAGATTGCTTTTCCTTCTTTTCAAGATCAAGAACTGGAGAGGTAGAAGCAACAATTGGAGTGGAAGATGGAGCTTCACTAGTTTCCTTTTGTTCAACAGGAGCAGGCACGACAGCAGGTGTAACTGCTTCCTTACGCTTTGGCTTAGACTTGAAAAGTTCACTGTCATCTAATTCAATTTGTTGAGATAATCTAGCAACTTCCAATTCTCTTTCCTCAATCAACTTTTGAATGTCTTCGATACGAACATCACGGTTAACTTCAACAGCCAATCTAGATTTTTCTTCTCTTAATTCACGAATCTTTTTCAAGTTTTCAACTTCTTCCAATAATCTAGTCTTTTGTAACTCTTCAAAATCCAATTTTTCTTGATATAATCTCAATCTTTCATCGTGTTCAGCCTTTAATCTTTCAATTTCATCAAGCTTGGCTTGTGCTAAACGTTCAGCTTCGAGTCTGGCAGCTTCAGCCTTTACAGACTTTTGTTGATTCAATGCTTCAATTTCTTCTTGCAACTTCAAAGCTTCATCTTCTTCATTCTTCTTACGTTCAGCATAGATACGATCCTTTTCTTCTCTTTCAGCAATCAATTTTTGCTTTTCATCTTCACGTTGTTGAGCACGTAAAGCTCTTTGAGTTTCTGGAAGTGCGGCAATTCTAGCAGCTTCAAGACGTTCTTCTTCAGCTTTCTTTTCAGCTAATTCCTTTTCTTCCTTTTCCTTCTTCTCAGCAGCAATCTTATCTTCTTCAGCCTTCTTTTCAGCAGCAAGCTTATCTTCTTCAGCCTTCTTTTCAGCAGCAATTTTGTCTTCTTCAGCCTTCTTCTCAGCAGCAATCTTATCTTCTTCAGCCTTCTTTTCAGCGGCAATTCTTTCCTCTTCAGCCTTTTTCTCAGCTTCTTCCTTCAATCTTTTCTCTTCAATTTCTTGTTCAATTCTTCTAGTTTCTTCTTCTTCTTGTGCCTTAGCTCTCTTTGCCTCTTCTTCAATTCTAGCAGTTTCAGCTTCTTCTTGAGCCTTTTGTCTTCTAGTTTCTTCTTCTTCTAAAGCTTGAACTCTTTGACGTTCATGTTCAAGAGAAATTTCCTTAGCAGCTGCTTGCTTTTCAGATTCCCAACTAGAATAATGTTCCTTTGCTTGATCTAATCTACTTGGAATCTTTTCCTTATCAGAATGTAAAAGTCCCAATTTAGTAGAATAAGCAGAAATGACACCAGCTAAAACACCAACTTCAGCAGTTAAACCAGAATGTTTAGATTCCTTTTCTTCAATATCCTTCTTGGTAGTTGCTAATTTACTGTCCAATTCTTCCTTGGTAGAAAGATTCTTCAGTATAAGACCTTCCTTTTCAGAATGATTCTTCTTTAATTCTTCCAATTCTTCAATCTTGGCATTAAGTTCAGTGGTTAATGCTTCAATCTTGGATGAAAGTTCAGAATTTTCATCATCTAATGTAGTTTTCTTTTCTTGAAGAGATTCAATTTCAGTGGTTGTCTTTTCTTGATTGGTCTTAGAATCTTCTAATTCTTGATTCTTGGTAGCTTCTAATTCATCATGATTCTTGATTAAAGTTTCTTTATCATTGGAGTGCTTTTCAACTGCTTGAGTTTCTCTTGTTTTGAATTCTTCATTAGCAGTTTCAATTTCCTTCTTGGTTTGAGTTTCAAAATCAATAGCTGCCTTATCAGATCTAGAAATTAATGTAGCCAAATCTCCAAGTTTAGTATCAATTTCCTTACTAAACTTTTCCTTTTGCTTACCTAATTTCTTGACATATTTTTCAAATTCTCCTTGTAATTTCTTTTCATGACCAGCAACTTTAGTTGATAATTCTTGTTGACGTTTAATTTCATCTTCAGATCTTGTTTTACTAACTTCATCATTAATATTGGCCAAGACTGGAGCAACCCTCAAGGCAGCAATATCTAAAAGTTGTTGTTGAGTCATTTTCAAACCACTACCCAAGTCAACCACCTTATTTGGATCATCTAAAGTACGGGATACAGATCCAATGGCAGCATTGTTAAGATCATTGTAACGAGAAAGTAACACTGGCTTATCCTTAAGTGCTTCAAGAGTCTTGTTATCAGGAGGAGTAATTGGTTCATATTTAGCTTCTGGTTGAGTAACAATTTCAATATGTTCTTCTTTAACTTGTTCAGTAATATCAACTGGATCTTCAACTGCAGCAGTTTCCTCGGAAACAATAGCCTTTTCATCAATTGACTTTGTTTCAGTAGACTTACCATTAGAAACAATCTCCTTCTTAGGCTCTTCCACTTCTTCTTCTTCTTCTTTTTCTTTTTCTTCAGTGCTGGCAACTTCTCCTCTTGGTGTATCAATTGGTTCATCATTCAAAGATTTAACTGAACTATTGGACACTGATTCTTTACCTTCTTTAGTTGCAGAGGAAGTCTTAGTTTCTTCATCAACTTCTTTAGATTCTTCCTTTGATTCTTCAACTTCGGTTTCTTCGGCAGATTCTTTAGAAATTTTGGCATCTTCAGCTTCCTTAGCTTCCTTGGCCTTCTTAGCATCTCTAGCCTTTTCCTTCTTTGCAGCGTCAAGAGTTGGATGACTAGAAAACTTCTTGGGAACTTGTATACCATCAATAGAGTTTTCTTCCTTCAATTGTTGACGAAGGTTCTTTTTGTCACCACCAGCAGTTCTAAATGGAGAAACCCATGTGGACCCACTGGTCAATTTCTTTAACTTGGACTCCTTAGGCTTGGTCTCAAGTACTTCAGACATCTTTTAGAATTGAATATTTAAACAAACAAAATAGAATTGAAACTCAGAAACAAAAAATAATCACTTATAATCTAGATAGTTGTAAAGATACGGTACTGAAGTATATGTAACCAATCAATTAATAGCAACCGTCTATTTTCAAAAGAAAAAGTTAAAAAAAAAACAGAAACTCCAAGTGGGAAAGATTGGCGTATTGCTGAATTTCGCTGGTAACTTTCTCGTTAAAGGGGTCTCACAATCCTGGAGATAATTAGCAATTTTGTGTTATTTCACGTTATAAAGAATGTATGTTTGTATTTATTTTTATATAAATTACCACAGCCAGCCCTAATTGAGGTGGTGTAGCAGTGTGGTGAATATCTTTAATGTTAATTTGAACCAAGTTTATCGGGGACTTCTGACTCTAATGTATACCCCAGTCTATGTGTGGCATTATTCCTCGAGAAAGTGTTTATGGGCTCATTAACCAATCTATTCCCTGCAGCCAGTCCTATTAGGGAAGAATTCAATAATTGTTCTTTTTCGTCAACGGACACTACTTCAATTGCGCGCAATCATTAATTTACATAGTTTCTGTGACATCATATAGTTGCTACTCTACGCACTCTATGCACTTTCTATTTGACATGCATAGTTACACGACTAAATGAACAATCCCCATTCCAGATCTTACGTTGCAACCAATAACAAAAACAAAGCAGGTGTGAAATTTAAACTGGTGCAATGCATCTATACATGTATACCACCATGCACTTGTCTGTACCTCTGTAGATGTAGATGCTTATTATTGTGGTGGTACACAAAGTCTCTGCATTATATCACTCTATTAAAAATTTCTCCTCAATCGCACCTTTTCTATTGGTCTTATTCCGTGCAAAACTTCCCAAACTACATTTTTTTTACCACATTCGTACCATATCATCTTTTCTTTTTAAAATCCCCTTAATTGTCCCTCGGATAGATTGTCATCTTATCCGACCCATTAAAATGATCCGACGCATGTCTCGGTATGATCGTCTCATTCTCAATTCATTTTCTGTATTCCTTATTGATCTTCTCTATCTAGATCTTCCTGCACCACTAATAAATCTTACATAAAAATTGCCGGCAGCGTTGTAGACTAATTATCCTGCCCCCCACAAAAAAAAAATATTATTGGTGCCAACTACCTACTACTACTAGATGTGCACTTGTATACACGCCATCTTTCTTCCACCATCTTTACTACAAATCCCCCTACTTTTTAAGCTTACCTTTAAAAATATTTTTTCCTTTCCGTTTTTTTTTTATATTTTCCAAAATTTTTTTTTTTTTTTTTTGGGGTTTCGTATTTTTGACTTGAGGAGAGAAATAGACACAAGGGAAAGACCGGGTTTTATTAAATATCCTTTCACTTACAGACTGGCTACGGAACCATCGTGGCTATACAACACAATAGTAAACCGCCCAGCGGCCGCATCACACCTCAATTGTTCTCTGTTAACCATAAATAAAGACTAACCCCCCTCCCGTTGACCGTGCCAATAGAGTGATAGAGGAATATATCACATGTCTACATTAATACCAACGGCAAGTAGTTGTCATACTCTACAACTCCCGCCAATCGAAAAGGATGACCGATGTAACTTGAATGTTCGTACCGGTTCAGCATCCACCTTGTACAATTCGTTGGTGTTTACATATGGAGGACTCACCATTGGTCTAGAACTTTTAGATCCTACGATCCCCGAGCTTGTTAAAACCTTCCAACTGCGTCTTAATAACTCCAAATCAGATCAAATCGAATCCTATATCTCGGGAGAACTCTTTTATTTGAGCTTGCTTGATGGTATCTGGACAAGAGTGGCGATTCCGAAAAAGGCTCTGAAACCAAGTCCTCGATTATATCATGAAATATGTGCAGCCAACAATTGTGTATATCTTTTTGGAGGTTTGAAATTAGATACAAATACCAAGAATTCCACCACGGGAGACTTGATACCGTGTAATGATCTTTGGGAATTTAACCTTGAAAAGAAAGCTTGGACACTTCTTCATGATGGTACAGGCTATGAAATAGATTCTAAAATCCCCAAGCCAAGATTTAATCATAAAATGACATCTATCCAAAATTTATCATTCATCAGTAAAAAGGGACATTTTGGGATTTTAATTGCTGGTGGGAAAGATTCTGATTCAAATTCAATCTATGAAAACGTAATTTTCGATCTTGTTGATAGAAAATATGTCGGGGATACAAACACAACGTATCTTACCGTACGGTCCGCTGACGGGAACAGGATAGGCTCCACCCTTGATTCCTTTTCGAGAAAGGATTCTGAGGGCCATCTCAGTATCAATTACACAAACAGTATCATTGTAAATGTAACCGATGAGGTGGAACATGTTTCCAAAAGATCCAATTCTAAAGACGGGAGTGGTGGTGGAGTAACTGGTGGATCTGGATCCACCCACACAATCAAGGAAGAATCCGTTATAGTGTATGCACCAGTGGATGTGGTGGATACACAGGGGGATGTGAATCCACTTTTATCATTCAAAGTAGGTAAAAAGTTGAAAAATGGTAAGATGTTACCGACACCACGGTCCACTGCGTGGAATAATAAAAAGCATTCTTTAGGAAGGTCCAAATCACTGGTGGTGGATAATGTACCCCCAGTGGAGGCGGTAAAACCCCCTGTCAGACTGAGTCAATTCTATCCGTTCAATTTAAGGTACCCCACTGGAGGTTTATTTGGACAAAATATTGTTATAACTGGATTCTTACCTAATGATTTTGACATATCGATCTTTGTGTTTAACAAACCCACAGGGAAATGGTCTAGACTCAATATTTTTTGTGATCATGATTATGGTTCACATAGATTTTGGGGTGGATTTGCCTGGCAATCTCATCACAAGGTTGTTCTTTTGGGTAATTATGTTACATCCAAGACAACTAGTAGCATTCGGTTCTTCAGTCTGATGATAACGGTAAGTCTTCCCGTTACAAATATTTTGGCTAGTAGTGAGCTTGCCGGTACTAGTAAATCAATGTCTCGAATGACCGATAGAGAGTTTGATGGTCTTACAGATAGTAGTGTTGGCACTGCAATTAATAGTCCAACAAACAGAAGCCATACGGAAGGTGAAGATGACACACACTCATCATCTCTTGACATCACCAGTGAATCTGATGAAGAAAAGAGACCTGCTTTTGAAGTCGCGGGTGAATCAGATGGTAAACGTTCAACCACCATTTCATTCAATGAATATGTTCATTATGCAGCCCCCAAGACAAATGTGACCACAATTCGCTCAGTGTTCCCCGCAGCAGCAGTGACTCTTGGAAGAAATGCATTAGATCGGTATGGGGATTTGATATCCGATTTTGAGTTAGTTTCCTCTAATGGGGACAGAATTCCTGTATCTCTACACATTCTAACCGAAAGATGGGGTAGGTATTTCATCGAATTATTATCAAGAGGATATGTCCAGGCCGTAGATGCCTTTGAACATGGTAAATTAGAAGATGACTATCCTGAAAAACGTCACAACTTTTCCACAACATCTAAGGATTCTGGTATGTCTTCGTTTTACTCAGGTACCAGAACCAACAAGCTTAAACCATCCTGGTCAACTGCAGGTGGCTCGTCGTACTCATCACACACCAATTCTCACGAAAGTGGTCTAAACAAAGAAGTATCTGGCATGGGTACTGGTCAACTGTACCATGTTTCAATTCCAATTCCAAAACCAAACGCAATTGAAAAAGATGCACCTCAATTCAGATTACCGTTTCAAGAACCTTCTTTGAGTGCTTCTTCGTCTATTAAGGGGAAATCAGAAAGTCCACCGTCTCAACCGGTTGATGCAATCAACCTAGAAACAACGCCAGGGGGAAGTCTCAATTTACCCGGCAGAGTGTCTTCTGCGATCGATCCTCATCTTTCAGAAGATCCTGGTCTCCCAACTACTGCAACCCCTGCCATGACCAGCATTCCAACGATTGTTCCACCACAACAAACAAATATAAGAAAAGATTCAGTATCATCTTTTGCAAGTGCAAATTCCTTGTTGACTTCCCATTTGCAAGACATACCACCTCAGTTACCATTACCAGATGAACCAATTCCTGCTGTACCTGTGACACCAAATTTCAGATCAACTTCAAGAAAGAACTCCACTGATATAAATTCACCACGTGCATCTTTAATTCACACTCTCACTGTCTTGAGAAATATTCCAGGTTCAAAATCACCTCGTGAATCACCATTTGCATCTCCAAGAAATTCAATTTCGGGTCCAGTAAATGAACGTGATTTCCAAAGCACCAAGTTAAGACACACCTTATCTCATAGCCCTACCAGAAAGGGTGGTCCAATGAAAACGTCACTGGCTTCGAATGAAAATTTGGAAAACACACCGACCACCAAGCCACGTAGAACAAGTAGTAGTAATTCACTCAAGCTGATGCTGAAGTTAGGGCTTAGTGGCGCCGATGGATCTTCAACTAGCTCTGGATCAGTTAGTGATACCAAAGACTCAGAGGATAGAAAACATGCAAATGCTTCACAGACTCCTGCTGAGATGTTTTCAGAGGGATTACTTAGTTTTGAAGATATGAAAAATGGAAATTTCAGAATGGAACCTTCTCTCATTCCAAGAAAGCTTTACATCCCGTTCCCAACTGTGACAGTGAAGGCATTCTGTGAATTTTTATATACTGGTCAAATTGGAAACAAATGGTTATTGGCACCTACAACGTTAGATAACTTGGCGTTGGCCAAATTTTATAAGACACCATTACTTTACGATTTAATCAGTGAAGTCTTGTTTGGTATTATCGGGAGGAAGGAAGCATTTGTATTAAATGAAAGTAGAAGTTTGAAGAAAAGGTATTTGGAATTGGTGGAATTGACTGGCATGAAGGGAGATTCTGAATGTAATTTCCCATTAGATGAATACGAAGGATTTGTCGATACTGTTGATGATGGATACTTGGATATTACCTTGTTGAAGAAGACCAGTGATATCAATAAGAAGAGTTCTGTTGCCAGTATGAAGAGAAGGCAAAAGAAAGGATCAAGAACTTTAGATTCAACCCCTGGAACGGGATATACTACACCTACAACATCTGTGACAGAAGACAGCGAGACCAACTTGGGACTTGCTACCGATGAAGATGCCTCAGATAAGAAAACATCAACCTCAGAAGAGGATAATGACTTCGAACTTGGTTATTTAGACAAACGCGAATTACAAACTTCAAACGTTGGACCTAGGTCTAAGTCAATTTTTGATAAATCTGGTGGAGATTTGAATTTCCATAGTACTTTGGATGTTGAAATGGAAGAAGAAAAGGAAAAATTGCAAGGATTAACTCTTGACCAATTAGTCTCCCCCAATGCACCAGTTCCAAGCGATTATGCAATTGACTTGATCTATGAAATGGGGACATTCACTGCTGATATGAAACTTATGCTCAGATCGATTAATGCTAGACAAATGTCGAGAACATTGAACCAATCTCGGGAAGAGTTAGAAGCTACTATTGAAGTGTTACAAAAGAAACTTGATGCTCAGAATAGACCCAAACCAGTAGTTTCCAAGAGTGGAGATTCAATGCCAGCTACATATGGCGCCGACACTGTTCCAAGCTCAAACTTACACCCTACAATGTCCACCACTTCACTCCATACACTTTCGTCACTTCGCACTGAAACGTCCGAAAAGTCTACCAGTAGTAATTTCCCTCGGATTCCAACTTTTACCCCATTCATAACCAGCAAAAAGGGATCAATCGGTAATAAGGGTGTAGAGAAACTTATCGCCAAAGACGTTAAGCGGGATGAAAAATTGAAGTTGAAGAACGAGAAGGATGAGAGAATGAAGCAAATTCAAAGATCAAAGTTGGAAAAGAAACAATTGGATAAGTCCAAGAGGTTAAGTCTGGCAGTGTTCCCACCGATCTCAAGAACTCAAACAATGGATAACTTACCACCCAAGAAGCATGGACTCTTGTACAATTTGAGTCATCCATTAGCCAGAACTCAATCTGGGATGTCTGAAGAATTGAAAATGTCAGGATCTGGTGGATCAATTTCTGAAACCAATTCAATTGACTCTTCAAAGTCTTCCAAAACTCCAACGAATAAGAAACATTATAGTTTATTTGGTAAGAAACATCAGAAGAGTAGAGATCTGTTGAATTCCAGAGAAAGTTCTCCAGTTGCGGCAGATATGGGAGGACTGCCACTGATCCATAGCCATAAGTCTACCGTCAGTGTTCATTCAAACAACAGTAAACATTCAGATGCTACTGATGGGACCACGAAAAAGAAGTTTCACATTTTTTCAAAGAACAAAAAGTAAATAAAGGAGATAAATATATAGTTAGCTCAATTTAATATAGGAGTGAAATTCTACAGTAAGAAAAATTAAACGGAAAAAGTGCATAGCACTGAACATGTGGAATAGAACTCTAGGGAATTTGTTCTCTCGGCTATAGTAAAAATTTTTTTTGCAACCTAGTGCCCACAAAAAAATATGCGGCTCATAACGATCTCAGTATGTGGGGGAAAACAAAGGGGGCGCATTAAACCCGAAATACGCAAGTATAAAAAAAATTGAAAGTCTTTGTATACTTCTTGTCGATCCATTATTTTACCAGTAGATAGATAAAGATGTCCAATGACATTGTAAAGTACGCGTACGAGAACCTCAAGAACATCCCCCGCAGTGAGGACTACGAGAAGATGATTCAGGGGCTTCCATACAACTCAATGGGGAAGGAACTTGTAACCAGACGTCATCTTTCGCATGAACTTGCTACAGACTATCATACTATCCGTTTAAAGGATCATGATTATGATCTTGAAAAACATCAAAAAGCTAGAATTGATTACTTGTCCAAGATCTTTGGTAAGACTGAAAAGGATACTTATATAGAACCACCATTTTTTGTAGATTATGGTTGCAATATTTCATTGGGGAAGAATTTTTATGCTAACTTTAACACTACATTCCTTGATTGTACATTGATCAAGTTTGGTGACAATGTTTTAGTCGGGCCAAATGTTACTTTCACTACAGCAACTCATCCCGTTGATCCAGAAGCCAGACTTCAAGGGGTTGAATTTGCTTTCCCAATCACCGTTGGTGACAATGTTTGGTTTGGTGCTAATGCTGTGGTCTTACCAGGGGTTACTATTGGAGATGGAGCTGTCATTGCCGCTGGTGCAGTGGTAAACAAAGACGTTCCTGCTTACACTGTTGTCGGAGGAATTCCTGCAAAAGTTCTTAAAGAATTACCAAAGCCAAAATCACCACCTTCAGCTGAATAATGGTCTACCACAGCATTATATAGACGTAATAGAGTTATCATAAAGATTATTTATGGAGTTATTTATTAGAATCAATAGAATATATGTGAAATCCTGTACTCATTGTAACGTTACACTTTTTAACTCCTTGTCGCATTCCATCTGCAGGATCCGCCCCATTTTGATGTATAGAGGTGGTGACAACACACTTTACATTGATTAAAGGAACATATATACGATCTGATCAATCGAGCCAACATAAACTTTTAATGTCTAATTGGAACCAGAACCAATATATACAGCCCGATAGCGAGGGGACTAACTTTGGTGCACAGGCACATGGCCAACCACAATTTGGATCGTCAAGTTCAACCACCACTAGTGGAGCAACACAACCAACTGATGGCAATGGATTCTTTTCATCATTTTCTAGTTTTGTCACTCCAAAAGTTGATCTCTCCAACACTTTTAAACCATTCACAACCAATACCGACTGGTCAAACGGTAACAACAAGATAAAGGAGCGCCAATATGCTGGTGGAGACACGTTGGATGAACCAGTCTGGCATACATTGAAAAGAGATTTGTCTCAAATTGGCAAGAGATTGGCCATTGTAGTGTGGCCAATGCAACTCTCTCTGCTTGCCAAGCAGCAACAGCTGCGGTTTGTGGAGTTTGCCGTGAACAATGGAGTCCAATTGCCACAACTGATCCTCAACAATCGTAGAGTATCTGTTGACCAGAATGCCAACGATGACGACGACGACGATGTTGTTGCAGAGAATGGAACCACCATAGACGACCCAGCCACCGAACTTATAAAGAATAACCTTGACTGGGACTTGTGGGGACCTCTCATTTTCCTGTTGGTCTACTCAGTTGCACTTGGACTTGCTGCCCCTAATAATCAAACAAACCAGGTTTTTTCAGGGACCTTCAGTTTTGTATGGCTTTTCTCCATTGTCATTGGGCTCAACATCCAGCTTCTTGGTGGTAATATTTCATTCATGTCGGCCATTAGTGCAAGTGGATACTCATTGTTCCCCATTGTCGTAGGTAGTTTGTTGTGTTCCTTGTTGATCAAATGGAAACTTATCCGTCTTGTGATGATGATCGTTTTGTGTGCATGGAGTATTTATTCTGGAATTTTGAGCTTGAAGTGCTCTGGGGTTTTACCCGGGAAAGTACTATTGGCAGTGTATCCAGTGGGGTTGATGTATGCGGTGTTGGCATGGTTATGTGTGATCACATAGGAGAAAAGATAGATTAGAGGAAGTGAACCGAGACCTGCTGGATTCTCTGCGAGGACTCTGACAGTCGACAGCTTCTACATTTTACATTTTATATACTCTCCCAAATTATGATTATTTCTATTATTCTATACAAATAGACAAATGAATATGAAAAGTCCAGTAACGATATGACTGCTATTATGGGTGGAGTTGGCAATATTGGCACTCCCTGTGCGGGATGATGCAGAAGTGCTGGTGGCTGTAGTATTTGTATCATTTCCATTGCTATGATTTTTAGTTGGTGAACTAACAAATGTTGCAGAAGGTGAGCTTGATTCGGTAGAGTTTGATGCTAACGTTGGTTTAGTAGATTCTTTTAGAACAAAGTTAGACATGTTAGCCTTGGCAAATCCAACTCTTTTATTATCCAAGTCAAATGTAGTGTAGTATTCACGTAAGAATGCAGCCCCCAATACCCAATACAGAGCATTGGGTGTCCCTTGAATCTTGGAAGCACAATAACCTTCAAGACCTTGGGTGGTGTACTCGTCTCCAACAAAGGAAGACGAAGAAATGTTGAGAAGAATGCCCAGTCCCATGTCAAAAGTGACGGTGGCAGAATTACTCTCAGCACATGGGAATGCATAGTTCCCCTGTCCATCAGATACAACCAGTGATCCAAAGAGCTGAGCAAGCACGGTGTCTGAATCCTTCATGGGGAATACGATCCCGGTCGTTCCTGTATCGATGAGAGCACTTCTTTGGTATGAATTTACAAGTTGTGTTGTGGCAGACGAGTTATGCAAAAAGACATTTTCAATGCCAACTAACCAATATTGTCCCTTATTTTTTTGTAATGGCACATACTCAGTTTCTGAGCTTTGGAACTCAGGGATTTCAGATCCAAAAGAAAGGATTCCTCCAAAGTTTGATGGCACCAGAGATCTAGCTCCATCTACATCTTCAATTTGAATGTTTGTATCATTGGGTGCCAATAAGATCAGAAACTGTTGGTGTTCAATAACACCAGAGCTGTAGAGTTGGTGGATCAAATTGCTGTTCCCCGAGTAAGTAGCTGGGATCCCCACAATCCCACTGATTGCAAAATCGTCAAAAATGGAAGGGGCGTCTTGGGCCAACCCAAGCGAGTAGTTGGATAACGAGAGACCGCCACCTACACTGACCTGCAAGTTGTTGGGGGCTGGGCCCGAGGTATCCAATACGGATCCAGAAACAATGTCACCCATGTATGCCAACAGGAACTTTGAATATGAAGTAGAAGTTGACAATGGGAAGCTAAATTTTGCAATTGACGAATGAGAGCATGCACCTGAGGTACAACTCTCGTCGTATATCCATGACATGGAACTACCGGTGTCCAATAAGAGCGGGTATATGTGCTCTTCTGAGGATGAATTTGAGGTGATAGTTGTGTTGAGGTATAGGATGGATTTTGAGTTGTCGGTTGAAAGGATTACGGTTGTACCATTGAGGTCAATCACGGGCCATGATGTCAGTTCATCCTTCAGTACGGGTTCGTATGACTTAGCGACGACAGACCCGAGCTCCTGGACTTCCTTTTGATTTGTCTGTGGGTCCTGTTGTAAATCGTGTTTGCCTATGGACACGATTGTTTGAGAACGAAAATCTGTCACTGGGTAAAGCCCCACTACCAACGTGCAGCAGCATTGGAGAGCCACCAGTAAGACCACAGGTATACGCATCGTGTAGCAGGCAAACAGGAAGAGTATGTGGAGAGGCACAGAGCAAAAAGACAGCTGGGAAGGAGAAAGAAATAAGACAAATGGGTCAACGCTGGCTGGGACCCACTTAGCTTTGTAGACGCAACACGATTCTCGGTGCTAGCGAAAAAAAAATACTGGCAAAAAAAAAAAAAAAAAATCAAAAGCACGAAAACGGTCGAGGTTTATAATCTCAAACGGGAGAAATTAAACAAGGAGTCGAGACACAAAACAAGCAGAAAATAATAATAGTGGAATGGTAATGAACAGAGCGGGATTCCGGTGGACGGTGTAGCTCAAGTTTATAGACAGACTTTTAGAGGAAACAACTTGTTTTGTTTGCAGCTTTCATTCTGCATAACCTTAATATTCGTTGGTGAGTTTTTTTCCCATTGTGATGCACAGACGGTATGACGGGCTTAAGAGAATAATGTATATTTACAGAACAATCCATTTATGTGGGTAAACTTAAACGCGATATCTTGAGTCTATTACATGGCACGAAGATGAGCATCTGCGAGGCTCAAGTTCTATGCACCGACGAGAAAGATGTGTAATACGTATATACTAGTTTGGTGTCTCGAACCAACCCTTCTGTTTACCAGTTTCTTAATGCGGTAAAAAGATAACGCGAGATCTAAACATTCACGATACCGAAACATGGAAAAATATTCAAATTAAGAAAGAAAAATACAATACGCACCTAATTTATTCTCGATTGGGAATGTAGATTAAGGTTAACCATTACCCAGGGCCCCAGAGTGCGGCAGAGCAGCGCCAAGTATCAGATGCATACACAGGTGAGACCGAGTAGGGCGGTCTTGGATGATCAATAGTAGTTGGTTAGGTGTTACTTTATTTAGGCGTTTTACAATTGTCGCGAAACATGCGATTCACGTATTTTATCCGCTTATTACGTTAAGAAATGGAACCGTACATCACAATGATTGAAATAGTTGAAATTTTAACTATGAGATCGTATGATTAATGAGAATAGTGTGTTGGTGGTTACTGAAAACGAGTAGGGGAAAACTTCAGAAATAAAAAAGATCTACTGGATGTTTATTTCAGATATCGACACTTGTTAGTTTGATTGGGGAAAACCGTATGGGAGAACCATTTATGTGATCCAAGCCGATAACGTCCAATCAAAGTGACAGTTAGTTATAACGTATATCTAGTAAATATGTAGTTAATTTTCGTTGGAAATCTTTTCAACACACCCCAAGGTAAATTCATTTATTTCAAAAACATAAATACAATCTCTCGCTATCAATCACGTACATTCATTATGCCACTGCCAGTGGATTGTGTCTCATCATGGCAGATAGCTTTATTAGCTTATGGCTGCATTCAACCAGAAGAACTGCAAGGGTTGATAGTATTTTATTTAACCTGCACCCACGAGGATGGTCAGACTTTTCAAATACATATAAGATCCCAAGCACCTGAGAACGCAACCAAAGAAATAAGAAGATGAACACCAGGAGACATCTGTCCATGACCTCATTGATTCTTCTATTTCTAATTTGTTTGTCTTGGAGATACAATTCATAGGGGAAGTACAAGTAAAGCGGACTAAGAATTAATAGACACAAGAATATATACCAAATTCTGATAAGAATTTTCATTCTTAAACTTGGTTCTGGCTTTTGAGTTTCTGTTTTTGGTTCCTTAGGCATTTTTAATAATGGATTGTCACTATAATATGGCTTCTTGTGATAGAGCTAACCTTAACAAATAGATGTAAATAAGGGGGCTTGGGAATTATTGTTTTTGCAACCAAAACAGCCACGAAAAAAATTTAAAAAACACAAATACTAACACAGAGAGCAAAATCTTACTTTTAAAAAAAGAAACATTAAGAGCCTCTATGTAGTACCCCATCGTGAAGTGTAGTTTAGTTAAGAGAACGGGGGTGAGTTTGTCTATTTCAGCTTTATATATATATATATCGTTCACACAGCTTTGTTGGTGATTCTTGGTCAAAATATAGAGGGTGTAGAGTCGATGGAATAGACGGTACTTGCAATTTCAAGATAAGTTTTGAAAGTAGGTAATGTTGAAGCTTGTTGTTGGATATGAGAAACACATCTGAATTCGAATGAAAATCAGTGAACTGGTTAATTCGTTCACTAATTTAGATTTGGGATCCTAAAATCACAAAACTGATATATCGATCAAAATACCGTTGTGGAAATAGTAGTGATCGTAGTATTCATAGAGCAAGCTGTGGTAATAAAGGTACACATCCTTAATTATCCTAAATGAAGTTTAAAAATAAACTCATTTACCCTTAATATTACGGGAGGTGTATTTCATAAATTATGTACCTACATGCATAACCATGTATAACAAATAGATAGATTTAGAAATTTCATTAACTAGTAGCATATCATATTGTTTTGGTCACGAGGAATACTCTGGGAAATTGATTAATTAAATAGGGAAAGTATAGCAGAAGGAGTAATTTTAGGTACCCTAGAATAATTTGTATAAATGAACCGAAGTTGTTCCAATTTTTTTACCAAATCCCATCAAGTCACCTAAACATATTCAAAATGACTGCAATAAGTACCGAATTGCCAGTTCACACCCGTCCCGAGAAAGACAAGAAGCCCACTACGCTGCATTGGACAACCTTGGTAACTGCTTTTGCATTCGTAGATGTCGAGATTCTTTTACTAGTATTTCTTTTCAGAAATACTAATACGGAATGTAAATTTCTTATCAGAGATGGCAAGCCACTTACGCAAGAATGCAAGGATATGGGAACAGCAGAGCAAAAGGCTATGGCTGTACTTTTCCTAGTCATTCTTAATCTTTTTGGAATCATTTGGAGTTGTACTCAGGTCTTCGGACCGAAGTTTAACTGGGATGATGATAAAACTTTTGCATATTGTGTTGGGTATTGGGTCTTGTTAATTTCATCAATTCTTATATTCATTTTCCAGTGTTTAGCCATGTGTAAATTGGCTACTTGATTATTTTGCTAGTTTAACTTAATAAAACATTTCTAACCATAGTAGTTTCATTGTAGAGACTCTTGCAATTTAAACCATGGAAAGTTACTTGTATTTAAAGCTTGTAATAACAAAATTACTTGAGTTATATTAAAGTACAATACTTTCCATTGATTACCGGACTTAATGAAATCTGTCTTATTACTGGAGCTCACCAGATTCTCTCTCAGGGAATGCTGCAAAAAAAAGCCATTTTTCCTTTTTTATTTTTTCATGCGAAAAAAGGACGAACATTTAGTAATATAAGGGGTGGATCAATATGAAACTCTAGGAAAGAATTTAGTGAATAGAAAATATGATCAGAACTACTAATAAGACGTAAATTATAGCAAAAAATATACAAAAAGCACTTAAAATCACATATGCTGGCAGAAAAAAATTAATGAATTTTGAGATTTTCGATCCATATGGCATAGTCGTCGTGTACCTACTGAAGTTTGACCAGGCAAGGATGCCTGTACAGAATTCAGTATTGGAACGCGGGTTCGACTTTAGCAGAATTTAACCTTAATGATGATCAAAATGGATGTGAACAATCTCTGAGTCCACCATACGGTGGGCGTGGATTACAAAACCTGCCTTCCTACTGAGTTAAATTCTTTTTTTTTTTTTTTTTCTCGTACGCTTTATTCAATTCAGTCCAATACTATAGTCTACATGCCAATCTTACAAATAAATACATTGGAACTATTGATATATTAAACTATTTTCCACCTCTTCTTTTCTTTCTTTCCATCTTAGCAATTGCCTTAAGATCATCCTCACTTGGTTCATAAATATGCCATACTGTATAATGTGGAAGACCACCAACCTTAAATCCCATTTCTTTAGCCATTTTTCCGAATGCTTCAGTCTCTGCATGATTCATAAAGGTGAATGCAGGGAAATGAACACCTCTACGGAAAATACGGGCCTTTGCCAAAATAGAGACTCCTCCAACACCATCCAAGTCTATGACTTCATCAGGACTAGCTCTATTATCTCTAATATACGCCAAATGTACTCTCCATGTAGCATATTCTGCATACCCTTCCACAATGACATCATCTTCATCCAATGTTTTAGCTAATTCCACAGCTGCTTCTGATTCAATCCAAGAGTTCAAATCATATGGTTGTTCATTACCCAAAAACGTTGGCAATGGTCTCCAAACGTTCGGCACCATGACATCATAATCATGCTTCATTAAATCTTGAAGAACAGTTCCTGGACAGGTTTCAATGTCTACATCTCTCCAATAGACCCATGAATGATCTGGTTTCAATGCATTACTGGTGAGCCAATTTCTAGCTCTACCCATAAGCTTTCTACGAATACCTTGGACCTTGACAGCATGTCTATCAGAGAACCCTTGTCCGATTGCCTGACCGAAATCTTTCTTGAAAATTGATACAGATCTGAATGGTTGGCGGTAGTTAGCATGATATGATTCAGGGTTATTATAAGCCTTCTTTACATTGTTGACATATTCTTGATCCATGTACAACTGGAAAAGATCAGACAGACCTTTAAATTTCAGTGAATGTTTGAATTCTTCTTCTTCTCTTAACTTATCGACAAGGGTACCATTTTGTAATGCAACTGAGTATTCAAATACCGTTTCCAATGTACGATCGTTTGGAGAACAATCAGACACTAAAAATGCAATATCAATCAATGAATGATCATATGTCAAGTTCATCAAGTTATGGAATGCCATTGGTAGCACGTTTTCTGCGTTTCTTAACGGCATCAAAAAGAGAACTACATCTCCCTTTGTCAGTCCATCGGCAGACCCGGTATAGTCAGCCAAGTCATAATAATTGACTGTTTCTTTGTAGATTTCTTCGTCCGTCTTCGCTACAACTGGTTCCGTTGGGTCAATCTCTGTGATACCATCCTTGGTCACCTCAAAGGCTTGGTGTGTATCATCTGGGACTTGTAATGTAGGCTTTGTGTTATCATCTCCACCACGTGTAAAAATCCACCACAATAGTATTATTGCAACTATTCCAGCCCCAATTTTCTTCAATGGTGACGTTTGCTTAGTCTTCTTTGGATTGAATGAGTGTCTACAAGTGATGTTAGTAAAAAATCAAGAGAAAACCAAAGAAAAGTTGTTTACTTTTGAAGAGAATTTTTGATAGATAATTGCTGTGAAGTGAAGGAATGTCAAAGCGCGTTTCTTCAAAAGAAAGAATAGTAAAGAGGCTGATCTGATACTATATGCTATCATATCAAATCCCGCCAATTCTTATAACATAATTGTAAAATCCTTGATCTCTAGAGATACATTAACTTAAAACACGTATGTCATAATTAAATAGAATTCTCAAAAAAATATCCAAACTCTCCAAAATGAAATGATAATGTCCCTAGCTATACATACATCGGAAGATCCGATTTCTTTCCGTAGTCGTCCAAAACCATGATCTGTAAAGGCTATGTTTTCAATTTAATGGTATGGCCGAATGGTACAAACTTCGCCCGGAAGTGAGCAGTGGGATCAATGTGATTGTAAACGTAAACAGTTGTTCAAATCAATATCAAAAAATAATACTCGTGGATGAAATTTGAACGATCACACTGTGCGGAGTCGTGCGCCAACCCGGCCGAGTCTAATCTTTACGCGCGAAGAATGTAAGGGGAAGCTTCGTTTTCTAACCAAATATACAAAAGGGTTTTTTCTATTGTTAGAAGTATGACAAGAATGGAGAGACGTGAATTTCATTTGTATTTATAAAAACGTACAATAATTAGAATATTTTTATTTATAGTTACTGTATTAAATATTTATTTATACTACTTCTTTCAATCCATTGATTTCGGGCTTAAACCATTGGGTTTTGAGAGTGTCCCAACAATACCTTGCAAGTTCTGTTGCTCTTTCTTCACCCAAATTTGACTTTGCCTCAATGTAGACTTTTAATTTAGGTTCAGTTCCAGATCCACGACAGGTGAATCTAATCAGTTCATCTTTAGAACCGTCCTTAGGTCTCACCGTAGCCGTGATCATTTGTGATTTTGCATCAGTTGGAAGTTTTGGTTTATGACTTTTAGTAGTTGAATCGTACCCAATAGTAAGATCTCTCCAAGAAATAACCTCTAAATCACCTATATTATTTGGGAAATCACCATCAAATGACTGTCTAATATCGGTTTGGAAAATCTTTGCAGTTTTCGATAAATCATCCAATTTGTAGTACCCATTACATTCTTTAAACCATCCATATCTTTCATATCCTTCTACAAGTTTGTCAAGGGCAGATTTACCCTGGTTATTGGCAAACCATTTCTGATACAATTGTAACCAAATAGCTGATGCTGCAATTCCATCCTTATCATTCACCAGTCCAAACATGTATCCAATAGCTTCCTCGTAACCGAATGGGACTTTCCATCCTGCTTTTTTCAATTCAATGGCTCTATTCCCAATCCATTTGAATCCAGTGAGTGTATCTTCGAAATGGAATCCATGGTAATCAGCCATGGATTTAAGTACCTGCGATGAAACGGTTGAATTTACAAGATATGTCTTTTCCAAGTCATATTTCGGAGTTTGTTCAATCGTCCACATTGCGAAGAGAAACCCAATTTCATTCCCAGTAAGTTGTTTCCAAGTTCCAGTAGTGCTTGACTTAACAGCTACACTGAACCTGTCAGCGTCTGGATCGTTGGCAACTACAAGGTTACGGTTCAATTTATCGGCCTGTTGCATGGCAATATCTAATGCACCCTTTTCTTCAGGATTAGGGAAACTAACGGTTGGGAAATCCGGATCTGGATAAGCTTGCTCTAAAGCTACTGAAAATCCGTCTTTCAGATCAAAGAATTGACGGTACATCTTTGCAAAAATATCTAACCCAACCCCATGAACTGGGGTGTAAACAAACAGATAATCCAATTGACAATAAGGAGGGTTTATCAATGCTGTCATGGCATCAAGATACTTGTCATGAGCTTCCTCATGGATATTAACCAATTTCCCACTTATAATCCCATTTGTAAATTGTTCAACAATATCCCAAACACCATCCCACGGGATCAAATTATTTGAGATCGAAGTCGCTATACCATCGTCATGTGGTGGGATGATCTGACATCCGTTGCTATAGTATACTTTATATCCATTGTCTTGAGCAGGGTTATGCGAGGCAGTTACCATAACCCCAGCTGAAGCACCATAATGATTTATTGAAAATGGAACCATTGGGGTGTGTACCACACTGTCATAACTCTCACAGACGACAAACAGAGCCGATTCGGTCTTAGAAAGAGCAAGTGACTGTCTAGATAACGCAGTAATGGATCCAAGATAATAAACCTTGAACCCTCGGAGAAGCGCACAACTTGCCGTTAATTCTGCAAATCTTTGCGAATTGTGTCTATGATCATATCCAACCACAATTGAAAGGTCTTTCGAGTTTCCCACATTCTCGCAAAGGTATTGGACGAGTCCCTGGGAAGCCTGCAACACGGTCACATCATTCATATGAGCAAATCCGGCTTGCATACTTGACCGAAGGCCAGCAGTACCAAAGGCAATTCGGGTACTTAATCTCTTATCTAACTCTTCATATTGAGCCCTTTTCTGCAATTGGAAAATTTCTTCACGAGTCTCTGGGTTCACATCAATGGCAAGCCATTCCTCGACTAACAGGTCAAGGTGGGAAGTAGTTCTCATCCTTGTGTTGAGCTGGCAGATAAGAAGAATAATGATGAGTTTATCCGCGGAAATAATAAATCCCGATTCCGCGATCGATGGTTAAATAAACACCCCAGCAAATACCCCAGCCCCGTCACTACTTTTTTATTTTGAACAAATATTAGTACACAAATTTAGATTATCTTATATTATATCACATGAATTGTGTTGGTCTTTCCACATAATAATTACATGTATATACTTATATACTTATATTACAACGCCAAATATATAAAAAAAAATGCGCTACCCCCTATATTTCTAATATTTTATTTTGTACTCACTCACCTTGCTGTTTTCAGCCACTGTAATAAACTTGACAACTCCTTCTTCAAAGTCTTTAGATTGTGCCTCGGTAAGTAATTGTAACGATGATATTGGAGTCTTTAAATCTGTAGTGAATTCCAGGTTACTCCATTTCTTACCCTTTTTCAAATATCTATGTAATTGTAAATTATGTTGTCCGTCAACTGTCACCACAATGGATGATGATGGATCGATTATAAAGTCAACAAATGGAGTCTCTGAATCGATGGTGTGTACGACAACACCCTTTCTTAAATCTACCACTTCAAGTGCTGATTTTGGAGATTCTTCAGTGGTATGTGAAAGAACCAACAACCAATACCCATTCCCAGCAAACTTGAGTTGATTTATATGATTGAATTTTGTTTGTACGGTAGAAATGGAATTTCCAGTGGTAAGGTCATATATATTCACTTGTCCATTGGTTGTACCGGTTGCCACTAAGGCACCGTCTACATGGATATCACCAGCAGTAATTGCTGAAGATAACGGGGTGGATACAAAGAGTGATTTCAATTGTGATACATCATTCAATGACCATGAACCATCTTTAGAAAACAGCACAAAGAGGTGATGTAATGAAGGATGGGTAATTAATTTAATAATTTCATCTTGATGATGAGATGGGAATGACTCCTTCATTTCACCAAGTTTGGCTTCTTTACTGTGATCAGAAATAATTGGAACGTATTCTTCTTCAACCTTTACATAACAAATGGATGTAATTTCTTGACCAGAACTCTTGAAAATTTTTTCAACTTTATTCTCTTTATCTATCTTAGCCATTACTCCAGTAGGTGAACCCACCAAGATCCATTCATCAACATTTTTCACAATATTAGAACATGATGATTTTTTGAATGGATGTGCTACATTAGCGGAAAGAAGTTCCACCGATACTTCTTGATCAACTGGAATGGTTAATGTAGGTTTCTGTGATTTATGCAATTGGAATAATTGGTCTCTAGCAGAATTAATTTCTTCTACAGGTATAATTCCAGTAGGTTTTTGTTCTTCCCCATTAGATTTAGCTCCTCCTTCAACTTCATCATTTTCCATTTCAACATCATCTGCACCGCTGGTTCCAATGGAAATAGATAATGCTTGTAAAGCTTGTCTGGCTTCATCTCTTTCCTTGACTAAACGGGAAGCCACTCTAACGGCAGCATCCTGATGATATAATGCAGCACTTAATTCCTCTCTTGACTTGTGGAGTTGTTTTCTCAAGGAGAATACTTCCAAGGCCAAGGCATCCCACTCATTCTGGAATGTAGATAATAATGAAGGGATGGAATTGAAAGTTGGTGGTTTAGGTGGTACTATTTGATTAGAAGAATCAATGGCATTTCCATCATTTATTTGTACCAAATCTTCAACACTCAATGGTTCATCGGTCAAGGGATCGGTACCACTGGCTACAATATATCGTTCAATAAGAGACTTCTCGAATATAGCTCCACTTCTAGGTGAGACTACGGGCTCCTTGGCAACTTCTCCAGAAACTATATTGGTTAGTATGGTGGGACTCATGGATGGGATAAACAATGAAATACCAAGGGATGACATTAATTGATTTTTATTATACTTTTCAAGTCATTTTGGATACTGTCAGTCTCGCTTTTCAAGACCAAACTTCTTATACATACGTGAACAAATCATTTGGAATCCTACTTTATTAACTATATGGTGTATCTATGGCTGTACCAGTTAATACATAAACAAATCTAAGATGTATGAGGTTTGGGCACGACCTCCAGAGAAGGTTAGTCTTTTTTTTTTTCTAATCTTTTTCTCTTTTTTTTTTGTGCTCTCTTGAGGATGGTTGCAAAATGAACAAAGGATTGAGGTAAGTCTTTACAATTACGATAAAAGATAATAATATTGAATTATATATAGAATTATATATTGAAGAATAATGATAAATATCGCTAAAGAATTGAAAATTAAAGAACACATTGTAGAAGTGAATATTGTGTGTTGTAAGTATGCATGGAGTTGGTGTTCTGATGATGATGAAGATGATTCTAGTGAGACTCAGATGAATGAGATGTTAATGATGATGCTCATCTTCATGTTCATGTTCAAGCTTTTCATCATCCGAGGAAGAAGATTCTTCATGGTGATGAACAGTTCTGAATCTATGTCTGTTGGTGGCGAAAAGACCACAACAATGTCCCAAAAGTGAGAAAATAATCACGAGCCAAGCAGCAGCTGCAGAAGACCAAGTGTACGCATAGAAAGATATAGAAAGGAAAGATTTGACCCCATAATCTTTAACATTGTCATTAACTTGGCTTCTAACATAGAGGTATAACCCAGTACTAAGACCAGATGCAACCACTGCTAAAACGAAAATAAGACATTGGAAAAGAAAGTTGAGGAAGGAAAGACAACAATGATCTGGTGAAAGAACACAACCAAGAAGTTGAATGATGATGGAGATAAAAGAAAGAACCACCACAGCAACAAGAATGGCAAATAATGCCTTTGTTGAACTCTGCATACTCTTGAGGTTTTTCTCCAAATCACCTGGTAAGTTCAAATTTTCGTAAGAAACATTATCTCTAATTGCTGTTAACGCTGCCTTTTTGTTAACATCCGTCTTTGGATCATCAATGGTGTTATTGAGTTCCTGCTTGAGGACGGTCAATGGATCAAAGAAAAATGCTGGCTTGGCCTTGGTACAGTTGGTGTAGGTAACATTAGAGTTGTCATAAGTCTGACCAATGGACTCCTGGTTACCAATAGTTCCTCTACAGTACCCCCAAAGAGAAATGGAGTATACATCTGCCAATCCCAAGTCTTTGTAAGTCAGAGAGGAGGAAAATCTTTGTACAATCTGTCCAACGTTTCCTAAATTACTTGGGATTGCAGAACTAGAAGAAGAACCCAGGTTTATGGTGTTTGTAGCAGAAGTGTATGTATTTGCTCCAGCAGTGGTAGTATATCCGGTAGGAATAGCATTTGTAGTTGCAGCTACAGCAACACCAGTGGCAGCATTGGTAGCGGCATCTGGATTAGCTGCGACCGGTGTGTCAGCAGCAGTGGCTTGTGCGGTAGTGGGAGTAGAACATGATTTAAGATTCTCACCATATGCTCCACTATTTCCATAGTAACAATTGCCCATATAAAGACCATTGTCTCTTTTTTTAAAATCATTTGCTTGGAACAATTGTCCCAACTTAAGCTGTGTAGGTTGGAAGTTAATAAGATATGCCTTAGTTAACCAAGTCTGGTCCTGGTAAGACCCGACCAAGGCAAGTGCAGCAAGGATACATGTTGCTATTGACAATAAGATCAATATGAATCTAAAGAATTTGAACATCATTTTGGAAATGGGGTAGCTGTTTTTGAGTTGTAATCAATTTTTTTTTCTGTCGCTTAATGGGGTATTAATCTCCTTCTGGGTATCGTATTTATGTCTCCTGGTGGCTTAACGAACCCTTTTCTCCTTGTGTAGCCCCAATAACTCTTGTTGAGAAAAAAACAAATCCATCCTTTCCAAGGGGGAAGAATCCCACCATATATACCTTCCTTGCGCAGCCATGTGACGGGGGCGGCCCACGCATTCCCCTGGATAATAAATTATAGTCAATTTAGCTTATCATCTGCAGTGCACGCTGGTGCACCTTGACAACCATGGAGTCGGTTGCATATCCAATGATGATTCATGCAGGCTTGACACAATGACTTCTGTGGCACGTGATGCATAGATGGCTGGTGCAGCTTCAAATTTGAGGCTTTTTTCACAAAACCCATGGCGGTAAAACCGGGGAAGAAGAATGTTTCATTTTAGAATATAGCGCCCTAGTTAACAAAGGCTAGAAAGTTAATGAATCTATTTAGAGTAAAATTGGTCAATTTTGGATATTCACCTTTCACTATCGTGAACTTGGGTTTACAATAAAACAATTTGTTTGTCACTGTTTGAGGTCTTTTGTGTGGAATATTTTTTTCACATCATTTTCGCACTCATGCTGGTCGTACCTGAAAATGGATCTGTACAGCTTCATAAGTGGCTGGTATACAGGGTTGTGAAGTAGATCAATGCTGGCTTTATCCCGATTCATATATAGCTCGTACTAACGCTCATCCTCGTCAAGGGGAAACCACCGTACATTCATGGGGTAACATTGCTGATCTTCCAATCATAGTTAGCCGGATCGACTCGGCTCCTGATGTAGAGAGAGAAGAATGTCGTGTTGCTATGAAGAAATATTAAATTGCGGTAATTACTCTCATTCTAATTCTTTGTCTACATGGTAACCCCTTCATTGTATGGTAATTTACTCTACTACTAACTCATTGTATGGTAATAATTTACTTTAATGGCTATAATACATACTATACAGTCTCCTCCAAGTCGTCAAACCCATCCAAGAGTTCCTGTTCAAGCTCGTCTAAATCAACTTCTTCCTCTTCTTCTTCTTCTTCCACTTTCTTTGTTTCTTCCTTGTCTTGCTTTTGACGCTTTGTAGATGACTCAATTTCATCTTCACTATCTGATAAAGTTCTCTTCAGTATCCCATTTCTCTTTTCTTCTCCTTCAAATGCCTCGTCTCTGATCGGGGTTTCAACAACTCTCTCTATTCCACCTTCGTTATTCTCATCTTCCTCCATCTTATCATCATCTTCATCTACTTCATCATCATCTTCGTCATCCTCGTCGTCATCGTCGTCACTGGTTCCCGCTAAAAAGTCATCTACTTCGGCGTCAACTCCATCCAAAGAATAATCCACAGATATTCCAAATCCGTCATCAACCTCTTGATTCTCTCTATGTTTAGCTAACACATCTTGATACTTCTTTATATCTCTTGGATTAACCTTCCAATCTTCATCGTTGGAATCAATCAAATATTCCGTCTCATCGACTTTACTCCAGCTACTCAAACATGCAAAGAGCCAGTCTGGATTAACAATCTTAACATTGGGGATAAGTTTCTTAGCAACACGAACCTTGAATGTTGGACCAACATTGTAATTCTTAGTTCTATTATCACGACAAACAACGTGAGTAACTTCGGGGAAAACTTCACTCACCACTTTAACTCCAAATTGTCTACACCATATCACAATATCTGCACGATCAAGATTGATGCCAAGTGGTAAAATCCCAGAAAATAACACAACAACTCCTTCTAAACATTTATGTTTCAATGCAGGGATAATCAGAGTCAAATCTGGTTTAAGGTTTAAGTTCTCCAGTTCATTCTTTTCAAGAATTTCATAATACTTGCTATGGATTTTTTTCAATGCATTTTCAAGTGAATAAAGTTCTGTATCATCATCATACAAGAGATTTTCATCTCTAGTTTCATTGGCTTCATCGTTAGATGCCTCAGAATTGTCCTCATCATTCTTGATTCCGTCAGGGTGTTGTATTTTCTCCAAATCATGTTGTAACTTGGCCAATGGTCTATCGTGTTGTTGTTGTTCAATTGCATTGCTTCTGGTGAGTGATTGTTCCAATAATAAGTTGGCATTATCTTCTCCACCTCCAAGTTCAAGAATTCTATCCACAGGAGAGTGAGAGTCTGTTTCATTCTCCTCTTCATCTTCTTTCTTAGGATCATTGCCTTCTCCAGTCTTTTCTTCACCTCCTTCTTCCTCCAATTTTTTCTTTTGCTTTAATTTTTCCTCTTCTTCTAATTTTTCCTCCTCCATTCTTTCCAACTTGGCAATTGATTTTCTCTTCTTGGTTGGCCCCATGATTTGTCCATTCTTCTTGGGTAAGAAACTAGAGTTGATATCTCCAATCCCTACAAAGAAATCATATGGAACAACCTTAACCAAATTACTTTCCCATTTCCAAACATCTCCTCTATCATCAATAATAGCCACCATAGACTGATCTACCGGGAATAATCTCTTCAAATTCTTGTGAGTAAGTGATCCACTCTCATCTCTACTCAAGATTCTATCTCCAAAATATTCCTCTGTAGGGTCAATGATATGAGCAATGGCTAATGCATAGTTTCTTGTAGCCATAGTATAAATATGTAATTCATACAATTTGGAAATCTCTTGTAAGAATTTTTGTAATCCAGGTCTTAATTTGACATAATACCAACATTTTGTAGGGGCAAACTTTGGTCCTGTCCATCCTGGAGGCATGATTGGTTCTTCTTCCAAACAGAAGGATTGAACATCCTTCACTGATTGATAGTTTGGGTTTTCTGGGTCTCTTTGCCATTCCCCAACCGTTGGGTCTACTGTGGCATGAATCACTGTTTGATCTAAATCAACCACTAAAATTAATTTCTTATCATTACTTAATTGATCAGTGGTGTTTTGTTCAATCTTGGCTGCCTCATCAAAACTAATCTTAAGCCCAGTGTTGTCATGTGACATCTCAATCTGAGCTCTATCTTCATAACTGTATCCAGTATAATCCTTCTCATCTTCAACTGCCTTACCACAAAGTGCACATAATCCTCCATATTGAACCGCATGATCGCATGCTTCCTTGATTGAAAGTACTTCGATTGCTCCATGCGCAACCTCCTCCCCTACATTCACGTGTATCTCCAGCACTTCCCCTTCAATGGGGCTCTCATAAGTACCAATCCTCTCTACACGAATCTTTGTAGGTGGGTCTTCTTTGGAATTAGGGTCATCTTGATAATCCCAATATTTGTACGTAAACAATGGCTTATGTTTCGCAATTGTTTGCCCCGGACGACAAACAACTGACGAAACCGTCACCGGGAAGGGCACGTACTGCGGGAGCTTTATGCCTGTGATTTGAGTCATCTATTCGTTACTAACGAACAACAAATTTATCAATCTCTTTCAATTTAAAAATACAAGAAAAATTTTGGCGTATCCCTGTACTTCCAGTTTGAACAAATTTGGGTATATGTCTCTTAAAAAGCTATCGGCGTTCGTCCGATACTATATATGTGTATTATCTAGAGACCTGTATGCGGTTTCAAAAGTCCCTGTATACTTAGCAATCTCCTATGGCAATTAATTGTTTAGTAGTTTGTTTTGTCTGCTTTTGTATGCACCTTTATTATTATTAGTACGATTTCCACAATTTTTTTTTTTTTTTTTTTTTTTGTCCTTAATATTATTTTGTTTTTCTTACTGTCCGGGCAATCTACCCTTTATTTTTTATCCTCCCCTGCTACAATTGATCAATCTAGGTTTATTCAATTTGCTTCTCGACTGTTGGTGGGTTTGCTCTTAGCTCTCCATATATATATAGACAGACTCGGTCACCATTTATGTAGTTATATTCCCCTTTCTTTTTTTTTGGCCCTCTTGTTTACCCCGGAATGGGGCTCCATCTCGCTTAAAGTCCGCATTATTTCTTCTCAACACTTTGTATGCCATTCTCCTCGCTAGAGGAGCTAGGCCACCACGGAGTGCCAGCGGAGCGGCTTACAGCCCCGCAGGAGATGGAGTAACAATACCCTACGGGGTCAGTGAAACGCTCCGCTGGCACTCCGAGGGCCACTAGCCGTGGTGGCCCTTGTTCCTCTAACGAGGTGTTACACTCTACTTGTTTGTTTCTCTTTTGTCATTATTGGCATTAATATACATACTATACATCTTCAAAATCATCTTCATCTGAACTTGCATCTTCTATAGGAGCTGGGGTTTGGGTTGTTTGAGCACTATCAATCTCCACACTTCCCTCTACACCCGTGGTTTCTTTACTCATTTCTTGTTCTAATTCACCCTCTTCGAATGCAACATCGTCAAACATATCGTCATCATCCTCGTCATCATCCCCTTCAGCCTCAACTTCCGCCACGGGCGTGGCTTGTGTAGTACTGGGCACTTCAGAATTTCCGTCTTCACTCAATTTCTCAGATTCTATTGGTTCCTTAGTCAGTTCCTTGCTGGATGGAGCATCTCCTATCGTCGGGAAATCAAATTCTGGGAAATCAACCATCTCCTTCTCACTATCATCATCGTCGTCATCTTCATCCAGATGACTCATCTTCCCGAAATTAAATCCAAATTCAACTTCTTCAAGGGCATTCTGCTTTTCAAGTTCAAGTTCACGTTCTTTTTTAGCCTTCATTATTTTTTCAATCTTTCTTCTTTTCTTCTTTTCGGCACTTCTAACGGAAAGAATTACCGATTTGAATTCTTCACTTAAAATCCCTCGATACTTATTTTCAATTTCTGGTGTAATTTGCTCTTTGGCATATGGAGAGAAATAATTCTCAGCTTGAATGAAAACGTTTTCTTCGCGTAATTTGGCCTTTGCAATGAGCTCTTGTTCTTTCTTTTGTTTAAGTAAAAGTCTCTTCTTTGCATATGCCTCAATATCAAACTTAACAATTGGAATTGGTGTTGATTTAACATTTCCTTCATTTGATTTTTCTGTCGCCACTTCCCCTTCTATTTTCCCCTCTCCTTCTCCTTCTCCTACTTCCTTCTTAACTTGTGTTTCTTCAACCTTATCCTCTTTCTTAGATTCATCTTTATTCTCAATACCACTTGGGTCAGTCTCCATTGGAGTCTCGACTTTCCCTACATCACTCATGATACTTTCTTCATCTCCACTATCTCCATCTTCTTCGTCTTCCTCTCTAGCACCATGCGATAATTCCCTCTCAAAGTTCTTCTTCCATTTACTCTCATCATCATCAATAAGATTATACAAGGATTTCTCTGTCAATCGAGTCTCTTCAATGAGTTTCAACCTCATTTCCTTCAAATCTGTCAATCTCTCCATATATTTAGGTGTCTTCTGATAAGTATAATCAGGTGGTAAATCTGGCAAGTACACAGGAATGTAATTTGGACGATGCGATTGCTTGGGAACTAATTCAGTAATATCATAATGTTCATTGGAAAAGAAAAACCGTACTGAAGGATCCAGATAATCATTAACATCATGACTTTCATGAGTCACTTTAGCCTCATCTTCCAACTTGGAAATCTCCTGTTTGCCATCAAATGACTTCAGTTTGGTATACTCTTTGAATAAACTTTCAGGTGAAATCCGTTTCATCTTAAGTACAAGTTCAATATCACTCTTGGATGGTTTCCTACGTCTTTGCATTTCAGTGTACTTATGCATCAACTTGATCAAGTCATGGAAATAAGTTGAGGTCAAATCTGCAACTTGTAAGAGAAAGTCTTCCGTACATTCAAATCCTTTCTTTTGGAAAATAATCACCACAATTTTGAAAAGTAACAATTCTATTGGTGAAGTTTGGTCTAACAGAGGTACTGGTTTGTTCAAAAGATTTTGGGTTGCATTCGAAAGTCTTCTTTCCTTGAATGGGATATATGGGACACTTGGAACTACAATTGGAGGCATTGTAGGAGTTGATGTCATTTGTGAAGAGAATCCTGGAGTCATTGATCCTGTCATCATGGATGGTGCTATTGATGTGTTTGTTCTGGTTGGACCATATTGAGACATGTATGATGGGCCAGTCGTTGCTGAAGTAGTAGTGAATGTATTTGGGATATGCGAAGGTGTATTTTCTATTTTAATTGATGAGTTGGTTCCAGTTGGGATATTGGTTGGAATGTTGGTGGGAATGTGAGTTGGAGCACTTGATTGAGGGTTGATTGAAGCACTAGTTTGGGCAGTCGCTGGTCCATTGGCTGGTACATTTTCTGGAATGTTTGATCCAATGGTTGGTCCGGTGGTTGAAACACTTATGGGGACACTTGTTGAAGCACCACCAGCTGGGCCACTTTTTGGATCGATGGTTGGTCTGCTGGTTAAATCACCGGCTGGTATACCAGATTTAACAGATACTGGTCCATCCGTTTGAATTGTCGTCGTTCCACTATTTGGACCACCAGGTGGTGATATAGATGCCAGATTTGATGCAGATCCTACTGACACTGGTAGTCCTGTTCTACCACCCATGGAATTATCCGGTACTGTACCTACTGGTGGTGCTGAACTTTCCTTCAGATTATCTACATTTACTTGTCCTTGTTGAGAATCTTTAGCCTTCTCCGTCATTACAACATTTTGTGTCTCATTTGTTACCCCTTCCTTCTTCACCACTACATCACTGGACGATTTCACAACATTTTCTGTCTCGTCATCAATCTCTATCACTTCAGGGAGTTTCACTTCAGCCCCTATATTCTTCTCCTCAGATATATCCTCTTTCTTAATATCATCTGTTTTGTTCACCTCGACACGCGGAGTCTCATTCAATGAGGTCTCATCTTGCAGTATCAATCGAGAAGAATCCTTCGTTGTATCAGCCGGTAGACCCGGTCCATTTCCTCCGGTATCCATGTTTCCAATCAATACAAACCTCAGGTATTCCTTGTTTGTATATCAATACAAAAGATAGTAATATTTAATCGTTTTGGATACTAATCGATAATACTATATTGGTATTGGTAAAGGCACTACTCTAGAATCCATGTTTTTTTTTAAAAAAAAAAAAGTTTCTGGTTTTGTGCTTCAAGTTATCCTAATTTGTGTAAATTTTGATTTTTGCAACCATTTTGCCAGAGCTTAAGTATAGGAGAGAGATGGGATTGAAAGCATTACTGAATTCAATGAAAAGAGTGTTAATACTACGGTGTTGAAACTTTGAAGACTGAATTATTTTAGATTAACAACTTTTATTTAATCGTTTTGATCACTATAGGGGATGTTTTATTAGATGTAAAATATATAAATGAAAATAAACCAAGTCTTGTTAGAAAAATGCAAGTGATGGAAGGATTTCAATCCCAAAATTATGAACGAAATTGGTACTATGGAGAAACATCTGTATCTAATGTTTAAAAATTCGGACAATAGTGAAATGTTAAAATGCGAGTTCTTAAGTAGTAACGTGTATTTTGATTTGTGTACTAGTTTCCTATTTAATTAAAATTGGTTGTTGCATGGTTTTGCATCCATGCAACATAATAAGTGTTAAAAGACATCTGCCCATGCTTAAAAAGATGCATCTAGTTCATTAAATCTTTGCAAATCAAATCCAAAAAATACCCTTCTCAACCTTCTTGCCAAATACAAACACCCGAATGTAACAATCAATCACCATTGAAGTCATTGATGCAGCTGCAACAATCAATATACAGTCCAAAACAAGAAGTACAACCCATAAAGAGCCATAAAAATCTGAAGTGAACATTATTGGAACTAGACAAAAGTGCATGAGAGTCAACACTAAAACGGAATGTTTTAAAACCATAATTGCAGCTTCTATTTGCCAACTTCTCCCGTCATGACACATATACATATCTTCTTTTGAGTTAGCATTCAAAGAGCAAAATTAACATGTCGTCATACTTTAAGAGGAATATCTGTACCCCTATAACAAAGATGTGGAATACAATGAGCAGCCTTGCGAAATTTCTCAGGATTTCTTTCTCTCTCTCTATCTGCTCTTCTTGAACCATTTCACCCATTATACTTGAGACAAGTCTTACACAAAACTATGCTAGGAGGTTCGGAGCTGGTGTTTAAGTCCAAACAACGCGGAACTAAAGTTTCCTTTAAAGTATACACATCATTAATGTCCCCCCTTTTCCTCCCATATTCATTTCGGGATCTAACACTTCCCTATTTCGTCAGTTACTATTATACCAATTTTTCCTTTCCACATACTGAAATTCACAATTTATCAAGAATTTACGGCAAAGGTCATAATATAATTACCTTTACTACTCTCTCGACAGTTAAAGTGTCTCTTCCTGAAAAGTGTTTGTCCTGCACCAGTTGATAAGGGTTGGTTGCACGTGAAACATGGCACCACAGACCCAAGCCGCTTCATCTACAAATACCCTTCTATATGTATATTCTATGATTACCTTTCTTAGTTATTCTAGCGATTTATATTTTTCGAGCTCAGTGGCATGGTAGATTACATACATGATAGGGTTTCGTAAGGTGGAATAATTGTGTAAAGAAAGGTAATCATGTCTTGAATTGGAAAAAATGAGAGCATTGGCAAATCCGAAAACAGCTTTTGGAATTACTTAAATATTGCCAAAGGCAATAAAGGCAATATTTACGCAATAAGCTGCTGCTGTACGTATAGAGCCAAAATATATTGCCATGATTATCACCCACGTAATTACTTCTAGGTCTTAATCAGTCATATGTTCGTCGTTAAAGCTAATTTCCAGACAAAAAAGTGAAATGGCAGTTACGATTCTAGATATTTCAAGATAATAGAGGTATTTATCATACTCCGAGAGGCCCAGACCACAAAGAATGCAACAAACTATGAAATTAATGGAAAGTAAAACACAGAGCCAAAAACAAATACGAAAGGCGATCTACTTCTCCCACATTAAGATGAATCGGGCTCCTTCTATATTTTGTAAAAAGTAAAATTTGTAGCCCACTTCTACTCGTTTCCAGAAAGAAAGAGAAATAGGTACATGGCTTGGGTTTACATCTTCAACAGCCACTTTATCTGTTCCACCATCTACGGTTGCGAGATATTTCTGCTCTGAGGTAGTTAAGGGTTCACCTATGCGACGAGAACGTGTCTAGTATTCTTTTTCATTTGTCGTTGTGTTTGTTTGAATACACAATTCTCAGACCGCTAATAATTCCCTCGAAGAACATAAAATTCTTTGTAGTCTCTCTGTATTCAATTATTGTATGCACCAGTTTCCTAATTCTATTCCCACTGATATTGTATATAGTAGAAAGTATATCAAGGGTTTTAGATAGATCTCACTTGCAGTAACTTCCTCTTCAGAGGTACAAAGGTCACCAATAGCAAACTCTTGCCTGAACACTCTTCTTAAAAATGCATCATGGCATGGTCTTAATTTTTGTTTGAAAAGTTAGTCGTCAGCCGATTAACGAATGTGACTTTGGTATGCCCAATGGTGAAGGGTGTCGTAAATATCTATCCGTAGCGCACCTATTCTAGAATGAATATCTCTCAGTATAGAATCCTACACTAAATCATTCTTTCTAATCTTATTTATTAAATCACTAGCATAATATCAAGTTTCCTAGTTCTTTGGAGATCATCAAATGTTGGATAACAAATGTTCAATAGCTCCTTGTACACTTCCTCCGGTTCTTCTCAAGGCCTCTACGTTTCTATCAAAGTCAAAGAACCCCATATCGTTGAGCTGTCTGAGCTGGTTCTCATAACGCTCTTCTGGTGGTCTGTTGTCGGCCGGAGCTGCAGCTGCAGCTGGGGCACCACCAAATCCACCAGCTCCGCCCAAAAGACCAGCAAGGTCCATTGGTGGCATTCCACCGGGGAACATAGAAGCAAATGGGTTGGCAGCTCCAGCTCCAGCACCAGCACCAGCTCCAGCTCCGGTAGCTGCATCAGCGTCTGAATCTTGGCCAGTGGCATTACCAGGGGCTGGGAAAGCAGGGGCATCACCTCCAGCGGCACCACCAAACCCTCTATTCATTTCCATCATGGAGCGCATCATTTCAGGGTTGGTCATCATTTGTCTGAAGAATGGAGTTTGCATCATTTGCCTCACTTGAGGGCCCATGGCTCTCAATTGTGGAGATTGGTTGATCATGTACTCGAGCATCTGAGGATTGGACAACATCAGGTTCATCTGTTCTTGAACAAGTGGGTTAGACATCATTTGGGAGAGTTGTTCTGGGTCAGGGATATTTTGGTTCATGCCTCCGTCAGGTCCAAACATCGAGGAGGAAGGAAGTTGTGCGTATCCGGCATAGCGAGCTCCGGTCAAGTCCGCAAGTGGGTTGAACAGACCTTGACCAGCAGCAAGACTGGAAGGAATACCAGCAGTGGAAGCAGAATTGCTGGTGGCGGCAGTGGCGGCGTTGGAGGATCCTGTGGTTTCTGCACTGGAGGCACCAGTAGTAGCAGCATTTGCTGAAGGTTTGGTTCCAGCACTCTTCACCAAATGGATGGTGTGACCGCTCTGCACCTTGTAAGAGGCAACGGTCTCTGTGTCCTTCAAAACCTTACCGGAATAGATGAGTCTTTGGCGATCGGCTGGGATCGACGACTTGTCGGCAATCTCAGTCTTCAATTCCAACACGGTTATCGTGGGGGAAACAGTAACCTCGTACTTGGTGTCTCCTGACGACTTGATGGTGATGGTGATCTGGTCAGACATGGTTGTTTTAATGTTCTCAATGGATTTATTCTTGTCTGTTGTACTGAGAAAAGGGATCTTCGATACTTTTGAACTGTAAAGGGCTGTTGCCGCTCAAATCAATCACTTTGTGCAATTTGCGACACATTTGGAAGATTCGAGAATGTAGACACACAAAAGTGCGGAGATACTGATTACGGGTAGATTATGTGAAGGACCATAACAACTTCGACCCGGAGAAATTAATAAAAGAGTGGTATTGTAGGTATTCATTCGGATATTTTAGGGGGTTGAGGAATCTCCCCATCCCCCAGTATTGCTGTAAACCTCTTTCTCTGGAATTATTTAATCAATAAGCTGCTGGGGGGGCGTCCCCACTATTACTATTACCGAGACAGTGGCTGCAAGAAATCGCGGAGTTCGCAATCCCACGGGGGAATGAAAAGACCACCCTACGGGGTGTACAAGCTGCTCCGCTGGAACTCCGTGGGCCACTAGCCGTGGGGGCTTTCTTCTTCTTACGATGAAGGGTCTGCCTACAAGAGGACTCCTCGTAGAGGAGCTAGGCACCACGCAGTGGCTCTCCCCGAGCAGGGGCCCAGCGGAGCGTCTGATGCGGAGGTGGTCCCTACGGGGTTAGCGAGCCGCTCCGCTGGCACTCCGTGACCCACTAACCGTGGGGGGCCCTTTTCTTCTCCCGAAGAATCATCTCCTACAGTTTCAAAGTAAAGAAAAAAGGTGTATATTCTAATTATTTAGTCCAAAATCTCGCAACTTGTACACTCCAGGTGTACCAATTCGTGCAACGATTAAATCATGAAGTACTAACGATTTTATGAATTTACTGTTTTCAATTGTGGTACTTAATTTCACCCATTTATCTTGTTCGTTCTTGGTGGACCGTGACTTCATTAATGATCCTACAAACTCCGCCAAGACATCCTCGTCATTCTTACCATTATAATGTTCTTGACAGATATACTGCACATATTCTGTCACTTGTCCCTCATACTCCAATAACTCTCTCAAGGTATCTTCTCCGATTTGAATCTTTTTCTCAATATATTCTGTTTGATTGTCAGTATCCTTAATCTCGGTAACTTCATCATCTATCCTATACAATTTAGTTTTTTGTTGTTTGATTTCTTCTTCTAATAATTCTCCAAATTTAGAAAATTCGTCTAATACTTTTTTATTATTACTCAATGCCTCCCTTGTTTGTTCTTGTTGTTGTTTATAATGTTTAGCAACTTCCTTATGTTCATCCACTAACGAGTTTAACACGGTCGAAGTGGTGGCAGTGCCTATAGAATCGTTTTTATCGGGGAAATAAGTTAATGTTTTATATGATTCATAAAGGGCAATTATCTCAATTTTTAAATCAAGGATACCCCCTTCAAAATTTGATTCTTCAATATCAAGTTTATTTTCTCCTCCATTTAATAAATTTTCTATGGCTATATCTGCTTGTTTGAGAAATGTTTCAGTTCTGGATATATCTCGTAATAATCTTTGTTCATAGGCTAGATCTGTAGGGTCAGGCACTGCGGGTACCGCAAGTACTTCAGGTGTGTCCAGAGGTTCAGATTGAGATTCAACTTGAGATTCAACCTGTGGTTCAACTTGTGGTTCAACTTCCTCGGGTACAATCTCCCCAATCACTTGTTCCTGTTCCTGTTCCTGTTCCAGTTGTTCCTGCTCCTCCATTTCTTTCTCCCTCCCCTGCTCTTGTCTATCATGCTCAGCATCACTACTGGCCTCCTCATCTACAAAAAGTCCATTCTTCATCTCAATATCAATCTCTACTCAATCTATCCTTACTACTAAATTGTTCTCTATCTTCTATGTTATGATCTTCTGCCCCTGGTCATGTGACCCAACTTTCACATTCTCAATTTTTTTTTTTTTTTTGGCTTTTCAATCATTTTCAAAATTTTGGTCTCTTTTGTAAATTTTGCTCTTGTCTTCAACAACAACAATCCATCCTTAAAATGTCCACTATTTCCCAAACTGCCTTACAAAACCTCGATGAACCTTCTAGAAAGGAAATCATGCAATTCATAGAGTCTGAAAACTCAAAGTCAAAGGTTCAAATGTCCATCCATAGTTTCACCGACATGTGTTTCAAGAAATGTAACGCCAACAAGCCAATCAATAGCGGAGTCTTGGATGCCTCTGAAGAACTGTGCTTGACCAACTGTTTGAACAGATTCTTGGACACAAACATCAAGGTTGTTCAAGCCTTACAAGGTGCTCAAAAATAGAGTCGTGGAGGTGATTTTATTTATTATATAGAACGGGTTCGAATTTCTTGTATATACACGAAGGCAATGATTATTGTAAGGTTTATTGTAGGTATTCTTTATGAGATGTAGATGAAGAGCTTGTATGTGGGCTAGCAAAAGGTATTGGGCAGTTAATCTGTGAGTTTGCGTTCCGGTGGGATTCACTATTGAGAATCTTCTGGAAGATCTTGTCTAAGGATCGTTTGCCCAATCGTTAGACTGATCTGAACTGACTGACTGATCTTTGAGTTGGTATGGTGCAGTATAATTGACCTTCTAGAGCCCCTATGGCTAGTAGCCCTCGGAGTGCCAGTGGAGCGGCCCGCTAACCCTGTAGGGAGGAGAGTAGAACTACTCCAAGAGATCGCTGAGACGCCCCGTTAGGCCCCTTCTCGGGGCGAGCCACTGTGTGGTGCCTAGCTCCTCTACGAGAAGATCTTTTGGTGTGTGGTTCCTCGCTAGAGGAAGAGGGCCCCCACGGCTAGTGGCCCACGGAGTGCTAGCAGAGAAGCTTGAATACCCCATAGGGTGGTCCTACTCCCTTCCCTGATTTAGGAATCCTATCAACTTTACCCCTAAAATAGGTATGATACCTCTCAGTCTGCTTCCTCATGAGATGAATGGGAACGCCTCCAGTACCTGGTGACCCACGGAATGCCTATGCAGTCACCCCTTTCGTCTCACAGTATGGTCCATCCACCTCCCAATGGGGCTATGTGTGGCTCCTATCTCACTTGGACCTTTTCCCTAAATATCCCTTCGAGATCTCTATTATCCTCACATATCATTGTAATATCCTTTTCAAGATCAACTTTGGTCTTGGTTGCAAAATTTCTTAAAGTTTGTAAATTCTGTCTAATGGTCTCTATCACCTCCTCCTGCTTTGCTTCATCTCTCCTTATTCTCTTGTAAACAATGGACCAGACCCCAAGGAAATCGTATCTATACTCCACGATCAATTTTAATCCTTCCAAATCTTCATGGGATACAACGGTGGCGATTTCTTCAAAGACCACGGTTTGGATTTCCAAACATAATTGTAAGATATCCTCCACAGACTCGGCACCTTTGTCAAAAAGTGTGGGGTCAACCATCACTTGGTTAATGGTAAATAGCACTCTAGAAAGGGTGGCCAACACTTGATAACCTAAATGTTCACTAATAATATTTTTCAATTGTTCGATTAGGAGACAGAGAAGTTTAGAGTCTCCACCACGAATCCTTTGGATTGAGGCAAGAATATTCTCATTAACCACAGTGATGAACGGGGTGATTGATGATGACTCAGAGATAGTGCCAGAATTAATCTTCAACTCTGTCAATGATAAAACTACTGGGTATGCTCTTTCTAAAATATAGTAGGAAGTATCTTCCGGGGTAAGTGTCGGCAAGTAAGAAAGACAAACCTTTGTGGCATCGATGAAAAGATCTAAAAGACCACTCTTGATAAGGATTTGCTTCCCCAGAGACGACATGATCAAGGTGTCTAGAATCTCACATCCTTGTGCCTTGATAAATGCATTGTGGTCTTCCAACACGTTCAACGTGAAAGATGTCACTAGGGGCCACGTCCGGTCCATTTTGTCGCTACATTGTCGTATGTACCACCAAACCATGGAGAGTGACTTGATCTGTTGAGAAGTTCTCCAATGATGGCGTTGATCTTCATCAGCTGAGGAAGATTGTGAGAAGCCTAGAATTGGATTAAGTCCATTGTATGAGTTGGAAGATTTCCGGTACCCAGAGACTGACGATATTTTAGAGTTCCCAGAGTTGTAAGAAGTTCCCGTCTTGCTTAATTGCAAGACATTTGGAGTCAATTGAAATTGAACGTATGCATCAAAATCGAAATTTTTGAGGTCACATTGGTCAATGATTTCCTGGGAAAGCTGACAATTGACTGGTGAGGTCCATGGAAGGTTAGGTTTGATATGGTAGGACGCTGTGACAATGATATTATGTTTAACCTCGTCATTAACCTTGCCACAAATATTACGTAAGACTCTCAAAGGGTGGTAATATTCGAGATTGACAGTCACATCAAGCCAATCCCATTCTGTATGACCTTTAATATCAAGATGGTTACAGATCAAGGAGGCTACTTCTGAAAGATCTCCTTGAAATTGGGCTAACGTCACTTCAATGACAAGCCAATCATCAACAGTGCAGTCTCTCTGTACACATTTAACGATATCATACAAGGATATTCCAGCTGGGGTTTCTCCTTTAATGGTTTCTATATCCTTTAAACTAAGTTTATTTGAACTGGTCGGTCTAATGGAGACTCCCTCGACATTCCAAGTCATATTAAAAAGGAATTAAGGTCACAGGATAAGATTCAATTACAAGAGGTTGATTTTAGATCAACCTATTATTCTTAAAAAAAAAAGACTGTAAAAAAAAACTTTTAGAGATTAACACAAATAAAAGTCTGGAGATCACCATATCAACCGAAGATGCTAGTTACAAGACAATTGGTGCGATTGAATCATGTGAAACAGGTAGGTGCGACATCTTCGCGGATGTTCCTGGTGCTGAGATCACTGGCAGTAACAATCTCTGAAGAGGTCAAACAAGCACTTGAAGATAAGCAAAAACCCGTGGTATCCCTTGAATCAACCATCATAACTCATGGATTACCATATCCGGAAAACCTTTCGATGGCTAGACGTGTAGAGTCTGTTATCAGAGAGAATGGAGCAATTCCTGCCACTTGTGCGTTCATCAAGGGACAACCATTGGTCGGGTTGGATGAATCACAATTGGAACATTTGGCCCATACCACGTCTCCAAAGCCAAATAAGGTATCTCGTAGAGATATTGGATACACCATGAGTACCAAGCAAAACGGTGGAACCACCATTGCTCTGACCATGATCCTTTCTGAAATGGCAGGGATCAAAGTCTTCGCCACTGGTGGACTTGGTGGTGTCCATCGGGATGGTCAAAACACTTTGGATGTATCGGCTGATTTAACAGAATTGGGTCGTACCCCGGTATCGGTGGTGTGTGCTGGCCCTAAATCCATATTAGACATTGGACTCACATTGGAGTATCTTGAAACTCAAGGGGTTTTCGTGGGGACCTACAACGATGATGGACGTGAGAACATTCAAGTTCCTGGGTTCTATACGAGAGATTCTGGATTCCAATCTCCATATTCATTTTCTTCATTTGAACAAGCTGCATCCATCATTCATAACCAAAATAATATCATGGGGTTGAAATCTGGTCAAATTTTCTGTATCCCACCATCAAGAGAAACTGCATTGCCCTCTGAATTGATGCAGAGAGTCATCGCTGCTGCCAATGAAGAGGCCATTAAACTTGGAATCCAGGGGAAGGAACTCACTCCGTTCTTGTTGAGCAAGATTGCCCAGGAGACAAAGGGACAATCAGTTCACAGTAATATTGAATTGGTTCTTAATAATGCTCGTAGTGCTTCTCAAATAGCTAAGGAGCTTCTCTCATTGGAAACAAATAGAGCTAGCTCTCAAGTACGTATATAAGTCAATCAAATGAAGTCTTTTTGAACTCAATACTAATCTTTTAGTTCCAACCAAGTACCAACATCAAGAAGAGGAAAATGGATGAAGGGGTAAAGAAAGTGGATGAGAAAAAACAGGACACTACGTCTGTACTGGATATTCCAACTCCACTGGTTGTAAACACAATTGTAGTTGGATCCCTTGCACTTGATTCAATTTGTAAAATATCATCAAATGTGATTATGAATGATTCTAATCCAGGTACAATTCTGTCTTCTGTTGGCGGGGTGGGATTCAATGTTGCCAAAGCTTGTTCATTGGCATTGAAGTCTCCATCTTGTTCCAACGGTACTAGTCGTTTGGTATCGATAGTTTCCAACGACATGGCTGGCCATACCATCATTGGTCAACTCAAAAAGCTAGGGATTGATACCTCAGGAATCTTAGTGGACACCACTTCTGGATGTTCGACCGCACAATATACTTCAACTCATGCAAACAATGGAGACTTAATCATTGCTTGTGCCGATATGAAGATTGCAGAATATGATGGGTTAGCTCAACATGTACTTTCAGAAATTAAACGAGGTTCACCAAGACAAATCGTGGTGGATTGCAATGTATCATCCAGTACACTCTCCACGATTTTCGATTACGTTCGTGAAAGTAACCTTGAATGTAACGTCATTGTAGAGCCCACATCTTCACCCAAGAGTAAAAGAATCTCCTTGTGTCATTCAAGGAATTTAAGGCCATTCCCCAACAATTCAGTTCTGTTAATCACCCCTACTGTTGGTGAATTGGATGCCATCCACTCGGCGCTTGCCGAACGGGAACTCTTCGATGATTACGACCATTGGTTCCCACTCTTGGACTCACTTGGAATTGATTCTACATTTAGAGAAAAACTCTCCATTTCCAAACATCCTGTGTTGAAGAATGGCTTGGAATTGGGGTACTTACAACAGGCGTTTCTGGTTTTACCCTACATCCCCAATATTCTTCTTAAATTGGGCGAACAAGGGGTGTTATCCATGAGTATATCCACGAATGTGGAGGATTACAAGTCAATCCCCACCACTTCTGTTTACAGTCCGGAATTCACCATCGTTACATCCACGGGGAGGTCTTACACTGCTGATAATGGGTCTCAACAAAAGATGGGGTTGGTCATCCAATATTTCCCCATCCCACCAGAAAATGGAAATATAACCATTGAAAACGTTACCGGAGCCGGTGATTCCTTCTTGGGATACTTAATGGCCAGAATGCTGACAGCAAACACCCACCTCGTAGAGGGAACTTGGTTGACCTCAGAAGTGGGCAGTGTAGAACGGGAATGGTTCAAATGGGAATCCATACACAAGGCCCAACTTGCAAGTGGGAAATCACTCCAATCATTGGCTGCAATTAGTGAAGATATTGCAACCATTGAATAAAACCCATGAGCTTACATACTATTTTTGCGCTCTAAATTGCCTAATTGGGATGTCGGCATGGAAACATGCTCATTTTCAAACAACAAAAGAAAAAATAGAGAGTGATTACAAAGTGTATAGAATTTATATAATAAATAATTTTTTCTTATTAAAACATGTTTAAACGTATCTTGAGTAGTCAAAGAGTCCAAGGTGTTCGGTTCATGACCACTGGAAGCCGTCGTGTTTCTCCAAGATTGACTCATTTTAAAATCGGTGCTGGTATTGTTGGAACTGGTCTTGCTATTTATAACACATCGATTCTTCAATCAGATGCCAATACTTCTGCACTTGCTCCAGAACGTTCTATCTCCGTGGACTCATCCGTTGACCCCTTCCCAGTGGAATTGACTGCTTCCTCCAATCCTAACGTCCATACTGACTATCAACTTTTAGGTCACGGTACTAGAACCGTAACCTTTTTAAGAATCAAGGTTTACGGGATTGGACTCTATTTGGCCCAACAAGATGTCCCCAAGGTTAAAAAGGTCTTGGAATCTGTAGATAACGTCTCCGAAGTCTTGGACAACTCTGAAACCGCTGAAGTGCTCGTGGGTCAATTGTTAGATGACCACGTTAGATTCACCGCCCGTATCTGTCCAGTACGTAACACCGACTTCACCCATTTGAAAGATGGTCTTATCAAATCGATCTTATCCCATCCAATCGCCAAGGATGCCAAGACCAGAGACCAAGTTGGTGAAGGTTTGGAACAACTCCGGTCGGTGTTCCAGGGCCACAAGGGGTCTGTTCCTAAAAACCATTTGCTTTGGATTGAAGTCTTACAAAACGGGAGTGTTTCCTTTACTTACCAAGATACAAAGACCAACACCCGCAAGGTATTAGGACAAGTTGAGAACCCTTCCGTCGGGAAAATTTTGTTTTTGCAGTACATGGCCAGTACTCAACCATTATCTGATCCTTTAAGAAAGAGTTGTGTACAAGGATACGCCCAATTATAAGTGTGTCACACGTTGGGGTCTCCAAAGTTTGTAAATAGATATCTTCAAAGATTGTAAATAGATAAATGTAAATATGCCGAAAGAATACATATGAAGTTTAGAGGAGATGTAGCTTTGGGGCCAATTGGGCAGTCTCCGTCCTAGCCAGAACTTTTCGATGGTAGAGGAATAGGGTCGGCACGGCTCGTGGCAATCAGGAGTACCGAAGTAGCGGCTCGGGTACCTGACGCTCCGCTGGCCCCTGCTCGGGGAGAGCCACTGCGTGGTGCCTAGCTCCTCTATGAGGAGATCTGTTGGTATTTGGTTCCTCGCTAGAGGAAGAAGGCCTCCACGGCTAGTGGCCCACGGAGTGCCAGCGGAGCGGCTCGCATACCCCGTAGGGTGGGGAGCTTATTTCCCTGTGGAGTCCGTGAGACGCTCCGCTGGCCCCTGCTCGGGGAGAGCCACTGCGTGGTGCCTAGATCCTCTCCGAGAAGTGGCTGGGAATACCCGCACAGCTGTCTCCCGGAGAAACTAAGTACATGGTCCAGCCTCATATTGTGGAACACGGGATCGGAGTGCCATTTTGGGGCGGACTTGCAACCTCCTAGGTTAGTGACATGACATTGTCTTACATGTTTAAAGTAACGCTCTGGGCGGGGCAGAGGTGAACTTTCTCGGAGAAATGTGTGGGAAAGCTTTGTACAGACGTCTACATGGTAGTTGATTAATATCCTTACTTTACTTCTATTGAGTCGAGGTTGTTATAAAGGGAGAGAGGGTATATAATTCTCTCCATAAAGGGTGTTTTGTCTGTTGATTCTCTTTTATAAAATACACGAAATAAATTTGATTGGGGGTCTCTTACATGATAATGGATTCATGTTCAACGTTGGCGGAAATAGACTTGTGAGGCAAGACCTTGGCACCGTTAACGTAAATTTCGTTCTTGATTTCGACATCATCACCCAAGACAGTGCAACCTTCAGTTCTGGCCCACTTACCGATTCTAGAGTTCCATCCAACAATGGTGGACTTAACCCAGGCGTGGTCCTTAACTTGAGAGTTAGCCAACAAGACGGATCTTTGGATTCTGGCACCTTCACCAACAACAACGTTTGGACCAATGACAACGTTTGGACCAATCAAGGCAGATGGGTGAATCTTGGCAGTTGGGTCAATCAAAACGTTACCACCGTGAACAAATGGTTCAGAAGATAACTTTTCTGGAGACTTCTTGGACAAAGAGGTCAAGTACAAACAAGTACCGGACAAAAAGTCCTTTGGTTGACCGACATCCATCCAGTAACCTTCCAAGTCAAAGGAGTACAATTGCTTCTTTTCAACAAGCAATGGGAAAGTTTCCTTTTCAATAGAAGTTGGTCTCATTTCAATAAGATCAATGACAGATGGGTTCAAGACGTATAAACCAGCGTTAATTCTGTTACCAACAAATTCAACTGGCTTTTCAACAAATCTATCAATCAAGTTTGGAGTGTATGGGTCGTGTACAATGACACCGTATTTGGATGGTTCATCAACCTTGGTGGCAACAATGGTGGCTTCAGCACCATGGGCCTTGTGGAAAGCAGCCAATTCAGCGAATGGATAGTCACAGATGACGTCAGAGTTCAAGACAAAGATTGGAGTATCATTCTTCTTTAAAACCTTTTCAGCCAACTTCAATGGACCAGCAGTACCCAAAGGTTCTTCTTCAACGGAGAAAGTGATGCTAACACCGTAAACTTCTTCGTACTTCTTCAAGGTAGAAACCATAACTTCTGGTCTGTAGTTGACAGCAAGAACAATGTCAGTGACACCAGCAGCAGCCAAGGCTTCGATTTGGTGCAAAATCATTGGTCTGTTACCAAATTCAACAAGAGGCTTTGGAACCGTCAAGGTCAAAGGTCTCAAACGGGTACCGTACCCACCGACTAAAATCAAACCCTTCATTGTATGTGTTGTATATGTTGTATAAGTTAGTAAAAATAATTCACTTCAAAGAGAAAAAGTTTCGAGGAGGTTTTGGGGATTTGAACGAGTCGTCGCGCTTATATATGTGGGACCGAATTTTTTTTTTTTTCGGAGAGCGTGTTTTCGTTCTGCTGTTCATAACGCATAGTTTTGACTTTGTGGCTTCATTTCTGTTGAGTTTGACACGATTTTCGGGTCAAAAGGGCGTGGCAGGGCCCAAAAGCATCGAAATCGCGCATATCTTTACACGTGTATAATGAGAATGGGAACGCGTTTCGATGCAAGTAGTATGTAGGTAGCCAGGGCCAGGGCAGTGCCAGTCTAGAGGGTGGGCCTTTGTTGATCTAATATATGGGAGATCTGTGGGAAAGTGAAGGAAGGATGTTCTTGGTAGATCATTCATTGGGGTGTCATGATGGAATGTGGGGATGTTGACAAGTGGTGGTCCCGTCATATTATATTTGTTTGTGTTTATCCTGTCTATAAATAAAAAGAAAAACTATAAACAGAATTGAACTGATGGACATGGCGGCGTCTATTTTTATGTCCATGTCCGCACGTGCTCAGCCGCATAGACGGCTAAATTTCAAAACATGTAGAGTTTGTAGAGATAGATAATCGGTTGAGAGTTCGAAAAGGTTGTAGAGAGATTGATAGGTTGTATGATGGATATAAAGACGAGATTGTCGTTACTGTTTAGCTGTCTTCTTTTCCATTTCCTTTTGTGTAAATAGTCTCTTTTCTTTTTTTTTTTCTTTTCTTTTCTTTTCTTTTGATCTCGGAATAAAGATTTTTCCGGTAGGTAGTGTGGATTCGTGTTTCCCGCAGGGACCGACCCATTTTATGTAATTACCCCTATCATTACAATCGTATAATTAATGTATGAATTAATATAAATTCATATTCTAACTTTTTATATATAGTTAAAAAATTGCAAATCCTCTCTTCCACCAAAAAACCCTCCATGCGATTAAAATAAGTACCAAACTTGCAATAAAACTAAAACTTGTGAATGCAAAATATTCAACTAGACAATGACTTTGACCCTTTGAACAGAAAGTATCGACTTCCCAACCGTAGAAAAGCGAGTAACCGACAGAACCTAATGCTGGTGCAACCATGAAGGACCCCCAAGTGGAACCCATGATATCAATTCCCCAAATGGTGGCGACAATGGTTGGATAAATGGTGAAAAGTCCACCATATGTAGCACCACTAAATATGGAAACAAGTCCAAATGGAGATTTTTCATACATTGGTAATATTTGACCAATACCTCCCAATAAGATAAGACCACTTAATAACCAAATTCTACAAATTGGATATTTTCTTGATTCAGATGATAAATAATCAGAAAATAATCCAATTGCTATTCTTGTAATTGTAGATGAAGTAGCCATAAGACTAACTTGATCAGCAAGATCCACTTCTGGACCTCTTACGTTTTGTATGATGGAACCTAAATTATTTTGGAAACTTTCCATGGGACCAACGTTTATAAGTAATGAAATTAAGAAAATCCAAGCTGATGGATCTCTTAAAAATGCAGAAAATCTTTGTTTATGATCATTTGGTTCAACCAGAGCTCTTGAAGGAATTAATTCATCATCATCATCATCACTCTCTTCATTTTGTTGATCTTGTAATAAGGGAGTAGATTCATCATGACCAAATAATACTTTAGATTCAATACTAACTATTGAACAAGCCATAAAATGGAAAAATCCAACAATTAGATATAAATATGTAAAGAATTTGAAAACTTTAATTAAATCTAAACTTTTGGTATGATTTAAATGGAAATAATTCAATTTTAATAATTGAGAGAGTAATAAAGAAGACAATCCAAAGCAACTAACTGGGAGTGAAATGGAAAGTCCCTTATAATCAGGATATATTTTGGCACAAGTTAAAAGACTCAGAAAGAAAAGAGCAGAAGTTGCCAATCCAACACAAAAAAATGATCCTCCTAAGGAATAAAGATAAAAATTTTGAGATTTTTGAATTGGAATAGTAATATCTGATAAATTATTATTATTATTATTATTTTGAGAGATACCAAATTGAATAACTTTAGCAGCAAAATAATAACTAGGGATATAAAACCAAACTGACAAAATTGAAAGGATACTGGGGCCATAACAATCTGCCAAATATCCCAAGATGGGGAGACACAAGTACATCCCCAAGGCTGAGAGTGATGAAATGAAGTTAATCAGAACATAACTTAATCCCAAAGTTTCATGGATTGAAAGGGAAAATAATGAAAAGAGCAAAATTGACCCTGAACAAAGACATGAGAGTAATGCGATTATAAATGCAGAAAATTTGAGGTTTGGTGTGGATATGTGGCGCGACAAGTATACCTTGAGTGTATGTGCGGCCCTATTCACCCAAGAATGATGTCGAATCATTATTACGGGATAGTTAAATGTGGTAAAGGATAAAAATTTGTTGTTTTAAGTGTGTTTTATCGAAAAATGGCGGTCAAAAATTATGACTCTCAAATTGGAGAGATATGCAGGAACTGTATTGTGGCTGCAAAAAAAAGAAATGGAGAAAGGAAGTTCCAAGAATGGAAGGTTAAAGAGAAGAAGGAATAAAGAAAAAAATGAAGAATGTTCCATGAAAGAGATTGATAAGATAGAATGAGGATATTGAAAGATGGTAAATAAAATGTATATATATATAAGCTGGAGGTGTATGATATGATATAACGATTTGATGAATTTAGACAGCAATGTCTCTTCTTGTTTGACTAGATGTAACCACCCGGGGTAGATAGACCGCCGCTGGATACGGTTCGGGGGGTTGGCTGATCGCCTGTTCGTGCTTCCTGGGTCATTCCTCGCTAGAGGAAGAAGGCCTCCACGGCTAGTGGCCCACGGAGTGCCAGCGGAGCGGCTCGCATACCCCGTAGGGTGGGGAGCTTGTTTCCCTGTGGGAGTACAAGCCGCTCCGCTGGCCCCTGCTCGGGGAGAGCCACTGCGTGGTGCCTAGCTCCTCTACGAGGAGATCTGTTGGTATGTGGTTCCTCGCTAGAGGAAGAAGGCCTCCACGGCTAGTGGCCCACGGAGTGCCAGCGGAGCGGCTCGCATACCCCGTAGGGTGTGGAGCTTATTTCCCTGTGGAGTCCGTGAGACGCTCCGCTGGCCCCTGCTCGGGGAGAGCCACTGCGTGGTGCCTAGCTCCTCTAGGAGGAGACTAACCTATTCTTTCCCGTACAATTGAAGATATACACCATATGGAGTCTTCCTCAAAATCGGCTCATTTTCCTGAAAATGTTCCTCGGTTATGAATACCCCGGGGTGTGTTAGCCGTTCGCTCGAATGCTCCTCCCGGGGAGAATCGCTAACGTGATTCCGAGCTCAATTTAGCATTTCTAAACCTTCCATGCGTCCAATTCCTCGCTAGAGGAACAAAGCCTCCACGGCTAGTGGCCCCACGGAGTGCCAGCGGAGCGACTTGCCTACTCCTTATGATCGTCAACTGTTCATTATAGAATTTTTGGATACTAGTAGTGAATGAGTAGTTTATTGTTTATCTATTTTTTTTCATCTATTTTTCTTCGTTTTTAATTAGTTTTATTTACTTGATATAAGTCTTGAATTTTTCAATCTCACCTTCTGAACCTAACCAAATACCACTCTTATCATGAATACCCTTTGGAAGAATTTCCAAGATTCTTTCACCTTGATCATTTACAGCAGAACCTCCAGCTTGTTCCATCAACATAGCCATAGGGAAACATTCATACAAGATTCTTAATTTACCATTCTTCAGCTTTGTATCGGCAGGATAGGAGAAAATACCTCCATATAACAAAGTTCTATGGATATCAGCAACCATAGATCCAATATATCTGGCACTATATGGTTTACCCTTTAAATCATCTTGTGGTTTTTTCAAATCTTCAATATAATCCTTAACATATTGTGGCCAATAATAAGAATTACCTTCATTTACAGAATAAATGGCTCTAGTCTTTGGAATTCTCAAGTTTGGTTGAGTTAAAATAAATTCACCCAATTGAGTATCCAAAGTAAATCCATTAACACCATTACCGGTGGTAAGCATCAAATGAGAAGATGCACCATACATGGTATAACCAGCAGCAACCATTTCAGTACCTCTTCTCAAAACATCTTTAATGGAACCTTTGGAATCATCTTTCAAACGATAGATCCCGAAAATGGTTCCAACAGAAACACCGGCATCAATGTTGGAAGAACCATCAATTGGATCGGTACAAACAGCATATCTACCACCACCTTCAAATACAATTAAATCTTCTTGTTCTTCAGAAACTAAAACTTTGACATTATTTGAAGATTTCATAGCATTAATAAAGATTTCATCACCAATAACATCCAATTTTTTTTGCACATCACCGGTAGAATTTGCTGTACCACTGATTCCAATCAAATTGACCAATTCAGCTCTTCTGATGTTATGAGCAATGAACTTGAAGGCAAACTGTAAGGAGTTAAGTAATAGAGACAATTCACCAGTGGCTTGAGGAGCTAACTTTTGCTGTTCTTGAAGAATAAACCGAGTCAATGTGATGATATCGGTCTCGATATTCATTTGATCGGAAACAGAATGATGAGCTTCAGTCATGGTATTAATATTTTAGAGGGATTGGGGGGGAAATGGATATGCGTAGAATAAAAGGAATTGAGGGGGGGGTAAGCGGGAATTAAAATGAAACTATACAATTAAAAAAGTATTAATCTCGGTGGAAAAGCAAAACAAATTCGAGTTACAGAGGGGGCGGATTTCAATTATTTTTATAGTCTGGGGTAAGCAAAAAAAAAAGTGGTTCAGAATTATAAAAAAAAATACAAATGTCGGGGCATTGTTCCGGGGCCCCGGGACTTTTCGGACGAGGGTCTCAAGCCATCTGACCGAGGAAAATGTTTTAGTGTGTGTGTGTGTGTCTTTTTTTTTTTTTTTTTTAGCTCCCCACACAATGCGAAATGCATGAGAGAGTGTGAATTTGTATCTGGGGGAGGGGGAGGATGATTGTTGTAGGTAGAGGGGTAATTGTATAGGTTAGGTATTTCGGGTTACAGGGTTGATGAAAGATATTGGTGTTGAAGGGATGTGTGTGATCTTTTTTTTTGGGGAAAGAGGATGAGTAGCAATGAAAGTAGTTGCGGAGTTTGTAGCCCCATGAATGATAGCGTGGGGGTAAGAACATCAATTGCTGAGACTTCATTGGGGTACATGCAGGAAATAAGGTGAGAATGAAAGGCGGGAGCGAAAAAAAAAAATAAAAAATAAAATAAAATAGTGGGTAACCCGGTACAGGCCGGAAAGAGGAATATGAGGAAAAGACGAGGGTGCGGTTCGAAGCGAGAGTGACAACCTGTAGAGGTATGTTTAGGAAGTGTGTTGAAGTATATCTGATCATGGGGGGTAGAATTGAGAGTGTAGTGGGGGGGTGCAAGTGCGAGTTTAAGTGGGAGACTGATTCCTGTTCCGACTTTCTATAGCCTACTCCCGGGGAGAATTGTTCACTGAATGTGAGACATGTGTCAATATGAAACGACGTTCTCAAAAAACGAATGGAAGAAATTTTAAGAATTTTAAGAAGAAATTCGCTGGGATTTGAGCTATTTATAAGATTCAAAGAATTGAGTAGCTATTCAATCGGATGAGATGTGTGTATGATAGGGAGGGAATCCCTTGGCAAGTTTGACTTGACAGAAAGCTGGGGGGGATGATGATAACAGATCAGCTTTTATCGCCGAAGAAAGGGCCACCGGAATGTTTTACGGCCTCCACGGGGTTCGCGAACCGCCCCGCAAACGATCAATAGCCGTAGGGGACCTCAAACTAGAAAGAATGTACGCGCCAGACATATCTAGAGGAACTAAACACGGGAGGGTTCAAGGTCTTGGAGTCCCACTGGGAAAGAGTACCACGGGGGTATGCAAGCCGCTCCGCTGGCACTCCGTGGGCCACTAGCCGTGGAGGCCTTGTTCCTCTAACGAGGAAGATGGGCACCATACAATAGAGAGTTTACGCGCGAGCCACGATTAAATTTACGACACTTTCGCTGATCAGGTTGGCGTCACATTGAGGTAGTTGGCAACACTCACTCATGAAAATAGCAATCTCCGAGGAAGCTGATCATTGGTACATCTCCTCGTAGAGGAGCTAGGCCCCACGCAGTGGCTCTCCCCGAGTAGGGGCCAGCGGAGCGTCAACTTCACCCCGTAGATCACTAACTCTTCTCTGTCACTACATGGCCATTTTTTTTCTTTTAATCAATTCTATTAATATACACTCTATAACCTGTTCTCTATGTCCTATTCTTGTTGCCTTCAACCTTGGATTGTTGATATATCGATCTATTCAATTCAAATAAAAGATCAAGACTTGCCTTTTGGTCCAGTCTAATCACAGTCCTTGGGTTATATTTAGAATTAATTTTCTTGGATGGTGGCTTTGTTTTCCATTGAGAATTCCCCTCTTGTGATTTATAAAGTACAGTATCTATCAGAGTATTTGAATTTGCTAGATGTTTTTGGAAATTTCTATGAAGATATTCCAAAATTTCTGTTGAATTAAAACTTTCTTCTTTGGTAACTTGTGATTTTTTCTTATGATCTCCATTCAATGATTGTGAGTTGGAGTGGGTTGTTGTTTGGTTCCCCCTTCCTTGAGAGTTTCCCTGAGAATGTCCCTGAGAGTTACCTCCTTGAGATCCATTCGTTCCTATTTTATCGGCCCATCTACTCATTATTGTTGTGTCCCTTTGTTTATTTATTTATCTTTCAAAATTAGTTAAAAATTATATAAAAAATTCTCATCACAAAATTCGAACTGGCGGTCAATCAACAATTCAAACTTTGTCTCTCTTCTCCGCATATTTTTTTATTTAAGCATCCTGCATACTTCAAATTAAACACGTAAACAAGTTTTATTCTATCTATCACAGTCTGCATACAGTCGTAGCAAAAGAGAACACGCCGCCCTTTTCTCAAAAGGTGCGCCCTTTGACTTTTTTACAGCACAATTTTTACAACACGTCAATCATTTTCTCTTTCTCTTTATCTTCTATTTCTCTTTAGTTTTTATTCTGTAAAAGATAATGAGTGGATTCCGTGTATTAGACTTGGTCAAGCCATTCACGGCCTTTGTGCCTGAAGTGATAGCTCCTGAAAGAAAGGCAACTTTCCAACAAAGAGTTATGTGGACCGGGATCACATTATTGATTTTCTTGGTTATGTCTGAAATCCCTCTTTATGGGATTGTTTCCAGTGATGGATCAGATCCTCTTTTTTGGCTTAGAATGATGTTGGCCTCCAATAGAGGTACCTTGATGGAATTGGGTATTTCCCCAATTGTTTCTTCTGGTATGGTTTTCCAATTATTACAAGGTACAAAGATTATTGCTGTTGATATGAATAATAAGCAAGATCGTGAATTATTTCAAACTGCTCAAAAATTATTTGCTATTTTACTTTCAATTGGTCAAGCTACCGTTTATGTTTTAACTGGTATGTATGGTCCACCATCTAATTTGGGAGTTGGTGTATGTTTATTATTAGTCTTACAATTGGTTTTTGCAGGTATTATTGTAATTCTTTTAGATGAATTATTACAAAAAGGTTATGGATTAGGTAGTGGTATTTCATTATTTACTGCTACTAATGTTTGTGAACAAGTATTTTGGAAGGCATTTGCTCCAACTACTTCAAATACTGGTAAAGGTAAAGAATTTGAAGGTGCAGTAGTTGCACTTTTCCATTTAATTGGTAGTAGAAAGGATAAGAAGAGAGCTTTATTAGAAGCTTTTTACAGACAAAATTTACCAAATATTTTACAATTAATTTCAACTATTGGAGTTTTCTTTGTGGTTGTTTATTTACAAGGATTTAGAATTGAATTACCAGTTAAATCAACTAGACAAAGAGGTCCATATGGATCTTATCCAATTAGATTGTTTTATACTTCTAATGTTCCAATTATGTTACAAAGTGCACTTTCATCAAATATTTTCATTATTTCTCAAATGTTATTTGTTAGATGGCCAAAGAATTTCTTTGTTAAATTATTAGGTGAATGGAGTGCAAGACCAGGTAGTGCACAATTATATGCCAATAGTGGACTTGCATACTATTTGCAACCACCATTAAGTTTAACTGAAACTGTTTTAGATCCAATTAAGACTGTTATTTATATAGGATTTGTATTGGGATCATGTGCAGTATTCCTGACCACTTGGATTGAAATTGCTGGTTCATCACCAAGAGATGTTGCTAAACAATTCAAAGAACAAGGATTAGTTATTGCTGGTCATAGAGATACTTCAGCTTATCGTGAATTAAAGAAGATTATTCCAACTGCTGCTGCATTTGGAGGTGCCACTATTGGAGCTTTATCAGTTGCTTGTGATTTGATGGGGACTTTAGGATCAGGTACTTCAATTTTATTATCAGTTACCACCATTTATGGATATTATGAATTAGCCATGAAGGAAGGAGGATTCAATAAAAATGGTGTTGTTGGAGGATTTGTTGATGGAATTTAGAATGAAAGAAAGAAAGACATAAAATTATATATATAGTAACATATCAGAATATATGGAACAGAAATCAAAACAAAAAAATAAAATAAAATATAAGCATTAAGATAATCAGAATGGAGAAAAAGAAATTAAACTAAATGAAATTTTAATCTAAACATTAAAACGGAATGAAGTCACAAGACGTTGTTTGTTCCTAGTTTTTAGTCTAAGGTTCTTTATTTAGAACAAAGGAATTAAAGTAAAGATAAACAAGAGAGAGAAAAAAAAACAAATTGAAAGTTGAAGATTGCTTGGCATTATGTGTGATTAGGTAATGGGCAGCACAACCAATATGGTGGAATTTGGAGGTTGGATGTGCAGGAACTTCAGAAAAAGAGCATGAATAGAAGGGGAGAACAAGAGGACGAGAAGGGGAAGACTTTGGGAGGAGAGTTTCTCTTGCTGGTGTATAGTGGGGGGTACAAGGTCTGACGGTTGAGGGGTAGAAGATTATGATTTAAAACTTTATCAAAAGATTGATGATGGAAGAACATTAGATTATAGTCACAAGAGATAATTGATAGTGCATTTAAAAAATACCCCCGGAAATAAAAGGAATGGGGGGGAGTTTCGGCCTCATGCATGATACCGTATGATCAAAAAATAAAGTGGTAGAAAAAAATATAAAAAATAAAAAATAAAAGATGAGTAAAAAAAAAAAAAATCATCCAACAACAACAGCAAAGAAATGGCACCTGAATTAGGCAGGAGGAGGCCCTGGAATTGCGGGAGGAGGTGGGACATAAAGTGTTGGGTAGGAGAGGATGGCAAGCAAAAGGGCGAAATGGTGAGAATGGACAAAGAGGACGGTAAAGCCTTGGCCGGAACGTAGGGGAGTCGCATGGACCGACTCGGTGCAGGCGTCTTGTGATTGGAGGCCCCGGTGAATGCAGATGTTTTTCATTACGGTCGCGTGCGGGCGCCGACCGAATATAGATCCGGTCACACGCATGAATGTGTGCCCTGGTCGACGCATAGATCCCTTACGGGATTTTTCTTCGATGAGGGGGTTGATTTATAATTAACAGGTCCGCCCTTAAATGTGGGATCTGTTTGATTTGAATGAATGGTATATTGACTGGTTTGAGGTCATATATTAATTGCATGGGCAGACCGTAGAGTGTATAGATAGCGTGAGCTGATAGGTCGACCCCCTCATAGATAAGCATAATAATTGTACACTAGAAACCCCCCTATATCGACCGACAACACATATTACAAACCGTGGGCTCCATCTCCTATGGATTACGAGAAATCTCCAAATCTCCGTTGGGACTCTCAAAAAAAGTGAAACAATTGATTCTCTTGGCGTTTGGAGTTTTCAACCTTATTTTCATTTCGTGCGTTGTGGTACGATATGATTCGCTGTATTCGTCAGTTTGGCACATGGCCACCGGTTATGGAGGTCTGGCTAACAGCCTCGCCGCCAAGGAAAGAGTAGCCTTGGAACAATCATATTACAACCAAGAATCGGTTCTTCATGACCTCCCACTTGGGGCCTCATATGAGGAACTTAGCACCAAGCAAAAAATCTTGCATACCTTGAATGAGGTGACATTGGACGCGGAAACTTATCCGTTGGCCCACACAGAGTTGACTGATTTTGAAATCCGGATCAACCCACGAGAATTCACCCGTGAAGCATGCAAGAACAAACCAACATTGTTTTATGATCCACGGTTCACCCTTTCCGTATATCTTAACGAAATCAAGAGACAATATTTAAAGAAAAATCCAAAGAATTTGTATGAAAAAGTTGATGAAATTGAAGTTCCATTTTCATGGCAAGATTGGATTGATCTTACTGATCTTAATCCATTGATTTCAGGGACGGCCAAGATTAATTGTGAGTACTTGCGTAAACGTGCCGATCGTGCCCCTGAAAATGCCGATTATTGTGTTGATTCCAAGGACGTTACCGAATATGAATTGAAAGAAATGAGATTACCTCTGAAAAGTTTCCTTCCTGGATTTGTTATTAAAAAGCCACCAGGAAATTTGGCCACCAATGAAGTAAGAATGATTGAAGGTAAGACTCATTTGCTTACGTATGCACCTGTACCACTCAACATTATGTTTCTCACAAAACGTGGGGTTTATGAAGCTAGAGTTGCCCCAGAAAAGCAAAGATTGGTGGATTCCGACTTGTTTGAAAATTATTTGGAACTGGTTGGATATCGTGGACATGAAGAATTGATTGTTTTAAACCCAGTGGCGGAATTTTATGATTTGATTGCTAAAGTCGAACCAGATACCACTCTGGCTGAGGATGTGTTTGGAATGACAGAATTAATGATGCTGGCCAATGTCAGTAATCTGAGAGAAATCCACGTTCCCAAAGAGGCATTTGACTATAGACAAGATAAAATCGATAAGCAATTAAGAGAAAGAAAGGAAGAAAAGGCAAGATTTGCTGAATTGAATAGAAAAGAAGGTAATAGTAAAATTTTATCAAATTTGAAAAGAGAAGATGATGACGAAGTTTCAACCTCTCAAATTGAAGTTAGAGCTGCAAGTTCTGATGTTTCCAAAATTGGAGGTGCTTCAAATTACCCACCTGGAGGAATCCCGGGAGAATCGCGTCAAAAGACTCTTTATTATGCCTCGCTTGAATATGCCAATCAATTCACTCTTCAAGAAGAACCAACTTATTATCATATGGCACGTCTTAAGTATGACGAAACCAACAAGGTTGATGCCGGATGGCATTATGAATGGAGATTCTTCAATGGAGCTCTTCGATACCTCAAGAAGGGTTGGACTGAAGATGAACTTCTTGTCAGAAAAAAAATCGTTTTGGATAGAATCTTGAGAAATTGGTTTAGATTTGCCACTGAACGTGGTATTTTATCATGGATCGCTCATGGACCTTTACTTGCATGGTATTGGGATGGACTCTTATTCCCATTTGATGAAGATATTGACATTCAATTGCCTGCCAATGAAATTGTCCGTTTCTCCAAACTCTACAACCAAACATTGGTGGTGGAAGATGTTGGTGAAGGATTTGGTAAATTTTTCATTGATTGTTCAACTTTTGTTCACCATCGTGGTAAATCATACAAGGCCAACCATATCGATGCCAGATTTATCGATGCCGATACCGGATCATATATCGATATTACCGGGTTGGGAGTCTCTTCTGAACCAGTTCCTCACAAGTATAAGGATGAAGTTGCCCTTACTGACGAGAAGAAGGTTGCTCGTGAGGTTTATAACTGTAGAAATGTCCATTTTACCTCACACACCGAGTTATCTCCATTGAGATTGACAGGGCTTGCAGGAACTCCACTCTATGTCCCTAACCGAATCCAACGGATCTTGAAAGACGAATACAGTCGTGGGATGACATGGTACGAATATTATAACTTTTACTATGTGGATAAACTTAATTTATGGTTGCATGTACTGGCATTGGTTGATCTTTTACCCAAGCTGCTTAGTCTTATTGATAATAATGCGGTGATTAAAGCCATTGCTAAATTAACTGATGAACAAATTTTGAAGTTACTTCGTGAGGATAAACAAGTTTTGCTTGAATATTATTTGACAAGAGAACTGACAGAATTACATAGAAAGGAACTTTCTTATTTGTTTGAGAATCAAAATGGTGAGAGTACCAACATTTCTCAATATAAAGATCAATTAACCGACGAAGAGATTTCACAAAATGAAGAATATCACAAGTTGACATCACAATTCAAGTTTGGTAAGCCTGGAAGTAGACCTTTATTTAATTATGAAACCATTGACAGGTTACGTAATAAGGATGAAGCCAGTCAAGCAAGAAAGGTTCGGTTAATGAAGGAATTTGAAGAACGATTTGCTGCGGGTAAGAAGGCTGAAGACGAAAAGAAGAAGGCCGACGAGGAAAAGAAGAAGGCCGACGAGGAAAAGAAGAAGGCCGAAGAAGAAAAGAAGAAGGCTGATGAAGAACAAAAGAAGAAATTGGAAGAGGAAAAGAAAAAGTTGGAGGAGGATAAGAAGAAGTTTGAAGCGGAGAAGAAGAAGGTGAAGGAGGAAGAGGAAAGGGAAAAGGAGAAGGAAAAGAAGAATTAGGTTTAGAGAAAAGTTTTAGATCAAGCATATAGATAATAATATAATTAGTCAAGAGAAGTGTAGGTACTTTTTACAGCCCTATCTGAATACTCGGCTAGGTCCGTGGTTGCAACCAAATTTCCTCGCTAGAGGAAGAAGGGCCTCACGGCTAGTGGCCCACGGAGTGCCAGCGGAGCGGCTCGCATACCAGCTAGGGTGGGGAGTTTGTTTCCCTGTGGGACTACAAGCCGCTCCGCTGGCCCCTACTGGGGGAGAGCCACTGCGTGGAGCTTAGCTCCTCTACGAGGAGACTCTCTTTCTTTTCCTGTATATAGAGAAACTAGTTTGCCTGCATGTAGTGGCTCACCATTTCTTTTTCCTTTCTGGTTGTTGCCGCCTGCATATATCCAATGCTGCCGTAGCAATGACTACGCATTGACAATAGCATAGGTACAGCACAGGCAGGTACAAGTGGATGTCTAAGACATGATATGCAGAGGGAATGATGCCATGGAGTTTAGAAACACGAATCTTGGTGGAAGGTAGGTATTGAATTTCCCCAGTGAATGACACGTACCTTAATATGAGGAGAAAGAGGCAGTGTAGTGAGGAGAATGTGTAACATTAAGGGATGAGGCTTACGATCAATTTCTGATATTTCAAATGCCGTGACACCCCGGCAATTCAATTTTACCAGCAAATTTGATAAAAAATGTGAGTGGGAAAAAAAAAAAAATTCTCTAATGGGTTAATTCACGCAAGGCGCACACGACCGACTACCCATATTTTTTGTGAGATCCGAGGGTGTAACAATCCCGCGATAAAAAATAAAAAAAAAAAGAAAACCGAAAAAAGAAATCAAAATATTTTTTCCCGGAATTCAAATTATTATTTACCAATTGGGGAGGGAAGAAGCTTGTTTATTATCATGCTTCCTGCAGTCCGCCGTTGGGGGATCCGAAAGCAACAATCGGATAAGGAGGTGCCAAGTGCCGACTCCCGAGTACCGACTTCCGAGTGTTGATCTTGTGTCTGGTGGAGGAGCACTGGGTGGTGCCCTATTTAGTGGCCTGGCTGTGTCAGGACGGAAGAGGCAAAGGGGCTGGGGCTATGGTAGACGACGTTGCACGATATTCCCTATTGTTTGTTCCATTCCAACGATAAAAGAAACAATAGCTGAAGGTAAGGGCTCACGATCTAACCGTCGGAAATATACCACAATGTGCCGTCAGTGCGAGCCGCTGAGCGCGCGCACGCATTACCACACTCGCTCGAATACAATTGGTGGCGCGCGTTACCACAAATACACCTACAGCCTGTTCCCTTTGACATGCTCGGTTCTGACCAATCGTGATTCCCTCCAATCTTGGAAGTTAGCTCCCGCCCTCCCTCTAACGTTTAGTGACGGCATCTGCATGAACGGCACATATTAGATTTTTGATTGCATGAGAATTAGAATTATTTTTTAGCGTCTGTGGTCGTATGCTTATCTTGCATCAAAATTTGGCCGGCACGCCCACCTAAACCCCCAACTGTTTTCTCCCCGCCTCTGGGGAAAGATATAAAGTTTTGTTTGCCGCGCGAGTGATTGGCATTAAGTAGAAGTGCATTGTAGAGATGGGAAATAATGTTATGTGGAGTAGATAGGTAGGAAATTTATAGGGGGAGTATCAGTTGAACGGCTGAAGCTCCCCGAACAGGGGCGTCCCTGTGGATGGTCATGTAGACCGCCGTGTGATTGTAGAGAAGGTTAATACCCTACGGGGTGTGTAAGCCGCTCCGCTGGCACTCCGTGGGCCACTAGCCGTGGGGGCCTTCTTCCTCTAGCGAGGAATTGTCAGCTGAGTACCTTGCTAGCTATATAGATGTAACCCACGTCCTGTAGAGTGTAGTTGAGTTGGTTTGCTGTTATTATATTTGAATTGAATTTGGTGGGCAGGCAAATAATTTCCATGTGACTTCCCTGAGTCCGTGCTCGTGAAACAGCACCGACGGTCTTCCTCGTTAGATGAACAACGGCCCCATGACTAGTGGAACACGGAGTGTTTGTACTTACAGTCCTACAGTCTACATCAATCGTCGTTCATCTTCCAGAAATTTGTAAACTTTTATATTTCTCTCACTTTTGCAACAAATTGGCTGTAAATAATTTGACGAAAATTACAAAAGAAAAAGAAAGAGAATTTTATTTTGTACAATCTCTTGGCCCCACCTTCCATCTTACCACCCACTAGAATACACACCAGCTAACCTATCTCACACCTAGAACCCTCCTCTGTGTCTTGCTCCCTTCAATATGTTTTGTTTTGGTTTTCTAATCTCCGACTTATCAAATTATCTCCGACATTGGATATTGTGTCTCGATAACAGTGCATGCAGGATATAATTATCCCAGACTCCAATTGGGAAGCGCAAGCCACGTGATGCAGTACATAAAAAGACCTACCTAATAAACATATATATTCAAAAAGTTATAAAATGTCATATATGAGATAATTGTCTAATTTTCCACAAGCCGACAGTATAACCGACAATAACACCAACCAACCACGCACATACATCATACACTCTTTCTTCCCTTCTTCATCTCTTTTTGGTCCCTCAACCCAACTCCTGACTCTTTCTCACCTCACGTGACCCAATATGATTTTCCAATTCTTCGCATTGGGGGAAAAAAAAAAAGAAGTCCAAAAGAAGAAAGAGCCTGAAAATGGGAAAACCATCTATTGTCTATCCCACTTTTAACCCTATTTTACACGAAATTTTGTATGGACATGGACACCCCAAAATACGCTCCACCGAAGAGCACGCGGCTCTTTGACCAGTCCACGCTTCCAGACATGAAGAATTACGTGCACGTGCAGCAGAATCGACAGATCCAACTCAACAGTCAATCCTCAAGTGTCAATTACAACCCATATTCATATCCACAACAAAAGGCCAAATCGAACTTACCGGTGGATTTTTTCCATCTACAGAACAAGATCACCGTGGCGGACCAGCTGCCACAATTCCCGCACGATAGCAGGGCGATTCCGGTGTTTGAACTCACACAGGAGCAATTTTCCAACCCCATCAAATTCATCGAGAGTATCAGTGAAATTGGTAAACAATATGGAGCAGTCAAGATTATTCCTCCAAGTAATATGGGGAAGTCCGCTGTGGTAAATGGAACCAGTGGGACTAGTGGAGCCAATGGGATCGGCTCCAATTCTCATACTGGCCCTGTAGGAGGCTCCCACGGAGGAGCTGCGGCTGAGACCGATTCATCATTTAAATCCAATTTTCAAATCAATGCTGATTTGTTTTGGTTTCAAACAAATAGATTATTGAACAGTCCCGAAGGAGATGAGTTGGAGAATCGGTTAAAGTTTCATCAAGACCTAATAAGGTTCCATTCTCGACAAATTCGAGAAGGAGAGCGGGACACTCTGAAGGGTGGTGAAGGACGCAAGGACACCCCTCCAGTCGATAATGAGGTTGATATGAATGAAAATGAACCCGAAAATGAACCTGAGATGAAGAAGGAGCCTCTGGGGGACACAATTGGATGTAGAAGTGAAGATGTAGAAAATAGCCATGTGGCCAATTTAACGTCAGAACCAGTGACAGCCACACCATCTATTGAGTCTAAAGAGGTAGAAGGTAGTATCATAGAAGGAGTTATCAATGATGTAGGGAAGTCGGGAGATAAAGAGGTTTCTACTGAGAAGCAGAACATTTCCCAAGATGATGAAAAGGCTCGCACCGATGAGTTGAAAAATGAGAGTGAGAGGAAAGATGAGATTATTGATATTAAGGGAGAGCCCATAGATCTGAAGATTGAAGATGTCGACATGGTGGATTCTAAAGATGGTAATGAGAAGGTAGATCGTATAGAGAAGGTTTTTACAGATTATATGAGTTCAGGATTAATTTCTAGAGCCCTGGAGCCCATAGAAGGCTCCACTAGTTCTATACAGCCTACACCCACCGAATCTATTGACACTTCAGGACCTACAACTTCCACAGACTCTACATCTGTTATAGACCCCACAGTTGCCACAGTATCGACAACAGCTCCTATAGAGTCGGTAGACTCTATAACTACTGCATCTTCTGCAGACGCTAAAACATCTCCTATAGTCCCCACCCCTTCTTCTACAGACTCCAAAACTACAAACTCTACAGTTTCAGACTCCACAGTCACTACAACCACTACGGGCACTACAGAATCTATAACTACAACTCCTACCGAACTTATGGAAACGGAACCTGTAGAGGCGGAACATTCCCCCTCTATCGAAACACCTTCAACCCCAACAAAACTCCCATCATTTCTCAATAAACTCCCTATGATCGATAAGCGACCACTTGACCTATACAAACTCTTCCGATCAGTGCTCATGCGTGGTGGGTTCATCGAGGTGATCAATAAAAAATTATGGGCCCAGATCGGCCGTGAGTTGGGCTACAGAGGCAAGATCATGACCAGCTTGAGTTCTTCTCTCAAGTCCTCATACATGAAAATTTTGTACCCGTACGAGATATATCTTACTCGTAAACGGGCTGACGAAGTCGGTAAAACCTCTCCTTCTGAAGTTCCAACGATGAAGAGAACATCATCGGGCCCACTCATCATTGGGTCTCCAAAGACATTCAAGAGATCGGTGCGATTGAAGAGTGACAAGGGGTTCTTGTTGAACTCTCCACACTTGACTGATGTCAAACAACCAAACACTTTAGTAAGTAGACCAGACGAAGCTGCAACAAGTGCTTCCACAGTTTCCAACGCCACAACCCCCACTTCGGAAGACGGTCCGAAACGTAAAAAGACCAAAACTTCAGCTCCTTCTTCAGACCAGACGGTGCCCATCACGCCCAAGTCACAACTCGCGCTTTCTTTGGAAGCTCTTGCGGAAAACCCTGGGCTTCAAGATGCCCTGCAAATCACTTCCAATGGTCGGTTCCTGTCGGTTTACACCCTTCGACAATTTATGGAGAAGGACTTGAAGTTTCAAGAGTTTCTTATTCAACGAAATGCGTACAATTTTAACAAGATCCATTTTTCGTCCTCGGTGCCACCGTCCCCTGGTGCTAACAGCCAGGGAAACGCTGCTACAGACTCTGGGAGCTCAACTCCGCCTTCCAAGTTCACCTATTACGTCCCACGAGACGGATTGGAGAAGGAAAAGTTCCCTCAACATAGCACCCTTTCAATGGAAAAAAATGTGATAAGGATGGACAAATTGGAAGAAATGTACTGGACATTCGTTGCCAATGGAGAGGAGTACGAAATGGAGATGTTGAAAGACGGGCTTGAGTTGGAAAATGGGGTCAGTTTACCCAGTGGAGTCAATGGCTCAGGATTCGTTCGCTTGGGAGATGATTTACTGAACTATAAGTATGTATTAGCCAATAGTGGTGCCAGTGCAACCAGTACGTCAAATGGGGGTCCCTCTTCTACTGCTGTCAGTAGCTCTTCTTCTGGAACATCACCAGGGTCAGCACCGGGGCCAGGACCTACAGGAGTCGCTACTGGCTCAACAAACTCTACCGGCACCTCTAGTTCCAATTCATCGACCAACGGCTCAAATACTGCTTCTGCCGGCTCATATTATAATTCCACCGACTACTGCGCTCGCATCATCAGATCGTCATTAAACCCTTGGAACCTTCATAATCTTCCAATCCTCCCTAACTCGCTTTTAGGAGCGCTTTCAGAGTCGGACGTCAATAACCAGGATCTCTACACACCGACTCTCAACATCGGCATGACGTTTTCTACAGAAAACTGGAGAGTGGAAGACCATTTCACCCAACTCTGCAACTACCAGTTCTTTGGAGGATGCAAGAAATGGTACTTTGTGCCCGAGCTGGAGTTTGACAAGTTTGAGGAGTTGGTGAAGCGGAGAAACGTTCATGAATCGAGGATCCATGTTAACAACTCGCGCTGGAACTACGACTCCTTGATGAGGTATTTCACCGAGGAAGACGGCAGTGCTAGCACAAGGAACAACATCGAGACTGAAGCCTTGATGAGTTCTTTAGAGAATATGATCCCACCATATCCAGACTACAACAACTGTCGTTTGAAGCACAGCAATGAAGGGTTCCAGAAGTTGATAGACATGCAACGTAGCAAGCGGGCGTCTCCATCGGGGTTCGTCATGTCACTTAACCAGGACTGTTTGATCAGTCCAGCAGACCTTGATGCCGCAGGAATCAGGTACACTTACACGGTTCAGAAGGCGGGTGAGTTTGTCATCAAGTTCCCAAAGCTGTACTCGAGTTGTATTTCATTTGGACTCAATCTTAGTGAGGAGGTGAACTTTGCCACAGCTTCTTGGCTCGACTACGCTCTTGACGGGGAAAAATGGTTAAACAAACAACTTCTCTTACCCAATTTCCTGACATTCCGGTTACTAGTGAATTTGGCACAGCTCCTCGAGACCACCACACATCACCGGATCTGCTTCGATGCTGAGGTTTACGCTAAAGCTCTGGAAATGTATTCCAACATGTACCGTGAGGAGGTTCGATTGCGGGACGCAGTACGGAAGTTCAATGTACGTGAAGTAGTAGTATCTCTGGATGAACATCACGCGGACCTGTCCTCCTCTTTCAGTGATGTGGACGCGGTAGCCGACGATGACTTACTGAATGTTTTCCCTTCTAAAGTTGTCCTCACAGACATGGAAACGGGTCAAGTGATGGCCATTTCGCTTCTCAACTTCTTGGAGTACCAGGACCAGAAACACCCTGTTGTTTTCAACAGACCTTCATCAGCCCTCAAGATTGAACTCCAACTCTTTTGTCTGGACGATAAACTTCGTCACTTTGACAAGACGTTGCGTGGGTATTCGGTTGATTTTGCCAAATGGACATCTAGCTTTGAACAAACCATGCGTACCAATGACCGTCTCCCCTTGAAGGCCTTGAAGGTTTTGTTACTGGACGGGGAAAAGATCCGAGCTGCCACCGAAGCCGCGTCACGATACAACAATATCTCCGTGGACAAGGACCGTGAGGAGTATTCGAAATTTCAAGGGTATTTGGAAAACTTGAGAAAGTTTGTAGCAGATGCAAATGGGTTTGTCGAAGAGTGTCAACGAGTTCTTTCCGTGAAGCACCAACAGCGGATCCGTAGTGGTGGAAGCAGACGTCGGAGTAGTCGAATGGACGATAGCCAACTGACAACAACTACACCACTCATATCTGCCCCACCTCATCAAGATGTCCCTGAAGAAACTAACGTACTTCAACGACTTGTTAGTCTACTTGACCGAGTGCCAACTCTCAACTTTGCATGTCCCGAAGCCGACCAGATTGTAGAGCTTCAAATTGAAATTGAAAACTTTGAACGAGCAAGTAGAAATTTCTTATCTAGCGGGAAAAAGAGTTCATTACAAGAGTTTGACGACTTAATTTCACTTGGCCAATCTTTTGGAGTCGAGCTTCCAACTTTGAACTTCTTGATCAGATTGAGGGCTCGGTTGGTTTGGCTTGAAAAGTTTGACCAAATTGTTGCAGGACTCGAGAAGAAATTCAACTTGAATGATTTGAAACAGTTTTACGAACAGGGAGCCGAGATCTTGGGTGAGTCGGATGAGGCTAAGTATATACAAGTGGCTGAGATGATCAAACGGAGTGTTGAGTTCGACCAAAGAGTGTGCAGATTCCTCAGCTTCAACACGGCTGACACTATTTCATTAAGGGAACTCGACCAGATTGTCAAGGATCTCGATACAGAGGCTGGAATTTTTACGTATCCAGAGACTTATGAACGACTTTCCAAATTGAATAGCCATAAGCGGTTGATTGCTCAGTTTATCGATTTCCGATCGGGTCTTTTAATCGAGGGTCATTTCAAAGTTAAGTATCAAGAGGCTCAACAGTTATTGAATGCAGTAGTGGACTCCGAATTACCCTTGAACAAGGATCATATCGTCCACAGTCTCAAGGCTGCAGATATGTGGGTTGAAGAGCTTCTGGCCAATTTCAAGGAGGGTTCATTTAGAACAACGCGTCCTGAAGGAACCCCAGAGCCAACTACAACTCCATCCAAACTCCTTTTAAAGAAATTAGAGCAATTTCAATTGAAGAATTCGTTCAATTTTGCTGACTCTTCGCAGGATTCCTACATTCTTTCATCGTCATACGCCAACATCAGTGAACAGGACGTTCCTGAATCAGAGAAGCAACCGATTTATTGTCTCTGTAGGGAGTACGAGGCAGGAACCATGGTTGGATGTGACACATGTGGCGAATGGTACCACGTTCAATGTATCCAAGAAGCGAACCAAGACTATGAAGAGGTCGAGAACTATTCATGTCCATTGTGTGTGTTTTACAAGGCCAAGAAGGGGACAGATTCCAACTTGTCGATCAAGCCTACCTTGACATTGTTGGAGCAGTTTTTGGATGGTGGTAAGAGGCTTTTCGTTCAGCCAGGAGATCTCCAAGTGGTGGACGAGTTTGTCACCAAGTGTCAAGCCGCTGATCGGGCTATGATGAGTGAAGTTGAGCGGATCAACAGGGATGAAGAGAAATCCTTTGAGTTGAAGATGGATGAGTATAGGTTTTATTTGAGGAAAATGTATGGTGCTGGAGTCTTATTGGACGTCTCGTTCAATAGAGTTGCTCAATTGATGAATGTGCTTGAAACGGACAAGAACAACAAAGTATCCACCGATGTACGCCCACTGGAAGAAAAAATGGATATAAACGCAGAAGAATCTGTTTCACAACCGACCGGATTGAGCACTCTTACTGAAGGTATGGGAGGTGAACTTGTCACTATTTCCTCTTCTATTGATGAGTCCGCTCCCGAGGTTTCTAAGACCGAGGTCATAGAGGTTATAAATCAACCAAATCTATTTCCAGTCATAGAAGAGGTTGTGACAGAAAAACCAGAAGGTACAATTACTGAGCATGTGCAAACCGTAATTGAATCCAACCCTCCCGTTGATGAACCCCCAGCTGAAAGTATTCCTGCTGTTGAAGCCATTCCTACTACTATTGTGGCCATTCCTACTACTGTCGCCCCTACCGTTGATACCATACCCACTTCTGAAACCACACATAGTGTTAACCCTGAACCTCAGCCAAACTTAACTTCATGAGTATATCAAAAGTAAATAGAAATTGATAGAGATAAATATAAATCAAACTTTACAAATTGTATATTAGAAAAAGAACCACCCTATTACGCTGTTGAGATTTGCACATTACCAGTGTCCCGCTACTCGAGTAATTTCCTCGCTAGAGAAACAAAACCTTGCAACTGGTGGCCCACAGAGTCAGTGGAGCAGCTTACCCCCGAAGATCCTGGGCCTCTGCTTGGGGAGATTTTGCGTGGTGCTTTGTTCCACATAAAGGAAGTTTTTGCAGCCATTTTTTTAGAGGCATATCCACATCCGCCTGTAGTTGCTGGTCCGGGCAGGGGATTTCAAGAAAATGACTTGGAAATATATATATCCTCCCTCACTTATCACATCTTTTCAAGGGTCCTTAATATATAAAATCTCCTGATATGGTGCCTCTGATCAACGCAACAAAAAAAAGAAAAATGTTGCAAATTCTAAATTTTATAGACACCAGTCTTGCACAAAAGGTACACTAAAACTAAAAGCTCTGTGAGCTCACGTGACGACATCTAGACGCGTGAAGTACAAAGAGTAAACATTGGAACACTCAGGGTGGAAAAAGAACCAGGTAGGAATAGATAGAAGTCGCCGTGATGACCAACTTGGTACTACAGGAGTCGATAACAGCGCTCTTCGATGAGTGCTGGGGGAAAGTGGCGAAACCACAGGTTGGTGGAGCCGACTCATATGTGTACGTAGCGCAAGTGGCCCAGTTGTTGAGCGACTTTGCTCAGCGTCTCCCACAGAAGTCCACGGCCTTGTTAAACTTGGAGGAGGTTTCTATACTCTCACAGATGAGTGAAAATAACCCGACGCTCCGTGTGTACCATCGAGAGTTTGAGAATTTTGTTTTAAGACTCGTGCGACTGACATCAATGGTGGAGTTTATCTCCGAACGTACGCGGTTGAGTCCCTTTGAACTTGTACGGGCTTTACAGGTGGCAAGGTCCAGTGACGGGCCGGAAATTGGTAATGGAGCTAGAGGAAGGATATTAAAGACTGGCGATCCAATTTTCAGACCGAAAAGGGAAGCTCGGTCACCACTGCCGTACCGAAGAGAATACCCAACATTCAAACAAGAACGACCAATTACTAGCGGAGTGGACGGCAGTGACGAATACAGACAAAGTATACGACATCTTGAGCTGAGAGTAAAAGCCTTGCTGACTTATGCAGACACTCTAGAGAGGCAACAGACTGAAATGGGACGAACACGAGCAGGGTCAGCGCCATCATCCTCGCAAATGGTACGGGAACTTCTTCGAGAAATTTCCGAAAAGGAGAAAACTATTCAACGTCTAGAGACCCAAGGGTATTCCCTGAATAACGTGGGTAGCTCTTTCAATGAGAAACTTCTTTTTAGAATGAAGGAGGCATTACAAAAGCAAGACACTCTTGTGACAAGTCTCAAGACAAAGTTGGAACTTGACCAGAAAGCTACAGATGCCAGTAACGCAAAAATGAGGTCATTCCTCCAGAGATTGCCCTTTATAAGACAGTACTACGTGTATTATAAGCACCAAAAAGGGCAAAATGTCAAGTCAATTATTGTGAACGTTTTCACGTTGTTGTTGGCAACCATTATCTTTACCAATGTCTTGCGCGTAGTGTTTTACTTTGCGGTCTATTTAGCCAGTAATAGCACTCCGTCAATGACATACATACTAGAGGACGTTGATGAAGTTCTGGACAGGGCTCTGTTTGAATGGTGGCGTGAGATTGAATGGCTAGAGTATTTGATATACATGGTTAATGAATGGACTGGATGAATGGACTGGCCAGGAAATTTCTATCATCGTATTAGGCAAATCAACAGAGATTGTTATTGGGAGATGCTTATCTATATTAAGAGGAATTATCAATTACTCGGTAGAGAAACGATAGTATTGTCATCAACGTTTACAGTGCTAAAGTCGCTCCGGTAACCTCTACTCGAGAAGATCCCTCAGCTACTAACTCAACAAGTACAATTAGAGCTGGTAAGTATATGGCTGATATCAGGGGAGGGGGGCATCACTAATTAATGTTGGGGCTGAGGTGCTATTATAAAGATGTTGAATCTGAGTACTGATTCGATATTCTTTTTTTAAATAATATGGATTGACTCCATGGATCCAACACAGCTCGGGGTGCAATCTACTACGTTACTCACTTTGCGTATATCTTCCATAGTAGCATCCTTTTTGTATGTACCCAACTTAACTCTCAATAGACTTCTTTATCCGTGCCCGAACTTTGTTGCCATACAGATTTTCTGATAAAATCAACATTCAAGACATCAAGGTCATTCAATGTATTCTCGGAGTAGCCTCCCAACAAAAACAATTGAAAACCACTCAGCATATAGTTCATATAGTTCACATTTCAAACAAATCTTTGGACGCTTGTTGAATACTGGACCATATTTCTGAGTCAAAATACTTGAAAGTAAAGTAAAGTTTTGATAAGAACAATATTCTCTCTCTTTCATGGGGGACGAAAAATGCAACAGATGTAAAGCGCATCACTTGCAGTGGTGGGACTCATATCCAGATGCTAATATGAGAACTATACAACTTTACATCAGAGCTTAGTCTTCCACAATCACCATTACAGGTAAACTCAAGATGAAGATGAGATGGGAATTGAAAGAAAGGAAATTACACGAAGATATACCATTTCAGGGATGTCTAAATACTAAGATTTTGTCACAATTTGAAAGAATAGATCATTATGATCTTCTCCGTTTGATATTGACTCTGTACGAAAAGTCAATATATTTTATGAAGCCCCTGTCGGTGATGTATTTGCTACAGCCAGCCTTCTAGCGAAAGTTTGTGAACACCCGTGGAGTCATTCCACGAACCATCAAATAAGTTGTTAAAGTAGCCACTGGCACGGAGAAGAAGTTTGTGGAGCTTATAAGACTTCCCAAAGGCGGATACTTCAATATCCGAGTGCAACCCATCTTTCAATCTTACCGAGAGAGCTTCAGTAATACTTTCATTGATTAAGGGCATCTATTGAACGCGTTAGTCCTTCAGTTATATATGTTAAGGTGAACGATTCTAATTATCAACGGCCATGAATATCATCTGGCGAGTATAATTAATTAGTTGCAGCCAAATCTTGGCGGTTCTCTGAAATAACCTTATAGTTACTCCATACGTACATAATGGAAAGAATTACCGACTTTAGCTGTTTTTTAACTCACCGGGATCAAATTAGGAAACTACACAATGAAGCAACTTCATATATCCAGTAGCGTTTTCATTTAAATAATGTTTAACTGATACTTCTACATAAGTTAGAAGCCAGCTTGCAAATTAAGCTCGGGAAGTGTTATACTCAGAATATATTGAGCACCATAGTAGCCTTAATGCTTGTACCTCCTTTTATAATGCTGCCTGTACACTCGTTCTTCTTCAGTTGAAAAACCAGTAATGTACCCAAACCAATCGTTTCTATATAATCATGGTTGTAACCTTTATACTGCATAACATTTTCTTCTGTTATATGTAAATATAGACCGTAGACCGCTGATAGAGTACTTCTCAGGTCGTGAGCCAATAATGGGAATTGGGAAGTTGTAGAATCCTTGTTGAAATCAGACAAATCCAACATGCGAGCCTGTCGACCATAATTTTCTAGTTCAGTGGACAGGAGTCCTTCCAGAGATTCAAATTCTTTGATTTGATTTTCCAGGGTAACCAAGATGACAGGCTTACTTTTGAATTTAAAGTAGTTGATATTCGGGGGAGTATCCTTATGAAACAGCAAAAAATATGATACATTTGACTTTCCCTTCTTTGATCCAACTTTAGATCTCAGAATCATATGCCACCATGTATTTCCAAGGTAGTCACCTGCTTTATAGAAGTAATTCATGCCTTCTGAAAGCTTGTCTGAGTCATTTATCACGATAGAACATCTTAAGGGAGGGACAGATGAAACATGATAAATCTTGTCAATCAGCTCATCTGTAGAATATTTGGTCAAATCTTTAGATTTGTTGCCATTGTTTTGTAATATTCTTCTTTCAATTGAATCTAGAGTTCCCGTAAAGAACAGGAAATCTTGGTTTACTACAGACTTACCCTTTTTGCATATATCTGCCATAGTAGAATCCTTTCTGAATATCTGGTTCTCACAGAATCCAACCTTTAAGCCTGTGGTCTTTATTATACGTCTCTGTATTTCTCCCTGTTGCCATAACGATTTTCGAATAACTTCAGCGTCTAATATATCAAGATCCTTCAACTTATCCTCGGAGTACTCTTGCAAAGTATTTAATTGAGGGGAACTCAAATTAGTATAATAGATATGATACTTAAACAATTCTTTGAACACTTTGTGATATTTGGGCCATTCTTCATGGTCAACGATATGCTTGAAAGCAAAGGAAAGCTTTATTAAAAACAAAACTCTCTCCCATTCATTGGGAACGAAAAATGCATCTGAACTGAGAGCTCGTCTAATAACATCAGGGGGAATACCTATCCAATTATTAATATCAGCCTCCCATCCCGAATTGCACAATAAATTCACAATCAGGTGGATAATAGCAATTCTAACCCCACAATCACCTTCATATGCGAAGTCAAGATATGAAGCTATATTAGACATAGAAAAAGTGCAAATGACATGAAGGGTTGCCGTTCTAACGAGTTCGGGAATATCCAAGTACTGAGCCGTTTCAATGACGTCGAGGAAGTTGTCATACTCACCTTCTTGGAAAATGATATTTACTCCATACAAGAAGTCAATACAATATTTGAAGCCCCTGTCGGTGATATATTTGCTACAGCCTTCTAGTGATAGTTTGTGAACACCCGTAGAGTCATTCCACGAACCATCAAATAAGTTGTTAAAGTAGCCACTGGCACGGAGAAGAAGTTTGTGGAGCTTATAAGACTTCCCAAAGGCGGATACTTCAATATCCGAGTGCAACCCATCTTTCAATCTTACCGAGAGAGTTTCACCAAAATTTTTCTTGGTTAAGGGCATCTATTGAACGCGTTAGTCCTTCAGTTATATATGTTAAGATGAAAGATTCTAATTATCAACGGCCATGAATATCATCTGGCGATTTGTTAATTAAATAGTTGCAGCCAAATCTTGGCGGTTCTCTTAACTAACCTTATTGTTACCCCATAGAGAACATATCGCACAGAATTACTCTCCTTTTTTAACCCACCGGAACCAATTTGGAAACTACAAGGTATAGCCCTAAATTGGAAGGTGAAAGAGAGGGAATGGCGCTTTGCTCGCCAATTCAACGAGATCAGAGATGACCAAGTACAGAGCACGATAACTCAAAGTCACCTAATTCGTAGTCAGAGGAACGGGACCTCCACTGCTAGTGGCCCACGGAGTTCGAGTGGAGAGATACAGTCTTCACCGTGGAACCACTACTTCAAAGTTTTGTCCACTCGTTTTGCAGCCAAATTCCTTGACATAAACTCGTCTTTCTATCTACGAATACTACACTATCAGGCCATTCTGGTTTCAAAGGAATTGTGCTAAATAATTTACAAACAAAAATACATTTAAAACCATTAATTAACCCGTATACACCCAAAACTAAAAAAGGGAAACCTGAAAATGTTTATTACAAGAGTAAAATTACATAACACACCTCAAGGAGATCCCCAGTTGTAGCAGAAAATAAATTTTATTCGGCACGCTTAGTTCATTTGCTTAACCAAAGCGTTGATGAATTGTTCTCTGTTACCGGTGTCACCACCTTGGATAAAGTGTTGGAACTTTCTTTGTCTGAAACCACCGTTAGGGTTAGAGAGCTTGAATGGCCACAAGAAGTTGTTGACTTGCTTGAAGTTTGGACCAACAGTGTAGATTTCGTGAATCAAGTCTTCAATAGACAAGATACCGTACTTACCGAGGTTAGCTTCAATGATAGAGTTGTCGGACAAACCAATTCTTTGCTTGTTGATCTTACCGTAACCTCTCTTGTAAACCAACTTTCTGATGGTAGACAAAGATGGGTAACCGTAGGCAATGTATGGTTCAGCCAACTTGATCAATTCAGCGGTAGCCTTGGTCAATCTGACGAAAACACCAGCGTTAATTTGGGTCAAACGTAACAATTGCAAGACCTTTCTTGGCTTAGGTGGGATCTTCATGATACCCTTGATTCTGACGACGAAGACCAACTTGTCTTGGGCATCGACGTAGTAAGAACCAGCAGCCTTGGCGTCACGCTTAGCCTTGATGACGGAACGTTCAGCTTCAGCGTATTCCTTGGTGTAGGCAGCAGCTCTGTCAAAGATGATTTGACGCTTTTCCTTGTTGGCCTGTTAATTGTTAGTAAAAACCGTTTTGGGTAACTTTTTCCCCGAACGCGCACCAACTTTCCTTTTATGACAAACCGATTTTCTCAGCCCCGAAAGATGGTTAACTGATGGACAACATTGCCTTAGCTAGTCAAATCATGGTGGATATTACTTCATCTTCAAAAATGTGGTATGTCATTGGATAGAGTGTGTTTGGAGAATTTTCTTTTTTCTTGGATTAAATAATACATACAGCTTGTCTAGCCTTCTTTTCGGCAGCACGTTGCTCGTTGGTCTTTTGGTCAGCCTTAGCCTTCTTGACGTGGGTTTCTGGTTTCAAAGTACTGAAGTTAGTTAGTATAAAAAATTTCGTCACAGGGCACAAAGAGAAAGTCTCCGAGTGCTCCTGAAACATCGTTCACCCCCAAGATCTAATCGTCGATGATGCACACGTCGGAAAGACATGTGCCGGAATAGAACTGAACGGCCAGGTTCATTCATACTCCTCATCTAAGACGGTACTCAGAGGAAAACAGATGTATCAGGCATTGGCAAGAAGGTTGTGTTTTTCACGTCTGCAAGATAATCTAGCTTTCCCAAGGTATACAAGCGGGTCCCTAGAAGGGTCGCTTCATCGTGATCAGCATGTTCTACTGCACGTTATATACAACCAGCAACTATATTGTAGGTACATACGTAGCCATTTTGATTGTTGATACAAAGAACAAAAGAAAAGAATTTAAAAGAGGAAGTGAAAATTTTGAAATTTATGCGATTCTCGATGGGGCAAGATGCGAAAGCGAAAATTGAGAAAAAAAAAAAGTTCCCAGGTAGGAGAAAATGAAAAATTTAGGGATATGTGTGGTCACGTGAATATGCTATGTGGTTAGGGCTAAGCCCTTGGTTGTCATAGTAAATTTGGTTGCAAAACTGAGACACACAATTGTCTCCGCTACTGACTTAGGGTATTCTCTACGTGCATTGAAGATATGGGGGGGAACCTATTATATCAAAAGCCTGGTATTGATACACATTGATTGTCAACAGAGCGTCGTCGGGCTCTGAGAGGGGATTGACTTCGTATCGTGTCTAAGTTGCTCTACATGCCATTGCTCGGGGGAAGCAACTGTGTGGAGCTTACCTCCCATACGAGGAGTTCTTGTAATCACATGTCAATTCCTCATCAGAGGAACAAAGCCCCCAAGGCTGGTGGCCCAAGGAGAGCCAGAGGAGCAGCTAGCAGCCCCACCAGGAAAAGAGCAGTACCGCCCTAAGGGGTCAGGTTGGCGCTCCGCTAGCCCTACTCGGAGAGAGCCACTGCGTGGAGCTTACCTCCTCTACGAGGAGTAGTTGTGCTCTCCCCTAGGAGCTCCTTGTCAGAGGACAAAAAAAAACCCACAGTCGGTTCCTCACAATATGCCAGTATAGCGTCTCACTATCCCACAATTGATCGCATTCTATGACCCTATTAGTAAACGTGGGAAGCAATTGTTAGGGAGCCAGCGAACTATGCTTCTCATGGAATGTGTACTATTGCTTTTGTTTGACTCGGCCCCACAAAAATTGCTCACCAGTAGATAACTCTGCATATTAACGGTTGCAAAACATGACTAATGAGAAATCAGGTGGTGGTCGGGCCATGTTATCGGGTGATAGCGGGTTTATTACATGCAATGTTGAAAAGGAAAGAATAAATTAAGGAATATATTAATATATGTACATGGTGAGAGATTTAAACCTTTTGTGAAGCCTTTTCTTCCAGCTCCAACTTTGCATCGATCCCGTTGTAAACTTCGGCTTCCAACTCGGACTCATCGATATCAACAGTCTTTTGAGGTCCATGGTAATGCTTGTGGGCATAGACAAAGTAATAGATAAGTGACAAGATCCAAACACCTGGGGTGATCACACAGGTATAGTTCATGGTGGTGGATTGAGGGTTTGGGTTTGCTGGGAACATCACCATGACAATGACAAAGCAAATGAAGGCAACTGCAGTCCAACTGATGACTGGAGACCAAAAGTCACCCATGTAGAATGGACCAGGCTTAAATTTGCTCTTACCTGAGGTCAATCTAAAGAAAATTGGAGAACCCCAGGCAAAATAATTCCCGGCAATGTACAAGGAAAACAAGGCATTTGCCGCGGTTGGTCCAATCAAACATAATAACCCAAGGATAATGGCCAAGATCCCACCAAACCAAACGGCATTGATAGGGACCGACAACTTCTTGTTAACCTTCTTAATCCAAAAGGAGAATGGTAACCCATTATCACGGGCAAAGGCCCAAATTTGACGAGAAATGGCAGTCAAAATCGAGGCACCCATCATGAATTGGGCAATGGCAATTAAAACCATGAATACAATGGCCCAATCTTTCCCCAAGGCATCATAGATGACTTGAGCCATTGGTTGGCCAAATTTGGATCCAATAATATGACCTTCAATGTCATTAGTTTGAATACAAGCCAAAGTAACAATCAAAATAACCGTACCTAAACCGAAACAGGCGGAAATCGAACCAAGGATCCCAATAGGAATGGCCCTAGTTGCATTATGGGCTTCTTCAGACATATGGATACAACTATCAAAGGCACCAATCGTCCAGATAGAAGGCATCCAAGACAACATGAATTGCCAACCTTTAGGCCACATGGAGAAATTATCCAATTGTCCAAAGATGTAGGCACCATCTTTGAAATGAGGTCTGGCTCCAATTGGTAAGGCAATGATGAAAAGGGCAATGAGTCCGAGATTGACAATCACTGATGCAGTTTGCAACCGAGAACAATGCTTGGAAGCGGCACAAGTAAGCAAGATATGACAGAATACACAGGCTACAAAGACCCCATAAGTCTTTGCTGGAGTGATGGTAAAGTCACCATCCTTGGCAATGACCACTACACTTAAAACTTCTTGAGCAAACCCATAATCAACACTACAAAGAGCACCGACAAGGGCAATCGAGTTTGTGTTCCCCACAACGTAGGAGATTACAGTCTTATACTTTGGAGGAGCAAAATAATTTGTCCAATAATACAACCCACCGGAGGTTGGCATACTGGAACCAAGTTCCGCCATCCCAACACCAATAGTGAGAATAAACAGAGATGCCGCAACCCATCCCCAAAGCGCGCCGGCTGGACCTGCAGTCAACGCAGTACTAAGAACAGAAGCAATAGATGGTAAAAGACCCATAATTGAGAATGCCACCCCGAAAACTTGCAAAGTGGAAAAATGTCTTTGTAACTCTGGTTTGTACCCAATTTCTGCTAAAAGTTGGTTGTCAGAGGTTGACATGATTGCATCAATCTGAGGTTCCTCGACATTCTGTGTGTTATTGTAAAACTTCTTGTTTGAATTAACCTGTTGGATAATTTGTTCTCCTGAGAGAACTGGAGCTAGGCCAGACGACATTGTTCACAAGGTATGGATGTTTACTAATAGTTGACGCCTTAGTGAAGAGTGCGACTCCAAATATCTTATATATAGAGCAGGATTATGCCTACCCGATGAGATTGTAAGTATAAGCAGGAACTCTAAAAGATCTTAAGCGGATTTGTGTTCGCATTTTGTTCTGATAAGGGTACTTACTTTCCCTATTGGGCATTGATAAGAGCGCGTAATCACATAAAATTTTAAGATAGTGGTTACATGCATCTAGAATGCAGGGACACTATGAAGAAACCAGAGACAATGGTTTACGTCTAGGTAGTTGGTGGTGGGTGAGGCGTGGCCGCTTGATCAGTGGTTAGCGGGATTTTGATCTGACCGGGAAAATTCCACTGGATCTTTCAATTCCGTTCAATTTTTTTTTTTTTCTCCCTTCATGCTAAGAAGACCTTTGCGGGTAAATTTTGATTACATGCATATTGAGATTTATTGCATATCCGCCACATATTGATGAGTGTGTTAATAGATACCAGAGATATGAAAGATACGTAGCGCCGCAAAGTCTTGGTACTTGATGTGTGGGTGATGGATATTGTAGAATATCCAATCATTGTGCAGAAATAAAAGGAATTCCTCCGCAGGTCGGTAAGCGAGATGAAATCGAGCAAGGAGGAATGTCGATTAAAAAATTAGGTGGGATACACTCACTGTACTCATCTAAGAGGAGGAGCTAATCTCGACACAGTGGGTCCCCGAGCATCACAGTGGCCCGTAGGGCTGAGATTTTGATTCTCTATGGGCTGCAAGCCTCTTCGCTGGTATTGCATGGCCCGCTAGCCGTGTGGGCCTAGAGGATCCCCGTAGTGTCTTCTCTAAATTTTAAAGTCTCCTCGAAGGGAGCTAGGCACCACGCAGTTGCTCTCCCCGAGTAGGGGCCAGCGGAGCTTCACCCAGACCCCGTAGGGCTGTTGTCCCAATTAGGCCTGTAAGATAACTTTGTAGTACATCGTAAGAACGTTGACACTCCACCCACAGGGTTTCATAGATACCATTTATTTTCATATTTATCGATACATTCTACTTCTCTACTTGCCAAACGAATAATCACCTGCAACCCATCTGTTCACCATATCAAGGGAATTTTCTGGTTGGTCGTATGGAACCATGTGACCAGCATCGTAGATACGAAGGAAGGTGAAAATTCCGTGATTCTTGACTTCTCCACCAACTTCCCCAGCCAGAGTAATCCATTTTTGTAATGGTTTAGCGGCAAAAAGGTCATGCTCAGAGTATTCCAAGGCATCAGACCAGGCGTGGTTACCCAACCAGTTACAAATGTAGTCCTTGTCACCAGCATAAAGCAAGACAGGGATGCCATATTCAAGTAATTCCGCCACGTATTGTTGGAATGGTTTCATTTCATCTCCATCAAGCAAAAAATTTCTAAACACAGTTTCATCACAACTGCTGAAAATGTCGATATTAGAAGCTCCAACGGCAGCCTTGACAAATTCAGTGGTAAGATAGTCATCTATGTAGTCCATCTCCTTGTAACAATTGCCACCATCGTCCTCGCATTGCATACGGATATCGTAAACATTCAATCCGGTGGATGTGTAGGCATTCATCATGCTAGATTCACAGTAGATGTTTGCTGGGACACAAGTGAGGGCACTAGGAGCGTTGTAGCAAAGCTCAGTAAGAAGGGCACATTTTGGATAGGTTCTATCCATTTCATCACATTGATCGTCGGTTAATACTTGACGATATCCACCTTCTCCACAGGCCATGGGCTTATAATGGGCGTATTGGATCAAGGCATCGGTGATCCCATTACCAATCAAAACAGAAGAAAGTTCAAATGACCGGTCGGCATTGTTGATGATCTCACTGGCAAAGCTAGGGATATAATGACCAGCATAAGACTCACCAGCAATATGGAACTTGTTATTGAGGAAAGATGGGAACTTTTGGAAGAATAATTCCAAAAATACAAACACATCCTTAGCGGCAGTGGCAGTGTTTTTCACGGCTTCACCTCCGGTGTAGGAGTAGCCTACACCAACTGGTTGATCTAAGAAGATAACGGACGCATTAGAGTTCCAAGAGTATGGGTTGTAGACCGGTTGCAAAGTGGCATTGATGGAGGAAGGACCCAATTCAAAAAAAAGACCCGTGGCGGAGGAACAACCAGGACCTCCGTTCAACCAAAGGATGATTGGATCGTTTTCAGGGTCGTTACGGGACTCAAAGAACCAATAGAAGAAATGTTTATCCAAGTCGACCACGTCCAAGTACCCAGTGTATTGTTTGACGGAGTCCAAGCCGAGAAGTTCCGGATGGTTTTCCTTAACTCTAAGGGAATAATTTTCATATTTATCATTGGAAAGAGATTCAAAGGTGACTGAGCTGTCCTTTGATTCTTCGGATGGTTTGGTAGGATTCTTAAAAGCGTTGTTAAAGTCAGTCACGGGGGACTTTGACAGACGATATTGGTCAATTTTCTTGGTTAAGAACTCCGGAGAGAATTCATTTTGGAGTGATTCCCAGGAGGCAAGTAAGTCAGGGTTGTTTAAAGTGTTGGTATCAGCCAGTTCCAATTTCAATTGAGAGAGAATATCTTGAAAAGAGGAAGAAATTGAAGAGCCTGAAGATTGTTTGTCAGAGTCGCCGAAAACGATGGCATTCTGTAAAAATTGTTGCTTGAGAGACTCCAAGGAGAATGCATTTGTGGATGTGATAGCCACAGCTATACCCAAAAGAGTAGAGAACTTCATTGGAGGGTTGGGGGGAGTGAAGCGGGGGATTCAACGAGATGGGGCGAGTATCGAGTATTTATACTTTTTCTTCTTATCAGTGCGGGAAAACGGTCCGAAAACGCTTTGGGATTCTCGAAATGCCGGCGCGCAGTAGCTGCCGTTCAATGCGGGGCATAGCCAAGACCCGTTCCAGGTGATTGAATTCGATGAACGAACAAGCTTAATGGGGTGGGTGGGATGGATAGGTGAGGGTGTTGGAGGGGGGAGGGGGGGGAGGGTGAGACAAAATTGGAGAATTGGAGGAGTTGAGGAGTGATACGGTAGTGGTTATGACGTCAGGAGATGAGAAGGATAATTCATTAGAGATGGTCTTTGAGGATCGTCTTGGGTCACAAAGTAGTAGTCGTAGGATGGGAGACAGTAAGTAACTGATAGCTAGAGTATACACTATGAATCTTGGTACTGAGACCTCGGGTTGCATGTACTCTAGAACGGAGTAAAGGAGTCAAGGCGAATTTCACGGATAATTCCTCGATAGAGGAGCAATGCCTCCACGGCTAGTGGCCCACGGAGTGCCAGCGGAGCGGCTTGCAGCCCCGCAGGGAAAGGAGAAGCTACCGCCCTACGGGGTCTGGTTGACGCTCCGCTGGCCCCTACTCGGGAAGAGCCACTGCGTGGTGCCTAGCTCCTCTACGAGGAGTGTTCACTGTCTGTGTAAGCATTTCCTCGGCAGAGGAACAAGGCCCCCACGGTCAGTGGCCCACGGAGTGCCAGCGGAGCGGCTTGCAGTCCCGCAGGGAAGGGGGTGGTATCACTCCATGGGGTCAGGGTTACGCTTCGCTGGCCCCAGCTCGGGGAGAGCCACTGCGTGGTGCCTAGCTCCTCTTCGAGGAGTACTCGCAATGCTCTAATAATCCCTTACTGTTGACACCGTGCTTAGATTCTCCTCTAGAAGTCTTTCGCTTTTTTGCAGCCACACCTCCTAAACATAAATGAAAGACAGGACTCCTACTCCTCTTGAAGTCTGTACATTATATCCATAGACTCTTGTCGTTGGCTCCTCTATTTTACCAACTCTCGTTTAGCATGCTACCCACTCCTTAAATAGTCTTTACTCATCATAGTACAAATAGAGTCTCATAGTCTTCTTGTTGATCCTCAATTTACGGCCATTTATATAATTCTCGCACTTTTCTTACAAACCACAAATAAAATAAATACCACATATAAAAAATCTCTAAAAATTCCCAATTTTTAAATCTATTCAACAATCTCTTACCTACACCCATTCACCAACCCCCCTAACATACTCTACACTTCTATTTAAACCTTCGTTTAACTCACCTTATCCTACCTCCTAATCGGACGTGCCCCGCCCAATTATCAAATCTCAACCTTTTTATTTTATTTTATTTTATTTTTTTCTTTCGCGCGAAAATCAAAACATTTAACCAAATTTTGACAACCAATTTTGACAACCAATTTTGAACATTTTCAACCTTTTTATACTCAATCCATCTAAAAAATGGTCGAATTCAACCCATCTTCAATCAGTATAACAACTACCAAGAAGTCGTACACGTCATATCCCAACGGGTCGTACGCAAACACGTTTTTAGGGTCAGGGAACTTGGGTCCAGATGTCATGACGCGAATCTTTATGGCGTTGAAGTCTGGGATTAATTCAGAAATTAAATGGGCATTATCAACAGTTTGTCTGCTTTCATTTAGTAGTCCTGGATTTATTAATTTTGAGAAATTCCCCTTCCTCGGCACAGAACTTATAAAATATTTCATACAACCATTTAAAGTGTCTACATCTAATAGAACAGAATTAATTGAAAGATTAAATTTTAGTTTAGATTCACTTTTAACTCTTCGAAATGCTTCACAAGATTTAATTAATCAACAATGGTTATCACTGGTTAAAAATTTAAAGAAAAACATTATTACTGTTTTGAAAACCTTGATTGGTTGGTACTATTTAGGTACTACAGATTCTACTCAATCTTCAGAATTATATGGTGAAGGATTTAATTATTTATTAGATCTTATTGAAACTCTTAGTTGTTATTATATTGACAACACAAAGACAGATCTGTTATTCCATTATTTGATTTCAATTTTATCTTATTCTAGAGATAAATATGTTATTATAAGTGTTGTTAAAAGTTTAGGACATTTATTAATAATAAGAGGTAATGAAGAAATTACTTCAAATTGTATTGATTCAATTTCAAATGATACTCTTGAACAATTAATTTCATTTTTTTTACTTAATGATGAAGAACTTTCATATGCAGTTTTACAATTCTTGAAAGAATATCTTTCATCTGAAGCAATTAATCAATCATATCCAACCATTAAAGAATCTCAACAATGGAGACTTGAACAACTTTTAAACAATAATTCAAATGTTAAAATCTTAATGAAACAACTTCCTCGATTGATAATTACTAATTTACCATTGAATGATCCTAAATTACTTCCTCAACTCCCTTCATTATCATTAACCAAGAGATCTTTACATTCTAGTGTTCCAACTTTGGTTCCAGAACTTTCTCTGCAACTTTATGATATCATTGTAAAATTCCATGAACCTTTAAGAGCTTCAACTTGGTTAAGATGTTGTTATGAACCAGTATATACCAATAATACCACTGAAGGGGTAGATAAAGATCTTTCGGGAGAAGTAACTCAAATTTCTCTTTGGAAAGCTTATGAAAAGCAATTTGATAAAGTATGGCAAACAAAAGAAGGTGAAAAGCAACCAGCTCATTCCCAATGGCCAAAACTTTTACCAGCAGTGGATTTTATTAAGAATGTAAGTGCTGCATTCCCACATTCTCAAGCAATGGTGGTTAATATTGAACCTGAAGAACCTGGTCAACAACCAAAACGTAAATTTATTATCAAGGGAATTCAACCACGTCAATTTGTAGTAAATATTGATGTGGGGAATTATGATGCCTTGAAGCAAAAACCTAGAGTTGCCACTGATTCAAATGATGATGTAGCAGACAGTTCACTCCCGATTGGACACGTTGACGTGGCCAAGTTTGACCATGGACTTGATTCTCTCTCCAGTTATATCACCAGCAACGGGTTGAACAAGGAGCATCTCCCCAGTGTCAACATGATCAGTCTGGAATTGATGGAGTACATAATTGCCAGTGTATTGGAAAAGGAAGGAGATTCTCACTTTATTGACATTTTCCGGGATGAAAACCTTTGGCTTAAAGATTGGATCTATGCCAATCCTAGTTTAATAGATGGTGGGATCTTTAGTGAGAAGTGGTTGGAATATTTGGTATAGATTAATGAGGAGATGTATAATATTAGACAATGAAATAATAGAAAAGGAAGCTGTAGCCACATCCCCGCAAGGAGTTCTACAACCCCTACGGGATATTTAAAACGCTTCGCTGGCCCCCTGCTCGGGAAGAGCCACTTTAGGAGAAACAAAAGTCACTACGGAAACTCCTCGTATAGGAGCTAGGACCCCCCACAACTAGTGACCCACGGAGTGCCAGAGGAGCGGCGGCTTACAACCACACAGAGAGTTGAGTTCTACAACCCTACGGGGGCCAGAATGACCCTGACCATCCACTGGGGCCCTACTCGGGGGTGAGCAATTGGGTGGTGCCCTATTGGCGCACGGAGATGTTGCAAATTGGAGCACTTAGATGCGAGGAGAGAGGTGCGAACATCAAAAACGAGCAAAAATAAAATCACCGCATTTTCAAAAATCTATTGTGACAATACTTTGTATTACTCATCTTGACTGTATATCAAAATGGCCCAAACTCCTATCAGTGTACGTGCTACCGATGTCGTCCACAGACTCACCGTCTTGGGGTTGCTTGGTTTCTCCGCCGTAGTGGCAGGAAGTGTATGCTACAACGTGTACATGAACTCCGACTACGCCACCATGAACAGAAACAAATTGAAGTTCAACAAGTCTGAAGCTGACGAACACAGAGCGCAACTTAACCAGGAAAAGTAAATGGATTCTCCAATACATATTCCGAAAGATCCGGCCTGTGGCTGGTATTGATGTACATAGTAATTTAGTTCTGAATATAAACAGATCGCTTTAAAAATTTGTAGTGTCTCTCTACAGGGACTACCATACCCACGGGGGTGTACGTCCGGGGCGTACTGTGTAAGGGGCAGTAGATCTCAAGTAGTAGTTCTCTGGAATAGTCTAGTAGACACTCTACTAGACCACTTCTCCTCCCTATGGGCACTCCATGGGCCACTAGCTGGGGTGGCGTAACTCCTATACGAGGAGTACCCGTAGTGACTAGTCTGGCTTTTAAAGTCTCCTCGAAGTAGAGCTAAGCAGCACAAAGTAGTTCTCTCCGAACAGGGCCCAGCAGAGCGTCACTCTGACCCCATAGGGTTGTAGAACTTGAGTCCCTGCGGGGTTGTATACCGCTCCGCAGGCACTCCGTGGGCCACTAGCCGTGGGGGCCCTGCTCCTCTTCGAGGAGTACCATTAGCGTCATCTGTTTCTGGTAAAGTCTCCTCGAAGAGGAGCTAAGCACCACGTAGTGGCTCTCCCCGAGCAGGGGCCAGCGGAGCGTTACTCTCACCCACACGCGTGGATCTGTATGCGGGAATGCTTATTACCTCTATAGGGTTGCAACATAGACATATCAGGCTCCATACATAGTCTCTATATCCCGTAATCTCGTTATATTCATACTATACATTCTATACTTTGTCCAGGTCCCGGCCCTGGCCCAGGACCAGGCCCCACAGAGTGCTGGGTAATGACCGAGCTCTACTACTTCTTTGATTTCTTGGCTCTGGACTCTCCATCTACATCTCCACTACGTTTCTTTGTCTTCTTCTTCTTCTCCTTGATCGGCTTCTTGTTATGATGGACATGTAGAACCTCGCTTAAATGCTTCATTTTCAGTTCATTCCATTCAGTGCGTTCATCTGAGTTATCCATGCGAACGATGTCGTGGGTGTAGGAGAACTCCTTGGAACAACTGGGACACACGGAATCCGATTCCCCAGCCTTCTTAACCTCATTCAACATCCGGAACGATACTACACACCCACAACTTCTCAAGTAACAAACGTCCTTGCGAACACTCACAGGACAAACCATCTGGTTGTCTTGCCAAGTCACTTGGAGCTCAACTATATCATTGAGAGACCTCAAATGGGAAAGCTCACATTCATCATTCTCCTTCTTACCTTCGACTTGTTCTTTATTCCGCAAATTCTCTAGAACCTTCTCTAGAACCTTCTCCTTAATATACAAAAACCCCTTGTAGTCCCCAACAACTTTTTCTCCACTAAATGCGAGCGACGAGATCTTACACACGGGTCCTTCACCGTCAACTAATCCATTAACCCCGGTGTTTTTCGCATCAAGTTCCCGATGTAACAGAATGATGTCCTGTCTCTTAGCTATGGTCCCACCATCATTACCCATCTTTTTTTACAATAGTCTATATAATTTCTATCCAGCCGTTTGTACCCATGTATGTGTTTTTTTTTTCTCACTCTCACAAAATTTGACAACCAATCTGTTCATCAAACCATCAAACCTCTGTACTTGTCTGATCATCAACCTTTCATCAAACAATGTCAGCCCAACCGAGAAAGATTGACTTGTCGCAACTCCAGCCTCAACAGATTGTAGAGCTCCGCAAAAGCACAGAGCAGGAGATTCAACACTTTACTCAATCCTTACAAGCACTCCAAACCGCCCAAAGTAAGCTCAAGGATTGTATCACCAGCATCGACGGCATGGCTTCCTCTGAAGCTTCCGAGCTCTTGGTACCCTTGACCTCTTCCTTGTACCTTCCTGGACGGGTTGGCAACAAGGACCGCTACTTGGTGGACATTGGTACTGGGTACTTCGTTGAGAAGCTGGCCAAGGAAGCCAAGTTGGTGTACGAGGGCAAGATCAACAAGCTTAACGACGATTCCAAGAAACTCAAGGACATCTTGGTACAGAAGAATGAGATCTTGAACAGCATGAGTTTGGTCTTGAGACAGAAGATGATCCAATACGAACAGCAGCAGCAAGAGCAGCAGGCTGCCGCGTAGATACCATAGGAGAGGAAAGCAACAAAAGAGACGTCATACGAAGGTAAATAGATTTATATAATATACAATACGATAACTGGTTATGGTGTAGGAGGTGTAAACTCCCTAGAGGGAAAGCGTTACCCTGACTCCGTAGGACCACAACTTCCCTGCGGGGGCTGCAAGACGCTCCGCTGGCACTCCGTGGGCCACTAGCCGTGGGGGCCTAGTTCCTCTAACGAGGAATTGCCAGGAAAGAGGTCACTCCTCGTAGAGGAGCTAAGCTCCACGCAGTGGCTCTCCCCGAGTAGGGGCCAGCGGAGCGTCACCCTTGGACATAAGACCCTGGGTGAACAGATCTAAGAAGTCTAGTAGAAAGAGTTACATTGTAGTCTATTAATCTATGTAGTTCCTATTAAAGAGCGTCTCGTAATACACTAGAGAGATAGAGAGCTCTCTCCTCTTCGTATCTTGGGGTGACCACTTGGACACCCGCAGGGACGCCGTCGAAAAGCTCGGCATCGTAGTAGTCGTACAACTTCTGGTCGTGATCATTGAGAGGAATGTACGACTCATCCTTAACGTCAATGTACTTGTCTGCCACTGTGACAGGCGTCACCACACACGCGTAGTCCAACACGTTGGTTGCCACCGAATACGATCTGCTGAAAAGCGCCAAATCGTCAGGCTTGAAGGAACATGACTCCCATTGCGGCATGATCACCGCGTCCACGGGCCGACCTGTGGTGGTCTCAGATGCGGTAGACTGCCAGTACGCGTCCACTAGCTGTTGGTACTCGTACTTGGTCTTGGCTTGATCCCAATGCTCATGGATGTGCGAAACCCCCTTTGGTAAACCACCCGAGGTTCCAGCAAGACTAAACACGGCCTTGACGAGTGGTTCACCCGATTTACTACACTCGTCAACAATCTCCTTGTACGAATCACTACTGAAAACACCGGCAGAGAACTTACGACACTCAACCACACTCACGGGAGGCGCCCATTCAATCACTTGATGCCCCTGAGCCTCAAGCGCTTGTCGCGCCAATTTAAGCGCTCTTTCAATTGGAGGGTGAAGTCGTCCCAACCCGTTCCCCGTGAGCATGGCAAAGCTCAATTTCTTTGGGTAGGTCGACCTGACATCTCTCCAGGGGATCGGGGGTACCTTGGGGTCTTTCAACCATGGCTTGGCTTCAAGTACCACCTTGGTGAGGAGTTCCAATGCGTCCAAATCCCAACTCATGGGGCCAATCACCGAACAAATGATCGGCGCATTGGCATATGAATTGGTCACTTTACAATACGGGAGTCTATTTGAACTTGGCCTCAACCCATACAATCCTTGGAACATACTTGGAGTTCGGATACTTCCGCCTAAATCTGTGCCTAAGCCGATAAGCGATCCGCGAGCGCCTATTAACGCGCCTTCTCCACCAGAAGATCCACCACTGGTGAGTTTCCTATTGTACGCATTAAGGGTATATCCATAGATATTGGACACCGTAGTGGCTGCCATCATGGCCATGGGGGTCGTGGTCTTGACGTAAAACACCGCACCAGCATCCTCTAAAATGGTGGCAATGTTTGACACTTCATCCTTACTCTTTGGTTTGTTTACAAGTGATACATACCCAATAGCAGAGTCGATTCCTTCCAAATTGACCTGATCCTTAAGTGAAATGGGAACCCCATGAAGTGGTCCAATAGTCTTACCCTCCTTCATGAGAAATTCGTCAAGTTCTTGTGCCTTTTGCAACGCTCTATCGAAAAAAATCTCACTACAACAAGTGGTAAGTTGGTGCGCTAAGGCTGCCCGGTGACAGAATGCCCTAGTTACAGCAACCGAAGTTAACTCTCTGGAAGCTAACTTCCCACTCAATTCCTTAATGGGGAGATTAGTGATCTCCCTCTCCTCCTTAGTAAGCGCCTCTTCTATAAATTCTCTGGCGTTGCGAACTTCTTCTACACTAGGGATTTTTCCCAACCGCCATTCGGGAGGAATTGAGTCATCAACGGCCTGCTTCTTGCCCGCAGCAATGTCTTGCCAGTCCTGAACCGTCATCTATGTTCTATACAATTATCTACTATTGTGTGGCGGGATCACCCCTCCCCCCTGATATAAATAAAATTCACCATAAATAGACTATAGCGATAAGCGCGCGCACACACACACCAACACTACGCGCAAATTTCCCAACTGGGTAGAAGGCGCACTTATGTTGAATAGATAACACCCTGAATCTAAAACAGAGATGCGCTTATCACATTTAAGGGTCATATACCCCGGTTAGGTGGGTATAGACGAACCCACGGGGGTCTGTGAGCCGCTCCGCTGGCATTCCGAAGCTCTCCCTGAGTAAAAGGGCCCCAGCGGAGCCTCACATTGACCTCGTAGGGTTGTAGAACTCCCTTCCCCTATGGGGGCTGCAAGCCGCTCCGCTGGCACTCCGTGGGCCACTAGCCGTGGAGGCCTTCTTCCTCTATCGAGGAACTGTGCTTGTAGTGTAGAGATCCCCATAGAGGTGCCAGGTTCCACACTCGAGAAACGCCGCTCGGGGTATATGATAAGAAAGCGACGCACTGACTCCATAGGGCTTGAGGACTGGACTTCTCATGGGGCTTAGGACTTGGGGACATGATCAGGTACGCGGACACTCCGTGTGCACTACTGGTAGTGACGTGCACACGGCATAGTATTCCCGCGGTGAAAGTGGGAGAGTCTCCCCACAGAGGTGATACACACACTTCAGTGCCCCCCTCTTCGCGTATGGGCTCAACAGAACGTCCCTGCAGCCCCATAGAGAAGGCTCGGGGTTCTCATAGTACCTCTTTAAGCTACTGATACGCCGCTTAAATTACCGCCAAACTCAGTACGTCCTGTTCCTCCCCCAACGATTGGCTGCAAAATTCTCCTGGTGCATCATCTTCCGCGTCTAGTGCCTCCTCCCAGAGAGCGGTCTCGGCTCTCCTCGTCAGAGGAGCCAGGCCCCTACGGCTAGTAGCCCACGGAGTGCCAGCGGAGCGGCTCGTAGCCCCGCAGGGAAAGGAGCAGTATGGCCCTACGGGGTCAATGCGACGCTCCGCTGGCCCCTGCTCGGGGAGAGCCACTGCGTGGAGCCTAGCTCCTCTTCGAGGAGATACCTGGTAGTCCACTCTTCCTCGTCAGAGGAACCAGGCCCCCACGGCTAGTGGCCCACGGAGTGCCAGCGGAGCGGTTCGTAGCCCCTTAGGGAAAGGAGCAGTATGGCCCTACGGGGTCAGGGTGACGCTCCGCTGGCCCCTGCTCGGGGGAGAGCCACTGCGTGGAGTTTAGCTCCTACGAGGAGTGGGCCCTCTCTGCTAGTGGCCCACAAGGCTCAAGCGGAGTGCCTTGGGAGCCCCACGAGGGTCGATTCCTCGGTAACTTCCTCGTCAGAGGAACAAGGCCTCCACGGCTAATGGCCCACGGAGTGCCAGCGGAGCGGCTTAGAGCCCCGTAGGGAAGCGAGCCCCCCCCCCCCCCCCTGTCCTACAGTGGTAGTACCCCATTTTTGCACCCATTGCTGTCTACCCCCCTCGATGACAGCAGAGACCATGACTGGGCCACCCTGCAGGACGCTCCATGGACCATGACAGGCTCTCGATCTGATGATGTGTCCCAGGTCAATGAGTGGGGGGTCGCCACCCTTCCTAGTCTTGGTCATCTTTACAGTGGAAAACCCTTCTTAAGAGCCCAGTAGTGCGTATGATGTACGGTCGCGAAATTATTTTCTAGCCAGGTACAATGGATTCGTAATAAGCTGCACACCCCCCCCACGTTTAAGTTCCTTGGCGCTTCGGTCGGCCGCATGAACACCAACAACAGCACTAAGCTCGACAGAATGGGCCAGAAAATATATAAGAGTGGGCCGCCACTACATCTACTCCCTACCACTACAGCAAGAATCAAAAATAAAATAATATAAAATATTATAAATCATGTCTAAAGTTCCATTGGTAACCAGAAAAAACATCAAGGACGCTGAGGCAACCAACGCTGAGTACTTGGCCAAGATCAACAAGACCTTGGGCACCGAGTGGACCTTGGACGTGGACTACGCTGGGTTGTATGCCGAGATCGCCACCGCTAAGCCAGATTATGCTGAAACCGTCGGTGACGTGACCACTTGGTACTTTGAGAGATTGGCAGACAATCTCGAATCCTTCGTTAACAAGGACGATATGTACAAGGAGGCTTTGGTTGAAGAGGTCTCTGCCAACAAGATCAAGGCGTTCGAGATCGTGGACGAGGACTCCTTCTACAACAAGGTTGCCATCAAGGATGGCGCCTTGGTGTTGATTGTCCCCAGAAACAACATCGCCACCAACGTCGACAATATTGCCCAAGATTTGGAATCCATTCTTTAGGGGGTGCAGATTTTAGTAATAAACGTTTTTAATTAGTGCAGAAGGTTGTAGAGAAAGTACGTGAATATTTTTTAAGACGTACATGTAGAGGGGAGCATGTGTTAAAGTTAGGGTTCAGGGGAATCTGCGGCTCACGCTTCCCCAGTTTCTAAGAGAGAGTATGTGTGTGTGTGTGTGTGTTGAGACTCTGAGGCATGGCTACAAGAAGACCTGGACTGATCTATTTGATATGAATGTTTTTTTGCAACTACCATATAAACGCAGCCTCACTTTGCAGCGAAATTATTGATACCTACATTAGGAAAGAGTACTGCACTCGGGTTCGAGAGGTTTTCTTAATTCCGAAATCGCACTATTGGCCCCATACAACCGCATTCTCCCCCAATTAAGAATCTTTTTGCCTCCACTGTGGCGCGCCTCCACACAGTGTGGGTGATTTATTTTTCGCATCCACTTCCTTTTCAGAGTCAGAAGGTCTTCATGAAGAATTACTCGAAGAAAGGGAAGGAAGTCCTGCAGGATTTAGCCAATGACGTAATGCCGAGACTGGTGCCTCCTTAGCGAGAGGCCCTCTCTCGTGGTTCTCCCATTAAGGAGGATGTTGGATCGTTTTGAAGTCTCATTGGCCCTTTCTCGAGGAAGTGAGTCATGGCACTAACCCCGTAATCCTTCGAACTCTTCGGGGTCAGGGTGACGCTCCGCTGGCCCCTCCTCGGGGAGAGCCACTGCGTGGTGCCTAGCTCCTCTTCGAGGAGACATCTGTCTGTCAAATCTTCCTCGGCAGAGGAACAGGGCCTCCACGGCCAGTGGCCCACGGAGTGCCAGCGGAGCGGCTCGCAGTCCCGCAGGGCAGCGGGTAGGACCACCCTACGGGGTCAGGGTGACTCTCCGCTGGCCCCTGCTCGGGGAGAGCCACTGCGTGGTGCCTAGCTCCTCTTCGAGGAGTGCTCACTGTCTCTCCGGGCGTTTCCTCGGCAGAGGAACAGGGCCTCCACGGCTAGTGGCCCACGGAGTGCCAGCGGAGCGGCTTGCAGTCCCGCAGGGAAGCGGGTAGTACCACCCTACGGGGTCACGGTGACGCTCCGCTGGCCCCCGCTCGGGGAGAGCCACTGCGTGGAGCCTAGCTCCTCTTCGAGGAGATCACCAGCACTTCATTGTTAGAGCCCCTAGGGCTAGTGGCGCACGGAATGACAGTGTAGCGGCTTGCATCCCCATAGAGTAGCCCGGTTCTTTTCTACCTACTGAGCCAGTTTGACCCTCCACGGGGCCCTCCCTCATGGACCGTCACTGTACAAAACTTCTTCTTTATGCCTCTTAGACGTCTTGTTTAGCAGGAATGTAGACTCTACCACTCCTTGTTATAGATGAATGGTTCCAGAAAGACCAGTTTCATGTTCTCTACCTTTCTTGCCCCCAACCCTTGTATGTTGCCCAATTCTTTTCCCTTACAACTCTCTTTGACAATTTTCTCAAATGATTTGCAATTGGCGAGCAAATTAACCACGTCGGTCTTATTGACCGCGCGAATGCTCGTCAAGCTGCTGACAATGCACGACCGGTAGTCATCACTTTGTACCCCTCGAATCGCAGTCGTGTCAACACGCGAAGCTATGAGCTCGTGATCTTTCCCAAAGCAAATGTAATTAGCAGCCTCCTCGTATGACCATGCCAATACTAACGACATGTCTGACCGCACACATTTGACCGTCAATTCGCGGAGCACTTCCTGATGTGAGTCAATGTCCACCACCACCAAGAGAATACGTAATGATCGATCTGTTCCGGATGAAGTCAGTGCCCCCGAGGTCCCGCGGTTGATCCCCTTGAGTCGTTGATCTATGTACTCAGGACGGAGCTTATGATATTTAAGCAGAAGGAATAGATATTGAAGGGTCGGATTGATATAATAATCGGATACAATGGTGTCATCATACGTCCACCGTTTCGTTTTCATTGATGGCGCTTGTAAGAGAGGATTCCCCTTTTGTTTACTTGATACTTTAATGACAGACGATGTTTGTACGGCAGGTCCTCCTCTTGCCACTGGGGAGTAAGTTCTAATTGGTCTTTCTGAAACAAGTGGTGTTCTTTCTGAAACAGGGGGTGCTTTTTCTGAAACAGGGGGTGCTCTTTCTGAAACATGGGGGGGAGTGAAGGTTATTGGTACTGGCTGCTTATCAATCAGTGGCAAACTTTTTCTACTTTCCACCACCACATCATCCAGCTTTTGTTCCAGATCCCCATACTGCTCACGCATGCGTTGCACCCCGGCAAGGATGCTAGCAAACGAAGATTGGTCTGTTTCTTCAGCCATATTATGTGTCAAAAAAAGACTATCTCAATAGCCGCTAAGGATTTCCCTTCTCTCATTTTATTTCTTGTATTATTTTTTTTGTTCTGTCCCTCCCACTTAATATGAATATTTGCGCGCACTGATAACAAAGATAACCGCCAATTAGCCATTCTTCTCACTCCTAACTCCTTGTCTATACTGACATGTTCTCAGTGCTCAGCGTAGACTCCTTTGAGCAGGTCTCGAAGCCCGTGGTGGAGAAGACTTTCCACGTCCAGCACAAGTCCATACGGCAGCTGAATATCGTGGGGCCAACCTCCAGATCCAAAAAGGGATGTCTATGTTGCAGAAAGCGACGGTATGTATTACTTTGTTCTTACAGACTTGCTAACCCATAGAGGAAGTGTAAGTGAACTCTGGATGGCCCTTAGGTGACTCTCCACTGACTCTCTTGCTCTCTGGAGAGAACCACTGGGTGGTGCTTAGCTCCTCTAAGAGGGCGGAATTCCCAATTCCGCGCTAGACCCCTCCTCATGACTTTGGACTCACTTCTAGCGAGGAAATGACACCAGAGCAACTCACTGGCCCCCGGCAGGGATGGGAGTAGTGCCACCATACGGGGTCTTGGTGACGCTCTGCTGGCCCCTGCTCGGGGAGAGCCACTGCGTGGAGCTTTGCTCCTCTACGAGGAGACTTTCGCACCCACTCCCCGCTTGAGGAACGGGATCACATCCCATATGGAGGTCCAGTCTGTTAGCCCTACGTACCTTCTACTCGGGACGAGCCACCTTGAGGAACCCAGCTACCCCACTTACAGTATGTGTGGACAATTCCTCGTCAGAGGAACAAGGCCTCCATGGCTAATGTCCCACGGAGTTCCAGCGGAGCGGCTCGCTGACCCGCGTAGAGTACCACCCACTCTATGAACTTTCTACTAACGCCTTAGAAAACGTTGTGACCAGGTCCACCCTGTTTGTGGAACATGCACTCGACGTAACGAGGAGTGTGTTTGGCCCTCGCAGGTGCTGATGAATAAGGTCATGGCTAAGAAGTCGTCTCTGGTCCCCGAGGATGCGGACCACCAGCTAGCCCTAGACCTTATCTCCGACAAGGAAGTGAACAGTACCGCAACCAAGCCATCAGGGACGATGTCCGTCTGCCACTCGAATGAGTTTCTCTTGCTGCTCTCACCGTCCCATCTTGTAGATCCTTCCCCCAGCGAGGAGGATGGGGTCGTGGAGCTCTACTCACGGAATTTTGTCCTCCAACTGCCACCCCCCAGCTCACTGCTTGTCCAGACGACAACGGGGGCAGCGGGGGGAGACTGGGACGATTTCCTCTCCTTGGACACTAATAGCCCTCCACTCTTGGTGTACGAGCCAACGTCAACGTTCTCCCTCTTCCTCGATGAAAGGGCCTTGTCGTACTTACACTACTTCCAGCACAACGTGACGGAAATCCTCTGTATCATCCCGGAAGAGACCCCGAACTACTTTGTGCGGACCTTCTTCTCTGTAGCCATGACTGACGAAGCCATCCTGAACGCGCTAGCTGCATGGGGTGGGTACTTCAAAGAGGGCCGCATCACTGACGCGGTATCCTCTCACTATAAAACCGCCCAGGATCTCATGGCCGAGCGCTATGCCCACCGAACGACCCCACTAGACAAGTTTGACCGTTACATTCTCGTGTGCTTCTACGTCATCCTGATCGGAGTAGAGCTTTGTAGAGGAGACGCCTCCAATTGGTACTCCAACTTTGAGAAATGCCACAAGATCCTCACATCTGACTACGGCGGAATGCTTCAACTCTGTCAGGATTTCTCCTACTCCAACGACGTCAAGTGGCTCGTCTCAAACCTCCAGTTCCATGACATCATGTCTTCTGACACCCAGGCCCGTGGGACTCTCTTCCCCATGGATGACTACAATACCCTCTTCACCAAGTATAGGCTCTTGGAAACCGGCGGGTATTTGGACCCGTTCCAAGGATGTGTCCAGCCGATCTACATGGTCTTGGCGGAGGTCATCGACGCTCATGTTAGGCTCAAACAGAAGCGCCAGGACATAGAAACAAAGTTGACCTCCACCATACTCTCGAGCCAGGATATGAAAACTTTCCGTCAACAACGGTTGGACTACTTCATAGAGTCAGAAAAGACAATCCGAGCCTTACAGGGGAAGATCGACAGCTGCCAACCTTCCGAGAGCCAATTAGCCCTTTTTGACGCCGACAGTTTGCCCCATCAACTCACCTTTTTCGAAACTGTTCGTGACACTTGCAAGATCTACCTCTTACTTCATCTCAAGCAACTCCTGCCGTCTTCCTCGGAGGTGCAGCTGATTCTCTTGCCCTCGCTCTACTCTATGGAGACCCTCGAAGAGACGAATCTCATCACTGCCATGTCTATGCTGTTGCTTATTTTCGGTATTTCCTGCTCTCTCCCGTGCGATCGAATTGAGATAACAAACATCTACAAACGAGGTATTGAGATCTACAAGCTTGGGAATATGCACAGAGTCTGGGACGTGGTGCAGGAGTTCTGGAACAGAAATCCTCATGGGAATCTATGTATCGATTGGGCTGACATATGTGAAGAGAAAGGCTGGGTAATCTCTATGTGTTAACCTGCTATCTGCCCAAGGGCCAATGCAGCACTCGTCCCTCCCCATGGGGATGGTGAACCGCTCTGCTGGAATGCAGTGGCTTTTCCCGCATAGAGGTCAGTGGAGCGTCTAAGGGACTCCGTAGTCTGGATCGCTTGTTCTTCACTACGGGGTTGGTGAACCGCTCCGCTGGCTAATCTGAGGTGTCTCCTCGAAGATGAGCTAGGCTCCACGCAGTTGCTCTCCCCGAGCAGGGGCCATCGGAGCGTCACGCTTACCCCGTAGGGCTGGAGTACTGGACTCTCCGCAGGATTATGCGCCCGCTGTCACTCCATGTACCTACTACATTTGTAAAACCCGGGTTATTGGCAGGTCTGATAGAACTGGTGTTATTGCTACATATTCATATTATATAATTATTTATTGTTTCTATAAAACGTCTACTACTATTTTCACCTGGCTCATGTACACAGTCCTATTGGGAGGGAGACATCTACCTTCTCTCAGAGAGTGCGTCTCTCAACTTGCCAGAAAGATAGATTGCCCGTTCTTCTTCGTATCTAGGTGTTACCACCTGCAAGCCCACCGGAGTCCCATGGAAGAGTTCAGGGTCGTAGTACTCGTGTATGGCTCTGTCGTGGTCACTGATCGGCGTGTAGGTCTCGTCTTTCAGGTCCAACGTCTTGTCCGCCGTGGTGACGGGCGTGGTCACCGCAGCATAGTCCAAGATGTTGAATGTCGAGGAGTACGCCAGGCTGAACATGTCAATGTCCTCACACTTGAAGGAACATGTTTCCCAGAGCGGAGTGATGATGGCGTCCACGGGTCTCCCCGTGGAAGTCTGCTGGGCAGTGGACTTCCAGTACTTGTCCACCTTCTGCTGGTACTCGTATCGAAGCTTGTTCTGTTCCCAGTGCTCGTGGACGTGCAGACACCCGATCGGGAGATCAGTGCCATTACCGGCTAGAACCATGACTTCACGCACAATTGGCTCACCAGACTTGGCACACTCATCAGCTATCTCCTTGTACCCATCGGCCCCGTAGATACTGGCGCCAAGGTCTCTGCACTCGATGAAAGACACGGGGGGTTCCCAGTCGATAACCTCGTGGCCCTGGGCAACCAAGGCATCTTTGCACATTTGCAACGCTCTCTCAATGGGAGGATGCGGTCTAGCGGCTCCATCGTCGGAAACAAAGGCAAAACACAACTTCTTAGGGTAGTCAGTCACTTCTCTCCACGGGATAGGTGGCACCTTGGGGTCGTCCATCCACGGCTCGGAGTCGATGATCAACTTGGTGACAAGCTTCAAATCGTCCAAGTCCCACGCCATGGGCCCAATGACAGACGCAAGCACCGGTGCATGAGCAAACGAGTTGGTCACATTGCAATATGGAAGACGGTTGGAGCATCCTCTCAATCCGTACAACCCATGGAAACAACTTGGCTCTCGGATACTGCCGCCGATGTCCGTCCCAAATCCGAGCGGCGATCCCCGAGCACCGATCAACGCTCCTTCACCGCCAGATGACCCACCACTTGAAAGGAGACGATTGTATGAATTGTAGGTGTAGCCATATATGTTGGACGATGTACATCCCGACATCATGGCCATGGGGGTTGTCGTCTTGACATAGAACACGGCTCCAGCATTTTCCAAAATTTTGGCAATGTTGGAAACTTCATCTTTATTTTTAGGCTTATTTACAAGGGACACATATCCAATTGCTGAGTCAATGCCTTCCAAGTTCACCTGGTCCTTGAGGGAGATGGGAACCCCATGAAGAGGTCCTACAGTCTTCCCATTCTTTTTGAAATACTCATCTAATTCTTCAGCCTTCTTATAAGCTCTCTCAAAGAAAATTTCACTACAACAAGTGGTGAGCTGATGAGTCAATGCTGCTCTATGACAGAATGCCTTGGTCACTTCAATTGCTGAAAGTTCACCCCTTGATATTTTTCCTGCTAGCTCAGTCACAGTGCAGCTCGTTATCGAATTCTCACGTGCTGGAAGAGTCTCATCGAGATACTCTCCAACATTTCTCACCTTATTGGCAGTAGGATTTTTTTCCAATCTCCACTCCGAGGGGATTGCATCATCTACAGATGCTTTCTTAGCCTTTGCAATCTCTTCCCAGGTCATCGTATATGAAGAATAATAAATAATAAAAAGCTGGATCGGTTTGACCTTTTTGTTATCGATGTGGAGATGATTCATGTCAAATCTCGCGGGTTTCCTAATTCGGCACCTCCCGCTAAAAATAAAAGTATGTGCGCCGTACAATCTAACATACATTGTAAACCTATATTCTAGAGCTATACTACAGACTAATCTTGATAAAGAGACTCCCTGGATCTAATATTCAATACTAAAAGAGAGAGAAAACGAATTAAATATGAAAATTTTGGACATAGCTGCAATTAAAAATGGCTGCAATTTCAATTGAGCGCATCTCTCAATACCCCTGCAAGGTAAATAGCTCTCTCTTCTTCGTATCTTGGGGTAATCACTTGAACTCCAGCTGGCGCTCCATCAAAGAGTTCTGGAACGTAATAGGCCTGGAGCGCCTTATCGTGGGCACTAATAGGCTTGTAAGATACATCCTTAACATCAATGTCTTTGTTTGCAAAAGTAACTGGTGTGGTCACAACACTGTAGTCAAGAATATTAAACGTAGAAGTGTACGAGAGACTAAACAAGTCGATATCTTGAGGCTTGAAAGAACATGATTCCCACACTGGTGCAATAATCCCATCCACTGGTCTCCCGGTGGATGTTTGAGAAGCTGTAGATAACCAGTACTCATCAACTTTCTGTTGATATTCATACCTAAGTCTCGCTTGATCCCAATGTTCATGAACATGCGAGATACCCTGAGGGAGAGACTTTGAGTCACCTGCAAGTGCTAGAATTTCTTTGACAATCGGCTCCCCTGATTTTGCACATTCATCTACAATTTCCTTATATCCATCAGTGCCGTAGATACTAACTGCCAAATCTCTACATGTACCAAGGGACACTGGTGGCTTCCATTCAATAACTTCGTGACCCTGTGCAATCAATGCATCTTTGGCTATTTTCAACGCTCTTTCAATTGGTGGATGAACCTTTGATTCTCCATCCCCAGTGATAATTCCAAAACTTAACTTATTGGGATAATCGATAACTTCTCTCCATGGGATTGGTGGGACTTTAGGGTCATGAATCCAAGGTTTAGAGTCAATAATTAACTTGGTTACAAGTTTCAAATCATCTAAATCCCACGCCATGGGACCAATCACTGAGGAAAGTACTGGAGCATTTGCGTACGAATTATCAACTTTACAATACGGAATACGATTAGAGCTACCCCGTAATCCATACAATCCTTGGAAAGAAGACGGAACTCTAATACTTCCTCCAATATCAGTACCAAATCCTAGTGGTGAACCTTTTGCGCCAACTAATGCCCCCTCACCTCCAGAAGATCCTCCACTGGAAAGATTTCTGTTGAATGGGTTTAAAGTATATCCGTATATATTTGACGAAGTACAACAAGACATCATAGCCATTGGGGTGGTTGTCTTCACATAGAAAACGGCACCGGCATCTTCCAAAATTTTGGCAATGTTGGAGACTTGGTCCTTACTCTTCGGCTTGTTTACGAGGGATACATATCCAAGAGCCGAGTCGAGACCTTCCAAGTTCACCTGGTCCTTAAGAGAAATGGGAACCCCATGAAGTGGTCCTACAGTCTTCCCATTCTTTTTGAAGTACTCGTCGAGCTCCTCAGCTTTCTTGTAAGCTCTTTCAAAGAAGATCTCACAACAACAAGTGGTAAGTTGGTGAGCTAAGGCAGCTCTATGACAGAACGCCTTGGTCACTTCAATTGCTGAAAGTTCTCCCCGGGAGATCTTTTCAGCCAATTCAACTACAGTGCTATTGGTTATCTTTACCTCCTTCTCATCAAGCTTCTCCTCAATATACTCAATGACACTTCTAACTTCGTCAACACTTGGAATTGCCTCCAACCACCACTCGTGTGGTATTTTCGCATCCACTGATGTTTTTTTCTCTGCGGCTACTTCTTTCCAGGTCATTTTACAATACAATTGTAATTTGATTTTCCTTATCAGTGATGATCGAGGGCAGGGGGGGATACGTTGAACTAAATAGTGCGACATGATTATTCTACATCGTTATCATACGCATCCGACTACTCTATAAGGAAATCTTAAAATTTCCAAGATTTTAGCCCCTTAATTTAATATAAGATTCTTTTATTAACTAGGTTAGGAAATGAATTAAACTGAGCTATATAAGTACATGAGACCCGTATCCAGTTAAGTTCTCCTTTCATAAATTACTCCGGGGATCGCAAGCTCACCATTGATATCGAGCTGAACCCTTATTTGTCCTGTTAGTAAAGGCCTCGGAATTTTAATGATAAACGCCCGTCGACCACTATGGCAATAAAATCCATAAATCAACACACACTCTAAATTAATAACTATTATCATATATTATACTCGAAGTGAATCTCTTAATACCCCCGCAAGGTAAATAGCTTTCTCTTCTTCATATCTAGGGGTTACCACTTGAACTCCGGCTGGTGTGCCGTGGTAAAGCTCTGGGTCATAATACTCTTGAAGTGCCTTATCATACGCATTCATCGGTTTGTAAACATCATCCTGTAGATCAATCTCTTTGTCTGCCAATGTAACTGGCGTGGTAACCGAACTATAATCTAAAACATTGAAACTTGAAGTGTAGGAAAGACTACAAAGATCATTATCTGGTGGTCTGAAAGAGCATGACTCCCATACAGGCGAAATGATCCCATCGACTGGTCTCCCAGTCGATGTTTGCAAAGCTGTTGATAACCAATATTCATCTACTTTGTGTTGGTATTCGTACTTAAGCTTTGCCATTTCCCAATACTCGTGAATATGAGAGATGCCCTTTGGGCGGTCATCTCCACTTAACACTTCCTTTACTAGCGGCTCTCCAGACTTGGCACATTCATCAAGAACCTCCTGGTATCCATCTGCCCCAAAAATAGTCGATGCCAACTTGCTACACTCAATAAGAGACACGGGAGGTTTCCATTCGATCACCTCGTGACCCTGTGCAATTAATGCATTCTTAGCCATTTGTAATGCTCTTTCAATTGGTGGGTGATGCTTTGTCTCTCCATTGTTAAGAATTATCCCAAAGCTTAATTTTTTGGGATAATCTGTAACTTCCCTCCAAGGAATTGGTGGGACTTTAGGGTCGTGAATCCAAGGTTTAGAGTCAATAATCAATTTGGTGACGAGTTTCAAATCATTCAAATCCCACGCCATGGGACCAATGACAGAAGCAAGAACTGGTGCGTGGGCGTAGGAATTGGATACTTTACAATACGGAATACGATTGGAGCTTCCTCGTAAGCCGTATAACCCTTGGAATGTACTTGGGATTCTGATACTGCCACCAATGTCAGTTCCAAATCCAAGAGGTGAGCCTCGAGCTCCAACCAATGCACCTTCTCCTCCTGAGGACCCGCCACAAGAGAGATTTCTATTGAAAGAATTAAGAGTATAGCCATAAATATTTGATGACGTGCTTGCAGCCATCATTGAAGTAGGAGTGGTGGTCTTGACATAAAATACTGCACCAGCATCTTCCAAGATCTTGGCAATGTTGGAAACTTCATCTTTGGTTTTAGGTTTATTTACGAGGGATACATATCCAAGAGCTGAATCAATTCCTTCTAAGTTCACCTGGTCCTTGAGGGAGATGGGCACCCCATGAAGTGGTCCTACAGTCTTCCCATTCTTTTTGAAGTACTCATCTAGTTCTTCAGCCTTCTTATAAGCTCTTTCAAAAAAAATCTCACTACAACAAGTTGTAAGCTGGTGAGTCAATGCAGCTCTATGACAGAATGCCTTGGTCACTTCAATTGCTGAAAGTTCTCCCCGGGAGATCTTTTCAGCCAATTCAACTACAGTGCTGTTGGTTATTTCTACCTCCTTCTCATTAAGCTTCTCCTCAATATACACAATGACACTTCTAACCTCGTCAACACTAGGGATATCTTCCAACCTCCATTTCCTTGGAATCCCCGAATCAACCGCTTCCCTTTTCGCTCTTGCGATATCTTGCCAAGCCATATTGGTTTAGATTATCAAACTAATAATCACATCTCAATGCGGATCAAAGTCTTAAATAATTTTTATTTTTTTGAACTATTTTTTAAGCAAGGTAGCGTTCACACAACAGCCTTGTTGCAACTTACACTTTCTATACACTCTACGGCTTACACATCACTCCCCTCATTTCTGCCCCATATCTGAATAATACATCTTATGCATTATGGCCGTTAAGCGGGATCTCTACACCGAATTATCTGAAATTTGACCCATATCGCTCACAGACGGCCCTATCTTTAAGGGGTCTTGTTATCAGTTTTCAACTCCAAAATTCCGTTATATCGCCTATTTCCTCGTTCGAATACGAAATTAAAGTATAAAGTTAAATGGTACTAATCTCTCTTTTTCTGTTTTGGACAACTGACTTTCCAAAATATTTTCCAAAATTCCCAACTCTGTCGTTTATTCGCTAAAAATAAATCCGTCGCACCACGTCAAACTTTGCATATCGTTGCATCGGCCTTGTTCTTTCATCACTTTCAGCGCTTTCATTCAAGAAATTCCAAACGGTCTACCATTAATATATCGAAAGCATACATGTAGAGTAACCGTTTCTAGATATTTAAAAAAAAATCTTGTTAAAAGAGGTCTGGATACTACTACTGTTTCAGATATGTTATCCGCACCGTTATCTTCTGGGCGCTTATTTCCTTAATAAGACTTCTTATTGATAAGAAGACCCCATAACAAGATAAGCTACTATGATGAAACTTATTATTCACCACTAGTGTCTCTGTCTCTTGGTAATGGGCCATGGTCTGATGACACCAAGAACGCGGAAATTTGTCACCCGTACCGCCCCATGGTCCTCGTATGGGAACCTCTAATTTGCTCGTTCCGCATGCGTTAACAGCACTAGGGTCATCGCGCTGATAACGAGCAACAATCTCAAGATGTATATATATATATATATACATAGACATTCATGTCCCGTATCCATATAATTATTGAATATATTTCATAACTGCATTATAATGGAAGATTTCATTCTTGGCCAGGGTTATGGCTATGGCTTTGCCTTGGGTATTGGTGCTGGGTTCGCCTTATTGATGGTTGTTATCTCTAACCTTCTCTCTAGATATATGGGAGAAGTCCAATCTTCTGAACGATTCTCCACCGCTTCACGGTCGGTTAAGTCTGGACTTATCGCATCCTCAACGGTTTCTGCGTGGTGTTGGCCCGCAACTTTGCTTACTTCTGGTGCTTGGGGTTACTCTCATGGTATATCAGGTCCCTTCTTGTACGGCATTGGTGGGACAGTACAGATCACCCTTTTCCTGTTCCTTGCTATCCAAATTAAAAAGAATTCCCCAGGTTGTCACACAGTTGCTCAATTGATTTCAGTAAGGTTTGGGAAGCATGGACATTGGTGTTATTTGGTTTATTGTCTGGTGACAAACATTCTTGTTTCTTCTCTCTTATTGTTGGGAGGTTCTCAGGGGTTTTCGTCCACGACAGGGATGCATGTAGTTGCCGCTTCGTTCCTTCTTCCATTGGGTGTCATTTGTTACACTCTTTTTGGGGGTCTCAAGGCTACCTTCATCTCAGACTGGATCCATACGGTAATCATTTACATTATCATTCTTGTTGGGTGTTTCACCATTTATGTTGGCTCTCCATTAATTGGTTCTCCTGGTAGAATGTACGACCTCTTGAAGGAAGCTGATATTTCCTTCCCCAGTGCAACCGGGACTAGTTACTTGAGCTTCCATGATAAAGATATGTTTCTTCTTGCTTGGTCAGTTACCCTTGGAGGAATGAGCTCAGTATTTGGAGATCCAGGATATTCTCAAAGAGCAATTGCTTCGGATTCAAAGAGTGTTTTCAGCGGATATATGGTTGGTGGAATCTGTTGGTTGGTTATACCATGGGCGCTTGGCTCGCTGGCGGGATTGGCGTGTAGAGCGTTATTAACCAATCCAGCATTTTTCACCTATCCAAATCAACTTACTGAAGAACAAGTTGGAGCAGGTATGCCGGTTATTTTTGGCTTGGCAGCGGTGTTAGGTAAATCAGGTGCTGTCGCTGGATTATTAATGCTTTTCATGAGTGTCACTTCAGCAACTTCTGCTGAACTTATTGCCTTTTCATCTATTTGTACCTATGATGTGTACCAAACGTATATCAATCCAAATGCTTCTGGTAAGCAACTTGTTAAGATTGCCCATGCTACAGTCATTGGATTTGGTATCTTCATGGCTATTTTATCAGTTGTCTTCAACTATTTGGGTGTCACTGTTGGTTGGATATTAAGTTTCTTGGGGATTATTCTTTCTCCAGAAGTATCTGCTGTCACTTTGGCTATTTTCTGGAAAAAGATGTCCAGAGAAAGTTTCCTCATTGGTGCTCCAATCGGTACATTGACCGGGATTGCATGCTGGATTGGATCCACGTATGCTTATGCAGATGGTGTCATCGATAAGGACACTTTAATGACCACTGAAGCCACCCTTATTGGGAATATCACCTCTTTATCAAGTGCGTTGGTTTGTTATGTCACCATATCATTGATAAAGCCAGCAAATTTTGATTTCAATATCTTCTCAACTGCATTCCATGCTGGTGATGACGCTGATCAAAAAGAAAAGGAAGCCATGGAAACCAATGGCCACGATAGAGCCATTTTGAAGCGTCACTCGATGTGGGCATTTGGAATCAATATTATGATTCTCTTCGTAGGGTACATTATTGTGCCAGTTTCATTCTACGGGTCGAATTACGTTTTCTCCAAAAAGTACTTCACCCAATGGATTGTGATCATGTTAATATGGTTACTTAGTGCTGCTACATACATTGTGATATTCCCATTATGGCAGGGCCGTCACGCCATTGTAAGGGTGATAATGTCTGTTCTTGGGAAATCGAAACAAACCCAAGATGTGGAAGAAGAGAATTCTCTAACGAACTCGTCAGAAGTCGAACGTGTAAGTGTCTTAGTTGAGAATAAGGACCAAGAAGTATGAATTAATAACGATATATAATAAACGAGAACTTAAATATTATTTATATTTACATCCTTTTTTGTAATTTGTAATCAAACTCTATTTCAAATATTATGTCAAACTCCTTGTCATGCTATTAAAAATAATAAAACAGAAAGTTACATGTTTTGTACTTACTATTTGAGTGAATCTCTCAATACACTTGCAAGATGGATCGCTCTCTCTTCTTCGTACCTTGGAGTGATCATCTGAACGCCCGCTGGGGTGCCATGGTAAAGTTCGGCGTCATAATAATCTTGAATTGCCTTATCGTGGTCACTTATCGGGTCATATGAACTGTCTTTCAAATCAATATCTTTGTCGGCAGTAGTGATAGGCACAGTAATAGAACTGTAATCCAAAATATTGAAAGTATCTGTGTAGCATAGACTAAATAAACCAATATCCTCCGCTTTAAAAGAGCATGATTCCCAAATTGGCGAAATTATTCCATCTATAGGTCTCCCCGTAGATGTTTGCGATGCTGTGGATAGCCAGTACTCATCTACTTTCTGTTGGTATTCATATCTAAATTTTCCCATTTCCCAATACTCATGAATATGTGAAATACCTGGGGGAAGTGTATCTCCACCTCCACCAAAGCTTAAAACTTCTTCCATGATTGGCTCTCCAGAATTGGCACATTCATCTGCAATTTCTTGATATCCATCAGTTCCAAAGATTATTCCAGCCAAATCTCTACATTCACTTAACGATAATGGTGGCTTCCACTCAATTACTTCATGGCCTTGTGATATCAATGCTTGTCTGGCTAACTCTAATGCTCTTCGAACTGGTGGATGAAGCTTGGACTCTCCATTCCCAGTAATAATCCCAAAGCTTAACTTTTTGGGGTAATCGACAACTTCTCTCCATGGGATTGGTGGGACTTTAGGGTCATATACCCAAGGCTTAGAGTCAATAATTAACTTGGTGACAAGTTTCAAATCATCTAAATCACGAGCCATTGGGCCAATGACAGAAGCAAGAACTGGTGCGTGAGCAAATGAGTTTGTTACGTTACAATATGGAAGACGATTAGAACATCCCCTTAATCCAAATAACCCCTGGAAAGTAGATGGAATTCTTATACTACCTCCGATATCAGTTCCAAATCCAAGTGGTGAACCCTTAGCACCAACTAGTGCCCCTTCACCGCCGGAAGATCCACCACTGGAAAGATTACGATTGAATGGATTCAAAGTAACCCCATATATGTTGGAAGAGGTACAACATGAGACCATGGCCATGGAAGTGGTGGTCTTAACATAAAATACTGCACCAGCATCTTCCAAGATCTTGGCAATGTTGGAAACTTCATCTTTAGTTTTAGGTTTGTTTACGAGGGATACATATCCAATGGCCGAGTCTATGCCTTCTAAGTTGACCTGATCCTTAAGAGAAATGGGCACCCCATGAAGTGGTCCTACAGTCTTCCCATTCTTTCTAAAATACTCATCAAGTTCTTCCGCCTTCTTGTAAGCTCTTTCAAAAAATATCTCACTACAACAAGTTGTAAGCTGGTGAGCTAAGGCAGCCCTATGACAGAATGCCCTTGTCACCTCGAGTGCCGAAAGGTTGCCCAAGGAAATTTGTTCACTTAATTGAACGATCGTAGAATTTGTAATCTTCACTTCCAGTCCATTAAGTTTCCCTTCGATATACTCATTTGTGCTTCTAAGCTCTTCCGAGTTAGGAATCGATTTCAATGACCATTCTTTTGGAATCCCCGAGTCAACTTTATTCTTTTTCGCCTTTGCGGTTTCCTCCCAAGTCATTTTCGGTTATGCAGCAAATCGCATATTTTTCATGCAGCTCGCAGGGTCCTTATATAATAATTTCATTATCACTCAAATTGATTTGCTACATGTGATCGAACGGAATTTCATAGAATTTCCGTCTTGTTGGAATACCATAAATATAATAAAAAAACAAGTGGGTTGAAATATGTTAAAATTTATCGTATTCACTGTTTGGAAATACAATAAATAAACTTTCCTTTATCATTTTCATACAGTCAATATTGGTCAATGTAACCCTTCTCGGATACATGCCTCAGAAAAAATCCGGCCGATAGAGGTTTACATTTCCCGTTTCAACTGAAATTCAATATTTGTCGTATCTTGATGTCCATTTTTGGTGCGGCTAAAGAAGGTCCCGGTAATGATAAGGTCGAATTAACTTTGCGGCATTCCCTTTTTCTTCCGTGTTGCACGGTCATGATAGATAACGATTGCATTAAACCCCTAATTAAATATACCCATTTGGTATATAACACCACCAAACTATTGTAGCTTTGACATTCTCTACTGTAAATATTGAATATTGAAAATTTTACAGTTTGAATGGAGGATTTCATTCTTGGTCAGGGCTATGGCTATGGCTTTGCCTTGGGTATTGGTGCTGGGTTCGCCTTATTGATGGTTGTTATCTCTAATCTTCTCTCTAGATATATGGGAGAAGTCCAATCTTCTGAACGATTCTCCACCGCTTCACGGTCGGTTAAGTCTGGACTTATCGCATCCTCAACGGTTTCTGCATGGTGTTGGCCCGCAACTTTACTATCTTCTGGTGCTTGGGGTTACTCGTATGGAATAAGTGGTCCATATCTATATGCAATTGGAGGTGCAGTTCAAATTACCCTATTCCTGTTTCTCGCTATTCAGATCAAAAGAAACTCTCCAGGATGCCACACAGTTGCACAATTGATATCAGTGCGCTTTGGAAAGGAAGGTCATTGGTGTTATTTGGCATATTGCATTGGTACCAATATTCTAGTATCTTCTCTCTTGTTACTAGGTGGCTCACAAGGGTTTGCTTCAACCACGGGTATGCATGTCGTTGCTGCTTCTTTCCTTCTTCCATTGGGTGTCATTTGCTATACACTTTTTGGAGGTCTCAAGGCTACCTTCATCTCAGATTGGATCCATACTGTAATTATTTACGTGATCATGCTTGTTGGATGTTTTATGATATACGTGGGGTCTCCATTAATTGGCTCTCCCGTTAGGATGTATGAGCTTTTAAAAGAGGCTGACATCGCATTCCCTAATACAACTGGTACCAGCTACTTGAGTTTCCATGATAAAGATATGCTTCTTCTAGCATTTGCTGTTACTCTTGGGGGTTTATGTTCAGTGTTTGGAGATCCCGGGTATTCTCAAAGGGCAATTGCATCTGATTCACAGAGTGTTTTCAGTGGGTATATGGTTGGTGGGATCTGTTGGTTTGTGATTCCTTGGGCGCTTGGCTCCCTGGCAGGGTTGGCATGTAGAGCATTGTTAACCAATCCAGCTCTCTTCACTTACCCAAACCAGCTCACCGATGAACAGGTCAACGCCGGAATGCCAGTTATCTTCGGGTTGGCGGCTGTATTAGGAAAATCTGGGGCAGCTGCTGGGTTGTTAATGCTTTTCATGAGTGTTACATCTGCAACTTCTGCCGAGTTAATCGCCTTCTCGTCCATTTGCACCTACGATATTTACCAAACTTATATCAATCCAAGTGCATCCGGCAAGCAACTTGTCCGAGTAGCACACGCTACGGTCATTGGATTTGGTCTCTTCATGGCTATTATTGCAGTTGTATTTAACTATTTGGGTGTCACTGTGGGCTGGCTTTTAAGTTTTATGGGAATTATTCTTTCACCAGAGGTTTCGGCAATCACTTTGGCTATTTTCTGGAAGAAAATGTCTAAAGAAAGTTTTATCATTGGTTCCGTTGTAGGCACACTAACGGGAATAGCATGTTGGATTGGATCCACATATGCATATGCAGACGGGATCATTAACAAAGATACCGTGATGGTGAACCAAGCACTACTCATTGGAAATATCGCATCTCTTGCAAGTGCATTCGTTTGTTACGTGGTTATCTCATTAATAAAGCCATCAAGTTTTGATTTCAAGGTCTTTTCAACTGCATTCCATGCTGGAGATGATGCAGATCAAAAGGAGAAAGATGCTATGGAAACCACAGAAGGAGTTAAAGACATCTTGAAAACTCATGCTAAATGGGCGGGAGGTATAAACATTGTTGCCACATTGGGTGGTCATATTATTATCCCAGTTGCTTATTATGCCTCCAATTACATTTTCTCCAAGACTTATTTTGTTCTTTGGATTGTAATTATGTTGATATGGCTTCTTATTTCCTCTGCGTACATTGTGTTTTTCCCATTATGGCAAGGCCGTCATTCGATTAAAAGAGTTTTAATGTCAATTCTACGAAAATCGAAAGATGTTGAAGATGAAAACTCCTCGGCACACTCTTCAGTGGAGTTTGTGAATATCATCGTCGAAAACAAGAACCAAGTAGTATGACAAGTCCGAGACATGTTATATAAGCACATTGATCATTGTAGCATGCTACGATTGAGTATATTTTCAATATATTATTATGATTAATTATATAGTTATGTGTAAAGTTTTTTTTAACACCAGTAAGCCCATTGTCTGTAGTAGAATGGCTTGGAGGCAATTCTTTCCTTTTCTTCAGCAAGCTCTTGCTTCAAGACTTCCAAATCAAGCTCTCGTCTACCAGTGTCAATGTCGATATCCTTACCTCTGATGTACAATTTCCAGTTTCTAGTCCAAAGCTTGTGGCAAGCATAGAAGAAAAAGACAACTGGAACGGACAAGTAAGCTTGGAAAAAATCATTAGCGTTTGGTTCACCTCCAATTGGGAAAAGAGCAACCCAGAATTGGGCAACGAAGACCAAAAGAATCAAAATCACACCATAGTAAGAACCATAGACACCAGTTTGGGCAAGGTATGCAATCTCATCGGTGGTTCTGCCTTGAGCCAGCAAGGCATGTCTGAAACGAATGTGACAGAAACAGATGGAACCCCAAGTGAATAATGAGGAAAGACCAGATAAAGCAGATAACCAATCAAAGACAAGACTTTGTTGTCTGGAAGCTACAAGGAAACATAAAGCACCACAAAGACATGAAATGATAATACCGAATAAAGGACGACCCTTCTTGTCAATGTAGTTGAAGATCTTCGGAGCTTGGTTAGCGGCAGCAAGAGCAGCAAGGGTTCTACTGGAGGCAAACACTGAGGAGTTACCAACAGAAAGAACAGCAATCATAATAACGACATTCATCACAGATGGTAAACCCTTGATACCAGCATCGACAATGGCCAAAACGAATGGAGAAGCTCTGGCATCAGCGGAAGATGTACCAGAAGTTAATCTTGGGTCATTGTATGCAACCAACAAACCAACAAGTAACAAAGAGAGAATGTAGAATAAAGTAATTCTCCAGAAAACTTGCTTAGTGGCCTTTGGAAGAGATTTTCTTGGGTTTTCAGTTTCAGCAGCAGCCAAACCAGCCAATTCAGTACCGGCAAAGGCAAATGCAGCAGACACAAAGACAGAACAAACACCTTTGAATCCGTTTGCAAAAGCACCAGGATGGTAGTAATAACGAGCACCAAGGTAAACATGATTTGGACCACCACCGCAAACAATAACGATACCAAATATAATAAACCCAATCACCGCTGTCACTTTAATAATAGAGAAAACGAATTCTGCCTCCCCATATCCTCGAGCACCGAAGAAATTAATGACACAAATAATAACATAGAAAATAGCCACGAACGCCGCGGGATTCTCTGTGCTATTCCAATAATTAACAGTCATAGAAGCAGCAACAAGTTCAAGAGGGAGAGTAATGAGCCAACCCATAGCATAATTCCAGGCCATGGCAAAACCCCAGGAAGGATCAATAAAACGGGTGTTGTAGGTGACAAAGGCACCAGCAACAGGAAAAGTAACAGCAAGTTCACCAAGGGCTTGGCAAGTAACGTAAATCATGGTACCGATCAAGGTGTAACCGATCAAAACACCGGCAGGTCCACCTGTGTGCAATCTCTTACCGGAACCAACGAATAAACCAGTACCGATAGCCCCACCAATAGCGATCATTTGTAAATGTCTGTTCTTCAAAGAACGAGAAAGAGGGGAATTTGCAGTCATGATAGCTGTCCTTTCCACGTCAGACAAGTTAGGGTCAAGACCCAACTCCTCAACGTCATATCGCTTGAAAGAATCAGCAAATCTTCCCCAGGGGCTCAAGTGTTGCTCTGCCTTTTGGTCTCCGTATGCGAAAACATCAACGGTAACTCCACCATTTTTCTCTCCCGAAGAAGCAGCATCATTAGACGCAATGTAATTAAGTTCCTTCTCTGGCATATTAATAATATTATCTGGTAGCTTGCCAAGAAAGAGTTAAAGACTAAACAGAAAAATTAAGATTGTGTGCGTCAGGTTCAGAATATATAGGTGTTTTGGTCGTCGGGGGACTCTAATAAAGAGGGCGACGGAAAAATTACCATTTAAAGCTTATCACATACGGCATTTGAAATGTGATAGGTAGAATCAGCTGGTGCACCACAGTACAAAGGGATAAACTTTCTTACGGGCGAAGCTTATCGCTCTTTCGCACAAAAAAGAAATACTAAACGCATGAATATGCAGACCGCGTCAATTCTAATAGATAAGACACCCATCAATTTTTGACACTTTACCAAAAGTGTTAGTTTGCAGAAAAAAAAAATATGAATTTTACGAAGGGTGGACAATTCGAGCAACAAAGAATCATCTCTTTGTTTCAAGATTTTAAGTATGACCTTATATGTTCTCCCAAGTATATATAAAACTCTCCTCGTTCCTTAGAAAGAGGGGTAATCGAATAGAATTAGGGAGCATTTAGTGCGAATTGATAGGTTGCTGTCAAATGCGGACATGCCAAACGCATGCAGGAGTGGGAAGTTTATTTTGTGGCCGACGATGGGGGACTAGGTCCGCCCACCAGGAAGAATTACTTGTTTCGATGACAATAGGCCAATACGTTATCAGTGGTCTAATTTTTATCTCCCGCCACCGTGTTTTCTCTCATCAAAGCCGATTATTTTTATTTATTTTTTTATAAATTCCCCTCGGTCCTTCATGATACATTTCGAAATCTCACTGTTCATTGGATGGGTTATGCTGTGGCTGTCTAATATCTAAGGATGTGGTGAGTGTGGTCAGTGATGGGTTGGGAATCACCGCTCGTCGCGCCATCGATAAATCTCCACAATATTCTGTATGCAGGTTGTATAATTTTGCGGGATGCTTATCTTCGCTACGAACCCTTCAAGATGCCGTGAATTTTCTTGGCAAATTGTCGGCCAAGTGGATGCAGGAAAGTGGTCCGAAAACCATTTTCCACCCCTATCTGTTTGAATTATTTTTTGTTGTAACAACCTTGCAGGGTTTTCGAATACATAATCAATAAAAATACCTCCCTCGTGATGGATTTGGTTCTAGCTGTATTCATACATACCACTTCCCCGTTTTTTGTAGTAGATCCCTGACTAGATTATTTTTTTTGTACTAAGGGTATGAAAACAATGTGGCTATGTGTGTGGTCCATAGTAGTCTTTTTTTTTTTAAGCTTACATTTATCTTATTGGTTTACCTTGGCCACGGTTCTCATTTATTCATACAAATTTTCAAGGGGCCTCGGTAATCGAGGTATTGGATCATGTATAAACAACTCATAACCATAACTCAGTTTTCATAATAGCGTTCTCAAACCAAATTTCATGTTTGATAGTAATTCCAGAACCGAAAAGGTAATTGTATAACCTAGTTTTCAAGTTCGGCACCATAGTTTTGATTTACAAAAAGGGATTAAGGAAACTTCTTATGTAGTTAGACTTTAAAGCCGGGAAGATTATTTCCCTTCATTTTATATATTTTTTTAAGGAGGGGTGGGAAAATGTTCCAATCTCCGATAAGTATGTGTTATTCCAACCGTTATACATCGAGATTGTAGTAATTGTACATTATGGCTTTCGTTATTAAGCCAACAAGGAGTCTTTACATGCCTTACAATTTCATTTTCAGTTTATATTGGCTACTAAGATATTAACACCTGCGGCTTTGAGCAAATGAATTTCAGGTACAAATTTCAGCAAAGCCGTCTTACAGCCGTTTACCTTTTACCTTGATGGAAGGAGATAGGCACACGTTGCAAAATAGTCACTGCCTATCTCCCACATGGTATCGGTTTTAAATTTGAACAAAGCTAGATTATTAAGTTGGATTTAAGGAAATTTCATCTCCTCAATAAGTTATTTGCAACAATCTGTAGTATAAGTAGACCAATCTCTTGTAGAAATTAAACATTTCAACATATCTTCCTTAACCTCAATACTATGACCTTACCTAAAAACTCTGTTTCTCATACTATAAACACACCACTTGGTGTTTTGAATGGTATTTCTTCTATTGATCCAGTTTCCGATAAAATAAAGAATCACCGATTTGCAAAAATCCCTTATGCTCAACCCTTTTCACAACACAATAGATGGAAAAGACCAGTCAAACTTCCTTCCAACTATGACTATTCTGGAAATTACTATGAAATGGGACTTAAAGCACCTCAATCTCTGATTGAAGATGAGAAATTATCTAGTATCTGTGCACCAGGTGATGCCGATGAAAATATCAACTACTTAAACATTTGGATACCTGCTTCAAAGGATAAACCAGTTGATGGATGGCCCGTGTTTATTTATATTCATGGTGGTTTCTTGAAGTATGGTAGTCCAGGTAGATTTCCAGACCCAAAGGAATTACAAAGTCATGATTTCTTAGGTAAGTACATTATCGTTTCAATTGGATACAGATTGAACATTTTGGGGTTCTTAAATAGTACAGAATTATTATCAGTAGATAGCGAATGTTCTAATCTTGGATTTTGGGATCAAAGGTTAGCTATCGAATGGGTATATGATAATATTAAGTATTTTGAAGGGAATAATTCAAAGATAACTGTTGGAGGGTTGAGCGCTGGATCGTATTCAACCTTCTTTCAACTTGCTTACGAATTGTATCATCCTGAGGTTACTCAAGTGATAAAGCAAGTGGTTCAGTTTTCCAATGCATTTGCAATGCAACCGAAAACTATTTCTGAAGTTAACAAGCAATATTACGATGTATTGGATAACTTAGGTATCTCAAGAAATTTATCTCCAGAATTACAGTTGCAGCAGTTAAGAGAACAAGATGTAAACACTCTTGTTTCAATCATCCCAAAGTTGAAGTACCATACATTCAGAGCTGTTACTGATAACAACTTCGTTGCAGAAAGTTTATTATCTGATTTGGTGAATGGACAATTCAGTCAACTTTTGATGAAGAGGAAGCCTGGATTTAGAATGGTGATAGGTGAGGTTGCAAATGAACCATACTTATATTCTTTATTAGATACACCAATTGATGAGATGGATTTAAAACTTCAGTTGGAGAATTATTATCCTGCAAGAACTGTTCAGTCACTCATTGATTTGTACCCTAAAATACCCCAGAGTTTACCAGAGGCTGAATATAGGGAACAGTTACAACACTTGTTTGGTCGCATTGTTGCAGACTCTCAAATCTATGCTTCTACAAGAGGCTTTATCCATTGGTTGGTCGAAAACGGTTACCCCAAGGAAAATATTTTCCGTTACCGTGTAGGATATAGGCAAAAACGTCTTGATAAGAGTGTTGACCCTAAATTAGGTGCCATTCATGGGTCTGATCTTGCCGTTTGGTTTTCAGTACGAAGTTCAAGTGAATGCGAAAAAAATATTATTGAATCATTTTTACGACCATTCAATAAGATTCTCAATTTTGAAGATCAAAAATCAATTGAATGGGGAACTTTGAGTGAAAAGGAATACCGTTTTATTTCACCTGGTGGTGAAGTGAATATTGTGTCGGATGCTGATTGGGATTGGGGTGTACATGTGTCCAATACTTTGTACCTCGCACAATCCAGTTAGTACGTTTTAGTGTTATTGTACAATAATCTTTATGAATAGAATTTCACGGGATTGAAATCTAGATTATTGTCTTATTTATTTATATCTTACATATGTTAGTTATGCTATTTGGTGAATCTTAAAGAATTTTATAAATTTGAAATCTGTAATTTAAAAAATAAATATAAATATAATTTTATGCGAGAATAACAATTTTTTAAATTAACTTTCATAAATCTTAATTGGGCTTATAATGTGAACACCTAAACATTTCCTGAAGCTTAAATAAGGTATTAAGATATATTATTTCAAACTTATTTCTGTGTTTTAATTCGATTTTGTGGATTCTTGTGACAAATGGAAGGTAATGTACAAATATGAAATGTGTTCAGCAATATTTGCTACCCATCTTATCTCATTGCCTACACTGCTAACAATTCCATCGTGGGTATCTTTACCTACACCTAATAATCTGCTGAGATGGGTATACTTCACAGTTGTTTTTTTGTACGTACAGTAACTAGCTACAAGCCAATACCTCAATTACCTAGCATGAGTGAAAATAAAACAGATTATACTATTCCAATTGCAGAACTTGACATTTATCAAAAGTATAGCACAAATCCTGAACGCTCCGGAATTTCAGAAGTAACACTACTGTCAGAATCACCCCTACAAATGCCAGACTCTAGTATTTTTAATTGTGATGAAACATTTCAGCTAGGAATTTCTAACAACAACTCCCTGAATATTGATTTCAATATACCCTCTACAATAATAGGATCTTACTCTACTTTTGAAAGTGAAAGCTTAAACATTGCACCTGAATCTAAGTTTTCAAAGCGAGTTAGACCAGTATTAATGACTATTGGATTTTCAAAGTTTGATATATTTAAGAGAGAGAAAGAGAGCAGTAAAAATGGGCTGAAATTTGCACCCATGATTTACACCCTGGAGAAGATAATCGGAGATGAATTGTCTATTGTAACAATGGAAAATTTACAGAAGTCAATCAAGACAAGCATAATACCAGAAGTAAAGAAAGAATATTCATTTCTTCCACATCAAAAAGATATTTGGGAAAACCCTAATCTTTGCAATCAGAACTATCCATTTAACACAAACTCGTTATTTCGCCGCAATTTGAAAGACAAATTTTCCAGAGCACTTCAATCACCTTGGCGAAAGCATACTAATCAATCTATTAGAATTCCAACAACCCAAATGCTAAGTGTTCCAATAGTTGAATATGAAAATAAAGAGTGTTATAGTTTTATCGGGGAGTTTCCAGACGTAACTTTAAGGTCACAAAACGAAGTTGCACATACAAAAGCAAATTTCAAAAGTGATGCTTCTTTGATATTATACGACCAATTTGAGCCATTGCAGAAGGGTGAAAAGAATAAAGACTTGAGAAGAAGAACATCTATCCCAAGAAGAACTTCAGTATTAAGGAGAGGGCGAAGTATAAATTCAAAATCAATCCTTAAGAATAGGGTCAATGTCCATGCTGAACATGAACGTACTCGGGCTCTAGAAGGAGATGAAATTAACGTGGAGGATTTTATTGATGATTTACAGTACAGAGAAAGGATAAGGTGTGAAGAGTCTATCCAATACCCTACTTTCAGACAAGGGCAAGTATATAGATATTTAAAAGATGCTTACTAAAAATGTTGACGTTACTTTATATAGTAGGTATGTAACAGAAAGATTTGTAATACAAATAAGCAAGTAGAGTAAAACATGGCAAAAGAGTAGAAAGTGGAATGAGTCTGCTTGTGTTCCATTGTGGATGTCAGATTGGTAAATTTAAGTTTATTAGTATATTAATTTATTTATAAAGTATAAACCTTAATCTTTATATATCTATTTTTTACGGTGACACTTATGCTGAGATAGCCCTTCGGGAATGGTCTGACGCGGCTATGTAAATTATTTGTCGTACTCTTGATCCTACTATTGTTCTTCAACTTAGAGACATTCAGGACTACAAACTCGTGTGTGAAAAGCTTGCGACACTTTTTGGAAATTTGTCCGTCGTCTCTTATATTATGCATCATCGCCATCATTTGAAAAGCCCATTAAATTATAGAGGAAATGAGGAATATCTTTGCAAGAGAATTTACTTTGCTTCACCCATTGCTGAACAATTTACTGGTATTCAACATGTGATGTTATCTCAATTAATTCTTCTGACAGAAGAGATTCAAGATGAGTTTATTGACAAATTTGGTACCCGTCCAAACTCTGAATTTACTCAAGAATTTATGGAAAAATTTATTGCGCTTGGTAAGTATAAGGAGGAATCCTCTTCGAGTACTGCTTTTGTGTCTACTCGTAGAACTCGTGATCTTAATCATATTACATGCTTCAAATGTCATAAGAAGGGTCATTATGTAAATGAATGTCGCCTGAAAAGTGGTATCCGGAACTGCTAATCGAGTACATATGTGTTGAAATTTGGATAAGGTCTATGGATGAGAATGGAACCATTACTTCTAAGATATCGTTAAACGAATCATTCGGAAATTAAGACTCGGTAATTAGAACTCGGCAATTAGGGTGAGAGGGCATTAAATTCATTAAGCGGTCCAGAGCCGCTTACTAATGTAGGAAGCTGGATATACATGGTCTGCTAACCCATGAATGTCAATTTGGAGACACAAAAGGCAAGTGTTATCGTTCCTGTATTCTCTACGTCCAAAATTAAATCCGTTTGTCTCTTAGACTGATCTCGAGCCTATTTGTGCTCTTGCTTGGCGTAATAGTTGCCAGAATCGTTTCTACTGTAAGTTGTTGTTACATTCGCAAATTTGTGGGGGGTAGTAGGTGTGTCTAGATAGCTACAAGAAGACCGAAGCGCCCTTTACCTGGAAGTTTGCAGAGTTTGATTGTGCTGATGCCTTTGGGAATTAGTGTTTTGGTTTGATCATCATGAAGTATGTATATTAAATAGAGATTAAGGGTTATAGTTTGTAACTAAACTAATATACTAATAAGCATAAGTTTACCAATATGACATCCACTCCAATAAGTATGCGGAGTATCCTTCAACAGTTTGTAATAGTTCTCAAGATTTAAATATGAGCTGCAAGTTTTGTGTAATATTGAATTGGGATGGATTGAGTATTGTTACACAAAAGGGCAACGGTGTA